TTACGAAAAGTATTTATTGTCAAGTTAACGATCAGATTCAGATGACTAGACCCGAACCTACGTAGCCTGTCTACCTGTCTGTTTTAATTAAGTCATGTTTGTTTGTCCTTTCCTATTGCCCATTTTCTGTCGCTCCCCCCAAATCTTGGCGTCTGTGGACTTGTGATGTGGGCACTAGGAAAGTATTTCAATCCCGACCCCCGGCCGGTTAGTTAGGTTGACCCCTGTTTGTTTCAGTTCCGTCTCCCTGCGAAAGAATCCGGCAATCCTTGGCTTTTTCTTCCAGGCTAAGGTAGCGCCACGGCCCACGACAACGTCCCCATCTCGGGTTCTTTGTGAGACATTCCCAGATCCCCTAGATTGGATTGGATTGGATTGGGTTGATTCACATTTTTGTTTGGGTTGGTTTGGTTCTGGCTGTCGTACGAGGAGCAGCAAGAAGCAGGAGGCCAGTAGCAGAAGGGCCTAAGGCACTGCATGAACTGCATGAATGCTATCGTGTAACCTAGCTTGATTGATTAGCGTACAGGTCTGTCAGTCTGTCATTACTTTTTGGGGGAATGGCGGGTTGATTGGGGTTTAGATCGTCCTTAAGTACAGTAACTGCAGGTGTCTATTGTTGGAAGATTAGAGTTTACTGGACTGGACTGGACTGGGCTGGGCTGGGCTGGGCTGGATTGAATTGTTCGACTTCGACTCCTTTTTTTTTTTTTTTTTTTTTTTTTTTCCGTTCTTTTCGGGTCGGCGAGGGCTCTGTGCGTATGCATATTGCAGAGAACTCGACCTACTAAAGCACCGTACTTGTAAGAAGTTACGGTTGCATATCAGCAATCAATCAGATCCTGCTGTGAGCCTGTGACGCATTAGTCAAGACAGGAGGGTGCGAAAATAAAATAAAACATAAAAAAAACGGCACGACTCACAACATACCAAATCAGCTTGTAGGCTTTTTTACTCCGTACAGATTGTTTGTTTGTCGGTCTTCGGGCCTTGTCCTAGTCCCAAATCCCGGTCCTTGCTCCTGTTCCACTTCATTGGGGTAGTACAGAGGAGATGGGGAAAAGACGAAACATTAATCAGGTTAGATAGAGCTGTCCTACGGTAACTGTGCATCTGTTTCGTTCACGCCTGCCTACGGTGTAGTTACACACAAATCCCGTGGCCCTGGCCCCCTGTTCGTCCAACCCTCCTTTCTTTTCCTTTCCTTCTTTCGCTACTAGATATTATTTTTGGGGCGTACATGGCTATCTGCCTACAGACATACAGGATGTACATCAAATAGGTAGGTACACAGATAAGTCCTCTGTCGTGTCACCCATGCACAACGCATGGTATAGTCATGTTCGACCTTGTCGAAGCTACATGAATGAGCACTGCACTTGCGTCGGGACATGCGTCTATCTATCCACTACCCATTTTCTCTGAGAGAGGTCTGTACTGTACATACATACAAATATCCATAGTGTAGATATACAAAAGTCTGGAGAGCGATCAAGGATTACCCATGTCCGTATAGTCCATGCACACCGTAGAATGTGTGTATCTAGATGCCAGATCCCTACCTCACGAGCATTATCCAACTGGGCGCTGCAGTTTCGGTTAGCCGAGGCTTGATATTCGGCGCCCTTGGTGAGGGCTTGACGGTTGGAAATAGTAGCTACAAGTAGGTAGGCGGATGCAGAGCCGATGGATGGGGATGGTTGATTTTGAAAGAGGACTGGGGGGGTCGGACAAACAGTGGGATTCTCTTCTGTGGGTTTGATCGTAGGTCTGTATATATGTTGGCGCTTTGATCCGTGGGTAAGGTGAGATGAGATCGTGTGTTGATTTATATGTTATTTTTTCCAAATATCATTATTCTATATATTTAGGACACCGTATGTACGGAGTACTCACGGACCCATACATCTACCGGTGCCCCGGCCTGCGTGTCCAGACGAAAGTACAACGAATAGCGGCATCTCCGCAACTAGAAGGTTCTGATTTTCGATAGGTGGAGAGCGGGCTCCCGGGGACTTGAATCCGTGCGGCCTGCCGTGCTGATGCGTCCGAGAAGGATGGCACTCAGTGCGCTCCATACTCCGTAACTGTTGTCAATGTTATTCTACGGGTGCGTCGGGTAGAGCCTGCTATCAACCGTAGAAACTACTGTAGAAACTCGGAGGGGTGTTCCTATTTGTAAATTTAGGGGTGTAGATCATCGCCCCTTCTTCTAGTTATGTTTGTCAAATTGGATTATAGTACGAAGTAGAAGATCCCTTTACCATAAATAGAGCCAATGGAATTGTTGGCATTGATGATCGTGCGTCGCTGCTGCTAGCGTTCACCGTAAGTAGCCTGGTAGCGGTTACCGATGGTAGAGGGGTGAGACTTGAGACTGAGTGGTGGGCGCGATCCCTCCGGGTTGAAAGGGCCGAGACTCGGGCCCGAAGCAGGGCAAAAAAGAGGAGATTTTTTGGGTCCCCTAACACTGATGAGGAAAGGGGGCGCAAAGAGGTTTAAGAGCTAGATTTGCCGCCGGCGCTGCAGTCCCTGCGGTCGATGAAAGACAACAACACTGTAGGAGAAATAATAAATAGAAAGAGGAAGAGTTATAGACAGTAAGGGGTTGAAAACGCCAGAATACTAATAGTAGATAGGTACTCAAGTTGGTTGTGGGCGCGTGCTAAGGTTGGGTTTGATTGTTTGAAAGGGGTGGGAAGGGAGGATAACAATAATCAGCGGCAGAAGGGCAACAGTCTAACAGAGCAGTAAAAAGAGAAGAACAAAAATAAATACCAACACAATATTCCAAGGAAAAAAGCAAAGGGAAAGAAAAAAGATCGGCCCACCGAGGTGATGTATCAAGTATCAAGATCATCGACATCAACTGAACAGCCGACGGATCAGCATCGGGAAGAGCCCCACTTGATGGAATCCGTTAGGAATCTGTGGCTGCCAGGGTGGCTCATGGGCCGATTTTTTTTTTCTTTTCCCCCCTCCGGCGCTGTACTTTGGTTGTGTGTCTAATCGGGGTGATTAAGTAATCGGCTGCTGCGAGAGGAAACAATGACGGAAGGGGCGAGCCGCGAGGTGAGTATGACGATTTGTTTCTTTGTTGAATTATTCATCCGCTCTTCAGTCTACTGTACCTATGTTTGACACCCGTCTTGCGAGGCGATCAACTTGGATTTTTTTTACTGGTATACTGAGTGGTGTTTTTTCTCCTCCAGGGGGATGGAAACACAAGGAAGAAAAAAAAAAATTCTGCGGGCCGCTGCAATCCAGCACAGACATTTATCTGCCAGACAGCTGAATATTGCCGGGTATATGCAGCCGAAGTTGACGTATGGCACTGTCAGATGAGAGGGGGTGCGAAGGAGGGAAATAAAAAGGCAAGCAAGGAAGGGAGGGTAGGAAGGGCAAGACCCGGAGAGGGGGGGAATGGAGAATATTCGCTTGGATATTGGACGACGGATCCGACAAGTCGTTACTCGTAAAAAGTAAAACTCACCCATGGGAGGGGGGGCAGGGGAGGGATTGGAGAATGGGCCGCAGAGGGTCCTACTCCATATGTACGCAAGTGCATGTATTGTCCGGCACCAGCCTAAGCCTAAAGGTAAGGCCAGTTTCTGGGATTATTGGGGGCGGCGACTGCAACATTTGCAGGTGGTCTGGGTGGAGTACGCCTCATGCCTAACTAGGCTGCCGGGAGCTTAGGTAGTTGAGCTTATGGCTCGTACGCCAGTCATGGATGGCGGCTGCAGCCCCACTGCTGCGGTCAGGAATTATTGGCGGCACTCCGTAAATAATAAACGGCACTAATTTACTAATTTAGATTTCTGATTTATTAAATAAAAAAAAAATCAATGGCACGGGGAAGAGAGGGCCGGTGGGTCCGTGTTCCATGGACCACCTGCAGCCTCTCGGCGAGTCACAACCGGGGGTTCGTGCTAGACTCCTCTAAGTTCCCTCTCCCCCCATCCCTGGTGCTTGCTTTTCTGGCTCTGGCTCCGGCGCTTGCATCCTCGTCAGACACTGCCCTGTTTCGGGGGGCCAGTTCGACTCCATGAATTGATTTTTTATTCTTTTTTTTTTTGTTGCATCTTATTCTATTTTCGTATTTTGATTTTTATTCTCATGTATCCCCTACGGAGTATGCTATTTTTTCTTTGATTTCCTTTTTGTGCAATGTTGCTTCAAATATAATCACTGTCTGCCTACTTGGCTTCTAGTTTTCCCCTCCCAATTTTCCATCTTGCTCACCCGTTTTATTAACGGGACTTATTTCTATCACATTGGCCCCGCCCGCCAACACCACACTAATCTTTGCTTCCCTAGCGTATTGATCAATGGGCACTTGTCCTTCCTTTCCCATAAATAAAATAAAATAAATATTAAACTGAAATAAAACAACTGAAAAAGAACCAACGTCTGACATGGGTTTAGTCGAGTAGCGAAATAAAAGTGAGCGAAATATGTAGATGAATATAAACTCGAAGCAGTTGACATAAGGCGATGGGTAAAATCACGCGTGGTGAGGCTGAGACCTGCCAGATGTACGGAACAGTATGGGGTCCCAGGGAGATAGTTTTTATTTTCTCCCTCCGACACCTTCTCACCGTAGTATATAGTTAATTATTTATACCTAGCCAGTAGCCACGAATAAGAAAAGTAGAAACCGATCTAGCATCTACATATCACCTAAAAAAAGCGATCTATCTGACTACGTATGTGTAGCCTCAGCCGACAGGAGTACTCCGTAGACCGGAAAATATACACTGTAAATACCCGCGGACACGACTCCAGATTGTCCCCACCCGCTAGGCCGTTCCTGGACAGGAAGCTGTCTGTCTGGGTCTTGGCGCCGGACGACCGCCATCTCAGCTTTTCCGTGCTTTCCCTTTGCTTTCGCTGACTGCTCGAGAGCTGCACAACCACTAGCGCCGCTTGGCAAATTTCACTCATTACCACCAGCCCCTCGACCATTTCTCTCTCTCTCTTCCTCTTCTTCTTCTCTTCGCTTTTCTGGCCTCTTTTCGTTTCCCCTTTCTCGTTTCCTTGCTTTCCCTTTTGGTGGCCTCTGTCTCCCCACCCCTGTTCTTGTCTTATACTACCGTTGCGTCGATTTCCACTCCAGTCTTTTCACCTTCCCACCCTTTCGCTTTTCACTATCCCTTTCTGGTCTCTTCAGGCCTTCTCCGTCTGTCTCTCCGACCCTCTATCCTTGTCTCATTTCCCTTCTCTTCCACCCTACCATATCCCTTCGGATTGCCTCTTGCTTTCTGTGCCTGATCATCCTGTCCTCTCTGCCACTTCGGTACCGGAGCTTCAGCCGCATTGTGCTTGTCTGCAGCTGCTGGCGCTTGCTCAAGCACCTGTCTCGTGTCACCTGACCCCGTTGATCGCGAGAGGCGGGAACAATTTTGTCCTGCCGTCACTTGCAACCTTGACTCCTGCGCAGTTTTGATGTTGCGGTTGATTTGCGTCCGCAATTGTCTCTGAATTGTGCCTCGCGAAGAAGTCGCGCTTTTCGGTAATTGGCGCCCTCAGCTCGCGCGATTACTGACATCGGGACTGTGCAACCTTCCAGTGACACGGACACGCATTGCATCATTGTGTCGCATAGTGTATGGGAGCTACCAGTGGTGATCTAATCATACATCGACTACGTTGCGGTTCGGTTTAACAGTGTTCCGGCATTATGGCTCATACTCAGCCATCACCCACGGGAGGCGTCACCCCTCACCATGGTCATATCGCAGCCCATCCACAGGTCAACGGACACATTCAGTTGCAGTCTCAAGGCCAAAAGGGTCATCCCCTGAACACCGCCCAAAAGATTGCTGCGCTGAACGAGCAGGTTTGGCTTCAAATTGGTAAGGGATCCTTCCTTGGCGCTCTTGTCGCAGCCATTCGAAACATCGTCGGAATGCAACATGTGTGCTGACAACTTACTTCAGGGAGTTTGACTGAGCTGATGGGCGATCTCGATGGCGCAATGAATGCATATGAGCAGGCCCTGCGCCACAACCAATGGTCTATTCCTGGCATGAACGCGGTGTCCTGTATCTTGCGGACAAAGGAACAGTTTCCGAAGGCCATTGAATATCTTCAGAATATCCTGAAGCTGGACCCAACCAGTGGAGAAACTTGGGGCAGCTTGGGTATGTTGATCGGTCCTCGACACGACTTGCTACAAAACAACTAATAGCTATCTAGGCCATTGTCATCTTATGATGGATAACCTGCAAGAAGCCTACACTTCCTACCAGCAGGCGCTTTATCATCTGCGCGACCCCAAGGTAAACCAACTTTTTAAAAGGTTACTTGTGACTTCAGCTGACGTGTGACCGTGTCTCTAGGAACCCAAGCTTTGGTACGGCATTGGTATTCTGTACGATCGCTACGGCTCTCTCGATCACGCCGAAGAGGCCTTTTCCCAGGTCATGCGAATGGCGCCCGACTTCGAGAAGGCCAACGAAATTTACTTCCGTCTGGGAATCATCTACAAACAGCAGCAGAAGTTCAACCAGAGTTTGGAGGTATGTTCGATTCGATCGGAGCAAACAATTTTTCTTGCCATAGCCGATGTATCGCTAACATTTCTTTTGTTCAGTGTTTTAAATACATCGTTACGGACCCCCCTCGCCCTTTGACGGAAGAAGATATCTGGTTCCAGATTGGTCATGTGCACGAGCAGCAGAAAGATGTAAGTCGCCAAAGTGATCAACCTTGTCGGGAAGTTAGCCAACGCTTATGCTATTCATAGTTCGAATCCGCCCAGCAGGCGTACAGGAGGGTGTTGGATCGCGACCCGAACCACGCAAAGGTTTTGCAGCAGCTTGGATGGCTGTATCACCAGCAGAGTACCAGCTACGCGAGCCAGGAGAACGCTATTGAGTATCTTGAGAAATCTGTCAGCGCAGGTAGGTCTACTCCGTCTTGAACAAAATGGAATGTGATGCTAATGGATTTTTGTCGCTTCAGATAACAGTGATGCCCAGAGTTGGTATCTACTTGGTCGCTGCTACATGTCTCAAGCCAAGTATCCCAAAGCCTACGAAGCCTACCAGCAGGCGGTCTACCGCGACGGAAGAAACCCAACGTTCTGGTGTTCGATCGGTGTGCTCTATTACCAGATCAACCAATACCGTGACGCGTTGGATGCCTACTCGCGTGCTATTCGCCTGAACCCTTACATTTCGGAGGTCTGGTACGATCTGGGTACTTTGGTGAGTTTATTGACAAATCCCTCTGCGGATCAGGAAGAATTGTCTGCTAATATCTTTCGCTTTCAGTATGAGTCTTGCAACAACCAAATCGCGGATGCCCTCGATGCCTACGGTCGCGCAGCTGATCTTGACCCTGCCAACGTTCACATCAAAGCCCGCTTGCAGCTTCTCCAGAGTCAGCTTTCCGGATCCAACCAGAACAACGCTCCTGCGCCTCAACCTCAAGATGTTCATCCACAAGCCTACCAAGCCCCGGGCGTTGCCGGACCCCCGGCGCCTCAGTGGGCCGCGCCCACGCCGACTGGAGGACCCCCTCCTCAGCCTCCGGCGCCTCCCAGGCAGATCGCTGACTGGAACCGGGGCATCAACGAGCTTCAGTCGCAAGCCCAGGTGCAAAGCGCGAATGGATTCGATCACCGTGATGCGCTTAGAGCCCCGGGGGCCATCAAGCAACCTAGTCCCCGACAGGAGCCAGGAAGGATGTTCCCAGACGTTATTCGTGCACCGGCACCGACTCGCTCTCCCAAGACTACCATGGCTGGTGGTCCTACCGTTTACACGCCCGCCCACGCCCTCCCGCAACTTGCCAACCCTCCGGCTCCTTCTCACGAGCGTGCTCCCAGTGGTGCCGTACCTTTCGCCTCTGCTTCTCGCGGCCCGCTGCCTCCCGCTCCCGCGCCTCCGGCTGGACCAGGTGCTCCCAATGGTGCTCCTACTTCTGGTGGGCCTTTGCCTCCCTACCATCGCCCTTTCACTCCTCCGGCTGAGATTAGACCCATCCGGGATGAGCGTCCGTCCTCCCCCGGGTCTACCTACCCTCACCAACAGTATCACCACGGTCCTAGCGTCCCGGTGCAGACTCCAGGCAGCACTGGCATCGCTGGTGGCGCGCCCCCGCCTCCGTCGGCTATTACTGCCGCTGAAGCCGCTGCCCGCGAGCGTGAGGATCGTCCGGCTTCGGCCATGAAACGCGGTCGGGAATGGGATACCGAGGCGGGCCCTGTCAAGAAGATCGCTAACGAGGAGACTCGTGCTCGTCTCGATGAACAGGTCACTCGTCGCGTGACTCCCCCAAACCGCATGCCCTCGCCCGGCGAGATGCAGCGTCGTAGCTCGTCTGAGATCCGCCGTGAAGATCAACGTCGTATCAACGAGAACTACCATCCTTCAGAAGCGGCCCACCATCCTCCCACGCTGCCCTCTATTCAGCATATGCCTCCACACCCGTCTGGCGGACCCAGCCTTCCTCCGATGGCTGAAAGCTCTGCTCCCGCGTCCAATGGACCTCCGTCCGGACCACCATCTGCGCAGCTTCCAATCAAGGAGGAGCCCACCCGTGGTGAACAGGCCCCTGCTCACGAGCCTGCTGCACGGAAAATGGACGTGGACGAGAATTACGACGATGACGAAGATGATAAGCGGGCGAGCACCGTTGCAAAGGGCAGCCCTGGAAGTGGGTCGGGCAGCGTCAACAACAGCAACAGTGGGGGTCTAAGCGGAGGCGCCCCGTCCTCGTCGAAACCAGAGCCTGCCGCTTAAGACGCTCTGTTCTTTGCATGATCCTTGTTAATGCCGTTCGAGCAAAACTCTAGGGGGGCCTCGAGTACTCCGTAGCTTTGGCTTCTCGTTACATGGTATCATTTTCTTCCTTCGTTAACACAAACACCCCCACGTTTTCTTTCTCACTCCGTTTTATATACGTATAGTTTTCGTCCCCTTTCCCCCGGTGGCATTCGTTTCATGTTCGTCAGCTGTGTTAGCACCCGGATTTGTATTGTATGACTTGATAACCAGTGGTTCGAAGTGGTATTCTGAAGTTGCTTTTTGTACCTACATGTTCACTTTATTCACTCTATGACACCTTCGCCCTTGTTCTTTCCTTTTCTTATCTTCACTTCCTCTTTTAACTCATGATTTTTGCTCCAATTTCAGCCTTGTGACAACCCATCTGTTCAGATCTCCTAACTTTGTTTTTACGCGCTGGTACACCAGTGAATGATCAAAACTTGTTTCCTATATATGGACTTGACTTTCTACTTTGTAGAACGTGCTATTCCAAATGGCATGAAGCCTGTATAGTAATGGGTATATTGTATAGTACAATCTATAGACCGAATCTTCCGGAACGTCCACGGTACCGGCAAACCTAATAAACCCACTTTGGTCCAAGCGAGTGGCGTCGAGAGTCGCAATTTTGGGAAATCCCTTTCGTGTTGTGGCCTGAGGACGCTAAACTCCTGAACGGGAATAGCCTGACCGACCGAGGGCCTCAGGCGGTCAGGCCTTGAGCAATTCACGTGCTCTGTGGAGACCCACGCCAAGCCTTCGCTTAGCCCACATTCGTTAAGCGTTGCAAAATACGACTTCCGGCAAATTCAGAGATAGACCACTCTCACTCACCACTTCGACGACTAACGACAACAGGGTCAAGATGTGAGTCCCAATGCGCCCATACCAGTATAATATCGTCAATCGAATGGAATTGCTAACGTCGCTTTTCTTTTCAGGAGTCACCGGAAGTACGAAGCGCCTCGGCACGGTTCGTCAATCAATCTTCAACTCTTGCGGCTTCGAAATTTGCAGCCGTGTGCGTTCATTTGTGCGATGTACTAACACACTCTCTACAGGCTCGCTTGCCTTCCTTCCCCGGAAGCGCGCCACGAGACACAGAGGAAAGGTCAAGAGGTTAGTTTTTTATTCAACCGGGATCAATTTTCGAGGGATTCGAGAATCGTGGGCTAAGATGTTTTGCGCAGCTTCCCCAAGGATGACCCCAAGAAGCCCGTCCACCTGACGGCCTCCATGGGTTACAAGGCCGGTATGACCACTGTTGTCCGTGACCTTGACCGTCCCGGTGCCAAGATGCACAAGAAGGAGATCGTTGAGGCTGCCACCGTTGTCGAGACTCCTCCTGTATGTTCTCAAAGAATTCTTGTCCTTGAAAAAGTGTTCCTGGACTTTCAGTCACTAACCGGTGTGTTTTCAATGAATAGCTTGTCGCTGTCGGTGTTGTCGGCTACATCGAGACTCCCCGCGGTCTTCGCTCGCTCACCACCGTCTGGGCTGAGCACTTGAGTGACGAGGTCAAGCGTCGCTTCTACAAGAACTGGTACAAGAGCAAGAAGAAGGCTTTCACCAAGTACGCCAAGAAGCACGCCGACGAGTCCGGCTCCGCCATCACCCGCGAGCTTGAGCGCATCCAGAAGTACTGCACCGTCGTCCGTGTGCTTGCTCACACCCAGGTCCGCAAGACCCCTCTGAAGCAGAAGAAGGCCCACCTTATGGAGATCCAAGTCAACGGTGGCTCCATCCCCGAGAAGGTCGAGTTCGCCCGCAACCTGTTCGAGAAGCCCATTGAGATCGACAGCATCTTCGAGAAGGACGAGATGATCGATGTCATCGCCGTCACCAAGGGTCACGGTTTCCAGGGTGTCACCAGCCGTTGGGGCACCAAGAAGCTTCCCCGTAAGACTCACAAGGGTCTGCGTAAGGTCGCCTGTATCGGTGCCTGGCACCCTAACCACGTCCAGTGGACTGTTGCCCGTGCCGGTCAGATGGGTTACCACCACCGTACCTCTTGCAACCACAAGGTCTTCCGCGTTGGCAAGGGTACCGATGAGGGCAACGCCGCCACCGAGTTCGATATCTCCAAGAAGCAGATCACTCCGTAAGTTTGCCTTTGCTTGATGGAACCCAGAAGAAGCCATGAGACTAACAATTCACACAGCATGGGTGGTTTCGTCCACTACGGTGAGGTCAAGAACGACTTCCTGCTGCTCAAGGGTTCCATCCCTGGTGTTAAGAAGCGTGTCATGACTCTGCGTAAGACTCTGTACCCCCAGACCAACCGCAGGGCCACCGAGAAGGTCGAGCTCAAATGGATCGACACCTCGTCCAAGTTCGGTCACGGTGCTTTCCAGACCCCCGAGGAGAAGCGTGCTTTCATGGGTACCCTCAAGAAGGACCTCGTTACCTCTGCCTAAGGTGTTTATGGGAATGTTGGTATGGTGTAGTGCAATTATTATCTCTTTTCAATAAAAAAAGCGAAGAATACCTTTTTCAAAGATCTCTCCGGCTGGTGTGGAAAGAGAAATAAGTGATTTCTACTAGTTTTTACGTAGCTGCAAGGGCAATTTAATGACTGTTCCGAAAGAAAAAATCTTCCACTGCAAATATCAAGTTATACTTGTAGATTATGCATATAATTGTGCATTCGTGCCATGAGAAAATTTCGACACCTCCCTCGACCATTTCCCTCCTATCCTAAACTCTTCCTCTCCAAGTTAGTCACTAGTCTTTTACTTATTGGGAATTGAGAACTTCTATCGTGTTCTTCTTTACTGTCATTATTATTAGCATTCTTCCTCCGCATCTCCACTCGTCCTAATGCAAAGGTGGCAGGGAACCCGCCGGGCGCATTGCGTCATTGATCGCATCACAAGTCGGGCTTCAACTTCATCGCCAGAGGGGCTTCTCGCCTCCCGCCACCTCCGTCAATATCATCACCAGTCGTCTTTCCAAACCCACCCCCAACGCCATCCACTCCTCGTCACTCCGTCTAGACAACCCACCCGATTGTCTTCCCCTCGTATACCTCGTTCTAGCAGCAGCATCATCACCACCCGCACCATGTCCTCCGACGACGCCTACATGTCCTTCCTGGACAAGGCCAACGCAGACCTCAACACCGCCCGAAACCAGCCGTCCCAGAACGTCTCGTCCTCTGTCGCTCGCACTGAGACCGTCGACGCGGGCGTTCGCGTCCCCGCTCCTCTCACTTCCATCGATGCTTTCTATATCTCCGAGACAGACGAGCCGTTTGAACCGGTCACGCTGCGATGGGACGGGGCTTCGCGCGGGCTGTTTCCTGACCCTTGTACGTGCTTTCCTGTCCTCCTTATCCCATTCTATTCTACCCCTTTTTATTTGATATGGTTGTACCCCGCTAACATTTGAATCAAAAAAATCAAACAGCCCACCTTTCCTCCCTCATCTCCCCCACCACCGACCTCTCCTCGTCCATAACCACCCTCCCTGCGTCCTCCTTCGACCCGAAAAACCAATACCCTGGCCCGCTTCGCGCCGTCCGCGCCGCCGCTGCCGAGGCCTCCGGGGGCGACGAGTCCGCGGTAGAGATGAAGGTGTACCGGGTGGAAGTCGGGACGTCGCGCGTGGAGTACTATGTGTTGGCGTTGGATGCTGAACAGGGGTTAATTGTGGGGTTGAGGGCTAAGGCTGTTGAGACTTGATTTTGTGTTTGTTTTATTCTGGTTATTTGGGGATCGTCTTGTCGCCTGACCCCGGGGGGTTGAATTGTTTAGTTGCGTTCTGTGTTGTATATTTTCTTAATTCTCCTTTGGTTCTAGTTTGCTGCTTGTCGGGCAGAATGAATGAATGGACGATGAGACGTTAAGTATAATTTGGGTTATTCCGGGCTGGTAAAGATATATTGTGGCACTCTTGATCGCGTGGAAACGGAGTAGGCCATATACTTGAAACGCTACTATTTATATACGCATACATATCTGCAGGTAATATTTAACTTTACCTTAAGATGCACCATATATGCAAAGATTGATTCATTAAGACCCAATAGTGGAAACTATTAAAATAACACAGAGAGAGTATTTAGGACCGACCCCCCATTATATATCCCAGATATACGAACGCACCGTATCAAAGTAAAGTAAAACCCCAACCTACAAAGAACTACCTACAGAGTCTATGATTGACATGATGAAGCACAGTCCTGGTAATTATAGCCTGAGTTGCATGTTTCATGCGCGCCCCTGGTGAATATATGTATGTAGTTGGACACCAAGTATAGCTACATATTTATCCAAAGATGCAAGGGGTGGCAGACGGCTAGAATTACAAGTCCTAGGGGAGATTGGCGAGTCTATTTTAGTTTGGGGTATATGTTGGTTGGTTCGTTGCGGCTCGTCCATGGGGTAGGGGATGGATAGATAGATGGTATTATTATGGATAGAGAAAAGGGAATAAACAGGCGGGTGTTTCTTGCTACCTTGTGATTGTTACTATCTTAAAGTGGGTTTACTATTCGATCATTCTGGATTAGAGTTATAGAGCTGCTGTCTGGCTAGGTAGGAAATCTTGGTATATATGCTAGTATTCCTCACCTGGGACGTACAGAGACGGGGTCTATGAGTCGTGAATAAGGTAGTTCAAGAAGAGACCGACAACGCTGCGCCATTGAGGCTTTGACCGGCTTTCCTTGATTAGGAAAATTGTTTGGGTGGAATGGGCGATTCATTGGTATGCGATCCAGTGGAATGGATCTGAGGAATCTCGGGATGTGAGTAGGAGGAACTAGGTTAAAGTCCGTCAAACTGGTCGGAGTGAGGACGCGTAGGCTGGAATGGTATAATCAAGGAAAGGCCATGGTTGAACTTTGACTTAAAGAAAAGACTTGACTGAGGCTGGAGAAGTGTCGATAAATAGGAAATAACGACTGCCTAGAGAGTAGAGGTAATGTTAGGTAGATGATACCTCAGAATACCGGGAATTTCTTCAGCCATTAAAGTACCCGATACCTCCAGTGTACACGGGCGCCGAGAGAAAATCAATCGCTAAAACGGGGACTTTGACCCACCAAACACCCTCAAGATTCCAACGTCCATTCAATCGTGAATCCACCAGGCATTCATTCCGCTCTTTGCCCGAGCAACGGGAGATTCTGCTAGGTATGGACTATGGATGAGACGCGTAGACTGCCTCACCACATACAGTCAGTCTCTTGGCTCACAAATCATTGGCAAATCGTGGCGCCTGCAAGACCCCAGTAAAGAACCACGATGAAACCCACAAGCTGTAGGCGCAATGCATATACCTTTTGCTTGATTGAAATAACCCTGCAGGTACTACTAAGCCAGGATCGCGTTTGCGCTCTGCAGGCGACAATCTCCACATGCAGGGGGCCGACATGCTCGATTGAAGATCAAGCATTCCTGAGCTTGGATCACTGCTCGGCCAAGGGCAAGGCCTCGCTATGAATTATGAAGCTGTCAGGCAAACGCGCACATTGTTTTGGTGTATCCCTTGTTTGGACCGGGTGGAATTTCAATTGATCTGGAAAAGCATGAGCGTGCGAAGAGGCCAGAACTGGTGCTACCGGCAGTGGGCAAACAGGGATTGGCATCCCTTCCTTGAGTGTCTGGACCATCTCGACTCTCATGCCCGCCTTCATTGCTGGCTCTCCCTCTCTCTTCTCCTAACTGGCCGTTGTTGTTTCCCCCTCCTTCCAATACTGGGCTCGTGTTGACGCCAGAAACATCTGCCACCCGCCGTCATCGTCTGTCTTCATCCTCCGTATCTTCTTGTCACTCGCTACCACCATCTTATCTTCTATCCATCCTGATTTGGTCTTTCATTTGAGGGACTATCTGGCATTGACTATCTTGTCCCGTCCACTCGTTATCCTCGTTCTTTGCGCTTCTCAGTCCCACCACGCGTCGACCACTTGGCATCCCCGACGACAGCTCCAAACCAGTCATTACCGAGGAACATACGCCAGTTAACCAACTTGAAGGGGAATAATTCAATTCACATACGACCTGTCTTGATGGACTTGCTCTGGTGATACTCAGGTGATCGATTGTCCGCAGAACTAGACCAGTACAGTTAGCTCCTTGGATTATCGGCATACACTGCAGCTTCAATTTTCGAAACAGACTGCGGAGATAAGACCAAGACCCAGCCCTTCAGATCAGTGCTTCAAATTCAGCGTTGGATCCCCCGTGCTCTCGACATACCTGGGGCCGAAACAACCGTAGCTCCACGGCAGGGTAGTCTGTTTCGCAGACTATCATTAACTGCCCAGAATGACCGACGAATCTACTAACCCACCTGTACCACCTCATATTCGAGTTAACTCGGGCCAACATGACCCATTCGAAGATGAAGAAAATGGGGTGCCAGCTCCCCGGCCACAGTCCATCGGACGGGCCTTGACGCCTGGAATGGTGCCGTCAAACTCCTCAGGCACGATACAAACGGTGTACGGATCACCCGTGGCTCAAGATTCGACAGAATTCTTAATACCCCCCAAACCGCGTGGACGCCGCGAGGATTACGATAGCGCGCAGTCGCCGAATCTGTCTATGGTCTCGTCACGACGGACCAGCTGGAGCTCTGGGGATACGCGAAAATACTCTTACACGCGAATGGAAGAATCGCGAGCGCCGTCACGCGCGGGCAGCGATGACAACGATGTCAACACGCAAACCGTGACCGAAAAGTTCAATATCATGCCGACGGAGGGATTACTTCTATTCCCGGAGGACGTGGAGAAGGATGATTACCTGCATAACCCGGACCCCAATGACCGCGAAAAAGAGTGCGATATCTGGAATCGTCGAGGCATGATCAACGTGGGTGGGTTGGTTCTGCTGACTCTCGGGTTTATAGTCTTGTTTGTCGGCTATCCTGTAATGTATGGACATGTTCTCTCTATGATCCTCACAGGGGGAATTTGCTTGCTGACTGTTGATAGAACTGCCGTGAAAAATCTAGAAAAAGGGGGAAGCACGGTATGTGAAGCCGGAGACACACTCTGTCTCGACGTAGGAGAGCGACCGGTACTGTCGAATCTACGGAAGGGACTAATAGATCCCGACACGCCGGACTCTGCGAAGACGAAGAAGTCCGTCGACGGCAAGGAGTGGAAGTTGGTGGTGAGTGTGTTGCGACACATCAAAGCAGCTTTGTTTGCGACGCAGGTCGGGCTAACGCGTGGTAGTTCTCCGATGAATTCAATACCCCTGGGCGCACGTTTTATGATGGAGATGATCCCTACTATCAGGCAGTGGACATCTGGTATGGTGTCACACAGGATCTAGAGGTTTGTCACCATTAGCTGCCCCTTCAAACACAGGCTAATGCCAGACACAGTGGTACGATCCCGACGCTGTGACTACAAGGGATGGCGTTCTAGAATTGAGATTCGATGCCTTCAAGAACCACGAATTGAAGTACCGCTCCGGAATGGTCCAAAGTTGGAATAAACTCTGCTTTACAGGAGGACGGCTGGAAGCCAGTATATCCTTGCCCGGCTCCGGCGATGTTTCGGGATTCTGGCCTGGTTTCTGGGCGATGGGGAATCTCGGCCGGCCTGGATACGCCGCGACGACGGATGGTATGTGGCCATACAGTTATCATGACAAATGTGACCCGGGAATCACTCCCAATCAAAGCTCACCGGACGGAATCAACTTCCTGCCCGGAATGCGTCTTCCGGCCTGCACATGCGATGGGGGAGACCATCCGACCCAAGGGAAATCCCGAAGTGCACCCGAAATTGACGTGATCGAGGCCAGCGTTATCCCGTTGAACAACAACCCCAACGCGGTCGTTGGCTCGGTGTCGCAGAGTTTGCAGATGGCTCCGTTTGACGTATGGTATATGCCCGATTATGGTACGTGTTGATTCATCCTGTGGTCGCTGCCCCCTCTCTAACACTGAACCAGAATTCACCGCTGTGTATGACCAGAAAATCACAGAGCTCAACAGTTACCGCGGAGGTGAATTCCAGCAGGCGATGTCCGGTCTCACGAACTTGAACAACGACTGGTACAACGGCTCGGCATATCAATCCTATGCTTTCGAGTACACTCCGGGCGCCGAGGGGAATGTCACCTGGTTTGTCGGTGAGGATAAGACGTGGACCCTAGACGGGAGGGCGATCGGGCCTAATGGCAACATTGGCCAGCGAACAATCCCAATGGAACCGTTGGCTGTCGTTATGAACTTAGGCATGGCGTTGAGCTTTGCCGCCATCAACGACTCTATCAAAAGCTATATGCCCGGTTATATGCGGTTCGATTACATCCGTATTTATCAAGACCCCGACGAAGTTAGCGTGACTTGCGATCCTCCGGGGTACGAGACGACCGATTACATCAAAGAGCATCCCAAAGCGTATAACAATGTGAATAAGACAACATGGTAAGATTCACCCGCAACCCCAGAGTTTTCCATACTGACTGTTTCCAAGGGCGGATGCTGGATACGATTGGCCTAAGAACTCTTTCATGCATGGGTGCTAACCCCTCGACACGATTCTTTCTCTTCTCTTTCTCGATCATCTTCACCTTGTATACGATTGACAGCACGTTCTGATCCAAGCCCGACAGCCACCTCGCGCGACTCTTTGTGATCTCGGATACCATATCTTTTACCCCTTGTGGCTGGGGAAGTGGGTTGTTGTATACTTTCAAGAACTTTTTATCTCCCTCTTCAAGTTCCTCATCTCAACTGGCCCTCTCATGGTGTCGCTGTTTGTTTAGCGGCATTGATTTTCCGGTGTTGGGGCGTGTCCGATTGGAGTTCATGATTTTTCTTTCAACGATGGGGTTGGCCATTTTGCATATTCTAGTACATTTATCTATTTACCTTCAAGTCTTCGTCTTCGTATTATTCGTGCAGATTCGATCTCTTGTGAGACCTGTGTAACTTGATATTGTATACTTCCCAGGAGGCAACCGGCTGAGTCAGCAAGGCCAGTCGATCACGGGCATCGGCAGCATCCACACGATTCACCTGCAAGTATCCTTTCGGCTTTGCCTTCTTCGCCTTTTTCACCTGCCCCGCCACGTGTGACGAGAATCCCTGCCGGCCAGGGTGTTTATCATCCGAGATCATATCTTGAAAAACCCGAGGGTTCACTGCCGAGACAATTCGTCAACTGTGTGTCGCGAATGCCAGCCCCGCGGAGCTAATTGATCGACTAAACATTGCCGAGACATTGAGGTCATCCCTCCGACTGACCTCAGCTCCGGTATATGTATGACCGGATATCAGGTCTGATATTCTCGGCTTGAATCAGTTCTCCTGATATACATACATCTGGACTATCGAGTTGCGGTACTGTTTGCTCAAATTGGATGCTATCGTTTGGTTACAGTCCTGTTCGCGAAACATCCAAGAGTAGCACAATATAACCCAGCCAATATGTTCACCCCACACGCCAACCGACCCAACAATAACCTCATCGTCAACCCCGGCGCCTCCGACAGCGACGGATACAGCGATAGCGAACTCAGCGACATGGAAGTCGATCCGCCGAGTCGGCCGCAACGCGCCGGTATGGGCAGTAGTAAGTAGGGGGAGTTATCTTTATGCTTGTCTTCCAAATCCATTCCACCTTTCCCCTGACGCAAAGCATAAACCCATTCATCAGCAGCGAAGCTAACGTTTTCAACTTCAGGATTCGACACCGCGCCGCCACCAGTGCGCTACCGCCCCTCTCAACCGCCTTACCACACTTCCCTCGAGCAGGAGAAGAAAGTGCGTAGTCGGCTACGAGAGGAACGACATGCTGCGTTGTCGGTGTTGACGGATCGAGAGCTCTTGACGACGCAGGCTTTGGCTGCTCAGGAGGTTGGTGTTCCGGAACTTCTCTTTCCTTTCCTTCTCTTCTTGACTTCCCTTTTCCATTCTGTTTGCTATCTCATTGTTGCTTTCCGGATCCATTTCCATTCTATGCCCCCCTGTCACACATCCTTCCTACCTATCCCTCCCCTTCCATTCGTACAACAGATATAAAAACATGCAAACATATATACATGCATGCCTATAACCTATTCATTCAAACTAACACGATGGAAAAAAGACACTCCCGCAAACCCGCCGCCGCTTTCTATCCAAACTAATGGCCCCCGAAGACCCCGCCGTCGCAACATCCCTGCGCGCTGACCGCTTCATAATCCAACACCCCACGACATCGGGAATAGGTCTATCCACCTCTTCTTCTTCCGCCGCCGCTGCAACCGGGGAAGGCGGACCCTCATCACTCACATCCCCGCGGTCCGGCCCCTCATCTACCGTGCCGATGATCGTGCAAAGAAGGATTGTGGACGTGTATGATGCTGATGATGCGGGGTGGCGGCGACCTCCCGAGGGAAGTGGAGGAGGTGCAGGGAGTGGCGGATCATCCGGGATCGGATCACCTGCTGGATCTGGATCTGGGTCAAGTCGACAGAAAGGGAAAGGGACGACGAGGACGCCGGATCGATCGATGAGGGGGTCTGGGGGTGGAAGTGCGGGCACAGGGTCAGGGTCAAGCAGGACGAAGACGCCTGGGAGTTTGCGTCGGGAGAGGGAGCGGCGGAGACGGTGGAGTGGAGCGGAGAGGGAGAGGGATGAGCGGGAGAGGATCTCGTCGCCTTGATCTTTTTGATTTCATAATCTATCTTATTTGCCTACTATACTTACTATATTTACTCGAGCTGGGAGATTGGGATGGATGGGCTTTTATACTTGCATATCTACTTACATACTTACCTACCTATGTATCGAACCTACGCTACTTCATCATGATTAGATCCTAGCAAGACTGAATGAATAACTTATTGAATTGAATTGAATTGAATTGAATTGATTGATTGAAACGAATGATATCCAAAAACCAAAAAGCAGAAGAAATATTCACATGCCGGCTCATTGTATACATCAATCCATCCCTATAAAGCAAAGTAATATCAAAGGCGAAAAAATCAAAAAGATAAGCTACCTGGGCCGTTTCAAACCGTAAGACAGTAATGAAAATAAGATAAGGAAATTCCAATCCCAACACGTAATCCCAAACGCAAAGCGCGCAAAATGATGAATCTACTGTACAAATGATTGACAGAAAGTAAGAAGTGAATCGCAAGATCGATAAAGAAAGAAAGAAGGTAGAGTCCAAAACGGCTTTCCAGAGATAAGATGGCTAGATAGAACACCGGATGATAAGAGAAAACCATGACGAAAAGGTTTGCTTTTGCCCTCCTTTTTCCAATATGATGAGATGGTGGTGTTGTTCGGTAGTAAATGGGTATCAATGTTTCAAGATTTGATCTGCTTTTTTCTGTTTCTTCCTTCTTTTTTTTGGCTTTTCCTTTTTTTTGTAAACCGTCTATCAATCTTCTTTTGATTGACCGAATGAATCGACGCGTGTCATGGCAGTGGTATTCCAAAAGCAAGCCTGAATATAGAAGTATTCAAAAGATTCACTTTGTCTCTTTTGCCGGGGGATGTATAATTTCTTGTCTAACGACCAAAGATATTACAAGAGAGTCGGTGATCGTCCAGAAGCTGGATATAAGGTTCAATCCGGTATCCAGTTGCTCAGGTCTGCTGGGGAAAGACCGGTATATAGTAGTCCGGCGACGAGTGGGTGATTAATTGAGCGGAGAAGTATAACAAATCGCAAGAGAGGCTTGTTCAACTGGACGACCTCTCCGTATTGAGCATACTTTCGGCATCACCGACCTGCTTGCGTTCGGAGACTTCCCGGGTGCGCATCCGGGCGCGCGCCGCTCGAATGTTCATTGGCGTCAATCCTTGAGATGGTGGCGGATCAGGTTCTGAGTAGAAAGGGTGAAGGCGATGGGAAGTAGAGAACCGGACACGACCATCCCTCATGACTGGTAATTGTCATTGCAGGGGTTCCGAACTCGAAGAGAGACGGTTCAGATGAAGGTACACGTCGGTGCCATACCTAAAGAAAAAAGGATGAGTATCCCGTCAAAGCAAATTCATGTCAGATGGATAAAAACTTACCCCTCCATACTGATCAGCTTCAAATCTCCCCCAAAGTATCGGGCATAAAGACGACTGATCGGCAGGCCATAACCAAAACCGGCCATAGGCGCCTTGAAATCGCTCTTGTCAAAGTCCGGATCCAAGTTGGGCGTTTGCTCGACGGTGGTGTACATGTAGGTCCAGACCAAGGGGATAGCCGAACGGGGGATGCCGCCACCTTCGTCGGAGACCTTGATCGTGATGTCTTCTTTGCCCTCGGCGATGATGACCTTGGTGATGGGGAAGGCCTCCTTATCCGCACCGTGGGTTTCCACCACGGCACGCAGGGAGTTCTTCAAGGTTTCGAAGAGCATGTGAGACAGGTGACCGGGAACGTACATGAAGTTCAGATCGTCCTTGCAGACGAGCTGGACCTTGGGAGCGTCGAAAAGACCGTAGTAGTCCTCGCAGACAAAACGAGCGTTATCAATAGCCTCCAGAGCGACCTCGCGAACATTGGTCTTGGTACAGATGATGCCGACATAGTTTGGATGCTTTACATGCGTTTGTTCCGTTAGAGCGATGTGCTGACCAATTAACATTCGTATACCAATTCGAGACATGTAGAAGCGATCGAGGAAGGACTGAACGGTGGAATCGATTTGCAATCGCTGGCGCTTGCGTTTCCATTCAAGGATACCCTGAGCCACGGTGGTGACCACACTATCGTGACGACGTTTGATCTGTTGCAGTGTCTTGGCGAAGCGTTCGTTGTAATCGTTTAATTCCGGAGGCCAATTGCCTTGATCGTCCGACGGGGCAAAGTATCTTCGGGCAGCAGCAGCCGCCGCCGCTTTCCCATTGCCATGACCATTTGTTGCAGACGAGGGGGAGGACCGATACTGTCCTTCTTTGATACTAGGGTTTTGGGTCGCTTCCGATAGGATCTTGGAATGACTGCCGTTCATGCGCCCGGGTCGCAGTAGACGTTGCTTCACTTCTTGGCTTAGAGTCGGTCGAGGGAGAGTAATGATTTCCTTGAGGAGGCGTTAATAACGCTGCCGGTGGTTGCGACCGCCTAGGGACGGACAGGGCCAAAATAGGCAATGAGTCATACCTCGAATGACTGCGCGTACCAGTCCTGGACCTTCTTGATTGAAGGCATATCACTGAGTCCATCAGGGAGTTCGCCAAGATCCTGGACACGGTGGGCTAGGCGAATGGGAAGTTCTTCCGACAGGAATTGCGAGGCGCGGAACAGGGTGCCTACTTTTCAGAAGGGTCACGGGATCAGCAAGGCCTTGACACTTCGGGCGTAATATCTCGAGACGATTACACCAAAACAGACGGGAAGCATAGAATCAAGCAAGGTAAGCCTACCGGTCGAGGGTCTATCTCCAAACTGGACCATCTGCCGCAAAGACACACCAGTGGCGGGGAAGCTGGCATAATGGCTGATGGTTTCCATCAGCCTCTGCGACGGCTTCCACATGGTGGGTGAAGATTTCCAGGCCCGGTGGCCTGATGTATACACTCAACAGAACGAAGCAATGCGGACAGAAAGTCTATTGAGAGATTGTCGTGCGGATAGAAAGAGAAGGGGAAGTCGGGGAGGTGCGCCAGGACAGCGGGACAACGACTACCGAGGTTGACTCCGCTCTTCAGACGAGCTCGGGACGGCGGGCAGTACAATAACCCGGGGTTGCCAGGAAGCCCGAGACCGAGATTGGCCAAGACGCACGAGGGAGGAACGAGAAAGAAAGAGGAGGAGAGCGAGAGAGATGAAATGAACTGAAAGGAAGAACCCAAACCAATGCGCGTAACTGAAGAAGAAGAGCAGAGAGGAAGAACAGGATGGAGATGGAACGAGCGACTCTTGCGGAGACTCGAATTCCCGGGGAGTCACGTGTGGGGGGTTTTCGATCCCGTGCGCGGCCGAGGAAAAGCAGGCGACATGCGATCATCCGATCTTTCTTTTCTTCTCCTTCCCCGTCACTCAGTGCTCAATGCTCACTATCTTGTCCACCAGAAACCCTCTCAGTATCCCCACAATTCAAGAAACTAACGTTTAAACTTCTGGCGACCGTGATCAAAGACATTGTTTTCCCGGTTTGTCATTTCATTCTTTCTAAGACCTCGAATTGCCGATGCGAACGACCAACCTGGTCCGAGTTTCCCCTTCGTCCGAAAATCATTCGTTCCCCCTCTCCGACTGGTCTGGATCTCCGCATTGTCCTGTCGTGGTCCCCCGGCTGGCTGACTGAGTAGGTTTGTTGCATCCACGGTTATCGCCGACGTCTTCATTCCCCTTCTTGCCTCGTTGGGACTACCGACGTAGTATATCTGAACCGCCGGTCCCCTGGGCTCGCTGTCGTGGAATATATTATTGTAATAGTATTCAATAATATTATTATAGCGGAACCCCTCCAGAGGAGTCACGGTACGGGCCTTCACGGGTGGGGTTAGCAATCTACCATCAGGGGTCTTTTGTAAATTGTAACTTGTTCCCGTCTGAGGAACGATAATAAAATGCAACAACGCTGAAATGGAAAAAATGTTTCAAATAAAATAGAATATGAACGATGAAAAAAAAAAAAAAATAAAAATAAACGATTAACGATCGACGGTGCCGATGATGTTGTCTGCAGTAGGAGAGATCTCCACCATTGCATCTCGTCGCTGTCATATTTCCGTTGGGCTGAAATCCACGGGCAGGAAGGAAAGAATAACAAATAGAATAAACCAAAAAGAATCCAGGTAGGCTTAGGCTTCTGTCGGGAATGGATGAGACATGCGAGATGAGACATGTCGATTCAAACCGAGACCGGGTCCCATGTCAATCGTCCTTTTGTTCGGTCCAACACCAATCGGTGGTGAACTTGTCATGATGACACGATAATGCATGACACCGGTCACAACGGTTTGACAAGAACAGGAAAAAAGAGGAAGCCCAAACATAATTGAACAGGAAAAAGAAAATACAATTCCGGCTCCAACTTGCAACGACCGGCGGAAGTCGTTAGGCCTCAAGCCCGGTTTAGTCCTTCCTGGCATGATGTATGTTATATTAGGTGTTTCCAGAAGCCAACTTCCGGGGGCGTATCCCAGACGCGGCCGCAGGAGTTCGTTGCGACTAGTAGGTTAGTCCATATCCCGTACCGCTGGTTGGTCTTGGGTCGCAGGAGTCCTTTTCCTCTCAATATTCACGAGGATTATCCGAAAAGCCTCGTGGTGGAGCCGCTCGTCAAGGTTCAGCGTTGGGATTTACGGACAGAGGGTCAGATTGGTTGATATACAGCAACAAGTGGTGACTAGCGTTCTTTCGGCGATTTCATTTGCTTTTTCTTTTGACACCTGTCTGGCCCACCAACCAAAGCCATTATTATTTGGCACCGTCGATTCAGCGCAAAGTACCTCTCCGAGTGGCTGCCATCGCATCTCCGGTGGATTGTCTGGACCCTCATTGCGGCCGCCCGTTCTTTGGCTTTCTTTTTCCTTTTTTTTCTGTTTTTCTCTCTGCTTTTTTCCTGGCTCGTGTTTTCGTCATCACTGTCAGTGCGAGCGACGTGTTGGGGAGGCAAACTAAAGGCGTACTGGGTAACAGATTAACACTTTAACAGTACCTGATCCATCGTCTGGATAAGAATAAAATAATAACAAACCCTAATAAGGGCACAAGCCATGCTGCCAACGCCGGCTCTCGGCGGAGTCGCAGAACGGTACGTGTGCCTTAATCAAGTGGATTTTAGAAAAAGAAAAAAAAAATCCGCATTTCCGCTTCTTTATTTAGTTGATTGGATTGTCTGGTCGGCCTCTGTCGGTCTGTCTGTCGTGAATATTGAAAGCAGCAAAGATGGACGATGATCCTGCCTACCCCTGGTGGGTTCTCTCTGGCGCGGTGGAATTGATCCATTATTTGATGCATCGTGCAGTGATTTTTTTTTTTTCTTTCGGACTACCCATCCGGAAGCTGTTATGATTGTTATCATTGAGTGAAGCTGAGTGGGCTGGTTTCCATCGTGGATGTCGATGATGCAAGCCTGCGTTTGAGAAGCTCCTCTCCTCGAGGCGAGTCTGTGATTGGAGATGTGACCTTGTTAGCTTCGTTTTTTTTTCCCTCTTAAATGGCTTTTTTTTTCTTTGTGTATTTTGTCACTCGATAGAAAGATTTTTTATTATTGTTTTTTCTTTTTTTCTCATTTCTCCATCATAATCTTGATACTCATCCAGAGGCGAGAAAAAGAAAAAGGGTTGTGTTGTCACCAATTCACCAAGAGGCGAGAGGGAAATTAATATACGCCGAATCGTCGAGGATCCGCAGTGGTTTCTAATCGAGGATTACCTTTTTCGCTTTCCTGCTGGTGATGCCAAATTTCTGCCCGTGAACGGCGCCATTTCAGGGGAAAAAATTCCCACGGCCCCTCTCCGACGCCTTTTCCCTTCATCCTGCCCGACTTCAGTCCGGTGGATTTCAATGTCAATGTCGGGCTGGTCGACTGCTTCGATTACCCGATTCTTTTAATTATTCTCGTCCCCGGTGGAGTTGGTTTGTGCGCGCGGGAGGATCATTATCAGAATTAGTACTCTTTGCCTGGTCGTCTTCATTCCCTCCCAGGGTCTTTTTTTTTTCGTTCGGAATAACTAAAGAGTGTGGGGGAGGGTTTAAAATAATTGAAAATCCCCCGGGAAGATCTAGACGGAGAGAGTCAGAGAGAGAACAAGTCTGGTGGATTCAATTTCCTTTCGGTTTCTAGTGGAAGAGAGTTAGAGGGAGAGAGAAGAAGAAGAAGAAGCAGAAGAGGAAGAGGAAGAAGCCGAGAACCAGAGACAAGAAGAGACACGAGAGAAAAGCGGTGCTTTCCATTTGGGGAAATCAGAGAAAAAGCGCACTTCGCAGGCTGTTCGTGCCTGCTTGTTGCCCCTCTCGCTGTCCGTCCTTCAATCGTTCCTGCCTCCCCGTCCTTTCATCTTCACTTCCCTTTCCCTTCTACTTCATCCCCGGTCCTTCGAGTCCCCGTTCCCACCCCCCTTCTTCTCCCCCATTCGGTTGACTTCTTCCTTTGATTCCCTCCCCTCCGTCTCGAAGAAACTCCCCTCTTCCCCTAAACGGACAACGAGAGTGATAGAGATAGAGAGGACAACAGTCCAGTTCTTTCTCTTCCTTATCGTCTATTCCGTTTCCTGGTAGATGCATCGTTTCTAACGGTCCAATCTCACTTCCCTACCACCCGCCTCCCCAATATACTTCTCCTGCATCCCTCGGCTGCAGGTGCATGTAAGAAAACCAAGAGGGAAAAAAATCATGTCTCGTCGTCGTCCTTCCCACAGCGAATCAGCTGCCTCATCCACGATGAACGAAGCCGTTGCATATCCTTTCTCTGGCATGCAGCAAGCTAATGGTCAGCCCCCGCGTCGTGGCCCGATTGAAGGACCGAACGGACGCCGCTTGATTCGAAGGGTTACCTGGCGATCTTCCACCTACAAATTGATGGCTTCTCTCTGGGTGTTGGGTGTCCTTTACATCGTCTGGCTCATCCGCGACATCTTCTATCTCCCTTTCACCTCTTCGACTCCCAATACCGTCGCCGTCAACGCTGCCAACGAGTGAGTCGCCTCGAGGCCTCCCCTGGACTTGCCTTGAACTTGTTCTTTGCCTTCTGCCCCTTACCTTTTGGATTCCATCGGAACCGCTCTGGATCACCATACTAATCGTCTCGACTCGGTTTGTCTAGTTGGCTGGCTCAATTCGTCGGTCGTCAGGAGTGTGGCATCTCTTCCTTGTCTCTCTACCAGCCCCCTCAGGATAAGGATGGCCGTATACCCAGAGACTCTTTCTGCTCGTCCAAGGATTCTTTGCTTAGTGCCATGAGCAACGGTGGCCGCCATGGATTCGACGCGGCGTATACTTCACAAGGTAAGCCCCATAGTCGACCTACCAAGATAGGTAGGGTCTCTTGCCAACTGCGTCGACTAACCCCAGCACCGAACAGGCTGTTTATACCGCTGGTTTACCAGTGCTCAAATCTGTGGTATTCTGCAAAAGTTCGATGGAGTGGTTTTTGTGGGTGACGAGGCCCTTGCCGACGTCTACGCCGGATTCAATATCCTCCTTCGAGAGAACCTGGAGATCGGCTCCTTGAAAGAATGGGAAACGAGTAGGGAACATGGACACAAATGTAGTTGTGACTCCCAATTCACCGCTGCCTCGTGTCTCCCGCTACGAATCACCTCAAGTGATGATGTATATGAGCTGGGCCACAAGGAAACCCAAAGTCCTTACACGTGTCCGAACCGTGAGTCTCTCCGTCCTAAACTCCGACGGCAAGCAAGCCTCCCCAGAGACAGGTCCAGGCGCTAATTGATACTGTGGTCTAGGTATTTCGCACACCTTTGTCTCTGTGAATGGCTCTCCCTCCAAGAGCAATCACGAGAGGTTCCACCAGTTCATCGCTCGAGGGGGTGACCAAAGCAAACGCATTCCCGTGATCCATAGTATCTCGCTGTCCAACGCGTATTCCCTGTCGACGGCCAGAAGTAGCATGGACGAATGGCTGGCGCTGGCTCAAGCCACCGGACGAACGACACCTTTCCTCTGGACGGGACCCACTGCTCCCGGCCACCAGAAGCCCCCCGGAGACAACGTCCACGCCAAAAGCTGGCAGTACACCTTGGATACCACGGAAGCCGCTCAGAGCAAAGGAATGGAGGCCTTGGGGATGTATAACGCCACGCTCCAGGCTGAGAGCTGGGACGGCGTCCACTACGGAGAAAAGGTGGCCTTGATGCAGGCGATGATGGTAAGCTTCTGCATGTTGCACGACAGGATGGCTCTAGACTCACTGACGCTTTGTAGGTCCTTAATTGGCTGTCGGCGATTTAGCGAATCGCTTCTGTGTAACGGGTGGGATAGGCCAGCCCGCGTCAAATGACACGTCGATCGGCTTGCATCTCCTTCCTTTCTCTTATCCTCTCGATGCTTTGGTTGCACATGGCGCATGGCATGCATCGGGTCTGCATCTGTCCTTTGATCGCCCGTGACACGCTGTACGACCGAGTGCCCCGCATTTTCCTTGATGGTTTTGTTTGCATCCCCTTCCGTCCCTCGTCCCTTTGCATAGCGACGCCCCTTCATCTCCGTGATACTCTGGCCGTGTATACCACCATTTACTTGGATACCCCATGTCCCCATCGCTTTCGATCTATTTCTTCATATTTCTTCAAAAGTTGAGTTTCATTTTGGCTAAACCGCTTAAGGGCGTTAGATAGTCTTGCACAACGCCATTTACCCATCTTGGCCTGATCTCATCCATTCATAACACTTTTGCATGTTTGTTCTATTGATTTTCTGGCATTGATTCTTTCTGCAATCTGCTGTGTTACTTCGTGTCCCGTCGGACTATTCTTTCACTTGCATTGATAGGAGAAGTCGTCCATCGGCTCCTGCTCGACCTTGGACCTATGCCCTTCCATCCGATGCATGCAAACCAGACAAAAAGAGACAACGAAGCAAAACTACGCGATTGCGCACGTGGTCAGTCCCAAGTGAGGTCTTTCTTTCGCTTTCATTGTTATTTTTTGGTTTTCCATTCAATATCTTGTATTGTTTCCATTGATTCTCCGCAGATTTCGGTTTCAGTTGACCCTATCTACTTCATCAAGCCTCGTTATTAAAATAGATACCTGCTCTAGTTAGGGCGTTTTCATTTTCTATGCTATTACTTGTTCTTACTTTCCCGGTTATTTCTGTCTAATAATTATGAGATACTATTAATAACCATATAATACATTGCCCTGGGGTCTAGAATGCGGGTGGTGGCCATGAGACAGACGATCGTTCGAGAACGTGTGATAGTGGCATCGTGGCTTTGCGAAGGGTGGAAATTAATATAGCATGGATATAGGGTTGTACGTAAGTCACTCCTCCACTAGTTATGCTACCGGGATACTGACAAATCATGTACAGGAGATAATGAAGACGAATCAATAGTCCATGTTAGGCTGGACAAAGATCAACAGCAAAAAAGCCTTTCAGGCACAAATGAGAACTCCCAATCATCTTAAGTCATCAAAATATTACTATATACATACATAGATAAGTAGCTAACTAGAACTAGTTCACTAAATACCCAACTATACTCGGTTTAGGCAGGGGATGCTTGCTGATCGCTCGCGCTTTTCAGATGGTTCTTCTTTTCTGTGCATGCTGGGATGGACGGGGAAAGAGAGGGTTGATCTGGTCTGATCTGGTCTATCTCCTGTTTTGCTTTTTCTTTCTTTTTGCTGTTCTGCTTTTTGTTCCTTACCTACCTCACACACTGCCACCTCATCCCATCCGGTCCGGGACACCCACCTCTTTCTTTCTTTCTTTCTTTCTTTCTTTCATTCATTCATTCATTCAAGAAAGACAGGAAGGATCTAGACGTAAAGAGCCGCGGTCTCGGCCTTGGCCAGCTGCGCCTCGTACGGCTGCAACGCCTTCTTAACCTCAGTGGAGGTGAACTTCTCCACCTGTTGGGGCGCGCGACCGACGAAGGTGCTAGGGTCCAGGAGGCTGTCCAGCTCGTCCAGGATCGGGGCGAAGAAGGCGGTGCGGCGGATTCGGTCGAGGAGATCGTTGTCCTTGCCGTGTTTCTTTACTTGGTCGGAGGCTTGGTGCGAGAGGACGCCTGTTTTGTTTTGGGAAAATTCAAGGGTTAGTGGTGTGTTGCAGTGGGATGGGATGGGATCGGAGGTAGTATGGGGAAGGGGGAAAGGGTGGGAGGGAGGAGGGAGCGTACGGATTTCCTCGTGGGCGTCTTGTCGGGAAAGACCCTTCTTCACGCAGGCCATGATGACCTGGGTTTGTTGGTTAGTATATTTGATGATTGTATTGATCAAGGGTTGTTTAGTCGGGTTTGGGAAGGCATACGTTCTCACTGTTGGGATGGTTAGTAAAGGTTATTTTAAGAAAAAGGTGGAAACGGTCCGGATTGACTTACGTGGCCATGAAAGGAAGCTCATCGTTGACACGACGGCGGATGACCTCGGGGTAGACGACAAATCCGGAGGTGACGTTGTCTGGAGACGGTCAGAAACAAAATACTAGGTCAGCCAGCCAGCCAGCCACGACTTACTCAGGAGTATGAGACAGGCATCAGCGGAGAGGTAAAGCTCCGGAATGCTGATACGACGAATGGCGCTGTCATCCTGGTAGAAGTTAGCGTGTGGGGAGTCCTTGGCACAAAGAGTACTTTTCTGTTCCTTACCAGAGAGCGCTCGAACCATTGGGCCGAGTAGGTGTCCAGGGCATCCTTGGGGAGGTTCTGAAGGTGACGTCCCAGAGAGCACAGACGCTCGGAACGCATAGGGTTACGCTTGTAAGCCTATTGAGGATGTGTTAGTTAGACAAAAAAGATCTCCCTTTCCCCTCATGTAATCAGAATAACTACTGACCATCGCACTGCTGCCAATCTGGTCCTTCTCAAAAGGCTCCTCAACCTCCTTGAGCATGGCCAGATGACGGATGTCGATACCGATGCGCTCGCAAGTGGAGCCGAACGAGCCCAGGGCGTTGGCGACATCGACGTCGATCTTACGGGAGTATGTCTGGCTGGAGATGATAAAAGCCGAGTTGAATCCAGCCTTCTCGGTGACCAGCTCATCCAGCTTCTCGACCTTGTCGTGGTCGCCGTCGAAGATCTGGAGGAATGAAGCCTGAGTACCCGTGGTACCCTTGACACCACGGAACCGGAGGTCGTCACGGGCACGCTCCAAGTTCCGCAGATCCATCAACAGATCCTGAAGCCACAGGCAGGCGCGCTTGCCAACGGTGACGAGCTGCGCGGGCTGCCCGTGGGTGAAACCCAGACAGGGCAGGTCCTTGTACTGGTTGGCGAAGGCGGCCAGCTTATCGACCACGACGGCGAGCTTGGGGATGAGGATATCGAGACCGTCGCGGAGGAAGATCAGATCGGCGTTATCGGTGCAGTAGCACGAGGTCGCACCCCAGTGGATGATACCGGCGGCGGCAGGGGCGACCTGACCGAAAGCGTGAACGTGGGCCATGACGTCGTGTCTCCGGCGTTTCTCCTCCTCGGCGGCGACCTTGAACTCGTCATCCTGAATGGTGAGGTGGGCCTTCATCTGCTCAATGGCGTCGGTGGTGATGGGCAGACCGAGTTCTAAACTGGTGAGTTCGACCAAAACAGGAGATATTTCGAGAAAAAAAAATTTAGAGGAGCATGAGTGTACCTTTCTGCGACTCGGCAAGCCACAGCCACAGCTGTCTCCAGGTGGAAAATCGGTTTCTCGGCGAGAAAAGGTATTTCATCTCGTTGCCTGTGAACCCAATCGCCGAGTGATTAGCGTCATACCACTATATAGATGGCCCCCGGGGAAGCCCTGAAACAGGGAGGGGCATTGCGGGGAGAGAGGGAGAGGGAGACATACTCGCATAACGCGAGTTGAGGGGGGTCTGATAGACATCATTGCTTGCCGACATCTTGCCAGGTAGGAATTGAGTCGATTCCACACGAGATAGAGGGATGCAGAGAGGAAGAGAAGGAGAACGAGGATCGCTGGCAGTGTGCGTTCCTCCCGGGAAATTTTGCGTTTGCGGCGGGCCAGATCTTTAGCGGGGTCTCCGCTTATCAGTCACGTTATCTGGAGGGGCGGATCATGATTGCATCACATGATGCCGGTTTCGGCCTTTTGCGACCAGGATAGTGTGGGAAATGCATTCAGTGATAATGGCATTCATTAGATTATCATATTAAGCCTATGTATGGAAGTTCCATTCAATGCATAGCTACCCGTCCGTAGCTCACAGGGTATCCATCCTCCGTATTCATGTCCACCGACCTCATGACAAGGCAGCCAGCTGCGCCGAGAGGCTTCCCTTATCATACTTGACATATTTGCCCCGGCCTTTGTCAATTTCATGGTAGCGGTCGTAAAAGCGAGCATACAGAGGCTCCAGGACGGTCTGGAGCTCCCGAGCAAGCACGCCACGCACTTCCCGCTCCATGTACAGGCCCTTGTGGCGAGCCAACATCTCGTCAAAGCTTGCGTTGAACGCTTTGAATTTGTCTTTGATCGCATCCTTGTCTTTGGATGAGAGGGACTTGACGATCGCGCTGGAGTCCACCGCTCCACCAGAGGCCGGCCGAGCCGAGCCGCTTGCGCCCCGAGACGTGTATTGCACATCAAGGAGGAAATGCGAGGTCTCCTTCCACGCATCCAGATATGTCGAAGTAGCCCGTTTCCGGAAGGTGTCAATCCGCGCAATGCTGTCCGGAGAGCCGAGGTACCGAGCCAATTCCGAATTGTGTCGGATGGCCCGATCGACATTGCAGAACACGTTCGACAGGAAAACACCCTGAACAGCCTTCGTTCGATGAAACGCCCGGCCTCGAGATTCCAGTGCGATCATAAGGGCCTCAACCATGTCAAGGATAAAGTGCGTGAGCAGCGTAGAGCTGTCTGGACTAACGTCCAACGGCGCACCGGACGTGTTGGATGTCGAACGCCAGTTACCATCGCCCAAGGATGTCAGAATTGAAGCGAGTGGTCCCGAATAGCCGGTCAGGGTAGTGAGCGCACTCATGACTTCATTAACAAGGGGCACGGAGCCACCATCGGGCGGAAGAACAGCGATATTCCCGGCTTTGCGCTTGGTCTCTTCGAGTAATTCCGAAAGAGACGATTTTGCTGTCTCACGAATAGGCCTCAGAGCTTCTATAAACAGGCTCTTGAGTTCTCCCGTCTTGGACTCTATCCGGTATGACATGGCCGTCACGATCTCGATGATCTCAAATGCCAGGAAACAATCGGTCATAAGATTCGCCCGAATGTATTGGTTGAGTTCACGTAGGGTTTTCGCGTATTCGCCTAGCGCAGGTCGACACGTGGCCTGGAGAGCCAGTCCCCGCTGGTCGCCGGTGAAAATCTGCGATATGATGTCGTGTTCGGCATATATGAAGCCTTCCAAAGCGTTGGAATAAATGCCAATGCCATTCGTACCTTGTTTGTAAGGCCCATCCGTGGCTCTGCGCTTGACAGTGTTCAAAGACGCGATGGCAAGATTCTGCAAGCTTGATGTGACATAAGATGCACGGATCTCGGCATACATTTTGAGAGCAGGGTTTCCTCCATCGCCAAGTTGAGGGCCATGAGCGGTCGCAGCGCCAATCGCATTGCATATAGGACCCAGTTCTGCAATTGTTTCTTCGGGAAGCGTTGGGAACGGAAGATCTGTAGTTATGAACGCGTATAAGTTGGCGAACTTGGGCCTTAGAAGGTTTCCAGAAGAGGGTTTCCTCACCTTTTGTCAAATAATGTAGCGGCTCGATAGCGCTGACATGTTGGCTCAACTTGGCGCGGAACAAGTCCTGGAGCTTGATGGAACCGGTATTTAACAACGACGAGAAATCGGTGATAGCTTTCTGATTCGACCGCAGATTTGTAGAATTGAGATCGTTTAGAGCCTTCCCCACGCGATTCATAGCCGAGATATACTGCGACAGTTCGACATTCTGGGGTCTGATCGGGAAACTGTTAGCATGACTTGGAGATTATGCGCAAAAACCAGCCAGAGAGGCCCTACCCCGAGCGAATGATATCCTCTTCCCGGTTCTTCGCATCGAGCGGTTGGCGAAGACGATCAATGGCTTCATTGACCTTATCAATGTTGTTGTTGGTGATCTGGAGGGATTGCGTATTGCTGTAAATGGGGCCGATAGCATGCTTCACAACGTTGCCTCCGGTCTCTAGGCGCACCATAGAGCCTTGAATTTTCTTGGTTAGGAGTTTGAGCTTCTCGAGGTTGGCATACAGCACTTCCACCTCGGCGCTCTCCTCCGCATAAGCGGTATTCCTTGGAGCAACCATGATCAGGATGTAGTCGATCGGCAGGGTCCCACAACCAACATCAAACGATTAGAACCCTAGTAAATAAGATCGGGCCGCAAAGTACTATGGTAGCGGAGAGGAATTGGTCATGCCTTGCGAAGATAGAGACAAGGGGGGAATCAATCATGAACGGAACAGCAGGTAAGAAAGTAGTCCAGCTTGGCCGATGAGGCGCCCGGCCTCATAACGCGGAGATGGTCGAAGGAAGAAGGGTCCCTCCCGATAACATCAGATGGCAGAATGTCTCCGGCTCTCCGCAAGCAACGCTAGGCCTAAACAGGCTGCCTCGGGCCGGCCAATTCTCCCGATACATCTGGCCCACGTGACACGACGTCATCCGTCTGCAATGGGCCCGGACGGCCCTGGTCTGGCCCACTTCTTCCCTGGAGCGTCATGTCATGGCTTTAAAGGTTGCATGTCGCCCTCGTCGCGCCCTCTCCTGCGCAGGACCCATCTCAATATGGGTGCTGCAACGGCCCTGAGTCTGCGATGGACTGTCCCTCCCGCGGCATTAATTGCCCTGGGTAGTGGAGTCCTCTATACCACGGGCGAGCGAGCTTCGTCTCGACACTCTATCGTCCGATCAGAGCAAACTGCATTCTTTTCCACATCCACGGCGCGGTGGGCAGACAATGACCACAAAAAACCTTCACCCGGCTGGGGCAAAGGCAGCTTGGCCCCGGAATCCGAAAACTCAACTTCAGAAGGTGACCCAGGGTCAATCTGGACGAATATCCTCCATAAATTCGACGGGGTGAAGCAGTCGGTTGGCTCGGCCGATTGGATTGAACTGGACAACCTCAAGAGCTACATCGTTCCCGACTGGACTCGCTTGCTTCCGGTGACAGTACAGAAACTTCAGCGGGAGCTCTCAATGGCCCCTGGCTCTCTCGCGGACGATATCTGGAAAGAGGCCCATGACCCCTACATTAACCCTGAAATCCTGCGGGAGGCGACGGTCCGGGTCAGTAATAAACTGTGTGAAGAAGAGCTGGCGTTCCGGAAGAAAAGACAAAAGCATGCTGTGAAAGCCCTTGCAGCTTACCTGAACCTTCCCGAGGATGAAATTCACCCCGACGATGTACCGATCATTGCGATGTGTGGCTCGGGCGGAGGACTACGCGCTCTCGTGGCCGGCACAGGCTCGTATCTCGCGGCTCAGGAAGCCGGCCTTTGGGATTGTGTAACGTACACGGCTGGAGTCAGCGGCAGCTGCTGGCTCCAAACACTATATCACTCATCAATCACTGGACGCAACTTCAATAAACTGGTGGACCATTTAAAGAACCGACTGGGCGTGCATATTGCATTCCCGCCCAAGGCGCTCGACTTACTCACGGCAGCTCCTACCAACAAGCATCTTCTGAGCGGTCTGGTTGAGAAACTGAAAGGTGACCCCGGCGCGGATTTCGGCCTCGTGGACATCTATGGTTTGCTATTAGCAGCAAGACTACTGGTGCCTAAAGGAGAGCTCGGCGTTTCGGATGGTGACTTGAAACTATCGAATCAAAGTCAAAATCTGTTGAACGGAGCCCATCCCCTTCCCATTTACACTGCTGTGCGCCATGAAATCCCCATTATAGACGGTGATGAGGAGACCCATCACAAAAGGCAACCCATGACGGAACAGCTCATGCAGGAGTCCAGAAGCGAAGCCTGGTTTCAGTGGTTCGAGTTCACGCCTTATGAATTCTTCTGCGAGGAACTTGGTGCTGGAATACCGACATGGGCTTTAGGGCGCCACTTCAACGGCGGCCGGAATGAAATTCCCGAAGGTCATTATCCAATCCCAGAGTTGCGTGTGCCTGGTTTAATGGGCGTATGGGGGAGTGCTTTCTGCGCAACCTTGTCCCATTACTACAAAGAAATACGCCCCGTCGTTAGAGGCATTACTGGATTTGGTGGAATTGATTCCCTGATACAAGGGAAGACTAAAGATCTTGTCCGAGTCCACCCAATTGACCCGGCTACGATTCCGAATTTCGTCATGGGAATGAAAGGACAACTGCCTCCGAGCTGTCCTGAATCCATCTTTCACAGTCAGCATCTGCGGCTTATGGACGCGGGGATGAGCAATAACCTGCCCATATATCCACTACTTCGCCCGGGAAGAGACGTGGACATCGTCGTTGCTTTCGACGCTTCCGCCGATATCAAGCAAGAGAATTGGCTGTCCGTCGTGGACGGCTACGCGCGACAACGAGGAGTCAAAGGCTGGCCACTAGGAGCCGGCTGGCCTCGAGCAGACTCCTCTTTGAAGGACACGGAGAAATCCCTCCGCGAGGCCCAAAACATGACCCAAGAGGCTGTGGACAAGAAGATGGAAGAGGCCCAGAACAACTGCAGTCACACCGCAAATACAACAGGTGGAACCCACGACACCGACCTAGGCTACTGCAACGTCTGGGTCGGCTCGATGCAAGAAAAAGTCTCCGACGAGGAGCCCCCTCCATCCAAACGTCTCTTCCACCCCAAGCACGCCGACCACTCGGAATCCGATTTTCATCTGATGCGCCCCGACGCGGGCATCGCCGTCGTCTACTTCCCTTTCCTTCCCAACCCTGCCGCCCCAGATGCCCCTCCTAGCTCTGCGTCCTCGAAGTCCGGCATGCCCGGTCGTCCGGCCAACTCTCCCAAGGTCGCTGACCCGGCTGATCCGTTGTCTCCGCGCCCGAACTCCATCGATCCAGATGTCGATGATTTCCTGTCCACGTGGAACTTCGTGTATACACCGGAGCAGATCGACTCAGTCGTGGGTCTTGCGAGGGCGAATTTCTCACAAGGCGAGGAGCAGGTGAAACGCGTGGTGCGGGCGGTTTATGAGCGCAAGAAATCGGACCGGTTGCAACGTGAACAGGAGGAGGATCGACGGAGGATGGAAGGGTTTGTTCCGCTGTGATGAGATGAGAAGTCAACCAGTCAGGCGTACAGGCTTTTATATACACATGAAACTGTTATTTTTGATATCCATTGTTTCTTTTACAATTGTTTGATTTGGAGGGTTCAAAGATTTCTCTTACTTTGCCGCATGTGAACATGTACAATATTTCATAGCTCGTTTTCCTTCTCAGGCGTTCTGGAACATATCATACTCTTAAATTTAGGTATCTATCTATCTTATAACCCAATGCACACATCTCAAACCGAAACAATAGGAACGAAAAGATTGATAATCGTATATACAGAACAATCCTACTTACACCTTTCCCAAGACCCAGACCTGGAAAGTAAAGAAGAAAAACACCCTTATCAACATAGCATCCATAGCATATATGTATCTATTCCGTGAGGGAATCTAGGATCATCCATCCTTCTTACCAGACGATGCGTCTTTCCCATTACTGTCCTTGCCATTGGCAAAGTATGGCTGCGTTCCTTCGAAATCCCCATTCTCGTCTTTTGCCTTGGACGGCTCCTGGTCCTCTTTCTTGTCGGCGGACTTGCCTTTACGCCGGCCCAGCACTGACGAGTTGTCGTCGCTTTCGGCAAGACTGACATCTTGGCTTTCGGCGGTTTGCTGCCGCAGGCCGAGTTCCTTGCCTAGTTCTTGGATCGAGTGTGCGGCCGTGGTGGCCGCGCTGGCGGCGGTGGCTGTGATGGCCCAGAGGTAGGACTGGTTGTTGGAGTGGGATTCTGCTCCTTCGCCCTCGCTTCCGCCCCTGGGCTGGTCGCCCTCTCGGGCGGGCTCGAGGTGGACGGGGATGTTTTCCTGGTTGCGGATGGTGTGGGCGCTGTCTTTGCCTGTTTCTTGGCCGCGCCAGTCAGCCGGGCTGCTTTCGGGCGCGGTCTCGCCGGGTTTGGGCTCCGTGATCGTTTGGCCGGAGATGGGGGAGGTGCTTTCCTTGGTCGGTCTGGGGATGCCGAGCTGCGAGGGCGTCGGGTAGCGCCAGACAACCTTGAGTCGGTCGAGTGCTCGCGTGCCTTTCTTGCTGGTGCCTTTGATTCCGTCCATCGCGTCCCATTCGATCTCGAACACGCCCGAGTCTTCCTTGTCGCCGCCTTCGAAGTACGTGTTGAACCAGACGTGGGCGATCGAGGTCACCATGGCCCAGCCGGTGTAGGCGGCTTTGCTGCGTCGTTCGAAGTCGATGTTTACATCGCTGGTGGGGACGATGACCGGTTTGCTGGGACGGAAGATGACCGTTCTTGTGTGTTTTGAGGATGTGCTTGAATCTTCGGATGACGAGGACGGGGCTGTCTGACTCGACCAGGCAGATGATTCTGTGACAGCTGACTGAGGTTCGCTGTTGGTGCCAGACTTGGCCTTGTCGTCGTCCTTCTCGGACGCCGTCTTCTTGCCGTTGTCGACGACGGTGCGTTCGTTGCGGTGGAACAGATGGAAGTTCTTGATCTTCTTGCCTTCGTCAATGTAGCCTTCCACCGCGACCTTGACGCCATCTCTCAGTCCCCACACATGCACCTCGAGGATCTCCACCGGTCGCTCGACGTACTTCCGATCCATCTGGTTCGCCCAGCGATCCACATAACGCACCCAGCGCAGCTGACTTGGGATGCTCACACCATGCCCGAATCCCGCGCGCATGCGCCTCTCCGTGAAACGCTGCAACGCATCCTCGATCTTCCACCCCTCCTGGCTGATCAAATAGCTGCAAGCGACGGTACCGCTGCGCCCTTTCCCCGCCTTGCAATGCACCACCACCACTCTCTTCCCTTTCTTCTCATCATCGGCCCCTTTATCCTGACCCCAACTTTTCTCCGGCTCATCCAACCGCTGCAGCCAATTCTTCATACTCCCCATCATGGCCGGAATAAGCGCAAACGGCGGCGGATGATGATCCGGGAACGGATAGTGGTGAATGCGCCCGTAGACCTCCTCATCGGGATACCCCGTGCCCTCGGCGCGAAACTCCCAAATGCACCAATTCTCACCATGTTTGGCGTCGAGGAAATTCACCAGTTCATCGAGCGGGTTTCGATATGCGCGCTGCGGATAATTGGACGACGGGCCGGACGTTGCGATAACTGCGGTATCACCGACGGGTAGGCTAAGTTAGCGATAAGTTTAAGTGTCGTCGGCCATGGGAACCGCGCGGAGAGAAAAACGAGGGTTCCGTTTCCAAAACACACCGTTATCTGTGACGTAGCAGAGATCTAAATTCGCTTCTGGATGCTGTAACCTGGGCCCGGCTACAATCTGCCGGAGGATCGACGCCTACAGTGGTTAAGAAGCCAAGAAGCAGCACGTCAGTCTCGGCAGGTACTTTAAAGTGGGACGCAGCAGTCTGCAAGGGGGGAGGGGAGAGAGAAGACATCATACCATTTGGTGTCAGATGGACAGGTCACTCTGGAACAGGTTATTATTGAATAGGTTCAACTTCCGAGGGAAAGAGGAGGAAAGTAGAAGAGGAGATGGAAATGGAAAAGGGGTGAAAGAAAAGGTGGAGAGAATAAGACAAAACTCACCATTCGTAGGGCAGCCCTTACAAAGAGAGTGGAATGCAGTCAGAAACGAACGCGACTGCCAAGCGATCGGTGGGGATTGTGTACAATCTAGTCAGACATGGAGAGAAGGGAAAAACTGGATTTCTGAAGCAGAACAACCGCCAGTGATGAAGTCGTGACCGAGTCAAGAGTCGCAAGTCAAGAGATGCTCGGAGGCGCTGACGGGGGCGGATGATGTCACCGCATGCGCATCGAACAAAGACTGGGAAAACAAGACAAGATCACCGACAACAAACAATTCCTTTAGTACGCTTTAGTCTAATTACTCACTATCACTTTATTCCATGGATACGTGTCAATCATCTGGAGCTAAAATATATGTCATTGGATATATAGTCACAAAGTAAAGATCGTCATTAAAACATCACATCCACTGGCTCCGTTATTAGACCAGACATTAAGGATAATAACATAAAGGAAATAGTATAGCTTTTGATCCCCACAAGCACATTCAATATGATACAGGTATATGTGCCCGCTTTCATCGTCTCGCCTCCGGGTATCTATGTCTTTCAAACCAACGTTCTTCGCTGTTGGTTGTCTCATGGTGTCTGGTATTGAATAGTTATCCAACACATCCACACCCATCGCGTGCCACGTCGGATTTCCGAATTTAAGCAGAGCCGAACACGCGAGTCACCGGGATGGTGAAGTTCGAGGCGGACGCGGTGACATTGGTCTCGCCCTGGGCGTGGAAGGAAGCAGTAAGACCCTGGCGCCAGGAGTGCTCGGCCTGCACGGTGCGGCGAGAGTGAGACTCGGGGGTCACAAGGGCCGTGATGTTGCCGTTGGCACAGGCAATGTAGTCACTTCCGGTCTTCTGGCCCGACGACGAGCAGGTGGTGGTGAAGCCGGGGGTGTTCTCGGTCTGGACGCCGTGGATGTTGAAGTTGTAGACACACTCTTGCTGGGCGCAGGTCGAGGTGAAGTTAGACACCTGCCAGGTGAGAGCTGGGCTCTGAGCACGACGGAGAGGACCAGCCGAGGCGAGACCGGCGGCGGAGAGGGCAACGGTGAGGATGGAAGTGAGCTGCATGATGGCGAGGTTTGGTTGGTGGTAGAAGAAGTAATAGGAGGATGAGATGGAGGAGGAATTAAGAATTAGGAGTGAGTAAGAGAGTAATCAGATTATTTGACAGTAGAAGGTGATAGTGAAAGCGAGATGTTTCCCAAGGTGGATGGAGGGTATGTTTAAATAGCGAGCTTAAGAGTGACTCCTCGAGACAAGTTAAAATCCCGCAATTTTTAGCATCAAAACCTCAAACAAAACCAAGAAGACAGTGCCTGTGGCGAAACGACGGATATAAAGTCAGTCCGAATGGCAGTGGAGAGTTTCGACCCCCATGCTCGCAAAGGGTTGTGCATTCTGTCGATCTCGGATTCCTCGCTGACTTTCTTTCACTGCCCCATTGGGAGTCCCGGCCATGTTGGTAATTCAACACCAGGGCCATCAATCTCGTAGGGAAGCGATCAATGCCCTCGTTCTCAATGCGGCGTTCAATTCCCACGATGCAGCCATTCACCTATCATCTCAATTGCGTGGACGCAGGTACGGCGCCACTGGACGAAGTATGCAGAAAGTGCAAGCCTCGGACTTGGGCCACCCTCCTCTCCGACTTGACTTGGCGACGATCACAATTTTAGCGGGCTTGTTTATTTATAGTACTGCAGCAGGATTGCGGTTGGAGCTGCTTATTGGAACGGTTCGAACCATAGTTCCCCCTGGTGGAACCCACTCGGCCGGCTCACGCTCTCTCAAACATGGGATTGCTCAAACCCGGGGTTCCCGGGACGGACCAGGAGGTTTGAGAACGCCTGGATGTTGCGTCCAGAGTCTCAGAGTGAGCCCGGGATGAGATCGATCCCATGGAACGGCTCGGTGGCCTTGGTCGAAGATGGATCGGGCGGGTTGTTATTGCTGTTGTTGTTGGTAGTTGGAAGTTGGAAGATGTTGGGTTTCCCGCCATCAGCAGAAATGATCGGCCCATCCTTCGGAATGCTCCTGACCAGCGTTGTGAATTCTGATCGATGGTCGGTCCATCGTGACAAACGGAGAATATCTGGTGCTTCTCGAGGATCGCTTTGATTAAACTATTGTACAGAGAACTTCATTGGCTTTATTTACAGTGGGTTACTCGCTGGACCTGTCTCGGGGATCAACCCCCCGGGCTCATAGTCCTCCCATCCTTCTTCGGCTCGAGTCTTCTCGATGGCCAGTCGCCGTCTCTTCCGCTTTCGCCTTTCTTTATTCGCAGCAAGGCGTTGTGCATACTGTTCTTCCCGCGTCATCGGTCGCCTGATCTGGCGTCGCGGAAGATTAGCATACTCGGGCGGTGGATATGAATAGATCTTCTTAAACAAGGGTGGGGATCCTTCGGAAGATCCTGTGTCACGACGCGGTAGCTGTATCACTTCATCCCTGATAAGCGGGTGATATCTCAATTGGAGTGCATACTCGCTGGTGGACCTGGAACAGAGCTCTCGGATCTCCACGCACACCTCCTCGTCGGGAGTGAAATCTCGATCCAGCATGTCCTGGAAATACATGATTGCGGATTTGAAATTGCCTGCATCCAAGCAAATAACGATGAGATGCTGAAATGTCATGCTGTTAGGTACCACTGCGAGAGATGCCATCTCGTTAACGACAAACATGCCAGCGTCGGGGGCTTTCGCTCGCCGGCACATCCCAATTAGGGAGTTGTAAATCGATGCGTCGGCCTTGGTCGGACATAGCGCATAAAGCTCCTTATATAGTGCAATTCCATCATCCACTATGGAAGGGTCACCGAGTGCCTCCCGCTCGCACGTTTGAATCACCACCAGGGCGCAACGCAGGGGGATCTCGTATCCCAGCTCTTTCAACCGCTTGAGCATGGCCCAAGCATCGCGCGGATGAGTTCTAGTCTGGATCATGTGGTCGAGGAAGCCATCGGTTGAACTTTCCTCCAGTGCAATTCCCTCTGCATGCATTTGACACCAAACCTCGAACCCTGCACACAGATCCCCGGTCTTGAGGTAGGTTTCGGCCAGTTTCTCGTAGTCCTCCAGGCCCGGCGCTACGTCGATTTCAACAAGGAATTCGATCACCGATGTAGCAAGCTTCGTATTCCCAGCATGCAATGCGGTCGTCATAACATTTTTGCAGATCCCATGTGAGGGCTTCAAATATCTCAGTTCCACCATTTGCCTCCATACATAGAAGGTGGCTTCATGGTGAGTAGCAGCGCTCGCCGCATCCAGCACGTATAGCCACAAATCTGGCGTCATGTCATGGCCTCGGCTGGCTCGCAGACGCATCAGCCGTACTACCTCGTCGAACTCTTCAAAATCACACAGATAGTATATGAACAGACTGTATAGCCAGTTCTCGACCATGATCTCTTTGACCTCCATCTTCTCAAGATGGTCCAAGGCCAGTTCAAACTGGTGTTCCCGCACAAGGCCAGCCACCACGTAATGCCAGCCGGTAGGGCTTAAGGGCAGCCATCGATCTCGTAAAGTGTGTAGGATTTCCTGTCGCAATACGTAATCCGGGTGAACCGCAAGGACCTAACCATGAGGGTTGCCGTCAGCATCCAGTCGCTTTTGTAACCCACGCCAAAACGACAGTATAGAATCACTCGTACCTGTAAGGCAGCATGCAAAGTCCCGGAATCTGCAGTTATCTTATTCTCCTCCATCTCCGACAACAGATCCCGAACGTTCTCGGGCGAACCACGCTCCGAATCTGTATTGGCCAATATCAACGCCTTGTAATGCCGCGTGTCGGGACGCACATGTCGGTCTCTAATGAGCGCTCGTAGAATCTGAACTGCGCCTACAACCTTGGGGCGCTTGGTCGTTAATTCTTGCAGTTGCGCTTCTAGCCTCGCCGTCGGCTTTCTCTTGAGTGTATCGGGGACCTGGGACAATCCCGGGGCGCGGTTGTTCTGTCGCCGTGACTGGCGAGAAGCTCGTTTTCGAGATCGTGAAATATCATTTTCATTCTCTTCCGGTTTGCGTTCCTTCTCTGCATTGTGTTCCTGGTGGTTTGCGGTAAGGCTGCTTAAGCATCGCCATGCCGGAGCCGATGTTGAATTTCCTGGGACGAGCGCAAATCTGGGGCGACGAGTCTTTCTGATGATCGGAGATGCGGTGTGGGCAAAAGTATCAAGACTGAAAGATGGACAGAGACAGTGCCAGAGTCCATCTAGAAGTAGTGTCCCCCGAGGCATTTCGAAGCCGTGAAGAAAGGGAATACTTCTGCTCTCTAGCTCCGAACCTCTCCCGGAAGACCCAGATATCACGTGACCAATATAACTCACGAAGTACAGCTGACCAAAGGAAACGCTGAGGCAAGAGGCCTTCTAGTGGCTTTTATGTGTTTACTATGAGGAAGGGCTGGGTCTTTCAATTCGAAAGAAAAAAAAAAAAAAGTGTTCCCAATTAAAAATAGCATAGATGGCACAATTCCCATTGAAAATACAGAGCCATATACGCCAAGGCCATGCTCGACTAACCCGCCTAATGGATCTCCCTAGCAAAACCACCTGCTTGTTCTCCCCCGGGGTATCTATCTTCATCTTTTCTCATTTAACAAGTTGTCATCCAGTCCTAGTTGCCGCCCCGGCCGCGTCCCCGACCACGACCGCGACCACCGCGGCCGCCCCTGTCGCCTCTGTCGCCCCGGTGGCCACCGCGACCGCGGTTCGGCGGCTGGTTTAGTTGTTGCTCCTTCACTATTTCCACAATCTCTTCGGGGATCCGTAGATATTTGATCTGTGAGGCGTTAGCATTGCATGTCGCGGCGGTGACTCAAAGACCGGGGTGTAGGTTGCCGTCATACGTTGTTTCCTCGGATGTACACTTCTGGGAGTCTGAAAAACCGATCACCTTCGGGGCTGGTCTGGACAACTTCCTTAAGTATTAAGTTCATCCAGTTGTCGCAATTGGCAAGGTGTCCGTTCAGCGTTTCGCCATTTTTGAGTTCGACAAGCATGGGATGGCCTTGCGCGGCCGTCAAAAGTCCAAGGGGGAGCTATTCATTGGGTGATTTCGGTTAGCTTCCAATTCTTTATACTCTCATTGAGCCAGATAAAAGATTAATCCTACCATCCTCGGTGTGTATTGCTCGATATGAGTTGGAAGTCCTGGTGGGAAGTGGGGGTGAAAACACGGACGACGACCTCACTTGAGAGGACTGAGAGGTTGGATATGAATGCGCTGAAAAATTCAGTGGTCAACAGCCCAGTAGTGATTCAGGAATAAGCCTGCCTGCTTCAATGTGTTAAGTGTGATAACCAGCAAAAGCTCCGCAACTTCCAGCGGAGATGATCGCAACTTGGGGAACCTCGGAGAAATTGAAGCGCCGAGATCCGTCGGCCATGGGATGCTTGCGAAGGCTGCGGCTTACTTTGCTCCTTCTCACTGCTTGTCTCTCCAGAATCGAGTCATTGCAACGGGATTCTCTTCTTTCAGACTAGAAGAAAAGATTCACTTTTTTTTTCCCTTTACTACATGGTGTGGGATTGAACTGCAGCATCTCATCGTGATCAAGTGCGATCATTGCATACATGTAGTTCTCCCCACTACTATGCGCTGGCCAGCGAGATTAGCATTGTTCTTTGGGGCCCTCGAGCCTGTCTTTTCACAGAGTCCTAGTTTGTCGGCAGCTAGTAAATACATGTCTCCTCACATGCTGTTCCATCAGAGTTAGTCCATCGTCTTTTGACGCAATGCACATGTTTATCCCCGTGCCTAAATACCCACATAGATGAACAAAATGCCACCGTGAGAGTCCAGGCCTTATGCCCCGGATCATCGGATAAATATGATTCAAGACTGGTAAGAATGCATGCCTTTCACATGGCGCTGGTCCTCGCTTCTGACAATCGGTGTAAAGGCTCTAGAGTTAAACATTGGTGTAGCAACAGTAGCCTGTGATGGACAGGGCATCTCTCTGAATAGCGACGATCTGATCCACAATTGGAACGGCAGCTTGGGATCTGAATCTGGACTAATAACTCCACTCTACGGAGATTCTGCGTTAACCGTCAACTGGCAGAGCGTATGCGTTCAACCGCCTGCAGGGTCATTCGAGGATGCAATTCAACACCTGACAGTTCGAGTCGAGCGCATAGGAGATGCCGTTATCGACGGTAAAGTTGGCTTTACCGCTTCTTTCGAGCAGCTACAGAGACCGGAAATCCTCCGACTCTATAATTCACCATGGAATTTGTCCGACGGCGTGTCATTTGGCGAACATTGGGACAGTGCGGAGATGGCGGACCAACCTAGTGAACAACATCCAGATGAGTCGATTGAACGGCACTGGGACCATTTGCTACAGCTAAAGACAAGATACCAACAGTTGGCGCTGCAAATCCAAGACGAAGAGCACCAGATCCGAGAGATGCTACAGCAAGGTTGTCCTAGCACTCTGTCGAACTGGAAGAATTGCAGGAGTTTCGGATGCAGGTTCAGGATATCATTGACCAAATTTCCAGACCTGATCCGTCAGATCAGATATCGATTCGGACCTTTTCCATCGGCACTTCCTGCTAGCCATTGCTCGCAGTGTCCACAGCAAGATGGATGCGACGGGGCTTCCAAGTCAAAGTCACCTCCAACACCAACCAATCAGCCAAGCAAACCTCAAAAGGCGCCTCACGCTACAGCAACATCAACTGTCCCTACTTCTGCAGCCTCGAACGCCATTCCAACCGAAACCGAGTACTTCTATAGCGCCCAGAACATCTTCACCATCTGTGTGATAGTCGTGCTAGCAAGCACCGTGCTCGTCTTTGGGCTCAAGCTCTGTCGCAGCACCACGTATTGCCGACGCCGTCGAGCAGACAGGGCCGCGCGCCGCGAGGAGAGACACGCTCGCTGGGCCTACGGATTCGCAGCCCACAGACTCCGATGGCGACAGTGGTGGGAGGGCTACTCCCATCCCCACGCACCTGTACCCGCCCAAACACCACTAGAACTCACATCCCCACCCGACTACAGCAACAACAATAACATGCCAGCCATCGAACAACCGCCAGGTCCACCCCCGTTTTCTGACACCGAGTCCGATCTTTCATCCGAGCCGGGCGTCATGCAAGCCGAAATCCGCGGCCTCCGACAAGCGCTCGAGTATGTCGGGCAGCTTGTGCGAGGTCCAGACCGCGAGCGGCGCTCTTCTTCTCAAATCGACTCACACTCCAACTCAGACCATGAGATTGCGGAGCTTCTTGGAAGGACGAGGAGACAAGGCAGGCCTACCACTGCACACACAGCCGCGTCGTCGACAGCTGGTCTTTCGACGGTGCTTTCAACGGGCACGAGCAGTTTGTTGACTCTGGATACGCCGTCGTCTGTGACGGTTGATACGCTAGAGGTTTCGGAAACGACCGGCCCTCCTCCTAGCTACCATGCATGATGGAGCTATTGTATTATTTCTTTCTTTCTGGCGATATTCTGGTTTGTACATTATATATATTAATAACCAATTTTTTGATTCATGAACGTTTAGAGGTACATAAGAAGCTTCTTTTAGGTAATGAAGGCAAACGAGAAAAAAGAGAAACCAAGAGAACCGTTATCGCACCGCGGTATAAACAGATAGGGAAAGTCAAACAACAAAAAAAAAAAAAAAAAAAAAAAAAGAAAAGAGAAATAGAAAACCGTCAACGAACGAAGAGAGCGCTAGATATCTGTTAGACCTTTGTCCGCTTCGTAGCCGAATCATTAACATCCTCCTCATCTTCCTCATCCTCATCGTCTTCCACGGTGAACTTGCGCTTCGCACGCTGGTCTTTGCTGGCGCCCGCCTCCTCCACAGCGATAGTCGTTTCCGGACCGGCCAGATCACCAATTTCGTCTTGTCTAGCCTTCAAAGTCTCCTCGCGCTCGGTGAACGCCTTGAGCAGAACCTCGTAGCCCTCTTCTACGTTCGAGACGGTCTCTTCGAGCTTCTCGATCCGATCGCTCATGTCTAACTGGATGAGCATGTCGCGCGACCGCTTGAAGAGACGCTGCTTCACGAGCATGCGCCACCAGTAGTATTTTCGTTCGTTGGGGTCCTCGGCGTTGGACTTTTTGATCAGCAGTCGGGCCATGTTCGCGCCACCTTCGTGGCGGTTCTTGGCGGGGATCTGGCCGAGGAGATACATCTCCAAGATGTGGGCGAATTGGGTGGGGGCGATCTTGAAGGTGAGGCGCATGTCGTTGAGGAGTTTGGTGGGGATGATAGCAGAGGTCGGGACGCGGCGTGGACGCTGCTTCTTGGAGTATGCGCTGTTGGGGTCGGGGTTGATGTCTACCTTCTGTTTCAGAAATTCGGGGTACAAGATGTGATAGTCGGCGGTGTCGCGGAGAGCGTCGAAGGCTTCGTTGGGGTCCTCGACTGTCAACTCGACGATTGTCGGATCGTCGGTGCAGGCTGTGTGGATGGTCGTGTACAGATGGGTGCCGTGTCCGGAGCCTTGGTGGGGAGGTAGAATCAGGAATTGAGCGATGCGCAAGCGGGCGGGAAGCTGTGCAGGTCTGATCTCTGGGAATGGGAAAGATTCGGTCCGAGTAGCTGCTTTTTGCAGTTGATCTTTCTCGTAGAGCCACCAGCGATAGGTCGTCGCGTATCCAACCAGCGAGTATTGCGAGGCCGTCGGGGTCGGTGGTGTTACCTTCTCGTATCTAGAACTCAAGTTTAGCCCGCGACAATCAATCGTGGAACCAGCGGCGAAGGGTTCGCGCGTACATGAAATAAACCGTCCATCTTTCTAGAGTCCACTCAGGGTCATCGGTTGCCAGAGGAGTACCGGCTTCGATGAACAAAGAAACGAAGATCTGCGCTCGGTCCAGCAGTTGTTGCACCTTGGGGTCAGCGAGAGAGCCCGCCCAGATCTCATAAGATCGTTGCCCGGTGACATAGCTGCGCACTAGCTTGCCCGGCGGTACGAAGTCTTTCGCATCCGCCTCTTCTTGAACCGCTTTCTCGTAGTCGGGGAGGTTTATAAAGGCCTCTGGTCAAACATTTGACGTTAGATGAGGATCCGGTAAATCAAAAAGACCTGAGACGTGGATGAGACGCTTACCTTCAGGTAGCCAGGGCTTGAGTGTCTTCAAAAGATCGACCGCCGAGGCATCTCCCACGGTCTTGAACTTCTCATCGTAAGAGATAAAGACGTGTGGGCGCAGGTCATGGGCTGCGAATCGCAAACGGATAATCAAGCCTCTGTAGCCGAAAATTTGCTCTTCATCTCCAAAGATCGGATACGTAAACTGCGGGTGAAAGCTGGAGAGTGTCTTTGGCTTTTCTTCGCCCGGCTGAACGACGGTGATGTGAACGGCATCGTTGGCGTCGCAGGTCCCTAGGAAAAACCGTTTCATGTCAGCTGGCCTGGAACTCGAATGACAGGGAGGATGGGATGAAAGAAATGATTAATTACAGTCGCCTTCACTAGCCATTCTTGCGACCACGGCAGAAAATGGAGAGGTTCGAAAAGGGTGGGTGGAATTGCACAGTTGGTTGAAGATAGAGGATGCCGGCGCGTGTCGAACGATCCGTCCGTAAATCGCGTTGCGCGGGAGCTGGGAGGTTATAACCGCTTCGGGATTAGCGTCCCTGCGCCTAGGGATCCGCTGCGCTGATACGTCATTCTCCAGACTGAGTACTCCGCAGTACGTATAGAGTTGGAATTTCTTTGAAGAAAAGAAGAAACTATGAGTGCATCTTCAGTTCAGTATTCACTTATAATAACTTTACTCTTTTCCTATGGTTGTTGACCATCAGAGACTCGGAATTCGAGGAGTGCTGTGCACCTACTAGCCTACTAGTGCAACAAAGTAACATGCATCTATGCGGAATGAATACGGAGTAATCCCGTGGAAACTAGAGTACTTGAAAGATAAAGGAATCATCAGTTATGACTGCAGTGTGGCTGGGCTTCAAACAGACCGGATATACTTCGTGGGCGCCATACCCGAAGTGAAGGAGGAGCTAGTAACTAAATGCGGGGGAACTTCACCTCGGTCGTTCTCCAACTACAACAACGCCTTGATATTTTGGCCTTGATACTCGCGACAGCATGCCAATATGGAGCCCCAGCGAATTGCCCTCATTGGACTCGGCACCATCGGCGTGTCTATGGTTGCACTCCATCTGGCCCGCGAGAATACCACAGTGGATGTTTTCGACACTCGGCCAGACTTCGAGCAATATTTGCGCAAAACGCTCCCAGTTTTCATGGGCCACCACTTGGCTTCTGATATCTCCGAGCCCGACTCGGCATTTCCAGAATCGGTGGTCACGTCACTGCTAACCTCCGGTCGTCTACAAATCCACACCTCGCTGGAATCCGCTTGCGCATCTGCAACCATCGTCCAGGAGCAGGGGCCAGAAAATGTCGCTTTCAAACAGTCACTCTGGAAACAGGTGGAGTCCATAGCACCGGCATCTGCACACTTCTGGACGAGCACATCCGGCATTGCGGCCTCGATTCAGCAAGGTGAGATGTCCGACAAGACACGCTTGTTGGTGGTGCATCCTTTCAACCCGCCGCACATCATGCCGCTCCTCGAGATCGTGCCTTCTCCCGATACCTCGACAGAGCGGGTGGAATTCGCCCGTGCATATTTCTCCGTGCCAGGGTCGAAGCATCGACCGGTGGTGATCAAGAAAGAGATCCCGGGGTTTGTTGGGAATCGACTAGCATTCGCGCTTCTCAGGGAGGCATGCCATCTGGTACAGGAGGACGTGGTGAATGCAAAGGATCTCGACACCATCCTAATGGCCAGTCTAGGACCGAGATGGGCGGGGAATGGTGTGTTCGAAAGCTACCAACAGGGCGGTGGAGAAGGTGGTATCGGGGCCTTTTTTGACAAACTCGAACCGACTATACAACAGGTGTGGGATGGACAAGGAAGAGTGAATTTGGTGGGGAGTAGTGAAGAGACTCTGTGGAAAGACAAAGTGATATCTCAGGTGAACGAGGCTTATGGGACTTTCACCAATGGGCAGGTCCTAGAGAAGGAGGCGAGGCTGAAGGAATTTGTGAATGTACAGGCAAAAGAATATGGGCATCTTGAAACTGAGCAGTGAGTATATTCCGAACGATATACATGCTTAAATGAATAGACATCTGTCATGCTTGCGTTCATGCTCTGCAGAGCCAAATGTTGAAGTCACCAATAAGAAACCAACCGGGATATTTTTCGATTCATCGACACAAGCATTCATTGGGCGATCCAACGTCGAGATAATAGATCGAATCATAGTGAAAATAATTAGTGGTTCTTCAATTCATCTCATTTCCTTTTCTCCTGGTCTCGTCTACCTCGATTTAAAGGCGTCGGTCCGTTGCGGGAAAACCATTCACGCCCCACACTGTACTCTGTACTCTACGAAAGAATCCTTTTGTACAGAAAATAGTGGGTTGGTTATCTTCAAAGGCTATGTATTATAGGAAGAGAACCTAGATTCGTATGGTATTATTGTGCTGGCTGCTTCAAGCTGAGGGGTACGTTCCTGGAGTAGACGGATTAGTTCGTTCTCTTCCGAACGTTGGTTTCTTCTTCATTTGATATCAATTCTGGCTGCGGGATAAATTGCCTTCTGGCATGCTTAAGCCTCGAAGGCCCCAGCTGACTATATGGGTTGTAATGACGGTGTCGAATTCTGGACAAGTCATGAGATGGCTCTAACTTCTCTCCATCGATCAAAGTCAACAGGGGGTTAGTAGAGGCTTAACAACGTAGCTTTTGACAGGGCAGAATGATGATTAGTTACAGCGAAAGGGGAAATGCGGTCATTTTCTCAACCACAGGAGCGCAGGTATCATCGGCCCAAGAATGCAATGCTTCCTTGTGCTAAGACCCCGACTCAAGAGGCGGGACCCCAGTCCCAATGGCTGCCAACTCATTTCCAGAGCGTCCAAAGACTCGACGAAGTCTGAGTAGTGACTGTGATCTGGATGAAGGAAGGCGTTTAAATGCAATCAAGGGCGGCAGAAGGATTAATCATTATCCGTACCAAATATCTGCCCTCATTAAATTCCATTGATTGCACTGAATTTGATTGCAGATGGTTGGGCTCCGTTAGCTCTTTCCAACGTATCGTACACAGTTTTGCTGCAACGCTACTGATATAATACTGTAATATCCAGAGTACTATTATTATCGTTGATTATTATTGACAATTTCCGGGACGGCGATTCCCCTGGCGCTGTGGGTCTTCCCGTCGTCGGCCTCCGTTCCTCTTCCAACTGCGGCGGATCGCAATCTGTCCATCCCACGCCACGTCCTCGTCTGCCTCCCAGGTACCCGTGCAAGGAAAACGCTTTCCCCCGGTCTTTGCTCCCATATCTTTCCCTCGGGCTGTTGGTTGTCATTCTTCCGAGGCCCGCGAATTTTGGTATATTCAGAGAAGGTTATCGTCGAATTGGCAGAATGTTTGAGATTCTCTAAAGCAGCACAGACGCAGCTCTGGAAATCGACTAGCCAACCATGGAGGGACTTTTCACTCTGCTCGCTCTGAGCATTGTGATGGCAATTACGTGAGCGCCAAATACCTGCATCTTCTCTGCACCTGCGACTGTTTGATCGGCAAGCTGACAGCATCGTTCTCTCGTCTGTAGATCTTTTGTCATCGGCTCATTACCACTTGCTTTTACTCTATCGCCCTCGCAACTTAGACTTATATCTTCAATTGGAATGGGAGTCTTGGTGGGAACATCCTTGATTGTTATAATTCCGGAAGGAGTGGAAACCCTATATAGCGCGAGCTCAGTGAGTCGCCAGAAAGAACTCAGCACTCGTTCGACATCGGCAGTCAATTGGCAGCATGCAGTCATTCCGTCTGTTATCCCAAATGACGTCTCCGGCGACTCCGATCAGTTCCTACACACCTCGTCAGAATCACCCATCGATGACTCGATTACCGTCCACGCCCCCTCAGAGAATTTGCAGCGGCGGAAGGAGAGTCTATCGGATGACGGCGCAGACCACGACTCCGACCACGAACACGACCACGAAGGCAGCTCGCCGCATGCCTGGATTGGAATTGCGCTTGTCAGCGGTTTCATTCTGATGTATCTGATCGATAAATTGCCGGAGTTTGCAAGCCCGTCCAAACAACCACGACCGCCCCATCACATTTCATTGGACAACCTGGGTTCCGGCCTGCGACGGAACTCATCGCCTTCACGTGAAGGAGGATTGCTAGATGCCGGTAATATTCCTAAAAGCAGCCACAGCTTCGCAACAACTACCGGTTTGGTCATCCATGCGGCTGCCGATGGAATCGCCTTGGGAGCGTCCAGCTCCGATGCCGGCTTGAGTTTTATAATTTTCTTGGCTATCATGGTTCATAAAGCGCCGGCTTCTTTTGGTCTTACATCCGTATTGCTTAAGCAAGGGCTCTCTAGCCGTGCCGCGAGGGCTCATTTGTTGGTTTTCAGTCTAGCGGCGCCCGTGGGAGCTCTGATGACCTTCCTCTTCGTCCAAGTCATCGGTTCTGGCTCTAGCGGCGACGAAACAGGCACTAGGTGGCGTACCGGTGTGCTTCTACTGTTTTCGGCAGGCACCTTCTTGTAAGTCCGGCGTCGCGTGGAATAATCTGCAGGGTGGCAGCAGCTAACGTCGGTTCTATCTAGGTACGTTGCGATGCACACGATGCAGGAAAACAGCCCCAACTCGGGTGCGCGTGAAATACAGGTGAACGGATATGGTGATCCTCGAGACCTGCCATCTTCGTCCGAAAAGTCAATGAGAGACCTGATCGCGTCTGTCATTGGCATGATTCTGCCGCTGTTTCTGCAGATAGGCCATGCTCATTAAAGTTCTATATACCTTTCGTGTTTTTTCGTGTTTTGCCTGTTTTGATTTGATTTGAAGAATTACTTGATAAATTTCTGTTCTAGCACTTTTTGTCTTCATTTGGATGTTACATCAAGAGTTCTGTTTAGACATGTACATTGAATCTCCCAGGGGATATTGGAAATGATACAGTTGAGTGGCTTCAGTTGTGGTTGGGACTATGCCGTGATATCCAGCAGGACGAAGAAATACGTCTTGCTGTACTCATATTTGCTATCATATATAATAGGAAAAATCAGTCATCATTACATGATTTCAGGATCATGTTTACGTAGGAGTTCGCCTTGTGGAGGGTATATAAAGAGCGACCACTGTCCCGAGCAGTCAGGGAATTTCTCATCATTACAAACCATTGAGTCAAGTCTTTGGAATCCTCGTCAGTCTGACATAGTTCCATGGTCACTGATTGATATCAGGCACCACGGTCACCTTGACGGCCGCTGATAGGAGAGCAATTTTGGTTCAACAGTTTGCCGAGCATCCGGAAGGTTAAAAGAAGAGTTTACCCTACTTTGTACGTACTGATTGGGAGGATTGAAAGGGAAAAGTAAAGGTGGTGATTTTCTTTCTCCAATGCAAGCGAGTTGTAGGATGGAGGCTCTCTTACGTTTAAGTTATGCTAAGCTGAGCGGAGCATTCTTCCATTCTTTTTTTTTATTTCTTTTATGTTTCCCTCTTCCTATACCCCTGATGATTTCATTCCCTTTACTATAGCTATATAACTGGACATGAATAGTACCTATATAGCTATCTTGCTCCGTGTTGCAGGGAAAGAAAACTAACGGAACAATTCTAGGATCATCCGTGTTTAAGCAGTATCATTATACGATAAGTGGCTGTCTGCAGCCTCTCAGCTCCCAACGGCGGCAACGTCTCGACCACGAGTTGTTGTTCTCCATAGTTGGGTGGAGCCCGGCATCATCGACTGAGTGAATCAGCCAGCGTGCAGATTGCTTGGCGGGCCTCTTTCATCTCTTAGTGCCAGTGACCGCACCTGACTTTGGTCCTTGACCTTCCTCTCCCTTCCCGTCGCCTTCCTCTGGCTTCTTCTCCGCTTGCTGAGGCTGGCTGGCTGGCTGACTTTGCGATCTCATCTTGCTTGCTCCCTTGGTAGGTCCAGCTCTATACTAGATTCGCTTTTCCTCTTTCCTTCTTTTTCTTTTCTTTCGCTTTCTCCTTTTATCCTATCTTTTTATCCGTTCTATGTCCTGAACATTTACTATTCGCCATATCCTCCTTTTACTCCGTACATTCTCCCCTCTTACTCTTACTACTGGCTGCCCCCCCTATTATCCCACCCCCGACTATCACCCGCCAGCTTCCCCCGAACCGCCCGTTGGAGATCACCAACCCATCTTTAATCTTTCATTCTCCTCCTTACCCACCATCCCTTCGTCGGCCTGACTCTTTTCTACTTCCTTAATATTATTTCTCCCTCCCCTTTAATACCTATCATTTCTTTACTATTCTATTTTCTCTCCCCCTATCGCCCTCACTCGCTATCTTTACTATCTATGAATGAATCGCTCGTCCGAGGGTGTGGTGCGAAACAAGTTCAATATATTCGTGCGAGCTAGGCAGAGTAATCCAGCGCCTTAGTGCACCTTCTATAAACTCGGTATTATATGATTATCCCTTGGACGTGATTTCTTCAGTTGGTTCGCAGCGGGATGAGTCCGCGGAGTATTCCAGAGTCGCCGGCGACAGCGCAGTCCCGGCAGTGCGCGTCCACAGAACCAGTCGCTTCCCTTTCTGATAGCCATCCCAAGCCGGTTTCCTCTTCCAACAGACCCATCACTTCGATTCCGGCAAACCTTTTACCGTCAGCACCGGCTTCTCCTCCCACTCCGGCCCCTAGTCCCACTCCTCACCAGGGACATCTGATATGGCAGCCCGTCGATGACGACTATGATAACTTCGTGACGAATGCGAGAATCCATTTCTCGTCGCTTTCAAATTCCAGAAAACAGAGATTTCTAGAGGATATCCTTGGTTTATGTGACAGTCAGCAACTCAGCTTTGTCTCGAGCTATGTCGCCCCCCGCTTGAGAAAGGACCCCTTTGACGTGTTTCCAAATGAGCTGTGCCTGAGGGTAAGCAATCTCCCACGTGTTATGGCACTGGCCGGTTTCGGTCTGTGATCCGTACCAAATTCTGACATCTCTCCTCTTTCGTGTGAACAGGTGCTCTCCTTCATAGACGATCCCAAGACTCTCGCAAGAGCTTCTCAAGTCTCGAACCGCTGGCGCGATCTTCTGAATGATGACATAACCTGGAAGAATCTCTGTGAGAAACATGTCTATGCATGCCGAAGGTTTTCGGAAGATCGGGACTTTGTCGAACCGTTACCGAACCGAACCGCCCTCAACGTCTCACATCCACGCCGTGTCAGCAGTTCGCAGTCGAGCTCGACTTTCCCCGGCCTGCAATCCCGAGAGAGCTTTCCCGGGTTGCCACACAATCTATCCGGAGACTTGCTCCCAGGGTTAGGTCCGTCACGAAGACGTCGGCCTCGCCCGTTGTCCTACAGGGCGCATTTCAAACAGAAATACATGGTGGAATCGGCATGGAATAAAGCCGGGGTGTGTGCGCAGCGATATATCACTCCCGACCAGGGGGTTGTTACGAGCCTTCACTTAACCCCTAAATACATCGTGGCTGCGTTGGACAATGCCAAGATCCATGTGTACGATACGAACGGGAATAATCAAAAGACGCTAAACGGACATCTAATGGGTGTATGGGCCATGGTCCCGTGGGACGACATGCTCGTGAGTGGTGGTTGCGACCGGGATGTTAGAGTTTGGGACTTGGTTACAGGGTAAGTGAATCCTTCCTCCTGGGCAGAACCAGGGACGGCTAACAGCGCACGGTGTAAAAGAGAATCTATTTGCACGTTACAAGGCCACACGTCAACGGTGCGTTGTCTGAAAATGTCCGACAAAAACACGGCCATCTCCGGGTCTCGGGACACCACACTGCGCATTTGGGACCTAAACAGGGAGGTCTGCAAGAGTGTCCTCGTTGGGCATCAAGCTAGTGTCCGATGCCTGGCCATACAAGGCGACACTATTGTTTCTGGAAGCTACGATACCACTGCCCGCATATGGAGTATATCTGAAGGACGATGTCTACGGACCCTCCAGGGTCATTTTAGTCAGATATACGCGATTGCTTATGACGGTAGGCGAATCGCCACGGGCAGTCTTGATACGTGCATCCGGATCTGGGACCCCCAAACAGGTCACTGCAATGGTATCCTTCAAGGACATACCTCCTTGGTGGGGCAGTTGCAGATGCTCGGCGACACCCTTGTCACCGGAGGATCGGACGGGTCCGTTCGCGTCTGGTCTCTGACCAAGAATGGCCCTATTCATCGACTTGCAGCCCATGACAACAGCGTGACCAGCCTCCAGTTTGATCATTCTCGTATTGTCAGTGGTGGTAGTGATGGTCGGGTCAAGGTCTGGAGTCTGGAGACTGGACAGCTTCTCCGCGAGCTTTCCACGCCCGCCGAGACTGTGTGGCGGGTGGCTTTTGAAGAGGAGAAGGCGGTGATTATGGCCAGTAGATCTGGCCGTACGGTCATGGAGGTAGGAATACACACCGTTGATTCCGTTTGATGACCAGAACACATTTGATTAACCATTCATACGATAGGTCTGGGATTTCTCACCACCCCCTGAAGGTATCGAGAACGACTCCGTTCTCGTTGACAGTGGTTCAAGCACACCTGCAATGCGCCCCTCACCTGACAGTCGACCTCGAAGTTTCTTTTCCGACACGGCTTCGCCGACACCTCAGGGCAACGAAGATGATCACATCATGGCGGATGCCCCATCCTCCTGATGTCCACGATTCGATGTTCGAATAACGATCATGTAGTATTCCTTTCCTGTCTTACGACTTAGAGCCACCGCATGACATATTGTCAATATGTCTATCTTTCTTTCCAATCAACCAAAGGACCTCCGCTCACCATCACGGGGACACGGCCTTTTCCTAGCCATCGGCAGCATTTGCATTACGGGTGTTGGTTCTACTTGTTCTCTTCCAGCTTTGTCATTTTCTCCTATATCAATGAACACCATTGAGGCGTTAGACTGTCGGAAATAGTGAGGCTTTTGCGCGACTGAATTATTTGTCTACGGGCATACAGGGGGACAATTATCTCTTCGTTTATCGTTATTTCAAGCTTTTTATTACTATTTCTTATTGTTCTAGGTTTCTTTGCAAGAGCTAGATGATACCATCATCGGAAGATGCTATATTTGAATCAAAAGAACTTTGTTTGTCTGCATATTCTTGACCTTTGGTACGTAAGACGCGACCGATAACTGAACTCCATTTCCGTACTCCATACTCTGTCCCTGAAAATCCAGGCCGGCAATCAGCGGCTTCTCCAACTGGAGATGCCTTGGCGATGACTAATCAGCTTCCCCGGCTATGCTTCTCCGCTCGACTTTGAGAAGTCGAGGTCTTGATCACACTAGCCTTCAAACGTGCGTTCTCATTTTGGAAAGAGAACTCGTGTCACATCCAGTGCTTTTAAACTTCTCACCCACAAGAATATAGGGTTATCTTGAAGAAGAGAAGCCGAGGCATCTTCACCTGCGTATCCAGTTCACTATGCCCGACTGCCAGGCAGGCATATTCATTGCGCAAGCAGTCCGGCCTTAACCCACTGATCATTTGACCACTGTCGCCAAGCGAATGCACTACATTTGGACCTCTCATATCGGACAAATTAACATTCCCGAAGAGGCATCTTCTCCCTGTCTTAACTTCATTTCATCTTAGTCCCCTCCGTGTAATCAAGCATGGTATATGGAGGAAAGCCAAGTACGGGGTGCTATCTGTGCCGCAAGCGGAAGATCAAGGTAGGACGAGATCCACTCCTCTGCATGCTGTGCATGGAAGATGGTCGTTGTTTACGCCTCGTGTTGGAATCAATGCTAAGTTTGACGTCAAGTGCGATGAAGCGGTCCCCCAGTGTCGAAATTGCCTGGTGTATGGCCGGCCGTGTCCCGGGTATCGGCAAGATACTATCTTTCGAAATGAGACGCAGAAGGTGGAGCAGCTCATGAGGAAGAATAGCGTTGTGTTTGTCGAGAACAATCGACAGCGAAGCCCGAGCCTGAGTCCGAGCACGTCCCCTCCTAGTGGAGAGAGTCGTGCGTCTTCTTCCTTGTCACTGTACCGGGTTGCCGACTCCGGGTGGGATGAGCGAGCTGTTTGTTACTTCTTTGATCAATTCACGACTCTGGAAGACCAGGAGGTATGTATTAATCATCTGGGGTTCCTTCCGTCTCTGTATGCCACGTGTCGAGATATCGGATACGACGGCTCCGTGTCTTCTTGTCTAAGGCTGGCAGTCGACGCAACGGCCCTGATCACGCTGGGTAACGAGGTCAAGGCCCCGCCCCTGATTATCAAGGCCCGGGATTGTTATGGCATGGCGATCCGAGGACTCCGGCAAGCACTGGCTTCGAAGACGCAGGCCGTCAAAGACGAAACCTTTGCCACGATGATTCTGTTGTGTTTGTTCGAAGATATCACCGGCGAACGAAACGGGCTCACGAGCTCACATACCGCGGGATTAGAGCTCCTCGTTAAGCTGAGAGGCGAGAGCCAGCTGGGGAATGCGCAGGGTCGGGAACTGTTTAGCTTTGCATATGCTCATAATGTTAGCCACATCTCGTCATCATCTCGTCCTCAGGTTTTAGACGTAACTGACGATTTTTCTAGCACATCGAGATCCTAGCGTTGAGAGAGAAGCCTCGATACGGCACGGATTGGATCGTCGAGCAATTGGATTCCTCCGACCCGGTTATCGGATTAATGGTGGGCGCGTCGAAACTCAGTCGACTATTCCTCGAAGCTTCTTCCTACCAGGGACCGTTTGGACTCGTGGAAATCGAAAAGCTTGTCTCATGGATCGATGCCGGGCGACTTATGGATCTGGAACTCAGCCGATGGGCGCAACAACTCCCGAACAATTGGCTTCCGCTTGCCGTCTACTCGCCCACGGGTGAAGCGTTGCTCACTTACCAACGCATCGCCGTCGCGACCATCTGGAAATACTACCGAGCCGTGCGGATCATCCTGCAAAAAATGATGCTCGAGCTACGCCAAACTCTCGCCTCGGTGGTCGGTGAGCACGACGAAACGTACAAGGACGTCTTCCAGGGCGACGCCAACGTGAAAGAAGTGATCCAGGACATGATCACCGACACCTGTCGCAGCATTCCTTATTGTTTCGGCGACGTCGACATGAGCGGGAATCCGCCCTCGTCTTCGATCAACGATAAGCCCCGCATCCGCGCCATTTACGGATACATCATGCTGTGGCCGTTATGGTATACTTACTCGTGCGGGCTTGCGACGCCGACTCAAACGGAGCAGCTTCGTGGCGCTCTTGCCCGGGTCGGCTCTGCACTAGGAATCCGACTGGCGCTTGTATTGGCGAGGGATAACGGGCCCCCGAGTACGCCGCTGGGGAATAACCCATTCTTGAATCCTATGGGGGATTTTGCGTTTCCTATGCAGTAACAGAACCTCCACTATCCTTTTTCTTTCTTGAGCGAGGCGTATTTTACGGTATATTGTATGGGTACATATTATGCTTTTTAATCTTCAACCTAGGTAAATAATTAATAACTACAATATCTTCTAATATAGTCCTAGCACATACAGAACAATGAATCATGCCAGTTAGGCCAAGTTATGCAAGCATAATACCGCTTCATATTGCACCATGCCTGAACGATGATGCCATGATCCAAAAGTACCTGATGGATGCAACCGACGGCAGCCCGCGGAAGTAATGACGTCATGATCATTCCTTGTCCCTCCAGGCTCATCCAAGGTGACCAGCAGCACAACACTAGTTCCTCAGCCACCGCATCAGCTGTAGATTTACTCCATAATTCTGTCGATGAATGGATAGATCGATAGATTGGATAATAAGATAGCTAGATAGGGAGAATTGGAGAATGGTTGTCGGGATTCGGCATTGTGGTCCAGATCTATACATCCAGCTGTGCCGGTCTAGCCGTTCGCATCGACTTGTTTGGGTGGACCGGATAAGAAGGAATCCTAGTAATTATCAGCTGGAACGTGCAGGGCAAACATCAACTATGGTAGTTGATCGGTTCCTCGGCTGGGAAGGGCAGGGCGGATCTGTTTGCTGACGACATTGCTTTGCGCCGGTTTGGGGGGAGTATTTAGCTTTGGGGAGTTTGGACTGACTGTGCTTTACTTACATACCTACTACCTACTACTACTTCTTCTTTCTCTCTCGTTGGGTTCATTTATTTGATTTTTTGTAGACTGTTCATCCTTCTGTTACTCACTCGGTGGAGATACAATGGCGACTCAAGAACGCAAGCTTCCTTTTGGGAAGATCGAGCCTAATTCGGCGAGATATTTCGCTAGTTGTACGGTGGGAGGCATTATCGGTAGGTTTTTCATGGTTTTCAGAAAGGAACAGTGCTAATCATTTTCCTTGTGGATTGACAGCTTGTGGTATGTGTACCTCTTGATCTCGTGCGCAATCAAATTCTACGCAACCTGCTTCTAACAAAATCCTACAGGACCTACACACACCTCCGTCACACCTCTCGACCTCGTAAAATGCCGCCGTCAAGTCGACCCGAGCATCTACAAATCCAACCTCTCCGCCTGGCGCTCCATCTACGCCAAAGAAGGCCTCCGGGGCGTCTTCTTCGGCTGGTCCCCGACCTTCATCGGCTACTCGTTCCAAGGCGCCGGCAAATACGGCTTCTACGAATACTTCAAGTACCTGTACGGCGAGCAACTGTTCCCGAACATGAACCGCACCGCCGTTTTCCTGGGCGCCAGCGCCTCGGCCGAGGCTCTCGCCGACGTGGCGCTCTGTCCGCTCGAGGCGATCAAGGTGCGCATGCAGACGACGCTGCCGCCGTATGCGCAGACCCTGCGTGAGGGATGGAGTAAGGTCGTTGCGAAGGAGGGGTTTGCGGGTCTGTATAAGGGTCTGTATCCGTTGTGGGCGAGACAGATCCCGTATACGATGACCAAGTTCGCGACGTTCGAGGAGACCGTTAGTGTTATCTATAAGACGCTCGGGAAGCCGAAGGAGAGCTTCAATGGGTTGCAGCAGACTGGCGTTAGTTTCTTGGGTGGTTACATCGCGGGCATCTTCTGTGCGATTGTCAGTCATCCGGCTGATGTCATGGTTAGCAAGTTGAACGCTGATCGGCAAGGTGCGTTATTTCATTCCCCCTCCCCGGGTTTTTTGTCTTCTTGGCCTTGTGGACTGACTGGTGAGTGTAGCGGGTGAGTCGGCGATGAAAGCCGTGTCGCGGATCTATGGAAACATTGGATTCTCCGGGCTGTGGAACGGCCTGCCGGTTCGGATAGTCATGCTGGGAACGTTGACCGGCTTCCAATGGTTGATGTAAGTGACCTTGCGACGCCGTCTTGAGATGAATCGTTGATCGCTAACCGTGTCGATAGTTACGACTCCTTCAAGGTGTTCCTTGGTCTTCCGACCACCGGAGGCCACTGATTTTTCGGTTTGATTGTATTTAGATTGTTATTATAGCGATGATTTATGGTTTTTTTCAATGTCAAGATCACTGTAAATGAAGCCAATGGTTCGAGCAGTAGAGAGTAGGAGTAAACGAAACGAAGTAGTGTTCACGACAGTCAACACCAACATCGACTGACCGCCTTCGATCTCGATCCGGCAGAAACGACGGGCATCCCGACCATCTCGACTTCTCCAGTCTTGAATCCTCCCGGCGATTGCGGCTGCAGCGGTTGTTTCACTCCGATAATTTCGTTTCTCATCGACCACCTGAACCAGAGAGACTTTATCACATTGGAAACATCGTCCCTCCCGTCAGAACCTTACATAGACCCCCCAACCCGTCGAAAGGGATCGGACCGGTACTTTCGCATCCTAAAGCCCGGAGCCGTAAAGAGCACCAGCCTCGCTTTACCTTTTCTCCCTAGAAAACTTTGACAGCCAAGCCTTACATTCCTGCGATAATCCACTGAATCCTTTCAACTGATTTACCCGGCCATTGCTGCATCTACTTCTCACATCTCCCGATCGCACATCCTTCCCTCCCCGATATCACCTCGAAACCTACGCCCATCCATCCCGGCGCGCATCCATCTCAGCCACCACCAACCCAGCCAGACACAATGGAATCCACCAAGCACTCAACATCAATACCCTCCTCGAACCCACCCAGCGTCGAGGTAGCCTACAAACGCAAATGCATCGCCCTCAAGAAGCGCCTAACCGAGATCGAAACCGAGAATGAACTCATGCGCCTCCGCAACCGCCGCGGATGGCAATACATCCAGAAGATGCGCCTCGAGTCGTGCATCCTGCTGGAACGTCTCGCCAAGGTCACCGGCATGGCCGAGGAGGCTCAGTCTGGCGTGAACCCTGAGTTGCGCGCCAGAGCGGCTGCCCTGATGTCGAATTCCTCTGCCTTGAATGGTAGTGCGGGTGACTCTGCGAAGCATGCTAGGTATTATGAGGATGAGACAGAGGGGAGCTCGGATGAGCAGCCACCTACGGTATGTTATGTTGGTGTTGTTTTTGGGGGAGGCCTTCTCTCCTCGCCTGCCCTTGTTCCACGCGCCCTGCCTACTCTCTAGACACCAGCTAACTCATCCCCCATAAAAGCCCCAAGAACGACCCCTCCGCGTAAAACGCTCCCGAAAATCCAACGTCAATGACGGCCAAGATGACGACGGCCCTGATGGCCCCGACGGCACAAACCCCGATGCTCCTGCCGCGGGAGGAGGATCCTCAACTCTCCCTCGTCTCGCGCCAGCCCCTTCGCAAGAAGAAATGACATCGTCGTTCCGCATCCAAACGGGTAGCAACGGGTCTGCCAACGAGAAGGAGAATAAAGACTCCGACGCCAGTGATCGCGGGAGCCGTAATCCGGAGCCTGCTGGCGTGAGAGATAGGACTGAGGATACCGCCGGTGGGCGGGCAGAGCAGTCGACTACTCCGATGGATATGGATGCGAAAGAGCCGAAGGAGGAGAGTTAGGGGTTAGTCGATGGGATGAGGGATGATTGATTAGTTTGTATGGATTCTATTCTGTGCGCTTGTACTCTTTCTATCTATTATGGTCTGGTCTTGAACTTTCTTTCTGTTTCTTTGTTTTCGTTTGGTATTTGAGATATGGCCTCTCTTTCTATCCAGGTCTACTTATCACTATCTGTCCATGGGTCCTTTTCTTTGTCACACCTTGTATCTTAATTAGGAGTCTTTTCTTCTCATGATCTTCTCGTTTTATCAATTATCATCTCTGCAACATGGGTGACAGACAAAAGAACGCATATAAACTATTACCCATTACTACCTATGTTATCCACCTTATCTCCTTCTTTCTCTATGATCTTGTTCATTTGGTGGTTCTATTATCGCAGGAAGAGTATTGTACATAAGCTAGATCTACTACTAGGTCAACAGTCTGACCTGCTCAAGCATACTTAGACTGTAAGATAGATGGATAGGTAACCTGCCCATATGAACATGATACACGACTTAATTATAGTACAGGGAAGTAATGTAGTGGTTCAAAGCAATGCAAGTCTGACTGACACTGGCTGGCCGACTAGCTGGCTGGCCGACTAGCTGGCTGGCTGGCTCGTCACTGCGCCTTAACTCCAACTCCGGCACATTAGTGGCAAGTTAAATCAAGTAGAGTAGGACCGGGACTCCATGATGGATGTGAGTTTGATTAGGAAAGAAAAAGCAAAGGAAATGAAACGGAACACCCTGTATGATCATCTCTTTAGGTCAATTAATCCACCCCGGCGTATAAATCAACCACGATGTTGATGGCAGCGACGAGGATTTCGGCGGCAATTAAAACGATGACTAGATTGTTCATTAGTGAGCTATATTGGTGCAGTAAGGAAAGAAAGCAACTTACCAATCCATTCGAGATATTCGCCATGACGGTGAGTCAACTGCTCTTTCAAGACGGCTAAAAGATCCGCAATCACGTCCAGACGCTCGGTCAAGAGACTCACGCGTTGGTCCATCTCCAGATAGCTCCGGACGGCTTGATAAACAGGTTCTAGCTGCGGTTCTGCCCACATCAGTTCCGGACTATCGAGGACAGAGCCCTGCAAATGGATATTGATGCGCAGGATGAACAGTTCGCCGATCTGCATGTTGATTTGTCGCCGCGTAAGGTTGACACTGCCCGTCTGTGCAATCTGGGCCGGTAGCGGGGCGGTATTCGAGATCGTTTCGGAGACCAGATCTTCGAAAAGAGAGGTCTTGACGGACTGTGCCAGAGCATGTGATATAGCCAGCTTGATCATGTTGCTCTTAGGGTCTCGTAGCGAGATGAAGTCATTGTATATCCGGGCTTGATATTCGCGAGCGTAGTAGAAATTAAAATTCTCGATTTGCGTGTCCTCCGGACTCAAAATGGAGGTCGCAAATTTCGATATGTCGGAGAGAAATCGTGATTCCTGAGCGGGAGACATGCCCCATATGACCACCGTGCCGTAATCAAATAGAAATACTTCAGGGGTATGTATCGTTGTATCAAAGTCGGGAGTCTCTGCGACATGAGATGCGGATATGGCATTTTCGGGTGTATGAGCCAGCTCAGACGGAAATTCTGCATCTTGGAGATCAATCAGGTCTTCCCTTCGAGCTTTGGCACTGTCGTCGATTTCAACCGCACTATCCGAGTACCTGCGCTCTCCGGAAGGCCTCTCAGGAGGTGGGCCACTGACTGTGCCCAGGTTATCATCCGAGGCGCTCCGGTAACCCGCTTTTTTCTCCTCATATTCATAATCGTACGGAGAATAGACACACTCGTCGTACAACTTCGGGTTGGCCCCACGGGTGTTGGCCCGCGATTTGAGAAACTTGATCACGCCGTCCAATCGATAAGAATTGGCCGTGCAGTACGCCGTTACACGGGGAAGTCGATCTCTGTCTGCCTTTCCTAGCCTTGCAGCGTGACTTCTCGCGGCGGGTTCTTTGATTCGTGCAATCTGGGAGTAGACGTCGGACGGGAAATCGCCCTCGACCGCCTCCTCAGCGGCCGTCACAGGATCCGGCAGCAGCTTGAGCTTCTGGGCCTTTTTCGTTGTTCGCTGCGGACCGACTTTCGGAGCTGCAGCCATCGGGGCAGCGCTGTAAGGGGAGCCATGGCTGTTGCGACGACGGAGCTTGCTGTTCAACGCGGATAACCCGGTCGGGCGTTGGCCATCTGAAGAACTGGGAAAGGAAGAGGCATTCGAATGCAACGGTCTAAAGGTAGGATCGGCAGAGGCAGCATCGTGGTATGTGCTGACCGTGGCCAGAGGGTTGAATGTCACCGTCCGCGGCGGGCGGTTTCCTTTCGGTGTCGGTGACGGTGACGTATTAGAGGAAGCTGGATGTTGGTGATGCTGGGGGAGAAGAGGCGTTGTCTCTCCTGTCGAAGTGGAGGCCATGGTGGATGAAGGGAGTGTGAAAGAATCAGAAACAGTCCGCCATTGACGGACGGGTCAATGTTTCGGTCTGGAGGGAGGAATCCAGAGAAGGGAAAGAATGGAGATGAGGTAAAAAGAACCGGACGGAGCAGAGAGAGCTCGAAGCTTCGCACGTGCGCCCGCCGACCATTTCGATTTTGCGCCCTGAGATTGCGATGCCCAAGACTATCGACCTTATGATCTTTGGTACATCTACAATTTTCTAGGATTAAAAAAAAGCAATTATAATCAGAACCAGAAGAAAAAGAAAATCTACAAAATCTAACCCAGTTCAGCCAATTGTGGATGTTCATTAGTAGCGAAACCATTTTAACTACTCAGTTCCGACCGGTTCACTATAAAACCCTATTTACTAAAGCACTTTGAAGCTGGAGATCAGATATCCATTGGTTCATGTCTTCGACTGAATGACGTAGGAAAATAATCCGGTCGCACGGATTTCGCCTCGCTCTCTTCTTGTATGCATGTTCCCTGTAAACCTTTCCATAGCACAAGCCAGCATGATCCCTTCAGATCGTACTGAGAGGGGGAAAGTGAGGGTGAATCAAACAATCTATCGCTGGATTTCCAAAAGACTCCGCTTGAACTTTTGCTTGATCTCGGCCAACCAAGTGACAACACAAGAATGAAAATATTTCGTAGAGATGTAGGTATTTCATCGCCGCACAAAGCCTGAAGGACCACCCTTCGTTCTCCTGAGGCCATTGACACTTCCCGTGCTGCGGGATTTGTTCAGCCAATTGTCCCTAGCATTGCGTCCATTTTTGGAGGACTTTGGCGCCAAAGACGTTTTGCTCTTCTTCTGCGGGGGTTCTCCGTCTAGAACTCGGATGGTGACATCGCCCATTCTCACATCCTTCGGGCGTTTTTCGCTCTTCTCAAGGAACCGGAGTTTGTTGGGCTTCTTGGGACCAGTTTCCAATTCTTCCGCGGGAGGCGTCAAAGGTCGCGTAGCAGGGGCCGCGTTCAGGATATCATCCGGGAGGAGCGCCGGGAGCGCCGACCGTTGTACGTCCTGCGTAGTAGAGCCTTGAAGGGTTTCCGTGCTCTCGGAAAGCAGATCATCGGCGAAACTCTCTTTCTTCTTGTTGGAGATCTTCGCCTGTGATTTGCGCAATTCATCTAATTGCCGTCGCTTCTCCTTTTTCAACTGTTCCTCTCTGTACAGAAGTTAGACGAGATCTAGTATAGAGGCGGCAGGACATTGAATAACTCACAGTTGTTTGGCTTGCTCCAGTTTCTTCGCTTCTGACCTGATCTTGGACAGTTGCGCAGAGTTGCTAATTGCTTCGGGGGCATCATCGTCGCTGCTGTCGTCGTCGCTGCCCTCTTTGTCCTGGGGCGTCTCTGTACTCTCTTCGGCCGGGGTATCTAATGGGATTTCTGGTTCTTCGCTGTCAAATCGGAAGTGCTTGGTCTTTCCATTTGTGGCCGGTTTTTCTTCGGGTTCGGGCACAGCTTCGGGCTCCGGTTGAGCTTCAATCTCAAGCTCAGGCTCAGGCGCAGCCTCGATTTCCTGCGTCTCCTCCGGAGTTTCGTTCTGCGATTCGCTCTCGATTTCCTGGTTCGACTCCAGACTTGCTCTCTTCCGTCGTTTGCTGCCTCGAGTCTGGCTGGTTGGAGCGACGGCAGTATCGGATTTGCGCTTCGATCTCGTCTTTATCTGGACCTCGACATTCGAATCTGTAATCGGTTGCGCGACTTCAAGAGTCCGCCGTCTAGTAGCCGTAACCATGGTCGGCTTGCTGCCAATCGCTTTTTCTGGCGAAGTGGAGTTTGTTTGGGAGGGCTTTGAGCGGGATTTGTTGGATGGTTGGCGAGTAAATAAACCTTTTGCTGCAGTAACAAGGTTTGAGAACATATGAGGCCAAAAGAATCCAAAGAAGAATTCTTTACGGGCCCAGAATGGAGGGGGAAAATTGATGCGTCCAAAACTGGCGCTGTTTTACTTGTGAGGAAAAAACGGCAGATCGATCAAATTTCCACGGAACCACCTTTCTCCGAGGCCGGCGGTCACCTGTGGGGCTCATTTTGTATACAGCAAGACAGTCTGTTGTATGTCAGAGGCCCAAATGATATGTCAAACATGCTGGAATTTTGGTATCTCATATGCAGTCCAGATAAAAACAACAAGGATATCCGCTCCCACCCAGTGCAAAAAACATATAAACTCACAAATAGCATATCAAACCAGTTCCTTGCTTATATGATGACATCCAAAACTCCATTTCCCCAAGATTTTATTCTCTTTCCCTGCGCAATGAGTGAATAGGAGAACTAATCAAATGGCGCCAACGAATGCGCTAAACTAGCGTGCATGCTCCTTATCAAGCACTAGTTACCATTTGTGTGCGTTCCGTCAGTTCTTCATTTGCAGCAATGAAATCATCTTCTCCAATATCACTGGTCTCGTCCCAGAATTTAGCATGCTCATCACCATCATCCCCGCTCACTGTCCACATGCTTTCTCGGAGTCGTTTGTTTCGTTCCCGGTCTTCTTCAATGCGCTGTTCGATCTGTCGCTTGTCCACGCGCATCCCGCTCCCCCTCGTGCCGCGAGGCGTCCCATTTTTTGATTTTCCACTGCCTTCGGGCCCCTCCTCGGCTTCCAGGTCGAGATGTGCTGGGTGAGTTTCTCGTTCTTTGAGCCCGGCGTCGATTTCCGCTACCGTCTCGGCGGAGAGGATTTCCTTGGTCTGGAGGCCGTTTAGGACCCGGCGCACGTGTTTCACATTGGCTGCGCCGGAACCGTCTGCCGGGGCGACAGCGTCGACGACTCGCAGGATATCTCTTTGTATCATCCGGACATAAGGGGAGTGGTCTTCTTTGGTGGCCATTTCGCAGAATTGCTCAATGAAATACATGATGTTGGCCCTGTTGTTCATGTTGTTCTATGAAAGCGAACAGCCTGTGTCAGAGTATTGATCATATCAGCAGCTGCATAGAGGTACTTACCCGTTCCAGCTGTTCCAGAATACACGAGTGAAGGTCCTCGTCCATATCGCGGTATTTGAGCGCATAATGCGCGGCTTTCTGCGAGGATGTGACGGAGGCATTCAGATGCTGTAGCTGCGCCGTGAAGCGCATGCGAACCTCAAACGGATCTGCCATCATGGTGCCGGTTACCGCTTCCAAAGGGGAATTGACGATATAGCGTGCAGGAGTCTCCTGTATATGCGAGGTCGAGTAATTGCGAGTCGAGAAGAGCATCAAAGAACAAGAAAGGCCGATTGGTCTCCAAGAAGGCGGTAGGGTTTTTGAACGGGCAAAAAATGCGGAGTCGGACCCGGGTCTAGATCGCCGCGGAGTTGCCAAGACTCCATTCTACAGTTATTGGCAGATCAACCCTGTTGATGAAAAGATATATATACAGTTTGCGCGTTATGGCTAATTGAAGCAACAGAGAGTCATACCAGGTGAATGCTGACTCGCAAATCGTATCAATGACGTAGAACCAACATTACCAAGGAGCCGTATCCCAGAGTATAAGTAAGTTTATCCAGAGCATGAGAACCAAAACATGAGACTAAATTGCGCCATGATCTCAAACAAAAACCCATCCCGTATAGGCAAATAATAATAGTCGTGAACTCCGCCTGCATCAAAGCGATTCTCTTCTATCCAAAGAGCTAGCAAGGCTAGTCATATCGTCACCTTCAAGTAATCCGACCTCCTCTGCCACATGTGGCTGATGAAAATTATGTTCTCTTAAGGCTTCACCTTGACGGAAACCTGACCCATTAATGACGGACCAGACATCTTTCTTAGTGAGCAGTCCCTGGAGAACGCCCTTATTAGAAAACAGAACGTAACGGAGACCAAGTCTCTGGAACATCTGTAGTACTATCAAGAATGTGGTACCGCTGTTGAGGGTTATTGGTGTCTGGTCCATCCAAGGACGCAGATCAAGTGTTTCCATCGGATCCGCGAATGGTTGGTGAGCAAATATCACCTGAGTCGTACCCGGAAATTTGCGGTCTGCCGGCGACAAGGAATTTTTCAGGGCGTATAAAAGCTCGCTTCGAGAGATGAAGCCCAGTAGAATCGGGTTTGATGTGTCGGTGACGACGGGGAAACCACGGTAGGAAGTCGTATCGAGGAGATTGCGAAGAGTATCAATGGTATGGCCAACGGCAACGATGGCTGTGAGGTCATCGACCACTGTCATCACTCTATGAGCAGGCACATCCGGGGGAGCAGTATCGTCGCGGTGGTCTATAAAAGGATATTCGTTCAGGTGGATCCAAGACTCATAGATACCACGCTTCCCAAAGATATCACCGCACCACTTAGACAACATGACCGCAATCATGATCGGAATAACGTAAGTCAAAGCGCCCGTTAGCTCAAACATGATAACCACGATCGATACGGTCATTCTTGTGGCGCCACCAAGAGCCGAAGCCGCGCCGACAATTGCATATATACCAGGGGTCACGCAGGGAACATCGGGCTCGCATCGTCCAAACAGAAAGGCTTCCGGGTAGGCTTCTTGCCACATCTTGAATGCGGTGCCCATGGCACGTCCATAGAGAGCCCCGATGGCGACCGATGGAAGGATTATACCAGCGGGTATGTCGAGACCAAAGGTCAGCGAAGCCAGAAAGAAGCCAAGAATGGCTGCCATAAGTAGAAGAGTTATCGTGCTGACTGATGCTGCCCCGGTCTTACAGAGGCCGAACAAGTCATCGATGGAATTCCCACTGCCACATTCAGCAAAGAGGTAATGGACGAGCTCCGAGTTTTGAGCTCTCATGAACAGGTTGGGAAAGTTGATCAAGGCCGTTAAAAGGGCTATGGCAAACACTTCGATGACAGGGTAAGACCAGCCCCGAGTCCGTCGCCATTTGGCAACTTTCAAATTCAGCCGAATTAAGAAAGCACCATATATTCCACCTACTATGCCAAGTATAATGAAGGGTATCATTTCAAAGCGATGCCATCCGCGTGTATAGGTGACCTCGTAAAGAACAATGTTTCCTGTTCGGAATGGGTTGATCGCTTGTAAGGTAACTGCAGCGACCATAGCACACACAAAGCTTTGCCACATCGTCTTATCTGGGAAGTAGTATGACAGTTGCTAGGGGATGTTAGTCACCACGATCCAAGGCCTCATCTTAGATACATACTTCCAGACTAAACAGAACGCCACCGATAGGCGCTCCAAAGGCAACAGAGACCCCTGCAGCTGCAGCGGCTGACAAAACTTCACGCTTCCTCGCTAGGTGCACGGTCAGCATGAAACCAAAACATAGGTTAGATGGCTTTTTTCTTTGGCAAATTCTGCTCTCTTACCTTCATTGTTGTTGAGGCTCTCGAAAGGTTTCATCAACACATTGGCACAGCAGCACGCAACATGAACAAGCGGGCCTTCTTTGCCCAACCACATGCCAGAAGCCACGGATAAGCACTGTTAATGAGTTAGCGTGCCGGAGACTCATCGAAGACGTAAAGGGTGCCTACAAGACCTATGGACTTGATGGCAAGAGTCCAAGCACCCATGAAATGTTTGATCACAAAGCCACCAAGAACCGTCTTGATCTCGGGGATTCCACTATGCCTTGCATAGATTGCATAAGACCTGACCAAGAGGCTAGCACAAACAGCAAATAACACCTATATGGTCCGTCAGCGCAATCAAAGGTATTATTCTGGCCAAGCCTCCCTACAGAGTAAAGAATATAGAAAATATATTCAACTGCAAAACCTCCACCCTTGGAGGTAACTCCGAACGCTTTCCCCCATGGTGTCCAGTCTATACATTTCGACAGGTCTGGTTTGAAATATGAGATCAGCATATGTTGCGACGGAACTTTGACAGCAGCAGCCGGCTCACCATCATGCCCCCAGCAACAAAAATCCCGGTTCAAGTAGAACTTCCCTCCTCCAGAACCGCTCCTGCAATATCCAGTTTTGAGATCTCCCAGCCAATTGCTTGTAATATCAATGCAAGCTGCAATGATGCCAACCGAAATCCCCGTGGCGATCAACACGATCCAAATATTGCCCGCATTTATAAGCTTGTGAATGTATCCTGTGACACCCTGGCCGCTGGAATAGAGTACCCTCTTCCGTTGCCGCTCTTTGGAATATTCGAAGATCCAATCGATCGCCGTGAGATCATCGTAGCCTACCCGCCGTCCAGGTCCTTCGATATACCAATCGAGTAGACCGCCATCTTTCTGTGTATTCAGGTTCTCGCTACCACCGACCGAGGCACGTCTTGATGACGAGGTACCGCCTGGCAGTTGTGGGTTTCGTGAGGCGGAAGCATCGCTACCTGTGAATAACTTCGACAAACTGAAAGTGGACTGGTGTTTTGGTTTGCGCTTGAATGAGATTCTAGGCAGGAATCCCCGTTAGAGCGATCTAGCCATTCACATATGGTATCAGTACTCACGGTTCGTTCCATGTCCCTGGCAGCGGTTCACTCGAGTCGTGGGAATCCGGCGAAACTATGCCACCATCACGGTATCCACTCGGAGATTGTCTTGGATCATGCGGCTGTGATGTGTACGGGTACTGGTCGTCATTTCCATGGTCAGGTTGCATCATAGACATAGCGTATCGCGCACATGAATCGATAGCCTCATAGCAGAAGGCGAATAAGCCCTTATCCCTGAACCGGCCGATCTCGATGTTTGCGACAACTAGTAAGAGTCCCGGAGGTGTGGCTTAAACTCCGCGCGTACATAAAGAAAGGCGGTGACTGCAACGCATGTGGGGCTGCGCCACATATCGCGGCAGAAAAACGGGCCTAAAAAAAAAGAGTCGCTATCGGGACGAGATATTTTCAAATTTCTCTCCCCATTAGATTTAAACTCGGCACATGAGTTCCTCTGACGGCAGGATTCAGCATGTACGCTACGCCTGCCTACGAGAGGGCTCTCAATGAGTCCCAGATCCATGAGCAGCTTCCGAATGAGATTGCGGAACTCATTCGCACAGCTTCTGGGACTCAGTACCTGAATGCGCTTGCGGTTGGCGCTTCAAGGTCAGGATGTACAGAGAATTTCTTTTGCATATATGAACCGATTTTCGTGGACTTGGCAGCACGATGGATTTTATCCGACTCTCACCTCAACCAAATCGAAGTTATTTCCGCATTTGCACGAATCCTACCTTTCGCGCCGTATCTTCGACCCTTTGCTAGCCAATATGCCATGTCCCGGGCTGGACCTTTGTCGACGTTGGCTGCGTCCGACGAGCAAACACTAATGCAGATGGATGACGCTACGATTCGCACGTTACTTCTAGCGATCTTTCGACTTCTTTCATACGATTTAGAGACGTTTTCGGATTCCGTGTCACCGTCCCGACTCCAGCTCCTTTTCCGACATCGAGACTCGTCCGTCCGATACCTTGCAGTGCGATGCTTTGCTCTATACGTGCGCGCAGCTGATGCTGCCACGGAGAAGTTGGTTCGGGCAAATATCACCGGGGAGGCTTTTGAGAGCAGCTGGGAAGGCATCGTAATCGACTATCGCTGCCTTGGTCTATGGGAAGAGCGCCGGTGGGATACCCTCGCGAAGCGGGTTGAGCTTGCGAGATCTGGTCGTTCAGCTGTGGAAAGCCTCTCTCAGGTTGAAAGCCTACGAGAGTATTTCACTCCGCGAACTGCCGAGGTTTGCGGTGTCTTAATACCGCGACTGAATGACACGGTATCTCCGGCGTCCTCGATGGTGAAAACACCAACTGCAGTGGGAAACCTGCGGAAGGTCGCTTCATCGTTGAACACGTCTAGTCCTCTGCTCTTGATCGGTCTGCCAAACTCAGGAAAGACTTCATTAGTCAATGATATTGCGGCGACCATGGGTCAATCGGAATCCATGGTTACACTTCATCTGAATGAACAGACGGATGCTAAGAGTCTTCTTGGGATGTACTCGACCTCCCCGACTACAGGCTCATTTGCGTGGCAGCCGGGTGTGTTGACGAAGGCGGCAAGAGAAGGCCGCTGGATTCTGATCGAAGACTTCGATCGCGCTCCTTCTGAAGTCATTGGCCTTATTCTTCCCATAATAGAGAAAGGAGAATTGACCATAGCCAGCAGAAAGGAGCGGATCAAGTGCGCTGAAGGATTTAGGATCATTGCTACCATGAAGTCTTCGTACAATATCGCTGGTGAAGAGATCGCCCCAAGCACCACCATCCTGGGCAGCAGATTATGGCAACGAGTTTCCATCGATTCCCTCTCCATCGACGAGATTCGCGAGGTGATAACACAAAAGTTCCCTCTTCTAGAATCTCGGATCCAGGTTATCATGAGCGTGTATCAAAACCTCTGTTCTTCTTTCCACGGGAGCCTTGCGATTAAAAGCTCCCAAGGTCGGACCCCGGGTCTTCGCGACCTAATAAAACTTTGCAGCCGGCTGCATAAGCGACTGCAGCGTCTGGGTGTAAAGACGGGCTACGAAGCTACCCCTGAAGGTGCTGACGACGAGATTTTCAGGGACTTTGTGGATATCTTTCTCAGTTACATCCCCGAGAAATCCATGGCAGAAACCCTGGCTCTGGTCGTTGCGGAAGCTCTTCAGATATCGCCTCAGCGAGCACAATACACCCTTCATGAGCGCGTTCCAGCGTATTCAGACCAGGGAAACAGTCTTGTGCTTGGAAGAGAAGTTTGCCGGAAAGTCAAGGTACCTACGGGGTCATTGTCCAAAATGTCTGCTGCCTCATCGCGCTTCGCTTCTACAAGATCTGCTGTTAGTCTCATGGAACAAGTAGCTGCTGCCGTGCAAATGGCAGAACCCGTTCTTCTTGTTGGTGAAACCGGTATCGGAAAGACAACAGTGATCCAACAACTTGCCACTTTATTACGGCAAAAGCTCACGGTAGTGAACTTGTCACAGCAAAGTGAAAGTTCTGATCTTCTTGGTGGTTATAAGCCCGTGAACATTCGTACTATGGCTGTCCCTATGCTTGATGAATTTACGTCGGTATTCGAGTTGACTTTCTCAGCCAAAAAAAACCACAAGTTCCTGTCATCCGTCTCCAAAAGTGTTACCACAGGAAACTGGGTGCGCTTGGTAAATCTATGGCATGAAGCCGTTCGGTTAGCGGAGGGTGTTTTCAAAGCAGACAATGGGCAAGGAAAAGAGCCCGAGGAAGGACAGCCAGCCAAGAAACGGAAACTCGATTCGCCGAAATACCAGCAGTTGCGACAGAGGTGGGAAAGGTTCGCGGCACAGTTGAACGATTTCGAGGCCCAAGTTTCCCAGGGCGATGCCAAATTCACGTTTGCTTTTGTCCAGGGTAAGATCGTCCGCGCGCTACGCAATGGTGAATGGGTACTCCTTGATGAGGTCAATTTGGCTTCGCCAGATACTCTGGAGAACATTGCTAGTCTTCTGCATCACGGTAGCGATGGTTCACCATCCGTGCTACTTTCAGAAGCCGGTGATGTGGAGCGCGTTTTTGGGCACCCCGATTTCCGTATATTTGGCGCCATGAACCCGGCAACAGATGCAGGGAAGAAGGATTTGCCTCCTGGCCTTCGCTCTCGGTTTACTGAAGTATACGTGCATTCTCCGGATAGTGACATTGATGATCTGCTGTCATTGATACAGAAGTATCTAGGTGACCTGGCATTGAGCGATTCCAGAGTCGTATCAGATCTTGCCCATCTCTACATGGAAACTAAGAAGCTTAGCAACGAGAACAAGCTTACAGACGGAGCCGGACAACGCCCACATTTCAGCATAAGAACCCTCGTCCGTGCTCTAATCTATGTGGCCGACCATGCACACATATATGGGTTGCGCCGAGCTGTTTTCGAAGGCTTCTCCATGAGTTTCTTGACTGTCTTGAGTCAGGAATCGGAAAGGCTTTTGGCGCCTCTACTGGAGAGACACATCTTCAACAATGCGAAGAACGTTCGGGCGCTCCTTGGACAAACCCCTCGGCCCCCCAGTGATGGACATTCTTATGTGCAGTTCAAACACTACTGGATGCGGCAAGGGAACACTATTCCCGAGGAACAACCTCATTACATTATCACGCCTTTCATTGAGAAGAACCTGAAGAATCTGGTTAGAGCAAGCTCAACCCGCCGATTCCCTGTTCTGTTGCAGGGCCCGACTTCCGCTGGAAAAACAAGTATGATTGAATATCTGGCGAAGGTCTCCGGGAATAAATTTGTTCGGATCAACAATCATGAACATACAGATCTCCAAGAATATTTGGGGTCATACGTTTCTGACGAAGACGGAACCCTGCGTTATCAGGAAGGTATCATGGTAGAAGCTTTGAGGAATGGATATTGGATCGTTCTAGACGAGCTCAACTTGGCGCCATCGGATGTCTTGGAAGCATTGAACAGACTTCTTGACGACAATCGTGAGCTATTCATACCTGAAACCCAGGAGGTGGTCCACCCGCATCCGAACTTCATGCTCTTTGCCACACAAAATCCAGCTGGTCTCTACGGTGGTCGAAAGGTGCTATCCCGCGCTTTTCGCAACCGTTTCCTTGAGCTTCACTTTGACGACATCCCGGAAAGTGAGCTTGAGTTCATCTTGAAGGAACGTTCTCAGATTGCACCTTCATTCTGTACCCGAATCGTATCCGTATACCGGAAGCTATCCTTGCTCCGTCAAGCAAACCGACTTTTCGAGCAGAAGAACAGCTTTGCCACCCTGCGTGACTTGTTCCGATGGGCACTCCGACGAGCAGACGACCGTGATCAGCTAGCAATCAACGGCTTCATGCTACTTGCAGAGCGTGTTCGCAATCCACAAGAACGGGCGGCTGTGAAGAGCGTTATCGAAGAAGTCATGAGAGTCCGCATCGACGAGGATGTAATCTATGGTGCTTCGGAGCTAGACAAGCGTGCGCCTCTTCTCAAAACACTTGCCCCTGGAATTGTCTGGACGAAGGCCATGCGAAGGTTATTTATTCTGGTTTCCGTTGCACTCGAGAACAACGAACCGGTCCTGCTCGTTGGAGAGACTGGTTGCGGAAAGACTCAGCTTTGTCAAGCCGTTGCAGAGGCTTACAGGAAGCAATTACTCATCGTCAATGCACATGTGAATCTGGAAACGGGCGATCTTATAGGAGCTCAGAGGCCTGTCAGAAATAGGGCCGCCATCGAACAAGCTTTGCTCAGTGACCTTCGGTCAATAATCTCTGGAGAAATTGTTGAATCAAGCTCGATCGAAGAGTTGAAACAAGCTTTCAGCGCATTGGGCGCTGACCAGTTGCAATTACACGACCCCGAGACGGTGCAACGAATCGTGAAAAACATTGCGCGTGTTAATGCCTTGTTTGAATGGTCCGATGGAAGCTTGATTACTGCCATGAGAACGGGGCAGTTTTTCCTCCTAGACGAGATCTCACTGGCCGACGATTCAGTGTTGGAGAGATTGAATAGTGTTTTGGAACCCCACCGATCGATCCTTCTTGCAGAAAAGGGCCCAGTTGATTCAATGGTAGTCGCTGATGCCGGATTCCAGTTCCTTTCCACCATGAACCCAGGAGGAGATTATGGAAAGCGTGAGCTCTCTGCAGCACTCAGAAACCGAATGACTGAGATATGGGCGCCGCAGCTCTCGGAAGACGAAGACATCTTACCCATCCTCCAAATGAAGCTTGAGATGAAGTCCGAAGATGTTACCAAGGGCATGTTGCAATTTGCGAAATGGTTCAAATCGACCTTGCAGAACTCTTCAACTGAATCGCTTTCTATTCGTGACCTCCTCGGCTGGGTCGATTTCGTCAACAAGTGTCAGACCACAGACCCTCTATTTTCTATAGTACAGGGTGCGGCAATGGTGTTTATCGACACTATTGGCGCAAATCCAGCGGCAATGCTCGCATCAACGCTGCATGATCTGGAAGGGAATCGACGACTATGCCTTGCCAAACTTCGAGAAATCTTCAATGTGGATGCGGAGAGCATTTATCTTCAGCGCTCCACCATTGATATAGAAAATGGTTCCCTACGCATAGGCCCATTCGTCCTTGATATGAATGGTCAGACAACACCAGATCCGGAATTCATAATGGATGCTCCTACGACAATTGCCAACTCTGTTAGAATTGCCCGTGGTCTGCAATTGCCGAAGCCCATTCTTCTCGAAGGTAGCCCAGGTGTGGGAAAAACCACGCTTGTGACAGCTCTTGCCAAGGCATTGGGAAAGCCTCTCACTCGGATAAATTTGTCTGAACAAACTGATCTTACAGATTTGTTTGGATCAGATGTGCCGGTAGAGGGTGGTGATGTTGGTCAATTCACTTGGCGCGATGCCCCATTCCTACAGGCGATGCAGCGTGGTGACTGGGTTCTTCTGGATGAAATGAACCTTGCCTCTCAGTCTGTTCTTGAGGGTCTGAATGCCTGTTTGGACCACCGTCAAATGGTTTACGTTGCAGAGCTTGATCAAACGTTTAAAAGACATCCCGATTTTGTCCTCTTTGCTGCGCAGAACCCGCATCATCAAGGTGGTGGAAGAAAGGGTCTTCCAGCTTCTTTCGTCAACCGATTCACTGTTGTGTATGCGGATAGCTTCACCAACGATGACCTGAAGAGGATATGCGCAAAGCTTTTCCCTGGGAGCCCTTCTTCACAAACTGATGGCTTGGTGGACTTTGTGTCGAGGTTGAATAAGGCTATTGTTCAAGAACGAAGGCTAGGAGCGGTTGGAGGCCCATGGGAAGTTAATCTACGAGACATTCAAAGGTGGCTCCAGCTTGCAGACCGTGGAGATTTGCAGATCCCGACAAGCAACTTCCTTGATGTCATCATCTCCCAGCGATTTAGGTCTCAAGAGGATCGGCAGTTGGTCGCTCAAATTTATGAGCAGGTTTTCAGGGATACGCCAAGGGTGGCCAAAAACTACTACCACAACCTCACGCCAGACTACATGCAAGTTGGTTTTGGGACAATGCGAAGGGATCCGTTCCTCCAGCAGACCCCAGAGCCCCAGATGCGGATACTTCCGCGCGATCTTTCGGTTCTTGAGTCTCTCATGCTATGTATCGAACAATCATGGCCTAGTATCCTGGTTGGACCTTCTGGCTGTGGCAAGACCGCTCTCATCCGAAAGCTCGCGGCCCTGAATGGTGCTAGCCTTGTTGAATTGGCCCTGAGTGCTGACACCGATACGATGGATCTGATTGGTGGCTTTGAACAAATTGACCATAAGCGGGAGGTGTCGTCTCTGATGCAAGATATTTCGCTACTGCTCCGACAATACATCATCTCTACATACTCCTCGGGAAGTGGTTTTGATGGAGTCCCCGCATTTCTTCAAGTCTTTGAGGCTCTCCAGAGCAGGGAAATCTCACTGGACAATATTTGTTCATCGCTTACGACACTATGCCAGCTTTATTCTGAACAGCCCCTTGAAGATCTCCTTCTCCGTGGTCAAAGCTTGCTGGAAAAGTCAAAACAATCGGACAAGATGAAAGTGGGATTCGAATGGACCGAGGGCGTCTTAACGCAAGCTGTGCAACATGGGCATTGGGTTATCCTCGATAATGCCAACCTTTGCAACCCCTCTGTTCTGGACAGGTTGAACTCGCTCACTGAACCCAATGGCGCTTTGATTCTCAATGAGCAACGGACTGAAGATGGTTCTGCTCGTGTTATTAAGCCGCATCCAAATTTCAGGCTGTTTTTGACAGTTGACCCTCGTCATGGAGAACTGTCACGCGCCATGAGGAATCGTTGTGTTGAGGTTTGCTTCTTGCCCCAGGAAGATGACAACATAGCGGGCACATTCACGCCTTCCTATACATGTCAATCTTCCTTGTACCGCCTTCGCTCTATCTGGAACTTCGATTCTCCGGTCACCACTGGAGACCTAACGCGGGCAGCCTATGGGGTGTGTCTTGACCACCTTTCCATCGGAGATCTTGCCTATATCCAGAGGAATCTCGATTTCTTCCTGCCGTACTGTTCGGATTCTGTGAAGGAATTGCTCTCGTCGACCCTGCCTCAGTACGTGTCCGTTGTGCATGATAATTCGGGCTGGAAGCCTCTTGATCATTTCAACAGCACCGTTGCACTCGGCGGTGCGTCCTTGTCTATTCAGGGACAGTCACAGCCTCTTCATCCTTTGGTCAATGAGCCACTAGCTTCAATTTTGTGTGGCGATGTGTCCTTCACTCCCCTCGCAATTCTGGCGCAATTGCAAGAGTCCAAGTTGGATTTGCATCGCTTAAGACAAGGCCTGCAACAAGCAGATGAGTCAGGAAAGCAACTGAAACCAAGTGAAATGAGTCGATTGGAGCGGTCTTTGGCTTCCGGGCGCATCCCGGCTCTCATGAAAGATGCAACTCAGCCAGTTGGCTCTTTCTTGTCAGACTGTGGACAAGCAGTGTATGACTTCATACAGGGTTTGGATCAAGACGTTCTTCAGGCACCCCAGCTTCTCCCCATCCTTCGAGCAGTCATCGACTTTTCCATGGATATCTTCAGACTAACTACAGCAAGTGAGGTGGATGAAGGTGAGTTTCAAGTGTATCTCCAAATTGGCAGAGAGTTATCTGCCTCACTGGCAGACTCTTGGGCCCTTTTGAAGCCATTGGCGTTTGCTCTATCCCAGGCGCTTGACCGATTCCAGGAAAATTGGGCTTTGAGGACCGGACTTAGCATGCAGAGACTGTGGGAGTCGTGGAGACCTGCAACGCCCGCAACGCAAAGTCAATTAAAGTCCATTCTAGACCTAGAGACCGTCGCCTCTGAGTTTACCGACATTGCCATCAAAACTCGTCTTGATTTGTCTAATCTAAGCCGGGTTCGCGACTCCCTCATTAACGCCCAACATTCTATTCTCGTCGACGGCGCAGACGAAGGACAACTTGTTCAGGTAGGATTGAAATTCTTGCTTTAATCCCTAAATTTATCTCCTTACTCTCATCTCCATGCTTTTCTCGATCCTCGGATGCTTACTTCATATCAGGGTCTCAAACAAATGGTAGCGGAGCTGGCAAATGCCACACAGAACCGCGAGGCAGCTCAGAACCCATATTTCTTGGATGAGTTTGAAGCTCTCAGTCAGTACCATGACATATTTTCGGTCTCTCCAAACAGCAAGAGTAGTGGCCATGTCATTCAATCGGTGCTTCCTTTACTGGCTGGTCGTCCTGCCCGTCCTTTGGATACTTCAATGTTTCAGACTCAAGTGCCCAATGTCCTTCACAAACTGTCACTATTCTCAGGCTCGGCGCGTTCGTCGGCATTCGGCACCGCTATCAACGGCACCTTCTCTTTGGACCTACTAAAAAAATTGACTTTTGTCGATCTGACGATCTTAGGCCAGATGGATGCCATCGAAGTGGAGAAGCAGACTCTTTCCAAGAGTTTGGCCCTTTCTTCCCATGAGATCTCCATGGATCAATTTAGAGCCCTTAGGCGAGTCTTATGTGAACTCACTCGAGAGCTTGTCGTCGTGCACAAGGAGTTCTTTGAGCCGCAGTCATTTGACCAATTGGTTTCCACCTTGCACGCAATCGCTGAACAAGGCACATCCACCGGCCCTCTATCGTTCAATATTCACTTGGAGCCAAGACTACCTGGTGATCATTACTTCAAGGCTTTTGCGGAACGAGCACTTCCAGCTCTTCTAGTGTCTCTGGCTACCGATTCCGTAACTACAGAGGATGCTCAAAACACGGGGGCTGCTGTGGTCCAGTTAGCTGTCATCCTTCTGCGACTTTTCGTTCCGGACAAGCCATTTGATCCCTCTTTGAGCTTAGTTGTCCAAAGACGTCGCCATGCACAGCGCACTTCCGAGCTCACTACCAAGGCACAGGCGATCTCCTCGTTCGAACTCAAGTTCTCCGGTCAGGCCACGAACATCCGCCACAATATCCTGCAGGGACAATTACACGATCTGGGCTCAGCGCCTCCCCCGTCTTCTATTACTCGGCCGCCTGTCTCAGAGATGAGTCTACTCCATGCGGAATTCTCAAGCTTAGTGAGGTCTGTTTTGGATAGACATCCCGAAAACATCGTGAACGCACCGGTCGAGAAGGCGTCCGAAGGCTTGGTGGGATTATTGCGAGACAATATCCGCCAACTGAGCCAACGTCTCAGCACAAACTACAGATCTTATGACGACTTGACAGTTCCTGTCGTTCGTTTCCTTCAAATCTTGGATCTTGGTCTTTCCCTAGCTTCTAGCAGATTCCAGTCACCACATGATATGCAGGCCGTTCAGACCATCAGCGAAAGCACACCGTTCCTTGGAGGTCATGTTCATCCCATTTCGGCCTTCGAGAGTCAAATCACCGATGCCAATCCGAAGCGTGCTATCGAGCTGTGGTTCCACAAATTATCATCCTTAAGAGTGGCCGGGAACGCGGACGCAACAGTGCTTTCCACTCAGGTGGGACGCAACGCTCTTCGCAAGCTATTCGATCACTTCCATGTGTTGTGGAAGGCAAAGCTGCGGGAGGATCAGGAAGAAGAGGCGCAGAACTCCAGTCTGTACCACTACAAGGGGTCCTGGGAAGATGGCGAGGAAGTTAACGAGAAGGAGCTCAATGAACTTTTCCCTACATATGATGGCGACACAGCGGAAGAAGGTGCCAAGCCTACCCGCATTGATCCCAAGGCTATTTCCCTCCGGCTTGCCTCCCTGCACGCGAAGTTGTTCCGGGTCGAAAACCCTGCGAGTGTTCTCACAGCCTACGTCAAAGAATCTGCTACACTGCTCGGTTCAATTTGGTCTGAGAAGGAAGGTTCGAGCTCTTACGTTCATCCTAAGGAGCATATCTCCGGTATACTCCTACTTTTGGAGGACGCCCTCAACATAGAGACGGATTCTGTGAGCAACTACAACTTCTATACTGATGCAAACATCGGAGAAGCCCGGAAACTTGTCTCTTTGGCCCTGTCCACGCAATCTCGATTCCTCCAGATCCAGAAGACCTGGCCCGACCATGCTGTTCTCGAAGATGTTATCTTGTGTTGCAAGGAGATCCTCCAGTTCAAACACACGGAGCCCGTTGCGAAGTTCATCACCAAGGTTGAGAAGCTGCATGGGCTGGTTCACGAGTGGCAGCTTGTTGCAAGCAGAGAGTTCTCAGCGGCAGCTGTTTACGACGAGATCACTGCCTTGACCATCAATTGGAGACGACTCGAGCTGTCCACCTGGGCTAGACTTTTGGAGATCGAAAGAGAGAAGTGTGGACAAGATGTGGGCTCGTGGTGGTTTGTTGCCTATGAGGCAATCATCGGTGCCCCAATCCAAATCGCGGAGTCTAGCTCGGAGGAGTTGAACACCCACGTTCTCGAGGTCATCTCAACATTGGAACAATTCTTCCTCTCAACCACTCTGGGCCAGTACAGTGCGCGCTTGCAACTCATTAAGGACTTCCGCACGTTACTACTGCTCTACGTTGAGGACCTTCCTTCTCTGAAGCAACTCACTTCCGCCTTGAGCAACTTCATTCAGCGTTACACGCAGTACGAACCCGTGGTGCACAAGATACTGAACGAAAGAAGAGTGGCGCTTGAGAAGGAAATCAAGGAACAAATTCAGCTCGCTAGCTGGAAAGATACGAACATTGTTGCCCTCCGAGAAAGTGCTCGACGATCGCACACCAAGCTGTTCAAATTGGTCCGCAAGTATCGGGAAGCCCTGGCTCAACCTGCTCAGCAAATTCTGGAGCAAGACATGCCGGACGATAACGAAGAGCTCAAGCCCACCCATCAGCGACCAGACTTGTCCTCAGCAAGCTTCCCAGGCGCTCTTGAAATGTGTCAAACAATTGATAAAGCCTGGGGTAATCGGCCGCCCAGATTCAGGGATCCAAATGGCACAGTGGGTAATATGACGCACATGTATATGTCCATTCCCGCCGAGTTTGATGTGGCCGGGGAACTTGATGGCTTTGTCAAATTCTTCATTGAGAGCATCAAGGAATTCAGGTCACAGACACCCAAGACTCTGACTGAGGAGAACAAGGATGGAGTGCAGCATCTCAAGGTTCAAAAGCGTCGCTTTTATGCGGACACATTGCGCCGCATAATGGACATGGGTGTCAAGCGCAGTGCTAGCATGAACTTGATGGAAACGCAAGCATCCGTTTCACATGTCCTTGCTACCAGCCCAGTTCTGGGAGGCGAGGCCATGCAGAACGATACCACGAAGAGTGCCGACCTTTACTTCCACCGATTCTTAGACCTCCTTCCTCGTGTGCGTCAAGCATCGCGCAACTACTCTGAAGATCTCAGCAACGTGGAGATCTCAAGAAGCTCAGGATCTATTGAGCACTTGCTGTTCTTGATTCGCAAGCAGAGAACTGTTATCTCGCCCGCGCTATTCGACTTGGAAGCACTCCAGTCGACGCTTGTCAAGACTGCAAACATGTGGACTTCGGGGTTCAAGTCGATCTACAAGCCAATTGCCGGGTTCTTAGAGCAGACGCAAGACGTGTCACGGGCTGTCTCCTGGTTGGCCCCTATACTTGGGCTGGCCGCTACAATTGTGGAGCTGCATGCCAAGTTCTCCGGCATCGACTCTCTGGTCGTCTCTAATGGCTTGCGCTCTTGGAAAGAAACCTTTGATCGCCTGCGAAAGTCGCTCACCAGTCTTCCGGAGCTGCCAAAGGGTGTATCCTCACAGAACCATAAGCGCGCTCTGGAGGAGACCTCGTCTTCTTTCACTGAGTTGAATCAACAGATCCTGCAATGGACCGAAGCCCGTCCTGATCTTTCCTTTGCCTTGTCCCAGATCAGCCCTTGGACTAATGTCAACATCCAGGCAATTGAAGGATTGCGAACTGATGATGGATTGGCGATTGAGGAATTTGATAGCAGTCTCCTGGCAGCAGTTGACAAGATCCTCGTCAGCATTCAAAAACTCAGAGAGGCACCATCTCTCGTCGGATCCCCCGGTCTGCTGGCACGAAGTGACGAATTCTTCAGCAAGGCAGTCAAGGCTATCCATCTGACCGGTATCACTTCATCACTGGAATCCGTCCTGGAAACGCTTCAGCATGTTCAAGAGCGCGCAGATTCCGGACTTGCTTTCGCATGCGCATTACTCGCTAGTCTGCTTCCCATCATGAACAAGTACTGCCACATCTGCAAGGACCTTCTGGATCGATTCGTCACCGTTCACCGCGAGACGTGCAAGATGTCATATGTGCTCGCCAAGTCATTCAACCAGATCGCTTCGGAGGGATTCTGCATGCCTGCCGAGGCATCCGGCGAAGAAAGCAAGTCTGGGCAATTGGAGAGTGGAACGGGTCTTGGTGATGGCGAGGGCGCTGAAGATATTAGCAAAGATGTCGGGGCCGATGAAGACCTCTCGGAGCTTGCCCAGGAACAGAACGAGAACCCCAAAGAGGATATGGACAAGTCCGCCGATGCAGTGGATATGGACCAGGAAGACATGCAAGGCGAGGAAGGTGAGCGCAAGGAAGACGACGAACAAGACAAGGACGAGAGTGGCGACGAAGAGGAAGACGGTGATATCGATGAGGAAGTAGGAAGCGTGGATGATCTTGATGCCTCGGCAGTGGATGAAAAGATGTGGGATGGTGCCCACGACGAGCAGCAAAAGGAGACTGAGAACGAACAAGGCAAGGGTCAGACTGAGTCCGACGAGCAGACTGCAGCGCAGGAGGAGAAGAAGAAGGATGAGAATGGAGAGGAGGCCGAGAAAAAGGAGGGCGAGGAGGATGAGGAAGAAGAAACAGAGGACGAAGAAGCCCCCGAAGAAGAGGGCGAGGCTATTGGACGTGAAGACATGGATGTCACAGATCCGCATGCCAAGGAAGAGGAAGCTCTTGACCTTCCGGATGAGATGCAACTTGATGGCGAGGAGAATGGCGACGAAGGCCAAGAAAGTGACGACGGTCTCGACGATGATCTGTCAGATTTGGGCGCTGCTCCTGCAGAGGAGGAGCAGAACGCAGATGGTCTGGACGAGAACCAAGAAAACGATGGCATGGAGCCGGGCGAAGAAGAGCAAGACATGGAGCAAGCCGAGGAAGAGGCCAATGAGGACGACAACATGGGCGAAGCTGAAGCTGATGGTGAAGAAGAAACCGAGAAGCCTGGAGAGGAGCCCGAAGACACGCCCCAAGACGACATTCTTCTCCAGCGTGACGAGAACGAGATGAATGGAGAAGACGTGGCACCTAGCGAGGCTGTCAATGGTGGACTGGGTGCTGACCAGGACCAGAATCAAGAAAAGGGCGCATCCGGTAATGCACAGCAAGAGAACGGCTCTAAGGACCAATCTGCCGAGCAGCAACAGCAAACCGGTGCTTCTAAGGATGGAGACGACAGTGAGCGGCACAGAGATGCAGGAGGCGCGGACGATTCCAATCCCGAGGACCCTCAGCTGCAAGCGTTCAAGAAGCTGGGTGACATGCTAGAGGAATGGCATCGCAAGCAGAAGGAAATCAAGAACGCCTCCAACCAGGAAGACGATGACTCCCAGAACCCTCTGCCTCAGGATACGGACATGGCAGATGCGGATTTCGAGCATCTCGCGGACCAAGACGATGTCGCCGATACTCAAGCCCTTGGCCAAGCAAATGAGGAGCAAGCAAAGGCCCTCGATCAGAACAAGGGTGTTGAGTCGGACATCAAGCCTGGTGAGAACGAGCCTCTGCCGGACTCAGACGAGCCCCAAGAGCTTCCGGGCAATGAGCTGGAGGACGAAATGCAGCTGGATCAGGGACCCACGGCTGCTGAAGGACAAACCGCAGGCGCGATGATCCCTGGCAACTCGCACACCCAGGAGCGCACCACCGACGCTGTTGGTCAACAAGAGATCAACGAGGAACTGGATGAAGTAGACGCACATCTCGCAGCCATCCACCTATCGTCCACCCTGCCCCCTCTCACTCCCAGAGATGAGGCCCAGCGACTCTGGTCGCACTACGAATCCGTCACCAATGACCTCTCCCTCTCGCTGACCGAGCAACTCCGCCTCATCCTCGCACCGACCCTGGCAACGAAGCTGCGCGGCGATTTCCGCACGGGTAAACGACTAAACATCAAGCGCATTATCCCGTACATCGCGTCGCAATACAAGCGCGACAAGATCTGGATGCGACGATCCATCCCCTCCAAGCGCAACTACCAAATCATGCTTGCCGTCGACGACAGCAAGTCCATGCTAGAGAGCGGAAGTGGACAACTCGCGTTCGAAACCCTAGCGCTCGTGTCCAAGAGTCTCAGCATGCTCGAAGCCGGCGACCTCTGTGTCCTCGGATTCGGCAGCGAAGACCACGTCCGAGTCGCGCACGACTTCGGCAAACCGTTCTCCTCGGAAGCCGGCATGCAAGTCTTCCAGCACTTCAGCTACCAGCAGACCGGCACCAACGTGCGCAAACTGATCGCTGACTCAATCGCCTTGTTCCGGGAAGCTCGCTGGAAGCAGTCTCCGGGAGGAGGCAACGCCGATCTCTGGCAGCTGGAGCTCATCATCTCCGACGGTATCTGCGAGGATCACGACACTATTCAGCGCCTTGTGCGCCAGGCTCAGGAGGAGCGGATCATGATTGTGTTCATCATCGTCGATGCCGTCAAGGGCAGTTCCATCCTGGATCTCAGTCAGGCTAGCTTCGAGCCGGACACTGAGAGCGGGACTGGGGAGATGAAGTTGAAGATGAAACGGTATCTGGAAGGATTCCCCTTCCCTTATTATCTGGTTGTACGCGATGTCAAGGAGTTACCGGCTGTTTTGGCTACGGCGTTGAAGCAATGGTTCGCAGAGGTTGTTGATGTTTCCTCTTAGAATTTCATGTTTGTTTTTTGGTTATAGAAAAAAGTATAACGGTGGCTGTTTGTTTATGGCGCATGTGGGTTTTTCTTTTTTTGAATGGTTAAATATCTAGCAAAGATCCAATAAAAAATTTATTTAGAAGAACCTATTTTCTGAGGCACTCGAACTCCCGGTGATATTACACATTCATGGTATCAAATTACATTTACCCAAATAAATCACTAATAAAATGAAGAACGAAAGGCTAAGGTCCATGTTGAAAGGCTTCGAGAACAACCAAGCTCACCATCCGTATTTGGATCCAGCCTCCTGCTTGTTCCGCCGTCCAGAGGCAAAGCTCTCCTCCAGAGCCTCCCGCTGGTTGCTCGCTGCGTTGACCAGCTGCTGCAAGCTGTGTTTACCAGGCGCAATCGGACGCACGGGATTGTGTTGCACAGCCGCAAGATCCGTGTTGTGCGCCATCTCTTGATTTGCGATGTACTCTTTGTCTGTGTTGAAATGGAGGATTCGGGACTTGGACGCATCAGCATTGCGACCGAATAGCTGCCTTCTTTGCGCACGCGACAGATTGAGATCGTCGGCAATGTTGTCCAACGTTTCGGTAGGCCTCGTCGCTAGGTTTGACTCCTGGGGTTCTGGGGCCGAAGGCCCAGCGGCAGGAGCTTCTGAGGGGGCGCTGTATACTAGTGGTTCGTAGGTGGCGCTGGTTGTTTGGGCTGAGGGAGAGGGGGCGTCCGGCTCTGCCGATGATAGCGAGAACAGACTGACTTTCGGTTTTGGTTTCGGGGCAGCAGCAGCAGGGGGCGGAGTAGGTTGAGCGGGAGGGGCTTGTTCTTTCAGGCCATCGGCAGCAGGTAAGGATGGCGTACTTGTGGTCGTCGTTGTCGTAGTCTTGGGAGGCGCTTTCTTTTTCTTCTGCTGCGTTCGTCCCACCGACAAAGGCTTGAACATCATAGGATTGCCCTTCAATTTCACCTCCACCGGCTTCTCCTTCACACCCTCCTCTCCGTTGTCCTCTGCCGTATTTGGCGACTCGCCAGCTTCCTCCGTCCCAAGGCTACCGGCCTTTGGTATCGTCTCATCATCGTCATAATCACCAGTCCCTAAACCCAATGCCTGATCCCTCCGCATTTCCGCATCCGCCTCGCGATCAAATCCCGGCGTAGCTCCCGTCTTCAAACTGAACACTTTCCGCGCCGGCGCGGCCGTCTTCTTATTCTTCTCTTTCTCCGCCGCTGCGGTCGCGGTATTCTTTTTCGGCGCGGGCAAGAATGAATTAAAGTCCGAGAACAATCCCCCTCCGCCACCGCCGCCTATCCTGGGTTTCTTGCGCGCGGGTCCATCGTCGCCGGCGTCTTCCTCGGTTGGTTTCTCGGGTTTGATTTCGGGTAGGGCAACGCGGATTTTGCGCGGGTTGCTGCGATCGACGATGGATGGGAAGTTTGCGCCGGTGGTGGACGCAGAGGATGGTTGTTGTTGGGCTGGTGCGGCTTTTTGGGTCTTTGGTTGGGGAACGACGGGGGTTTCGGGTTCTGAGTCAGAGTTCTCGGAGTCGGAGTAGGATACGAGGGCCATGGTGGGCCTTTTTGTTGTTGTGGTTGTGTTGCAAGTGGCGGTTGATTGTTGCGGAGTACGGGATCTCGTTGACTTTCTTTTGGGTACTTTTTGACAAGGGCAGCTCGAATGACTAATCCGGTGATAGCTTCTAGTAAGACATCCACCCTTCAGACGACCTTTTCCAAGTCTTATAATATACTTTTCTTTATAGCTTTACTACTTCATCTTGTAACCTCGGAATTGTTGCGTTCCTCTCACAAATCATATCATTTTTCAAAGCAATCGTTTCTTTGATAACATCAGAACGCAGGGCAAGAATAACAGCATCAAGACGAAAAAATGCCGCCTGTCCAGGAAAGGAGATACCAAGCAGAATGTCACAAGCGTCATAAAGTCATGAGGTGTAAAGTCCAAGGAAGAACGCAGGATAAACAAGACCGCAGAGTGTCACGACAAAATAAGGAGTCATACGGATTATAGAACACGCAAGAGCAAACACTGTATTGCTGTATTAGAAAGGAAGATAAGGTAGTGTAGGCCACGTACTTACCATTTATGAACTTGTGTAGGGAAGACAAACTGGATTTTATATCCATCTCTTTGCACTTGCAGCCAACCATTCCGAACGATATGAAGAAGCGCATTATGTTCTAGACTTCCCTCGTGAATCTTTGGGTTGAGAATCGCAGTTTCCGACTGTACGGCTAGTCCTGGAACTTCTTCAGCGAAGGCATCATGTGAGTCTTCAGCTTAAGAAAGGCCCCTTGAACCCGCAGGCTGTCGGAACAGGCAACCGGGGTCTTCCAAGAGAATGCCCGCAAGTCGGCATGTCTATGCTCACGAAGTGACTAATGATGGTCTCAATCTCAGCAAGGTGCTCAACTCAGCTCCTTCTATAACATCGCAGAGTGATGTTATTAGCCCTGCGTGTCCTTAATGAGTGGCTCTCCATACGCCAAGCTAAAAGTCCTCCGTTCTAACACCAGCGAATACCAACGAGGGTTGGTACTTGGACCGGCATGAAAATGGCATCCAGTCCTCCGAGATTGGAGTGATATATCTTGCTCGGCGCTGAATCTCATCAGGATTGGTCGAATTGCTTCTCGTAAAATCCATCATTACCTTTTCTTGGAGAGCCGTACGATGTGGAATTGGGTCACTAAGCAAATGATTGAAATAAGTCCCATCGGAGTGGATTTGCCCGAGGCAGGTGTGCCTCTTATCCTAATGCGGAAGTGATACAGGCGTGCCAAATCCTTTGTGACAAGAGTGCTGCACTCTGCTGTGGGCACGGGAGTATCTATAGACATTAGATATATTCTAGGTCATGTCAAGATGTACAATTACTCACCCATGATTGTGGCCTTTTGCTTCGGAGGAAACTTGCCATATTCATGGTGGTCACTGATCGGATGTTCACACTCATGACAACTTCGCGGATGTGACACATACGCCTTTGGGGCAGGTGCAATACTTCTACTTGCACCTTCCTATTACTAGTAGAGCACAAGAGGGTCTATCGGAGAAAGGGTAGTCGATCTCGTTACGAACGTGGGCGAGGCGATAGAACCCTCGGTGTATGCTAAAATGTATGTGGAAGGGGACTGAAAACGGGACCGTGATAAATTTTAAATTGTTCCTAGCCATCCTGCATTACATGGAGGGTCGAAAGAAAAGTGAAGAGCTGCCATCAGTTTGAACTTCTTCCACGCCTTACTCCTGGAGAACGGAACCTTATTCCACTCTTCCCCTTCATCATACTGAGCGGCGTTACGTCCAGCAGCATGGTCAATGACTTCCTTTATCTCGACCTGCTAGCGAATTTTCTAATACCAGCATCAAGTGACTGCGCTAACGAAGTCATAGTCCCAAAAAGGTGAGTATACTCAATATCACCAAAAATGACATCATGCAGAAACCAGATCCGCAATCAATCAGATAAGATAAGAAAAAGGGCAGATTACTAAGGCCAAATATCCACTGTCTTATTCGACGCTCCTTCCCAAAACTTTCGTTTCAATTCAATTCACCTCTTTGCCAAAAAGAAAACGAAACTCACGCTCTCTAGGCGCAAAGGCTGTCTACATCACTGACACCTCGATATTCACCATGTACAATCTATGCCGACCTTGAACTTCGCACCTACACCTGCACGTCCAAGTTCAAAGCTCAAAGCTCAGAATAACCATGCCGACAACAAACGAACAAGAGCCCCCCGCCGCCGGCGCAATACCATCTCTACCGACCAAAGACCCCTCGAGTGATCGCACTCACACCGAAGCCCAAGCAGACGAATATGCCCGCTCGGGCAAGGGTGGCAAATTCCGATTCAAATCCTCGCGCTCGTCACGCTCGGACTCGAAACATCGCGAACACCGACACCGTCGCCATCACCATCATCGACATAAGCGCAGCCACCATGACCATGACCGTACTCATGACACCAAACGAACCGACCGTCCCTCCTCTACAAAACGCCACAAACGCTCCCATCGCACACCCTCCCCCGACCCGTCCTCGACGACCACGAACCCAAACTCCACGAGGGGCCTCTCGCCCAACGCAGCCTTCCGAGAGTCATTATTCGACGCGCTCGGCGACGACGAAGGCGCGTCATATTGGGAATCAGTGTATGGGCAGCCGATCCACAATTTCGCCGTGCCGTCCGTCCCCAAGGGACCTGAGGGAGAGCTGGAACAGATGGATGAGGAGGAATATGCAGCGTATGTGCGGACTCAGATGTGGGAGCGCACGAGGGAGGGGATGATCGAGGAACAAGAGCGGTTGAGGGCTGAGCGGATGAGGCAGAAGAGACGCGAGGAGAGGGGCGCGAGAGAGGCGAGGGAGCGGAGTCGGTTTGAACGAGATATGGAGGAGAGTTTGAGGAGGGGACAGGCGCGGAGACGGCTGAAAGCTTTGAAGGCGGTTTGGGAGGAATATGCCAGGTCGTGGGATGAGGTTGATCGCGCCGCCGCTGCTGCTGCTGCCGCTGCGGGCCCAGACGAGAGCAAGAGCGGTGATGAACGCACTCGATTGCGGAATCTCCTATACTGGCCTGTCGAGTCTGGGAAGCGAAGAGATGTGTCGAGAGAGGCGGTTGAAGAGTTTATGCGACATGCGCCGGTGTCATCCAGCGATAGTAAGGATCAGTCGGGCGCCGCTGATTTACTATCGACGTTGAAGGCAGAGCGAGTTCGGTGGCATCCCGATAAGATCCAGCATCGCTATGGAATACTGGGTGTGGACGAGGTCGTCATGCGCAGCGTTACGGAGGTTTTTCAGATTGTCGATACCATGTGGAACGAACTGAAGGAGAAGCAATCATGATATGGCGTGTGTTGCCATGCGGTGTTGATATCGGTGGTCTACGGAGTGATATACTGGGTGGATTATAGAGGCGTTCCCATTTACAGCATTGATACCCCTGTTTCTCTTTCTAGCTTGATTATGTATAATGTGAACAGAATAGTTCATGTGACATACTTCTTAGACACTGTTGATACTACAGATAACAGCTTTGTTAGTGTTTATGCTAGTGGCGCAATCCACTTTTAACACACTCCATAGAACCCCGTGATCATAAGCTCCAGCCCCAGATAAACAAGGAAGGGCCTGTCAAAGAAGTAAAAACAAAACTTAAAGGTCCATTCCTCAAAGACAACTAGTGGGAGAGACAAAAAGAAAAAGCAAAAAAAGGAACAGTGAATGGAGAGGCGGGGAATCGAACCCCGGACCTTTCCCATGCTAAGGGAACGTTATACCACTAAACCACATCCCCTGTTCGATGTATGACCTCACTTCTTTTTGCTTTATATTCATATCATGAAATGGTTACTAGCGCCTTCTCAGTAAATAGGTCATGCTGTGTACTCCGTATGTTGACATCTTTGAATGTACTTCTTTTTCCTCGGTCACTGGAGTCTAGTGTGCAATTAATTTCTGAATCTGGAGTTGCGGATAGAACTTAGAACTTATCAATGCTGTGTTTCATTGCACACACAACCAGGTCCAAACTTGTCTGAAATCGAGTTGACTATATATATACTTGTCGCGAAGCACCTGGGCCCTACGATGACATTGTACGGAGTACACCACCCTGCTGTTGCACCAAACTTGGTCACCAACAGACATAGTCTACCAAATCATACGGAACAATAATCATTTAACCTTTGAATTCGTCTCAACAGCAAGAAAAAAAACCGAAGACACAAACATGACATGGCTATGCAAAGAGCACAAAACAGACGAACTGGGATAACATCGTCTCAGGAAATTTGTTTTTTAACAATTTCTCATACAAATTTGTATAAAAATCCATACACACTGCCTCCACATATCATCACCCTCATCGCCTAAAACCGCGAGTACCTCTGCTTGGTCCGGTAGACGGTGTACCCAACGTAAGCGCCGGCGACGGCAATGAAGAAGAGCAGAGTCTTGAACACGAACCAGCCCCAGCTGCCCTTCTTCTTCTGGGTGCGCTTCACGCGCGCGCGGTCGTTCTTGGGACTGCTGGCGCGCTTGCTGTCGGAGGAGCTGCTCCGTGCGCCGCCGACGCCGTACAGGTTGTTGGACTTGACGGAGATGATGTCGTGGTTGTCGCTCAGCTCGCCGGTCTCGGCGGAGAAGCCGAGGTAGGCGACGGAGGGGATGGCGATGTTGGTGTCTGAGGCGTCGAGCTTGAAGCAGTTGTTCCAGGTGTCCTCCGACTTGTATTGCAGGTCCAGCGTCAACGTCTTGTCTTGGAAGTAGGTCAGGCGGGCCTTCGTCGGGATGGAGGCGCCTCGGAGGCCACGGGCCTATAGTGATCCTGTTAGTGTCTGTTCTTGTATGAGATCCGCAATACTGGTGATGCTTACAGAGCAACCGGCCAGCTCGTTGGCCTTGCCGTCATGCGCCTGGTCGTAGGTGGTCTGTCCGTCGCCCATCATGGCCATGACGTAAGGGAACGAGGTTCCGGGGCGGTTGTTCTTGTATGTGTCGAAGAAGATGCCGAGACCCTCGAAGTTGTCAGTCGATCCGAAGACGGGGCCCTGCGTCGCGCGCTGCTTGGTCAACCACATGGCGAACCCATCACCATGTAGGTTGCCGTTGCCATGGATCTTGAATTCGACCTCGATCTAAACGGACGAATTAGAACTAATTGCTCGTGTTGTAGGACCCCGAGGCCCGTATCGAGTCGAACTAACCTCCCAGTTGGTAGCAGTGAGAGGAACACGCGAGAAGATCCACCCCTGCTGTGACGGCCGGTCCGCTGTAAGACGGACATATCTAGCGGTCGGTTAGCCCACACACCGCTCCACCGAGGAAGTATGGTGATAGATGAACGAGGGCCACGTACTTGTCGGCGCGAATTATAGTATCACCACCAAAATCGAACCAGCGGCTTTGGAAGTCCGAATCCAGGTATGGCTGTAACAATGTCAACGGAGCTGCGCGAAACGGGGGAATCGGCCCGCTTGAGCCGCCGAGGGCCAAGTATGACAGATGGAGGGGTGGGGACCCACTGGAGCGAGACTGTGAGTTCGAAGCTGAAAGGATTGATCAGTTAGCTAGAGACATCTGGTCGAGGTTGGCGATCTGTACGTACTGGAATGCTCTTGACGTTGTCGTCGCCATCGTAAGCGTTGGCAGCTGGCAGGCTTGCTAGACCGACAAGGCCCAGCAGCGTCGAAAGCCGCGGGAGAAGCATTGCGAAATAGTGTCCGGTGATTGGAGACGAATTTGAATAGGTTGAGAGATAAAACGATCGTGAAACTCGGTAGGGTTTAGGTAGGTAGTGAAAGACCGACTGCAGCTAGCACAAGAGATGAGGTTCTCGCGGTCAATATCACCAGGACATCAACAGTTCAGAGGATAGCACTGAAGTTAGAGCGGAACGTGTTTCGAGAAAAGAAGAGAAAAACCAAAAAGGTGTCGTCGTCTGAAGAAGGAAGATAGAAAAGGAATGGAAGAAGTGACGGATCACGGAACAAGAGGAAAAAGAAGAAAAGCGAGGATTGTGGCGCCTACCGGAACAATTGGTAGTAGTGGACAGATCGAAGCATCCCGAGGGACATTCGTTAAGTCAAGTAAGTAAACACTCGTTCCGGTTTAGTGCCCTGTGGCGCAGGCCAAGGCAAGCTCTCCTCAGCCACACCTTCGAAGATCCTGTCGGAACTCTCGCGTCGCCTGTCACGAACTATTAATCCATACTCTCTGCACTAGACGTCATTTCTCCCCCGTGAACCCTCGCTGCTTCATCAATCCACGACCCTCGTCCCTTTTCTCTCCGACCGACCACCCCCAATCCCAGCAAAAATGGCTCTCTTCGGCTCTGGCTCCAACAATGCGGCTTCCAACCCCCAGGAAGTCAAGACCGCCATCATGAAACAACTGCAGCAGGAGGCCGCCATGAACAACGCCCGGACCTTGATTGCTGTATGTTCGACACCGTCCCGCCCTGAAAAAAAAAGAATCCGCATCATCAGACAGCATGCTAACACACCCAACAGAAAGTCAACGAACACTGCTTCGATAGCTGCATTCCCCGCCCCGGCTCGACCCTGTCCTCCTCCGAAGGCACCTGCCTCTCCAACTGCATGGAGAAGTACATCTCCATGTGGAACGTCGCCAGCCGCTCATACGTCGCTCGCGTCGCCGTCGAGAGCAAGAAGGCCGGTGGCGCCCAAGAAACCATTAACATGAACGCCCTGGCCACCGGGTCGAGCGATCTGTAAAACGTAGAGGGCGGAGGAATGACACAACAACAACAACTACAAACCTGGCGGATGCTATGATATAGATTTGCGGTCTTAATGCAGATTGGGCTTTTTTTTTCTCTTCTTCTGTCGGTCTTAATATTACGGTCCCCCTTTCCTCTTGCGGCTTCTCGAACGACTCGTCCGAAGCTTTATCCTTGTTGTGTGATGATATATGTATGATACAGGCAGGTTCTTATTTTATTTTTGTATATCATTGGTCTAATCATAGCAGAGCTGGAGGATGATAGGTGCTGTTGGATTTATGCTATCCTAGACGTGCCAGAAGCAGTACATTCGGTACCAATATCTTGCTGAAAGCCAATGCCGTCTGTATATCCAAGACCTACTTTTATTGCAACAAAACAGGAAAAAAAGATATATGTACATTATACAATTGTCCAAACAGAGCAAGTCACCAAAGATCAAGAGCCAAGATAGCACCAGTATTTGCAATCACTATAAGCAACAAATCCCGTACGCAAACAGGAACCACAGGATCGGGGAATGAAATAATTTACGTCGATGTGGTCTGCCCGCCTCTCAACAGCTAGACGAAAATTTTCAGTCCTCGCTCTAAACCCACTTGGAAACAAGACATAGGATAGGCGGTCTATCATCAATCGAGTCCAAAAAAGATTAGAGGAATATATCAAAAACGGAGCCCCAGGACCAAAATAAAACAGAGGGCGAGAGGAAACAGAGAAACCATGCCACATATATAATAAACAGTATTCCGATGACCTCTCCCAGTGAAGATAGAAAAGAATCAAGTCGGCCAGCGATCATTGGAAAAACAATTAGACATCACAAGAAGACAAGTACAGAGATGAACAAAATATAGATAGCCCCACAGCTGCTAATCCGTACCACTAGCATCAACTGCGGAGCGATGTCATTTTTATGGGTGCAAACCTTGTGAAGAGATATTGCGTTGCACCCCAACAGAGCAGGCCCATATATAATGAAATTGTCATTTCATCATTCCTCATTTCATAAGCATTTAGAAGTCGGGGAACAAATGACCATGACTATAGGATGGATTAGCTCTTCGAGCGAACACGAGGACAAAGGAACCAGCGCGCAGGGAAACAACGTACAGATCTTCACCTTCCTGTCCATATGATTCCGTCTCCTCCGGATAGCGGTCGTACTGACTGGCGTCGCCCTGACCACCGCGGATGGGAGGTACGTAGGGAGCATCGATATCCTTCCGTGCCAGGCGATCCCAGGTGACTTCGGCGAACCACGGGTGGTTCTTGACATCCTCCGAGCCACCGTGCAAGTTGCCTAGACGCTTGGTGAGATCCGCCGTGATCAGTTGTGAAAGGAGATCGACCGCATCTGGGTGAAGATACGGCGGATATTTTATTCTGCCCCGGAGAATGTTTTCGTATATCTTAACTGGCGAACCACTGTCCCAGAATGGCGTGAACCCACACAGCATTTCAAAGATCAAGATTCCGAGGGACCACCTTTCGATCAGGTTAGCGGGTTGCCTGAATGTGCGACAGGGTAGCGAAGCCTACCAATCCACCGATTTGTTGTATCCCTTAGAGGACACGACTTCGGGGGCCAAATAGTCGGGCGTTCCGCAAAGCGTCCATGTAATATCCGGAACCTCCTTGGCGAAACCGAAGTCAGTGATCTTCAAGTGGCCATGTCGGTCCAAGAGCAGGTTTTCCGGTTTCAGATCCCGATAGATAATCTGCTGAGAATGCAGATACTCTAGGGCGAGGGTAACCTCAGCGGCGTAAAACTTGGCAACCGGGTTGGGGAACCGCTACGAGATGAGACAAAAAGGTCGAAGATCAGCATTTTCCGGCGTGCCATCCAGAATTCGAAGCGGCGGGATGGCTCACCTGAGACTTGCGGAGGAGACTGAACAGCTCTCCTCCCTCGACGAAATCCATCACCATGTACAGGTTCCGCGCATCCTGCCATGTACCCCACAAAGTGACCAGGAACGGGTGTCGGACTCGGTTGAGCATGCGTCGTTCGTCGTTGGTGTGCTCAATTTGCTTCATCTTGACGACCTGGGCCTTCTTCAGGACCTTGATGGCATAGAAGCGATGGTTGTGCTTGGACTGCACCAGGTGAACGCGACCGAAGCTGCCGGTACCGAGGGTGCGCTGGAGGGCAAAGTCTTCCAGGGAGTATTTCCCCTTGGTGGTGCGAGAGTCGGACCGCGAGGTCTGCTGGGAATTAGCCGCATTGCTTCCGGAGCCGGCGTGCGAGGCATCCTGCTGGGACGAATGGATTATGTTCTGGATACTCGCGGCATTGGACTGGTGCGACGGCTGAGGGAGGCCGGAAGCGGGGCGGGAGGGCGAGGCGTGCGAGGCAGCGGATTGCATGGAGGCAGGTTGACCTTCAGCGGCTTGATTTGACCCTGAAGAGTGATGGTGGTGATTAGTGGCCGAGGGATGGGATTGCGAAGAGCTGACGGCGGACGAAGGCCCGTTGTTGTTGGTGGCGGCGGGCTGGTGGTGGTGATGATGGTCGCCAGCGATTGGTGACGTCTGCGTCTGGGCCGCGGTGGGTGACGAACCGGCTTCAAGCTCCTTGCTAAGGGTCTGCGAATCCTTTGTCCGCCTCTTTTTCAAGAGACCTCCTAGACTAGGCATCGAGGATAATTTCAGGGAATTTTAAACCAGGTTTGAAAAAAAAAAGAAGAATTTCGTGTAGCGCAACCCCTCTTTCGACTATCAGAATCAGAAAGGAAGGAGGGGGGAAGAGCTGCCGTGACGAGGATGAACGTCTCTCTCCCTTCTTTTTTTTTATCCTTTTTTTTTTTTAGGAATAAGCTTGGGTCTTGTCTGGTCTTTGATGGTTCCGGGGTGGATACAACGGAGCCTCCTTTGAGTGTTAGAGGGCGAAAAGTCGAGGGAAAGAGGGAGACGAGAGTTTAAAGGGCGGTCAAATAGTTCAAGTTAAATCCACCAAGTGCTCAATTGGGCACGAGTCTCCCCAAGCAACACAGATGGACCAAATGATTAGAGAAATAAAGGAAAAATCCAATATAGCAGCCAAGACGGATACCGCAGGGAGTAAATGTGACGATAATGCGAATAATCAGAGAGAAAAAGGACAGGGAAAGAGCAGCCAAGCCGAGCGGGGTTGAAGTTGGCCTCGTCCTGCATTATTGCACGTCCTCATCTCCACATCACAGCGACCACTCCATTTACCATGTTCCTACATATGACACTACATGCGATACATGACGAATTAGACAAGGCCTCGCAGAGCATGAATTGAATTGACTGAAGCTCCCAGTCCCCCGGTTCAGTTGCCGTCAATCCGACCGAGTATCAACGATCAAGACATGATGAAGTCATTCACTCCTCGGTGCAATCCGGTCTAGAGATAGTTTAGTGTAAACTTCTCTCCCAACCATGGGCCACTCGATCATGCAAAACTGCGTGGTGACCTCATCACCAGCGTGCGCCCGATAGTCTCACTGGTGGATCGGTGGAACGCCCTCCCCGCTTCGGAGATTCGGCCTCCTTTTTTGCTGGGTTCCATCCGCCGCAAAAGCTTCGTTCGATGGCTTTTGGATATCCCTCGTTGACTCGAACTTAATTCGATTCAGACATCTATTTGTTTGAGATTCGGCTCGTACCGCATGGTTTCCGTAAGTCAAAATGAAACAGAAAAAAAGTGCTTGCCCAACGCCGGTGCTCCAGCCCGCTGTAGTCCACTACCACCCAACATGCACTCAAAAGAAATCGAGATCAGTAAAGAAAAGCAAAGAAAGAAGAGAGAAAGGAAAGAGAGCTCCAAAAAAAAAGTGAAAAATGTTCATAGTACAACTACTCCGAGTATTCCAAGGACGCGGCCTGCAGCGGATACCTTAGGTCTTAAATGCGATAATGTGCCATATTCTTCTTAATCTCATCCACAATCTCAACCGCTTCGAGCGCGTTGCGAGCCTCGAAATCATATCGCTTTTGCTCGTTCGCATCGTTGCCCCGTAGAACCACCACCCGGAAATTCTTCGGATGCCGTCGACTGACCTTGCACCCGACCACGTCGTTGAAGCTAATCGATCGCGTCTTGGTGTCGGACGCCGTCTTGTTCGTATCCCCCGGCATGATATGCAAGTAGTCGTTGTCAAATGTTAAGGTCCGTTGGTTCGACGCCGTAAAGGACATGGACTGTTTGCGGTACACCAGATACCGCCGGTAGTACCCTCCGATAAGATCCTGTTGCTGGGTGAGAGGATGAAGCATGCGCTGTCCGCTCTTCTTGCTCTTCTTGCTATCTTTGCTGGCGGGATTGTTGTTATCGACTAGGAGAGGAGCATTCGGGGACGAGCTGCCCGGGGAACCGGTTAAAGACTGCGGCCCGAATCGTCGGCGCACGAGGTCCAGGTCGGTGATATTGCCCAACGCCTCGACGGTACGGTCCAAAGGCGCTATCGTATTCGTGCCCATCACTCTGAGCAGGTAATTGCCTTTGTCCAATCCCCATCGTTTGCATACGGAATCGAGGATCTCGGCAATGTAGCTATCGGCAGACGTGTTCATGGTGGTCGACTGCGCAGAGCCCTCCAGGTTGATAAAGCGAATCTTCAGATTCTTGGTGACCCCCATGCGAGGGCTAGCATGAGATATAGGCACCGCTGGCCGGTCGGCCGGGGTAAGGGTGTTATCATTCAGTGCCGAGGAGAACGGCTGCCCCAAGATCGGGTTCTGACGAGGCATTTTGTTTTGAGCAACTGGCTGGCTGGTGGGAGTTGGAGCCGGAGATGTAGTATCGGCACTGTCTTCTGTGGGCACGGCCTGACTGTATGTTGGGAAACTGCGTTCATTTTCCTCAAATTCGGCCTGAGAAGCTTCCACGAGAGCAAACTCGTCATACTGTTTCCCCCGGGACCGGCCTCGGGCACCGGCCGCCCGGTTGTTGTTTGACGTGAAATCGGCGATGGGAGACGTTCGTCCAAGCGCCGGGAAGTCATATTCCACCTCGCCATCTTCAACCATTCGCAGGGTCCATCTATTGACGGTTAATTTGCTGCGCTCAATTGGTGGACTGCACCCTTCCTCCGAATATCTCCAAAGAGCAAGGCCGATAGCCTCGGCCACTATGACGGGTGCTGGCTGCTCGGCCAATTTAGATTCTCGAGCAATTGGAAGATCCAGTGGATCTTCAGGCTCCGCAGAAAATGGGACATATAGCTTGATATTCAGCACGTCGGTCAGACCTTTGCCCGAGAGGACGGCAAACTTCTCGACCGGGTTTGTTGGCGCGCGTTTGCGCGCGTTGAGAGCCTTAGAAAGCAAACTCACGGGCTGCACCGTGCTGATGGGTCGCGGCGGTGGCAGATCTTGCAATTCAGGTGCAGGGGTTTTGGGCTTCCTCGGGGATGCGGTTTGCGACCCTGCACCATGTTGTAGTCTGTGCATCAGCGCAACGGGCGATGAAGAGTCCAAGCTGCCTGTTATACCAACACCTCCCAGTAGAGACGCGGAGCCGGCCGTGGCATCGAATTCCGAAGATAGAGCAGAGCCCACTGATTCAGCTCCCGAATCCTCCGCCTGCTCATGTAGATCCTCAATCGTTCTATTGCCGGCGAGCCTTCGCCCTTTACCTAAAGGCTCTATCACTTGATCCTGGCCGGAAAATTGGATTTGGCGTCTCTTGAAGGACGGATCCATCTCGTTCTCGGAAGACAGATCACTGCTGGTCGTCGTCGTCGTATCTCGTCGCGGACGTTCACCGACCGAAACCGCAGTGCCCAATGACCCAGTGCGGTAATGAGTACCGATCGTAGGATGTGACGGAGACGTAACCATGACTTGCGGGCCTTCATGACGATCAGTTGTACGTATTGGCGATGACCCAGCCCGTGTCCGTATCGGCATCTTGGGGAATTTGATCTGACGAGAAGCTCTATGGAATGTCAGAGAAGGCACCGAATTCACAGTAGTTTAATCACTGACCGTTGGGCACTCTCCCCATCCTCGTCACTCTCATCGCTGAGATCACTGCTATCCTCATCGTCATCCTGCTTCTGCTGCTCTTGCTGCTGGCGGTCTCTTCGATGTGTTCGTTTCCCAGCGCGCCCTGGAGGCCGACGCCCGGTTATGCCCGCGTTGCTTTTACCGGTGACCATCCCCCCTTCCTCGTCGTCGCCGCCATCGGCCAGCCCAAATCGTTGCGGGTCATGTTCGTGCCGAGCACCGATGTTATAATACTCCGACGATACAGCGGCCGTAGTAGGAATAGGAGGGGAGTATGTTCGTTTGATAGAGGCCGCGCTTTGAGCGTTGGGGTTTGTCGAGGCCGAAGACCAGCCTGCCGCGCGGAACCCGGGGGTGTTCAGGACGGAGTTATTCACGTTGATAAGTCGGTCGCCTATGCCGTCTTTGATAGTGGACAAGTAGGATGTGCGAAGCTGCCATATCGTGAAACTGAAACGCGTTTAGCCCCCAATTTGAGTTACGTGAAGATCACAGGGAGGTCAGACGGCTAGTGATGCGGAGCACGCATCCTAGAACATACTCTTCGTTGTGAAGTAGAGACATTTTATAAGCGACTGGCGCGGTATCGCGCAACTCCAGGAAGATCAAGATCAAGTCAAGGAAATGATTGCGCGATTTGTGGCTGAGAGGGCAAGGACAGTCTCGTCGGCGCTCGAATGAGCATGGCCTCAGGTGCGGCGTGAGTGGGCCAAGAAGAAAGTCGCAAGGGCTTATGAAAGGAGTGAGTTCCCCCTAAACAGGGCCAGCCTGATGGAGAAGGGATAGTAACAAGAAGAAAAGGGGATTTGTAAAGAAAGGCGAAAGAAGCCAGGAACCAGACTGAGGGGTTGTTTGTCAAAGCGGGAGGAGGGCGTAGTGAGCCGTGGCGGCCTGGAAAGCAATCTGCAATTTCTCCGCAGATCAGCCAAGACAATCTTGATCGTCTCCAGACTAAATATTAATCTAACTCTAGCTGAGGCTCAGCCAGACTACAAACCAGATCATTGGATATTCACTCAGAAAAAGGTAATACAATTGGAATTAATCATTTCTGACCACATAAGGCGCTACCGTTAGAGAGTACATGAATAAATGCAGATTACCATACAACCTCAAAGGTCGGGATTGACGAAGGATCACCAGAAGACACGCCTCAAGTGGCCTTCGCCTTGGGTTTTCGGCCCTTGCCCTTCTTCGGTTTTTCTTCGTCATCGATAGAATCATCGTTGGCTTTCTTTGCCTTCTTCCCCTTTCCAGCGCCGCCCTTTGCGGTTTTCTTGGGCACTCGGACATACTTGTCTTTTTTCAGGTCGAGTTCTTCACTTTCGTCATCCTCTTTAGTATCATCCTCCAGTATTTCTTCGTCGGACTCTTCAATGGCATCTTCGATGTCGGGTTTCTCCTTCGGCATCTTCTTCGGAGCAACAACATTGCTGGCCTTGATGAAAGGAAGGGGATGCGAGCGCTGGTTGTAGAGTCGTGTGAACGTGGCCTTTGTTTGGGTCTCTAGCTTGACGTTTGACTCGTCCATGGGACCAAGCCCAAGCTCGACAAGGGCATCCCAATCCTCGCGAGTAAGGAAGTAGCTGTCCATAAAGTCGATGACATCGTCCACACTGTCCTTGCCCTCGACCATTAACCGGCGGACCAGCTTATCCCAGATAAGAGGTAGGTATTGCTGTCTAATTTCGTCGCGGTCTGCAGAAGAACGAAGACGCATATGGCCCTGGATTTCTTTGATCTGTCGCCAGAGTTTTCCTGTGAAGTTCATATTAGGAAGATGTATACAAAATTAAGGGGTAGCCTCAGGAGCAGCATACCTTGTTTGCTGTTCTGTCCTAGCCAGCTAGTGAAACCAGGACGTTCCATCATGTTGCCATAGGCGAAACTTGCAGGCCGGACAAAGCTGAAGACGGCATGTGTTGGCATCAGACTCCATTGCTGTTGTGAGCCATGAATCATTTTGTCGACGAGATCACCGTCACTAATACTTGACGCCGCGTTGTCCGCCAGTTCGAGCAGCTTCAGCTTTTGCTCCTTGCCTTGATAACCGCCGCCCAAGGTAGGTTTGGTCCTGAGATAGTTCTCCTGGAGCATGAGATAACTGAACTCGTGGTCATTGAAATAAAGTTCAATCTTGTCATTCAGCGTAGACTTTGAACTGGGCGAGAACATCTGTGCGTTCAAGATCTTCCCAACAATGTCCCAGGGCTTCAGGATGACATGTTTTTCCCAAGCCTTGGACATTTCACGACCTTTTTCGTAGTCTAGATTCTTTTGATCCAGCTTCACTGTTGAAAGCATGTTGATGATCTGTCGAATATCGGCGTGGGTCCCCTCAATGAGACTGTCAAGAACTGGCGGAGGAATTCTGAGGCCTTCTCTGAAACAGATGGTCGAAAGTCTGGACCTGATTTGTTCTACCGTTGGGCGTCTGAAAGGGAGCTCGAACGTAACGTGATCAAAGGGCTTCATCTTCGGAAGCCTTCGCTCGTTGCAGATGAGAATAAGCGGGATCTGTGTTTTCTTAGCGATGGAGGCCAGCGCACCCACGCCACCGCGATCTCCAGCAGACATTCCATCGACCTCGTCCATGATTAGCACCATGTTTTTCTTGGTCTTTTCCACCTTGCTACCAGCGCCCGAGAAATAGCCCTGCAGAGATGTTGTGTCCAAAACACCGTGAAGGCCAGTCTCGACAAGCTTCTTACTTCTTGTATCACTGGCGTTGGTCTCGACGATATCAAATCCTTCAAGCTTTGCCACTAGATGAGCTGCAGTTGTCTTTCCAATACCAGGAGGTCCATGGATCATGACAGAGCGATAGATCCCGGATCCATCTTTCCCAGGTTTTGAGAAGTTTGATTTGGCATTCTTCCGCCAATTGCGAAGCCAGACCTGGAGTTTTTCTACAGTTCCCTTGTTGCCGCAAATCATGTTCATCGAAGTTGGTGCATACTTGGTAGTCCATAGCAAATCATCGGTTTTAGTGGCGGCTGTTTGAGAGGTAGTTGTTTGAGCGGAAGTTGATTTGGCGGCCGCTGCTTTAGCCTTGCGCTTTTCTTCTTCTTCCATCTCAGCAGCCATGGCACGGATTTTATCCTCCTCCACCTTCTTCTTCGCTTCGTACTTCTCGGCCGCTTTGCCATCTCCACCATTGGCTGGCAGCCGTCGGATGAGCTCGAATAGTCCCTCTTCGTTGATCGTCTTCAAATTGTGTTGCTTGATCGTGGCAAGCTTTTTGGGTCCCGCATCGTCTCCCAAAACAACATAACTTGTTTTGGAGCTGGGAGCCCCAGTGACCTTACCGCCATACTTCTTGACCAGTGCTTGCCCTTCGTCACGGCCTAGGTTGCCGAGGACACCAGTGAAGACGAAAGCTAAACCCGCAAGACAGTTCTCTGCACCAACTGGCATCTCAGTACTCCCAGAGCCCACAGGATCCCGCGATCGCTGGGCCTGAGCGGCGAAATTGAACTTGGGCTTTTCCCCTGATTGAGGCGGCGGCGAAGGGGGCCTGACTATCGGAATGCTGTCGAAGATGTCCTGGATCTCTTTGCTCTCAGGTCGGTCGTCCGAAGGAGAGGCCTTCTTCTTCTTGGCTGCGGGGGTGGAGGATGCTGATTTGGGGGGAGCAGCCGCCTTCTTCGTGGGACTGGGTGCTTCGTTGTCTTCATCCTTACTTAGGACTTCGGATTTTCGTTTCCGGCCAGGCCGTGCTGCTGCCAACTTGGATGCCTTGGTTGGTGCGATATCTTCCATGACCACGTCGTCGTCCGATTCCTCGACGGTGGCTCGTTTCTTGCGTGTCGACCTGTTCGAAGACGCTTGAGCTGGTTTTACGACAAGCTCCTCGAGGTCACTATCGTCGTCGCTATTATCGGCTTCGACGTAGTCGTCATCTCCCTTGCCCGGTTTTCGGAACTCTTCTGCGTGAATGTCATCGCCGCCAAGTTCATCATCGTCCAGTACCTTTGTAGACTTCCTTGTAGATTGACGGGATTTCCGCTTGGGGGAATCTTCAACCACCGCTCGCTTTTTTACTTCCGGGGACTTCTCAGCCTTGCGACTTTTCTTGGAGTCATCGGGGGATGGTTCGGGTTCTTGGACCGGTGCGGGGGTACTGTTCTTAGCAGGACGTCCTTTTTTCTTGCTTGAGGCGAAGTAATCCGATGTAGTTGTTGGTTTGCCCTGAGAGGCTTCCGGTTTACTAAAACATGAAAGGGAATTATTAGAGAAGATTGACGCCGGCGATTAAGGGATCGGAGGACCAACGGTTTGCTGGGTGTTTTGGGTTTTGGACTGGGAGCTTTCGCTACCACTTCGTCTTCATCCTCACTATCATCCACAACTTTTCTTCCACCTGCATCTGTGGTCAATAGGACAATTGATAATATGTCTTTAGTGCCAGATCTTACGTCTCTTTCTCGGGGCGGGTTCCTAGTGAGGATAGATCAGTTGAGAAGCTTATCAAGCCAAATTGCTGACCATAACACCATGAAAAATGTTCAAATTGGGTAAGAACATACCTCTTTCTTCGCAGGCTGCTTAGCAGGCTTCGCAGGAGAGCTGTTGGAGCCTTGGCTGGACTTCCCGCCAAAAAAGTTCCTAATATCAGCAGGCATGATGATTAAATCAGTAAGACCATGACTCGAAGTGCTAATGAGAACACAGCCAGTAAGTCTGACTTTGTAAAAGCTTTAGCACAAGCTTCTCGCAACGACAATGTCAAACTGTCAGGCGCGATAAGCTCCGGAAACACGACGCGCTCGCAGCCTACACGAAGAGACGTGACCTAATTAGCTTATATAAGCCGAGCGCTGGTGGCACGTGCGCGGCGCTTCTTGCCCGGTTGGGATGGGGAATATCGGACTGGCAGATTCGCCGATGCTCAGAGTCGCTCCGCTTCGTCCACCATTTGTTCAATCGGTACGAGACGGCCGTGAGCATTTAAAATGGCAATGAGACCGCAGACCAAGCTCTTCTCGGGGCTTCAGATGGCCCTTTTCCGGCCTACGTGTTCGTTCTCCCCTCAACGACAGAAAAGATTTTTCCTCTTCCGCGGCGCTTGAAACTGATATTTATCGCAGGTTTAACGACGCCCTCTCCGGCCCAGTCGCTATCACGATGCTTTTCGACGACCTCGCCAGCCCTTGATTGGCTTACTCCGAAGTTTATGGAAAAGTCCAAATCGCCCAAGGGTCGTCCGCATGTCGCAACTGGTGGATCATTCCGGGGTACAACTGTCGTCTGGGGTGACTACGGCCTGCGGATGAAGGACCATGATCGTCGACTGCCGGCCAAATCGCTCAAAATCGCAGAGGAGACGATTAAGCGACGCCTGAGAGGTATGGACTACACGCTCTACAAGCGTGTGAGCGCCAACTTGGGTGTCTACACCAAGGGCAATGAACAACGTATGGGTAAGGGTAAGGGAAAATTCGACTACTGGACGGCGAAGGTTCCCGTGAGCAGAATTGTGTTCGAGCTCAAGGGTAAACTGCACGAAAAGGTTGCGAGGGAAGCTTTTCGATTGGCTGGCCACAAGTTGCCCGGTATGATATCAGATCTCTACCTACAGAACGACACCTCTGTGGCGAGTGCTGATTATAACATTCAATAACAGGAATGTGGGAATTCGTGCACAAGGGAGATCCTCCTGTCGTCGGAGTGACGAAACTCGGCAACGGCGTGACTCTGGAGAGTCTCAAGCGGCCACGCAGAAGCCCGGCCTTGGGCACGGAAAACCTGGACACGCCCCCCAAATCGACCTCCTCTAGCCCATCCGCCTCTCAATAAACGTGGCTACACCCATGCCACCCTCATCATGTCATTTATATACCTCTTATGCCCCCACCCCGGAACCAGGGCCATATCCTTGCTCCCTCCTACTCTTCGCTGCCTCGGCGTCAATTCGGGTCTCGGGCTTCAGGTCTTGTGTATAATATTTTCAGCTTTGGATTCTCTTTGCGTACTTTTCCTTCGCAGATGTCGAATGTTTTCATACACGGAGTTCAATAGAAAGAAAGTATGATCGACTGTACCTTTGTCTGCGTAACCTGAAGAACTGGCAGTGGCTTCTCCCAGTGCTATCTTCCTCGCCTGCTCGGCGTCTTCTCGCCTCTCTTGCTTTTCTCTTATTTCAGCATCAGTGGTGCTGTACGGGATTCCTGGCTTTTGGCTTTTCGTATGCGCAGAGTCGCCTAAGACTAAATCAGCTCCATGGGCCCATTTCCGCAATCACGTTTCTTTGAAGAATACCGCCTAGTTGCCCGGTCTGCTTCGCCGGAGGAACTGTGTATTCCTTAATGGATTCGTATCTTTAACCCGAAGGTCTATTAGCTCGTGTGCCTATCGTTCGAGAGGACAGGGGGATAACGTACTGGGTACTTTCGCCACCAGGTTGGATATCTACGAGCTGATCGGACATGATGGGTAGGTATCGAAAAGTAAACGCAGGAGTAATTGGCAATTAAAATGTGACCTGAATAGTCAATTTCCCACTGATAGAAGTATTGGGTCAATGGGCGTGTGTAGTTTGCCTGCGTCGGAAGGAGAGCCGAGTTCCATTTAAAATGGAGGAGGCACCTAATGACGTATCTCTCCCTCATACTCCAGCAAGTTATGGCGGGACCCGACCTCCCTTGTCTTGCGATACTACAACTGGAAATGATGACCATTGTTAATCAATGGTGCATTCATCAATCAGGTTAAGTATGTATTAAAGCATCATTGTTATCGCCATACATCGTGTTTTTAGAATTGGTTTCATGCTGAACTCACCCAATTAACATTGATTGTCTACTAACACATTGCACTTGTGCTGATCTCAAGCTTAGTATTAAGATACTATAAATGCCATGACCGCTTTTGAATAAAGAAATACTATTTGTATTGTACAATTCTCATCAATCATCGATTATCTATCCGAGTTTAAAAGTCCATACCCATCAAGTAGCTATATCTTAGTGTTAGATGATGGCCCTTGTGATACTAATGAAGATGACGAACCTTTCATAAATACGCATAAATTTGGCAACAAACGCTTCGAGGTGGAAGATGACTTTCTGTATGGTTTGTTAGCTTGGGGAAATTCAGACTCGTCGGGGTCTTCTTACGCTGCCTTGCTTGATTCTGTGCTCGTAAAACGCCGACCACTTGATCACGTCGGGCTTCAGCGCGTCGTCAACTTTCGCAATGAGTTTGAAGGTGAGTGTCTTCAAATTTGTTAGTATGAACCAATAGCATGGGCTCTCGGGGGCGATGATACCTTGATAATGGTTGTAGGTGGAATGCAATGCGTCAAAAGGTCATACAACCGCGCGCGAACCTGCAGCAATCTAGCAGGTGACCGCTCGGCCAGAATCTCGTCTGCAGTCAAGGAGATAAGAGCTTCCCAGTCAGGTGGGGGAACGGGCGTATTGTCCGTCACTTTCTCACTACATTTCGATGAGACGTTAGTGGTGCGCTTTTCCCGGCTCTCCTCGTAGTAAGCTTACCTTTGAGCGTAGACGGCCTCGAACATAAGTAGCGCCCGGCGAAGATTCCGTTGGCTGTCTTTCGCTATCCTCTTGTTCAACCCACTTGCCTCCGGCCAGCCTTCTCTCTTACCCGCATTACTCAAGACAGAACATATTTGCTCTTCTGTTGGCGCGGCAACCCTAACCAGCAGGGTTCGCGAGCGAATGGGGGCAATGATATTGGAAGTGCTGTTGGCCAGCAGAATCAACCGTAGATTGGGACTGTATTTCTCCATGGTGCGTCTCAGAGCTGCTTGCGCATCGCGAGTAAGATGATCCGCCTCGTTGATCACGACGACCTTGAACCGTTGCTTCGCCGAGAGATCGACCTGTTGGGTCTGCGCGATCTCCTTCAGAAGTTCCTGGACCACGACGCGGTCATAGTTGCCGACGTCAGACGGCGTAATCTCAAGGTGATAGATGGACGAGACGATGTTGAATTCCAGTTTCCGGTTACTCGTCGTCTGGAAGACTCGAGCGTCGATCTTGATCTTTTCGACTCCGGGGCCGTACAATTCCTTCAGTGTTGCGATCACACGGGTCTTTTTGCCCGCGCCGGATGGTCCGTAAACGAGCAGGTGAGGAAAGTCTCCGCTTTGAGCCTATCATCGGAACAATTGTGAGAAATGTACTTCCTGCCATGGATTGGGAATTGATGGGTTTTGCTCACTAGGGACTTTAAGCGTGCGGACAGATCGTGGTGGTATGAAAGGGCGTCCAAAGAGCGCGGGCGCAACTTATCAACTAAAAGAGCCATTCTGATAATTTGCAGTCCTGCTGTGGTCTAAATCAACAAGTTAACTTTGGCTGACCACCGGACAAGGTCTCTTCGAACGTTCGGGATAGCTTCGATTGAATGAAGACGCGTCGGTTCGTGACGCGCGAGCTTAATTGATGATCCGTGCGCACTGACTAAGCATCGACAGAAGCCAATGATGACCGCCCATTTGGTGCATACAAACGACTGGGATCTAGACTGCTTGAGGTATGTACACAATGCTTGGTAGAAGCTAGGTATACTAACTACCTCATTGCAATTGTCCCTTGATATTACTGACCAGCAAATGTTTCCCCGGCAGAAGATCGCGACAAGACACCAGTTTTCCGCATGGTGATAGTAATTTGCTAGTAGGAAAAGCGCAATAGAGTAAACAAAATAATCCTAGCCCAGTATTTGTAATATGTACATCCATGAGTTGATATAATACATGTGTCTCTCGAGGAATCGGACCTCAAAGAAAATGGTACAGTACAGTTTAGTTATGTTTTTGGAGAGGAGATTGGAGCTTCCTCGCTGAGGTTAAACCGTCCCAGTGCAGTGGAACTTGGTCCTGGAAAATGCCCAGACCTACCAGGTATTCGCCTGAGTGATGACATACGTTCGACGCACCACTTTCACAAGCACACTCTGGGGCGCCATGGTGTTGAAGTCGAGTCCGATGCGTATGCATGGGTCGATGGAGAGCTATCCATACAGTATGTGCAGCTAGGCCGACGGCATAGGCTTGAGGACGCCGTTATCATCGTACCGCGCTTCTATCTTGCTGTTAGTATACCGTTCAAAACTGCACTCTGCTAGCTGGGCATCTTACTGAAGAAGGTATACGAGAGCGTAATCGTATCGATGCCCTGCATTGCCGGATCCTTTGCGAAATCAGGATCGATGAAGAAGAACACCGGCATATCCACAGATTCTCCAGCATTCAACTTCTGCTCTTCGAAGCAGAAGCACTGGATCTTGCTGAAGTATGGGGCGACTTGCCCGGGCGTGACACTATATGTCGCAACTCCGATGATATCCGCAGGACCCTTGTTCGTCGCAGTGTAGAAAGCCAGTGCCGTTTCACCGGGGAGGACTCGAACTTCTCGCTGTTGTGGCGTAAATTTCCAGGGCAGAACGTCCGAAACCGAGCCATTGAAGGTAATTCGAAGACGGCGGGAGTCCGTTACAGGCTTTACGCGATCCGCGGTATCGCCTTCTCCTGTGCGGTGGGTGAGGATAGGTTGACCACCCCAGCCGGTCTGCTGACAGATCTGTAGAAGCAAAACAGTTAGTTTCCATTGCTATCAGAGAGAGTTCATGGTGCGGGGATTGGCACTAACCATCTTGTAGAGAGGGACAGAACCATAAGCGAGAGCAACCGTTCCCAGAATAAGACTCGCGGCATAATACCTGTCATTGAGATTAGAGAAGCCCAAGTTGAATAGCAAGAGTGCGGCATTACATTGTAGATGCATTTCGCTGCCGTGATTGGGGGGTATTGAACGGCGCGGAGGCGGCATTTTTCCTCAAAAGTGGATTGTGACTGAAATACCTCCTCCCGAGGTCAACCCCTTTGGATGTATTACATGCGGACGGTTTGAAGCCCGTTGCCGGCGACAAAAACCGGCCCCACGAGCAGATTGGGCGGGCGAACATGGTTATAGATTAATGAGTTGCGGACGCAAATCGGAGTACTCGGCTGATCACCAGCTTCGTCCGGGACAGGATATAGCAAACACGTGATCTAGTCTTGGCATCAATGCTAGTGATAAGAGCACGATCAAGGTCATCATGGAGAACTGGACTCTATTGAGTAGACAAATGTTCTAATTTGGATTTTGGATCTACTTGAACCTACTACGTAGAAGATACTGGAGAAGATGGTGTAAATTCGTAAACTTCAGAACGAAACATGGGTTCATTATTAGTATTAGTGTGTAGTATATCATGGAGTATGTGGTAATACAGATTCCGTCAAATGCAATATTCGACATTCTTTGACATCAAGGAGGTAAGCATGAAAGGAATAGACGGACTAGCTTCTCATAATGCCGCGAATGCTACTTCAAAACGCTGGTTGCAATCTTTCCGAAGACACCTCGAACCAATCTGGGACGCTCTTGAAGACAAGTTAGAAGGATGGCAGCACTGATAGCAAATGTGGCGCGTTCTCGGTATTGATACTAGATAAAACGCAGTGATATTAGAATTGGTCCAAACCACAAGAGCAACTTCAAGAAGTTACACAAAAGCCAAAAATCCGGACGGTAGACAGGACGCGGTATGGGGAGCGTAATCCATTGCTTGCGAATGAAGTGCTAAGGACAATTGAACTTTACCTTTTTATCATAATACCTTGGCAGCACAGTGGCTGCAGCCCTGGGTGCCACAAATAAGGCAATTTCCTGGCGTCTTCGGGCGTTCTCCACGAGTATACTCCAGCCACACATAAGACATCCGGCACCGACGCATAACCCGGAGTCCCACATCAAAGGCGTCACCGTTTCCTTGTCAAAGACTTTGGGTCCAAGTCGGGTTCGAGCGAGGCAGACCGAGTAATAAAAGATACTCACAAAGGACGCAAGAAAAGAAGACGATCGCAAGGCATCGGAAATAGCTCGATAAATTGCTGACCTGGATTTAATATTCCGAAGGCGAAAAGCAATTTGAAGGGGTATGTAAGTTGCACAAGCAAACTTGAAGGTTCGAACAAATCGATATACGGCATGTTTTTCACAGCTAGGACCGCAGCCCATATGCACCATTTCACACGGTATAGGAACTGTCTTCGTTGGGTCCCCCCATTCCACAGGCCAGGAATAATCATCGCACATGGATTGGAGAAGAGGAGCTTGGCCCGTGTCTTTTCCGTAGACGAAGGTCCCTCTTCTAGCTCGGCGAAGCGCCTCGATTAGGCGATTATCTACCTTTGCGGCTTCTCCAATCCATTTTCCGTAAGACCTCGGTAGCCTCTCGGGCATATAAAACCATGCCCACATCACTATTGCGGCACTGGCGGCAAATAAACCTGCATCAGCCAGCTGAGGCGCAAAGGCCTCCACGAGAGTCCAATTACCCTGTTGTTTACGTCGTAGTCGCCATCGCGCCCACGCCATACAGGCCATTGAATCCACTGCTCTAGTAAGACTGAAGAGAGTAAGGTCCATTGTCCTACCGGCAAGCTGAGGATGACTATGAGCTGCGGATTTACCGTCATGTTGCCCGAAAACATCCTTTTGCCCTGGTTCATTGTGGCGTTCCTCAAGACGGCCTGGCAATGTAATAGGCTTCTTATTGAGGAGTCCAAAGGTGAACCAAGCGGAAACCAAGGTAGCAATGACCCGGACCAACCGCAGAGCTTTCGCAGAACTGAAGGTGTCAGCCCGCGAGCCAAGATTACGACTCGCACGCTGTAAAATGTGAAGGCATAGAAGCGGCAAAATACTGGAGCCCCCAACAAGAAGCCCGCAGAATGTTGGGAAGCTCTCCAGCTTTAATGAGTTTCCCAATACCAAAGACAGCTGTACCACGAAGTTAGCCGCATCGAATTTACTGCTTGTGCCATTTTTGCGAAGACCCAATGATTCTGATAGATGTTTGCGACAAGGGTGGTAGTCTTTAAGACCGAGACGGTGGATCGGAAGCCCAACGCATGGTTACTCAGTAAATGATAAAAACATACCTCTTTGAGCTTCTGCTTATGATCCAAGTCATTCTTCCAGAGGCGTTGTAAGCATGATATAATCCTGGGTGCAGTTGAGGATATGTGCCCTAATGCATAAGCGCGCAGAATTCTGCGACAACGCCGAATCAGGTATGTCAGCTCTCAGCTTCCTTCAATCATAGCCTTGGCAGTGTAACATGGCTAGATGTTCTAGATTGCTTAAACGATGGGTCAAATGTCTGATACTTACGGCTTTAAGGTATGGATGCTGACCTGAGGTCTGCGAGGAAGTCCTGCAGAGTCCATGGTTTTGAAATGCTGCTACTTCATGACCACGCTCTTAGATGTAAATCATTTCGAGAGACAAACAAACAAACAAACACCCTACAGAGTAGTGTCAGAAATCGCTGCAGGTTAACGGACGATCAAGCATAGTAAGGCACTTGTTGACATTTAAACGTACGTTTCTGGAGGATTTGGATGACCAGCATTAATGGGCAGACTTAGGAAATCCCCAGCAAAAATGATACAACAGCAATGTCATGCAAGACTGACAGCATTACAGAACAAGGAGACGGCTAATACAGACAAGCGACCAGCTGTGCAGAGAGCACTTGGGTATGCCTGACAGTCTGCAACCAAGCGCAAAGACCAAGCGGACCGCGGTGCCAGCAAGTGAGCAGGAATCTTTCGTGCGATCTTCCGTGGAGCCGTACACAACCGTGCGACCTAAAATTCGACCTCGGCCCTAGAGGACACGAAGAAAGCGGTTTGCTAGGAGCGGTTCAGGGGTAGGAGCTAAACAGTTGGTTGACGATCCTCCGTATGTCAGAGTCTCAAACTCGGGGTTTTGTTGATGACGCCCGTGGAAACAACCCTGCGATTTCCAGTCAGGTACACCTTTGTGGGGCATCAAAAAAGGCAAATTAATTAAACAGGAATTTAGAGCAATAGTTGGACGTACTTGTCATCCACCCCGACAAACCTAAGCACGGAGTACTCCGTCTGTGTAGTGTGTAGTGTGTACTGGGGTGGTAGGCAAGGGGTTCTTAGGGAATTTTGCGCAAAAGAGAGGGAAGAGGAGGGGGAAGAGGCAGAGATAAAAAACTCGATAGAAAAGAGATAGAAACGTGTTTCCCTCTTTTCTAATCTGTCTGCACGTAGGGAACTCGGTCAGTGTATGCAGCCAGGCAAATTAATCGATCGGACTTGGAAATTGGGCCGAGAGCCTCCGATCCCTTCCTAACCCGATTTTACTATACCGGGACCGTCGCTGCCGGGGGTGGGTATGTATTTTTCGTATTGACCTTACGTCACGCGACCTCCGCTGCAGCGCGAGGTTTTCAGCATGTGATCGACTCGAAAAGACCGACGGATTTCCATGCTCTGTCTCTCTCGCTCTCCACCATCTGACTATCTACGTCCTCGTCATCTTTCCTCTCTTTTCAACTTATGAGCCCTGAAGTGGAGTCACTATTTACTCCCTTCTCTGCATGAATTCTCTGGGCATAACTTAACACCTGGTGTTCTGGACGTCTGACTGACTTTCAAATCGCATCCACTTGTATTCTTCTGCTCCGCAGGAACCAATCCATATCGAGAGAAAAAGAGCCCGTTCTTCCCCACGCACAACCTAGCCGTCTACCCCGGTTTAGCTTTTCGCGATTTCGAGTCGTACTATTGTCAGATTTCCACTACTCACGGTGATCAAATATCCTGCCTTTCCGCCCACGAAAAAAGGCATGTCCTCATCGACCTACTCCGTATTGCTCTCGACGATCGAGTAGCAAAACCTTCTTGAAGCTTTGATCCATCCTCGAACCGTTGTCGCTCCTTATTCTATACTACCCCGATCATGAACATGAACGGATCCGAGGCCCAAAATGGGCGAAATACTCCCCAACCGGGCCCATTTGGTTGTATGTGCCTCTAGCTCAAACGCAGAGTTTTGCCTATCTCTAACCAGTCTTTCCTTCTCCCCAGATTCTTTCCTTTCGCCCATGGATACTCCTTATGAGCCCGCGCCTGCGCCGCCTCCAGGCCCGGCTCTACTTGACGACCAGGAATCCAACATGCTGGATAACTTCTTCACCACGATGAATTCCAACCAGTTCAGCAATGAATTCTGGCTCCATGGCAACCACAATAAACCTTTTGGCTCCACCAATTTCGAATGGTCAACTGAAATGCCCCCGACGTTCGAAGGCTCCACGACTTCACTCTCCCAACCTTCCGCTCCTCATCATAGCCTAGAAAAGCCCGGGTTTGGTGGGATGCCGAACAGTATGGGGACGAGCTCTGATATCTTTGCCGCCGCTTCCATGCTATATCACAATGGGAACAACGGGACCGAGTTCAGCACTAGTGTTGGAAACCATTCTTTCCCCGCTTTTTCGGACGTGGATTTCAACAGTATGAGGTCGAGCAGTGGCGGAAAAGCTGAACAGCAGAGTGGCCACATGCCCTCCAAACCGGTCCCATCGCGTCCGCGCGTACCAAGTGGCTTTCACACGTCCGAGATGCTTTTCGATGTGCGAGAGCCGATATCTGTCGAGCAACAAGCCATTGCGAAAGTACGGCCTCTTCATTGGGGCTCCGACGTCAGTTTTATGGACCAAGGATACGTGGCACCACCCGATCAACCAAACGAGGAAGAACAAACTAAGGAGCTACTCGATCATCTGGACTGCTTCGAGCGACAGAGCAGTGCTGCCAACACCAGGGCACCTAGCCCAGAGCGGACCATGGGTAGTCACGGTGCTTCCTGGACGGGATCAAATGCCGTGGGGCAGCTCAGCGATCTACGAAGGGGATACAGAGATGATGATCCCTCGCAACCGAAAAAGAAACAAAGGACGTTAGTTAAGGAAGAAGAGGATGACGATAATTCCGATCTCGACAGTCCAAAACCAAAGTCAAGGAGATCAAGAGCTTCAAGCTACAATAAATCCAGGAGGATGTCCAGTGACGCGATACGCAAATCAAGGCTCCAGCAAAGCGCCAAGGCTGCCCGAGAGAATTTAACGGAAGAGCAAAAAAGAAGCAACCATATCCTCTCAGAGCAAAAACGGAGGAATCTCATTCGGCAAGGCTTTGACGATTTGTGCACGCTTGTCCCTGGATTAAAGGGTGGCGGGTTCAGCAAAAGTGCAATGCTTACGCAGGCAGCAGACTGGTTGGAGGAGGTTCTGCGTGGCAATGAAATCCTCAAGGCACAGTTATCCGAGCTCAAGACTATGAATGGCTTGGTAATCCCGATGTGATTTTTGCACTCTAACGAGACCACGATGCGATATTTCTGTTTCCCACGACGCAAGACATGCGCTCACACGCAGTCTGTTTTACATCCAAGCAATTCAGCGATTCGATAGGGTGCAATTTCCATATTTGGGATTGCGGGCGTTTCTTTTGGTGAACATGGGTTGAAGTTACGATATCTTCTACTGGACGGAATCCTGATCATCTCCATGACATCCGCTCATTCATGTTTACCATGTTTACTATGCATATCTTGTTTTTAGCACCACAATACCCTTTCCGGTTCGATCTCTGATGGACAGGTATCTTTTATTCAAAATAATGAGCGGGATAGAGAATACCTCTGGTGAAATATATTCCCACAAAAGTGGCCTACATGGATGTTTGGTCCAATGTGTATTCTTTCTGAACGAACTCTACCTTTATGTATAAATGAAAACCAAACTTCCGGAAAAAAGCTATACAAGTAATCTAGATTGCAGAGAGATAACCACATGATAACTGTCGTAAGTCGAGTTGCTGTCTGACACCCCGCAAGGTCCCAAAGTGGCTTAGCGCCTTTTATGGTTTGGTTGGCATGTGACGGTAACTATCCGGAGAGCTCGACCATCGCGTTTCCCTTCTTTGTTTACAACGATAATTTCAACTGTTATTCCATTCAGCACATACTTATGTCGCTGGACGTTCGCTATAACACGTTTGACTTGCGATCATTTCTGACTATCTACTCTCCCATTTAAACTACCTGCCAACTGCTTGACAAACCCGCAATGCCCCCTAAGAGAAAGCGTGCCAACGATGGTCAAAATGCCGATGATGGCGCGCGCAACAAGCGATATGCCTATATGAAGCCCCAAGTTCGCCAGGTCTCAGAAAAGACCATCAAATACAAATGGTCTACACTACCAGAGCCCGCTCAAGACAAGGTCCGGGACATGTTCCGGTCCCTTGAGCGCCCGGTCATAGTGCGACATCAGAATGAGCGCAAGCGCATTGAAGCGCAAGCGGCTGTCCAGGTTGTTGTGAAAAAGTGAGTCGCCTCAACCGAGTGCGCTTCCAGTATCGCCTGGATTACGCTGATATTTGCTCTTATGAAGCCTAGGAAAGCGTTTACCGAGAATGCCATTCCCGCCAATTTCCAAAGACTCGGTTTTCGAATATGAGGCGGCGCTGAAAGAACACGTACGCTGCTCTATGCACACCGATACAAAGCTGTACTGACTTTTTCAGTCTTCCTTAGAGGCCAATTTGGCCACGGTGAAGGATAGTACGGAACTTCTGAAGGCCGAGGCCGACCGAGAAGAAGCTTTACTTTCAAAGGAGAAAAGGCAACTACAGGAGATGGAGAAGAATGCCAAGCGAGCGGAAATGGAAAGGAAGCGACAAATGAAAAACGTGAGGACAATCTCCTATTCCGGTAGGGAGGATGACGGCTAACTTTTCTCAAGGAACATCCTGTCCTCCGCCAACTGAATGATGCCACTAGCACGGAGCACCGGGTACTAGCGGATCTCAAAATTGCCGGCGAGAAGAACCCTCAGCTAACATTTGATGGGGTATGGCTTGACCTTATATTTGCGCTTCGTGGTACTGACACATTTGCCAGCTTGAGGATGATCCTGATACATTCAGCCTATTGAAACAACTAAGTGGCCACCTGAATTCAATCCACAATAATATCACGCCCCTTAACGGTCTTGCGGATGCAATCACCCGATCTCAAATCGCCCTGAGCTTGACCTCGATGCCTCAGGACTGAGGAGCCTCAGACCGCCGAAGGAAAGCCAGAAAGCCGACGAATTAACGGGATCGTATATATTCCCGGTCTCTAGACAATAGATCAATCCGACCCGAACACACCTGCATGCGTGGAGTGCGACCGCCGTACAACAGGATGTGTTGTTATAAGCAAAGAAGCTGGGGACAATAACAAGCACCCTCTATTGCTACTCCTATACGCAGTTGTAATGACCAGTAGCAGCCAAAGCCTTGTCTCGTCCGTCGAGATACTGGGGTTTCCGCTGCCTACAATATGCCACTTGCAAGAACTCTTACTGGCTCCCACCGGTCGCTAGGTTCGAGTAGGGCCAGTTAGACCTTGCAGCACAGCTCGAGAAGAAGGCCAAGAGTCAGGCGTTTGTCATGCGCGCGAAGGAAACGTGGCTGTGTATGGAAAGGGCAGGGCGTACTGGAATGTCTAGAATGCCAAATAGACCAATGCAAATACGTGGAAACACGAGTAATAACAGCCTACCAGTTTCAAATCATTCACTCCGTGAAGTAGAGTGAAAGTGTAGTGCCCGAGGTAACTAAAACCATGACACATGGTGTTGGCCTAGCGATTTCCCCAAATGCGGAGGAGCTCGGGAAAAGAGGGCGGCCGCCCGGCGTCAAGTCCCGCTCTCGGCGGGGAAACCCAACCCTGGGAGAAGTCGATCGCATGCGCGGCTATCCTTCATTTCAATTTCCCGCGGCACCTCGAACGGCGCATACCTGCTACAAATGACCTCCATCCCTACTCCGCACTGAGTCCCGGTCTGTGTCTGCAGCTTACCACCCGCCCGGCTTCTTTCGTGTTTCAATCGTCTCCCACCCCAGCAGCGAGCCGGACTCTGCGCAACCACTTTGCGCCTAGCGATCGATGACCGAGAAAAGCGCGCATACGGCCACCGGCCCCGACCAACCACCGAGCAATGGGACGACAGAGCAATTAAAACTCAATATGTCTGAAGGAGAAAGAATAAGGCGGGAATCCAGCGCAAGAGACAGCGTCCAAACCTCCCCGGTGTCCAAGCCTGAGAACGGCGCTGCGGCGGCTTCCTCCAGTCCGAAGAAGCGTCGCAAAGTTAATCACGGTAAGCAAACCGCTTTGCCAATGCTTTTCTACAAGGATGATGGCAGCGGCTCCTCGCATTTGCTCCATCACACTTGTCCAGACCACGTTTGCTAACGATGTTGCCCCCGCTTGCAGCATGCGTCTACTGTCGACGATCGGTAAGTTGTTTTAGCTATTATCGTCCTTGTTTCTTTTCTCTGATTCCCCGCGCACCGTCTTCTCGCGGGAATCTCGCTTTTTTTTTTTTTTTTTTTTTTTTCTGAGAACTGATTTGCTGACGGAATGGTACTTGTTCACGTGGCACAGCATATGACTTGCGACTCGGTACGACCTTTCTGAACTCTACCCCTACAGCTCATGCGTGTGAAACGTATCGCAAACGGCTTTCAAAAGATTAGTTGCTGACTTGTCTTATTTTGGGACACTAAAGGAGCGACCCTGCACCCGATGTATAAAACGCAATATTGGCCACCTGTGTCATGACGAGCCAAGGGAACCTACGAAGCGGCCTCGGAGTGACCAAGAACCTTCGCTAGCGGACGACGACGGCTCTTCAAACAATGAATTTTCGACCGTAATGCACCCAATGCCCCGAAGCGTCGATATCCAGGATGCTGCTGGCCAGCAAATGCCCACTCATGGGCTTTCGTCCTCGTCTGTGAATCCGGTGCAGCATGGCAACATCCCGGATTCTTCAGGGCAAGGGCTTGCGAACCCCCAACAGCGTAAGCTTGCAAAGTGGCACTTTGATTTTTGAACTTTTTGCTGACACAGTGAGGTAGTCCTTGGTTACAATGAATGGGTTGGAGGGCAAAGCCAATTCCAAGACATGCACACGTTCCATCCTTCATACATGTTCAATGCACATGAAGTCACGAACGAATACAATCTGCTTGGAGACTTCCTGAGCAACAGTCTGCTGGATGATGGGGCCATGTTCCAAAACGATGATCTACAGGGGATATATTCCGACCCGACGTTGATCAACTCCATGGCTACACTCGGCGGTGGCTCCAATGCAACCCTTCTTCGACAAGCCCAGCCTTCTCAGCCGGCTCCTAGCCACCAAAACCAGGGAGAACCCATCCAGCAAGGCCAGAATACCGTAGTGGGCAACGACAAAGCGAGGGAGACATATTACATGACTGCAGCCGATCCGTCGGGCTCTGATCCTCCTGAAGAGCGAATGAACAAACTCCTCAAAGCCAAGTACGATGCAGGACTCCTGCGGCCTTTCAACTATGTCAAGGGTTATGCGAGGTTGAACCAGTACATGGAAAAACATCTGCAACAACCCTCACGCCAGAAGATTCTCCGGCAACTAGACAAATTCCGGCCCAAGTTTCGAGAGAGGATGCAGAGTCTTACTGACATCGAACTGATCCTGGTGGAGATGTGGTTCGAACGAAGTTTGATGGAATATGATCGCGTTTTCGCCAGTATGGCTATCCCTGCATGTTGTTGGAGACGAACTGGCGAAATCTTCCGGGGGAACAAGGAAATGGCAGAACTAATCGGTGTTCCGATTGAGAACCTGAGAGACGTGAGTTGCCTTATAGTAACCTTCTGATTGTTACGCTAGACTAATATGCCAATGTGCCATAGGGTAAGCTGGCTATTCATGAAATAATCGTGGAAGATCAGCTTGTCAGCTATTGGGAAAAATTCGGAGCGATTGCATTCGATAATACCCAGAAAGCTATGCTTACTAGCTGCACCTTGAAAAATCCCGAGTCTAACTCTCCTGGTGATGGCATTCCATGCTGTTTCTCATTCACGATACGAAGAGACAATCACAATATGTCAGTTGCGCCCTCCGGATTATATGTCATTTGAATCGTGCTAATAGACTTCCAGCCCGTCACTCATCATCGGGAATTTTTTACCCTCTCGGCGAAAGAGTAAATGATCATATGGGTTCAAAATTTGTTTTATAGGCGCCAGCAGATTTCCGGGAATAGTTTGTCTTTTTACATATGAAATTAGAAGATATTTTCGTGGGCTCTTGCCTATGCTTCGACATTGTCGTTGAAGATTGTGGATATCCATTTCTTACTCGACTTGCACTGTTAAAGAAGAATGTAAATTGAGGCCCTCCAAAGCATACTCAAAATCCTCTCTCGCACCTGATCATTGTTCGATGGATTTGGCTAGCTTGGTCAGGTGGACGGGCCTCAACTCTGCCTTCCTCTCAACCTAAACCTGTAGTTTACACAATAGAGCTCACCTCTTGGCATCCTGAGAAGCTCTTTCCATCATGACAATTGGTCCGGAACCCACAGGCTACCAAAAGGCCACTCGTCTCATCATGGACCCGACACATCTAGACAGCTCACGAGCCGAGGCCATTATAGGTAAATCCATGGTCCCATAAAGTACCAGGCTTGTCAAATCCATTCCTCCTTCTAACTTGTTACGTTGCCATAAGCATTTGCTAGGGAAACTCAGGATCGGGTTTCTGAAAATAACAGCTTCAATGAGGCCCTCGACCTCGATGCACTCTGTAACCTTGACAATTTCCTCAACGACATCCATCTGCCACGGGCAGCGGTCCCGCATGCCTTTCGTCGTCAAATGGATCACGAAGGTGTTCAACTGTGGAACATGTGTGTGCAGCGAACGCTACATCTTGAAGATAAAAGGAAGATGAAGCTGGTTTGCAAGGGTATGGCGATATGGACGACAGAATTCCTGGGCTTGACTGATTCGGTACAGTGAAATCCTTGGCCTATTTGATGATTGAAAGTGTTGCTTCGAGGCAGGGTGCAAGTAAGTTACTCTTTGCAAGCGGGCATGTTGTAGAGCTTATCATTGGTAGGAAGCTTTCGAGTTTTGAAAATGGCCTTGAGTGCGGCCATGGCGTGCGCGGGTATTTCTTTTCTTCTTTCCCTGTTTCTTCTTTAACCCCTCTATCTCTCTACCAAGGCTAACGTGTCATTCCAGAAACAGATCAATTCGACTTGAGCCAGAGGATAATTGAGACGATAGCCGTGAGGCTAGACGACCTTGAGAAATCGATAACCCAAAATGAACCCCAACTACAATCCGTCACCGTTGAGTATTACATGCTTCGTACATACCTGGTTAACAAATCAACGAGCCCTTTTAGACGATTTATGATTTGACTGACAATATTTACTAGTCTTGGTGTCGAGGAAGGCCCGACATAGCAGACCATCTGTTCTCAAAGATCCCGGCAACCCACTTTGACAAGAACCAAGGATGCGTACTAGACATATGCTATAATATTGGCAACCTAGCGCTCTTATCCCATGAGTATCACGCAGCTGTCATGTGGCTAGAAAGAGCTTTGAAGGCATACGAGCAGCTGAATAAGGGCTCTCAAGGGCCTGACATAAGCTTGGAGGAGAAGGTCCTGCTTGTCGCATATGCTTTCGGTAGGTTGCTTGCATTAATCTCTCGCACAGAGCAAGGATGCTTATTGGGACAGCGCGCGCTTGCCTCCATGTTGACAATTCGGAATCGAAGGAGCTTTTCAATAGAGCCGTCGAATCACTACAAATCGTGAGAATTGCCATGTTATCTACGTCCTTCTCTAATGATTGAACAGAGACATGGTGATACGTTTGCTGTTCAGATTTTACAATTGGAGATGCTCAGCACCGAAGAAAGCTTCAACGGCCCAAAGTACTTGCAGAGTGAGTGCTATAGAGTAACATACGCACCGACAAAAGATTGATAACAGATCAAGTCGTTCAATCTGCCTTCAAGACAATGGAGCGTAAACGGACCCATTTGGACTTGTAATAATCTGCTTCCTCAATCCAAGGGCATTTTTAACTGTGAAGACAGACTCTTGTGCTATGTCCAAAAACTGAGGAACTCAAAGTAGGTTTCTATACTATCTTCCACCGCCAGACTGACACATAGTAGCGTCGAATGCTATATACAGGCACTGAAGCAGCTCATTACCGAGACACTTGTTCCACTCGCAGAGAGAGACTTGATTGAACTTACATTTATTCGGCTGGTCTGGACATTGACTGATGCAAGTATCGAGGTCCAACATAACCTTGATGTTTTACAGGATACGTCGCAAAGGCTCATAAAAACGCTGGGCCCTTTGAGTGAGAAGGGGACACATTCTGCTTTGATTGTAATGTTGCAACATGCTAAGTTGAGGTTATATGCTTATGAAGATACAGCTTATCTGGAAGTATGTGGACCTCAAAGTGTCCATGGATGATGCCTCCACTGCAGAGAAATGGTGCTCTTTCGTTCTCGAGCAATCGGTCTTTCAAACATCTCTAGATGTGCGCGGAATATTTCTGAGGTTAGTGTTCGTCATACCTGCTTACCTCGATCTAATAAAACTTAGAAAATTGATCATCTGTGCTTTGAATAATCCGGGCACCTCCACATTGCATAGCACTTTCAACAAAATGCCAACTCAATGTCAACAATCCCCATCCACCTTATATCTCATGTACAAGCATGCTCTCTCACGAAGGGGTATTGCTGAAGGTATGCTTTTACCTTTTGGATGTGCCATATCTGACCTGTTAAAGCATCTACGTATCTCAATACGCTCTGTGAACAGGGGGACCAGGCAGATGCCTATCTCTTGCCGTGCATAGGGGAGGCGGTACAAGTGGGCCAAAGTCTACACGCAGCCAAGATATGTGAGCGAATACTCGCAACTGGAGATTCTAATTGCCTCAAGGCATTTAACGTCAAGGATCTGTTCCAGTATGATGCACCTCCCCATCTCGCTGGAGAATACATGCTAAAAGCTGCTTCATACACGTGCTTCATCCTTTGACCAATATTGAGACATGTGGCCGGAATGAAGAAAACCACATATTACAGCAGTCTGTAATCATATTTGAGGCCGGTACGTCTTTCTTAAAAAATCCCCGAGGTCAGGTCACTCTAAATCTAAAAGTCCTAGCCCTCAAAGAAGCCCGCAGGCAAGACATAGCCCAATTCTCATCCATTCAACTAGAATGGCTCTCTCTCAGGAGTTATAATACCGCGGTGCGACTTTACAAAATTTCCCAACCTAAAGCAGCCATGCAGCTATTACGCATATCTACCAAGGTAAATCACACTCTCAATGCCCCTTAACATGCAAAACCCAAGGTGCCAACACGTTCAGCTCGCCGAAATACACCAACAAACCCTACCAGTAGAAGCCCAGCCCAATGCACGCCAACACATTCTTCTCTGCAATTTCCTTCTCGCAATGATAACAGCAATCACAACCCGCAAAGCAAAGACTGCCTCCCAAAAGGTCAGCCCAACTCATTGATTTCTAACCTCTCCCTAAGGAAACACATACTCATATACGCCAATCTAACCAATCCAACTCGGCCCAGAGAAAACACTATGAAGACCTTCACAATGTCGCAAACCACATCCACGCCTCCATAACCGAGCTCAACCCAACGACCTACCAAGAATGGTCACTCAAGTACCGCGTCATCCTAGCATTGCACTTCGAAACCACCATCTTCCTTCAGAGATGGGATGACGCCGCCACTATGATCGAAAAAGCAGGCCCAATATTCGATGCAAAACTCGCATCTATGTTTATGGATTGTTTACTTCGCTCTGATGCCCCGGTGACGGAGATGGCGAGGTTGGTTAAGGTATTGTTCACAACACAATCTCCCTCCTCCGTCTGTCTCTCAATGTCATAATTGTGCATATCAATCGATGTATACACCCACATACACGCCCACACAGACCAAACCAAACCACAAAATCTCCCATATAAGTCCATATTATCACAGAAAAACAGGCGAACCAAACCAAGCTAACCTCAAACCAAACTCCGTCATATAGATGATAATCCGCACCCTCCACACCTCCCCCTCCCCGCACCTCGACCCCCAATACTTCCGAACAGTACTTCCGCGCTACCTCCGGGTCCTTTTCCAGCTCTCCCTTGACGCGAAAGACGACGCACTCGCCGAATCCGTCCTCGACCAGACCCTGGTTCTAGTTCGTGACGCGCACCAGTCTTCTCCGCCTCCATATACCTACCCCAATGAAGAGATTCAATGGATGTCGACCGTCGGGTTTAATCGTGCTGTGGAGTTTTATCGCGCGTCTAGAGATGAGGAGTTTCAGCGTTGGGTAGAGAAGGCGATTGCGTTGGCGGATTTGATAGATGGGATTCATAAGGGTGAGTTGGGAGGGTTGCTACGGCGGAACTTTGCGAGGTTAACTTGAGGAAAGGTAAGAGAGAGATATTCTCGAGAATGCCAGTAATCATTTTGTATGTGGGTTTATGAAGATCAATTTGTGTTATGGAACAGGCGTTGAGGTTAACTTGAAAGATAACCAAATCAATATATTTAGCATTGAACCATGCTGTAACAAGACGGACCTCTTCAGAAATCCGTTCGAAAATGGGGTATCATGTGGGAATTAGACGGAAATTAGAAAATACGCATGAAGAAGGGGTCAGGAAAAGGCAGTTATGCCCAAAAAAGACATGAAAAGCGAAGGCAGAACGACCGGAAGTAAATGAAGTGAGTGCAATACAGCCACAGGAGTGTTTGTAAAAGAATTGCAAGCCAAAGGCGTGAGCGGGTGTTGTGCTCCAGACTCCGTAGATCGCTATTGTACCCAGAGAGAGACGGTATCAAAAACAACACCGGCAATGCAAGAAAGTAATATGGGCTCGAAAGAGAATCATAATAGCCTGCGGCTTATTCAAGTCTGGCATAAAGGAAGTATTTCCTTTACAGAATGTCCAGACATTTTGGAAAGGAAAAGAAGGAAATCGGCATCGAAAGATGTAATGGAATGGAAAGCACATAGATTATCCCGCATTCGCATCAAAAGAATGACTTCTCAGGACCTTCTGTGATTCACGTTGGCCCAAGTTCGGGGTTGATGGCACCCGACGAGCTGGCTTATGCGTCGGAACCGCTAGTCTTTCATTTTCTTTTCCGCTGCTATCAGTCTCAGCATCTGCGCTATCGCATGCATTCGTTCGAGAGGTTAAAACCCTCAGAGTGAGGTTCAGTTCCCGCTCCAGCTCTTTTTGAGAGTGAACACTATCAGTGGATCCGTTGAGTTTCTTTCTATAAGCTCGCAACGTACGGCAAACTTGATCGGTAGACGTGTCTAAATTTCCAAACTCAGTTCTGTTGGAGCTTCGAGTACGCGTACGTAGTTCGTGTGAGTGGCGAGCAGTGCTATTTGTATGCCTGCTTTTCTTTCCAAATGCGGACTTGGGACTCGACGGCGAAGGCGATCTGTGTTGTTTCTCAAAGCGATGGCTCGAAGCAGAAGATCGATTAAATGAAGCGTAAGGCGGAGTTGTCGGCAATGAGTGACAGTGCTTCCCAGATGAAGGAGCGAGCGAAAGTTTTGACAGTTTCCGGGATAGCGGCGGGGAGTGTTCGCGCACTGGAGTTGGAGTGCCAGGTATATTTTCTTGGCGATGAAATCCGGCAAGGTCGGTACGAGACAATAGTTTGCGCAGAGGAGGATTGGAAGCAGATAGTTCCTTCGGAGCTGTGTCTTCATCGGTTCGCTCTTGACTCTGCAGCGGCTGCACTGATACGTTCCATATCATAACAATACCATCAATGCCTGAACTAATTATAGTCCGAGCGACGGGTTGCTCGTGAGAACATGACTCGCGTTCGAGCAGACAAACGTCACTGACACCCTCTGTATGGCCAAATTCACCGGTAAGAAGAGCTGCCCGTTCTATATCGTAGACGCGGATCGATTTGTCCGTCCCCGACACCCCAATGAGAAGCCTGGGGCTTTGTCCTGGAACTTCTTCGGCAACTGTTAGGGAGCCCATAACGACAGTATCACTGGAGTCGGAGTCGGCAGGGCGAAATGATTGCAAGAGGCGGCCAGTAACGATGTCGTAATGCTGGACACAGCGGTCTATTGTGGATACGACGACAACGTTTGCGTCTTCAGGGGCCAGAGTCATAGAAATCGGAGACGCCTTCAACGTGATCACTCTTGATACTAGGTACGCAATTTCTGTCGTCCCATTTTCCTCTCGGGTCACACGATCCCGAACACGGATAGTACGGTCGGCAGAGCCAGAGAGGAGCTTTTCACCGTCATTGACGAAGAGCAACTGGCTGATAGCTCCGACATGATCATCCATGGTTTGTATTAGTTGAAAGTCCTCGTCGGATTTTTGGAAGAGCTGGACCATGCGGTCACGTCCACAACTGGCAATCAAGCGGGAGTCAAAAGTTGAATGCAAGGCAATGTCTGTGATTTCACCCCCATGCGCTCGAGCTTCATTTGTACAATTCCAGGTTTTGCCATCCATTACTCTAGCATCCTAAGTCAGCAAAAGTCGAATCCTTGAAAACAGGAGAGTCGTGTTAATACCTCAAGACACCAAATTTATCCCCTGCAACAAAGAGATCCGTATCATGCGTCGTACGAAGGACTTTTAGTTCATTTGAAGAGTCCTCGCTACTTCCAGAAGCCTCTAAAGGGACTGTTTGGGTCGCTCGATTCCGGCCCCGGATGTCCCAAAAATTCACAGTGCCTTTACATGACCATGTGAAAAAGTCGGCGTCCAGATCGTTTGGCAATTGCAAAGGTCGGACACCAAGTACAGCGTCTTTGTACCCAGGAAGGGAATTTGCCGTATCAGCCAGCTCATTTTCATCACCCAACGCCTCAACGGGGTACACACGGATTGCCCTTGTAACATCAAGTGTCACCAGATGTGAGGTGAGATATCCCATACAGCTTATGGCGGGTTTTTTATCTTGAATTTCTGTCAGGAAGGACGACTCTGACTGAGTCGGCGACGGAGGCGGAATCGAGTTTTGTAAAATGTTCAATGGGACGCTTTGTATTTGCCCATCACGGCCACCGATCCAGATGCAGGACCGATCTGAATCAACCGCCAAGGAAGTGATCCCGAAGCCTATGTGCTGAACAAGAGATAACTTTTGAGTACCCTCGTTATCGTCTATAAAGCAAAGTGACCCTTTATCTGTGCCTACAACGGCACCAGTATCGGAGACGCTCGCCACGCTAGTAAACGTGCTCTCCGCCAAAGTACCTAGTAAGCAATTTCTCCCTGACAGTGCCTTTGGAGTAATATTCGGAGAGTTCGGGGCCGATTCCAGGGTTAAGCGTGATTTCATGGGCGATCCGGGCCTTGCGTCTGCGAGTCTCCAGACTTTCACATGTCGAACTCCGGCACTAGAACTTGGTTAGTACCAAATCATACTACCGTGGAATTTCACAGCAATACATACGTGACCAAGGTTTGTCCCATCCAACACATGTCCCTGATGTGTGCAGTACATTTATTGGTCGAATGGAGCTGTGCAGCGCCATTTTTCGGGCTGATCGACCACACAAAAAGAAACCCGTCATTCGCATCCCCCAGCGTCGCTAAGTTCAATGAGTTGGAGCTGAAAGCAAGACTGCGGACCCCAAATGTATGGTCGTTCATAATAGAGAGAGGGACGTCGGAGGGGGCATCTTTTGCCGTTGAAAATATCAGAACTCGCGGGCTATAACCGGTCTGGGACACGTTAGCAAGTGCATCTAATCGTCGGAAGAAAAATCCATCACTGACCTCCCCAACTGCAAGTAATCTCCCATTCGGACTTATAGAAACACCAGTAACCGCTTTCACTCTTTCTCTCGATGACCAAGGTCGGGGGCCGGCACTTTCTGCCAAATCGCTCGAAGGAGATCCATTGTGGACACTGGCGCTCGATGTAGGTCTCAGGCTTGATAGAGGTTTCGCACGAGTATCCGGGGTGGTAGGAGGCGTGGACTGGTGGTAGTATGAGGTGACCGGGTTGACGCTGGACACGGAGGGTCGAGCTCTGAAAAAGCGTTGATTCACGTTTCCTGCCTCGTCCACCTCTGCCAACACAGCCGCAGAACCGGCACAGAAAGCAAAGGACTTGCTTTGATCGTGACTCGAGAATCCATTGGGGGTGGTTGTGGTGGTGCTGATTACCGTCTGGAGAGTTAAAGTACTCTGGTGCAAGGGAGGTTTGTTGGGGGTGCGCGGCGGCGGGCGTAGATTGGGCGAGTTGGAAGGAGTAACTCGGAGGGACGATCCGGGGCCGGATGATTTGCTTTTCGCGCTCAACGAAGTGTATGCCATGGCTAGCAATGAGTGTTGTCAATCATCCACTGTCTCTTGATATAACGAGGTCTTCATTCGCATTGATTGAGTTGGTTGTATGGGTGTGGTTTCTGGCCAAGTATGCAGCAAGCTACTTGCATTGCCCACAAGTAGCGTGCGCAAGAAAAGCAAACGGACGAGGAAACGGGAAGGAACGAGAAAGTTTCTGATCTATATCTTCATGCAGGCGAAGAATGTTTTGAGCACGTCAGAACGACTCGATCAAGTTTGGCGGAAGAGGCGTTTTGCGGTCGGCCGGGCAGATATGAAGAGGGGAAAAGGATCGGAGATTGCACATGAAAAGACAAAGAAAGAAAGGAGATTTAGCGAGAGAGAAGTGAAAGCTAAGAATAGCAGTAATGAGCGACGGTTGAAATTAACGAGAGAATGTAGGGGAGTGTTTGAGCCGGGAATGAAGCAAAGAGTGGACACGGCGCTGTCTATCTATTCATGTACAGTAGGTAAACATGAGCTCCAACATTCCAGAAGGCGGAGAGCCAAAAAAATGATTGACGAACCTATCTTTGACCCTTGGCGCTGGGATGGAAGGATCTGACATTGGGCAGAAAATAGTCTAATTAAGTCGGCTTAGCTCGAGACTACTTTAGTAGGGAGTAGCTCAGTAGATCAGCGCAGGAATGGGACTATAGATCATTTTGCTAGTCCGGAATATGATCAATTCCAACGGCGGGGAGTTAAAGTGAAGGGGGATAGATAGATAGACGGATGCAAGGAGTGCCTAAGCAGCAGAGGAAGGGCAAAGATCCCATAGCGAAGCATCCCAGGCATCACGCCAGGGAGGGGAGGAAGGAAGAATCGATGAAGTGTTGAGGCCGGTGGATCATCCTCAGGCCGCCAAGTGGTCCCGCGTCATGTGGGGACGCCAATCCTGCCTGAACGGGAAGCCTCAGGATTTGCTTTTAGAGTCCTTGTTATTTGGTATGGAGTTTACGGAGTACACTGTGTAGACTGTAGAGTACTGAGGGTTGACGAAGATAGTAACAAACATGGGCTTTAATCTACCTAGCAGACCCTTGGACCAGGTGGGGTTGTTGAATCCAGCCAGGATAACCTGCTCAATGCCCCTGAAATGGAATATATCGACGGCGGGAGCTGCCAGATATATTTCCCGTAGAGACGAGGACACCGATCAATCCGATAGGTATAATCCGTAATGTGATGCAGGTTCCAGACCAGCTCAGATGGCCGCGTCAGTTATACTGTATGTTATTGTAGACGAGGTTTGTCCGTGTCTAGACAGCTGACCCAAAGAGGAAAGCGTTTCTTATCGCGACAAGGTCACGTGCTGCCTATCTTATCGGGCGACGCCTCCCTGCCCCGTCGAGATTTTCCTGCGTCGCCAGTCTCCAAGTTCTGGACTACAGCATAATCAGCCATAAACCCGGCTTGTGTGATTAGTTCTGGGAAAATGTCTTCTCTCCGAAATCTGTTTCGCACTTGTCTTCGGGCCCAATTTACCCACGAGTCTTCTACTCCTCTCAACTATCGGAATCATCTGGTTCATCACGGAGCCTTCCTTCCCTACCGCAGATGCCAGAATGCGACGCGATTTAGTACACACTCGGGGCGTCGCTCTCTCGAAGTCGACTCAGATATTATTTCACAGCAGATACTTTTGTCCAATACGGATCGGCCTTCGTCATCACGGCGGCAAAAGAAGAAACAAGACCAGACAGATGCGACGCGGAAGCCGAAACGCACCGCCAATACAGCAAAACCTCCAGCGCGTGCTGGTTCCAAGTCTACCCAGAAACGATCGTCAGGATCCTCGCACACGAAAACACACTCAGCTACGGACCGAGCTCCCCTACAACCGAAACCAAAGAAGAAGCTGGAGGGGTGGCAAATTCAGAAGGCCGCCTTGAAGGATAAATTTCAGGACGGATGGAATCCAACCAAGAAACTGTCGCCGGATGCCCTTGAGGGTATCCGTCATCTACATTCTATTGCCCCGGAAAAATTCACCACCCCCGTCCTCGCGGAGCAGTTTGAGGTGTCGCCGGAAGCCATTCGACGGATTCTGAAGAGCAAATGGCGAGCTACCGAGGAGGAGTTGAACAATCGTCGCGAACGATGGGAAAGACGACACGATCGGATTTGGAACCATCTAACTCAGCTGGGTCTTCGGCCGCCAACAAGGCGTACCACACCCTCTGACGATGTCAGTATCCTGTACGAGAAGCGTGGTGACGAGAGAAAGTGATGGAGATTTACCGTGGATGGCATACCTGTTATCAGGTGCGCTTCAAGTCGGGAGTCGAAAAGGTCCCATTGTATCTATACTAATCATGTATTTACGTACGCATTAACCCTGTATAATATCAGATAGAACTGCATTAGTCGTCGGTTTCATGCTTGATCCTTGGAATGGTCGTGTCTGGAACATGTGACGTGTCTATAGGAGCATGGCGAAAACTCGAGGTCATTACGAATAACCAATATAATACTGCGCGATATACAAAGCCAACCTATGCAGTAATAAGTAATTGAAGCTGTTGCTTACCTACGGAGTTAGACAAGGGCCCACTGTTGGAGTAGTTCGGCCGTCATGCAAGTCCGCAGCCAAACGAACCGCGTCGCCGACAATCACGCCGGACTCGACCTGCGCCGGGTCTGACTTGCTTCCGCTCGACTTTCTTCCCTTTCTCGCCCATTCTGCCCATGAAGATGAACTTGAACGTGAACACGACCATGGCTCGCTTGATTTGACAGCATGCCCTAGATGGCCTTCTATCTTATGTATTTTCATTCGCATTGTATCATACCCTTCTGCGCTTGATCGCAGACTCCGGTGGCGGCTGGTTCCCACCTCTCTCCCTCCAGATTCTCTTCATTCCCGCCTACCTTTCTCCGTCCATATGGTGATTTTTCGACGGTCGCCATGTCATCGGACATCCAGGTCTTCGTGAAATGGAAAGATCAGACCATATTTGCGGGAGAGGACGTGGAATGCACAATTACCTTCAAGAACGTCGCAGATGGTACCGGCGAATCGAAGAATGGCGGACCACACTCGCACCAGAGGAAGCAGTCCCGAGCTGCCAATGTCACTCCTCACTCGGATTCCTTCTTTTCCCTGAAATCACCCCAGAATCTCTTTTTTAATAATAATCGCCGCTCGTTTCCGTCGAGAAACCCGCACCACCGCATCTCTTCGTCGCTGAGCTCCCCGTTAATCGGCTCCCACAGCTTCCCGCCCCCCTCCACCCCCCGAAGTGCCTCGTCCTACGGCCATAAACACAAACGCTCCGTTTCGATCCTTTCGATAGATAGCGAAGGCGGCGGTGATAAGACCCCGAGGACGTCCTCTCAGTTCAACCGTCCCCGGCCGACACGCGGCCATGGACGTTCTGCAAGCTTACAGGTTGTACCGAGGCGCTACGAAGGCTACGAGGAATCTCCTCAGAAAGGTACTTAACCCACCCTTATCGGCGATCAATGCATGACAATCTGACCGTTTTGTTCATCTAGCTGCGCGCTTCCCCTCTCGTGGCTATCCGTCTCCTGTCACCCCCTCCGCCAATGGCCCGAGAGTCGATGTAGAGCGGCTGAGTCGAACCAGCCGCTCTGGATCTGAAGTCGCTAGTCCTACCAGACCTACCGAATCACCGCGCACCCCAGCTCGCAGGCCTCAATTGCCGCCGATGGACTTCAAATTTCCTCCGCCTGACGCGAACAACCTTCGACCTGACGCATCACCCGCAGTGACTCCGAACGATGAGAATCCCAATGGCGCGATGACGACAAGAACAAACGGAAAGGATGCATCGACTCTAGCCGCGCCGGGCCAGTTGCCCCAATTGACCAAGATCATGTCGACGTCGAGCTTAAGTGGAAGTCACAAGAGCAGCGGCGAGTTTTACTCAGCCGGGAACAACTCGTCCGAGACTCTGCAATCTGAATACACAAATTACTCCCTCCCCCCACCTGGACCGGGCGGTCCTCGTCATTCGCGCCATATGTCCAGCTTTGAGCCTGTAGGCATGTCGCCGAATAGCCAAACACTGCTTATGGGATATGCTCAGATCAGTGCGTCGTTTACCGTGGATGGCTCGTTGATACAGCAGTCCGCGTTTGATGATGTCAAGCGGAAAGGCGTGGTTGGTGGACAAGGAAGCACTTCCGGAGCTTCCAAGGGAAGGCCCGGTTCGAGCGGCGACAAAGGCCGAAAGACCGGTGGGTTTTGGGGCGCTTTCAAATGGAATGCAATCGAAGAGTCAATAAATGGGCTCCTCTCCAATAACGAACTTGATGGCCTGCGGGACATGCGGGGAGTCACTTCGTCCAAGTCGATCCCGTTATTGTCAACCTCTCAGTCGCTTCTTTTTGTAGATCTCCGACTGGCGCCCGGGGAAGAGCAGTCTTACTCCTTTGCTTTTACTCTACCCTCTGGTCTCCCAGCGAGCCATAAGGGCAAAGCCATCAAGATCTCATATAACCTAGTCATCGGCACTCAGCGCCCAAGCAGGCCAAACGAACCTCAGCGGGTCAATCGCATCACGATCCCGTTCCGAGTGTTTAACGGCGTCAATGGTAAGCCTTTGCTTCTTCGTTCGATTTCTCCTGATTTTTCGTTCCTTCTACCGTTCTAGCATGACTAACTGGTTGACGGTATGCTAGACCAAGGGGAAATACTCGGCCATGATCTAATGAACCCTTATGTGCTCCTGCGCGACGAAGCTCGGGTGCAGAAAGTCGGGAATCCTACTCCCCCAGTTGCAAAGCCGAAGAGTATCAGCGGCGCAACCTGGAAGTCAGCCCCTGACTTTTTGAACTACGTCGATGAAATCCTGGAACACAGCGCCCGCAGTAATCTACTCCAACCCCCAGACGCTTCCTCAGACAGACGTTCGATCCATGAGGTCTCGACAGGCCCAATATCTTGTAAGGACTCTATTGACCTGGCTATTCTCCGGAGTAACCAGGCATTCAGCTCGTCGCGCAGCCCGAATAGATTTGAGATTGCGCGCAACGGACGCCGAATTGCAGTTGTGGTTCTCAACCGCCCGGCCCACCGATTGGGGGAAACCATCATGGCAACCGTGAATTTCGCGGATGCTTCACTTCCATGCTACGCCATCCGAGCGACTTTGGAGTCCTCCGAGAGGGTGGCAGCTTCGTTGGCCGTGCGATCTGGGGCCAGCATCCGACGGGCCACCCGTCGCGTGCACGCCTCTTTCTTTGAAAATACCTTATACTCTACGCGTGTGGTCTTCAGTCCTGCCGTGCCAATTACTGCCACGCCCACGATTCTCACTAGCGGAGTCAATTATGATTGGGAGTTACGGTTCGAATTTGTGACGACTAGCGTACATAATGAAGGGGAAACGGGTCCCTCGGGCGAGAGACTTCTCGAAGCGGTGCATGAGGATGACCGGGGCCGTATCATGACGGCGTTGGAGAGCTTAGGATGCGAGTCCTTTGAGATATCGATTCCCATCACCATTTACGGCGAAACGGTTCGCGAGCGAGTGCCGGAAGAAAACGAGGGATACTCTATATAATGTAGAGAGAAAGATTTTGGATTTCTGCATCAGCGGCGTGTCTCTTTACTTTTATGCTGCATGAGTCGCTGTTCATTTCTCTTTCTTATGTGTCATATTTGTTACTCCTGCGATGTCTGGATGATTGGGGGATGTCATTGGCAATGTTTTGGATATACATACATCATATGTCGACTTTCGAGTACACAGTATTCCTCACGAGAAGACAGGGAGTTTTTCTCCACTACACTACTGGGTAGTACAAGCAGGATAGGATATAAACTCGGCACTAACATGTCATCCAGTCTGCAGTATGAGATGAAGATAGGGTCACCGGGGCAACGGCGGACGGGCGCACAGCATCCATGGAACGAAGGCGAGACTTGGGGGAAAGACAGGTTCCGCTTGTGGGAATCCGTGGGGACGCCTGCCATCGATGACGGAATAACTCTTCCCTGCCGTGTTTTGGTGATCGATGTTAATCGTTAATTTAATTCATAAATAATAAACCTTTCCATCGCCAGATCGTCCGTGCACCAAAACGAAGATCCCTCGGATTTCTCTTCCACCGCCACCTTTTTCTTATTCCCCCCCCTTCTCAGCTGACTGCGATATCCCTGCGGTAAGTCACGAACGTCGCGAACCTCCCCGGCCGGTAGACAACTTCAACTGACTCCATCCCTTTTATCGTTCCGTCTGGAATGTAGGCGCATTCTTAACTACCCTCCGTCACACCTATCAACAAACCCCCATTTACCCACGACAAGCTTTGAGTCCAGCAAATCGGAGAATTCGACGGAGTGAAGAGGAATTCGACCTCCCTTGAGTGCCGCTTGCCAGGGGACTTTTAGTGTCGAGAAAGTCGAGAAGGAACAGAGAAGTTGAGAATGGCTTCATTTATCACCACCATGTCCGTGCCCACCGTTGCTTCCTCTGCTACCCCGCCATCACACCCACCGTCATCGTCTTCTTCATCCCACCCATCATCCACACAAATTCCCCAGTTGCTCACCCCTGACACCTACGATACTATCCACACATCTCGTGCCCCTCTCAGCGAACCCCCCTCCTACTTGTCGCCGGCCGTTCGCGCCCTGAAGCAAGGTACCCTTGGACTGACCCCTCCCAGCAATGCGCGCACGCGAGCCCCCTTCAAACCGCGATCGGCGGCCAAAGGAACCAGCAGTTACCAGTTGAGACAGTTCGCAGAGGCAACGCTTGGAAGCGGTAGTCTCCGGAAGGCCGTGATTCTTCCCGAGGGCGAAGACCTGAATGAATGGCTTGCGGTTAATGGTAGGCTTGTCCACCCGTCCCGCGGTGGTTTCTCGCGCCTCAGCTAATCTTTTGTGTGATAGTTGTCGATTTCTACAACCAGATAAACCTTCTTTACGGCTCAATTACAGAGTTCTGCTCGCCGCAGTCATGTCCGGAGATGAAAGCGACAGATGAGTAAGGTGTCTTGCCCCAGGCACTGAGAAAACGGGGACTGACACCAGACACTCTAGATTTGAATACCTCTGGCAGGATTCGGAGAACTTTAAGCGGCCCACGAAGATGTCAGCCCCGGAATACATCGAGCACCTGATGAGCTGGGTCCAGAGTAATATCGACAACGAGCAGATGTTCCCCAGCAGGCTGGGTATGTATACTTCCGAGACGGCCATTCTAACGCGAACAGGACGACTGACCCGAAGTTCTGCAGGCGTCCCATTCCCAAGAGCGTTCACCAGCCTAGTGCGACAGATCTTCAAGCGGTTGTATCGAGTGTACGCACACATCTACTGCCACCACTACCCGGTCGTGGTGCATCTGGGACTGGAGCCCCATCTCAATACGAGTTTCAAACACTACGTGTTATTCATCGACGAGCATCGGTTGGCGAGCGGGAAGGATTTTTGGGGACCGTTGGGGGATCTGGTGGAGAGCATGTTGCGCAGCGATTAGGTTGTTTAGATTGTTCGAGTAGGAAAAAGGCGGAAAGGAGAGGGACGATCCTCGGCGTTTTGCGGTGTTGGCATTATTCGCGATAGATTCATTTGCCTGGAATAGGCCGGGCGTTGCGACGTGACATGACCGAAATCGAGGGAGACACACGTATAGCTGTACCCGTGGATTAATGATTAAAACCATAATAAAAAGAAGCCTTCCCTGCGCGAGAAGATCGAGAACGTAGAGTAGTCAAGGACTCACGGTTATAACCGAAAACTCGGCGTGTGCGGGAACTCACGTGACCGGCAGCCGGGAGAAGTTGGACGTTCGACCTCAACTCCATCCCAGCACGACGGCCCATTCGCACCCCCTCCGATATCGACGTTCGCTCGTCTCGCATCCATCCACCCTTCTCCTCTCACTCGTCCGAGGCTTCCTGCTAAACCAGTCGCTCGTCACAATGATGTCCGCTCGTGTCGCCCGCGCCGGCCTGCGTGCCACCCAGCAGTTCTCCGTTCCTCGCGCTGCCGCCCTGAACGGCCTGAGGACCTATGCCACCCCGGCCCAGGAAGTCAAGCCTCCTGTGTCCCTGTTCGGTGTCGACGGTACCTACGCTACTGCTCTGGTATGAAAGGCACCTTTTCCTCCCGGAAGGACTCTGTCCTCGAACGCAGCTCGACGTGTTTTTCACCCTCTCCGTTGCCCCGGGTTTGAGCGAGAGAACTCTTTAAAAAACCGATCTCAACCTCATACACCTTCTCCCCCTTCCAATCCAACTCAGCGTCATTAAAACACATGATTCTCCCTCAATCTCATCCCTGCTAACACCTTCCCCTCTCAATTTAGTACACTGCCTCGACCAAGGCTGCCGCTCTCGACCAGACCGCCAAGGCCCTCACCACCCTCGGTGAGACCCTCAAGGCCGACCGCAAGTTGACCGGCATCATCTCCGCGCCCACCCTCACCGTCAGCGACAAGCAGCAGATTGTCCAGGAGCTGCAGAAGATCTCCGGCGACAAGGGCGACGTCGTCAAGAACTTCCTCGAGGCTCTCGCCGAGAACAACCGTCTCGGTCTGCTTGAGGGTATCACCGAGAAGTTCGCTACCCTCATGGGTGCTCACCGTGGTGAGATCGAGCTGAACATCACCTCTGCTCAGGTTTGTTTTTCCTTTTCCCTTGGATGAGGTGGTGGTGTTTTTGTGGGCGTGGTCTGGCAGATGGGATTGGATTGGATTGGCTTGAATTCATATGGAGATTAGGTATGATTTACTAACGTGATTGATAACTTGTAGGAGCTCGACAACAAGACCCTCAACCGTCTCGAGAAGGCCGTTGCCAAGTCCGAGGTCAGCCAGGGCAAGAAGCTCAAGGTCGTCTCCAAGGTGAGTTACCGTCCTACCCATACCTATCCTCAATCTTTTCTCCACCCAACCCCTACCTTACCATACATATACTAATACTACGAAAAACAGGTCAACCCCGACCTCGTCGGTGGCCTCGTCGTCGAGATCGGTGACCGCACCATCGACCTCAGCGTTTCGTCCAAGATCGCCAAGCTGAACAAGGCCCTCACCGATGCTTTGTAAATTAAGAAATATCCCCCGTTTTTCATACGTCCCCAACACCCACTTGTAACCCGTACCTTCATCCCCCGCAACAAGTTCCCTACACACTTTTCTTTTGAAAGTACTACTTTATCTACCTAGCATGAACTCTTTGTTCTGGAGATATGAATAGACAGAATTGAGTTGATCTTCTTTATATATATGTTTTCATTTGTTTGTGGTTTTGAATTTTGTTTGGTTAGGTGCCCGGTTCCTATGGGGTGGTGTTTGTTTTGTACGGAGTAGGTCTGATTGGTAGATGAGTGAGGGGTTCTCAGGAGTGGGAATGAATGAGAACGGATCTATCAGTATGAGTAGATCATGTCTCGATTCGATCAGTTCGATAAGTTAGGTAGGGTAGGGTAGGTAGGGTAGGCTAGGTGAACAAACCAGAGAGCGGCATGTCTATTCTATCAATCCGTTCCTACTGTTCAACCTCATCAGCACCCGCTGTAGTATAGCCAAGGCTACGTATTGCAAAATATGTACTTTGTACCCAAGCTGTAGAAGCAGATTCATGGAATTCGATCCATTTTTTATTGAGAGAAAGGGACATGAGTGGGTGGGAAGGCAAATCGTCCGAGTATTTGCTTTCTGTTCCTTTTTTATGTAGGAACAGGAAGTGATTAGAATGCGATGCGTAGAAGCTATCTATCTGTCGATCGACTTCTCTATCCCGGAAGAAACTACTGACATGCAGTACATTATCTATGCAAAAACAGTGTGCAATGCAGATAAACAGCTAGAATGCCTCATATGTGTGGTATTGGAGTATGAACAATCTAAACCCGAAAACACTGGCTATTCCAAACGCGACGAATATACTCAACTTATAATGACAACGAGATGACATCTCTAAAGAAATGTATCGAGGAAGGGAAAAAGAGTCGACCGAATTATATCGTCCAGATCATATCTACCTGCTTTAACGTCCATTCGGCGCCCGATCCGCCTGCGTCTCAAGCTCATCCTCGTAGCTCGCGATAGACGTCTGGCTGCGGATCCGTTGCAACTGGGATTCAACGTAGCTTGAAACATGATCGTCGCGATCTCGGCGCTCATCCTCCTCATCGTCGACGACGCTCTCGGCAGCGGGTGTTTCACCACCCGTGAAGGCCGACTCGAAGTCGCTTCTGTTGCCGATGGAGCGGCTGGTGGAGGAGCGCCGGACGCTGGGCCGTCGGCTGCCGCGGGGTCGGGCAGACCGGCTGAAGACGTCGTCGAAGTAATGGGTTGCGGCAGCGAAGGGGGAGCGTGGGGTCTGTGGAAGACGACAGTTGATACTGTAGCTGTTAGAATGGGACATCTAGGTTGATGTGGAAAAGGTAGTAGAAGAAAGGAGGAAGGAAGCATACCCAGTGTCGTGAATGATTTTGGCGATGAGACCTGTCCAACCGCATTGGTGAGAGGACCCCAGACCTCGACCAGTGTCTCCGTCGAAGAACTCGTGAAACCACATATAGTCCTTCCAGTGTTCGTCGAAGTCGAGCAGGTCGGAGTTGTCGTGCACTGCGCGGCGTCCTTCGTCATTCCGAGCAAAGAGATGTTGCATCCGGTGTTGGAGCTCCTCCGCTACCTGTTGTAGATGCATGTAATCTCCGGAACCCGTGGGACACTCGATCTTGAAAGAGTCTCCGTAGAACATGTAAAAACGCAGCAGCGACTCGACAAGCAGGAAGTTCACGCACAACCAGACGGGCCCGCGCCAGTTGCTGTTGCCACCAAATAGAGCACTGTCCGAGTCTCCGGGTACATAGCTCACACGGAATTCCTGCCCGTTTACAGCCATGGCAAAAGGATTCTTCTCATGATGCTTGGACATGGATCGAATGCCGTGCTCGGACAGAAACTCGGTCTCGTCGAGCATCCTCTTGAGGATTTTCTCTAGACGATCTCTGCTTACTAGTGACAAGAGCAATCGCTCGTCCTTACCACGACGCTTCATGCTGGCAATGTTCCGCTCTGCCACATCCTGCCTATTCTCAATAAACCAATCCAACCGCTTCTTGAACGACGGAAATTTCTTGATAAGTTCCGGTTCAAGTGTGAGGACCGCATACAATGGGATCAGACCGACGAGAGATCGCACGGGGAGCTGCTGAGTCCATGGCTCGCCGTATGAGATGGCGTCGTAGTAGAAACTATTCAGATTAGAATCATAAGAACAAGTCAGAGTGTGTGGATGCGTACCCGTCTTCTTCGTTCCAAAGAGAGGTCTCTTGTCCTCCGGACCTGAACGTCATAGCATCACTGATGAGGATGAAGTGTTCAAAGAATTTCGAGGCAACTTGGATACTTAGCATGGTGTTTACCATCAGCATAGTGTGAGCCGTTACTTACTGTCTTCATAGATTCTCCGATGCTTCGCAAGCTCTAGAGCAATGTTGAGCATGGTCAAACAGTAGAATGCCATCCAGCCAGTGCTGTCCGCTTGTTCCAAGACACCACCCGTAGGCAGGGGCTCCGATCGGTTGAATAAACCGATATTGTCTAGTCCGAGGAACCCTCCCTCGAAGACATTCTTCCCGTCAGAGTCCTTGCGGTTCACCCACCAGGTGAAGTTCAGGAGGAGCTTTTGGAAGACTCGTTCGAGGAAGTCCAGGTCCTGGCGACCGTACATTTTCCGCTCAATCTTGAACACACGGAACGTGGCCCATGCATGGACCGGAGGGTTGACGTCGCCAAAGTTCCATTCGTACGCCGCAAGCTGCCCGTTCGGATGCATGTACCATTCACGAGTCAGAAGGTCCAACTGCTTCTTCGCGAACTCCGGATCAATCATCGCCAGCGGAATGCAATGGAACGCGGTGTCCCAGGCAGCGAAGAAGGGATATTCCCAGGAGTCCGGCATCGAGAGGATGTCATCCATATACAAGTGTTTCCACTGCTGGTTGCGAACATGCTTCCGACCCGGCGGCGGCGGCACCATTGCCGGATCGCCATTGGCCCACTGGTCCCAAACGAAATGATAGAATTGTTTCGTCCACATCATTCCCGAGAACGCTTGTCTTTGAATGTTTCGTAGATCGTCACTCATGGGCAAGGGGCTGATGTGATAGTAGAAGTCGTCTGCTTCCGCTTTGCGCTGATCAATAACGTCGTCCAGGACCTCTTCATCAACAAAAGGTGCAGATTTCTGGGATAGTCTAAATCGGACAACGGCGCATCCTCCCGGAGGTACCCCCTCCCCTTGATCGAAGGCATACCACGCTGCGAATTTCGTGCCTTTCTGCTCCGGATTCACCGCACCCTCTTCACCATTGACGATATGACGATGAAAAGCATCTTTCACGTACGGTTGATCATTCTTGGTCTTCCAAAGTAGTTCATTGTTCGTCTCATTTTCCGTGAACAGCATCCGAGGCATAACGTCGTCCTCAGAGTTATCGGGCGACGGGGAGGGAGCGAAGCGTGCATATCTCTCCCCAAGCTTGTAATGCTTGGATTTCGCAGTGATCGGAGACTCCCGCTCGATGGACGGTTTGAGCGATGGATCCTCCCAACCCCAAGCCCATGTATTCCTAAACCAGACATGCGGAATGATATGCAGAGGGGCTGGATCTGGCCCTCTGTTGTAGGCAATGATGCGAAACAGGAGTTCCTCCTCGTCATCCTTCTCCTTGGCGGTTTCGATGAAAATGTCCCAGTAGCGATCCTCTGCAAAGGCACCGGTGTCGAGGATCTGATACTCACGTTCCAATCTTCCACGACGAGCGTTTTCATCCACAAGATCTTGGTAGGGGAACTTGGTTTGAGGGTATTTGTAGAGGAATTTCATGTAAGAATGCTAGACAGACAGATGTCAGACAATATAACCCCTAACAGAGGAAGGCGAGGTACCGTCGGTGTGTTGTCCAGGTGGAAATGCGCCTCCTTGACACTTTCTCCATGATTGCCTTGAGGATTGGACAGGCCGAACAGGCGCTCCTTCAAAAAGTCACTGTCGGCGGGATGATAAGCTAGGCACTCGAGGGAGATGCGCGAGACGGCGAATTAGACATACTCCTTCCCATTCCAAAATGAGAACGCGATGTTCTGCAAATTATGGGTGTCGGAAACGCCGGCAATGCCGTCTTCGCCCCAGCGATAGGCTCTTGAACGAGCGTGATCGTGCGAGAAATCTACCCGTGAAATCAATGCATATCAGCATTGGCCATAGATAGTAGAACACTACACCGTAGATTCGAGGTGGTGGAGAAAGACAGCACTCACAGCTCCAAGCGTCTCCATTCTCGCTGCAAAGGCGACAAATTAGCTTGGATTAAACAAGGAAAAAAGAGGGGGCGGATGCGACTTACGAATAATCCTCGCGAACTGCGGGGGACGAGAAATGAGGTCATTAGTCCGATCGGAGAGTAAGGTAGCAATTGCTCAGCATCGAAGACTCACCCGTCGCCCATTGTCTCTCGGCGACGTAGGGCCCCCATTTCTTCCAGTAGCGGTGGCGTTCCTTGTCTTCTTTCAGACGGATCTCCTCCTGGGACAGGTAACTGTGCTTATCGATTAACACCATGGCGGGGAAGCGGGACGGGAGACCGCCGGGGAAGTAGATCGAGGGGATGGATACGAAGTGTAGAGAGAGCGAGGGAAAAGAAAGGAGGAAAGGGAAAACGAAGGAGAAAGAAAAAGAAAAGAAATTGAAGCAGGCCGGGAGAGGAGGAGAAAGTATATTAGAGGGCAAGCAAGCAAGCAGCAAGCAGAAGCTGGACTAGACTAGAGCTGCGCGTACAAGTCAGCAACGGCCAGGATGAGAACCGGGAAGGACAGAGTCCTAATCGGGGTCTAGACCTCGAGGGGCCCGAGCCGTGCACCTGACATCATGTGCTCGGTCCCGGTTTCCCCTCTTCTTTTATCTCGCCTTATCAGCTGGATGGCGCTTGATTTTTGATCTTTGCTGGGTCTTGATTGAATCCTCTTAGCCTGAATTGACAGTGTTGATCGGCCTTCTGCTTGAACCCCATTTCGGTGTGGTTTAAGTCTACGGGGAGACGCTAAGGATACCACTTCTACCTAAGGCATTCATGAACCTCTTCAAAGCTCAATCCGTATCACATTTGGGTTGGAGATCATTCGATAAAGCGATCTACCTTCTCCATCTCCATAGCGCCGGTTAAAAGGATGCCGATTGTGGATGCGGGGGTGGGGTTTGGAGAATCCACAGTGTAAGCATATCCCCAAGCACTGAATAGCTGGAAGTAGCTGGAAAACAGTCGGAACCAACCGCATGGACAGTAATCTGACTGGATTTATAGAATGCAGCTCAAATCCTCTCGAGCGGAGATAGATTTCCGCCAACTATAGCGGCCCGACCCCATAAGCTCGAAGAACTCGGGCATCGGGTATACTCAATGACGTGGGATAGACCATGATCAGCATTTTCACGGAGACTAATCCACTGTTTATGCACCTTACTTCAGACTACTGCAACCGATACTTGATCTCATCAGGCTTACCATGTCATCGCGAAAAAAAGAAAACAAAAGCGGCAATCCATCCCCGCAGTGCTGGGGGTGACGAACCATGTGACTTTCTGCATGGCCTGATGGGTTATAAACCGACTGCCCCTCTTCTTCAAGTAGTGCAATACACTCTCCTGGGCATCTACAAACAGCCAGGAGTTCAATTAAGCCATCTGAAAATGAATGTTAGTGGTACGAGCCACAGCAAGATCTCAATCCGTTATTCTGACCAATCTACTAGACCCTCCAAATGAAAGCCCTAGTCTATAAGGGGCAGGGCAGAATGATCGTGGAGGACCGTCCGATCCCCCTCCTTGCCTCTCCATCCGACGCAATTGTCAAGATGCGCCACACGACCATCTGCGGCACCGATCTTCACATCCTCAAAGGCGACGTTCCCGCCGTCAAACGAAACCGGGTCATCGGCCACGAGGGAGTGGGGACGCTGATCGGGAAAGGATCCGCAGTCACGGGGCTCCACATCGGCGATACTGTGCTGATATCGAGTATTAGTGCCTGCGGCGTTTGCAAGTCTTGTCGAAAAGGACTCAATGCGCACTGTGTAGATGGGGGCTGGGTGCTAGGCAACAAAATCGACGGAACGCATGCCGAGTATGTGCGGATCCCGCATGCCACGACGTCCTTGTATAAGCTTCCTGTGAACATCAATCCAGCGGCGGCCGTTGCGCTGTCGGACGCGTTGCCAACCGGCATGGAATGTGGCGCGATCAGTGCCTCGGTGCAGCCTGGCCATCTGGTTGCGATAGTGGGAGCTGGGCCGGTTGGCCTGGCGGCACTACTTACTGCTAAGCTCTACACACCCGCAAAGATAGTGGTGATTGACAAAAATGAGACGCGGCTTGAATATGCCCGGAGGATCGGGGTGGATCATGCTATTAACGCAGATACACCTGACCTCATGAAAGAACTACACCAGATTACCGAAGGCTCTGGCTTCGACTCGGTCATCGAAGCTGTGGGTATACCGAGCACTTTCGAGCTCTGCCAACAGTTGGTTGCTCCTGGTGGCACTATTGCCAACGTTGGTGTTCATGGTCGGAAGGTTGACCTACAGCTCGATCAACTGTGGGATCGTAATATCAGTAAGTGGCACGAGAGAGCCTCATTTATCGTAAGCTGACCCAACCTAGGTATCAAGACCCAGCTGGTCAACTCCCATTCCATTCCGACTCTCCTGAGGCTTTCACAAGCCGGTCTTATAAGTCCGGAGACTATAGTGACTCATTGTAAGCACTCTACAAAGCCAAAGAAACAAAGAAACAAAGAAAAACAGCACTAATTCGGGAAATAGCTTTCCCATTCTCGGACATCGCTGGTGCTTACGCAAGCTTCCAGAATGCAGCAGAATTAGGAACACTCAAGGTAAAAATTGATTTCGAGCAGGATGATAAAGAAAAAGCAGCTGCCATGTTCAGACGAAGATCATCGTCCCTTCATTACTGAGTAATTCAGCCACACAAGGCCAGCTGTTCGTCTCACCAAAGCAGGCTTTTCCATAAGATAGATAGATAGTTTTGATCGAGACGACTGAGGTGTTTATCTCGAGCTCTGTCAACGCTTTTGCAGCTAAAGGTAAGGGTTCTTGAATATCGACGTTCTTGAACAAAATGGTCGATCGTTGAACTGGGGACTTGGGCTTTTCAACCATCTGACACCTCAGTATGGCTGCGAGGTTTATATGTATATAGAAAATCAAGAAAAGGAAACCAAAAAAAGATGAATCTATGAACCCCCATCGAGCCCAATGTCAACAGCATTTATTGTAAACCGTCGTTTTCTCCTGCCCATGTTGCTCTTAAGTTGACTAGTCAATACCACTCAATCGCGACATATACATTTATAGATCGTACCTTCACTGACCCCGGCCGAACTTCCGCAACACTTCGGACCAGTCCTCCTTCTTCATAAACTCTTCCAAAGTAGTCATGGAACACTCAATCCCAGCCTAAAACCGAAAAGAAAAATATCAGCCTAGTCCCTCCCTTATGAACTTATTCATCAACTCACCTTCCGTATATTCTCAGCCTTCAAAAGCCCTTCATCCCCACCATCGTACCCCGGATCGGTAGAATAAAGCAACATATCGCCTACCTCCCTCCCAAACTCCTTATCAGGGGTCCCAGCAATCAATTCCTGCAGACTAACCTGTCGATACGCAGCCTCCATCGAAGTAATATTACTCCATAAAGCCAGATACTCGCTCCAACTACACGTCGTCCCTTCAGCCAGATACGCCTTCCCCGGGGGCATGCGCGAAACAGCATACACGAACGTCCCCATATCAGCGTTGACGTCGAAGTGAGGAACAGCGCTATCTGGTGCAGTCGGGAATGTCATCTCACAGGACCCATCATCTGCCTGGTGAAAGTATGCATCTGGGACTAGCTTGTGACTCGTCATAAAGAATCCTGTCTGGATGCAGGACATTTTCCGTGCGAGAAGGGGATGCTTTTCTTGCACATAGTCTGGGAATATGTCGGCTTTGGCGTCGAAATGGTACAGTTCCTGGAAGCGACCGTTGCTGGCCCTGCGAGCGTGACTTAACGTCGACGCGATGAAGCCGTTCTCATCCAGCGTATCGACTGTCGCTGCTGCTGCGTCAGCGATATTCTGGCCCTGTTGGCGTTCGACGTCGTAGGCGTATCGGCGACACGAGAGGCCCTGTTGTTCGGCTTGCTCGCGACAGTCAGGTCGGAAGAACGGTTCCCAGTAGTTAGTGACGCTGAAGATGAGGTTGGAGCCCGCGAAGGCTGTTTTCAGGCTCGAGACATCGTCTAGGTCGGCGGAGATGATTTCAATGCCTTTCTTGGCCAGGGCTTGGGCTGCTGGGGATGAAGGGTTGCGGGTGATTCCGCGGATGTGGTAGATTGGGTCTTGGAGGAATCGGTCGGCGACTGAGGAGCCTTGGTTACCGGTGACTCCGACGATGGTTATTATCTTTGCATGGCCCATTGTGAGTTTCTTTGGTATGGATGGTTAGCCCCAGGGATAGTCGATTGATGAGGGCAGTATGGGATGATTTCGAGGACCAGGATCTGTACCCCGCGCTTGGTATGGAAGTTGTCTAACCTATTGGAGCTTGGCCTGGATTCTTGCTAATAACGCGATAATTTGGTCCACCTCTGTACAGCGTGTGGTGTATACCGAGAAAGTCTCTATAGTTATGTCTTTCTTCTCCTCCTCGCCTCCAGCTCCACCACCAACCGGCCATCCTGACAGTAGTCGCAAGCCGTGAAACTAGGGCTTCCAACCCTCTGGCGCTTCATCCCGTAATCTTTCTCGTCGATCAACTATCGCTTGAGCCTTATCAGTCGGTCACAGAACGGGAAAATATGAACGAGTCACGGAAAGATGATATCCACCAGATGATGAGAAATGGATTACTGGTCGTTTTGCTCCCTGAGAATGCAACAGGGGGTAAAGGCAAGCGCCCCTTCCAACTAAGAAGGAACGCTGTTGACATCGACCGCCGGGAGCTTAATACATTCATCTCCTAAATATGATTATTCAATCAATCCGAAACATGCACAAATAAATCTGCAGCTGCCACATGCCTGCTGTGCGCCTACCGCGCCCCTCTTGTAGAGGCTGTGCACTCCTTCTACTCCGATGCAAAGCGGAATTGCTGGGGTAGGCCTGATTTATCTCGAAGTGGAAGTGCCTTCATCCATAGATATGACCATAGGCCTAGGTGTAGACGCTCCACGTGCCAGGAGTCCCAAACGATGAGAAAGAATCCTGAACTGAACGAATCAATCGAGTATTCTGGAAAGGATCGTGGTCCTCCATAATGTTGCGTAGGGAAGTGAGTGAGTGATACATCAAGTGATTGGAAATAGATAGAGATGGCCGTGATCGAGCCTGAGCTCCTGATCTAGAGCTGTATCAACTATTTGCAACTTCTAAACATTAGGAATACTTACGACGTTCTCTGCAGCTGACAGGAGGAAGCCCAAAGGCCAAGATCATATAATTTTAGATAATGACGACAGCCTGACGTTGATCTTCCATGCCGGAATCAAACTCTCCGGCCTACCATATTTTACCTGTCGAACTATTATGATATGACCACTGCACTAGAAAGGGGCAAACTCCTAGTGAACTGACATACCACAGATGACTAGATTTATATCCTGAAGAAAGTCAACATGGCAAAGATAGGAAGCGCCCAGAGCACCGGTATAGTATACTCAAATCATCTCTAGTGCCCGTTAGTAGCTCCTGACTCCAATCTACCAGTACTTCAATCCGAATCACGCCTCCTCTTCCTCCCCTGGGAGCTCCGCAACATGATTTGGAAAGCCGTGGTAAACAGACAGTCTTACCTCTTGCATACTATCCCATATCGATGGCACCAGAAAAGCCATATTATCACTACACAATGAAGTATCTTACCTCCTTTTTATTCTACGACGACCTGCCTCTCCATGCACCAGAAATTCTCCGACGACGATTTTACACCTCCACGAGCCTCTACAACAAACCACAACTGGAGAAACCCACACCCACACCCTCGCCTTCCTGGCGCCCTCAGCTGGCTACGTACATGCCGCCTTATTTATACTGAGGTGACACCTCTCCTCGCCAAACACTCCCTATCTTTATATATCTGCGACCATGAGGCCCTAGAAGCTGCGCTTGACGGGCGGACCCCGTCTTTTCCTCTTTCAAAGATAAGCTCCCTTACTATCTGCGTCACGATGAAAGTGGAGTCCGATTTCAAAGATGGATTCCTCCCCACGTCCAGGCACAGACCCTCGCTCATAAGGCCCCCCCCCCCAAAAGAATACTCCGTACAGGGATGCATTTGACAGATGGTGTAACTGGCGTATCTGGCGAAGTGGCATAGACAGGTTCCATACATTGCCATGGCTGCCAAGGAACTCACTAAACCTGGATACTCTGAACCTGCACGTGGTTTTTGAATGCTTGCCTTTTCAAGGAAACGAGCCACCGGTGCCGGAGACGCTTGAAGACCGAATTCTACATCGGCCGGCACGCACGGGCGTGGAGAAGCTGAGGTGGTACAACGTGCCTCATGGGGCTCCACTCTATAGATCAACTTTTCCTCTGGAGGCACTCTATGAAGTACTTGCTCAAACGATTCTGCGCCAGTTTCGAGGACTGGGGGCGGAAATAAATGTTGAGCTTGATCTGGACCGCGTGAGGCATGATCCGTGGAATGTATGTTCGAATGTGCTTGATAGGTGCTGGTGTCTTGGGAGAAAGATTGATGAGAAGAGTGTGCCAGTGGAACAGATTCAAAGACAATTTAGGAAGTGGATGGCGTAGCTGGAGGTGTTGAAGAGAGAAAAGAAAGAGATGCACCACTAATTGTGGCTAGATTTGCTTTTGCTATTCTTCTATCTAATTTTGCTTTGCTTCTTGAACAAGATGCTGCCCGCGGCGTCTTCACCCCAGTCCTCTCCCTATCATAGTTACGACTCATTAAGAAGGAATGCTGTTAGTATTGAATTAGCCGGGATCTTATGAGATTCATTCATTAAATATGTATTCGGAGGGATAAGCGAAGGGCTTGCCTCAGGCATCGAAGCGCCCACATCAGGTATAGGATCCTGCCAACAATGCAATAATCGGTATATCAAGAAAGTATCAACAGTTATATACAGCTCCTACCACCCTTCCTCGCCTCCACCTCCCTCACCAACCGATCATTCACCGGCGTCTCTACCCCAACCCTCCTCCCCATCCTCGACCACGACCCATTAATAAACCTGACCTCTGTCTCCCTCCCAGCCGCAGATCCCACACCATCGACGACGTCGTGTTATACGTCTTCGTCAAAATCCCATTCACCGTCTCCTCCAACCTCTGCACGGAGAACCGTTCCGCCACACCAGGCACGTCTGCAAGTTCCGGCAGCGCCAGCACGACCTTTGATATCTCGGTTAATATAGCCCGGCGTGTCTCGGGGATCGTGAAGAGAAACCCGTTGGGAGCGTCGTTGAGCGCGCAGAGAGGGTTGCAGAAGGCGTTGACGGCTAGCTTTTCGAGCTGGAATTGGAGGACGGAGGTGTAGGCGTATGATGTTAGGTTTAGGCGTGGGGAGTGCAGGAGGGCTTGCAGGGGGTAGTTATCATTGTCGTTGCTGCTGCTGTTATATGACTGACCATTTGGCCCGGATGATAACTTCTCCCCCTCACGAGGCATCAGACCTATGGACGTCGCGGAGAACCCGGTATGCGTGATATCAAACGACGAGTTGAGCGTCACGCCGTGAGAAATGACACCCACAAGGTACCTGGGCCTCGACTTCGGGCTCGTAAACAGGTGCACATTAACCTCCTCAATCATCCCCGACCCATTTTGCAGAAAGAGGATCGTCGAGGCGGGACCGAGTCGGCGGACAAGTGGCCTCAGAGCTTCCACGGTTTGGGTGGCTTTGACACAAACGATCAGGCTCTCGATGGGTTCTGAAGCAGGCTGCTTGATAGTGTCCTCCGTATCGCCCGGGGAAGTATGATACCATTGGTATTTATTATCGAGGACCTCGAAACTATACCCTTCCGAACTGATATGCTTGCCTTCTGCCGTCTGGACGAGCATGCGATTGCCGTTCTGGCGGTATGCGTCGAGGAGGGACTTCCGGTGGAGAAGTAGAGTGACGGATGGGCCTTTCGTGATCTCAGTAATGCAATGTGCAGCGAAACAGCCGATACTGCCGAGTCCGAGAACGTGGATTCGTGGTGAGACTGGCTTGGGGGAGGCTGTAGAGAAGGAGGTCATTATGGGCTGGGTGTGATATACGCAGGATAGACGGTCTATGAGTTTTCGGTAGGTGCGGAAGGATCGCATGTTTCTGGTTTTATATTCGCATTTTCAGTTACTGGGCTTTTTCACTAAATGTAGATTTTTCATGTCTTTTTATCTGGTGAGTAGAGCGTGCTTCTCCGCAGGGCGGTTTCTGGTTCAGATTGGAGAATGCCGAGTCGAGCATTGGGTGTGTCGCTGGCGTTTCGAAGAGTCTGGTACTGGTGCAGGAAATCTATTATTAATCTGGTCGGTATTGATATCCTATTTGCTACTGCTACTGTTATAAATTCAAATGCTGTCTGAAAAGGTAGAACACAGCCCCTTTGCATTGAACGAGGTAGGGTATATAGCTCTAGCTCTTTCACTAGTGGCGAGCTTCAATGACCAAATCTGTGATAAAGATAAGGCCAGGACTAGTATAGCTATATTTGTAATCACGCCCTACGCCCTGGTTAACAGATGCTTGTCTCGAAACATGTACATATAAAAAGGCCCCAGGGCAGCTCGGTAAATCCAGCCCACTGCCCATTTCATTTGCATTCTTCCTCCTTTATAGCAAAAACATTGCATCTAGGGATAAAATGTCTTCCTCCGAGTATCTAAGCAATGATTTCCTGCCTCCATCAGTTATCCAACTCCTTGCCTCCCAACCACGATGGACCGGCCCAAGCTTCGCCACATCTCGGCTCAAAATAAACCCAACTTCGCACCCAGCACTAGTCCCTGCGCCCGATTCGCAAGAAGTGCTCAGAAGCTCCGTATGTACAGACCACATGGCAGTTGTACGCTGAAATCAAACATCAGGCTGGGCGGACCCGGAGCTCGTCCCCTACGGCGCCACCCCCATGATGCCAACAGCCAGTGTATTTCATTACTCGACGGCGTGCTTCGAAGGCATGAAAGTCTACCGGGGACACGATGGCCAGGTTCGTCTTTTCCGACCGCAGTATAACTGTGCTCGCATGCTGGCGTCGGCATTGAGGATTGGATTGCCGGAATTCGACCCCGTCGAGTTGCTGGGTTTAATTCGGGAGCTGTGTGCGATTGAGTGTCCGAAATGGTTGCCGAAAGAGCGCGCCGGAGAATGCCTTTATATTCGGCCGACGCTGATTGGGACCGATGCGAGTCTTGGGTTTCAGGTGCCGCGAGAGGCAATGCTCTTCATTGTCATTTCGTTTTGGCCGAATCCTAAACCTGAACGCCCTCTCGGCAAGGGAGAAAGAGAACCGGCTCCTCAAAGAAAGACGCTGCGTTTATTCGCGAGTCGGGAGGGGACGGTTCGTGATTGGCCTGGCGGTACTGGGTCGGCGAAGATAAGCGCGAACTATGGGCCCTCTCTTCTGGCTCATGGAGATGCCAAGAGTAAGGGCTTTGACCAGGTGCTCTGACTGTTTGGGTTAGAAGGATACGTGACTGAGGCTGGATCTTCGAACTTCTTTGTCATCTGGAGAAACCGCGAAGGAAGACTGCAGCTGGTAACGGCACCGTTGACCGAGCATACGATTCTGGCCGGAGTGACAAGAAAAAGCATCTTGGATCTAGCGCGGGAAAGACTGACTGGTGGCTCGTCGTACCAGTGGGACGGGGAGTCATTGGAAGTTGTTGAAATCAGGTTCACTAATTCTGATATCGTCGAAGCTGCTGAGCAAGAGAGATTGGTGGGCTCTTTTGCTGTTGGCACTGCGTGTTTCCTTGTTTCCGTGTCTCACGTCGAATTTCAGGGACGGGGAATTGCTTTCCCCCAAAATGCAGTCCCTCATGTGTCTGCTTTGAGAAAGTGGATGACTGATATCACAACAGGCGTTGAAAGCAGTAGCTGGGGAGACGTCGTTCAGGAGAAGGATGTTATTATGTAGCGTCGAAGCGTCTCTAATATTCTAGTAGTTGTAGTTGACAGATCTTAGTAGAGTCAAAATACCACGGATATTCACGAAAGAAAGATAGTAGAGCGCTTCAATCATCGTCGGCATGCGGTTGTGCATCCTGTGGTTTGTTCAGATGTTGACGTCGAAAAGAAGACAACCATTCTGGATTGTCAGCAACGGTTTGATTCCACGAGTCTTCCGAGTCATAGAGCACTCGTCGAGACTCTTGCTGGAACATTCCGTCAGTGGGCAAGATGCCCTGCTCCATTTGATTCCGAGCAAAGCGGCTTAGATGTGAGGTAAGTATCTGGGCGAAAGAACTTAGAGGCACATCGTTTGTATGAAGTTACTGGAAGGAGGATAATAACGGAGTTTCAGCATGGCTATGGGGTTCTTTCAAACGAACATGATCGGCTCGCGATGAGATCTGAGCAAAATGATCCCGAACATTCGAATTTGTCGCCGAAAATGGGACCATGGTGCGCGATTCTGAGCCAATAAGATAAGGAGCGATATTGTTGGTCACTTTGGCAGCGATTGAGCTTGGGAAGCCATGATCGCCTCGCCAATCGTCCATATTGGCCCCTTGACGAAAATGGTCAGCCAGGTGCTCGGTGCGCTCGTCCCAGCTCTCCATCCGATGATCGCAGAAGCCGCAGCGAGATGTTACTGCTGTGGTATCTGTTTTCCAATCATCTATGAGCGGGACAGTGTCTAAGTGATGGGTGAGTCGTAGATGCTGGACGAGATGGTCCTTTCTCCTGAACGTCCGGAACTTGTCTGAACACGCACGATGATTGTGCTGCTCAAGGTGAGCGTCTGTTGGGTCTAACGCATTGCAATATGCACAATGCTGTCTTTCGGTGAGAGAGGAGCTCACGCTGCCTCCATGTGGTGTACAAATCCAAGATCGTAAATTCAAGTGTAAAGACCCCTCATGTCTCACCCAGTCGTATTTGGTTTTGAATCGATCGCAGCAAAACGTGCAACAAAATCTACGAGGATCACCCTGTGTCGGCTTCTTGGCCGTATCTCGACGAGTTTTCCGGGCGCGACCATGATGCGCCTTAGAAGGACCAAGTCCATTTCGAGCACCCGTTGATGTTGCGGATCTACTTGAAGCAGATTGCTGCGACGAAGCACTGGTACCACTTATGGAACTGGTGGTCGACTTTGGCCGGCGATAGTCACGAAAAGGGTCAGGATTCGGAGAATTGGCCCCACTACCAGAGCGTGACCTCACTCTACGAGACTCTTGGTTTTGCTGGGTTTTCAGAGCATTTGCTATAGCAGTCATTGATGCCGGTTCATCTTCGGGAGGCGAGTCTTGCCACCGTTGCATAGGATCTGCCGAGTTCATCGAATTTGGGATGAATACTGGTGCTGCCCCAGCGCGACAAAGCTGGTATCGACTTCTGCGCCTGGGAAGGCCTTGGTTCGGGCGAACTCCTCGAATATGGGGACTTTGAACACCAAATCCAGGGATTGACACAGCGTCCTGGTTTGTAGGCAATTGAGGCGATTCGGGTGCCCTTGTCTCTAAGACATCTAAAGTCCGATGGGGCAAGTGGCTCGACTCATGACTAGCACTGAATTGTTGGGAGAGATCGCTAACGTAAGTTGCAGCCGAGTCCTCGGGCCACTGCTCGTGAAAGTTCTCGAGGGGCCAAAAGCTATTTTCAGTCCCAGGAAGAAAGTGCTCGTAGATCTGAGAAGGATCAACAGCAACATCTCCGACGAAGTTTGTATCGATGTGCTCCTGTAACGTGGACAGCCGGGGATCAATGATAGGAACCCCGCCAGCAGTTTGGGAGGTTTCTAAGCCAGGTATCTCTTGAGAGAAACCTGACTGACTAGTAACTGATCGAAGTTATTCACTGCTTATATTTGCCAAGCAAGAGAAGTCCACTCACTTTGAGCTAAGTCATCGATAATGAAATTGTCGATGTCATTCCAATGATCGTTCGGGAGTGGCGGATTGAGATCAGCGGAGTCCGCGCCTTGGCCGTCGCTGGACCTCTCATTCTGAGTATTTGACAACCTTCGATCCATAGGTCGACAGCCAATGTATTCCCTCCCGTTGAGCGACAGTGAACGAGTATGCGAATTGCGCGTGGGGTGGCGGAGGGACATCGCTCGCTGCAATTATGTCACCAAAGAACGTCGGAAATTAGGTAATCAATCATATCCGATTCAGGCTAGCGCGGTTTCGCTTCTTTTGACTACACCCGCCGTCCATCTACAGCATCTCGACAGAAAGACCTATAGTTCGGGGTCAATTACCGAGGCATCCGAACGATGTCGCTGCTTTGATGACAAAACCAACACTACCCTTATATTGAAAAATCTTAGCGTTACCGCTGGAAAAACGCTTAACATTGATAGGCTAAGGTTGATAGGGGCCGATCCTTCCAATGCCGAAGCCCGAAGGTACCAGCATGCTTATGACGAAGCAGAACAATCTCAAATATTCCGGACCAAGAGACAAATAAATCGGAAGGGAATACCCCATGGAGTAGACATCTCCGAGCGATATTCTAAGTTTTCTTGTTGGGCGAAACACTATACTGAACTACCTAGCCTTAGTGCTTATCAGGCCAAATCAGGGTGACGCAAAGCTTGATTGATTTAGCCCGGAGTCCCAGGAATCCCGAGTGTTAGCTTTCCCGCGTGAAGTATTTGAGACCCATGGACCGGTGAGTGGCTCGATTCCTCCAGGCCCGGAGATAAGCCTCGGCCTCTGGTTTGGATATAACCGACTCGGGCGTGGGCGATGGGCAGTGAGTGATCCAAGGATAAAAGAGACATAGTCGGCTGACTTTCACGCTCAAACACATCCCAAATAACTCCTTCAGGCGATCTGTTCTTTGAGGTCGTCCATCCCGCTCTTCGCACAATTGACTGGAAAATTCCCAGTACAACCGAGGTCTTCCTCTCCGCAGTTCTAACACCTCCAATATCACAATGGCCGTCAACATCAACAACACCGCCGTCTGGCTGACTGAGGCCAAGGTGCATCCTTTCCAGGTCAAGGAGGCTTCATCTTATACACCCGAGGAGAACGCAATCCTCGTCAAAACCACGCTGTGGCCATCAATCCGGTGGATGGCAGCCTGCAACCAAAGGCCTGGTGGCCCATGAACTACCCGACCATTTTGGGTCAGGGCGTCGTCGGCGAGGTCGTGCAGGTTGGCCCCAGCGTCACCCGATTCCGGCCTGGTGATCGTGTGGTCGGCCATGCGGTCGGGATGGCAACCAAACGCGTCCAAGACAGCGTCTTCCAATCCTATACCACCCTGCAGACCAACATGGTCAGCGAGCTCCCTGGCGAGATCTCCTACGAGGATGCCGCCGTCCTGCCCCTGGGCCTCTCCACCGCCTCATCAGGCCTTTTCTAGGACGGGTTCCTGCACCTCAAACTCCCCACCGAGCCGCGCGCGTCGGCGACCGGCGAGGCCCTGCTGGTATGGGGTGGAGCCGGCAGTGTGGGCAGCAACGCTATCCAGCTGGGCGTGGCCGTGGGTTTATGAGGCGATTACCACGGCCTCGCCCAAAAACTTCGAGTATGTCAGGAAACTCGGTGCCAGCCAGGTCGTCGACTACAACAGTGCCACCGTGGTCGAGGAGGTCGTCAACGCGCTCGACGGAAAGACACTGGCGGGGGCGATGGACTGCATCGGCTTCTCCACCACCCCACTCACCGTCGAGGTGGTCACGAAATCTCGTGGAAGCAAGTTTGTCTCCACCGTTGAGGGGGGATTCCAGGCGCCCGAGGGAGTAACGGTGAAAAGCGTATTTGGTACGACGGTCATGGATAACCAGGTGGGAAAGGCTATCTACGAGAATTCCCTGCCCAAGGCTCTGAAAGCGCGGACTTTCATCCCCGCCCCAGCCCCTCTGATTGTCGGGAAGGGCTTAGAGAACGTGCAGGCGGCGGTAGATCGACTGGCTGAGGGAATTTCAGCTCAGAAGGTGGTGATTTCTCTATGATTTACCGAGGGCAATGGTCGGTTTACTGTTTAATAATGATAAGTAATGCAATCCACAGAGTTTCATTTCATTCATATGACCTCCAGCCTGTACAAGCTTCGCAATCCTATGACGCTGCGACAAGCAGAACGTCAACCACGTTCCATGTCCTTACCACCCTGATTCCCGTAGACACTAACCCAGCATCACCTTGCAAAACCCCACCACTTCATATCCTCCTCACCCTGAGTCGAGACCGGATGTCCCACCCCTTGAGCCCAGATACCTTCCAAATTGTTTCCCAGTACATAAGTCGTCCAGCTCTTCACAGGGGTATTCACCAACACTTGATCAGGGGTAGAATCATAGCCTAGCAGCGGAGCCCACGCCGCAAGGCTCGTATTAAACGCCGAAGATCCGATAATAGTATCTTTCGACCCCAGATAGAGCTGGATTTTGGGATAGCTGCCCGTGTAGCCTGGGTACATACTTCGCAGGTCCCCCGAGGAGCCTGCGGAGTAGATAATGACACCTTTGAAGACGTCGGGGTAAGTCCCGGCCATAGTATTCTACAATAGTATCTGTTAGTACATACCACTGCCCATTGAAGCCTTCGAAGACAGAAACACTGCACTTACAGCCATAGTCCCACCAGAAGACACACCCGACACGAAGACCTTATTCGCGTCCGCCTTGTAAGTACTAATAGCGTATTTGGCCATATTAGCAATCGACTGGCTCGCACCTCCGCCTTCATGAAGCCGGGATTTGCTCGACGTGGCATCCCAAGCGCCCTGTGGGTATTCGGGGTATATGGCGATGAAACCGTACTTCTCGGCGAGGTTGGCGTACGGCGTCGACTGGAACTGTTGTTGTGCGTTTCCGGAGGCACCATGTAGGGTGACGACGATGCCTGGAGACGAGACGACGGCGTCGGGAACGTACACGTACATCTTGACCCCTGCTGGATTGTCCCCGAAGTTGGCGACTTGGGTCAGGGTGGCGCGTTTAGCGGGTGGGGATGCATTAGACAAGGTGCAGAGGAAAGTGGTTGTTAAAAGGAGGATGAGAAACAGCATTGTAGTAGAGGGATTTTGCAGCTTGTCAAAGATGTAGTGGTGATGCAGTTGCTGAGTCTGTTGAGAAGATGGTAAAGGTTTTTGATGTCCATCTCGACACGATCAAGCCTGATTTATTACCTTTCTGGAGACGCTCTCTTGACTGGAGATCTGCGCTTCCTGTGGCATTGACCCCATTGTTGCGACAGCGACCCCCGTCTTCATCACTCCTTCTAATGCAAAAGGCCCCTGGCGTGGAACTAAAACCTGGTGCTCCGCGATACGCCGACGGCTGACCGCTGGCTGTCCGGGGATTGTGAACTTTCCGTTTAAAGAATATCCGAAGGACACGGGGCAGGTTTTCTGTAAGCGCCTCGGCTGGTCAAGATAGTCCTGTGACCACTTTCAAGGGATGCACAGTGTGGAGAAAGGGATAAAAGGAGAGTACTCCGAAAAGCTGAAGGCATTTCGATATCACGACACGGAAGGCGTTCCGTTTGTTGACGATATCCAAGCACCATCGCGGATAGTGATAATACAACAATTTCCAAGAGCCGATGAAGCTGACCCCAAGGTGCTGTGTCTAATAATGGGCCTGTAAGAATAATGGGCCATTCCTTCTCTGAGAAATATTCTAGATCCAATGCTTTTGCAATTATTCTACCCTGTATCCTGCTGTATGTATTCGAAGATTCAGTTAATAGAATTGTACTGAGACACAGATAAATCTTATACATATTGAATCTATCCAAAGAAAGAAAAGCAGCGAGAGGACCTTCAAGATCCTTAAGCGACACAAAAGATTGACATTCCCAGGAGAATGGCAGTACCATCCCAGTATAATATGTTACATTCAAACCAGCTTGAAGCGACACGACATTCGAAGCTCAACGCCAACCCCAATGAGTCAGTTACACTCCAAACACTGTCTGCCAATTTCTCATGGTGCAGACACCTCAGATCAGAGCATTCACAAAGCCATTCTGTGAGGGGAACTGTGCTTTCCGTGAGATTTGGAAGCAGTAGCCGCGCTCGAGGTCGAGACCGACGCGGAGATCGTCGACGACGCCACCAGGGCCTGAGTGGTGGAAGCCGTAGCAGGAGAGTCCACCGTATCGGCAGAACCACCATTCATCATGTCAACGCTGGTGAAGTAGTCGCTGGTACCGTTGTCCGGGTCCTGATCGGTAGGAGTGCAAGTGTCCTCAGCGGTCTCAGAGCCGTGCTCGCCGCTAATGAACTGCCCATCATCGTAGCCACCGCCGCCAGCCGCCAGCATGTTTTCCGCGGCGTCTTCAAACCAACCGTTGATGAAATCGCCGTGGAAGCAGTATCCGTTGCCCGGAGTGTCGCCGCAAGAGAGCTGGAATGGGGCGTCGCCACTCCAGCCGTCAGGGAGGACTGACTTGGTGTCATAGCGAGCAGCGTAACGGAGCTGTGGCATCGACTTCATATCATCCGGACACTTGTTGGAGTCATCGCTGAAGTCGTACTCCGCGATGTTATCCGGGTTGACGCAGTCGGGGAAGCGCAGGGAGACCTGGAGGTGCTGGTCGCAGGTGCTGGTAGGGAACTTAGCAATGTCAGATTCTCGCTCGTCGGAGCCCTCGCAGAACCATTCCAGCGCGTTGGAAGGGTGGTCAGCCTCGGCTTGGGTTTTAGCGGACGCGTTACCGGACACCATGGCGAAGTCTTGGGGGATGGCGATTTCGGACTGGGCATTGTTGTAGTAGGTGCTGAAGCGGAAAACAGGCACCTCGATGAAGTTCCCGTCCTCAACGTAGTAAAGGGTAGGGGTCCCTAGAGGCTAGATTAGACGGGAGCTCGGAAAGAGCATTGGTCGCTGGTCAGACATACAGTAGGCGGACAAGTCATTAGGGTTCTCTCCGCTGTAGCAGCCCTTCTGCAGGTCAGCAGAGGTAGGCATGTCCTTGGTGATGGCATCGCTTCCAAAGAACGTGTGCATGTGCGAAGTATAAGTGCCCGGCACAACGATCGCATCGACGTTCTTGTTCATGAAGGCCTTGTGATGGATTTCAGTCCATGCCGAGACAAGACTGGCACCAGCCAGGACGGAGAGCACAGTAGTATGCATATTGAATGGAAGAAGAAGAGAACGATTGAAATTTTTGTAAAGAAAGGAAAAGAATGTAGCTGATCACAGATCAGCGGTTCAAAGAATGACTGGGTTGAGCAAAAGAAAGGATAATGATAGGATTCAGACGATCGAACGCAGACTAAGGGAGAAGACTTTGCGAGACTTATATAGTCGACCGCAACGTGTCTAGTTTATGGGGGAACATGATCTATAGAAGGATTAGTCGTCCCCTTAGCTTGACGGTCCCATTCTCCTTGTTCATCTCAAGCGTTAGATGTGGCATGTTCATGTCGCTTATTCTTTGATTGATTGACTCGCTGTTCGACAGTTCCAATAGCGCGACAAAGGGTCTCGTCGAGAACCTGTCGTCCAAGGGGCCTTTTGAGCTACCTGTTTCAGGTAGAGGAAGTGGATCTCGCGTACTTGCGTGCCAAGATTGATTGATTCTGTCCGAATCGAACTCTTTCTTTCCCTGCAGGACGGCGTTAGCAGCACCTAAGTTTTCTTACTCGGATTTCACTTTTAGGCATAGCAGCTATGCTCGACGATTGCGGAAGGGAAAGGGAAGACGGAATCTCTGTCGGAATCAAGACGGGGCAAGTGACCAAGTGAGATGGCGGCGATATTCCACCACAGCGTACGGAGTAGTCCGGTGGACAGCAGTTGGAGCGTCAAAGAACCATAGTTCCGGTGTCTGGATCCCTCAGCCTTACTACTGTTTAGCATTGACGCGAGCCTTTCCCGATCTGTAATATCCGAGTGGAAGCTATTCCGCATTCGATCTTGCCGGAGCCGGATTAGCCCTAACACTTTAACGCCACGGAGAGGAAGAATCACTACAGAGTCCATACACAGGACCATTGTAAGGGATGGGGATATTTTCTTAGTTGGTTTCTTAGGTTATGACGGTTTGGCCATAGTTGGTAGTGCCGATAAAGATCCCTCTTTAGGAGAAAACCGGAAAAACTCACGCCTTATAGTAAAGAAACAGCTGAAATATCCTCCAAGACCCGCCGTATCATAACGAGACAGCACCATGCAGGGTCTACCAAGTGATTCGGCCGAGATGGGTGACTTATACCTAAAATCTTAGTGTGTTGTACGTAGGGTAAATTCTGGACCCCTGGTCCCCTTTACAGAGCCTGCACTCCACCCCACAGTAATCAGGCTCAGTCGAAGAGGGTCCATCGCTTAACGGCACTTAACTATATCGGGCTCCATACAAACCAATTAGGAAACTCTTTCCTCGGTAATGCTGGCCTTGTGGGATCGTTCTTATCTGTTAGAATTCATCGAGTACTTTCTTGGCATCGTTAAAGAAATTTGTTTTATTTATCTTCTTTGACACTCCTTCAACTCTTCCAACAGAATATAGCATTTAACATGATCTCCTTTTTAGGCAATGTAAGCAAGAATAACGACTTATATGATATGCCTCTACACTAAAGGGAGAGGAATAATTGAAGACAAGGGCACATTCTAGGCTATTCAACTTCAGGGGCTCATAAAAAGTAAGACATTCTCTACAGAACTTGCAAAAGTGGGTAGCTTATATCATAGATTTCTCCTGCGCCTCATATTCTGCAAATAATTTCATGGGTAAAATTTGGAGTTATCTCGAGATACAACCAGATCGGAATTGAATATACTGATGTATTTGGCGGATCCAACTGACAGCGTACAAATGTACACCAGCACTACATAGCAAAGATAACTTGAAGCCGCCGTACCCTCCCGCCTCCTTGCACCCCAATGCATGACCCAGAAAGATGTATAGATCCCTAAAGGTTGTATCGGAAGCGTTGATTCTCTTTATCTGTCAAATCCGAGCTCTCGAACGAGGTCTGAGTGCTAGTATCCGTTTCTCGGGAGCGGTTTTCGGCGGCAAGGGCCCAACGGAGGGCGAACGAGGCACAGAAACAGATCGCAAAGCACACCATGAGACCCGTAAAGCTTTGATTATACCGTGGGGAGTATTTTCTATAAATAAAAAGAGTCAATGTCGCCATCTCTGATGCTTGGGGCTAGAAGTCACTCACGCATCGAACATCAATGGTCCTATTATATTCCCAATAGAGTAACCCACGAATGTACTTGCGGCGTAAACGGCTTTCTTTGTGTGACCAGCCACATTTGACGTTCCTAGACCGATGCACTGAGTCCACGCGGAGGAAAAGAAATTGATGAGATAGAACCCGACAATACGCCCTGCTAGCATCGAGTCTGGGAGTTGCCACCTGGTCAGGAGAAAAGTAGTGGTTAGTATTCTTGGTCGTCGTTGGTCCTTTGGAATTTGTAGAATACATGGTCACTTACAGCAAAGCGCAGCCAAGGATGACCGGTAAGCAGGAGCCGGCAATGATATACAGTCGAGAACCTGCGAATTTCCTGCCCAAAAACCCGGACCCAAGAATACAGATAAAAGCCAAGGCACCGACGGGTAGATTCATCAACAGTGATGTGAAGGTGTCGAAGCCCATATCATGGAATATGATCGAGCCAAAGGTTGTCACTGCCCCAGAGCCCGTGGTTGAGGCGATGGAAAGCACAAGAATCGCCCACAGTTGGTAGTCCATCATGGCCTCCTTCAATTGATAGGACTTGAACTCTCGGTTCTCCCCACTCGAGTTGTTAGACCTGATGCGCTCCAAGAGTAGCTGACGCTCTTGGTCGGTAAAACCCGGGGATTCCTCAGGACTGTCCGGGAACAGCCACCATAGAGCAACCCCCCATACTAAGGTTGCAGCCCCGGCAATCAGGTACATATACTGCCATGGACGCAGAGTACCACCCTTAATATGACCAAGACCATAGTTGATCAACGGGGAAACAAGCAGTGAGCCACCGCTGCATGAGTACCAAAAGCTTGATCGGAGGACTTGCTCAGAATGCGTGTACCAAAGCCCTACCACCAGCATGCAGATGGGCGATACACCGGCCTCGACAAGTCCAAGAAAGAACCTGTTCACTAACAGGCCGGCGTATGTTTTGCAAGCCGGAGTGCAGAGGATTATGACGGCCCATAAAACACAAATCACGGAACAGACCACTCGGGTACGGAATCTTTGGGCGAGAAGCGAGATGGGATACGTTCCGACAAGGTATCCGAAATAGAAGATGAGAGACACCCACGAGTACTTGAGACCGTCCTCAATCTTCAGATCCTCTCGTAAGCCGAAGATCGCTGCCTGGCTCAGGATAGCCTTGTCATAGTATTGGAGGGCGTAGGTGAAACACATCTGAATTACATGATCTTAGAAAATAGAAGCAAACGATGAGGTCTTAGCGTGAATGAACTCACAACTGGCATGAGCTTCCAGTCAATCTTTCTCAATAGCTTTTTAGCGGCCGCTTCATCCATCTCCGCATCTTCGAAGTTATCGACTTGGCCCTTGTCGCTACTGGATGGGCAAGATGGGGCCATGGTTTTGTCGCGCCTGGTGGGGAATTGAGTAATAGGATTGAGAGGGGCACTGCCTTCGCATAGATAATAGTGACCGAAAAAGGGGATTTCTGTTGGGAGTGATATAAAAACTTGATTGAGAGTTGACACAACTTAGCGCTCATCACCGACATTGGCATAGTACTGTCTCCTGGTATTTCCCCTTTGGTAATGTCCGTAGTGCCGGATACCGGATTGGGAATATCCGGCGGCACCTCGGGCCCAGCGCTCAGCCGCCTTGTCACGCAAGGGGCGAGTTGGGTTCGGGCGTGATGGTTGAGAAAGCTCTGTTTCATTTATAGTGTTTTGCCTTCTACTACCGGACCCAACTAGGCACAGTTTCTGGTCACCGTTCCTCTGCTCAATAACAGTGAGGGTCGGGAAAATGTCGGCAGCTTTAGCTCCAGGGCGGGCCCATCTTTTACGAGGGATACGTCGCTTGAGGGATCTCAACTCTGGAGTACGAGCGAGATCGATATCTCGCCTCACACATCCAAGTGCCCCAATTACTTCACGGAACATACTTTTCGCATGTGGTGGAATTCTGCTCGGAGGAGCCGCGGCTCTTGCATTGGATCGTGGGTCGTCCCCTAGTGTTGATACAAGCCGTGGATCTGTGCTATTGGAGCAAACGAGTAGCCAGAGCCCAAACCGCAAGAAATATGCCGATTCTCGAACGATGCTCAAGGTCCGTAATGATTAGTTCATTAAACTGATTGACTTTCTTTGTCTAAACATGCTGAATTCTTTTCTAGGCTGTCGAGGAGATTCAGGAAGCCTTAGGTGAGGATGCCGTTAGCATGGACGAGACGGACCTAGAGAGCCATGCGTATTCAGAATGGTCCACTAGCAACGCAGAAACAGCGCCGATTGCGGTGATTAGGCCACTTTCGACAGAACAGGTTTCTGTGATAGCGAAGATTTGCACCAAATACCGTGTCCCCATGGTCCCGTACGGCGCAGGCTCGAGTGTGGAAGGGAACTTTAGCGCGCCCTACTCCGGCATATGCATTGACCTATCGGCCATGGACAAAATCGTGGCCTTCCATCCCGAGGACATGGATGTGGTTGTCCAGCCCGGTGTGAATTGGGTTGCCCTCAACGAGAAGATCAAGGACACCGGGCTCTTTCTACCGCTTGACCCTAGCCCCACCGCGACCATTGGTGGAATGGTGTCGACAAACTGTAGCGGAACCAACGCAATGAGATATGGTACAATGAAGGATTATGTTCTCAGCATGACCGTCGTGCTTGCTGACGGGTCGGTTATCCGCACTAGACACCGACCGCGGAAAACGTCGGCCGGATATAATTTGAACTCCATTTTCACAGGATCAGAAGGAACACTTGGAATCATCACTGAGGTTACCGTCAAGCTAGCTGTCTTACCAACCAACTTTGGGGCAGCCACGGCAACGTTTCCCACAGTCAAGCATGCTGCTCTTGCCGCCTCGCAGATGATTCGGAAAGGTGCCCCTTTAGCCGCCCTTGAATTGATGGATGAAGTACAAATGAGAGTCATAAACATGAATGGTGGTACAGGTGGCAAGAGCTGGGCTGAGCTGCCAACCTTGTTCATTAAGTGATCGCACCTGCACCTTCAACTGTCTCAGTCCTAGGGGTCTAACTTTTCCGCCGTTAGATTTTCTGGTAGCGAGCATACGATTAACGATGGCATCGAGTCCGCGCAGGAAGTTGCCCGACAGTATCAGTGTCAAGGCTTTGAGTTTGCCAATACAGACGCAGAAATTCAGTCTCTCTGGTCTGCTAGAAAGGAGGCACTTTGGTCTTGCCTAGCGGTAAGGCCAGAGGGAACCGAGATATGGTCGACCGATGTTGCCGTCCCAATCTCTAAGATGGCGGACTTGATTGGTGAGTCTCCTGAGAGCTGGTTCAAAATTCAGTTCTTGCCTACTGATACCCGATAACATATAGATCAATCCAAGGCGCGCGCGGGGAAACTAGGTCTGTTCAACACAGTACTTGGACACGTAGGAGACGGCAATTTTCACCAAGCAATTATGTACAACCCAGCCAAGGCGGATGAGAAGAACGCTGTCGAGGAGTGCGTTGAAGCAATGATGCAGCAGGCACTTGTTTTCGAGGGTACTGTTTCGGTGAGTACCTCCCTAGCTTTAGGCAAGTGCATATTGCAGCCAGCTCACGCGTTGAATAGGGCGAACATGGAATCGGGCTTGGAAAAAAGGCAAGAAACAAAGATATCGAACGTGAATACGTGTTTTTTCGAACTAATAGATCAGCAGGAATGTTTGGTCAAAGAGCTTGGCCCAGCCACGATTGGTGTGATGAAGGCCTTGAAGGAAACTCTGGATCCTCAGTCAGTCAAGCTCGGTGCCTACAATTTAATAACATGAAATACTGACCATGGAGCAGCTGGCTATTGAATCCTGGCAAAGTCTTCGACCTGTGATTCTTCAAATGGCAAACTTTGGGGTGTGGGTAGTATCTAGAAGATAGATTGTTTTAATAGGGGCATGATGCAAGAAAGAACGAATCGAATCGAGATACCAAATAGGAATCCTGATAATAAGGCATTAAAGTACTTTGCAGATAAGCAGTAGCGGTACATAATATTGAATGGTGCGTGTCGGCTTGGACGAAATCCAATAGTGGCAAACCGGCTGTAGGTACCGACATTCCCCGCGTTCCCAGTGGAGACACCCCGGACTGTTTGACAATTGGTGAGATGATGGTTGGGCATAATAGACGGTACTAAGTAGTTGGTAGAGCTAAGGGATGACCCTCGCAGCCCTTCCGTAGAGATGCCCGCCCCGCTGTACCGAGTCTCGTGACCCACCTGGGACCGATGCTGGATTTATAACCTCCCCAGAACAGCCTGCGAGCTCACCATCCATCGCACCTGAAGCTGGAAGTCGTCTATCAACCGGGGAAAATATGGAGGACCCACCCAACACCCAAGTTCAGCAGGTGTCCTTCTTGCCAATAAATCAACCAAGCTCTCCTCCCTCGTTGAAGACACGCCGGGCATATTTATCCTGTGATCGTTGCCGAAAACGCAAGACGCGATGCGAACCCTTCCATGGCTTGCAACAACCCTGCAAGCGCTGCGCCCAAGAATCTCAGCCATGTGATTTCCGGTCTACAAGGGGCACAAAACGGAAGGCCCACCAATCAGCTGTGGTCGACCGGCAGAGCGCTGTGGCAACGCGTCCGTCAAACCAGGACCATCTGGAATCTCCCACACAACCTCCCGCCGAAATGAAGGAAGATAGGCCCTTGATGCGGTGTCCAGCTAACCACAGCGTTCGGAGTAGCTTGCTATCTGCGCAGCTGCACAATCCTGCGGACGCCCTCGACCTCTTGACCGTTACGGCTGCGGGATGTAAAGACAAGGGCACTCCTCCAAGGCGCACACCAATCGACTCTTGCCAATCATTGGAGGAAGCTCATACTGCGCGCCCTGCGGATCCCTTCCATCGCGAGATGCAAGTGGACCGAGATAGGAACATATGGGACAATTTTATTCTTGTCAGGAAAGGCATCTTGAAAGCAGAGGAAGCTGTTGAATACATAGGGTTCTTCTTCACAACACTTTGGCCACTGCGTCCTATTATCCCAGCATATTACAGGGAGCAATCGAACTATACAGCATTGGTAGCTGAAGAACCCGTACTGGTCATTTGTCTCATTACTATTGCATCTCGGTACCACCCTCTGTCTGGGCCGCACGGGAACATCCGAACAGAGCGCGCTCACTGGCGAACATGGCCAATTCTGCAATCTCTTTTGCAGTCAGTGCTCTGGGGCACCACTTTTACCCGTTCGCTCGGGACCATATCAGCGATGCTTCTATTAATGGAGTGGCATGTCAAAGCAATCAATACCCCGAAGGACTTCGCTGGCGATGGGTTTGGGGGACTTGTGGAGGAACTGACGACGCCTGCCAACCTCGCGTCTAGCGGTCGTTCCTCCGCCGATCGGTCGCGATATGGCAACACTGCGTTGATGGAAAGAATGGATGTTGTAGCCCCGGCATATCGAAGCAATAAGATGTCCTGGTAGGAGAGACACGATTAGATTCCTGATTGAACCACTCAACACTGACGTGAGGAAGGATGCTCCTATCTAATGCAATTGCACTAGCCCACGAAGGCCACTGTTTCGAGAACGGGTCTCATGGTGCAGCTCGGGATATCGAATCCGATCCGACAAGACAAGAGTGGAACAAAGTACTATGCGTTTTCATATATTTTGCCGATGAGCATCTTTCCACTCGAATTGGAATAGAACCCTTACTCCCTGAGCGCTCGAGAGCAGCGGTGCAAGATCGTTTGGCGCTGGGCTTCGCGAACTCATTACCTAACAAAACCCTTTGGGAAGACTACTTTGAGCTTACGGTGCAAGCAAGGAAGGCCCGCAGCTTTCTTCACTCTCTCAAGCTGAATGGTGACTCCGCTACGGTTTCTGATTTAATTCCTGACCTGGAGCGCCTGAGTCGAGGGCTGAGCCGCTGGAAGATTCAGCACGAATATCATCAGCACGGTGATTCGAATCCAATCTGTTCATAACCATGCAATCCTTTCCTATCTTATATCAGAAAAGCTAATTACTCCTACAGATCCCGGATATTTTCTGAATGCGTGCGTTGAAATGGAGTACTACTACACCATAATGTACAGCTTGGCTCCGGCATCCCAAATTCCTGATTACCTCAAATCGAGTGGTGGTCCAGCCTCACAGCCACCCAACGACCCGACCAGCGTTTCACACTTCGCAAAGCAAGCCACTCAGGCGAGCTATGCCCTACTTACCATCGTCATAGACGTCCTTCACCCCGCAGGCCTCTTGGCCTATCTACCTGTCCGCTGTTGGCTTTTTATTGTGGCCGCTAGCCTACATTTGTTGAAGGTAACGACCCCATCGCTTAGTGTCAGCGCCGTTGGTTCCCTTGGCTCATTATTTGGAACATAGGCCACGGTTTGGGGAGATCAGGCTGGATCCAGTTCGCAATCCAATATCCTTCTTATCAGAATGACTATAGATGCTCTAGGAGAAGGGTCCCCGGATGACACACACATGGCGATGCGGTATTCAAGATTTCTTGACAGTCTCCTCAAGTCATCATTTACGCCTCAGTCGGGTACAGATATTTCGTTGCCAGACATGGATGAGAGCAATGGGTTTGTAAATGGTCAGGATTGGACTTCCTTGCAGAGCATTGGATTGGCAGAATTCGGGGACTTTCCCGTCCCTTTTGACCCAATCTTTAACGATTTGATATTCATGTAAATATAAAGCCGATCTCATCGAACCTCAAAGCCCTCTCTTTCCTGTTTCAGATATCCCATATATATGTCTTTCTTACTTATCTAATTCTCATCTCAATCATAATAAGCCTAGGGTTACCCGATTAAACCTAGGATATATACATCATCGAGTCCCAATATCCTAAGAGCTTCCCATACCATGCTACTAGCCTAGACCGATATTATCATCCAGTGTACTAGAGAGTCGAAGAAGGTTCCACACTCTATGACAACTTATAAGTCCCACCCTCAAAGAGCTCATCATGCTTCAACAAGGCAGCGGTGTCCCTTAGGAGAAAGCAGGAAATAGCTTGCCATTTCCATGTCATCGTCACACATTCCTTGATGAGTGGACATCTTCGCCAATGGGAATGTGCGGAAAAATAGAGACGTGGCAAGCCGCAGTTCCATCCGAGCCAAATGGATTCCAAGGCAGACTATTCCGGAACGGGTTCTAACATTAGCTTCTGTTCGATTAAAGTGTTTGATTTTGCATAATACTCACTGCGAGATCCACCTCCAAATGGTAGTGACGCGTCCTTCATCGCCTTGGTAGGCGAAGCCCACCGCTCCGGGTAAAAAGTGAGCGGGTCAGGAAAGATATTCTCGTCTCGGTGCATGCTATATGCCTGCGTGGACACGATCGTCCCTCCAGGTAAGTTGAATCCGGCCAACTGAGCACCCTCTTCGGGAACGACTCTCGGCAACGCGCCCGGAACAGCCGTATAGAGCCTCAACGTCTCGTTAATTACCTGATTCAAATATGGTAGATTTCGAGAATGTCGATCAGTAAAGTTCTCAGGGAGACTCATCAGCTCTGAAACGAGCTTGTCGCGGATACGACTGTCCCGACATACAGCGTACACAAGGTAGGTGAGAGTTACTGCGGTTGTATCGCTGCCGGCCACGATATACCCTCGTGCCTCGCTGCAAGTTTCATGTTCCGATAGGCCTTTGTCGCCTGCATCAGCCAGTTTAGTGAACAGTGTACTTTTGGCGTTTGATGGATCCTTATCAGAGAGAGACTTATGGCGTGCAACCGACTCTCGTGCATATTCGTGGACTCTTGTTCCTGCCTGCACCGCCTTACTAAATATAGGCAGGGGAAGGATGGCGCCGATCTTGATGAGGAAGGGAAAGGTTGTCCGGATGGGTGCTAATGATCCTAGGTACTCCAGGTCATGGGTATACTGATTTTTCTAAACGACCGAATTCAGTTGACACAGGGCTTTCTCTTGTACCGATTTTTGAACTTACCTCTCCTTTCTCCAACATCCGAAACGATTCACCAAAACTCAACTCTCCTATAATATCCGTTGCTATGAATAACCACCACTTGAAAACATCAACTGCACCCTTGGCCTTCATCTCACGAGACATTTGGTCAACAGCAAGTTGCACCATATCCCGAATCTGGGTCTCGAACCGCGACAAGGACGAATCCGACAGTGGCGAGGCAAGCAGACGTCGACGAGAAGAGTGAAGATGAGGGTCAGGCGTGGAGAAGACATTCTCGAATGGCCGTGGGATCAGAAGTCTATACCATTCTGATTTCATGAATCGGCCGCCTGTCTTGTGAATTTCTTTTGCTGCGCCGACATCGCAAATGTCGACTTCGTTGGGTGCGATACGGACGACGGGGCCTAGATGATGAGTTTTTTGTTGTGGATCAGAGATTCTCCAGGATCTGAAGGCATGTACCGTATTTCTTGTGTAGTTCATCGACATAAACTGCCTTTTTGCCCTTTAACCAGTAGAAGCTCACAACTATGTCGGTCCATCGTGAAAGGGCGGGCCCTGGGATGTGAGATAGAGGGTTCAAAAGCCCTCTATAAAGACATCTCTGTGCTGTATTAGCATTGAGCTCATGGTAGGACTGAAGATGTTAACTCACAAGAATGATAACCAGAGCGAGAATTCCGAGCAGTATCATAGACATGTTGGTGGAATGTGATGTGAATTGCGGTTGTTTTGGATGATGCATAAGAAAGCTCAATGCTTCTGATTGTTAATGTTCTAGGCATCAGTTGTTGTATGGAAGAAAGTCATTTTATAACTGAAAGAAAGACCGAGCTTTGTCATTTAGCACTAACTGTGATTCCAATTACCCCATGACGCGGCCTGCAAGGAGTAGACCCGGCGTCACTATGCGACTTACCCATGGCTTCTGATGTCATACTTCGTTTCCATACACCGCTTGAAGTCGCCGATTTGGCTGCATGCCAAGAACAAATCCTATTTTCTAGCAGAGTAGAGATCAGCGTGTTATCAGCAAAGTGAACACCATTTGTATATTCTCTCGGGAGTCAGAAGCCCCGACACCGAGCCTGGCACTATACAAAATCCTCGGGTTTTGCGGGTTTTGCGGCCTTTAGACTCTCCGAGCGGAGCGAGAAAGTGCCGCTTTGGCCGAAGTGCAGGGATTCGATTGACATTTCCATTGCATGCATGTATGGGGGGATTGGATTGGGTTCATTTGTTTGGACTATACCCTCAATTGATAATAGGTTATGCTGTCGGGCAGTTCAAGATCGTTTTCATCAAAAAGGTCTCTTCAGGCTTGCCTGTAAATGCTCGGACCTCTAGTAATTTACTTGAACCATAAGTAAATTCTAATTGACCAGACTACTAGTATTTTTAACTTCTGTTCTTTTTGGTCAAACATGATGCGTTTGTTTGCTCTTCCTCAATATCCTCCTTCCAGCGAGCCTTCAGTGAAGAACATATTGCTCAACCTAGTATTGCGATGTCCCTTTGCTTGCTGCTATGCATCTTTATCAATCACACCTCCACCTACTAATATCTGACCTGTCTACTATACTACTCCATCGCCTCATTGCGACTCCCCACGATACAAGCCACAGTTGAAGAGGTGCATGACGCTTAGTCATTCTTCAACAGCCTCCTGCTATTTATGGAGCTAGCCCCCTGTCTCTCCTTGATGTTTGACCATGCCCAGGAGACTCCAAAACCCCATTAACTGCCTGATGTCCCCTCTCCGATGGCTGCCCTTGACATCGCGACGTACTATATTTTCCTTCGCCAAAAAGTCACCTTGGCAGTTACCGCCCAGCTCAGGACCCCCAATCCCTCAGCACGAACTTGTCGACGAGGAGGTTTGTCCTGACTATAATCCGGCGAACTTCTACCCAGCAAAGCCTGGAGAGGTCCTGGCCAATAGATTTCAACTACTTACCAAAATTGGCTGGGGGTCACAATCTACCGTGTGGCTCGCCCGAGATATTTCAAGGTACCCGCACTTCGCTGCTTCGTGTGACTACCGAGAAACTGACTCTGGCTTTCGCGTTCAAGGTTCAAATGGCAAGCTGAACAAACAGTGGCCCTTAAGATAAGTAACAGTAATGCCCTTAAGATAAGTAACAGTAATGATTCTGACAATGCTCAGCATGAGAGGGACATGGAAAGCCACGTTGAGCAGCAGAACCCAGAGCATCGCGGCCGCGTGATTCTGCGAACATGCCTAGATGACTTCGAGGTAACGGGCCCGGAGGGAAAACACGTGTGCCTCGTGTATGAACCGATGAGAGAACCTTTCTGGATACTACAGAGGCGTTTTGTTGATCGGAGGCTTCCTTTGCCCATTGCCAAAGCGTATATTTATATTCTCCTTGTTGGTCTGGATTATCTCCATTCAGAGTGCCAAGTTGTTCATACAGGTAAGTTCTTGTTATAAGTCCAGTAATGAGAAATATGAACTCTAATTGTCCTGTCAGATCTAAAGTTAGGCAATATTCTCATGAGCTTTGAAAACGAAAAGGTTTTTAGCAAGTTCATCGAACGACAACAGGTTATGCAATCTAAGGTCAACGACGAGAGTGGTCGGGCTGTCTACCGCTGCCATAATGACTTTGGTCCGCTTGACTGGAGAGAATCAAAAACATGATTCCCAAGCTAGCCGACTTCGGGCTCGCAACAAGACTCGACAAGCCGTCTACTAGTGGCGGGATGATAGGGAAGCAAATTGGCATTCATCCTATCCAACCAGACTACTACCGTGCTCCGGAGGTAATTCTCGGCTGTGGTTGGGATTTCAAGGCGGATATTTGGAATTTCGGTGTGCTGGTAAGACCTCTTCAACTGCTGTATCCCACACCATCCTGTGCTTCATGCTAAAGCTTTTCGTCGGCAAGTTATGGGATGTATTTGGTGCCAACGAGTTGCTGTTCCATCAAGTGCATGATAAAGATGGACAATACCATGCCAAAGCACACCTCGCAGAAATGATTGCCCTACTTGGCCCGCCCTCTATGGAGTTGCTTGCAAAGTCAAGAACCATGTCAGAACACAACTGGCCTCAACCTGTAACAAATGAAAGTGGCAAACTCTGCAATAATTCCCAGGAATTCTTCAACGGTCCTTTCTTCAACGCAGAAGGTGAGTCGACCAGTATCTCGTAGGTCAAAATCTAGTACACTAACTAATCAAGATAAATTCCAACATAATGAGTTGATTCCGCACCGAAGTCTCGAAGACACAGTTTCGTTCCTTGAAGAGAAAGATCGAGAGGCATTCCTGTCTTTTGCTCGGCAAATGCTCACCTGGCACCCGGAAAAGAGAAAGACGGCTCGCGAACTGATGAACCATCCGTTTCTCAAACTTAGTTGAGATGGAGTCCGATGGCTCGAGGAATTGCTATTCAATCCGTAATGGTGGACCGGTCAAAGGATGATAACCCACGCCCAAATTCCCAACGCCGCTATCGCTATGATCATCAGCTGTTACTAGAAATAAAATAATAGAAATACCATCCTGCTCCTCTGAACAGCGTGTTCTTCCTTCGCTCCACTTCCCCCGCAGCTCGTATGATCTGGATAAGTAATAGAGTTAGTATACGAGAGCGACGAAGATACTAAAAATAGGCCTGTCATTTGCCGCGTGGGGATTCCCCGCAGTCCCGCTTCCTACTTAAATACATCATTGATCTTCAATCTGAGCCAACCCCCCGGAATCTTCAACATCTCTTCATCTCGTTCAACCATCCATAAACCGGAGAAATGTCTACCGACCTCGACAGCCCATCTCAGATCTCAGGCGGCTGCTTATGCGGCGCCATCCGCTATGTAATTGACTTTTCTGGCGAGTCCACCTGGCCTCCTGAGGTACGTAACTCGTATAGCAAGATACCACCGATCTTGCACCCTCAAATATAAGCTAAGATGTGATATAGTCATCAACATGTCAGTGTACCATGTGCAGAAAATTCACCTCGAGCATCTACCCACAGATGCTGGATCTATCCACCACGCAACTCACGCCCCGCGATCTGTCTACTTTCCAAACCTACAGGGAATACCGCTCTTCCGAAAAATGTCTGCGCGGATTCTGCTCCACCTGCGGCAGTTCGCTGATCTTCCGCTCCGAAGAAACACCAGATCGGATATGTTTCTTCCTGGGGACGGTGGATGAGGAGGCGCTGGTAGGTGAGAGGGTGGCAGGGTCGGACCGGAAGACGGAGTTTGGGGTCGTATGGGAAAGAAAAGGGGGCGTGGGGAAGGTATTGGCGACGCCAAATTCGGATCAGCTGTATTGGGAGAATGTCATTCCAGAAGTTTCGGATCTGCTGAAGGATGGGAAAAGGTATATGGCTGATACCGGGGATGGAAAGGCGCTGGGGTGATTATTCTTGTTCTTAGTTCATTTTAGCGAAATGCGTCCCGATGACTATAGTGACGGACTTTCTCTATCAAGCAAAATGGTCAGGTCGTTTTAATGGATATACCTCTTATAATATTTATCTTGTTCGGATGGTGTTCTTTCGTCGTTCTTCGATCACGTATCTCAAGCAGGCACTATGCCAGTAAACAAGGCGTAGATGGGTAAAAGATTTCCAATTACATAATTATAATATTGAGAGAGTTAAGATACATTTCGATTCATTTAGACTGCCCTGTTGAAGAGCTAATTGACTCCCCGACATGCGTATACTAACGTGAAGGAACAATTCAAGAGATAATGAAACAGAAGCGCAACATACTTCCCATGACGTTGTACCGTTCAGAAAGCTAAGCATTGCCACAGTCAGCGAGTCACCACGACCACATTCTCAACTAACGAAGGCTCTGCCGTAACGAGGGTTGAATCCATGAGGGCGACGTGTGGTGTCTGGTACTGTGTTCCTTTGGCGGCAGCAATTTCCAAGGACATGCTCTCGGGGCCTTTGTTCATCCTCACCACAGCGTCAGCAACGCTCTCTTGAAGGTAGAACAATATTTCCGCTGGAGATTTATCGTTAGCCGAGGCCTGGATCTTGACAGTCTGCAGCTGTCCATCGAGGAAATTGAATTTCACTTTATATTCCGCCTTTTTCTCCTTATCGTCCAAGACCTCTTTGAGGAATTGGTAACCCCTTCGCGCCACCTTAACCGCTTTCCATGCTATCTGGAAAGTGACAAGCCAAGCATCCACGGCCATGGGCTCTATATCTTCCATGAATCTAAACTCCTCCATTTCTTGTGCGTGTCTATATCGGACATAATCCGGAGCAATCATTTTGACGTGGACTGCACCGTGCCAAATGTTGTCGGTCCCTGATCTGCCCATGGGAATCGCATAGTAGACATGGCCGACAAAGAGTTGCCATGAATTATGGTCATCTCGGAGTGCAATTGCATAATGAGGGAAATGAGTGTCATTGCTTGCATCAAACTGGGAGATCTTCGAAGGCGGTTCGGGCTTGTAGGAAAATATGGCTTGTGAAACAAACTCGGCCACGTCCTTTTCTTCGCCATGGCGTGTTATAACTGTGGGAACTCCCATTTCGGCCAAAAGTTTCACCAGATCACGATACATTTCAGGGACCTCTTTACTAGCACTAGTGAAGACACTTGGGCTTGTCCACAGGCCGCATAAATTTCTCGTGGTGGTACTGGCATTTCCTTCATTCGGTTCGCCCCAGTCCTGCTCGACTTCCTTTTGTTTTACCTTGTCCTTGGCCTCTTTCAGAAGAAAATGCTCGGCTGTGAGGAAGGTTTTAAAGTAGTCCCCGGAGGTTGTAGGAGACTCGGCCTTTTCGGCGGCATCTCTGGGAATGTGCAACGCGGAGACCTTTTTAATTGAACGGAGGAGGCCCGCAATGTCGCCGGCGTTTGAAATCGCCCAGTTTACTGCAGGGCCTACACCCTGAATAATGGCGTTGAACCAGGCCATAATCTAGGGCGGAAACTGAGGATAATCGTAGGGGTTTGAAAAGACGGAGACAGACAATAAGGATCCAAAGACCAACCCAGCCCAATAGGTAGGTAGAATGAGCGTGTTGATATAGATTTTGATCTACCGCAATCGTTCATGGATTCAGGTAAAACCGAATATAGTTATAATTACAGTTTGCCTTGACGCTGGAGAATTCCGCATGCGGACAAGTATGTTTGCGTCATGGACTATACGTAGTACTTTTTGTAGCAGTTCAAAGGCTGAATCAAGTCGATAATACGCCACTTTAATTCTGGCGACGTCACTAACAGTTGTTCATCTATGACGGCCAAGAATTTTGCAAGCGAAGACAGGAGTGTCGACATCATTACTCACAGATAACACTTTCATACTCATCGATTGTAAGGTTGCATTCGAATTATGACGCCTAGCCTCGATGAATTGATGCCTTGGAACGGCTTCATGCATGTAGTTGAACTTCCCGTGAGTTTCCCATCTAATAGTCTCAGGTAAAATCCAAGCCTTCAATTGAGATTCAAGAGCCAGGTAGATTATACCGATAGATTTTGCATCGATCACCACCTCATCCGAAGCAGCAGGAGCATAAATCATAAGCGATGGACCCACAAGCTTGTCATGTTCCGTAGCCCCTCAGAATCCGCACGGCTCCAGCATCCGCTGTCCGGATGCAACCGTACGGACCAGGGTCATGACTCGATGTTTTCGGCAGTATGATGTGTAAGACTTTGTAAGGGGCTAGCCCTGAATACTATGTCTCTTCTCGAGAAGAAAAGAAATAATATCGAGATTATCTATCTATAATAGCTTTCTGTTTACCCTTCCGAATACCCTCAAATTAATTACGTGTCTTTCTGGACACTTGGATACTAAAATTCGTGAACCAGAAATCGATCTCTCGTAGGAGTGATTATTAGCCCGATATAGACGAATAAACTTATCCGCGTACATCGATGTATTAACAAGACAAATGCTGACACATTGACAGCGTCAGCTCAGAACTATACAACATTCCACCGATTTCAATGGACGCTATTTCGAAGTCCAACAATGTCGCCCTACTATTTAAAAGATGCATCATCCGTGACAGAGCCAAAATCACCGCATGGCCAGTTCCCATAACAGGCGTGCTCATACTGGGCTTTCGCAACGGCGTTCCTCGGCACTTCGAGAAGCGTTGAAAGCTCGCACCACCCATCATCCCGGTACTCACATTCTGATAGATTTCAGACCCACTATTTGTTTAATATGGCTAGATCATTTCCGGCAAGTTATTCAAGTCGGCTCATAGAACCGATATTCCTCCATGTCGAGGTATATGCCGCGCGATGCTGGCCAAGCACGTCAAACTACTGTCTTCCCCGAAATGTATCAGATCAGAATAGTTAGTTACCAGCGGATGACATAGAGTTGCCTACCTACTTGGTTACAGTTTACAATCTACCGTAACTTGGACCTCGCGAGGATTATCGTTGACTAAAGCTATTCTAGTAGTGGCCTAAGGTCATTCGTCGCCGTTTTGCCGACGGCCCGTGCTGCATTTAGACCGGAGGATCGGCGACGACGTCTCTTTCTGGCGTAGAATACGATGGGAATACGATGATCACGGATTGGCTGAGATAGATGACCGTGCAAGTATCTCCGGGTCCAAGTGTCGCTTTAATTTCTTGCCCTTCTATATCTTGGTATACACCGCGGCTATAGGTAGGGGCATGTGCTTTTGTGGTTGGGTGTTGGTATTCTGGTTCTATATCTAAGTGGAAGGTAAGTAAACTACTGGTTATATACTTCTCACGCTAAGTACTCTAAGATTTGCGATGAATGGAATCTGACATGCTTGACAATCACATTTCGAATAAAGGGGCTCTTTACCTGATATTTGTCCTTTTAATGAGATATCCCGATTGCTAAATCTTCGAAGCAGTTTCCATGGTCCTCACTCCCTCGGGTTCGGGAAGATCATCAACACCCACCCAGCATAGCCCTATTTTTGAGAATACCGTGAAAACTGAAACCCCCAACGGTAATTGCCCAGGGTCAGTGCGGGGCCCAAGATAAGTCCATCACTAAATGGGTGAATGAATGACTCGATAAGATGAGCACTTGAACAGTTAGTTACTTCCCGGCAGGGGTTGTTGATCCTTCTCCGTGCCTGATTTTGTGATCCTCCTCCCTCCTCTCCTGTTAGGGTAATTTCCCCGGACTAACTAGGTTGTTTCTAGGAGATCGTCCAGGAACCTTGGTCTCTGGCCCGGTCTTGTTAACTGGATAGTATCAGTGCACCATCGCTTAAATTTGATGTCCTGGTCCGAGGATGATCGGTACTTGTTCTTACTTGCGCTTTCTCATGTGAATTGGAACCATTTCAACGCCCCATCTAGGAGCTATTAGGCTGTATATATACAGTGTCGTCTGCCTCCTTAGTATCTGTGGTGTAGTTGTATACTATCCGTGGAGGGACTTTCGATCGATCCCGTATATCGTTGTATTCGCTACCTATACAACACCCCTGAGGTAGATTTATAAGTCCGCGTCAGCAACAATCATGTGGTGGAATTATCTACTCGCATTGGCTGCGCTGCCTATGACAGCACTATGCGCAAAAGAAGGCCAATCCGCCAAAGAAGCCTGCGCGAATTTGAACGAGAAACACTCTGACATCACCTACGGCGGTCTACATCCGAAATATATCAATGCGAATACCGGTGAGAGAGTTCCTGTTCCTTCGCTTATTGCAACGCAGCAAGCAAAGAACATAACTGACACATTTGTTATTCTCGGGTTCAGAATACTACACATCCAGCGCCTGGCTCGGCCCAGCCTGCGTCTTCGAACCAACCACCTCGGCCCAACTCAGCTCTGCAGTCCAAATCCTCAAGAACCTGAGCACCCCCTTCGCGATCCGAGGAGGCGGACACATGCCGATTGCCGACGCCGCTAATATCAACTCCTCGGGCGTGCTGATCTCCAGCTTCGGGTTGAACCAGCTCAAGCTGTCGGAAGATCAGTCCACGGTCAACGTCGGACCGGGGAATCGGTGGTCGAATATCTATGATTATCTGGAGCCGCATGGGCTCACTGTTGTTGGTGGTCGATTGGGCCATGTTGGTGTCCCTGGGTATGTTCTTGGTGGTGGGGTGTCGTTCTTTAGTAATGAGTATGGATGGGCGAGTGCGAATGTTGCTAGTTTTACGGTATGTTTTGCACTTCGCAGTTAACAACTTGCCAAAAAGAAAGGAAAGGAAAGGAAAGGAAGGGCCTAACAAAAAGCAGTGTGTTCTCGCCTCGGGTAAAATCGTCAAAGCCACCCCGGACAACGAATACTCGGACCTCTTTTGGGCCCTACGCGGTGGTTCCAGTTCCTTCGCGCTCGTCACGAACTTCGAGCTCAAGACCATCAAAGCCCCAGGTGTGATGGTCGGCCAGGCATCGTACGGCTCCGACGTCGCCGAGGAATTCATCTCCGCCGTGCACGACTTCACCATGTCCGCGCACAAAGACCCTAAAGCGGCCACGATCCCACTGGTCGAGTATATCCCTGCCTTGGGCAAACCAAGCTACAACGCGATGCTGTTCTACAACGGCAAGAACGAGACTCCCGGTGCGCTGAGCAGTTTTCTCGGAAACCCAGATATGAAGCCGTCGTCGAATAGCTTCAAGTATCGCTCGATGAGTCAGTGGTCGAAGGAGCTGGATCCAGCGATGGGATTGCTCAAGGGAAGTAAGCAGCGATTCTACGTGTTGAACATCCACGCCAAAGATAAGAAAGCGATTCAAATCGTCCACGACACGTATCTATCTGTCGCGAAGGAGAGTATCCCTAGTGGCGTCCTAGTCGCCGCGCTGGCCTTCCCCGCCGTCACGGAGAAGTACATCACCGCGTCGCGCGTGAACGGAGGCGATCCGCAGAGTCTGGACCTCGACGGCGCGCCGTACATCTGGGTGGAGGAGAGTATTACGTCGTTGGCGACGGTCAAGGACGAGGATGTCGACGCGTTCTATGAGAAAGCGAATGCGGAGATCAAGAAGAATTTGGACGCTGCGGGGATCGAAATGGCGAAGTTCATTTATTTGAATGATGCCAATCCGTCGCAGAGCGTTTTTGATACTTTTGACCCTGTTAATGTCCAGCGGTTGAAGAAGATAAGGGCTAAATATGATCCTAACAGAGTGTTTACGGATCTGATGCCGGGTGGATTCAAGGTTGAGCGGGATTAATGGGATGGGATATTTAGAGGGCAGGATTTGGAATTGTGCCTAGTAAGAAATAGGTTATGAATTTGACGATGGATTATTTGGACATAACTGAGAAAATGTGCCATTCAAATTCTAGCGCAATGTGCGACAGAATGTCTGAGGCTAAAAATAGAGGGCGAATCCGGGCCATCCACTTCTGCCCTACTAGACCATCTCTAATTTGACGCCTCCTTTAGATAAACATCCAAGTAACGAATCGAAAAAAGAAAAAGAAAAGAAAAGCTCGAGATGAGTCTCGTGAAAATATCCAGAATATATTATGCGATAATAAAGCAGAATATGTCTGGGCCCGTGGACTCGTTGCATGGCACATAAATACATAGTTTTGGCCAAGTGCACTAAGCAATGCGACGGGCGCCAGGAATGCAAGACAGCGAGCGAGTCTCGATCTCATACTGCAGAGATGAAGCCCGGCATGGCCCGACCGGTGATCGACGCGGCGCTGAGGAACAATGACAAAGGAACAGAAGAAAAACACAACCAAATGCTCCAGACGTCCCCGCCTTGTAAGAAGAGTGAAGTCAAACCCATCCAAACCCCAGTCTTGACCTAAATGTACTGATTTCGATTTCCGTGATAGTGGTTGTGGCTGCCAGCCCCGGCCGGTGCCACCAAGTCATGGGTTGCCTCGGTAGCCTCGTAGCCGTCCATCACCGCTGGAATATTGGCCTGCCGTATCCGTTGGGGATGTCGCTGCCGACGTGGAACCTGAAAAGGCCGACGTTAGGGACTGGTCTTTCGCAACTCGGGTGTACCAGTTCTTACCTGAATGGTATCCTTGGTTGTTGTGGGTCGCATTGTTCCTCGAGGCGCCTCCGTCATAGGGAGCCGACTCCCGCGCTTTCAGGCGCTCTTCAGCTGCCCGGATCTTAGCCTGGAGTTCTTCCAACTCCCGGTTCTGAATCAACATCTGTTGTCTCCTGATAGGTGAAGGGTGAACCGCGTTAGCGAGCGTCCGATGGTGGCTATGATGAAGCTCGGTCGGAGATGCGGGGAGCTCGACGCGAACTCACTTGTCTTCGAGACTTTGCGAAAGGTTATCAACACCCGAATCCAAGGAAAAGGCACTATCTAGCACCGATGAGAAAGCCTGTGCCATGGTCCTGCCATGTCTTGGTCAACGCCAACATTCGAAGGGTTGAGGGAGCGTATAGAGCGCCAACGGGAGTACGAACGACTGAGGGCGACCACTAGGTTTCCAGCCTTGCTCTGCGTCTGACATCTTGATCGATTCTAGGCTCGATTGAATGTAGATTGGAGATGAAATGAGTCCGATAAGGCTGTAAAAAGGGGGGGTGACGGGAAAACGGGCAGAGGAGTATGGAAAGACAAAAGAAAAACGGGGGGAACACGCTTTTCTGGAAGGAAGATAGGAGAAGAAGCGCGTCAGGAACACAAGGGTGGGTATAGATTCGACGAGGTGGAGCTATGGGATTTGAATTGCAGGAGGGAAGATCAGAGAGTCGAGGGACAATATTGCCGAAGAGTTTAGAGATTAAAGTATATTGATGAGGGGAGGACCAGGACCAGCTGAAGAAGAGATGATGTATAAAGGGAAAAGAAGCAGAAGCAGAAGAAGGGGGTTTGGGGATCGATGGGAGCGATCGCAGGAGCTGGGAGTGGGAGTCGGAATGATCGAAACGCTTGTCGCACTAGTAAGTTAAGTATGGGCCGGGAGGAGGGAGGGACCACTTTTTTAGTAGCAGGAAGCACTGGAGCTGGTCCTGAGGAGGGATTAAAGCCCAGACGGGGATGAGTTGACAGACAGGGGCACGGCCGGAGGGGAATAGGAGTATAGGATTAGGGATTCACGAAGTACTTCGACGTGATCCTAAAGATAGAGGTGATAATAATAACAGAAATCTTGAGAATAATAATGAAAACAAAAAAAGACATGTAAATAATAAGAATAGTAAAAGTCGCGCAGGCCAGTGTCTAAACTTCCTTGGGCTATTCAATAGTCACGCTTGCTCTCCCCACCCTGTCGGATACTCCGTAACAGGTGCGAAAGTAGGAAAATCCAAATCAATCAGCAGGATCATAAACAAAGCGCCATTTCCCGGGTGTCCACCGCGTCAGTGACTCGTATTTGACTATTTACTTTGGTAGAGAGGAGAAAAGTCGATGACGTGCATCGACCAGTATACAGTTTACGGAGCACGGAGGGAGTCAGACATTCCCGGCTAAAAGTATATTAAATGAGGGGAGGCAAAACCGATGACGATGATTCTTTCTGGCACGCCTTTCTAGCTTCAGGAGGCTGAAGAAAGCCGCGAAACCCAACCACGGAATTGGCGGCGAGCGCGAAACGGAGCGAGACAGAGCTTTGAACAAAGAAAGGGGCTGCCCCTGACACGGTGGGGTTAGGGTGTACGGAGTAAGTTGAGAAATAAAAATCGAATAAAACCTCGCCACTAGTTTGCCGCCGTGGATAGGGGACCTGATTGTGATAGAACGAGGTGCACTTGGCCAAGAACACATCTGAAAGTAGTTACTAGACGCATACTCCGTAAACGAGTGCAAAACGCTCTCGTGCTTTGGAATGTCAATCTTTGCCCTAACACCGACAGTTCCTGTGCAGTCCTGGGACAATATGGCCATCTGTGTCTGTCGACATTCTGACAAGAGCTGTGTCTATTACGTAGGCTACTTACTATGATCCGTAGAGGGTTCTAAAGAACCTCTTCTCGTACGGGATAAACCTTCAATTTCCACGTCGCAGACGTCATGAATCATGATTAGAACATTTGAACTATACTGTAGTTAGATGTGATGGGATTTGACTATCTAACGGAATAGTTAGTAGCTACAACAAGTAGCTCGCTCACTAGCTAGCTGTAATTGACTAACTGTACTCCATGGAAAGGGGCATCTCACGGGCTCATCTCTTGTGCAGTTTAATCTCCGCAGTCCGCACACTCTTCCAGAATAGGCCATCATTTCAAACAGATCACTCAATTCCCAAGCTTGAAACTTTTTTATAGTCACTCTCCCATTGCGCGATGAACGAAGCATGCTAGCCTCTGACTGGCTCTGAAAACTGGTTTTTTCAATCACGGTAACGGCGCAATGTGATTGCGTTATACTTGTACTGAGTAGATTGCACACGCGATATCTATTCCGGACGGAGGAGTGTAAGGATTGGTGGCGCACAGAAGCCAATGTTACTTTAATTAGAGTAATTAAATGAATCAAGTACATCTTCATCTCATTAGATTGTGAATTGTATTGGATGTCCACATAGGGTCTAGGGCCCGCAGTCAATTTTTAGCGTGCGAAATTTGCGTCCTCCGTTAGCAAGTAGGGATTCATCATTCAGGTGATTCAGTACCGAACTCCAGGTTTTCTACTCTGTACAGCGTTGTACACAATGTACTGACTGCCGAGTAAATTCGCAAGAACTCACCCAAGAAGTACAGACCAGGAAAAGACTGAAGCGTTGCGTCAGGCTTCCAGGTTGCCCGGCAACCGCCGTGTCGTCATCGTGCATGAGCGGCGTATGGTACGGTCACGTAACCGGCCTTAGTCAGAGGTAATGTTGGCCTTGCCGCCTTACTGCGAATATTGCCAGGTCGCGCTCATCCGTTCATCCATCCATCCCCCCATCCCAGTTGCTGCTGCCTCACCATCGCGCTGTCCTCTTTCCATCCCTCGTTTTATCGCTTCCATCCGTCCTCAGATACTTTCTCCTGTCTTAGCATATCCGGAATTTTTTTTTCTAATTTTTGCTGGCATTTTGGAGTTCCTCTTCCCCAATTTTTTATTTCCCTGTCTCCCTCGTGACACGGTCGCGTTCCTACTCCTGACTTTTTTCCCCTTCTTTTTTTTCTGCGCTTATGGTCTAATTGGATTCACGTACTCACCCCGGGACTAGCCAGCGCTCTCGATCGGTTCATCGATTGACCGACCGACCTTGGCGGGCCGACCACTGTACAACCCATCACCGTGGCCCCCATCCCCAGATCTACCTCCCCCAGTGGCCGAGTTACCGGGCAATGGGGGATGCCTCCTCTGTCGGCTTACACGCCTTTTGAATCCCTCCTCTTTTTCCAGTCCCTGGCCGCCTTGGACGCCCGACCCGCTAATTTTGTCTCCATATCCAACGGCCTCTGCAACAATCGTTTCGTGCGCGAAAATGTTGCCTTCGACGCAGGGCGACTGGCGCCGGAAGCTTTGGAGGATTTGTACTCTACGCTGACACGCGAGGGCACGGACGCAGTCGCGAGCATTCCCCATGAGCCAAACGGACGCCATGACGAAAGCCCTAGCGCTCATAATTCGAAGAAACGCAAGATCTCCAGTCCCAAACCGGATGGATTGGCGGAAAAGGGAATTATAGGCCAGGCCGGTATTGTTCCCGAAATTGTGTCTCATTTATATGCGCGGTATCGAGATCTCGTCACAAAGGAAATTAGAAACGAGGAGAGGAAATACAATGAAATTCGAAGTGAACTTGAACGTCTCAAGGAGGAGCGCGAAGCCGTCCCAGAGCCAGCTCCGACGCCTGCGACCGCTGAGAAACCCACGTCGGAGACCCCGGCAGCGACGCAATACCCTGTGCCAGAGCCGATGGATGTAGATACACCCAGCGAAAAATCCACCCAGCAACCGCGCCCGGATGTCGCTCAGAGCTCTGTTGCACCGAAACCGGGTCCAGAGATCAAAGAACCGCCGTTGGAACCGCCGCGCAAGGAAGTAGAGGCTTCCAAGCAGCCGACACCGATCACCCCGCGACCACCCGCACCGCAAAAGCAGCAGAAGCCACTGCAGCCGATGCCGGCGTCCTCACCAGCACCCTCCGTCAAGCAGTCTCCGAAGGAGCCTCCCACAAAGACACCCACGCAGCCGTTACCCTTGAAACCCTACCAACCGCAACCTCCGCTACAGCCTCAGGCTATTGCCCAGGCTTCTTCGGCGCCGCCATTTCAGGTACAGGCTCCGAATGGGCAACCTCCTTCAGTATCTCAGCCGCCTAATCTGGTTCCCCGCGACTTACCCACGCCCAAGGGACCCACGAACAAGGCGTCCCTTCCACCGCAACTTCCTTCACAACCTCCATCGCAGCCTCCTGTCGACGTTGCTCAATCTCCTTCAGCGACGGCCGTGCAGCCGTCACCGATTGCAAAGCCCCCGGCTCCTTCTCCGGCCTCGGCAAAAACTCCCCAAACGGCGAAGACAACTGCACAGGAAGTCTCTTCTACTCCAGCGCCCAAGACGACCCAACCTCCTCCTTTGCAACCTACTATTCAACAATGGTCTTTGAATCAACCCCCTCAAACACCGTCTGTCCCGCCATCCCAAAAGCTCGAGCCCATGGGTCAGGCTCCTGCTGCAAAGCCCTTACCATCCCCCTCATCACAGCAAACACCGAAACCCCAACCTAAAAAGGTTGAACCTAAGAAGGCGCCTAAAGCTACGCAACCCGCAACCGTTCCGTCGACTCCGTTACCTGTGTCTACAGTTCCGAAGCCGCTAGGACCAAGTAGTTACGGGGCAGGTTACGAAACTCCGAACACAGCACCTCATGCTCTATTACAGTCGCAGCCACGGTCATCACTCCCCCGGCTCTCCATTGACACTTCAGGGTCGGTTACGCCGTGGAAGAAGACTCCCCGTCTAACCCTTCCGCATTCTCCTCGATCGCCAGATCGACCCAGACCGGAAGATGTCAGCCCGATCAGCGAGAAAGCTCCCTCTTTGATGGGGTCCCGGGAAGCCACCCCAGAAGAGCCCGATCCACCGCGGCGGAAGCGTCGTGCTGAAGCCAAGGGGTCCTCTCGTGGCCGAGAACCCAGTCCACCGGCTGGTGAAGCAGATCATAAAGGCGGTCCGAGAAGCAAATCTGACAGGTCTACGTTCTCGGTGAACAAGCGACGCGATCAAAGCACGGCCTCCTCAAGGAGCCGAGGACGGTCGGTTTTATCGCGCGAGGACGAACCCGCGGTCGATCCTCCCGGAAAGATCAAGCGTGAGATGCCCACAACTCCTGCGGGTGTACCAGACGTGGCTGAAACGGAACACCGTGCCTCAGGGGGTCGCAAAAGTGTCGCTGCTGCTGCTGCTTCGGAAGAGCAACGCCCTGGTCGAGGTAGACCGAAGCGGAAACGTCCCCCAAGTGAATCGTTTGACACCGAGCCTCCTCAACCTGAGATCAGCCAACTCAGTCGCATTGATCCCAACCAGTCAACACCGTTCGTTCTTGCTGCACGCAACTTCCCCAAGACCGGCCAAGCGATCATGAACAACGTGACGACCCACAAACACGCGTCCGTCTTCAGCAAGCCGTTGACGGAACGTGACGCCCCGGGATATCGCGACCTCATCTATCGCCCGCAAGATCTGAAAAGCATCAAATCCTCCATCACGCAAGGCAGCAAAGCCCTCGTCGCCGCAACCGAAGCGGCCAACACGCCCGTTGCTGATGGCGAATCACCTATCCCGTCCGGCACCCCATCGAAGAACTCCGTGCTCATGCTGCAGAAAAGCGAAGATGTCATTCCGCCCAAAGGCATCGTCAACTCCGCACAGCTTGAGAAAGAACTCATCCGCATGTTCTCCAACGCCACCATGTTCAACCCCATTCCTCAGCGCGGCTTCGGCCCTGCGTTCCCTATGATTGCGGACGGCGAATCTCGAGAAAGTACTATCGTCCCTGAACCCGACGAGGGGGGCATCATCAAGGCAACGCATGAGATGTTTGAGGATGTCGAGAAGGCTGTCACCGGGTGGCGCCAGGCGGAGCGTACTTCTGACGAGTTGGCGAGTAAGAGTATCTTGTCGCTGAGGAGGGGGAGTGCAAGTGATTTGAACACGGATAGTGCAGATGAGGTTAAGGGATCATGATGACCTTTGCTTGTGTGGTAGGGGAGCGGTGCTGTTTTTTTTCTGACGAATTAGGATTTAGCAATGTATGTATTAATAAACAGTATTACTTTTTATATTTAGTTGTTCTGGAATCAATCCCCTGTTGATGGATGTTCCGGATATTGAGAAATATTTAATTTTCTGGTTTGCATCCATACTTCGTGAGGTTGCTTTACAATTAACATCGTACAGGCACATACTGGTAACTACCTAGAGTGGATATGCTGGTGTGTCATCTAGTAAATCAATGAATGTTGATCAATTTTCATTCCATTTCATATGCAGTTCCGTAATGCAAAGCGTCGCACTTAAAAATCGTTAGATAATGCAGAGTTCTATATACGTCCAGAAAACTTTTCCCATCCAATGTCTCCGTTATTGCTTTCCCACCAACACCCAACCTACGCGGTCCCGGAAATGGCTTGACTCGGCTTCGTCCTCCCCAGCCCCTCCTTCGCATAGAAGTCCATCGGATAGATACCCTGGTTCGACGTTTCCCACCCCTCCTTCACGCCCAACGCAATCAACGCCTCATACGGCGTCAGTAGCGGGCGCGGGAACGCATACCCCCAATCGATACTCAATCGCGGACAGGCGATCTGTACCCAACATTCCACATCCGCCATGGAAGCTAACTTTCCAGGAAAGATCTCCGACAGCAGTAGGTTGACGAACGGGATGCCTCGCTCGTTGAGGTGGTTCTCGATCATCGCCATTGTGTTCGGGTTACCCTGCCGGCCGAGCGAGCCGAGAATCAAGCCCCATTTCTTAGCTGATTTGGCGGTGCTGATGGCGTCGCGGCGCAGCGTGTGCATTTCGTCGTGGTAGTACGTCTCCCGGGACAGGGTGCGCGAGTACGGATCGTACCGGTACGCCGGGATGGTAGGGTTATGGATCATGGCGGATTCGAGGTGGAAGCGGCCGTCGCCGAGGTAGAGGAGGATGTCGATTTGGGAGTCCAGCTGGGGGGAGGTGCAGCCGAGGATTTCGCCTTTGGAGAGGGGGGTGATTTGCGGGATGACGACTTTGAACCCGGCGCGTTCGAGGACCGGTTTGAGACCGTGCAGCGTGGCGTTGAATTGGATCGTGCCGACCGTGGCGATTGTTTTGCCTGGTTGGAAGTTGCGTTCGAGGGTGGCGAGGAGGTGCGTGGTGTCGATGCTGATGTCGACGAAGATGTACAGCGTCTTGATCTTCGTCACGTCTACCGGGATCAGGCAGCTGTGGGCGTAGTGGACGAGGAGATCGCAGCCGAGGGCTCGCGCGGTGTAGTCGTCAATGCAGCAGGCGCCGTATGTGACGTCGCCCATGATAAGGGTCTCGATGCCGGGGCAGAATTGGGTGAGGATGTCGGAGATGGTGGTCGCGAAGATGAGCAGGCCTTCGGGGAACTGGAGGGCGACTCGTTTGGCGCCGGATGACCGTATGCGGTGGATGGTCTTGGGGATTTCGAAGGAGTAGTTTTTGGGGAGGAGGTCGATGGCGGCTTGGATCTCGGGATCTTCGAGGATCTCGGGAGGGACTTGGTTCAGGGTTCGAGGCGTTCTTCGCGGTGCGGCTATATGGAGTCAATTGATGTTACCATGCACTGTTGAGCGCAAACCGACCTTTTTGCACGCTGGTGGATTCGACATCTTTTGGACTCGACGAAGCGTTCTGTGCTTGCGCATCTGCCGTCCGTCGCCCAACGAATCTCTTCTTGGGTTGGCGCAGCTGGCCATTTGGCGTGGTGTTTGCAGTCTGGTCCTCCATTTTGAGCAAAGTGGGATGATTCCGCAGTGTCCGTCGATCTCAGAAATTCATGAAAATGTCCCGCCTGAGTCAGCAGGTCAGGTGGGGAAGGGCCGAGACTAGCCTGTCCGGGCGGTGTCTTCTCCGCATCGCATGTTCCATCCTCCTCCACGCTGCTGGTGGCTGGCTTTCGTCCGTGCTATGTAACTCAAGCGAGTTTTGGGCTGACTTTGTCTTTCCCTTCTTCCAATCGATGTCTATAACCTCTCTTATCTCAAAATGATGAATCTTCGTCCTCGACTGGGTCTCTTCTCAGCCTTCCGAGCTGCTCCAGTAACTCGGAGGTTTGCGACAGAAGCGCGGTTAACTTCGGACCATGTTCGCATCGTCGAAGTCGGGCCGCGAGATGGTCTGCAGAACGAGAAGAAAACTATCCCGTTGGAGACGAAGCTTAAGCTGATCGAGAAACTGGCCAAAACCGGCGTGACAACCATTGAAGCTGGTTCTTTCGTCCCTGCCAAATGGGTACCCCAGGTATGATCTCATCGCCCCTGGAATCGAATCAGCTTGTGCTCCAGCCATTGTTTCGCATCACTTGAGCTATCCTCGTGCTTATCATGAAGACTGACCTACGTTCTTAGATGGCGAGTACCGCAGAGATCTGTGAACGTCTTCTTCAATCGCCGCCCGAATCGCAAAATGCCATCGCCTACAACTATCTAGTTCCCAATGTCAAAGGGCTAGAAGGCCTTACCAAAGTGCTAAACGCCACGGGAAGCTCGGCTGAATCCTCGAAATCCGCCACCACCACCGAAATATCCTTATTCGCCGCAGCGACTGAAGCGTTCTCCAAAGCGAACACGAACTGCACCATTGAGGAATCCCTAGAGCGCGTTCGACCCATCGTATCACTGGCCAAGACCAAGAACATCCGTGTTCGCGGCTACGTGTCCGTCGCTCTAGGCTGTCCGTATGAAGGACCTGACGTTTCACCCTCCAAGGTAGCCGACATCACTGCGAGTCTCCTTGAAATGGGCGCGGACGAGGTCTCGGTCGCCGATACGACCGGCATGGGCACCGCTCCGCGCACAATGCGGCTCCTTCAGGCTCTCAGGGCCGCGGGGATTGCTAGCAGTGATCTGGCTCTGCATTTCCATGACACGTACGGGCAGGCCCTCGTGAATACTATCGTGGGCTTGGAGCACGGTATCCGTATCTTCGATAGTAGTGTTGGTGGTCTCGGCGGGTGTCCTTACTCCAAGGGGGCTACGGGCAATGTCGCGACGGAGGATCTTATTCATACGATCCATGGCTTGGGTATGCATACGGGAATCAACCTGGAGGAGATGTCGAAGATCGGATCTTGGATTAGTGGAGAGTTGGGACGGTTCAATGAAAGTCGGGCTGGGAAGGCCATTCTTGCCAAAATCCAGGAGTGAAGTATAGGACAGGCATGTTTCGGGTTTGCAAATATTTTGCTTGTTCCGCACATTGCAGAATCATTTTCTACCTAGTACAGGTATTCGTCGTAGCATAATCCTCATGCTATCTATTCACGTCAAGTCATAACCAATAAACTACATAAACCAAAAGATCAATACTGATCCGCGCTCAGATCCAACCAATATAAGATAAGACATAAACAAAATTAGCACCTAAACTCCCCAAACCTAGCCCCGATACAATATCACGGCAAATAATGACGCCTAAACCCCCTCCACCGATCCCCCCACGACGACCTCCGCCTCCTGTTCTCAATCATCTCCGACTCATCAACCTTCGGTATCTTCTCCTCTACCTCTTCAATCGCCGTATCTTTATCTTTATCGTCCTTCAAACCCTCAGAGTGACTGACCTTGTCACCCGAGAACGAACCCGGTTCCGATCCCTCAAGGCTCATTCGTTCGCGGTGGCGACGCACAGCCGCTTGGATGGGCGTCTCGCCGGGGAGGATTCTCCCGCTGTAGCGAGTCACTTGGATCGAGGGGTCGATGTAGAGGGGTCCGCACATTTTGTTGTCGTGGATTTGTGTATCTTGGCTCCCGGGAGAGTGTCAGGTAGGTAGTAGTGGAATGGTATATGATAGACTGGTAGTATGCGCAATTGTGGAAGATGAGAGGGTTAAGAACAAGTAGTGGATCCAGCTGTTTGATCATATAGATATAAATACGCAGATTCAGTGGAACTGATGCAATCCTGAGCGATAGAGTTCAGAAATTAGTACCTAATAATGGCCACGGCCCCACGTCTAAATACCAATTGCGCGCTCTGAATCGCCACGCGTCGCTGGCTAGATAAGTGGTTCGAGTCCGAGGTGACTATGTCATTGTTCGCTGTTTGGCATTGTCTGGTGACCTGGGGAGTCGCCTCCTCGACCAGGATCAGACAAGGTGGCGAATGGGACTAGACTGTGGGTTGTTGGACTGGAGGGAACGGTTTCGACACCGGAGAAATATCGATTTCTCGAAAGAGTAACGTACGTCATTTAACTAGAGCGTATGTTGTGTATAGATCTGCTATCCCTTCTGCCCAGGCCGCCTTATTACTCTTTCTGTTTAATAGTTTGCTCAATTGGCCTAAGTAATGCACCTGAAGTACCTATATAATCGAAGTACATTACTGAATATATCATTGTTATAGGGAGATAAATCGGTAGGTTTTGGAGAATTGCAGGCAATTTGACTGCGGATCCAAATGGAAACCCGCATAACCCGACTAGGTATATCATAACTCATAACAACATCTTTGTTGATAGCAGATGCCAACCGATGATGTTTAAACGATAAGGAAATTGCACTCAGCCGGTTGCGCTCTGGCAAAATCAACCCAAGATACGAACTCGTCTCCAGCCACGTTCCACCAAGATTGTAAGAACAACAAAACGCGAGACCGATCTAATGCCCGACTCGTATGTATCACAGTCTTGAACCCATTCTCGATGATCTTCTGGCCCGCACGATCACCACGGAGCTCCGTTCCAGCAATGAAGAGCGGCCAGACGAGATCCTGGGTAAATCGTAACCCGTTCCGAGTCTCGGATAGTAACTTTAGGTGGTTCAAGATGTGACTGCACGCTTCTTTCTTGGCTGTTTCAGCCGTCGAAAGCTCGGAAAGTGCCTGGGTGCTGTAGATCAACGTCGCGTAGTAGTACATCGACACGACTAGCTCGAAGTCCCGGCGTTCGAGATCAGACCAGAACCGGATGGTTTGGTTGACGTGCAAGCAATGTGATTTGGCGGACTCGATCTGTGCATAGATCGTTTGGACCTGGAATGCAGTCGGTGGGGCCTGATTTGAAGCCCGAGAACGGGTCTTGAGGCGCTCCAGTTGCGTGACAGAGTGAATGATGCGGACAAAGTCGGCCAGGATGGCGTCTTCGCTGCTGGTGGGCGGATCTATGAGAATCTCGTCAACTTGGCTGAACGTCGTCAGGTGTGTCCACACCGAGGTGGAATAAAATTCTTGCAGAAGGAATTCTTCGACGCGGAAGAGGGGATGATGAGGGCTTGAGCGATTGGCTTCGGCTAGAATGATCTCTCGGGCTGCAAGTAGATGGATCCGCCATTCTGATGTATGCGCTTTTAAGAGATCGCTGTTGCAAATGATCATCACTGATGCCAGGGTCAGAGAAAAGGTAGTGGTTGAGCCACCCTGCGGTGAAGGCCCACAGGATAAGTTCCGCAAATCCTGTGCTAAAAGATTTAAGGCGTGATTCGAGTGGTGATCCGAGACATCTCGAAACCTTTGACACCATGGGTCATTCACAGGGTACTGAGAGGCGAGATCATGCGCCGTCAGGGCGAGAAGAGACGACGAAACAGCCTCGGACTGTTCAGCGAGGGGAAGAATCAACTGCCACCAGGGATTCTGCGGTCCATCGATCCACGCCAGCCGATGGGCCACTTTATCTTTAAACCAGGCGAGCAATCGTGGCGAATAAGGAGAGCGCGGTGCTGATAAGTAGAGACTGGATGATGGCGCTGTAGATGGCCTTGGTACTAAGGGCGCATCGCATTTAGGCTGCGATCTCCCAGTTAATTTGCCTCGACTGGCGACTCCTTGGTCCCATTTCAGCCTCACTCCATATCCAGGACATTCGAGGCTACGTTTCGCGCATTTCCTACATCCAGGCAAGGTGAGATCGCACTTGAGACGTCGCTTTTGACAAATTGAGCAGCCTGGAGGAATTATGAGCATTGCTTTCTGGAATGTTTTTTTTTTCGAAGTTCAACGTACCTTTGAGGGGTGTGCGCAAGGATTGATCGGACATGTCCTCACGCAGGGTGGATCTGTCTACTCAGTAGGTCAAGGAGGTCAAGTTGGCGGCCAAATCTTTGCGCCTGAATAATCGGTCATCGCATAGGCTCGCCCCACTGCGCTAAACCCATGGAGGATGCTTGATAGAGAAGCCGATAAGCGAATGGCCAAAATGCAGTCTGAGTGGCCCAGAGTCTTCTTCTCTGTGGGGCCGTGGCGGCGATCTTGGAACAGAGTATATCATGTTTTCAGGGATTATAAAATGCTGGCTTTCAATAAATGAAGGTCCCTCCGGGGAAAGGATTTTTAGTCTTGCTTCAGACCGTTCTCCTCATTGCTCGTCGTTGTCAATCTTCTTTCTTGTTTTTCATTCTGAACCAAACCGTCGAACCGTTGCCAAACGAACCAGCGACAATGTCTTCGACGATAGCATTAACCGCGCCAAACGGACGAAAAATCGAATTACCAACCGGACTCTTCATCAACAATGAATGGGTAAAAGCAACCAAAAATGGCACCATCACAAGTATCGACCCAACGTGAGTCGACCGGCCCCAACCATCCAGCAATCAAGGCCATTGACCGAGATCAACAGAAACGAAACAGAAATCACATCCGTCCAAGCCGCTACATCCGAGGACGTCGACACCGCTGTAGATGCAGCTCGAACCGCTCTTGAAGACCCCAGTTGGGCGGACATGCACCCCTCAGCACGAGGAGAACTGATTCGAAAACTAAGTGATCTTGTGCAAGAGAACCTGGAAGACCTAGCAACGCTGGAGACATGGGACGGTGGAAAGCCGTATTCAGTCTCTTTAACCGAAGATCTCCCAGAGGTGGTCAGCTGTCTGAGGTACTTTGCTGGCTTCGCCGATAAAATCCATGGCCAGGTGATCGATAGCGGCGCGGCCAAATTCGCGTATACGATACGAGAGCCGATTGGCGTGTGTGGGCAGATAATTCCCTGGAATTATCCTTTGATGATGGCTGCTTGGAAGCTGGGGCCGGCGTTGACTGTAAGCAACCAGCTTGGGATAGGTGATTAGTGCTTTGTTCTGACTGAAATACAGTGCGGAAACACGGTGGTTCTTAAACCATCTGAGCTGACTCCCCTAAGCATTCTCTATTTTGCCGACTTGATAAAGAAAGCCGGCTTCCCTCCGGGCGTCGTCAATATTCTGAATGGCCACGGAGCAGAAGCAGGAACGGCGATCGCCAACCACCCCGGAATCGATAAGCTTGCTTTCACAGGGAGCACGGCCACCGGACAGAAGATCATGGCAATGGCGGCATCAAACCTCAAAAATATTACCCTCGAGACCGGTGGCAAGTCTCCGTTACTTGTGTTCAACGACGCAGACATTGACCAAACGGTGAAATGGGCACATGCTGGCATCATGAGCAACCAAGGCCAGATATGCTCTGGGACCAGTCGGATCATCGTACAGAAAGGTGTTTATGAACAGTTCATTGCAGCCTTCAAGAAATATACAGCACAGACCAGCAAAGTCGGTGATCCTTTCCGTGACGATACATTTCAAGGGCCACAAATCTCGAAGGCTCAATATGACAGAGTCTTATCATACATCGACTCCGGTGTCAAGCAAGGTGCTCGTCTAGTGCTTGGTGGAGCACCATCCAATACAACTGGCCCTGGCTTCTTCATACAACCAACAATCCTCGCGGACGCCACAGAAGACATGACAGTTTCCCGAGAGGAGATCTTCGGCCCCGTGGTTGTCATTTCACCATTCGAAACCGAAGCAGAGGCCGTTAAACAGGCCAATAACTCACCATACGGCCTTGGATGTGCCATTTTCACGCAGAATCTGGAACGCAGTCATCGGCTGGCCCGAAAGATCGAAAGTGGTACGGTGTGGATTAATAGCAGCAATGACAGCGACTCACGAACGCCGTTTGGGGGTGTCAAGCAGAGTGGCATCGGGCGAGAACTTGGCGAAGCTGGGCTCGCGGCGTATTCTAGTATCAAGGCTGTCCATGTCAATATAGGCGCGAAGTTGTGACGGGAGAGAATCAGAGCAGCGTGTACTGAAAGGAAATGAACATTGTCAATCACTCATTCGGACTCATATAGAAAACACAGGTTATCTAAAAACAATATCTACTTTAGAATGGGCCACGGAGCAAGACCATCATCTCTTGAGTATCCTTTCGTCTTCATTGTTGACCCGTTGCAGTATGTAGTTGTACAGTATTCCACATGATCAAACACAAGTGTAAGCTGCAGTATGCTTTGGCCCTATATCGGATTCCCTTTCACCAGGTATAATGCTCAATCCATCGACGCATATTCTTTCTGGGGTACATATGAACCGACCTTCCCTTCCCTGCGGCGGATCAATGCTACATATCTAGCGAGGAATCGGCTGGACAGCAAAAGCCACCGAGTTAGCATCGCCAGGCCCAAAGTTGCCGCCATTCACATACAACGATTTTTTTATAGCCCTTAATAGTCACGGCTCTCAAGTTTCGCGAGTATGCCGACCAGTGATTGGCCTCCTGGCGCTTCCAGTCGTCAGGATTCGCATCACCCTCGCCGTTATACACCCACTCCTTGTCGGTTGCGCTGATGATGATCAGCCCGGACCCGTCGTCCAGATCACATAGGGCCCGTTGGTGGCCGTCGTGAGGGAGGTGTCGTTAGTACGCAACTCGACTGCTTCCGCGGCGTCGAAGAGCAGCGGACTGTTCGCAACCGTGTAGTGGACTTTGCAAGCTCCGAAAATATAGGACCTTGTAAGCCCTCTACCGAGAAATGAATTATACGATTTTGTCTGGTTAGTACAATCTATCCTTACTATTTAACTTATAGTTAAGAATTCTCAATCAAGAGAAATGTCGAATTGAGATACACTTTTCTCGCAGAACGAGCAGCGCGGGTTTTTCTGGTCACATTTTGTCCGTCGAGCGCGGAGGAACAGGGAGAAGGATGGCTTAAAAATGCGGGGGGTCCGCTAGGTACGTACCTGACTAGTGTAGTCCATATAACCTCATGCTAAAATTGCCAGGGCTCGAATAAGGGCGTGCTACGCCGTTGCTTTTACTGCAGAGCGCGCACTGCTAGCAATTGGAAGAATCAAATCGATTTAAGGCGGCAGGACCGCAAATAGGATATTTGTGCTATTCGAGAGAGACAGGTACGTATTGCGACATATATACATGCCATCAAGGCTCCGGGTGGATTGGGGAAGGGAAGACAGATGAGCCTAGCAGGCATCACATATTTAAAGACCCCAATCCATCCGATGAAAACAAATGAAAGTCTAGCTGCAACACGCAGCAGAGCACAACGCCAGCCAATGCAAAAAACTCCACAACTGAATCCGCTCGCCTCACAGCAACCAGCCGAAAGTCAGGATCTCTAAAAATCGGTGACTCTTCCGCCATAGCTCCAATCTCCTCCAGAACCCCATCGCAGGGGCTCATTCTTCGGTCCACCGACTTCTCCCGTCTGAGGGTTCTTCTCGCCCTCGAATTCCGGCTGTACACCGTAACGCACGTCGGGATGCAGTTCCTCGCCCTTGCCGGTGGCCTTGATCTCGGCCGACTCGGTGGCGGGCGCAGCTTCGGGTTCGGAATCGGGAGACTGATTGATCTTGGGAGTCGATCGGGGGGTGCTGAAGGCTCCGGTGGATTGCTTCTGTAGTTGCTCAAAGATTTCTTGCTCTTCTTGGGGGAGACGTGGGGGAGCTGGGCCGCGCGAAAAGGCGAAGGCAGGTTTGCCGTCGGCGGAATTGCGGAGAACAGGCTGGCTGGCAAAGGTGCGCGAAGAGAGGCGGAGGGTACGGTTTGCAGAGGCAAAAGCCCGACTAGAAGCGACGGAGAGTGCCATAATGTATTATGAGGAAAGACGAATAGTTGAGTTGTGTCTGACAGATGGGAGTTGAGAAGGTGAAGGAGAGTGGAGTGCGGAGTGGCGGAGACGAAATCCCAAAAGTTCCCGATATCGCGGCTTTTTTCCTGACCGAATGGCCTGCCCGTTCCTGCTCCGTGACTCAGGTCTCTCCGCTCGCTCTTTATTTAATTTGGGTCCTGCCCCGCAGAGATCAGTCAATTCCTTTTCTTTCTTTCATAATTTGATTTTGTTTGTTTTTCTTTAAGCCAGTCCGTCTTCAGCCCTCTAGATGTCATTCATTCGCGTGGCTTCGCGGCGAATGCCGCTCGCAAGGAAGCTCGTTCCTTCGATCGAGTCACCGCTTCAGCGCCGATTTGCTTCGGCGCAGACGTCGAACGTTTCTCAGGATGTGAAGGCCCAGGCCAAGGTTTGCTCTATGGCGCCTACTCTAGATTTCTAAAATAACACTATAGCAGAAGGAGGCGTCGCTGCCCAACCCCGATCCCGCTGCGGATTCGGCGACGATGGCCTTCATCCAAGATCGAGCTCCGTATATGGTGCCCACCTACGTTCGACCGGCCCCGATGATGGTGAAGGGACAAGGGTGTTATCTGTGGGATATGGAGAACCGGCGATACCTGGATCTGACGGCAGGCATTGCCGTTAACTCTCTCGGTCATTGCGACCCTGAGATTTCCAAGATCATTGCCGAGCAGGTGTGTATTCGTCGCCCAACTGTCGACGCAAGGGATAATGTGATCGCTAATGGTGCGCCGATCTATAGGCCGAGACTCTGATTCATGCCTCCAACCTCTACCACAACGCCTGGACTGGCGCCCTCAGCAAGTTGCTGATCAACCTTACCCGCGAATCGGGTGCCATGCGCGATGCCTCCCAGGTGTTCATCTCCAACTCCGGCACGGAAGCCAACGAGGCTGCCATTAAATTTGCTCGCAAAGTCGGCCGCTCCCTCGACCCGTCGGGCGCGAAGCACGAAGTTGTTTCCTTCCACAACTCTTTCCACGGTCGCACGATGGGCGCTCTGTCCGCCACGCCCAACCCCAAGTACCAGACTCCGTTCTCGCCCATGCTGCCGGGTTTCAAGTACGGAAACTACAATGATGTCGAGCAGCTGCAGACCCTCATCACGGACAAGACGTGCGGTGTGATTGTTGAACCTATTCAGGGCGAGGGTGGTGTGAACGTTGCTACCCCGGAGTTCCTCGTGGCGCTGCGCAAGCGCTGCGACGAAGTCGGAGCTGTCCTGGTCTTTGACGAGATTCAGTGTGGTCTCTCCCGTACCGGTACTTTCTGGGCCCACGCTCATCCCTCTCTTGCGCCTGCCTCTGGCGAGGCTGCGCACCCCGACATCCTGACCTCTGCCAAGGCCCTCGGCAACGGTATTCCCATCGGCGCGACCATCGTCTCCGGAAAGACGGTTGCGGAGCACATCAAGGCCGGTGATCACGGAACGACCTTCGGTGGCAACCCTTTGGTCTGCCGCGTTGCGCATCACATCGTTGAGCGTCTGGGCTCGTCGGAGCTGCAGAACTCGGTGGAGGTGAAGTCGGCCCAGCTGGTGTCCGGTCTGGAGGCCCTCCAGAAGAAGAACCCCGGTGTTATCTCGCAGATCCGAGGCCGCGGTCTGATTCTCGGCGTTCAGCTTTCTCCTGAGTACACGGCCAAGGCGTCCGAACTGATCACTGCCGCGCGGGAACGGGGCATGCTGATCATTACCGCTGGTGATGGCTGTCTCCGATTTGTTCCTCCTTTGACTATCACCGAGGATCAGATCAAGACTGCCCTGAAGATTTTGGAACAGTCCTTCGATGCTGTCGTTAAGGCGTAGAGCGACATATAGTAAAGAGTTTTGGTTAGAAAAAAGATCTCGGTATTATGTTGTTTACTTTCGATAGATGACGATTATCAAATGTTTATATCCAATGACGCATTCTTACTGCCTCTATATAATCATGTTACTCCGTATAAGACCCGGCAGAGCCCAGTAGCAACCTTAGCGGCATGCAGGCAGTGTTTTGTTTAATATGGTCAAGCGATTCCGCTCATTTAGCATAAAAAAATATCCAGACTGTCTAAATATGTACTTGATTATCCCTTGTCGTTAAGAGAAGAGACGATTTTGCTTCTTCCTTCTGCAGCACTGCGGGAATATATGTATCTATACCCTACGTACAATTAGACTACTACTCCTACCACAAGCACTATTACTACTATATATTTGCACTTCTTAGTAGGATTACGAAGCCTATATAGATATTGAATATTCAATACTCATATTATCAATATACTGGTCTAGTCTTTTCTACCACACCGCAGCGCAAGTACGTACACGGTATGTTCAAACAGGAAGGGATCGGCTGTCAATTCAAGGCACCGAACTCAGGCACCAAGGCACCGATAATAGCTGGTCACGCGCTCCGACCGACGGTCAACGACAGCCCCCAAAGTTCCCCCAATTCCCTTCTCATCCACCAGAACACCTGATATCAATGGCCCATTAGCAGCAATTACTCTTCGGTTCCGATCTTGAAACGAACGACATGAATCTTGATACTTGCTCTTGAATTTGTAGCGAACTAACCAAAACATCCTTGCTGTCCTGTGATGCCTAGAACACCCGACTCAGAAGACACGCCCATGCTACCTCTCCCTGGATCCCCATCATCCTCATGGGCCCGATTTCGAGAGCGACTCGGAGCCTTATTCAGCGGTGCCGACCCCAGAGTTTGCGTCGCGTTCTGGCTCTTCGGTAAGCTACTTATTCGATCTGTAGCCCAAAAAGCCTCGGCCGCTAACGTGCTGCGCCAACCATCTTTCGACCATAGGTTTAATCAACAATGTCCTCTACGTCATCATCCTATCCGCTGCCCTTGATCTGGTCGGTCCCAATGTGCCCAAAGGCGTCGTCCTCCTCGCAGACGTGATCCCCTCGTTCGGAACCAAGCTCATCGCCCCGTACTTCATCCATGTCGTACCATACTCCGTACGAGTCGTAATCTTCGTGGCCATCTCCGCGATTGGCATGCTTCTGGTGGCGCTGAGCCCGGAATATACAGATGGCGGCTCGCTTTCCACCAAATTGGCGGGAATTGTGCTGGCTAGCTTGTCTAGTGGAGCCGGGGAGCTGAGCTTCCTGGGTCTGACACATTTCTACGGTCCTTTTAGTCTGGCCGCCTGGGGAAGTGGGACCGGGGCTGCTGGACTGGTAGGAGCTGGTGCGTATGCACTGGCGACTACTTCGCTCGGACTCGGCGTCAAGGCGACCCTTTTGGCGTCGGCTTGTCTGCCGGCGGTGATGCTGGTGAGCTTCTTCACTATCCTTCCCCGGTCTTCTATTTACCTGTCGTCGCGAACCTCTGCTGGATATCGTGCTGTGGAGGACCGGGATGTGGTGGACGACGAACGTGGACTGGGCGACGATCATGAGGTTGCTGCCGACGAAAGGGAAACTCTTCTAGGCTCATCTTTAGACTCGGGCGACAGTCAAAAAGCGAAATCATCGGGCAGTAGTGGCATTGGGTGGCACAGTGTCAAGGCAAACTTACAGCGAGCCAAGGGGCTCTTCTTTCCGTTGTATGTGTGACAGCAGTGCAATCCAAACGGTTCCCGGCTCACGATTCTATTTAGCATGCTCCCCCTCCTGCTGGTTTACGTCGCAGAATACACGATCAACCAAGGCGTTTCTCCGACTCTGCTGTTCCCTCTGAAGGAAACCCCGTTCGCCCATTTCCGTGCTTTCTACCCGGCATATAACGCGATCTATCAAGTTGGAGTGTTCATCTCCCGGTCATCTACCCCATTCTTCCGCATCCACAACCTATACCTCCCTTCGTTCCTGCAGGTTATCAACCTGGCCATCCTGTCGCTCCACGCCTTATTCAACATCATTCCCAGCGTGTACCTTGTCTTCGCCATCATCTTTTGGGAGGGGCTCTTGGGCGGGCTAGTTTATGTCAACACATTTGCCGAGATCGGCGACCGCGTACCCAAGGAGGATCGAGAATTCTCGCTGGGCGCGACGACAGTCAGTGACTCTGGCGGTATATGTATTGCTGGATTTGTGAGCATGGTGTTCGAGGTTTGGCTGTGCGACTGGCAGGTTGCACGTGGGCGGGATTATTGTCGGCGGTTATGATTATAGATCGTGTCACTTCACTACGATGTAGAATTTGGGTATAATCAATTAATTGTTTCCGTTTCTGGAATAATGAGGGAAAGATAAGCATTATGGAAACAGTCGCGCTAGAGAGCCCCGAGTCTGGATATGTGTGGACTGTCAGATGACGACAGTCACGGGATGCGGAAGAGGCCAGCATGTGACGGAGACTCGACCAGGACTCGAGAATCCCTCCGGAGTAATCATCATCGACTAAAGGAACGATCATCCACTCCGTCGCCTCTCCAAGATGCCCCGGAATGACTGGTTTCGGGCCCTGTTCACTCCTGCCCACTACCCCACATATATTTCCAATCAGCTCGTCGGTGGGGACTTTCACATGCCAGGCCCCCGTGTCCATCCCGCCAGCTTATCCATGGATGCCCTCACGCCCGTCTTCTTCCAGGCCTATCCTGCCTTCATTGCTCCTCGTTCTTTGTGCCAGGGGGCTGAGCCATCTTTCTTGATTGACCGCCCACTCTTCGAGGTGTCCGTTTTGAAGAGATCAGAGGACCAGAGACTCTTGCGGTCTTGCTTATCTGCATCCCATTCTCCAAGTTCCGTACAAATGGCGGACAGGTCATAATCATCCTAATCTGACTTCGCTTATTGGTTTGGTCTACATTTTTACCAGGCTTTGCATTTGGGCCGTCCTTTCTAAACTGCAGCCCATTTTTGCATCGCTTTCAAGCGTTTATCCGAAGCATTCGGGGACACGAGCAGCTACAATTTAGCCGGAGATGATAGGTTGGTTTCACTGCGTAAGAAAGCGCAACCAAATGTTAACAAAGGGCAGATCACGTTTTAGGACGGCCGTCCACCAAGTTTCGCAAGATCCAGGTCTTCGCCGTCTTCCTGTTCTGGTCTACCTATCTGCTTAGGTGCGGTATTATCCCTGTTCACCCTACTTTCCAGGAGGTAGCTGACAATGGACTCAGAGGAAACAAACATGGCCCTCCGGTGATACGGAAGCTCTCGTCCCGCCTCTCCAAGAAATTGAGTGTCTGGCAAACCACCGTGTTCGTTTTCCTATGGCTTTACATTTGTCGAAATTTTGCGAAGATCGTCGGCTTGGAGTGTCCGGAGCCTTTGGCGAATTTATACTCGCGTTCCTTCTTCCGGGCAACATGGATTACAACGGCTCTGGACGCTGGGTTCTGGACAGCTATGAACGTCAAGCCGAAATGGCTGCGTGATATCTCCTCGTTAGTCTTCACGGGCTACTATCTGTTTGCAGCAGAGCAGGCCGATGAGAAGGTTCGTCGGGTTCGGGCCACCATGACGGTAGAGCACTTGCGAGTCTCGTGGAACAAGGCCACCACCCCCTATCTCTGGGCTTTGGCAAGTATCATGCGACCACGACTTACAAGATATCCTCCACGGGCAATCCGGATCCCTCGTCCAGGACAGTCCTCGTACACCGAGCCAACAAGTGCATGGCTTTACTTTGACGGACCGTTGAGTGCACTGCGCGACCAGACGTGCATCATTCTAGATATACCGGGCGGTGGGTATGTTGCCATGAGCCCACGGTCTGCGGAGGACCGGTTGCTTGCGTGGGCTGGAAAGACCAAGGTCCCGATTCTCAGCCTGGACTACAGAAAAGCACCAGAGTATCCTTACCCCTATGCGCTGAACGAATGCTACGATGTCTACCATATGATCGTCTCTACTCGCGGTCGTTGCGTGGGATTGAGCGGGCAAACGCGACCTCGAATTGTCTTGACCGGCGATAGTGCCGGGGCGAACCTCGCCGTAGGGACAACGCTGATGGCTCTCCAATCCGGGGGCCCGAACGCTCCTCGGTGGCAGGGTGACAATATCCTGCCACGCCCTGATGGCTTGGTTCTGGCATACCCAACGTTGAGCATGAAGGTTGAAAGCTGGATGACGGAGGAACAGATGAGTTTGATCCAGGAGAAAAGCACACGCCGGACGAACCAAGGTGTCCTGCAGCGGAAGAACATGGACTACCAGCGATTAACACCCTTCACCTCGCCGGGTCCCTCTGTCAGCGATTTTCAAACCAGTCCTTTGTCAGATGGCGAAGGTGAAACGGATGGGATCGTGAAAGAAGCGTCAAAGATTATTGAGGAGGAATTAGCCCAAGATACAATCGCAGCCCAGGCCGTGGAGATGACGGAGAACCAGCCGAAGCAGATCAGAACGCGATTGGCTGTCTCTTCGATGATCTCATACGTTCACGACCGCATGTTGACACCCGAGATCATGAGAGCGTTGATCATTTTATACATCGGTCCTCACAACCGCCCTGACTTCGGTACCGATTTTCTTCTGTCTCCCGTCCTTGCGCCGGATGCACTGCTTTCCCGCTTCCCGAAGACATATATCATCACCGGGGAACGGGACCCCTTGGTTGATGACACCGTAATCTTTGCTGGCCGACTACGGCAGGCAAAATTGCATCAGTTCCGCGAGCGTCAGGAGTTGGGTCTCGAAAAGTCGTGGCGTACCTTCAAGGAAAAGGACCATGTAGAGGTATCTTTGTTGCCTGGGGTGTCGCATGGCTTTCTCCAGATGGCGGGATTCTTCCCCGAGAGCTGGAAGCACATCAATCGTTGCGCCTCGTGGATCCAGGATCTGTTTGAGATGGCCGAAAGAAAGAAGGTCTCTCCTAGTTTTCCCCAATCGTTGATTGACACCTCTAGCCTGCACAAGACACCCAGCAAAGTACCTACCAACAAGGAGCGGACCCGCAATCACAAGCGAAGCCTCACGGGCGAATCCTCTGCCGACGAGGACAAGCCGTTGGAGATGAGCATCGGCAAGATGACGCCTCTCAACCCGGACAACAGCCACCCGGGTCACGCTCGCATCCATCGATCCTTCAGCAGTGGCGTCCAGCTGGTCAACCAAGAGATTCACTCCGATAACGAGGTTCCCCGATCCCGAAGCGTGTCGAGAGGACGCACCCCGCGCCCCAGCGGGCTCGCGAGGAAACGGCGGTTTGCGCCTACATCCCTGAAAATGCCCAGCGTGAACGGATACACCTCCGACGGACCGGAAAGTCCGGCGTACTTTCGTCGTAGGGATGGTAGCCTGGACAGTCTCTCCAGCGAGGAGGACCTGCTTCACCGCCGAATGAATGGGATTGCGGGGGGATTGATGGGGATTGGCGAGGGAGCGCAAACTCCGTAGGTCTGGGTCGGAGTATGGCGTAACGACGCAATGCGAACATGACAGGGTCGGACATGGCAATTGGATCGGGATAGAGCGAGAATGGTTCTCCTTGGAAATTTTTTATGTTTATGCACGGCACAAGGATTAATACAGCGATAAGAATAGACTGCTATCACCACCTGATTTCATTTTCATGTGATTGTGTTTATGCTGGATGCAGAACATGTGATTGTGGACCGCCCCACGACACTTTCTTGCGACTATCCGCAATCTGGAGTCTAGACAGCGACATATCTCTGGCATAACCAGTAGATCTCATTATCCATGCACTGCACGTGTCCTCCGTGTCCGTATCCTGTGCTACCACGGAGGATTTACCCTCGACCTTTCTCTTATCTTGAAAAGATCAAGGTTCTGGAAGATGACATCCGCATAGGGCTAGGCCACAGGCACCACCTGGTTTGATATGGCGCCAATCGGGTTGCCGTTGTCGGCCCGATGACTCGACATTGCACCAGCGGGTCTGACAATCTGAGGAACCGAGTATACTCAGGGGACTGAGTGAAGGTGAAGAATCAATCCTGCAAATTGACATGTGACAGTCACATGCGTCCAGAACCCCGTGGTCCAGCGCTAACCCCATCCGGAATAGTGCAACCAGGTGACTGCAGCCCTATCGCCCGATCTTTCTCCGTTGGAATCATGATATCGACCCAGCTGTCGGCATTGATGATGAAATAATCAATAATCCTTCCATCCCTGACCTGATTCACGTCGCCGGACACCGCTGACCGAACATGCTGCGTTGTCCATCGTGTCAGAATCCTGAACATGCCCGTCTTTTCCCGCATTAGGAATCCTCCCGATGCTGTCAGCACAGCCTATTCTTATCCGCTGTCAGCCCAGCATTCTGCCGCCCCGGTGTGCTGTGCTGTTAGTTCCCTTAGGTGCCAGAGCCTCGGCAACCCGAGTCTCCGATAGGCTGACCCGTCGGAATTGGGTAGCCTGACGCCATACCTTACTATGACTGCCACAACCATGCGGATATCATACCCTTCGGAGAAAACCGACGGGAGTGGTGGATCCACCAGTTCTTCTGGACACTGTTTTCATTATGTTATCTTCGCTCGGAAGCAGTTTGTTTGCTCCTGCCTGCCAATGTTGACGGCAATGGTCCGGTTTTTTCTACCCTGCGGCTCTTGGCATCATGAGGATTTTGCAAGGCGCTGGACCCCGTTTCAGCTGCCGTGTTTGCCATTGGATAAGGGCGTCGGTAGGGACGGTCAGGTGGATATAGTAGTGTGTAGAGATGAGATGTGGGCGAAAATGTGAATAGTGGATAAGGGTGGCCTGGTCTTGTTTTTTATTTTTGCCCCTTGGTATATCTTTATCTGCTGGTCTCACTCGGGTTGACCTGGATTGTGTTTTGTTGTTGTTCCTCGCAACATACTTCCTATCGTCGGAATTTATTTTCATGTCCATATACGGCATACCTCACATTCGTTCTGTGAAGTCAATTGATCATGTCGAGAGCACCCAGTGTCCCCGACTCGGCGGTCACAATGAAGGCCAAGCCCTACGTCGACTTCGACGGCCCTGAAGATCCTCTGAATCCTCTGAACTGGCCCATGAAGAAAAGGTTTGTGACATTGATCGATGGTTGGAGATTGACTGAATACTGACAGTCTGTCACTTTAGGGCATACATATGCGCCATTCTGGGCCTTAGCACCATGGTCGTCGCCTTCGCTAGTAGTATCTTCTCCCCTGCCATACCCGCTTTGATGGCCATTTACGGTATCAGCAGAGAGGTCTGCACCTTGGGCATCTCCCTCTACGTGTTTGGATTCGCCTTTGGACCTCTAGCATTTGGTCCCTTCTCCGAGCTGAAGGGGCGATACTTCCCCCTGCTTGTCTCCATCTTCGGTTTCACGGTCTTCTCCTTCGCCACTGCTGTCTCCAAAGACGTCCAGTCTCTCTTCATCCTTCGCTTCTTTACCGGCTTCTTTGGTTCTGGGCCTCTCACCCTGGCCGGCCCAGCATTCGCAGATATGTTCACCCCGCAGCAACGAGGCATCCCCATCGTCATGTTTTGCTTGATGGTCTTCATTGGACCCCTCGCAGCACCATTCATCGGCGGCTTCATCGTCATGAATGACTCCATGGGCTGGCGCTGGACGGCCTACATCCCCGGAATCATGGGCGGTTTTGTCCTCGTCCTGCTCCTGCTCTTCGTCGAAGAGACCTTCCAGCCCGCCATTCTCACTCAAAAGGCCAGTCGCCTGCGCCACGAAACAGGCGATTGGTCACTGCACTCGAAGCAGGAGGAAAAGCGCATCGACTTCCACACCATTCTCACGGAGAACCTCAGCTTGCCGCTAAAGATGCTCGTCCGCGACCCCATCACCCTCTGCATGTGCGGCTTCGGCGCTTTCGTTTACGGCCTGCTCTACCTATTTCTCACGGCCTACCCGATGGTCTTCCAACTCGTTCACCGCATGAACCTCGGCGTCGGTAGTTTGCCCTATATCGGAGTAATTGTCGGGCAGCTCTTCGGTGCCGTCGCGATCGCCGCTACACAGCCGTGGGTGCTGCGCAAGATGGAACGGAACAACGGCGTCATGATGCCCGAGTGGCGTCTTCCTGTGGCTATTCCCGGGGCGGTTGCCTTCTCTGCCGGTTTGTTCTGGCTCGGCTGGACGGGGTATAAGTCCAGTTTTCACTGGATTGTGCCGACCTTGTCAGGCCTGTTGACGGGATTTGGTCTGTTGACTATGTTCCTTCCTTCGTTGGCTTATCTGGTGGAATCTAGTGAGGACAGGTAAACTCCCTTCTTTTCCTTTCTTTTGAACTTTCTCATTCTTCGCACTTCGAGCATGTATCTAATGAACTGAATAGAGCTGCATCCGCCGTCGCCGCGCACACATTCCTTCGATCAGCCGCTGGTGGTGCATTTCCGCTTTTCGCGAAACAAATGGTTAGCCTGTCCCTATCTACTTAACATTCCCTGAAGACCATTCCTTCCATTCTCACGAATGTTTTCCTCAACTAACTATTGCGATGAATAGTTCGACGGCCTAGGTGTAGAATGGGCGTGTACGCTACTGGGCTGTGTCGCGGCTCTGTTCATTCCCATTCCAGTCCTTCTGTATATCTACGGGGCGAGGATTCGGAGTAAGAGTCGGATGGAGGTTTGAGACTTTTATATTTTAATTTCCTCTTGCCTTACTACTTTCCTTTCTGTTCTAGAATATAGACTTTGGCTTCTCTTAGTTTTATTAATCAATGTTTGGTGGGTCTACGAGGATGAGAGATCATTTATTACGTCTTTATAATGGTTAATAGGAGATAATATTTAGCTTGCGCTCATGACCCAAGACTGCTTTGAATACTATAATCCAGCAAGTCCAGCCAACCCAAGCCCATCCCCAATACTCTGCGTATGTAGGCCCCTCCTTATTCTGTCACCCGCGGGATCAATTTACACATCAGCGGCCGTTTCTCCCAAAGGATAAACGATTTCTGGTTCTTCCAATCCCAGCTCTCCGTCTGGAGCTCGAGATCGAAGTTCCAGAGGACACGCGCAAGGATGACGCGCATCTCCGTGTAGGCGAGGTTCTTTCCGATGCAGTTGCGCGGGCCCACGGAGAAGGGCTGCAGGACGTCGCGCTGGTCAGCATGAAACGGCGAGGAGGGGTCGGATCTGATCTCGGGGAGCCAGCGCTCGGGGAGGAATTGTGAGGGGGCGTGGAAGTTGCTGGAGGAGAGGTAGGCGCTGGATTGGTGGACGGAGACTTTGGTCTATAAGTACGGGTGGTTAGTATATACTTTTAGAGACAGGCGTGTTCGTGGAATAACTTGGAAACTTACTCCAGCTGGGACCTCGTAACCAGCTATCACGGATGGCCCGAGTGTCATGCGTTGCAGGTCCCCCGGCACCGGCGGGTACATACGAAAAGCTTCGTTCAGACAAGCCATCATATACGGGAGTCGAGCCGTCACGTTCTGGAAGTTGATCTCGGCTTCCGAGGCCATGGTGGATCGAACTTCCTGGACTGCCTTCTCCATTGCATCGGGACATTTGAGGAGCCAGAACGTCACTCCGGAAAGTAACGTCGCCGTTGTTTCACTTCCTGCGATGATTAGGATATTCGCATTGGCCTCGAGTTCAGAATCGTTGAGTTCGTCTTTATCTCCACGATGGCGTAGCATGGAGTCCATAAAATCGCCTCGGTCGTGAGCTGGAGGGGAGTGTAGTCTTTTTTGCACGGTGATCTGGACGTGCTCGACTTGTCTCTTTCTTGCTTCGAGGAGTGATTTTGGAAGGAAAGACAGTAGGACTTTACAGAGAACCGGATAAGAGTCCTTCGCCTTGAGGAATGGGATAAACTTGACGGACTCAAACACGGTAGACACCCAGTCATGGTAGGTTGAAGTTTCCAATCCACCAAAAGGTTCACCGAACGCAAGGTCTCCGATGAGGTCAAACGTCGTCAAGTTATACCACTTCACCATGTCAACTGGGAGACCTGATTCGGCAAAGCCCTTGAGTCGCTGAATGAGCCTATCCACGTAGCGCGTGATGAGAGGCTCTTGTGCCTGGAGCCCCTTGGCGGAGAAGGCGTGGGACAAGGCCTTGCGGAATCGAGTGTGGTCTGCGTCGTTGGCGCTGATGATATCCGCTGTATTGCTGGAGGAATTCAGGACCTTTGGTAGTTGTCTGTGGCCGTGGCCGTAGATGTCTTTCCAGGCTTGGGCGGTAATGAAGGATACAGTGTCTGGGCCGAGTCGGACGGCTTCTCCGAACTGGGCGTGGAGAGCTCGTGTGTCGATGTCTAGTCTTCCTCGGATAGCTGAGATGTGTCTTAGGATTGGGAATGCGATCCATAGTTTTGGTCCTGGGATGTGTCGTAGTGGATGGAAGAAAATGTTCCAAGTCGCAGCTAGACAGACGTAGAGAAGGTAGATAGAGAGAACAACATAGAGTGCAGGTGACATCTTGACAAAGATATCACGGTTTGTTACAATTGAGTAGATCCAAGTGCTTCATTCAGTGAGAAGATGTCGCTGTTTAAGATGATGCAGCAGGAGTCTATCCTGATCTTTATAATTAATTCTTCGCCTGCCTGCTCTTCTTTTTATTGCTGGCTACGAGATGCAGTATGATCAAATACCCTACAAGGAAGTCGGTTGCAGTCGTCCCGTTCCACCAAACACAATTGAGAGTTACATAGATCCAAGAGTCAAGCCGTTTGAATTATATTACATGTTGTACCTATATCCTGATCGGCCTGAAGATTACATGCGGGGTTATGCTAGTATAGGACGATCTTATGAACTATTCACGTTGCATAATTTGCCGATTTGATCATATCAACGGGTCTGCAGTACGCCAGATTGACATTAGATAGTGCATAGAGTATAAGAAACACTGAGACTGTCGAAATGCGGAGCTGTCTGGTCTATAACTACCGAGAATTCGGGCATAAGTTAGGTTTATGAACTATTCTCGCTGCATACCCCGCCGATCCAAGATTTCACCAAGATCAACATGCATTAAAACGAAGTCCAGGCCTTACAGGGATCTCCTCGTAGCGTGTTTCTGTATTTCAATTATGTCCGACTAGCCCACTTTTCCTTGTTTTCTGAGCCAACCGGGGGTTAATGATTGGCATACGGCCCGCTCCTCGCCCCCGACAGATATGGCTGGGGATCTAGTCGCTCTCGTGACGTATGTCATAAATGATTCTAGCACACAGAAGATACACAAAGGAAGGTCAGATACCCTAAGAGGTCATTTCTCCTAAAAGGCATTGTCTTGACCTCAAGAGGGAGGTGGACAAGAGCTCGGAAATATTCGACATTGCGGAGGCAAGCAGTGGCGATTAGTAGGTAGTATATCCTATAGGTACCGTCTCTCTATAGGTAATTACTATTGATCTCAAGCCTGAAGCGATAGCTATCCTAGATGCGGCTTCTAATGTTGTTGTCAAAAGGTCGCGTACTACTAATTAGACTAAAAGCCTCAGTTGGGCCACGGTCAGTCCTTGCACTATCTGCTATGTCAACAGTTGTTGATGACCTAAGGAAACGTCATAGTCAATATCTTGACAAGCATAGGCTTCGTAGCCCGAATCGGTTGAGCTGCTCTGCTAAGAAATTCCACTCTACGTGGTAATATGGAATGGATTAGCGGCTCTCACCGACTGCTCTAGTTGGTGCTTAACCAACTTGTAGGCATCTATAGATCAGGAAACAGATATAAACAAAAGGCAATCCACATCATATTACATGGAGCCACCGATATTCCGATGAGGCAATTTAGATCGTGCCTTCGATGGTTGGCTGACCTACACGTGGAGTGATTTTCTAGTTATTCTCAACAACTTCTACCACAGGAATTCACTGCTAAGTAAGCCTCTCAGGATCATTACGGATATAGTAGAACTTTGATTATGGAATCTACGTCGCAAATGTACATGCTGGATTCTGTCAAGAACTCAGACCACGTCTCCTTCTAAATAGCGCCAATGCCGAGGATGTAAGAGGATTATTCTGAGCCATGCCCATTTTAGGATATATTGTAGCGTTATGAACGATTATGCGATATAGCTTCTCCGGTATCTTAATCTTAAAATCAAGTTCTGTTATGTGGTTCGTGATGCTAAGGCCGGATTACCTTTTGGCCCCGAGAGCTTATCCTATATCGAAACTTGATTTAAGTATACTATGCTGACACCGACTTCACTACGTCACTGGAGAGGAACGCAGTTATACGTCGAGGAAGGTCATATAAAACCATTCTGATCGGGACAGATCAGAGAACGTAAACTGTCTTATATGCAGCAACTATCTAAATAAACGTCACATCTATCCACAGCGCCAAAATGAACAACACCACCACAAAGAAACAGTATGAGGCAATCTGCACCAACTTCCTCCATTCAATCAACTACCAACTCCCGGAACATACCACAGACTTTAGTTTCTACGAAACCGTCACCCACCTGATCCTCGAACACGGCATCGAGCCACACAAAGCAGCCAAAATCGCCAGAACCGGCACCGCGGTAGCGGAATATTTCTATCCTCTTCATCCCCGCGGTACCAAGCTCGAGATCGCGACTTTCACCGCACTTTTCTTCGTCACTGAAGATTTGACTGAATTGTGTCTCGATGGATTGAAGAACTTTTGCCAGAACATCGTCCTGGGCAATCCGCAACCCCAGGCCCTGCAGTCTTGGTTGGATTGTAACCGTCGCTTGGATGCTCTTTATCCCCAGTTTAGCGTGGATCGAATCACGCAGGGAATGATGAATTATATTAGTTCTGCGACTGTCGAACGGCTAATCTGGAGGACTTTTTTTGTCAAAAGGCTCATCGAGGAGCAGGAAGGAATGGTGAAAGAGGAGTGAAAGCACCGCAGTTTCCACGATATTTCCGTACCGTGACGCGGGTTCCTGATGTATTTGCCTACTTCATCTTGATGGAGGAGTTCTACAGTCTAGACAGGCTGACGAGCTTGACGTACATGGCGCCTGATTTGAATGATTTCACGAACGGGGTCAATGATCTGCTGTCTTTTTATAAGGAGTCTGTTGTGGGCCCTGAGACGGGGAACTTTGTCCACCAGGAAGCGTTGGTTCGGGGCGTTAGTATATCCTCGGTCTTGGAAAGACTAGTTGAGGATATAGTCGAGAAGATCGAGAATATTTTGCACACGGCGTCGCATGATAAGGTGCTTTTGGAGTTTACGAAAGCGTATATTATGGGGTATATTGCGTTTCATTTGAGGGAGCCAAGGTATAAGTTTTTGGAGTTGGATATTCCATGCTTGCGGTTGTGCTGAAGAGGCAGATGTTGTTTCATGGCTACAGTCTCGCTCTTTGCTTTGTGTTTTGTTCGAAGTGTCGAAACTTGAGTTAAATGATGAAGGCCTTAACGCCATTGCAGACAATTGGAACCGGTATGAAGTTATAGACTCTTTGTGTCAAATCTAGTCTCGCCTTTTTGACATACTTCCTGTATTACCTTTCTGGAAGCATAGGTCTTGCTTTATCTCGGACCAAATTCCAACAGCACAAACATGATAATGATAAGAATGATTACATTATACTCGAATAGCAGAGCGCTGATGGGGCTCGTTTTGAGTCGCCAGCCGCCAGCCGCAACAGAAATGCATGAAGCTGTGAATAGGCCATCCAATTCCCTAGAGAGTACTCAAGGGGCTCTGAAACAGGTCATCGCTCAACGCCTTCAAGTCATATTAGATTGGAAGTTTCCTTGTCACTTGCATCACATTCTTGGAGAGATATTCTCCCCATCTCACCGAACTCCCCTATCAATTACCCCAAAGTCAATTCTCCGACTGCATTACTTCATCCAGACGTTACACCCATCGGCAAAATCTGATAATCATTGTCTTGGAATAGGTGGGCCCCGCCAGCGATATCATCCTCCAACAGCACCTGTTTTGATTGCAGAATTCGCATTCAGCAGCAGTAGTAGTCATGAAGCGACCTGAGCTGTGGGAAGCGTTCCTCGAGTTTACGCATGTATCTCTTCTTTATACCCAATTTGGCATGAGAAGCAACTCCCCCAAAGAATCCGACGGACCATCCAGCTATGTAAATACCGCTACCAGCTATGGCCAACGCGTACACCACCCACCCGCCCGTCAACACCTTGAAGGCCTTCGGAAACAAGTCAACCTCCGTGTAGTAGGCCTGCTGGAGTAACCCCATTAGCTGGCGGAGAAATTGCCTACTGCCTGCGAAGGTGCAACAATCAGGTAGATGAGGCGGATCGCAAGGTCATGGCAGTTCCAGAAAACAGGCATATATTTCCAGTCCCGTCAGAGGTTCGTATAGACTGTGCACGGTTGGAGTCAGCTTTATATCAGTCATTCTTGATCAAGGGTTACCTGCCCTCCGAGATTTCCTCGTCACTCATGTCTGTTCGACCGATTTCCTGTCTACTATCTATCTCTTTGATCAAGCCTATATCCCACACTACGCATGCATTTAGCTCTGTCGGCTCACTGCTGCTGTTACTCGCACTGCTTCTCGAAGATGCCAATTTGGTTGAGTCTCCTGGATGGTCCCAGAACTTTGCACCAGTAAACCGCTGCTTCAAGGTCAAGGAGGTGTCATCCCATCTTTCACTGTCGATCACGCAGAGAGCGTAGTGCGTGGTGAACTTGAGCCGCGACGTGAGGTTCGGCAAGGCATCGCTGTCCCGACTGTCCCAGTCAACAGGAGGACTCGGCGGCACCTTGCCTCCGATTGCTTCAACTATATTTTGAAAGGATTCGCTTACCGGGGCGGTCACAAGAAGGGCGACTCGTTTGCCTAAGGTCGGATCAAGTTAGTACAGTTCTAGCAGAGATAGATTGTTAGATAGATTAGGGAACAGGCTGACCGACCTTTTTGTCCAAAGGTCATTGGTATCTCGTCGGCCTCTTTTGCTGAGCTGTCCGTAGGGAATGATGGCTTCTCTTCCGGGACTTTGTTCCGTTCAGGGGGGTTTTGGCGTTTTTTCTTTGAGCTGAAGGAACCCATTGCAGGCTTAAATCCGGTTTAGAAAGATGGAGTGGTAGGTTTGACGGTCGTGGAAGAAGAGAAATGAGAGCTAGAGAAAAAAACCCTTGCTTTTATAGAAGAAGCTCCATGGACAATCATGCAGTGACTGTCAATGAATGTGATCGGACCTCAAGAACGGAATGGCGGGTTTGCGTTCCGAGCTCCTGGGGCGTTGCATGTTCCATTGCTTCAGCAAAGTCTAGACCACTGGCTTCAACGCTTTCGTTCTAGCGGAGAAGCACTACCGCTGGAAACCCATCTTGAAAAAAATGTACATACCTCAAGTTACGTGGGAGCAACCGAGCATGGCGTTGATTTTGTGGCCATCAGATGGCGCTGGTCCCAACCGAACAAGATCCAGCCCTTCTCAGAGTTCAGTTGTGACCTGGGTTTGGTAGCCGAAAGTGCACCCCGTGCGAGTAGCAATGTGACACTCAACTGCCAGCTTTCACTGACTTTGGTTGTTCCAGGCCTCCAACGACTGTGCCGCGTATGCTTTCTGCATGTGAATGGTGGAAGAAGATGAATGCGAACGTCTAGTTTTGCGGGAGATGAAGCTGCCTGATAGGTACTTATCACAAGCCCGGTGGCACCTGCTCCATTATATGGAATGCATTAAAAGATCTGTAAGAAAGTTGCAAAGAAGAAATTCTACTATTATCTTATCCTACATATTTTAAATCCCTAGAGCCGTTTAACGCTACGTAGTGATAATGTTAGATCTCGCTCAAGAATTTCTCCATGGAGTGTCTATATACATTCGTATCTGTCATTCACATCACTACCACTAACTAAACAGTGGCATGATTCAATACCCTCCAGGTCCACTCTGCGCGCTCTCCCCATTAGCAACCTTCAACTCGTTCAGCATAGCAGACCGAATAACACCAACATCCGTGTTAACAGAAACCATTTCGAATCCGTCCTGGCCGCGAGCGTAGGCATCGGCGCCGCCAGTACCTACATCACTTGTTAGTATTGATCGAAAAAGGGAACCATTTGATCCAAATAACACCTACAGAAAATTGCAGCCTTCTTCCCAGCCGCATGCGCGGCCTTCTTGATCCGCTGAATAGCAGCCTCATGCTCTGCACCCCCGCGCGTCACACCCAACTGCTTAGCCAGATCAAAGGGGCCGATTAGAAGCACGTCGATACCGTCCACGGCGGCGATCTTCTCGACATTCTCAACTCCGGACCGGGACTCGATCTGCACGAAGGTGGTCAGGCCTTCGTTTGCGCCGTCGTCGTGGTCAGCGCCGGGGTCGACGCCCGGGAAGGAGTGAGGCGCAAACATCGGTCCGTAGCCACGCGTGCCGATGGGAGGGTACCGTGTCCATTTGGCAATGTTGATGGCATCGGCCTGTGGAAAGAGATGGTCTATCAGCTTCATGCTCGCCCGGTTGGAAGGAGGAAGACGTCCAGAGTAGTCGTTCTGGCCTGGAATACATACCTCCGTGTGGCACATGGGTGTCATGATACCGTGGGCGCCTGCATCGAGAGCACGCTTGATCATCCACTCCTCGGCGCAGGGAACTCGAATAATGGGGCTCACGCCTTCGGAGCCAATGGCGTTGTTAAGCTATGATATCCTTAGCTACTGGTCCAAGTTTGTGTGATGTTTCGGCCTTCCTCGCAGACTGACCTCGTAATAGTGGTGGTCGGAAATGAGGCCATGCTCCGCATCAACCAGGATCCAGCTGAACCTAGCTGAGGATCCCGAAGAGCCGTGAATAATTGTCTTAGCGACAGCAGCACTGGGAAGTCTGTTCAATTTCCAATATTAGCTCACTGATCAAGGAAATTGTCCATCGTGAGCTCTGAGAGCTGCACGACAAGAACCCCAAAACATAGTAACGAGTAGGACATACGTGAGCCAGAACCCGAACGCAACTGAACGGGCCTTCAGGGCGGACTGGATAGGAGTATTAAAAGGCATTTTGATCAAGGATTGAATGAATTATCCCGAGAGTTGGATAAGGGCAAGTCGTGAAGAGGGGAAACTGGCGAACGTGGGGGAACTCAGGGAAATATTGCCGCCCCGGCGCGGGGGTTCGGTGCTCGGTGTAACTCCGCGCGAGTTCGGCTACCCGCATAAACCGGGTATACACTTCCTTTCTTTAGTGCGGACTAGTTCGTTTTTGATTAAACAGACACTATGTTCTCGCGGGATAGGTAGCGAGTGTGCGGCTTCTTTGTCTTCTACTTGTGTTCTGTTGCCTCTACTCTCCGTAATCGTGTGTGTTAACACATACTGTACGTGACACAAGGGATGGCTCAGGGCGTGGGGTAGGGCGTGCCGTACGCCCTACGGCCTACATATAAACTTAGATAGGGCACTAGGAAACTGGCAATGAGACAAGTCGGAGTGGGTAACGAAATGGCTCGGAAATCAGCAACTGTGGCAATGACTGAATCTCTGTGGTTCTTACTTACGTAAATCCACCCTTGAGTATTCTGGAAATAGAACTGACTTTGGCCTTTCTTCATTTGTTTATCCAGGTATCATAGCACGATGGATACCTCGGCTGGAGCCATGGGGGTTGCAAAGTACGGCTCTACGATATGTATACTACTGGGCTGTTGGGGTAGTACAATTTGCACTTCTTCTCTAAGCATCAAGTCTAAAAATTCTATAGTGGATACCAAGATAGGCAGCCTTAGTGTGTGTTGTTACAGTTTAGCTACTTCAGCGTCGATAGGGGGATATCATATGGTACTTGATTTATCTTTCTAGTCAGTTTTATAACTGGAAACTTGGTGTTTTGAGGGTTTCAAGTTCTGGTTAGGGTCTATTCCGCCTATCTTTAAAAGATATGTAAAAGGATTGTGTATAGCAGAACCTTCCCTCACTGACAGTCCAGTAATATCAACCATTGCCAGTAGATTTTGAAACCTTCCAAAGCACTCCTCCATACAGTGTTATACATATAATTGACCCTTGAGAAGTGGGCACTCAACAGGTCATATATCCTAGTCAAGTAGCCAACTGCACATAGATCTACCATTCAGGAAACGGCCACATTCGTCTGACTTCTTCCTGTGACTTTTCCCCTACCATTCGCTCAATATACATCTCCCTCAACTCCCTATTCTGCCTCTTCTTCAGCTCAAAGTCCACATGCGGCGATATCCACCCCTCCGCATCAGTATCCAGCGCTTCCATCGCGAGTTGGTGAACCTCGCTCCATTCCGGAGACCTCTCAAACTGCTCCCCATGAGATCTAATCTCCTCCTGGCTAAACCCATAAGGACAATTGCCTGTCATACCGAGACCATTCCAATTCTGAAATATCTCAACCAGACACTCCCGTAGCGGAACAATTCCAACGGAAGATACCTCTCCAGCGCGAATGAACAATTCTCGAAAGACACGCGGGACGTTCATGGCGTGATACGCGGGTCTGTTTTCGAGAAATGTGGAGACTTCATACGCTTTTGCCATTTTGGAGAGGTTCCATTGGTGTAGAGCGAGGGTTTTATCGTCTGGATCTAGGTTGTTGAAGTTTCGTGGGAGGGTTGGTTGGATAAATCCTTGGGGATAATTTCGAGGAGGGAGGAGGAATATAGGCCATCTGGTTTGCAGGAAGAGGGGGCGGATGGAGAGAGATTGGATGTCGATTAGAGATGTGATGAGGGAGTTGTTGGAGGGTGAGATGAAGATGTTTCCCATGTGGAGGTCTGTGTGCCATAGTGTTGGCTGGGAGAATTGGGATAGGATGGGGTGCGAGTCTAGCATGCGCATGAGGGCTGTTGTGGCTTCTAAGAGGCGGGCTTGTTCTTCTGGGTCCCCGGGATAGATGAGTGATTGGTTGTCTGGGGTTTGCTTTGCAAGGAGAGAGAATTGTCTTTTGACAAATGAGATTCCGAAGTCTGATAGTCTCGTCCCTGTACAATTGTTAGTAGGAATGTCTAAAGAGCATCGAGTATAACTCACAAGGCCCACTATCCACTCCCCCATCCTCACCAGCTACCCCATCAGCCCCATCAAGATCATAAAAAGACGCCTCAGGCGAAGGACCAACACAGAACAGACCCTGTCCATCCAGACTATCATCAAGGCCGTGATGTTTGAAACCGCTCGCATCACCCCTCAAATACAACCCCCCATACGCCGGGAACTGAATCTTCGAGAACTGACGCTCAAGCTGAGTCAATTGCTTGATAAGTTCCAATTTCTCAATCTCTGCCATCTCGCCCCATCGTTCGTATAACTGGATCCCGTGTGCTTTCTCCATGATGATATACTCTGTCTCGACGGGGTTCGAGAAATCAGAGGACCATGTCAGAACACGAGGGATGGGGATGGTGGTATATTTCCTTACTGAGAAACCACCAATCAATCGACCATATAAACACATCAGTAACCCTCAGACTGTGAAGAATTATCGAGGATAGATAGGATAGAGAATAGATAGCGAAAACATACAAAACTCCAACACCCCAACCTCAGCCCCCGTCGTGAGAACCTCTGGCCCAGCAATCCGATAAGGAATCTTCGCAACAACCTCATCCCCATTCTCCTTCGTCATCAGTAAAGCTTTGCTAAACCCCCCTTCTAGTTTCTCGATGGCTGTTTTCGGGGAAACACTTCCCCCAGCTGGGACAGTGGCAGCGACATCGCAGAGAGCGTCTATGTTGAATTCCTGATATCGTCGAGTAAATTGATCTTCTTCGTTGGTGAGGAAGCGCCCGTTTGTGTACGTGAATAGGTCTGAGCGGGGGATGGGGTTGCCTGCTTGTTTGAGGGTGTTTTGTGGTTTAGCCTTCCTGGTGGTGGACTGGATTCGCTCTGGAGGGTGTGGTCAGCCTCCCTGGATTGGATGCCTACCTCGGCAGAAGATAGATAGGTTGGCGACTGGATGGGTGTGGTGGAGGGGTTTGATGTTGCGGATGAATGGGAACATCGGATAGATGAAGTACCCCAGGTAGCTGGGAAGTCGATGTTTAGCTGCGGGTGATGACGCGTGAAAATATATCTCGAGGGAGGGGTAGTATTGATTAGTAAGAACCTGGCGAGGGAGGCAGTATTTAATCCGACCTATTTACTTTGAAGCGAGCAATGAAAGTTGATTAATGCATAGGAGATGTACAGTTGAGTTGGTTGAAGCTAGAGTTGACGGGTGGTCGGAGCATGCAAGGAGTAAACAAAGCAAGGCGGCGTCGCGGCCGTCGGTCGGATGCATTTTCGTGCTAGATTACTCCTATGCAAACCAAAACCAAAATCTACAGACCCCCCAGAGGAAACCAAAATATGATAACAAATCTAATAAATTCATCTAATCTATTACATATCTTACATCTTCGCCTTCTCGGACTGGGCGGCCAAGTCGGGCATAAGCATATCCCTCAAGTCCGAGGCGGCCTCGTTCAAGTAGTAGCTCATACGCTCAGCACCAATGCGCTTGCAGACGATGTTGAAGTTGAGACTATCATTCACATAGTCAGCATGATACGCCCGTAAAAAATAAGGGGAGGAAGGGAGTTACCTGTTCTCGTTGATCATGTAGGCAATACCAAATCCGTCATCAATGACCTGACTCCATCCGTAGCCATTGAAGAATTCCGAGCTCAGTTGACTTGTCGACAGGTACCAGGAGCCACTGTAGGCATAGGCCGGGTCCTCGTACAGAGCAGGCAGCTTCTCGCCCTCGCGGAGCAGCTTCTTCAGACCGAACAGGTGGCGGTCGACGCCGCGGCCGTCGCTAGCCTCCGCGGTGTACTTGGAGTGGGCGGCCAGCGCCGATCGGAAGAGACGCACGGCCTCCTCGCGGGGTACGGCGGGATCGGAGATCGCCTTGCAGAAGGCCACGCTGTCGTCCGACACAGTGCGGATGGTCTCGGTACGACCCTCCTGGAACTTCCGCGTCGACGCCGACTCGTACGTGGGCCGGTTCTTGCCGTACATCTTGAAGTAGGCCAGCTGGATGACCATCTGCACGTAGGCATCCGGGCTGCACTTGAACTTCTTGATGAGGCCCTTGCCGTAGCCCTGGTAGGCCTGCACGCGCAGCTCGTGCGAGGCGATCTGCTGTCGGTGCTCCTTGGTGGCGGCGTCGATCGACTCCAGCACCTCATTGTTCAGGTGGAAGTTGATGGGGCGGGGATCGGGAAGGTCCGATCGCACCTGCTGCGCCGACAGGTCGATGCGGTTGTTGAAGATGAGGTTGTTGAGGTGGTCGTTCATGCGGTGGGTGGGGCTGCCGTCCATCATGCTGTGCTCGCCCATGAAGCCGGCAGTGCCGTTGTCATTGATGATGAACTGCAACGGCTTGTCGAACCAGCGGTTGGCGCCGTCACCATGCCAGTACTGATGCGCCCGCTCCTCCAGGGTCACGGGGTTGGCATCGTCGAGGCAGATGACGAAGCCGCTGGACTCGATGTCGCGCAGCGCCTGCTCGTTGGCGGGGTGCGCCGCCACCAGTTTCTTCCGAGCGTCGGTCCAGAGGTCACGGTTAGCCACGGTCAGCGTTCCGACCGCCGGAGCCGGCTGTGCGACCTCGTAGATGCGCTCAAACTGCTGCTCCAGCTCCGACACGTTCAGCTTCTGGCCGTTGACCACCAGAGGCACCTTGAAGAACTGGTTCTTGCGCACCACCACGATGTGCTCGTTGTCCTTGGCGGCGTACTTCTGGGGGTAGTCCGCACCGTCAGCGGGGATACGGCAGCAGTTGAACATGTACTCGTACGAGCTCATGGCCATGGGCTGGCCGCGCATGTACTCAGGCTCCAACGAACCGTCGTCCACTTGACGCTTGAACTCCAGCGCCGCGGTCGCTACGGAGGCGGCACGTTTGGCGGGGTTGCGCCGGGCGCGGTCGTCCCGGTAGGAGTAGAAGTAGGAGACATAGGGGATGACGGGGTCGCGGTACCCCAGGTAGGCAGCGTGGTTCCACCACTCGGTGAGCCAGTTCTTGTTGTTCGGGTCAGCGGCGCGGGCCAGCAGCCGTTCCTGCAGAGGCTGGCCTTCACCGCCGGGCTTCACGAAAGCCTCCACGGCCTTCTTGGTGCGCTCATACTCGGCGTCCGAGACCAAGGCGTGGACGGACTTCAAGTAGCGACGAGCAGTTTCTTCCAATGTGGGGACGGGTAGACGGGGGAGAGAATCTTCGAAACGAAGCAGGTTGCCTTTGGAGAGGTCTTCCTTGTAGCCTGGAGAGAAAGGGGTGTTAGGAACGATCGGGTGCGTCCTGCGCATTCATGTGATCGACTCACCCTCCGGGACCGACGAAGCCTTGCGCCGAGGGGCCATAATTGGAGCCTGCAAAGTCGAAATTAGCATGTTTCCTAAGGAACAAAGATCAAACAGTCCGAACCTACCGCAGCAGATCTGGCGAGGAGCGAGTTGGTCGGGGAGAGACGGGGCCGTGAAAGAGTGGTGGAGAGACGGCTTCGAGCAGAAGCCGTGAACATCCCTCTCGAGTGTGACAAAAACAGACGAAAAGAGAGGAGTGAAGATAGAGGAATTAGAGAAGGAGAGGTGATTGCGAGAGTAAGAAGTAAGAATGGGAGGAATAAATCTAAGGGAGGGAGTGGGTAGATGAAGGAAGAAGAAGAGCAGGAGAGAGAGACAGAAGAGAGAGAGAGAGAAAGGAACCTCGGCTGGAAGGAAAGCGTCACAACCGATCGCTGGCCGGTTTCGTATTGTCACGGGGCTGCGGGATGGCGGGAAAAAGACCGTTCCCCGCACTAAAAAGGGAGTAATACGGATACCGACCCAAGACGACACGACGTAATCGGACGGGAGTCTTCATTCTCTCCCCAGACGTGGCGGCGTTGGGCCTCGGTTCGGTGGCATCGGTGCGCTGGACTGCGAATTCCTCCCTGATGTGAGATCCACCCCGATGGATTTATGGATCATGGGAAATGATCAGCTATACGCTATGAATACTCTAAATCAGTCCATCGTTACTTCCTCCCCGACTCGCGTGCTTGGGCCTGGAGGTTGACTTGTCCTCACTTCCCAATGCGGGGAGAGCTTCATATTCTGCCTGATCTCTCAGGCATCAAAGCCAATGCCTCCCACCCATGGATCTATACGGAGAACATGCTGGCATATCCACTCCTCCGTCACAAGGAAACACATGTCTATTCCCCGGCCAGCCAGAGAATCCTTCAGGGACCCTCCCCCGGACACCAACAGGGATCCCCATTGGCCTCGTGCACGCTGGATGACATGTTTCCATTCACCCGTCCCGCTGATCCGGACGTTGCATGTCATCTGCCCGTCGTGTCACGGTCATCTGAAGCTTATTTCCACCGGCATTAAGAGGAATGATATTGCAGTATAATTAATAGACATAATAATAGCTCCACGCCTCGCTCGTAAGAAGAACAGCAATCCATCGAGACACTGACTCGACTGGAAACATTTCAGAGAGTAGGAATTAAGATAGACATAGGGAAATTTGACAAAGGAGATCGGAAACATAAAGTAAACACAGGATAATAATAGAGAAAAGAATTCAAGAAGTCATCCGTTCCTAAGGACGGTATCCAAAAATGTACGTCATGGGATCATGACACGGGCTGCACCGCCGCTGCCGACGGTTCCTGGCTCTCCATGGCTTTCGTCTTGCGTCGCGGAATCTGCCCGTTGCGCAGTTGCTCGATCTTAATGACTCCGGGCCCGGTGCAGATACGACCGCTCTGCATCAGGCCGCGCAGTCGCTTGCGCCGTGCCTCTCCGCTCCGCTCTTCGCCCCGGCCCACACCTTCGTCGACCCACTCCACGCGCAGCACCTTAAAGCTCATGCCGTCGTGCGAGCCTTCCCACGTTCGAGACCGAACGCCGAACAACACGCTGGAGTCATAACGCTCCAGTTTGGGCAAGACCAACAGAGTGATGTGGAGGTCCTTCTCGGGTGGAGGCAGAGGGGGGATCCGAGGTCGATCCCCCTCGGGAAGACCGGCATCTTGCGCGGTCTTCGGGGTATGCTGATAAGCATCCCTAATCTCAAGATCGAGCATGTCCACGTCCACGTCGTCACCCCAAGCGCCACGGAAGAATCCCGAATGGATAGCGGCCGCGACCGGGTCCGAATCATCCGTGTACACGCCGGTGCCCCACAGAGCACGGCGGGCGCAGATCTCTTCGCGGTGGCTGGAGTCGATGCGATAGCGCGGAACCCGCACCGTAAATGTACAGTTCTCCTTGCCTTCAAAGCGAGGAAGAGGAAGTGGCGTGGTCGTGTATCCGAACTTGGCGCTCTCCAGCGTAGCTTTGTCCGTAGGGGTGCCGATTCGGGTGGCATACAGTGTGGATCCTAAATGGTGCCGCGGGAGATGGGCAACGCTGGACAGCACGGGCTCGATGTTGACCATCGTCCGGGGCTCGCGCATCGGAGTGATAGCGGTCGTAGCTGCAGAAGCTGACGGGCGGGGAGCGTGATGGTGATGGTGATGATGATGGTGGTGATGATGTCCCAACGGCGTCCCGGCAGACATATGCTCGCCTGGAGTCGACGTACGATGGAGAAAATTCATCGAAGACAGAGGGCGATGGACACCGCCAAGAGCGGCTGCAGCCGCTTCCTCTTCGGGTTTATGACGGTGATGATGGTGGCTAGATGTAATTGATTAGCATGGAATACTACTGGGGGAGTGTAAGAAAGGGTTGTGAAGACATACTGATGGTGATGATGGTGAAGATGGCGACTCCGACGACCACGCCCAGAACCACCTGGGCGCAGATCAGAACCGGCCTCGCTTTCCACCCGACTCTCTTCATCCCTCGACCTCCTTGACTTTTTCCCGTTCGCGGACGGGGGTCGGGCAATTTTGGGGTCATCTGTAGCGGCCTCGCTGTTGACCGATCGACCGGTGAGGCTGTCGCGCTTGAAAGGGCTAGCAGCCATCGGGGTGGAAGGTCCGCTGCCGCTGGCGGTGGCAGTGACGCCGCCAACACCACTTCCAATGCCGGAGAAAACACGTCCTAGTTCGCTCTTAATACCTGCCTCCCCTGCAGGGCCGAGGATCTGGGCTTGGGCACCCTGAACAGCTTGAGGCAAAGGTGACGCGCGACCGCCGCGTTTGGCATCTAGACCAACGCCAAGGAGAGATCGATGCTGAAGCAATTCGTCACTTCCTTTTCGTCGCTGATCATCGGAAGATGCCGCGTGGATCAGAGCGGACGGACCTGCCGACGGCGTGGACGTAAAGACGCGATGTTCGGTTTGAAGTTTACTTAGGTACGGCTGCTGGGGCGGCGGCTGTTGCTGCTGCTGTTGCTGCTGCTGTTGCTGCTGCTGTTGCTGGTGATGTTCATGAGGGGGTGGAGTGGGTTGGCTTTGGCGGGACTGCATCGACAAGGGAGCCGGTCGCGACCCTGCTGCCATCTGAGATCCCAAAGACTTGGTGTAATTCTGGATGGCGCCAAACCCGAACCCAGATCCGGTCTCGGAAGCAGAAAACCGCTTGTTCTCCGGCGAGGGAGGCTGAGAGCGACCAAGGTCCCACGCAGACAATCCTTGCTGGCGGGTAGCTGCAGGATCCCGCTCTCCGTAATGCGCATTATATCGTGCTGACGGCGGAGGGGCTCCTTTAGAGTCCGCTTCGTGGGCCAGGGCTCTTTCCCGGTCCCGATGGGCTTGTTCCTCCAAGTGACGATCCCCATACAGCCCTCCATAACGCCCGTGCGGCTGTTCATGACCCACATACGAACTAGACCGCTGATGTGCCGCCGCGAACAAGCTTTCCCCGGTTGCTGCGCTCGAGCGCGCCATCGGACTATACCCGGCAGGGCGAGCCGGGGGATCGAGGTGCTGGGGCTGGCTGTTTGGACGAGGAGCGGGGGCGCTAAAACTCAATCGACGCGTTTCGCCATAAGCAGCGTCGGCGGAAGATATCTGCGGAGACGGGTGCGTCGAATGCGGCTTATCCGGATATTGCGATCCGGGCGGTTGTACGCGAGACAGTCCTCCAAACTTGCTCGGTTCGGCAGCGGAGGGATGAGAAAGCCCACCGGAGCTAGATCGGTACGGTCGCCCCGACTGCGTTTTTGAGAAAGGCTTCTCCGGGGTATGTGACCGACGAAAGGGAGCGTATTCGAATGGGGAGGGTCGAGCGGGAGCAGAGGGGGGAGACATGGCGCTGGGGGCGGAGGGCGGAGGCGCGCTTCCAAAGGGAGCGGAGGACACTGGCAGCCGGGAAAACATGGACGATGATGAGCCTACATCCCGAGCAGGTCGGTCAGCGTCCGAGCCTAGCATGGAGGATATCGACATGCTGCTCCCAGGACGATGATGAGCCGGGTTGCTGGGAGGCTCACGCGAGATGAAGGGGTTGGAAAGGGATGAGGTATTTCCCGATTGACCTCGCGACGGGTATTGTTGCGGCGGCGAGGGAGGAGGCATTCGACGATTGCCTATCGACTGTGAGGAGGATTGATCTTGAGGTCCTATTAGAGAGAGAATTTTCCCTGAGGTTAGCGACACTGGTTTGAGGCCTTGTAAAAACAGAAAACAATTGCGACTGAAGACCAAAACAGGACGGAAAAATTCAAGATCCCACAACGGATGACAGAAACAAAATAAAATCAAAGAGCGGGGGAAATGGTTTCGAGTTAGAAAAAAAAGTACGCTGCGTGTTGATGTGGGCCATTCATCCGGATCACGCTGGGAAGCGCGCCAGGACCCGACGACGAACGCCTGGCGACTCACCAGGAAACACGGGACTGCCGCTGCTGCCCAAGGATCTTCGGCGACCCTGGTCATGCGACTGGGGAGGGTTCATGTCGCATGCAGGAAAAAAGAAAAACGACAGATAGCAACCAGAATAATGATAAGGGAGAGGCCGGAAGGGGGGTGGCAGAATGGAGGAGAGCAGGAAAGGGGAGAAGATGATATGATGCTACTTTGCTGATGCGAGGAAAGTCCGCGCCTGACTGGGGCAGAACCCGTGACTCTGGGCCTGGAAGAGCTCGGCCGGCGCTAGTCCCGTCCAGGCAAAGACGCCCTGAGACAGTGCGCTAGGCCAGGACAGGACTAGCGTTCCCGAGGTCGCCTGGGCTGGAAGTCGATCAGGCGCCACAGACGCGCCCGGCGGAAGACCCGTGATTGGCCGGCGATCCCTGGGCAACAAAGTTTGGGTACCTTGATGTAATCTCGAGGTATACCAGAGGACAAATATCCAGTGTCCAATACTCCAGCAGCATATAGAGACAGAACGTATCGCGAGAACGACCAAATCTCAAAACAGGAAAAGAAACACAAAAAAAAAAGGAGAAAGAAAGACAAATCCTACCTTCGCGGTACACCATACGACGCTCCGGGCGATTGTGCTGATTAGGATTATCACTATGATTCTGGATCTGGGTCTGAATCTGATTCTGGTTCTGCCTCTGATGATTAGGTTGCTTGATTTCCGCTTCCATACTCTGTCGGCTCGCTGCACCACGGGTCGTCTGTGATACGTGATACCCGCTGCTCTCCGTCCGAAACGGCGCATACACGGTCTCGGCGGCGTAGGATGTAGATGTCGCGGGCGTCGATGAGGGATGGGGATAATGATAGGCGGCGGGCAGACGAGACATCTCGACTTCGCTGCGACTATAAGGATCCAGGTATGTTCGAGCCGGAGGGGGAGGAGCAGCCCCGTACGGACGAGGCGGCGGCGGAGCAATACGAGGGTCGTGCGAAGTACCCAGGAGCGGCGGATGTAGATGATACACAGGATGAGGTGGGTATTTCTGGAAATTCATCATCATCTTGGGAGGGGGATTCGATTTCTGAATATCGTTTCCGGCATGAAATCGAAAAATCAGGCGAATTCGTTCGGGCGTTAGAGGGAAAGGAGAAAAAATGTCACGAAATGGCGGTGGAAGTTCAGGTCGCAAGTGGGCGGCGGCAGTAGCTAGTTCGTCAACAGTCCCCCAGCGACAAACACGACGGGAGATCGATCGGAATTCCAGGCGGGGACTCAAGTTATGAAGGAGAATGGGAAAGGGAAGAATGGAAGAATGGCGAAGATCAAATCGCGAAGATCCAAATGACAGTGGTGAAGAAAGATGTGGAGAGAGGGAGAGAGGTGGAAGAGAAGAAAGAAGACGGACCGAAAAAAAATCGAAAGCAGGAAAAACAAAAGAGGAAAAGCAAAATAACAGGAAAGAGAGAAAACGGTGAGCGATGGAGAAAACGAGAGGGACATGCGACAGGCCCAAACCAATCAATGGGGTGCAGAGCTGCTAGTTCGCTGGATTAACGACGACGGGGCCGCCGGGGCAGCGGGGAAAGTCGGTGGATCCCTGGCATTTCCTCGCTTTTTTCTCTTGTATTCATGCATTGATGGATCGGTGTTACCTTGTCAGTCAACTAGGCAACTGGGTTGTAGCCAGTCCACCCCCTATCTCCTGAGACAAAACAAAATCCATCTGAACACAACAAATCTAACAAAGTGAGAAATACAGAGAAGACAACGGAGCATGGAAGTTCTCCGGTCCGCTGCCCAATGGCTACGACCTGATATCACTTGTAGAGGGCAAAGTCGCGTTGGGCGCAGAACCGTCGACATGCCGCCCGGCTGGCATGCATCGGCGACGTGTCATGCGGTCATCACTCGGCCTGCACCAGGGATTCTCGATCAACTATATCCTGGTCGATCCGTTCAATCAGGTACACTACCACGATCTTTGCTACTATCTAGATGATCCGTTGGTCTAGAGAATCTACTATCTCAAGATCAATACACAGAACATATTTTCCCTCTGGAAAAAGAAAGAAAACAGAAAAATAAAGAAGCCCGGAATGACGATCTCGACCCGACGGAATCCCCACCTTCGTCGCCAGGCACCGCTTCGACCGTATACTTCCGTGCCACCGTCGCACAGTTCGGATATTTGCCTCGTCGCAATTTCCCATCCCACTCGTCCGTCCCGAAGAGAGGGTCTGGCCAGCTCTCTACGTACTAGACACATTAAATCCTTAAAACCAAAAAAAAGAGAAGTGAAAGTAAAATCAAAACAGAGTGCCACCTCTACCGCCAAACATGCCTTATGTACAATGCAACCATGGCGCATTCATCCATTCCGATCGATTCGCCCTTGCTTCGTGGCAAAGGTGGCTGGCCCCGTACATGCTTGACCTCATCCACCGGATTCTGGAGCTCAATAGATGCACCTCTGCGTCTGTGATTCCGTGTCACCTCTGCCGGCGACGTGTAACCAAGGATGCGCTGGACAGTAATCCCCGGCGTTGCACATGAAACACGCCGGGTGTTGTGTACTGGACTTTCTCCATATATTTAGATAAGGTGAGCGACGTCCTTGCAGCGGTCGCATCGAATGGTATATGCTATTGTTGGTTTGGTTTCTTCGATTTATTGATGCCACGGCTACCTAGAATCGTCCCTCCTGCCGATGGTGAAAAGCGACCGCCACGACCGCCCTTCACATTGACGCCAGTCCACCTCGATATAATCCGCGCCCTCATGGACTAAGATACGCCATACAATCTGACGCAGCATTCGTGGGAGACATGGAATCGCGTCGTACCGGATTCGAAGTCCGTGCTGATGCGCGTTGTGTATTTGAGCCCTGATCCGCTCGATCTGCTGCCACGAAAAGCGACCACCGCGGGGAGAGCCGATTGAGACGCGGAAGTTGATCGTTACGCTGAATATCTCCGATGGGAGCTGGGGAATCAATTGGCTATTATCATCCTCGAAATTTTGGGCATCCGCGGAATTCGCGATTCCTTTCTCAGGACCGGTCGGATCCAATGCTGGCACAGTTTCAAAGAATATACTTTCGTTGATGCCTTCATGCCCGAGGTTCCTTACAAAATCGAAATCCGAGGGGTTTAGTCCCGTGATCACAATCGAGACTGGTCTTGGGAAGATCTGGACGCCATCGGTATACGATAGATAGCCCTTCTGACCTAGCGAGGATATCTGGGACACAAGATGCGGCCAGACAGTCGTGATCGATGAGCGCAGTTGCAGAAACAACATGAAAGGCTGCGCTGGATTATGGTCCAACAGTCCCGCTGGGTCGGGTCTGTCAAGCGAGGCTGAGGGCGACACTGCAGGGTTCCTCGCATCGAGTTTAGCCACCAGGGGCTCGAGATAAACGTTGCTGAACGTATTGTTCGAATGAGATTTCGAAAGGTTGCCCACGAAAAGCTCGTCGTCCCGCACCCACACGCCGGCTGTTATTCCAGCACAGCCGGCCTTGACTGCGCGGTCGATGGCATCCAAGTGCACCTCCGGGTCATAGGAAATGCAGGCACTCGGACGACCGCTGAATTCCGCAGGCCATTGGGCAAGATCTGCCTGATCGGTCAGGTCTGTTACCAGAAGATAAGATACCCCATATGGTAAATATGCAAGGAATTGAATGATCATCCTATCGAATAGAGTGTTAGTATACAAGTTGCACTTGACGACAGGGAAGACGGCGACTTACAGAAACATCACAAGTAGACACACGAGCGACAGGCCACGCTCGGTCCACCATCTTTTCGCCGTCGCGTACCACCTCCCGAGGAAATTAAATAGCCCCGGCGGATAAGTGGTAGGGTATGACCGAAGCGGATGGTCCTCTAACAGTACCCAGGAAAGCGAATCATGCTCTTTGGAGTCAACGGGGTAGGTGTCACCGACAACCGTGGGTTTCACGGAAGCGGCCATTTGCAGAGGAGCCCTGTCAAAAGCTTGGACGCATCCAGAGTGGTCTTCCGCGATGATCGACAACGCCGACGGAGCGGTGAAGCTGTTGGACAGATCGCGAGCTCAGCTCAGCGAGTTCAGAGGAGGAGGGAAAAGATACGGTGTACGAGAGCATGGAAAAGGGAGCTTCCTCAAGACGTGCAACATGACGATGAAATAAATAGGAGAAGCCGAGCAAGCAAGCTTTGCGGGATGATGGTCCCGGAGCACGCAATTGCGGGTTGTGATGGTTCACAGTCTAACGGTAGTCGGGCCTTGTCAATCTGTTGCACGAGGGACAGGGGTAGATTTAGGCTCCGATCCTGCTTGCCTCCTCATGCCGTGATCAGTGAGGTAGGATAACTTCCGATTTGTTGTTTCCAGTAATAGCATACAGGCATCATCGGAGTGACAGGGAGGTATTCGGAGGGAAGAGGAAGCTGTTCGGCAATCGGAACCGTGGATGGGAGCCCGCCCGGTGGACCCGCCAAGACCCGCGCGTCCTGGCACTACCGAGGATTCGCGTCTCTGCTGGATTATTATCCTCAATGCATTCCCCACTGGGGAAACTAAACACCAAACAGTAGAAGATTCCCTTAGGGAGTAGTTGACTAGATGAAGGAGGTTTATATGACGCGGATCGGGATACTGTGCCTTTTTAGCTTTAGGGCCGAGATGATATTTAGGAATGACTACAAGATATATCGGCGTCCGACATGTGCGAACTAGACCAAGATCCTAGGCTGGTCAATGATTGTGAGAATTCTCGGGGCCAGGGGTAGGCTTTCAAAGTGGAAGAAGTTGATTGATTAAAAAGGAATCGCAGAAGAAAGGCCTTTTATCTTCAATATCACGTGTACTCGCCTGGAGCAGGGGCATAATAAGTCATTGCAGCAGGCCCATACGTCAACAAGATATAGTACCAAGTAGTAGTAGCTAATGACCAGCAAAATGAATTCTTAGTGTCTTGATCGTGTGGGAACTTTGAAAGCAATAACACGCTATCGGGCTTCCTTCTTACGTGTTCTTCCCTCCCCATTTTCTCTCCATCTGTTCATCTCCTGTCCATACGCTCGAAGATCATCCGAGCCCAATTCTCCAGATCCTGTTCCGGAATGACAATCTCTTCTCCTCCAACCGGTGGCTCACGGGGCATAATATCTCGGAATTGCAGGGAAATACCACGAGATGCGCGGTAATTGTTTGTATCTCCCTCGGGTGTTAAGATGACCTCCGTTGCACTTCTAGGGCATAGACTGTCGCTAGATCCACTGCAATAGTCACTGCTACAAGACAGCAGCTTCCACACTTCAATTATAACGGTGCGGGGCCGCAAATCGAGACGTATGGTAATGACTACGTTGACAGGTGGTTGCGTCTGCGTCAGCCACCACTTTGCCTCTCTCAAGAGCTCATTCAGACACTCGCTGACACCACACAGAATGACGAGGGTCGGAGGATCGCGCTCGCCAGGTCTTTCAGGAAGGGGCAAGATAGCTGAGTCGGCTTGTCTGTATCCCGAGTGACCAGGGTATGTTGTGGCTGCTATGAATGGATCCATGTCATCTTCGGGGACACAGAGAGCAGACAGCTTATTTTCGATCTGCCTGATGAACGAGCGATGGGCTCTCTCATGCCCCCTTGACGGCGTCAGCCGAATCTCCAGGTCCTGGCTCTCGGTATTGTAGCTTAGTCGACTCCCAAGTCCCAGCCTATCCAAGTTGAAAAACGCAGCCACGGGAACGTCGGTTACTCGGATAAACTGATGACAGCTGCGTCCGGTTTGGAGATCTTCTAGGTTCTTCCACATAAATTCTTTTACGCTTTCTATTGTTCTGAAGCGATCGGTTGGGATGATGGGAATCTGAGAGATGAACCAGTAAAATGAGAAAATGACTCACTTAATGAGTCAACAAGTAAAACAAGAGGTCCGTAAAAACCTAATGATGAGGGAATACTTCCGTAATTGATGAGAGGTTGCATCTTATTGGTATCCGTAACGACGACCCCAGAAAAACACGCAAAATCATAATGTTTGATTCTGAAGCATGCACATTTTGGACTTACCTGTCTTTACAAACTCCTTCATAGTATAATAAAACCTCCGCTAGTATCAATCCATACTTAAGATATTGACTGCTTGTCGGTCGCATGCAGAATCGAGAAAACTGACACATTCCGAAACCTTCTCATCAGGAATTCATTTCCGAAAGGCCACTATACTACATATACTTTTCCCTATTAACCTCAGTCTACGTTGAAAGGTCACGCCATATTCTTAAATCACAGATAGTCTAGAATGCTCTTCTATCCATACTTCTCCCTCTCACCCTAGCCCCTCGTGTCAGCCGACGCTGCAGGAGAGCGGCAGCCACTTACTCAATGACGAGCCTTGGCCCTTTGGAGCCTGCATGATGATCCTTGACTAGTAACCATACATAGCCGCAAGATGACCCCAGGACTCTGAAGTCAGCATGCGGGGCTTTCAGCCCGCTAGGAAAGGGGCTGATAAGCTGAGCCGAGCTCATCTGAGTGGGATGGCGAGATCATAGATGTATTTTCTCACCCTTGGACGCCGTACTTGCGCCTGGTTGCGAGTTTAAATCCTTTGCGGGAAGTCTTTGTGGACGTTGAAAGCTAAGCTCTCGTTTCTATTGCCGAGATAGGTACCGTCAAGCTTTGGTTGCTAGGATGAAGCCGGAGGATCGAGTGGGACGGATTCAAAAGGATGCGTTTGTGGTAGGTCCTTGCCCCAGGATATTGTTTACAATCACTTCTAACGAAGGAAAATGCTGCGAATCAGATCACAACAGGCTGCGGTCTCGCGCTTGCTCTCCTCGGCGCAATTATTCGCTTCCTCATTCGTATCCGGGTCCAGAGACAACGCATAACTATAGACGATGGATTCTTAATCCTGGCGGTCATCCTCCTGATTACGTTCAGCGCGCTCATGTACGAAGAGGTCGTCAGTCCGATGTATCTGTTCGCCGCTCTACAAAATGGCGTGGAAGGAGTGACTATCAATATTTCAGATGTCGTGCCGATGACATACCGATATCATAAGTTTACGATCGTTTGTGGAATGCTGGGCTGGACGTCATTCAATGCCGTCAAGTTTAGCTTCCTCTTCTTCTTCCGAAAGATCATCCACCATCTGCGCTACTGGCGCATGTATTGGTGGTTCGTGGTGGCTTATACATCGTGTCTGTTTGTATACGGGCTTATGGTGTATTATCTATCCTGTCCGTATATCGATGATCCGAGGATATGTAAGTTCAATCCCTTCACAATTGCTGTTGCTCTCTAGAACCTCTACTGAGAAACGCGTGAACAATCAGTCGAATGTAACGCCGGCTCCGAAAAAACCAGAAACATCGTTCATTCAGCCGTAAATATCGCCCTAGATATAGTCGGCGATTTACTCAGTACGTCGCCCCTGCTAACTCAACGCTTTCATAGTCTAAACGCCATTTAGTCCTCGCCATTCCCGTCTACCTCATCTGGACCATCCGTATCCACCGCACCCAGAAGCTTATCCTATCGTGCTCTCTCTGTCTCACCATCTTTATCATCAGCTTCTCTATCACCCGCGCTGCCGGTCTCGTTCATAATGGCGCCGTCGATACCACTTGGGCAATGTTCTGGCACTTCATCATCGCCGAGGTCGGTGTTCTGGTGACTAGCGCTACGGCGTTCCGGTCGTTCTTCGTCGCTCGAAAGAACTCTCGTCAGGGGACGTACGAGAGACGAGATGGAGTTGAAAGAGTAAATGATAGGGTATCGAGGGGATGGAGAGATGGAGTGAGAGGTAAGAGTGCGCATGCAAATGGTGATGGGATTGGGGTTGGGCTTGAGGAAGGTTTGTATGATACGGATCGGGATACAGTCCATCTTCGGCCTACGGCGGCGCTTGGAAAAGGGTCGAGATGATATCTCTAGATGGATTCATAGAGTATCGTATCTAAGCACCAAAATATTAGATGTCATTTTGTGACATTCCTTCTCAATATTTCAGGACTGTAAATCGCCTTTTGTTCTTAGGATCTAGGCTCATTCCGCTCGAACAATGGCCGAACCCATTCTTCTAGGTCGAGTTTCGATAGAACGACTCTATGTCCACTGACCGGTGGTTCCCGAAGCATGATTCCTTTGAATTACTAGACGACTTCACCAGATTTGCCATAATCGTTCGTCTCTCCAACTGGTGTTAGGTTGATTTCCAATGCTTTCCCCGGGTATAGACGATTGTTGATCCGGGCCGTAAACCGAGACGCATGGGTTGATCCATTCCTCAAGCTACTAGGGCTTGTCTTCATGCATTATCTCTTTGACTAGTATCAAGAGATCATGACAAGCCCGGTAAACTTCAAATCGTTCACACATGTCAAGGAACATCTCCCAAGCTTCGAGTTCGATTGTCCGCGCATGTCGATCAAGGGCTTATACCAATATACTAAGGCAGATCACATTCGTCTCAAACACAGCTCGTTTCGCTAGTACCTCAGCCACGGAACTGGTTGTAGCCCGAACCTTGGCCTTGATAGACGACGCGAGAACATCAACTGTCGGAATTTGTATATCTCATCGCAGGGCTTTTCTCCTCCTTCATCCAAATCAGCAGAACCCCGAAAGACTGCGAATCGAGACCGTGTCAGGGCCAAATCTCAGGCAGGCAGACGTACGACTATTGGATGTCACGTCTCAAGTTTGATTATTAAGCCGTCAGTAAACATCTCGTTAATAAAGTAGTAGATCAATTCAATATCTTCATTTCTGCCGTAGACATTGCCTTCATGGTGGAAAGACATAATCACGCCAAATACTTCGGTCGCTGAGCCAATGATTGGCCATAACTTTCACTAGAACGATTTTTCCTGAGGCAGGAGTGCCTCTTATCCGAACCAAGCGAGCCCGGTGTAAAAACGAGCAAAAAGAAGTATTGGCATTGCAAGTATGCTCTTTTTGTTGCATGGGCCAACCCTTGGCTGAAATCGTCAAGCGCCGAAGCCCGGGAATTGACAAGGGCGACGACGGTATGTTGATGGTCAATCGATACCCTGGTGTCATAACGCGGCGCGTGAAGTCAGAATTGGACTTGTTTAAAAGCACTGATTCTTCTGATCGGTTTTTACGCGAGTGATGCCTGGTCCCAGTATCTGTGGGCATGACAAGGGATCACAATTGGATTGCGATTGCCTATGTCTCTCTGGAAGTCGACTTTGGTTACTTGAGTATCGTATGGGCCGGTCTGTCAAAAATATGAACATCTCGATCACTGCATCGAAGACAATGGGTCGACTAGCTTTGGTCGACTGCGTCAATGCACAGCTTTTGTTCGGTGGTATTTCGCCGACAAATGCTTTTCGATGACGCTTGCTGACACGTTGTAGGTAGTATAAACCACTGTGACGGTCTTGCTGGTGGGATTGCCGCGGGACTCGACCGCATAGCGATATGCATGATTGTTCTTTCATATCGCCGATACTCTGCTGATTGATGTCTGAAAAAGAACTAAATGTTGATAGCATATCCCTCATCGATTACAAGAGATGAGAATGCAGACCAAACTCCTGTCTGGTTGCTTATGCTTATTCGCCCCACATCCCATAAATCTATCGAAACCTATACGGCTCTTGTTAGTATAATGCAAATATAGGGATATAGCTCTACTGACTCGTATTGGGGTCGATTCGGACTCATTCGTTCTGGCATAGCTAAGAATGTCAAGGTATCACCGAACACACACTCCCAGGCAACCCGATTGTAACCAGGTCGGCAATATTACGGTACCATTGGGGTGATACCACGATAGAGATTTGGATCAGCGTTTTCTATTCAAGCTAGGACTGGTCATTATCACCTGCTGGGGGTTGACGCGTTGATAGAGGCGGCGACAAAGGGTATGGTCAGCCAGCACGCGATGTACGTCTTACCGGTGTCGGGAGAGCCCTGAGAAAGGGTAAAGCTGCCGGGTGTCTCTTGTATTCTCTGGAGAATCTGGTTCTGCGCCGCGTTGAAGCCAGCCGCGTTCAGGAGCTTTAGGTAATGAGTGGGGATATAACGGTAGATGTCCCACTTTTTGGATGGTAGCCGGATTGTTGCCGAGAAGCATCTGCCATTTATTGTTGTCATAGTCGCTTTCTTGATCCTGTTCCATTCGAGGAACGCCGGTCCCCTCTTCCTTGTGGACGACCTCGAGCCCATACCGTGCTAAATTATATTGCAGTAAACACTTCCCAGTGCACCAGATAACGTTTGGTCCGTAGTTGGGCCTAATTTTGAATGATTTCATTACGTCATCGGTCGGACGAAAATCCGTGATAAATGGTGCGCTTACTTGTGGAGGCAAAGCGCACTGCTACTTGGTAGCCTGCCTTGCTGACGTCCCTTGGAGGGCATCCGGAATGGGCTTCTTTGATCTGTTGCACCTGATTTACTGACAACATCACAGCTTTGCTCTTGTTTCGACGTTTCAACACCTGTAGATTCTTAGTGATAACCCTAGTAATATGATGTACTTGACCCTTACCACTGACCTAATGTCCTCCCCCCAGGCGAACACATGTTGGAGTCGGCTTCTTTACTTCTCAGGTTAGCTGAGGAAGATATGAAAGGGAAAGGAAGAAGGGATTGAGGGGGGAAGAGAGTAAGGGTTACAGCTACTTTCTATCCTTCACTGCCGGGGTGAATAGTCGATGAACTACATATTTAGTTAATAAAAGATATATTAGAGAAGAAACAGCGTATTAAATTCGTGAATATCCAAACCGGGATGCTTCTGTAAAGCACTTCACTATCGGGACTTGGTTCCATCTACCGCTTGTATCATCTAGCCAAACGCTATGTCACCAATCTGGATTCCGAAGACGATGTATGAAAATAACACTACGGACCATAGCTATCCTGCTAAAAGCACTAGTACTAGTATGCACCAGAAAAGCCAGATTGGCAAGAAGTTTACTGCCCAATCTATGCTACACTGGACACAAGAAACCTGAGGATGCTCATCTTCATTTTGAGATTCTACATCCTGAAGGTCTGCTGAAGAATTCTGATCTTCATAATCGCTGATATAGAGAGAAATTGAATCCTGGTCCTCTTCGCTCGTAGGCAAAAACACCGATTCGTTATCCTGGCCCCAAGGATACATTGCTCGGAATTCCTGCACCCTCCTACGCGCATCGTCAACTTCTTCATCTAGCAATGCTTCCGTCGGTCGTGTCTCGTCTGTGTGTTGTGACATTTTTACGATAAAAGATCCTCAGAACGGTAAAGTTCAAGTTCTCCTGCGCAGATTTGTAAACCAGGATTTCGCATATTTCTATCCAGGTTTCCGTTTTGAGGCATGCAAAGGGGTGCTAGTGAGGTACAACTTGTTATATAGATCTCTAAAACCCTGCTTATAGGAGTCCTTCGGTAAAATAATGGAATGTCGCGATATAATCAGCGAAGGTGCTTAAGCAACCTCTCAACAAAGGGAAGAAAGATACCCACACCCTCTCAGGGCTCTCTCTACATTATTGGGCATAGATCCTCACTCAAGACAAATAAGAACTGGCGTATAAATCCGTCCGGCAAACTGCCCTAATACGTCTTGATCACGTTGGGGATCGATCACATCCCTGCATCAGTATCCGGCTCAAGTACCCTAGTAGTCTCTAATCCTTTGCTTAGAGAACTAAATTGCCTCCACAATAAAATCCAGTAGTCTATTCCCCCCCTCCAAGCCGAGGCACTTCGGAGACGTCCGCGTCCACGAGCCCACTATAGCATGATATCATCAACGCCAAGGTGACTTGCTGATTGCGGAGTGAACTATCGCGGGGATGGCTCAATACAAGTAACAAAGATAACACTACTTATCCCCAGCACGCAAATACCTGCCGAGAAGGGAAACTTAGACGATGATCGGCTGCTTGGTCAGCCTCGATTTGTCGGTTTGTTGGACGGGATCCACTTAGACGGTTGCAGTCGGCTGGCTGAGACTACATGTCACAATGTCATTGTGCATTGAGGTCGTCCATCCAATAATTCACGCAGATTGTCAAAAAAAAGGTGACATTCAGCAATGAGGAATGCGGAGATATCTTGCGGATGCAGCTCGACCCACACCAAGGACGTCAATATAAATACGGCGAAGATGTCACGGTTCTAGGTTGCTGGCATCAAAGAAGCAATCTCTAGAATCAAGATGAAGTCCCATGTCTTGTCGCTTCTGCTGTTATCATCTGCCGCTCTCGGCTCGCCTGTATCGAGTCAGAAGGATAGGAAGTATGCCATTCTCGACAATGACTGGGGCCCTGTCAGCTTTCTTCCTTTTCTCATAACAGCCAAGAGCGATATTGATATTCTCGGACTCATATCAGGTACACACCCTTCAATTTCCACCAGCCAAACCAAATCTAACGAACAGAACTAAAGACACCGGCAACACCTGGCAGCATCAATGCGCGCTCCACGCCCTCGCCAACCTCGAAGTCGCCAATCTAAGCTGCATCCCCGTCTACCCCGGCGCCACCTGGCCACTCATCAACACCCCCCATCGCTTCCAGGCATGGGAAGCTATCCACGGGAACCTTCCCTTCCAAGGCGCCTTTGCCCTCGAGAACCAAACGGCTGAGGCGGAGGGCAACGATCCCAGCTCAGGTGATCCCAACCGTGTAGTTCGCGGTGCCTTCGTCGAAGGGTTCCCGAACATCACCGTCAACGACTCGACCACCGGCGCGAACTTCCTGGTCGAGATGGTTCGCAAGCATCCGCATCAGGTGTCTATTTACTCTGCCGGGGCTCTGACTAATATCGCTCTTGCGGTGCGGAGTGATCCATCTTTGCGTCTCTGGCGAAAGAGCTCGTTATTATGGGTGGGTATGTGGATGTCAATAGACTGCAGGTTACGGGTGAGTATGAACAGGCGAATATCAATTCTGATGTAAGTCCCAACGCTTGACTTCCATTACCTCGATGGGTCCCATTGATAATGTCTAACAACCACTAGATCAACTTAATGATCGACCCCGAAGCCGCCAAAATCGCTCTGAACGCGGACTTTCCGGAGATTATCATCGCCGGAAACGTCGCTAACCAAGTCCAGTCTACCCAGGAATATCTTGACGAAGTTTACGAAGTCCAGAACCCACTCACGGAGCTATTCCATAACCATTACGGAACGAGGTTCCCCTTCTGGGATGAGACTGCTGCCGCTTTGATGGTTAATAAGTCGCTTGCTGTGAACACTACTACCGGTGGGTTTTCATCTCTTCCAATATTCGGTTATTTGTGAAGAAGCTACTGACGGGAATATTATAGCTTATATCGACGTTGATATCTCCTACGGGAGTCCGAATTATGGGAATATTCATCTCTACCAGGAGGCTCTTGCGCCGAAGGGTCTGAGGACTGTGACCTTCGTGAATGAGATTGATGGCGAGGAGCTGAAACGGATGATGAAGGAAGCTATGCAGGATCCCCCGACATGTCACTAGTATCTATCTTTGTTTAGTCCGTTTGGAAGGTCAGACTCGAGGGAAAAGGCGCAATAGATAGATCTATAGATCACATATGATTGAAATTCGCTTTGAGTTTATCTTGCAAAGAAAAAGTAAAAAAGGCAGATGGTTTTGTTCTATGCTTTCAGTTGAGATGTGTCAGCTCAGAGTACTCTGTATGCACGGTTAGTATGCAGCGATGAGCGAACATCGCGTCAGGGATGCAAGTTGTAGATGGTGATTCTATATTCGAGATAGAGCATGCCTTGCAATTTGTTCGGTGGCATACGAGCTTTGATAGACTTTCATATTCTGATAATCACGCTAGCGAACCCATATCTCGTTAATAGTACAGTGATTCACTGAGTATGATGGCCATATCCTAGCTAATATCTAGATGAAGGGTCGAGGGTGAATGATGCTCACCATACGTAATAATAACGCAATCACACGGGGGTCAGGCCCTGCCATGATCGCAAAGCTTACCTGCTCTTCTCCTTGCACGAAGATCTTAAGCATCACTTTCCTTTGATCACGTTCCTTCCCGTTACTCTGGTCTTCCACGCAACGTCTCCATCTACCTTTATCACCATGAGCGAACTAGTCAACATAGACCTGGTCTTGAGGATCGCAGCTATCCTGGACGACACGGAACAGGGCAAGATCCAGGTTACGCCGGAGCAATTCAAAGAGGTGGAACTCTTTTTGGAACGGGAAAAAATCAAGTATGTGTACATTCATCTTGTGTCTACGTGCGCTTGCCAATAAATGGTTACGTTTGAAGATATAGTTACAACTCTTTTACAGGGTTCCTTCGTTTCCGAATAGAAACTTTTATTCACCAGAGCGTTCCGACCTGGATTCAGACATGGATAGGGACAATGATAGTAATAGGTGATCTACGCCCGGGTTCTCTGCGGTATTATACTAGGGTCACCTTCAAGAACTTCAGTGAAGACTATGCTCAGAGGTAAACTAATCCAGAATTGTCCTTCGATAGCATACCTTTAACAATACTCCTGGTCTATAGTAGCAAGATCCCAGACACATTTCTCATCCCAAGGGGCGAAACGATATGGCCAGGGTTAGCATTTGAGTTCGGGTACACAGAATCATTCGAGGATCTTAAACAGGATGCCGATTTACTTCTACGAGGATCCGAGGGCCGTATCGAAACAGTGATTATCGTGAAGCTAGACCCGCTGAGAGCAAACGAAACACGCGTTGAAGGCGGATTTGTCGAGATATATGTCTTCGATCCTGAGTCCGGAGAAAGTCGAAAACGCGGACAAAGAATGGTGAGCCTACTCGGCATTACTTATTATATCAGGTTTGAAAGGCTCTACTAATAGTCTAGACCCTCTACCCTCTTCCGATAAACCACACTCAGCAGCGTATTCAACTCGAGTGGGAAGACATTCTTAGACAGCGGTTGGACCTCCATGTCTCACAAGTGCAAAAGCCACCACCGTTGATGCTTGACGCTCTCCAGGAGATTATTGAAGAGTACACCGAAAGGGACTTGAACCAGCTACAAGACTGGAATGCGCGTAGGTGATGATGGGTTTGTCTGGATACGTCTTGTGGATCGGCCGAAACTGGGGAAATGATCTGCGTGGCAACAATATGGACACGATCGTCCTAAGTGAAAGGCATCCAGCTTTATTCGAAATGACAAACCATTAGCTAGAACAATAGACTCACAGAAAATGACCACCCGTTGTATGTTCAAACCAGAATGCCAAGTTATCGCACTGTTTGTGAGGATTGCGTCACTTTGATTTCATGCCTCCACAAAGCCAGACTATATAATATGGAATAGCTTCGCACGGTACCAACTCTTATCTTCGTTTCCATTGTCACAAAGCAAGAAGTTTCAATTAACTAAATACCATTACCCTATAATCACCTAATCAAATTCGTCAAGTAATCTCCCACAATGCCAACCGCCATCGTCACGGGCGCCACAGGTACGAAAGTTCCACACCCACCTATCTCCCACACGAGTCCAACACCTCGCAACAATGAACAAACCCCGAAAGTCTAACTCGCTCCCATTGAAACAGGAATCCTCGGCCGCGAAATCGTCCACCAACTCGCCAAAACGCCCAACGTCTGGACAACCGTACACGCGCTCTCGCGCTCCCAAAAAGAACCCTACCCAGAGCACGTCCAGCACGATAAAATCGACCTCCTCGCGACACCAGAAGATATCGCGGAGCAGTTAAAGGCCCAGAATGTTGAGGCCGAGTACTTGTTCTTTGCAGCGTATTTGCAGAAGGGGGATGATGAGGAGATGGATAGGATTAATGGTGAGATACCTTTTCTTCCTGATTACTACCATAGAAAATGGAATCGCTCTGGTGATGGTCAAGTCATGGGTAATGAGGGATAAGTGAGCTGATACTGACTTCGCGGCTAGGCGACATGCTCCAGAACTTCCTCACCGCGCTGACCCTCACCGGGGCCGAAAAGAAACTGAAACGAGTGATCCTGACCACCGGTGCGAAGCACTACGGCGTGCATTTGGGTCCCGCCAAGGTGCCGATGGAAGAGTCAGACCCCTGGGTTGAGGGGGAGGGACGGCCACCGAACTTCTACTATCGACAGCAGCGTATCCTCGGTGAGAAGAGTCGGCAGAGTCAAGAAGGCAAGAGAGGTCAGGGATGGGATTGGGTGGTGACGTATCCGAATGATGTTATTGGTGTTGCCAAGGGTATGTATTCCGCTACCTTTTTCACTGAAGCTCTGTATAGATGTGTTGATTCACGGAATGAGCTGCGAACTAATAACCGTGATCAGATAACTACATGAACCTAACCACCGCGCTGGGCATCTACGCGACCATCACGAAAGAGCTCTCCGCCCCGTTCAAATTCCCCGGTTCTGTTGACTTCTATACCCGATTTGACAGCTTCACGAGCGCGCGCTTCCACGCCGTGTTCTGCCTCTGGGCGAGCCAGGAGCAAGGGTGCTCGAATGAAGCCTTCAATGTGGTAAACGGTGACGTGCAGTCCTGGCAGACATTGTGGCCGTTGTTGGCGCGTCGGTTCGGTCTCGAGGTCCCCCGTGAGCAGTTCAAGTCAGGACAGCATGAGAAGGTATTGCCATTGATCGAGAGGCCGCCGATCGCGGACTGGGCCGGGAGTATGGGACTTGCCGATCGGGTGAAACGCGGAGAGGTGCAGATGATGGTGGACTTGGAGAAGTGGGCGGCGAGGGATGATGTGAAGGGAGCGTGGGAGAGGGTGGCGAAGAGGGAGGGATTACAGGCAGATGCGTTGGAGAAGGCAACGTGGTTCTTTTTGAACTTCGTGCTGGGACGGAACTATGATGTCGTGATTAGTATGGACAAGGCAAGAAGGTTTGGGTTTACCGGGTCGGTAAACTCGTGGGAGGCGCTGAGTGAGAGTCTGGATGGCTTGGTTGAGGCGAAGGTCTTGCCGGGATTGAGGGCGTGAGTTGAATTATTAGGGGTGCAGCGCTCAAGGCTGTATACTCTCTGCCTCAATCAGTATACTGAGCTACTTTCTTCTGCCGTTGTAAGTTCTTATAGTTTTAAGCTACACTTCCGCGAGACCGCGTCCTTTCGGTTTCTTGTCATGGCCTGTCTTTTTGAGACAAGCAAACAGAGTATTGGCTACGGTGTAAATGATCCCTAGTACTTTAAATTAAACAAGATGATCTAGACAGTTATACCTGTAGTGATTCTATTTTATCTTTTTCGTTATACCTACTATCTACCCCGTAGAACAACAACAAGGTGGCGGAGACGCCATAGACCGCAAGCCATATTAGAGTAACAGCCAAATTACAGATGATATATTCGCGTCAATGACAGGGCGTAGAGTTAAAAATAGATGCAGGTAAATGGATCTGTTGTTTTGTGGTATAGTTACTCATAACTATAACTACATGGCCAATAATAGATACAACATCCGCCCTGAATCATAGATATCACATGCGCGGGGCTGGGGAATGGAAGGAGTCGAAGGTGAGTCCAGATCGACGCCACGTGAAGCCGCCAAACCACCCGTACAATGCAGCTGCAGATGGGCTTCGACAGGCTGGATGCATGATCCTGCACTTGATCCCTCGCTTTGTGTGCCAACATTGCATCGGACAGCAGTTCTGGTGATTGGAGGAGTGGTACAAAATGTGGTATTCCGGATAAGATTGCAATCCACGGTGCTTGGGGAAAGGTAAAATTGGTGAAAATGCCGCGTATGCATGGACCAAGGATTGGTTTCTCGGGTTCATGTCTTGTCCGTGGAATCTACGGCAGATTCTGTGTTGGCGGCAGAATGAGGGTCGGCCGATCCGGCCCCTTGACTGGCCGGGGTCGCGCTGGACTGAACGCCGCTGGCAGGGTTGCTCAATTCGCTAACCTGGCGCTCTGTCGGGCTGGTTAGAAAAGACAATCTTTTTTCAAGAAGAGACTTTCAAGTCTTACCCAAATCACGGATTCGCTGTCGAAGGATTTGATTTTCTCTGCTAAGCATCATTGCTTCGGCATGATAGAAAGCGCCCTCATCCCTACTTCCCCGCCGTGGACTTTCGCCCAGACCGGTAATCCCTTCTAGACCATCTGCGCCCCGGGGAGAATCAACCAATGGCCGGAGACTGGGCGACGCGGCCTGGCTAGACGGTCGCGACGGTCGGCGGCTGGACAAGGCCGAAGTAATCTGCGCGGACGGTCGACTGCTGCCGGTTGGCAGCAGAGGTGGGACAGAGGGGAGCTGCGAAAGCGCAGGGGCGGAATCATCAATGGCGATGTTGTGTGAGGACTGCTGCTGTTGCTGTAACTGCTGCAACTGAGTTTGTTGGCTGCGGATCATATGCAGGAGTCGGTTCTAGAACAAAACGAATTAGCGATTCTGCAAGTATCCACAGCCTCGTGCAATGGGACGGTGACACCCCAGGGATCATACCACTTGCGCCTCCTGTTCCTGTTCGAGCTCCTGATGCAGCTCCCCCAGCGAAGGGGCACGCTGGTGGTGCGGGTCCCCGGTGGCGATGATCGGGCTGCCCCCAAGACTGGAGGGGCTAGACGTCCGGAGCGCATGGTGGCTAAGGGAGGAGGGAATGGAATCTCCAGCCGGGTCATTGCCATTGTTCGGGTTCAGATTGGTAGATCGACGACGTTCCGGCCCCGACATTCCCGATCGGGATGGCCGACGAGGGATGTCGATGGGATGGTTGTTATGAGTGCTCATCGTGGCGGTTGATGCAGGGGAGATGCCCGACGAAGAATGTTGCGAAGGTAGGGAGTCAGACGAAGTGGGGATGTTCCGTGGTTGACGCGGGGAGGTCGATGAGAGGGAGGGGGGAAGTGAGTTAATATCAGGACACATCCCTAGGAAAGAGGGAGATGAAAAGGTGAGATATGAAAGAGAGCAGCAGCTTAGAACGCTGATGGCGATGCTAATTTAGGAATTCTTGCTGCGAACGGAGAAATGCTGAGAATGAATGAGAGAGAGAGATGCGCATCGAAAGTAAGACAAACAGTCCTGACTGGTTGGTGGAGGACCCCTCCCTAGGAAGGCGGTCTCTCTTTCTGCCGCTGATAACTCGGGCGGTTGCCTGCGGTCGGCTTGCCGTATGGGGCTAAGCGCTGCTTGCAGCCTGAGGATGCAAACACACACACGTGATTGTCTGTGGAATGTAGAACGAGTTCCCTAAAAAGGAGAGTGTTTGATTCTTTGTCGACATTACTCTGGAGTACACGGCAGGTTGTCAGGCCTACACGGTGTACGGAAGGTACAGATCTACGCACGTGTTCCTAATCTCCTCCCAACGCATCTGACGTGAGTGGAGTCAGGATGTTCGCGTCCCCGGTGGATTGCCTTAGGCTCGAACCGCTAGGCCTTAGCTCGGGATGGTTTGCAAATCCGCCGGTCTAGGGGCGCCTTAGGGTGCTTGTTGCAGTTAGCCCATACGGTGATGATGTGAGTGGCACCACGAAAACTAGACTGTCATGGTGATTGCCACTTTCAAGGCCATCCCGACTTGTCGAGCATTGTACCCGGTGTATTCTATGCACCAAGGAGCCTGTTGTCCTTCAAGAGTAATGATAACTGTGAAAGTAAGAGAGACATAGACTCCATTGGTTGAAGAGTAGTAGTGTCTAACTAGTCAATGTCTTACATATGCAGCGACATATCTAACCAGGGCCAGGCCAAGAATGGAATCGACAGACTTCGACTTCATTTAATTTGATACTTCACCTGGTCCCTGGCTGGCTATCGGTTTGTTGGCACCAAATCGGGTCATCAGGGATTGACGTCACTCCGTGTTACCTCCGGAGACACAACATGAAATCAATCTACGGTGTACAACCTATCCGGATTCTTTGTCTGACCACCACTCAGGTCAATATGTAGTCATAGTCACCTCACCTATCATTGTTTAACCCTCTGGAGCCTTTAAGGTTTCTCTCACGCCCCCCTTGAGGACACCCATGGCCACCATGCCAACTCCTTGCGTCACGGCGTGCAACCTACCAGATAGCCCGCATGGAATCAGCGGTACATTTGACCCCATTTCATTTCCCTAAAAATGTTTGTTGACTGTTTATTTACTTCTGCGGGAGTCTGGCCAATCCAATTTCTGTAAACTGCAACTGCAATTGTGGGCCTTCACTCGCTGGCGTCCCATACCACGATTCCCGAAGCGGGCATTCCATCGAGGCTCTCGGCCCAGAACGGCTTTTTCTCAGCAACCCAGAGTGGAGATGCCGGGATCTTGGGGAAGCTCTTCCTCTTGCGGCTTGCAGTTGATCATCTTTCGGCTGCTGTGGGGACGTTGGCCATTTTCCGCCACTGAGAGGGCCAAGCGATGATGCCGGGAGGGTATGCCATCCCACGGTACCGGTTCTAGATACTAGACAGATGTAGGGAATGGAATCGTGCAGTCAAAGAACCTGTCAGCAGGTGTGGCAAGTGCATCTCTCTCGAACCATACCAAATTGGCTACCTTTTCCTCGAGGGGTTCCTGGCATGTGCCGCAAATCTCGCTCAAGAGGGTTTGCGCCACCAGCATCATGAGGGGAAGAGGAGAAGTGATCTTGGGACCGAAATCAAGAATGAAAGTCGCTTTTGCCATTATGCAACCATAAATCTGGACCACGGCGTGATTGGCCCGATAGGATCTCATTGCAGCGATCATGTGCAGGTATATCGAAGGGAACCGGCGGAGGCGACGGAAACCCCGAGAAGTCGCATTTCCATACTTTACTTTGACTCTCTCCGGGAGTTCCTGCCTGGCATGGCCTGGCCAGTCACCACTCTTTCTCTATAACCTTTCCTTGGACTGGTGCATTTAATCTCCGGCTCTTTTTCCTTTTTTTTCTTTGCCCGTTCCTCCTTCCTTTTTATTTAACTCTCTCATCCCGTCGCGTCCTTCCCGCTTCCTCACACTACCGCTTCTTCTTACCCTCTGTCCTGTCTTATGCTATAAACTCATCTAGAATTATCTGGCTGGTGGAGAATATTCTATCATAACGGGTAAGCGCTTTATCTTCAAAAATGGGCAGCGACGCACTTTGGCGCAATTCAGTCACATTCCATCTTCAATCTCCAAACACAGAAAATGATGGCCTTTACTGATGAGCCTCCCTAGTCACTGTGATGTCCAGTCCTCCTCGTCAAACCATGGACAGGGAGAAGGAGGGTGGCTCCGAGGCATCCTCTTCGACTCATACGGATGCGAAGGCTCTCCCCGACAATGACAAAGACGACATCCCGCAACTTCCCAAGTCTCGACTCGGCTTGGCTAATGACCCGGCAGCTGGAACGACCTTGCACCAGCTCGAGCATACTGTTTCAGAAAAGATTGAACTTACTGAAGAGGATTGTTACGACCAACTTGGCTACGCTTTCCCGGAATGGAAAAAGTGGATGATCATCATCGTCATCTTCCTTGTCCAGACCTCGATGAACTTCAACACCAGTCTTTATTCAAATGCCGCCACCGGAATATCTGAAGAGTTCGGAGTGAGCATGCAGGCCGCTCGGTGCGGTGCTATGATTTTCTTGGTTTTGTACGCCTTCGGCTGTGAGCTCTGGGCTCCTTGGAGTGAAGAACTGGGTCGAAAGCCTATCCTACAGCTCAGTTTATTTTTCGTCAACGTTTTCCAGCTCCCCGTTGCGCTCGCGCCCAACTTTGCGTCGATCATGGTTGGCCGCGCTCTTGGTGGTCTCAGTTCAGCCGGTGGCTCCGTCACCTTGGGCATGATCGCGGATCTTTGGGAAGCCGATGAGCAGCAGTATGCTGTGGCTTGCGTTGTCTTTTCTTCCGTCGGTGGTTCGGCTCTGGGCCCTGTCGTGGGTGGATTTGTGGAGGCCTACCTACCATGGCGCTGGAACATCTGGATTCAACTCATATTTGGAGGTTTTGTGCAAGTCGCCCACCTGCTGTTGGTACCCGAGACTCGGACAACAATCATGATGGATCGAATCGCCAAAAAGAAGAGGGAGAGTGGGCAGGAGCCGAATCTCTACGGACCCAACGAGCTCGTTTCCTTCCGCGAACGCTTCTCAGCGAGGGAAATTCTCGTAACCTGGATTCGACCGTTCAAAATGTTTTTGACAGAACCTATCGTGCTGTGTTTGTCCCTGCTCAGTGGCTTCAGCGACGCTTTGATATTCATCTTCATCCAGTCCTTTGGCCTTGTATATGACCAGTGGAACTTCAGTACTGTCGCCAAAGGCCTGGCCTTCATCCCAATCCTCATTGGATATTTTATCGCGTGGCTTTCCTTCATTCCGGTAATTCGAAGGAACATTGGAGAGCGGCGAATGAAGCCAGATGACGAACATACACAATACGAGTCTAGATTGTGGTGGCTGCTTTATACAGCGCCTTGTTTACCAATTGGATTGATCGGCTTCGCGTGGACAAGCTTGCCTCACGTGCATTGGATAGGCACCATGATATTTTCCGCAGTTGTTGGCATTGCCAACTATAGCATCTACATGGCTACCATCGACTACATGATTTGCGCTTACGGTCCTTATTCTGCTTCTGCCACCGGCGGAAACGGATGGTCCAGAGACTTCCTGGCCGGTGTGCTCACGATTCCTGCGACACCTTTCTACACGAGTAAGTAGTTATCCCGTAGACCTTGTTTATTCAATTGCTGATACATGTCTCATTAGACATTGGCGGGGAACATCACCTGGAATATGCGTCCACTATTCTATGTAAGCTTCGGTTCCAGAGGCCCTGTCAGAAGATACAAGACTAATCAAAGCAACTAGTTTGCATCTCGTTCATACTTGTTATTGCGGTGTACGTGATCTACTGGTACGGTCCAGTTCTTCGGAAGAGGTCACCATTTGCGCAGCAACTGTCCGATGCGCGAGTCGAGATCCAGTCTGCTGGACGCCGACTCTCTAAAATCCCGTCCGGCTCTCGAGCCAACTCTTTTGCACGATCGCAACAAAATTTGAGGATCCGCCATAATTTCGGAAGCCGTCCCGGTAGCTATGTCGCATCCCGGGGGAATTCTCGCAACAGCCTGTCATATGGGGGCTTGTAAGAACAAGAAAAGAAATACGTTCAACCGATTGATCAAGGATCTGCACGTCGAGCATGATACACTACCTTCGCAAATACAATGCTTAGAACAAGATAAGATTCCTTTGATGAGTGAATAGTGGCTATGGCTTCTAGCTGCGGAGAAGAGCCTGTATTTTAACAAATTGTTTAGCCACAGCATGATAATTGATTTTCCCTGGTGACTGTCTTGTGTGCTGTTGCATCGAAAGTCTGTATTTCGTCTGTTCAGGTCCCATGCCTCGGGTATATATTACCACAACAGCAATATGAAGAAAGATGTTCTTCTATACAGATCTGTCAATATTAATGTAGGTTACGCCGTACGGTGACGCTACTATCTTTGACAGGAGCTCCATTGGATCTCAAGACCGGCAAACACCGAGCATGTGTCCTCCAAACACGATCCGGGGAACATTCTCCAGTCGTTGATCTCCATCGTGTGGAGACACCGACACCCGCTTTGGAACACGACGTCACAATCCCGACTCCGACGTCATCGGACCAACTGCGCTCATTGTTCACCGAACCGACCATCAGCTGTTATTCACTACGTAGTTTAAAGGATTGACTCAATTAGCGAGTCAGTGTCGTTCGTTAGAAGGTCCCAAGCAACGTAAATGCACGACACACGTGACATCGAATCATTCTGGAAGCCCTTGGGGGATAGATTAGCGAAGATACCTTGGGCCTTGCGGTGATTTAGAGAAAAATGAACAGTTGCAGGAACATGAACAGTAGCAGTCCGAGCAAAAAGGTGACTCATGGGCCTAGTACTGCTGTAACATCGTGGCTCATCACCGCTACACCATACACCGTACACCGCGATCATGTGACCTACGAGCTGTTGAGCGCAACTGTGGAGCAAATGGAGCTTCGGCCAGTTCACACTCTGTGTTTGCGACCAGCCTGGCGATTCCACACCATGGACCCCATAGTGACTTGTGTACGACACCGCAGTAGAGCGCTGTTCTCACACGTCTTTCATTTGAATCGTGGTTACACCCGAATCACCCCTCAATTGTCGTCGCTTCCCTCTCGCACCCTCCGCCCATTATCATCCTCTGTCCGCGCCGCTGCCACCCCTATCCCTTATCGCAAAAACACGCCGTATCTCAGAATCGCTGCTAGAGGTGTATCGACTATGGCTACTGAGCCCCAGTTCGCGGAAGGTATCGATGCCGAGCAGTTGCGGCCCCGGGTGGACGCACTGGTCGGGAACGGTTGGAAACTGGATGAGGACGGCACGGGCGTGCTGAAGACGTACTATTTCAAGACGTATTTCAAGGCAGTGGTGAGTCCGTCAGCTGTGTTTCTGCGTTACGGGGTGAAGCTAACCCGAGCAGAGCTTTGTCAACGTCGTCGCGTCGCAGAGTGCGGCCGAAAAACATCATCCTACTATGACTGTGGTAAGTGGTATATCAACTGAGATCAAGTGACATCTCGAGAAGATGCTAATGTTAGTGACTCATTTAGAGGATTGGTTCTGTCGATGTCCACTGGACAACGCATCGCCCTCGTGGTCTCACGGATAAGGACTTGAACATGGCGCAACACTGCGACGATGCAGCGGAGATGATGGGCGCGGTGGACCAAGACAAGGGCAAGAAATGTGGATAGATCCTTGCGCCGGAGGGATCCCGGATGTAAGGGTTTACTTGATAGTTAGCATTCAACTAAATTAGTTCATGAGGCAGCATGTTATATAACTGTTATTATTGGTTTTTTCTCTAGGGCAGCAGAAAAGGGAAGTTTGTTATTTTTGCAGGGGCGGGTTAGTCAGCCATCTAAGCTCAGCAGTGCATAGGCGTGCATAAACCCTCGTGTTGCTGTTTGTTTGAGGTTTGTTTGGCCCGGATCTTACTTTCTCATGATTCCATCTGATCTTCTCACCCTCAGATGGACCGTCCTCCGTCGAGGCTCCAAATGGTCGCGCCCCAATCTGCGCTCGGCACCACCACCCTTCGCCGACTATTTTCGAGAACTCCATTTTTATGAACGCCTAGGGAGGTTTCGCCTGGCTGATCACAGTCACACTAATCCCCTTAGCGGAAAACCGTTATCCGGTGTGGATCCCCCTCGAGGGGCTGATTCAGGGGGACCCCCCTCAGCCTGCGACTCTCGTGAAGGACGATCGAGTTCTCTGCGAAGATGGTCTTGCGCCTCTCTTACCGATGGAGAGATCCGTCGGGATAGCGCATCTCCAGGCTCGGGTCTGGACAACAATCCTTCCCAACTTCCTCGTTGCCTGTTGCTTCATCCATCCTCTCTCCACTCAGGGGTTCGCTTCTGACCAACCGTTTCAGATCTGCTCACCATTTCGCTGCGACTAACATTGTGAGCTTTTCTTAGTCACGGAACTAGTGCATGGCCAATTTCAGTTTTAATTTAAGCACAAAGAAAAAAGAAAAAATTATTACGCCGGGTTAGTGACTTGAATGGGAGGGGGGGGAATGAGTCTGGACTTCGTCTCGTGTCCATAATATCCCTCTCTTTTTCCCTGCCCTGTACTTTTTTCTGTTCGGACGACTGACTCATTATCGCGGCCAATTCCTCAGAGACGACGATGATGGCTCCGTTGCAGTAGCCGGACCGCCCCAACTGATCTACCGCAACGGGCTGAACAAGTCTCGTTTTCCACTTCCTGCCGTCTTATTTCAGCCTCAAAAGCCAGTTCAGCCGTCTGCTGCAGTCCACGCGGAACCAATCTACTTCCGATCAGCCCTATCCCCTCCCTCCATTGGGGCTGCGCCTGCAGTCTTCGCCCTTGCTCACCACGCAACCAATTGGTTGCTGCCGTCTTCCTCGCGCCGGATTCAATGCGCGACGATTCCGCAATTGTCTGCCCACCGTCCAAGTACCATGCGATTTTCCCTCGACACCTGCGTGGACCTAGACAACCGTTACCTACACTTGCTCTCTCCGGCCATCCCATGCTCGGTTCAATGATACAGTCGCTGCAACATCATCGCGTCACTACCTTTCTCGACCACTCGCTGTTTCTCGCACATTGAGACTACTGTTCACGAGTGACGTTGCTCGCTCGAACCATCTGCGACAATATATTATAGTTACAAATTGTTGAAAGTCCCGTTCTCGGGGCTCCAGGAAGGAAGGGCAGGGCCCTGCATATAGTGTGTGGAGAATGGCATTGGAAAATGAAGACTCTCCATCATCGGTCGGCGAACGAAGGGGTCAACGGCTGGCGCCGTTACAAACCAATTTCAGCCGTCCAACCTCTCGACCACTCCTTGTTACCTCTCCTCGCACGCAACGACCACGACCGGAGGAATATCAGAATGATGAAGAGCACAACGAACGGGTGCCGCTGCAGCCAACCCCGGTGAAGCGCCAATCTTCCAAATCGGGGCTCCGCGGCCTGTTCGGTCGTGAGAAGACCGCGCGCAAAGCGCCCAGTGACGCCAAGCTGTCCGGTATTGACGAGGTACAGCCTTCTGCACCCAATGGTGAACCAGGGCCTTCGGCGCCCTTGTCGCCCATATCCTCCTCAACCCCGGTTGCGGTGCCTACATCGGCGACAGAGCCCCATCGCGCCAAGACGCCCTCTAAGTCTCGTGGGAGGCAGAGCGAGGACAAACCGGGGTCGGATGATACTGCGTGGAAACCGCCTCCCCTCTTCCAGGCGTTTCCCCAGTCCATCAAACATGACACTCTGCCCTGTCCCGGACTATCAGTTGACTCTATCCTTCGATTCCATGCCACCTCGGCCGCCAAGCGTGATGAAGACCATTCGGCTCAGAATTCGAATAAGGGAAACGGCACGGATGACCATACGGTTCGCAAGAAGAAGGAAGATAAGGAGAAAAGGAAACACCTACGCACCCTTTCCGATACAATCGGCAAGTCTGAATGGGCGCAGAAGATTTATGTATTGACCACAAGCGGTTACATTCTACAGTACTCTGGCGGCGGAAAGCACGACCGTTTGCCTGAGAAGATGTTGCAGCTCGGCCCGAAGTCTGTGGCTTTCGCGAGTGATGCGATTCCAGGAAAGCATTGGGTTTTACAAGTGTCGCAGTCCTCGGAGGAACAGCCGTCCACAAACACAGATACGCATCGACCATTGTTATCGCGGTTTGGGTTCCATCGATCACACGCCAAGCGACTCGCACGCAGCTTCCTGCTCGTCTTTCACACCCCCGAAGACCTGAGTTCGTGGCTTTTGGCCGTTCGAGCCCAGATCGAGGCACGTGGTGGTAAGAAGTATGTCACCGAACGGGTCTTTGACGACGACATGGAGCATCAGCTGCATCCTCAAACCAGTGCGCGTCAATTAGTTAGGAAAGACCCGAACCGGTTTTCGCAGACTTTTCTGCAGCCTCAGCAGTCGACTACGTCGGATGAACAAGAGTCGACCCTTACTGACCAATCTCGCCGGAGTTCGCATGTCTCACACCATCGCCGGTCGTTGGTCATGGCGCCTGGTCCTGAATCTCGCTCCGAATCCATCTCGACGACCCACACCGAAGTGACTTCGCCTGTCAGTGGCAATGGACAAGGCCGCTTTTACTCTTCGGTATCCCCAGGTGGTGTTCCAATGTCGCCCTCGAAGAATGAGAAGAGCGCCATCTCCACTGTGCTGTCGGCGCTGGATACTTCTGCCAGCCCGACATTGTCCACTCCCCGGAAGAGACAGTCGCTTAACCTCCAACAACCTGCAGCTACGGAGACCCCCGACATCCCTCGGTCACAGTCCGTCGCTCCAGACCCTCTGTTGCGAAGTGCCTCGCCGCCTGCTCCGAACTTTAGTGTTCCATCCTTCAGCCAGCGATTTGCGGCAAGAGATGGGTCCACCCGATTGAGCCGTGTGCCTCCGTCTATGCGCGGTAATGATATGCCCGTTGATCCGGCTGAGATTATGTCTACTTTCTCCTCTCCGCCTCAGTCCCCAGGGAAACCTCCGAGTAATTTCGGGCCGGGTTACGGGAACGAACAACAGTTACCTAGCCATGACACTCCGAGAAGGCCATTGCGCGTTTCCAACTCCGAGGATTCCCTCGCAGATCCTCAGCGAAGCCAGGAGACTAAGCCATATCGCTTTTCTCGGATCCCGAAGAACAATATGACGGCTGCCCCGCCGACGACATCGCATTCATCCCGACCTCTCAGCGCCATCAAGAATGAAGCTGCCGAGTCACGCGTCAACGCGCCCCTTCCACCCTTGCCTCCAGGTGCCACCGAACCATCTGCCCAAAAGCCCAACCGGACTTCTGTCCTCCATCGGGCTGATTCTGGTGGCCGTCCTGCCGGTCCTCCCATGCCGCGACGCAAAAGTATGCCGGGGCTGACCGTCGGGCCACCCTCCGTGCCTCCTCCCAACTGCCCACTGCCAAAGATCCCGTCTCCGGTTGATCCTGCTGCACATGACTGGCCGGAGCCACCGACTACAGATCAACGGGCTGGCACTCCTGGTCGGCCGAGCCGCAAGTTCCGACTCAGCTCGATGCCTCATCCTCCTGCCAATGGACGTACCACCCCGAGCGGCCAACGTTCTGCATCTCGACAGTCAAGACTGCCGGTCAACTAACCAGAATGGAGACGTTCATTATAACGATGATCTAAACCATTACGGAGTATCCTATTTTCCCACCTATACGCTGCCTTCGATACCTTTTCTTTGATCTACTTCAACTATTGAACCACTCACTTTCATACGTCGCCACGCATTCCGACTTTTCCTTTCTCCGTCGACTTTGACAGTCGACGACCTGTCTGATCAATAATTATACTACGCACTACGTACCTGACCGTTCTAACATGTCGTGTCTACGATGTCTTTTTACCTTTGCTCACAACTTCGATACCACCCGTTCCTTGTCCTTTTTCCTTTCTTGCTTTTTGCATGCAATCCTCTTTCCACCTCATTCACTCTTATTCCCTGCTCAAAAATTCTCTTCACAGTTTTTGTTCCTTTTTCTTCTCTTTCACAGCGATGCATGATTCAGGATATCCGACGCTGTCAGCACGTTTCCTCGCATACGATTGACTCTTTTTGTCTACTTTCATTTGAACATTCTGCCGCCTGATAAAGTTCTTGTTTGTCTTATATCTCTGATATTTGCTTTATACATTTTGTACATACATACATATGAGAGCTGTTTGGGATGTCTGTTGGCTTATCGCCGACAGATTAGATTAGCATTATAGATTTTTGCATATATTGTCTGTTCATTTTGAATGTTCCGGTTGTTGATTAGTATAGAATTCACCACTTACATTTTCTGTGCCTTTCACTCAAAAGTGAATCTTTTTCTTCACGGTTGAGGACGTTCTTCACCCCGATTAGTGACTATATTTCCCCCCTTTTTCCTCTCATCTCACTGCATCCTCCCTACTTCCTTCTTCCTCCCCATCTCCCTCCCACACGAACCCTCGCGATCGAGTCTACAGCTCTGCTCGAAAGCAACCCCATGCAACGGCGATCGCTGGAGTTCCACATCCTCAACTACATGAGTAGGTATGAGGTTATTGACAGGTCAATTAAATAACATTTCCCCAGGAGTGAGAAGCATTCCCGAACTGAAATGGAAGATACCTATCTCATTGTCCTGTTCGTGACGTATGGAGGCGTAGGATTCGGCCTCGCTCCTTTCCTTTGATAGCGGAGATTGGAAGCTTCTGCTGTTTGCTCGCAAATATATTGCTTTTCGCCTGGGCTCTCGATGGGTCGAGGACACCTCAGAAGTTTCGAATGCCAAGCACAAACGCAAACGCAAAGTCGAAGAAGCAGATAGGTTTCGACGCCAGGGATTCTATATATAGCGGCTTATGATGCCGCTAGAGTACCTGAGCCAGAAAGGAAACGGGATTTTCGAACACCATGCCTACGTGTCGTTTGAGAATCGACGAGGCAAACTTGATACTCACATATGTCTCTTGCCTGGAATACAAACGAGAACTGGAAATCGCTCTGTTAATCTCCGACAACGTTCGATATGTTGACTACTTTGCCTGGAAGGTATCAGATTCCACTACAGTAGCGTTGGTGGAATTTGGCATGTCACATCCCGAGAATGGCACAGTGGACAGGCTTGTTCTACGAGATGGGACGGTTATCAAGATTGGGTTCCAATTTCCCATTATATTCGACTTGAAAAAGACATTCTGTACCGCCGTCGCCATGCCGAATATCTTCAACCTTCCATATCAGAACGACTGCCTTTTCATTTTCGCTGAGACGCCAACTACAATTTCTACGAAAAGGTTGCCGTCGAGGTAGGACAGCTGGAATCTACCTCCCGGCAGCCATTAGCATTAGGGTACACCCTACTAGCGGTCAGGGCACGGCGGCAAGTAGATGCAGTGAACCGTCTTTGCGAGCCCTTTGAAGAGCGATGGCAGAAGATTCTGCTCAACCAACATGCAGGTGCTCGGCAGACTATCAACCCTTTTGCCGGTCTGGCTTCTAACCCAGGGCATATTGAGGCAGCAATCAACGTTGTCCTCAATATCCCCGGTAGAACCTGGACAGCATCCCAGCACAACGTCATAAAGTAGCTTACTCAATTCCCGGACCGTTTTCCCATCATGGACGACCGGGCACGAATCGCGGCCGATTTCAACAACCCTCGCTCCTCCACCACCATCCTGATCACCACCTACGCCGTAGGGGGGCTAGGCCTCAATTTGCACGGTGCGTGTTCTAGGGCAATTCTGGTAGAGCCCGCTTTGAACGTATCCCTTGAGCCCCAGGCAATTGGACGGACCCACCGGCTGGGGCAAAAGTGCCCCAGCACGTGTGGATGCTCTTCATGGAACACAAGATAAACAGATTGTTCGAATACAACATATCACAGAAGGCCGGAGGTCTAATCGCGACGAACATTGCAAGAACCAAGTACCTGAGAGCCAATCCAATAGCGATTATGGGAACCTGGTGCCTAGTGTCAAGGATTCCCTTTGTGTGGTCGAGGTGATCGGCAAATCACGATACATCGATGTACATCGACTGCTCGATGTACAGACTGCTCGATGTACAGACTGCTCGATGTACAGACTGCTCGATGTACAGACTGCTCGATGTACAGACTGCTCGATGTACAGACTGCTCTCATGAACTACCGCTATGGTGGGTATAAGAGTGATGAAAACAATGTACAATCATCGCTCCATATACCGCCCAGCTAGTGACGATTCGACAAACCATTATTCCGCTTAGTGCAGCTGGGCATCCTCAACCCAGAGACTTCCCAGATATCGCAACTGCGGATTCCATGCAGGGCAAAGAGTCAAACCTGGTGATATAGGACTACGTGATATCAAGCGCAGAACGGATGTCTGATCTCAATGTCGGTTTTACGACTGACGACCACTTGGGGTAACATAGTCCTCACGCGAGTAATCAAGGCGATAGTCAACATCTGTTGGAGCGGTGGTCGGTTGGCCTCAGCCTAACCCAGATGTGGTTAGAGCGTCACGTGATCTTAAGTGGATCGCACCTAGTTAGTTGCACCTCGCTGAGCGAGCCTTCAAGGCAATTCAGACATTCCACATATTTCTGGCTCCACCGTAGCCGTCAACATCCATCCAGGAGCAATCAGAACCTCCAGGAAGAGCTCAGAGAGGTGTCCACCAGCATGTGTCCCAATACTCCGGCCCTCAACCGTATTACCTGCAAGACCTTGTTCGCGATATCAAGTCGCATCTCGGCCACACTTGGGGTATCGATGCTTCACTTAGCACGGACTATTTATTGGAGGAGTGTGGAAAGATGCCGCGGATGGAAAAGAAAACAGTGGTGGAAGAAGTCCGAAAACTTATATCTTTCTAAGAAAAGATACCCATAAACGATAACATTCGATACGGGATAATTCAAGTCTGTGGTTCTTTTATATATTGTCTTTTGTCGCCTCTGTTCATTAAATTGTAAAGGAATGAATATTGGGGTGAAACTTGTATTGGCTATACAAGTCGGTGGGGCTTAGCTATATATCTTGGGAAGTATCTAGTGGGCAAGGCAGCTTCAAAGCCTTTATAAACACACAACATGCATTCTAGCTTCGTATACTCTCCGTCCAAAAGAAAGTCCGTTGGTGAAAACATCTGCGCTCGATCATAATGAATCCAGAGCGCTCTCCCGGCCTCTGGATTATATGGATTACATTTGGTATGCTGGCTGGTGTATATACGCACGTGGGTCTTGCAAATACCTACTGCCCGGAGAAAACCACGCGATGTTCTGTATACCGTATGGGGTATACTGGAAGGTTAGGAGGTTTGGTTGCAGATTAGGGATATGTCATGGCAGAATAGGTAGGTTTTTATAGCACTGGCGTTTCGCCTTGAGGAACTTGGTACCATTGAATGCCTGTTGCGCCAGACTTATGTCTATACGAATACTGTCCAGTAAGAAAGATCATTCATTGCCACCAAGAAGCTCATCATGTTACTTGCAGAGAATTTTAAACCCATGACCCGAATAAAGACATGCCCTGAACAAACGCAAGCAGAATCAACAACTTAAAGGGAATAAGACAAGAGTTAGAAATAAGGGAAAAGAAAAGAGATGGAAGAGTGCAGTTGGATGATGAAGTTGAAAATAAAAATAAAACATCCAGTGTATGTATTTCTACCTTCCAGGAAACAGCCTCAGAAGTAGCCCATTTCTGGGTATGCGGGATTGATTGATGCAAAGTGCGGTCCATTACTCGTCAGCAGCCTCTTCGACTCGGGGCGCGAGATCACGCTTCACAACGCCTGACGTCTGAGGTGCAGATGTGGCGGTTGTAGTCGCGGAGGGGGTGGAGTCCGCCTCAGGTGCAGGTGTGGATGCGTTGCCGACCGACGGTTTCTTGGACTTCTTCTTCTTCGTCTAGTCGGATTAGTTAGTATGGAGTGTCTATCTAGAGTTGGGCTATACGCGACTTACTTCTTGCCAGCCCCACAGAGGCTTGAAACTGTCGAAGAAACCAACATCCTCGAACAGGTTGGGGAACAGCCAGAGACCGGGAGGAACAGCAAAGACGGTGATGCAGAACAGAATCAGACGGAAGATAGCCATGGCGAAGAACAGACCCAGCAGGCCCATCATGCCGACACTGAGGTACCAGACACCCTGTCTCAGCATCATAGGCCACAAGGGAAACAGGACGACGGCAAAGATACCAGCCACGACGGCAGCGGCCATGGCCTTCTGCTTCCACTGGGGTCCTTCGTAGAGGAAGACGTAGTGCATCATGGGGTCGGTTTCCTGGTGCTGCTCGATCTTCACGGTCCAGAGTCCCTTGACGCGGTTCTTCGGTTTGCCGTGGTTGTGTCCGGCGTGGGGGTCAACCTTGGAGACTCGTAGAGCGAGAAGCGACAGGGGGAGGAGCTTGAAGACGTTCTCTGCGGAAGCACGGTCCGTGACGGGGGGGAGGATGGAGTTCTTTTTGGCGGCAGCTTTGGCGTAGGCGGGAGATTCAAGAGCGCGGATGGCACGTTTCACTGTAGATGAATCGGAGTTAGCAACGACACAGCCGCGTAGAAGGTGAATGCACATGGAAGGGCTCAAACCTTTAAACATGTCCTTTCGTTGTCCGTCCATGATACATGTTCTTGTCTTCAGGTTCTGGGAGCGCAGGAACTGAGCAACGGCAATGGCCTTGGGATCCGGGGGATTCGACGGGTTCACAGGGACTTGATGTGTAGTCTGCTGCTGCTGGGGTTGCGGTTGGCCTTGCGCCGGCTGTCCTGGCTGCTGCGGCGAGCCTGCTTGAGCTTGTTGTTGGGCTTCAACTTGTTGCTTGTGTGCGGCCATAGCCCGCATTCTCAACTGGGTGACGTATTGTTCGGTGGTCATTCCGTGTTTCTGGGCTTCGGCGTTCAGCTGCTCGCGCTGCTGTTTGGCGAACTCCTCGGGGGTCATTCCTCGCTTCGCAGCCTCAGCAGCAAACTGTTGCTGCATGGCCGCGATTTGCTGGGGAGACGGCTGGCCGGGTGCCGCCATTGTGAATAGGGATGGAAAGGTGGTTCGGAGAGTGGATAAAGTTCAAACAAAGAAGGAGATTACAAAGAAGAGACAGTCAAGTTCGGGGGAGGAGTGTAGGGCCAGTTAGGATAAGAGTCGCAAGATTTTGAAGCCAGCGAGAATGGACAGAGGGAGAGGGAGAGGACGAAGGGATCGGCGGAGCGAAAGAAGTGGCCAGATGGTGTTTGCCCGCTCGAACGGGAAAAGTCCGGTTGCACCGCCTTCGTCTTCTCCGCATTTCTTCAGATGCGCCGCCCTCTTCCACCTGCTGCGCCAGAACCACCCTCGGCCATGTCGAAATCGCTGGCTGTATATCTTCTGGAAATGTTCGCTCGCTGCTTGTTGCTCACTGCTCCATGTCGTTGAACTATGACCCCGAGGCGTCTCTTGTAGACGCGACTTGGATCGCGGTCTTTCTGGTGAGTTGATCCGTCACATCCATCGTGCCAATCCTCCTTAGCGCATACTGATGCATCCAGATGCTAACGTCTATTATGTGAATTAGAGCGAGAGAGATGTGGCCGGCCAAATTCCGCTGAATTTTGTCACCACCTCTGCCGTGTCCGTCCGCGCAGCGTGCTTCGGCAATAACGTCTTCGACCGGGACTCGGCGGGCAAATGCATCTCGAACCTGCTTGAATTAGGGTATCGCCGATTGGTAGTCGATTTATACTGGTCTGTGGAAGGGCGCACCTGGAACTTTTGTCCGGTGTCTATTCCTAATGATGCGCCCGTGGTCACCCTTTCATCAACGTCAACACCGACCGCAACGCCGACGGCCAACTCCTCGACAACGACCGTGGACGCTGCTGCGCAAGGAACCGCGACGGTAGTTTCGGATTCTTCGGGCCCGCAGTTATATGAGCTCGGCCCGTACAAATGTTCGGATAACCTTTACTTGTCGGATATGGTCGACGTGTTCTTGGATTTCTTCAAAGCCACGACGTCTCAGTTGAACGTATACACCCGATTTATCTCATTCAATCTTCATGCTGCCGCCAGTGCCGAAACGCCTACTCGACCCGCGGCGAAGGTGACTGGAGACGACCTGCCTTCAATATCGGAGCGCATTGACACCCTGCTAGATCGTCGCCTGTATTCATACATATACACGCCTGCGCAGCTGGAGGATGAACGCAGCAACCTCAATGACTCGTGGTATAAAGTCGACGACGGGTACAAACCTATCACGGAGTACTTCACGGTTCACGAAGGTGAGGACGGCACACAGAGTACCCCTGACGGCTGGCCGTGTACGAAATATATCCAGCTAGCCGAGGAAGAACGGCTACTACTTGAGTATGGATCGATCGACCCCCAGATGGAAGAGTATAGCTTGGACGATGATCGGGACATCATCTTCCCGCCAGAGTATCTTACGGTACCTGCTCCATTATCTATCCGGGACGGCGAGATCAAAACCGGCTGCTTCTACGATACAGAGGCTACGAAAGTATCCCAGGTAAATTCCTCATGGGCCGTGTCCAACAGTCTTCCCGTGCCTGAAAGCTCCAACCGGACCGAATTTCTGCGCGAGTTGGCCGGAATGGTCAAAAACGTTACTGCCTGCGGGGTCACTCCGTTCATCAACGCTACGCTTCTGAACTCGACGGCAGACAAAGATTTTGAACCCTACAAGAACGCCACCCTCTCTGCGGGGTGGGCTTGGGCCATCGACGAGCCGCGCGACTCTGAAGTCACGGATAACATCAACGAGCCGTCCCGCGATCGCTGCGCCATCATGGATCTCTCCTTGGATGGGCACTGGCGCGTCGTCGACTGCGATCAGCATAAACGTCGCGGTGCCTGCCGGGTCGGCAACGACCCATTCACCTGGACGCTGTCCGACGCCGAGAACACGTATTCCGACGCCTACGACCATGGTTGTCCTGAAAACTCGTCCCTGGGCGTCCCGCGCACAGCTCTCGAAAACACCTACCTGTACCGTTACGCCTCCGACAGATCTAGTGTTGGCGGGGGACTGGACTCCTCATCCTCGGATCTGAAGATGCGCGAAATCTGGCTGGACTTCAACTCTCTGGATATCGCGTCATGCTGGGTCTCCGGCGGCCCGGACGCCCAATGCCCCTATGCATCAGATCCACAGCAGTTGGAGAAAAGGACCGTTTTGGTTGCTGCCATTGCGGCAATCGTTATCTGTATCATCACGGCTTTGACTATTTTTGTCAAATGTAACGCCAATCGGAGAAACTCGCGGAGGAGCAAACGGACCATGCAGGGATGGGAGTATGAAGGTGTTCCTTCATAGTTTGTCTTTGCTTTGCCGTTGTGGTTTGTATATATGTATGTTGCTTTCATACCCTGATCTGACTGTTACTTATTTGATTGATCTGTACATATATGTGAAGTTTGCTCTCAATGCCATTAGACTTCTCTATAATGATGAAAGGACGGACGGCTTGCCTATCCAACTGTGTCTGTGGTGAAAATACGCCAGAATCCCCGAGTACACCAAAGTTGAAGCAGAAGGCGGCAAATGGTATCTCCACCGACTTCTGAAGAGGAAACCAGTCTATATAGTCTACCAGCACTTCCAAAACGTCGCTGACTCTCAATACTACGAGAGGTCTCCCTAGCGCCCTCGAGTCGTTGTCGGAGCTCATCGCCTTGCAGGTCCGGCCGATTCCTACACCAGCTTGCGCCTGTTCCAGTCACTGATTGAGGACAAGACTGGCTTCGTTACAGATTATTTGAGGACCGCCTGCTCGTTCGCTCATCAGTGGATGGATGGACTTTCTCATGAGCACCTTGTATCCTGAGCACATTAGGTCTCGTCAATTGGTCACTTTGTATTGTTATGGTCCACTACCAATCGTAAATCCTTTCATTCTGTGATCGCTAGCCGAGTGTTGACGCGGCGAAAGAAACGAGGCCGTTAATAGATAAGACAAGGTTTCAATGAGGAAAAACTTATGGTACAAGAGTGGCATCTACCTAATAATGTGGTGGTTTAGGTACAATACTGTCGCTTTATGGGATGTGGGGCGAATATGCTTAAGCAACCAGATAAGAGCTTAGTCTGGATTGATGTTTTTGTCTTTTTTCATCTCTTACAATAGAAAGGAGGAATACTATTAACATTGAGTTAGTAGAGTATCGGCGATATGAAACAACATTCATGCATATCGTCCCTTCATGCGGTCGAGTCCCCCGGCAACTCCACCAGCACGAACTTCACAGCGGTTAATATTACCAACAGTGGGACGGTTTGCACGCCTCATCAAAAAGCGTTTGTTGGCGGAGTATCCCCGAATGGAAGCTGTTCATTGAAGCAATCGCCCAAAGCTAGTCGACCCATTGTCTTCGATGCAGTGGCCGATGAGTCCACAATTCGAGATATCTGCTCATAAGATATTCGAATGACCAAAGTAGACTTTCAGAAACCGATCAGAAGAATTCGAGCCTTTATAAGGATTCAGTTCTTTTGGCTACATGCGCCGCGTTATGACACCAGGATATCGATTAACCATCAATATACCGTCGCCCTTGTCAGCTTCCTGGCTTCGGCGTTTGACGATTTGAGCCCAATGATGGCCCATGCAATGAAAAGAGCATACTATTTGCAAAGTGAATGTCGGAGCGGTTAGTACACATGTGACCCACAGTGTCCTTGGCTAGTTAACGCTCACGCCTGTTTCATAGGAATTCAAGCATTCTTTCTACACCTCACGAGCTCCGTTAGTCAATGATTCTTTCTGCTCGTTTTTACACCAGGCTCGCTTGGTTCGGATAAGGGGCACTCCTGCCTCGGGAAAAAACCGTTCAAATCTGCCTGCCTGAGGTTTAGCACTGACACGGTCTCGATTCGCAGACTTTTGGGTCCTGCTGATCAGGATGACGAAGGAGCAAGCAGCGATGATATATTAGAGCTCCGACAGTCGATACTCCCGCATCGTCCACCAGGGCCAAGGTTCGGGTTACAACCAAATGCATCGAGCACTTGTCAGGCCATGCGTTATCGATTGGCTGAGTGGGCGGTCGCAGGGCAACACGCTGGTTTGTTTTGATTTTCTACCTACATCTCACCCCTCGCTCATTCACTTCTTCTGTCTTCCACCACCCACCTCCTTCGTGAATCTCCCTTTCCATCGCACGATTCTGACCATTTCATTGCAGAATCACCTGCTTTTTGCTCGTGATTGTTCTCAGTGCGTACATTTCGTCTGTCGCCGAAATGGAGTTCGAAGAGACCCAAAAAGGTCCCCAAGGACCGCTCCGTTGAGATCAGCGAGGCGAACAAAAGTGAGTGACCCCATCCGTCTCTGGGTACGATCACTGATGCAGATGGTGGCAGACTGCCCGAAGGAAAAGGGAAAAAAGTCTTACATAACCCTTCAAGATACTTGGGTCATCGAAGTGTTCCAGATTGAACGGGGCCCTGAATGGACTGTAGACGGCAATGAGAATCCCAAGGATAAGTTCCCAACTTCTCGTTTGACCTACAACGGTTACCTCTTTTAATTGCGTGGTGTGATCGCGACCCACGCATGCCATACCTGTCGTAAAGGTCGGGGTCCATTCCGTTCGTGCGTCGTCGGGTCTGCATATGGAAAATTCGCTCTGTATAACCATGCGTGTGCCGGCTGTGTCTACCGGGGAAAGGGTGCAGAGTGCAGCCTTCGAATTGAATTCGAGATACTAGGTGGACAGGAATGGAATTAGATGGTTCATTCGTGAGTAATTCCACGCGTTCTGCAGTCGGTATAGGCCTGACGAGTCGTAGGCGCGTGCTGGCTGCCGGCGGACTGAAACGCGCCTTGTACAAGAACGCGGCAGCCCGTTGTTCCGTTGGGTTCGTCGAGGAGGACAAGGCAGAATTGGGCGAGACTCCAGATGGGCTTCTAGTCAAAAAGGACGTGTTGTGGGAGAGGACGAAGGAGATTGCGAGGATGGAGACAAGGAGGGCGAGAAAGAGACTCCCAAGGCGAGTGATTTCTCCTTTTCCCGTTTTCGTTCCCAGCGCTGATCCGTTTCTTGCTCATAGCCTCAGATGTCTTTCGGTAGGTTTGGAAGGTGGAATCCCGAACTCGTGAGTCAAAACGTAGTTCCGTTCTTTTTTCTTTTTGGTTGGTTACTAACGGTTTCGCACAGGGCCCTAAGAATGCTGTCCGCTACAAGAATTTGGAGAACGGCGCGCCGTGGTGTGAAGTGTATCGCCCGGAGTCGCATCGCCATCTCCTAAAGACAGGATGGATTGCGGTTGAACATGGAACTGACGTCGCTCCAGCAAAAAACCTCCGTAGCAGAATCGGATCTGCCAGTAGTTCTGTCATTCCCACCCTCACGGTATCGTTTCTCCGACCCCTTCGTTTTGGTAACTTGCGCGGTATAGCTGACCGTTTGGCTCCGAGAAACCCGTCGTCAAGAAGACCGCTACTCCTTCTTCATCTGCTAAGGCCAAAGCCGGTCAGTCTTCGGCTAGCAAGGCTTTGGCCGACCCGTCTTCTGCGAAACGAGCCACATCAAAAGGAGGCGAACCCGAACTGAAGAGAATTAAAACGGATGATCCCTCTCTCGAGACTATTACCGTCCCGAAGGCAGCGTATGAAGACCTGTTCACCCGTTGCAGGCGGTTTGAAGAAGACATGCTCGAGCTGCTCGATCCTTGCAACAGAATGATGTCTGCCGTCCAAGCCATCGAGGATAATTCGATTGATTTTGGTCATGCCTGGAAAGAGTTCAAGCGTGCGGTTGAGAGGCTTCACCCCGAGATCTATGGCCCCGAAGCTGTTCGTATTCACAATCCGGTACCCGGCGTATCTCCTGAATTGTGGGCCGTTTGGACTCCAGAAATGAAGAAAAGTGCTTGGGATTTTGAGGACGCAAAGAATAAGACGGCCGCGGGTTCCGCTAGTCCGGTCGTTGGCTCTAATAACAAGGGAAAGGGCAAGTCTCCAGCCGTTGTTGTTAGTGATGACGAAGAAGGTCTTGAGGAACTGGTCGAAGCTGAGGAGCCAGAGGGTTCAGAGGTCGTTGCTGGCGAGGACGAAGAAGAGGCTGTATCCCCGACCCCAGCCCCTCGTAAGTGAGTATTGCCCATTCTCCGTCTTTCCGCTGTCTGACGCGTTTCTAGTAGAAGAGATCGTCCAAGGCAGTCGTCTAGAGCGTCTCAGGTGGCTCCGTAAGGTGTATCCGATTACTAGGCCCCTGGACAGGGTGTTTTTCAGGCAATTTATGGGTCCTTTTTCTCAGTCGGAGGTCCAGGAGATGCAGGAGATACATTCGATTCTTAGTAATACGGGTAATACGGAAGATTGGGTTGAAGAATGGGTTGGTGAACCAATTGATATGGGTGGTTTTCGTCATGCGTGTGGCTTGTGGATAGCGGTTCAGTTTTGGAAGAGAGAAGGTTTCTTCGACGAGGTTATCCCTGAAGGTCTGATTTACCCTTCATCGGTTCAGGACAATGACTGATCTTTTTTTAGATGACGCCGATACAAGATGATTCGGGCCGCCTTTACGAACTTTACGGTTGACGAGATCAAAATGATCATGGCTATTACTTTTCGGTGCGCGCTTTGCGAAATGACATCCTGATCTTGCGAAACCAGCTACCTATGAGATTATCGGGAGACACGGGGTTTCTTTTTGATTGGCGCGTCTGAAGATTAGCCGTTACCTCGTTCCTTGGATCTTGTTTTGGTCTTTTATTTTACGGGCGATATTATCTTGCCAGGTAGTTAACTGAATGTCGCCAGTCTGTCATTTAATCCGTTTCATTTCCGGGCATACGAAGCTCAACTGTAGCCTCTTCTTCTAACTCGAATGGCATCCCAGCACTTCAATTATTCTAGGTAGGTGCTTGACTACACGCTGTTCTGCTCACTCCGAACGAGGCATATCTCTCCCTGTTGAAAGAAGGTGTCGGATGAGCTCTAGTGCGTAGAAGATATATATGTCGCGATGATTGGTATATTGATCACTACGTTTATTAAAGTAAATATAGTGATTGCTCAACTATCACCTTGCCATCAATATTGATCGTTTCCAGATGGTACATTGAGTTGTAACTCTGGGCGCCTCATCCACGGCAACGTGATCTATCCGCCACATAACCTACGCTACGGTTACTCATATCCAACACTCCCCGCACTGCTACTGTTTCCCCCAGCCATTTCTAGTATTCTAGAAGACTCTCGCAGAATACGACCATCTCCAGTCTTGATGGCGCGTCCTGAACCAATGGTATCAGTCTTCAATGTTGGTAATGCCAGGATAGTGAGACAGGAACAGGGAATACGACTTGGCGATATACGGAGTATGGGCTCACTAGAATGGAATGGCTCCATGAAGGGCAATGATTTGCTGTGTTTCTGCGATCGCGACCTGCATGCATAAGCTCTCACCTTGCCAAGTACGACGATCTATTCTGGTTTAGCTCAAGAGCTGAGGGCAAATTCATTCTCATGATTTAAGCCTAGCTAAACCCCCATCAGAGTAAGCAGAATCTCACATCATACAACCTAGAAGATGCATTACTTCCTATTCATGTCTACCCTCCTCCTTGGGGCAACTGCATTGCCCCAATCAACTAGCGATGAGTTTGAGATTATGAAATATCGCAATGTACGTTGTCCCATTCATTTCCACTGTCCAGCCAACTCAGTACTGCAAATCTCTTGCGTATAACAATTGACATAAAAGCAGTGGGATCTCCGCCTTTCATTACCCGGCTGCAACCCGAACACCACGGATCTCGATCTCTCGCTATACCATCGCGGTGGAGTGTACACCCGGGACTGCGTCTCCTTGTTGGAAGACACCGGACCGGATGGAAAGCCCGTCGACCTGAGCAAAGTGGATTCTGTGTCGTGGAAAAACCCACGCAAGAACTACGACCTCTGCTTGTATCCCAGTGCCGACTGCTCAGATAAACGAGGCAAGGCGATCCGAAATGGTTGGGAGGTTTGCCTGCCGTATGAGGGCTGGGAGGCGTATCGGGTTGTGAATGTTGGGGATGATTGTACGGTGTATACCTGAGCAAATATAGGGAGGAGAATGTTGTCACGGAGGCAGAAATTTGTATCTATGGGATGAGTAACTACAGAGCTATGATCAGAACAGAAAGAGTTCTAGATCAGTTCATAATTTCAAGCGAACAAAAAACATTGGACAACCACACCAATTCCCAGTTAGACTGCCGACCGAAGCTCAGAACGAGTCTTGTATTGTCAGCCCTTAGCGGCAAAGGCTTTTATCATCTGGCATATCTCCTCGATTTCCGAGGAGTTGCGGCCTCCTATATTGAATGCAGCCTTGCTTATCGAGGCCGATTGATCGCACACCCAGCCAGTAATCACCACGCTGCCCCCCTGGATCTCTCTCGCGAATACGTCTTCACAGGTTGCCCTAGTGGTTCTAAAATACTCTTGAATAAAGATACCTCCAACAGGCCGCGTTGCACGAAATGCCCCGCGAGTGGTCCCAAGTGAAAGAGGGACCAGGCAATCGTTGTACCGTGCACGAATTCCTGCAGCACTAAGGAGCACGGGTGCATGTGGTGATTCAGCCGGTTTATTTGCCGCAGGATGTGTCCGAGCTGCGCGCTGAGCATGGCTTTCACAGCTGTTCGCTGGGTAACTCTATGGATCTGATACACGTCTCGGCCAGAGACCGACTGGGCCAGCTTTAATAGGAATGGCATCTTGCAGTCATCGATCAGGCGCGTGATTCTGTCAATTTCAGCCGCCATGAGCTGCGAGTCGTGAACATCACTTGGGGCCAGAACCGTGTCGATAACCTTCGATGGTGGCGTGGGCAGTCCGGACAGAGCCAGACCGGGCTTGGATAGTAGTTCATAGTGGATCTTGGGGTCAGCGAGATGTGGTATATGGAGAACGTCGTCTGTGGGGAGTAGGATCACCATGCGAGCCCCAGGTTCAATAGATACACTTTTCGGGGTAGTTGCGAATCTAACAATTGGCTGCTGGTCAAGTCGCAATCGAGCAAAGTTATGAATCACATCAGCATAGTGGGCGCCCGGCGTATCCCCGGCGTTGCACTCCAAGGAAGATTTGAGGATAACCAATGGCATTTTCCCGCAATGGAGCCGTGACGCTGAGGCTTAAGCTTTGTGACAAGAGTTACAGAGGTCTCATCTTTGGCAAAAATGCCGTGGAACCCAACCTGGTACGTAAATTTGGCCCCTGACTCCGGCATAGCCGAGTAGAAGAGAGTAATATTGGGCATTTCGTCATCATCGATGCGCTAAAGATTGTGTAGGGTGTAGTCTGAGTGTATAGGTGTCGAGTCCATCGCGGCGTGATTAGGAGAAGAGTGTGCTTCCAACAGTAACCTAGTATAGGTCGTAATTAGACGTTGAGTATACCTATTATTTATCATTTTTTGGGCCCCGTTCGGTCGAAGGCGTGACGCTGACCCGGTACCAGGGGCTCGCAAGGCCATTGGCGCATGCGAATATGACATGTTGCATGGACATGGGGCTAATTGTAGACGATCCGTCATAGACATTTACAGGCATTTCCGCATCCGGAAGTGGTAGTGGTCGCCTCGGGGGCGAGATGTTCGCCGCCCTCGCATTTGTGTTGCATTCCAGCCAAGACCGGAACTACATATCGGCCATACCTTACCTACTGCATCCGTTGACTCAATGGCGTGTACAGTGCTAGCAGTTCGACTCCAATGGCCAGCTGAAACCCAGGATATCCGTCTATAGGAACCAAAGGTTACATATGTGTTAGTGTAGGTTTAGGTAGCATTATATATTCTCTTTGTCAAATAACTCGCATAATTGGCAGGATTCGCCAAATTGTACTAAAATGCCACGAATCTTCATTCAGTCCTGAATTTTACATAAAAAGAACTACGCCCAGGTCACATCTCGCCAAGATTTTGCATTGAGGCCCCTTGGCCCAGGTCCAAAATGGAGAACTACCGTGCAGCATCGCTCTTCCAGCCCTCAAACTTGGTCAAAGCTCTCGAGGATACTATGAAGCCGGCGCCGGATCACCCTACACATTTGATGGGTACCATCATCTCGATTCCACACACTATCTCCGCTCGCACGGTAGCAGTACTTGACTATGATTTCGTGATGATCGATGCCCAGCATACGTACGTCCCGTGTCCGCAGTGCAAAGCTGATCAATGGTGTGTTGGTTAACGGTCCTGTTCACCTGTCAGGCCCATCGGCGCCGAGAACCTCGTTTGTTTAATTCAGACCGTCAGCCTCTCCAGTCAGGGGAGAACGGTTCCGATCTGTCGAGTGCCATCTGCTCAATCACATCTATTGACCTATGCCCTTGACGCAGGTGAGCCTCTCCATTCCCACCAAGCGTCCGGCAGTCGTTGATTCGATATGCATTGCTCGTAGGAGCAGGAGGCATCGTATTCCCGCATATTGATACTCCAGAGCAAGCCGCCGAAGCTGTCAGCAAGTGTCGATATGCATACTCCAATGGCGATCGATCTCTCGCTCCGGCGGTGCTGGTCCCTGGAGCTACCGATCGCGCACCGCCGGGATCGTCTCATATGCATGTAGCGGACAGTCATGTCGCTTTGATCATGCAGATTGAAAGTCCAGTACGTTCACCAAGTCGTAAGGTAGTTCATATGTCCTTTTAGCTAAGACGGCCTCGCCGAATGTTAGCTTGCCGTGGCCAACGCAGACGCCATCGCCGCCGTTCCGGGTGTGAGTGCACTAATGCTTGGAGCTGGGGACCTCCGAGTTGCTATGCGCTGTCCGCCGCGACAAGTGGGTGATTCCGAGCACCCGAAAATGTTGGATGCAATAGATCGTTTGGTGAGCGTGTCACGACGGCATTCGAAGCCGTTGGCGGTGGTGACATGTAAACTGGCCAGTACCACCAATGAATGGCTGAAGGACTTTCAGCTCTTGATGGTTACTTCGGATTACTTGAGCGTAGTCAAGGGCCATAGGGAAGATTTGGTGCAGATGAGGAGGACGCTAGCAGAGGTTCATGGGTTAAAGAATTGAATTTATCCAGTCTATTTGAAAACGGCGGCTTGGTCGACGAGCGGGTCGTTGGTGAGGAAGGTGGCGCAGCGGCAGATGGACGTTACCATTGCTCCTTTTTAGGATTCAGTTGGGTGATATTGGAGATGTTGACTGGATGTGCGTGTGTATGTATTGATTGAGCTTTCGACAGGAGTCGCATTGCAATAAGATGGAGAGGGAAGCAGGGAAGGGATGTAGTTCAAATACATGCTCCCAGTAAGCAACGTAACCGCCAACCCAGCTTTGACCGTGCCAGGGACAAGATAAAACAACCGGCAATGGCAAGAGGGGAAATATAAGATCAACCAGTATGTTAGGTACAGTGCCCTAGTGATAGAACAACGGGATGTTAACGCATCGGGTGTTATAATAGCAGGATCCTAAACCGAGGCAACAGGCTAGTCTTCGAATACCGTGATCAAGGTATCAACAACGGTATAAATGAGACGATGAGGGTGCGCGGGTCGGTCGATTGGATGACGTCTAGATTGTAGCCGATCCGACTAATTTGGATACTGACTGGATTGGATATGGCATGACTGTCGGCTTAGATGGGGGCCTGACTCGTGCTAGTTGTTGGCCGTGATGGGTTGGATTGGGTACCGAGAGATAGGATGTTAAGACCCGTGCAGCACAGGTAGCCAGGAAGGGTGAGGAAGTGTTCGGTCAGTCATGTTGGAATGGCCATCGAATGGACTGGGAAGAATCCAAGACTCCACGCGTTTCCTCGTCTGATGGGAGCTTATGTATCTCCCACGCTGCGTGAGCTCAAACATGCAAGTAAAGCACCCACTATACTGTACAATTTAGATATACATATTCACCCACTGGGTTGCTACCACAGCTGCAACATAAGAAAGAAAGTATATGCTCCACAACCATCCGGCATTATAGAGCACAGTAAAGATAGGTAACTGGTGAGAGAGCACTGGAAGTGTGGAAGAGGATGCCGAAATTGCTGCCGCAATTCCATTTGTCTAGGTAGATACATATATACGTATTGGACTGTTTAGCCAGAGAAACAGCTTTTACTTTCTGCTTTTATACTTACCCCTCGCCTCATACGGTGTGTGTGCAGCTCGCCGCCAGAGACCGTCACAGGGCGGACACTAACTATCCCTGCCCTATCCACCGGTCGGGGTGGACAGTGATTTGTCGGCTTGAAGGTGAGTATTCGATCGGGACTCCACGATTCTATTGTACCCATGCAGAGGGCGGGGTGAGTAGGTTAATAGAACTCTGCAGGATTTCAATAGAAGCCTCAATAGAGCAGAATAGTGGACCACCCGTGCCGAAAGCCATGGGGAATGCAGACCTGCCAGTGCCCTTGATTGGCAAGATGCCTTGGTTGCGCGCGCGGCCAGGGATATCACGGATGCTACGGAGCAGATCTCGTCCAGCTCCGGAAACCTAGGAAGGGATCGTAATATTCCCCGGCCTGAGAAGCTATGGCTTGTTTAGCTCCGAAGTAAATGAATTATGGGCCACTCTGATAGATCGAAACCGATATCTGTTGACTTCAATCGATAGCCTCCGAGTGGACGATGAGCGGTGAAAATTCCAAGAACGGGGCCTCTAGATTGTGACTGGGGGAGAGATATGGGAGGTATCATTTCGTTAGTATTCTATGCATCCTATGCATCCAGTTCTCCTCTCGCGTGGCCAGTAAGGGACGGACTTGAGCTGAGCCACTTCGTGAGCAAGCTTCCAGAGGTTCAATGCGGTGCGAGACGAGGGCTCGATGGATGGATCCAAAGGTTGTCTAGGGGCTCGAGCTCCCGTTTCGATGTCGATCATGCAATAAAACATCTGCAAGCCACTCCGTAGGAGGCAAAACTAGGGTTTTAGTGCTGACAGCTGGCGGCGCATCTGCGCTTCCGATTGGAGTTGCGACGACGGACCGCGACGGCTCCACCAGACGGTTGATAGCCCACATTTATGGCTTATGCGTGTCCCCTCTTGCGGTTCTCGTCGGGGCATCTGCCGTTTGTCATCTCGTCGCTCCCTGACATGGCACAGGCAGAGAGTGGAAAGGTCCCAGGGGAAATGAAACTCTGAAACACGTCCTAGGCCTCCAATCGGGGGGCAACAGCGGGCACAAACACCAGTACTAGTGAACCTTCCCCCCGTCTAATATCATATGAAGAGTCCAAGTGGTCTTTCTCTTGCCGATCCCCTTAGTCCTGCGGAGTAAATAATCCCTCCTGAACAACCTGAAGAGTCCGAAAAAGAAAACAGAAAGAAAAGGCCAGCCCCTTCTAGATGGTGTGATCTCAACTCAACCACCGTCCAAAATGGCTGCCGCAGGAATCTTTGACGACTTAGCCAAGTTCTACATTTCCGTGGACATCATTTGGACCGCAGCCCTCCTCGTTGGCTCCATACTCCTGGTCCTTAATCGTCATGAACAATGTATCCGCATTCGCAACCTGCCTCTCGCCCTCGGGGCCGTCGCATGCCTCCATATCTACTGGATTCTCTGCATGGCTGCATATGCCATGGGGACTGCGTACCCCTGTGGCGTGGAATACTGGGTCATGAGCGTTTATCTGCCCCTGGGGATTGCGCTTTTCCAGGTTAACAGCATGCAGTTGCTGAGCGTCTCCGGCATCCAGGAGAAGATGCTCCTTACCGCGTATCAACCGTATACACCCCCCGTCAGTACCCGTCTGAAGTCCCGCCAGTACCTGCTGCGATTGAAGCACTTGAACCTGCTCCAACGAACGGAAGTAGGCATTGCTATCGGATTGGCGGCTCAGGTCAGTTCCGACTCCCTCCGCCCCTGGAGCCTACTTTCAACGACTTACCTCGACCACAGTTGACCGTCTCGCTCACCGTATACCTCACCTCCCGGAAGTTCAATTCGTTCGGCACCTTCTCCGGGCCCGTGAGCCCCGAGGAATGTCGGCGTGGTCCTGAGTGGCAAGACCCTCCCGGGGGAATGATACCATGGTCGGCTCCGTCTGACACCTATCTAGGATTCCTTCTATCCTCTGGCAACTATTCTGGTCCTGGGTGTTTGGGCCATGGATTCTGTGGAAGATCCGAAACATCCATGATATCCATCACTGGCGGCTGCAGACTACCTGCTGCGTCATCGCCGCGTGAGCCCCGTCCTTGCCTCTCTATCTCTTTCTCTCTCTGAGTAATGCTAACGGGTGCAGATTACCGGGCTCGCCTTTGTGGTTCGCCGCGCTGCATTCGACCTCCTCCGCGTGGGCCTCGATCAATCGATACTGGGTGCCGCCTCTCTGGTAAGAGTCACTCCCCCCTTATGCCCCCCCCCCAAACCGAACTGATCGTTCGGGCAGGTTTACGCCCGGAATTATCGCCATGGAGGCCGTGACGATCTTCTTACCGCTGTACGAGCTGGCCGGCGTCCGCAAACAGCGAGACCGCATGTTCGGCGAGATGCACGCGTGGAACGAAAAGAAGGCCGAGGCGGAGTCCGACTCGCACACCTCGGGGTCGCATAGTCAGTTCAGCCGGTTACACGAGCTGTATTCCATCAAGGCGCTGGAGAGGTGCTTGGAGGAAGACTCGAGCACGCTGCTGCATTTTGCGGCGGCCAAGGAATTCAGCGGCGAGAATATCATCTTCCTGACGTACGTGCGAGACTGGAAGGCGGCCTGGGAGCGCATCAACACGTCCATGCCCGACTACGACTGGCACCGCGACCCGCAGAACCACCGGGGGCGTTTCTTCCGCATCGCCGTCGAGATCTACGCCGCGTGTGTCGATCTGAAAACGGCCGACTTCCCCATCAACATCGAATCCCGCATCTACACCGACCTGGTAAGCCTGTTCGGGGAGGCGCTAGAGGGCTCCGGCCAGCGCATGTCCCGCGGGGCCGCCCCGGGTATGGACGAGGATACGCGGGTGCTGTGTCTGGATGAATATCTGGATAGGACGCAGACGATCATGCATATCGAGCCCCGGCTCCCGGATTCGGTGGTGGTTCCTCACGCGTTTAGCGCGGCGGCGTTTGACGAGGCTCAGAAGTCGATTCTCAGCCTCGTATTTACGAACACCTGGCCGAAATTCCTGGATTCGTCGAATGATGGCTTGTCCATCACCTCCAAGTAAACCACGGAGGGAGCAGAGGGGCGGACACAATGGGGGTTTTGGGGGGTGTGGGCCGGTGTTGTTTTCACGGCAGGCAATTGTAAGGGTTATTCTTGTTGTATATCAAATCTTGACGAACCATTTACTTTCGCGGAGGGAGGGATACAAAAAAGAAACAATGAAACAAAAAGGCGAAGCGAACATCAGGGAACACAGATCATCCATTCATTAGGTATTCGTTCTCGTTAATGTGTTTTATATTCAATGGCACAGGATAGCAGACGTTAAGAGTCGAAAATCGGCCCGAAGGCGGGCACTCCACTGGCCTCGAGTTCAAACACCACCTTCTTCGTAAGGACCGGGTTGCTGATCACGCATACCGCTTCGGCCTCAAACTCACGCACCAATTCCTGGACCACGGGCACCATATCCACGCGTCCGCTACTGTTGGTGTCGATGACCAACGGGTTCGGATCGAGCTGCCGCACCAGATTGACCACGTCGCGCCCATACGTACGGGTTGGGTTCCGCGTCTGCCAGATGATGCGTAGCGACGGCCGGCTCGGCTCGCTGAGGAAGGAGAGACAGGGGCCGATGCCCGAGCCGGTGGTCACGACGACCACGCGCCTGAACAGCCGCATGACGTGGATGAAGCCGTACATGAGGACGCCGCGCTTCCAGAGGCGGGTGGGTTGCTGGTCAATGCAGCGGGTGGTCCAGTCGCCCGCCTTGGACACCAGGCACGAGAAGCTGCGGCCGTCCGGGTCGGGGAAGGTGGCGAAGCTGTGCCAGTCCTGCCCCGGATGCCTGGAGAGGGCGATGACCTTGCCAAACGCCGTGGACGCGTGGTCGAGGTGGAGCCGGACAACGTGCGGCGAGAGGTGCTCGGGCCACAGCTGCACGCGTCGCAGCAGCAGCCAGGGATGGACGATGACGGCGATGATGGCCAGGACGCACCAGAAGGCGGGCGTCGCCACCAGATATCGCCCCAGACTCACGCCGGCGGCACGGCGGGCGCGGTCCGCAAACACCAGCAGCAGGGTCAGGAACAGGGCGACGGCCAGCCAGGCGCAAAAGCGGTGGGTCAGCTCGAAGTAATCATGGCACTTCGTGCGGAAGGTCGGGTAAGCCACGGCGATGATGGCCATCAGCACGATGAGCAGCACGTAGGCGAGCGCTACGACGGCAGGCGAGATGCGTCCGGCGTCGGGGAAGAGCCAGTACTCGCGCGAGATCAGGGAAACCAGCCCTGCGTACCAGAGGAAGGCGGCCACCCCGCAGCCGCTGTGCACGCCGCCGTAGTGGTAGGCATTGGCGGCCATGCGGCGCAGGACCAGCGGCGCCGACCGCGGGATGCGACAGATGAGGCGAAAGATGGCATTGACCATCATCGGGTGTCGCGCCAGCCCGCACACCAGTAGATTGATGCTGGCGGCGTTGACAAACGCCAGCAGTTTCTCACGGCTCTCGGCCATGACAATCACAAAGGCGACCGCATTGGCCGCGTACACGAGCGAGAACAGCCGGCGGTAGATGGTGAGCAGCAGATATCGCAGCGTGGCCCCGGGGGGATGCGCCGGCCGTTGCGCCTCGAGGTCGGTCGGGGCCGTCCAGGTCGGCCACCGTTTCCCCAGGGTCTCCTGTGTCATGCAGGTGTCGACCGATGGGGTCAGACTTGGTTTGTGGGCGTGAACGGGGGGCGGGGGACGAGGAGTCATTCTGGGGGTTCTGGAGGATCAGAAAGCGACATACATGGCGGTGGACGATTTAAATACGCCCATCCCCCCGTCCCCCAATCCGGGGCACGGCGAGCCAGAACGAGCTGAAGCTGGTGTCAAAGCAACCCCTCTCGGGTCGGCGACGATCGTCAGACGCCGTTATTCATGCCGGTGGGTCGCCTAAGCCAATTCCGTGGCGAGGTGCGCCGTTCCTGTCGCATGGGTACGCATGGTGTCGTATATAGACGGGACCAACTATAGGGCATCAACGTGGGTACGCAGACCGAACCAGCCTATCCCTTATTCAAGTCGATTCTCTCGTCTGTGCAAAAGGGCTTTTCAGTGTCTGACAACTCGCTCCATGCGCCAAGAGACAGCTACTGCGCGTTTTAACCTGCATCCGGCTAGAAGCTTGCTGACAAGTGGTTCTCTGCGTTAGATCCAGCCATGCCATGCAGGGTATGCGGTCAAACCAAGGGTATTGGAAAATCTCTGTATGGGAGACGCTCGGCTACCGCAGAAGACATGTGAGACTCGAGTTGCACCCGCTGCCTGACGTGCAACCGGTGAAGTGGCCCCGACATTTGCCTGCGTAAGGCAAATCGTCCGCCGGCGTTCGCCATTGAGACCGAGGACAGAGATGCTGCACATGGTCGGTTGCCCTATCCCCCTGCCAATCGGAAACGGTTCCCTCAGCCGAACGGATTGAACTCTTCATGCGAGAGTCTGCGTCACTGGGGATCAACGGGCACGAAGTCATCCGCTCCCCCGGTTGCCTGCCTCCCGAGTGACAGCTGCGGGATCGCTCGGCATGGTGATCGAGACAACCACGAGGCTGAGGAACCAAATCGACGTCATCGGGGGAGTCACAAATCCACCTCTGGCAGGAGACGGTCGAACGGTCCGCCGTGAAGGTAGTACACCAGCCACGGCCCAAACGAGTTCCCTGTATCGTCGTCCTGATTTCTCGACGCCGACGAGGATTGAGGGAGCCCAAATCCCAAATCCCGGGGAAGGGGTGCTAGCGCAGGAATGGTGCTGCCGCCGCCATATCGTTTGAAAGAACTGCCTCCGACGGGGATCAGGAGGTCTCCCAATGTGGCATGCGACCAGTTTTGGCGCCACGCCGAATTGTGAGAACTGCGAGAACTGTGAGAACTGTGCGAGCTGCGGCAAACTGCGAGAACCGCGACGATCGCAGCGTTCTGGGGCTATACACCTCCCCATCCCGTTTAATCAAAGCGTTATTTCCCTTCCCTTGCTTCCGCGGCTTCCGATAGTCAAGATCGTATTATCTGATACCATGGCGGAAGCCTGGTATCCGCGGTCAATAATAATATCTTGCTTTCTTGGAACCCAGTTGATCGGATTCAAAACGATAATGCCTTTATTCCACCTGTTTTCTCCGCCGCTGCCATCGTTGCCGCCCGTGACGGTAATCTGCCCAGACAGAACATATTCTGGCCGATATAGAGATAGGATTCCGAGACCGTTTTCGTTAAAGGCCTCCAGATATTGTTTGGGGCTCGCTACCGTACGCACCCACCTGAGCAGAGGACCACAGACTGGTCTGTTGGAAGAGGTGTTATATAGTATATAGCTCAGCCATCAGGACCCGAGCCAGGAATAAATATCACAATTTCGAACTCATGCCAAACACATTCCTAGCATATTAACGTTACACAAGGGGGCCATGGCGAAGAAGATCTGTCAATCAAACTATCCTTATCTAAAGGATTACATGTCGGTAGTTATTCATAATGCTTCCTTTAGTAATTATAGAACTATCGACCGGAAAATTCAGATGTTTTAGCTTGGCATGCCATATTATATACTATATTCTTCTGGCATTCTTCCCTCAGTCATTTGCCAGAGTCCCGGCATCCGGCAGGGTGAGAATTCCGGACAGCGGACAATACGATTTCCACTCTCCAGCGTCAAGTAAGGAATCAGCTATCTCGATAGTATATCACACCTTAATAGGCTGGCAGAGAATGGCCTATACACCAGCGTATTCACTCATTATCCCTAGAGATATAATCAATAATTAATCCCCCACCCTTGTGACGATTAGGCGTGACCTGTGGGAATGTTTTGCAACTCTACGTCCTGTTTCCTCTTTCCCTTTCCTCCGTATGTTTAGTATTCTTGTCGAGTAGCTAGCTAGGCAGATGAGGAATGAGAATGTCTTCGGTTGTAGGTGGAACAACATTGCAACCCCTGCATTCATATATAATGAGAATGCCTCACAAGCATATCCATTCCAGCGCTCATTCCAAGAAAGAGAAAACAAAACTAGGGAAATATGCTCTATTCCGTGGAGCTCATCTAGACAAGGCGTACTTAAGCTTTCAGGTCCGGCTCCAGTAGCTTCTGTTCCTCGCTAATTCACCTTCATTCTATCATCGACCAGAATGCAAGTACTCAGCCCTTTCCGCTACATAGTGGGGCTTCTGTCAGTGGCCACACTTTTCTCTAAGGGGCTGGCTGGACCCACCACGTACGCAGCAGATGGAAAGACAGAAAACCATCCCACATACGATGGAAACTGCGAAAATAATGCAGGCAACGTGGAACTGCACATTGGGAATGGTGGTGCTGGGCAAAGTGGCTTAGTGAAAGGTGAGTGCGAGAACCCCCTCCCGGGATGCCATAGAGGCTTGTCAGTCACTAAGACGCTATTCTAGCTCTTTGCCGATGGTTTTATCAGACATGCATCTAATGAGTGCAAGAGCCAAAAGAATCTGTTTAAGATCCAGTGGATCAAGGGTGATACCACGGAGACTATTGCAAACATGAGAGACAAAAAGGTCGACGTAGGCATTACGTATCACGAACAGGCTGAGAGCATCGCTATCAAAGCAGGAATCGCGGAAGGATGCCCAACATCGGGGGAGACCAACTCCACCCCCTGCGCTGCATTCCGTGATCACTTTTACCTGGTTGGCCCTCGTGACAACAAACCAGGCCTCAGGGAGGGAGATGCCGTGGTGGAAATGTTCGTCACGCTGTACAATGCAGCAGAGAAAGGCCTGGCTCGTTTTTTGAGTCGATTTGACAAATCCGCAACCAACATCAAGGACTCGGAGTTGTGGATCAGGATAGGACAGGTAAAAGCCTGGTATAGATACGTCGTTGACAAGAAAGCTAATAATCCGAGACGTTAGGTCCCATGGGCCACTAATTACTCTAAGTGGTATCACCAATACATGGCGTATCCACAAGAAGCCCTGAAAGCCGCTGTTGCCCTTGAAGAGTTCACAATCACGGACCGTGGCACATACCTGACGCTCAGGGAAGCCGACGAAGCACTGGCTGAGAAGACGCGGATCTATAAGAGTGGAGATGAAAATGATGCTCAAGAGCTATTGAACCCCGCAAATATGATCATAACAGCAAACAGTGCCCGCAAGGAAAGAGCACGGCAATTCGTTGAGTGGGTCCAGGGATCAGAGGGTCAGTCGGTGATTGACTGTTTTGCGAAGGGTAAATATTGCCTGTACAAATCTGCTATTCCCAGTGAGTACAGTGAGCCTCGCTGTCCCTGCATATGGGAGCTCCCGGAACAACAGAGTTATCCAACGTCGTCCTTGGAGCAGAGCTATCTGGGTCCGAAAACATAGAGTCTGCTAAACCCAAGTGTATGTTAAATTATCCGGGGACCTGGTCTTTCTTTTATACTCCTATTGGATTATCAAAAGTGGAGGAACGCCTTTTCGAAAACGGTGGAACATCAGGAGAGTACTTAGCGATGCAATTTAGAAAGAGTGTCAGAACACCATCCCTCAGCTGATTGCTTATCTAGGTCCTAGTTATATATTCGAGCCTCAATTCAAGTGATGCACCAGGGGTCTAGTGAATTCGGTGGGAAGCGATGGACCCCTCTTTGTAATGTAAACCACACTAAACCCTTGCCCCAAACCCGTCCGGAATAGGGAATGGGGATTTTGGCCAAGTCTAAATAAACAAAAGAAAAATAAAAGAAAAAATATATTTCAAGAATACAGAATATGTTTAAAAATTTTATCTATATATTATTGATTGTTATAGCCAAAGAACAATATCTATTTTTATAGCTTTTTTGAAAATGATTATTGTTGTAGTTATATTGAATATTATTTTGAGATTATTATATATGTTCAAATATTTTTATTATATTTTAATTTGCGTCAATATTTATAATTATATACAATTTTAAAAATCTTAAGAACTATTCATCTATTACAGCGGTCAAACTACTTATGCAAAATAAATAAAAAATAAAATAACAGAATTCATATAACTATTTACTAAACATTGACTGAGCACCAACTAAATATTCATTAAACGATAAACCGTGATGCAATAATGTAGAAAAACAGGTACGTATAGTGGCATACATACATAAAAACGACAAATGAATCAAGTATCGAACCAATAAGAACGAGGGGAAGGGAGTATCACAGAAATTCAAATCATAATCAAAGACCAAAACAAAGTCAACCGTTACATGAGTCCAGCATAAGTTATCCATCAATCAATAAATCCGTCAAGCGAGCAAACATTATGTCAGAGAAATCGTAAAAGCTTCAAAAAACCATCCTCCTCCTCCTTCTTTTCGTATCCTGAGATCAAGCGAAGAGAGAGAATCAAAGACCAGCAAACCGAGCCCACCCTGCAGCGCGAGGCGTTGAAGCATCGTTATTGTTTGTGTTCGGCTTCACCACGCCACCTCGTCCCTCTTCGGCCATCTTCCCGCTCACGTCGCGTCTTCGGCCGACCCCTAGACCTGCAATGTAGTTGCCGTACGACAGCGAGGCGCCCTGTCCGACGCGACGACCAAAGTCCGCACCAGAGTTGCTGACCACACGGCCTTTGCGGTCACCGTCGGGCGTGGCCGGAGGATCAGAAGGCAGGGCGAGGGGTTCACCGGTGACAGGGTCCGTTTCGTCATCGTGCTGCTTGAGGGCGCCGTAAGCGTTGGCCTTCGGAGATTTGGGCTTCGGGCTTTTGGTCTTCTTCCCCCAAAGACCGTGGGATGCAGTGGGGGAGGAGGGGGCTTGTCGGTGGTCGCTGACGTTGCGCGGGATGTTCAGCCCGAAGGTGTTGTTTTCTTCGAGCTCGCCGTAGAAGCGACCGTTTTTTGCGGGTATGTTGTCGCTGGCGGGGACAGAGACGGGAGGTGTAGGGGATAGGTTCGGCACCTCGGTGAGGGCCATGCGAGCTGAGACATTGTGCGGGTGGTCGGGTGTTTCATCAAGGATGGGCTGTGGAGTGGGTGGGTTGAGGGCCAGCGGGTTGACGCGAAGGTCCGAGTCGTGGTGGTCATCGTAGAGGTCGTCGTGATCGGCGTGGTCTTGGAATATGCGGATGTTATGGTCGCCGATGTCTTGTTCGGCGGTGTCATAGAAGCGAGTTGGTTGGCGCGTGTCATTCGTGTAGTCATCATGGCCGTAGTATTCGTGAACAGGGAGAGATTCGTATTCTCCATGGGCGTCTTCCTGAATTGTCTCACCAACGTTCCATCCATTGCGCTGTCCGGGGTGTACCCAGTCCGCGGCTCCACCGTTCGATCCACCGGAGGCAGTGCCTCGGCTGTAGACGGACGAAGGTTCTCGAGGGGCATGGGCCTGGTTCTCGTTGTGAACCACGTCCACAGGGGAAGGAGACCTGTCGGAATAAGCGACCCAATTGTCCGACGCAGGGCTGACACACTGGGATCTGTTCGGGAAGTCGGGAGAGGGTTCGCGCACGGGAGCCCCATGCGGTACACTCGATGTAGGTCGTGCGAAAACGTCAAGGTTGTGCTCCGGAACATGCTCTGTCATGTAGTCTGTGGGATCGGCATGATTTTCGAAAGGCATCGGTGGCATAGGGGACACCATACGCGACATGCGATCTGAATGCTCGGACAGCTGAGAATGCCTCTTCTCCGTCATGATCGAGCCGCCTTCCGAGGACTGACCTCGAGTGTGCATGAATGCCATTTTCCGAGGGGGCCCCATAAGCGGATCCTCGGACATTGCGGAGTCTAGGGTAGACTGACTGGCATGCTTTTCAGCAAGCTCGGACTTGGTACGCTTATGCGGGCGCGCTGTCAGATTGTCTTCCAAGGGATTCATGTCTGGGGGCAGCTTGGTAATTTTCCGGAAGGTGACCGCAAGGAAGATGCAGATCCCTAAGGCGATGAGATGGAAGCCGCCGTTGACCACGCTGAGAAGGAAGGTGACCTGGGAAATCTTGGTCGTGATATCGAAATCAGAGCTGAGCATGGTGGTCCAGTGATACTCGTTCTCGGTGTATTGCTTATATGCGAGGAATGCGGTGAAGATATAGAACGGAATCAGTCCGAGGTCCAAAGTCGAGGCGAACACCATGTAGCTAGCCTGGGAACCGGGGGGTCTGGAGACGGCGGAGCGACAAAGATGGTAGATGCCATAAAGAGTGTGCAGGATCGCTACGGCGGGCTGCAGATAATTAGCGCTTGCTTCCATCCCATGGAAGATGTAAGACCTACTCCGACGCGAACAATCCATATGACACTGACGGCCGCATTCTTAATGACTATCGCACAGAATAGAGAACCAAGCGCTCCCAGCAACATCAGAACGCGAAGTCCTAACTGTACCTTGCGCGCAAGGATTATCCTAGGCTTCGTCTTACGACTCATTGGAGTCCATCGAGACTTTCCATCGGGGATATTGTTATACTTTCGGAGAAAAGCACCGTTGTTAGCATCGCACAGCTGCAGCAATTGGACCGAAGCATACACACCGAATCAGGATGTCTGTTGAAGTTGACCAACGGGCCTTTAGGCTGCGGCTTTGACTTCGGACGAGTCCAGCTCGCTTGGGTCACGGCCTTAGGATTGAAAGGGTGGTCTGTCGGGCCATGGAAACTGTACGCCGACGGTGCGCCGTAAAGGAACGGAGGCGAAGATCCCCCCATGATGGTGGTGAATGAAGCTTCAATTGAGCTTGAGCTTATCGAAGCATCCACCCCACGCCAGAAGCGGGGAGATCAATTCTCGATATGAAAAGGAAAGGAATGCTGGAGAGAATAGATTGCAAAAATGTGGGTGAAGAGAGAGGGACGGCACGAACCATGGAACGATGGAATGTCAGAAGGCGAACGTGCATGAGGATAGATCGGGGCCTGTCAACAACCCGATTGTCGGCGCGGCAACGGACCCCGATAAGGTCACGTGCTCTGCCGTCATGGTTCACGTCCCGCGCTCTCCGACCGTCGTTTCTCCAACTGCGCATCGCAATTCATTCTTATTCTTGTCCGCACCATGAATGTTCAGCGCACGCCCTATGTCTGCGTTCAATGCTCGGCGCAGGCATTGCGCGCTCCCTTTCGTCGCTCGTACCGTCGAGCTTTCCCGCAGTTGACCTGGCAGCGACGTCATAACAGCCACGCCGTCCAGACCGATCGGCCATATCGCGTTGCCATTGTGGGGTCGGGACCGGCGGGCTTCTACGCTGCATACAGACTGCTGGGTAAGGTGGATAATGCTGTAGTTGACATGTACGAAAAGCTCCCCGTTCCATTTGGTCTGGTGAGGTACGGAGTAGCGCCCGATCATCCGGAGGTCAAGGTATGCCATCGTCTCCTGCCTTTGTCGGTGGCCCTCTGACTCATGGTTTTATGGTGTTTAGAACTGCGAAGAAAAGTTCACCGAAGTCGCGCAGTCGCCCCGATTCAACTTCATAGGAAACATTGAACTGGGCCGGAGCCTTTCCCTGCAGTCACTCAAACCCCATTACGACGCGATCCTGTTCTCCTACGGAGCGCCCAAGGACAAGGAACTTGGGATCCGCGGCGAGAGGGGAACCCCTAACGTTTACTCGGCTCGGGAGTTTGTCGGCTGGTATAACGGACTACCGGAACATCGTGACCTTTCCCCCGATCTTACTGCCGGAGAGGACGCTGTGATCGTTGGGCAGGGCAATGTGGCATTGGACGTTGCCAGAATCCTACTGTCGGATGTGGACGCTTTGCGCAAGACGGACATAGCCGACTACGCCCTGGATGAGCTCGCCAGGAGCAAGATCAACCGAGTGCGAGTGGTCGGTCGACGAGGACCGCTGCAGGTACGTGCAAAGGCAGCCGATGCTTACTGAGTCGCGGCTCTAACATGTGTTTCTAGGCCGCGTTCACGATCAAAGAATTGCGAGAACTGCTGCAACTCCCTGGCGTCTCTTTCGACCCTATCCCACGAAAGCTGTTCCCACCGGACGAGGTGATGGCCGCTCTCCCCCGGGCGCAGAAACGACTCGTCCAGCTCCTGGCCAAGGGATCGACCAATGACCCTGCAAGCAGCACAAAGTCCTGGGCTCTGGATTTCCTGCTCTCACCCGAATATCTGAACGTTTCCCCATTCCCACCCAATCAACTATCCCACGTCAAGTTCTCCTGCAACGAGCTTGACCCGTCAGATCCCCACTCGCCCAGCGCTAAAGTCATACCCAAGTACCTACCCAATAAACAACGTAGGCAAGCCAACATCCCGGCCAATACGTTCTTCCGCAGCGTCGGCTACAAATCGCTCCCCTTGAACGGACTAGACGATCTGGGGATCCAATTCGACACGAACCGCGGGGTTATTCCGAACGATGGGTTCGGACGAGTCACTAGCCCCAAGAATACCGGCGACAACGAAGAACTGCCGGACGGATCGCTCATCTCGCATCTTCCTGGGCTGTACTGCGCCGGATGGGTCAAGCGCGGCCCGACGGGGGTCATTGCCACGACGATGACGGACGCGTTTACCACTGCTGACGCCATCGCGGCGGATCTGACGAGCAAGAGCCAAGCATCCCTGTTGAACTCTCCGGACCAAAGCACCGGTCTTGGCTGGGAGGGCGTCCGCCCCGAGGTTCGGAGACGAGGGCTGCAGGCTACTTCCTGGGAGGATTGGCAACGGATTGACGCGGCGGAGCGCGATCGCGGACAATCGCAGGGTAGAAGTCGGGTCAAGTTCGGTCGCGTGTCTGACATGTTGGATGTGGTGGGTTGATTACGAACATTGAATATATAGAACGATAGACCGTCCGTGTACTATAAATGAGACAAAGATACCATCTCCTCTTCGCAAGAAACATTGTATATGCAATAATAATGTTCAATTATACTATTCTCATGTATGATTAAATGTAAGGAATGGCGCTGAAAATAGACATTTGAAGTGAAACCGAAAACCAAAACCATATCATCTCGTGAACTCGTGTCGATAGCTCCACCAAAACCAACTCGATCCATCCGATCCGCTCCGATCCGATTCTTTAATCTCTCACCAAGCGAGAGCGACATCATCTTGCATCCAATCCACCTTCAGAAGTCGACATTACTTTAAAAACCACACTTCGAGGGATCAGCCAGCGCATAAGTCGCCTGCACGCGACCCAGCTGGGTACCCTGGTTGTTCGTCAACTGGTTCATAGCCTGGAGACCGAGGTTGAAGCCACCAGGAGCAGCGTCGATGGCAGTGACGTAGATGGTCTTGTCGACCTTGCCGGCCTTGTAGTGCAGACTGTAGCAGTTTCCGCAGTTGGGGCTGTTCCAGCCGGGGATGGTCGGGGCGCCGCCGATGAGAGGGAACTTGGGCAGGGAGCCGAAGGTCGTGTAGCCCTGGGTCACGAGGCCGTTGACGCCGTCCGAGCAGGCGACGGTGTTCAGGGAGCTGCCGGCCACGTCGTATTTGGTGTCGTAGGAGACCGAGACCGAGACGGCGGCGGCGGTGGCGGGGGCAGCCATGGCCGGGGTGAGGGCCAGGGAGATGAGGGCGAGAGTGGAGGCGAAGAACTTCATTTTGAGTGTTGAGAAGAAAGATTGAGATTGAGATTGAGCTGATTTGGAAGTGGGAAGTGGGAGAGTTTGTCTGTTTGGAAGCTGGAGAGGATCTTGAGGATGGATTGTTGGATTGATCTGGATGAAAACGAGAGATTCCGACGACGGTCAGGAGGGTTTATATAGTCGTTTCCCACGAGTCAGAGGTAGCGGTGACGGCAAAAAAGCCTCATTGCCATCGATCGTATGCCGCATTGTCACCGTAGCCACGGCAGTACACAGTACTGTACATGGTGAGGGGACTGATCGGGATATTCCGTATACAGGCAGAGGATCGAAGGTGGACCATTGCCCAACTCTTGGAATAGCAACGGGATCGGCGGTGCAAGCTCCACGAGGTTGAAACCCGAGCAATGGCGAGGCTGGCAGGCACGGCGAGTTGGACGGAGAGGTGAGACAAGCGTGGAGGAGTCATCGGGTGATGCTCGAATGCGGGGCGGAGAAAGCGATGCGGGGATCCTCCGGGCCAGTCACGGGGCCGCCTGCTTTGAGACACGCAGCCTTAGGCTCGTCCGCCGCTTCCCATTCGGCCTGAGGCACGTCCAGAGGCGAGACATCGTCTTGTCGTATTCCGCATTCCTGAGTCCTCCGACTTCCCTTCCACTGATCCCGCATCTATTCATAGACCACCACATGTTGGTCAGGCCATGTGCCAAGATGTCCGATCCACCTCACGCAAGGAGCTCACGATATTGGTCAAGTCTCGGACCTGTCTGTTCGGGCTGACGGTGGTGTACCCTCGTCTGCACCGTCGGGCTCACTCAATATTGGTTCTAGGTCCAACGGCTTCGACCGATCGTGGTCTTGATAGTAGGATGATCATCCTGGTAAAGATCGACACCAAGCTCTAGCATGCGGGACAGTCGGGACTATCGCTAGGGCAACTCATCATGAAGTCAGTCTTTCATCAGACCCCCGCCTCCGTGCGACAATAATCCTGACAACGTTCGGAACTGATGAACTGTATCCCAGACTACATATCGGTCTCGTACATAGCAAGACCTTCCGTCCGTCCTGTTCGAAAGGCACACTTGTTCCCCGTTCGGATACTTTCGAGTCGCTGCCGGAAAGCTGCATATACTGGCATAAGACCGACACTGGAGTGACTCTGTCGGCTCCGCTTACAGCTGTACATACGAAGTACGGATGGAACCTTCTATTTTTATCCTCGCCCTCTTCTCTCCCGAATGTCTCATATCGTACATTTCCTGACGGCGTCCATCATCCCACATCCCCTCATCTTACACTGTTATGGATAGTGGTACGGATACTCCCTACTTCCACCCAAGCAAGCCCTAATCAATAACCCGACGCCTGCATGGAACATGCATAATAAGGCCACTCATTCAGGGCTAGCTACTCCACCTCGTTCGTACTTATTCCCTGTCCACCTGACATCATATTTCCGACACAGTTTTTGTTTGTTTTCTATTTCCGCTCAGTTTAAAAGTATGGGTTACTCAGAGCGGCCCAATTGTGACACCGCCAGCCTCGTAGCCTTTCTCGCCGAGTGAGGTTCACCGCAGCGGATGCTTGCAGTCTGACCTGCATTGTGTGCTTCTTTCCCGGTTAGAAATAGACCGAGGTGAGCTTCCTTCTATTGGAATCACGGTCTGACTCTCTGCGGGAAAAAGAAATAGCATTACTTCGGTCATCAATGAAGTTGCCGTCTGTCCCAAGTAAAGAAGGGGTTCGGAACAGTTCAATATAGCCATCGGCAGAAGGCGGCTTGGAAGCATGTGGATATTTATAGACGGAACGAGAAACAAGACAGAAGCAAAGGAATAAGGTTTGTGCGTGAGATGTAGAACTAGAGAATGGGGATTGGTGTTTTTGAGAGGCGCACAGAATAACGAACCAGAAATCGAACAAATTCCGGTTTTCCTTCTTCCTCATTTCCCTATTGTAATAGGTAGTCTATTATCCTCCACTTTTAGATGTTAATTTTCTAGCGCCTAAATCTACTTCATTATTCAGAAGTTAACTTCATTGCATGAATGATTTATGTGATAGACAGACATGACCGAACAAAAAGCCAAACAGTATATGAATTCTTGCCCAACACGCATTAGTCCAAATTAACGAGGTCGCGATTGAGAGACTGAAAATTGAGTAGGTCCATCATATACTGGACAGGACGCCCAAAATGTAAAACTTGTCTCAGTGTAATCATCGTCATCCATGGAGACGTCGCTGATTTCCTCCGCAGACAAATCATGCGTGTCCTCGACAACCAGAGCATTGTGATCCACTTGCCACCGGATTAATGCCAAAATATGGCATAGGGCGGATCTCCTCCCCTCGGGTGACTGAAGACTGAACCATCGGGTTCTCTGCATATAAACAAACGCGTCGCTATCCTCTTGGTCGATCACAGATCTCTGGGTTGCTTCGCTTTCTGCGTTGAGATATTCCTCATAATCCGCACCGAATTTGTAGTGAATAAATTGTACCCAAGTACTTGTTCCAGTGATGATGAAAACACTGCTTGCATAATTATGTAAGTAAAGAGAGCGTAGAACTCCAAAGCTGAGAGATTTACTCATGCTTGAGGTCCTTCCGATCTGCTCTCCATGATATTACTGCCTCACCCAGGTACGGGGCCAGAACATTGTTGGATACCACCGGCATCAGCTTACCAGTGCGCTCGTCAAAATTCATCGACTGGAACGCTTTCTTGGCCTCAAGGAGGGCCAGGTAGGGATGTCGCATATTCCAGTCGGAATCACGGACCATCCAGCAAATTCCACCGTCATCTTCTGCACTTATGTCATGGCCAGCGATTCGGACTGCAGCCTTTTTGCGCTCTACTCGAGGTCGTGCTTCGCCAGGTTGAGTGAAGTGTTGCACCATACAGATATTCAAGGTGAACTGGAGGAAGCAGATAAGCAGGTTTAGTGTCACCTCCTCAGGCTTATTTCGCCGAGATTCATGCCCATCTTCGTCAATGTCATCGAGATCTATTTCGAATTCCGGTCTGTACTTTGAGACAGGTGTTTGGGGGTATCCAAGAGCTGATCGACCCAGTAATGATCAAGTCCAGGTGCACGGGATCCCCCTGCGTCACAGGCTGCGCATTCCTCATGTGCGACTTTGAGAACATCCAGAAAAGGTCTTTCTGGGGGTGTGAGCAGTCGAAAGCCAAGTAGATGCCGCAGAGTCCATCTGCTCGCAGATATGTTTCGTTCTGCTTCCGTCAGTTGTGCCTGAAGGTGCAAGCCCCCGTGTCTCTGGGACAGTTCTCGGAAATCCTCAGGGGTTCGAGCCGCATAAAGCTGAGTGGTAGACATGCTGGACCATATAGCGGAGAATGAATTATACCTACATGATGTACTTGTCTAGGGGGAGGACCGATGATGGGAGAACCGGAGTGAGTAGTGCTAAACCCCACTAAGCGAACTGGAGGGAAATTTTGGCTGATGCTCGCGACAGTCGACTCCATCGTAAGCAGAGCTGTAGCGGTTTGTCACATTTGGTGATATTATTTGGATCTGAATTTGGGTAAACGAGTATTCTAAGTGACGGTGGAACGTAGACAATATCAATCAGGGTCTCCGAGGAGTCTGTACCAACTCCACTCCAAACACATTCAAGGTGGATTAGGGTGCTAGTCGGGGGCTGGTTTAGAAGTACCACTTAGGAGCCGTAGAGATTCGGTGGTACCGAGTAGGTTGGATACAATATAATTTGCATCCATATGTTGCGCTATATATCGATGCCCGTGATTCTTAACGCAAATAGAAGAGGGATGCCATACCTAGAAAGAGCTTCGGGATGACCAAAGTGAGACTAGAGCAAAGAGTCAAGTACAAGAAACCACTTCAGATCAGTTAGTTAGTCTTGTCAAGCGGTTGGAAGCGATGCCGCATCCAACAGCGATTGGGTGTTTTCTAAGTCGATAGTTGCGTTCTCTCTCTAAAGGCTGTTTTGACAAGCACAAAAGTTCTCTGTTGTGATCGTATACCCTGTACTGCTCTGGCGTTGCCATCATAATATCATATGTAGGCAAGGGTCATCGACAGTACCCTGCTGTCAGACGACCTGATTATATCTTCGGCAAGGCGGTTGGGTGAGATACTTTGGCCGCCGTATGAGCTCTAGGTCATAATAACGACACCCAAGGCCCGACTCGGAGTCAGTAATATGAAAGTCCATGAATTCAACGACGCTGCTGAGAGGTGCGGGGATGTGACCCAGTGAAATCATTTCAGCTTGTGACACCAGGATCTGTGGGCTGGTCGCTAGCGCATAAAATGCATGTTCCAGTACAAAGCAGGCTGTGGAGCTCCTTCAGAACTTTCCTTTTCTTTTCTTTGATCACAGGGATGCAGTAGTATTTGACGAGAACGGGACGACTGGGCAAAGATTGCGATGGAGTATCCAAACGATCGAGAAATTCCGCCGAGATGCACGCGGAATAGACATAGAGGAGCCCTAACGCCACACCAGGCGTAGCGACAACGTGAACCTTCAAGAAAAACCGGATTAATTTGATACCACAATTCGATAGCATACCACGACTTACCTTGAAAGAACGGCCTGGATCATGGCTCATCTGTGTTGGTCCTTGACAAAGCGAGGGGGTTCCAGACAACCCATCGCGCACTGAGTCGGGTTTTGCAGGGCATTTCTGTTGAAGATCTTCCGTTGTGAGTGATTCCTGTCGCTGTGCCTGGGCGAGCGCAATCAGGATCGAGACAATGTAGGGGTCTTTAGCAGGATCCTGGGGATCAATCGATCGTAGCTTTATTCGGCGCCAATTGTTCAAGACCGTATTCTTAGTCTTTCTGCCGAGGGCTCTTTCGCGAAGAGATCGGATAGTCTCGAAGGTGATGCACGCGAGGCTCGGAATTGTAGAGTAACGGGAAAAAACGCCATCAACCCGGATATCAGCGGCTATCCGCTGTCCGAAGTAGAAGGAGAGCCAAATCGATCTATGATTGAGTCAGCATTTAGTTGCTTAGCATAGGAGGTAGGTGTGACGTTACGGGCGAGGTTGTAACCCGTAGAAGTCTAGAATTTCTGTCACGTCTGATATCCTTGCTTCTAAGGTAGCGGGGCCAAGTAGCAGGGCGATCACATAGAGGGGATTATTGCTCGGCTTCCGGTCACGCAGAGCTCTGATAGCTGATTTTGACGGTGGGGAAGATCTCTTCAAATGCACCCTCTCGAGAGAAAAGCTACAGCTTAAGAGTTCGAGCTGTCTCGAGGTCCAGCAGATGGGTGGTACGTAGAGCCGTTCTCCGCTGTTCTCACGTAGGATGCTTTGGATTGACTTGTGCGGCGGCTCGTCGACCTGACATGATCGATATGCTGGGTGGCTTTCAACATCATTGGTGCCTTTGCGCTTCGGAGGCGGATCCGACGTATGCGAGTCTGGCATTTCCTCCCTCGCTCTTTCAGACCCAAACCCAGATGGACGCGTCGGAGTGATAAGAAAGGGATCAGTTTGTCTTGTTTGCTTTCGCTGGAGTTAGCCGTCACTAGCCGTCATTGGTCGTCTCCAGTAAGCCGGACCCACCCGGGTGCGCATCCCAGGGACTCATAAAGCTAAAGCATCATCTACAGTAGCTACCACCTTGTTTGATTGAATTGAGTCCAGAGGATGAATTGAGCAGTCGGACATATAGTTGCTATCTGTGTGAACTCAGGTACGAATTATTCGGAGGATTGAATTTGTCAAAAAGATAAGTTAGGGCATGTGCCGTGTGGATACTGTGATGTCGAAATATATTGAAAACAAAAGAAAAAAAAACGAATGTAGGTTCGACCCTTCCTATGCGTCTATATATACGAAGTCATGAAGCGTGTCATCCGAACCTGGTTTCGCATGAAAGTACCTAGTAACCCAAACCAAGGGCTAAAGCATAAACAATAGAAAAATAAAACGTCCAAAATTCCCAATTCATAATTCATAACGCATGCCTTCCCCTTCTCATCCCGCCAAGTCCATTAAAAACGACTTTTACTTCAGCACCATACTAGCAATAACCACAGAACTCATATGACTCCCTGTCGCCACATACCCGACATCACTCCCTCCCGGCAAATCCTCCTCGCCTTGCTGTCTCGGTTCAAGATCTAGACTCCGATCGTACATCTCATGTACGTCTTTTGCAGACCGGATCCCGGCAGTTAGGAAGTCCTGGAGTTCGGGGACGGGTTGGAAGGGATAGGAGGTGATTTGGTGTTGTTGGAGGTCGTGGAGAATGGAGGCAGTTTTGGCGCGTTTCGTGAAGTTGATGTGGCCTGTGGAGGTATGGTTAGGGATGCCGTCTTCGAGGAATGTTAGGTCTGTTAGGTAGATTCCTGGCTTGGGGTTAGTTTCGTCGGTGGTTTGCAGGAGGAAAGGAAGTGAAGGGAAGCGAAGAGAAATGCATACCGAGGAAAGGGACGCAGGGTGGTTCACTGTCGCGTAATGTCTCGCGGTACTGTACAAAGTTTCTGGAGCTGCTCATGAGCTGCCGGAGGTCGTCGAGAGTGGCGAGCGTTCGTCGACTGACTTGGCTCCAGGTGAATCGGAGGCGGTAGACGGGCGTTAAGCCCAGTCCGGAGATAATGGACATTAAGGTGGCGAAGTTATTGAAATTGCAGCATTCCTGGGATGGATGTCAGATGAGAATCAAAGCAATATTTCCTAAGAAGTGCGAAGAATCAAGGGAAGGAAAATATACCTCGGCAACATTCACAAAGTATTTCATCATCGCCACGCGCTTCTTCATATTACTCTGCGAAAGGATGGTCTCGCCGACCCAGTTTGCTAGCTGATTGGAATGCAAGATCATGGCGTTCACTGCCGTTGACGGGTCCGAATTATCAGGGCCTCGTCTCTGCCATCCTTTGTTCAGACAGTCGGAGAGCTTGATCCGGCCGTGGAACCCTGATTCGAGGATCGTGAGTTGACGCGCACACTCGACCGGCTCGAGGTCGAGTAACTTCATCTTCTTCATGTTCTTGGGGACCATGGGAGGTGGCGCAGAGGATGTTGGAGTGCGAATGAGTCGCCGGAGGGAGTGCTGGCCTTGTAAGCGCTGATCAACGACAGTGAGCAGATGCGACGATGTCGGCGTGGCCATCATCTCTGGCGAATCCTTAATTAGGGTGTACGCGTGTCGTAGAAAGTTTCTCGTGTCTTCGTTATCGGGTTCCATCCAGAACCGCTCGAGCCAGTTGCGCAGTACATTGATGACTCGTAGACGGATAGCATGCTGCTTATGCTCCATCCATTGATCCAGTTCTGTTTCATCTAGCTCCTCAGGTGGTTTAATATAGAACCTCTGAACGAGCATATCAAACAGCTCTGGGGCTATCATGAACGTATTAAATGTGATTAGAAACGTCTCGTTGAACGAGGAATCCAATCGGTCGTGACGCGTCAATTGCTCGACCAGCCCAGTCAACGTGCCGCTTTTGACTGTCTGCTGACTCTCCGTGATATCGTAGACGACCTCATCTTCGTGATCCAGATGCAAAAACCACGGTAGGTCAATCGAACCCGAGCTGGACGAATATCGAAAAGGCCGTCGCCCGGAGGCAGTAGAACACGTGGACGAATCCTCCATCGTCGATCGCGCAGGAAACAGTCAAGCAGCCAAGCAGACAATTTCATCATCAATTCCTCCAACCCAGTACCCGAAAGCAAACTGCTCGTCCGTCAGGGCTGAGACATAACGAGCTCAGTCACAAGGCTAGGATGGGATCAACAAAGTCACCGTCACCAAAACTTCGCAGCTCCCCACCTTTCTTTTCCGAACTTCGCATATTATCAATTAATCAATCTTATCACACGGCCGATCCCTACCGACTCCGAGCCAGTCCGACTCCCCACCGGCACTAGCGAGGTGATTGTTGGTGCGCTAGTCTCGTCATCTGGGCCATTCACTGTCGCGCTGGTGGATCCTTCCGTTGACTCTCATTTCGTTCGTCCTCATGTCGGACGGACACTTGCCGTAGCGGGTTTAGGGCTGGTTTTCGGACGCGTCAATTATTTGCTCGGGCGTGGCTGCCACGAGGTGAGGAGACTTTGCTTCGTGGGGACGGTCACGGAGTGCTGAAGGCTGAAGGGTGAGGATGGAAAGTGGAAAGTGGAAACTGACCAGGTGGAATGTGGATGCCTGAGGCTGGCGGTTCATCGGAAGTTTGGTGGGCCCATCGTTGCAGCGTCAAATTTCCTTCTCGCACGAGCCCTTCGTCCAGTGTCTCCATTTTTTACTCTTCGTGGTCTAGACCCATGTCTACCGAGGGAAATGCAGGGAAGAGAATTATCTACCTGTGACCTTCTGTTCTATGGAAATTAAATATTGTCATAAGTGACGTTTCCAGCGTCGTTCAACATCTCATCCATATCATAGTCAATTCCAGACGCCAGAGTTGGGGTATCAAGACATTTTTTTCGTTGTTTTTGCTTTCTTTGTTTTTCAATTGCCTCGGTTTCAGGACAATTGACTCAACTCACAACATTTCACCTTTGTTTTGCTCCTTATCCACCCGATAGTTCCTCCACACCGCGATGGCCGGGATACCCAGCGCCATGATCGCGACCGCAGTGATGCACCCATACTTCATATACGCGCTGTACGCCTCGATGATAGCATTGCGAATGTCCGATCCCAGAGGATACTCGAGCTGCTTGACATACCCACCATTGTAGATTGCCAAATACTCGTCCTTGTTCCGCACGGGCAACGCATCACGCAGCACCCTGGGAAAGGTATTCGTATAGATAGCCGCCGAGACTGCCGACCCGACCGCACCGCCCAGACTACTCGACAGACCGATCAGCGACAACATCATGGGCACGCCTTCGCGATTCGACGCCGCCATGACCGCCATGTCCTGGCCGATGACGAGCGTTCCGCCGCCGAACGCGATGAAGATCTGACACATGACGATGTATCCGACGTTGCTGTCTGCGTTGCGGAAATGGATCATGAGCCCTGCGCCGAGCAGGATGAGAGGAAGGCCGAAGCCCAGGCAGGAGTATTTGAACTGTTTGGTCACGTAGACCATGATCCCGAAGACGGCGGACCAGAAACATGACCCGACGTTGTAGATCTGTCCGATGTAGCCGGCCATGCTGATGCTGAGGCTGAAGACGACCATGCAGAAGTTGTAGAAGTACAGTTCCCACGCGTAGTAGCTGAAGAATAGGACGGCGGCGAGCGCACAGGCGCCGAGGATCGTGCGATCTTTGAGCAAAGGGTAGTAGATGAAATGGTAAGGTGCGAAGAATCGTTCCCAGGCGGCGAAGACGAAGAAGAGGCAGACGCCGATGACGATCATCGTGATAAAAGTGGCGCTTTCGTATTCGGTGTTGCCGTTGGTAGTGAGGCTGAATGGGAGGAGAAGAAAGATGAAGGCTGCCATGAGTAGTAAAGCCCCAATCACTGGAACAGGGTCAGCATTGATCGTAGCAATTATGGAATGACTTACCATCAAACTCTTTGATATAATGCACAATCGACTGCACCGTCGTGCGACCACTCGGCTCCCGTCTGTAAATATACATCCGCTGGGCCTTGCGTTGGTAAAACTTGAACGTTCCCGCCAACGGAAGAAAGACGAATGGCGCAATGATCGCAAAGGTCCCATATGCCCAGCGCCACGAGGCCGTCTTAATGAACGACTGCGCTGCGATCGGACCGGTGAAAGCCGTGCAAATGAACGGAGTACTCGCAAACCCGAACGCAAAAGCCCGGTTGCGCAGACTCGACGTATCCGCCATGAAAACGTCCAAGATCAAGAAGATCGCATCGTAACCTACCCAGTAGATCACGTATCCTGCTGCGTAGGCACTGGGATTGTTGCATGATGCCAGGATGATTAATCCTAGGAGATAGACACCGATGAAAACCAGAAATCCTTCGCTGCGGCCCCAGATGTTCAAGAGCTTCGCGACCGGCAGTTTCATCACGCCGCTGATGACGCTGGCCAGAATGTTCGCGGTGCTGATGTCGGGCGCAGCTTCGAAAGATGCGTAGGCATTGTGGATGACGTTGGTGCTGATAGAGGATTGTAGGGCGAGGAGGAAGAAGCTGAGCCAGATTCTGCGAGCATTAAATTTATCCGATTAGACAAGTCGAGCACACAGCTTGTACGACAAAATGAGAACTCACAATGCATAAGTGCCATAGGCCGTCTTCTTGCTCCACGCCAGCGCCGCGGCCTCCGCCTTTTGTATGCCCAGACGAGCACCCTGAGTGACCTCCTTGCGATGGCTCTCTGACGGCCGTTCGTGGCGATCGTTCAGAGTCACCATGCTATTCTGGCTGCCGGCATTGTTGGGCGACGAAACGCGGACCTCATAATTGAGACCGGGGAATTTGGACCCCGCGACGCTCAGCGCCAGCTGCGTGTTGTTGCGGCCGCGGATCAGATCGGAGACACCCATGAGGGCTTATCAGGCCTGCAGGATTGCCAGTCGTAAGGATAAGTAAGAATATTGTTCAAACAATAAAATTGTTCCGGGTTGAATTGCACAAAATCATTGAAATAAAGGAAGGTCACACAGAAAGACCGACAAAAAGAAACAAGAAAACCCAGACGGGAAAAACGCAAAGAAAAAGCAAAGAGAGGGAGGGGACGGACACGGCACGGAGCAGGCCAGTGAATGCAAGGAAAGGAAATTAAGGCGGGCAGTCAAGTCAGCGCCACGAACATCCATGTCCATCCAGGACCAGGATCATATCCAGTCAGCGTGCGTCTCCCTCGAGCGGATCTTCATCTGTGTGACACACGTCGCTCTCCCAATGAAACCCGTGCGCGCGCCTAGACCCGAAGCTTAATTCCGTTCGGCTCGGATCTGATAAGATGCGAGTGGCATTGTTTGCCTGCCTCAGGACGGCCACCTCGTCTAAGTGTACCACGGTCGGCAGTTGTCCGATTATCGGTTCGTGGCCCTACGCTGCCCTAGTTCGAGGCATTTTTCGTTAGTTTCTTAATGGAGCTTGTCCGCTTCGCTGCTGTCGATCTATGCTAGATCAGGGATTTTTGACCGAGAATTCATGTCTGCTCCGGACGTGTATGACATGGGATTTTCACTGGAACTCGAACTGGGTCAGTCCACTAACTGCCAATAGTCCCACGATGGCACCCAGACGATCATCTTCAGCAAACCGCTCGTTCCGAGGATGAAATAACTGAATCCAGCAAGATGTTTTCGGTTAAGCTTAGAAAGAAAACGCACACAAATGCAAATGCCTTGTATTTGCAACCCCTCGGCAAATAGAAAACTACTCTACATACAAAGTCAACATGTCTCCTCACGAAACTACATCGCTGCCTTCAGTTTCCTCATACGAATCTTCAAACATATCCATACGTTCATCATCACCGCTGTCATAGAACTCATCGCCAACACTATCAGTACTGTCGCCATTAGGGCTAGTCGGTCGATCGCCTGCCTCGGGTATTGCCTGCGTGGCTACTCTGGTCTTGAAGAATGGATGATCGCGCCGCAGCGGCCACTCCTGGACGACGTACCCCATTGGGGTCTGTGAGACGTCTTGCCCCTGTCGTCGAAGAGTGAGCCACTCCTGCAAGAAGGTGAGATGGCGTTTTGTAAGGGTTTGAAGAGCGTGAACCGCAGACGCGTCAAGACCTGACAAGCTTTCCTGGGTCAGATAGAGTCCTTCGAGAACGGTTTCGTAGCCTGCAAAATCAAAGTATAACCTCCCGGCCAGAATGCTTTGCTCGAAGGGAAGCCAGGAAGGAGGTGTCCAATCGCTGGGGAGACTTGGGAGCGCGTAATAGTCAAGTTTATCAAAGTCCATCATCCGCTTTGTGCAGGGAGATGCATAACTGATCAAATGCACCGATGGTGGCTCGAGGGATCGCAGAATGGGTATGAGTGCTTCTGCCTCTTCTGGAATAACAACTACCGCACCTTCTGTCTCTGTGTGAAACAGAACCCAGTTCACGCTGCGCTATTATAGCAACCTGGTTAGTTCACCGTACCGTAATCATTTGACATGAATCGAAAGAGGGCACCATACTATGAAGTTATCGTTTCTTCCCCCGGACCTCTGCTTGATCGTCCTAATAAATTCGAGAGAGACGAAAAGACGAGAGAGCAGCACCGAAGCCTTGATTTCGTGCTTTTGTGCTAACTCTGTGTCCTGTAGCATGTTGGAGGCCATGACAAATCCATCCTCATCAACAGAGCCGGTCAGCAAAAACTGCATAATCGATTCGTGAAGGCCTGGGAATGTCAACGCCGTCATTCTGGGAGGTCGCTGCATTTCTCGCTCTTCCTCTATCTCGAAGGCAACCTCACGCTCTTGCTCGACCTCCTCCAATGCTGTGCTAGTGGCCTGACCGAAAGAACTGGCAGTCTCTTCCTTCCTGGTCCGCAGCTCCTGGACGAAAGCAGCAACTTTCCCACTCAAGACAAGACTTCTCCTGGCTGACGAAGACGGATCGGTGCTTTGTTTAAGGCTCCTTGGCCTGTACAGCTGTTCTAGAGTCTGCTGCTCAGGTTGCCGCAGAACTTTCAAATATGCCTGTCTCGCAGCAGTACTCGTGAGGAAACTACAGTTCCTCGCTGCAGCCTCCGTTCGCCGACAGAAGTCCACTCCTTGAGCGAGGTACAAGTGCTGAGCCTCTGAGTTTGATGTGCACGTCTGATCAAGGAGCCAGGTGATAACGTCGGAGGAGTCTGGAAGATCCGTTGGCCCTTTCTTGCAAACATCGAGGATATTGCGGTGTACCTCCGGTGGGGCAACAAAGGTTATTGACTGGGTACTCCTCAGCTGCCTTAGCCTCATCGCAGCTAGAAGAAAGGTCAGAGACACCAAAGGATATACGTTGAGGACAAACATACCTTGTACCGTTTTATCTTTTGTCTGTTTTAAGCCGAGAGTAAGAGCTCCTGTAGCATGCATTGGCAGTTTGAGATCAGTCCCTCTTGTATGAGCCTCATCCAGATAGACAAGGCAGTCATCCAAGTTATCCGCAAACGGAGTTGCAAGGAGTGGTATTGTTGTCCCCTCCCTGAACTCCACCCAAGCTCTGTTATCCATTGCGAAATATACAGCCGCCTGAGCTTGCGTGTCTTGTTCCAGCCAGGCCTTGGCGAGTGCCCGATTATCCATCTCCAGAATGTAGGCACCCGCATCGATGAGAACGCGAATTCTTCTTTTCTTCAAGCGCCCTAAAAGATCTACCTCGGAAAGCCTTTTACCGCATGGATCTGTGGCAACTTCATATCGTCTGTTACGTTCCTGGAGCAGGTACATCAACACCTCAGCATTTGTATGGGACAGACCATCGAGGTCATGTTGCTGAATCGTAAGGGGCAGAAGCCTGCGGTTATCGTTGGTACCACTAAAGCCAGTGGTGATTCCTGGGCGACTTGCACACTTCTCGGGCGACGCGACAATAGAGTTGTTGAATAGAGGAACATCCCATCCGGAGGCTTGCAGCTTGATTGCGAATTGTTTTGCATGAATTGGGAACACGTAATTATTCAGAAAATGGTTGATGACAACGATCGTAAAGCGTAAATGCCGCCAAATTTCCTGGAATTGACCACTGTCGTCGAAGTTGATGATGTTCCAGTGTTTGAGCCTCTCAGGTAGCGTTGCCGATGCGTGTGTCCATTTGTCGTATTCCAGAGATGGATCGTCGGATCGTAGAACCGCTCGCAGACTTTGCTGGAATTGCTTTTCGTCGAGTCCTTGATGATAAAATGAGAGGCAAGTGAATATGATTGCGACATCTGGATGACCCCATTCTGCTTGCTCGGAAGGGACACCCTTCGCATGAAATGGTACAGCCATGGGATCACGGCCTGGATGGAGCCCATACTGCACATTCCAGCGCCTTTTCAAACACAGTAGCAAGACCCCATGCACAAGTAGCCCACGGAGCAAGTAAACATTCTTCTGGGCGCTTGGATTCTTTGGGAAAAGACTGGAGATACAGTGAAGAACATCGGGGCTGATTTTCTCATCAGAGATAAATGTTCTGAGCGCATTTTGTTCTGCGACCGTGCAGTTCCGCATGGGCAAGATCCAAGTCCGAGAACAGCACACATCATCGACTATCCGTTGAATGAGAGCATCCTCCACATCACTTCTGAGAAAGTACGCCACAGGAAACTCTGCTGCGGTTCTTTTCAGGATATCTATGCTATGTGGATACTCCCGGGCCAAATAGGGGAGGTAATGTGAAACAAGACTGAGCACCGTGATGGTGACTTCCCAGCGACTTGGATGGCCATCGACGGTGAGTTGTGAGCCACTTGGGTATATCAGTTGTGTGTTGACGGCAAGGGTAACGTCACACTCATCCAAGATATCGCGGCAGGACTTGGCCAGCCAAGATTGGATTGCAACCATCTCGGCAGCCTCGTCGGCCTTCATGTCGGAAACTCGTTGCCAAGATAATCCCCGCCCTGTTCAGCATCTCATAGTGAAGCTTTTCGTATTCTCGTGTGTGATCTGAGGTTGTCGGTGTTTGTCTGGAAAATGGAACATGAGTGATTTCGCGTCCTACAAGGCCCCCAAGGCGAGACTGCAGAATTTGCGCAGTTTGCGATAGCAGCGACTTTGGAACAATGAGCCTAATCAGTCTTCTTCGATCCGCAAGTAAACACGCTACCATTGGCATGACAACAGATGTTTTCCCCTGTCCCATGTTCATTTGTAACACAGAGTTTGACTGCGAGCTTGGGGACACCATCTCTCGGGCAACAACGACTTGATCCTCACGTATCTGAATATTCGAATCCAGCTCCAGCAAAAGCCAGTCGGGGTTCTGGACAGGCTGCCAGTTCGTATGACCGACATTGCTATACTCTTGCCACATTTTAGCCCAGTCCTTTTTCGTCAAGGCCTCTTGTATCCGAAGCAGCTGCTGTAGTTTCGTAATTGCTAATCCATATAGAATGAGGGTCGCTTTCACGTTAGGATCCACCTCACAGTGCGATGTTGACCGGAGGTGTTCAAGTAGAGCCAAGGGTGATAGACAAGGCCAAAGATGGCCCTCCTGCAGCCATGGCGCCCCCGGATAGTCACACGAGAGTAGACTAGATATTTTCCCGTGCATCTGAGAAATCAACGCCCGAGCCGAAGAAATTTCGTTTCTAAGATTCGGTACTCTAATCTTGAAATCGGCATGTGGTCGTGTTTTGATCCTTTGTTCTCTGTTTCTACCCGGTGACCTAAGTGCAGCAATGCTTTTTTCCAAATCTCGAGCATAGTTGTACCGGACAGGGCACTCAGATTGCATGAGTCTCTCTATGATTTTCTCCAATTCGGTCGTTTCTGGTATATCCTCTTGGTATATCTCAACGTTCGATGGCTGACAAAAGGCAGCCCACCATTTCTGGGAAAGAGACTTGATGTGATTTCCGATGTTCTCCGAGGCTTTGGGCTTTGGGCCAGGTCTTCGTAAAAGCTCCTTCCCAAGCGAGGGAATTGTGTAAGGTCGACGCTTTGGTCCGAACACTTCACTCGGATGACAAGGAGGCACCTCAATGGTCATCTGGTAATCGAAAGATTGGCGATCAAGTATTGCTTGAACATTTCTCAAGTGGTCCGCAAAAAGCTTGTTGTTGTGTAAGCGCAACCAATCGGGAGCAACTGCTTCGATCGACTTCTCAACATCTAGGTATGTCGTCTCGAATCCGGCAGCCATTGGCCTATTGCAAGGCCACTGGGCGATGAGGAAGTCAACAAACTTTTCATGATCCACAGCGCACTTCACTTCGTGGTCTTCTTCGGCAACTTCGCTGCGGCGCTTATCACGACCTCCATGTTTCCCATTGTTCTTAGCTTGCCATACATCTTCGAAGCGAGTCCTGAAGTGCGTAGTAAGGTTCAAAAGAACCCGAGTTGTGGGCTTTGCGTTGATCTCAAATTTTTCAAACCATGTGCATTGTGGGTACTCCATATTTTTGAGATCCTCAAATAGGAAAAAGGCGACCAAAGCCCGGATCATTGTCATGTCAATGCGATTCCTGAACGCTACCACCCCCAGATGGAACATCAGGTCGCAGGAATTTTCTGGAAGACAGTCTTTGCACATGTTGACCAATCCACCCCATTCCACAGCAAGGTCGGCGGTAATGCACTCCTGTAAGACGTGTGCCGTGAACTTATTTGCGTAACCCCCGATCATCGGGCAGCCTTGTAAAGCACCTGTCAAATCTGGCGTGGTACTAATGGACAAAGGGCGCTGTATCAATAACTCCACAACCTCGCGGACATTGGAAATGCGTTGAGACGCTGATAAGCGGTCTCGTGAGATATACGGGGTATCCATTGTGGAGACCGACTGTGGGAGCATGGTGTCTGAACGCTCATAAATAGAACGTCGCCACTGGGCTCGCTCACGCAGGTGGGTTACAGTCAAATCATTTTGTTCGGCAACAGGTCCATTTTGCTTACTGAACAATGACAACCTCTCCGACTTTCTCACAATCGCTTCGACCAAAGGCTGGTAGGCATCGTGTTGAATAGCTACTGTCAAATGTGAGTCCCAGTGGACGGTCTGCTGAGACTTTTTGTCTTTCGGATAGAATTCGCGCTGAGGCGTGAGATTCGAGATAGTCTTCAGCCGCTCGTACATAAAAGGTATAGGAGACCAAGGTTGAAGACACCCAGATTGAAGACACGAGAGTGCTTCTTCGGTACCCGTTCGGCCCGTAAGCGGGTCTGGTAAAAAGGAGGATGTAAACGCGTGCAGTCTCGCTTTGATGTCCAGGAGCTGTGGCATTGGGGGACAATGCAGTCGTCCGAGCTCTTTATCAATGATGTATCTGGCATATCTACCATCGTTATCAAGTCGAACAGCAACATGCATGCCCTGTCTTCGATACCGGATTGCGCCCATGGTAGTGATTACCATGCGCTGCGAAGGGTTGCGCAGGACCAGGGAGCTTTCTAAGCCAAACCAGGTGCCGATGTCCTGGTTTGTATCTATCTCAGCATGCAGCTGCTTGAAGTGCAAAAGCTGCCTGCTGTTGACATAAAAGCTTAGGTCCATGCGCTTAATCTCAATAGACAAGCTCTTTTCTTGGGGCTGGAACACTGTTAGATTTTGAGGCTCCTCGAACCCGCTAAAGATGTCGACTATCCGCTGAAATATTGGACTGTGTGGATCGACAAGAAACACAGATCGTCGAGACGCTCTTCGTGTTGTGAGGTCAATAATCCAGTTACCGGGTCTATTGTGCCAAATCCGGGGCTTTCGTCTGATCTCAAGCCGCTTGAATCTTGGATTGAGCCAGTGAACGCAATCAAAAATCGCCGATGCTGGTAGATCGCGATCTTGCCCATTGATGAAAATGTGCCGGGGGATCAATTCTAGTATTTCCTCACGATAGACTGCTCTCACTATCAACGTTTGTCTTCGATACCCAATGTGGATATGATGATCTTTGATGCTCAAACCTAGTCTGTAGCTCATCCCAGGGAGGTCTGATGGCATGGCAAAGAGGCGCTGGTTGCCAAACAGGTCCTTGAGAGTTTCCGAGTCACTGATGTCCGATGGCAACTTCCCAAGGACCTGTCCGTTGATCAGAAAATGGCCTTCAAGCAGATGAAAGCCAAACTGCTGAGGCTCGGTACTCTCATTACCCTGCACGATCGAAATGACCCACCCTTTGTATTCGTCTTGGAATATCTCCCAGTCGCTATACTTGCGGGTGCGATTATCTGCTTCAGGCCATGCCGCATCCAAGGCAGCCTCTAGGCTCGTGGGATAGGCTGATACTGACGACAGAAGAGTGGATTTCATTCGGGCGACCATCTTGATGTCACGGACCAGCATATTTCTTGTTCCTGTTGAGAACTTTCCGAGGTCAACCACCAGACTTTCCTGCATAGCGAGTGTAGCTTCAACAAAGCACTTGAAACTCTCCGCTTTCATACCAATGCCATTGTAGGCATGTGGATAGAACGTTCTCCGGCACAACAATGCAGATAAAAAGCAAAAGCGGGCCAATCTTTCCGCAATGTCTATCTGTCGAGCATTTCGTGTCTCCTTGCGTAAGACAATAACCCATGACACTGTTACACGCCGAATCCGCAGCAAAAGGTCCTGTATATCGACAGCCAATGCTAGGGGGCCAAGAGCATAAAGTTGAATTGCCATTGTCAGCATTGTCTCCATGTATGTAGTTTCACGCCAGTTTGCGGAGATGCTTTCAACGTGCTGGTGAAGCTTCTCAATGAGCCTCCGACAAAACGCAAGATCGTTGAAGAAGGCATGGACAACTCGCAAGGTTTCGCCGTCATTTTCCGATCTAGGACCCGCCTGTAGTATGAGTTGATGCAGAAGATCAGCTGTGCCTTGGGTACTAAAATTGACATTTGAAGACCCTAGTTCAGCGAGAATCACCAGCCAGCGCCTATACTTGCCCGCTCTGAGATTCTGATGGGCGATAAATTCATGAGCAGTGAGTTCCGAAGGACACTCGCTGATACTTGCAACTGCCTCGTAAGAAGACGGGCCTGGTCCATCTGCTGTGAACTTGCTGGAGGAGTAGAGATTCGCAAATGGGCTATTTGATGGCACTGCAATTTTGAAATGATGGGCCAATGTTAGCGGTGCAGGGAAGTCTCGAACCCACACACGGCGTTTTGAGTCAAAATACGAGAACCTCAACCCCAAGGGCATTAGCACCATTCCAGGGTCGGCTGGGAGTCTTTTCCAATTGTAATGTGTCCCCTGATATGACTTGGTATGCGAGGCCAGAGAGAGCCCCTTGACATCTTTGTACTTATTGTACCTCGCGAGTGGCGAATAATCTTCTAGGAGACATTCAGGGCTTGCCGTGGGTGGTTTCTCTGCTTGCGGACAGAGAGTGTTTAAGATCTCCCATGTGGTGTTGCGGTATGCAGAAATTGCCTTCGGCATTTCCATTTCAAATGCAACAGCTCTCCTTTCAGCCACTTGACTTGCAGGTGGGAGAAAGTCCTCGTGGACTTGGATTTTCAGGCGTTTCCGTCTTCTCAGGTAGTAACAATAACTGCAGCCTCTGATATCATGACTGCCATCGTCGTTCTGCCTTTCTGTACAGGTGCTCGTGGCGCGTTTCTCGGTAAGCTCGTGGAACTGAGCATTGACCTGCTCTAACTCACTCACTTTCTTCTTCCTGGAGACTAAACACGCAGCTTCAATCTGTAACAGCAGCATATCTAAAACAGATGAATTTTCCTGGTCAAAGAATTTGTCCGCAAAACAACCTGGAGCTGGGTCTGAAAAGATGGTCGAATCACTCGCTGTTGCCTGGCTACAGCTAGCGTGGAGATGACACTGGATGCGCTGGAGCCTTTCCAGGTCCGTGAACCGCGAAAGCAGAATGACATCGAGCAAGTCTGGATTGAATTCTGGATGGAAACGTTTCAAAACAGGATAGGCAATTGTAGCTGATTTGTCCATGTCCACCCATAACTCGAACAAGGTGAGAATGAAAATGCTCATCTGTTCTGGGTCTGAGAGATAGGCATCCCCAACTAGGGTCAAGTATTGTGTAATTTCATTCGCATATGCCCGGCAGAGTCGTTCGGCGCTTGTGCGATCAACAGGGCAACTATGGGCTTTGGTTTCTATTGTGAGTTCTGCCTGAGCGAGGAGCGAATAAGCTGAAGTCAAGTCACGGAACTGCTGCGTGCCTTTAGTTTGATCGAGTACATCCCTGTCAAACGTGCGTGGCTCGAACCTCCGTGACTGAGCTTCGTTGATGACCCCTTGGAGATAGGGGCCACTGTTCGGTAGAGTTAATCGAAGGTCACCGCTCCCAGCCCATCGTGGCAGCCGTGGTATCTTTCGCGTAGACCGGGGTTTGAAAGCGTTCCATTTTGATTCTGAAGCCTTGGTTGTTTCTATCATAGACCTCTGGTACATCGGCCCCAGTACTCCGATCAAGTGCTGATAGTCATCGTTCTCTTGTTCAGTAGCCATTTTTGCCAGGCGGCGACACAGCTTTTTCTGAAGAAAGTCGCCTTGCTCGGGGGTTAGCCTGCCTGATACGTCATCTAGCAGCCGTGCAATCACTGTGCACATAAGAAATTTGTACAGCAGACGCCCCATGGATTCACCGAGACGGAGGTAGAGTAACCGCTGGATGCAGACTCGAAGAAGAAGCCAGTATGCACTCCGGCGCCAGGGTAGCTCGGAGTTATCCCAGACCACATCATCTTTAATTCGCTTGCGTAGTAGCACGGGGCTCACACGACATCCCTTGGTCTCCAGGAGTGTGAAGAAGAACTGGGTGATGATCGCAGGGTCGACGGTGTCCCTCGTCTCAGAGACCTCCACCCCAGCCTTTCTTGTCTTCGGCGTGAACTCTTCGAGTAGCTCAACGCTGGCTTTCTCGAGAAAAGAAGCCATACTTTCTTGGAAATTTGACTCTCGAAACTCACTCAGTGGCAGAGAGGCTGCTGCGCCCGGAAAGTCCCACTGCAGTGCCCCACGAGCCGCAAGTGTCTGTTCTGCTGAAGGGGACGTTTCAAAGGACTCAAAGATGACAGAATGCTCGTTGGTTCTATGTGTCCTGATGTCAGTAACTGATTCGAATCTGAGGGCGAGGTACGATGAACTCACTCAGACTGCCGTATCAATACACAAGCATTTTGCTCCACGATGTGCAAGATCAAGGCATGGTCAGGCTGTAGATCTCTGAACGCCTTCACCAGACGTGCCTTGTTGATAAAGCCATTTTCGTTGAGTGAGATACAGGTCTCTAATGATTTCTGGATGACTTTCCAGGTCGGCAAGCTTTCTGTCTTGCTGCTTTCACTGACCACTTTGACCGCATCAAGAAGCCGACGTGTCAAGTCACTATTCACATTCTCACCGCGTGGATCCTGCGTTCCTGGGAGCTGCGGGGGGAAAGCGATGTGATTATATGTGAGTTGAAGGAGGGACTGACTGTTTGCCATTTTTCCTACATTGAAATGATCTGCGTGGGGAGAGAAGGGAAGATGAGAGAAGGGAAGGTGAGAGAAGGGAAGGTGAGAGAAGGGAAGGTGAGAGAAGGGAAGGTGAGAGAAGGGAAGGTGAGAGATGGAAAGGTGGGAGATGGAACGCTGAGGAATGGAAGGAAGATGAAGAAAGAAGAGGGGGAGGGGGCAGCTTGTTGGGGGTCAGCTTGAAAAGGAAATTCACTAGCTCCGAGGGAAAACAAGGAGGGGAGTGAATGGACTTGTGGGAATCCTTTATCACGGGGTCGCCTTTGGTCGATTGAGCGAGGTCTGCAGGTATGATGAGAATTGCCCATCCAAGCTTCTAGCATTAGAACAAATCTGATCTTTTAACTCTCGTCAATATTAGTGACCAGGGTCTGAAACTATGAAGTACGTCCAACAGACTGATTGACGTCCTACACACAATTCATACGGATCTCTTTCCAATTCCAATTCCAATGCCACAAATCGTACCAAGATGGGGATCTATCGAGATCCCTGTCTTTAACGATGTCTCGGGGGATTTATGACGTCTGTATAATTCCACTAGTTGGTCAGCGTTCAATCGATTCATTAATGAAGTTGGAGGCATTCAAGGTATCTTGTGAGTTCATGAAGCCGTCCATAATACTTAGTGCACCTCTAATCACATCATAACTGTGACTGGTCCAGAGCTGCTACTCAACGATTCTGCGACCTCTCAATGCCTTTCGTGTGATACTATTCTGACTACAACGCGCACAACTGAGATTGGAAAGATTATTCGGCAGTCTTGGCTCTTTAGGTTATGGGATAGATTAAAAACGTGATCCGGCTACTTAAAAGACGTGCTTCAGGTGGCCGATCCCTGTCTTACACCGTCGGAGCCTTAGTGATCCTCTCATCACAATCACTGCCGGTTATATGCGGTGCAAAAATTATCCCTGAAACCCGTCAAAACGCACAAGACGTGATTCATAATCATGAGTGAAGATAGCAACCATGAGAGGTTGAAAGGCAATTGATGTGCAACAAAGGAAGGTAGAGGACCTGATATGGAATAAAAACGGGCAATTGATACGCAATGTCTGAATGCTAGGTTCCTTGCTCGCCGGCCGCATCATAACCGATAGCGTCATGATCTTGATTATCTTCTTTCTGCGTCGGGCACTTCCTGATTCGTCGACGCTCTTCGAGGTTTAGGATGACTCGTAGAGTTGATGGGAGGTCCGACTAATCCTCAGTCTTTGAATCTTGTTCATATGCCTCACGAGCACATTTGTATGGGTCTTCGAAAACTAGAGAGCCGCCAAGTATTGGCTTTCTTCATTGCAGGAGACGTACTAGTATTCGTGGAGATTAGGAGCACAAGTACTATACCTGGAAGCAGAAAGTTTAGCGTGTTTTCGATGTTTTCGAGCTTGATTTCATCTATCTCGGTTTTGATCCTATTGCTGAAAGCAGAAGTAAAACCAGGGGTATCGCCTTTACAACGCAGCAGGAAAGCATGGTCTACTATTTGGAAGACCACTACGTCTCCTTTTATTTCGTCATGGCGAACATGTATAAATTCCCAAAAGAATACGATACATGTGATACATCTTTCGAGTCGACGTAATATCCGAGCTTGCAGTATTCCAACATGTCCGACCATAGCTTCTTGTTGCACTGCCCGTTCTCGGTGACATTACCATCCAGTAACCACGAGAATGACGTGCCAATTTCTCTTCCAATAGGGCATAATGAAAGCGAGCGACTAGAACGTTGTGTCGCTAGGTATGACCCGTCCACGCCGATATGTGCACCCCGCGGATGGCGGGCCCGTTTAACCGTTGGATTCTGTGTGAAATTTCCCGACCACCACTCATCGCATTCGCGGACAGTCGCGGCCCTCAGAAGGTGAGACATGTGCACTTGGGCGGCAGTCCCTCGGCTTCCCACCACTCCCGTAGCTCTGCGCCCTGACGTCTGTGAGGGAATAACGTGTACTCGATCGTTTAAAGAGGATGTGGCAACAGCTTGTGATAATAAAAATGTCATTGCACTATCATCATAGCCAAATTAACAAAAGTCTGATCTCCGAAAATGATCCGTTTATGATGAGCTGAGCTTCCTTTCCCTGCATCGAATCAACGGTTGCTACGTCTAGCATCTTTTCCATTGCAAAGCGCTCACACAGCCACAGAGCGCCTCGAAGGGAATAGAATCGGGTTCCTGATACTCAGGCAGCTGAGCCCACTGGCAAGTAGTCTTATTCCAAGGACGGATAAGATAGACCGCGTAAAGGCCGGGTGGGATGAAGTAGACATTGTCCACGACAATTCCAGATCATCCGTTTTCAGGAGCCGGATTCTCCAGGTCAAACATTACTCTAAGTCGATTGTTGACACGGAGCCGTGCCTGACAGCCTTTTGGCAAACTAATAAACGTGAAATAACGACCGTTATTTATTTCGGATAATATCACAGCTAGTAGCTCGGAGTGACTTTTCTCAATGGAGGCCACTCCTCGCAAATAGGAACGGAGTTGCGGAGAATGTAGTTGGTCATAAAGCGTTTTTTCCAAAGTATCTTTATATCTTTCTGGACTTCTACCTTGTCACGCGTCTTTATATGTCACATGTGAACATAGAACTTCTCGTTCTAGATCTCTTCATCTAGAAGCGTTCAGTGGACCTCTATGGCGGTAGAAAGGTCGACCAGGTCCGTATCGGGAAGTCCGTCCGTTGTGGTGGGCGCCGCCGGTTCGCGTTCCCATACCACATACTTGTTCATCTCGGCCGTCAAGGCCCGCAGCAATTGGGTACGCTGTTCCTTGGTTATGGCCGGGCGGTCCCTGGACCGGTGGACCTTCGACACCCCGGGCATAAACATCATCACCTACTCCTCAATCTGCCGGGTCTACTAAATCTCGTCGATAGTCAAAGTGCCGACCTTGAACGGATCGCTGTCACCGTCGCTCTCGCCGCCCTCGTTGTTATCGTTCTCTGCGGCCAGCGCGGCGGCGGCCGAATCGTCACAAAAAAAACAAGGTTTTTCTGGTGGCTAAAATGCTCGCTGTTCCGACGTATATTCCGGGCGTAGTCCTGGTCAGGTGACACTGGAAAAAAGGTTATAGGCATGAATATATGTTGAATCCTATCGCAGTTGTAATTCCTACATCCTACCCGTTACAAACGTTGCGTTGAAATTGCTGTATTTCGCAGCTAAACCGTCAGGGACAGGACAGCATTCAGGAGGGATAGGTTATTTCTTTGACGGGTGGATTATTATCTGACGTGCTAATTAGTTTAGCCAATTGATGTGGTTGAGGAATAGGTGGGCCTAGTTAGATAGACGGGCGACTGCCGCATTATTATTTTCTATGCCGCTGCTGCTGTCCGCCTGTCTAGTCTAGATCCAGAGTTCGAAGTAGAATGGGAAGTCTAGCTGATGGATCAGGTACAGCTAAAGACGAATTTCAAAAATATGATGTTGTGTGTCGCCTAGAAATTTATACGAAGATTGGCCACTGTTGATAATCGGGTTAGCTGGTGAAAACCGCAGGACTTAGAGAGTATATAGAGACTTACTGGAGGCATCAGGGCTGGAGACAGCGAGAATAACCTTGAAAGAGGTCACCATGGTGTCTTTGGGGGCTTTAGGGACACTGTCATTAACCCGCCACGTCCGGCTTGACCATCCTGGGAGTGCTCTGTTTGGATTGGACAATCTGTGCTGTGGAGGATGTAACAATGGTGATGTCCTTTCCATTATATTCTCCGTATGCGTAGTTTGGTTGTATCAAGTCGATACAGAACTGTGGACGGTTGAACGGCGCGCGTCATCATATCGAGACTTGCAGGGTTCCTCAATTTCGCATGATGAGCCTTCGATGCTTATTGCAAACTAACCCAAATCAACAATAAAGGTAGAACGTTTGAAGTCAGGCATCCCTCATATTGACATTGAGAAGCTGCTATCCGCTTTAATTTGTTCCGCGCTTGTCTGTCTGCGCAGCTCTCCATTGTAAGCTCTCTTGTTTAGTCACTGGAAGAAAGCATCTCTGTATAGAATCTTTCTTTCTCAATTTGAAAAATGGGTGAGCTGTCTATAGCAGTTTGGCTGGATGTGACAATCCCAACTGCTGGCTGAACTCGTTACCTTGTTCTCCATGTCCCGACAGAACCGTTCGTTGTAGCTGGTAGCCATCTCCGCAACTGACTATCGCCATAATTCTTAGAGCATCGGCGAGCTTAGTCACAGGTACAAGTTGAATTTGCCTCAAACCCTTTGAAAGCCCTGTCCTAATGACAATGATTTGCGCGGCATTGTGTCTGAAGTTAGAGGCCATCAAGCCCTCGCCCTCGTTGTTTGTTGAAACTAGTAGACGTGTGTCACGAATGACAACTTTTGACGCTGTTTTAAAAGCCCAGAGAGCAGTCTTCCTGTTAGTATGTTCGAGCTGTCGGTATTCGTTCCGTTGTAGTTTATCCGCATAGTCGCAGAGAAGCGCAATGCGTCGACTTCATCGCCCTCCGGAATAACTTCGCCGCTTTCGATACTCCCAGCCCCATCGGACTGTACGATCCTGACTTGCTCTTCAGATGGGGCATACCATTGTCGTTTTTCTCTGGGCAGATCCCTTGTCATGCACTTTTGCTTCTAGTGAGTTATTCTTCTGAGAATAGCTTCGTTATGGTTGCCTGCACGGTAGCTTTGACGTATTGATTGAATGATTTTGATCATGCCAGGGGTTTTCAGCGTCAGGAGTATTTTCGGCTGCATCGTTTAAGTTAATAGCGGTATCCGCTATCCGATTTGACGGCCCAATTGCAGTTGATTGCTCCCACATTGCCCTGTTCACATCGGTTCTCGCCTCTACCCAGCTGATCCGTCTGTGAGCGATGTTTCTGACTTCCTTGGCTTTGACCCGGGTTCTGACGGTGCTTGAGGAGATCCGCGAGTTCTGCCATTCCATCGCACTGCGACTTTCTCCCTGATCTTCCTGATCTTGCTGAGATGAATTTCTGTCAAGATAGCCTGGATGACGTTCTTTGCCTCTGACCACTGCTCACCCAGGGACATTGTATGTACTATATGTCACGCGAAACTGATGGAAGACACGCAACAGTTGTAGAGGGCTATACCAACCACCTCTGAGGTCCCCCCCTTTTGTCATTAGCGTATTTATCATCTGCAATTGAATTCTGCAATGGTGGCAGTCATGAGCTCGGTGGTTCCTTCGTCGGTGTATAGCAGGCCCGATGTGGCACTGCTCCACTAGTAACCCAGCGCACTCGCTATGCCGCCTTTTCTTTCGTGTAATCTTGTCAATAACTTTGGACCCACTATTGTGGATGATAATTGCTCGGCGCCGATTGTATCGGCTGGGTTTCGACATTAGAGTGGGTGGCATGCGCGATTCTGTTTACAGATGAGTTCTAAAAAGAAGTGTTTTCCTTCTAGCTGGAGCTGCAATGACTGCAGTCGACTGGAGAGAGGGTGTCGGCTTATGTTTGATAGCTACTCCATTACACCAGTGATTGCGGAATGCCCGACTTTTCGGTAAAGGACGGTAGACCCTGAATAGTTTCAAATTTGTCCGCGACAGAGTTTCCTACTTCTGTATTCCTTCGCAATTGACATCGGCTACAAATGTGTCGGTGCAATTGTTATAACGTGAAGACCCATTGACACGCAGATCGACGCGAATCCAGTAAACTGAGCGTTTTTCCTGTGCCCGGATATCCTTAATCATTGGAAAGCTGTCTGAAGAGCTTCCTCCCCATTTCTGACAAACATAGGCGCTGTTCCTTAAGCCGATGGATTCCTTGGAACCCCAAATCCCGTTCTGACCACAATTCCTTGATCACTTTATCCGACATTCGAAGCGCTGCGTGAGGGTCGTTACATCTGTTCCACCCCACAGGTGATACTCCTAGTTCAACGCTAGACTCGCTATTCCGGCAGGGTGTGTCTCCGATTTGTGCAGTTCATTGATTGCATCCACCTCCCTTTGCACCAATGATCAACATGGCCAGACGCAGTGCAGGGAGTAGCTTGAGTGTCTTTCCCACTTCGTCAACAAGTAGGGCGTCTCGGGTGGTGATGTGAAAAGCCATCCCGGATGGATAAGACAGCCAATGTTTGCTGTACAAATACCGTAGCATTTGTCGTCCCAGAGTTGCTGCTTGCGAAGAACCCTGAAATATATACAAGCCCCGTTTCCTTCTGTCAGAGTCCAATGCTCGATATTCAAGTTGTTATTACCACCTCGAGTAGCCTTAGGCATTCTGAGCTTCCACAAAGCTAGGAGGGCGGCTTTGCTCGTCAGAATGAACGCCACGTTGTGCTATTGAGCGGTAGTGAAGACTTCGACTTCAACGCATTACAAGAAGCCGTATTATCTGGTCAAATGGTTGGGATATCCGGAATACAAGAACTCGTGGGAACCTGAGTCAAATCTCGCGAATACTTCAGAGCTTCTGCAGGAATTCAAAGATGCAGAAAGCCGTCATTCTGCACTGAAGGCCCAAGGGGTCGAAAGCCCCGCAAATGATGTTTTCTCCCACAGGGCTTTTCATCACGAGCGGTAGGGCATCCCTTTCTCCATTGCCCACGAGGTTGGAGTTTTAATGGCACACTTGAAGCGACGAGTTTATCAATGTCCGAGACGAGAATTGGGCCGCAGCCCCTTTTCAATTCAAAACAAAGAAACGAACGAACATAAAAACGTCTTCAAGACGACTCAACACGGCCAGCCCCCTGATGGGGCGGCACTTCCATTTCCTCCTCCGGTAAGGGCCGAGGCCCATCTTCACACGTTCCAAATTGCCGAGACGGAAGCACTTAGCATATGCGAAGATGATCTGAAATTCGTTCACTGTCAAGAATTTAGTTCGGCCGCGAAAGGTAACTAAGCCTTGGCTCTTCTCTGCGGCTTGCTTGCGCGAGATAAATCGGCCCCATTAAGTAAGTGGAGGATCCCGCTGGCTGTGATATGGAACCGGCGCTTGCTTTCCTCGGCTTAGGTCTTTTTCGAATGCGTCAATTATATGTGGGGGCGGTCCCTGTCTTTCCAGATTCCTTCGCACGTTTCGAATATGATTCTGAGGTCTGTGGGAAGTGTGAAATCTTTGAGTCTCGTGGCTCGGATCCATTCTGGACCGAGGTAATGAACCTCGTGTATCTCGATTGCTCTCAGTGTGTTCGAGAACTTCATCTGCCGAACATTCTCTTGTTGCGATGTTTTCGATATGGTAAGGGCAGGCTTCGAAGACGGAGTAAACACAAGTTTGTTCTGGTTATGAACAAGGGGCTGAAGAATAATCTTCCTGTTGACGCAGCCATCTTCGATTCTGAAACAAAATCCAATGTCTGTGAAAGAAGATGACCACTCTTCTTTTCAAGGCACAGTTGCTCATTGATGTAGACGTGCTCGGCCTTTCCAATGTGTGCCTGGAATATCTTTTGAAGTTCATATTTGGCAATGCGAGTGGGAGCAATCGTCGTTTTACTTCCCAGGCGTCTCCTAGCGTCCTCCGTCATGGTTTTAGGAACTGAACAACAGAGTTCGACGTGCGCTTAGGGTAGTTCAATGATGGTGGCTCTGTGGAACTACCCAGTTTCCTTTACCGGGTGGATTATGGAAAGACGTATCATCATGTTGTGAATCTTTTTCAGCTTATCGGCAAGCTTTGGATTCGTGCCGAATTTCCTTTCTTGATTCGAATACATTTCCATATTCTCTCAAGGCGAGTGATAAGACAAGACTTCAAGTCTACTTGCCCGCAACTTCCAGCACCTGAGAGAGTAGCTCAATATGTCGTCCGGCGACGTATCGAACGGGATACCCAAAAGTAGCCATATATGAGGCTTGCCTGGTATGTCTTCGATACTTTAAGCCCGTGGTATTTGGCGTCCGCTTTTGGCCTTATAGGCTGGGTCCATCATCACGTGTGCAACATACGTCGCTATAATGAGCATCTTCCTTCTTGCCTCTTTCTGTTTCGGCGGTTGATGCGCTCGTATCCCTTCGCCTTCGTACTGTCCTTACGGTCGACGTATGGAATTTCATTCTTGTGCTCTGGTCTCTCGAAAACAGATAGGACCACACTTTCGAAAGTCGACAGGATAACGAGCCCCCTTGATTTGGAAAGCACACACCTACTGGTGACACTGCAACGTTTTGGCGCTCATCGGTGATTCCAGGTTCCTCGCTGCAGATGCACTCTCTTTCAAGCATGACAATCTGGCAGATAACGGTCAGATCGGGTACATCAATTTTCAAAGAAGCGTAGATACAACGACAAGGCTTGCCCGTTTCTGGGTGATTGAAAGGGATATCAGACTTACCTGCATCCGAGGATGATGTGGATTGCATGCCACAATGAGGCTTGAAGTTGTTCAACGAGCACTATACCTTAAAACTGTAATCGATAATGTTTACTGAAGAGTCATGGTGATGGAGATGTAGGAAAGTAGGTGGAGAAGAGACATAGAGAGGTGTGAGGAAGAAGTAGGATCGTAGCGGGGGAGGATGATGTATATATACCCACTCTACAACATTCACAAAACAGCTTCATGGAGCAGGACGAATAAGCTTGGAGGAGATTTCCCTCAGTACGTTTTCATCTATCTTTCACATATCACTAGTATTTGATGGTCAGTGAAGAGGAAAGGGCTTCAGATCTTTTGGTATTCCTTTTGTCCCTGCTGCTGTCATTTATCTCCCTTGAATTCTTTCTGACTGATGGTGAATTTTATTCTTCGCTGCCTTCGGTGAGTCAATTTCACTAATCTATCTTCACCCAATGGCTTGATCACTGTTTATTACCCTGACAAATTGAATGGTTCTCCCGGGGAGTACGTTTTTCGACGCTGAATGATATCAAGAAGCAACCGTAACTCGGCCTATCCTGATGAACGTGAAGAAAACCGGGAATTACGCCCCCGATGTAGTCTACCCAATAAAGTGATCGTCTAAGTACGCTTTTCACTGAAGTAGTCAGAAGCGTATGCCAAATGCCAGACAACTAACGCAGTCAATGGAGCCAAAAAGATACATTATGAAGTAAGATCATAAAAATGGAGGGAAGTATATTGCACACCAGCCACACTTCTACTACCCCCTTAGGGTTAGGGCTCGAAAGCCAGCAATTTCGATGGAAAGAAAGGCAAAACAACAGTATTTGGAGGGCAACAACTGAGTATGCACAATAGGTGGCCACTCCACTAGATACTCCAAGCTTCTTGTGCTACATTCATTCCGAATTGTACAAGTTTCATATCGTGATCCCAACGCAGAGCACCATTCCAAATTCACAGGGTGGTTAGTCACGTTTACGGCTTATGAAGGGCTGCAATCGAAAAGTTTTAACGCCCCTTGGAGTGAAGATCAGTAGTGACTTACTCGAACTAGCAACAAGTATCGGCCGAATCTACCACACAGGAGTACTCGGCGGAGCTCACCAGACATCCTTACAGAGACCGGAGCGCTCCGTAGGGCGTCGTCAGACCAGCGACGATCCTTTCTAGAACGGAGTGTTGCCAATAGTTACTCTAAATTATATTGGGCCCTTTCCCGTTCGGGTAACCAGATGTCCCGATTTGTCAGGCATCCAGCGAGCCCTGTCGTTAGTGCCTTCGCTTAGGGTCGACGGGGAACTGCCCCTGGTTTCGTTTCAGGTCGATATAGTTTATCCGTTATCGGGCAAACATCAGTCCATCTCTTGTTTTGCTTGTGTCTTTAGTATAATTTTTTTTCTTTTTGTAAAGATCTGCGTTACTGTTAGAAGACAGCTTAAGGATACTTGGAACGTTGGCATAAGTTTTTCCATTTGGCGTGATTGATGAAAACGATTAGCTGAATTATATATAGTGATCCAATGCGGGTTGCGAGATTTTGATCTAAACGAGCTGGAGTCGTGCGCACAGCGGAAGAAAAACAATGTAGTGACTGGTACTGAATGCCTAACAGTCAGGACCTATCCGCCCAGCTCAAGTTGGCGACTGTTCCGAAGATAACCAGATCTAAAATTCGTGGGCCCGGTGCCGAGCCAAGTGCCGTTTCATAGCTCCAGTCACACCGGACGATCTCTTGCTCTTGGTCATCATCTTGACACTCTCCCAGTAGTCGCTGGTGCCGTGGGACGGGTCGCTGTCCTTGGCGTCCTGCGCGTCGCACAGAGAACCCTCGTCGCCCGCTCCGTTGGGGCCGGAGAGGCGGAAATAGTCGCGATCGTTGGAAGACGCATCCTTCACCATGTTCTCGGCAGCCTCAGGGAGCCATCCGTTGATGAAGTCGCCGTGAGTGCAGTAAGGCGAACCGCAGGCGAATTCAAGCGGAGGAGTGCCGGACCAGCCTTCGGGGAGGATCTCGCGCAGGTCGTAGCGGATAGAAAAGCGGACACGGGGAATGCGAGACATGCCGATCGGGCAGCGGTTCTCTCCGTAGTTGTCCACCCAGTTCGGGTTGGCTGAGTAGGCGTACTCGAGCGTCTCGGGGTTGGCGCAGTCCGGGAACAAGAGGAGCCCTTGCAGATGGTCCTTGCAGGTCTTGGTTGGGAAGGCCGCGTCGTCTTTGTCTTCGTCTGTGCTCTCGCCGTCGCAGAACCATTGGATACCCGCATCGCTGGGCACACCCTCCTGGGATGTCGCGGTGGCGTTGCCGGCGAGAAGCTTCAGGTTCTGCGGGAGAGGGATCTCGGCGCTGTCGAGCTCTTTGTAGTAGGCGCTGAATCGGAAAGGCCTGAGCGCGGTGTAGTTGGACCCGTTGACGTGGTAGAGGGTAGGGACCCCTGTGGTTGGGTTTGATCAGCAACGGCGACAAAAAAGACACGGCAAGGCAACTTACAATAGGCCGAGAAGTCATTGGGGTTCCGGGCTGTCGAGCAGCCCTTCTGCAGCTCGGCAGAGGTGTTGGTATGGGCTGTGACGGCGTCCGAGCCGAAGAAACTGTGCATGTGGCTGGTATATTCGCCAGGAACAACCAGAGGGTCAATGTTCTTCAGCATGAACATGTCGACATTGGTCACAGTGTAGGCCTGCGCGAGGCTTGCTGCCAGAGCAGAGGACAAGACGAAGGAACGCATGGTAGAGAAACGAGGGATAGTTGTGGTTGTCAAGGAATGAATGGATGAATGAACGGAATAGAAAGAACGAAAGAAATGAACGACCGAACGCACACTCTGCTGCAGAAGGACGAGAGATACCCTCTTATAAGCGAACGAGCCCGCCCGTTGATCAGCCTATCCATAACTCCTTTTGACGCTGTCGGCGGGTAAGGTTGCGATGCCGTGGGAGGATGAGGACTGGGTGGGGATGGCGTCAAGACGTAGCGCGGGGGCCGGGCATTTTCCGCCGAATCTAACGCGAAGCCAAACCATGCCACGAGGCTTGGAGTCTGCGCTGTAGCCCCAATCGGAAAGGATCATCTCCTCGCAGTGACGCGTTCTGGAGATCGAGATGCATAGTCCTGGTGACGGCCGTTAAGATGGAGCCCCGTCCGCCAGTTTAGTGTTTCACCTGCGCATACTTGCATCAGGGTTCACCGGAATAAACTCGAGTCAGTTAGTGAAAGGGAAGTCTGCCATACTCATTTGGAAGCATTTTGTATGACATATCGGGCACAAGTAACTAGATGCCTAGGGACCTCTCCTCTTTTTTTCTCCTTTCCATTCCATCACAGAAACCGGCACCCCCTTTCCACCATTGTGGATTTTTCTGGGGCCTGTGCGTTGCTGGCTTCCTGTGTCCGAACACCTGTTTTTCGGATATGGTGCATTCAGAAACGTGGACCCGAGTCATAACATCGATGAAACGGAAGAAAGGTACATGAAGTTGACCTCTAGTCACTTGTTGTTGCGAAACTAAGCCAAGGTTTAGATCCCGGATGTGTCGTTTGACGACAGGAAACCGAGGTAGTGCTTGTAGATATTGTAATCCGATCACTCGCAGTTCCAGTAGTCAAGTGTGCCGAAATCGCTCATATTGTCCTCGGCGCTAGCCAAGTTCTTACTGTTCTTTGCAACTTACGTCAAAATCGCAGATGGGACACGAATCGGACCTACTCATTGGAGGGAAACGTTCTTTCTCTCTTGATGGATCCGGTAGCCCCTATCCCGGGCCATATTTTCACTAAGAGAAAGTTCGAGTTCTCAAAACTTCACTTTGTGAACCAGCCATAGTGAGCCTCCGTTCCCAGAACTCTGTCCTTTTTCGGGATTTGGGATTATCACAATGGCCGTTGAATTCATCGTCCCTGAATCCTTGGGAGGTGAGCCATATAGCTATATCATCACGACCCCACACCCTCCAACCCGATATCTCGAGTGCTAGCATTCCTAATTTGCTTGGCTGATAACTCAGGAACACCGATAGGGAGATGGGGCTTTATCCCGCCCATTTCTACTGGACACACGAGCTCATACGATGAATTTCCACCAAATGAACTGCCCTTCCAAAACGACTGTCGAGCAGATATCCCGTTAACTAGGTTTCCCATCGGCCTTCACAACAAACAAACACATACTATCTATTGTTGATGATACTTTTCTGCACTGAGGCGATATTCGCAACAGATGGTATCCCGTGGTCAGGAGAGCAGAGAAGCCGAAGAGGCAGCTCCCTCGGCCAGAAAAAAAAGAGCCATCGGCTATACGAGCACCATTTCGATGATCATTCGAACACGCGCGATTTAAATAGACATAAGGCATTACCTTGGTAGATACAGCACATTAGCTCAGACACGTGGAACTATGATCTTGGTTCATGGACCCCTAAATACGTCCTCTCGCCGCAAGAAACCTACTTTAGGTAAGATAATCCGAAGAAGAGGTTGCATACAAAGATAAATAAGCTGAAAACGTTGACAAATTCCCATGAACGGTGTTATTTCCTCTTAATTCAGTCATCTCCTCGGTTCCCTCTGTATCTTACCGCAGATCGTGAACGTTCGATCTCATTCTGCGTCTTCTTCATCTCCGTCTGCATTTTCGTCCACATCTTCGTCCACATCTTCGTCTGTGATTTCCATACCCCTCACCTCCTCTGGAACGTCCTCATAGCTTCCATCATTCTCAAATATCTCGATCAAAATGACCGTGATGTTCTCGGGGGTATCATAATATACTGGAAATAGATGGCCGCCGATCCCCACAATATTTGGCAGAATGGTCTCGTTGGCCTGGCTACCCATAAATCCGTCGACTGCGGTAGCATTGACTTCCTCACGGCTTTGGAGACGGGAACATTGACGATTCCGCCGACAATCAAACCAAAAGGAGCCCCGAGCATTGCCCAATGCGGCACATTGATTCAATCCCCTCACTGATTTCTGCACCGATCCGCAGTCGTTACTTCCCTTTAGGCGGCAGACGTTTCCGATTGCAGTTGTTGGCAAGCCGCGGAATTTGGCAGAGGAGAAAACGGACTGGCGGTTTGGCTTGACATTGCAGCATTGGAACTCCCGAATCCCACTGCAAGTAACATGGTTACCCTTGCATGTTGCGGTTCGGTAGTGCTCGATAGTCACGGTGGAGACGAAAGGGGAAAGTAGAAATAATATGAAGACGAAAGTTGCATGCAAGCGCATTGTGGATAGGTTGAGGTGGATATGGGCAGGCTTTTGCAAGTAGACTCTCAAAATAGTTTCCAAATGGCCCTTGGCGATGACCTGGTCAGCTTCAACTGAGAGAACAGGCTATTTATCCTGTCTGGTCCACACTCCATGAGGGCACATACCCATACGTAAACCCATGACGTTTTGGCCACAGCATACGCATGTCTTTACCCGTTCAGCTATGCACAACTTCGTATGCCCACAGGGATGATTTGGTTGCATGATGTCTCAAGCGACTCGAGGACAGCTGAGGTGATACAAACTTGCGATTCGGTGATGGTGACTGGGATATCCCCAGCGTCGGAGTGATTTGCATATCATCATTGCGAGTCCGTGTAGCTCTATAGCTTTCTTAGCGACCTAGCTCAAGGGCCACAGACCTGGAAACATGCTCACCTGAAGAGCTGCACTCCAGCTACCGCGGCAGCCTAGTTGAATACCTCCATTCGGTCGAGAGCCACATGGGCGTATGCAGACCGAAGGAGAATTATGAGTGAGTCAGTCTGGAAAATCGTTTGGTTTCCCGGAATGTTCATGTTACACAACTCGGTCATATTCGTGGCTTATAAAACCCAGTCGCTGCTTCCCGCCCTTCCACTTCTGACTCTTCGTCATCCTCCCACAGCCCCTCCTTTGACCTCTCACTCCACGCTTGAACATCTTGGCCTGAAAGCAGTTATGACTTCGGAAATATCGCCTACAGATAATTCAGAACAGTCTTACCACCCGGGTGACGGCGTTGAGCGTTGCATAATCGAGGGTCACCGGTTCGAATTTGACGACAACGTGCCAGACGAGGTACGCGACCGTATGAGCGACCTCTCTGCAAACGATGTTAAATTCGCCGATGTCCCCGCAGAGTACCTGAAATACGAGGTCAAGTACGACCCATGGGCTGAGATAGACAACGTCATCATTGATGGACATGTGTTCGCCGTCAACTATGACGTCCCCGCCGACGTGTCTTCTGCGCTGATCGAACTGGCCAGGCGTCCGGGTGTGCGGTTTGAAGACGTTCCAAGAGATTATAGGAAGTATTACGACTCTCGTGCCGGCTGGGTTAGAGACGAGGATTTCCCCGCCACAGCTATCACCTACTGCCAAGGTGACACCGATCAAGGTATATCTCCCTCCCAGTTTTGTGTCTGTGCAACTCAGACTAGGCAACGCTGATGTCGGGTAGGCCAATCGAGCGAGATTAACGACAAGGATGAACATGGAAAGGGAAATAATGATAAGGGGTCGCAGGAAGTGAAGTCAGAGAATGACAAATGATTTCAGTCGATTTTCTGTCTGCCTACAAGGGCCACATCTGTCATATTGTTCAACGGTCGTACAAGAATGCAGTCAGCCATGCTTCTCTGTCCATATTGAGATCAACTACCCATGCAGCATCCTGTTTAGTTCGTAGCGTACCCTCAATCCTACCAGAAATCCACTGTACTGTTGTCACTCCTTCCTCATTACACGACATCTTCCAGCTGGCCCAACCTCCCAGATATTCATCATGACGTCGAAAAACGATCCAAAAATGTCTCTGCATAGCTTCCCTTCGTTATCCACTTTAGCAGGGTCCTCTCGATTCCCCGATCCCAAAATTGTAGGCCTCCTCCCCAGAAACCTTGAACCAGGTAGTGTATGTCCGGGGTTTTCTCGAACTGGAAGAAAGCCCACGCTGGCAACCCAAGTCTCACAAGAGATATGCCTAGCAAGATGGCATAAAAGTGAGACCAAAGGATGCCCCTAGATGCCATTACAGTTGCTGTGAGGGGTGATATAACGCCACCGATACCGTAAGCTCCCGTAAAGCAACCAAGAGCTGTGGTGAAGCATGGGAGGTTTGCACAGAAAACGTTGTTGAGTGCAATACTAAGGGCCATACCGAACCCAAGGAGGAAGAATCCAACCACAACTGCTGGGAAGGGTGGGTAACGGGTTATGATTGTGTATCCGGAGGCCAGCAAGCCCATAGGAAGCGCGTAGCTTTTTCAGTGGTCGAGTTTCGATTCGATAGCATGTGTGAAAGGTGCGGCGAAAATTAATTCTAGGGCCTTTGAGATGGATTTAATGCATACAATGGCATATCCTATGTGATAGTCCATTTCAATATATGGGATCAAGGCTGGGGCGAACTGTCATTCATGCCGTTGCCGAAGTTCATGAGGCATGCGCGCAAGTTGCCATTTCGTTCCCTGGTGTAAGAACGGCCTTTCACGCTCTGCTGTCGGGGCGCTGTGTACTACAGATGTTAATATTGTCGAGAGTTCGGCGGTCTCGGGTTGACAGCCCCTCAGGAGAGCTTGCATGGGTGATGGCATCTGCAGTAGTTCCTTGGTCTAACATTGGCCTCGGAGGGGTCTGAGCCCGTTCCAAGTTCAGTGATGTAGTCTTTTGGGGCATGATAATTGGTACTGCGAGGAGGTGCAGAAAGAGTGATGGAGTAACTGCGACATATTTTGGCAACGGTTTGATCCTATATGACTAGACGCTTAAGCGCTGAGATTACAGATTCAAGATGTTGACGGCTCCACATACCCTCAGGATTTATAAGACGCACAGGTGAGGTCGCATCCTCACTTCCAAGAAATAGAGTACTAGATCGAAAAATCGAATTAATATCGAGGGCTGTCGGGATAGATCCTAGAACGCCCTCATAAGGTAAAGCAAACCCGATCGGAGTCACCCATTTTTACCGCATAGAGAATAAATACTTCACGTGTCTAGGAATTAAAATCCAGCTCTTCAACATCAGCCTTGGTCTCATAATATCCCGGCTCTTTGATTTTCATCTCTAGCCTCCACACTCCGGACGCGAAGTCATCATCGTCGAACCAGATAACGTCTGATCCAATAACAATGCTGGTGTTGGCCCTTCTAATAAGTTAGTTTGGAGGTTTCTATGATGATCATATCATTGCTCGAAGTTGAGGTTGAGAGATCTGAGTTGGCTTGCTATCCTGCTATTGGAGAGTCTGGTCAGCTACCATAGGACTGCACGATATGCAAGGAGATCCCAGGAGTTTGATTGATTTGAAAGAACATATGGTGGATGCACAAAGTCTTGCGAGAACATTATCCAAGACAAAATACAACGTTGGGAGGTAAATCATGGCTGCTGTTCAGAAAATTCCGACCGCGAGTATAAGGTGCTTTTGACCCTCTGGACGGTATTGAAAAGGCTGGCACGACGTAGCTGTAGGGCACCGGGATCCTCGCTGTGAAAATTCCGTCCCATTGTGTCGGTTCTCCCTATGAGACGATCGACTGATCATTGTGATGACTGGCGAAGGCAAAGTTTACCATTATAGGGATCACCATGATCTGTGTGAACTAGCAAGTCGGGCCAATCCAGGTTGCCTGGTTGAGAGACTGTCTAGAGAACGCTTGTGCATGCACTATTTGCCCAGCGTCAACCTTAATCCTCTTGAATCATAACTTGGGAAATATCGGGCTATAGAATGACTGACAATCATCGGCGACCTAGTTTCTCCCAAGAATAGGTGCTCCCGAAGATCCCCGTGCGCTTCATAGTAGTCCCCGAAGCCAAAATAGTGTACAGTTTCAAGCTGTCAGTGTGTTCTGCCAAAACTATAAAGGCGATTCGGTGTAATGGTCAAGAAGAAATGGGCGATGGGGGGGAACATGGCAGGGCGCGATAATTTGTTTGGGGCTACAGCAAACGCGGTCAGGCCCTCAGGCCGACCCTGCCGGTCACGAGTTCCCTCCAATTCTTCCTCGTATTTCGGCAATTTCATCCTTCCCGCTTCTCCATCTCGTACCATGGATGGCCCAGATACGTAACATCCAACTGCCGACTGCAGGTGTCCTTGCAAATCCACGCACATTACGATGGCACTAATCGACACTAATTATTAGTTTAACTCAATAACATCCCTCTACGGTGTACCTTCTCCGCGGCATGTCTCCGGCCATTCAACGACCATACGTCGTTAGATCGTCAGAGCCTCAAAAGACCAACGAACTGTATCTGCGATTCGATCTGCGCCTAGGCACCCTGTACTCGTCCACAGTGTCCAGGGGCTTACTCCGGAGTAGGGGGTTGTCCGGCATATCAAGCACCGCCTGCCTTCGCACTAAGGGGTGCTAAATGGGACCTCCAAATTAGAGCGTGGCGAATAGTCAAGCTGCAATAATCTCGTTGACAGCCTAGCTTGGCGGAAAGCGATGGATTCCCCACCGGGACTTATAGAATTATCCACAAGGGTGGGTTACCTCTGAAATCGCAGTCAACGATGTATGAGTGGAAGGCAATCCAGCCTTTGTCGGAGATACTCATGATTCAGTGATGCACGAGTTGCTACCAGGATCAAACCATTGGAAGATCGGCATTTCTATACGGAAGATGGAACCTTTGGCTGATGTGTGGGCATTTTAGTCGACGCACGGCGCCGGAACGATTCCTGCCTGGCTCGGGTGTGGGGCGTGATCGAGGATCTCGTGTGGAATATGCACCAAGCCACGCACCATCTACAAGCCCGTCGTCGACGGAGTATGCATCAATATGCATCCCACCTACCAGCTGGATCGTCAGTCCTTAAACTTTGGAATGCCCCATACATCAACCAGAATGTGCTCCCCTTTTCAAGCGAGTTTGTGCGAAAAAAGCTTCCTGTGAATCTCTTGGCAGGGACGAAACAAGGCTTTAATTATGGGTTGACACCCTTGGCGATGGAGCTTTGTCTTTGCCAACCATTCGAGTGTTCGTTCGTTACCCCCGACTGGCCTCTTGTCCACAACAATCTTCCATACAGCGACCCCCACCAAGCAATGAGCAATGGTCGGCCTAGCACGAATGTTACACATGCTTTACAGTGAGGATGCTGGTGCTTCACATATCGCGCGTCGCGAGGCTACTTCCGACTCTCAGTCACTGAGTAGCAGCGATAGGGCGGGCTTCATTGCCATGGGAGTGATCGCCATTCTTTCTTTTGTTTCAACACTCGGTCTATTGTGTTTTCTTTCCTACCGGTTCATGTTTTGGCGGAAATACTACAAACGACCCCTGGCGGAAAACCAGTATGTCGTGCTTATTTACAATCTGCTCTTGGTCGATATCCAGCAGGCTACGGCATTCTTGATATGTCTTCACTGGGTTTCGAAAGGAGCTGTCTATTATCCTAGCGCCGCCTGCGTACTTCAGGGTTGGTGGATTCAGGTCGCTGACCCTGGGAGTGGATTATTCGTCCTGGCAATTGCGATGCATACCGGTGCGGTCGTTTTGCGAGGCCGACAACTACCATTTAGGGTCTTCGTTACTTGCGTCGTCGGACTCTGGGCCTTCATCATAATGTTGGGGTTGATTCCCGTCGGAAAGTTTACCTCCAATACATTTGTCATCTCCGAAGCCGGATGGGTATGTGAAAATCTGAGGGTCAAGCGTTCATGGAACCCTATGCTAACAGCCTCCATTCTTTATAGTGCTGGATTGGTCGAGAACATGAGACGGCACGCCTCTGGGTTCATTACTTGTGGATTTTCATCGCCGAATTCGGAACCATCGTCATCTACGGAATTATGTTCTTCTATTTACAGCGTCGTATGAAGCAGGCTGCGATGCTTCGGCAAAACCATCAGGAAAATTTAAAGCGTCTGAATCGAGTCGTCATTTACATGGTTATCTATCCTTTGGTGTACCTTGTTCTTTCGCTTCCATTGGCAGCCGGGCGTATGTCTACTGCCCGACATATCATCCAGAGCCGCACATACTTCGCTGTTGCTGGATCTCTGATGGCACTTTCTGGCTTGGTCGACGTGCTCGTTTACACTCTGACCCGTCGACACCTTCTCCTCGAGACGGAAATCAGCACTTCGGACAAGATGTATCCTTACTCCAACTCGAACGCGTATCAAACGCATATAACAACCGCAACGAGAGAGAACAAACGGTTTCGTGTCGGATCTCGCCTCCGTCGTGGACTACAGAGTGTCAACGATACCGTCAACGACGACCGTGGTGATTCGACCGAAGACATTGTTCGCAAGGGCGACATGGAGCTGGTCGACATGGGCCATGGTGTGTACCAGGAGACGACGATTGAGATTTCGCATGAACCAGCAGACCCCGAAGAGTACCGGAGAGAGCGCAGAAGCGAGTAAGCGATGATAATGTGAGATGATACCTTACTGATACAATCTTTCTAAATATTCTTCGTGAACATTGGCTAAAATTTTGTTGTCTGAGTCAATGTCTTTCAATTTCTCTGCCCTCCCTTCTCTCTTTTTTTCCTTTCCTGTCTTCTTCTAATTTCTTCTTCCCTGTCCTTCATTATACCCGATGAGATTTTTCCTTTAATCATGCCGTGATACCTATACTAGTCTAATAATTCACTTGTTACGAGATGACAACGACCACGACACCTATCCCATTTTCTTTTATTAATTCGAACTAGTACAACTAAATCGGCGCCTCAACTAACATGACAAAATGAAAAGCCCCTTCATCGGAACCCAAGCGCCCAGTTCCACATGGACGCAATTCAATCATTCTTCCGGCATAACGATCTACATTGTCTCCACTTTCGTCAAAGCTTGTCCACGCAACTCGCCAAATCAAACACCACTGCCAGCGCATCACTGGACCTCGCCATCGCCTTTCTTAGCGGGACCCATCCTGTCGGTTCACGGTGTCTCAATTTCCAATCATTCGGATGGCCTGGACCTGCTATTATTGACCTTCCCAAAGGAGCAATTCCTGTATCCAGTAAGCCTCACGTCGAGCGCTCGCTTTTCCATTGGTTCTCTAAAACCTACCTAAGCCCTTTCTGCTGTGCAGTGTCCACTCTATACGAGACCACAGTCAAATATAGATTTGGCCCCCTTCAAGTTTTCCTAATCGAGTTCTCCTTTTAAGCTCGCTGCACGTCATTCTTGTCGGTGTTTAATTTAATATTAACTCGGCCTGCGTCGGGTTCCAAATCATTTGCCTCGTGTCCTAGAGTCAGAGCTGCTGCTACTCCGGGTCCTAATGGGATTCCTTATCCTCGGGTTTCGGGCTGTGCCGCCCGATGTTTAATATCGCCTCGTGTCGACGCCGACCCGAACTGAGCCAGACCATGGGATGAAATACTGCTTATTATCATTCCCGGGTTCATGTTCAGGCGGTATCCCAGAGCCATGGGTTGTTGCGTTTTAGGACATGTAGGTTTTTGTTCCCTTGGAGAAGCTCATTCCCATTGAGTGTTCACAACTACAACCGCACCCTTTGCGTAGTGTAGGCTGGAAATCATATATCATGATGCGCACATTATATAAGAACAACCCGGTGGTATGGCTCCACTGTTCTACATTGATATTCATTGCTCATCACTCAAGTCCCCCATACACTGCGACGACGATGATTGTCTCCCGTGGATCGCGGCAGACTCACAAGTAGGTGTTGACGATATCCGAACCCCCTGCCTGGGTGGCGATGTTTCTATCAAACGATTACGTTACCCCTTCGCTACACAACCAGTCTAATTGATACAATATCAAATACTTCTTTCAAGAACCCCCCTGAATCAATCAACATCTTGTTTCAATCTAAAAACCAACCAAGCTTTTCCTGTTCCATCCATCCCCGGTACGGAGTAAGTGACATAACTTCCGATTCGAACTAAAACCAACCAGCAAACAATAGTCAATCAATCAATCATTTAGTTCTATCCTGTTGGAAGTGGACTTGGTGGCTCATTTTCGGTCCAGTCTCCGTATGAGTTAGGCAACGCTCGGGATTTCCGGGCCGGACACTAGTTGGTCTTTAGTTTATAGACTACAATGCATGCATGTCTTAGGCGCTCTTTATTAATTCAGGAACTCACAAGCTCTTTATTGTGGCTTTGGACGGTTTTAGTTGAGCTTTTCTCCTTTCCATATTCTGCAATTTAACGGGTGATGTCTGAATGCCTGAGGCATCGACCAAGCCATGGCCATTCCATGCAGCACCGAGGCAGACCTCTTCTATACAGACCACCCCTTTTATAATTGCCTCAGACATTTGGAACCATTCGATGAATAAATACAAGGGTCTTCCCTGCATTTACATGAGAATATGAAAATATCTGGTGAATTGTCGATCATCTCAGCAGTAGGCGTTACAGAGAAACAAATATATATTTGCGCACTGAGCTGCCGAGATCTAGGATGTTGACATTAGCGCGCATATGATCCAGTCAGCGAAAGTAAATAATCAATCATGGAAGAAGATTAAGAATGGGAAAGTTAGGGAGAAAGAAACGGTGGTCCTAGCTGTTGTTATAGGGTCAGCAAAATGTGTTGGAATACTAGGTACTAGAAGCAGTAAAGGTGATCAAGAACTTCATGAATTGAAGATTGATTATTCTGATGATGATCTATCTACATGAAAAGGAGAGCCTCTTTATATGCTATACAGTGGCGAAATCAATGGAATCCTCCACTTTCACCATACCGGAGCTTCACGGCTCGAATGCAGGATCTCGCGGTCAGGAAGACGGAAATCTCCATTTTTCATGCAGTTACCGGGATCTTCCACAAAATGCTTGATAGAGTGCCTGAGGCATTCAGACATGGCATAAGGAATTAGAAGATTGGGGTGCATAGCACACTACCGTGGTTTAACAGTGTTGGCTAACTGCCTGTTAGTTAGAAAACCTGAGAAGAGTCGTTTCGCCAAAGCGGGATCACCCTAGCATAATCTCTTTTTGACAGCTCCTGCTTGATAGGGATGAATGTCAAGTCAACGCTTAAATCATTTGGAATATCTAGTCGTGTGATGCCTGTGCTACTATGGTGGGTCAGGGGTGGTCTAGCCTTCCGAGAAAGATGAATCAAGGGCATCTTCAACATATTACTCCTGACAAGTTAATTCGAGGGTGGAATGACTGGTTGAAAGAGCTCATTGCTATAGGAGATGATTCAAATGTGTATGAATTGATCTATCAACGCATTGATCTATCCTAGCACGTCCATCCCTTGTCTTGACATCCCCTCGATCATGTTGCGCGTTGAAACCCTCCTGTGGCAGGACAAACAAATCTAAAGCCCTTCCTGGGAACTATCAGGGACGGGACGACGCGGGACATGAGGACGCAGAGGAAGTTTCGGCCGCTGTTCCAGCTCCGCGTTGGTAGGACGCGGCGGTTTAGGAGGCAACTGTTCATTGGTCCTGGCCTGCATTTGGCGCTGAAGTCGTGCCTCCTCTTCCGCGCCCTGGTCGGTTTCCATCGCCCGACGAGCTGACTCCTCGTCTGCGGTTTCGTCAATGCCTGCCCGACGCTTGTTCCGGATGCGTTCCTGCTCCTGTCTTCGGTCCTTCTCTTCTAGTGCTACCTCCTCGCGTATGACTTCGCGCTTGTCAATGCTCTCTAGTCCAACGCGGCGCAGAATGTGTCCGACCATGAATTGGTAGCGAAGGTGGCCGCTGATGATATCGCTGACGTCTAGATTTTCGACGCCGGGAACGCCGTGGACGGGCTGCAAGCCAGCAACGCCCATTTGGAAGCTGCTGGTTCGGTAGAGAAGCGCAAGAACAGTGTCGTTTTCGGAGTAGACATTCACAATGCGGCCGCTCACGACGCTGCGCATGCGACGCCAGTGCTCGGTGTTAGATGGGGTGGCGGATCCCATGAGGACCACGGACTCGACTAAACCGTATGCGCGTCGCTTTGCCAGAGTCTGAAGGCAGGAGAAAATAACCCGAGAGCCTAGAGAGTATCCGATAAGAGTGACTGAGCGCTCGCCTTGCACTTTGCTGATCAATGCATCGGCAAGGACCTCACCAGCCTTCTCAGATCGTACTTTGGCAACACTGAAAGGATTGTCAGCCACTTTGGTCGCCTTGAGCAGACCAAGCGGCAAAGCCACTGCACTCAAAAGTGACGCGAAAACCGTTTTCTTCAGGACCTGTCCGCCAGCAGCAAACGCAGCACTAGTGACCAACAGATCCATTGCGTTTCCGAGGTTCATCAATGGCTCCATCTCCCATCGCAGGCCGAACACTTCGGAGTCAGCGCCAATGACACGCCAAGGGACCACAAAATTATCTTCCTCAGTGACCCAGCCTGTGACGGCAATGGTAACTCTGAGCCGATGGTCCTCCTGAGCGGCTTCTTTCTCGTCCTCCGATCTGTGACGCGATCCTCGAATCGGTAGAAATGCAAAGTCGTCTACCTCACGCGCATACTTATCCACCATTCGTCCAGTCATCCGGCCGCCGTAGGCACCAAAGAGGCCTCCAACAATGACGCCGCTACCAGCAAGAGCTCCAAGATACCCTGCAGCGGCTGTGGCTCCGAGTCCGAGTCCTCCTAAAACCGTGCCGAGACCTGCGGCGACCAACGGAGCAGCAAGTCCACCAGTAACTCCAATAAGCACAGCTCCTGTGACTGAAGCGATGCCAACTTTCCATTTCCTAGAAGAATCACCTTTCTCATTTTGGCCTTGCCCGTCCCCGCTGCCTGACAGTTGAAGGGCTGTGTCAAGCAAACCCCGCGCGACTGTGACCTCGTCGCCGTTTAGAACCTTGACATCCAGACCCAGACTTGATGTGACATATAACATCAATACACGCGATCGTGCGTTGTAATGCTCCAAGCTAAGCATGAGAAGAAGTAATGTATGGAGGATAAGCAGTTTCTTGGCCTTGTCGAGACGTGCAAGAGGTGTTTGCACCGGAGGATAGACCTGCTGTAACTTTTGAATCGATCGCTCGTCCTCGTTAAGCTGTGGCTGAGATTCTTGGGGTACTTCCGAGCGCTCGGGACTCTCTTCTCCCTCATGGCGTTCATCTTCCCGATTGACCACTTCGCCAATACGGAGAAGTACCGCGTCTCTCCAATCATCAAAGCTAGACAATGTACTAGCTTCATCTCTCAAATCATTGGCGGTAAGCTTCACAAACTCAGGCTTGCTTTCGCCTTTTGAATCTTCTTCAAGGCTATCGAAGGAAGAACGCGGGCGGTTTTCGGTTTCTGTATCCGGCGGGAACCGATCGGGCTCGGACGTGTGGTTATGGTAATTTTGTTCAACTACATGGCGCATGGACTGTATGATCTCAGCGACCAACACTGTCAGGTCAGCGCGTTGGGAGCGATCCAGGATCGTGGTCAAGTCTTGGTCATTTTTTTGGGGAGCCGAAGACGACTCCGACCCCAATTTGCTGACATGTTTATCTTTGAACTCCTTAATGTTCTTCCACATGAAGGCGAGATCAGGGGCAGTGGCAATGGCAGGGATACGAAAGAAAGGTTGGGTCGGTCGGAGCTGTCGTACAGTCGAATGGGGATGTTTGCGGAATGTCGACGGAGGAGAAACAACGTTGACGCCTTCTTAAAGCGATGAGATCATCCGATGACTCAGCCAGGAGGTTTTGCCAAGGGAGGAACGGAGGATGTTGATGATCACACAAGGCTGATTCCTGCATCACGTCTCACATTGGGGGCCGTAGCTATCCTTGTGTTCCATGGCCCTTGAATGAATCGGCCATCAGTTCAGTTGCCATTGCCGGTCTCAACAACGAAGAATTTCCCCTTGGTTCTCGCTGCATAGCGCAGTGCATCGCCATCCCAAGCATCCCCATCCGGGCGCTCATTCCTCTCCGACTCGATCCGTTGGATTCTCTTGTTCCTGCCGACGACTCGTTCCTGGGAGAAGGCGTCTCGGAGCTGACCCAGTCCAATGGTCGTCTCTTGGATCGCCTCGGGGCTTTCGTCTCGGATACTCTGGAGAGGTTCAACGCCCGACGCGTCAACGCTCTGGATCTCCTTGACGAAATGGATTTGAGATTCGAGAGTTTCAAGCATCTTCGCTTCTTCTTCCTGGCTCGCTGGCTGGGGCAGAGCAGAGAGTCGAAGCAGATGCCGCAGTTGTGCTGGGGTAACGGACGGGGAAGCCGGTTTGGCGGTTTCGTCGGGGAGTAACGAGCGGACAGACCAGGACGGTTTCGCAAGGATCGAGTCGATATCGGTCTCTTCGGGTTTAGAGGAGTAAAGACGAGCCTCAATGTAATTCATGCGTCGCAGAGCATGTCGCTGAAATGACCTCGAAAGTCGCGACGGAGTGGTGCGTAAAAGGGACATCCTGGAAGTAAATAGGCAGGAATGGCTCGAAGAGTAGCACAGTAGTGAGATCTAGTAGAAACAGAAGTAGCTAAGGATTAAACAGTCTCAGAATCGCAATACCCAGCGGAAGACAAAGACAGCGACGCCAGAGAACGACGAACGGAAAAGCCAGGAGGAAGACGATGATGGAAAACGGGCGCCCACCGCCTTCGCGAACAGGCGGCCATCGCTCCGTCGCCGTCTCCATCTGAACCACCTTCCCTTCCTCTCCTTCAGTCTACTATCCTTCTATTTTTCGAAGTTGACATCTAGTGCTTTCATCTTATTAGCCTGCTGTGGTCGACGTCGTCTATCCACCATGGCTCAAGATCCTCGAGTTCTCCTGCAGCGCGTGAGTAACAGGCTATGATGCCATCTATCCCCGCCCCGCTACCATCAAAAAGCAACGACGATCGCTAACGACATATGGAATACCCTTTAGGCCGATAAAGCATTGAGCAGTGCAACCGGCGGCTTCAGCTTTTTCGGCGGTCGCACGGAGAAGTATGAGAATGCAGCAGATCTCTACACCCAGGCTGCGAATGCTTTCCGGGTGCAGAAGCAGAGTAAGCCCTTCCTTGTCACGTTCTCCGCTTCTTGGGGATGGGATCTTGATCGCTAATGCTCTCGTTTGTTTTGTTTCTCTTTGTTAGACAAGGAAGCCGGTCTTGCGTTCGAAAAGGCCGCCTCCATCCAAAGCCAGAACCTGAATGAGCCCGATGACGCCGCAAACTCCCTGACCGAAGCTTTCAAGGTCTACCGGAAGTCGGACCCCGAAGATGCCACGCGGGTGCTCTCCTCCGCGATCCAACACTACGTACTAAAGGGCAACCTGCGGCGCGCGGCCACGCAGCAGCAGTACCTGGCGGAGGTTTATGAGGTGGAACTGGGCGATACCAAGAAGGCTCTGGAAGCCTACGAGAAGACGGCGGAATGGTTTGAGAGTGACAATGCCGAAGCGTATGTTTTACGGCCATCTCTATAAAGGTGTTGGGTGCTAATGCTCCGTCTAGTTTGGCGAACAAGCATTTCCTCAAGGCGGCTGATCTGGCCGCCCTCGAAGGCGACTACTACAAGGCCATCCAGCATTACGAACGCATCGGCCGTTCGTCCATCAGCAATAACCTGATGAAGTGGTCCGTTAAGGACTACTTCCTCAAGGCTGGTATCTGCCATCTGGCCTCGAATGTATGCTCTATTGTCCGGGATCTCATCACTCACAAAAACACTATACTAATCATCCAAACCAGGACCTGGTCGCCACGAACCGCGCCCTCGAAAGCTACCGCGACATCGACAACACATTCGCTTCGACGAGAGAACACCAGTTACTCGTGGACCTCACGCAGGCCGTCGAAGCCGGCGACCAAGAAACCTTCGCCGACAAGCTGTTCCAGTTCGACCAGCTCAGCAAGCTGGATAAGTGGAAGACCACCCTTCTGCTGCGGATCAAGAACAGCATCGAGGAAGCGGGCGAGGATTTCTCTTAGATTCCCTAATTTGCGTGTTCAGTTTTTCCTTTCTTGCGTTGTACCTGCCTTTACGTATTCGTCTACTCCTCTTACCTCCGAATGTTGTTGGTGCCATAAACTCGAAATGTCCACCGCGTTTCTCTTCTGTTTAGCTTTGGTTGCACATGATGTTAGATGCTGTCATGATCATTGGTCTGAGCTGAGCTGAGCTATGCCATATAATCGTCTACTGATATCGAAAATTGGATCCTGCACATGCCAATTTCTCTTTCTAACTACTGCTTGATCTCTAGATTGCTACGTAAGAAGAGCACAACATACGAAGCCCTAAAGCAAACAGTAGACCCGAAAAAGAAAAATCGTAACTCATTAGATAACTTGTTCTACTCATTGATGTCTATATAACCAATCGAAATGCTTTTTTGGGGAAATATTCGTCAGAAAGCTTCCGCTTTCAAGACGTTAAGGGCTCATCAATTCATGCAGAAGATGTTTTTTGGGTGGTATCATATCATCGCCTCTCCTCTTTCTCTTTCTCTCAATTGAACTAACCCCATGCCATAGCGTGCAGATGCCCAGAAGAAACTGACAAACAAGACGATCCAGCTCAGTTGACGACCTCCTCCAAGGCACGAGCCTTCCGAGGGAAGACCCGCTTGTACAGACTGATACCGATGGTATCCTGGGGGTTGATCTTGGCGTCGAAGGTAGCCTTGAAGTAACCGTGGGTACCAAGGCCTTCCTTGATGAAACCGCTGCGGCCACGCTTGGTCCAAAGCTGCAGGGCCTTGAACCAGGCGATATCCTCGGAGTTGAAGAACATGTACCGCACTGTGACGACCTTCTTGTGAATCTTGAAGGGGTGACCGGTAAGGATGGCTCGTTTCGCGATGACGCGGGATTGATCGGGGGCGACGACGGTGCCGGAGCCGATGAGCTCCAGGCGAGTGACGTCGGGCTGGTTGTCGTCGGCGTCGAGGACCTCCGGGTCTTGGACGGTCTGGTTCTTGAAGACCAGGACCGGCACGGCGCCCCAGGTGAGAGGGCCGATCCAGCTGGCGATGGCGCTGCGGCCCGGGTGGAGGTAGCGATCGAACTTGTGTACATTGTTGGGGGTGTTGTCGTTGGAGGAGAAGATGGGGTTGACGACCAGACGGCGAGGTCCGCACTGGACGATCAGCTCCTCCTTGGCCTTCAGGGGTTCCTCGACGCTGGTGTTCAGGTTCATGTTGACATTGACGACTGTGTGCTTGTGCTCGTGTCGCAGCAGCGAGAAGAGAGATAAGGGCTGAGGCTTGTTGCGGAGAGAGGCGGGAACAGCGCGCAGGTGAACATCCACGCGGGTACCGGGGTTGACACCGCCGACCAGGGCCTCCGCCATCGTTCGGTTCTTCGAACCCTTGTAATCTTGGATCTGGAGGAGTCGGCGCCAGTCCTCCGGCTCGTGGGGGCGATCTTCCGACGTCTCCCAGAGACTCGTCTTCAAGCTCTTCAATCCTCGGAATCGGGCCAACCGCTCTCGGGCCAGCACGTTGGGGTGCAATTCAATTTCATCAGGAAATTCGAGGTCGTCGCTGGCCTCCTTCCGGCGGCTCGCGCGGTATTCTTCCAGCTGTTCCGTTTCGTCCTCCACCGGCCGGTCGACGAACATCTCTGATTGAGGATACTCAGTACCTCCAGCTTCAGTCATGGCATCCTCCTTGTCAGGGAAGACGCCGTCTTCAGGGGCACCAGCGGTGTCCATCTCCATGGCCTCATCCTCTTCGTCGTCCTCCATGTCGGATCCAGAGTAGTCGACGTCATCCAGATACCACGCGGACTGGTATTCGGACGTTCCCTTCGGTAGCTTCTTTGGTTTCGAGGGAATGTGAGACTCATCATCGGAGAAGTAGTGGTGGTCATCAAGGAGAACACCCTTGCGCTCGGTCTCGGCCATGGACATATCATCGTCCTCCATTTCGATCTCCTCCGGCGCCACAATTTCCAGGTCGTCCCGGTCACCCGTAGGAGTGTCCAGCACCTGTGTAGTATCATTCTCGTCAACATTCATGGCATCGTCGCGCTTTCCTCGGCCCGTGGCCAACGGCGCCGCAGTGATCGAGTCGACCTGGAAGTCACCCCAGCCGGGGACATGCACCAGACGGTCCGCCTTCAGGCCCTTGCCGCGCACGACACCCGTCAGCACCACATCATCCACAACCTCCGAGTTGGCCTCGGGCCAGGTGACATTCTCAACGAGCATCCAGCTGCGCTCGTCGCGCCAGCGGATGCCCTTGGGGGTCGCGGTACACAACGATCGAATGGCGTTCGAGCACTCCTGTCTAGAGTCGACGGAGAGCACTTTATCGACGGCGGGGAAGAAATGGTTCATGAAGGATTTCAGTGAAGCGGCAACCTGAGGGCGTTTCTTCGGCGGGTTGATTTGATCGAGGCCCTAGTCCATCGGTTAGCAATGAACCTGCGAGATAAGTCCATGCCATTAATGAGCATACCTGGACAACCGAGATCACATTCGAGATTCCCTGACCCTCAATGGATCTGAGCAGCAACTCTCCCTCTTCCTCGACCTCCTTGTGCGCCGAGACCGCCAAGATAACGAAATCCGCCATGCGACACACGTCCAAAGCGTTCATGAGGTCGTACTTGGCGGGGATATACTGCAGAGTCTGTCGGAAGCGGTCGACACGGACACGAGAGGGCGCATCGGTAGAGAACTCGGTTGAGACGTCGACGCTCTCGTTCAAGGACTGGATGATGGCTGCGACATCGATATCGACGGAGAGAGGGACAACGGCGACATGGCGAGGGGCACCATGTTGACCGGAGAAGATACTGGTGGCCTGAGCCTTCTCCTGGTGCTTCAGCTGCTGCTTCTGACGGGCTTGGTTCCTCCGATCGAGCTTCGACATGAGTTGTTGGTGAGGGGTCTTTCGCGTGCCCCGCTCGACTTTGCCTGCGGAGGTTCAGTAATTCCGTTGGATTATTGAAGGTGCGAATTTTTGTGAGACTGTATTATAATAACGCACCTTTATCTAATTCCTTCAAGGCACCCTTAGAGGCATGACGGGTCTTGTAGGACTTGTTGGCTTTTTTGGTAGTGGAGCGGTGGTGATGCACCGTCTGGGTGGGCGCCATGTTGGCACCGTCGGACCCTTTGAAACGAAAGGGAAGAGAGGCCAGGGTGAGTTATTTGGCGAGATTCAATGAGTATGAAAAATCACCGAGATAGAAATCAATCAGAAAAAGGGCCTGATGTCGAGATCGGCCGTGAACGAAGCCGACTTGAAGGCGGAAGGAAATCAAATGGAAGAAAAAAAGAAGTTGTTGGTGGACAAGCGAAAAATAATTAAAATTCAAAAAAAATGCGGGCAGAAAAAAAAAAAGGCTTGGCGTGAGGACCCGCCAGAAAAAACATCTCCGGATCGACTGCTGCAACTTCTTCAGTTCCTCCAGTTTCTTCCGTCGGGCTTCACGCGACAATTAATTTGGATTCAACGGCTTTCGCATCGTCGCGACATACCTCGATTTATTTCATACATACTATCCTCCCCATCCCTACGCCGATGGCCGACAAACCCTCCAAGGCCGTTGCGCCGACCCAGCGCAAGGAAAGCAAGAGACTGGCGGAAGCACGAAAGACCTACGGACGAGGCAAAGCCATCCATACTTACAGCGTGAAGGACAAGAAGCTACGCGACAATCTCAAAGCCGTCGAGGCCAAGTACAAGGCGGCGACCCTACGATCGAAGGATGCGGAGATCCTGTTGGAGCACGATGCCGGGTTCCTCGAGCCCGAAGGAGAGCTGGAGAAGACATACAAGGTCCGTCAGGATGAGATTCGCGACAGCGTGGGCATAGAGACGGCCAAGAAAGGATTCGAGTTGAAGCTGGAAGACCTTGGCCCGTATCGCGCGGACTACACAAGGAATGGACGGGAATTGCTGCTGGCGGGTCGCAAGGGTCATGTTGCGACGATGGACTGGCGGTCGGGGAAGTTGGGATGCGAGCTTCAGCTGGGGGAGACGGTTCGTGACGCTCGCTGGTTGCATAACAACCAGTATTTTGCGGTCGCGCAGAAGAAGTATCTCTACATCTACGACCACACAGGAGCAGAACTGCACTGTCTCAGCAAGCATTTGGAGCCGCTCAATCTGGAATTTTTGCCGTACCACTTCCTTCTCGCGAGCACGGTAAGCATTCCATCTCCATGGATTGATATTGTTCAGGGCGATCTAACGACTTTTGTCTAGCAAATGAGTGGTCATCTCAAGTACACCGATACATCCACTGGCCAGATGGTGGCCGAATTGCCCACCCGCATGGGCGCTCCCACTTCTCTCTGCCAGAATCCCTGGAACGCCATCCTCCATGTCGGTCATCAGAACGGAAGCGTGACGCTATGGTCGCCCAACTCACAGACGGCGCTGGTTAAGGCGCTGGTCCACCGCGGACCGGTGCGCTCGATGGCCATTGACCGACAAGGCCGGTATATGGTGTCGACGGGCCAGGATCTCAAGATGAATGTGTGGGATATTCGGATGTTCAGGGAGGTTCACTCCTACTCGTGCTACCAGCCGGGTGCATCGGTCGCCATCAGTGACCGCAACCTCACAGCCGTCGGTTGGGGTACGCAGGTCAGCGTGTGGCGCGGCTTGTTCGACGCCGCACTGGCCGACCAAGGCAAGGTGCAGAGCCCGTACATGGCTTGGGGCGGCGATGGCCAACGCATCGAGAACATGCGCTGGTGCCCGTTCGAGGATGTGCTGGGTGTGACGCACGACAAGGGATTCGCCAGCATCCTGGTGCCCGGCGCTGGCGAACCTAACTTCGACGCCCTCGAGGCCAACCCGTACGAGAACACGCGTCAACGCCAGGAAGCGGAAGTGAAGGGTCTGCTGCACAAGCTGCAGCCCGATATGATCTCGCTGGACCCCAACATCGTCGGAAAGCTGGACACCATCAGCGACCAGAAGAACCGGGAGGAGCGCGATCTCGACCGTCGGCCCGAAGACCCCATGGAGAAGCTCAAGAACCGCGGTCGCGGGCGCAACAGCGCCCTACGCAAGTACCTGCGCAAGAAGGGCCGTCGCAACGTCATCGACGACAAACGTGTCAAGGCAGAGATGCTGCGCAAGGAGCATGCGGCGCGCGCGAAGAACCGACTGCAGAACGAGCGAGAGGAGCTGGGGCCTGCCTTGGGACGGTTCGCCAAGAAGGAGATATAATCGCTTCGATCTCGGTGCCCTGTTTTCCTTTGATATCCGCTTTTCGTGTGCTTCTTTAGTTCGCAAGACGATGGGAGCCTTTCGATACCCGATCCATATTATCACTCATACACTCTATTCACGACCCTGAAAAACCTGCATTTACGGCGTTCGTCGGGACTTTGGACTGGGATACAGCTAAAAGTTAGACTTAGTCAATATTATAACTTGTATATTACTCTTTCTCTACTATCAAATGTAGCCTGCCGAATCTAGCAACAACCAGCGCGGCATCCAAGCAACCAAGAGGTCTACCCTTAACAATTCACCTCCTGATCTTCTTTCTATTCCTCATCGTCCTCATCATCATCATCATCATCATCATCATCATCATCATCCTCCTCCTCCTCCTCGTCTTCCCCCTGTCCCTCTTCTTTCTTCTTCAACAGATACCGCCTAATTACCCTCCTGATCTTCTCCATAGGCACACTGCTCTCATCAATCTTCCTCCCGCGGCACCAGCACCGATCACGCACATTAAGACTCAGACTCCACGGATCATGCCGCACACCAGCCAAGTCAAACTCGACCTGTACATTCGGCACCAGCTTTTCAAGCCTTTGCAGCGTCGTCTCGGAACATAGGTCCGTCACTAAATCCCGAAAGTCGTCCGCCCTGCACCAAAGCCACTTGAGCTTCGGCGCCTGGCCTCGTGGCCGATGGAGCCTTCCCTCCTTCGGCCAGCCATTTTTGAATTCCCCCACCACCGGGCGCTGGTTTCCTTGGAAGGCACAGCATTCGAACGCGACATGTACCTTCACGGTCTCTAAATTGGTCAGCAGGTGCGTGGTCGGGAGAACTTCCATCAAGGAGCGTCTGCGCCATTGCCGCCATCCCTCGAGGTGCGAATTGTATGAGATGTCCTGTTTGTGTGCACTATGGGGTCCCCCACCGGCGGGCTGATACATGGACGGAGCGAATCCGTCTTCATAATCGGATACGACCTTCATTGTGCAGCAGAGCGTCAGAGACTTGATCGTCGAGACGGGGAGAGTCGGGGTCCGACCACCCAGCGCGACTGCGAGGGTTATCCGATCGCAGATGTGTATGGATGGCGAGTTGGCTGCCAGCAGACGCGCCGCTTCAGCGTGGATGAGGCGACATGTACGCAGCCAGCTGAGGGCGCCGGGGAGGGGAGGATCTGGGAGTTTCGTGTCGGGTGGTAGGGGTGGGAGGTGATAGGGGCGAGCGGGTTTGCGGTGCATGGAGAGGCAACTGGTGGTTTCGTAGGAGGGGGGGAGAATGCTGCATTGCGTGGTGATGATCTTCTCTTGGTCGTACCACTGGTAGGGAATGGTGTGCATGAGGTAGGTCGAGTTCTCTAACACGGCTTTCCAGATCATGTTGCGGAGTTCCCAGGGGAGGGAGAGCAGGCGTGAGTTGGGTTGCAAGCCTGACGGATCGGGGCCTGGGCTTGTTAGATGCGAGTGTCCCATACCAGTGCTCCTGGTCCTTCTTCTCTTTGTGCCAGAAACTGGATCAGTACTTTTGATGCTTCTTCTCTTGGCCCTTGCCATTCTGATTTGATTCTTGGGATAGAATCGAATATCGACAGGGACAGATTAATACTTTATCCAGTCAATATGACTGAGAAATGTAGATTTGACTGTAAGGTGTCGTCATCGTCTGAAGCTAAAGGTATCTGTAAGCATATCAGGCCCTTTTATATTCAATATCACGTGGTCTTCATGGCCTACTTTATGGAGAATTCCACTTCCTATACAGCCCTTCGAAACTTGTCTTTACATGAAGCGGAGCTTTGGCGGATTGTCATTAGCACTTTTAATTCCTATAGTATCATCAGGTTCAGCGACCATGGTAATGCTTCTGTTCCGTATCCCATTGATATTCGACCTTGGAAAAATGTAGATACTGCCTTTCAAGAAGCTTTGTACTCTAATCGATATAGATGTAAGTAAGAAGAGATCAACATATGCCAACTACACTCTTTTTATCCCTTATCTGCTCCTTATATTAGGCGTATAATACAGTGACCCCCAATCACAGTGACCTCAAGATGAGGGAAGTGTAACTCGACCACGACACTCTTGTGGTAAATGTGTAGGGGAACCCCAATCTATGGTGTGACATCCTCCATTCAACTAGCTGTATTCGAGAATGTAAACATGCCATCCAGTCAGTAGTTCGTTGAACTGCAAGATCAACGATCCAAGTATCTAGCTATACAGACGCCTTATTCAACGAAACCAGGATTCAAGATCTTAAGGGCTAGACGAGAAGCCAAAGACATGGATCCTGTTAGGTTTATCAGCGATGGAGATTGTCTAGCCCTTCTCGACCCAGCGAGGGCTTGTCAGTTTGGAAGGAAGCCGAATCACGTTCTGACCGTCGTAGGTGATCCAGAGTCGATGCACGCCCCAGCCGCGCTTCATCTGTCTGGACCTGAATCGTCCATAGAACCCGATGTATGTACGAAGTGGCTTCTACGGGTCCAAGATCAGTGGGAGGGACACGTCAATCGCGTCGAGTTTCATCTGTTATCATAAGTGATAAATCCAGATCGATGCGGCCCACGGTCGGTCATGAGATGGGGATCGGTCAAATCGCGTGAGAGCTCGGGATCATGGAGAGTATTCGTGCATTTCGCCCGTTGCTACGCTCCAGATTTTGATATTTAGATCATCATCATGCGATATTACATCCCCTCCATCCCTAGACAAAGCCATGAGTGTTGGCACAGTTTGAGGACCCGCCTGGTATGGCGTCTTTCTCGCCCAAGCTTCTGGCATTTGCATCCCAGACCCGAATCGTACAATCTTCGGATCTAGACACCAGACGCTCGCCGCTCTCATCGTATCCAAGGAATTGAATCGCAGAGGTGTGGTCTTCGAGCTTGCTCATGGCTCTTTGTGATCGTTAAACAGCATACGGCAGCCATTTTGGAGTTTCTGTAATAAACCGATAAGAACGATCGGTTTCTGATGCTCAATACTGAAACCGAGGACCTTGGTAAGTCAACATGTGAAACCGAAAAGGCAAGTACAGAACCCCAACTCTGAGATGGCAGTTGCTAGACGAGACTTCTTCAGATGAAAGAACCATTGGCTGTTCAATGGGTGTTGTAAAGAAAAGGTCTACCGCAGTAAGTATTGTAGCCTACATTAAAGGCTTAGCGACTATAGATCAGGAACCTAAATCACCTAACTCTTTCCAAGATCAGAGAGAGTATAGGAGGCACTGCTAAAGCACTTTCTCATCTTTATATACAATTTCCTATCCTTCCTCTGTAGCAACTACTCGGAGCACCGGCTTCATAAATCATATACCCATGGCTATCCAATATACACCTCCAAGACTATATCAGATCAGATCTACTCATCCACACTCCCCGACCCCTTCACGGCTCCATTCTTCCACCTCGCCAAACTCTCCTCATACGCCCCGCTCCCCTTCCACGCACTAATAATCAAATCCACAATATGCCGCATGCCCTTCCCATTCTTCACCTCCGCGAACACCGTCGGTCCCCCCTCCCTCATCTTCGCCGCGTCCCGCTCCATCACCGATAAGTCGGCGCCTACAATCTCCGCCAAATCACACTTATTGACGACCAGCAGGTCGGAGCCCGTGATCCCCGGTCCGCCTTTTCGGGGCACTTTATCGCCCCCGGCCACGTCGATCACGTAGATGATGAAGTCGGCCAGTTCGCGCGAGTAGTTCGCTGCGAGGTTGTCGCCGCCGGACTCGATGAGGAGGAGGTCCGTCGAGAATTGCTTTTGAAGGGTCTGTAGGGCGAGCAGGTTTGCGGAGATGTCTTCGCGAACGGCGGCGTGCGGGCAGCCGCCTGTTTCGATGGCGCGGATACGTGAGGGGGCCAGGGCGCGGTGGCGGGTGAGGAATTCGGCATCTTCTCTGTATTATTACCAATATCGGTTATTAGTTTCTGGGGTGTTGTTTGGGGATTGAGACTGGAAAGTGTTCTGGGCGGGTAGGTATATACCGTGTGAAAATATCATTCGTCACAGCCGCAATGTTATACTCGTCGCGCAGCGCAAGACACAAGGCCAGCATGAGGGCCGTCTTTCCGGATCCGACGGGCCTAGCAGATAGTACCAGTTAGATTATCGTTTCTCTTATTCCAATTCTCATTTTTGTCCTTGTGCTTGGAGAAGCCATGCAATCAGTTCCCCTCCCTCCCGGAAAGATGACATACCCCCCAATACCAATAGTAAAAGCACGATCTTTCCAATCACGGCCCTCAATGAGGGGCATCTCGCGGTTCAGATACGAGCCGGGACCGTCAAGAATCTCGTGCGAGTGGCCGTGGCCACCGAAGTCGTCATCGTGAGAGTGGCTGATGCCATCGTCGTGGGAGTGAGAGTGGGTCATTTTGCTGAAGTCTGGTGATATAAATTGACGATATGGGAGGGTAGAAGAGAGAAGGAGGGTAAATGAGGGATGGCGGGGCGGAGAGCAGATAAATGAGCATCGGCAAACCTTCTCCGCCGAACTCACGGAGACTGCCGACGGAGACATCTGATTGGAGTGCCGGAGATCCACGGTGACACGAACGGAAGTGTCACGATAAGAAGATAACGATAAGTCATGGTTATACTTAAGAATACTACTTGCTGATCAACCTCAGTCAATCTTCCATTCGGCATGTGACATAGAACATAAGAAAGTATATTTCCACAGAAGACGCAAGCAATAAATCCAACGCCAAAAACGTAGCAGTCGCCAATGGTAGAACATGGATATCAATAAAATAGACAGCGCACCAGAGTCGGCAAGGAAAAACCGGTATTCGCTATTGGAAATCGAGCGCAACGACTCAACAGAGGGCGTAAAGGAAAAACCGTAGCATAAAGGACTCCGAAGAAAGCCAAACTGCAACGCGAGGTTTCTGGTCAGACCGACCTTGCTGACGACAAGTTGACAACACACATGCAACAAGCCATCTAGCTTCGTAAGGTCTAATCCGGCACCACCCCAACCAACGCAATGGACACCATGAACCAGCAAAGAGAAGGGGGAAACAATGCTAGGGGATAAGATAGGAAAGATGAAACAAACCCTAGCAACCTCCCAAGTATAAGTTGAAAACGTAAGTACCAATTGGAATCAGCAACAAAGAAGAGAGAATAGAAACCCCTCGCATGATCTTCCAAAGATACGCCAGTTCCCCGCCTCTTAAGACTGAAAGAAAAAAGAGAGAAAAAAATATGCATCGTGATGAGAAATCAAAATTAGGGATAAGTACGGGGGCCCATATTAGCTGGTCCCCTTTTGTCTCTTCCCCCCGACTCGAGGACTGGCCTTGACGGTTTTCGGGCCCGCACCGGGAGCGCCATTGACTTCCGGGCCACCGGCATCGTCGTTCTCCATCTTCACGGTGCTGGCACGCCGCCGTTTGTTGTTAACGTTGGGACTGGCGCTGGCGCTGTTACCTTGACCAACGCTGGGCTGCACCTGGCCGGGAGGAACCATCCCTGGCGGCCCGGCCAGATGGCTTTGCGCCGGGCTGGGATGAGCCGAGCCAGTCAGGTGAGGGGATCCTTGGTTGCCAGGGAGTCCCAGGTGAGCCATGGCTGGAGAGGCAAACTGATTGGGTCCGCCGATGCTAGGAGCCCGCGGGTTTTGCCCCTGCTGCATGGCGGGGTTCATAGGGCTGGGCATGAACCCGGGATTCGGATTCTGCATCTGCAGCGTGTTGACCAGGTTGCGCAGCGCATCAGGGGCAGAAAGTTGCGGGTTTTGCTGAGAGAACTGGAAAAGCATTTGCATTTGCGAAATCGTCTCGGCCACCTGGTTCTCGTTAGAGCCTATTCAACAAGATCTTAGAAAAAGCAAGTACCTCGAGGAAGCTCATCACAGCAGTAGGAACACCATTTGGCGTTACCATCGACTCGGGCAGCTGGATTTGAGGTTGCGGAGGCTGCTTCTGACCGCGCTTGCCCATGTTCTTAGAGACCTTGGGGCTCTGCTTCAGATCGGGCGACCCTAGCGCCTGCAACTGACTCCGAGGAAGATACTCGGTGTGGTTCATGACCACAATGTCAAGCATTTCGATCTTGTTACTCATATCGAAGTGGGCTCGCAATGTCCCGTTGGTGAAGAGCTAAGGTTTGTTAACAGACTTGAACATCGGGCAGCTGGCAAGAATTTCCAAACTTACCTGAGTGTCATTCGCGAACCAGTAGATAAATGACGTTTTGGTACTCTCTACAATGTGGCCTCCGTTGGGCGAATCCCTCTCCCGAGCAGCCTCGACCACCATTTGGATTTGTCGGATGCCGCTGGTGAATTGTGTTAGATAATAACGCGCAAGAGCTGGCGTCGCAATCTCGAACTGCTTCGAGCCGGACTGCGGGTTGTACACGCCTTGTCGTAGGACACCGTTGGGCGAATAAAATCGTTCCACGAAAGAGTTCCAGTATGGCAGATCATAGGCCTCGCCGCGGCTCTGCGATAGGTTAGCATCTAGTCAGTCGCAGCGATCTCTCATCATTGTGAACGTGGACATACGGTGAAATTACTCAGATGTTCGGCGAAATTACTGAGACATAGGATAGTGGCGCCCTTCATGCCCATGCGCTGCTGCATCATCATGGCGGCATTGTTCTGCTGCTGGGCCTTGAGTTGGGCCTCCTGGGCCGTCATCGGCTGCTGCGGCTGTTGACCGGGCTGTTGGCCCTGCGGGCCCGGCTGACCTGGCTGCGGTTGCGGCTGCGATTGCGGGGGTTGCGGCTGCTGCGGTTGCGGACCGGGTTGCTGAGACTGAGGCAATTGCTGAGGTGGCGGGTTGGGAGTGGGTTGAGGCTGAGGAGCGACGGGTTGCTGAGGGGGCGGCTGAGAAACCGGCAGCTGCGGCGGCTGCGACTGGGGCGTGCTACTGCCCTGATGAGGCGGCGGGCCGGGTTGCGGCTGGGGGGTGACGCTTTGCGCATCGTGTACGGGTTGAGGTTGAGCGGATGCTCGCTGCTGAGGGGTATGCTGTCCGGGCTGTGCGGCATTGGGCTGCTGGACCTGCTGCGCTTGATGCGCTTGCTGCTGCGCCTGCTGCGCCTGCTGTGCCTGTTGCATCGCAAAGATGTGTTGCTGGGGAATGTTCTGCGGCTGTCCATGAGGCATTTGCTGGAGTTGCATCTGCAAGTTCACCGGTCGCATCCCCGGGTTGGCTTGCATAGCGGCGAATTGGGCGGCGTTTATGCCCTGGGTGCCGTTTGGTAACGAAACCGGAAGTCCGCCGTGCTGTTGTTGTTGCTGCTGCTGTTGCTGCTGTTGTTGCTGCTGTTGCTGTTGATACATCATTCGCTGTCTAATGATTTGTTGCTGCTGATGCTGATGTTGCTGCAAAAGTTGAGGGTTGTTGGCAACTAGAGACAACAGGGCGTTAGCTCATTGGCGTGGCGTGGCGGGCGGAAAAAGGTGACCGCTGTTTTGGGAGTCCGGGAGAGGCAAAGGCGGGCGGGCGGGCGAGACAACTTACAATTCTGAGCAAAATGCGGCTGTTGGAACAGATGGGCCTGAGCAGGTCCCAAATGAGACAGGGCATGGGCCTGAACCGGACCTCCAGGGGCGGTTGTTCCTGCACCAGGAGGCATCCCGCCCATCACCGGTCCGCCTTGGGTGACTTGAGGTCCGCCCGACGCCGACACTCCAGGGTGAACTTGTTGAACCATTCCTGCCCCGGGATGGGCATTCGGGTGTTGACCAGCGGCCAGCGGATGACCCGGAGGAAGGCCATGGTGTTGCGGTATGCCTTGATGGGCAGGGAATTGCTGCGCCATCATCATCTCTGTACTACCTCGTCGCCGATGACGGCACTCTTAACGGTCGGGATAAGGGGGGGGTGGTTGGAGGGAAAGAGACGCGACCGATATGGTGAGAAAAGAAAAAGAAGGCGAACGGACGATCAAGATGAAGGTAAAGAAAAGAGGAATTGAATATTAGTATGTATAAATATGGATGGACAGCGATGCGGGTGGATATTTAAAGATTATCGACAGTCGACAGACAGCGCAGGACGAGGGCGAACGACGGGACTCGAAAAGCGCGCTTGACGTGGAGGCACAACAGGGCCGCTTTTAGTGTCGGAGCGGAGGCCAAGACGTGGTGGACGGGCGACTGAACCTGCGTCGGAATCGTCCAGGTCGTTCACGGGCGCAGGAGCATCGATCGAATCCGACTGAATCGCGGACTGCCCGCCAGATCGTTCGATCTCCTGATAGACTCAATGAGGGTAAGTGGTCGGTCGGGGAGGTTGGCCGAGAAAAAAAAGAAAGGGAAAAAAAAAAAAAAAAAGAATAACAAGGATGAGTAAGATTGGGGAAGACACGGAGGCCGGGCAGGAGAGTGGGAATTGGGAAATGGGAACGGAATTAGGGGAGAGGACGGAGGTGTGGAGGGGCTATACACCGTAGGGGCCAACGAAAAAAGAGAGACGGCACCTCTTCGCGATCGCCAGTTCAATCGCTCGGTTGAAGGAAGAACGCTGGGAGACCCGATGGGAGTACAAGCACACCGCCCGACGATGTGAAGCGACTTTAGGGCAGACGATGTGGGGTAAGAGAGCGAACGAGGAGGAGGGGGAAAAGAGGGAGAGAGAGAGGGAGAGGGAAGGGGAGATACCTGGGAACAGAGAAGACTGGATTGAAAGCAGAACCGATGAGAAGATCGGAGACAAGAGGAAGATCAGCCGGCGGTCCTGAGGCTTTTCTTCCATCGCTTTGCCTGCTGCGAGCCGCTAGGCCGCCTTGGGTAGTCCTCACGTGAGAGCGGTCGGAGATCCGGAGAAACATTCTTACCAGCACCCGTCTATTTTTTTCTCTTTCTCTCTCGCTTTTCTTTCCTTCTACTCTTCTCTTCTTCACCTCCCACTCAACAACAATTTGTCAAATTCTCCTGCATCAGCAGTGAGACGAGGTACACCACCTCTTGCAGCTTCTGTACGATGCAATAACCTCATTTCTGGTCACCCTGGCCGATGCCCGATCAAGATGATGATCAGACCACAATCAACTAACCGATCAGCTCACCTGCCAGAGCTCCCCATGACAAGGTTCGTTTTTCTTCTTCTTTTCAACCACTTTCACACACAACCCCCCTGTTCAAAGATGATAAACCCTTTTTACTTCTTCATCACCTCCGAATCGTCCATGACGAGGTATTCCGGATCTTCCATTCCCGGTCGGTCTGCTACTTGCCAGTATATCGTGTCTGAGAACAATTACCTTGACACCATGTTTTCTTCATGTCATGCTTTGCACATGGACAATGGGCTAACTATCTGTCGATCAGGTTTTCGGGTTTTTTCTGTGTAACGATATCCGATGTCGAACCATATTGTCTTGGGGAAGGATTAGCTTTAGCTGTTTCATACAATCAAGTTTTATTTTTTATGGATCAGATAATTCGCATGTCGATGGCGCGGCTCTCTGGTGAGGCTGTCGGTACACTGTAGTCTGTTGTTGTACTTGGTAGCGTAGCTGTAGCTTTGGTAATGTCGCTGCTGGAAACCAGTTTAACTACCCTATCTAGGGTTTTGTCCAAAAGAACCAAGCCGTGTTGTAACCCCACCCCCCTTTCGAATTTCGAAAGTTCTCTACGCGTTTGGATTTCTACTGCGTGGTAGTCTTAAGGGCCTTCATGTATCGGGAAGCCATTGAACAGTTAGTTCGTTGCATTGTATCTTCGGATCCCTCGGATACATATAACACCCAACTATCTATTACCTATATTTTCGTTCCCCTAACAAACACTCTTTCAAAAAATGGCATTAACCCTACCAAAAGATTGGGGGTGGGATAGATTAGATTTAGATTATTCATGCATGTCCACGTTCTCATCCTGGGACGGGTAAACTATTTATCTCGTCGCGTGTGGTGCGGCCGACGGGCCTAGGATATATGTATATGTTTCGGGGTTTGTGGTTCTGGCATAACTAGGGGTGTACAACACAAGGCAACTAACTAGGGATTGTAGAGAAGTTCTGAACAGGCTATTGTTTTTGAGTGCTCTTAACTAGGTAATTAGACCTATGCTTGACCCAGGAATGAAATCAATTTCGTTACGTTTATATTCTTTCAAGAGCTGCCTACTAAAAAAACCGAACGCTGCTACACCAACACAACAAGTAAGTCATGGGTCGATAGTAAGCAGTAAAAAGTTTGATCCAAGAAACATATATTCTAAATTGGTATTGAGCGTACCCACAACGAACGACTCCAACTCTACCAACTCATCAACTAGAAGATCATGACAACATAACAACATAATAACAGAGATGCCACTCCGTACAACAATGTATATAAACCGCCCAGCGAGATTATACAGAAAAATGATGCAAACAGATTGCAAGCAGATTGACCGAGGCCAAAAGGTGCAATCGAAGACAAAAAAAGGTGGAAAAAGAAGATAAAAGAAGTTGACGGGAAAGCATGAAGAAACACAAGCGTAAACATAACCATAACAACAACCAAAAAGCCCAGCTTTTCAAACCATTTCGTTGTGGTGGGTAGGGTAGAGAACATTTGCACCTAGCTAGGTCTACCCTCTTGACAGGACCAAAGTCATGGCGAGGGCTTAGACAGAAAGAAAAGGAACAAGATATGGACGAAGCGAGCGTGACCACGCACGATTGGCTATGTTGATGAGATCCGTGTGCCTTGAATGTTAGGTCGTGTCATTTGAAAACATAATTTTGAGTAAACCGTGGTCTCTCAAGCCATTAGTCGTAACTGCCGTAAAAGATAAACATAAATCCTGTCGAGTAAAACATGAGAAGGAGCACAGAGGAGCAATGTGATGGCTCCTGCTCCTATGCAGAAAGTGGGCCTTATCGGGCCTTGGTCCGAACTGGAGATGAAAACCCCCTGGGAGTCAAACTTTGGATCAAGCTTTGAAATCTAGCTGGAACGATTTCCATTTACCCCCAACGGTTCGACATCGTGGACATCCTCGGGGGCCTGGATAGCTCGTAGGACCGTGGGACATGGCACTGCCTGGACTCGACGTCACATTTCTGAATGACGTTGGAGGGCTGCTGATGAAGGTCACCACACATTCGCGGCACACTCCGCAGATGCACTCGGTGCAAGCGAAGCACTCATTCAGCGGCCAGGACCGCTTGCAGCTGGCACAATAGATCTGGATCTCTTTGTTTCGGAATGATGCCGGCGTCGGGTTCGAAAAGCGATGATGCTGGCGTTGCGATGCCGACGCTGGGAACATGTTCAACACCGGGCTGGAATCCGAGTTCACCGAGGGGGGCAGATGAGAAAACCCAAAGTTTCTACCGGATGTGGTTGACGCTGAATCGAGCGACGATTCAATGGAAGGGAAGGGCTCCAGATCGCTGTCCCGGCTGCGAGTGGTGTCGTAGGGCGGTGGTGTCAGCGACTTATGTAACGGAGATGCCGCGTATGAATGGGGTGGGAACGGCCGGTGCGATGATGTTGGGGGTGGTAGTCCTTGGAACGCAGGCGGCAGCGATGAGCGATGTTTCGAGTTCAGATGACCGGATGTGATGTGAGAAATCAACGGGGGAATGGTAGGGGATCGACCAATCTAAAGTAAACTTCAAAGTTAGCTTCCGTACTGGATGTAAAGGAAACAAACCCCCTCTTCCGTCCTATCCATTCCAAACCATCGGCACTCACCTCCGATGTACGTTCATCATCCGCCTCGGTAGCGGAGGTGGCCGCTTCGATCAAATCCTCCCAGCGTTTGCCCTGCGCCCAGGCTGCAGTCTGTGGCTCAGCCGATAGCGCTTTCCGATCTCCCAAGCTAGGACGCCGGGGGTATTCCTTCGATTTGGTCCGTTCATGTTTGGGCTTCCTGGCACCGGTGATTGACGATTTGCGAGAACGTGGCAGCTTGTCCCTTCGTTGAATAGGAGGCAGTGTTGAAGAGCGACCAGGCGGGGAATGGTTAAGGATCGACGGAAGGAGTTCTCTCGGGCGAGTGGGCGCAAACGGAGGCAGCGATTCCTGTTTCAAGTGATCCCTAAGCGAGGGGAGTTCGATTGAGGTTCTCATGCGGTTTGGACCGATATCGTTGTCCGAATGAGTTTCCTGAAGCGACCGTCAGTTTATCTCCCATGCCTGTTTTCCAGTTCAACGCCGCTTTTTCTGGAAATTTATTTTCGCGAAGAAGGCTAAAGCTGAAAACCTTATATCCAATATATTGTACATACCATATCTGTCTCCCAGTCAGACGCTAAACGGTTATGGTGAAGCTGCGCAAGGGCCACGGCCGCAGTGGCAGCGGCGGGGTGGGTTTCGTCAATACCGCGCGGGGTCGCGGGGGAGCCAGCGTCCGCCACATAGATGTCTCGGTCTGCCACGTCTGCCAACCGTCAGAATAAGTGATTAAAATCCAAGCAGATAGAAAACAAACCATTGCGTCGTCGAGAGGGTGTGGAATTCGGAGGCGACAGGTGAGCTCGTTGATCGGGAGGGGTGGTGACCATTAAGATAAAGCTCTCCTCGGTGGCCGGGAGCTTCGGAATGTAGTGGTTCGGATGGGCCCGACGGATGTGCTCCTGCATGGAGCGATAACGCTTCTCCTAAACGGCAGCATGCTGATTAGATGCGAACATCAAGAAACATTGAATCTGGCAGAGAAGAGAAAAAGCAGGAGCTTCTGGACCACCCCTCGTGTTCGATCAATCGTTGGAACTATCGCCGACTGCTGCAACGAAAGGCCAACCTTGCATAAAGTGGGGCGCCCGAAGGATAGCGAGGCCAGGAGAAAGAGAGGTCAAGACACTCACACCCAGACATCTTTTCCGACAATTGGACCCATCGTTATTCTTCAGAGGACAGACAACTTCATTGTTGGCGTCGGTGACAGAGAAAGAGCTGGTCAGAGATGCCCGGGGCGGCATGGTCTGCATGAATCCGTTCTGGCGGCGGGGTTGATCCGGAGGGGCCAAATCAGCTAGCTAGCAAGCACACAGAACTTGTGCGTGGAGAGCCGAAAAAAAAAAGAATAATGTTTGACGATAGGATCAATTCAACAATCCAAACTCGAGCTCGCAATTCATGCTCCGAGGAGGGCAGCAGTAGATGAATGGAACAATAGTCTGCCAGTTGAATGGAGGGGCGACGATAAAGAGGAAGAAAGAGGGGGGGAGAAAAGAGAAAGAGGATAAGATTGAGTTAAGAGCAGGTATGGAGTAGGTTGAGTAGTAAGAAAAAAAAAAAAGAAAAAAGAAATGCAGATAGGTAGATAGGCTAGCGATAGTTATTTAAGAATGAGTAATAGGGAACCAGCTAGGAAGTAGTAGGAACTAAGCTCGGAGGAGGATAAAGATGGAGGTCAAGTAGGGGGAACGAGGAGAAAAAGGGTCGGGGGGAGCTCTGCGATTGACTGGACGGAGGAAAGCTAACGCAGCTCGGCTTAGTGAGTGGGAAACGAGAATGACAGCCAGAAGCTCGATTCAATTTTTAAAATAAGAAAAAAAAAAAAAGAGGAGCCAGACGAAGGGATTTCAGTATTGTGAATTAAAAAAAAGCGAAAGGAAATGGAGGGGGGAAATGCACGGGGAATGGAGTCGGACTGCAGTTGTTTCTGACAACTTAAAAGCTGCGCTGGTCACTGTTCAGCTCCGGAGAACCCCGACCGCGTGGCCTTTTTTGGGTTCTTTTTTCTTTCCTTTTCCTGCACTCCTGTGATCATTTCTTTTGAATTATGCAGAAGGTCACCACCGAGAATCGTCAAGAGGAGAACAGCTATGCCGAGTCTTTGTCTACGAAGTAAGTACTAAGTACAGAGTAAAAAAGAGCTCCCAACTCCTCGGCCCAGCTGGGCTTGTGTATTATTGATGGTGTCACTGTAAGGATACCACCTCCGTACGATGGAGCGAACCAAGGATTGATGGATAACCTACCAAAGAGGTTACTTCGGTCCTCGATTTCTACCCACCAGGTTCACGGAGCCGTGCAGGCTGCATGGTACATACATACCTAGAAGCTACCGTAGCAGCTGTAGGTAAGAATAAGCATATCCCTTGAAGTTATCGCCCGAATTCTTCCTACTGCGTATACGAAATAGGTATTCCGTATGCCTGCTGCTAGTGGCACGGCATGCCACCAGTTCTGCCGATAAAGACGCCTATCGATAGCCGGAACGTGGGAGACTGGGAGTAGTACCTACTTATTGTGTTCTAATTGATTTATTTCCATGTCAACCAGTGACTATTCATAGCACCCTTTCGAAGTGAAGATTACTCCTGTATCGATAGTCCTCATAGTAAGCATGACTGTCTCTGACAGGGGATGACAGGACCATACGGTAAAGAATTGAGGGGTGTTCTTATACCTAATTACCTATGCACACCGGTGTTGGGAAAAGGACGCATACTCGAGTTTAAACCCTGGCGAAATTGATAGCTGACCACGTTTTTCTTGCTCACGAGAGAGAAATACTGTACGGTAATGGACCAGCACTTCGGGAATGTCGGTGGAACAGCCCTTCCCCTCTACAGCTGCAGCGCTCAGGTACTCCGAAGACGGGATGGGGGCTACGGGAGGGGAGGGAATTTTTTTTTCTGTCAACGCCTCGCACACAGTACGGGGTAACCATTGTAGAGTACGGAGTACAAATGGATGATTTCTATATCTTGAATTAATCAATATTTCCTGATCTTGGTCTTGAAACCTTACCCCCCATTCAACGCCTGAACATTGAACATGACCACCACCTGACCATGTGCGCCCCTCCTCCTCCTCCAGCTCTCCCCAGCTCCGGAGGTGAGCTTTCCTGTTGGAGCTTCCAGCTTGAGCTTTTTTTTTTTTTTTTTTTTTTTTTCTCTTCGTTTCTTTTTTCACTCTCGCTTTTCTTTTTTTTTTTCTCTCTTTCTTTTCTTTTTTTCCCCTTCCCTCCCAGCCTACTCCGTAGAAGACTAGAACAAATCAGCCTAAGATTAGTGGCGAAAATTCCACTTAGCTCGACGCCACTCCAGTTCCTTATTCCCGTCTTAGTGGGGCCCGTCTGCGAAACAAGGAGTCTGGTATGGCCCTTGTATGCGTGTCCCTTTGCTGCTCACTGCTCACTGTATGTGATGCCTAAAAAATGAGCCAGAAAATTTCTGTTTTGCCTTCTTTTCGAGTTTCTAGAAGGTGGCAACTGGTGAGATTTACCGGGTCTAGAACGGAAAAGGGGTTATTGTTCCATACTTTACTTTGCTCTATCTTTGGATGATTGTCGGGACAGAGAGCGGGGAGAGGGGAAATACCTACAGTAACCAACTTGACTATACGGAGAGGGGAAAATTACCCCTGCCACGAGCACAAAACCTGCTCATGGATTACCTTCACTACACCTGACTGAGCAGATTCAGATACAACCCTAGATTGGAATCACACCCTCGCAGTGCGAAGTGGAGGGGTCGATGCCCAATTTGTCGACACGCGACGATAGATGCCGTTTATTCCCGTCTCTTAGACTTCCGGTCAAACGGTACCTGAGAGGAGAGGCTGGGGAGACGGCGCTTTGACGGTGGAAACCTGCCTCATGTGCTCAATTTCTCCATGTTAGATGGGTTTAGTTTACCTACACTGTGAACTCTACTTTCAATTCTGTTCCGTTATCCGTACCCTTCGAGCTACGTGATCATTCTAATCTGATTTCGAAAATAGTCAGCTTACGTTGTAACATGGTGTGGTTGCAAATACCTCCTAAGAAAGGAAGACAACGGTATATAGCTCAGCCAAGAAAGACCCTCAGCAGCAAAAGCATGCCACACAATGATATTTGTGCGTATTTGTACTTGTAACGGAACCGTCACACATTCTAAGGTGTGCGATACGGAGTATGTACCTACCGGAGTAGGTACAGTAACTATTAACTAACCATTCTAGTCCAAATGGGCTTGTTCTAGAAAATATGCCTACAGGTATGTATGTACTCGGCTTGTCATCGAGTCAGCCGTTCGACTTTTGAGTTTTTCATCCCAGCCTTCCATGTGGGGACTGGTTTTATTCTTAGCAAGTTGGCGGCATTACCTACCACTGCTGTTGGGCAGTTGGCACTTGAGGTGAAATCGAATTTAGCATTGATTGTATGAGAAGACTGACCGTTTGACTTCTTTTTGTTAATACCTGAGCTGGGATCAAAACACCTTACGGGGAAGTGACATGAATGAAGCACCGTTATCCGGTTTACCGGGTCATCCGAGGGCTCCTTACCGTTCTAAAAATCCTACCTAGCTAGATCCTCTATCCGATAACCAACATTCCCGCCCTCGACCAACCGAGTAAGCTGCATAGTGCATACAGAGTACATCTCCTACTCCTCCCCACCTCGGTGTAGGACTGTAGGTATACTCCTTCTCCCTCAATCCGGACGGAACCCCGGCCGCAGTTGGTTACCGAATCGGGCGCAGTGCATTAATCCAAAGTATCCTGATTGGCGGAGGTTTCGGCAGGGGGGTCACGCACGGTACCCAATGGGATTGGCTGCTTAGTCAAGTATTTCCTCCACTTGCGGTGCTCCTTCTTTTCAGGTTTACTGGGGTGTGGTGGTACAGAGTGCTATGAGGTAGGTCCCTTGCTGAGGTGGGTGTGGTATGTTGAAGTATATCAGTTATCAACAGGTATTTTGGGCTTGCTTACGGCGCTTACACCGTAGATTGGGGTGGTTTTATCTAACGGGTGAGCTTGCCGAATGCCGATTGCCGATACGGTTATGTACAGACATCCGTTCTGAAGAACCTGCATCGCCAGAAAGAAGTGAATTAACTTCGTGAACTTCAAGTGCTTCTATAGCATACTTTATGACAGAAAGTCATCTCCCCTCATGACATCCTATGTACAGCACTATGTGTAGCCATCATCGGAACCGGAAAACCCCCAAATTGACCCCCACAGACGCAGCACAGCAAAGACCTCGTCGGATCCCGATGACGATGAAAAAGAACGGGGACTTATCGGTCCGACTCAAAGCTTGGGAGCAACAGGACTCTGTATGCCTCAGCCTGATCCGCAGTTCCCTCAGATCCCAGAAGTCGGTTCCCTCATCAATCAGCCAAGAAACTTGCTATGCCTTGTCCGACGCCCCACGGGGAGACGGGGCTGCTGCCCTTCCGATGGACCTTACCCCGGAACCGCCCATGCTGACCTGGATCCGAACGTCTACGCCACCCAATTCGGGGTCATGATTGGGAGTGACGAGGAGGAGGTGCCGTGAGCCGAGTGTGGGATTGAAAAAGGGCGGGTGTGCCGGGTTAGATATCTCCCATTTTCTTTCTGGTAGTTTATCAATCATCTCTCTCAATTCTTGACTTTTTTTTCTGCATTCTTTTCCAACTGGTCATACATGCCAATGTCCTCGACAAAGAAGGATTTCCAAGTTGCCGTCGTCGGCGGCGGCATTGCCGGTCTCACGCTTGCCATCACGCTGCATCATCGCGGCATCCCCGTGACAATCTACGAGCAAGCCTGTGCCTTTGCGGAAATCGGCGCAGGCGTCTCGTTCGGTCCGAATGCAGTCGAGGCCATGAAGGCCTGCCATGGCGGCATCCACGCTGCGTTCGAGAAAGTATGCACGCGGAACCTATGGCCATCGAAACAGAAAGTATGGTTCGACTACCTCGACGGATGGAGTCAGGGCGAGTCTCGGGACGCGCAAAACGCCAGCCGGCAAGACATCGCGTTCACGATATCCAACGCTATCGGCCAGACGGGCGTGCATCGGGCTCATTTTCTTGATGAGTTGATTAAGCTGATTCCGGCGGATATTGCGCGGTTTAACAAGCGGTTGGAGAATATCGTGGAGCGGAAGACTGATGGGAAATTGGTGATGCAGTTTGCCGATGGCGAGGAGCATGAGACGGATTTGGTTATTGGGTGTGATGGGATCAAGTCGCGCGTGCGGCAGATCATGGTCGGCGAGGGCCATCCATCTGCGAATCCGACGTATACGCATAAGTATGCCTATCGCGGGCTGGTCCCGATGGATAAGGCGATTGAAGCGATTGGCGAGGAACTTGCTTCCAATGCGTGCATGCACGTAAGTACCAGGTGCTAAGGTTGTTCTGTGGGATTTCTCTCGAGCTAATGAATGCTAGATGGGCCCCGGCGGCCACATGTTGACCTTCCCCGTCAACCAAGGCAAAACGCTCAACATCGTTGCCTTCCACACGAGTCCCGAGCCTTGGGCTGAGTATCCCCGACTGACGCGCGACGGGACCCGGGAGGAGGTTCTGCGGGATTTCGCAGGCTACGGACCCAACGTGATTAACCTGTTGAAGTTGACTGATCCGAAACTCAGCGTCGTACGTACTTGTCCCGTCCAATGTTCAACCTGTTCACGGGAAGTAAGCTGATTTAATGCAGTGGGCAATCTTCGATCTCGGCGAACACCCCGTCCCTACATTCTACCAAGGCCGAGTCTGCATCTCCGGCGACGCAGCGCACGCCACGTCACCGCACCACGGAGCCGGCGCTGGCTTCTGCATTGAAGACACGGCTGTTCTGGCGGCCATGCTGGAAGATGATCGGGTGACGTCGGTGCGAGATCTCGAGGCCGTGCTGGCTACGTTTGATAGCTGTCGACGCGAGCGCACGCAGTGGCTGGTTCAGAGTAGTCGGTTTATTGGAGATTGTTATGAGTGGCGGGCTGAGGGGGTGGGAAGGGATTTCAAGAAGATCGAGGAGGCGATTAATTATCGGAATGGGGTCATTGCGAATGTGGATGTTAGGAAAATGTGTAAGGATGCGGTAGAGGAGCTGGGGAGCAGGTTGTCAAGGCAGGTGAAGGGGTCTCTCTGATGGTAGGTTTGGGTCGTGTATGTATATAGAACGTTTGCGTTGAATGGACATAATTGTATATATCTACAGTGTGGACGAGTAAATATGCCTACTTGTGCCATAAACCACTCAATAACCAGATAGTTTTGCGAAGAGGCAAGAAGACTTGTGTCTACATTGCAAGCTGCATCCTTCTCCAGAGAAGTTAGAACACTCGACTCGACAGCGAATATAAACTCTATAAATAAACATGCAGGTCAAACGTCCCCCAAAGCAAGCCTTGCATGTATCTTCTCCCCTGAAAACTACCAAACAAACAATCATTCAAACTCACCCCCATTTAGCCTATTTACCATTATCCACGGCATCCAAAGCCGGCAAACGACTCCGTCCCAACCATCGGAAGGGGCCCAGGGGCGCTTCCGATGACGACAGTCCTACATCCGACAATCACAGGCGGTACTAATGGAGGGAGACCCACATTGATCTCCAGTTCTCCACAATCCTTGAGGAAGCGGAGTGGAGGATTTGCAGTTGCTGGACTTGGCGCTGGGGTAGATGAGGTGTTTGTTATGAGGGGAATGTGGGATAAAAGTTGGGTATTTGTTCAAGATGGGATGGCTGGGTGTAGGTTGGTGGTAGACTTTGGTGGCGGGTTTTAGATGTATCTTCGTTGTTTTGTTATTACGATGCGACGGAGGATGTTTAAATCTACAAGAGCTATATAAGATGCTCAGGATGTCAATGATGAATCACCAATTGAATTTCAATCCTCCAATGTTGCACGCTATCAACAGGGTCGATCCCATAAACCGTGCATCAAAACAACCACAATCCAATGAACCCGCCAAACCAACCAACGAGGAAGAATCGCTTCGACCAAACCCCAAACCCATCATAACCAAGGCATGTACCTCAACTTACAACTTTCCCGCCGCCTGAGCCTTCTTAAACTCCTCCACAACCGCCAAATAACTCCCCTGGGTGATCTCCTCCAATAAGCCCGGCCCCTCAGGCTTCCAACCCAACTGCTCCACAGCCTTCCTATTCGACGCCCGATTCGCAATGCTATAAAACGCAGTCAAGAACGGTCCCCACCGCGCCGTCGCCTCCTCCGCCGTAATCGATCTCACGGGTACCTGCGCCGCCGTACCCACCGCAGTCGCGATCTCCTTGTATGTTGTATCGGTATTCGCCGTGCCGTTGAAGACATCGCCGGGTCTGGCACGAGCCGCGGCGTCGAAGTACAGCCGCGCCGCATCGTCCACGTGCACGCTGGACGTGCAGTACTCGCCGTCGCCGAGGTAGACCGATTCGTGGGACTGGATGGCCAATTTGATGAGGAGGGCGGCGAATCCGCTCGCGGTGCCGCGGCCGTAGACGTACTGCGGGAGACGGATGGAGATGGAGCGCACGCCTTTCGCGGCCCACGAGAGGGAATTCTCTTCGGCGAGATGCCGTGGGACGAGCGGATTCGGGGGCAGAGGGCTCGTTTCGTCGGTTTCGTCGCCGTTCGGGTCCGGTGCCACCATGGCTGTGCCGCCGGTCGTGATGAGCGGTTTGTTGGTGCCGATGAGGGGTGAGGCGAGGGCGTTCACGGCGGCGGTGTCGAGCGCGAGGATTTGGTCGTAGGGCTTGGTGAAGTCGTGGTCGAAGGCGAGGTGGAAGATGATGTCGGCGGAGGCGCTCTCGTGGGTTAGGACGTCGAGGCTGGTGAGGTCGCCGCGGACGGGGGTTGCGCCGAGCGATTTCAAGAGGGCGTCGCCTTCTTCCTTGCGAGAGAGGGCGCGGACGCTGTATCCATCTTTGATGGCTAGCTCGGTAACGACACGGCCGATGAAGCCTGTCGCGCCGGTGATGAAGATCTTCCGTTGGGACATGGTAGATGTTTGGATGGAAGAAAAGAAGTGATCAGGTACTTGTGGAAGCTATTATGTTCGAAGACTCGAGGCGGACTCGAGACTTAAATAGTTGAAGCAAAGAGAGGAGAGAAGTGAGATGCGGAGTTTGGGCGGCACTCGGATTTAATGCTGTCAATGCACCGTCACGCCTTCCAATCACCGTCGAATCCGGGCTGAAACCTCCCTGGAAATCATCCGGTCTTTGTTTCAATCTCAGTGAATGAAGTTGGGGGAAGTTGAAATTGCTGCCTGATCTGACCGGACTTAGGGAGTGAAAGACCGACTTAGTGAAGGCACTTCGAATCGGCTGCGACAAGGCCATCACAATACGTAGTTTGAACCGTAAAATGCAAGTCACTTCGGGGTATACAAGGTAAGCCAATATAGGCTTGAGGGTGTACTTATAACAACGGGTATAAGCTGGCAAAAAAGCCGATATCCTAGCAAGAAACGTCGGCAATGGCATTACTTCGCACTCACCCGATCTGCACGTGAAGTCAGCTTGTGTTCTTGATATGGTAATCAATTCTATACTAAGGATGTCCGTGGTATCCAACATTGCTACACTATGTCGGTAAAAAACTTGCGGCGAGTTAGTTATTGAATCGTTCCAAATTCCACTTCGTCTTATGGCCCTCTCGACTAACTAGTGTATTCGCCATACCACGATGATCATCCATTCAGGTCGTGAATGGAATGCAGCTTTTCGTCTAGACCCTCTTATATGGTATGTAACTAAATGGCGTCATATACAGCCAGTTGCATTAGTTGCGGAACGAATGAACACTCGGTTATAGTCGGTATATATCCAACAGGGCTGCTTTAGCTTCAGGAGGAATCCTAAAGAAAGGAGGTTCTTTGACATTCCATCTCCTCATGCTAAGACAGCCTTCGCGTAAGGTGTGTTGTGAGGGATTCAGTATCGCCTATCTTACTCTGCGCAGAAGATTATCTACTTTCTCTAAGCTCTTACATCGCAAGAATCCACTTACTGTTGAGACCAGAACCTCCCAAATCGATTGATACAAGGGAGCAAGACCACAGAAAGGCATCCTCCAGCTTGGATTGAACAAGCCCGCCTTATCGCCGCTCCACATTCCAGCACGATGAGTGATATCCCTTCGAGATGGTGACAGATGCCGATGTATCAAGGAATCCAATACATTCATGATGAGCTGTTCATTACGTAGAGCCGATCAATCCCTCTCTTGGGTCCCAGAGGCCTGAATATATATAGCCGCCGCGTAGCAGTCTTCAGAGCTAACTCGAATACTTCAGAGATCTCTCTTTATCTGATTCATTCACTACCATACACCACGTCCCATCGTTTCAATAACATTTTCAACTCTACCTTGTCGACTCTTCATCAACATGAAATCCTCCGTCCTTTGCTCGGTGCTGTTCGTGACTATCGCGGCGTGTGCGCCTACGAAACAGGCAAGTGCCTCCATTTTCATCCTGTTATCTATGCGTATTTGCTTTTGGAGCCGTCGACTAACATGAGAACTTCCAGGTACGTGCCGAAGGCGCAAACATGAACATGAACATGGACATGGCCATGTCCGAGATGGAGAACGAGAACATGGCCCCTTCCATGGACAGAATGAACAATATGAATAGCATAGATGGCATGAACAAAATGGAAAATATGGACAGCATGGACGAAGCGATGAACATGAAGCGCGAGGATCAGATGGCTGGAGCCATGAACGAAGCTATGAATGAGAACAACATGGCTGATGGAATGAATATGGACATGGGTATGGATATGATTATGAAACGTGATGTCAACGGCATGAACGACATGAACAAGGAGATGGGTCAGGCTAAGGATATGAAGATGGCGATGTAGTATTAGATTGCATGGGGTGATGGTTTGGATGATCTTGATTTGTACCCTTGGATTCCATCCAAAGCCTATGAGAAATTGCCCTGAAATAAACTCTGCAGGGCCTAAGTTCTATGATATTGAAACCCGACCAAAGAACGCTCTTTTTGAATGAGAAGATAGTCTGTTTTAGACAAAGCAAGCAGAACCAAGAAATTAAGAATAACAGTGCCTCCTTCACCTGGAACTGTATTTCCAGAGAGGTGGGAAGTGCCTAGACCTCTATACACTAATCAAATCCTGTTTTTTAATAGAAACCCTTTCTCCTCATCTTTTTTGGAGTCGCTTTATCAGGTGGATAGCCGGTCTTAGCAAATGAGAAGTAAGAGCGCATATCAATGCATATTGCGGCGTTGAGTCTGACATGGATGGTATAAACCTGCCAAGAGAGTGACTGCTCAGGTGAGGACGGAGAAGTGGGCCAGAAAGAGGGGTCGCTGCCTGTCGGGAATTGAGTGGTAGCAAGTCTAGTCGCGACCTAGACATGCATCTATTCCAGGAAAGGCCAAAGATACGCCAGCAAGGGAATGACGTTGCTCCTCACGTATAAAGTAGATAGTTAACCCTTTTCAACTCATGCATCGATGATCTTGTAGCCAACTCAACCTGCCTGAACTTGTTCACCATGGCGACGCGCAGTCTCACTGATCGAATTCGTCCTGTTTTAGAAATCAGACAAAACTCCCTGGAGGTCACTGCGCTGTTGAAATCTCAGCTTGAACTGCCTCAGAATGTCACAGACGTCCCCCGGTCCTGCGGGCTTTTGTCTGAAAGGGAACTGGATCTAACCGAGAGATATGATGCTACTGGTCTCGTTCAAATGCTTGCAGCGGGAAAGGTCACGGCCAAGGAGCTTTTGATCGCTTTTAGAAAACGAGCAACAATTGCCCAGCAATACGTAAGCGCCCTATTTTGTGTCTGGATTGTGGGTTAGGATTAAGCTCACCTATGACAGACAAACTGCTTGACAGAGCTTATCCCTCAAGCACTGGAAGACGCTCGGGCCTGCGATGAATATCTATCGGGACCGGAAAGCCAATTGGACCCCTTCATGGCCTACCTGTTTCTGTCAAAGAGCAGATTTCCATCGCCGGTAGACGTACCAACGCTGGATTTGTTGCATGGGTCGATAATATAACCCACGACGATGCAGACATTGTCAAATCATTGAGAAAGTTGGGCGCTGTTACCTTGCCCGAACAAATCAGCCGCAGTCTTTAATGCATCTGGAAACCTCGAACAATATCTATGGCACTACTGTTAATCCCAGAAATCGAATGTTGACCGCTGGTGGTAGCACAGGCGGCGAAGGAGCGCTAATGGCGATGCACGCGACTCCACTAGGAATTGGAGGTGATATCGGAGGGTCTATTCGAGTTCCAGCTGCTTTGAACGGGGTGAGTGATTGCATTCAACCCGGGGAGTGTGAGTAGGCAAAGGGTTAACACCGAGCCCACATTATACAATAGATCTACGGCTTCTATCCTACCATCGGGCGGGTTAGTGGTAAAGGAGCCGTCATTCCCTCGCCCGGTTGTGACTTGATTCCGGGCACACTTGGGCCATTTGTGAGATCGCTACGAGATATTGAGCTGTTCTGCAAAGCCTACTCCCTTGCCGAGCCCTGGGTAGATGATGTTTCTCTTATCCCTGGGGATATGTTGTCCCCAAGTCTAGGACGTCAGCTCGATTCCTCCCGACCTCTTCGGGTAGGTGTTTTGGCTCACGATGGTGTCGTCGCACCTTTACCACCGGTCCGCATAGCTCTTGATATTGTAAAGAAACATCTCGAGCAGACTGAGTCTCTGGAGATCATGCCATTTACTCCTTTCAACCACGCAGACGCGTGGCGAATCATCACGGCCAATTATTTCGAGGATGGAGGTGCCGATATCCGAGCCTTGATGCAGGCTGGTAATGAGCCATCGATGCCGCTCACGGACTGAATTATCAACTAATGTCAAGAGAACATGGATTCTGTCGCTCCCACCATGCAAGGACGGAAGGTGGCCCGTGATCTGTATCGTCAGAGATACAACGCACACTGGAACGAAGCTGGCGTTGACGTCGTTCTGGCGCCTGTCACCCCAAGCACCGCTCCTCCGCTAGGCGCAACTCCATATTGGGGATACACTGCTGTTTGGAACCTGCTCCAGTACCCGGCCATTGCATTCCCGGCGACAAATTTCTTCAAGGACTGGAACGCCGTTAGCCTTTCTGGGGAGACTTATACACCAACCAATGAGCAAGAGGCGTCAATGCTTCGTGACTACTCGCCGACAACGGCCAAGGGTATGCCGGTAGGACTGCAGGTTGTAGCCAAACCCATGCATGAGGCCATGTTGCTGCAGGCGGCGAGGATCATTGAGGAAGCACTGGCTTAGGGCATGAGATACACGTGATATCTAGTTCAAGAAGTTATCGGTGTTGCCTATCCGCGGTTCTTTTACAGTTCTTCTTTCAATCAACGCACTAATAATTTTGGGCTCAGATCGACACAGATGTCCGACTAGAAAGCTAGACAAGCCCAGTGTTAGCGTGCGTAGAGTTACATCTCACATCAGAGGCGACCATCCTAGCAACCCGGTCATGCCGGCTGAGAAGACACGTTTTCGTGCATAATCCCAAACGACGAACGTTCTATGAGAATATATGAACCCCGTTAGTTCGTACTGATATCTGGAGGGCTAATTATGTGTAAAGGAAATCATAAAGCTTAATTAGATAAATTAGATAGCAATCTCCTAACCTGAGCAAGTTTAACACTGGCTATTTTTCACTCTCGTACAGGGTTGTCTTTCGAGATAATGCTTGCCTATGGCTTAGCCTGTCCGGTATTGGTATTTCTAAGGTAAGAAATAACAGGAAACACTCCCCATGAATCATACTGATTGTCCTTTGATGTCATGCTTCTGCCGGCCTGAGGTCGATTAATCCCATGGTCCAAGTAGCTTCTTCCCGGAGTTTGTCTATCTCCCAATTCCAAACGTCGTTTGGGTCTCGACCTTCGGGCACCTTTCCCGCAGGATATAAGTCTCGCCGACAAAAAGTCACGGTTTGTGCGGCGTGAAGGGTGCCGGGCGACGGAACGGGAAAGACATCCTGAAGCACAGATTGCCTATTAGTACTGTAAGAGTGATAGGAGACTTGTAATCCAGGACTCACAATTTGAGGACATGCGATACCGCCTCTGCGATGTAACTCGAGGGACCCGGCTACATCTCCATTGTCTCTCTCATCCCACTTTATCAGAACCACGGCGTTCACGTATGGTGTTCCACCTTGTAGCCACATATCCTTCACCTTCAGGAGGTTGGACCACGACTCGTGTCCACTTTCGAAAGCAATACAAGGGAAGCGCTTGTTATCACGGAGAAAATAGCCACTGCAATATTTGTAGGCCTTCGCATATGGGGCTGAGAACTTGTAGATACCTATTTTACTCGCGTGAGAACAGTTAAGGTGTATAGAGTATGGAATCCCTCACCACAGTTAAACATAATGGCAAGCTCTTTATATTCGCCCCAGGTGAAAAACCTAGACTCGATAGCGTCGTATCTCCCATTCATCTACCAACCAGTCAAGCTCGTAAGAGAGATTGAACACATTCTGATAGATAATCGGCGCTTTATGGGATTGTATTCAACGGTCGGATTGCGTTTCTTAACCTGGCCTTTATCACAAAGTGTTGTCGCAACCTCATATCCTACCTCCGGGGCGATCTCCAGTTTCTCATAGTAAGGAGGCCCTTCGGCGTTGATGATCCACTCTGTTAACTCGAACCACAACTCCAACTGCTCAAGGGTGAGATGAGTAGGGGTTTGGTCAGGCTCGCTTTCGGTCTCCAAATCGGAGAACTGATCACGGCCCGTCTCACTCTCGTGTTCTGACGCGGGGGACATGATGAACGATGTTGATATCCTGGACTAGGAACAAGGTCTGCGTGTGGAAGGAATGGAAGGAATAAATAGGATGAGCAGTGCACCAAGGATTTAGGCTACAAGGGGTATGGGTGAATAGGCAGAGAATAGAAAGGTCTTGGATCCATGGTTCGCACTAGGTTCCATATGCCATGTTGACATGCAAACCTTCCAAACCTTCTACGGAGGGGGACCACCAAGCTCCTGTCTTCCCATGAGATATTTTACGAGATGGGAATGAAAGGACAGTCAGTGGAATTCGATGTTAAAAAGGGTTAAAAATCTAGCGAGCGCATAGCATTAGTTCATGCAGTCGAGATACTGTTGTTGCACTAACCATCGCGATTACAGCCCTACAGGTGGAGTTTGATACATCCCGCAGAGACGATAAGTCCCAGAGAATCAAAATCCGGCTCCAGGTCTGAAACAGTAGGCAGGCGGTTACATTTGATTTTAACCAGCGTTGACTGATGGTTAGTCGCTGATGTACGTAGAGTTGTAATAGTATGAAGAAGGTAACGTGTCGGACCTAGCCGGAGGCCTAGAAGGAGGCCTTGAAAAGGAGGACCGTCTAGAAGGTGTCTTTGCGGGAGGAGGCCTTGCAGGGGGGCGACCACTAGGAGGACTAGTCGGCAATAGCCCATGGGCATGAAAAGCAGGGATGACTAGCATGTATGCTTCATCTTCATCACTCGCCAATTGAGAATCGCGGACTATACGAGCCAACCTCGAGAGCGTCGTGTGTTGCCATCGAGGCGTATTTGCACTGTCACCCCGAAGAGGAGTGCGATGTCTAGTCTCACCCTTCATCTCCTTTATCCCGGCTACTAATTGTAGCATGAACTTGCTGAAAACCTCCTGCGCACACATCCGAGAAAGTGATATACGAGTCACAACAGCCCTGTCGCTGTCAGATGGCGGTTTCAAGGGCTGCCGGAGGAAGCCGTTATCATTTGGGAACATATACGATTGAACTTGTGCCCTTATGCGGGCACTCCGGGTGTCCTCTGGACTTTGGGAACAGGCGGTTGCACAGTCTTGATAACTAAAGTAGCTTTCACTCGCTTCTCCCTGTGCTTCCTCTCTGAGTCTCCTGTTCATAAAAACACATTAACAGAGTCCATTTTTAGATGGTCAATGGAGGCTCAAACCTTGAAATGGGGGCGACAGCACCGGCAAAGTGATATGGAGGATGGGCTCTTCGCTCGTATGCTTGCAGGCCTGTCACGAACCTGAGGTCCGCAAAACGGGATGCTGTAAATTTCCGCTCAATCCAGACAGCGTAGAAATCAGCCACTTTGTATTCCTGCGCTATACCAGTGTTCTGTGGTAGCTGGCCTTTCGATTGCTTGGCGTGATTGGGCTCAGGTGATCCTTCATGATCACTGACTTTCATAAAATCTGCATCTGGCTCTGCAACTGAATCATTGATATTTTCCGACACTTCTTGCGTTGTGACCATCTCTCTGAAGGATTGCCCGTCTGCGCCGTTATTATCAGCGTTCTCCCGAGCCCCAAGACTGGGGTCTTGCCCTAGAGGAGAGCCGCATGTCTGGCTGGATTGAGCCCAGTGTATGACCTTTTCAATATTCTCCCTCTTTGCTGCCGTCGAAACCGATGCCGGAATAGGAACATCCCATCCATAGCCAAAAGATCGAATCAACTCAAGGCTTTCGTGGCCGGCTTTGAGCTTCTGCTGCAAAGAGAATGTCCACAGAGAGATAATTGCCGCTAAGGAATCGATGTCAATGTCCCATGTCCGTTTTTCAGCGTTGCTTCCGGCTTCTAATTCCTCGGGCACATTGTCATCAATGTTTGTATTCTCGCGTTGATAGACACATTGAGCCCGAAAGCGGTATTGATCGCTCCGTCGGCCCATACCCTTAGGACCTCCTAGGGTCACCTTGGATTCCCATGTGAAACTGACACCGAATATCTGTCCATATTTATGGAAGATATATGGAATGAGGCCTAGAGGAGTTCTTGGATCGCAGCCATCAGCAGCCTCGTCAACGACCTCTCTGTGCTCCCAGAACCAATTGCCAGCCCCCAAGGGCTCGGGGTCGTTGGGATCAAGGTCGTTGCCATCGGACCCAATCACTGGTTTATGGAGCCATGCAGAGGGAGGTGGAGGGCTTAGAGGACTGGGAGGGCGACGGGTCTGAGGGCTGGGTGCACGGCTATATATCCTTGCTGGAGGAGATCTTGCAGGATCACTCTCTGTTAAAGCGCTGTCTTGAGAACCGTCTCTTTCGATAATCTCCGCATGTGTATTGTCCTCAGGCGTGGAGAGGATCGAATCCTTCTGGTTAGCAGCAAGGTTCAAGATGTTTTTCACACTAGAGTGAAAACCACTTCCACCTGTCAAGTGCCTCGAAGTACTTGTTCGTGGTCCTAGCTTGTTGTGGATCTCCTTAATTGGAATTACTTTAGCCGAGAGATGTCGGGGGTACTCTGTTCGAGCAGGGTTCAGATCTGAAATGGCCCTCTCTTCGAACACAAAAACCGACGACTGTTCATCGAAATCCATGAATAGCGATTCATCTTCACACACGTATTGTAGGGTTTTGGTAATCGCATTTGCCAGTCGATGTGCTAGATTGACAGACTCGTCTTGCCAGTTCACAAGTTCGCGGGTCTGTTTGCGCACCCCAATTACCTTACGGGCCAGTGATGAAACGTCTGCCATTTGCGTACCTTGGAAGGACTCAATAGACTGTGAACCAGCCCGTACGCTGTCAGCATCATCTTCTTCAGTTGTAGCGTTGTCAAGCTCGAAGGAATCTAGCCGGAAAGCATCCAACGCAATCCAGGAGAGCTCATGGCCTTCTTGAAGCTCCACCCATTTAGGATCCGCGGCAAGGCCACGACAAACATATGCCCTTATACAGGCCATTATTAGTGTTCCACTGAGAACTGCTATGGCGACAATCCAGTGCATTGCTCTCACTATTTCTTGCATCAGCCGGTAGTTTAGCATCTGAGGATCAGTTTGACCAGGAAGGCTTACAGCCAATAAACTGCAGAACGTAACCCCCAAGAGAAAGCAATGTAGCTAAGATGGAAAGGACGCTGAAATCAGGAGGTTTGTCGATTCTCGAGGTACGGATGCTTGTATTGTCTTTCTCATTGAGGATGGCGTAGGAGCCATAGCGTTGGTCACCGACAGTACAGGCACACTGTATCCGGACAATCTTCGACTCATCTCTGTGTCTGTAGAGATCAAAGTTTACTTCATCCGTAGTATTCTCTATTATGTCTGCGTTAAGTCAGACTAGTGTGGATACCCTATTCCAAGAAGGCCACTTACAAGAACACAAGAAGATACCCACAGACAACACGACAGACCCTGAAATATGCAGTGGTTAAAAATCTTTAAATTCCACCTCTAGACAAGGCAACCCACCTGTGAGGAATACTGGAAAACCGTAGCGATCCACGGAAGAGCCTTGCTCTGGGACATGCCAACGGTACGTCACCATAACAGCAATAGCCAGGACAGCAAGTTGTACTATGACCCCCAGGAGTGCCAACGACCAAGTTATGACCGGGGAGATCAGCGCTTTTGCAACGTTAAGTGTAAGGTTAGGTGCCTGCCGCATTAACCTGGTAGCATGCTGTTGCGCATCCATCAACGGAGGCGCACTTAACCACCGCGAACGCACTCTGCCCGGTTGTTTGATACCCAGAAGTCTGTGTTGACAGGCTGTCTCGAGGTTATAGACAATCTGTGGCATTTTCTTCCCTTTTGACCGTTTTTCTTCCTTCATCTGTCGATAAATAAACTCCTTCGTTTTTGGTATACCTCTTTCTCGCACTTAAAGACCGAAAGTAAGTCAGCTAATGATGACTAGAGCATGAGATAGTACCCCGTCGGTATTTGGCGTTGGATCAACACTCGCACAAGTTCCTTACCTATCTCGGTCCCACTCCAAAGCTCACAGATAGCGTCGCTAGTACTAGACATGATCTCCATCTCGGCGGTGGCCCTAGATTCTCTAGCTCGGCCCACAAGAGCCTTGAGCCATTTCCGTCCACCGACCCGAATAGCACTCACGACACAAGTTAGAATTCCAAGGGGCGCCATGGCCAGAAGAATGTCATCGCCGTACCCCATCTATACAACATAAACAAGTTTCAGACTGGAAATACTGTCCCCCGTATCCGGGAGAATGGAAGGACTCTGGATCGGGTAGCTTACTGCCTGCGAAAGAAATTGTTTGGTCACTTGTTCTCCGAAAAGCGTCAACAAGGGGGCCAGGTCGGTGAATAGGTTATTGCTGAAGTCGGAGCCATCAAACTCGCTCCGTCGTGAATGCGATCTACTAGGCGGCGAACTTGTCTCATTGAGGGTGCCCATGGCGTCCCAAAAGTCGTCGAAAACGAACGTATTTCCAGCGTCACGTTGCAGATGTGTAGTGAACCTTCCATTGAATTGAAGACACTCCGCTGTTCGCTTGTTTGATTTCGGAGTATTTATCCTCTATTTTCGCCCCCCACCCCCGTCATCTATCGGAGTTTTAGCGCGCTTTTTCAGCTGAGCACGTCCCGTCGGAAATCGTGATCTGCAGGACCAGTGGGTCATTTCTTTTTCATGGACGGGAGCCACGTAGGCTCGGGTAGATTAGTCCAAAATCACCAGAGATTTTTTGCTTTTTATTTCTTCCCAGCGCTTTGCACAATCCGCTAGTTTGCTGAATGCTATTCCCGGGGCTGAGGCTAGTGGGTCTGCAAGCTACAGGTTCGCCCTACACTTAGAGATAATTGGCTGGGAAAGAGAGAAGGTATGCATAATGTAGAAGAACGCTACCAAAACACAGCGTCTTTAAATGTGAGCAGTCAGATATGCTGATATCCCACCCAACTACCAGCTTCAAGCGTTTTAGCTCATCAGAGTGTTCTTCAAGAGGGGTGTTCAAGATAGACTGAGGAATGATGATCGGCCGAGCGGAAGCTCCAGACTGGAGAGGCTCTTCTTTTCCTACCAATGGCCGGTAGCAAGGCAGGTAGGTGCATTGTATGGAAGAGAAGGAAATACTCAAGGCTTACTAGAGCCTAGTACTATGTCAGAGACATTTGAATGGTAAGTATATAAACTCAGCTTCTAAGATTCAGGCGTTACTACCGATTTAATAGCTATCGCTGTTATGCAGGTAGAAACATATACAATCACGGGGTGCATCCAGGCCATTTTGGAGCAAGAAAAAACAAATGAATCTGGCATCGAGCTAAACATCAGGGAGGAATGGCCTGACTAGCACTATACCGCAGAGCAACTAGGGCAAGCCCCGTCACCTGACATAACATCATCCTCGTTTCCTAGCTGTACCATCATTACATTTTTTGGCTCTTCGGTTACAGTATCATCCTGTAAACGATCGGTCGTCACGCTATGCAGGACAATACTATGTACAATGGCACACAAGCTCGAAGTTAACACGTCCGTTCTTGGGAGGTTGTGCTTGGGACGCACGCTGGGGTGGGGAGAATGACGGACCAAACGGCCTCGACCAAACGAACAAGGGCCAAGTGAGGGGTCTCATTTAATTCATCTTGATTTGCTTGAATGTAACGTGGCAGGCGGGGTTCCAAAGATCGACGCAAACCGCGGGTATTTAATCAATGAGGAGGCAGAACTATATCACATTTGTCAAGTGATAAGCAAACACAACAAATTGACACATCTCCTTGGCAGACCCCGGACTGATTATAAATTTATTGCAGTAGAACGCACTTCAAAACCCAAAATCCCTGCCTGATACAACTTCCGGTCAGGATACGATTGCGCTCACTGCAACGGACTCAAATACCGGTCATCGAACCGGATCCTTGAAAAGGGGGATTGAGGCAGCTTAGGATTTGGAAAGTAGACCGCGTCCTGTCGGGGACGTCTAATCCGCGAAGCATCGAAAAGATCTTAGATCCACCGCCTCGGTCCTTAGCTTTTCGCTGAGATCCTACTCCAAAATGCAAACGGTAAACAAGAGTTCTTACAAGCCACCCTCGACCAAGGACTGATCACTTTCACAGATTAGTATTTTTGATGCGAAGATATCGGATCTGCAACATGCCTTGAATCTAGGTCAGGTCAACAGCGTTCAGCTCACGGCGGCACATTTCAACCGAATCGCGTACTACGATCGTCGCCAGACCAGGCTAAATTCCACGCCTGTCATAAACGAGAAGGCCTTCGAGGACGCGCAGTGGTCAGATCAAAGGCGTGCAACTGGGCGAACTAGGAGTATGCTCGATGGGATTCCCTGCACAATAAAAGATAGCTACAAGGTTGAGGGAATGACGGTGGCTTCCGGCTCTCCGGCCTTTAAAAGTCTCGTCGCCAACGAGAACGCATTCACTGTCCAGCGAATTCTGGATGCTGGCGGCGTCATTCTCGGCCGAACCAACATGCCTCCAATGGCGGCTGGTGGTATGCAAAGAGGCCTCTATGGGCGGGCGGAAAGCCCTTACAACGAAGACTACCTCACGGCTGCTTTCGCATCTGGATCGTCCAACGGCTCCGCTACGTCTACTGCGGCAAGTCTTTGCGTGTTTGGCATGGGGGAGGAAACGATATCGTCAGGTCGGTCTCCAGCCTCGAACAATGGTCTGGTCGCATATACACCCTCTCGAGGACTCATATCAATACGAGGAAATTGGCCCTTGTTCCCGATCTGCGACACGGTGGTACCACATACCCGAAACCTAGACGATATGTTCAGTCTTCTTGACGTCATTGTCGCCGATGATGAGACGAAGTCTGGCGACTTTTGGAGAGGCCAACCCTTCGTTTCACTCCCACGCGTCGACCAAATTCGTCCGAGGACCTACCATGACCTTGCCGACGCCGAAGCATTGGTAGGCAAGAAGATCGGCGTACCGAAAATGTACATTGGAGGTCACGACCCAGCTGCTTACCCGGTGCATACACGTCAATCTGTGATTGAGCTTTGGAGTCGCGCCAGGGCCTGTCTAGAGTCTCTTGGGGCGACGGTGCACGAAGTCGACTTCCCAATTGTGACTGAATTTGAAGGGCCGTATGAGCCTACCGGAACCCCCGGCGAGGTCGAGACTAGTCCTATCCATCGGGCCAATGTTGATATGTGCAAGCTCATGGCCTATGCTTGGGATGACTTTCTGATCGCCAATAACGATCAAACATGTGCCTCAACGCTGGCTATCGTTGATTCGGCAACGATCTTCCCGCGGCCTAAAGGAGCCTTGCCTGACAAGTATGCCTCGGATGACCCTCTTGTCCGCCACACCGATGTGGTCGGACACATCAAATCGAATCGTGTCCCCATATATGAGATCCCTGGCCTCGGTGCCGCCCTTAAAGAACTTGAGGCTCGCCGCAAGGCTACCTATGAGGACTGGCTCGACCGGCTAGGGCTTGACGTTGTCGTTTGGCCGTGCGCGGGAGACGTGGGCAAAGCCGATGCCGATACGAACGAGCAATCTGCGAAGGAAGCCTGGCGCAACGGCGTGCTTTACTCGAATGGCAATTGTGCTATTCGCCAACTTGGAGTCCCTACAGTCAGCGTTCCAATGGGAGTTATGAGGGACACCCAGATGCCGGTCAACCTAACCTTTGCTTCCAAGGCTTACGACGATAACAACATTTTTCGGTACGCCTATGCCTACGAAACTGCGTCTCGGGCACGCCAGGCTCCGAAGCGAACTCCTCTTTTGGCTAGTGATACGATTCCATTGAAGAATGTCTCCGGTATCAAGGGAACCACCGCGCCCGAACTCTCCGTTCAAGGGAGACGAGAAGCCGACGACTCCGGTCTCATAGATTTTGGGACTGTTCGTGCCGACAATTGCGAGGGGCTGAGATCTCTGGAAGCCTACGTAGATGGGAAACCAGTGAAGCATGTGAATATGACAAATGACGTTTGGGAAACCACAATCAAAGGGCTTTCAGCATGGGGCGGTAACCTCGAAGAGCGAGGCGTGCCTTCACAAGAGCTGGCTATGGTGATTGTTACTGTGACCGCGAATAATGGAAGATCGGCCGGGAAGATGCTCTTTTTGTAGTTAAAGGAAAGTCCTCGGACATTTCGTGTACTCCGGGTCGTACATATTTTGATTTGGCAGGCGAAGTCAGGAATCGGTAGGACGTCGTACCAACCTTGATGGCCAAATCGCCAACTACAGGGCCTGCTATGAGAAATGGCCCGCGAGAGACAGTTATTCATGGTACAATTTAGCATCGTTGTTTGTCTGAAGGAGTTCATATCATACTTGAAAAAACCGAGGTCATGATGTACATCGTCCGATAAAGACTTAGGCCTGAAAGGGAAATCACCGAAAACTTCTTTCTGTACATCTTGTTGTTGGGAGGCAAAAAAAAAAAAAAAAAAAAAAAAAAGGAACACATAACCCCACAACATCCGAAGAGGCGTACGTTGATTGGACAGTGTCTGCTGCCCAGCCACTGCCGAATGAGTCACAGCTAATCGGATCCCCCGGTCAACAGCTACATAACTCCCTCCAGCTGTCTCAGGTGTATGAACGTATAGAACGCCTGTCCCCCACCGTTTTCAATACTTGCAGGTACAAATCGCATTGCAGACAATAATCCAACGATCCCCAGGAAAATGACGAACGCAACGCCAATTCGTATCCGGCCCGAGACAAAAAGCGATGTGGCGGTGATCGAGGAAGTTACCTCAACCGCATTCCAGAATGCCGATCACTCCAATCACAACGAGCAATTCATAGTCCGCGACCTGCGCGAAGCGAACCAACTATCAATCTCGCTGGTTGCAGAAGACGAAATCACAGAAGAAATTGTGGGCCATATCGCCGTCTCCCCGGTGGGTATTTCAGATGGCAGTGAGAATTGGTATGGGATAGGGCCGATCTCCGTCTTACCTCAGTATCAAGGAAAGGGTATTGGGTCGTCCTTGATAAAACGTGTACTGGCAGATTTGCAGAGCCGCCAGGCTGCTGGATGTGTTGTACTGGGAAACCCAAAATACTACACGCGATTTGGATTCAAAGTCAACCAGCCGCTGCAGCTACCAGGCGCGCCACCGGAACATTTTATGGCTTTAACATGGCATGAGCCGACCCCTGTTGGGACCGTATCATTTGATAAAGCTTTTGAAGCATCGGAGCCTTCGTCTTTGTCGTACGACGTCCTTGTCACCGGCTCAGCCGGTCATCTCGGTACGGCTTTGATGCTCAGCCTGCCTTCTCTGGGCTTCAACCCTCTGGGAATTGACATTCTCCCTTCCCCAACTACAACACTAGAGGGCTCTGTCTATGATCGGGCCTTCATTGCCTCTATCTTCGCCAAGAACCACATCAAACACGTTCTTCATGCGGCGACACTGCATAAGCCGCACGTTTGCAGCCACAGCAAGGAGCAGTTTGTCTTGACCAACGTAATCGGCACTCTTACCCTCCTTGAAGAATCTGCTAGATTCAAGAAGCAGATAGAGAGCTTTATCTTCTTTAGTACAACTAGCACCTTTGGTATGGCTCTAAGCCCCAAGCCGGGGCACCCCGCCGCATGGATCGACGAGTCTGTTGTTCCTGTGCCCAAGAACATCTACGGCGTGACAAAAGTTGCGGCCGAGGACATGTGCAGGTTGATACAAATGCAGAGCCAAATGCCAGTATTGGTTTTGCGAACAAGCCGCTTTTTCCCCGAGGAAGATGATGATGAAGACCGTCGTGCGTCAATGAGCGATGAGAACTTGAAGGTTTTGGAACTAGCCTACCGCAGATGCGACATTGAAGATATTGTCAGCGCTGCAGTCTGCTCAATGAGAAAGGCTAAAGACATTCGATGGGGAAAATATATCATAAGTGCTCCGCCGCCTTTCAACAATGATTCGAAAACACTTGATACCTTGAATCGCAATCCCGCGGAGGTGATAGCGGGGATATTTCCCGAAGTGGATGCCGTCTTTAAGAAGAACGGGTGGAAACATCTCTCGAGGATGGACCGGGTGTATGATTCCAGCAGAGCTGTAAAGGAACTAGGCTGGGATCCAAAATACACCTTTGGAAAGACACTGGAGAGGCTGGCGCATGGCGAGAACTGGAGGAGTGACTTGACTTCTAGGGTGGGCAAGAAAGGGTATCACGCTGTGAGCACTGGTGTGTATACAAAGAGATAAGAATATTTGTTGTTCTGCCGGTGCAGAGAAGTCACCGGCCATACACCTTTGTCACAATACTCGATAGAAAAAAGCGTGCAAGAATGCTATAGTTAATGCCAAAGCTAACATGTGTACCAAAATGTTAGCTAGTGCCTATCCAACCAGCAAGGCGCCAATCTAGCCTACACCAATTCGACCCAAAACTTGAACCGCAGCGTATCCTTATCCTCCCATGACCACAGATTGTAGTACGCTGGGTCCATGCCATTTGCAGAACCCCACGTGCCCCATTCGGTTTTCACCATAAACGTCAGTCCCGTCTGCTCGCCAATTTCCTCCCACATGCGCGTAAAGCTCTCTGAGTCGTGGTTGAAGAAGGTGTCCAGACGGCCATTCTGCTCGCTTTCTTTAGTTGGCTTGTAAAGATAGTTGCGAACCTCCTTGGCCTTCGTGCTTCCATGCTGACGTCCGACAATCAGTGACCCCTTCTGCTTCTTAAGAAGCTTGAGCAGGGAGAAAACCGCCTTTTTCTGGCCCTCCAAAGTAAAAAGATGTAGAAAGGATCCAACATGAATCACTTCGAATCCTTCCGGACGTTCCTTCCACAACTTGCCATCGTCGTCGAAGATGTTCGCAGTGTAGAATGAAGACTTGAGCGTGTCTCGATCACGGAAGAGGTCGTATCCAAGATCGAGGAAAGTCGCGTTGAGCTCCGCGCCGCAAATATTCTCAGCAGGTGCCCCATCAGTGATAAGAGCTCGAAGGTCATGTCCAAAACAGCAGCCAAAATCTAGCAAGTGCTGGCCGCTTTTAAGGCGTTGGAGGACATCGGCATATCGGGGTGAGTCAGGAAGCGAGAAGTCGAGGAAACGGAATAATCCGATGCACGGATATGGGGATGATGCCCACGCTTTTTCGCGCTGAGAGCAGTTAGTCAGGTTCAGGCTTCGTAGCAATATCACATACAATCTTTAGAATATGCGTTTCGACTTCGTCTTCTCTCAAGCCAGCATAGTCCTGCAAGACACGTTGAGCCAATGGGGGGACTCGTTCGAGAGTGTCAAGATACCAGGGGATCCCGCCCTTTGGGTTGCCCATGTTCGATTGATCGCTCGTAATGAAGGGGGCCATGGTAAATAGCAATGGAGATGTTTGTTTGGCTTTGTTTGAGTGTCTTTGTCTTATAGCAAGAATGATTCCTGGTCTTTGAACACTTCATCCGTGATACGAGGCCTTTATATGACTTGATGGTCATGGGGTGTCGGACTGAGGCCAGCTCTTCATCGCCTGGTCAGTTAATATAACTCAGTTTTCTCATCTAATGAAAATACCAAATTGAGATATAGTTCAATGCTACGGTTTCATCGGCAAACTAGACCCATCGGCTAGTGCCGCCCGATCCTGATTTATCTTATCTGATCGACTGCTTGAACAGGACTAAGAACGGCTGAAAGATGTCACAACAACTCCACAGAGACCTTGGCTTTACGTGAAAGCAATCCTTACTGCGAGAACTGTCGCCGATCACTATAATCAGTCCATCCGGCTCCTTCGAGTCCGTTTGTTTTGGTCAATGAATTCACGGGATTTAGACTCGGCTAGAGTTCTTCACATGTTCAACGTCCTCACTATAGAATACAGGCCAGGCAGCAATCTCAACAAAAGGCCGAATATCCTTATTCTTGAGCTTGCATAATTTTCATACGGTACCTTCACATGAACAGCATCTATTAAGGAATAGCATTGTTCAGAACAACCAAAGTCTCTCGACCCAACATGCCCTTAGGCCGACGAATATTCAGCCGAGTGCCCGCTACCTGCGACATACAGTGCCAGTCATACGACGGCTCTGGAACTGAAACCGATCCTTTCCTGGTCAAATGGGTGGCGAATGATCCTACCGATCCCCAGTCCTTCTCAAGAACCAGGAAGTGGGTCATTACCTTTCTGCTTTCTCTATCTACCCTATCGGTAGCTTTAGCATCTTCAGCGTACACGAGCGCTGTGCCCCAGTTGATTGAGGAATATGACATCTCGGCGCCCACAGCCTACCTGGGCGTCTCACTTTTCGTCGTCTGCTTTGCGGTTGGACCACTCGTTTGGGCTTCCTTGTGCGAGATTAATGGCCGGCAGATTGTGTTCATTACAGCTTTCGCAGCTTTTACCGCTTTCAACGTTGGAGCTGCCTGTTCTAAAAATATAGAGTCACTTCTGGTGTGCCGGTTCTTTGCAGGAGCGTTTGGGTCGTCATCACTAGTCAATACCGGTGGCGTCCTGGCGGATATTTTCTCCCTAAAAGAGCGAGGCCCGGCTATGAGTGTCTTCACAGCAAGTCTATTCTTCGGTCCTACGCTTGGTCCAATTATCGGAAGCTTTATCGAACAAGCCCAGAGCTGGAGGTGGATAGAGGGTTTCATTGCGATTATGTCCGGTGTACTTTGGATTGCAGGAAGTCTGATAATACCTGAGACATATTCCCCTGTTCTTCTGCAGCGGCGAGCAAAGGCGCTTTCTAGACTCTCGGGCAAGGTGTACCAAAGCAAGGCACGAGAAAGCCGAAGGCCACGTTCCAGAATTGTCAAAGATGCCCTGATTAGGCCATGGTGTCTTCTATTCCTCGAACCGGTCGTCATCCTAGTTTCCACCTACCTTGCGATTGTGTATGGTATCCTGTACTTGCTGTTCGCGGCATTTCCGGTCGTTTACCGTGAGCAGCGAGGATGGAAAGCCAATATCGCGTCTCTACCATTCTTGGCCGTTTTAGTGGGGATGTCTTTCGGAGTCGCTTATTGCATGATCTATGACCGCCAACCCCCAGCCCGCGGCGAGGAACGTACGGGAAACACCAATGACACCACGAGAAGATTACAGCCAGCAACAGTAGGTGCAATAGCCATTCCAATAGGATTATTCACCTTTTCCTGGACTAATGATCCACACATCCACTTTATTGTCAGTTGCATTGGGTCGGCGCTCTTTGGATTCGGGTTGGTCAACATCTTCATCAGCATGAGCAACTACCTTGTGGACACATATTCGATATTTGCGGCCTCCAGCCTAGCTGCTAGCTCTGTGTTAAGATCAATATTGGGTGCTGTATTTCCTTTGTTCACGCCAGCCATGTATCAAGCGCTAGGTATACATTGGGCATCATCCATTCCGGCATTTCTCTCCCTGGCATGTGTTCCCATTCCCTTTTGTCTCTGGCGATACCATGTTTGGCTTGGCTCAAAGTCCAGATATATTACCAATGCTCGCGAGGTCATTGCAAATATACGAGGCTAGGGGACCAGCCATTTATGACTTCATGTCCCATCTAGGTTTAATCCAGCCCAGTGTGTCCCTGATCAAGTGTTATGCCATTATCCTGTATCAACCTATCTGAAGGTTTCCATTATCAGTCCTATCCCACGTCACTTTTCCTGTCCACTGTCTGCAATTGACAACTGTATTTGACACGGCAGCGCGTATCAGCAACCTTAGTGATAAATGCAGCCATGCCTTTTCATGTTTCTATGTGAATTGACTTCCACCTCGTCTTTCCCTCAAATCTCCTGCCATGTGACACTGCCCTCAGAGGCTAACACCGGTCTCACTGGTAGATTAATGAGGTGGCTATAGAGGGATTTAGACTTCTCGTTTGGATACTGTTAGAAAAGCGAGGTTTCAAAGAATCACCGTAGGGAAAGGGAGCAGAGTTGATAATTCATGTCTGCTAAGTTCGAGATTCCCAGATGATGCGACAGTATTTATGGTCACAGAGAAAAGAAACGGAAATGAAAGGTAGATGCCAATGAAATTGGAGAGAAAGCTATGTGCCATCTAGTAGGGGTATTTGCCCCAATAACGCCAGCTATTGGCCTCGGTAGTAACATTTTCTGGAAAGCGAATCGCCGCCAATGTTGGAATTTGGGAGCGATTGGCCACCATGCACCTACCATCAAACCGTCAAGTCTCGAAATGGTTGGCAGCATCTACATGGGCGCTAAGTAAATCGAACTAACCCAATTCTTGAGACCTCACACCGTACATTATTCCGATTACATGTCCTGCTACCTAATCGGCTGGTTCCCCTGTTCTCTTGGTACCTAATCAACTTCCTTACTTCACCCCGACACTACCCAAGTTTCGTCGAAATTTCTGATTTCGTTTTGTCGCTTGCGTAAGATGAATCCGCGTTTACCCTTCGATGATGCTGCCTGGGAAAAAAGCGACCAGATCGAAGACTCCTGGCTAGATCTTCTCTTCGATGAAGATATTTACAATGAGATTGGAATCTTTCTCGCTGAACATCATTTCCCTCGCCAATGGGCTAGTTTCAAATTTTTCAAATCTGGCGGTTTCAACGCTAGCTTCCTCATGACATTCACCGATACCGATACTAGCGGCGCTCTTTTAAGGCTCCCACTGCCTGGTGTTCATATGTTTCCTGAAGAAAAAGTTCGTAATGAGGCCTCTATCATGCGATTCATCACGGAAAGAACTTTACAAACAATACCGATTCCAGTTCCTATGGTCTCCCGCTGGGGAGAGAGAAACGAGAGCCCCTCAAATTTGGGTCCCTTTATAATTATAGACTATATTGATCACGAGAAAAGCATGTCTGATCTTCTTGAGATGCCGGGACGCCAATTAAAACAACGTCCAGAACTCAATCCGGATATCAGCACAATCAAGCTAAAAGCTTTGTATAGAGAACTAGCCAATATTGTCTTTTCTCTATCTACACTCTCAGCGAGCCGAATTGGATCGCTAAAACAGACTGGCAAATCAACGTGGGAAGTGGCCTATCGACCATTATCTATTTCTATGAATGAGGTTGTGCGTCTAGGGACACTACCTCGATCGAAAATCCCTACTGCGATATACGATAGAGCATCCTCATACTTCGAAGCTCTAGCAGAGCTACATATTTCACACCTCAAACATCAAAGGAACGATGCTATAGACTCAGCCGACGACTGCCGGCGTAAGTTTGTTGCTAGATTCTTGTTTCGGAAACTTGTTCGAAATCGGGAATTTAGAGACAAATGGGTGTCTCATGAGCATGGCCCATTTCCAGTTTGGTGCGACGACTTTCGACCACAGAATATTATGGTCGATAAAACCGGAAAGGTTGTTGGGGTGGTAGATTGGGAGTTCACGTATACCGCCCCAGCTGAATTTACTTATGCCCCACCCTGGTGGCTTCTTCTTGAGAAGCCGGAATATTGGACTAAAGGCCTTGATGACTGGTGTGCACTATATGAGAACCGGCTTCAGGTCTTCCTCCAGACAATGGTGGATTGCGAAGAGGACGCGTACCAAACTTGGGTTGAACGGCCCAAAGAAAGCCAGCGACTCTCTAGTCGGATGCGACATAGCTGGGAGAGCGGAGACTTTTGGATCATGTATGCTGCAAGGAACAATTTTGCCTTTGATGCCATCTATTGGAACAAGATCGATCAGCGATTCTTCGGATCTGATATATCTGACGACAACATATGCGATGTATGGAAGAAAAGACTTCATCTGTTGGAACCCGAAGAAAAGGAGATCATGGATAAATATGTGGATTTGAAGCTCCAGGAGAATGAGACAAGGCTTCTCTGTTGGGACCCAGATCAATATACCCTAGAATATATGGCCAGGATGGAAGCTTAATCGCTCTAGTTTGATGTTTCAGGAAATCAAGTAGCCCGGTTTATGTGCATCCAAACAGAGTGGGTGCTCTTGTATCAAATGCTTCGCAGTCCTTCCAATTATTGTAGCTGGCTGAGACTAATCACCCGCTTTGTATGAAAAGGCCGTGCCTTTAGATCGAAGTCGCTGGCCAATTCTCTTTTTCATTTGTAGACTTTCCTGAACGGCTGGTTTCAAAGCCTTGGTCCAGTTCCATACTAGTGCGCCCTGATAGATGAATAGTTATCGGTTGCTTTATCTGCCATTGCAAAAGGCAAAAGCAGTGTGAGAAGGTTCAACCTTAGAGGCATATGCTTCGTATATGATTCGTAAAATTCGTGGATAGGAATTTGTCACTTATTCCTTCTGTGATAGCCCTTCATAATCTGTCTTTCATAGATTAGCACAAGTATTGGCGCTTTATTGACAACCTCGATAGTGAGTGTGAAGTGTTGTTTTCGTGCGAATTGGGTTGCTTGAACTCACCTTATAAAAGTCATAGTGCGGGCCTCAAGTTTCTTGTCCGAATCTTTTTCGTCACGGGACCCCTGCAGCGTTTCCAAAGTAGGCTTCCTTTCGATGCAACTATGTGTGCTCAGTATTATTCAAAGCAATAACCCTTTGCTTAAAGCTTGTGTTTCTTCGATGCGCCCGCATAATCGGTTCTTCGGATGTGTTGGTTGTGCTGAGCTCTGCAAGGTAGTTGAAAAAACTAATGTATTTGTTGTCTTGGAACTTGTCTGCGTCAAACTCTTTGATATCATCGATCTCAGCCGCCCGGATTTGCTTATATAGATTATGGAAGACTTGAGATATTGGTCATCATAGCTTCATCGATCCAGGTATATCATCTTACTCTCGTTGTCGTCTGCTGGGAAAAACCTCGCAGGGACAATACGTGTTGGTTCAAGGTCAACTAAGGGAACGGCGCGAACGGCATTGACCTCCTTGATACCCCATTTAGAGCCTGAACGGCCCCGACGATCGGGATCTTCTTGAAGGTTGGCAGTTGACAGATTCCCAGCGCTGTTTTGGTACTCCTGTGCGAGGGGATGCTGGCGTTCCAGATTTGTTGGGGTAAAGGGAATGATAGTATCCATGCTCGTAATAAAAGTTGTAACCGGAAAGTTATAAGTCCAGGCTGCCAGGGAATTCTTATGATATAGAACATTAAATTACCTGCAAGAAACTTGCCCCGTAGAAGATCTTAACATATATTTATACGTACGAGGGCGCACTGTTACTTGGCCACGCTTACAAGCTCAGGATGCGGGGTATAGAGGGGAACGGAGAAAGAGGGCATAGCAAATCTGACCCACTGGGTAGTACCCAATGCAAACCTTGGATTGAGCAGGAATAACCGCCAGCCTTGCGATTCTGCTTGGGCTGCATGACGCGGTGTTAGGGTAGGCGCTCGGGGCCCGCTTGGAGTTGGCATGATAGGCTGCCGTGCGTTGATAGTAGCTTACGGGAGTGGTTACTGATAGATGATCAGGCTCAGCCACAGCACGGTGTATGGACCCTAGTCACCTTGAACGCCAAGTGAGGGACTTTAGTCAACAACAGGTTCGTGGTGCTATCGTTTTCTGCATCCCCGCTTTTGACATATCAGGTACTGCAAGGACTGACCATCAGCCAGCTGAGCCTTTTGGTCTAGTTGGGACACCGTCAACTTGATACCTGGAATTTCTACACCCGGGACTAAAATGGGAACACTAATCAGTATGGGCATGCGAAAAGACTAAAGAAAATGAAATTATGGCAACGGAGAAAGAGAGGAACCAAAGGCGGTATATATAAGCTGTTCTCTCAGATGAACCTGCGAGTATTCATTTTTCTTTCGAATTTGTTGCCCTAGCTACCGAGTGCTCTGTACAAGATTCGGCCCCTAACGTTGTTGCAGTTCAGGCTTTGTTCTCGTCAACTGAATTACCACAAAAGCGTTTAACAACAGTACCTAGAAAACCAGGGTGGAGCACCAACCTTTGCATACAGAACAGAGAATGTCCATAGAGCTATACATCTGCAGTTCTAGAATCCTTACTCCGATCGAATGTATAGGACTGTGATAGGATGCTTGGTACAAATAGTGCAATCGACGGTATGAAAGGCTTACGAAAGTGAACTTTTGTCTTCTAGATGCCCACCATATGCAATGCAATAGTTACATAACCCGGATTACTGGGCATTTCTTTATCGATTTACCTGAAAGATTAGATATTGCCAAGTCAACATCTTTAATCACGAGAAACCCGTCATTGCCGGGTTTTCCGGGGTCCGGTCCCTTTTGTTCAAATGATGTCTTTCGATCCAGGAAACACATGGTCCATATCTGCTTAAACGTTGCAAGCTTTTTAAGTTGCTTATATTCTCCGAAGAAAGACTTCAATGCAGACTTAAACAAATCAGGACACGTTTCAGAGCGTTTATCAGCATGGCGTGCTCTCGAGCAGGTGTGGCTCAAAGTCCAGATATATTGTGAAGGCTCGCGAGGCCACTGCAAATCTACGAGGTTAGGAGCTCAGTCATGTATGACTTCCTTTCATACCCAGGCTATCCCATATCCTATATTAACCTGTACGAAAGTTCCTTTATCACTCCTATTCCACTTCACTATTCTGGTCGACTGTCTACAATTAACCCCTCTATTTGATACAGCAGCACGTATCAGCAACCTTAGTGAATTATGTACTCATGCCCTTCCATAGTTCTATGTGAATCGGCTTTTATCTCGTCTTTTACGAGGATGATCCGAGCCTTTTTTCCGAAGTGAAGAAAAAGGTTTGTGACATGTTCAAGTAACATCGCTGCCTTTGAACTTTAGGGTAAGTTGATTGGTTGAATTCATACAATAATTTATCGGTCGTAGCAGTGATATGCAGACAGAGTTCGGCTGCAACATAATCTTTGAGATCATACATTACATGTATATAACGAGTTCCAATCTAGGCTGCTACGAAAGAGCATTCTTCCCGCCGGGGACAAAATCACCATACTGGATTCTACTCCTACCATCTCCATTGAAGCTACTTGGGTGTTGTGATTCAAGTCACGCCTAGCTGTGGCTTCCACCATTGCAAGAATTTCAACTGCTATCCCACAGGTCTAGGAGTATATGACATCCAGCTACAAAGAAGCCATTTCAGGAGTCATGCCGAAGGACTGATTGCTTAACACTATTATGTCATATTCTGAAACTCCGACCCCAAAGTAATTTCAGGTCAATAAGACCGCCCGGTCATTCCTCCCGGGCCAATTCTCTGCTCCGAATACATTACTCTAGACCCGCGTTCTATTAGAATGGTCTTCAGCAACACATGTCCTAATTTGATGCCTGTCATTCCACAAGTAAAGAAGTCATGGAGTGCCGAGCCGCAGACTTTTGATGGCGATTTTGATTTCTTCGTTCGGTGGCATTCTCACCAGACGGCCAGAGACGGCCAGAGAATTGTGTCAGAATCTTACGATAAAACTTTCAAGCTCTGACATGCGCACACCGGCGCGGAGCTGCGAACTCTGGAAGGCCATTTGCATCAGATTACGACAAGAAAAGCAACGAAAGCAGATTGGAGGAATGGACGCATATATATCTCTGTTACCTAACTCTGTGCATTTACTGCCTTTATCTTGTGCGCTTATCCTAGACTCCACCGCCATACGCCTGTCTACCAAAACGCTTGTGCACTATCTCACTTTCAACCTCGGATATTACATTTACGCACCCTAACTATTAACAGAAACACACAAGTCGGTCCGGGGGCCCGATAGTTCAGAAGAATAGCCCTAAGTCTCCGCAAACCTCGATCTCGCTCTTAGATTAGCTCCGCACATGTATAAAGCCGCCACCCCCATCACACCTCCACACGACAGACCACCTAGGAGGGAAACGCCTCCAGCAATCCCAAGCCGCTCGAAGAGTGGGCGTGCATAAAGCACAGCACCGGCTGCCCAAGCCGATCGAAAAAAGTCATTCGCGGCAAACAAACTAGCGGCATACTGAGGGTACGAGAGGGGGAGATACATGAAAATCCCTGTTCAGCATGAGAAGCCGTCAATATTATACTGAAGGGACTGACTTGCCTTGAAACATGACAAAGCCCCCTGCGCTAAATAGTACAATGCCAAACATAGAACCGATCCAGTGTATGCTTGGCCGACTGCACCAGGCGAATATGAATAGGCCGATAGGTTGCAGGAAGGAGGCGAAGATTGCGGGGATGAGGCGCTCCTCTGGAGCCCCGGGTCCATGCTTTATGATTCTAGGTTTCTTCATTTGGTCAGTATTTTTAAGGGTTGGTACCGGTGGGTATAAGATGAAAGAAGGCGAGTGATGAGACCCACCAAACACCAATGGATATATATCAGATACAGCAACGTGCCGAGCAAGGATGCACCAACAATTGATAAAAACGCAGCACCCGTCAAGCCGAGATCGAACCCATATATATCCGTATAGACAAGTGGAAAGGCCTCGAAAAAGCTGTAGTATACTCCATAGCTGTAGGAGCTATAGACATTGGTAAATAGTACGGCCGGATCCAGGACTGTTATCTGGAGAGGACGGATTAAAGCGTTTGCAACAGTCTGGCGTGAAGAAAGCTTGGCCTCGCTAATCTCGGACTGCGAGATATATCGTCTATCACCGAGCCGCTTGCGAAGCCGACGGGCTCGGCGGAGGAGAATTGTTGCAGCAGATGTCTCCGGGAAGGTGAGAAACATGACCACAAAGGTGAAAGTTGCCATTCCGAAAACTTCCCACAATGACAATCGCCAGTTACCGCTGGCCGTGACTGCGAAGGCGGAGATCACAGGGCCTAGCGCTGGCGCGCAGAACGTGGCCCCAACCCAGGCGGTGTAACCATAGGGAAGTTTCATGGATGAATACATATCTTGAAGTGTCGCGCCCCCGGTCGCCAGACACGGGGAACCAAGAAAGCCTGTCAAGAATCGCAAGAAGAGAAACCCAGGAAGACTCCGCGTCAGAACCGTTGGGATGGCCATCAAAGCATAAAAAAATAACGATAGGATGTAAGGTGTGTTTCTTCCGATGCTGGGAATTTCAGAGATTGGCGAGAAGGCGAGGGGCCCAGTGCCGTATCCAAGCACGTAAAGCGAAAGGCCCAAGGTGGAGACCGTATGATTGACCCCATACTCATTCATTACCCCCTCGACGCTCGGTGTATAGATGGCAGAGGCACAGTACACGGTGAATGTATATAGCGACAGCACCGCGGTCACCATGGTCTTCTTCCACGAGCTCCAATTTTGGGGGTTTTCGGCATCCAACTCGCTGTACCAAGCAACCAGAATGACGGCTTCCGCCTGCTTTGAAGAGGATTCCTCGTCACGTTGGATAGACTGTGGTGTGGTTGTTCCAAAGCCTGGTATTGGAACTTCGATAAGAGACTTGTAGAGTAGCCCTGGTGTTGGAACAAATGCCAATGATGCTCCCTCATAGTTGCCGGGATATACGAAGCCTGCCTGCTCCTCGGGGTATAAAAGACATTGATTATTGGTGACAAAGCGGACAAGCTGTCCTAGCGTGCTGTCACGAAGGAGATCCATCTGTAATGCAAAAGAATGTGCCGTTGAGAATGAAGATGGACAGAGCCATTTTGTTACTGAGGGGGAATGAGCTTTTAAATAGAGCGAGGTCTTCCATCGTGGGAGCAGTAGGTATAGGTATACTCCTGATGTGGATCCCCTTCCCGGGCGAGTCTCGGGCGAGCCAAAGGAAAGTGTGGGGCGGGATCGGAACAACTATTAATACGGGCCGGCCTACATAATAGCGAGTGACATCGCTGAGTGGCTGAGAGTCCCTCACATTTCGAGCTCATGGACACGCATCCCGAGAATATCCGCAAGACGCAGAGAGCTCCGAGGAGCTGTTTTCATTGCTCTCAACGCAAGACAAAATGTGACAAATCTATACCGTGCGAACCCTGTCGATCTCGTGGACAAGCCAAGGACTGCTTTGTGGAAACCGTGAAAGTGAAAGGAAGAATAGTGACGTGAGTCTGCACTGACGAGGACAGGTTAGACACGTACATTAACTTTTCCTGTCAATGGCCAAGCTAGCTCTGGTCGAGTACCACCGACACAGCCAAGCTACGTTGCATTATTAGAAGAGAATGATCGCCTCCGATCGCTTGCACTGCTGGGGCCAACAAAAAAGACTGCGCGCCCCATTTCGTCCCTGGTTTTAATGGACCAACAAGAGCAGGAGCTCTATGTAAGCCTGCGAAACCACTATCGGCCTGCTGGCATTACGAATTCATCGGAGGTTATCTACCCATCAGACAATTGCTGTCGGGTTCTATTCTCCCAGGCCGCCGATGGGGCGTGGCTTCACTCGGCCGTCTCTCCTGCCACACTGGAGCAACAGCAGCTTCAATTGAAACCAAGTCAAGTAAACCGAGAGTCTCCAACTCCCTCTGATGCATCTTGGTTAGCTCTATATTTTAGCCATCTTACGGTTCGTAATTCCGGTTCCAATACACACGTTGGGCATCGTGTTGATGTGTTGATAGATAGGAATCACATATGCAGATGAGACGTCTCTTTACAACGCGTGTATTAGCCCAGGTTTGTACGTCATTCCCGCTGCAAAAGCAAATCTCTTATATTGTTTATGATAGATCGGGTTGCTCTGTTACGAGAGAACTGGTATGATGCCGCATTATACTTTCTCCACCGAGCAGACTTTCTCCGTCTGTTGGATGTTCGAAATATCCAAACAATATCCATTCTCGGGACGGTATTCTCAAACTTTGGCGACGTGAACCTTTACTATAATCTCCTGGGATGTGCAGTGCGCATTGGCGAAAGTTTAGGCATCAACAACGATTACACGCATTCTACGGGAATCCTTCCCGATCTTCGATCTCAGCGTTGTCTTTGGTGGTCGCTTGTCATTTTAGACTGGCACAACTTTCCATTTGGTCAGCCATGCATCAGTGACAATGATTTCGTTGTTGAGATCCCATCAGTGGGCTCGGATCTTACTTCAGAGCCTGATCGGAATTCATGCAGACATCAAACCATGATGTGCAAGATAGCTCAGTTGCTGTACCAATTCCAAACAACTCTTTGCGCCTCCGCCGATTGGGAAAATGTTGAAATTGCAGTGGCGATAGCTGATGAGCAGCTCCTTAAGCTCATGCAGGAGTTGAGCCCCTCTGCTGGGCTCGTAAGCTCCAATGACGCTTACATAGGTATAAAAACTTCAGGTACACGGGGCTTTTGCAGGTCTACCCAAGGGCAGAACCTCTTGCTGTTGCTGTTTTATTATCGCATTCTGATCAACCGCACACTCGTAACTCGATCTCCATCAACTAATTCCAAGCAAATCATGTTTGAAAGGTGCTTGGAATCCGCTCATAGTATAATCAATCTGGGCATGGCCATAAGCGAATCGGGCCAGTTGATTGCCACATGGTACGCACACTTGATTTGATTACTACTAGTGTTTAATTTCTCATCCATCACAGGTCGACCATCAAACCGCTATATTCAGCGGCTAATATTTTGACGGTCTATGGGGATCACTGCCATTGTAAACCGGACCCTGAACACAGATCAGATGTTACTGCTGCTATTTACATGTTTGATTCCCTGTCGCATAAAAGTGTTTATGGAGAGTATGCCGCTAGGAAGCTAAGACAAATCGCGCAAAACCTCGTTTAATGAGTGAATGATCAACTAGTTTCTAACATTACCACATTAAGATTCGCAAACCTTATCGTTTTAACTTAGCTTCTTCATAGCAATTATAGTTTTTATAAGAATCTTGGACCTTAAAAGAGATTTGTGATAGATGTGAAAGGTAATAATGACTAAGAAATAGGCGTCGCGAGGTGTTATTTCAAGAATAAAATCAATATGATAGATTAACGCCGAAGTACAGAACTCTGTCTTACTAGACCTCTGGTCCATTCTCTTGGAATAAACACATCTATCGCTGCATGCCTTCCATCGAAAGATGCCACTAATTCTGTCGACCGGTCACCTCTGCCCCCAGATCAGAACTGTATCTTCAGCCCACTATGAAGCATCAACGACTGATCATCGCCAAAGGCAGATCGATAGATTCCACCCTTCCCCGGCCTATGCGGTACAGCCAGGCAAGGGAAAGAACGACACCCAGTTCCTGCAGGTAGTGAGTAAGTTGGCTGCAGCCACGCTCAGCTCCCCCCCGTTATGAGATCGATAGCCCCGCAGAATCTCTCCAGTAGCGATTCCACAAACGCCGGGGAAAATTCCATCAGGTGGTAATCTAGCGAAAGGGCGATTTCATGCTCTCGCAGCGATATGTTGAGGAGGATGGGGTACTGCGGGAAGGGGGTGGGTGATGTTAGATATATCCTCGATCGAGGACGGGAGAACTGGATGAATACTTACCTCGGTAGGGGCCTCGGATGTGAAATCCGTGTAGTGCAACGTGGAGGTGGGCAGTTGGTATTCCTCTGTCGCAATATCCCGCTGAACGGACATGGCGGTGTTGAAGAGGGTCTGCGCGTGGGTCTGCGCGCTGCGAGCCACCCGACGACTGATGTCCACGACCGGCGCCCATTGGTGTTGCATGCAGCTCGTCACCTCGGCCTGTCGCTGTTCGAGCAGGGCGAGGAGAGAGTCCGGGGCCGAGTCGAACCCATTGGGGATGTGAAACCGGGCGCACAGAATGTTGATGAACGGGCCGACGGAGTCCTGGATGCCGGCGATGGGCAGGTCCCGGCCGGCGGTGAGGAAGCCGAAACAGACGTCGTTCTGATGCGTGTAGGCGCGGAGCACTAGGGCCCATGCCAGTTGGAGCACCGTTGCCTGCGTGAGGCCATGCTGTCGACAGAAGCGGAGGAGCGGGTGTGTCGTGGCGGGGAATGCGGTAGTGAGGTGGCCGATGATGCGCGTGGCCACTGCTTCGGACTGCGTCTTGGGGCACTGTGGGGGGAAAATACAGGGAGAGGCGTCCTCGAGATACTCCTCCCAGTATGCGCCGGCGCTGCTGGCCGCTCGCGCGTCGAGGCAGTCGATGTACGAGGGGAAGACGTGGTCGAGTCGGCCTGCGGGAGCCTCGCGACTGGGACGACTATCGACGGCGTAGCAGGAACGAAGGTCGTTGAAGAGCACCTGTCGGGATGCGCCGTCGATGATCGTGTGCGCCACGTCTAACAGGCAGGCCACTTGGGTCTGTCCGGTGGCGGTGGTGGCATAGCAGATGGTTAGACGGTGGGGGAGGTCCATGGGCGACGGGCTCCAGGGCTGCCGGAAGTCTTCGAGGGCCTGCAAGGGATCGCGACGGGGTGGGAGCTCGAGAAGAGCAATGCTCGCGTCCATGCCGTGGACAACTACCTGGACCAGGTTCTCCCCGGGCCCTGTCGCAAAAATGGTCCGGAGGAGAGGCTGTCGCTCCACAACCTGCCGCCATGCAAGCGACAGTCGTGGGATATCGATATCTCCGTCGGCCGCGACCCGCCACAGCAGACGGTTCAGGTAGACCGTGGGCGAGACGACCTGGCAGGCGAGCATGCCCTGCTGCATCGGCGTGCATGGGTACGCATCCACGACCTGGATACGGCGCTGGGCCAAGGGATCCAGGACCTGGCGGACGAATACATCCCACTGCCCCGAGCTCAGGCGCAGGCGTGGGAGATCGGCGGGCGTCAGCTGGCGCCGTGCGGAGGGCAATTCAGTGGCTATCTGGACTAGACATCGTTGGCATGCCTGTGCCCAGTGCTCGATGGCGCGGGGACCGGCAGACCGCGGGTTCATGTAACGGTTGTACAAAAAGAGGAAGCGGAATTGGCCGTGCTCGACCTCGGCCGAGACATCGATGAGACTGAAGCGCCCGGCATCCCTCCCCAGAGTGGACAATTCGTGGTCTGGGAGAGGCTGCCGTTGGAAGAACGAGTCAGGCTGCTGGACCTGATGCGACGACCCGCTGTAGTTAAAGAGGACCTCGATGTCGTGGGCGGGATCTCGGGAGCGACGACATCGATTTGGGAGCCACCGGCCCTGGTAGGTCTCCTGTGCGTGTCGTCGACCGTCTTTTACTTTTCGGATGCACTCGCCCATGGAGTCCCCGCGCTGGATCAGGCCGGCGGCCGGCCAGATGTCCGTGAACCAGCCCACCGTGCCTGTCAAGTCCCCCGCCAGATCCGGGGCGTCACGCCCGTGTCCCTCGCTGAAGATGGTGGGCGGAGATCGATCCGGGAATGTCTGGCCGAACGAGTACAGGAGCGCTGCATGGAGAAGCTCCACCGGCCGAGTTCGAAAGGCCTGATTTGCTGCGTCGAGGAGCGACGCCGTGGACTGAGGATCCAGGGTAAAGCTTGCCTCTTGGACGTCCCTCACGCAGTTGGGTTTCTCCTTGACACCCCAGTAGTCCGCCATGCTCGGGGTCACCGCATCCAGGTCGGGGGCCAGGGGGAGGCTCTGGCAACGCTCGCGCTGAATCCGGCACCAGGCTTGGAAGGGCACCGATATCGCGTCCTGCGCGGTCGGGGCAGATCCAGAGGTGAAGAACATCTCGAGGTCATCCAGGACGAGAAACCACGAGACGTTGTCGACGACAAGGTGATGCGCGATCAGCGACAGAGCCTGGGTTCCATCTGCCATGTGGAACAGATCTGCCGCCATCAATGGGCCCGTCTCGATGTTGAGAGACTTCTGGCTGTAGTCACAGAGATTCTGCCAGTCGCGCTCGGAGACATCCGTGTGCAGCCGCAGTCGACAGCTACCTGGGATGTCGTTGGATATGACCTGTGCCCAGGTCCGGGTGGTCGGGTCCTGGGTAAACCTCGCACGCAGCATGGCATGCTTCTCAACCACCCAGTGGAGAGCCTCCCGCATAGAAACTGAAGAGACCGGATGGCGCAGATTCAAGAACAGGGCTTGGTTGAAATGGTGGACGTGGCGGCCCACCTTGTCAAAGAATAACTGCTGGATGGGCGACAGGTCGAACACAACATCTTCCTCCACTTCGGCTCGGTGGCGTGTATGATCCATGGCCACGGTCTCTGCGGTCCTCTCGAGCTCAGCCGCAAGACAGGCAATGTTCCGGTGCTGGAATATGGCGGCCACGGTCAGGGGAATGCCAACCCGGGTGCATCTCGAGGCCATCTGCATGGCAGTAATTGAGTCACCTCCCAGCTGGAAAAAATCATCCTCGGACCCCAGCATGCCGCTTTCCTTGCGGAGGACCTCGGCCCAGATCGCGTGCAGCCGGCCTTCCATGTCTGTTCGCGGGGCCTGCGTTCCACCGTCTGGATGTAGTGGCAGGAGAGCCTCGGAGCTGCTATACGCATTGATATCCTCCCGTGTCAGACGGGACACGGCTTCCCGGAGCCGCTTGCGATCCACCTTCTCGCTGGGCGTCAACGGCATCTTAGAGACGGGCAGAAAAACCGAGGGAACCATGTACCCAGGGACCACATCTCGCAGGGCCGCCTCGGCCGCGCGGATGCTCGCCCGGAAGGTCGGAGTAGGAGGTGAGAAGAGGCCGCCAACCAGCTCAACACCAGCCTCCATGGTGTGATCCACCACAAAGACAACCAGAGCAGCCGAACCGCCCTTGGAGTCCGGCATCTGGACCGTCTCCGCTGCAACGTCCACGCCGCCCAAGCATTGCCCAGCATGGAACTCCACCTCGGCGAGCTCAATTCGCTGCCCGCGCAACTTCACCTGCGTGTCCTTCCGACCCAGAAACCGGATCTCACCGTCCAGCGACAGGGTCACTAGATCTCCCGTGCGGAAAACTCGCCCGGGGGTGGCCGCGTGCCGGTGTCGGAACTCACGCAGCCACGCCGGGGCGGCGATGTACTTCTCCGCCGTCAGGTCCGGACGTCCAAGGTATCCGCGCGTCACCACCGCCCCTTCGATCAGAAGCTCGCCAGCAGCACCAACAGGCAGCAGACACTCCGGGTCCGAGGGCTTCGTAACCCACCCGACACCACCGACCACCGGACCAATCGTGCCAACCGTCCAACCCTGGGCTGGAAGCCGCCCTGCAGCGCAGATGGTGGCTTCGGCAGGTCCATACCCATTGATCAGCTGCAGCCGGGGGGCCCATTGCGCCACAATGTCCCGGGAGACTGCTTCGCCGCCGAGCGTCACCGTTCGCAAGGACGGCACCTGGTCTGGATCCAGGATCTTGAACATGGACGGGCTGAACACAGCCCACTCCACGGCGTGACGCTGGATGAAACTTTCAATCCTGTTCGTGCGGGTTTCCTCGGACGGGATACAGACACAGGCGCCGCTCACCAGCAGGGTGAAGATCTCATAGATGGCGGAGTCAAAGGCGTATGAGGCGAAGTGTAACCCCTTGGTTGCGCGGCGTGTTTTCATCGGCCCGCTGTGATGTGCGATGCTGGTGCTGATGTTGCGGTGCTCCATGATGATACCCTTGGGCTGGCCAGTCGAGCCGGACGTGAAGACGATGAACGCAGCATCTGAGGGTGCCACGACTGGGAGCTGCGAGGTCGTATTGTCTTCACGACCAGTAGTATTCTGCCTGCTTTTCATGGACGCTACCTCCAAGACCGCAACCCCTGCCGCGCGGAAGGCCTCCGTGTCGTTTCCCGCGGAGGCCAGTGCCACGGAGGGATTCACCTGGCGGAGGATCTGGCTAATTCGATCAGGGGGGTGCTTTGGGTCGATGCAGACCACTGCTGCACCAGTGCGCAGCACTGCCAGCATTGCGACGGGCACCCACTTTGACTTGGACATGCATACTGGGACCATACTTTGTCCTGGTCGGAGCTGATTCCCCTGGAGCAAAGCCTGGGCAAGTCGGTGGGACTGTATAGCAAGGTCTGCGTATGTCCAAGATCCGTCCCACGCTTCCACCGCGAGATTGTCGGGGTCGATGGCCGCATGTCGCAGGACCAGATCGTGAACAGACGACTCGACAGGTGCTGGAAGATTGCCATTCCACACACTGAGCTTATCCCAGTCACTAGGACTGGCCCGTGGGATTTTGCACAACGGCTTTTCCGTGTGGGCGAGGATTGCAGAGAGATTGTATTCAAAAAGCGAAACAATCTGCCCGGCCTCGCGGGAATCGAACAGCCTGGAGTCGTAGTTCACTGAGATGTCCATGGCACTGCCCTTGCTGTCTCGCAAATGGCAGAGGATGACCCATGCGTAGCTTGCAAACGCCGTGTAGTCAATATCCTTACTATGCACTCTCGAGACCAGCTGGCCAGACTGGGGAGCCACCGACGGCGGCGGCTGCACGCCTAGGTGCGACTGAAACTGACACGCAACCGCTGCCTCGGGACTGGCAGTGCGGATGCGCTGCAGCCCGTACTGTTCATGGTGAGTGATGCTGAGTGTAGTCTCCTGCACGCTCGTTAAGAGATCTGTGATCGGCTTGGTGTCGTCGATCGATACTCGGAGGGGGACTGTTGCGATTGTTGGACCCGAGACATTTTCGATCGAGGCGACGGGTGCACTTCGGCCGTTGACGGTGACCCCGAACACAACGTCGTCCGAGTCGGCCAGTGTGGCTATCGTCATGGCCCATGCCAGACGGATGGCGGTGGAGATGGTGTGTCGGGCAAGGATTGTAGTCGGCGGCGTGGTCAGGCTGCTCTTGAGCACCTGGTCCGGACGCGGTACATAGGTTGACGAGGGGAGGGGCGGAAAGCTCGCAGCTTCGAGGCCGCGGAACTGAGCACGCCAGACCTCTTCCGCCACGGTGGGCTCGGCAGATTGGGAGAGACAGTAGTGTATAAAGCAGCTGTAGGGCCGGGAGGGCAAGGTACCCCCGCGATATGCCCGCTCCACCTGGTTCCATAGTTCGTTGATGGACCACGCGTCGTGAAGCGCATGGTGGATCTGGACATGCAGGACACACACTTGACCGGGGAACTGAGGGAGGACAACCCCGAGATGCATCAAACGTTCGTTCAGACCCATGTTCATGCGGGTTGCGTGGCGCTCGTAGGCCTCGTAGGTATCGTAGACGTCCCAGGCGACTGGTTCCTGCACGACCACCTGGTAGAGACGGTCGTCCGCGTAGATGACCCGGGTTCGTAAGATAGGATTGGCACTGACTGCGGCGTTGATCGCTGCGTGGAATCTCTCTAGATCGATTTCGCCGGCCAGGTGATGGGTGTACGTTGCGATGTACTTCCCGGTCTCCCGCGAGCCCATTGCCATGAAGCCTTCCTGTAGTGGCGTACAAGGATATACATCCTCAATCTGCTCGATACCAATATGGCAATCTGTTGCTATAAGCGCGAGGATCCCATCGCGGGAGATCCCAACGGGGAGTAAAGCAAATGGGGGGATATCTGCTTTCAGAGCCACCATCGGCTGGTTGGACCCTGCAGCGAGCTCGCGCAGGGTCTTGCCAGAAACAAGATCCGCAACGGACAAGGAGATGCCACGTTCTGTCGCGGGTGCTACCACGGTCATGGCGGAGATGGAGTTCCCTCCCAACCGCAGAAAGTCATCATCTGCCCCAATCTCAGCAGCCTGGATGTCCAGGATATGGGCGAAAAGGGCTTGGAGGGTTTTCTCTGCGTCGGAGACGACCGGCTGCTTTATAGCACAGGGAACACCCAGGGATGACAACGACTCGAGTTCAGGTCGAGATAATTGAGACGCCGCCTCTCGGAGCATCCGTCGATCCAGCTTTCCAGACAGCGAGAGTGGGAGATACACCAGGGGTATGAACAAAGCAGGGATCATGTACTGGGGCAGAGCAGCTTGCAAGACTCCACGGCCTGCGTGTATCTGCTGCGCAAAACGCTCTGTCGGCCTGCCAAACGGTCCCCATTCATCCTGAGACGGACAGGCCCCGGCGGGCAGCAGAAATGCAGTCAAAATGGGCGCTAATGGCGCAGATCGGGGGGTAATGACCTCTGCAACAACCGCCTGCATGTCCGGAAACAGTTCCTGCACGTGAGATTCTACCTCGCTGAGCTCAATACGCTGCCCATGGATCTTGACCTGCGTGTCTTTCCGGCCAACGTATTGCAGCGATCCCGCTGGCGAGTATCGGACAAGGTCTCCAGTCTTATAAACCCGGGTAGCCTTGCCACGCAATTGCTTGAGCCAGACGGGCTGGTCGATAAAGGCCGCTGCGGTCTTCTCGGGCTCATTGAGATAGCCCATCCCTACCAGCGGGCCTTCTATAAGCAATTCACCAACAGCGCCCAAACTAACAAGCCGATCAGAGTCCGTTGGATCCACAATCCAAGGCACGCCCCCAAGGCAGCGGCCAATATCGTTGACCTCATTGACTCCGGCGCAGATGGTGGCCATGATAGCGCATTCAGCCGGTCCATAGCCGTTCATAAGATCCACGTGCGGCCTCCAGAGCTCAATGTCCGATGTCTTCATCGCTTCTCCACAGAATAAGAGCCTCTTCAGGGAAGGGACACGCGTCGGATCCAGCGATCGTGCAACCGATGGTGTGAGAATAGCTATATTGACCTCGAGCTCTTCCATCGCCTGCATCAGATGCCCCTGACGGTGTTTTTCCGAGGGAACGCAAACACATCCCCCGGCAACCAACGTCCATAAAGTCTCAGCAATGGCACTATCAAATGCATACGCCGCAAACTGCAGCATCCGAGACCTGCAATCCAGCCCTAACGGTGATAACGCGGGGATGATCGCCGACAGCCAGGCGTTGTGCGAGACCACGGCCCCCTTTGGTGTTCCTGTCGACCCGGATGTAAACTGTGCATACATTGGGTCTAACGGGCCAGCTTTGCATATCTGCATAGCTTGTCGGGCACATTTCCACTTTTCTCCACCGCCGTCATCGTCGTCATCGCCGACCACAACAACGGTCTGACACAGCTTTGTGGCGACGTCCGCATTCGCAGCAGAGGCAACGATGGCCACCGCCTCTGCGCTCAAGCAAATACCACGTAGTCGATCCACAGGGTGCGACGGGTCCATCAGGACAAATGCACCGCCTGCTTTGAGCACGCCCAGCATAGCAACAGTAGTCCACCGCGTCTTGTGGAAAAGCAGCGGGATAAAGGTCCCCGAGCTGACACCACAGCTTGATAATTGCACCGCTAGCTGTGCCGCATGCGTGTCGAGCTCGCGATATGAGAAGCCGGCATCCCATGCGGCGACGGCTGGCGCCTCCGGGTGTAGCAGGGCATTTACGTGGATGATCTCGTGGGCGCAGAGTTGCATATCCTCTGGAATTGCACCGTCCAATGACTGGATCAGGGACCAGTCTTGGGGGCTTGGCGAAATATCCTGTATACGATGCGGGCGGTGTTCTCGAATTTGGGTATACAAATGCCTTGTCTTGTGCAGCGAGCTGTCGAGCTGGGCTTTGCTCATGGCCCGGGCATTACACTTGGCGTGGATAGTGAAGCCTTGGGGAGTAGGAGTGCATAGGAAACTGACATCGTATGGGGATATACCGGGACTAGATGATGATAGCAGTGGTTCGATATCGGTGCCTGGGGCTGCGATTCGGAGGATACTCAACAGCGAGTGAGACGGGGTATTCGGTACGGTGGTGAGTATGTCAGGCGTTACTTTGCGTTCAGAGGATCTTTCCAACTGCTCAAACAAGGACAGGATTGTGTCTTCTGATGTCAAGCGCAATGAGATCAAATGCGTGGCCTGTTGGCCTGCAGCTTCCTTCCCAAGGTCTTGAATAGCAAAGGTCACGTCCTCTATGAAATGGTACTGCGAAAGAAAAATTGCCCAAGATACCTGCAGCTCTGGCATAAGGACATGTTTGCCATCATGGTGACGAGGCTGCGTGCCAACGTTGAAATGCAACACTGACGTGATAGCTCCGCTAGATTCTTCCACAGACAACCGCCGTGTGACGATTTCGCTGCTGGATGTGGTTGACCCTGCAGTGCTCCTTTCCGAGTCCGATTCTGATTTGACTGCATGGCATATCACCTCGACAGTAGTATCTTTAGTTGTGAAGGGTATAGCAGCAGGGGAGCCAGCTTGTTTTGGAACGTGATCCATGACGGGACTCATTGACAGGAAAATAGTCCGTACAGTGCAAGTATTATTGAGTAGATATCGTCCAGACAATGGAATAGGCTGGGGTCTAAATTTTTGGTCCCTGTTCCAGCCTGGGGATAGGAATGTGGTGTACTTAGCTACCTAATATAAATAGCGCTGCATTAGCGCACTGGAATTGTTGCTCATACCCGAGACATGCTCACTGCTTACACAGTGTCTGTGAACCCAATATTCATTCACAACAATGGTACACACCAATCCCAGCCTTAAGATAACAAACCCCTTACATCAGACTCTCTGGTTCTCAGACCCTTAGTTACTCACCTCATGTTATCGGCCAGCACTACCCCTTTGAGAATCCCTTTTTATTGGGGATCTACAGACCAGCATAGGCGGATGTAAGAGGACATTCATTTCGACTCTGGAACGGCCAAAGGAATTCATAATCTGTTGCGTCAGATAGGATGCACGCATTTGCGTTCCCAGCAAGGCCTGCTATTTCCTTACTTCCAGCTCCGATGGTGCTTCCGTGGTTCAACATTGTCATTGCCCCTGGAATGGACAACGCGAAGGTGCTTGATAAGTCCCTCCTCAGTATAAATGCCCCACGGAATGGGGAGGTTATATAGGTGGCCACCTGTGGTGTCTATTAGAGTCAGCCACGATCTAAGCCTACTTACACGATCACACATCGTCACAGATCCCCTTTCTCGCTCCTCAACAATGGCTATCCCCGCTCTCTCAGGTATCGCCCACGGGTCTATCCACGACATCCGTCACAAGGTTGAGAGCCAGGACCTACGAAAGCACATCGTGGACTGTCTTTCCTCGGAACATCCTTCCCTGCCGTCTCTACTTCTCTGGGACGACAAAGGGCAACACCTCTTCGATCAATTTTGCCGGTCACCCACGTACTACCCCTTCCATAACGAGCTGCAAGTGTTCAGAGACAAGGCAGAGGAGATCACGGCCCAGATCCCATCGGGGAGTACTCTGATCGAGTTAGGGGCTGGGTGAGTCTCAATGCATCTCCGTGTTCCTGTTATTCTAGACCCCGATCTTACCTACGCTATTTATTCGATCCCCTCGTCCCTCATCTATTCATCTCCATTCTGGCCCGGGAGTGGTGGAAGGAGACCGACTGACCAGTCACTGAACGTCTTTCACTCGGAGTAGATGCGCCCACAAGACAGCAGTCATTCTATCCACTCTACACCGACAGCAAAAGACTATTCACTACTTCGCCGTCGACGTTAGCCAGAAGCAACTCGCCATGACGGTCGACGGCCTGCTGATCATGATGGCCGGGTCCGAGTCCATCTCCATCAGCGGGCTATATGGCACGTACGAAGACCTCGTCCCCTACCTCGCGGGCCAAGGAGTGCAGGGGAACCAACTCTCGCGACGACCGATAACATTCCTATGGATGGGCAACAGCATAACGAACTTCGACGCCCCTTCGGAAGCAGCGGCACTCCTGGCAGATATCCGCATGGCATGTAGCCAGACTCTCGGAGAATGCAAAGCCATTGTCTCTGTGGACGTTTGCCAAGACGCAAACTATGTTGCGGATGCATACAACGTGCAGATCCCCAGCCTAGATACATTTTTGAACAACAGCATGGCCCATGCAAACAAAATTCTAGGAGCGAATGTGTTCAAGGCGAACGAGTGGGGTCTGGAAATGGTCCCCTGCGTCTCGGGAATGGGCATTGACATGTTCTATGTCGCCCGACAGGGGGTCTGTCTTGATTTGAGTGACAATGTCGTGATTCGCTTCCGTAAGGGCTGCCGTGTGCATATTATCACTAGCGGGAAGTGGCCGGGCTCTGTGCTCAGTCATGTCGCTGAGCGGGCTGGGTTCAGAATTGAGCAGGGGTGGATGTGCAAGAAGGGTGCGTATGGTAAGTGCGCAATCTCCCGAGAGTTTCCTGGTGACTGTCGTGGATTAAGTGTGGCTAATTATAAAGGTCAACTCTATCTAGGCGTGTTTTGTTTCGTCGCGAATGCGTTCAAGGGCGGGCATGCATTGCTTTGTGCGGAGGCACCGGTGGATCGTAAGAAAGCATGAGGGGTGGCAGTCTTAGTGGGTTACCTTGTTTAACTGCTGCATTCGATAATCGATAATTGCTAGAAATTGCCTTGGCGAACCTGAACAGGACGTCCTGATAACCTGTTATATCCTTCATTGTATTGATGGGTTGATGCCTATTATCCATGTCACTCTTGACGAGAGCTGCCAAAGGCCTCAGTGTTTGCAATGCAATTTCACTTGCTCAGGCTTGGTAACAAGGTTTTAATGCGAAGCTAAATGACTAGAATATACTAATACACCCTATTTGCTCGTTGCAGACGATAGCTAATACAGAGACTCATTCATCTACATGAAAACAGGATGACTAGCACGGTCAGTAATGTAGACGGCCAACAGATATTGTATCGTAGTCTCTACAAACAGGACTCCTGTCTGGACCTCTCATCCTACGTAACTAGATTAGTTTTCAGTTTCATTCCCTTCCGCTTGCTTCTGTTCCTGGTTTCCGTGTTAAGCTGTATCGAATTCCTTAAAGTTTCTTCTCCATCCTGTTATGACGAAGGTGTAGGTAGACTGAAATATGTAGGCAAATGTGATCTGCTCTTCGCACGCTTCTGAAGAGGATTTCTGCCTTCTGTCACTACGTTAGCTACCATCTCCGTCCGGGAGTAATACACGCCAGGATCACTCAGATATGACTTTAACTTCAGATTGCTTCAGTCAGCTTTGACCTGCTATCTTTATCATGTCCGGGATTCTCGTGTAGGTTCTAACTGTTTGCAGCAATTGAACAGAACACTTGTAAGTAGGCCGTCAGAATTGGACAAAGTCACTTTACCTAGCTACCCTGAAAGACAAGCAAATCACATAGTAGAACTATTGAGTGCATCTAGTCAAACTAAAGGAACTCCCGCTCTCCTCCGAAGATAAGCTCTCGCAGATGGGTCCGAATTGAAACTAAAGCCATGAACCCACGTCTTCACATCTTCCTCGCCAGGCTTGATGTCGTACTGCAGGAGCAGTTTACATAGAACAATCTTCAAGATGTCAACGGCAAAAAATCGCCCAGGACATGAGTGCCGACCCATTCCAAAGCCCAGGTGGTCCATAGTCGTGGCGACAAGATGAGCGCAGTGGACCTTTCCCTCCGCACGCATCTTGACGTACCGATACGGGTTGAACTCTTTGCCGTCGGGGAAGACCGAGTTGTCGCGCATGTGCGTGCTCGCAACATTCAAGTATGTGCCTTTTGGGATAAAGGTGCCGTCTTTGAGGACGACGTCTTCTCTGGCGACGCGCTGCATGCCGACTATGTATCCACATGGAAGTATTAGGGATGACTGCAAGTGTGAAACATGCGTATATATGAGGCACATCACTTACACAGTAGACCCGACTTCAACCGAATCGTTTCCTTGAAAACACCATCCATCAGCTCAAGATGAGTCAGGGAAGCCTTATCCCAGCCATGCACGGGAACGACGCGCTCAATCTCCCTCCGCAAATCATCCATCAGCTGTGGCGACTGGCAAATCAACAGTATCGTCTCATTGAGAATCATACTCGCATTATGAACGGCCAGAAACGGCAACGCCAGATGTGCCGTCACCCGGTCATATGGATGGCCCTCTGCAAGCTCATCCATCCACTCGATGAGATCGTTATACGGCTCGGGTCCAGCCTCTACCTTGCCCGCATGCGTTCGACGATCATCAGCTTTACCTTGTCTGCTATTCATTTCTTCTGCCAAGAGTTGGCCTCCTTTGCGGACGTGCGCACGGATCTTTTGGCACCCAGGGAGGAACCAGTGCACGAGAGGCAGGAGTTTCTTCGGCCATAGACGCATTTCCATCATAGTCATGAAGGTGTCACTGGAGTAATTCACCATTATGTGAAGCCATTCCGGGTGGCGGCACATGTCTTGGCCGACGAATGCTCGCGACTGGCATTGGGCGATGAGGTGGGAACAGACCTTTTTCAGGACAACTGGTTGCCATTCTATTCGATATGAGAACGGATTAATCTGTGATAAGTACTACCTGAGGGGACATACCGGAGTCATTGGGGCAGTATGTCTTGATTGCCACGTCTGCTTCTGCTGCGAGCGGGTCGAATAGAGAGACTATAGGTAGATAGATGGTGAGTGACAGGTACCTTTGTAACTCATCGACAGGGCAGAAGGCGTGAATACCTACCAAGCGCTCGCGATAGCTTGGAACGAAGAGCCCGAAACAGCAAATGGCCCTGAAAGTTCATGAACCTATAGGGTTCCATCCCGGGGATATGCGGCTTCAGCCACTATTGCGGGTGTCAGCGCTGCGCAGTGAGGGCGCAGTTGATCGCATTCCGGATCACAGAAGGTAAAGTTACTTACCATTTCCAGACTCATTTTGACGCTCAAGGCCCCCTCTGCGCCGACAGATTCGGCATACCGAGGAGGTAGTATCAGGGCGATACCGTCATCGCTCTGGATCCGGAAGCCGTCTGGGTACTTGAGTTATGTTAGTTTCTTGAAGTAGCCTTCTTGGTGTTGTACTAGAAACAGAGCCCACACTCACCAGCTTGAACCCGTCTATGATTAACTGGTTTCCATTGACAACGAACCGCTGCTTTGCATGCTTCAAAGAGAGCTCGCCTGGTCGCCGGCCATTTAGTAACGGGTATGGAGCGAGGGGATCCGGCTTCGGAAACAGGAGCCTGAAAAGGAACCATAGGGCAGCAATGGGAACACCTAACGAGGCGAGGGCAGCCAGTGCCACGCTGTGATTGACATCGGAAAGCATCTTTTCGATTACCGAGCCAGATCAAAGAGAAAGAAGATCCTAAACAAGCAAGTATGGGAATTGCAACACTGAAGGAGGAGGATTTATCTAGTCTAAGCGAGGCAAGCCACACTGCAAAGACAGTCCCCCACCCCTTGATCCGTTGATGCACTCATGGGCAACAGCGGGACTGATAAAAGGCCTGCTGCAGGCAGTCGGCTAGGGACTCCTTTGTGCTCAGCAGACATCCGGTAAGGGGCAATAGATTCGCTAGCTATCTCTGGTGCAACACCGGTTAGGCGCCATTCCTCGTCACGATGCAAGGTTGAGGCGCCGTGGAATGCAGTCCCTTGCTCGTGTTTCTCCCACACTGAACATGGCATCCGGACAGAGCTGCGATGATTAAGAGCCATGCATCGCCTCTGCCGTCCCCGCGCCCTCCCATGTTACATTCGCTGCCCAATCTAGGCCTTGATTCCCGTGTAAGATTGTGGATTTGTTGATAGTCACATCGAAAGCACCTCATCATGGCAGAAACAAAAGAAGAGGATATCAATGCCACAGCCGACACGTCCAATAATGACAAGTTAGTATCGGACAACTCCGACGATGAGGTCGAATATCCGCAGGGTGCCAACTTGGCCGCGACGGTGATGGCCCTCCTCCTGAGCATTTTCCTGGCCTCGCTGGACATGGTGAGTCGTCTCCGGTACCCAACCATCGTGAGGGACTTGATAGGCTACTAACAGGAGTCGGAAAGACCATTGTCGCCACGGCAATTCCCAAAATCACGGATCAATTCCACGGGCTCGACAAGATTTCGTGGTATAGCTCGGCCTTCTTCATGACAAACGGGGGCTTCCAGTCCTTCTGGGGCAAGGCGTACAAGTTCTTCCCGCTCAAGCATACATTCCTGCTGTCGATCCTGATATTCGAGGTAGGCAGCCTGCTCTGCGCGGTTGCACCCAACTCCACGGCTCTGATCGCTGGACGGGCAATTGCCGGGGTTGGTGCCGCGGGCATCAGCACTGGCGTGTACACGATTATCGCGTTCATCACCGAGCCACAGAAACGGCCTACTTACACCGGTCTTGTGGGTGCTTCCTATGGCGCTGCTTCGGTGGTGGGGCCGCTCGTCGGGGGTGTCTTTGCCGACACAGTGTCGTGGCGGTGGTGCTTTTACATCAATCTGCCCCTCGGTGCTGTCTCGGTGCTTATCATCATCCTCTTCTTCCGCGCCCCGAGTGGTGCAAAGCCAGCACCGGCGACCTGCAAGGAGACGCTGCTCCAGATGGACGGCATCGGGGTAGCTCTGGCGATGGGTGCTATTATCGCATTCCTGCTGGCATTGCAATACGGCGGCCAGAGTCACCCATGGCATAGCGCCACTGTGATCGGCCTCCTAGTCGGCTTCAGCGCCCTGTCTGTCGCCTTCGGTGTATGGGAGTACTACCAAGGGGAACGCGCCATGGTGGTGACCCGACTTCTCGCCGACCGAGCCTTGGGCGTGAACTGCCTCTACGTGTTTTTCCTCGCGGGCTCGAATCTGCTGGTCACATACTTCCTCCCAATATACTTCCAGAGCGTTGGCGGCGCGAGCCCGCTCTTATCTGGCGTCCGGAATCTACCCCTGATCCTGGCTTTCATGGCGGCAATGATTCTTTGCGGTGTGCTGATCACGAAAACCGGCGCTGCCTTGCCGATACAGATTGCCGGTGCCGCCATCGCCACCATTGCTGCGGGCCTGTTTTATACTCTCGACGTGCATAGTCCTGCGGGCGCATGGATTGGATACCAAATTCTGAGCGGCATCGGCGTCGGAATTGCCTTCCAGGTGCCCATGATTGTAAGCCAGAGTCGGGCCAACCCACAAGATATCTCTTTCATCACGGCCCTTATCCTGTGTATGTCTTCTGCTCTCTCCCCCCATCCCAAACGGGCTATCTTCGAATCAACAATCCTAATCCTGCTGCGGCATGTCCAGTCTTCCAGAACATCGGAGGCGTCTTCTTCGTCACAGCCGCCCAGTCGGCCTTTGACAATATTCTCATTTCGACCCTCCCCCGTACAGCACCGGACGTCAATCCACCCACAGTGGTTGCCTCTGGTGCAACGCAGATCCGGACGGCCTTTGCTCCTGACCAAAGCCCCGGGATTGTCATGGCGTACATGGCAGGTATTAAGATCGGATTCGCCATCTGTATTGCCGCCACAGGTGCTGCCTTTGTGTCTAGCTGGTTTAGTCCACGGGGGAGGCTGAATTCGCAGGCTCGTCAGGGTGGAGGCGCGGTTTAAACGGGTGTAAGGGCGTCCTATATCACGACCATCAGCATAGACTAATAGAAAAAAAAAACAAATTGGACGCGAATCTAGTTTTTGAAAGTACCTAACAACCACAATGGCTACAGCCTCTAGAACTTACTAGTTTGCTATTAACTCTAGCCGCTTTTAATTAAATCTGTCTTTATAGAAGATTTCAAGCTAAATAGAATAAGAATCTTATAACTTTATTATAATAAAATAACTATAATTAAGCGATCTTAGTCTTACTCCATATAATATTATAAAGACTAGAACTACTAGGATTTAAAAATTTAGATCTAGGTTAGATCCGTATTAGAGAGGTTTAATTTAGACTTAGATTAGAGTAGATTTTGGATTAAGATCTTTAACCCAAGTTGGGTTATGCGGAAGTTTAGACCGGTGTTAACCACCCACCGTCCAGTCCTTTTCCCCAAACCCCCAGCATCTGCGCCATGAATATGACCCGGATCGCTCTAGTCGTCAATCAGAACGTGTCAGACGTAACCTACTCCATCTCACAGATTGGTCTCTTCATACTCGAGGTCAACGTAGGCATGGTCTGCGCCGCGCTACCAACGCTGGGCCCGTTGATCTTCCGCGACCGCAGTGGCTCGGGACCAGGAACGTGTTCGTCATCTGGGAAGATCAACTCGTTCGTGCGGCGTCGCAACGCAAATCTAAGCAGGACCCACCCTTTCAGCGAGATCCCGACCCTGGTCGACACGGACGACGAGGCTATGCCGCTGCGGGACGTGACGGCGAAAGGCTCCGATGATGCACGACCATCACCACGACGACCACGACCACCTGGGCCTCACCCGCAAAGCCCGAGGGCCGACAAGAACATCAGTGTTCAAACAGATTTCTACGTGTCTTAGAGCGAGTCGCGACGGGCCGTTTCCGGCGCTGGCCTAGCAGAGCAATATTTCGAACCAGTGGTTGTATTGCATATTTGAGTGGAGTTAGGATAGTACCAATGCTGCATACAAGAGGCCAATAGTGGAAAAGTGTTGGATTTCACCGGGAGGACCTCTACCTTTCAATCTATGGGTATAATTGAAATTTTTCACCCGGCGCTGTGCTGAAAGCAATCACTTTAGCTACGTATGATCTGCATACGTCCAGTTCTCTCCTTCACAAGGCAGGGAACCAACCAATTTCAATTTATCCTGAAATGTACTGTAGGTTCGAGTATAAGCAGGGATACACTTTTAAGTATTAGTACGGCTTACTGCCCACATGCTCTTCAACATAACCCCCTGACTCAGAGTGTCTAGCAGGGGAGCAAGGGCCATACTTGAGTAGGAAAGTGCAGAACGATCCAGTTCGCTAGCAAAGGACTACGTAACATTTTTGCATCCGCCGGTCAGAGAAGTAAACAACTGACATAATAGTGCGTTAAACTAGTCTATTATATCTGCCTATCACCGAGTTAAGAGCCAAACCCACCTTAACACTCAACTTTTGCTTTTATTTTTTTCAGGCTGCTCGACACAATCGGCCATCCTCATACTCGACCTACTGCTCACTGCCCACTGCAGTACGTGCGTACAAGATCTGGCCCGGGTCATACTTATCTTTGATCTCCCGGAGGCGTCCGTAGTTGGCGCCGTAGAAGGCCGATTGCCAATCTGGTTGGTTAAAGTCCGGTTCGTTGAGGTACACGCCGCTGATCTCGCCCGGGGGAGTCAGGGCCTCCAGAAAGGGGATCAGCGTCTTGGTCATGAGCTTTTGGCTATCTAGATTGACTTGGCGGTTCGTATAATTGATCGGGCTGAGGGGCTGGATGTTAGCTGACTTGAATGAAAGATCAAAAATAAATAAATAAGCAATTAGGTAATTAGAGTAGAAACGAAGAAAAAAAATAAGAGAGAAAGAAAGAAAGAAAGAAAACGTCAATGGGCAGGGGGGCCTTACATCCCAAGCACCGCAGAAATCGCAGCCTTCTGCCAGGCGGGATTGGCGGCGTGATTGGCGGATAGCCTGTTGTGGGCATGCTGGACGTTCATGGAGAAGCCGGAGAAAGCAGCCCCATAGTCAAGAATGCGCTGAATGGCGGAAATCAAACCATCGGGGTTGAGCTCGAGGGTTGAACGAGGGATCAGGCGACCGCCGACATTCATTTCGGTTATATTGGCTGCGGTCTCTGCCACCGAAGCATGGTATGTTGGGAAGGCTTTCACCGAGTAATCTATGGCTTGATGAGATGGTCCCTCCTGCGCCAGGTGTGTTGAGCTAGCTTACCATAGGCCAAGTCGTGTTTCTGGAGCACGCGCAACGTCGAGGCGAGGTAGGCGTGAAGCTCCTCTTTTCCAGCCCCAGGGAGAGTCACCGGCCCAGCATTGAACATAACCGAGCCCCCCGTGAGAGACGGCGGGAAAACAAGCCAGAGTGCTGTGCCGCCAGCGTCCAACAGGGGCAGCGTATCAACGAGGTAGGTGCGAATCACGGCCCAGAAGCGTTCGTCCGTAGGAGAGGAGGTAAAGGACAGCATGGCTGCAGCAGTTGGCTCCTCCGGATATACTCGGACGGTCATCGATAGGACGATGGCGTACGTGCCTCCGCCGCCGCCACTCAACGCCCAGTAAAGGTCTGCATGCTGCACGGGCGATGCCGTCAGGATCTCCCCGGTCGCGGTGACCACCTCCCACTCCAAGACTTGGTCAGCAGCCAGTCCGTAGCGCGATGCTAAGGGCCCGTGGCCCCCGCCCTGGGTGTAGCCACCAGCGATGCCCACGTCCGGGCAGTGACCGGTCACAATCGTGAAGCCTAGTTGGTGGGCCGCATTCTGAGCCTCGAAGCCCTGCACGCCGGCGCCAATGCGCATGGCGGGGCCGGTATGGTCAGACGAGACGTACCCGGGTATGTAGTTGATGGACTTCAGATGATGCGTCCAAAGAACTACGGCGCCGAGGCCGGTGGATTTCCCAACATAGTCATGGCCGGTGTTCCGGATGACCAGGCGGATATTGCGCCGGTGCGTGAAGTCGAGGACGCTGCGTAACTGGTCGGCCGATGTTACATTGGCGGCGTAACGAGCCAGGGGCCCCACGGTGCAGGGGTTTTCCTTGGAGGTAAACGGAGAGCAGGAGCTGTTGGTCCACCATGCAGCCATCGGAGAGAATGGAGTTTGGGAGTGCGTGGCCGGAATGGGCCAGCGGGCAAGCAGATCGGTGCATGCTTGACTGCTGTAGGAGGCAAACGGGCCATTATTGTGACAAACACTGCCGATCGGATTGATAGCAATCAGGCTGCCGGCGATAGATTGGTTAAAGGCCTGCCATTCATCCGGCAAGGGCCAGCAGGGGTCATCGGGGAAACAGCGACAGGATGGAGGAGGCTGCTGGCCTCGAGCTGCTACCCAAAGTACCAAGGGAAGCACTGCAAACGCAAGGAAAAGCGCAAGTTCAGCTGGTCGTGTCATGATATCGAGGCTTGATCTATGCAACCAGGGTAAACACGGAAGACGAGCAGTTGGTGGCTTATGTATCTCTTTCCAGATCGATTGGGAGAGTGCGAGAGTACGAAGCAGCCCGGCTAGGGTTCCGATTAGGTACAGAACAACATCTGCGCCCTCTACCCCACCCCCCCCCCCCCCTTAGCTTGTAAGTGCCAAGAACCAACAATTAAAGAAGCTCTTAAGAGCAGGGGTCCACTGATCGGCCAGAGTGGCGGGAAGGCATTCGCTAGTACGCGGACTATGGAGGTAGATGATCTCCGCTTGGGCAGGGTTTCTCGCCAGCTCGTAGAAAAGGCCAAGTAGAACCCGTGCTGTGGGCTCACTGTCAGCGACAAAGGCCAGGAGGCTGTCTCCGGCCAACCACACCTGTTCGGCGCTGTCATTCCACGCCGGTTTCATGAGATAGTACCCGAGAGAAGGGAGCCGAGAGAAATCGGTGGGTTCCTATGGCAGCAACGATAAGATAATTCCATGATAATGAAGAGGGCCCAAACCTTGATCTTTGTCAACTCATTCTTGCACATGGCCATCATGCGAAACCAGTCCTTGAGAATCGAGACCCGAGGAAAGAGTCTGAGAACAATCTGAATGACCCAGGGAGTAGGACTCAGGGGTCCTAGAATCCGCAGCGCCCTCTGCAGAATTCGAACCATGCAATGCCATTCCGGATCTACAAGCATTTTGAATGACTTGCCCAAGACAAACTGTGCCATGCGGTCGAAGCTCAACCAGGACACAAGGTCAGAAACCTCTGACACTCGGCCAGCGGCCATATCCGCCTGAATGCAGCGGTCCAATTGATGGATGAGCGCCACAGCTTGATATTTACCCTCATGCAGTGCTACCAGGCCTCGTTAGTCGATTGATATACTCAATTGAGGTCGGTATATGACTTACCCTTCGAGGTAAAACCTTGCTTCCAAGCACGGCGTCGGGGTCTATGTAATTCACTGTACCGTGCATTCACCAGAGCCCTATCGGGATGAAGCAGATCATACCATTCACCTTTGCTACACTTACTGCGAGGGCCATCCACGGTCATGAAGATGTCTGGGTGAAAGACAGTGATCTCTCCAGGGCCTGTCCGTATAAAATCTCCATACTGCCGATCCAAATCGGCTAGCAAGAGGTGGTTCTTGGACTTCCGCGCTTTCCACAGATGCCATATCTGGGATACAGCGGCCCTGCCAGCCCGACCTGTCTACCACCCTCAGGGCAGTGAAACATATGAGATGGAGCGTAAGGATGTACGGAGCCTGTACATGCCATTCCCCGTGAATGAAGAGTCCGTGGTGGATCCCAATCCCTAGGATCGCTCCGATGGGCCAAAGAGGCACACTGTCCATAATTCCGAGCGAGGCTTTTGACCTCATATCAAAAGGGGGGATAGTGGAAGATATGTATAAGTGAGCGGGGAAATATACTCGGGCCACGAAAATGGGGTATATAAATCGGACATCGCATGTTTTGAAATCCCCTACATATATGAGTTCCTTGAAGACTATCAGCTACAACCAAAGAGCCATAGCCATGCAGATCCAATGCCGTTTCATGTGGACGACTATCCCCTCTTTGGTATGGGGATTTACGCAAAGTGACTTCCCAACCTTCGTCCTGCCAAATGCGAGCTTTGGAATTTTCGCTGCATTGGTGGCCCCAGCATTCACCAGTTGCACAGAGATCCCTAATCCTTGGGCCCTACTTGTTCGAGCCGCACCAGCCGCTATTATATTCAACTGGGCCAACCTACTCGTCTTCGATATCGCCAACCAACGCCTCCTGGAATCGATAAGGGAAGATTCCCTGAACAAACCCTGGCGACCCTTGCCTCGCGGCCTCATTGACCCGAATGAGACCAGGAGGCTGTTACTAGGAGCAGTCCCTATTGTGTTGGCCCTTAGCGCAGCGCTTGGCGTGTGGGAAGAAAGTGCCCTAATCCTGATCCTAACTTGGATGTACAACGACCTCGGTGGGGGCGATGAGCTGACTCGCGACATAATGATCGCGATTGCGTACGATGTCTTCTTGTTCGGCTCGCTTCGGATTGCTCTTGCTACTACGACATCATGTGCAAACATTAGTCTCTCGGCCACTGGCTTTCGCTGGTTGGGAATAATAGCGGGGGTAATCATGAGCACCATGCAGATCCAGGACTTGAGGGACCAGGCCGGGGATCGGACTCGCGGACGGAAGACGTGGCCCCTTGTGGTGGGCGATATGGCCTCGAGGGCGTGGATCGCCACTTGTGTCATGTTCTGGAGCTTTGCGTGCATTGAGTTTTGGGATGTCCCACTATGGTGTCTGTTGGGCCGGTCTTGCTGGGAACGTGGATTGGAACTTGCGTCTTGCTGAAGAGTGGGGGCATCTTGGCTTGGAAATGGTGGTGCCTCTGGCAGCTTGCTCTGTACTCGTTGCCTGTTTGGCACTATGGAATCAGCGCCTAGGCAACTTTGGTCCGGCGGAAAATGGGTAAAAGGTTGGATTTACTCACTGGGTGATACTCCGAGCTGGATTGGTGGAATATGCAAACCTCTTTGGGTTTGGCAATCTTCGATGACTCGATACACCATGTGGGCTAGGATTACCTTGGCTTTGAGTTTGCACCCTCTCCTCTCGGGCATTCTAGGGTGTACCCGGTTGAACCAACCAATGGAACTTGGCCAGAGCGCCTCCGTATAAGTCATATTCACAGAAAGGCCAACACAGTGTTCTTACCTCTAGAAAGCCGAGTGGGTGATAGAGAGCATTGGAATCAGCCCACAGAAGACTAGGTTTAGGAGCCATATATACGGTGCGTGTGAATACTACTCCGCGCAAGGGATAACCGTACTTATGCGGCTACATTGCGTTTTCAGGTCAGAAAAAGCGATAGGTCATAGGCCCGGAAACGCAATCATTGACAAAAGACAGAGACTAGAAGAGCTGGATTGTTATTGAATCCTAAATAGTTGTGGAGGCGCCATCGCCAATAGCTAAGAATATCCAATTTTATAGATATAGACGCGAAATTTAAGTTCGTATTGAATTACGAACGCTTTAGTGCACTCGAAGACTATCTAGCCACACTACTGTAGACTTAGCTCCACAAGCAGCACGAGACAAATGCCTAGGCCAAACACTGGATTACACGTACGGAAAAGGCCAGCCATGGATTCCTGCTGTCAACTGAGGACCAGATTGGAAATCTTCGGCCTTTGTCTTGAGCTCGGCCACGTCCCAGTTAGCCGACACATAACGGCCGCTAAGAAATGCGGCCTCTGGACTAGCCAGCCAAACTATGAAATGTGCGGGCAGCTCGACTAGATCAACTGTTAGTCTGGGTGAAGTTAGAAGGGAAAGGCCAGGGGCCAAAACTCACCGGTATCCATGGGTAAGTCACCCACTTTTTGCCCACTCCTATGAAAAATAGCTGTCTCAACGATGCCAGAATTCAAAGCCACGGTAAAGACCGAGGGATGTTCGGCCGCCAAAAACTCCACTACTTTGGTCAGAGCCAACTTGGAGCTCATGTAATCAGAGATGGTGATAATGTGGAGTTTATGCTTGGGTAAAACAGCACCATTATCGACGGTACAAATCGAGTTTGTTATGATTGCAGTTGGAAAAATAACGCGTAACGTATGCGCTATATTTACTATAAATCGGGCTTTGAGTTTGAACAGAGCTTTGACGAGAAATAGTATAAAATGATCTTCAATATAGATAGAGATTTGGATAAACTAATATAGAAGTTTGCTCGTTAGGAGTGGGAAGATACTGTTGTTATTTACTAGAGTATTATAGAAGTAAAATGAATAATTTGATGAGATTCTTCTTTATCTGCCCTTGTGTTCAATATTTTATGTATATATTCTTTGTTTACAATATTTGACAAGTCCTCTTGATTTATTAGTTTAGAAAATGCTCATGTTATTGTGATATGACTACTAGACTTGTTCAATTCTGCAGCTTTTTAATACGAATCTCACAGCACAGTGGGCAGACATTATGTCTGCGTTAGAACTAACCCTTTGAATAATGTCAAAGTATGATCTCGGGTCGGAGAGCGCCTTGATAGTTGAGGCATAAGAGGGAATGATGCGGCTCATGGTGTTCTCAATCTCGGAAAGTGGTCTTGAGTAGGATGAAATGCGATCGTTTGTTGTTCTACTGGACTGGCACACTTGGTAGCAACAAATTCACTGTTGAGTCTTTGCCCCCTCTTTCTTTCTCTCACATAACTCACCCTCTGTCTTTTCTTGGCCATTTCTTCAGGCACCATTGCCACACTGAATATTATCCATGTCGCAAGCGCCAGCTCAATACCTCTTTACCGGAATCAGGATGGCTCAAACAGCCGCCAACGAGACCGCAAAGATAGCCATGGAATATGTCCAGGCTGCTTTGAAGACCTTAGCTCAGGTGGGTTTTTGTTTTTCCCCGACTGCTCTAACTCAACTAGATTTCACATCCATCTTTACTAACCCAAATGATCTATTTTAGCAGGTCGCGAAATGGCCCCTGGAGAGCCTCTTCTTGGTGAGAACAACTGCACTTTGGCTCGTTTTCATTGCTTTCCGGGGTTCCATCATCAAACTGGTCCTCTCGGCACTCGGATTCGGTGCTGGTGGTGTGCAGGCTTGTGAGTAACCACATCCTGATAATATACCTAACGTTGAGCTAACTTCCCATCTTCACGAATATAGTATCCCTTGCCGCGTCACTACACAGTAGGATTGGCAACGTTGTCGCCGGCAGCATATTCTCTACACTGCAAAGCGCTGGCGCTGGTGGGGCTGGATTTGCTATTCTGAATGGATCGATGCAGTCCTGCGCTGCGGTATTTGGCATTGTGAAGGCCTTGTGCTCGTTCACTGCCAAAGGCCATTTCTATAAGCTTCGGAAACATTGGATTTCATAGGTTGCAGTTGAAGGGGCCCAAAGCGATTCCATGTAGTTGACCCGACCCACCGATTTCCAGGAAGATCATTTGCGGATGGCGACAACTACATCTGACACTGTTCTTCCTATTCAATATGCATTTATGTTCCTATGGGCTTTTATTGTGATGGCATACGAGGGGGAAAAACAGTTTCTCTGGGACTTTCCAGACTTATCTAGAGTATGTAGGGCGACTGTATCTGGAATGGAGTGCACAAGTTCCTAACAGTGTTATGACACTGATCATTCCCAATGCACCTCACAACGTGATCTGTCAAATAATCTCATTGAGCATTAGGTCTCCATCTTGATAATATCTGCCGCCCTTTCAGCAACGGCGTAGACAGTCGACATAATATTGGCTGCCGGAATCAACGGAAAGATGCTTGCATCGCAGACGCGCAAATTACTCGTGCCGTAGACCCGCAACTGGTCATCGACCACCCCTCCCTTCTCGCGAGGAAGCATCGCTGCAGTGCCACTGGAATGATACGTTGTTGTTGCCGTGTCCCGCAGATACTTCTTGGCCGAGTCAAGGTCGGTGAGGAATGCATCGCGATGGTTGCGTCTCCCATCAGGTTTCAGGAACTTGGCTAGGGGTTCCACTTTATGCAGTTTCTCTACATCCTGCAGATTTCGCGCCATAATTTCGAGGTCTGCCGGGTGCGAGAAGTATCGTGGGTTCACGATCGGCTTGTCGTTTGGATCTGAAGATGCAATGTGAACGCGACCCCGCGAGAAGGGCATGCTCTGGATAACTCCCATGCTGAGATAGCTTCCAGGTTGCAGATCCTGTCCGACAAAACCTTTTCCACTAGCTTCGTGCAAATTGACCTGCGCTAGTAACATGAACATGGAGCAGGTAGGAGCTCCCGGCTGTTCGAGAATTTCGCAGATGGCCTGGTCACGGTAGCTGCAATCTGACAGAAAGCCATCCAGATAATCATTCATTAAGGTCGTGCTGGTTGGGCCCTGAAAGTCAACAAGAGGCATGAAGGAGCTGGATTGCACGCCTCCAATGGTCATTGGTCCTGCTTTATGCTCCATATAGAGCTTCATAGCCTCCTGCACGGCATCCTGCTCTTGACGCAGGAGTGCGTCTCCGGTCACAACGCCATCGACCACCTCAAAGCTAATTCCGCTCATCAAATGGTCCTGCAGGTTTTCTCCCACGTTAGGGTTATTCACAATTATAGGGATATTGTGTTGGCGGAGAATCTCCTCATTCCCAATTCCAGAGAGTTCGAGCAGTTTTGGGGTGCTTAGAGCTCCCGCACACACAATCACCTCCGCGTTTGCGTTGATAATACGAGTCTGACCTTGCACAGCAACTTTGACTCCAGTCGCCGTCACATCTGGCTCGTTCAATCCCTCGAATATAATCCTCTGGACCAATGCTTCGGTTACGATACGCACATTAGCCCGCTCCATAGTCGGGCGACCATACGCACTTGCGGCGTAGCTCCGTGTTTTTGTCTCACTATCCACGGCAGCAAGGTTGCTATAGCCACCAGTGGACCTGCCCGAGAAAGGATCGGTTGTAATGCTATGGCCTGTCGCCTTGAAGGTGTCCACCCAAGCCTTGCACAATGGGTCCTGAATGACGGCAGGAAAAGAGACCTTGAGAGGGCCAGATGTCCCGTTGAAGGATCGATCTAACCAACTGATGCCAATGTGCTCGCTAGTTGCATCGTCGGGGACTTGGATTGTGTAAGACTTCTTGTAGTATGGATGAAGATTCTCCCATAACCAGTTTTTCGCTCCTAGCTTCGACCAGGCATCGATTCCCGCTTTGGAGGGCGCGATAAACGCCTGGCCATTAATTCCCGAGGAGCCACCCAAGAGCTTCCCCTGGGGCTCCTTGATTACTCGGTCCCCTAGACCAGCCTGATATAAAAGCTGTTAGTGGCTTCATTTTGTAGAAGCGCGAGCTACGCACCTGAGGGACAGTCTGCAGCTGCCAATCCGCCTCAGATCCCATCAAGGTGGTCCAAAGGGCCGGGATGTTAACCCGTGGATCATCCAGATGGTTGCTTCCAGCCTCTAGCACCACAATGGATTTGGTAGAATTTTCTGACAGTCTCGCTGCAAGTATCAAGCCTGCAGTGCCACCTCCTATTATGACATAGTCCGCAGTGGAGGGGATGTTGGTTTCACTGGCCATGGCTCAACAGATGTGGATTGGTATGGAATAAGCAATATGAAACAGCTACAGAAGAGTGAGATTAACGAGAAGGTAATAGAAAGAGAGAAAAGGCATGGCTAGAGAAGAAAGACAATCATCAGGCTGAAGAGGACAGGTTATATAGAAGCGAGAAGTGGGGAAGAAACCGACAAGGCCGAGAATGCCAAGTGAGAAACCAACAGCAAAGTTCTTTGTTACGAATTAGCCGAGTTTTTAGTCTAGTGATTTGCCTATGCTTCAGAACTCTGATCAGATCGTATCAAGAAATCAATTGGCAAATGATCTAGTTGCGTCAAAGATCTAGTACTGTAGCTTGTTCCCTCCGCCATATTACTGGCACCAAGCTACACCATTCTGTACACTCCTTGTACCGTGATAGCAAGAGTCGGGGTGGTGCTCTGAACTTTTTGCTCGAACAATCCCACTTGTGGCTGTTAGTATGCTTGGAAGATAAGATATTGACATCTGATATTGCATTCTTTTTGTTGCGAACCCATAAGCGCCCTACTATCGTCTCCTAGCCTCCTGTCTCATCCGAATAACACCGTTCCATTGACCGAGTACCTTTTTAATCAAGTAACGTTCACGGGAAGTGGTCAAAAATGACCGTTCTGAGGTTGGATGAACTTGCAAGACATTCTCAAAGGTTTGTCTGTGGAGCTCTGTGAACCAGTCGGAAACTCTCTCAGCAGAGCTACGAATACTAGGCTCCAACAATAGCATCTCCGTCATGACGAAATCGATGACCGCGATTAGAGGTTTGGGGCATTCTGGATTGCTTTTGAGGCGTTCCGTCCATTCGAAAACGGATGGTCGAATCTCCTGCAGATCAGTCGTGTAGAAATGATCAGTCTCAAACTCAGGAGAGTCGTCATCTAATCCTCGCCACTCAGAGAACTCCTTGACTGCGTCAAAGCCCAGTGAAAGCCATGACACAAATTCAAGATACGTACACCCAAGAGACCACACGTCCGCTTTTGAAGACATAATACGGCCTCGTCGGTAGTCAGGAGCATCGTAGGTCAACCATAACAGCTCGTTCTGATTGGCGTTTTCATGGTCCACATCTTTCTTGCCAGGGTATGCTATTACCAGATTTGTGGCTATGATTTGGGAAGTTTCTTCCGACACGTCCTGTGCTTGGAGATCCTGGAAGAATATAATCCTGTTTGGCCCCAGTCCTCCGTGAACCTCGCCTGGTGCTAGTAAGGACACCTTGGCAAGACCATGAGCAATATTGCCCATTTGCGTTAACGCCCATGACAGTAGGATGTCGGTAGGCTTCGGGTTTGGAATAGCGCCCCACAGATCGTGAAGGTTGCCTTCAGCCCATGGGAAGACGAGAAAGAAATCTCCTTGGTATTTGAACGTGCATAGCAGTGTTTGAAAGTGTGTGCTTTCGTCATGCATCCCAAGACTCTCATAGAATTTTCGGGTTTTACAGAACCAATTTTCACTCTGCTTACCGAACAATCCCTGGATCTCTAGGAATTCCCAGTTCTTCTGAGAGAAATAACATTATGGAATAAAACATCAGCATTCGAAACCGAGGGTGCACAGACTCTTATAGGAAGGAGCTAGTGTTAACGTACCTCAGATAAAGGCACCGCATAGAAATCATGATGGTCAGCATGAATCCATGCCTTGAACACGGTTGAGAGATCTTCCTGGGCGCTCATTTCGGTGATGGGAAACACACAACCATCGCTCAATTCGTAATGTTGCTGGTAATGGAAAATCGGTGCCAGGTGGCAATACTGTTGGGACTCTAGCCTTCTGATTGAGTCGTTGTCCCAGTCTTCGATGAAGCCAATATTTCTGCCATCATTCGTTTCTAATGCTGAGTTATCATGAGACATCATAAATGGGAAGTCATCATCTCCTATTCCTTCCTCAATGAATTTCAAGATAGAGCCCTCTTCGTTTTGATGGATCAGGATAGCGAAAAGAATGTTAGATTCCTCTAGGATTACACGCGCAAGGCCTGTCGATGAAGCTCTGTCTGTGACTCCAAGCTCGTATAATATTTCCAATACGGCTGTCAATGTGATAAGTTCCTTGCGCGACGAAACTGGTACAAAAGCCTGCTCAGTCCCCTGGAAGAACACCCTAACCTCCGCCTCAATCAAAGATTGTCTCAGTTGAGCTGAGGCTGCGGTTAGATGGCTGTTCTCGTTTGATAGATACTGTGTATGAAAGACGGGTGTATTTCGTTGGTTGTGCTCAATGATTGACTGGATAATAGGGTCGTGTGTGATTTTCGAATCGGCTTGTGAAAATTGTGTCAAGACGAACTCCCAATGCAGGCTTTCCGTACTTGGAGGGCAGGAGACCTGCGGTAAGTCTTCGTCTATATATTGGGTTTCCGTCTCATTAATGAGTTCCAGACGCTCCGCAAAGAAGTCGGAGCCTGTAGGGCTACCGTCACGGGTGCTATCTTCTCTTGACGAGCATGATTCCACTCCTGAATGAGCCACACTATCATCAATACCGACAAGAGAGATCTGTGACAACGTTATAAGGTGCTCAGCCACATGTCTCAGAAGCTCATTCTGCGTCGCATGACCATGGTCCATCGCTACTGGGCAAAATGGACACTCCCGCATGATTTCAGTTCTCGGCAGACGCTGAAAACACGACGCTGCCATATCATCAAGTTCCTCAACTTTGAACTGATCGAAATGGCTTTCTCGCATGTGATGTTTAAACTGATATTTGGTCTGAAACAGCAAGGTTTTCTCGTGAACAGGGTCCATGCAGGTCCAGCTATCAGATCCATGCTGTGTCATCATATGAGACATCCAATCTTTGGTAGACTCAAACAGCATAACTTGACCAAGACATTCATCTAAAAGACACACGTACGGCATGAGATCTTGGAGAATATGAGACCTAGGATGAGATCAGATCAATCAGCTTATGTCTATCACTAGCAGTTGACGTTTAGGGCCGGCTTACCTCCATTTTGCATCTGAAAACACCTGTCTCGGGTAAACAAGAAAGCAAAAGGGGCACATACACTCCCTCTGGGACGCTGACAGGGCAGGAGGGTCTGGTAAGTAAACTGCCTCAGGCACGATATTGTTTTCGTTGTCATCATCGTTTTGGATGTTCTCACTGCGAGCATAAGCGTTAGGAAGTCTGTCTGACTGCAACGTTGTTGCAGTAAAGGCTGACGGTGCCGCCCTTGATGCAGTTTTGGGTCCTCTTCGTCGCGCTGGTTGATCGCTAGACTTTAATGGTTTTCTTACGCTAACCGACGCTGCAAGCGTGCTTCTTGTCGAGGGAAGGGGCTGCGACCGGAGCTGCGGCATGCTTTGGGCTTGTCGATCTTTCAGGTAGGCAAAATGCTGTTGACGTAGACAAATTGTTTCCACGAGACGCCGTTTTAACTCCTCGCCCGCTCTAGAATCCCGTAGACGTAGCTCGATAATGCGTTCAACTCCTTTGCGAAATTCCTCGGTGATGTTCACGCCGTGATCATCATATTGAGTGTATCTCGCAACTCTTACAAATCTGCGCAGAATGCCCGATCGACGAACGGCTCGTGAAAAGCGGAAGAGCTGGTCTATTGTATCCTCGACCTCAAGCGTATCTTGACCGACCCCATCATTCAGACTATCTTCTAGACTCTCTAACATGTCTAATAGGGTAGAATGTAGTGTTGGGGTGTTTCGCAGTCTCCAGTCCATGGAAGAACGCCCTGGACTGTGAACGAAACTATTTGCAGTCCACATGTTGAATCTGAACAACTGATTCTCTGCATCTTGTGACACTGCTGAGCCACTGGGAAACTGATCGATCCATTGGTGGAATAGGCTCTCGCACAGTCGTGATATAGTTGATATCTCCATGATGGCGTGACGATTCTTAACCCCCAACGAGGTTGCTTTCACATTCCAAACTTGGGCAGTTTGACCCGCATAACAAAGAGGAAGACCCAGGGTCGGGATATTGTCTTACAGGTCTCGAGGTGTTGATAAGGGAGTCGATGAAGCAACGATCAACAGACGGCGATATTCTACTTGGGTCACCGAAGTGGTTGCATAATTGACTGAGTCAATCGAGTGACTCCATCAAGTTGATATAATTCCGATCGTCTAACTGATTCGCTTCAACCTCCGTCGAGGTGTATCGGTGTGAATCTGGGAATGTGATGAAGAGATGAGATCAAGAAGAAGCGGGGCAGGCGATACTCTGCATGTCACGTTATTTACTTCCCCGTGACCAGTGACCAGGATGTTGTCCTTCTAGCGCCCGCCTGAATCCCCCTCGCTCTTCTTGTCTCCCCACGATCAAGAGCCTCCTGTGGCCCTATCCGTACCTCACGGCCATGGAGAAGAAGTGCTTTCTGCCATGGCATCTAGAGTGTCGGAACCGATTTCAGCTCAACCATCATCCCCGGAAACGCCCTCGAAGCTGATAAATCTAGTCAGTGACGCCGCGTTGTCGCTAAGCGAGATTATCAACCACTCTCCACCTTCCCAAGCCCGACTTTATAGAGGTCTCAAAAGAGGCCTTGCCTATCTTATCCTCGAAATCAAGTCGAACGAGATCCACCGCGCCCTCCTTCACCGACGTCACCTAGCAGAACTTCTCAGCGCCCTGGCCGGTTCGATCAACGATTGTTTAAAGGGAAGTTTGGTCCGGGATGCATACCAGCGAGAAGTGTGTGAGCAAGGGAAGGACAAGTCTACCTTTCTTTCTTTGTTCTCTTGGGCGGGTTCTCGATCACCTGAAGAAAGGTCGACAGAGCTAGGGAACAAATGGACAGGGTCTCCATTTCCAGTCTTGGGGATGTTTTGTGACCTCAACCACAGCTCCACTTTGCAGAAGGTCGACTTGATAGGTTTCCTCAACAACGACGTTCAGGTGCTCCAAGGTCTACTTGCCACAATCGGAAAATGGAATGAGGCGGTAGATGCTATTTTTGCAACTGACGGATTGGACATTGATATGGGCGATGATGACAAAGCCTATCCGATTTCAGGTATCGACTACACGTCCATGTCCGGACCAACCAGTGTCCGTCGTCTTTCGACAGCACTCTATGATGTATTACATAGCAACTGGCCATGCAATGTGGCTGAGCATGATCACAATGGAAAGCTAGGTGAATGTTACGAAGCGAACTTCTATCTCGACCCCCATTGGATCTCAGGCAATGCAACTGGTGATGGGCTGTTCATCGTCCTGAGGGGCCCAGGTCTACTCCAAGAAAGTCGTATATGCTTACACAATGCTGCGTAAGTCTGATTTGGACTTTTCAACATGATGACTCTTGCTCACGCTTCTACGGTAGTGCTCTCGAAACCCATACACCTGCGTGTCTAACGCCGCATGAAGACTCGCACCCATTCTGTCTACATTTTACGGTCGATGGCGAAAGCCAATTATGGGATCAGCAACAACTTGTTAGACCACTAGAGGTCTTTCATCCGGAACATGATTACGTTGGCCAGGACCTCCGAGATCTATTTAGCAGCTTCAGGCCCGCTTACACTACCAAGAGAGTTCTAGGCGTCATTTTAGCGCGGACAGTCCTCCATCTCTTTGAAGGGCCGTGGATGAACAGTCATATGTCAATAGAAGACTTTGCCATCTTTTGTCGACGTGAAAACGGCCAAACTGAGCCGTCTTTTGATAAACTATTCCTGTCAACAAAGTTGCAGTCAGGTCTAAATGCAAATACCCCATCTAGACGTGGATATAGCGTCCACCCCTTTCCAACCATTCTTGCATTGGGCATCGTATTGATGCAAATTGAGTTGGCTGATGACCTAGAAGATCTTTACACAGAACCTTGGTTTGGTAACTTACAACATCGGCCATTTGATTTGGCCAAACGGTTGCTCCAACAATGCCAGCTGCGCCTACACATGGGGTCTGGCATGGTCCGTGCGGCAAGATTCTGCACAGATCGCACTTCACTGGCTTCCTTCACGCGATCGAACTCAGATCTTCTTTTTTCTACGCCCGACTTCACAGCGGCCTACTACCAAAACATAGTGAGGCCTCTAGAGGAAGACCTTGTCAGCGGGGCTAACTGGAGCTGGGCTGAAGTTCAGCAATTGAAGCCATTCAATTCGGACAACGCAACCTATCTCAAGGTCAAATCCCAACGGGTCCCGTTATCAGTTCGACCAAAGGACACTTGTGAAACCGGTGGATCTTCCTCCCAAAGTTACAAACACGGCTTTCACAAACTTGCAAGTAGATTACCCACTTTAAGCGATGATCATATCGGGGAACTTTCTGCCACGTACGGTGATATCCCAAGCAATGACACATCCAAGTCTGTATCATTTCGCTCATTGAAACACTCGGTTGCCTCTGGGAATGCATCTGTTAGCGTTGACAGTATCTCCAGGCAGGAAATGGCCCTCGACCACACTCTCTCTTCCCGATGCCCAAATAAGCCACAGAACCGAGATGAGTTCGAGATTGCAATCATTTGTGCTCTACCGAAGGAAGCAGATGCCGTCATTTCGATATTTGATCAGATTTGGGACGAAGACTACTATGCATACGGAAAGGCTTCCAACGATCCAAACTCATATACGGCCGGTGTCATAGGTGGTCATAACGTGGTTGTCGCACACCAATCACATATGGGAAAGGCAAATGCAGCAACGGTTGCATCAAAATGTACTATGAGTTTTACAAAGGTCAAACTGGCGTTTGTCGTCGGAATCTGTGGCGGCGCGCCCCGGCACGCGGAGACTAATGAAGAAATCCTGTTGGGGGATATCGTGATTAGCAAGGGTGTTATCCAGTACGACTTCGGCAGGCAATACCCCAGTCAGATGGTTCGCAAGATAGCCGTTGAGGATCTTCTTGGTCGACCAAATGCCGAGGTTGGGTCTATCCTTGCCAAATTTGAAACAGTGTATCACAGGACATCCCTTGAAAACAATGTCTGGGAGAACTTGGACTCTCTTGACCAGGATTCCCTCTGTTACCCGGGACCAGATACAGACCATTTATTTCCTGCGCTATATCATCATCAACATCGGCAGCCCTCCATGTGTCATGTGTGCTGCATGACTGTGGATGGCATCTCTTCGGTGTGCGAGAAAGCCATGATTTCTTCTTGCGAGGTTCTGAAATGCCATGAGGGCGGGACTTCGTTTGTTGCTCGCTCCCGAAAGAACCAAAGAAATCGGCCTAATGTTCATATCGGCCTAGTCGCATCTGGAGACTCGGTCATAAAATCCGGGATCTTGCGAGATAGACTTTCCGATGAGACGAATGCAATTGCATTCGAGATGGAAGGGGCCGGAGTGTGGGGCAACTTTCCCAGTGTTATCATTATCAAGGGCGTATGTGACTATGCAGATAGCCACAAAAGCAAAGGGTGGCAGACTTACGCAGCTTCAACTGCTGCTGCGTGTATGAAGGCTTTTCTCAGGCATTGGGATGTTTCCTCGAATTGAGGGAGCACAGACTTAACAGAAATAGGACTGCTGTTCATGTGTGTCAGTTGGCATAATATTCCCAAATACTTCCATTGTCTATAAGATGCATGTGATCAGTCGATTTAATTTGCGAAATCTAGTGTCTACCATCTTTGGTCAAATTTCATAAAGCCCAAATTCCAGAACATATCTCAGCCATGATTCAGCAGGAAAGACACGGACGCACCTCAAGGATTACCTTAATCACATGGCCCTAACCCTGAATGAAATGGATGTTCTGCCCGTGACCGCACCAGCAGTGTTGAACATCTGGGGACCGTGAAAGCTTGCAAGCTTATGACGCGCTTCAACCATCCCTATGTGAAGCTGCTCGAGTATTTCAGCCACAGCTGAGTAGAGGATTCCAATATTACCGTCTTCAATCTTGACTGCGATTCCAATCGCACCGTCCGCCCCGAGCTGATCAGTTCGTTCTGAAGCGCATACCCCTATACCATAACAACCATCTGCTCCGAGCTTGCCGATGAGGCCACCTTGAAATGCTTCCATAAGCACAGTGCAGAATCGACCTTCTCCGCCGACCAGGTCTGGATGATCTGCCATCGCCCGGAAGATCCGCCCCAAAGCTTTTGTTCTCTTGGAAGCATGATGGTTTCGCGCGGTCTCGTCTGCCGCTGCCGCAATCGTAGCATATATCTTGGCCATATGTTGCAGAGGAAAGGCAGGCGCAGGGAGGTTACATCCATCAACACTCCATTTCACATCATCCTCATACAACCCACACAGTTCCTCCACGACACGCTTCACCCGCACCTGCATCGGATGAGTCGGAAGATGATAACCCTCCAAATCAGCACCAATCGCCTTGGCGCCAGCCAGCATACCCGCATGCTTTCCTGAGCAGTTGTTACAGACGCCTGTAGGTGTAAAATCCCGCTTGATCCAATCCCTATTGACCGTCTCCGACAGCGCAGCGTGTCCGCCACAACACAGATTAGTCTCGGTGACAGGGACCTTGGCTAGCATTGCACGGGCCCTAGAGATGTGTTTCTCTTCGCTATTATGCGAGGCACATATCAACGCCAGGTCTGCGTCGGTGAAGCCGCATTGCTCAAACCCGCCGGTCTCGAGGACCGCAAGCGCTTGCGCTGGTTTGGCGGCTGATCGGGCTAAGGTTATGCGTGTGGGATCGCCCACGGCGTATAAGAGCTTGCCGGTGGCATCGGTGACTGCGGCGTGGACTTGGTGGCGGTTTTCGACGACTTCTCCTCTGTATGTGAGGATGTAGTCTTTGATTTCTTGCATTTCGCGTCGCGGTTTGGGGATAGCCCTAATTCCGGTAGGTTGGATCTAAAGAGGATAGGTTCGGGATATAGTGCACCCTCAACTTAAGATTCCAAAGGCCTGAAATTTTGCATCCGAGTAGAATTTGAAGATTCTTGCATGTTCTAAATGTCTCAAAGAGAGAATTCTCCGTCTTATACCCACAGAGACTGCCATCGTCTACGGAGGGCTGGCTCTGTTTGGGTTGCCGCTATTCCCTTTCGGGTGAACATTTGCGACGCCAGACTCGAATGCGCACGGCCACATCCTACAAATCCACTGTCTCTGGCTGTCTAAATACATACAATGATTATGCTGTAATCAGTAAAGGAACTGTATAAAATGTTAATCTTTCTTTGGCCCTGCTTCTCAAATAAGTCAAGTGTTGTTGGGGAGGCGCGACAGCCAGCTTTGTAAGGCAGTAAGGCAGAAACTGTCCTATATAGGTTAGCGCATTTCCGGATCAGGAAAGCAGCTACAATAGCAAAGCAAGGATCACGACTTCGTTTGCCGGGCATAAACTACTCCTGACTGAGAGAAATGGCTCAGCGAACAGCTGGACAGGGACTGAAATAATACGAAGATTAAGGTTTGGGTTCCAAGACAGACATGTTTGAAGCTCAATGCCGGGAAACCTATTGTTCCTGGTGCAGTAACTGTACCATAATATACAACTAACAACAACCTAGGCCCTTGCGGCAGATTTATAAGCAATGATAAAAGAATCAGGGCTTGACAGCCTGGCGTAGATGTAATCATTGCCTATGAAGTCCATTTACGTGGAGCATTCGTGGCCTTCGAATATATGATCGAGTCATCTGGAGCCTATTATATATAGTTGTCGCCGACCAGAATAACACCTTCTCCAGCGCAAGGGTTTCACAAGAATTAAAACAAACCAACTCCAGGGCAATCAATAACCTCATCAGTCCTACCAATTCTGTCCTCATGAGCACCTGGAGTCCTTCAGATTCGCGCATCGTCTGGTCGGGATCGACCGAGTGCCTGACGTTAGCGCCCGACAGAACAGGATCATCCTGGCGGCCTCAGGCAGAAGGATGACGGCCTTCTCCGCTTACGTATTGCCGCCTCCGCCTTTTCTCCTCTTCTCCCCTTGTTTCTCCTCCCCATCACCTTATCTATCCATTGCTGCGCATGGGTTCGAGACACTGGTACCGATGACTCAACCACCCATGAACGTCTACTGCATTTTAGCCTAATATTCTGCTTTACCGGACCGATCTATTCTCGAGATTGCGGTCTCGAACCGGAATTATCACGCGCATTTTGCCAAGCACGGTTGCTATCTGAGAGCTCCGAGCATTATTGTTGCGTGACGCCACCGTCATCCCATTCTCGTTTTCGCGACTTCAGCAGCGCCTCCTCCATTCTTTTTCTAACTTCGGATGATTTTCTCTGTCTTCGATATCACTGCATCTTGCCAATTTCATCATCATAGACGCCCCTCATAACGATGCGGGGACTCCGCTCAATCCCCATCGTCGCTAGCCTCGGCTCGCTCCTCCTGCCGCAGGCCTTTGCTCAGGGCGAGACCAAAATTCACGAGAAGGGTCGCTGTGCTATTCGTGGTCACTGCGGGAAGCAGTCATTCTTCGGAGGGGAGCTACCTTGTCCTGACAATGGACTTGCGAAGGAGCCGGAAGCAGCGGTGAGGAAGAAGCTGGTGAGCTTGTGCGGGAGCAAGTGGGAGGAAGGACCGGTCTGCTGTGAAGATGAACAGGTGAGTAGTACACGGCAGCCTTGAATCAACTGCGTGATTGTGTCGTAACTGATGCGCTAACGTCGTTTCACTCCTAGGTCGACGCGCTGGCTAAGAACCTGAAACTCGCCGAGGGCATTATCGCATCCTGTCCCGCATGCAAGGAGAACTTCTTCAACACCTTCTGCACATTCACCTGCTCGCCGGATCAGTCCCTCTTCGTTAACGTCACACAAACAGAGGAGAAAAGTCCCGGAAAATTCCTGGTGACGGAGTTGGACAATATCTGGTCAGAAGACTACCAAAGCGGGTTCTACGACAGCTGTAAGAATGTGAAGAACGGCGCGTCGGGCGGGAAAGCCATCGATTTCATCGGTGGCGGGGCGAAGAACTACAGCCAATTTGTGAAGTTTTTGGGAGACAAGAAGCTGCTGGGCAGCCCCTTCCAGATCAACTACCACACGGAGCCAGTCGCGTCAGATCCCCAGGGCATGAAGGCTTTGTCCGTCAACCCGAAATCTTGCAATGACGCAGATGAGGCGTTCCGCTGCTCTTGTGTGGACTGCCCGGCCGTTTGCCCAGAGTTACCGGCAGTGGAAACTGACGATCATTGCTATGTGGGTCTTCTACCCTGTCTATCATTCTCGGTCATCCTCATCTACTCTGTGTTCTTATTATTCGTTGTCGCCCTCTCCGGCTACTTCACATATAGAGAGCGACGCTACCGCAAGCCCGAACGGGTTCGACTCCTTCAAGATCCGACTCCAAGCGACGACGAAGATGAAGCTGATATCGTCCATGCTGGAGGCTACCTCGAACAACCCAGTGGGGTATACAAGGTAAACACCGCTTTGGACATCTTGTTTCATCGCATTGGTGGTGCGTGCGCTCGATTTCCTGCAATTACCATTGCTTCCAGCATTGTGGTAGTTGTCTTGCTGAGTCTCGGCTGGCTGAGGTTTTCTGTTGAGACTGACCCTGTACGACTCTGGGTCAGCCCCAGCTCAGCTGCTTACCAAGAGAAGGAATACTTCGATACCAATTTCGGTCCGTTCTACCGGGCTGAACAAGCTTTCGTGGTCAACAATACCGCGGACGGCGATGGTCGCGTCCTGAATTATGATACCTTGAGCTGGTGGTTCGATGTCGAATCGCGCGTTCGACGGATGATTTCGCTGGAACGCGAGCTTATATTAGATGATGTATGCTTCAAGCCCACTGGCGACGCTTGTGTAATCCAGTCTCTGACTGGTTACTTTGGCGGGTCGGTATCGAACCTCGACCCCGATACTTGGGAGGATCGGCTGAAGCATTGCGCGGAGTCTCCCGGTGACGTGAGCTGTCTTCCAGATTTCAGTCAGCCCCTCAAACCGGAAATGCTACTGGGCGGATATGAAGAATCGGGAAATGTCCTAGATGCGCAAGCCATTGTTGCCACCTGGGTTGTGAACAATCACGCCCAAGGCACCGAGGGCGAGGCAAATGCCATTGATTGGGAAGACAGCTTCAAGCGCATCTTTGACGTGGTGCAAGAAGAAGCCAAGGAACGCGGTCTTCGCGTCTCTTTCAACACTGAAATTAGCGTTGAACAAGAACTCAACAAGTCAACCAACACTGATGCGAAGATCATCGTCGTCAGCTACATCATTATGTTTATATATGCCTCATTCGCTTTGGGCTCGGTTACTGTGACCTGGAGATCCTTGCTTATGAACCCTGCCAACGCTTTGGTCCAGTCGAAGTTCACCTTGGGCATCGTCGGAATTCTCATCGTCTTGATGTCTGTTTCGGCTTCAGTTGGTCTATTCTCTGCCGCAGGGGTTAAAGTGACCCTGATCATTGCGGAAGTCATTCCTTTTCTGGTCCTGGCTGTAGGAGTGGACAATATATTCTTGATAGTTCATGAATTTGAGCGGATCAATATCAGTCATCCTGATGAGGAGATTGATGAGCGAATTGCTCGGGCTGCGGGCCGGATTGGCCCTAGCATTTTTCTCTCGGCCATCACGGAAACATTCGCATTCGCACTTGGCGCCTTCGTTGGAATGCCTGCTGTGAAGAACTTTGCCGTCTATGCTGCGGGGGCTGTCTTCATCAATGCCCTTCTGCAGATCACCATGTTTATATCGGTGCTTGCATTGAACCAGAGACGGGTTGAGAGTCTTCGCGCGGATTGCATTCCATGCTTAACCGTGCGGAAAGCACACTCTGGCTTGGCCGACGATCAGCTCTTTGACGATCAGGATGGAGAAGGTATACTGCAGAGGTTTATCCGGAAAGTCTACGCACCGTATATTCTCGGTCGCAGGATCAAGGTGTTGATCGTGATCTTGTTCTTGGGAATCCTGACGGCTGGCTTGGCTCTGATTCCTGAAGTTGCACTCGGGTTAGATCAACGCATCGCCCTTCCAAGTGACTCCTATTTGATCCAATATTTCGACGACCTGGACGCTTACTTCGGAAGCGGGCCTCCAGTTTACTTTGTGACGCGAGATGTCAACGTGACTGAACGAAGCCATCAACAACAGCTCTGTGGGCGGTTTACCACCTGCGAGGAGTTCTCGCTCCCCTTCGTGTTGGAACAAGAATCCAAACGGCCTGGAGTCTCCTACATCTCTGGGTCCACTGCCAGTTGGATTGATGATTTCTTCTACTGGCTCAATCCCCAACAAGACTGCTGTAAGGAGGGTGACAAGCTTTGTTTTGAAGACAGAAGCCAACCTTGGAACATCTCTCTGTATGGCATGCCAGAGGGCGCCGAGTTCGTCTACTATGTTGAGAAATGGCTTGACTCCCCCACGGACGCCTCGTGTCCCTTGGGAGGAAAAGCGCCCTACAGCGATGCCCTTGTCGTCGATTCTAAACGACTCATGACTAATGCGAGCCATTTTAGAACCTCTCACACGCCGCTCAGGAATCAAGAAGATTTTATCAACTCCTACAAAGCTGCTCGTCGCATTGCAGACGACATTTCCAAGGAACATGACATCGACGTATTCCCATACTCCAAGGCTTACATCTTCTTCGATCAATATGTATCTATTGTGCAGCTCACGGGCACACTCCTTGGTTTCGCGGTTGCCATCATATTCGCCATCACCTCTGTTGTTCTGGGATCCGCGGCCACCGGAGCCGTGGTCACGGTGACGGTCGTTATGATCGTGGTGGATGTCATTGGTTCTATGGCCATCTCCGGCGTATCGTTGAACGCCGTGTCGCTGGTGAACTTGATCATCTGCGTTGGTATCGGCGTGGAGTTTTGCGCGCATATTGCTCGCGCCTTCATGTTCCCTTCCAAGGCCATTCTGGAGAAGGCACCCACCAAGTTCAGGGGCAAGGATGCCCGAGCGTGGACTGCTTTGGTCAATGTCGGCGGTAGTGTCTTCAGTGGTATTACCGTTACCAAGCTATTGGGCGTGTGCGTCCTAGCTTTTACCCGAAGTAAAATCTTCGAGATCTATTACTTCCGGGTGTGGTTGGCGCTGATCTTGTTTGCGGCCACCCATGCGCTCATCTTCTTACCGGTGGCGCTCAGCTACTTTGGCGGAGAGGGTAAGTTCTCTTAATCATTTTGCTTCCAAGCGGTACCTAAGGCAGCATACTGATTATTTTTTCAGGATATTCCGACCCCGGATCCGACGGAGGTCTAGAAGAGAATCTTGCGTCCCGGGGTTATCGTTCCCTGCTGGTTGACGACGGTTACGATTCAGAGGAATACTAAGATAGAGATGGCTCTTCACTGAAGACCGTCGCTGTTTACGGAGTACACCTAGATACAATCTGGTGATTTTCACGTTTTATGGACCGATCGACTAATGACACTACTTTTCTGCGCGTTCAACCCTCGGAAGCGTCAGTCCAATAGACCCACCTCTCTTGGCTAGCACAATATTATGGCGACTGTCGCGAATCACAGCCGGAGTTTTATGGATCAAAACGGCGTTTGGTAATCATGGCAACCGTCGAGTTAGCGGATTGCTTCCATTTGTTTCTAATATGAGATTGAATTTTCTTACCGCTCCTCTTGTTTATGTACGGATTCGTCGTATACCCCTAGTCAGATGGTAGGTAGACAGACAGTGAAGCAACAACAGCAGGCAACCTGTTTGGCAACGAATAGCCTCTTTCAGCCCACACGGGTAAATCGTCATAGAATTTTCCAGGGAAATGCTCTGGTCCGGTGATTTTTATGTCGGTTGAGGGATTTCTTGGGTTTGGCTCAATTAATAGTTCCAATTAGACCCGCTAGACTGTAAACAGCAGAATAGTACTACAGGTGACTATGTACCTCACTAACTTGACCCCCTGTTTACCGAGATCATCTTAATCACGGAGGAAAAAAGAGACAAAAAGACGATAACTATGAGGAAAGGTATTGCAAGAACCTACCAGGAAAGGCATAGAACAGCCCTAAGTCCTAAAGATGCAACATGCAACATTCAATCGTGCATTATTCAGTGTGCGCGGTGGGGACGGAAGAAGAGAATCGCGGAGTCGCGGTTGGGCAGCGACCACACGTGAATGCAGAGCGCGCTAATTCCAGAAGAGAAAGGGAAAGAAAAAAAAAAAAAAAGCGGATTCACCCCTAAACTTTTTTCCTTTCTTTTTTTCTTCCCTTCCCCTCCACTTCTTTTTCTTCTTATTCTTCCTCCCTCCCCCTCTTCTCCTTTCCTTCTCTTCTTCTCATCTCTCCTTTTTTTTTCTTTCCTGTTTTTATCTCTTTCTTTTTGTTTTTTGGTGATACCCTTTGAGCTGCCTGTCTTGGTGCAGACAGCTCATTAATTCCAGTACAGGAGCCTCTGTTTAATCAGTGAGGGCCTGGGAATAACCCCACGTTGCAGAGATTTTTTTTCTGCCTACTTGATCATTCGGAAACTATTTTGATCGAGTGTCTCCAATCATGGATCAGCAGAAGTTTTTGACGCAGCTTCAGATCGTCCTGAATCGTGAGTCCCCTGAGCTTCCTGGGTGAGAATTCCACTTGCCTGTCAACCTTGTTTTCCCTTGTACTAACGTCGTACCTTTTCAGCTGCCCAGGGAAACGTCAAGGAAGCCACTGGTATCCTTCAGCGCGAGTTTTACAACAAGCCTGAATCCCTCGTTCTCCTCATCCAGATCACGACTAGCCATGAGGATTCCAACCTGCGACAGCTCGCCGCTGTCGAGGGTCGTGGCCTGGTGAACAAGCACTGGGTGTCGATTCCCGCCGCCCAGAAGCCTCAGATCCGCGAGCAGCTGCTCCGTTCCACAATGGGCGAGGCCTCCCCCCTTGTCCGCCACTCGATCGCTCGTGTCATCTCGGCTATTGCCCGCGTTGACCTGAACGATGGCGAGTGGGCTGAGCTGCCCAACTTCCTGGTGCAGGCCGGCAACAGTGGTAACAAGGATGAGCGTGCCGTGGCCATCTACATTCTGTTCACCATCCTCGAGACGCTTGGCGAGGGCTTCGAGGAGAAGTTCCAGGATCTGTTCAATTTGTTCAGCAAGACCATCCGCGACCCCGAAAGCGAGGAGGTCCGCATCAACACCCTGCTTGCCCTGAGCAAGCTGGCCATGCACCTCGATTCCGAGGAGAACATGGCTCCGGTGCGGTCTTTCCAGGAGATCCTTCCTTCCATGGTTGCTGTGCTCAAGGATTCTATCGACCAGAACAACGAGGAGCGTATCATGCAGGCCTTCGAGGTCTTCCAGACCCTTCTGGGATGTGACCCGGCTCTTATGACCGTTCACCTCAAGGACCTCGTTGTCTTCATGAACGAAATCGCTGCCAACACTCAGGCCGAGGAGGACACCCGTACCCAGGCCATCAGCTTCCTCATGCAGTGCGTGCAGTACCGCAAGATGAAGATCCAGGGTATGCGTATCGGTGAGCAGCTCACCCGTACTGCTCTGCACATCGTCACCGAGCTCGGCGACACTTCTTCCCAGGATGATGACATCACCCCTGCTCGTTCCGCTCTGGGTCTGCTCGACATGCTCGCTCAGAGTCTCCCCCCTAGCCAGGTTGTCGTGCCTCTTCTCCACTCCCTGGGCCAGTACTTCAATAACCAGGACCCCGACTACCGTCGGGCCGGTATCATGGCCCTCGGAATGTGTGTTGAGGGCGCTCCCGACTTCATCAGCACCCAGATGCGGGAGATCTTCCCCATGGTTCTGCAGCTGCTCGCTGATCCCGAGCCCAAGGTTCGCCAGGCTTCGCTGCACGCCGTGGCCCGCCTGGCCGATGACTTGGCTGAGGACCTGAGCCAGGAGCACGAGAAGCTCATGCCTTTGCTCTTCCAGAACTTGGCCAGCGCCATGCAGGAGTACAAGGGTGAGGAGGATGGCCCGACCGTCGACATCATGAAGGCCGGCATCAGCGCCATCGACGCCGTCGTTGACGGTCTGGATGAGAAGGATGTTGCTCCCTACCAGGGTGAACTTGTTCCCATCCTGCACAAGCTCTTCCAGCACCCCGATTTCAGAATCAAGGGCTTGGCCGCCGGTGCTCTCGGCTCTCTGGCCTCCTCCGCTGGTGACTCTTTCCTGCCCTTCTTTGACGACTCGATGCACCTGCTGCAGGAGTTCGCCACTGTCAAGGACAGCGAGGAGGAGCTGGACCTGCGTGCCAGCGTGACCGATGCCATGGGCGAGATGGCCGGTGCTGCCGGACCTGAGCGCTACCAGCCCTACGTTGAGCCCCTCATGCGCGCTACTGAGGAGGCTCTCCACCTTGGTCACTCCCGTCTCAAGGAGAGCACCTACATCTTCTGGGGTGCTATGGCCAAGGTGTACGTCGAGCACTTCGGCCCCTTCCTCGACGGTGTTGTCAAGGGTCTGTTCGACTGCCTTGAGCAGGACGAGGATGACCTTGACGTCTCGTTGGGTGAGGCCGCCAAGGACCTTGTTGGTCAGGAGGTCACTATTGCCGGCCGCAAGGTCAAGGTCGCAAGTGCCGATGATGACGAGCCCACTGGCGAGGATGGTGGTATCGAGGACGTTGATATCGACGAGGAGGATGAAGATGCCTGGGATGATATCACCGCCACCACCCCCTTGTCCCTCGAGAAGGAGATTGCCGTCGAGGTCATCGGTGACCTGGTCACCCACACCAAGTCCGCCTACCTGCCCTACTTCGAGAAGACTATCGAGGCGGTTCTGCCTCTCGCTGACCACCCTTACGAGGGTGTGCGCAAGAGCACCATCAGCACCCTGCACCGCTCCTACGCTATGCTGTTCGCGTATGCCGAGGAGAACGGCCAGATGGCCAAGTGGCAGCCCGGTCTTCCCCTGCAGGTCGAGCCTGCCAAGGAAGTCAAGAAGTTCGGTGAAATCCTCATGACTGCCACCGTCAAGATGTGGACCGAGGAAGATGATAAGTATGTATTTCAGATTTCCCTTTTTTGTTTTCCCCTACACCCCTTGAAGAACTCTAGTCTCTTTAGTGCGGGTCAATTTTCTATGATGAACACATTCGTTTTACCCAGCTCACTCAGACACGTAAAAAACGTGGTTGATGCGAACGACGATTTATCTACTCCTGAGAAAATCTTGATACATTTATGTTGTTTGATGATTCTGGTCCTTCGGATCGCTAACCAGATCAACACTTAGGGCTACCGTCGCCGACATCAACCGCAACATGGCTGAGAACCTCCGCTACTGCGGTCCCTCTCTCATTGCCAACGAGACCACTTTGCACAACGTCATCCAGATGATCACGGATATCATCACCAAGCAGCACCCTTGCCAGCTTGAGTTCGGTCCCGAGGAAGAGACCCTCGAGGCCGGTGAGGAGACTTCGGAGTTCGACTGGGTTGTTGTCGACACCGGTCTCGACGTCGTGTCCGGCATGGCTGCCGCTCTTGGCCAGAGCTTCGCTGAGCTGTGGAAGATGTTCGAGAAGACCATCCTCCGCTACGCTGGCAGCTCCGAGTCGCTTGAGCGTGCCACCGCCGTCGGTGTTCTCGCCGAGTGCATCAACGGTATGGGTGCCGCTTCTACTCAGTACACTCCTGGATTCCTCAAGCTTCTGGTCCACCGCCTGGGCGATGAGGATCCCCAGACCAAGTCCAACGCTGCCTATGCTGTTGGGCGTCTCGTCGAGCACTCCAACGCGGATGCCGAGATCGTGAAGGAGTACCCCACCATCCTCAGCCGCCTCGAGTCGTGCTTGAACCAGAACGTCTCCCGTCTCCAGGACAATGCCACCGGTTGTCTCAGCCGCATGATCCTCCGTCACCGCGAGAGCATCCCTCTCAAGGAGGTCCTTCCCGCTCTTGTCGGCCTTTTGCCCCTGAAGAACGACTACGAGGAGAACGACCCCTTGTACCGCATGATCTGCCAGCTATGTAGGTTTTACCTCGATTGTTTCCGACATTGATCAAATGCTAATCATTTTACAGACAAGTGGGAGGACCCCACCGTCCGGGAGCTTACCCCCCAGTTCCTGCCCATCTTCCAGTCCGTCCTGTGCGGCGACCAGGACCAGCTCGAGGACGAGCGCCGTGCTGAGCTCACCGAGCTTGTCAAGTGGCTGAACCAGATGCAGCCCGGCGCTGCTCCCTGGGCTGAGCAGCTGTAAATTTCAGCTTACCCTTGGGTAACTAATGGCTTGACGACTCGAAAAAAGTAAAATTATAATGCACGGATAGATGGGAAATGTTTTCAAAAGCAGGAAGGAATTACGGATAACTCTTAGACGATACCCCGGCGCGCATGGAAGGTCCAGCTCCCTTGCGAAGTGCGCGATATGATAGAAAAGGGATGTATGGGATGATTTATGAACCGAACAAAAGTTGTACATAGTCTTTACTGTGCACATTCGATTGATGATTTTCACTTTGATTTATTATGATTTATTATTGTCTTTGGTATTCTGAAAATATCGTAGTTTTCTCTCAGACGGCCTTCAATCGGGCCCGATGTCCATCAGCCAAACAGCCACGCATCCAACGGTGGCTGAGATCTCCACTTGCCGTTCCGCTTAGCGCATTTACTTGGCTGCCTGCGACTCGCCCTCTGACGTCGTCTGCCTCTCCTCTTTCTCTTTGCTCCAGACCGACTTCTTCTTGCCTCACTTCCCATCTTTCGGTCTGATCGCGCCCGACTGTAAGTCTATTTATTACCTCTGCTCCCTTGCCTCTGTTCTTTGTCTCATGTTCTGTCTATGATTCTCGAAGCGTGCAATTAACTATTTCCATCGCATTTTCTAGCTCCGATCTCCGTTAAGGCACCTATTAATACTTACGTCCTGGGTCCTTGTCCATCTATCCACCTACCTCAACTACCAGTTCTATCCTCATAGCCGACCGATCGACCGAGCTCCCTCTCTTTCTTCATCTTACCATCTATCTTCTACGCACCTATCCATCCATACAACTCAACCAAACCAAACCAACCAGACCAACTCAAAGCAAAAGCAAATCAAAATGTGCTCCTCAACCTTCTCCTCTCCCGTCAACTTCACCCTCCCGTCATCGGGCTCCGGCTCGTCCATCAAGAAGCCGATCAAGACGGTCCAGAAACCTTGTTTTGGATGCGATTGTGGAGACGAAGAGTGTGATTGTTGTATTTGCACGGTTATGTGAGACAAGACTCTGCGATACGCTATGATATGAGATGGGATGGGATGTGGGGGGTGAGACGGTTCGCTCTGGGCACTCGGTTATGTGCTTGCCTGCGTGGTGTGGATTTGGTTAGCGATGCATAGCATGGCTTGTCATGTTGTTCTGGTTGTCTTGCCCTGTCTCTGTGCTGGGCGATGGTTGGGCTGGGTTGGCTATCTTGGTGCCTGGGGAGAGGGGTTATGTGTAATGAGTGTTTGCGTTATTGATATCCATTTGTAGGCTGGGATATAGTATCCTGTGCCTTTTCATGAGAGGTTTTTGGTTCGTTGAATTGCGACTTTAGGACTTCGTCAGTAATCCGTCCATCTATAAGACTGTGTAGAAGCTGTTGATGCAGGTTGACAGATGCACTGCTAGAAGTATTGGGAGGAAGAAGGTACTATGGGAGCTGCGGTCGGGGAGGCAGGATGGGCGATGATGTATGTACGCAGCAAAAAACAGCAAAAAAAAGGATGGTCCCAACGAGGGTCGAACTCGCGACCTTGGCGTTATTAGCACCACGCTCTAACCGACTGAGCTATAGGACCTGCTTGTATGAAAGAAATGGCTGAGTAATGCTCTATGTTCACCATATTTGCTCTAGGCATAATCAGGTCATCTGCCTTCTTCAGTCCAGATGGTTCATCTTTCTGCATTCTATCCAAAACATCATCCTTCCTATCGTTTCCCTGAAACAATTCCATCTCATCTTGTCATAATCTTCAAATATCTAATCTGTAATAATTGTTCATGCTATCCTACAGAGTATCGCTAGCACATACCCCAGCTCGGAGATATATAATCACTCCGTCCCGACTTAGATTGCCGCAGTCATCTTGCGTGAGTAGTGCTCACCTCCCATGTCAACTCCTCATCCTCCTGACTCGCTAGATACAACCAGCCACACTCGCAAACAGGAACGTCCACTACTCGGCTCATCCGATAATTGTCCGTCTCAAACTAGCGCCGTGTACCATGCCCATCCTGGAGACCGTTGCATCAAGTGCGTTCCATGCACCGGCGCGATCATCCCTCGGCTGAAGGCGCCATGGTACCTTTTTCACCGACCAAGCCTCTCTTACCCCTCGTGGGACACTCTGCCCCTGCGCTTGGCGCGAGGGACCTACGATTCCAAGGCACGGATAGACCGGCTTGTTGAACATGGCACTGTTTCCTCTGCCATCGTCTCACCACGAGCGATCACCTGTCCCAGATAATTATGCAGGCCGATTCAGCCCCTGCCGTGAAAAGTCCAAGCACCAGGAGCTTATTATTCAACAAAAATGGCTCGATAGGAATGTCCGTTCATAACCTCTGCCTGACGCTTGCACTGCAGGTTGTTGCGCGCGGCTGTGCCGGGGCTGAAGTGTCGCGCTTGCAAGGGTCTGGATAATGCGAAACCTCGAGGCAGGCTACGACATATCACCCCGGTCTAGGTGGTAGTAGCTTAGAAGACTTGGGTTGTACTGGCGAGCAGGCCTGTATATATGTGTGGCTAGAGCCCGCGTGGTTTCTGTTTTTTTTTTATTTTTCGTCAAGTGTTAACCGCCCATCGACATCGACTGGCCTGTTGGTTTGTACGGGCCCTTTTCTTATCTTTGCCTTGTCTTCTCTCTCTTAGTTTGGTTCATTTGATGACCTATATCGAGTGTATTTCTTTTAACCTGTCGTGTGAATCATTTATTACCTATTCGGACTTGTTCTTCTATTTCTGCTGGATATCTTATCTTCACGTCGTCCAGATATGGCGCAAACTTGTTCGTCCGGAAGATCAACCCCAGTACGAGGCTCCGGATATGATGCCCTGAAAACGCCCCCGAATCCACAAGTGATAGAGGTCGAGGACGACGCCTCCGACAAATCAATGGATGATGTGCCAGCGGACGGCAATCTTATGAATGACAAACCCAGCGACAACGATGACGGGAATGCAAGAAAGCATTTGGATCGCCAGGAAACAGAAATCAACATTGGCACTGTGCACCATGCACAAATGGAAATGGAGGTAGACCAGGAGGAACTATTGGTGGTTGAAAACGCGCAATATAATTATTCGCATGCACAAGGTCACTTGCGACAAACACATACCGAAGGTGCCACAAGAGTTCCAACTCGAACCCATGACGATGAGCCAACTTCTAGTCGACAATCTTCCACCGACCCAGAAACACCGTGTCAGAGCCCCGGGGCAACTAAAAACAACCGATCCCCAATGCTGAATAGCACCTGGGAAACGGTTAGCAGCATGAGCGAACGCATCAAACGGGGGCTTTGTGTAGACGAAAAGAAAAATATCGGACATGCGTACTTACTTGAAGATAACTATGAAATAGGGAGATTCAAGATTGGGAGCTCTCAAACGACAAGGATACAGCAACGCGTGACAAACCAGATCCGCGACTGCAATCTTCAGGGTTGGAATGCCAAAGCATTCCCCCAGTTTCCACTTCGTGGGTACATACAGCTGGAAAGGATTGCACATAAAGAATTACACTTCATGAACGAGCGCTTTAAGTGTGAAGCGTGCAAAACGGACCATACGGAATATTTTCGCGGGGAAAAGGAAATTGCTCGTGAGACTCTTGAGTTCTGGGCGCAGTGGCTCGAGCGCTGCGAACCATATGATAGTGACGGTGAACTTTTGCCATTCTGGGTTGGACGACTCGATATGTTGAAGAACAAAAGCCATTACGATAGGTACTTTCGATGTCTGGATCCAAGCTGCAAAAGAGATTCTGGTATCGACGCCTGTCGCGGATGCCTTCGAGCAGGCTGGAAAGCCTGGACTGAACCTGAAGATCCAGAACCTGAAGAGCCAGAATTGGAAGAAGCAGAAAAGAAAGCGCCTGAACAGACTTTGCCGATGTCACTGCCACTATTTAACATCATCAGCGTTCTGGCCGTCACCTCCTTTGTTATGGAATGCATCCCCCTTCTCGGGAATATTGTCAACCCAAATGGCATCCGGAAAATCCAGTCTCTATTGATTCTATGCCTTTGGGTTTATCAAGAAATGACACGCCCAACACTCGATGTTCCAATTGCCAAACCCGACCAGAAGCCGCCAGACGAATTGGCGAAAACACCAAAGAAGCAGTCGACAGTGACAGGCACTATAAGAACGGCACCCGCGAAGCTGAATGTTTCCAGGCACGTCGAGCAGCAAGGCAACACCCCAGTGGGCATGTCACTTCAAGAACAGATCCCGGACACCGAACCCATCAAGAACACATATTATCGAGGCCCAAGGATGTCTACAAACGATGAATCACCATCAAAAGCAGCGCTCGCAAGGAAGCAAAAGAATCGCCTCAACAGAAGAAGTATCGAGCAGGCTCTCGAGAGGACGTTCAATCTGCCCTCTATGCAGGAGTTGTGATCAATTTCCCTGGATTTCGATGGCATGAAAAGATGGTCCTGGAAGTAGATCCATACGAGGTTGATGCTATAGAGTGCTATTCTTATAACGCGATTTGAATGTCTCGGCCACGCAGCCCAGGGAGGCATAGCGACAATGGAAGTCAAACAGCAACGCCAAATGTTTCTTCCAAGTCGTGCAATTTTATTTCATCACAGGTTTATTTCTCGAGACATTCTTTGGTTTGATTTAGCTTAGTAGATGTGAATTTTCTAACCCTTGTTTGTCCTAGTCAGCCATCATCTAGGTACCTCTTTTCTTTCATCATCAATGTTTCCAGTCTGACTAAGTGAAATGCCTTGTATGTGATTATTCACGTTTGAGATGATTGATTATCGTGGTATCAGGCTTTTTAAAGTTACTTATACATGAGACATTCTGCGCCATAAAGCTTCGTATCGAGAAGTCATCTTCCAGATAGACGGCTATTTCATTTTCCACCCCATCCCAGCATAACATATTACTCCCCAATCAAACTCGACAATTTCTTCTTCCACTCAGCCAGAGTCCTAGCACTTTCTTCCACCTCAGCACGCGAACGCCCCAACTCCACCTCAAGATCGCTATTTCGCGCCTTTAAACCCTCAGCCTCCTCCACAGCTGCGTCTCGACTCGCCAATTCCATCTTCAGCCTCTGCACCTCCTCTCGCAGTACTCGCACCTGCGAGCCACTCGCTCGCGTCAACTCAATTTCATTCCGCTGAATTCTGACCTCCTGCCGTAGCTGCGCCATTTCATTCTCTAGGTTCGCGATCCGTCGCTGCGCTAGAGGCACGCTTTCTAGCTCGCGGTAGAGAACCCACAGCGCAGACTCGACCTGCGGCGAAAGCGTATCGAACCGCGATTTCCGTCTGCTTGCGTCTGTTGCCTTTTCTTTCTCCGTATCTGTATCGATCTGTCGACCTTTGCCACTGTCCGCAGTACAACTTGTCGCTTCGACATTCTCCGCGCGCAAACCACCCTCGCACACTGGAACAACAGCCGCAGGAACAGGAGCAGGAGTCACCGGCCTCAAGACAGGCGATTGAGGCGGCGTCAACACCGGCGGCGTAACATGCCATCCGCGATTCACGCAAATAGGACAAAACCATCGCCGAAGGGGCACATCATCTTGCTGCGGTCCTTGCGGCTGCGATGACACCCAACAGCCGTCTTGCGGCTTACACGCCTCATGATAGACTAGACGACAGGTCGGGCAGGGATCCAGGTTTCCTAGACCCGGAGTTCCTCCTTCCTGGTAACATTCGAAGCAGCGCAGATCATGCGGTGCTCCTGCTTCTGCAATTGGGTGTTAAGTTAGTTATTTGGTCATGAAACTAGTGGACTAGTTGTTTGGGAAGCTTTTGGGTGCTTGCTTGCTTGGGAGGGATGGATGGGAATGCTTTACTTCGCCATGCTTTGTATCGTGCTAGGATTGCGGATGCACCACCGGATGATGTTGGTTTTTGTGTGGAGGGCGTGGGTTGTGAATCGTTGGTTGAGGTTATCTCAGGTTGGATTGAGGGATCCTTATTGTTGGTGTCGTTGTTATTCCCTGTAGCTGGATGAGCTCGATGGTCGGCCGTGTCACGGACCCGCTTGCGACGGGTACTGGCCGCGGTGGTGTTTTGTGGCGACGTCCGACGGCGTTTGGATCTTGATGATCCTGAGGGGGTAATCATGGATTCTTGATGGGAAATTATTTCTTTTTCCCAAATAGATGGTAGATTGATGGGGTGCGGGCTGAAGATTTAGTTTCGTAGGATCTTTGAAAGGGAGAGGGAGATGGGTGGTGTTGTTGCGCTCGTGCGGCAGCAGAAAAACAAGGTTCGATGGGGTGACCAATTTTGGTTGCTGACAAATTTGAGGTGGACGACTCGGACAACTATTAACATTCATACAGTGACATGGGATGCTCGGTTGACAATTGCAAACTGAATAATAGATTACTATCTTCTCTTTCTAGCTTATAACATCTTAAAATCAATAGAGTTGCATAAGAAACCGCACTCTGCTTCAGGACATAGTTTAATTATGACATACCTCCCCGATCGCAGCATGAGCGTACTTGGTGGAGCAAGGAACCAAGGGCAGCAAGAGAAGCCCGCAACAGCAAGGAACAGATACCTTTAGACCTTGACGCGGAAGTGAAGCCCGGTCTTCGCTACCCTACAAGCGAAAGCAAACAGCGCACCCAGCATGATCGCGCTGGCCGCAAAGCCCTGCGCACCGATATAACTACCCCCTTCCTGTTGGATCAAAGCCCCCTCAATCGCGGGCCCAGTCAATGTAGCAAAGCCGACAACACTGAGAATCATACCCAACCGCGTCCCCGTGCGACGCACATCTGGAGTCATAGTCGTCGCGGTGGCCGGGAACAACGATTGCGCAGCACCTCCAACGAGTCCGTAAAAGACCGTGAACACATACAACCCTGCGACGGAGGAGACGGCCATCCAAGCGAAGATAAGAATGGCGGACGCAATACTGATCGGAATGAGAATGTTCAGACGCCCCGTAATACGATCGCCGATTAGACTGGGCACAATACGCCCGATGACACCCACGCCGTTGAGCACAAGGATGAGATCCAGCGTGCTGGACATGCCGAGGCGATCGCGCGCATAGGTTCCCAGGTAAAAGAAGGTGAAGTACAGGCCCCAAAAATTCAAGAACATGGAGATGGTGAAGAACAGAAATGGTTTCTCCTTGAATGCCGCCCAGTCGATGATTAGAGGCTTGGCCTGCTCTTGCTCCTGTCCCTGCCCTAACTGTTGCGGTTGCTGTTTCTGCGCTGTATATCGAGGCCGATAGAGAACTAGACCCGGAATCTGCGTCACCAGCATCACTAGTCCAGCGGCTCGTACCGTCCACCCGAATCCTATATCCCGGACATACAGCAACTGATCTATCAGCACAGGATAAACCAAACCCCCCGTTGCAGCCCCGGCAGCTGCCAATCCCACTGCAACGGCGCGATGACGCATAAAGTACGACGACATAACAGACAACCCGGGACTAAATGTGAGTCCATTCCCGAGGCCCATGCAGACGGCCTGCGCGAGGAAGATCTGCCAGTAGGTTCGACACAACGAGAGCATGAAGAAGCCGAGAAGTTGCAGAAACACGCCCGATGCGTAGACGACACGGAAATATCCGGCGTCTGTAGCACGGCCAGCGAACACGCCTGTGAAGAACAAGAGCGAGGTCTGTACGCTGCCGATCCAGGATATGTTGGATGCGGACTCGGGAAGTGTAGAGGTGTATAGTTGCTGGAAGATGGAGAAGCTGTTGTTCACGCCCCAGCTGTTGAAGAAGGTGAAGTGCATGCAGAGCACTTGGATCCATGCTTCGAGGCCGCCGTCTGGTGGTGGCAGAGTTGTAGCGGCTGAGGGTGTCTGTTCGGTCGGTGTCGAGGGTGAGGGGAGCTGAGAGCGCTCTTCGTCTTCTTTTTCGGACTGATACATTTTCTCTGTAGAGAGTGGAAATGGGTATGTTCTGTTAAATACACCAAATAGTTTATAGGACGAGGACGATGTCGGATTGGGATGGGAAGGAGAACGAGGTAAGTTCTAGAAACACTTTTATCGGTTAGATGAATTGGTAGGTAAGATGACTTGAAAGGATAGGAAATACCTTGTATACTATGGATCAACTCTTCTAAAGTAAATTAAAGCAAGCGAGAAGAGCAAAAAATCACAGTAGGGGGGCGATGAGGTTCCCGGGCAAATTTGTCAGCACACTTTTTCGATCGGCGGCAATCCGACACAACAGACACCTAACCTCTTAACCGGCGCTGAATGCTCGATTCACATCATTGCCGATATCGGTCTTACGGGAGATAACCGGGTTTGAATCGTACTTGCTATGGGACCTTTAAATACACTATCGGTTTTTCAAGAGGGAAAAAAGATTATGGTCATAACTGACTAGTTAGGCGAAGGGGATGGATTACAAATCGAGCGGGCTATCAATCAATCAATCTCTGCCTAGCACGAGGCCATGAGTTATACGGAAACGCGAATTTTGGTGGTTGTTATGTTATTGGGAGTTGGTTGGGCAAGATAGCAAGATACAACTAATGAAAATGGGAAGAAGGCAAAGCAAACACTATAATATCCTATTGATAGTGATGAATTGTTCCTCATAAGGACATCTAGATAAGTTGAGATGGTGATAGAGCCGAAAACGACAGTTCATGACATCTCCCACCCGACACCTAGTATGCGAAGAGCATTCTCTACATCTTGCCGGCCACCTCCTGGGACTCCCACAGGCTTTCAATCCACTCATTCACAGTGATCACTCTCTGTGAAAACAAAGGCCACACAAGATCGACTGCTGCGGTTGTCAGCTCTTTGGACCAGCCTGCAGTGGCGTCCTTTCTAAAGGCCCTGATTAGCAAGGGTAATGTTTTCAGACAACAATGAGGTGAAAAGTCAACTAGATCTTACAAAAGAGTTATGTTGTAGCCACTAGAATTGCGATTGTTAGCCATTAGAACCGAATCAACACTTGGAGCAACTTTAGATACTAACAATTCGAAAGCATCTCGAGCGGTAGCCTCGAGACAGGTATTCGCTGTCAAGCCAGCAAAAACTAGGTTTGTGATCTCGCGCTGCCGAAGCTGGAAATCAAGGTCGGTATGCTGGAACGAACTGGATTCCAGTCAACCAGTCAGTCCACGTAGCCTGTCCCATATTGCCCCTCTCCCGCAACATACCTGCTATTCCAATGCCGGCTCAATACAACATCCCCGTTTTTAGGATCTGGTTGCAACCCTTCATAGATTTCGGCTCCGAACGATCCCTCTTCGAAAAACCGTAGGCTCTGCTGTTTGACGTTATTGGGCGTCATGTGTTTCCAGTCGAAGAAGCTATTCTCGGAGCATGTCTGGTGAAGTCCATAGAAGATGGGAATCTTGTGGAACCGTGCAGCCTTTACTAATTCTTCAATATGCTTGACGGTTTGTCTGTCATTGAGATCCCTGAGATGGGGAGTCAACTTGCCCTCTGGATGCAGGAAGTCGTTGTACGGATCGACAAGGACGATAGCGGTGTTGATAGGACCTGGCATTTTGAAAAAAAATATATATATATATATATATATATATATCTTCTTATAATCATGGATGAACAAGAGTGAAGATTTGTGGTTTCATGCTCTAGGTGGGGTTAAATAGTCATACAATGATGACCAATCTGTTCGCTGCTCTGCTGACCAATTTTAAGTCGGGGTCCTTGGCCTCGGCTAAAACTGCCTCTTCGCCTAGACCTGACTGTGATTACGGATTTCGGCAGCGTGCGCCCTATGAGCCTTTTGCCCATAGCCAATGAGAAACAAGAATTTGATTACCAATCGACTATTAAGTTGGTGTCCCTTCCGAACTGATCTTACGCTGGCACATGTGATCCAGTTCCCAGGCCCCAAGCTTATGATAGAAGGTTTCTGAATATGTCCTAAGTAGTAAACCGTTATGCCCAGCATCGATCAGGTGGTGGTGCTCCCTGCGCTGATGGCGGGCCTGGATTGCCTGTGTCTGACCAGGCCAATGTCAGCTCTAAGCTATCCAATATGTGCGAAGGAGCTTATGCCGTGTTTTCAATCAGTTCAAAGTTATCACACATACTGTATCGCTAGCAAGAATACATGCTCAATGAATTTTGTACCTCAATAGGCCAAGCTGATCACGTACACCATTTTGCCAGTACCCATACTCGACGACAAACTTCAGCCCAGTACCATGATCGGAGCGATACCATAGAAGCAATAAAGACAAACAGCTGCTTGGCTAGGCCTGACAATTATAAGACTGCCTTTTAATGCACAAACAGACCGTTCCATTATTTCCTCTTCTATTACTGATCCGAAATCGCCTAAGAGATCATAGGACGTTATCTCGCTTGTATCGGCTGACACGGCCTGTGACACCACTGCAGCTTTAATATGGCTTTGGGGTCTCGAAGACATTTGAATTTGAGGGAGCTCCTGCTCAATGATTCCAAGGGGCAAATTATGGCTGGTTTCCCCAATAATGGCAGGTTTCTAGGGATAGGCAAGGGGGCGAAAGACAGATAAGCCCGCATGGCGGTAGACATGAAAGGGGTTTCTTGTTTCAACGTCGGACATGGGATTAGCAATCTTATGTACACAGTATCTTGCTAGGGCTCACAAGTAGGTAGACCCCGAGATGTGTAATGCTAGATCAGTTTCAATAAATAGGAGGATAAGTTCAATTTTTCGCTTTAACTGAGATACCATTTACAAGGTTTGCTAAACACCACAACTTACCTTATTTGCTTCAAAAGCCTTAGTACTGGATTTCTGGAACTAATGGGATCATAAGCCAGCCACATTAATTAGTGAAACTAGGGGATTCTCCTGTAGGTCAACGTGTCCATATTTTCAGCCAGTCATACACTTGAACAACCCGTGCGCACATGCAAATGAGTCTGATAGGCGAGATGTCCGTCTTATCTTTGTTCTTTTTTCAGCCTGGACTCTTTGCAAAATCCTTGCTCGTTATAGCAATACCTTTCACAGAAACAAAGGCCAATACTGAGGCATTTACTGGCGTTCGGTTGAGACCCTTACGTACACTAGTTAGCCCTCGGTCGACGACATGTCTCTCACATCTATTTCCCTTTGTCATGATTGCATGAGATAGCGTACCATAAGATTAATATTGACCGCAACGTCATAGAAAGGGGGAAATGCTTGATATAAGGATCAGCATGTCACATTGAAGCTGTAAATAACAGGCAGACGCAAGGTATACGGTGACTTTATCCCTTGCATTATAAGTCCAACTGCTTCTTCGACCTGAAAACTATAAAAGACGAATTCTTCCACAGATAGAATCGCTCTTGAGCACAGTTCTCCATACCGTCTACAATAAACCAAACGCTTTCAATATGAGATTTTTCGCATTGATCTCTGCCTTTATGTTTGCCGCATTGGTGGCCGCAAGTCCCATGGAAGAGACAAGCCATGGACAGGAACAAGGACAGGGCTTCTGGGATGGCATAGACTTGTCTGACGATGACCTGGTTGATGTGAGTAATTACATTGTGTTTGAGCCGATATTCGGAATGTTGGGCTAACTTGAGTTGGATGTGGATAGACCCAAGTGTGTGATGGCTATGGAAACTGCTCCTCTTGATGAGGATGAACCACAGGAGTGGAGGAAAGCCTAGAGTCAGAGCTGTGAGATGGCGACGGGAAGATATCCACTGGCGCATTCCAGGCTAAAAGGTGCTTTTTCGTTGTGTCGTTGATGAAGCTTTACATGTCCTTTGGCCTTGGTATAGGTTTTCCCTGGAAAGCAGGTTTCCCTATATCGATAGCGAATGCTAAGGCTTTGAGTTTAATATACTTTCTGATATTTCACTGTCTCGAACGGTTACAAGAACTCGAGGTAGATTGTCTGACGTAAAAATAGCATCAACAGGCCGGGGAAGAACACTGAGTCAACCAGCACTCGATATCCTATGTTCGACGTCGTCTCGCTTTACTATTAATAGGTGTACCTGGTAAACAAGCGATCCTGTAGACCGCTGTCAGAGCTAGAGGCAATCATATACAAACATAGAGCTTGGACTAGGTGATTTCGCCTCAGCAAACTTAACATGGACAGCAAGTAGATAGGATAGTATGCGTGGTGGCATCTGTTGCAGCTGTGATTCTGGAGCAATTCACTAAACTATAGAGATACTTAAGTACTGGAAATCTCCAGAGTTTCACTTGCCATTACCCATCGAGCATATTCTTGTACATATTGTCCATGAGGATTAGGGTTAGTTATCTTCAACTAAGTCAATAACTGGTCGCTACTAAGCCTTTTCGGGCGATAAGTTTATATATGACACATTGAAACTAACAGCAATTCCATAGACGATTCCTGAGTAGATATCTTGGAAGTACTCTGTAGTTTTCAAATATAATATCCTCTTAACCTCAAGATCAATTTAAATATAGCATTCGGGTATATCCTAGCGATTGGTAAGCGACGCAATCCTGGGTCCTTGGCGCTGGCGGAATTCCGCCCTCTGCGGAGTAAACCCGTCCAAAGCCCGGGCGACGGATGGCTTATCGGCCTACAATAGGGGTATAGTCATTGCCAAAGGTGCTGCCTCAGAAGCTTGTAGCGTAGGTTATATAAATCGGCCACACACCCAATTTACTGTGACTGCAAGTTTCCTATTCAACGCTGGTACTACCACTCAATTGGAGAAAAAACCGGACTAGAATCACATCCTCAAAATGGCCATGATAACCATTGATATTGTCTCTGATATTGTCTGCATGGTACGTTTCTCTGATAGTTATTTTCAACTTGCCCTGGCTTTGACAGACAAGCTAATGAACAACAGTGGTGTTTCATCGGCAAACGGCGCCTAGACAAAGCCATCCAGCTGTATAAACAGACCTACCCTGCCGGTAGCTCCGACACTTTCGTGATAACTTGGCGGCCGTACTACCTACAGCATAATCGATCTCTGCCCAGCGTGGACAAGAGAGTTCTGGCGGAGCAAAAGCTGGCGCATATGACCCCCGAGCAGCGGACGGGTCTGATGAGCCGAATGGAGCGGATCGCACGCGCCGTTGGAATTCGACTCAATCATGACGGGAAAATTGGGAGGACGAGAGATGCACATCGGCTAATCTTACTGAGTCAGATTGAGGAGCAGAAGAAGAGTCAAGTGGGTGAACTACAAGACGCAATGGCGGAGAAGCTTTTCCAAGCGTATCATGAGTTGGCGAAGGATATATCAGACCGCGAGGTGTTGCGGGAAATTGGTCAGAATGTACTTGGGCTGCAGGCTGCGCAAATAGATGCTTGGTTGGATGACGAGGAGAATGAGAAGCGAGTGAATGATGAGGCCCAGAGGAATCTCGAGCTGGTGAGCGCGGGGGTGCCGGTGTTTCTGATCCAGGGAGAGGAGTACCGTGTGGATGGAGCACAGGATATAGAGGACTTTATGGATATATTCGTGAAGATTAGAGAGTCCATCTAGTGATCTGAAGCAAGGGTGCTCCGAATGGAGAATTCTAGCAGACATGGTCCAAATTAGGGCTAAATTTGAATCCGTTAGGGGAGCTTGTGTATGCAGAGGACATAACACCGGGAAAAAAAGGGGCCTCTGGTCAGAACTTTCATGTTGAGACAGGCTTTGAGACTGTAGACGTGCATTATGTCTCAAATACCAGGCAGACCCCATTGCCAGGCTTCATAAGAGTATAAATGAGTCATCATTGTTATGCAGCGCAGTGCTCGGAAGGCGAATGGCTTTGTTCCCGCTTACTCAGCCGATCGCCACGATCTTCCCCAGTTTTCTGATCTTTTTGTCAGCGGCACTCGGTCTCATCTTCGCAATCGTCATCTCCCCCAAGAAGCTGCTGCCTGTCACTGATCTGAACATCGCGATCTCTTAATCATAGCTTGTTGGGTACCCCGATGATAACCTGAGCTACGGTGGAGAGAGACTGCCCCCAAATGTACCCGTCTCCAACCTCGGCCGATAGGTCGGAGGATGACGCAGGGCCGTTCAAGAAGCGCACTGCGAGAGCCTGCGATTCATGTTATAAACGAAAGGTACGATCGCGCTCGAATGCTTCTGCCAGGTATATGCTCGGTCTGTGCTGATTCGTACATAGATCAAATGTGACGCTGCGGTGCCACAATGTAACTGGTGTAGCCACCATAATATTCCTTGTACCTTTGATCGGGTAGTCCGGAGAAAAAGGAAAGATAAGAACAATGCAAACAAGTAAGGGGTGACATGCTGTCAGATCGAAAACGATTATAGAACACTGATCCGCAGTCATTTAGCCCACAAAAATCAGACCGCTTGGCAGAACGCATTGAGAGGATAGAGAAACTACTAACGGACGGCTTGTTGCGAGAAAATAGTATGTTGCCCAGGTGCATTACTGAATGTAAGGTATCTAACCTTGCATAGCTCCCCGTGAACCCCCAGCGAGCTCTGCCCCTAGCAACTCCCCACTGTCTTTACCTCCTACTACTCCATCCCCAGGCAATCCGTCTGTCTCCTCATCTGTACCTCTTCATTTCGCTGGACGAGAGTTCGGTGTGGTCAGTCTTATCACTGGAATCCCGTTCTTGCTCCCAGAGGGACGACAATGGGTAGAATCGCGGACTGGCCAGAAAATTTCCTTTGATAAGCTTTGTCCATCGAAGCCGCCGTGGGAAAAGCAACGGGCGCTGAGCTCCAACGCATTGTTGACGAGCCTGCAGTCCCACAATGTCTTCGAGCTTCCCGACCGTCATGTCGTGGAATCCCGATTTGATGCATACCGCTGGTCTTTGATGCAGCGAGTATTCCCCGTTCTAGACTGCGTCTTGTTTATAGATACCATCAATGCCGCGTATCGGAGCGAATGCTTAGGTGGTCACTCCGCGCCAGCGAGTGTGCGGGCCTGCGTGTTTGCTTTCATTGCTTTCTCAACCTTTATTCAAAATCCTTGCTTCAACCCCCAGGGTAAGGAATTACCATCTGTTGACGGGGAACAAAACATCCTAAAGGTACAACATCTTTTACCGCAAATCTTGCAGGAGCCCACTTCTAGAGAGGGCTTGGAGGCACTCACAATGTTGGTAAGTTTACCTGCTTCATATGGTGCTAATATCTGCACACCCACACGCGATACAAATACTAAGCACCCGATCTAGGCTCTCTGTGAATTAGTCGCCGGAAATCTGCAATCGGCCAACTATTACGGGTCTCTGGCAGCTCGAATGATCTTCATGCTCGGCAGTCATGCTCCCCCGTGCCCGCAAACTGCCTTAGGGCGGTTGGTCGACACCAAGACCCGAGTGCAACACCAGTTGCGGAATTTATTCTGGGTGTGCTATACCATTGAAAAAGATGTCTGCCTTCGGACCGGTCAACCCCAGCTATTCACAGACGAGAACTGCGACCTCACACTGCCGTACGGCTACGTTGAAAAGCTATACAGCAGTATGGAATACCACCATCACTCGATGGAAATTCCCGAAAGTCCAATATTCCCCGTCGACCTACGTCTAAGTATCATCAAATCCAGAGCTTACAGCGCGCTTTACTCCTTCCGGTCCCTCAAAAAGACCGATGCCGAACTCCTGAAAGAAATTCGCGAACTGGATGACGAGCTCGAGCGATGGCGTATGTCTGTTCCCCAAGAGTGGCGGCCAACGCTATCGTTCTCTCACGAGACCCCCGACCCAAACGTCAGCATGCATTCGGTTATGCTCCGCCTTAACTATCATCTCTGCATGACTATCATCCACCAGGCCAGCAGTCGCTGCAAATCCTGGGGCAACCGGCAAGGCGGCATGATGGACGGCGTTAGTTCAAGTCTGGCACTGTCCGTTGAAGCTAGCCGTTCGACGTTGTTATACCTCGAGGCAGCAGAGCATGTCCTTGTCGATGGTATTTTCTGGTAAGTCACTCCTAACCAATCGCCTATCCCTACTTTTCAGTAAGCTCACCATACCGATAGGACATTAATTTTCTACCCCATGTCCGCCGTCCTCGCTATTTTTTGCAACATCTTACAAAACCCGTCAGACCCACAAGCGACCAAAGATCTGGGCCTTCTCAAAACCTCAACTAGCATGATGGAGCGCATGATCCTGAAACAATCGTATTCGTTTACTGAGATTGTGCATATCAAACTGGTGGCCGATTTCGTGATCGAGCTGTATCGACTTGCGAATTGTGCTATTGAGAAGGCGTGGAATGAGCAGTCTGTCTGATTACCTTTTTTCTTTTATTTTTCGTGTCTTCATTCTACATGGGTATATACTAGACGGATTTGATTTGATTAGATCAGATTGTGTACATGGTGTGGTCGTATGGGATGCTGTTACTGGTTATTTGCTGAGGTGTATAAAGGGATCTGGTGAAGTTCGGGAATTATACTGGGGGTCTATCTTTGTAATTAGGCCACTTAGACTGACTGGTTCAGTGTATGTCTCATTTTTTACTGGTAAATTTAGGTAGTGCTTCCAGACAGGAAGAATAGTATGTTCTAACGCACTTGAGCAACGGTTGCAGTAGCTTCAATAAAAGTTCCGAGGCTAAGCTGACAATTTCTGCCTCCTTGAAAATAGTAGCTACATCTATAAGGTAACATAGACAAATTTGATAGAGCCAAGATCAGAGAGATGAACCAGAAAAAATCAAGCAAAAGAAAGGAAAGAAAGAAGAAAGAACAGTGAAGCACGTGCAATAAGTGTCAAACAAGAACCGCAACGATTCTAGTAGCGTATCCAAACCCTTTACGTGGTACTCTCGTTATGATTTCCATCGGGGCAAGAGATAGCAGTACGATCATTTGAATCCCAAGTCACGCTCCCGATGAATTTCTGTGCCTGCTCTTCAAGACCGCTGATGTTGCTGGGACAATTCCCCGGAGCCTAGCGAGCGCAAAGGTTATTGAGACAGCAGCTATGAGCCAGACATCTCGTGCCTTTCTGGCAGTTGGCGTTTGTAGTACAAGTCTCTTTCGGGAATTTTGTAGCTACAAAGCAGAAAGAGGCCCCGTCTGTATCTACACCACACGCGCAGATACTGGAGGGTGGAAGACCACAGTCACTCGTTGCATAGTAACCACAGGAACGACCCGTGCAGGTTTGTTGAGGGCGCCGGACGGTCGTAGTTATTGTTTTTGTTGCAGTGACAGAAACAATTGATTTCGGGGTACGCACTGTTTTTACGAGGGGCTGGACTTTGAGGTAGGAGCACGCAGAGCTGTAGACTCCTGGCCTTAAACATGGACCGGAAAGATATGCTGGTAGAGCGGTAGGAATAACTGTTGTTGCATCAGGAGTAACCTCAGTCCCAGCAAAGAAGACACCGCCCGTTACAGTCACCCTCACTGCTTTTGTCGCTACTGTTGTGGTTACCGTGCTGGGGGTGATTAGCTTAGTGTCTTGGAATAAGTATAGAGAGAAACTACATACATTGTGTCGGGTGTCACAGTTGTCAGTAAGAAGTTAAAACAATCTGCTAGTTTGGAATTCTGAGAAGGGGGGTGGGCCGAGAGGAGTTGTCTTTTGCAAGATAAGAGTTGTCCTGAGCAAGAACTATTTACTGGCTGCAGATAGAGAAAGAGAACAAATAGCACTGGGGTAAGGAGTACAAGCATGATGTTTGCTCCTATAAACCCTCGGTAGCAATGTCATTTAGATATGGTGGCTGATCCAAGGCATTTAAGAATAAATACAGAGCATGTAGAAACTAGATGAGCCACTGGGATGTTGAGTAAGTCTTATAAACCTTCTCTTCATAGCAATACCTGTTTGTGTGGTCACTGTTGTCCAACTTAGGATTTTGTCATTATGGCGTGTATATGTCGGTGCACAGAATATTGGCCGATTCACATCTGCCTAGCACTCCATAGGGCAAATCCAACCATTCTCAAGTAGATTTTCAGGTCTCTGCTTATTCTTCCTCCATCTCTCCTTCTCTTTTCTTCCAATTCATAAGATGCCTGTCTCGGTCAACATCAAAGACTCATCAACACGAGCTACGCAACAAAATCATTGAAAAAGCCAATGATGTCTTGCCTCATCATGCAGCCCATGTAATCAGTCCTTATATTATCAGCTGCAGGACCCATGTCTACTCCATAGGTTGGATGTGCGCATGACTTGGTCATTTTGATCACACAGCTCAAGTACTAGGTCGGAATACGATAACTTCGAAGTGCAGGTAGTGTCGCTGAGGATGGAAGGTCTTACGGATTACTTCACGCTTCAGAATCTATAGGCCCTCTACAGACGTATATTCCGGGAGCTATAAGAAGCACTTGGAAAGATACGGATGACAGTTACCGGCTTACCTTAACATCGTTCAGGCTTAATCCTAGGCTCTGACGTGTTACTGGGTTGATTCAGGAAGAGCTGCCAGGTCGCTGAAGTGCCTTGGAAACCCACATTCAGTCTATCGTTCGCCGCGCTTCCACTTCAATAAGAACCATAGTATAAAAACACAGCACGGATATCTTGAGATATTACTGCCTGCATTTCCTTTAGCGCAGAGCCAAAAGGAAATAAACAAGAGAGGTGACCCGGATTTATAAAATAATGTTACTTGCTCGTCGTACATATTGATTGCGGAGAGTTTGAATAATTTAAATCTCTTCTAACTCATAGACAGGTAAAGCCCTGAAATTGTCCTAGAACCACAATTGCCTCTAGTCAGACCCCAGAGCAACAATATAAGGCCCATTATCGAGTTCTCCCGAAAATACGACGTTTATCCAAATAAACCCAAATTTTCTTCAACCAAGGCGAGCTACGACATTTTAAACTTCCGTATTGTACGGGTCCATACACCGGAACCATTTTCCAGTCGAACTGCCCTTTTAAAAAGTTGAGAAATGAAAAATTTGTCGTCCGTAACCAACCCTCTCGAATGCCAAAACGCCTGTCGTGTTATGTCCGTGGAAAGAGCCTCTCCTGGTCGCTGCAGTGAACGGCCAGACCGCGCAAGTACAAGAGGAGCTGGATAAGGGCCAGAATGTGGACTCCCGCGACCTGGAATACGGACGGACAGCGTTAGCTTGGGCTGCTGAGTGCGGACATGAAGATATTGTGCAGATGCTGCTGGGTCGGAAGGCTAATGTGAACGCGTTGGATCATTAGGGTCGATCGCCGTTGCTTCAGGCGGCGGGTGCTAAAGTTGAATCTCGGGATACGTCTGGTCAGACGGCGCTGGTCTTAGCTGCAAAAGTGGGATCGGACGCAGCAGTTGGATGTTTATCGGAAGCATGAGCCGATTTGGATGTCCAAGGCTGGCGTGGTGGAAGGACGGCGTTGTCATGAGCGGCGGAGAAGGGCCATGAAAAAACTGTCGAGATCTTGCTCAATGGGAATGCGGCGGTTGATATGGTGGATAAACGTCACCGGACTCCGATGGCGTGGGCTGCGATGGATGGTCATACGAGTGTCGTCAAGCTTTGTCTGCGATGGAATGCCAGCACTGCCACGGAAGTTGCCGACTACGACCGGAGGCCGCTCTAATGGGCAATCTAAAAGGGCCATGAAGACGTGGTTGAGGTCTTGAATGGAATCTCACCCCCAAAGATAAACCACGGGTTGAAGAGAGGCCGTGAGCCGACGCCCTCGGAGAGGCTCGATGAGTTGCAAGAGCTGTTCAGAACCCTCAACCGGACTTCGACTGGAGCAATCACCAAGGTGGTGAGTTCCTGCTATGGGCTATCGAGAACGATCAAGAGGAGGACGTCGAATTTCTGATACAGCAAGGCGCAGACGTGAATGCCCTGGATGACAACGGGTTGACACCACTTTCTAATGCGGCACATAAGAGACTATCATACGTGGCTAGCTCTTGCTAGAGAGAGACAACGTTGACCTAGACCACGTTGATAAGTGCGATCGAACTCCTAATTCATGGGCTGCAGAAAGCGGAGACGTTGAGATAGCCACATTTCTCATCGAGAGGAACGTCAACCTTGAACCCAAGGATCAAACGGGCATGACTACCCTTTTATGGGCAGCTGCGTGGGAACATGAAGAAATCGCGTCTATGCTGTTAGGCCGCGGAGTTGACCCTAACCGCAAAAACGAGAACTTGCGTACGCCACTCTCCTTTGTAGCCGGAAATTGGCAAAACTCATTGGTGTCTCTTCTCCTGGGAAAGGGCGCCTTGCCGAATCAAGGTGCAGAGGAATGACCGTTGATGTACACTGTGAGTGAGGATAATATGGCACTGGACAATTTGCTGCTTGAAAAAGGAGCGGATCCGTAATCTGCTGATTATAGCATCGTTGAGCTCCCTCCACTAGTACTCGCAGCATCTCATGGGAATGAAAAGATGTTGAGTCTATTCTTCGAACAAGATGCTGACTCGGACAAAGTCAAGAAGATCATATCTGGACAGCTTTAGTTGAGGCTTGCCGGGAAGGAAAACATGGTGTGGTGAAGTTACTACTCGATCAACGTCCTTTCTATGGCCGTAAGGGAGATAATCTGGATGATGGACCGATGTATTATGCGAAAAGTCTTGGAGACATGGTGATATTGTCGAGCTATTACGGCCATGATATCCCGACTACGAGTCTAAATGAGTTTGGGTTGGAGGTAGATAATGATTGTCTATTGCACAATGAAACGGGTCCCTGGGAAATTAGAATTAGAATTCCTAATAAACCATTCTACACTGAATCACAGATTGTTACATTTAGAACTATTTTTATGGATTTCTCAAACAGTTTCTAGTGCCCTCGACACTGCCCAATCTCGTAAATACGCATCTTTAGTAGCTGCTAAAATCGCCAGGCTCTATAGTGGATCGCACCTAATCAATGCAACGAATATGCCGTTGTCCTATACTGGAGTTCAATTGCACAATTCATCGAGGGCAAGTCAGCTCTGCCTTTTGAGCGTGAACGAATTCCTTTCAAACTATAGTGAACAGAAGAATGGCTCTTGCTATAGATTTCCTAGAGTTGCGATAGGTTTGGCAAGAAGTCTAGCGAGCAGTAGATGCAAGAACAAGAGTTCGAGCGAGGATACAAGGGACTTGGGAGATAAATCAGCCAGCAATATATAAGTGCAGTTGTGGGCCTTCAAGTTCTATTGAAAAAGGAGTCTACAGACTGCCGAGTCATCGGACTCTACATTTACAGGCTACGAGTCTAAGATTTGAAAAGGTGTTCAGAAAGATACATTTCCATTATTGTGACTAAAGGTGAAAGGTTGAGCCCTAAACCAGCAAGATGGTTAGCAACGAATTCACAATCGAATTATCGCGGTAGAAAACAAAAAGCATAGAAGCTCTCCATGTCAGAAAAATGCGAATGAATGATGCGTAGAGTTGTAATCGAAGGCACTTTTTGTGCTTCAGATGGGGTTGAAACAAAGATAAAACGCAAATCATCACCTGAGAGACGAGAAATCATGTAGAAACAAAGGGTCAGCTTACCAATACACAGTAAAGTTAGAACAGAAAATGGCGAATAATAATGATTCCTCGAGTTAACATTGGCAGTCTTCGGACATCATCAAGTCCTGCAAGACCAGCGCGGTCGTTGTTCAAGGGTCGAAGGGATGTCAACAGGGAAAGTTTCTGCAGGAGAAATTTGGGCGGGATTTTAAAGCTCCCGGCGTTAGTGCGGCACGTGACTATCCGCGGAGGAATGGATGTTCCGGGATGCCGTGTAGAAATGGGGTCGATTGATCCCCTCATCTACCCGTGGAAGAGCCCTGAATCGCCGTGGCTAGGTGTACTAGATTTGAGGAGAGTGGTCGCTCAATCTCTATAGAGCAAGCTGACACAAATATGGCGATCTCCCAAGATCAGAGGGCTCGATGGGGCCTGGGTGAAAGGAGGCAGTGACAAGCATGCCAGGAAGTGAGGTTGAGTAGGTCGTATATTATGAATTGGAAACTTCAATTTTGCTCGTTGAGGAGCTCCCATATCAAGGCTGAATCTTCCGCGCTTTCTTTGTTTGACTCGGGAGTCTTCTCATTTTTCTCGTTGGCCTCCGTCGCGCCAACATTGGCACCCTCTTTCTCCAGCTGGTCTAGAGTTTCGGTAATTTCGGCCTTCAATTTGTCCATTTGCTGGATCTCCTCTCTCGTCCGACTCAACTGTTCCTCCATCATCAGAATAAGCGACTCCCGCGCTTGATGGGGACGGTATAAATTCAGAAGGTGATGGGCGTTGATAAACAGGTTGCGTAGATCCTCCACTTTGGGCTGAAATTGTTCCGGATCGACCGCCAGGATACCAACGAATTCGAGGAAATTTAAGAGGAGCGATTTGCTGATCCGGAGGAGGTAGTGTGCGTGGTTTAATGGCCGAGGCTGTGATCCCGGCTCGCGGTCGGTATCGGCGGAGGAGGGTTCGGGGTAGAGTTGTTCAATGCCTTGCGATTTCAAAGAGGAAAGGTTTGTTGAAATCTAACATGGGTTCATAAGCAGCAGTTCTATTCTCCGTGATATCTCATGAACTCACACTTTGCAGTTCTCCAAAAACACTGTATTGTCCCGATGTAGGTATCTCCGGTGGTGCCAGGTAACGGAGCTCTGATGGGAGTTCAAGCGCGCGCAATTCAGAAGGTGACCACTTTTTCTTCGTAGATTTTCCGTCCTCTCCTCTAGAGGCCTCTTTCTTTATCTCCTCGAACTTCTTGATATTGTCGGGCGTGAAGTGTTTCCATAAAGGAGGAGGCGGGGCAAAAGCCGTGTTTAGAGCGCGAGGTTGCCCTTCAGCCATGGTCGCGTGATAACTTTGATTCAGATGATCAGCAGACGGGGATACGTCTTGGAGAAAGAGAAAGGCGCCAAGGGGAGGACGACGGGCTGGGGGTGGAAGGACAGTGAAAGAAAGAAGATGCGATCCGCGTCATGCGGAGATTCGGGCGGACAAGGCGTGGCCCGTGCGGCGACTCTTCACCCGGCCGTCCTTCGCCCTTCCGTCAGCCTCGCTCTTCTCTCCCTCACTCTCTTCTCTCGTTTGATTCCTGCATCACTCAACCCCAATGGAGAGTTGATCTCTCCTACTCTTCATTCCAACTTTGATTCCTCCGTGGAAATGTCACGCAATGGATTGGCTGCTGGGTCAGCTACTCCTCGTCCCAATCACTCCGGAGCCCGCGGCGCTTTTTCTCGCTTCTATCAGCGATCCTTTCCTGCGATTGACTACTTTGCGCTGGGTTTTGTGATCGCCAGTTGGATTTTGGTTAGTCTTGCTGTTTTTTGGCGCGCAAATATTGAGGCATTAACCCTATCATACAGATCCAACTTTTTGTGACCCCATTCCACCGGCTGTTCTCACTTGACAACAAATCCATTCGATACCCCTTTGCGGTAGTGGAACGAGTCTCCGTGGGTGAGTAGCTCCTCTGGCGTGATAAACAGGCTCTACTTACAACTATTAGTCTGGTCAATCGTCTATGCCGGCCTTATTCCCTTCCTGATACTCATGCTTTGGGTTTCCATGTTCCGTCCGAATCGCCATAAGGTCCAGGTGACCCTGCTTGGGTTCTTTGTCGCCGTGATGCTCACTTCCCTTCTTACGGATATTATCAAGAACGCGGTGGGGAGACCTCGACCGGACCTGATCTCGCGCTGCATCCCCAAGAAGGGGACTCCCGTGGATACTCTGATCGATTGGACCGTATGCACACAAGCGAACCAACACATCCTGCAGGAGGGATGGCGAAGTTTTCCGAGTGGTCACAGCAGCTTTTCTTTTGCTGGGCTCGGGTATTTGTCCTTGTAAGATATCTTTTCGTCTGACTCTTGTTCTACTTCTAACTGGTACACGCAGCTTCATCTCCGGCCAAATGCACGTCTTCCGACCCCGAACCGACCTTTGCCGCTGTCTGATAGCGCTCACGCCGCTACTCTGCGCCCTGATGGTGGCCATTTCCCGTCTCGATGATTACAGACATGATGTTTACGACGTAACTTCTGGATCCGTATTGGGTATTTTCGTTGCATTCTTTTCATATCGTCGTTACTATCCCGCGCTGCGATCCCCGATTTGCGACATCCCTCACGAGAAAGAGGATCTTGTTGGCCCGGATGGTTTCGCCAAGCTTCCGGGCGACGAAGAGCAGCAATTGCAGGGCTCCGGACTTCTCTCCCGTCGTTGGGAGTCAGAAGAGTCTTATCAACTGGGCGATTCTGCGTCCCCACGGGAATAGTAGATTGGTGTATATATTGATGTTACGTTATCGCTTTTTTATACCGTTGATACCCGATCATATTTTTTGGTTCCTGTATTTGGCCTTTCGATGCATTTGAACATTGTTAATCATGTTTATATACCGTCATATTCACAACTTGGAAATGTCTCTCTGTTTTACGTTGGTCCACTCCTTAACATCGTGGAAGTCCATCACCTTGTTCGGACCTCCGAACCTTCCAAGGGTGTCCCGCCAGTCCCTCTTGGATGCAAGCTCTGGGTTCCACTTGATCAGTTGGTGGATCTTTTCGGGGATCTTGTCCTCCAAGGCATCGACAATAATATTACCAATAGAAGGAAGGTATTTGAAACCTAGAAGCCAACAGTCAGTATATACAAATCAATAGGTCTGGTTATTGCATACCTCGTCCAGAAGCTCCGCAGCCGAGAATCAGAGAAGGATGATCAGGGTGACGGTCGATCAAGAACTCTCTGTTGGCAGTGTCGGCGCACCAGCAAATCCTCGCAAAACTAAACGGGCGGTCGGCCAGCTGGGGTAGGGTTTCTGAGAGAAGGGCCCTGACTCTTGCCTCGGACTCCAGAGGCACCTGAGTTTTCTCGAAAGGAATGCTCTGCATATCACCGTCGGATGATTCGGTCATGTTGGTGTACCCAGGGTGCTCATCGCAGATTTTGATCTCTCCGTGCTCCTCGTCGGGCTCGAAGAAGAATCCTTTCTCAATGTTGAAGATGACCGGGATATTCTTGTACAGTGCCCGTTCTTCAGGCTTCAATTGGATATGTACGAGCGTCCACGCGGTCGGTCGCAACTGTTTCTTGAAATCCAAGAACTGTCCTGCGCTGGCGCCCGCGCAGAGAACCGTCTGCTCTGCTCGCCAGATCTTGCCGTCGGCCGTCACAGCCCCCTTCACATCGTTGTTCTCAAAGATCAGCGTGATGACCTTTCCCTCAGGGGACCCGGTAACGAACTTCACGCCCAGTCGCTGGGCCTCCCGAACAGCTGCGACGAGAGCATTTCGTGCATGAGCCCAGCCCGCACCCGAGCGAATGTGATATCCTTTCCAACCGGGAAAATCTCCTTTCAATACCTGAGGCGCCAATTGGCGAAATTGCTCTGGTTCAGAAACCTCAACCACATCCGGCTCTTCATCCGGCCGCACACGTACACCCAGACGATCTAGACCTGCTGGAGTACTGGCAGACATCACAAGCCCGGTATCGTGATAGTAGGGCTGGAAGAGCGGGTCGTTCTTCCACCCCTCAAACGCCTGTTCGGCCAGAATCTCGTTGATCTCGATTTCGTCTTTCCGGTTACTGTACTGTCCGGACGAAATGATCTTGTTGACATCGTTTCCGGCTGAGATAGCGGATGGAACAGAATAGGGGTCAAGGACAGTCACATTTGTGTATCCTTTGCGCGCCAAATGGAGGGCAGTAGAGGCTCCCCAGGTGCCTGCGCCGATGACCAAAATCGATGACGACTTGGTGATTGCCATGGTGGCGATGCAATCAAACCCGTCTGGAGAGATTGATAAAAAGACGAAAAGGCAAAATAGTGATAAAATTGAAATCTTGGACAGCAAAATTACCCCGGTCGATGAGAAGAGGAGTGTGTCGAGACAACCAGTTCACATTCTTTATATGATGCAGCAGGAATCCGGCAGTCGGAGAGCGAGGAAGGTCCACGCGATGGCCCGAATGAGGAGCTGCTGGGCTACTTATCGTGCCATTGACTTGCTCAATTCCCACTGGACGGTCGCGCAGTGATCACGCAAACAAACGTGACTATCTGCTCTAGACTTTTCCATAATTATCTGTTTATCTTTATCCTCGTGTTCCCTTCCATGCTCCCCGACTTCGGAGTTGACCCGAGATACACACCGTCCCCACCAAGTCTAGCATGGCACTAGCGCTATCTCCAACCATCGACCATGCGGAGTATACCGATGCGCAAAGTGCCCACCACCGTTGCATTTAGCCAAAATGCAAGATAATACCAGGTCAGCACTCGTGTCTTGGGCTAGATCAAGCTAACTTATGCCAAGGAAGAGGCAGGCTTGTCGCTCGCTTGGACCTTACTTTGTTCTGACACAACCCGAGTTGTGTTCGATCTCATTTCACGTCTCCTATAGGTATTTCGGTTATCGAGGATGCTCAGTCCTTGCTTAGCAAACACCCTCAGCCTTTGCCATGGAAACACACTTCTTCCTTCCTCAGTCTTTAGGGAATGGTGATACTAGATACGATCGTATACTTCACCCAAACCTTGAGCATAGCATCGAAATTCACGAAGGGTATAATTTGAACTCGATTGCAACGACCCGGACTCTCAAAGAACATTCAAGGTCTAGAATTCAACACTGTAGCTAACTTCCCCGAGCGAGTTGAGAACGATACCCGATAAACCACGCCAATGCGAATCTTTGCATGTCCTATTCCTTAACCGAGGCTAGCGTGCTTATCCCGGACAAGATTTCGCCGGTGCATACGACGGATCGCAGCTTGTCGCTTGGACCTTACTCAACTCTTTTGGTCTGGGGTTTGCTCCACATTCCGGCTTATCGACCGGTGATCGACATGCTGTCTTTAGTCGCTTATCACTTATCTGGGGGAGGGGCGAATCGTTGGAGACAGACTTTCTCTATCTTCCCCTCTTTCTACACCTTACATGGTATTGGTATACCATTGGGGTAAAAATGGCCGGTGGTATGCTCTATAAAAAGGAGAGATGGTCTCCGTAATTTGGGAGTTAATCAACGCCTCTGATATCTCGATCTCGTCATTTTTTCCAGAGGTCTGCGACGGGTGGTTGTTTGTCCGCAGCAATGAGCCAAATTCATCCCCGGGGATTGCCAAACGCAGACGTGGAGGAATGTCCAGGCGATCCTTCCCTCCAGCATGATGCCACCAAGAAGCCTATGACGGCCGAGGATGCCCTGGAGATTGCTATCGGGGAAAGCCAGAATGTCGAGTATACGATCGATTCTGACAACTCGCCTTATCTGGAAGTTCGCGCCAATGTGCCCAACACAGACGACCCGACACTGCCAATTAATACCTTTCGGATGTGGTTTTTGGGTGTTGTATTTACGTTGGTATGTTCTCGAGAAATAACATGGTCGTGATCTAAAGCTCACGCTAACAACACTTAGATCGGCACGGGCGTGAATCAGTTCTTTTCCATGCGATATCCTAGCGTGACTATTACATCGCTTGTCGCGCAGCTTATCAGTTATCCTGTTGGCTGCTTCTTTGCCAAGGCATTGCCGATTATGTCGATTCGGGTCTTTGGGTGGGACATCTCTATCAATCCGGACCATCACTTCAACGTGAAGGAGCATGCTGTGATCACGATCATGTCGAATCTCAGCTTTAATCAATCTTGGGTACGTCTCTCTCGGTGGAAAGAAAATTAGGGTAACTTATACTAATATCTCGATAGGCTAGCGCGATCATTCAGGCTCAAAAAGTGTATTTGCAGATGGAGACGCCCGTGGGTTATCAGATCCTACTGTCATTATCAATGCAGATGTTTGGACTGGGCCTTGCTGGTTTAGCCTATCGATACATCATTGAGCCACCGCAGATGGTAGGTAATCAAGCACATACTGTCACGCTTGACTAACATTCTGTTAGATCTGGCCATCGACCCTCGCCAACGCTGCCTTGTTTCAAACCCTTCATAGTGGCGCGAACCCAATCGCCGATGGCTGGAGAATTTCTCGCTATCGCTTCTTCTTGTATATCTTTATCGGAAGCTTTTGCTGGTATTGGCTTCCGGGATACATCTTCACGGGCCTAAGTACATTTGCGTTCATTTGCTGGGCAGCGCCAGGTATGAGAACCCACACTTCATCATGATAATCCTCCTAACCAATCACACAGACAACAAAGTATTGAACAATCTGTTTGGCATGACAACCGGCCTCGGATATCTTCCCACCACGTTCGACTGGAGCCAGATCGCATACAATACATCCCCGCTCGTGATTCCCTTCTGGGCTCAGGCCAACGTCTTTGCCGGGTGGTTTTGCGTGTATGCCGTGGTGGCCCCAATTCTATACTACACGAATACCTGGTTCACGGCGTATCTCCCATTGACAGGATCAGACGCATATGACAATACCGGGAGTATTTACGACTCGAGCCGTATCTTGGACGACACGGGTGCAATTGACGAGGCTAAGTATCGAGAATACAGCCCGATTTTCTTGCCCATTACCTTTGCGCTTAGTTATGGCTTGGGGTTCGCCGTGCTGAGCTGCCTGTTGACGCATGTTGTGTTGAATCATAGCGGGGACATCTTGAAGACGATGAGGGGCCAGAACAAGAAGGATATTCATGCTAGGTTGATTTCCCATTATCCGGGTGTGCCGTGGTGGTGGTATGGCATTTTGACGGTCAGAACCCTTTTCGTTTGATGATTTGTGGCAAAGTGCTGATTTATCCAGATTATCATCGTCGCAGTGGCAATCTTAACACAGTATGTTTGGCATACTGAGCTTCCGTTCTGGGGCGTCTTCATCACCCTTGCCTTGGCTGCTCTCTATGTGATTCCGGTCGGCACGGTATATGCCGTTGCGAACTTGAATAGCAATGTTTTGACGGTGCTTGGGGAGATCGTCTCCGGGTATCTCATCAAAGGAAGACCGCTTGTTCTCTTGATTTTCAAGGTACGTATATATCACTGCTCCAGTGTCCTAGGTTGGTAACCGCTGACTCTATTAGTTTTATGCTTATACTGGTCTCAGTCAAGCAATGTTCTACGGTGCAGATATGAAGGTACTTCCTTGGGTTCCCATTAACGAACTACTGAACTGACTTAATTCGTGGGGATAGCTCGGCTTGTACATGAAGATCCCACGTCGCACATTATTTGTTGCACAGATAGTTGCCTGTATATTGGGTACCTTGACGCAAAGTAAGCTTCCAATTGTCCCGTGATCAGATATCATACTGACCCTTTAGACGGCGTTCTGCTCTGGATGCTCGGTAACGTCGAGGACGTGTGTGCCAGCGACCAATCGAACAATTTTACCTGCCCTCAAGGTCGAGTGAACTACAACAGTGCTGTGTTCTGGGGAGGCAAGTTGGCCCCCTCGCCCAGTCTTGTACAGTATTTATTTCATCGCTAACACTCATTTAGCTATTGGCCCGGCTCGACTGTATAACATTGGAAAGCGATACTCCGGCCTGCTGCACATGTTCTGGATCGGGGCATCGCTGCCGATCATCACATTTTTCCTTCGCAAGAAGTTTCCTAAGAACCGCTTCCTCGATGCGGTGCACTGGCCCATCTTCTTTGCCGGGACTGGCAACTTGCCCCCTGCGGTATGCAGCTTATTTATCTAGTGTTCTATTCATTTCTATTTGTGTAGGTTTCGCTGATGCATCTACAGACCGGAATCAACTATACCACTGCGTTCGTGGTCAGCTTTATCTTCAACAAGGTAAGTAGAAGACGATAAATTGCAGAAAGCAAAGCTAACAACTGTCAGCTCATTAAAGGCCGCAAGCCCAACTGGTGGGCCAAATACAACTACGTTCTTTCGGCAGCCCTGGATTCTGGCGTGGCGGTGTCTGCCATTGTGATTTTCTTTGCCCTGGTGTTTCCTCAGGTTTCTTTGAGCTGGTGGGGAAACAATGTGAACAGTGGGACGGTCGACAGCAAGGGGACGCCGTGGTTAGTGCTGGGGAAGAACCAGACCTTCGGCGAGAAAAGCTGGTCGTGACAGTGGAGAATGATGGCCTTGACACCTCAGGTGGAACTTGACACCTGAGGCAGGTAATTTCCCCGCGGGGAAACGATGTGCTCTGATTGGCAGAGAGCGTCTCAGGCCTGAGGCAGCCACTCCGCCTTTTTCGGTTTCGCGACGGCGCCTCCAATCCTTCCATCTTCTGTGCCTCGTCTCAGGCCTGGATCATCTCTTCTGTCTACTAGGATTAGCCAGTCTTGTATTCTCATCTCATTACATTTTTTCGCTTTATCGGTGCTCTTATCGGAGGGCTTTTGTCAGCCAACATTCAATCTCCACTGCGTCTAGACTTATCAGGCCACATTTGCCACTCGTCTTTTCTCGCTTCATCTGGTTGAGGCTTCTAAGTGTGGTGCTACAACATCTCAAGGATGCTAGCACCCTGATCCCACCTCCCTCCCTGCTGGCCATGTAAAGATCTCCACCTATCGGATGCCGCGCAAAAAGGCTGCAGACCGCGTGGGTCCGGTCAAGACCCGAAGCCGTGGCGGCTGTAAGGAATGTCGCACGAGTCGTGTCCGCTGCGACAGGCAGAAGCCCGTGTGTTCCCGATGTCGCGAAAAGGGACTAGCCTGTTCCACGCAGTTGGTGTTGAAATGGGAGTCGGAGTTCGTGAGCCGCGGTCTGGCGTTTGGGAGGGCTGGCGTTTGGAGCAAGTCCAGCCCTGCTGCGGGTGCGCGGACTAAGTCGTCGCCGGATTCGCTGTTTCTGGATGATCGGGAGTGGTGCCCCCTGCCGACGGTCGAGTATTGGGGGTTTGTGAATAGTGGTGTTTCGACGTTTGAGCGCCCGGATCAGGTGAATGTTGCGTGTGACGAGCTGAATGCTGTCGTACTTCGCGGGAGGGATGGGTTTGATTATGATTCTGCTCGTGGGCTACACGGAGGAAGAGCTATCAATATTGTTAGTTCGACGTCCGGATTGCAGGGACTACCAGACCCCATGGCTTCGCTGTCCATGTTCCCTCAACTGGCCGAGCGGAGCCAAGGACATCTGTTCGACTACTACCTCCAGCAGGTCTGTCCTCGAACCACGGCTAGCTCGAAGCTGTCCTCGCCCTTCGCGTCGATCATACTTCCTTTCTGCCTCTCCGCTTCTCCAACCCTATTCAATGCTATTCAAGCGTTAGGTGCATGCCACTGGTCTCGATTCGATTCGACCTACAGTGTCGTTGGACTTCGGCTGAAGTCTGAGGCTTTGAGAGGTCTCAGCACCCGGTTAGCTACGGAAGGATCCCTGAGATGCTCCGCAGACCCCGAGGTCCTAGTGATTATGATGATGTTATGTCTTTACGAGATTGTGGATAACTGTGACCAACGCTGGACCGTTCACCTTAAAGGCGCCAAAGACTTGATTCGCCTGCGGAGACAACAGCAGACGGCCCTTTCCAAGACCAACGGCGCACAAGACCCCGTGTCTGGATTTGCCGAGCTCTTTTTCGCTTTCCAGGATGTAATGGGACGCACTGCCTGTGGTGAAGAAGTGCTGTTTGGCAGCGACTACTGGCATGAGCATGAGCGCACTATCGATCTCTGGATGGGCTGCAGTCCGGAACTCGTCTCTATCCTCTCTTCGATCACTGAGCTCAGTCGGACAAGACGACAGCTTACCTCGTTCTCTGCTCGCTCCGCGTTCTCACACCGCGCAGCGTCTTTAGGGCGTCAACTCGAGACCCTCGTTCAAGAGATCGACAACCCCGAAGACACGATGCTCCACTCCGCCGCCGAACTGAAACGCCTCGCTGCCATGCTCTATCTGCATTGTGCCCTGTACGGCGCATCTCCCACCACCCCTCTTGTCGCCAGCTATGTCCGCAACATCCTCCGTCTTGTCTCAGACCTCCTAGACTCAGGATGCCTCGTGAGCATGACATGGCCCGTCTTCGTTGCGGCCGTGGAACTCAACCCGCTTCACGACGAGGTGTGGTCTGATTCGGCCGACGGGACCGCAGTCTACGGACGTCCGTTGGTGCTGCATGCATTGGCGGCGATGGCGGAATCGAGCGTCTCGAATATTGCTCGTACGAGGGCTGTTATTGTCAAGGTGTGGCAGGCCCGGGATGCCGATATGCTGATCCGGTCCCCTGTAGATACGTCGGATTGTAATGATTGGGAGTGGTATATTGCGCCGGTTAGCAGTGCGATGAGCCTGGCTTGATGTTATGATAATGATGTTTTTCGTATTTTCCGTGTCTATATTTCCTGATTGCTGGTTAGCATAAACAACAATATATTCTGTGTGTCCTTAGTTGAATTGTGCTTTGTTGGTGGTTTTCTCTCCCCAGTCCATTAGCTTACATGTAAACAACGACAAACTCTGCTGTACATATTAGCCTCTATGTTCCTCCCCCAATAGATATCTATAGAAATACATCTACTGCGTTTACTCTGTATACGAAGTTTCAGCCTGAGGCATACACTGAGTAAGCACGGCGGGCGGGGCGACAAACGCGTGATTCGCCAGAAGCAGCGCCGAGGGACGTCAGAGCCGATCGACGCTCATCCATTGTTATTCGCCTGCTCTTTCTCGCTCTCTCGCTCTCGCTCTCCTGAGCTCAAATCAAACCACAACAGCACCACTATTGGCATCATACAATCGTATCCCGTTGGCATCTCAGATCTCGACCTTGATCCGTTTTTACGCCGAGATTTCGCCGGTCGATCGATTTTTGTTATCGAGAACCTTCCCTGCTCGCGGATACCACCCCTCCACCTCCAGCATAACCGCCTCCACCGTTGCGTTGGCATAAGGCTTCATTATGCTTTAATTTTGTCCCGACTGCACAGACTGACACGTGTAGAGGGAATACTCGTCTCAGCTAGCAACATTATGACCTCCTCGACCACCTCCTCGACCCTGTCGCACAGCCTGCCCGCCCTTCCCTTTGCGAGCAAACTGAGTGAGCAGCTCTCCCAGCGGCAGGAACAGAGTGATTCTGGCGCCGAGACGGAGACTGCAGGCGACAAGAACACCTCATTCGGGCACCCACTGCGTCCCTCGCCGAAGTCCCGCTCTCTGTCCGACGCGGCCAAACCCGTTTCCTCGCCCGGATCCAACGCCTCGGATGATAACCGACCGTCCAGCAAAGATGACGCTTCCCTCTCGTCGACTCCGGAAACGCCGCAGCGGCTGTCCATGTACGCGGGAGTTCCCTTGAATCCGACGACGAGCCATACGAAGCCCTCCGCTCCTTCTCCTTTGTCGAATCGCACCCCGCTCTCGCCGAAGCTTGATTCCTCCCAGATCTACGGCTCGCCCGGATCGGTGCTTCCTCGAAGATCTAGGGGTCTGGACTTCTCGAGGGCCTGTACGAACCTTCACCATTCGACGCTGGCCGAGTCCTCGCCTGATTCCTCGCCCACGATCGGCGGTCGGGGGATGAACATTCCTCCCCGCCGCGGCTCGATCGGATCGACGTCCGCCCCGTTCTCGACGTCCGGACCAGCGGATAAGACAACTATTTCGAGCTCAGTCTCGAGTGTGAATATGATGGAGTCGGATACCAGCAGCAGCGAGGAGGACGACGAGTCGATGGAGAAGGATGATCTCATGATCACCAGTACCCCGCAGGCCAACAAGTTCGCCGGAGGCCCGAGTCCCTTTGCCGGTGGCAATGTTCCCAGTCCCGGCAATGACTGGATGGGCGGATATTCGCAGGCGGCTGCCAGTCTGATGAGCTTTCAGCGGGCTCGTTTCCGGAAGGGTCGCAGCAGACATAGTTCTAGCAGTGCTAGTGGAAACAGCTCTAAACCGAGTCCCAGCCCGCACTCGCCGCCCGTGATGAAAAGCATCGAGAATCAGAGCGGGGGATACTTTGCCGCAAAGGCTGGGGTTGGTGCACGCCGCGAGAGCTTGAGTCTGGGAACTCGTGACCTGCGGTTGTCCGACCTGAGCGATGACGAGAGTCGGACCCGGGGCCATAGTCCGAGTACGCCTAGTACGGAGGGTGGACCGTTGGGTGTGATTAGGCGTGCCGTGACGCGCCGGGGTAGTCTCCTGGTATGTTTTCCGGGTCTTGTATGACCGACGATATTCACTGTTGCTAATACTTGCCGCTAGCCTAAAACCAAGACGTTTACTCGCATCCGAGCCGCTCTCATGGAAGAGACCGCTCCTATCGATAGTGAGGCGAAGCGTGAGTCGGAGGTGATCCGCCAAGTTCGCGAGAGCGAACCTGAGATTCCACAGAAGTCGCCCAGCTTGGATGCTTTTGCGTCCGGCAACCCCTTCCAGCCCGCCGAACCGTTTCGGAGCGCTGGGGACACACCGGTTAAGTTGGGTACTTCTGCTCCGGACGAGCCTAGCTTCAGTGAGGAGGCGCATCGGAATTCTGCCGGCCAAGAGTTTTGGAACTCATTCGACGAACGATATCGAACGCCCCCGCCGCCGCTACGCCGGCCCGGCACGTCCATCTCGGAGGACGATCAGGCCATGGATATCACACCGTCGACGGCAGTGCGGTCTTCGGGTGCCGAGTTCGCGAAGCCGGGCGAGCGACCTAGCTCACGGTCCTCAACGCCTTTTGTACCCCATTCCGGCACCATCACCGAGTTCAAAAGAAAACGGCAACGTGAAGATGATTTCGATACCAATCTGTTCAAACGAAGGGCCGTATCTCCCAGCATGAGCGTTCAGAGTAGCCCGATCATGCCTAATTCACCGGTTGTGAAGGAAACCGGGTCCAATATCTGGGGGCCGCCGCCCAAGTCGAATCTCGGCTCTCTCTTCCCCGACTGTCCGCCGGATACTCCTGGTCGTGGCAACTCCAAGCATACCAACCACACAGGGACGCTGAAGCGGGTCGGGTTGCAGGGGATGACAGAGACCAATGACGGACTCATGAACATGAGTATCGAGTGATCGGAGGTGCCATGCGAGCCGGACTCGTGCAGCCTAAGGGCTGGTAGACTGTGAATAGTATTCTTTAGCGTGGGGTTGGATTGGATATTTTTATTGGATGGCGTTTTTTATTCGGGTTGAACATATCATTGTTTATATCTAGGAGGACTTACCGCTTCTTAATAGTAATAGATTTAGTATTATCTCAACTTCTCAATATTGTACTCATGATCTAGTTATAATTATAGTCGAAATGACTTGTTGATCAATGGATGCACGTGCATCGGCGCTTACGGCGCTAAAGCTCCGACTGTTGACTGGGGAAGCCGACCAGCTTGTCTCAGGAGCTTGTCTTCTCTCCTGTCAGTCAATCTTCTGTCCTCAATACTTCCAATCTTATCTCCTCGACCCCTTGCATCTATTCCCCGTGCTCTGATCCCTCCGTTCCGCTTCGCTCCCGATGGCATCCACCGCTGACATCGCATCCTCGTTCATCGAGGGTGCCCCGCCCGGCGAGGTACGCTGCACCAGACCGCATGCACCGCAGCATTCATTACATTTAAAATCCCACTGACTTATTCTTGGTATACATGTAGCTCGCCGATGTCGTTGCCGGTATGATCACCCTTCTCTTGCCTCGTTTCTATTTCTTGAGTCGAAACCCCGCGTTCGCAATATCATCCGCCTGCCCGCATCCCCTTCCCCTCGAGGGATCCTTCGGCCTTGATAACTGCGTTGATTGCACTGGAACGAACAAGAATGCCAATTGATCTGTCGAAATAGACGTTAAAACCCTCACCTCCGACGGCGACGCCCTGATCTCTTCCCTTGCGCCGGCATTTGAACGATACAATGAGAAGCAGCTCGCGACGGTGAAGTTGCCGGGTGCGAGTCAGGAGGTGCGATTTCCTTAGACCCCATATATGGATATATACGCGATGTTTTGTTTGTTGTGTGCTGGGTTGGCTGGTTGCGTGACCGGTTGGAGATGCGGATAGACGGATGTGCTGACGCTGTCATATGCATAGGTCCTTGTGAGCGAGTTCAACAAGCTAGAAGGGAATCGGTACTTCGACATTGAGAGCTCGACGTCGTTTGAGGTGGATCATGTTACACAGGTGAGTAGAGTATGGGAGAAGGAACTTGGGCGATCAAGTGAGATACCTTGTGGAGGGAGAGGGTGCTGATTCGAACAATTCATTTACAGGAAGCGTCCGCAGCGCAATCGTATGTTTTGGAGTCTCAAAATGCGGATTTGATGTGTGTTCCTCCTCTCTTGTTTTGAATGATTGGACTTGAGGTGGCGAGGCTAACAGATCCAGTAAATCCCTCCTCAAGTCGCTGGCCGCACACGCCGTCGAGCATTACCCGCGCAGCTCGTACGGCGTGTATCCGATTGAGAATGACAGCGCCGTGGCGATCGTGCTGGTTGCGAATCGCTACTCGCCGAATAACTTCTGGTAGCCCTCCCCTTTCGGCAAGCCTCCAATCTATACAAATCAGACGGCACTGACAATTAAACCAAAGGAACGGTCGCTTCCGCGCCATCTACACCGTCCCCGTCGCCGAATCCACCACCGTTAGCGGCAAGATCCATGTCGACGTGCACTATTACGAGGACGGCAACGTCGCGCTGAACACAACAAAGCCGATCAACCTGTCCGTGTCGTCCCTGTCCGCCGAGAGCATCATTTCGCGCATTGCCGCTGCCGAGCGCGATTACCAGGAGGAATTGAACCGGGCGTTTGTGCAGATGGCTGAGGGCGCATTCAAGGGCCTGCGACGACAGCTGCCCATCACGAGACAGAAGGTCGAGTGGGAGAAGGTGGGCGGTTACCGGTTGGGGCAGGATATTTCTGGTGGAAAGGGACGGTAGGCCAGTTGAGTTGGCGTTGTATGTATAGGGATGATGATTCGTAGTGAGTGTTTGCCAATGAGCGGTTGGTGATGGGGATTACTTAGATTCTACTGAACATTGTTTAGCTTTTATCTTATATTATTTCATGCAGCGCTGCTTCCATTCTGTTATTGATATTGACTGATGCAGGCATTCTACGTTGCTTGTTTGGTCCATGCAGTCGAGGTAATTGAATTCGTTGCCGTCCGATCATGTACGCATATCGACACGCAACCCAATACAACTGCTCCCAGACCCTACCTTACCAAATTGATACAATCCCGAACCATCCCGACCCTACTTGAACTAAGCCACCAATACCAGGATCTAATAAGTCCCCGTCATAACCGACAATCTTCCCCCATCCGTCAACAGAATCGACCCATTCGAATAACTCCCAGCCCGACTCGTCAAGTACAGAATCGCCCCAGCCATCTCCTCGTCCCCGCCGAACCGGCGCGCCGGAATGAATCGCGGATCCTCGAATGTTTCTTCTTCGGGTTTGCGGTTCCCGATCAGCGAGGATGCTAGCTCGGATGGGTAGACTATCACGCATGGACATCAGCGCTCTCATTCCTCCAACCACGGAAGATAACCATATAGAAGGGGAAACAAAGAGAGAGAGAGAGAGAGAGAGAGAGAGAATCTCACCCCCCGGCGCAATCGCATTAACCCTGATCCCAAACCTCGCCAACTGCGTACTCGCATGCTTCGCAACCTGCATCACCGCCACCTTACCGGCCAAATACGGCGGCGACGACGACCAATGCCGACTAAACGCCGACACGCTCGTCGTGAAAATAATCTGACTCTGAACCGTCGGGACAGGGGCATGTGCCGGTCCCAGCACCGGTCCTCCGAACCCGCCTGCCTCCTGGGCTTTCTTGTTCCCGGCATCTAACAGTTCCAGGAAGGCCGTCATGGTGAAGAACGCTGCCGTGACGTTCACATTCAGTGTATCCGTCATGTCCTGCGGATTGAACCCCGTGAATAACGTGTCCCGTAACTCGGATACTGTTGTTGAGGGAGACGGGCTGAAGCGTACGACGGGGCCGATGGTGCCGGAGTTGGCGATCACGAGGTTGACGTAGCCGGTTTCGAGGGTTATCTTTTCCACTGCGGCTTGGAGATCGGACTTTGAGGTCACGTCTGCCTGTATCGGGGTGATTATGTTTGGGTAGGAGGCCGCCGCTGTTTCGAGGACTTCTTTGCGGCGGCCCAGAATGTATACTTTCTTGGCGCCGTTGGAGGCGAGGGCATGGGACATTGTGAGGCCGATTCCTGGAGATGGGCTAAGTCAGTCTCCCCCCCTCTCTCTCTCTGTGCGTGTGTGTGCATGCGTGTGTGTAATGCTGGGATAGATGCATGGGAAATAATGGATATACGAACCGCTGCCTCCGCCGGTGACGACGGCTACGATGCCGTCGACCCGGAAGATGGAGGATGAGTCGGTCGAGGAGGACATTTTAGGGGGAAAATTTAGCTTGGTTTGTTTGCTTGAGTAAACTGATATTCTCAGAGAGTTGTTGTTTGAATGAGAATTCCTGACGTTGATTCCTGGCGCTGGGATCGATACATTTATACATGATCAGACTAGTTGAAAATGTTCATGAACGAGGTCGGAAATAACATCATCAATGGGTTGGTAATCAGGAGAGTGACAAAAGTCCCTTTCTGTATAGAGTTCCATGATAGAAACCTGTCTTGCATTGTTCATCGCCCAAAAACTCGACTCTTATGGCCTCATGGACTGTCGGCCGCAACTCCCGACGAGCGGCCGACGCTAAAAAGTGCTCGACGGCGATCGTGCTTCAATTCCGGACATTCAGTGCATCTGTGATTCGACATATAGCATAGAATGATTGGGAATTACGTGATGGGGAGTACACCTGCTTCAGTCTACTTTGATTGTAAATATGTATATGCGAGTGGTATGAGATTTTTAGTATCTCTCTCTCACGTGAAATCTAGTATCCTCCGCTTGGTGCGTAATTATTTCTAACTTTCCATGGTAAAGCCTATGCATTTCTATGATAGCATGCAGATTATAAAAGAAGCAAGTTTGAGTGGTCTTAACATTTGTTGCCCCATGCACGTCAAAACTATGCGTTGTTAATACCCGACATTCGAGATTTCTTATCAGTTATAACAGGTCCTAAGGCAGAGGGCAGTCGCGCTACTAATTCTAGTAATGGTCGTTCATCATGTTGTGCTCATGCTCATCGTCAGTCTGGAGACGCTGTGATAGCACGTTGGGACATTGTTGGACTGATACACCGAACTAGCAAGCACCGGGTGATTTTGGGTGCAACTTTTCTTATAGTAATGCACTCTGGACTATTGCGGATTCTGGCTTCCAGAGAGTAGGCATGCATATGGAGACTATGGGAACGCACGGAAAGGCTTGAACTGCCAGATATTTTGTGTTCGTAGAGAGATATGGCAAATTGGTGTAATCTGTAAACCACAGTCGAAGCCTTTTTCGGCAGCTTGGGGTTTATCCTAGCGAAGTTGGTTGGTTTAGGAGGGTTTCTAAGATTGTCCGAACTATGAATTTAATCTATCATATGAAGCACGGTCAAATAATGGATTGACAGTTGGATCAACTAAATTTAGGTAGATCCGCAGGTTCAGTCACATCCAGGCTCCCACATGCTGACTTGATCGAAATGATCTCGGAATGATCTCGTTAAATCCGATGCAAGGGGCTCGAGCGCGGCGAGTCCACCGTAATCTCGATTAAAATCGTATTAAAATCGCCATCAAATCAAAAAGAAATTAGACTGGCGTTGGCGCGGAATTCCCCCGACCGCCCCAGATTATCAATCTGTCCCCGTCAATTCCTCTGTCCCTCCCTCCGCTCGTTTGCGAATTCGCTCACGAAGATACATCATTTTTATTCTTGATTTATACATATTTTTACCATATACTTGTATATATATACATGACGGTAAAATGTCTTTAGTATCCAGACCCTCGAAATTTACCCAATTCGCCAATTTCACGCGCACCTCCGCCGGCCTCGAGAAAACCCTCCGTCTGATTCAGGCCGTCGCGCAGATCGCCGCCGAGGTGACCATTGACCGGACGGTCGCAAAGCGATGGGATGCCGCGAAGGGACAGCTGGCGTTGAGTATGTATTCATCTATTCTTGTCTTGCTTTTTTGCGTTTTAATTGAGTGAGATTGAGATATGGTAGTGGCTATACTGATCAATCACGACAAACCATAGCCCGTCGCTTCTTCCGCTTCTTCAACTTCATCGACTGCTTTGATCGCGTGTCGAGTCTTCTGGGAGGGAATGGCTCGAACGAAGGCGTGCTGACGCTGCTGATTGAGCTTGCACGGTGGACTTGTCTAGGAGGGTATTTTCTGTTGGAGGATTTGACTATCGTATGCCTTTTCTCTTTCCCTTGTTGCTCTGGATTAAGTGTACTTTGCACTTTGAACCGACAATGTCCGATCATGAATCAATTGGTTCATGGGAACTTATCATCTATGCTCATGGCCATGCCCATGCTAACCAATCCTAGCTCCACGCAATGAACGTCCACCCCACAACATGGACATGGAATCGCCCCGTGCTCGAAGAAGCCTACAAACTCTGGTTCTATGCGCTATCCTTATCGATCGTCGGCGCACTCTGGAGTTTACTGTTCGTCGTGGGTACCAACTCCTCCGCGAAGGGTGGCAAGAAAGGCGGGAAGAAAGGAGCGGGAAAGACAGGGGCGGGGAATCAGGCGTTGCGCAGAACTCTCCTCAAGCGGATTGTCGTGGATGGTTGTGATCTGTTGATTCCTGGGGTGTTTCTGGGGTGGGTGCAGGTAGGAGATGCGACTGTTGGGGCCGGGATGGTGGTCAGTACGCTTGTTGCTGGGGGGGATATTTGGGCGAGGGTGAATGCATAGAGAGCTACTTTGTATAGATAGAGAAAGAAATAGAGAGAGATTAGAAGTGAAGACCCCGATCGAGAGAAATCAAAACAGAACCCCGTGATCGTTCAGCCCCTGTGACATCATCGGTCGGAGACATCCCGAGATCCCGAGCCTTGTGATTCCATGCAGAACAACAGTCAACTGAGTCCAGTTCTCCTCGGTTTCTAGTTTCTACTAGAATGGCAGATCTACGTGTGTGTCATGAACACACTCCCCCCTAGAGTCCCCCATCATCCGAGTCATGGTCTATGGCCGCCAGCGCAGCCACGGGTGCATTCTCTGCCGCAGGCGTAAAATCAAAGTACGTCGTAGCCACTCGTTCTCGCCCCCTTTTCCCTTGTTATCTGTAACATTGTCTCTATTCCGGCTAAATTGAAGCTAGTGCGACGAACGCAAACCTTCCTGTCGCAACTGCGAATCCTACGGCAAAGCATGTCCCGGCTACACGCGCTCTTCGTTCCCGATTATCTTCCGGAATGAGAAACGTCGCGTTGAGGCGTTAGTACGGAAGTCGCGAAAGAAGTCGCCGTTGGAAGATGGGCCAGGCGCTGCCGATGCCGATGCGGTGGCGGCATCTACATCATTGTCCGTGGACGGCCAGGATGCAAATGCAGCTGCAGATGCAGATGGGTATGCAGGTCCCCGATCCCCGATCACGAGCCCCGCGCGCAGTCCGCTGGTTCTATTGCAGAAGAAGTACATGCGACAACCCGTGCCGAGGTATCTGGACACGCCGTGGGAAGTGCAGAGTCATTGTTTCTTTATGGAGCAGTATACCATGCCGCCGGAGGTGGATGGGAGTCCAGGACCGTTGGACTCGGTGCCGCTGTTGTATTCACTGTGCCAGGAACAAAGTTTCGGTCCGAGCGAGATCCAAGGGGGTGGTGCAGGGAATGCCCCGTTATCATGTCTTCAAGCGGCAATCGATGCCGCTGCGTTCGGGGCTTTCGCGAATAAAGCGCGACTGCCAGGGTTAGGCATCCAAGCGAGACGAAGATACGGACAGGCACTGCGAGAATTGAATCGTGCGCTGGAGAGCGTCGACGATGCGACCAAGACCGAGACACTCGGCGCCATAGTCATGCTCATTATATTCGAGGACGTCAACAACGAGCGCGATCGCTTGCTGAGCACGCATATCACGGGGATCCAGTATTTGTTGAAACTACGCGGCTTGAAACAATTACGTGACCCGGCTACGAGGTCGTTGTTTCATTTCGCCTTTACCCAGATGGTATGCCCTCTTCCGTTCTCTCCTATATACCAGTTAATATGAAGTAACAGTTAACGTCAACAGACAATCCAATTCCTCGGCTTCAATGATCCCCTCAAAATCGACCTCGATTGGCTCCTTGTCCTCTTCACCATCCCGCACCCAATCTACAACATGATGGCCGGGGTGTCGCGGATCGGCAAATATTGCGCCACGGCTACGCAGATGCTCTTGGCAGCATTCTTGTCGCGAGAAACATTGACCTCTCTGCTGGAAACAGGGGAACGGTTAGACCTCGAGTTCAATCAGTGGCACAGAGGAATGCCGGATGAATGGCTACCGCAGCGTATCCCCTCCCCAGCGGGAGGCACACTGCTCGTATACCCGGACACCACGGCTGCAGGGGTCTGGAACTACTATCGCAGCGCGCGAATCGTCCTGCAGAGATGTCTTATTGAGGTTCATAAACGGCTGGATCCGTTCTGCAAGGCCTCCTCCGGATTACCGGATCCGGACGTTAACCTTGACACCCCCGAGGATGTGATTAGAGGTATGATATCCGGTATCTGCGATACTATCCCCTTTGCGCTTGGAGATGTGGATTACTTGGGTCACGCGACAAGGAATCATGGACGGGAGGGAACGGGGTTGAAGGCTATCCAGGAATTTGCGCTCCTGTGGCCGATCTGGAGTATTACGCAGTGTGAACAGGCGACGTGCGGGCAGAAGAGTCTGGCTCGAGAGACGCTGTGGCGGTTGGGGTTGTCGAATGGGATTAAACTGGGGTTGGGGTTGGCTGATGAGAGGACGGTGCTGGGGATGGCTCCTGGGTTTGCATGATTATATAGATAATATGGTCAATGATGAGGACTAAGGCTTCCATATCCACGCATTACCAACGCTAGAGAATCTGACAATCAGGACACCGCTAGAAGGACCATGACTCTCAAAGTACTGTACATGTGAAACTCGCGCAAGACAATCACAAGAATGACACCTGATTTTTACGATGTGCACATGCTGAACCCCCACGGCGCAATCTACACATGTCATCCACTAGCACGGATGATTCATGGAGCATCTCCGCATCTGTCTGCTTTACATACATAGTCCACAAATCCTTCCGTCTCTCCGATATTTAATGATATATGTCGTCGGACGTACGGATCCACGACGCCGAATTGATCCTGGATTTTGTAATCATCGCATGCAGAGAAAAGATACCTGTGGAAGCACGATTAAGGGATATAATATGCTCTAATATTTCCTATCTGGCTGCGAATTCTCCCGGGGACAGGATGTTCGCAGTAAGTGTTGCATGATTTGGAAAAGTACGGAGTATGGCGGGAGATGGAGGAGATAAAGAGTGGGGTGACCGGGCCAACGGAGGAGGGGAAAATGTTGTTGATCTGATTGATACCCAAAGGAATTGATTGTCTCAATGACTCGTGCTCTGGATTGTTTACATGATTTGAGGCATGTAGGAAATAAACAACCTAGTCTATACACATGTATTGTATCGTCTGTCTACTTCTATCTCTATCACCATGCACAAAATACACCCGATCTACACCCACCATACATTCATAACAAAAACGCTGAATGCCAAACCACCAACAAGCAAGGTACAAGACAGTAAACACCCCCCTCCAACTAAGCACTCTTCGCATCCCTCTCATCCAACAACTCCCGAATATGCTCATTCAACCAATACCCCTCCAACTGCTCCCTCGACATCTCCTTCGCCCCCTTAATATACCCCTTGCAGCTCTCCGCCCCGCACTTACACTCAAACGCCTGATCCATATCCCACTCGCTACTGGGATAGAAGAAGGTAAGCGTGTCGCCGACCTTCAAGTCCCGGTCCGCGACCACCCGCACCTCCATCTTCCCCATGTCGAAGTCCAGCGTCGGCGCGCATGAATGGTTGCAGTACACCAGGTCTGAGTTCAGCTCGATGTGGCTGTCGCGGCCGGTTTGCACGGACGTGTAGGCTTTGTGTGACGAGGTTGTGCCTGTGATCGGCGTGAAGAGGGATCCGGCGGGCAGGGCGATCTGGGAGATGGCGCCGGAGGCGAAGGGTTTGGGGGAGCGGTGGACGTGGAGTTTGTTGGGGTGCGTAGGAGGGGTTTCTTTAGGGGTTGTGTTGCTAGTGGTAAGAGGGTTCTCGAGGGCGATGGGAGGCATGGTTTGTTTTTGGATGGAGATAGAGGATTGGAGAAGTTGGAGAGTCAATCGATCAAGTAATAAGTAGATCTGAGCTGTGGTAGTAAACAGAAGACGGAGGGTGTACCAAGGATTGAGAGTTTCAGACTTGAAATCAAGAAACTGTCAGGTAGAGGGCCAGCAGACAGCATTTAAGCTACTCCATGTCTTGAGTCTTCTGAGCTCTCCCCCGCCATGGTGGGGTCTGGCAAGTCTGGAATGCGCAGCAAAATGCCTCATCGCCCGTTGAACCGAGGTAGAATGCAGAGCGCTGCCTGCGTTCTCAGGCAGGCATGACCGCATGCGGACGGCGGCGCCGCTTTGGGCCAAGACGGCACGTGCGTGTGTGGCCTGAGAGGTCAGGCATGAATCGGAGAAACCTCGGAGGAACGTCATCCCGTGATTGCTGCCTGAGGTGTGAGGCATCCCGGAACAGGAACAAAAAACAAGAATAGACTCAACCTCGACCGGATCCATCCATCCTCCCACTAACAACTTTATTATCGGCGTTGAGCGGGCCAAAAGCCAATTCGCCTGGTTTTTGAGTTTGTTCTCGTCTCGAGAATGGAGTTGAGGCCGGCTGCTCCCTAATTTTGCGGGGATCAAGAATGGTCTTCTTCAGTTGTTGTCCCTGTCCTGTTCCTGTCTCCTGCGGCGTTCTTGCAGGATGTTCTTCCTCGGCGCCTCGCCCTATCTGATGGTCTGTCCGGTCGCACGATACTCGCACGATCAGATTTAGCATACGTCGATCGATCCCTCTCTTGTAAGCCGCCCGGGCTCGATAACTTCGCCTTTGTAGGAAGCTGCTCTGCCCTACCTGGTTTAGACCTGATGAACCCCGGCTAGGCCGTTCCCATTTCCAGGGCCTGCAACGCGGCCATTGTCAATAGTCGCAGAGCTATCGATCGGACGGGAGTCGGCCTTTGTGGAGTCATGACTTGCATCCTGGCATTTCTTTGTTGTACCGCTGTAACTGCTACCTTATTGATGCCGTGGGTACTCCTCGTTGTCTGAGTACGGAGTTGGTGGCACCCTTATCCGCAAATAATTCCACAGGGCCACGCAAAAAATAGCACCACTTCCCAGGTACCACCCTGAAGGCGCTCCATTAGAGTGAAAAACGTTGTGTGCCGTTTGTGCGGTGGATATCGGAGAATTTGCGATGCAGGTACGCATGAATGAATGGCCTTGTGTTACGCTGTTGGTCGCCATTCCCGGTCGCGTCGGATCGTGCAGTCACTACGGAGTCCTCCGGATTGAGCTTGCAGATGGCACATGTCAGACGGTCGACTCAAACCCTCGCTTATGCTGGGGAGTCAGGGCTTTCATATGAATTACGCTGGAGCAACTGGAGCAATTAATTTCTGAGGATTCCTCGGAAATTGCACCTGGTTGGCCTCTGTGTGGCCCTCTGGCCGACACTAACGTCCGGAAAATGAGCGACTCGACTCATGCGGGCTTCAATTGACAAAAGTGACGAAAGATAAGAATCGATCAGGGGCACATCGGGGACCATGCCAGATTTTTCAGCTCGCCATGGATCGCGTGGGCTCCAGCAGATAATCCCGACTTCCTGGATAGGGTAGGAGCCATACCACACGGTGATCCGTCCTGACTTCTTTGGCTTCAGAATCCTGATCCTGGTATGATGCTTCCTACTCAGACCCAAGATCACAGCCCGTGGCATCGGCTGGTAAAGTTTACTAGCACGGTCCACCTTACCACGTTCAGCTGCGCCGATCCCTGATCATGAATCGATAGTTTGAGATGATCGAGATTACTTGCCGAGAGAGATTTCTAATTGCCTGCCCGCTTGACTCGCTTCGGTATGGCCGACCCACCGTCCCACGGGTCTCCGCTGCGACTATGGATGTTTATGATTTGGTCCTTTGGAGCCTTTGTCCAGATCTACATGGGAAATTGGCACCTGTGCTGGTCCGGCAGTTTTTTGCGTGCGATGGTATTAAGTGGGCTTTTGTCACCCAAACCGCCGCCGTCGCGCTGTCACCTTGTCTCTTTTTCTGGATCCTTTTTCCTGCGGCCGTTTTTTCCTCTTTTTTCTTTTTTTTTTTTTTTTTTTTGGTCCTCTTGTTTTAAATGGCCTGGAGTCGTCCTTCCTTTAGTTGATTTGGCCGTTTTTCCCAACTTTATTCACCCTCATTTAATTCTGTGTCCCCGTCGGGTAGCAGAAACAAACAAAGAGTCACCATGGGGTCCGAACTCGGCATCACCCCCGACTCGAAGCCCCAGGCAGTCTACACCCCCGTGGCTATCTGGTGGGCTGCTTGGGCTGGTATCTGGACCGTTGCCGTCTCTTTAGGCATGGCCTATCTCATCGTGAATCGCGACTCGCCCGTTCTTCGAATTCGAGGTATTGGTCTTTCATTATCTGCCATCGTTTTATTACATCTATACTGGGGCTGCTGCCAGTTTGGCGTCATGATCGGGCCACTGATGCCCGGCGACGTCCAGTTCTGGGTTATGGGCACTTACCTTCCTTGCGGCATTGGGCTGTTCCACGCGGCGAACAGCCGCTTCCTGCATGTGGCCAAATTGCAGAAAAAGTATGCCGACCATGACAGTCGCCAGAGTGTTGATTCTCCTCCGGAGTTGGAGAAGGGCAAGGAAAAGAAAGGATTGCCGGGAAGGTTTAAAAGCCTCGACTATACCACTCGGTCGTTGATTATTGTTGGGATTTCGGTGTTTGTGCAGGTAAGGATTGTGTATTGGTTTTGGACTCGACACCCAGCTGACAATCTGTTCAGATTTTTCTTCTTGTCTTGATGTATATCATCTCTCGCAAGTGGCACTCGTCTTGGGGAATTCCTGGTACCGAGGTTCACGGCACGCCGATGGAACAGGCGACGGAGCAGGGTCGAGGATGGGAGTGGTAAGGATCCTTGATGCTAACCCTGTGTATACCGATTGGGATTAACATGTTCAGGTGGCCGAGTGTGGTTTACCAGTTTGTATGGGCTTGGATTCTGGCCCCTTACCTTCTATGGAAGTCTCGCAACATCCGCGATACCCAGGGCTGGCGAGTCCAAACGATCGGATGCTGTCTCTCCAGGTAAGAACAATGTCTGACTTATTTCAACCTCTTCTAACCTGCCAGTCTCCACGGCACTCCCATGTGGCTCATCGGCCTCTATGTCGATGGTATGGCACCGGTCAACGCGGTTTGGATTCCTCCGCAATGGTACGTATCCGCACTCTGTCGCGCAATCCCCACTAACGTCCGCAGGATCTGTCTATCCATCGTCTTTATCGAGATTTTCACCGTCTTCCTCCCCTGCTGGGAAGTAATGCGGCACCAATCCCTTCGAAAAGAAACCCTCGACGCTATTGCACAATGGGAGGCTAAAACTAAAGGCTCCGGTGCTGAAGCGAAATCCCTCAGTTCCATCTCCACAATGGTCGACTCGATGATGTCCGGCTGGAAATCCGCTCACGGCTCCGTCACCACGACCTCTAGCAACCGCGACAGCATCCTGACCATGGGCGCGCTCGAATACGTGTTACAGCGCAACCCAGCACCCTTGCAACAATTCTCCGCCCTGCACGACTTCTCCGGCGAGAACATCGCTTTCCTCACCAGCGTCGCCGAATGGAAGGGATCCCTGCCCAAACCCTCCCCTCCGCCGTCGAACAAGAACGGCACCCTCGACTTCCTCACCCCATTTGACTCCTCTCCCGCCGGTCAGGACAAGGACAAAGAACTCGTCCACGAGCGATTCAACCGGGCCCTGCACATCTACGCCAAGTTCATCAGCGTCCACCATGCCGAGTTTCCCGTGAACATCTCGTCTCAAGATCTGCGTAAGCTCGACGCCATCTTCGAGCATCCCGCGCGCATCATGTACGGTGAACATAAAGAAAAAGTCGACCCCGCGACGCCCTTCGGCCCGCCTCCGGGCTTCGGGTCCTTCGAGCCCCCACCATCCCCGACGGCAACCGAATCCTCGCAAAAGGCCTTCCGCTGCTCAGTGTCTATCATCGGCGACCGTGTCCAGTACTGGGGCGACGTGCCGGATAACTTCGATGCGACCGTCTTTGACGCCGCGGAGAACAGTATCAAGTACCTGGTGCTGACGAATACGTGGCCCAAGTTCATCAAGAGTCGACGTGAGTCGGCGGGTTCATCTGAGACTGCTGCGTCGAGGGACCCGGACGTCGAGCTTGGAGATATGGGTGGGATGCGAGAGGAGGGTCGGTAGAGGTGACCCTGAGCGTCGAGCGGTCACTAACTCACTCTCTATGTTTTCCCTATCTTTGTATGTCTTGCAGTCGTGACTGGATCGGATCTTATTGGATGCGTTGTAATGTGTTTGGATGGCTCACTGGTTTCTTGGTTTTGTATATACCCATATCATGTATCTAAGATAATGTCTTATTTTTCGGAGGGTTGAGAATGTGAAGGAAAACGTTGTCACATGAGTCTAATTTTGACGTCTGCGGCGTGGTACTATACTATACTTATTTGTCGAAGTTGGATGCATATCCCGTATGAGACGTCCGATAAATTCAAGCTCATAGTCGGATCGATACATTTTATGCCTGGCTGGTCCTCACAGGTCGAGGGACTTAAAGAGTCTCATGCCTCTCCTGACCCATGAAACCCTTGCTAGGAGTTTCATTGCGTGTATGTCCACTTTCCGTGTCAAGTCAGTATTATATGTTAGATTGCTGTCCTGATCAGCAATTCTGGTCCAGTTACACTTGGTCCCGAAAGACATCATCACGCTCTTACACAAGTTCCTTTCTAGATGAAGTAAAGGAAATAAAACAAGACCTACGATCTACAAATGGAAGGAGATTGTCAAGCATTATTGGATTCTCTTCATCTATCTACCTGTAAGTATCCAGAATATGTCTAAAGGAGTGTAGGTAATGTAGGATGCGTCACACGTCCCATGAGCCAGCAAATTAGCATCGATCATGCACGCAATACAACAATCAGAATACAACCGTCCTAGAAGCAAAATCAAAGCAAGGCTAAAGGAATGTAACCAGGTCAAATATCCTCCGAAAAGTATCATCAATCAGCAAATTCCCAGGCACCCTCTCCCTTCAGAAAGAAATCCCTTAACATTCATACTCAACCCACCACCCCGTCTCCTCATTCTGCTCCAGAAACACACTATCCTCGTGCTCCATCTTCAACCGAAACAACATATCCTCCTTGCACTCAACAACCGCGACGAGATTCGACCGCGCCTCGTCTCTCTCCGGCCAGAATGCAAAGTTCGCGTTCCCGACCCTCTTATTGTTGTTCTTGTCGCTGCCAACGTACACATCCACCGACGCGTTGCCTCCGGCCTTGAAATTGCGTTTCAGGGGCACGGCCCACCCGATGATGCAGGACTTTGCGGTTGCGGGGAGTTTCCAGGAGATGAGTTGTTGCTGGTCGGTCGTGGCGGTTTTGCTGACGTTGAAGTTTGTGGTGGGCACTGGGGAGCTGTTGGGGATGAGGGTTTGGGTGAGGGGTTGGAAGAGCTTGGTCTTTTTGCCGCTGGGAGGGCAGGTTGGATTTTTCTTGGGAGAGGTGGAGGGCTTGTCGGTGGGCTCGTCGGTGGGTTTCTTTGGGGGGTTGGGGTTGGTGTCGGTTTCGGGAGCAGGGCACGAGTTGCTGGGGGGTTTGGTCTCATTCTTGGTGGTGTCCTTGGGCTTCTCGGGATTCTTGGTGCCCGGATCAGTGCAGGAGACGCCGGGAGGGTTCGTGGTGCCAGTCTCAGGACAGGAGACGGGTGGAGGCGTTGTGCCGCCGGTTTTGTCCGGGCAGCCTTCTTTCAGCGCACAAGGATCGACAGAGCAGCAGCCTCGGAAGTTGTTTAGAGCACAGACGTAGAAAGCCTTGCCCGCTGGGCACTGAGTGTCGTCGCGAGCAGTCAAGGCCATGTCTGACCGAGCTCGTTCAGTGGGCAGCGCAGTGGCCAGAGGAGCGCAGACGAGGCTGGCAACCATGCAGACAAGAGAAGCGCGGAACAACATGGTGAACAAGACTTCTGTTTGCTGGTGGAGGATACTGTTGAAGGAAATGAGAATGATGAGAGGGAAATTGTTTGAATTGTGGATTCGAAATCAGGATCGTTTGAGAGACCGTGATTGCGAGACCGTGATTGCGATGTTGTTGTTTCTGATGAGCAGATGGATTCCCCGGCGAGGATGAAGCCATATTTATAGGGATCTGGGGAAGATTCCGGTATCTGCATGAGACATAGAGATTTCCATCTTCCTGACAGCGAAACCCTGCCCTCGAGCGGGACTCTCCGTATAGTCCAAGCGGATGATTCCATATCCAAAGAACCAGGATCCCAAAATTAGAGCATCAGGTGCAAGGCGCAGATCACATTTCTTTGAGCCTCCGGACAACGGGCGCCGATGTTGGGAACTATTGGGAACTAACTAAGACAGGGCAAGGCAAGGCCAATTTGCTTTCTTTGTCTGCTTGTCCAAGCCCGCTAACTTGCTTCCGCCAGCTAATAGCTAAGTCGTTACCTATCATATTGAGTTTGAACTGCGCCTGTATGTCGCTGTCAGCCAAGACCCCAAACTGCGGAGTAGGGCTGTGTTGATCCAGTGACCGTCCTATGAGAGGCCAGGGGAAACCATGTATACCCGGTAGGGCGGATCCACCGGATCCTGTTGATTCGTGGATCTATTATTATGATGGTGCTAATTAGCTAGCTTCTTAGCTTGCTAGCTTGGACCATGTGTTTCTCACCCGTGGTATCTAACCTGGAGCTATAGTGGTTGGACGAATCATGGTGGCTGCTACTCCGAACTGTCTATGGTTACATCCGAACGTCGGGTGGAAGTGAGCTATCCGGCTTGGGTTCCGTAGACGTAAGACATTAATATAACTAACTGAGTTATGCTTTCTTTGTCATTATAGATGGTAACTGGAGGCTGTGCTGCGCAATATCCAGATCGGAGAAGTACATGTGTAGGTAGAGCTGTTGGGCTTAAATCGTGAACTACCCCGGAGACAACGTGGATAGCATCATGGCATGTGCTATAATTAGAGAATGGAGCGGTATGTTATCTGGAAGACAGCAAGACTGTACTATTTTGGACATGGCTTGTTTTCGTGGAACGTGGTTATACGAATCACGGAGTAACATGAGCTCGGTGTTGGGCCTCATCTCCGGTCGTATTATCCATCTTCGTGAAATCCACAAGGGAGACTAGGTAACCATATCAATTACAACAAGGGCTTCGGTGTCGCCAATACAGAGATTCGGTAGAGGAACAGCCTACTGTCGATTGGTCAGCTACCACAGAAGGACCGGATATGCTGTTCAAGGATGATGTCACACAAAACATGTCCCCTCGTAGCCTTTCTTCGAAGAGATGCGTACGATAAACATCGCTTCGCTTGTCCCAAGAACAGTGTAGACCCAATTCAAATCCGCAGTCCGTTAAAGAGTCCGCATTCTCTTGGCCGCTTCCAACAGTTCCATTCAAGTAATAGAGGCTAGTAGTCAAATCCCTTCTGGACTTTTATCCAACCTGCTTGTTTCCCGCCTCTCACAACTTTGAGGCTTCACTTTGGCTTCACTTTCCTTCGGCCGGTCCGGATCATGTGGCTTCCAGTTCCAGAGCCCAGCTTCAAATCTGGCCACCAGCCTTTCCTCCTCAGCCCAAAGCTCCTTGCGTTTCTTCTCACTCTCTTTCCGTTCTTCCTCAGTTTCGACCGGCTCGGCCTGCTTCGATTCCTCGAGAGGAATGGATTTCTCCCGACCATCAAGCATCATCTGCAGAGTTCCATTCAATTTATTCAGCTTGAGGATCTCGAAAACAGAGCGCCCCGAATCCTCCGTGAAGTAGTACCGTCATCCAGCCGTGAATAAACATTCGACATCTCCAGATTCCGCGGTGGTGTGCATGATGCGACAGGGTTCTCAAGACCGCAGCAATTTGTCCAATGCGCTCCAACCCCATCCACACTCTGGTTCAACAGCTCGGGGTCCATAGTCCACCCCTCAGGCACTTGTTCTTCGGGGATCTAAAGGGGTAGTTTATGTTCGACTGGATGGCATCAGGAATAGGTAATAGTCACTTACAGTTGTGTCGCTCATATTTGGAGACAGCAAAGAGCGAAGATTGGGGGATATGCATTCGAGGCGAAGATGGGGGTTGCTCAGGGTGACGACGAGCGGAACCTGCTATTAGAAGGGCTCGAGTCACCTGACTCCATGCCCCCCAAGGTTCACTGAAGCATAAGGTAGATCCACGTTTAAAGTATCAACAAAGTAAAAAGCCCATGGGCAGTGATCGTGAGTCCTTGCATACTGGTGGTATCAGATTTGCAACGCCAAAATTTGTGGGACGATCCAGGACGTAACGCATCAACCATTGATCTTTATCCTAGTCAGCAAGTATCTCAGGCATACAAGATAACGAACCTCTCCAGAAGTAAATTCAATGCCAATCCGTAGATTGACTTGTCTGGTGAAAGCATTCCGTAGCTTTTCTCTTTACAGAGCCATTTCGAAGCGGGCGACCGATCACAGAGAAGACATGTGGGGTTGTTAGAGGAATTTGGTCAAGGCATGGGCAGTATTGACTGTTCTACAGTTTTAAAGTGTGCGTTCAAACACTGGACAATTCACTGGAGGTGGGAAGTGAGAAGGTGGTCTTGCAATAGTGAATGGATTGCTTAGGACGTCTGCGCACCAGAAAAAGCACTCTTGACAATGCCATTTCTATATTCCAATAGGAAACTGGCTGTAGGTTCGGCAACATCAGAACCCATAACAACATTGTCATTGCCCCCATAAAGTATTGTAGAAGCATCGTATAAACTATCCTTGATCATTTTATCTGAAACCCGAATATCACACTTATCGAAGCAATTTCCTTTTACGATTCAAGTCATGGAAGTCATGGGTAGTTATTGACTAGATTTGCCTTGAAGCTACAATTATGCATTTATGTCACAGTCAGGTTTCTGGAGATAATTGCCCGTTCTACCCTGGGCCAAAAGTGCGGAAAGATCAATTGCGCAGGTCAGTCGTAACCTTTAGACGTGAATTATTGGGAACTCTAATAATCAGAACAGATGCTCAGGTGGTCCCAAATGGCACTACAGATTTAGGAATTGAGCTTGAGGCAACCAAAAGGCAAGATCATGGGCAAATATCCAACCATATTATCTCCGACAATACCGGGAGTAAGCTGTCATCAGGCGTGGCTAATTCTCCTAGTTTTCACGATGAAGTTAGTCCCCTTCCTCTTATTAAACCAGTACCATCCCTTCCTGCGAACTCGAAAATCGTGGTTTTTCTTGACAGCTGGACAACCAAGGAAATGTTTGGGTATATCAGCTTCCAAGAACGCTCGATGATAAGCATACCAGCGAGCCCCCGGGCAACGATCCCAGATTGTGCCTATGTATCCATGGAATTCTAGCATTTCCTCTACGTCGTAGGTGCAAGCTCGGCAGTAGACGCCTGATTCGAGTGTCTGTGTCTGGCGATTCCAGTATGGAAAAGTAGCCGTCGCCCGCATCTTCAAAGCAGTCTCGTTGCCCTCTTCCATATACTTCTTTAATCGGGGTTTGATTAATAATTTGGGAGGGGGCCCGTTCGATCCTTCCTCGTACCATTTACATAGCCGTCTGTTGTGATATTTCCTGCGTCTATTCAATTTGGCCTGGAATGCTCGGTCGAGTGCGTCCTTGCTACCATGAACCTGTAGTGCCAAGGCCTTTGCTTGGGTGATATTAGCGAAACGGCGTGGAGGTCGCAAGTCGAGGCTGTGGATGATTGGAATCTTTCTCATTTGCTTGAATGATAGCGCCAAGTTGAAGCGAAGTACTGATATTTCCGCAATTTCGTACTCGGGTTCGACGAAATTGCATTTGTAGCACGAGCGAGTAGCAGTTGGGAAGTGGAGGAAAGGTCCAAAATCCCCACACGTTCGACACCAAGGTCGACAGAACTCGGCAAAGAGCCAGGATATGGGGAAATACTGCGCGCACTTCGTGGCGGCCATGAGTCGGAGCGTATCCGAGGCATGTCTTTTCAGTAGAGAGTATGCAGGAAATGATTCCACTATAATTCTCCCTGTCGTATTGACCCGACGGAGCATTCCTATACTGAGTAGGTCTAGTTCAAGGAGAATGGAGTGTACGATCTCGAGGGGAAGAGGGAAAAAGGGCGGAGGCTGTTGCTTGCTCTTTGACAGCTTCTTTCGAGGAGCCTTGTATAGCTTTGCGGGGTTGGGCATGGGCGGTCGATCGCATGGAAGGACCACCCAGTTCGGAACCTTGCACCGATATGCAGTACCGGAAGCCATACTGACGGGAAGGACAATGTCGGTGAATCTGTGAAGTGAAGTAAGCAGAGGAGTGAAGCCAAAGCAGGGAATAACTCCGCATTGGGTCATGATGGCGTATCCCAACCAGAGGAATGGCCATCACCTGACGTGGTATGTACATACATGTACCTCCCCCAGCTCCAGGGCTGTCCTCGGAAGAACGCTTTAGGAGGAGGTGTGACTAAAACCGCCTTCTAATATAGGTAACTGGCTGTCCCGGTAGATAGTCTTCTTTGTCTTGCACTTTCCACCTTCGCTATCACCTTGCTTTTCCTTTCTATCCCCCAAGCGAGATAGCTAAGAAACGCGTGAGCTCACAACTGGCCTTCTTATCGTGAGTTGATCTTGCGTTCTCTTCTCTTTTGAATACCTTTGTTTGAGCTAATCAGGAGCAGCTAACACCCGCGTTTCAGCTATTGATCCTTTATTTATCCTTCAAGTCCACAACACCTCGGCCTCTAATCGCGAACAAACCGCCAGTTTCCTGCCTTCTGTTCCCTTGTCACCACAATGTGAGCAAATGTCCACCACGTTTTGTCATATGCGAGCCCTAACGTTCCAAGGTGCCACGAAATCATCTGGGTGTACTCCTGCGCTTGCGAAGCAGCAAACAAAACCTTCTTCCAATGCATTCCCCGCCGCGGAACGAATGGGAAATGCGAGCCGTTGGATCCTCCAGTGTATGAGCGTGTTAACAACCCATGCCACGATCATTGTGTGCCTGTTTCTGATGAAGTCTCTCGGAGAGAAGGCGTTAAGGACCGGCGGGGAGAAAGAAGTGGATGAGAAGAGATGAGAAGGCTGAAGTAGAATTCTCTGGTTGTGATGATGTGTATTTCCTGAAACTGAAGTGAACTTGCCTGCTATCATTGATTGCCATGTTTTTCAGGCCTTGCTCTTTTTGTAGTCACATGGAGGTTGATTGCCCGATCCAGAAGACAGGTGAGTTCCCCCCTCCAGATTTCCCCTCTTGTTCTCGCTCGTGCTCCATCGCGTCCCGCTGTCAAATCATCTAGCTGCATCAAGATCGCCGAGGACTGCGAACAGTTCGACGAATTCTTCTCTGCCTTCACCAAGAACATCTACTTTGGCGTCCACGTGGACGCCCAGAACCCTGGCCGAGCTCATCTGGCCCCAGCACATCATGTAAAAAGGAGCCTAAGACTAAGGTTCCTTTGTTTGCTCATCGTTATTAGGTGTAACTGGACACACAGCCGTTACGCCTGCGGTTGCCTCACGGAGGCAATCTGGATGACATGCGAATTACACCAAGGCACCAACGGAAGGTGCGAGCACGAGGAGCCCGAACAGGAGAACGTGCTCCGGCATTACTGCCGTGTTCATTCTGTGGTAGGTGCTCAGGCAGTCTTAGGCTTCCTTGACGGCCCCTGGCACCCGCTCGGCCGCGGGGTAAGGGGGGGGAGGACCAGGACCAGGACGAGGAGGACGAGGAAGAGGAGCTGGAGGAGGAAGAGGCGGAGGAAGAGGGAGAGGCGGAGGAAGAGGCGGAGGAAGAGGAGGTAGAGGAGGAAGAGGGGGAGGAAGAGGGGGAGGCCGAGGAGGCCGAGGAGGAGCGATAGCAGTAGCTGTTGCAGCAACAGGAGCCGGCGTCCGGGCCCTCCGCAGCGGAAGAGCGTATTAGAACGGAGGTAGGTAGTTTTACGATCAAACCAAATGCGAGTTCACTCTTTTTCGATACCTGTGAAGCAAAGATGTAGCAGGAGAAAAAAAAAAAAAAAAAAGGCTCAGTAGATGGCGCGCCTTCAGGAAGCCATACGCTCAGCACGGCTCTGTAGCTCCTTCACCATATCGATCCCGACCTTTGTAGCTTCATCCAAAGTCTCCTCCGGCAACCCAAGTATTTCATTCTGCGCCTTGGCCGAAAAGTTGCTCGCATCATCCGGGTAAAACGCTCTTGCGTAGAGCAATTTACCAAAACCAGCCATGTTCCCACCTTTAACCTGCGCCAGTCCTTCCTCGTATCGCTTCTTCGTGGCCTCGTGCGTGACTCTCCAGTCCGCGTCAGTGGTTCCGGTAACACGCTTGACGCTCTCAAACATCTCGTTCTGGCTGACGACAAAGCTCTTGATGTACACGCCTTTGTTGAGGAACGTCGACAGCGTAAGGCTCTGGTCATTCTCGTCTTCTGGAAGCTCATTGAGGCTCAGTACCTTGGCCACGGCCCGTCCGACCTGCGATAACGTGGATGTGGTGTTTTTGGTGTTTCCGTCGTCGTAGATGGTCAGGGAGCGTTTGTCAAAGTCGAACCCGAATCGTGCCTCGCCGCCCGCCAAGCTGTAGTCGTACCAGAAGCCACAACACACGGTGATCCACTGCATGCCGAGTTTCTCGATCTCGGCTCGATTGGCGATGGCGACCGGGCCCAGTAGTGTCTCCTCGCCGAGTTTGACGTTGTCAATGTCACCGCCGTACCCGTTCGGCATCACGTAGGGAACACCGGCTTTAGCGGCGGCCTGGACGAGCTTGCTGTGGGCGTCGCGGGGCGCGATAGGTGACATGGTTATGATCAGGAACTGCTGGTCCTTGAGGGCGGCGACAATAGAAGCCTGGTCGTCGTAGTTGACTGGGGCGACTAGGACGCCCGCGGGGAGTTTGTTGGGACTGTCTTTGCGGGAAAGGGCCGTGACTGTGTGTTTCCCGGTCTTGAGGAGGGCTGCGGTGATGTGCGATCCAACTGTGCCTCCGGCCTGAGGATGTTTCTTAGTGTTGTTGTGGATGTGGTGGTGTGAACTGGTTTACTTACTCCGACAATAGCGACTCGCTCGATGGCGTTGCTGAAGCCGGTGGGCTGATCTTTGGCGTATCTCGGCATTTTGGGTTCCAGAAGCAAGAGGAAAGATAAAAAGGAAGAAGAAAAGGACGTCGAATGAATTCGTGAAGTTATTGATTGTTGTGATTGTGAATGGTGAGAGCAGGGAATCCCCGTCCATTTATACATTCGAGCTTCCAGCCTTGAGTCCTCTATCGGACTTAGGGACTCCGATGGGGCCAACCTAAAGTCCGCGCATCTCCGCCGCCGCCGCCTCACGCCAACACCTTCGATGCGGCGATGGATAAGCGATAAGTCCGCAGTAGCCGCACCAAAGCCGCTTACGGCCGCTGGCACTTTTCATTCGCGGAATTCCGAGTCTGCCCAAAATTGTACAATCCAGAGGATCAAAATCCTACTAAGAAGGACAGGATGACATGCGATCTATCAGTTTCTTGCAGTGATTTGGAAAACCATGTCCAACAGCCGATACGCCACTATAACTGGGCGTCCCAACCGAGCATCGAAAGATACGGGTCGACGAAGAACTGGTCCCAGTCCAGCTCCCAGCTCATGTCTGGCGCAGAGTTGCGGGCCTCAGTTGCTGGCTGCGGCTGAGAGAATCCGTAGCTTGCCTCGACAGCTTCCAGCTGCGCAAGCTCGTTGCGCTTCTTTGCCATTTTCAGGCTGAGTAGATGTCGCGCCATGGACAACGCCTCACGCGTGAGTCCTGTATCGGCCGCCTTGACCAGGGTTTCCAAGCCTTTGAAGGCAGTGCCGATGTGGACGGAAGCGGTTGGCGTGTCTATTGCCAACAGAACGCAGGCATACTGGAAGACACTGCCAATGACGTTCCAAAATAGACGACCGTGGTTAGCGAGCTGTTCGGCCGCCTCCACACCCGCGTTGCCGATATCGATGACGAGCTTGATAAACTCGTCCGGTATCCAGGACTTGAGTTGGTATGCGCGTCTATAGAAGCAAAGAGCGATGTCTGCCTTGGTTACCACCAGGAACGGATGAGTGACTTGGAATTCGTCCAATGCCTTCAAACGCTCAAATAGCTCTTCATTCGGACTTGAAGGCTGCCGTTCAAGTTGAAACGGCGAGTTAGGCGCCGGAATGATCTGGACTAACCGTACAAACTGGTCTGCAGCGGAATCCGGGGTCGGGATGATACCCTGACAAGTCACAGCCCGAAAGTGTACCGCCGAACAATCTTGCTCATACGACAGCATGTTGTGTCCCGCCCAAGCGAACCAAAAAATACCCCTCAGCCGGTCGGCATCATATCCAAGGGTAGCGGCGCTGGATGTGGACGCCATCTTCTTGATGTTCCCTTCCTCGTGCAACCCCACTGTCTCACAGAGGTGCATGAGGGTGCAAGAAGCGATCCAGGCATTGTTAGGACGGGTCGTGGCGCGCAGGTAAAGCACTCGCAAGCCCCACGCGACTATGTGGTCGATGCTGTGCATGCGCATGGAAGCGGGATCATCGAGAATGGCTTTGGCGTACTGCACCAGGTCAGACTCTCGCGGGTGTCTCTCGGGAGATAGGAACGACCCAAGACTAGCTACGCCAGCAGCTACTGCAGCAAACGCAACTTGCGTACTACCGGGGCCATGGTAATAATCTTCACATCGGTCGAGAAAGATTCGGGGGTCAAACAGGTCCCCGATAGGGGCCAGGACCGCGGAGTAAACACCTGCGAAGTGACGGAGGTCTTTCAAGGAGATGAGATTCCCGAGAAAGCCGTGCGTGTTGGATGTCTCTTCAGGTCGGATGCCGAAGTTGTAAGCAAATGACCGCATCTTGGGAGGGCTGTCAGAACCGAGAGCCACGCCGAGGATGTGTGGAAATGCCATGGCCGCTGACGCCCCGGCGTATCTGGACTTGTGCGCGTCAAAGATGCCTGTTGACGGGCTGGCTACGACAGTGAGGCTGTTCGTCGATGAGCTATCGGTTCCATGAGGGCCTTGCTCTACATGAGATCGGCTATTTAAACGACTTCTGCGACCATGGGCGATACGCTTGGCTTGGGGCGGGTCATCAACTCCACCACCCGCGGTGCCAGCGGTATCTTCGTCGGTGTACCTGCAGTCGTAGTCATAGCTCGTGCACATGCCACAAGGATATTCGGTGTCGCATTTCCGCTTGCGCTGATGGCAAGGGATGCATGCCTTCCTGGCGCGCTTGCGTCTGGAGATTGTTGTAGGCATGACAGCCAAGAGGATTTGAATTTCAAAGCCTCTTGCTGTAAAAGTACAAGTGCACTTGATCAGCGCGATTAGTGTTACAGGCAAGGCCCGAAGCGAGCGAATTTCGTGATAGACACGCTAGGGACTCGGTTATGGGGGACGATGTTGTTGCGCGGTGTTGTGGCAGGCGAGTTGACTAAGCCGGCATTTTCATCGCCTCACTTAACCGATTAGATCCATCGCTTGACGAAATGGTATATACACTGTTCTATGATATAACGATATTTAATTAGCAAAATAGCAGTAATACGTTCTTATGATATTGTTCTTATTTCATAAAACCTTTGGAAAAGCTATAACATCTGCTCGTTGTGACCGTTGAGTTGTCTTGATCATAGGCCAAGAGTCTGAATTATATACATGGCCTTCAAAGCTCTATTTGGTGAATACGAGCTTAGATTTGAACCCCTCAGATAAGCAGATACGCTCATGACTGGAAGGTACACTGTATATTATCAAAGGAATGGTAAGGATTTGCCTAAAAAATAAAAAATAAAATACAAAATAAAAATTTACTGCGATAAAACGGTTTTTTATTTAAAAGATCTTCAAGCCAACTACTTACCCTAAGGGTTGTTGGTTGACATACTGCAGGCCTGTGATGAAGAAAAAATACCGCCCGAATACAGTCTGTTGTTACAGTGATTAGTTGCATCCCATTTCTGCCCAATCGATTTGTTGGGCATCAGTTCCTCAGCCGTGCAAAGGATATGTTAGGACCCACCTGCAGATCATCTTTTTTTGACCGTGTCCCTGAATATCCATTTATCTCCTGTGAAGCTTGTTACTTGTTGGCCCTCCCTGCATTGGCATTGTTGCTAGATGTTAGCATTGCATCTAACTAAGAGCACGCGCAATGACGGATCCTATATCCATCATAAGTCTAGTGGACATAGTATTCGGGAAATGTCTACAATTATATAAATTCATCAGCTCAGTCGCCGAGGCAGGAGACGAGATCAAGCACTTGTTATGGCAGCTAGAAGGATTTCAAAGACTTCTGCCCCATGTCAAAGCTTTTGCAGAGCAAATCGAGATTTCGCCATCCTCGACAGACAACAATGTAGCTCAAGATACTATAAGGCCGACGTTGCAGGCTTGCCAGGTAGAGTTCCAGGCAATATTTGATCTTACTGACAGCCACAATCTTGCGAACTTGTCAACTCTCAAAGGTACTGCAAAGAAAGTATCTTGGGTTTTGGACAGCGGTCGTATTCAAGATCTCTCAAAGAAGCTAGACACCGCCAAGATGAACATGTCTCTCGCTCTTCAGATCTCAGGAAGGTTGGTAATATTACTGCCTGTGTAGAAGGCCATCGCTGATGGACATTCTGTAGGTTTATTGATCTCGACCTCGGACAGAGAATCGGCCAGGTTATCGAAAATCAAGAGAATTTGTATTCGGAGTTGCGCAAAAGTCTCCAAGTCTTCACCTACTCTATACGACAATCAGTTGAGCGAGATCTGGAAAGGTATAACGACTGGAACATAAAGACAGAGGTCCGCATGGAGGACCTTTATGAGTCTATGTCTACAGGATTCCCATCCTTAGATCACATCGAAGTACCAGCGGAGCCTTTATTCCCAAACATTGAAGGAAAAAACGATGCGAGTAACTACACAAAGATGAAAGTGTCAAGAGCTCGGTGAGTAATCAAAAAGCAACTGACTATCTTTCGCCGAATAAATTGCTAAACTGCATTTTTCTCGATAAAAGCACGTTCAAAGAAAACGATGCAGACTTTGAGAGGGTTCTGAAAGAATTCAAGGACTCAAGCCTGTTGGAGCGGCTGGGTGAGCAGACTGGCTCTGCGGATCTAAGTGTCCTCCTTGAGAACATAGAAAGACAAAACATAAATAAGCAAGGAAGAGGCTTTTCCACGAGCAAAAACAGGATGCTCTCTGGTGTCAATGCGTGGACTAATATCTTGCCTTCTCAATATACAAATACTATACTGAGCAGCTACACCGTGCTTCTTCAGGTACGATGGATGCTACCAATCACTCATATATCATCATCAACTAACCGATCTACTTCTCTAGGCATCCAAAGCATCCGAGAATACATTCGAACTCATGGTGGAAGGTCTTGCGGAAGCAAGCGATGCTATAAGACTCTGCAAGCGAGAATACGACCTCTACCCGGCGCCGGAAGTAAAGGAGGCAATGATAAAACTGTACTCTCACGTCCTTGCATTCGGTGCAGAGGCAGCCATGATAACTAAGAAGAGCTTTGCCGGACGATTTATCCACGCCATGACGTTTCAGGATGGCCCTATTCCAAAGCTTATCGTGAAGATTCAGAAGCAGGCTCGAGCGATTATGCAGGAAGTAGAGTATCAACAGAGGCTAGAAATGCGGGATATGAGTTCAAGGGTGCGACATATTGAGCGAGACCAGCAGAAGATTCTTTCGGGAATTGCCAGCCAGAGGAAGATATTGGAGTCTTTACGAGACCAACAGAGTATCATGTCGATGATCAAGACCCAGCAGGAGATACTTGATGGTGTTCAGAAACTCCTTCTTAGAATCCCGGCGTGAAGGTTCTATAACCACTCAGTAATACTATATGGACATAGGCATATCAGGAGCTTATATAGTTGCTCTACGCACATTTAAGAGCAGGGTCGGCGAACTGCTCGTTCAAACACAATTGTCAGCCACAATTAACAGAAATGAAAATGATAGGAGATCTGTGAGTTTACGGCATTCTATCACTAGTCATTTCTCAGCTTTGGCGCTGTTTGTAGTATTCTTATCTTTAAGCCTGAAAGACCTCTTGTTTACCTTCTGGTTTGAAGAGTTTTCTTTTCCGACCCTTGAAAAGAGCGGGCGAAAAGACCTGTCAAAGGACTTGATAACTAGACGATGGAACGAAGCCAGGATGGCAGCAGAGGGTAGTCAGCCAAGGAAGAAAATAAGAAGATGCATTAGATTTATTAACAAAGAAAGACATACGATAACCGGTATTCGCTGTTGGCTACCCACCTAGCTCTAGCTTTGATGATTGCGACAATTGGTGATATAATCCATAGCTATTATATGATTGCTTCACCATAGATATATATAGGCCTACAAGCACGGCTCGGATTCCGTGAGCCAGTAATTCCCAACCATGTGACCGGCATTGTGCTCTCTTCCGCCGTCTGTATGCCCGATAAAGCGATCACATCTTTTCTATCCATTCCTGCTCTTCCATAAATCACTCGTGACCGGCAGGAATCTGCTAAGACCTATTCCCGAATGGCACCGTCGTGGCGTACCCTTCTGTACCCCGGTGCATCCGGGCCGCTCAGGCTCGACATGGGTTCCCTCATCTGACCACATGCCCCTCACTGGGATGATTTGCATTATGCACTTTCTTGAGGACATTCTTAACGTATTGTCAAATCTGACTAGGGTGCTTACGGAATGGTCTCCTGGGGGGTTGGGAGATTGTTAGAATAATGGAGGACTATGAGGCAATGATTCCTAGTAGTTATATAATTAGTATTTAGTATTATAAATAGGGGCTTCTACCTATATCCAGCTGCTATATCCTATACAGCTTATTCGTAGTTAATATACCTACGTTTAATGATTCATATTCCTTACATTTTACTACTAAAATCCTTATCATAAGCTTATTATATAAATAAAGTGTCTGGACTCTCTATTTATGAATAATTTATTATAATAAACTAAAGACCAGTAGAAGCTTATAATAGAGCTATATTCTATAACAGTAGCAATTACATATATTTCTATAGATATACTATCTCCTTGTTTAATTTGGACCTAAACGATATTATACAAATATTAGTGGCGGACCCGACCACCCACCGCCTTTCGCCGGTGGGTGGTCGGCAGCGTAAAGGAAGAATTTGAAGCAATTTGAAATATCTCAACAAAACACGTAAAAAATTAATAAAATGCAACTATTCAACGTATTCCTATACTAATTCTCTTTATTTGAAGCAGTATTTTGACCTTCAAAAACGAACGGTGGTGGAGAGGTTCCAAACGCTTCTTTATATGCTTTGATCGCCTTTTTCTGCTTGCTCGCCTCTTCCTTCGCTTTACGATCGGAAATCGATCAATTCGCATCTTTGACACTCAATATACCAGTATCTCGAAGCCTTGGAACCTCTCGTTTAGTTGTTTTGCGGCAACGAAAAGCCTGAATTGCTGTAATTCGTTCGATCATGGTGTTGAGATTCGCGAGTTCTTCCGCTTGAAGTTTTGAATAATGCAGTACGCGTTGAAAGCCTCTACGAAGCTTTGGAATGAGATCCACGGAATCTATGATTTTAAAGAGCTTTTTCTCGCTTTTCATAACATCTTGAGCGCTTTTTGAAGGCGTATTTTCAACGCTTGAAGAAGAGAAATTTGGGAGAGGCGTAGTCTCTCCGTATACGCGAAGATCAAACGCTAAGATCTCTGGAAACAATGATAAAGTCTTTTCAATTGCTTCAATTTGAGCAGATCCATCAGGAGGGAAGATACCGCGTTCTTTAAAGGCTTCGCGAATGATTCGCGAATAAAAAGCCTTTTTGTGTGCTTCAGCGATATCATGTAAAAAGTTCGATTTATCTCCCGGTTTTTCACTCCACTGCGCAATGCGATTATTCAACGTTTTAAAGTGCGTTTTGTAAGCGAGAAAGGGCTTTCCATCAAGCAATTGGCAAAGATGAGTCGTATGAGATTTAAAACAAAAAGAAAGAATCTCGTAGATCTCGCAAAGTTGTATAAATTCAACGGTCTTATGAATTGTATGACCGTCAAAAATAAGCACACGTTTTTCTTCTTTTTTCAAGCGATTTTCAGTCGAAGTTTCTTGATGAAATTTGTGAAGCCAATCAATTGCTAATTGATCGTTGACATAGCCTTTTTCTGAGACTACAGTATAGAAATTCGGCAATTCTTCATCATACCAATTCTCCATAAATTTCTTGCCTTTAAAGATAAAGAGCGGCGACATACTCCAACCATCCGCTACAACACATTCAAGCGCTGTAATGATCTCGGAATGTTCGGATTCAGGAAGATCAGGACATTCTTTATGTCTGCTGATGACTTTTTGACACTTTCCAACTCCTGGTTGAAAGCCGCATTCGTCGAAATTGTATACGAATCGTGGCGGAAGAGATTTGACGATATTCGCGAGTTGATTATACCAAAACTGCAAAACTCCAACATCTTCAGCTTCAATCCTTTTCACCTCCTTTGTTTTCTACATCATTATAACCAATTTGAGGTCCGGAGAGAGTCTTTTTACGAGACGATACACCCACGATCGATTGACGCTTCGCTCGGGATTGACGCGTTTGACTATGAGATTTGCCCATTCTTCAATCATCGAGATAGTGACGGGAAGGTGAAGATCTTGCATTTTTGTAATTCAATGGACTAAAGCAGTCTCTTGATACTGATCAAGAGCCTTATTTGAAAGGATTCGAACACTACAAGAGCCTCGTTGATCGTAAATGCGGCCATGCAAAATGCGGTAAAAAACGCCAAATTGCCGCGCGATCTTCGCGATAGAGAGATTTTTATTGTGCTGAACGAATTCAACGGCCTCATTTACGCGTTCATCGCGAATTTTAGAGGATTTAGACATATTTGGTGGTTGGTATGGCTTCAAAAAGGTGTTTTATTGAAATTCTTCCTTTACGCTGCAAATTCCTTTACGCTGCCGACCACCCACCGGCGAAAGGCGGTGGGTGGTCGGGTCCGCCACTAATAACTATATTCCGTACACATATAACTGGCGTGATCTGAAAGTTCTTCCTTATATGGCCCTAGTGTTATGCCGTGTGGGCCTCATTTCCTGATGCGGACCATGTGTTGTGCAGAACGGGTGCTGCAATTTTCCGTGGGTGGATTTCTGGCGTTGCCTGACGAGGTCTCGGGGGTGGGAGAGTTGGCCCATGCCGACTATAATTAGCCGGCACGGCAGGTGGATTACTGGATCATCATTCTTAATAATGCCGAAGTTCTTGGCCCTCCCGCCCCGGACCTTCCGACTGTCTCTCCGGTACTTACGGAGAGATCTTCTAGCGGACGGGAGGTATCCCATCCCCGTCATACAATACGGTTCTGTGGGTTTGTAGCACAGTCTGGAAATTCATGCCTAAGAAATGGACATTCAATTTTACGCCTTTTCGAGGGCCTGTCTCTCACATCGGTCTCGTTTAGGCCCCGGGCCTCCAACATAGGATCGCGTAAATCGCGTGAACGAGGGCACCGAAACATATGCGGGGAATTCAAACTCCAATATTTCAGCTTCTATACTATCGTGCCGGCTCACGTGGTTCCGGCCAAATTGGATGCCAAGTCTTACTTCAAGTTCGTAGCTTCGGCCAAGATTGCACGTTTCAAATGTGGGACCCAGGTGTGCCGGTACGCAATGTCGACTCCATAGTCTGTCGTCGAGTTTCAGAACGGATCCAACCGTTGGGTGGTTCTCAGCCACGAGTGGCTGGCGCAGATTTGCCATCGTCTGGATGACCCACGAACGAGTAAAGCTTTGTATCGACCCACAGGCTCGGATCCCTGTTCTTTCACGGAGTAAAGTTTGGAAAGATTGCAGTGAAATCGCCTTTTTTTCGCCGTTCGTGTGCTTGATAGTAACTTCCAGCGCAATGGGGTGTCCGAGCAGGAGGAATGGTCCGTTCTTCAGTTCGACCTCGACCTCGTAGGTCAGGGGTGAACGTGGTAGCTCCGAGGCCTTCACGCGGAGATTCACGTTCTTGCTGATTTTCAAGCTACGTAGCGGTTGGCGGATGGTAGATAGCGGATGGAAGGGTACGTTCCGAGTCTGGTGCTTGATGTCAGGACAGGGCACGTTTCACTCGAGGCGGAAGGCTCACAGCTTTTTGGGTCCGACGTAGGAGACCCTGCTGTACGACGCTCGCTTCGAGAGTATACTTAATCTCATCGGGCGTACATTTGTTCCCAGACGATGGCGGAAGTTTCCGTATGAGGTGCGGCGGCTCACGAGCTGCCGCTTGCTTGCGAGCAGCATCTGCAGTGCTATTTTTGTAGCATTCCATGACCGGGGGGAACTAACGAATACAAAGCATTACACGAGGCCCAGATTGAATGTCGGAAAATAGCAGATTACTCACCCGAATTGAAAATGGAAAAGAATGCTCTCCCGGACAGAGCGTCACAGCTGCAGATGTAAACCCCCCTGCGCAGGTGCTAGGCGGGAAAATTTGTTCATTCCTTTTGAAAAGCTTTTTTCCCCCAATGAAATCAGCCACTCCAACTTGCAAAAGACAGGGACGGAAGATATCTACCTTATGTGATTCAGTAAGCTTTCCCGAGTCCAGCCTGGAGGTAGCTGTCCCCGACAAATTGATCGTTATCGTGGCGATGTCCACTTCCACTTCACTGTAGAGGATGACATGGCCCGATATCACATCTTCGCTTGTGAAGACAGGCTGCTTTTTGTCCAGCTGAATTTGAATGTCAATGCGGGAGGTGCTCCAACGATTCATGGCGCTCTAGACAGCGTGAATGGTATGACGCCAAGGTTGGATCTGATACAGGATGAACCTGAGTGCATTAAGTTCCTAACCGGGAGCTTCGAAACATCGTTCTCAGCACACGTACATATAATATCTATTTATACTCAAATGTAAGTACCGATAATTTATAGATACGTTGATGACAGCAAATAAGGATGAATGCAGTCAAAAGTCTCCGTCTTGGGATCGTCACCCTTGCCACACTGCCTATAACCCATGGTTCAGCTCGTTGATTCACGACGAGCCAATGCCCAACGAAACCGCGCCCTACTTTTTGATTTAACTGAACCAATAAGTCTTCATTCTGAACACTGTGGTCAATAAAGAACCATCACGATTCCCGACTATAAATTGACTCGACCCGGGAGCCCGTGATTGGCTCGGCATAAGAGTGGGCCATATAGACGTAATTAGAACGTGCCTTCTATGGTACAGGATGTACCATCCTGCACTATACTGGATTATCCTGTCCTATTTGGCACTAACAAATTTCTGGAAACATGTGCGCATGTAGCAGCCAAGATGACTTGTGCAGACTGGGAAATCGAATGTTTCCACATATTTCATCTCGAACGTTTTGAGGCGCTCACTCTTTCCCGCGTACGCTGTGAATTCATGACACAAGTCAGAATACTCTGCACCGACGGCACAGCATGGATGATGCACAAGATCACCTTTCACGCCCTCGCCCTCTGTCTTTTGAGCGGGCGGGCAGTCACTATTCACTTCAGCGGCTACCATCTCCCATTGTGCGCATCCCACGAGAGATCCCGGGTCATGAACTGACATAAAGCTAGTCCAACCCCTACGTTGTCCACGAGCATGAGGAAGTTTCGCAATCCCTGCTACCTGGGCAGCCAGAGGACCGTCGCCCTTCTGCCGGCTCACCCTCGTACTCGGACATCGCACAGCTGAATCCATACGATGGCTCGGAACTGCAAGCTGGCTCCGAAGAGGCCAGTACGACTTCCTGGCAGAGACGTCAAACTGTCACTGGAGCCTCAGGCCTCCGCCGCTACCCAACTCGCCGGATTAACCTTGTCCGGGGCAATGTTCTCAGCATTGACTATCCAGTTCCCAGCGCGATCCGCAACTCGGTCGAAGCAAAATACCGCGATTTAGATGGCACGGCTGCCGAAGAGTTCACGCATCTCCGATGTAAGGTTGACAGAACAGACCAAGCCACACTACATTGGCTAGCGGCTGACGCGATACGTTAGACACGGCTGCCACCTGCGACTCTGATGACTTTACTCTACGCAACGGCTATAATTTACGGGCCGCCATGTATAATCGATATACTGAACTCATGATCGCAATCACTTATTATAATGAAGACAAGGTCCTGACCGCTCGAACACTGCATGGGGTCATGCAGAATATTCAAGATATTGTGAACTTGAAGAAGACCCAGTTTTGGGACAAAGGAGGGCCTGCATGGCAGAAGATTGTGGTATGCTTGATATTTGATGGCATTGGCCCTTGTGATAAGGATGTTCTTGATGTTCTGGCTACAATCGGGATATACCAGGATGGTATTATGAAGCATGACGTTGATGGCAAAGAGACCGTGGCACATATAGTCTGTGAATCTCCTCAAAACATGGACGGCGGTTAGGACTAACGCTTATGACTGCCCTAGTTCGAGTATACCACCCAGTTATCGGTCACTCCCTCCCAGCAGCTCGTCCGTCCACAAAGCGACGATCCGGAGAACCTGCCGCCGGTACAGATGATCTTTTGTCTGAAGCAGAAAAACAGCAAGAAGATTAACTCTCACCGCTGGCTATTCAATGCATTTGGACGGATCCTGAACCCCGAGATATGTATACTGATTGACGCGGGCACGAAACCGGGCCATAAATCCCTTCTTGCGCTATGGGAAGCGTTCTACAACAACAAAAATCTGGGAGGGGCGTGTGGCGAGATCCATGCCCTGCTCGGCCCTCGCTGGGAAAAGCTAGCTAATCCTTTAGTAGCGGCACAGAACTTTGAGTATAAGATATCGAACATTCTGGACAAGCCCCTAGAGAGCGTCTTTGGGTATGTCAGCGTCTTGCCAGGGGCGTTTTCCGCCTATCGCTACCGTGCAATTATGGGTCGACCTCTGGAGCAGTATTTCCATGGAGATCATACTTTGTCAAAGAGATTAGGCAAAAAAGGAATTGACGGGATGAATATCTTCAAAAAAAATATGTTTCTGGCTGAGGACCGCATCTTGTGTTTTGAGCTGGTTGCGAAGACTGGTGCTCAATGGACACTGAGCTATGTGAAAGCCTCCAAAGGGGAGACTGACGTGCCAGAAGGTGAGTCATCCACCCTTCCTTTGAAAGGATCATAATGATTCTCATCATAAGAACGCAGCGCCGGCGGAGTTTCTCAGTCAAAGGCGCCGTTGGTTGAATGGATCCTTCGCCGCAAGTCTCTATTCCGTGATGCACTTCAGTCGTATCTACAGAAGTGGTCACAATATTGTTCGACTTGCCTTCCTCCACGTGCAGTTGTTATATAATATTTGCCAACTGACAATGACATGGTTCTCTCTCGGTATGTCTTCTTTTTTATCGGCGAGCGAAGAGGGCTAATCGAGGCAGCATCCTACTGGCTTACTACCTCGGTGATCATGGACATCGTGGGAACTCCAAGTGCGACGAACAAAGACAAGGGCTGGCCATTCGGGAATGACGTCACGCCGGTCTTCAATAATGTCATTAAAATGTTATACTTGGCATTCTTGATGCAGCAGTTCTTCCTTGCGCTCGGGAATCGGCCGAAAGGGTAGATATTTCCATTCCGTCGGTCGTGGAGGTGCCCGCTAACAACAAGGGTTGTTCTATCTAGGTCCCAATTTTCGTATATTCTATCCTTTCTATATTTCTCCCTGGTTCAGTTATACACCCTTATTCTTTCGTTTTACCTCGTGGCTCAGGCATTTAGCGGCGGCAATATAGATCTCGATCTTGATCATGGAGCTAAAGGGTTACTGGGTTCCTTTTTCACCTCGACGACAGGCCTCGTGTTGATAGCGCTTGTGTCAACCTACGGAACGTATCTTATAGCGAGCATCTTATACTGCGACCCTTGGCATCTTCTGACATCTTCCTGGGCGTACTTTCTCGGGATGCCTTCAACCATCAACGTTCTCAACGTCTACGCGTTTTGCAACTGGCATGACGTGTCATGGGGAACAAAAGGTTCCGACGACGCGGCCTCCCTGCCCTCCGCGCAGACCAAGAAATCAGGTGCGCAGAAGGCCTTCGTTGAGGAGGTGGATAAGCCCCAGGCGGACATTGACACCGAGTTTGAGCTTACTGTCCGACGCGCCCTGACACCGTGGCAGCAGCCGGCAGAGAAAAAGGAAGTGCAACTGGATGATTCGTACAAAACATTTCGAACCAATCTGGTGCTCCTGTGGTCTTTGTCTAATTGCCTGTTGGCGTTGATGATCAACAACTCCAGTGTGAGGAAATTGTGCTTGACGGTATGTTTTACCATGATCCAACATTTCTATCTAGGGCATTAGGCTGATAACACCGTCAGACCACATCAACTGACCGCACGGCATGGTACTTTAAAATTATTCTATGGGCTACGTCTGGCCTATCTATCTTTCGGTTTCTAGGAGCTCTTTATTTTTTGGCGAAGACAGGCGTGTTGTGCTGCGTGTCTCGGCGCTGAGCAACTCCAGATAAATCGCCGTTGAGTGTGATAGTGCGCTTGAGCTTGGACATGAACCGGGTCTATATTCTCTCATTACCGCAATTGCGGCTATCTCGTTTTATGTTGTCTGTAATAATATCATATGCATAGCAATACAGAATCCAATATACAACTCCCAACCTACGCGGTAGAATTGAAGGTATCGGGAAGGCCTTTTTCGGGGTTACACCATCACTGCTGAGCGGAGCCATACCCAGGCTTAATTATTCTCCCGCCAAACAAGGCATGAGGCTGAGTACAGAGATAAGATAAGACACTCGCCGACAGTATCTATACTTTAAAATACACAGAGAGTCCTTGAATGGCCAGCCCTATTCGTCGTCTGGCGCAGTTCCTCTGTCTTAAGGGGCCTCCGACGCTTCTCGTGCTTGGCAACCTCTTTTTGTCTTCCCTTAGGGCGCGTTGAAGAATTCATAAAGCACCGGTTGCTACGAATCACTTCGAATTGTTTGAACGGTATTTTCGCAACAGACGGATAAATGATCTCGTGGATGCTAAGCGGAATACTAGCACTGCAAGAATTTCAACTAGAAAATGCTGCCGCGGCGTGTGGTACGTCTCCATATCTCTTTCCATCGGCTGAATTTGGATGGCTCTAATTGATACTCAGTGTGACGGGTGTCATTCTCGAAAGGTATAATATACTCTCCTAGCTAATATGGTGCCTCATTCCTAGTCTCATGTGTACCAGGTTCGGTGCGATAGGGATGATCCATGCGGAAATTGCCAGGATCAAAATGTCGCTTGCATCCGAATCCGACATATAAAGCGACTTCTCAAGAGATATTTGATGCCGATACAAAACAGGGAGAACAAGAGTCTAAGAGACGGAATGTTTGTTGTTTAGCCGTCGATCACAAATCAGTAATCTCTATGAGTGCTATTAGATTTCTCAATCTTAGCCGACATGTCTCATTAATCCAGTATCGCATCTTTGTGTAACAACGCATAACAATAGACATTTTAACCTGCCATATTCTATTTATCAAGCTTTCACTCCAGCTCTCTACATGTGACTTATAGCACACACAAAGGAACTATTGTTACTAGTAATCTTCATCTGAATGTTATTATTATCCCAGCCATGCTGGCCATTGAATAAGTTATATACCGTTTTCAAAAGTAGTCTCGAATAGGGTTATATTATATAGACAACAGAAATCAGGATTAAGTAGAGCCGGGAGTATGCCAATCCGATTCACTTTGTACTCCAAAATAAATTTAAAGGAGCGAGTACTTTTGCCCAATGCGACCAGAGGTTCCCTTGGAGAAGGGCACAAAGCATCTCGCTACACGCTATCTTTCTAAAGGTTTGGCCAACCAACGCTCATCTGCGTTAGCAGCTCTCCATGATTTCATGAGCTTGGTGTGCTCATTTGCCTTGAGCGCGCGCGACACGTTGGGGACGGAGTTCTGTTCAACGACAATATTGACGCGCCAGAACGGACCTACTAACGAGAAGGCTATGTCCCCGAAGGTACCTGACTGGTCCCTATCGACTTTGAGGGAGCAGGTCTGAATCTTGTGCGCTCCTGCACATTTCGGGCCTTGCTCGGAGCACAGACGGTTGATAATAAGCCTGTATCAGCTGGCGTGATTTCTGGGGTGTGAAATCTCGGGTCTCGTGTACTGGGCATTAGATTTCTGGTGGCCATTGCCCGGGAGGATGGACGTGGACGACGAGAACTACTCTGAGTCGTTCGAGAAGAGACCTATAGGTGTTGTTGAGGGGTATTCCGGATGGGAATGAGGTTGTTAAGGCCGGCGAGAAGGAGGCTGCGCTGTGAAAGAGGGCGAGATTTAGTGATTCTGATACCCAGCAATAACTACACGTAGAAGCCCCAAACCATTCATCGCCTCTTCGATTGTCGGCTGTGTGTCTCCAACGTCCGTCGTCAGCAAAGGGCCAGAGAGGGCCATGTCCTGTTGAAGACATCCAATGTTTCTTCTACCGACCCCAAAATCAAATCTTCTGGTCGTCGACTCCCGCCATCAGGCTAGATTGGGGTCTCTGGCCCCTGCCTTTACCGGTACTGAGATTCCGCTCAACAACATCCAACGCACACATCCGTTTCATAAACCGATCAAAGATCCCTAATGGGAGTAGCGACGCGAGTCTGACGATGTTCGCGAACTTACCCGCCCAGATCCAGTAGGGCGGGCTACGCTTGCTCAGCTCCTTGACGACCCCCTTCGCCCACTCCTCGGGGTCGGTACTCTCGTTAGCGTCGTCGCTCGCCATTGCATTCTCTACGGCCTCCTTAGCGACGTTGTAGAGCGAGTTTACCGGGAGTTCGGGGGGTTCGGCGGTGATGTGGAAGTTGGAGCGCACCGCGCCTGGGAGCAGGGTTATTACACCTCACCCACATCCCGCTGATACGGAAGAAGGGAAAAGCCAACCAGTAACAAGATCAATCACGCGAATATTAAACGGCTCGAGCTCCAGCCGCCACGTCTCGGTAAAGCTCATAACGGCCGCCTTGGAGGCGTTATACGCCCCCGCGAACGGCCCTGACGCCGCAACCACACCCGAGAGCGACCCGTGGTTCACTAGCAACGCACCCTGGTCACAGGTCGAAGCAAGTAGCAACGGCAGAAGCGCCTGCGTAACGGCGACAAGTGACCAGACATTCAACTCGAACAGCTCCCGAGCCCGTCCGATATCCATATCCGAGCCGGGCATCGAGTAGCCCGCGCCGGCATTGTTGATTAGCGCATCGAGCGAGCCACTCGTGAGCTTGGTGACTGAGGCGACACATTGCCGGAGGGAGGATTCGGAGAGGGTGTCAAGTTTGACGGTTTCGATGCCGACCTTTTCAACGTTTTTAAGTTTTGCGAAGGACTGCCGTCAGAGCAGCCGGTTATGAGGACAGTTCTCTCGGATTTGTTCGAGGAGGGCATGATTTGTTCTGTAGTGAGGTGTTGTGCATGGAGAGGAAATGAGAACCAATTGCCTTCTCTGAAAGGGAGGAGAGAATGTGGGAGAGTGATACCAGGGACGCGGGCGCGATTTAAAAATTAAAGCAAGCCTTTTCATCTCAGATGAGAATTGATGTAGATCAGATCTACCAGGCCCGCCACAGTCGTCAGTATGAGTGGCAGAAAATGGGAATTAGGGTTGAATACGAGTGTTGTTGATGGGACCAGGATTAGGACAAAGAGCGTATCTGGTGGCGCTGGGGGAGATGGGAGGGTTGCAAGGACAGGAATATGTAGAGAGCAACGATCGATGACAATAGCAATCCTATAGACTGGAAAAGCGAGGGACAGGTGGATTGACAGGGGGAGTCAATAGGGGTTGGTACTTGCGACAATATCAGGTCGACTCCCATTGTTCTTCGTCCCAAGACCGAGGCAACTTGAGGTTACATCAGTCGATGGAACATCCTACCCTGACACATTCCTCTGAAAGAAAGGTTGTTCACTCTCCGGTGCCGAGCGCCATCGAGATGATTGGCATAGCGAAATGTTCTCATCGACGACGAGAGGCGATGTACATAGAATGTCGTATGCTCGGAGGTAGTTGTTAGGGCGCAGATTCGCGTACGCCAACACTGTAAAATTCCGTTTAGTTATACAGGGCGGTTTAACACTAACCCAGTTGGCGTTATCATTAGCAGTAATCTACTTCTCGCTGTAAACGCAATTTTACCGATTTATTCTCATAGCAAAGCCAGCAAAGCCAGCACAGCCAGCACAGCCAAGCGACCCAAGCCCTACCACAACTTCCTATCCAATCACTGATTATCCATACAAATTCCCACTCATTTTGCTCGCAGTTATTAATGTTCTAACGCACTCTGAAGATTGAATCCGCTCATTGAACAGAGCCCGAACAAGAAAGATGATCTGAGGACTGGAGACGCCCCAAGGGCTGAATACGCTGCAAAGGCTAGAAAGGGGCCATATGGAATGGTCCAAAACTTTTTTGGAATATTAAGGTAATTGGCTTGTCATTGGACAGAAAAAATATAGACGAATTATACGTGACGCCAAGAGTTCCGAGAATGTCCGGCATGTGCCAATCAGAGGGAACAATTCTAGTAGAAACCGACTAAATACACACGTCAGAAGTGGGTCCTGAAATGGAAATATTTACGGAGTACGGAGTAGATCACGCTTACACAGTGCCCAGGTGTGCTAATGTCATTTTTTCCCTGTCATGACATTTGGCAGAAGGAATCGCCAGGTGACCTTAGGTGCTAGGTACACTTCAAAGATCGACCGCGCTTCAAGGGCTAATTACTTCCTCAAGAATGAGCTCTCCCCGAAGATCGAACACGTTCTCAAGGCTGAATACGATCTCTAAGCTGAATACGCTCTGCAGGCTAAATACGCTCTGCAGGCTAAATACGCTCTGATGGCTGAATAAGCCCTTTAAACTGAATACGCTCTGATGGCTGAGAATGCTCTCTAAGCTGGATACGCTCGGAAGAGTGAATCGACTGATGACTCGACATCTGGAGGCTTGTAAGCTGGAAATGCCACCACTGTAGATATATAAACCAACGTTCACATCTCAGTCAAGAGTGTTCCTTCGTTCACCAAAGCCGAAAAGTTGCCAACATCATTCAAATCATTCTTTTGATCTTACATACAAGCAAAGCTTTCTTGGTACTTTTAACATCTTTTAAAATGCATGTCTCTAAGATCCTTACCGCCGTCGCCGCCCTCTGCATTAAAGGCAGCCTTGCAGTCAATGTCTTGACCTACAGCGGCCGTGACTGCACGGGCACGGTCCAGGATGTCAAGGTCGACAACAATGCAGCTTGCTCTACCAAAACCAAACCATTCCAGTCTTACAAGGAAAATGGATGGGGAAAGAGTAACGGGCAGAGGATTGCGTTCTACAACCAACCCAGCTGCAGTACGAACTCATTCCTATATGACACGTACTCTTATGATGGAGACTACTTCCACTCCAAGCAATGCTACAATATCGATGGTCATTCGCCTGTTTCGGTCGCTCGGGGCATGAAGCTCTACTAGCCAGGTATGTTGCTACCTCTGCTCCCATGACAATTGGAACAAATATTTAACTTGGCCCTTGAGATATAGGCATCTCGCGACTCAACTCCTCTGCAAAGCGCTAGGGATCATTCTAATGCGGTTGACAGACTTCAATACTCAAGCATGCCTCCCATCGATCCAACCTGCATTACAGCAATTAGTCGATCTTTCTCTACACAAACCGCTCATGTAGAGGTCATCTCACCGAACTCGTGCAATCCTACAGTGATGAATCTGATATTTGCAGAATCTGCAGTTCCTGCGAACAGGCCTCTACTTACTCTCTCGGTTTAGGGTTTCTGCCTTTTTTATGTATTTAACCTAGTCGCTCGCTCAGAATTTCAATGGATCAGACCATCAAGAAGAATTTCAGGCCGCACTTGTGCGGCCTTCTCTTCTCTTCATGGGCGTAGGTACAGAGGTAGTGCGGAAGCGGGCGGAAGCTTATAGATAGGCATAAACATCTTTTCGATAAAGAAGTCTTGAAAAGTAATAGTAATACAGAAAGATAGCTACAAAAAAAAAAAAGGGGGGGGGGGGGGGGGTGATACAACGGCCTGGATTCGCTGGTGGTCACCCAATCAACTACGGCTTGTGTGCTGTCAGTAGGACGGCTCGAACTAACTGCGCCTCTGGTTATTTGGGCAACAGAACAATACATAATAGATTGGACCGGCACACCTGAAGAGCATATGACGGCTGGAAATAACTATTTTCACGCATATTACTTTTTGCAGATTTGATTTCTATCTTTATAGCGAGCAATCCGTAGACTTACAGATAAGCTGATGTATATTAACGCTTGTGCGGATTTTAATCCCTATAAAAATATTTTAATTAATGCAAATCTCATCTTATATATAGATCGTCAGTTATACAAATCTGACCTGGAAGAAAGAAAACAATTCTTTTATTAACAAGCATGTTCAGATTAAATCTATTTTCTAAGAAAGCATGTTTGACAACATGCTTCTTAATATACTTTATATAATTCTTCAATCTATGCAGAAGTAATCATAAATAAGACTATATATGAATACCCGGTACCTCGATAGAAGGGAATTCAAGTGCCAGCAGGGAACTGCACTTGTTCTGGCTGCCTCTTACAAGCCGCTTCTAAATCCTTAGATTTATAAAGTTATATATCACTCTAGAGTTTATTTATTATATAAGTATCCTGCTATAGCAATCTTGTGCTTAAATTTAGGTATAGCTCTTTCTAGAATACTAATAGACTTCCTAATATACCTCCAATAGTCTCGGCAAATTTTTTAAAAAGTACTATCCTAATAGCAACCGACTATAGTAATCATTATTTAAGGTATCTATAGAAGCTATAAGCTTACTATAGCTGTCCGTGGTTAATTAAAGTGACTAGAAGCTCTCGATACATAGAAATCAAAATATAAGACGTAATCATCAGATCCTCTTTTGAAATAAGATCTCAATAGATATGCTATCAATATCCAACAGTATAAATAGAAAATTTAATAAAATTAATAATTAAATTAATAGTAGATAAAATATTACTATAGTTAAAGAGATTATTAAGCCGGCTACTCTAAAATGGGCAATTTTTAAAGAAAACTATATAAATCATTACCGCAATGGGCAGATAATAAGAACCATCTGTACAATGTACCGATCTGCCGAGCTTGACGAGCTTCATGCAGGGCGAATGCAACAACTATAGCTCTTTAAACCATATCTTATTTATTAGCCTATATATAGCTTAACTTTATAGTAATCCAAAGATACTATAAATTTTTAGCCAATCTGTCTATCTATTTGTCACCAACTCTACCACCTCCGCCAGCCCGCACCTTAACACTGACATACACATTTGGAGTCGGCATACGCATATTGTGCTGCGGTGAGGAGAAGAATGGGTTTTCGAGTGATGGGTGTTCAGATGGAGAGTAGGCGAGATGCGGTCAATTTATACCTTCTATTTCAGCCGGCTGACAATCCTTCATGCTCTTAGTCCGGGCACCTTCGCCATCCACATAATTATTTATGTAGGAAGTTATGATGGTAAGATCCAATGAGAATCGCCTCACATGTTTCCTAATTTGGTAAATACCAACGCCAAGACCCTAAGTGGGTTTATACCACCAGAGGCTGAAAGCCTAGGCGAAGCAATGCTTCGCCGAAACTATAATCCAGGCTGTGACGTTAGCGTATTGAGTGCGTGGCCCTGGACTCCTAGTGGATTTGAAGAGAGCTGAAGATATGGGCGAGATCGGCACACAGGCTCCTAGCGTCTGACTCGGCTCAATCATGGGGCCAATAGCTGTTGGACCGCCGATTGTAAACCCAATGAGGTTATCCATATGATGTTGGTTTCGATCACACATATTTTGTGAAGGGGGCTGGTGATGTGACATCATAAACAAAATAAAAGACAGGGGCCAAAACAGACCAAAGCCTGCTCTATCAACAAAGTCACCACACTAACTAGTCCCAACATGGGAAATAGACCTGCCAAGAAGTGATCTAAAGCGTCAAGCCAATCGGTAATTTGAAATTTCCAATGGAGCACTGCCAATCCGGAAGCTTATAATTATAGGATTTCATCATTCCATCTACAAATCGATAGGTACGTAAGCGGGTTTGCGTTGGGTACTCTTATGGAATTTGCTTCTTCATTCTTATCACAATGCTGCTTCTGCCTCTTATATCCTTCGATTCATATATTTCTGAACACGATGGATACTCCCATGCAAGAAGTTGAATCACTGTTTCACCGTAGCCAAGCGGCTGTTCAGTTTGAACATCTCATGGGGATTTGTAGGAGACTTGGTCGGGTCCAGGAACTCAAGCTTTACGCGATGTTCAAACACCAAGCAATAGGCCGATCCACCAAGGTGAAACATTCCAAGCTGCTGGCCCTTCTGCACATGCTGGGTTTTGTAGACCGTGATTTCACAGCTTGAAATCTCATTCATTCCGATCGCAATGAAGCATACCAGCCCAATAGCCGGGTTATCCGATTCGATAAAAATAAGCGCTCGCGTAGCAACCGAGGCTAGATAGAACTGCGAAAGGTTCGGACCCGACGGGTCAGGGTTGGGAAATAAATTTGATCGGACGTTAGAGTAGTAGGTGCCTGGAATATGCACTATCTTCTTCACCGTCCCTGAGATGGGAGCATGCCAGCGATGATAGCAAGCGGAGCTCAACCAGCCTTGATAGACGGTGCCATTAAAGAATCGGGAACTGTATGAGTCGGAATCCATCATGTCGATTATCGAATACGGCTGGGACTTGAGCCAAAACGTGTCGCGATCTTTGACCCTTTCTACTACTCCCTGCTTGCCGGCTTCGCAGGCATTGACGATCACATTGGCGTCTTGGTCTTCCTGGCTCACATCGCGTACACCCGTACAGAACTCGCGGGTGAAGAACTTATCCCAGCTGGGAAACCCCCAAGTAGGAGACTTAGGGTCGCATTTATAAAGCCCCTCGATAGGGGAATCGCGCGGCCACTGGGCATAGTCCTTCATGATGTTTTGATAATTGGTGCTGAACCAATTTTTGTTGCAATCTGCCTTGTGGTTTATGAATTCGGTGGACTTGGGGTCGTATTTGAGAAAGTCTCCCCATCTGTCGACGATTTTCTTCAACTTTGCATTGACATGCTTGTTCAGGAAGAACACATAACCGCTTGTTGTATTTGCTGGCCAATTGAGCACCGCATTAAAAGGAACAGTGATGGCGCTCAATCCAGCTCCTGTTGCCCGCACATACGGTGCAGAGGTCAGGATCTCATTGAAGACTTTCAGCGTTTGGTCAAAGTCCTTGACGTCGTACGTGGCATCGCCTTCCACGCGAGGGATTTCCTCGAACATCTTTATCGCAAGAGCCTTGAGGGCAGGGTCATCCTGCACAAGACTTTGGAAGTCCTTAATGACAGGATCAAGCTCTTTGGGGTCGCTCTCGGCTTGTTTTATCAGACCCCTGAGCCATCTGCAGACTTCTTCGGGCGAAGGCAGCCAGTCTCCGAATCGGGAATTATTATGGTACAGTTGAGCTGAGTCAGACATTTTCAGGTAGGGTCTAATGCTTTTATGTAAATTAAATTAATAGGAAAACCAGTCGGATGACCGTGGTATATTCCGTTAAGCTTTTGATAAGGGGACACACAAAGAACGTCTTCGAAATATTCATGTTAGAATTCAGGACCATGAAGAACTCTCTTTTATAACTTCTGGTATTCAGGTTACATTTCATTTTTGATGAGGTATTTGCTCTGTGATGCATGATTCCCAATACGAACATTGATCCTGACACTGAAGAATCGATGACGGCTCCAATTCTCCGGGTGTGGAATACCCAGTCTTTCTAGGTACATCGCAACATACCAATGCAACGGTAGCGTATCCACAATTAAGGTACGGCCCCTTCCAAGTTCCTGTTACGAGTGGGCCCTGGGAAAGCGGTCTGATTACTCTCCTATTCGGCATGGACTAAACTAGCTACGCATGCAAAGTAGTATTAGGGCTATACTCGTCACACACTTTTTCGGTCTTACGTCAAGCATAACTAGACAGCTTCTCAAGTGTAACACCATTCATGTATATGTAGTATTGATGGTTAAATACTTTTTGTGTGCGTCATGGTTGTGAAATCTTAAAATAGTGCATATAAAGTCTACTAGGACTAGGCCCATCCTCGTCAACTTTATGAGGGTCAGCCAACCATTCAGCCTAGAACGTTAGTACACTTCCTACGACCGTCCAAAATGCAGTTCTGGTACCTGTCCTATGTAGCTCTGGTGGCTACAATCGCAAGTGTTGAGGCCAAGATAGTAAGTTCTCGTATATGTACGCTAGATCAGGCATCGTCGGCTAACTTATACTTAGGCCTCTTTCAATTCTGCGCTAGACTGCGTAGGTACATTGACCCCCATCAAATGGTCCAGTTGTATTGCAAAGTCAGTTTATACCTATTATTCTACTCCCCAGACACTGCACTGGTGCTCATCCCATATTACAGTGGGGAAGTCCAGTCAATCACTGTCCCTCAGGCAGACGCATATGTTCAGTTCTTCTGTTATGAATATAGGTGTGATTTGAATCCCCAAACAATACGGTGCCAGCTAAGAATCTCCAGGTTGGAGGATGAATCCTGCATCGAAACACAAACGACTTTACAATCAGGTTGTTCAGACCTGAATTATGAACGGACTAAATGCACATACTGGCCGAGAAGACTCAACGTAAGTCCATAGCCTATATTTCAATCTACGCTTCCTATTACTTACACTATATGACTCCGCCTAGGCTACTGTGTATCCCCAGGCCAACTTTGAAGGCCAACCTATCGTGCTTCCCAATATTGTGTCTCCCGAGTGCAATGTCCTATCTAATATTGGGTATGTTAAGTGAAATCTCCGTGCTAAAATGAATCTTAGCTAACAAGGTACATAGAATGACCTCCGTTGGATCGATCATTGTTCCACCCGCTTATAACTGCTCCTTATTCCCGTAGGCAAACCATCACACATAATGTAACACTACTCTAACACTTACCTAGGGACGAGACTTGTACTGGCACCCCGGATGTTATTTCATCGCCTGGATGGCACGATCTTTCCACTCCTCCACATATTGGCAACCAGACAAAGAGCATCAGCTGTGCAAAATAATCTAGGATTCATTGCTCTTATCAGGTACATTTTACCTTTCTGGTCATAATGCACCCCTGTCCTAGTACACATAATTGAATTAATTTAGTACCGGTCCTAGGGTTGGTACCAGCCTACAGGTTTACCTACCTACGTGTTTACTTATATTCGCACTTGCCTGCTTGCCTAACGAGCTCACTCCCTATTTACCTACTTCAGTATGTAAGCGCCCGCTTAATTACCTAGCTAATGCCACGCTTTGATATTGGTACATTGTAAGTACAGTATTAATACTGCTGCTATCTCAGCACACGTGCACATACCTCTCACTATTTCCTGTCAGCAGTATGAGGCGCTACGTAGTCAGGATGATAATGGCAAGTATATAAACTGTCTATCTTACAAAACTAATCTGAAAAAAAGAAAACAAACTTTTTGTAAATAAACATAATCAGATTTAAATCTATTTTCTAAAAAAGTGTCTATCAACATGCTTTTAAATATAGTTTATATAGTTCTTCAATCTATGCAGAAATAAGCATAAATTAGACTATACATGAATATAATATATAGCGTGGTGTGGGCATTTATCAAAGCCTGGTATCTGTCTAAGCTGCGTTGCCTGCTAGAGTAGTAATTCAAGCTTCTGATGAACAGAACCGCTGTTCCTGAGAATGGTAATACTTATCCTGAGAGTAATTATGCTCGGGTGAAGACAACCGGTCTTCCTGAGAATAGAAATACAAAGAGATGAAATTGTGATATCAGAAACAGATTCAATCGGAAGATGCACAAATTATATTAGTAAAAACGCGACCGACCTTTCTATACCCAAAGACCAGTATACCATGTTTATTATTATGACGAGTAGGTCCACGAAGTTCAGAAGCAAGTAATAATACTTTTTTGTCTCTAAAACATCCAAGATGTTTCAACTGATATCTGAGGGCCTTGTTCATGACGAAATTGGACATTGCCTACCGAGGCATTCGAAGTCGAACTGAAATGGCCTTGAGGGCTCGTAGCTCGGCGCCAGTCTGAGTGTCCCAGAGCTTTATATATCCATCCAAAAAACTTGACACTATTCGTCTTCCCGTGTGGAGAGAAGGCCACTGAGCTAAGTGTAAATAAACGCGTAAATTAGAAAGAGGCAGTGCAAGTAACCAGATCGTACAGCGAAGACGACTAAGATGAAGACGAAGATACTACTTTGAGGTTCGAGTGTATTGACTATCTTTAACCTTGGAGGAATATGATGCTAATTCGTTGCGGTCTAGGACAGATGCACTTTCACCGCGTATCCACGTACAACAATCATTCCCCATATTTCTCGTCACCTCATAGACCACGCCGCAACCAATATGGAGACCCTGGTTGGCTTCCTCATTGCATCATTACTCTTTCGGAGATGCAGGAGGACGCGGCTCCTCGGGAGGCGCGTCGGGGTTGCTATCATCTTCATAGATACGGGCAACTGTGCCATTAGCAGCGGACACCGGGATTGTCATGGGATTTAGGGATGCGAGGACAGCGTCAGGCATGAGGGACCTGGGATCGGCAGAGTTGCCATATGCGAGATTGACATCGGACTCCGTTGTCGGTTTGAGTTTCTTCTCCAACTGTTTCAGAAGCACGGGAAGATATTTTACGACAGTACTTTTGGCAAAACGCAGTGCGAACGGACCAATCTTTTGTACCCGTGTCTTGATAGAGTCGATAATACCCTCCTCGTGGCCAGCATCGGTCGGACTTAGTGTCAGGTGCTTGAGCTTTTTCTCATCCATCGTTTCGATGACTTGCAAGGCACAGTCTGCCATCAAGGCACGGCGAATGGCATTCTCAAGCCATATTGTCGGCTGGTCTTTTCTCGGCGTGCCTTGGAAGGGAAGCGACTCGGCAGAACCCTTGGTGACTATGTCAAGAATCTTTTGGAGAGCGCTTGTTGCAGCTTGGGTAGCAAGCGGCTTTGCCATTAGGATGGCTTTCTCGATTAAGGGCTTAAACCATTGCGAGAAAGATTCCTCACCCTCGACCAGCTTCGTTTCGCCATCAAAGAGCGCTCTGACAAATGTTGCCTTTCTGCTCTTTTCAAAACCCTCGGGCGGAGACACGGTAAATTTATCTTTTTCGCCTTGGAGCAACTTTCGCTTTTCAGGATTTGGCTGAACCTCCTTCTCCCAGTTGTTCGCAGCGATCAAAAACCCATACTCGGTGAGAACAGGGCCAATGAAATCAACCAATTGGGGGACCTGCTTGGAGTAACTCCGATCCCAAATTTTCTCCATGCTGGCGAAAACTTCCTGTGACTGGGATGATTGTCCCAGTCGGATCACACATTGCAGGACTGCTTCTGCCAGCTGGGCCCTTTGGATACAATTTTCTTGAACATCTGTTTCCGGGGTTTTTCGGGGAGCCGGATTGAACTTCACTCTCAGCGAGAGAGCCAAGGACACCCCCGGCGACTGTACCGAGCAGTGTACCTACGGGGCCCAGGAAGGCTCCTGCCGATGGTAGCGCCACGGAGCCTATCTTGGCGACCTTTTTGAAAACATCCCAGAAAGATTCCTCTCCCTCAGGGGAAGACTCGCCGTCGTCAAGTCCAGATCCAGAGCCCCTAGACTTGTTGGGTAAGAATGTTCCTATGGGCGTGGGATTTTCTGGCTCGGATCCAGACAAACATGCCATGAATTTTCTATAGTCATTGCCATAGGTTCCTCCAATGGCATTGCCAGAGTTCAGATAGCTTGAGCCGCCGGCGCCATAGCAATGTGTTCCAATACCTCGCAACCCATCCTCCTTGCGGGATAGGCGCCCCAGATTGTCCTGTACAAAAAAGGCTCATTAGCTGTCGGTTACATTTGGGAAAAGCCGCTTTCCAAGTGGAAGATGCTCACCGCCAAATGTGTCAATATCGTACATAATCATGCCCGCGTCTCTTTCAAGGTCGAATGTGATCCGTTCAGAGTGAAACCACATCTCGGCGCCGGGGTCCTCGTTCCCATTCTCGTCCTGGATTTTCTTGTCGCCGGGGTATCCCACCACTGTCAGATACTGGTCCACTAGTTTCGTATCCGTGTCCATGAATATGAACGGGTTCACCCCTCCCTCAAATGGCGCTGAAACCTGGATCAAGGCCACATCACGTTGACGTTCAGAGCTCATGCTATACCAGGAGTTTGTGGTGACAATATTCAAGGCTTTTCGGTGTTGGACCCCTGGGTCGGAAGCATATTTTCGGCCTCTGTAGCCGATCCAGCATTTGATCCGCTCAGCCTGCCCGCCGTAAGACTTGCTGTAGACATTGTGGCTTGCTGTCACCACCAGATCTTCTCGAATCAGCCACCCGGTACCCATAGTCCAAATTGGATCTGGGCGGTTTCGAGGTCGAAACATGCTCTGGACTTTAACGACGGCTGTTAATGTCAAGGAATCAGTTTAAGTGCCAATGCGGAGGGCAGTTTAAGCAGCGTCTTACAGCGCCATTTGCCATTTTCTTCGTAATCGTACGGATCAACTGGAATACGCCTGTCATTTCCCTGCAGCACTGACTCTTCAGCTGGCTTAGAGTCCGCGTGGCTCTCCGAGGGAACAAATTCTCGCGGGTGATATACGCCGAGAGACCAGGTGACAAGGTTGGAATAAGGTGGCGGAGTCACGTCCCTTTGGCTCTCCGGCCAACTGCCTGCCTTCAGGCTCTTCCCACCCCGTGTCAATGATTCCCAGTAGGAATCCAGGCCTGCAGTCCATTGTCAACAGCTCCAATCAGAGTCCCAGAAGGGAGCAACTTACCATGTTGCGGGAAACCAAGAAGGTGGCCCACGTATGTGTCCTTCATGAATCCTTCCGGGGGGACGAGCTCGTTGTCACTCAATTCGATCTTTTCGGGCGATATAACCACTTGCCTATCAACATGTTGATAGCCAAAAAATGAATATGGGAGTGTCGCGACAAAGTCACTCCCGTTGACAAAGCGCCATGAACGCTGGGAAGTCTTGATATCGTTAGGATAGCTTGCGTACGTCTTATCGCCGACTCTAGGACTTCCAAACGTGAAGAGATCACGAATAACCCTATTCTCATCATAGGTATTGAGCCGAAAGGTTGCCAGCAGGCCTTGCCAACAATGTGTAGCATATGCTCCACCAAGGGAATGCCCCTGTATCAAAAAGGTAAGCCGATTGCCCAATTCGTTGCGGGAAAGGAAAGAAGGACGGGGCATACGGTGACCCAGACCGGCACTGGCCTCTCAGGGTCGTTTATCATGTGTTTCTCTGTAAGCCGCCACAGCTCTTTCTTTAGCAGGTCTAATATATTTCGTTAGCACTTGGCCCACTATATCAGGGGGTGACAAGCATCCGTCGTACCGAATGGTATAGTGCTGCCAACCCTCTCATCCGCAGAGATTTCACTTGGAAGGACTCTAAAAATGCCTTTGAAAAATCCTTCGTGGCATTTACCCCTCACAGGACTCCTTTCAGCTGAAACCTGCTTGATTAGGGCATCCGTGAAATATTCCTCTTTGCGCCCGCTTCCCTGGGGATTCTGTAAGCCCCGTTGTTATGACTTGCTGCAACATTTCATTACCTTGAACGCAACCACTATGAGACCGTTGTCCCCTTCCTGAGGCCTTCTATAAAAGGCACCACAGTATGGACCGTTGAGGCGCCATTTTCCATAAGAGGAAAAGTCTTGTGGATGAGTTAACACTTCTATCTTTCCGAAAGCCTTTTGAACTCACTGCAGAGAGGCTCGTATATGAGTCCCATTGCGTTTGCCTATTCTGATGTTAGGGGTAATGTCAATTAATTGATTACCGCTTCATTTCAGACTCACCACTTTATTGATCTGGTTTGTGATTTCATCCATTGTCGTGGTTACTTTTTTAATTGCGTGCCGCGCTTCCGAGCCCAACTCCTCATTCTTTTCCATGGAGGATGTGATCTCTTCTTTATATTTCACCATTTCGGCCCGAACCTTCCGTTCTGCTTCCAAATCCCTACTCGAAGCAGGATTGTAAGCGATCTCAAACTCCGAAACCTTCACTGGGCAGGGGAACGACAAACCTCATGTAGACGCTTTCGTCCATGATTGAAAGGAGCTGAGCCACCTGCACGATGCTCTCAGAGTCAATAGGACTTCCCGGTTTTTCCGACGTTTTCTCTGTAGACATAAAATTTAGATATCGAAATTGTGAGATTTGGTCGACTATTGCCATACCATCGGGTAGTGCTAAGAGATAATCAAGAGCGTTCTTCAAAGACCCATCCTTTTCCATTCCCTTAACTTTCTTAATCAGTCCATCGGTGGTCGGAGCTGGGGGAATTTTCCCCTTGTCTTCCTCTATATTCTCTTCGGCAGGTTCATTATCGGCAAGGGCGCTGATGAGGGCAAGCTGCTCCTTCCATGTATCAGTGACCGACTTTTCAGGCTGATCAGGCACACTCTCATGCCATGGTGATTTCTTTATTTTCTTTTTGTTGTCAAGAAATCTCCAATGGTGCTCTCCAAGGTGGTAGTCGTCATGTCGCCGATTTACCAAACAGATATGTTCCTGTGAATTTTATATAAAACTGATGTCGGTGATTCTCTTAAGACATTCGGTATGAAGATTGCCCGGTGAGGTGGCAGAAGCTTCCTTTATATTCCTCTCCGGCTATCATCTGGCACCGAAGATGGGTTATACCTACTGATTAAAGAACTTGAGTTTTGTGATGAATCATAAGAAATCTTTCGCAATGCTGACTAGCACTTCTTTTACTTAGAATGGGGCGGGCTGAGCTGCGGGCTTATGACAATTGCAAGGTATGCAAGCGGAAGGTGGATCACTTAAGACTTTCACTCAATTCATCACACACAACAGTTGGATAACCAGATCTACTCTATTGGGGGATTGACATGAACCAACATAACGCTACTTTGGTTGAATGCAAATGGTTGTAAAAGGTGGGTCAGTGGCCGCCCCTACTAGGTTATAAATGGGATTATTCAACGTCACATAAGAGGTAATATCTGACTTGATTCACGAATGTTCGACGTCATTAACATTTGTTAAAAACGTCAAGTATACGCCACAAATCTATGATAGCATATTTCGTCACAAATGGCCTTGTCGAACACGGTACTTCATTGCGCAGGGAACTAGGATCTACTGGCTTGGTTCAAAACATCACTGCGTGTTTGACAGCCAATCTTGTTTCTTTCATCTCTGTCGGAAATGGCAATGCTATTCATTAAGCCTTAGCGCAGAATACCACATATTTGGCCGTGAAACAGCGAGACAAAGATTCGAATACTGTGATCTGAGCAGATATGGTGCATCTGAGTGAAAGGAGACAAAGTATAAGAAGGAAGTGTCTTCCTTGATTATTATTGTGTGAACTCATCGTCTTTTCAGGTAGCTTTTCGAATGAATAAAGTTATCACCCTTCCTAATTTGAGAATTTAATTATTTCTCTGTGATATTTTTATTGAGGTCTATAGATTTATGTGATTGTTCCTAATCGCGATAGATGTAGGACTGATAGGACATAACCTCTTAAGTCAAGTAATTAGTTTCATAATAGGTCACTTTAAACTTTTCCTGTAGGACTATTAGGGGTCACTCTCAATGTTCTCCAATCCAGTGTTTCATAACCGCGTTGGCTAAGCGTGAGAAATTCTTCGAACTTGGGGGCATCTGGACCATATCTTCTGTTCAGAAAAAGGTCACCAAGAGTAATATGGAAAAACACCAGCAACAAAACAGAAACAAAAACATACAACAGCCGGGATTCGCTGGTGGTCACCCACCCAACTACTAACCGGCCGGCGTGTGGCTTAAGTACGGCTGAGCGGACGGGAAGCCCTGTTCTCCACACCCTGTGGTCGTATGTACCGGTTCTAAAAGAAGGGGAGTATATAACAGGCTTGTAGAAACCATTCAATCTTAATCTTCAAATGCCCAACCATACTTTAACAGTAGTTAGCGAAAGATGAATCAACAAGAAACAGGGTAAACGTATAAGTCGTCCGCATAGCGGAGAGACCGTGTCAATATTGCGGTAAGACATGTCCCATGTATATAAGGAACGAGTCTGATAAGTGTTCCCAGACGACAGTGCCTCCATGGATATCGAGCAGCGAAAAGGCCCTCTCAACGAGCTCGCTCAGCGTATCACTAGTATCACAACCCGGGTTATCCCCGACGACGAAGGAATTGAGCTCCGATTCATCAACCAGCAGACCTCGGATGAAATGACGAAACCGTCTATGCAGATGATTGACAGCATCATAAAAAAGGTTTCTTTTGATGGGTGGACGGAGATTGGTACCAATCTCAGAAAGAAGGTTTTGGAGGGTAGTGTTTATGAACAACTTGAGAACGATGGGTTGAAGCGCCTTGTGTTGGTTTCCATCGTCACAGATGGCAGACCAATCGGGCCACACGGCTCGCCTGAAAGAGTCAATACCCTCAAGGACGTCATTCGCGAATGTGGGGAGACACTAAAAGCCAAACAGTACGACCGAAATGGTAAGGCCATCTGGTCTAGCTCTGTCTTGTTTGGCCTTTCGTAACTAACAAATGCAGCCGTGCGGTTTCAACTCAGTCAGATTGGAGACGATCCAGCAGCAGAAGAATTCCTCAAACAATTGGAAGATGACCATGAGCTTGATGATGTTCTTTATATTACCAGCGGTAAGTTATGAGGCTTTTTCACGGGACTTTTGCTAAGCTGTCTGCATAGAACGGTTGGACAAGGGCTTCAGAAAGCTTCACGAGAATGGCAACAGATTTGAGCAGTGGGTATGTTCTCCGTCGCCTACTGGCTTTATTTGATTAACTTCCTAACATTGTATCAGCTCCTGAAGCTCCTGTTGGCCCCGATTGTTGATGCACAGGCATTCTAACCGATTTGACCATTGTACGGAGTCCGGGGTATGATCTACCTACATGCAGGTTTCTCGCCATTGACTACGCAGACGTTTGTAGTTAAAAAGTGCATAACGGATGGGATTGAGAGCCAAAAGATGCAATAGTTACACGCAGTAGTACCTGATCGTAACTAGTACCAATACACATTTCACTCCTCACCCCGAGCTCACCTACACCTTGAGTGAGGTCTAGCCCCTATAGTCCAATCGCAAAGATTACCATGCCAAAGTGTTCCTAGCTCGTTCAGGCCCCCTAGGAACTGCCCCCACGGATCCCACGGGCCTTCGACCCGGCTGTCGGGGACCTATCGGGCATGATAGGACTGACCGTATCGACCACCCTGAAGTCGCTCGGGGAACAAGGCGAGATCAGCTCCCCTGTCAGTTTTGTCCTAATCACCCAACCTCATCTATCGGCATTAGGGAGTAAAATTCCATTGTGTCCATGTCCAAAGTTACCAACTCCGTGTAGTCACTCCACACGCCGATCTTCCGCCCGCCTTCCCGAAGTTTCCAGCCCAAGAACTCGACGCCCACTCTCCATTCTCGCCGAGAGCAGGACCCTGACAAACAGCACAATATCTCAATTAGTTCATCCATGTTGGTATGGAATAACACTCCGTATGATCGGCTGTCTAACAATGCTGTCTTCGGTATTCATGCTCGGCACACGGATCTTGCGGTGCCGCGCAACGAAAACAGCGACCTGAATCTCGGGGAACGCACGGTGAAGAGGGTGTAAAATTTCTGCATCACTGGCAGGGATCTTAGAGGGCAAGGCTGTGGCTTGTCAAGTCGGTGCTCGCTCGCGCAGAATGATCGGCAGATAGGATAAGACACCGATGCCTAGTCTTCTGGAAGAAGGAGATCGTCATTCGGAACTCCCTTTTAGGAAGTCCCGGGCAGGGCTAGATCACATTGCGCTATCTTGGATCAAAGCGCTTACAAACTGGGCCTGGGACGCTTGTTGTCGTTGTCTCATGTACTTCAAGTGAGTTTACGTGGTGGCTGGCTAGCTAAATGTCGTAAGGTTCAAGCGAGGATGGCACTAACAGGGACTGGATGCTGAATACATCTTACGTAGAATGGAGAGGTAAGAATCTAACCATCACATGCCGCGCATGGTAACAATGTTGGCCTTATTGGCTGATGTGGCACTCAGGCCATCTTAACTACTACAGCGCTTCTAAATTAATGATTGGTTCAAGTCTGGATCTTCCAAGCTGGATTTGCCATACAATATACTAACATTGGTTAACACAAGGATGAACATTCTGCTATCTCTATTGCCATATAGCATTGTAAGGGCGCGATTACTCCATACTAACTTTGAGGCCAGCTCTACTATCCAGTAGCGGACCTTGTGGTTATTTTCGCACATGAAATTCGACTTCGGGGTATGAACAGTATAATCCAAGTAACTAGTGGCTTGGCCGGTGCAGCTTCGGGTGGTAGAAAATTGTGTATACTGTACCATTGAGCCAGGAACTCTACATAATCAAAAACATTTGTTGATCAGTCTCACCACGAATCAAATTAGCGTAGTCGCATTTCTTAGCATTACATCAATAGGCTCAAGGCATTGCTGCCAAGCTAATGAGATGTATACCATTGTTCGGCTTTTTGTTTGTGGCTAATGGTTGAACGCACGTTCAGTCCGCCGGAAATTGTGCGAGGCCGAACAGTAGAATCAGAACAGAACATCAAACAATTCTAGGCTTCCATTGCCAGTACTTTCAATGCCATCAGGCCAGGTCCATGAAAGGCGTCATAAAGCATGAATCTATTGAATGCTCGAACTCAGACTTAAGTACGGCTGAGCGGAGGGAAAGCCCTGTTCTCCACACACTGTGGTCGTATACTGGACATGAGTTAAGTGTGGAATATGTAGAAGTGATTTAAACATACTCCCGGGGTTCTAGCCTTGACTAATAAGACAATACATAATGGTCAGATGGGTGCCTTGTATTTGGTTGACTGAAGGTTGATTTACATTAACACGATGAATACCTTCAGCCTGATCATATCAGGAGTTGGAATTATCAGCACACGACCACGCCGAAGCCCCGGATGCGGCTTTACTAGACGCAACAATGCTCACGATAGATCCGTACGTGCCTGCGACCATGATAAACGAGCCCAAAGCGATTACTATAATGCTCCAAACCCCCAGAAGCGCCCACATCACTGTCGGGTTCTCTCTGCCGCGTTTCAAATTATCATAGAGCCACATGCACCCCATCGGCTGGAAGGAGAGGAACGTTCCAAGCAGAGCACCGATCAGGGAGACAAGTTCGCCGAAGATAGGGATTCCGCTTGCTATGAGATAGGAGGATACCGTGATGGCGAACGTACAACCGAGCCAGGTAGCCCAGTGGATAAATGAGTTTGATGTAAGGTGTCTTGAGCCACGGAGGATGCGGACGAAGATATATTTGCTTGGGAACTGAGCAAGTCAGATGGAGTAGCTTGGAGAGGGGAGGGAAAATGGACGCTTACGTGAAGTACAACAATCGTGCTGACTATCAGGCCAGGGAGAGAGATGCCGTAAGAAATCTTCTTTATCAATATGTCAGCCGAGCCCAGAGCGGGCGATGCAACGTAAGAGCCGCAGTAATAATATATCACGATCCCAGTCGCGATATAGATCGCTGTGACAGATCCTTGGCAAATAAGTAGGGCTCGTGTATATAACGATGGGTCGCGCATTTCGGCAGCAATGGGGAAGAATCCTATCATCAAAAACACTGGATTGTTGTTAGAGTCTATTTTCTTTCGCATGGAGCGAAATGGAGACAAGGTAAAAGCACACTGACCAGGGGTGCCAGCGTAGTCATACACAAGGGCTGAGACTGCTGAAATGGCTTCGGTGAACGAGGGGGTACCAAAGAGCTTGTAATCTGATATCCAGGCACTATCGCTCTTAGGTGCTGTTGGAGGCCTATCTTGTAAACCAACAGCGATTGTAACCATAATCACTGACCAGTTCATGATTAGCAATACGAGCCAGGGTATGGGAGCAATAGCCCACCAGCAGTAAAAACACAACCCAGCCCTACCCACGCTGTCCACTTGATCTTCCCTAGTGTTCGAATGCTGGCCAAACCGAATGAGGCGATGGCAGCTACCGCAACGAAAACAGCAGTGCAGGCTCCGTGAGGCGACACTGCGTTCAATCCAATCGATGTACTTAGTAGACCTGAACCGGAGGCGAAAATCCAGTCTAATAGACGTCGATTAGTCGGAACACTGTAGAAGCTAGATTTAGTTCACGTCTCACAGATACAGACAGTAATGCCAAAAACCTCGCGACCAACTCGACCGGACATCAACTCTCCGGCATCGTCAATTCCATAGACTTCTGGATGTTGGAGTTTAAATCTCCCGATAATATATGTTGACCAGGTGCTTATGGATGCAATGACACCGAGGCAAATAATTCCCGGAATCATACCCAGCGTGTCGAAAGCCTGAGGAATAGAAAGAACACCAAGGCCAAACTGGGTCTTCATCATGAGAGCCACTGTCCCTAGCCATCCAACCTAGTTACGGTCAGTTAATGAGGTAAGGGTGGTCAAAGGCTCTCCCACATCTCGATAGTTTGGTCCTTCTTCTGTGATTTCGCCAAACACTGCATCTTCTGCTATGGGCGGAGGGTCCATGGCTTTGGAGGACTTCTCCATGTTGCTTTCAGGTAAAGCATTCGTCGGTTCCGACATCTTGTGGGCAATTTGGAAGAGAACCTAGGAGTTATGTGAATCTTTGGGGAATATAATGGTAAAGTGATAAGACTCTCATAGAGTATGGGATATCGGATGCAGACATTGATGCCGAAACACAGGGGATGCTCTTATATTGCGGGGGTTAGACACGCTAGCAGGCTCTGACGTTACCCTATATGATATCGGATAAGTATCTCTTTGCGGTATCAGTAGCGAGTGGTTAGTTATCATTGACGGCCGTCATTCTGCTCAGAATAACGACGCAATTCAACAATTCACTTGGACCCCTTTCTGCTCTACCCTTCGGTTAAAGGGTCTATGTTCAACAAAACATGAGCACTAGATTGCCATCCTATGTTATGGCCATGGACGATTAGATAGCTTCTTTCTGCGACTTAATTGAATGAGTCTATCCCGGACATACAATACAATTTTGAGATCTTGGCTGTTGGCCATACAAGCCGATACCCCAGATCAGCCGGGTAAGTACCCCAGATAAAACCGTATCAAGCAGGTGTCTCCGAGCCTGATATCATAAATTTCACTGATTGGCTTGGTGGGCTCCGAGCGGAGTTAGGAGGGGACGCTACGGCCATGGCATCCGACGTTGTGCCTTGGTTGCCAGGAGTCCGGCATAGATAGGAGACCGGCAACAATCCGAAAGATCCCAATGTTCAATTACGATTTGACCAAAGGAAACATATGATCCTGGCTTAGGGTTGATCACGCTGTTAGTAAATTTAATATCCCACTGTGGTTGCTCTAGGTACCAACAGCAATCTTATGTGTTCATCACAGGAGCAACTACGAAGAGCGAAATTGTTTAGCTTCAGAATAGCGCATAATTTGTCACACTTATCCAGCGCGGTTATAAAACGCTCGATGGGAGGAAATTACGAGAAATACTCGATAGCCTTTGAGGAGGGAATATTCCGGAGCAACCTGCCTTGGAAGCAATCAACTTGACTCAACGGATTTGATCCTATCAGTCCCACTGCTATCACCAATGCCGCGATTAGGAATAAGCGATATCCTTACCCCGCAAATTCTGTATTTACCCCGCCTCGTCAGCCAGTGATGCGACATGTCTTTCGTCCTGCCAGCAGACCCTACCAACCTCAATTTCACCCTCGCCCTTAACTTCTCCTTGAAGCCAAGGCCGAGATGTCAATGAGGAGCGAAGTATCTCCTAGAATCGCATCTGAAAGACGGTCACTGAAGGCTAGTAAGCGTACGACGAAAGCGTGCGTATTACGATATCTGAATGAGCCAAGACTACGGTGGCATGTTGACAAAGAATAGGTGTAGAAGATGTCGCGACCAAAAGATCAGATGTACCGGTTCACATCCGTGCGATCAGTGTATCAAAAGGAACTCGACCTGCCAGTTTGAAAGTCCGTCGCAAAAGGTCCTAGTGACGCGAAGGTACGACAGTTTATCCCGTCACTATGAAGATTAACTAACAATATGATCACACAGGTATATCAATGACCTTCATGGCCGACTGGCTACTTATGAGCACCGAGCAAACCAGCTGGCATCATCAAGATCGATGCCTGCGTCGCCTGACAGTCAGGCTTGTGGGCGTCATTTCACTGGGACAATTGATGGTACTGGACAGCCAGATGTTCCCCAACGTACTGGCGAACAATTGGGTACTTCTGGAGATCATGTCCAGGATCAAGAACCATTAAGCCATGGGACGCCGAAAACAACCAATGTTCAAGATACAGTGGCAGCGAAAGCACCTCTCACAAATCCACTAGCTTTTCACATCACAGACTGGGTTCCAGGTCCCCGAGGTAGGCCGCGTATGTGTATCCTCCAGTACAATAGAAAGGCCTGATAAGACCTAATGTATTTTTTAGTTTTCATGGGCACGTCATCTACTTGGGCATTTGGTCGACGAGTGCTGGGGATGACCCACGAGAGATTAACAAGTTCCTTGCTGTGTTCAGATCCCAATATTCTGCTCTTCGATGACCACGTCTATGATCTAAAATGGGATGGAAACAAAGCAAACTATCCACAGGACATATTTGACGTCTCGAACCTTCCTACTCCAGACTTTGCCAGATACTTGATCAACTCCGTTAAGTTTCATTGCGGGCAACTTTTTTACCTATATGAAGAAGATAGATTTATGCAGCAGTTTGAATGCTTTCAGCAAAGTCCAGCTCAAACAGCCCGTTCGTCCCCTTTGTGGTTCTGTCACTATCTCTTGATCCTTGCATTCGGGAAAAGCTTCGTTGTTCAATCGGCCCGGTCGCATAGCCCTCCTGGTGCAGATCATTTCGTTCAGGCGATGCAGTGCATGCCAGACTTCAATTTCTTTGATGGCGATCCTATTGAGAAGACACAGGTCCTATGTTGTGCGGCACTGTATCTTCAGTGTGCTCACAGTCGTGGGCCGGCATATCGGATGGTAAGCCAAACCCCCGTCGTTTTGGATACCAAGATACTCACGCTCTAGATCGGAACTGCTCTTCGCTTGTCTCTAGAGCATGGCATGTATACTGAGATGCATGGGATATGCCTAGATCAGGTTTACGTGCAACGGTGTAGTCTCGTATGGTGGACTGTCTATGTCCTCGAACGCCGGATGTCGTCTCTTCTAGGAGTGCCAATGGGGATATCGGAAGAGAGTATTAGCGCTTCATTTCCGTCTCTTTCTCGAGACATCCAAGGCCCAAATGTCTTGGAGATGCATGTTATGTTGTGCCAGATCTTGGCTAAAGTAGACTTAAGTAAGCCTTTTATCCCTTGCGCCTCATGGTACTTTTGCTAACATAGATCAGCCGTGTATGGCATCGAAGGGAAACTTGACAGTCGCTATCTAATCGCCACCCAGTCGGTTCTTCGCGACATTGCTAAGGTTACTGAGCAATTGAACACGTCGTTTGACTTGTACGCAAATGGCGCAATGAATGGGATCTCGCGGATTTCGGCGCACTTGCATCTCCTTGAACATCAGGTATATTGCTATCCTAGGCATTGTTACTCGCAAGTCACTGATTGGCGAGTATAGTGCATTATCCTAACTACAAGACCACTCTTATACATATTTCTCCAATCCAAACTCGGTCATTCCGACCCTGCGCTGATGGGCTGGCTACAATCCGGAACTGTGAAAGCCCTGCTTCAGATATGCGTGGAATCCGCCCAACAGACTCTCAGGATTCTATCAAACCTACTAGAACAGGGATTGCTAGGTAGGCTCAATACTTCACTTTCATGCGTTCTCAGATATTAACCAAGAATATCGTCAGAAACCTTCCTCCCACTCGACATGGACGCCGCATTTACATCCACAGTCCCCCTTCTAATGGCTGCTGCCATCGACCCGTCTCTACTACCTGACCACACGCCCTGGTCTCATCGCGCGTACACCATTTTAGATGAAATGAGTACTCGAGGCAATCGCTCTGCGAGATTAATCCAGTCCGAACTGAAACAGTTGGATGTGGAGCTTGCCGAATTGTTGAGTGGGGGAAACACTAACCCGGCAATGGCCTTGCAAACCCCTTCTTCTCTCTGCGGGCTCGCACATGGAAGCGATCCTGTCGGGAAAATAAACACGGTTCCAAGTAATGCAGATACTCAGCACGCCTTAGATATTGACCCCGGAGATGCACTTGACCAGCAGTATGAGCTGAGCCCGGATCAGTTGATGGCGTTGGCCAACTCCTTGGATGTGGATAGCTTGACTTGGCCGTTTCCTTCGTTGGAAGATTTGTCCGTTTAGGAACATAGTTTCGTGTTAACATAATCTCTTCCCGTCATCTTGCGGGCTTCGGAGTGGACCTATATTAGGAGCATATGCTTCTGACTGGCTATTTACAAAAACAAAATGAGAAGCAATGTGAAAAATATCAACCGGTTTAATAACAGGGAGTTACTATCAGCAGCACCCTATTCGTTCGAAAGTCTCTCATAAGAGAACCTAGAATGCAGACTTGCCATTTCCTTTCGTGTAACCGACTAACCAGCGTAATGTGCATGCATGTCTCCTCTCGGTCAGATCCTATCAATGTCCAAGCACCCAATGACAATAAGTCGATAACACGCATAGGGTCATCTTTGAGAATATCGGTGTCTGAATCCGATCCGATATTCCAATGTCCGGCCCATCTTGGCATCCACACGGTCCACAGATCATTACCATATAATCTTATCTGTGAAATGGTGGGGTCGGAGAAAAAGGCCGTAGTGCGGAGAAGATAAACTTTCTGCGGCTTATCGTGGCTCGGCCCGGAAAGGGGGGTGGGGATCAACAAACCAAAATCCGGTCATGGAGGGTGGCAAGAATAGGACATACCTGAGTGCACGGGGTCATCATGGTTTCTTCGCGGGGGGTAAACATACCTCGGAGTTCTGAAATGGTAGAATGGACGTCTCGTTGCCGAGTTATTACAAAGCGCGATCGAGGAGGGGAATTCACTCTATAAAGCAGGAATCGATCGCATGGCAGTAATTTCTAGGTTATTGCTTTGAGGATATTGCTGCTTTCATTCATTCTACTTTCCCATAGTCCTTTCGGGCTATTCATCCACCAATCAATCAAACTTCATCATGGGTTCATACATAGACGACGGCCTCCTCGAGGCCATAATCGTCGGTGCAGGCTTCGGCGGCTGCTACCTCCTGCGCAACCTGCGCAATCTCGGATTCCGTGTGCAAGCCTTTGAAGAAGGCCATGGCCTCGGTGGTGTGTGGTGGCATAATCGATACCCTGGGGCGCGGGTGGACAACCGCACGCCTTTCTACGAGTTCTCGGACCCCGAGCTTTGGAGCGAGTGGAACTGGTCCGAACTGTATCCTGGACAGCAAGAAATTCTTGAGTACTTTCGGTTTGTGGATCGAAAATGGAACCTCAGCCAGGACATCATTTTCGGTACGAAAGTAACAGACGCGAGATGGCATGATGTCGAAAGAGTCTGGACGGTTTGGACAGATAAGGGGCATTGTGTGTCAGCTCGACATCTCTTGCTGTCGTTGGGATTTGCAGCGAAGAAATATATTCCGTATCTGGAGGGATTGGAGACATTTGAGGGCTTCAAGTGCCATACAGCAGAATGGCCCAAACAGCCTGTCGATTTGGCGGGCAAGCGCGTTGGCGTTATGGGTACAGGCGCTACGGGTGTGCAAATTATCCAAGAACTGGGCCCTAAAGTGAGCGAGCTTGTGGTCTTGCAACGATCGCCGAACTGTGCGCTTCCCATGCGCCAACGGACAAATAAGATTCCAGTCAGCAAGGCAGAGTATTATGAACTGTTCCGAAAGATGCGACTATGTCAGACTGGAAACCTGTATCCACGGATCGACCGAAAGGCTATGGACGACACGCACGACCAGCGAATTACATTTTACGAGAAGCTCTGGGAAGAGGGTGGTTTCGCACCGGCACAAGGAAACTACTCCGACTTCATGACCGACCTGGACGCAAATCATGCGTTCTACCAGTTCTGGCGAGACAAGGTCAGGCAGCGTATCACGACCAATGATCCAGAGTTGATCGAGAACCTGGCACCATGGGAGCCGCCGTATCCGTTTGGCACGAAGCGGCCTTCCCTGGAGCAGACATTCTATGAGGTTTTCAATCAAGACAATGTACGTCTTGTTCCGTTGAAGAAGAATCCTATTAAGCAGATTCTGCCCAACGGGATTCAATTCCACGATGGAAGGACGGTCGAGCTAGATGCTCTCATCCTCGCCACGGGATTCGACGCCGTGACGGGAAGTTTCTCTCGTGTCAATATTTATGGACTGGATGACAAGACACTCAACGGCGAATGGGGTACTCAGACAAGGACATCTTTGGGAATGACAACATCCGGGTTCCCCAACCTATTCTATCTCTACGGACCACAGAGTCCAACCGCGTTCGCGAACGGCCCTTTGATCTCCGAGATCCAGGTTGATTGGATCGTCGCAACATTGGTGTATATGCGGCACCACGCGTATACTAAGATCAATGCCAGGCCGGAGAATGAAGTTGAGTGGTCTCGGTTGACGGATGAAGCTTTCTACAGAACGCTGATGTCGCAGAATAAGACCTCCTGGTATACAGGTGGAAATATTCCGGGCAAGCGACTGGAGGCGTTGAACTATATTGGGGGATTGCCTAAATATCAGGAGTACCTGAATAATTGTGTCGAGGCTAGATGGACTGGCTTTGAATTGAAGTAGAAGCAGATATTTACAATATAACAAGGTTCTCTTCACAAGCATGAAAAGGTGCACATTGTAGAATAAAAATAACTATATGGGACTCGACTTGAGAAGCACCAAGGGGTATATGCTGCCAAGAAGTTACGATCATAATAGACTGGCGATTATTACAGAATCTATAGGCGCTCCTTCGGCACGATATTGATCTCTTTCGGCATAATCCATTGAGACAAAGACTTGAAACTCAGCATTCAAGTATGGCGCACGCCTCGAAACACTATACGGCTTAATAATCAAAGAGAAGCAATCCTCCGACTTCAGTAGTCATTAATCCCACCCCTCTCCCCGAGCACCGGATCTAGGCTCGCATTTCTCACATTCCATACAGACTCATACCGCCCCACATGCGCACCCCCTTCTGCCCAGCCCCAACTCATTCCTCGCGGATACGCCCCCATCATCGTAAACCCTGACACCTTCAACTCTCCCACAAATGTCCTCGGATCATGCGCCTCGATCCTATGCGCCCCTCCTCCGGTCAAACACGTAGGTTCCGGACTTGTCGCCTTGACATCGAATGACTTGTGCGTAACACCAGCCGGGATAACGAATAAATCACCGGGGCTCACGTCGACATAGAGCGCGCCCTCCTCAGAGCCGACACCGTACGTATGATTATGAGGGTTATCGTCCAGATCTGCCGTGCCCCAGCGGATTTTACCAGGGCCGGATAACACCACCATTACTTCGTGGGTGGCAGGGTGGTAGTGGGATCGCTGATAGTGTCCGTATGTGGTCACCCATTGCACGTCCCAACCATGTTTTGTGAATGTGTCATAGGCGAGACTCGCGTCTACTGTTCCATCTTCCCGGAGGAAACAGTTTTTGTAGAGGAGGAGCGGCTTCGGCGAGTTGGGAATTAACGCCGTCGGTTTAACGTCGTAGGCGATGATTTGGGACATTTTCAATTGGGTAGTTGTGAAGGATGGGATGACTCAAAGGCGTGGTCGGTATATTGTGTCGAAATAGAGCTAGAATTATAAGATCAGACGCCCGTCGCAGCACTATGGATGCTTTCTTGCCCCCGGTTGATTAGCTGCTATCCCCGCAACTTCCGAGGTATGACAATCGGAGCACTTGGCCGACTGTGGGCCCCGGATGCTTGGCTTACGAGCCCTCGGGGAGAGCTCCTTTGACGTAAATTTGCCGTAGGGAGTTCTTAGCAATATTCAACTTTCCTAGTGTAAACTGCTCGTAAAGCTGTGCTCAATGCACTCTTTGGATATGAGGTACGTACTCTTAGTGACTAACTTGCATATCAAGGACGTAAGATTTCTAGATGTTGTCCCAGGCTGGCTGTGTTAGCAACTGAATAGTTGCACAACCCCTATTGCTGCCCAGAAGCGGCGAGCTCAATGCATTCCCTCTAATTCAATCGCACACTCAGCTCCTTCCCATCCAGCCACTTCTCCAAATTCTGCGCAGCTTCCTTGTACCAGCCATTGATCTGCTCATCCAGGTATCCCGTGTGGGGTGTCAAAAGTACCTGACTCCTACCATTCTCTCCCCAGCTCGTTGTCCTCCAAAGACTATCCTTCGGCAACGGCTCCGTCTCAAACACATCCAGCGCCGCCCCCCAGATCCCACCCCGATTCAGCGTTTCCAACAACGCATCCTGATCAATCAGCGGACCCCGAGACGTATTCACCAATAACGCGCTCTTCTTCATCCCCTTGAGTTCCTCGGCTCCGACAATCCCCCGACTCCGTTCAGACAAAACGCTATGCAAGCTAACCACGTCGGCAGTCGCGAAGAATTCCGCCTTGGTCGCAGATACCTTGATGCTTCCGGCCTCCAGACCCGCGTCACGAGCTACCTCATCTGCCTTCTCCTGTGTCAAATTCGTCGACCAAGCAATGATCTTCATTCCGAACCCCTGCGCCGCAATCCTCGCCACCCCCGTTCCTAATTTCCCCAACCCCAACACGCCCAGCGTCTTACCCGCCAGCGAAATCCCCAGCTCCGACCCCTGCCACTCCCCACGCTTAATGGCCGCGTCGTCGCGCGCTACACCCCGCGCCAACGCTAAGATAAGAGCCCAGGTATGTTGCACCGTCGAGTGTACGCCGACAGGGCGTGCGGAAGTCCCAGCGACTGGGATCCCTCGTGAGGCGGCGTACGTCACGTCGAGGGCTAGATTGCGGCTTCCGGTCGTGAGGAGGAGCTTCAGGTTCGGGAGGCGAGAGAGCGTGGATGATGAGAAGGGGGTGCGTTCGCGCATGGTCATGATGATGTCGTATGGTTCGAGGCGCGCGATGAGTGCTTCTTGCTGCGAGAGGTCGTGGGGGTTCAGCGTGTCGGGGTAGTAGGATATGGTGGTTAGGCGCGGGCGCAGCGGGTCGAAATACGCTGGGGAGATGGATTGGTAGTCGTCGAGAATTGCGAGCTTCATTTTTAAGGATTTGGGTTCGGGATTTGGAGATTGTGGTTCAGAATGTTTTGTAGCGACTGTGAATACAATTCGGGACGAAGGTGCGCGGGAAAAAAAATGAGGAAATCGTCCATGATAAACAAGTTCTTGATCTTGCGTCACCTCGGTGGGAGGGATGAGGATATATCCGGGTATTATTAATAGTAGTTATCCCCGCGCCGGATATCGGATCTGATAATGCACGATAGAGCGGTTGGCAGAACCTTCCCTCGGAGCCGCCTCTACTCCAATACCCACTATATTTCATAAATCTCGGTCGCGGACACCAGAGTATATGTTTTATGGCTGCTGCCGATTGGAATTACGGTGTTGCATCGTGTGCAATGGTAAGTGAGCTGGTGAAGATGAAGAACAGCGGGGACTCGCCGGTGATAGAGAGCGCAAGGGGCATGGAGAGTGTTCATACTATAGATGCACACCGTTCTGACCAGGTATAACACAATTCACAAGGGAATCTTAAACCCTCCCGGCATCATCTGCCGGAAGACACCTGTCGGATTGAGTTCCCGGCTGACACGCCGCAACATGTCCACGCTCTTGGGACCGTAACTAGCGATCGGATCTTGCCACTGAGCTGCATAATTCAGATACACAAACGGATGGTATGCCTCCAAATAATGCGCGTCGGCTTCAATCCCCGAGAACAGCGTTCGCGCTGCTTCCTCCACCAAGGTGTCATCCGCCGCATCGTCCCAGGTGGCGCTCAGCAGCGTCACGACCAGAGATTCCTCGCAGTCCGATAGCCCCATCGCATTGCGGTCCGGGGCCCGCGCGTAGATAGCAGGGGGTAACGGCTCGAGCGAAATCGACCAGACGATGCCCGGCACCTGTTGTATGGCTGCTAAACTGGCATTCCATCGCATATAAGTCGCATTCAACATAGGCACTGTGGAGTTATGTGTAGTCACTACACTCAATTGCCTGTCCTCATTTTTCGCATGAGTATCGACAAGCTACAGTAGATGGGATAGGAGGGAGAAGAGTGCTTACCTTTTTCCCCTCGGTGAAAATGAGCCCTGTTCGATGGCCACGTCGTGCAAAGGAGCTATGCGCAACGTGCTGGACACGTGAGGGATCTCGAAGAATGCATCATACACGGCCGGGTGTTCATCATTGTCCTTCAACTCCCCCGTATACACGATGCTATTCACCACCTCGGAGCCCTGGCCACCTGCAAATGCAAAACTGGTGATCAACGAGGCATTCTCATCGTAGTTCACCTGACCCTTCGGGTCACTCAGCTCGGCGAACGCGCGCAGCTGCGCATCCACGGAACCTATCATATATCGGACGCTGCCACCGTAGATTGGTCCCTGCGGGAAGGCCCGTAGATCAAAGCCCGTCACCACCCCGAAGTTGGACCCGCCCCCGCGCAGAGCGGCCAGCTCCACCGAGTGCTCTGCCTCATTGAGGTGCACGATCGTTCCATTGGCCAGGACGATCTCCGCGCCAATCACGTTGTCGCATGTCCAACCATGTCGTGGCGAGAAGTACGAGATGCCGCCTCCGAGTGTCAGACCGCCGACCCCGACCTGGGCAGCGCGGCCCCCAGCCACCGCGAGGCCCACCGAGTCGAGCTGACCGTATACGTCCCCCCAGGTGGCTCCTGCCCCGATGTAGACATTGGGGAATGCACTTTTTTCTGGCGGATACTGGACCCGGATAGTGTTCAAAGCGCGAAGGTCGATAGTGATGCCATGTTGAATGTTGGATGCTCCACCGAACGAGTTGTGGCCGCCAGAGCGGATGGCGAAGTAACAGCCACTTTGCTCGTGTTCAGGCAGGATTGCATCAGTTGCGACTAGTCTTGTGATGACGCTAGAGACATCCTCTGCCGAGTCTGGGAACACCACGCACAACGGCTGCAGATCGGTGTTTTGACTAGCGAAATAGGATTCCCGGGACACTTGGTACGGATTCGTGCCGGGCAAGGCGACTTTACCGCTCCCCAAGGCTGAAGTCAAGGCGAGGCACTGGAGACGCTGTAGGTTAGTGTTCATATCTGTATGGAGGCAAACAGTGAGGGGTCAGGACGTACGCAGGCGCCCAGCGAGGAGTTTCTAGCCATGGTAGTAATGCTAACTAACAGACACGTAGTAGCAGAAACACGGGAAGAATGGTGAGACAAGTGACTAGTGTATCAAAAGAGGCTGATGCCACCGCACATTTGATCGGTCCAGGAGTTGCTGCTAATTTCGGTGGTGCCTCCCGCGGCGTGAAGTCGTAACCTAGAGTCGCCCACGTCAGGGATCATGCTAGAGGGTACCTATAGCACATTTAACGCAATGCCGGTGTGTAACCTGACCGGGGCCAATGTCCAGGATAGGGTGGGTTATGTGAGTTATTAAGTGAAACATGTGAAATTTGTCCCCTCGTCTTGTCTCTGCTCATTCTAGCGATGGCACAGTCACATTGCTTCATAGAATTTCAGACAACACTAGCTAGGCGTGTAGCTTCATGGGCGTAGATAGGTAAAGGATAATCGCTAAGTACTAACACGCAGAGTCCTCGCGCTAAATCAGGAACATCAAGAGAGAGAGAGAGAGAGAGAGAGAAAGAAAAGGAAACGATAAAGGGAGGGCGAGAAACATCTTTTCTAGGGGCGAGCGGCAAAAACAAAAAAAGAAGAGTAGAAATGATGCGTCGGCCGGGAGTCGAACCCGGGTCCCTTGCTTGGAAGGCAAGGATGATAACCGTTACACTACCAACGCTTGTTATTATTAATCAGCCAGCTCTTTTGATTTATGGCCTTAATGACTGAATATCACGAGAGGGTATCAAGGAATCATCTTCGCAATGCAACATCACACAATACCTACAACATTGGCGCTTGCGCAGAGCCTCAGATACACATTCCAACTAGTGGTTTATGTCTGAGTGTATTGGCTCATGCTTAGGACCTAGTACGTAGCGAGTTGCCGAAACCAAAGGTTCCTTGCTAACACGCGCAAGATATATATATATTGTCAGCGGACTCGTCTGGTGAGGATGGGATCAAGAACCGAATTTGGCCGTTGAGACCTGCATTAACTTTTGATGTAGTAGGCCTACACGTCTTATCCATAGAAAAAATTATAGGAGTCATCGAAAGATAGATAAACAGCCACTGCGCAGGTCTTTCTATCATCATGGCATGGGGGTTGTTGCGCCGCGGATTCCTCTCGGCCTCAGGCATTAAGTGGGCAGGTCAAACCGACAACGGATTTGTCAGCATAAGTATCTCAAACACTTGGGACAGGATTGTGGATACAGTTCATGTGACGAACTGACCAAGACCACTATATAGAGCGATGCGCAACCAAGTCTGGGGACTTGGTATTCTAGTCTTTTGGTAGCTCAGTCGGTAAAACACTCCCACGGACCTGCCAAAGCGGAAGGTGGTAGAAGCGCACCTGCCACCGACCGTCACAGTTCACACGAGCTTATCGATAAGCTCGCGTGAGCCGTTCCATGGTGTGGATCTGCCAAGACCAGATTTATAAGCAGAACGATTCGCATGACCTTTTTGCATTTTTATTTCAGTTATTTATAGTGAAAAGAATAAGAATCTACTAAGTAGTTTCTAAGAATCATTAAGTACTTAATAAGTACTTATTCGACTTGGTCAAATAATGTAATGTATTGAAAGAGGTCGTGTGAATTGAAAAAAAAACATTGAGGTGATGCGAACATCACATGACCAAAACCTGCTGATTAAGCAGTTTCGACTCGCGGGACCCACTTTCAAGAGGTCAGGTCAGCTGCAACCAACAACAGGAGACGGGGCAAGCTTAAATAGCATTGAGGCGAATTGAGAAGCATGTGCAGTTTTACTTTATGGAGGTGTAACCTCATCTCCATTGTCAATACTATGGCTGCACCTGTGACAATTACCACAGCTAGCTAGAAGTTACAGGCCCCCGGATTTTGTTTTTCCTTTTCCTTTTTTCTCTCTTGTTTTTTCTTATTTCTTTTTATAAATAGTGCTTTCCCCCTTTTTCTTGCCTTTTTAAATCTCATTCATCTGTTTTCTGGTTTTCCTCTTCAAAGTCACTTCTTTGTTCTGTTCCCAAGAATTGCGAAGATATTGATCGAGGTACCCTACCTTCACAATTCACTTACCTACTGTAACCCCTTGAGAACATCCGCCATGCCATGCCTTATGTTAGCCGTATATCAAAGACGCTAGTTATCACACCTCCAATCGCAAAGCCAATTCCCTCAAAACCTCTCAAATCTCAATGCAACTGCCGCAATGACAACCGGCACAACGCTAACCAGCTCGCCCAACCCCGCAAACTCAGGCGGAATCCTGGCATTGACAAAGGCTCCCGCACCAAGCAAAATAGCAAAGAGGTTGTACACGAAACTCCATCCGAAGTTAAACCGAATACGACTGATAGATTTGCGACTGACACCAATAATGGTTAAAATGCCGTTGACGCTGGGCCGCATGAGGACCACGTCTGCGGCAGATTTGGCGACCTCGGTGCCTTCGTTCATGTGGACTCCGATTGTGGCGGCTGAGAGGGCGACTGCGTCGTTTGTGCCGTCGTCGCAGAATATGACGACTGGTCGGGTGGGTCTCGGGTCGGTGGAAGACTGGGAAAGGAGGTTCTCGATGTATGTGCGTTTGTCGGCAGGAGTGGAGCGCGAGTGGACGTTTGAGACTGGAATTTGTAATGTGCTGGCAATGGAGCGGACAGAACCGTAGTCGTCGCCGGAAACTATGTGCACTGATATTCCGCGTTCGAGCAGAGTCGTGACAGTCGATGCAGATTCAGGGCGAAGGGTATCTTCGAGGGTAAAGATAGCAGCGAGGGAGTCGTTGATGGTGAAGCAGAACACAGTGTAACCTTGTGATAGCATTGGCTGTACCCGAGCATCCGAGGAGAGATTTAGCCAGCGGGTATTACCTGCGCGAAGAACCAGGCCAGATGATGTGCCCTCGACCCCTTTTCCTGTCACAACACCTTTACCAGATACACTGGAAGGAAGTATGCCTTGATCTTTCAAGTGATTGGCCACAGCCATCGACACAGGATGTTTTATGTCACGAACCAGCCCGAGAAGTAACGATTTGGCGGAGATGCAGTCACTTTTGGTGTATAGTTCCTGGTTGATCGACAGCTTACCTTCTGTTAATGTGCCAGTCTTGTCAAAGACGACATGCGAGGTTCGGTGGGCTACCTCAATGCTGTCTGCAGATTTGAAGACAACTCCTCGCTCGGCAGAAATACCACCTGCAATTACAATAACCATTGGAACAGCGAGGCCGATAGCACAGGGGCAGGAGACAACCAGAACAGTGATAGCATATGTGATGGCCTGGACTGTTGCCTCTGCGCCAGTTTGGTTCCGAATCCCAACGCCCACAACCACCCAGATGGCAAAAGTTAAAACAGTCAGAGTGACAACAACTGGGACGAAATAGCTGGCAACGCGGTCGGCGATATCTTGAATTTTTGGTTTGGATAGCTTGGCTTCATCAACCATGCCCGCGATCGTGCTTATGGTGTTATCCCCAACAAGGCGAGTTAGCCGAACGTGGAGCATTCCCGATCCGTTGATAGAACCGGCAATCACTATCGATCCGATGTATTTCGGAACTGGATTGGACTCCCCAGTGACCATAGACTCGTCAATCTCGGAAGTCCCAGAAATGACCGTACCGTCCGTCGGGATTCTAGCGTCAGGAGTAACCTTGAAAATATCACCGTACTGTAGGAGTCTGATGTCTACCTCAAGATCCTCAGACTCGCCAACCAGCACCGCAGTAGGCTCCTGTAAGGTGTGAATAGATATCGACTCAACAGCCTTCTGCCGAGCCAAGGCGCTGACATACCGACCGACCATAATCAGAGTTACCAATAAAGTACTTGTTTCAAAGAATTGATCTGTCGGAAGTGGACGCCCAGCAACTAGGTAACCAAAGGAAACGATAGAGAACACGTAGGCTGCAGTTGTACTTAGGACAATCAGTAGGTCCATTTCTATCATTCTGGAGAAGATCAAACTCTTGAGAGCTTTCGGGTAGAATGGTCCGGCGATAACGAGCTGAACAATTGTTGCCAAGCCTAAAGATGCCGACTTGTACGCAATCTCCCGTTTTGGAAGAGGAGCCCAAGCCATGACAAGAACTGGAATTGTCAAGAAAATCGATAGTAAAGTCATCCATCCGACATGCCGGACATGTTTACCGCCCGCTTCGAGAGTTGGGTTATCACGAAGGGGGGCAAGTTGTAGAGGTGACTCCCAACCTTTCTCAATGAGATCCCTTACACCCACAATCTTTGGATCAAAAGTGACGCTGACCGTATTCTTGTCAACTGCCCGCATATCAGTAACACCCCTAGGCCAGGACTGATCCATGAACTGACGCGAATCGCAAGGAGCGATTAGGTCAATAATGGAGCCTTGGCTGCTCACTCTCTCGCATTTGAACTCCGTGGTTCTTTCTAGGTGTTTCATAACATCGGAGATAGAACCAAGACGCAGATCCAGCTCGAACTCAGCTCGAGCAAGAATTAAGCTTGTTTTGAGGTTCTTTACTGATTCCACGGTACCAAGGGTTCGTTGGAGCTTTTTTTCGCATCCTGTACAGGTCATGCCGGAAATACTAAGGATGACATGCTCCTGGCACGGAAGGCTTTTTTCTGGATCCGGAGAGACAGAGGCCGTTTCAGTCAAGGTCCCTTTCGGCGTTTGCGCATTCCCATCAAGACAACATGCATCTTCGCACGAGTTAGCAACGTCAACGGTCACGGGCTTGGCGCAGCAGGTCTTATCACAAGCCGTGTTTCTTGCAGGCCTGCCCCCACGACTGCATGCTATCGATCGAGGGTCTCTCTTGATGGAACATTCCGCCACACTCAGGCAAGTGCTCGCATCTTTGGTACAGTAACTTTCAGTAAAGCTACGCCGGAGAGGTGTCTTCTTTTTGGAACGAGACATTGTAGTGGGCAGCCGTCCCGGAGGTAGACAGCAAGACTCTTGTCCAAGAGCTAGCAAGGCACGACAAATACAGCCGAGAGCATCCAAAGTGGCTGCATAGCTTTCTCGGACCTTGCGAGAATGGTGACAACATGCCTTGCCATTCTGCATCCCTTGACAGGAGCCGCGAGCCTCGGGACTTGCATGAGATCTAATCGAACCTGAAAAATAATATGAGCGGGTTATTACAAGGATTGGTTGATAGGTCTATACCTCTGGAGCTCGTCCTTCGCAGTCCAGGACGCGTGTCGCCCCTTTCGCATTCACGGAGGGCAAGACGATCAAGACAGGACGTGTCGCAGCACGGTGAAGCCTTCAATCTGCAACAACTGGGTCTGTTGAATTCCTCATTTCCCTGGGGGGCCAGCTCCACAACAGAACAACAATTCTCTTTGTGGACCGGCTGTGTCAGTTCGGGAGCACAATAGGTATCAGCTATGGGGTCTGGCTCGATCCCAGACTTATCGATCTCCTTTCCTTTGTCGGTCGGGATTTCGCGGAGCTCATTCTTGGTGTCCGCCGAGTAAACTACAGATGATTCAGCACCACAACAACCACTTTCATTTGCCTCATCCAAAACCTCCGTGTTGTAGATACTACAAGGGGCAACTTGGGAACGGTTCACAGGCAGTTGAAGAGTGCCCTCGACATCACAGCAAGTACTTCTACCATCCCTGTCAATGGTGCTAGAAGACCGCACCTCGAGCGTCTCAGGCGACAAGATGGCGGAGGTGTCGGGTGGAACCGCTGGCTTGCAACAACCAGATCCGCAAGCCATAGTTGGCGCGTCAAATTTGATGACTTAATGCTTAGAACGAGCGGTTGGATGAGGAAAGAGAGATGCCGCCAGGGCGGAGATGGAGAAGTCGCGGGGGGTCTTGGGTGATCGTCTCCTTTGGGCTTAGCGCCATCCGGAGATCCCCGCGCGAGCTGCCTGCCTATTGTGGTTAGCGTGAACAGAGGAGCGGATGCCTTGCGGCCTGACGGATGTTCCCCGAATAGCAGCGACTAAAGCTAGGGTTTCCTTTCAGACAGGCTATTGTTTATGAAAGCCAAAAATTGACTTGAAAAATTGCAAAAGTGTCGAAGAAAGTTCGCTATGCATTGACGTCCATATGAGTCACCCAGACGATGTTATGGTCAGGACGTGTTAGATGAATCCATGGGCACTATCTACGAATTGACGGAAATTGCCGGCTTCATCTGGCGAAGACCTCAATACATTGGTTCCTAAACAAAGATAATTTCTTGACTCTGATACTGAATGATCGTTTAATGCCTCCTCCGCCTTTACTCCGATGCCCTACGTGGGTCTTTCACAACTCGGATCATTTTATAGGTGTATCACGCGGTATTCCGGACTGTAAAGGTAACATACATAGCTAAATCCTGGATAATGATAATTGGGAGATTATCGCAATAAGGATTACAACAAGAATGTGTTCTAAATATTAGCTGAATAGACAAGCACGGCTATCTGAGAGTTAGGACTAAACCTGAAAGCTATCTAGGCCTAGCTTTAGCCCTACAGGCTTGCATAAAACACTTTATGTGTAGTCAAATTCCTGCCCAACGGATCGTGATTCGCTGGCATCTGAATTTGATTTCTCTAATTATAACTGCCTTCATATTTTGTCCAGCGTAGTGATTAAGTAGACCAATCCATTTGGTGGAAACCAACGCGGAGTTGCCTAACGCACCCATAACGAGGCAAAAGTCTGCACAGGCTCAACAACGTATGTAATAACACAGTCCAGAAACTCATCATCGTCAAAGTCAGGCGTCGGCCCCAGATCACTATCGATACAATGACGAATAGCTTCTGCAAGGTCATATCCGAATTCTTCTTCCACCTTCTCCTGCCATTTTTTGGCTGTACAAAGGTCCGTGAAATCGTTTGGCCGGCCGTTATCGAGAAACATCCGGCGGAGGGGGTGCGATTCAAGTTTCTGGCCAAATGAAAGCTCTAAGAGAACGACTCCTAGGCAAAAAAGACTTTGTTTTGTGCCAAGGAACTTTGTGGTTTGGGCCCCGTGTTGTTGATGTAAATACTCGCGGATGAAGAATCCCCCGTTTGTGTTGATGGTCCCGAATTCAGTTTGTTTCTTGATAAGGATATGCTCCAGGCTCCAACGACCACCAATCCACGAATTTGTTCCTTGAAGCTCAGGGAGAGAACTGACCAACAAATGAGCTAGTTGAAACCTCTGCGACTTGGGAGGAAGTTCGCCAGACATGACCTCCGCAAGACTCAATGTCTCGTGTGGTGTTAAGTCGTCCTTCTCTTGGGAAAGTATCAAGCTTGTCTGAGCCTCCATCGAGAAGTATCCCGCAAAAGGCTCCGCAGAGTTGGAATGAATGCTAGCACAAAGATCCTTTATTAATGGGTATCTAGAGAGTGAGATTGAGCAACGTCTCTGTGGAGGTTGGAAGCGGACCCCCTTGTCTACTCTATGTTTTGGATTGGGGATTCCTTGGATGTTGGGCTCTTCGGAGGCACGGACTTTTAAGTTGACAACTTTAAAGATCGAACCTAGGCCCTTTTTGATGGTTTTATAGCTCTTGGCTCCGGTCGCCTTCTTCATCATGTTCTGCTGCTTTATTTCAAGGATGTTGTTTGCAAATGATGGAGACTTTGTCTCGGTTGCTGGTGTATCTTCCGTGGAGTGTGTCTGGGCTTTGCAAATCATCGGCGGAGATTCACGTAAGAGGAGCTTGTGTGCGATGGAGTCCAAGTCATTTTTGGTACCTTGAATAGATTGTAGGGAGATCCCAAGTCTATGGCTATGGGTGTGGTCGCATTGCAGGGACCGCTCCAAAGCGCCGTGAAGAGCTTTGACTTGATTTCGCCGGGCTGCTAAAGCCTTGAGCTTCCTTGACGTGGCGATTGTTTTGTTGGAGACGTTTGGGTTCCTGCTATAGGCCGAGCGGATAACCCCGATCTCCAGGATCTCCTTGAGTCTGTCGTTATTCTTCTTCATTTGTGATAAGAGCTCTGGCTTGCGCCTTGACAGAACATGATGGATTCGGTCAAGTTCCCTGCGCAATTTACTTTTGTTGACCATGTTGACCTGCAATGTTCAGTGCTGTGGACTGGAAGGATGATTCGGATGTACCACTTACCTTTCCATCTTCGATCGGTAGGATCTCAATCATCTCAAACACCACGAATTTCAGATCCTCCAAAGTCTGCATGAAACGGATGTAATTATCCCCCAGTCGTTCGCGGAGTTCCTGCTGCAGCGTGGAATCCATCCAACATTCTCCGTTGGCCTGCAAGAGCAGCTCGATCCTGTCATCTGGTATCGGAAGCGGATTCAAGAGGGTTCTAACAAGAGCTTCAAGCCTGTAGTATTCATAATCGATGTCGTTGATGAAGTCGTTAAATGTCTGCTCGTACCGCCACCAATCTTTGAGCAGTCCGCCGCCTAGATAGAGCTCTTTTCCAGCCTTCAGCACAAGCGGCAAGACGCCCAAAATAACTCCGACGACCTCAAAGCCAGACATATTTTCCCCCACTACGACGACATCGAAATATTGGCCACGATGAAGAGATAGTGTTAAGATGATTCAACTTTTGATGGAAAAGGCGGTGGGCGACGCAGAGTTGAAACACGGCGCTGCATCGCCACGTCAATCTCGCCTAATCGGGTTTAGAAGCAAGGCTGGTCCTCGAATGCCCTCACACAAAAAGAACCATCATGATGCCAAACATTCGAACTTTTATTGCAGAAAGGCTTCCATCCTTTTAGCGTAGGACCAGGCTTGTCCAGGACCCTGCAATGTCGACTTTTCCGAAGCCTTTGACAACTACAGTTAACCCCAAGTCAAGAACAGAGAATGGACATTCAATATCTGCGATAAGCAGGGATTGCCTGTCAAACTTTCTCTCTGCCATCGCAATAGAGGAAGCGAAAGGTCAGACTGTTATCACACCAGCCCTCGATGATGAACGCGGGCGATTCCAGGTCTGGGCTGGCAATATTGGCGCCCTTCATCAGCCTTCTCATGGGAGCTCACTGGATTCTCGTTTATCAAATGCACCTCGGATGCGATCGAGTGTAATATGGACGCTAGAGAGGTTGTTGAGTTATCTTCAAAGATGTAAGTAGTTTTGGCCATCTAGGCGAATCTATTGTCTTGTTCACAAGTCCAAAGCTCAATCCATTCTAAATGGCGACCTAGCCAGCAGATCGCTGAGCAATTGCGAGATAGAGGCGGAAGATGATCCTGACGAAAGTGGTGGGGAAGCCACGGAGATCCAGGAGCTTTGCAAGGGTATCCGATCGGTCATAACCCATTTGTTCAAGCTTTCCATGATCATTCGCCAGAATAAGCCCAGAGGCCGTGAGGGAAAGACTTCCGCTTTAGAGCCCCTGGATCCCACAGCGGATATGATGCACATCAGGGACAGGTATGAGAAGGCCCGAAAGGCTCCTTGGTTAATCGACCGACTTGGAAAGGCAATCACGGCGCGTCGAGAGTATTTCCGATATCGAATGTGGCGACAAGAAGAACAGTGCACCCAGCAGAGTGATCTTGCAGAGGACGCCGGTCCTGGAGATGCTCACGCTGCCACACTCAAGGCTACCACTTTTGACGGAGATGATATGACAGTTGTTCTGAAGAACCCGCTTGGCAACTATTCAATAGAGCCCGTGAGGTCTACTGAGGCTAGTATAACGTCGTATGCGACGTCACTACCAGGGGCAAACGAAGAAACACTGCGTGTTCCAAATCCCCCAAGCAAATTATCGGACGGTACGAAATTCGAATATGGTGAACCATTTGAATGTCCTTATTGTCGGAATATCAGGATCGTCCAAGACCGATCTCAATGGAAGTAAGTATATCTGTATGTTCAACTGTGCCTCTTTGCTTTTGCTGATATTGCTAGGCGGCATGTATTCGAAGATCTTCAACCATATGTATGCACTGCTGAGACATGCACTTCGTCTCCCTTCACCAAACGCCATGAGTGGTTCGACCATGAGCTTAATCAACATCGAAAAAGATGGCACTGCATTATCTGCTCTGAGTTTACATATACCTCGAGGAACGAGCTCACCACCCATATCCAGCGCCAGCACGGAGTAGTCGTCACGGCTGTGCAAATTCCACTGATCGCTGATGCCGGGGGTAGAACTCAAACCTACTTTGGTGAAGGGCAATGCCCACTATGCAATGACTGGAAGCCGATATTATCTCGGCATAACAACAACGCCCCAGCATTCAGGCGTCATTTAGGGAAACACTTGGAGCAACTTGCATTGTTTGCATTACCCAGATTAGCACAAGACGAAAGTACCGAGGGTGATGACTCTAGCGAGAGTGAAATTATTAGAGCCTCCACGGATTCCCTAGAGAGCCCAGTCTTGAATGTGTATGGCTCGGAGTCTACCTCCGAAAAAGGGAAGCAGTTATCCAATGAGGGCCTAGTCCGCGGTGCCTCCCAAGCACCCCCTTCAGCCAGCGTGTCTCCCTCCAGACGAGAAGCATCAGGAATGAGCGCCCGAGAGGCCAGCCGCAAAATGGGTTATCCTAACCTCAGTCGCACAACGCACAGAATTTACAGTATGGTTGGCGTGGGCCTTCCTCGATCGACCAGCCCTGAAGGACAGAGCTCAGAACGTCGAGATCACCCAGAAACCCGTCGAACAGTTTCCCCGAACGCGGGTCCAGTCCGCGGAAAAGATTCTGATGACCTCATACGCAGGCTCTCCAGTAAGCTTCCCATGGGCGCTGTGTAGGGCTTCCTCGACCGACAACATTCAAAAGGCAGGAGTCGGAACGTCGAGATAATATGGGGTCCCTCGACCCAGAACCCCGTCGCACGGTTTCCCCTAATCCTCTTTTCGATCGCAAGTCTCGATAACTGAGTATTAACCACTCAAGGAGCCGCGACTCACTATCGCCTTCATCAGGAATCCCAAGAAGCTCGTACAGACTGTCTCCGGCCGGTTTGCGACCCCGAAAATCTATTGCTTCTCAAATTTCTCCCATCCGTAGCGTCAGCCCGCTGAGCGCCCAGAGAACCAGGTCTCCGCCGTGGACCCAAAATTATCTTCACCCGAGGTCCAGTGGACTGAGGGAGCTGATAGCGAGCGGCCGACCCAAAGTACTGAGCCCACCAATAATCCAAAGATAGAGATTGCCAAACAAAGATCTGAGAGTATCGAGCGAAGACCAAACCATCCGCACAGTCTTCGAAGTGTTGAGAATATTCATTCTTAGTACAAATGCGGGCATGAGTGCTCAACGAGAAAGGACCTCTGCGGCCTCAGTTACGCAGGTCCCTGATGGCCAGCGGTCAGTGAACTCAGTAGGGAGACTGTACGCTAGCTGGTCCCTCATACTCTGTACATATTAGCTGAACAAAAAGCAAGGCTATCTGTGGATTTGAAAAATAGAGGTGATCGACATTAAAATTAGACCCCTTTCTATCATACTTGACAAGGCCTACAGGTGGTACAGCATGCCCCTTTTTCGGCGCGGAGGTTGGCCCGTTCCAGAGAGGGTAATCTGCTCTGACCGAGTCATGTCGCGAACCTAATGTAGCCCTCCAGGATTCACCTGAAACCCTTCTATAGTATAGTTCCAAGGCTGTTCGTGAATATAAATTAGGTTACGTACGCACTGACATACACATGGTGATGATCGACACTGGCGAAATTCCCAATCAACGAGGAAACATGAAACCGATGAAGTCCTCTAATGGGGGCGTTTCGCCGACATATCCCCGAAAACCCTGGATCGGCAGTGGTCCTTTCCTCAATGAGGTGGCCATGTAGAATTCTATACGTAAGATCAGATGTTTTCTTGGTCGAAAGGCGCACCTGGCGCCTGTTGCGGATCCCCGTTCATCGTGCTTGATCTATGTCCCGTGTGAAGGCTGGACCACATCGCCGTCTCGTGAATGTCATCTTAGACCCATGGGAGGAGGGCTTTAAGTGTGTGGAACAGCAATTTATGTGCAAATAGGAACATCTACAGCTACAAATTAACGCACCAACATTCATTCCGAGTACAGGAGACTGGTCGATCAAGTCATGTGTTACCCTAGCACAACATGATATAAAGCAGGCCTTGACCGCTGCATTGAACGATAGCAAATCCAATCACACTCTTTAACCACTTTGACTTTTTCATCATGTTTTCTCATAAATTCATTCCTTTTCTTTTGGCCTCCGCCATACCTTCCGTCCTGGCTGACGGATACAGCAACATCGATCGGTCTGCCACCGCGGGAGCCCAGTCTCTCCTCCGACTGATCCAATCCCGGTTCGGATCGCAGTATCTCTCCGGCCAGCAGGATCTGGCCAGCCTCCAATGGGTGCAGGAAAACATTGGAAAGACCCCTGCCATCCTCGGCAGTGATTTCATGGATTACACGCCCTATTCTGTTGAGCACGGGGCTAGTTCCAACGCCACCGAGGACGCCATCAACTTCCACCACCAAGGCGGTATCAACGCACTCGTCTGGCACTGGCGCGCACCTGCCTGCCTCTACGACACCGCTGAACAGCCCTGGTACGAGGGTTTCTACACCAAGGCAACCTGCTTCGACGGCAAAAAGGCCCTCGCCGAAGCGAGCCGCAACGGAACCAACTACAACCTCCTGCTTCGTGACATTGACGCCATCGCCGCGCAAATCAAGCGTCTCTCTGCAGCTAACGTTCCGATCTTGTTTCGTCCCCTGCACGAGCCGGAGGGCGCATGGTTCTGGTGGGGCGCTCAAGGGCCCGATACATTCCTCGAACTCTGGGATCTCGTCTACACTCGAATCACGGTGCATCATAACCTGCACAATATCGTTTGGGTATGCAACACCGCCGACCCGAAGTGGTACCCTGGCAACGACAAGTGTGATATCGCCACAATCGACCATTACGCTGACGCTGGGGATCACGGAGTCCTTGAGAAGAAATGGCATGCGCTCTATGAGGTGACTGGCGGTCAGCGGGTGCTGGCGTTAGCTGAAGTCGGCGTCATTCCGGATCCGGAGCAGCAGGCCAAGACTAACACGCACTGGGCCTACTGGATGGTGTGGTCTGATGACTTTATCAAGGACGGCAAGTCTAACTCCAAAGAGTTTCTTCAGCAGGTGTACGACAGTCCTCATGTTGTCACGTTGGAGGATGCTCAGAAACCTGGCAATGGAACGGTCTCGCGCCGTCGACGGTTTTAGGGATGGGTTTAGGCTGGATCTGAGTACTTGGTTATCCTTTTTGCCCTGCCTGTCTATCAAGCTTCTGTGCCTACTTATGTAGACTTGGGTGTATTTATAGGTGGTTGTAATGATGCGGTGATAGACACTAGTCGCTCTTTGAATTCATTCCGTGTTCTTGCCGTGCCAAGGCTCCCTCGTTCCATCGCCTCGCTCAACCGATGTCTCAACCGATCGATTGCATATATTGAATCTCGCCTGCATATGGCGACACTATATCGGATTGCACCGTAGGTACTGAATCATTTCTGGGATTGTTGAGGACATAAACAAGTGCACATATGTGAACTTGTTCTCAATATGATTGTTCCTGCTTCTCAGTCCTTGTGCCACATGGGTCCATGAGTGGAAAGTAGCAAGTCTATCTCTTGTCATCACAGGAAGCGTGGTATTTATGAGCAGTTGGGCCAAGCTCGGTAATACATAATGACATTGACTCTGCCGTAACCTATCTTCAAAATACAAATAACTATTGAGGAAACGAGCAAAATGCCAACCGGAAATTTCCCACAATACACCGTGTGGTGGTATGAAACAAACAGCCATTATGGATAGCTATAGGAATCGTGAATTCGAGGTTTCAAGACCGTCTTCATGGTCGACGACCAGTTACAACTCGGCTATCATTCATTAGTTGGCCATGTACTTTTCCCTTAGGCAAACGGGGAGAGAGGAGTGCGACTCACATATTAAAGTAGGCGTGGATACTCCGGTCTTTGATATTGTCTCTCACGCCGACGAGAAAGACTTCCATCTCCTCTCTGGTCCACCCAAGCACCTCAACCAGCAATCCAAGAGCATAGGGCGACACGGCCTCCAAGTATTGGAGACACTGAAATCGGCCGGCCTCTTTAAGAGCTGGATCTTTGGGCCACGTGTTCATAGGAAGTCGAAATATCCGTTCCTCCACATCAACGAACCCGGCTTCTTCCATCCATCGCTTCACGTTTTCCGGTGCCGTTGGGGACTGGCCAATCATGTTACAGGCTTTCATACACTCCCTTTCCCAAATCCGCAACTTGCAATCCTCAGGAATGCTGTTGTCGTCGCTGATCGCGGTGCCGTCGGCTTCCTTTACTTCGAAGTAGCCCCCTGGCTTTAGATTGCTGGTTGAAAAGATCAGTTACAGCGCGAAAGGTTTAAGTAGTGAAGAGAAAGTCTATACTCATATGCCTGGCGGAATAGACGTGGCCAGTCTTGAATGACCGCATTTAGATTTTGAAGATGGATCAAGTCAAATAAGTGGCTGAAATTCCAGTCAAGCTCTGCGTCATCGATCTCGAATGTGAGGTTTGATGGAACCCTGGTAAGAATCAGAAGGGGCGTATTCTTAGTTTAACACGAGTGTGGTCTATGGTGCAGAGGACAAACCATGAAGGCTGAATCGCTGATATATCGGTCCCTATTATTTGCTTGTCAGCTCTGGACGGAATCCTTAGAATCGCTGGATAGGTAAACATACCAGTGACGCGCGAATTCGGATACAACCTCCAAACAAAGTCAGCAGCGGGTATTGATGTCCGGAAAGAATTACTTTACATTGCGACATCCACTGCCCAGGTGCCAGTTCCTGTGCCAATGTCCAAGATGCGTCTTGGGTTCTTAATAGGGGAGAAGACCAGCCGCCCTTCAAACAGGAGTCCATAGATATGCTGCAATAAATTGTTTCGGTCGGATTCCAGCTTGAGTGACGACAAAAATTAGCGAATTGAGCACTTTATCCTCTGAGACCCTTTGAAAAAGGCCTCGAAGAGATAGATAACGTACGTCATCATTGGGCAGGACATATTGATTCGAGCCATATGTCGCGTAGCGACGGCCGTTCTTGTACTCGTATGCGAGAACACTCGAGGTCAATGAGTCGAGGGACTCGCTATCATGAAGGTTTAGTTAGAAAAGCCTATGTGGGAGGCAAGGTGTCCGAACGTATCCGAGTCCAGGTCATATCTCGACTCATCTTCAACCGTGTTGCTCTTAAACACATGTCAGCAAATGCAAGAAGCCGGCAGAGGCGCATGGGATCGACAATCGTACATCAGGCTCGATAGGCAACATTGTCGATCGATCTTCAGTGGGAATTTCCATGGTCGCAGAAGGTTTTGCAGGTTGCGAAGAAAGGATGGTGAGGTGGATTTACGATCGAGCGGGGGAATCGGTGGTTGCACTCGTTTTCTCCTATCCACCCCTGTCCATGACAAGACGCTAATTGTAAACTAAACAGAACACAACATGAGACCGTCATCAGTTAGCTCAACGGTTTGAGGCATTGATTGGGCCATCCTCAGGCCATCATGGAGGGGATAAAGATGGGCGCTACACAGATAATTTGCAAATTAATTGTCCAGCCCCCCTCAAACGTGTCCTCTTCTTTTTTACACAATGAACAACTTCGACATCGTACGAAGGTCTAGGACTTGAACCCGGTTCCGAACATGTCTTTGTTACTGCATTTCACTGTGGCATGCGTCGCAGGTGTCACCGGACATCTAGCGTTGTTCATACATGGCGAGTGGGAACGCCATGCCCCCAGGATCGCCCGGCTAGCTTTATTAGCTGAAATCGCCCTTTTCCTCGTTTCGTGGAAACTCCAACAATTCGTATTCGGGAATGCCTTGGTCCATTGGTTGGATTGGAACTTTGGTTTTAACATAGGATCGTTTGGGAGTATTGGGGCGTATCGTCTCTTGTTCCATCCGCTCCGAGCGTACCCTGGTCCCCGTGGCGCAACACTCACCGGATTCTATTCTATTGGTTTAACGGTCTCTGGCTTTCAGTTCCACAAGAAAATACAAGGCTTGCACCAGAGATATGGCGACTTCGTACGGATCAGGCCTCGTGAGATCTCGATCAATCATGTAGACGCTGTTCGTGATATCCATGGCCCGGGCTCCAAATGCGTCAAGGGCCCGTTCTACGATCTGAATTACCCTTCGCGGTCTCTACAGATGACTCGTGATCGCTCGTTCCATGCGAAGAGAAAGCGGGTTTGGGAGAAAGGGTTATCAACTACAGGTACTTCGCATCTTTTCCTGGAGAATGAATGTTTGCGGCTGACATTGTTCGTCAGCTTTGAGTGACTATGAGCCTAGGATTCTTGGACACTGTAAAGAGGTGTTATCTAGACTTTCTGAAAGCGCAGATAAGACCGTTGAGATTACCTCGTGGCTGGACTATTTCGGTTTCGATGTGATGGGTGACCTCGCTTTTGGGAAATCCTTCAATATGTTGAAGCAAGGCAAGCCTCATCATTTTATGACTCAGCTGCAAGCGATAGGCCCTTTGGTAGCTATTCTGGGATGCATGCCATGGCTCTTCATTCTTTTTCAAAGTATTCCGTTGATCAGCGCCAAAAGAGCTGACAATGTGGCTTGGTGTGGCAAGCAAGTTCAGGAACGAAAATTGGTACTACAAATCACTTCTGGATACAATGAATAGGCACTGACACTACAACAGATGAGCAAGTCCCGGGTAGATATTTTCACATACCTCCTCTTATCCTCAGAGGATGACCCGCGGAATCCAACTATCAGTGACGGTGACCTGATATATGACTCGGAGCTCGCGGTCGTGGCTGGCAGTGATACTACTTCTACAACCATGGCGGCTATTATATATCTTCTCGCAAAGAACCCCGAGAAACAAAATCTGTTACAACAGGAAGTCGATCAGACTTTGGGTAACCCCGAAGATCTCAGCTATAGAAATATCGCCGGAAAGACTCCGCTCCTGGATGGCTGCATCAACGAAGCCCTGAGAATGTACCCAGCAGCACCCAGCGGTCTTCAACGTCTGACGTCCCCAGAAGGTGCCATAATTGCCGGCAAAATGGTACCAGGAGATACGCTGGTCTCTACGCCTCCATACACACTGCATCGAGGTAAGAATTTATCGCCGTTTTTTTATCTTTCGCCTTTTCTCCTTGTTTTTTGTTTTTTTTTTTTTCCGGGCAATCTAAGCTGACGGCTTCTCATAAGACCCGCGCAATTTTACCGACCCAGAATGCTTCATACCCGAGCGATGGTCTTCTCAGGGACACTTGGTTAAAGCTAAAGATGCGTTTATCCCCTTTTCAATCGGGCCATATTCCTGCGTAGGGAAGAACCTCGCCATGATGGAGATGAGGATGCTCCTCGCTTGCCTCGTTTGCTCGTTCTCTTTCCGCTTCCCCGATAATCAAGAAGCAGCCATTGTGGAGGCCTTTGAGTCCGGCTACAAGGACCATATTACCGGGCAGCTGGCCAAGTTTGAAGTTCTTATATCTAGAAGAACCCGAGCTTAACCATAGATTCAAATAAGTAGAAGCTATATTTGAGCTCCAATGGGGAAGAGGTTGAAATGACATCGTGTCAGAACGGATATTTATAAGGGTTGCATTCTTAAGGAAGGTCCAAGTGCAAGACAACCACCACGGACAAACAAAAAATGATGATAAGATGTTATCAGGGTCTGTGACGAGAAAGTTGTCATTACTGTGGTTAGTTGATTAATTGATGTAGGAACCAAATATGTGTTGTGTATGTAGGAGTGCCATGGAGGCAACTTGCGAAATGCCTGGCAAACCATGCCTCAGGCAACCAAAATTCAACTACAGTAAAGAAAGTCCAGGCGACTCACTCAGGCATGTATATTTGAACTGTGAGTTCTCCAACATGTTCCAATTGAATGCGGAGCTTTCATCCTTAAATTACGCCAGCTTCTAATGCATTGATACTTCAGAAAGCCAAGCAATCTGTTGAGCGGTGATTAAGGTAGCCGCGGCTGCTCAATTGATTTTGTTCACATTATTGGACAAAGAGGTATAGATCAAATGTGGGTACGATGCCGTACTTATGTTTTGGGTGGTATAATTTGCGTAGAAACCAAACCCCGGCAATAAGTCTACCTCCGTTAGTCCAGTCACAATCCAGGTTCCGGCACGGCAGCTGCTTTTAACCCCCCAACCAGAAAGAAAGAAGAAAAACGAATGATCTGATATGCAAGAAGAACAAGAAGATTGGTACGCGCTATTTGTCCAGTTCTTTCAAGTCATCTTGGGTTAATGTTTCGGAATGCAATGGTGATGAGCCTTCTTAATCTTTCGGCGGTGATATCACATACGGTTGAGAGTAGATGATGTGCTTTGGAACTTATAAAGCGGGTGATGAGCCGAAGCATTTAGATTCTCTATACAGAGTGAGCATGGTTAGTGTGGAGGGTCTGTAGGATAACCTTCGTGCGGAAAAGTCTTGTATAAACTGAGCCCCTCCCACGAGGTCGGTTTACAGAAGAATTGTCCAAGTAGGAGGTAAGGGAAACTATCATGTACCCCTGTATAAGTTACGCTAGCGGCTCATATGCAAAGACATTCGGTCCTGGAGGCGAGGAAGAATAACAAGTTAATATTGTAGCAGTCGAGTACCTAAATCTACCTTTACAGGCAACAGCAAGAATACCAACCGTATGAATGATGGTCCAACGTATGCGACCCAATCAATAGTGAAGGGAAAAAGACCAAAATCAATCACCATTCAAGCTCCGGACCTTTCTCAGCACAAGAAAGCTTATCGCGAGTCCAGTCATAGACACCTCCCCTAGACACAAAACCGGTCTCGCCCCAATAGACACTGTCAAGGGCGTCCTTAACCCCAACTTTCAAGATTGACTCTGACGGTTCTTTTCCGGTTCGATCGAGGAAGCGCATGTACTCGTCAAGGATGAGGTATGTTTTCGCCATAAGGCTGTTGGGCTCGGCAACGAAAGACTTCTGAAGGCGATGTCTGGCACAGAAACGTTCGTATTGTTCATCGGTGATGGTGAACTTGCGAGCATCTCTGAGAGTCTCTGAAGAGTCATTTTCTCCCTCCACAATCAGCACCTGAAAGCATTTCCAACGAAAAGGCTGCAAGTCATTGATGAACTGGTTCATGTCTTCCTCGAAGTTCAGCTTGCATACGACGGTGTTAAGCTTGAACTTGATTCCGTGTTTCTTGCATAGATCCCGAATCTCATAGAGCTTGTCTACTGGATTGCCTGATCCGCGACCAATTTTGGTGTTTGTGGCTTCGTTGAAAGAATCACAAGAAACAGCGAGAATGTCGATATGCTTTCCGTGCTTAGCCAAGAAGGCGTCGGTGACGAGGCTTCCATTTGTAACGATAGAGACAGATTCGAGATGAATAACTTCTTTGCAGTAATCAATCATCTGACCAAGGAACTTCCGGTGCATGAAGGGCTCGCCACCCGCAAAGTTGATCTTCTTCATGCCGGCGGCCTTGAGTGCGAGAAGACCACGCTTTGCATTTCCCGGAGTCTCAATGTAGGAAGTTGATGCTGTGTGGAAACAAAAGCCACACTTTTTGTTGCACACTCTGCTGAAATGGTAATTGACAGAGACAGGGATCTTCGCCGCACGAGAGGAGAAATATTTGTAAGACTTTTGAACAAGGCAGATCATCATCACAGTAGCGGTGATAGTCATCAGGTCTTTGAGAGTGAAACTCTCCTTTCCCATGATTTCCGATAGCATCTTGCAAATGGATAAGAATGACAGTGGAGGGTAGGGAGGCTTAGGATAGTTGGGTGATACTCAGTGAAAATCTGTGAAGGAGGAGGAGGAGGGGCTATAAATATTAATCCCTCATAGCGAACGCAACGTTACGCTGAAAGGCATTGCATCGTCACCAGCAACCATCGCATCACCACTAGTAACAATCGCATCGCCACCAGTCACAGCCGCATCACGGTTCAGCATTCACCACAACCAAATATCTCGCTGCCTACTCAGTCATAATTCCAGCAGCCCCCTCCAGTGAAGTTATCTACCCCCAATCTTTCTTTCTCTACTGCTATTATCTCAATATCTTCCATAACCCACTACGGACCTCTCTTAAAACCAAAACCAAAACAAATCAAATATTCGACGTACGAGCGCCATGGCCTCCAATAATGATGAGCCACTGACTCCAAAGAACGTCTACATCGTCGGAGCCCATTCCACCGGAAAGACCACCCTCTTTGAAGCGCTGAAGCAGCGTTTCACCTCAGCCCTCGTGTCCGAAATCTTCGGCCCCGGCACCAAAGGGCCTGAGTTCATCGACGAACTTGTCAGAATGGTGATGTACATGAAAAGCTACGATGCGAACGACATCCGAGACCCTGTGCGAGGCTACCAGTTGCAACTGCACACTCTCTGGACTCAGTACGAGATGGAGTCCGTGTTCCATCATCTTTGGATTTTCTCCGACAGATCTGGCCTCGACCCTATTGTTTACGCCCGTGTTTTCCTTGGCAGCGATGAATCCAACAGATTGCTCGAGATGTCTGAATGGGATCTCCTTCGTCGTAGAATGAGAGATGGCCTTGTGGTTCTCTGCGAGCCAAGCAACTCGACCTGGCTGTCCAGCGACCCTGTTAGAGTTGCGCTTCATAAGGGGGAGTGGATGGTTCTTGCGGATGCATTTAGATCCATGTTGCAGGAACAGGGAATTAGATTCGTGGCTATACCTGCGGACATGGAGAATTTGGAGCATCGTGTTCAGTTTGTGGAGGGTCTCATCAGATCTGGATTTTGAGAATGCTGGACAGTCTTTTCATGTATTTGGGGACACTTGGAATGTTTTGACCGGCATTTGGCTTCTTTTAAATACAAAGGCAATGTGAATGGAAAAGGCCTGCGGATCAAGCGATCATAGGGGGCTGATACGTCAACGGACACCGCTTCCTATGACATTCTATCTTCTACCAAACTTCTCAAAGTAAGCCGTCAGCTTTCCCTTGGGTACACCGGGACAGAAGGCCCATGCGTATCTCTGCATGAACGTAGTAATTCTTTCATCCATCTCAGCCATTTTGAAGCTCCGGTACAGCTCCAAGTCATCACCGTCATACTTGAACTGACATTCCAGCTCCACCTCACCCACGGTGTGGCCGAAGTCCGTGATATCCTGGACAATGTTGAATTCTTTGTTTGCGACCCAGTGCTTTCGTAGGGTTGTAAAGGCGGCCATCTGACTCAATCCGAATGTCTCTCCTTCAATGTTTCTGGTGTGTCCAGGCAGCTGGGCCAAGTAGCGAAAGATCTGGTCATGTCCTGAGAGCTCTTCAAACTTGGAGTTGTTGTAGTCACCGCCGCGTCTGATCTTGGCTTGCCAGTGGCCGTCGCGCTGTCGCACCCAGATTCCCTTGGATGAGAGGAAGCTTGAACTGTCGTAGTAGACATCGTGGAAGGTCTTTTTGCCGCGGTACTCTATGCTCTGGAACGGTGGGATTGACTCGTAATGGAGGAGGTTTGTGACTGCGAGGCAGCGGAATTTGCGCTCTACTTCGAGACGCAACATTGTAGCGAGTTTATGAGGTGAGGTAGATGATAAGTTTCTGGGGAGTTCTGGAGATCTTTTGGAGATGAAGGAAGATGCTAAGGAAGTGAAACTTTTTGTGTGGGGTATCGCCGAGCCTGCTGCTGGTAAATTAGAGTGACAAAGAGAGAAGACGTCGGGCATTCACTGCACGCATATGCACATCAGTCTACAGTTGTTTGCCACATTCATGCGTCGCTGCCTAGCCTTTGTCCTCCTTCCTCAAGCAGAACTCTTTTTTTCCCCTCTCCCCAGCGGCCCTGTCCAGAAATACACCGTCAATCAGAATGCCTTCCAAGGTCGTTGAGCGCCAGAACTACTTCCTGCGTTCTTCAAGACACAGGGTGGAGTTTCAGCAATTCTCTCGTATCTACATCATTGGTTAGTCTACCTTGCACCCCCACTATCCCAGATCTCTAAAACGAAGGTATCAGGAGCGCCCGGCGCAGGCAAAGGATCCCTCTGCACCAAACTCGCGACCGACCACGGTTTCCACCATCTCTCTGTTGGCGATCTCTTGAGAAAGCAAGAGGCATCCGGTTCTCTGAGACCAGATCTGGTCAGAGCCATCCAGGGCAGTGCGTTGCTGGAGGTGGATGACCTTGTGTCTATCCTCAAGCATGCGGTCGAAGAGCTGTCCAATGCTGGAAAAAGGCGACTTTTGATTGATGGTGTTCCTCGCTCGTTTGATCAGATAGAGCACATTGAGGCAGCTGTAAGCTTTTCAACTATGTCGATTCCCGAATTTGGCTGGCCTTGAAGCTAACATGAGCACAGGTTGGCTCACCTGACCTTGTCTTTTTCTTCGACTGCCCTGAAGACCTTGCCAAGCAGAGATTCCTTACCAGAAACATCCCGGGTAGGTTCGGTGATGCCGAGACTTTTCACGCACGATACAAGCACTACGTGGGTGAGAATAACCAGATTGTTGGACATTACCAGGAGAAAGGAGTGCTGATGACGGTAAATCTATCGAGCTGATTCAGCCCTTCGTTGCGATCGCTAAGAACCTCTAGGTTGACACGAGCGGTAACATTGAATCTTCTTACGCCAAATTGCTGGAGGCTCTGCGGTCTAGAGGTTGAATGGTACCGGGAAAGACAATGATATTCTCTTGTTGTACTTTGCCTCATGCTGACTTTGCAAATGTGTTTCGAAGATAAGGATAAGCAGAGGCGGGGGTCCTTGCAGGACGAGACGGAGGAAGGATGTTGATGATGGCTAGTTTCTCTGGACCCAATAATGCATACTTTAGATAAGCCTTACAGCGCCGAACAAACACATATTCCTGTATTGCTGTATTCATGAATTGTGAGTAGAAGACACTTAAGGGTACCTAGCCCTTGCGCCAACAAGAATCGGTTTCGAAGGAAGGCGATTACCCAGTTATTACATGATGCACCCCGACGCAGTCAGAAGCTTGATAATGAACACACAAGGTAGCCAGGAACGGAGACGATGCCATTTAACTGCCAAATAGTGGATGTGTCTATCCCGATAACTAGAGATCATCGCAGTCGATATCTCCGGACCATCCACCGACACACTCGGAGTCCACGCCTCCATCGTCAACATCACAGTGAAGATGTCCGTTGACGTTGCGAATAGCGCCGTCTACACGGGAATTAGTCAATCGTCCTGCAGAAACAAACCAGAAGTTCATGAAGAATTTAACTTACTCAAATCCACATCCACCAGGTGTCGGTCGCCCGAGCCGTCCTGACAGAAGCACGACAATGTGCCATCCCAGCTAACGTCACACATCTCGCATCGGCCTCCCATGCCACCGCTGGTTTTTCGACGTAGTTAGTTACAATTCAGAACTTTCGAATAGCAGGAAGCATACTTCTTTCGAGGGACAATAGAAGCGTCCTCAATGACAGCGTAGCAATCGTTCAAATCCAGCATGGTTCGTTCGTAGAAAGAATCTCCGTTATCATCCGTTCCGGCGCATTCAATGTCCAAGATGGGTTCTCCGGAATACATGGGCATAGGGTCCTTGCAGCTACCGGAGTAACCGCCGTCTGCGGCGACCACAGCAGAGAAGGCGAAGATGGAAAGAGCGGACAAGAAGTGCATCTTGATATGTTTTCTTCAAGGAAAGTGATTCAGTTGGAGGAAATGAATGAACTAGTGGATGAAAGAGTGACTGAAGGAATGGACTGTTTTTCTGCTGTTAGTGTCAAAAGGGCGGAAAATTGTGAGAGGAAACCCCTCTTTATACGGGTCTCAGGATGGTTTGATCCTGGGGATTGTGGCTGTTGTCGGCCTTGCCGGTGTTTTGGACCCATTTCGCTTCAATGTACCCACCTGCCACGATATTCGATGGCCCATAATCCATACAGACCCAGCCCGACAGAGACTGGCTTGACTTAGACGGCTTGATACCTACACTTAACAAGAGTGATCAGCAGCCCCTGTCAGCTTTGGAGGCCCCAGCTATCCGTGTCTTGCTGTCTATCTCCAGTTTCAATCTCACTGGAACACCTATTGATCCGAGAGCGCCAGAAATGACTGACTACATTACATTGCAACACTCATATAATTCAATAGAGAGCATTGCTTTTCTTTACCCTTGTCGTTGTCTCTAGCTGCGTTGCGATGATACTCCATGGACTGTCATGAGGGAAATACTCACGCCCCTATTTGGACCCCAAAGAGCGCAGAATCCGCGTCCAGACTACTCTAGACTAATCTTAGATCCAATCCACATGAATTAGGATTTATGCCGATCCAGCTAATTTAGCCCCCATACTTGGCGTGCTTAGCCCCCTACTGGTTTGAGCCTCGGACAATCATGACCAATTATGGCAGATGAGAAGCCTTAATTATCTCTCACCGAGTCACTCTAAACAGTAACAGGAAGATGCTTGAGCCCACGGTATTTTCTTTTTCTTAAGTCTGGTCTCTTGGGGTATAATCTTCAGAATTTGGTTTTTCCTTTTCGCTATTATGGCCAGGCGTGATGTTTTCCTTCCCCTTGACTTTATATCGAATCTATGCATGCGTTAAGAAATCCGCCATTGGAAATTCACATTGTAAGTCACTCAGGTGCAAATTACTGGAGGCCATACGGGGTCGGATAGCACAGAATATTCAAGGCACTACCTTCTAGAAGCGAACGGTCCAGGAGGCCCAACCGAGGTGGGTCAATGTTACAGTGGGGTCCAATTCGAGAACCTATCATTTACATGTGTCCTGTTGGCTTTCTGCACTATAAGGCTTGTTGTCTTTGAATCGCAGAATTTGAGCTTGGCCATGCTATCTTGACCCCCCTATCAGCTGTTAGTGGTCCGAAGATAGATGGAGGCCACGGATAAGCGTGTATTTATGCCGAGCCAGCAGTGCTAAGCCTCAGGGGCTGTTAATCATTGACTTTAGATTAAGGAAACAAATTCTGATCCTTCTTTCCTGTGCATAGGCCCAGTTGGGAATATGCCGGATTTGATACCTTAACATTCCATTTTGTGGGGATGTCTCATCCTCTAATTCATCCATAGACTCGGTGAAAATCAGCTCATGCCTCTGCTGTGTTGGAATATTTGAAACAACTCGCTTGGCTTCATCTCATGACATCACTTATTTAAGGTTGATGATAATAAGCCCATTCCGGACGTCCCGAGTCAGGGCTTTGCGGGTCATGCTCACAGAGTAACCCATTTTGGGCTGTGTTGCGACGAAGCTATTCCCTAACAATCCGCTTCAAGCCTTGAATATGCGAGCAACAAATCTGGGTCTGAAAATCGGTTCAATGGCCTACGGCGTACTGTCATCCAATAGCAGCTAATACCGAAAAGTGAACTTAGGATAAGTAACCAATAGAAGAAACATGAATACAGTACTCGGACTTGACGAGGACCAACGCTGATCTGACCAGCGCGTCCAATCTCCATCACTTCAACTCTCACTCACTCGTGCCTCACACCTCTCACACCTCTCTCAGCCTCCTCTCCTCCCTCCATCTCGGACCAGATCTAACAACCAAAGCCACGAGCGGGCTAAGAACGAGCCAAACCCCAGCAATTGTAACGCCCATCCACCCGACCCCAGCGACGCGGTTCAGAGGACCCGCAAACGCCACACCCCCGGCCCCCATCCAGCATCGAGATAGGTTCAGCGCCGCAGAGGCGGTGCCCGGTCTTTTCCGGTTCAAATCCATGATCAGGTTATTGAAGCACGAGTATGCACACGAGCTACCGAATGATTGCAAGAATAGGAATATTAAGGGAACTGCAAGATGTATTCGTGTTTGCAGTGTCCATGAATATACGAGTAACATGATGCCGGAGAGGATTAGGAACGGGAGGCCGAGTTGGAGGCGCGCGCGCTCGATAGGGTAGGTTGTGAGATCTTGCTGTTTGTCCTTGGAGATCTCTATTCCGAGGATACGGGCGTGACGACGGAAATTCCAGTCGAGTAGACGGCCGATGGCCAGGACTGATGACATTGTTCCGAAACCAGTAGAAAAATAGCACAGACTGCCTTGCAGTGTGCTGAGGTTGTATCCAATCTGCAGTTGGTCGGACATGCTGGATAAAACCATGTACGTGCTCGCGTAGATAGAGCCACTGTATAGTAGAAGAATAGACGTTTCTTTATCGGTGAAGAAGAGACTCAACGACCGCAGGGGATTGAGTTCAGATATGTGGAATTTGTGAGAGCTGTTGGGAGGGCGAGGCTGGACTGCATTTGCACGGTCTCTGTTGCTTCGCGAACGAGTATGCAAATAGTAGACTAGGGACATGTTCCATTTCGGAGCGGGTAGGGAGCCATTTCCGACGATCTTGCGACTCGTTTCGGGGAGGAATATCAATAGGATGACAAATACGACTGATGCGAAGATGGTAAGGAACCAGAAGATGGATGTCCATCCGAGGTATTGGCTCAACAAACCACCAATAACCTGTTAATGTATCTCCTAGTCAGAACAATTATAAAAGATGCCAAATAACTGCGATGGTAAGGGGAGACTTGCCGGCGCAAATGTCGGCCCAACCATCCACCCCATTTGGACGTATGATGTATAACTTCCCCTCTCCGCCGACGTGACAATGTCCGAAACTGTGGCTTGAGAAAGAGACATGGTCCCACTGATTCCAGCGGCCTGAATGCAACGCATGATCATTAACACTGCATAGCTTCCCTTCACAGCTGCACCGATGCTGCCGGCAATGTAGAGAACAAAACAGATGACGAGTGCGGGTCTGCGACCAGTCTCGTCAGAAAGATTCCCCGTGAAGGACGGAGCTATGCCTTGAACGATCTTGGCAGATGAATATCGTGTTACTAATTATCTCATAGAAAGATTATATTTTGCCTTACCAAGTAGGCTGTGATTGTCAGATTGATGTCATCGACAGAAACATGTAAGTCTTTTGCAAGAACGGTGATCACGGGATAGTAGATGCTCGCTGTCAGTGGTGGAAGCACCGTCGTAAGAGCAGCAATTATGACGATAATCAGCTTCTCTCGTCGTCCAAAAATCGAGTATGGAGGCTCTCCGTTTGAGGTCAATTGCGTGCCTTGCGCATTTGTGGTGACTGGGGCTTCTTTCTCGAGATCGGACATATTAGTTGGTACCATGAAGTTTGATCTCTGATCGTTTCATCGCAATAAAATAATTCGCCCTGGTCTGTCTCTAATCGATGTTGTTGATTATTGGGGCCGCCAGATCGTGGACGCACCGACAAGAGTGCGGTAGGATAGAGCCAACGTAATGATGCCTAGCTCAACCCGGGGGAAATTGACAGAAATCCTATTTTTGCAGCTTAAAATAGGGCAAATTGGCTCGGTACGAAGGAAACGAACCAAATAACCAAATACCGCGATGGAAAGTCAGTTCTGGGGGTTTATACAGGATGTTCGAGTGCCGGCGCAGGCACCGAGACGCCGAGATTCATCCCGGTCTTCGTCCCGGTGCCTGTCGGGAAATCCAACCGCACAATTTCCCTCAAATATCGCGGCATATAAGCCGGTTATTGCGAGTCGCGTCATAAACCAATCTCACGTCTCCCCTGCGCTGAACTGGTTGTGGAAAAGATATGGCCTGTTAAGTAATTGCTGGGGGCCCAGTTTCGAGCCGTCCCGGTCCAGTCTCTGGCGGATATCCCAAACCAGACTATTTCAGAGACAATGACCGTGGATTAGAAAGAAGATGAAGTTAATTGGGAGCTAAGGGTCTATTTAAGATGCAATAAGTCTGACCGATTTCTAATTTCGTGGGATAGGCTTCAGAAGGTATGATCCTGGTCCAGCAGAAAATCGTACTCGTCGAGGAAATAGTGATCGAATAACCCATCTGAAGTCAGGTTAAGTTCTGTTGTGAGAGGATCAGTAATTGGAAACGGGTCCCCTGAGTCTGGCGGATTTGAAGCAGTTGAGGGATCCCGCATCTCATCAGGTGCAACTGTGCTACGATTGAGGACTTCCTCAATGTCTTTTGTAATGCTGACCAGCAGATGTTGTGGATGCATCGTAGCCGACACTCGTTTCAGGATTGCCAACAATGATACCACCATACTGTGTGTTTCCTGCGTATCAAGCTGAACGAAAGAAGAGAAACGAGTGGAGACCTTGAGTAGAAATACCACCGCAAATGCTATCATGATGTGGAAGTAGGTCGGTAACCCGTTCAGGAAAGACTGTATTTCACTGTCTGAAACCACGGCGCGCAGTATTGATATAGCAGAGAGAATGGCAGAATTAGCTATCTCCTCCAACTCCAAAGCGACACCCTGCGAGTGGAAGCTAGATTGACCGGATTTGGCTCCCCGAAGAGCATGCGAGCCGAGATAAAGCTTCGCGAAATGGTATTGGATCCCGACACCTTTCCGCGGGTAATTCCCGACATGGGCATTTGGACTAAACCTGTCCATCCATTCTGCGCGAAGAGTATCCAACGCAATACCAAGGCGGCGTATGTGGGGAATGTCAGATTCGGCAAGAGGACGGTCGACATCGGCCCCGAAGGTGTCATAAATGTTGGAACAGGCACTCCAACGAAGGACCTGACTAACTAGTCGCGCGTCATCTTCGGTGGCATGTTTACATTCCAAAAAGATGCGCGCATTCCGCACAGCTTCACATTCGCGCGTCATTGGCGGTCGACCGTACGGAATGGAAAAGTGATGGTCACAGGCGTAAACTGAGTAATATAGACGAGCCCGAAGATAGTGGTCCCGATCACCCTGGATAGATTTCGAGAAGCTTCTGTGGAGTTGCAGTTCGGTAGCGATCCGTACTGCAAGCCCGGCCAATGACCAAGATAAGTCACTGAGCCAGAAAGCACCAATGCAAAGGGCTCGCACTTCATCTATGGTGTTCTTCTTGGAGCAACTCATTCCCGCATTGGCAGCGACGAACTCCTTATACAGCGGCTCAAAGTCCGGGGATGCAATATGCAAAGCACCCACTGCACAGACGGCTGTCATAAGGAGGGGCGAGCATTCGCGTACATTTTCCATCGTCGAATTGCTATGGTTCCCTAGAATACGATAGACGAAATGGTCGAGGCGGTTTCGATACTCTGTAAAGTATTTCTGAGCATTCGCAGCACTTATGACACCGCGGGAGATGATGTCTTCCGTTGGCTTGTACTGTCTATCTCCGGTCTGGTGAAGGTACTGTCCTGGAAGAGCACCCGGGCTGGAATCTAAATCAACCACGATTCTCCAGCGGTTACCTTCAGCGCTGGAGGGCTGCCGCTCATGTTGCTGGTTTGATTCGGAGAGCCTCGTTCTTGTTGTAACCATGTTGTCCGCATTCTCTTCGCTTCCCTGAACAAAATCAGCAGATCGATTATTAGCCATGGTCGCCATTGTTTCTTCCAATTTCTGAACCTTCCGTTCCATAGTTTCTTTCCAGCTGATAGTAAAGTCAGTCAAGAGAACACCTAAAATCAGGAAAACAAAGAACTAACGACACATCGTCTTCCAGCAACTTTTGCAGACCGCGATTTACAGTACAAGGTAGACCCTTCTTCTTGCACCTCGCACATGGCGGCTTTGAATCGTTCATGTGACATTTGATCTAGTTCCGCATCAGCGCTTTAATGAATCTATGCTGAGCAAGTTAGTCAACAGACCTTCTGCTTCCGACAAGCTACACAAGCCGTTATTTTCCGACTTATATCCGGAGGCTTGGAGTCGCCAAAGGCCTCTCGAAGCTGGCGTAGTGGTGAAGTGACGCTCAGTTGCTGCCTTGGTGCCTGAGTCTCGGCATCTAGATTCCTGGTCCGCGGCACCCGTGACGGGTTCATCTGCCGATTCATTGCACCATTGATGATATTTTGACCAGAGGCTGATTTTGGACAAGTCCTTGAATCAGACCAGCAAGTGCTCAAGACCAATATCCAGTGGATGCAATGAATGAGTGACCGGACGATGCTTCAAGGTCGGCGGTCGCCCCGAGGCCTTGGCGCTCAGTCACGTGACTGGCTTGAGTGATTCACTGGGCTAAACCCATACCGGTTAGACTGGAAACATACCCACCACGTGACCGTCCTCCAGTTACGCCTCAGGCAACGTGAATTCAAGCGTCACACGTTTTTATCGAGACTAACCTTCTCTTTCATCCGATATGGACTACTCTTGGTCATCTGCAGAATTATTCATCACTGTTGCATTTATCACCAGCCGTTCCCAACTACTTTGATCCATTATGTACGCGAGTGCTTGCAGCGATATACTTAGTGACAACTACGCAGTGTAACTCCGAACTTTCTGCTCACGTAGTTCAGATGTTTACTTCGTGGGAGAGGAGAAGATATTACAGTCAGAGCAACACTCTGGTCAGCATGTTACACTGCCCATTACACAACAGGCTCTGAGACTAACCTGACAAAGGCCAAATCGCATCATAATGAGTTTCACTCCAGTCAAAACTGTGATTGTCTGGCGGAGCTCCCAGGTGATATACGACAGCCCAGGGGCCACGCAATGCTAATTCGTCCAAGTAAAGAGAGAGACGGGCCGTCGGGGCTCGGCCAAGTGATAAGCTCGATATTGTTTCACGGGAAGGCAGCACTGCAGCAAGCATGTCATCCATCCATATGCAGGTCAATCCAACAATACGGCTCCCGCGTGCAACCCATTGGCCGTGATACAAGTGAAACATGATATCCCCAACGGTTGTGAGACATATTTTGCGCATAAGATGAAGGAAAGGAGTTCTGCATACCAACAGTTCATGCAACGTTCCAGACAATTGGTGACCAAGCTACTGGGTCTGTCCTGCATTTGATCACTCGATGGGCTGGATGCTGGATGCCAAAAAAGAGTAGACATCGCTCATTTCCTGGCATGGTGATTTCTCCGCGCTATCCGAGGAGTTAGGGGAATTAGGCATGACTGGTAGCATCCCACGGCCTGAACAATGGCTGAAACAGTTCCTGCATATTTGCCATCGACGTGAAGCCTCAATCAAGGACACAGCAAGGCTAACGCCAGGGAGGACCAGGAAGATCAGCTGTATAGCAGAGAAAATTCGACCGCTGCCACTCCGCTATCCCGGTTCTTGCTTCTAACTGAGACAATCTTTCGCTGAACTTGGCCATGTCCTTCTTTCTAGGTGGTCGCTAGACGACGTTGACACGATTCAGCTAAGGTTGAATAACCACAGCAGTGCAAACATGAGTCAGCATCAGAACAATGGGTAGAATGCGCATATTCTTACCTTCATCATACCCTCTGGCATTAGTCTAATTACCCGCTGAATATGCAGCACTTCGCCCACGCCAAGAGGCGATTCCATTTGTCCCGCGAACTGACTGGCTATCACCGCTATAGGGCCATCCCGGCATGCCGCTAATGCACTGTGACTGCCTCAGCACCTACATAAGCCTTAATCAATTCTGGGTCACCACCTAATCATCTTTCGCTGCTGCACCAGACCACAGACCACCAGTTGATCCGGTGCACTGCCAAGCCAAATGACGTGCATCCTCGCCTATTCTTAGAATACCCGTTTCTCTCCCCGCACAGCCATGAATTACACCAGGATTTCCGGATTTCGGCCAAAATAGTTCCAGGAGCTGAGAATAAGAGTGTTCACAGTTGGGGCAGTACACTGGGGTGCAACCAGCATTTTGTCTGCACCTGCAGGAACCATGCGGCCCGTTGTCTCAGCTTGATACAGGCTCGGTTCCTGCTTCCATGGAGCGAATAAGTTCTTGAGAATATATTTCTCGTCACTACCAATGGCATGACAGACAGGGACTCAGGATAAGAGAAATATGGCATTGTTGGACTAGGAACACCCTTGCTAGATGGTGTTTGAAATTGAGCACAACCCCCACCACCTTGTGCTCAAGCTAGACATTGCTCTATCATTTCTTGTGTTGGCGCAGCATAATGCCTAGAACTCCACCCTCAGTACCCTGTCTGTTGATGCACCTCAGTCATAAGCCAGCACTTGGATATTGATTTGAGGCTGTGAGGCAAATTAGAAGCCAGATTTAGCTAGATAATTGTTGGCAAGGTGGCCTTCACGATATCAGTTCGCCTTGCGGGAGGGGTTAACTAATTGACCCCGATCTTTTCCATCAATGAATACTTGGGGTCCTAAAGGGAGACCAAAATTGCCCTTGGAACGTGCTATCTGAGACAAGAGCCAAGAGAGCCCACATTCGGTATATATATCAAGTGCAGCCATGCCATGAATGACAGGAAAGCACAATCCGCTTCACTTTCCCACATCAAGTCAATACACTGTGCGAGACATGTCATACATTCACTTTTCTCCGACCTCTTCTCGCGGTCCCCTTACCCCTTCTCCTTTATTTATACCTCGCCAAACAAATGACCAAGGTCAGCGTCTTGCCAATCAACCCGAGGACAACGATCTCAGTGGCAAGACGCTAGTCAACAGAGGGTTTCATAGCACTGAAAGCTCCGAAGTCAGCACCCAGAGCTCAACGGACCCAAGTTCGGATGAACCAAGCCCTATTCTTGCCGGGCTGGGAATCCAGGTTAATGCAGTGAGCCCTCTGAAGGAGCGGTCAGCGGCGGCTCATGTCCCGCGAGCAAGCAAAGTGGCATTGGCACAATCACCTCGTCGAGAACATATCTCCAACTCATCTCGTCAGCACAAAAGCAGGGCTTCTAGTTTGGATGAACTGAAAGATCGACCCTTGCCGCCTCTTCCTTTGGAAACTAGCCATGCGCACTCCAAGTCAATGGGTAACGGAACCCAACCGCCCCGTCTCAAGGGATATGAGTCCCCGTATGGATCTTACCAGCGGCGCGTGAAGCACTACGCTCTCCCGACTGAACCGCAGCAAAAGCATTTCAATGCCATCGATCGTGCCTTGGAGAGAGCCAAGCAGGAGCAGAGATGGGTCGATTTGCGTCCGCTTGCTCCCATTGAAGGCGCACTGCGGGAGGGCCGAGTGCGGAAAATCAACCACGGCGCGCGAATCCGGTCCCAGATCGCCATCCCGGAGAGTGTTGATGAGAATGCCGAGCTGCAGCCGTTGTTGCGGACAGAAAGTCCTGTGTCAGCAGAGGAGAAGAAAGCCGAGGAGACAAACGTCGCAGAAAAGCAGCGAACCTACGTCGACCGCAAACAAACCAATCTTTTTGGCCGAGCTGTTCAATGGCTTCGGCCTTCATGGTCACGCGAGCGGCTCCGGTCACGGAGCACTTTGCCAGTTTTGAAGAAACAGTTCAACCCAATTCCAGAAAGTGATGAAACTGCGGCAGGATTGAAACACGAAGCGGAAAAGCCAGTCAATCCTGCTGAAGCACCACGACCTCAGCCAGCTCAGCCTCCTCCAACGGAAGTCACCGCACGGAAACCCCGTCTTCATCGCGACTCGGTTACCCGCATGAAGCGCGTTCTCTCAGCCCTGATGGACGAGCGCATCTCCCTCTGTCTGAGCAACCAGTCCAACGCTGAGGATGAGCGAGCTCTGACTCAACTGCTTCAACGAACACAGCAGCAGCTCCTCGAAGGTCTCCGCGACATGTCTCGATCTCGCGATAAAGTGCCCGAGACACCGTTCCTACAATCCACGACGGTATCTCCCATCGCATCAGTCCCTTCTCTACCCATCCACCCTCCTCAAAGACGTAGCACACATGAACTTGATAGCAAACCGCTACCTCGCCCTCGCAAAAGCGCATCAACGCCCACGAAGTCGTCCACTTCAGCGCATGTATCTGTCATGTTCCATATTCTCCAAGAAGTCGATAACCTGGTGGACCTCTTCTCCCTAGCCCTTGTCAACCGCGCCGCGTACACTGCGTTGAAGTCGCACGAGCTCCCCCTCATCAAGTCAACATTGTGGAAGATGTCTCCCGCCGCTTGGGAACTCCGCGAATTGAGCGAGATCCGCTGGGACAAGGCACCCTACACCGGTGGCCAAAGCCTCGCCGCAACGCTTTACATCCGCCACTGCACCATGGACCTGATAAACCACGCACAAATCAAGTTCCTGCTATACGATCACGCGACCTTCATCCTCCGCGAAGACACCCTGGCCGCGATGCGCGATGGCCGCTCCCCTCGTGCCATCGAGATTGATGAGGCAATCTGGCGCGTTTGGACGTTTTGTCATCTATTCGGTAATCACAAGAACAGGGAAAACGACTTTCTGGGACAAGTGCGATGGTTGAGAGGTGATTGCTTTGTCGAAGGAGACGAGCATGATCTTCCGGTGGTGTGTGCGACGAGTCCCGACCCGAAGGACTTCAACACGGTTTTCTTTTCTCCTCCGAGTGGATTCGCGGCGGGGAATAGGGGTCCGCTGTCTGAGACACAGTTACGTGATATGATTGAGATTTGGACGGCGATGGCGTCTTTGCTGGACTTCCTCAGGGACGAGACGAGCTTAGCGAGACGATTTGGGGTGTTTGAAGGACTTGATATCCCGGAGGGGGACAGGAGGTTGGAAAGACAGGCTTTGAGTAAGTTACTCTTTAATTCCTTCGACATCTATTTGTGAGATCAAATGGCTAATGACAAACCTTAGGAGCATGGTTGAACTACATCCTCACCCTTGGTCCAACTGCGGTCCTTTCGTTGGTTCCACTGGGTCCGCGCTCGCCGAAGGAGAGTATCTTCTCTCGTGCCAACTCATATGGCTGGACAAAATGGACACCGCCTGTCTCGAATACTCTCGAGAATGGTTTCTTTGTTGGCGTGGTGAGTGAATTGCTGTCGGCCATGCAGACTCGGGAAAGGAGGAATATGAGCGCGCAGCTGCAGGCCCGGGTTTGAATGGCATTGCGCATTGCTGACTGGGTGAAACCGTACTTACTGTAAGAGGGATGGAAGCGATCATGGAGGGTTTCCTATCTGTTTTAACTGAGTGCAGTTTATTCTGTATATACTTTTGAATTGCAGTTAAATTCATGGCACGTGTCATTAGTCCAGAGAGTCTTCAACAATTATTAGGAACATATCCCGGTCCTTGCCCCATTTTGCCATATCAACCCAGTTTAATACCTGATTAGTCACGGCCATGTCAACGCCATTCTGTTATAGGCTTCCAGATTCCGCATAGTCACTAACCGCTGACATATTCGTACCTGGCCGTCGCTGAATCAAACCCACCTCAACGGCCTCCCAATCACACTAACACCACCCAACAACGCCGAAATGCCCGTAAATAGAACCAGAGAACCATACGAGCCAGCATACGCTCCTCCAATGCCCCTCCAATCCGTTTTCATCAACGCCTCGCTCAACGGCCCACTAACCACATTCCCAATACCCCTGCCCGCACAAAGAAACCCAAAGACCATTCCAGAATCTGCGAATGGATTCTGCCGTCTCACGGCCATGAAAATGGCCGGCCAGGTCGAGGTAAACGACCCTGCAAACAAGCCGTACGCGATACAGAAGACATACAACGGGGCCAAACTCAAGGATACGCCCCAGAGCACGAACACTGCGATTGTGCTCCCGATCGTTGAGATCAGGATACATGTTGTCGCGTGGTAACGATCGACAAATGTACCCATGATGACGCAGCCGATGACGGTGCCGACGTTGAAGAGGATCGCGGTCAACGAGGCGTACAGTGTTGAGGCGCCTAGGGTGCGCGCGTATGAAGGCAGATAGATGGTGGGCAGGAAGTATCCCATGGCTTCGAGCGTGTTGCCGAGTTGGTAGATGGCGAAGGCGCGTTGTTTTAGGAAGGTCCAGTTTAGAGGACGAGGGTGAAGGCTGGATGAGACGGGGATACGAGGCTTGATGAAATAGAGCAGCGGCCCGGCCATTATGAGGAGCGTCAAGGCCCAGGCCCGCAGGGTAGTTTGGTATCCGTAAGCGTTCAGTAGCCACTGGAAGACAATGGGGAGGATGACGCCTGAGAGACCAGTTCCTGCCTGTTTGTTGTGAGTATATTGGGGAGAGATTTGTGGGGGCGTGGTGGAGTTCAAGTAGACTTACCCACATAATGCCGAACGCGAGACCCTTCTTTCTCACGAACCACTCATCCATAAAAATGATAGTGGGCGTGTACGCTATGTTAGCGCCGAGACCGTAGAAGACACCTTGTGAGAGCATCAAGTGTGTGGTAGTGGTTGAGAACGAGCTCAAAGCCAGTGCCAGGCACATTATCACGAACCCAACGGGGCAGGCCCATCGACGAAGACGGGGATATGTGAGCAGAATGCCAAACGTCAATGGTTCAAGAAGGTAAGTGACACCCATCGCACAGGTCCCGATAACAGCAATATTATTAGATCCTGCAAAGGGGGGATGGGTGCTATAGTAATCCTGAAAGATACCGAAGGCGAAGCTGAATCCTGATCGTTGTAAATCATAGCCCCATCCATCAAATACCGGTAGAGAACTCACCCCAAATCAAGGCCTCCATGACAAAACAAGCGGCCAAGAAGAGCCAGGCGTCTTTCCCACCGTCGATGGGCGGCAGCTGGGTGCCATGAGGATCGATTATCGACAGCTCTTCCATTTTGGGCGACAAAGATGGCTCTTCACTTATGTATATGATGAAGAGAAAGTCCACTATAGAATGTGCGATGAGGGGCTGCTTGATTTAAGTGCTCAACACTGCTCGCCATGGACTTAGTGCATTGTCTAATCCGCTAAATTCCTTAGTTCTTTTAGCTCTGTTAGTGGCCCCGCTGCCCGATAGGGCTCAAAATAGGGTTGTTGCCGTGATTCGCGGAGGGTCTGAGCTAAGCATGTATAACGGGGACTACCAGGCTTCGCAGAAAGTAAGGAAGCTCAGAGAGGATCCCTATAGGTAAATGGTATATGTTGAGTTGATATCCGCCGTGGGAGAGGGGTGGTAATTGAAAGTCAGCCGCCATCTAGCCGGGAACTTTTAAAGTTGAAACAAATCAGATTGAAGATGTTGCTTTTCCAGCAGAGACTGGATCTAACTAAATGGGTTGCAAGTTGCAAAATATTTCTAGTCCAACTCGCTTGATTGGAGGAGGCAATGATCATAATAAAATTCTGCGGCTGACGTCAGCGGTCCCATAGGAGTTCTGTCCATAGTCTTGACAACGAAAGGACATTTTCCAAAGTTCAAATAAATAGGTACTCACGATGCGTTGAGGGTGAACGAGGCAGATTGAAAGCTACTGAAGAACAGGGCGAGCGTTCCAAAGCAACTCTATATCTTTATTTACAGTAAAGACATGGTCATTCTTCACCACGCACCAGGGTTTCAGCATTGAGGTACCTGACAAGAGCATTGCGGCTGCGCCGCTCATCTCGTCCAGTCCGTTGTGGTTCATCTTCACACTTCGTTGAAGGTGAACGGGTATCTTTATGAAACGATTTGCCCTGTATAGCCCGCACAAGGCATTCATTTATGTGCTCATAAAGATCCTGGGCGTTCTTGAAATGTTCCGCGCACATAGAACATTTGCCTGTCGTACCATTGTTATGTGCATCATGATGGAGCTTTGCAGTCCAAACCAAGGGAGAAGACGATTTGTTGAGATCCTGAGTTCCGTGAGACTCGACCGATGTTTCTTCCACTCCATGGACGCTAATAAGATGTTCCGTGAATCCGTGTATTGTATCAAAGCAGTTCTGTCCGCCACGCTAGGATGCGACTGTGGAGGAAAGGTTCACACTAAAGCAAGAATACTGGGCCGTCTTGACACTAGCTCAGGCAGTTGAACACGAGTGGATGCAGCGAAAGAGATACATAGCGCGACGCAGAATTGAATTCTAGGGCATAAAGGCCACCATGCCGCTCGATGGGGTTATTCCTGCTGCTGCTAAGAAGGAACAATACCTTCAACAAGTGAATTAATACTGGTTCCTTCAAACCGACCTTCGAACTGATTGAGATAAAGCTCATTTTGGAGTCACTGGCATTATTCTGCGTATCAATAATAGCACTTAAGAGAAGCCAAGAAGAGCGAGGTTTTAAATCCCCTATGCCCCTTGAATATCCATTAACGTAGCGTGCTATTGCAGCCAGACCATAAATGTTGACCATGTACCATGTTAAATGGTCAAGAGCTTTTCTTCTTTGTTGAAATTACCATCCCACTTGACATGCAACTTCAGCCGAACCCACACCTCTATTTAGTAGTGGTTAGTAACCGATTATAACTGGGTTCAGCGCGATAATACCTTTTCCGTGTTTGGAAAAGAAGCAAATCTCCCCATTTGCAAGGGCCAGATTTATTTTTGCGCATACACCACGCTTCAGATCAGCTGTGATATTGACAAGCTTCGCTCCAAAAACAGATACTTGGACACGAATTGACAATGTTGATGAGTTGACATAACCATCCACCTATTGAGAATCAGTAATTGCTACTTTGAAGGAAGGGTTGTGACATACTCTGACTGGTCCGAAACCCCAATGAATCGGTGGGAATGCTTCCGGCCGTACGGAGACATCATCAGGCAAGGAATAGACATTTGGTAGTTGTGTTACAACCAGTACTCTTTCTTTATCTTGTGTAGTTTCCTCTTCAGATATAGTAACAACAAAACCTAGGAAGAGTCAGCCCCGGTTGGCTATATATAATCAACGGACCAAAATACCGGCGCGGACTGGATCTTGGTCAGAAGTCATGATGAAAGTATGTAATGTGAGTAGGAAGCGACTTGTGAATGTAAGTGTTATAGTGATTGGAAGATTGCAAGATTGCAAGAAATGACTTGCGGGTGGCCTTTTCTTATACCAAACTGAGCAAAAGACTTGGACTGTTATCTTTTATAACAAATTGTAATGACTGTAGATTGTCTTCTCGACCGGAGGCCGGGAAGGAGCATGGACTGGATGAGTCAGGAGTATGCACCTTCTATAAGCCGTTTACTGTATCTGAAGGCCACGAGGAGAACTGCCATTCAAATTAAAATTAGGATAAGATCAGCATTCTAGAAACAAAGTTTGCGCTGACTGTATCACATCTAGCAGAATCATGGTGTAGCGAATGCCATGCTTTGGAAAGTAGATTTTGCTTCTAATAGGATAATTGAGTTTAATAATTAACAATAATAGAACCATGTGGTCGGAAGGTATATGTTAAAGACCTGACTTCGGTGTCACAGATGTCGTGTCATTTGCTGTTTCAATCAATCAGAGCCCACACTAGTTGCCAGTGTTTTATAGCGCTAATATTAGCACATCTTGTACGTCTTCATTGATCCGCTATCTCCGATTGGAACTTGAATATCGGCCACCGACTTCCTGACATGTGTAATAGCGGTACGGGAACGGATGCATTCCGCTGAATCTCGGGCTCATTCCTAGGCACAAGCCACCACCTCGAACAATAGTGCCTTTATCTATCACTAAATCCATGATGACCATAAGTTTGACTTCTAATAATGAATCAGCTTTAAATGTAGATACCAGGCAAATCTATCACGTCGGAAATAGATAACAGAATACCTCGTGTTCTACGACGATGATCCCATGGACTAGTAAATCATTATTTCATCGTCTACTAAAAGCCTCCTGAAACATACAGATCAACTGGAACATCAAGAATATTCACACACATTTTATCCTGTCCTCTACTCATAGAAAACCAAACATCTGACCTCGATACTCTGTCTCGGCGGCGCATCCTCCGGTGTCTGCGGATCCACAAACGCCGTATGAGCCGCACCATGAGCAATATCCGTCTTCCCCTCAGTCATGAGACTGCTCCTCGAGTCGAAACATTTGATGAACATGACCTCTTCAGGAGTCATATCCTTCATATAATAGAAGCGATGTTTCTCATTCGGAGCGATCGAATACGTCTCTCCCTTCACCGTGTACCCCTCGGTCGAGTCCCCAGAGTCCGGCTTCTGGGCTCGTTCCTCTCCCGCTGCTGCGTCTGCGGTCTCGTCAGGGTAGAGGAGATCGACTTTCACGAAATCGGACACATCCGAGGATCGCCAATCGATGACCGCCAGCGGGAAATCAGACGCTGGGTTCTGAATGGGTCGCCAGACGTTGATGATTTGGTAGCGTCCCTTCAACAGATCCTCGGCCTCGTCGAAGGGGAGGTGGCGACGCACGCGCACTTCGGCTGCCTTCGGCGTTTGGTCTACGTGCACGAGCTGTACCGGGGCGCGCGGGGATCCCTGTTCTCGTCGCCGGATCGTGTGGTCGAAGATGACGACTTTCTTGATCCCTGGGAGTTTGGCGCGGAGGAGCTTCTCAACCTCGGCGTAGTATTTCGTCGTTACCACGGACGTGTCCGTAAATTGTTTCTCTTCCGCGGGACTAGTGTAGACTGCGAATCCGCTGTTGTCGGTGGAAAACTGACTCTCTTGACCGCGCAAATTCTCGACAGATCGAGACGTGTCTAGGAGTTTATAGGAAGACCCTGGCCCATCCACCTTGCCCCATGGCTTTTTGAATGGCTCGGTGGCATTAGCATCGTAGGAGGATGGGTCGATGTATTTGAAGACGCCGGTCGTCATTGTGCGGGCCAGTATAGGGCGAGGAGAGCGAGCAAGCGTGGAAGTTAACACAGAAATCTGTTTAGTTATAAGCGACATAGGAGTTAAATAAAGTAGAAGCAGCAGCGTCTCGTATTATAAATAGATGTGAGATTGATCGGGGACTGCATCGGTCTTTGTCGAAAGGCAAAGATTGCCCCGCTGACAAATTGCCGAATGCACGGTGACGTACCTAGCGGGCCTCGGCGACATTTTGAGTGTAGTTCCTCCGCAGTTGAGTTCTGATTAATGCTGCATTTAATGTTACATTGGTCAGTCATCATCCAGGACCCTGAATGTAAGGTTTCCTATTTTTGATAGAACATTATATCAGATTTGATCAAGTATTGACCATCTATCGGCGAGAGGAAGCGAAAGGCACACGCAAGAATGACCATTCAACTGTCCCCTCATCTCATTTGCAAAGTACTGTACATACAACCAATCGCAGTATACCAATAACAAACATCACCACCCAAACGCTAAATACTAACAAGATACTTCTCTGCAAACTCCTCAAACCTCGTCACCTTCCCGTCCACCTTCTCATTACTCTCCCTGACCAATTCCTCCGTCCTAGGCCCAAAATACCCCACCTCCTCAGTGAACTTCATCATGTTCACCGTCCTCATGCCTTGTTCCGGCTGCATGAAACCCGCAAACACATCCTCCGGCACCTGCACATACCTAACATCCTTCCCCGACACACGGGATATAATCCCCACGATATCTTCCCAACTATACATCCCCCCAGCCGCGTACAACGTCTCTCCCGCGCCGCCATCAACCACCAACTTCGACACATACGTCCCCGAATCACGCTCGATATCAATCAACGGGATCTTAGCATCCCTGTCCACCACGTTTGCAATCACATAACTCCCATCGTCTTGTCTTCTGGGAGCAAAAAACGTCACGCAGTTCTGCATGAACCCCCCCGGTGCGAAGAATGTCGTTTTAATGGGTAAGCTGCGCAGATATTTCTCTGCTTCGGCCTTTGAGTCGAATGCGTCTACCGGTCGAGGACTTGTCCCCTTGCTGGTATCTGCGTTCCATGTCTTGCTGCTGTGCACGGCTGTGCTGAAGATGATGTGTTTTGCACCGGCGGCGAGGGCTGCGTCGGCGACGTTTTTGGTCTGTGTGTACTCGCGGGCCTTCAGGTCTGCGGTGTAGTTGGTTACCGTTATTAGGATGACGGTGTGTGCGTTTTCTAGGGCGGCTGGGAGAGTGGATGGGTTATCGATGTCCGCGGAAATGGTCTCAATGCCTTGTGAGGTGATGGAGAGGGCCGAGGGACTGCTCGTATCGCGGGTTATAGCGCGTAGTGAGTATTGCTGGGATATGAGAGGGTGGGTGTGTAAGGCGTTGAGGATCGAGCGGCCTTGTTGGCCGGTGGCGCCAAAGATGACGATTTTGGGAAGATTGGACATTTTGGTTTAAAGGGATCGATTTAGTAAATCGATTAAGTGAATTCGATGGTGCTATGTCTCTAAGACTCATTTCTTTGTGCAAATGGAGGTTTTATACTTCTATACCCCCTCTTCTATACGAGATGGACGATCCGGTGATATCATGATATCACGATAAACTCCGACCGGCGTCCGCTCTCGGAGATAATTCGTCGCAGACCGGTGTTGATGCAGGTCTAGAACAACGGTCGCTAACGGACGGACTGCTATCCTTTGCAAATCGATCTCTGCGGTATATCTTTTGTGACTGTTGGTCGCATTGCACCCAAATTGTCAATAGTGGCTGTTGTCAGTGATGATGATCATTGTTGCCTCAGGCATTCAGGGGGTTTCCCGGCCTCCCCGGCGGGGTCGCAGGGGGTGTTATCTCCGATAAGCTGCGAATCAGCCTATCGTAAGCTTAACTTTCCTGACTCGTGTGCTGATCATGGGATCCTTTTTCTGTCGATATATCTATCGGAAAGATCTAGGAGTTGAATGCCGGTCGGAGAAGAGCGCCTTGAATAGGAGGAATCACTACCCAGAGAAGTTGAATTTGGAGACCAGTCCATCAACTGAAAGCGACTCGATCTAACCTATTAATAAATGGAATCATGATTCATGAGGCAAATCGATAGCCACACTTGGATAGAAGCAGTATCTTCGACGAAGCCAAAGCGGGGGCCGAGCCAGACCGCTAACGCCAAGCAGAATCGGGGCCACGGCCCAGACACTTTTTCAACGCCAATTCCTTCCTCACAAAGGGGGAGGAGAAAACCGCAAGATCTCAACCTTTCCAACCTCCCGGCGCAAATGACTCACCAGAAGGAAACCCATCATGCCCGGAGTCCCGACTAGTCGAGGCTGCGAGGCCTGTCGTAAGCAGAAGAAACGAGTGAGTTGAGTTGAAGGAGTTGTGGTGGTGGCTTTGTAGATTTCCGCATAGGCAAAGGGACTTGCGCTAACGAACGGCAGTGCGACCAAGAACAACCTGCCTGCGGTCGGTGCCTCCGTCTGGGGATCCCCTGCGTCGGCGGTGGCGCTCGACGATTCAAATTCACGGAGAATCGCACCCCAGACCATGCATCGTCAGGGATCTTTGTTACACGCACGACGCCGCCGCCACGTGATCCGCCGCAGCGCGCCATCGCCAAACGCGCGGCTGCCACCATCCATGTCGCTCCTGCGCGGGCCTTATGCGGCGACACGGCCAGGTTGCGCGCCTCGCTGATCTCGATGCTCGAGGTCAAAGATGCCCGGTATAATCTTGGCTACTACGGGCCGTTCTTTGCGCACTTGCCCTGTCGCCTGGGAGTCCATCCGGCGCTGGACGCGGCCGTCGCGGCGGTGACCCATTCGGCGCCCTGTTTGTTCAAGCAGGAGAGCTCGTCGCTGGCGCTGGAGAAGTACGGACGGGCGTTGTATATGCTGCGTCTGTCGCTGCATGATGGCGCAGTGGATTTGGCGATCGAGACGCTGTGTACGATTTATCTGTTGTGGATTTCCGAGGTCGGTTGCCATCTGCATACTCCGTCAGCCATGCACATGCGCGCGACAGGAATGTTAACGCGATCAACATCAGGACTGGATTACCGGCCACTCCGAAGGCCATCTCATGCACACGCATGTCATCGCATTACTTCTCAAAAGCGTCGCCCGTCGACCGGATCTCGACGCTTTCCAAACCCAGCTGCTCCGCACGCTCTGCATGGCCGTGGTAAATACCCCTACCTCATCCATCCATCCCTCCATGCATCCACTCGATCCTCAGTAAACCAATCACTCACCACTCCTCTCTTTGTTTCCCCCACCAGCTCGTCCACAGCGTCTTCGACCCTCGCGTCCACCTCGACACGCTCGTAATCAACCGCTTCCTAATCCACGGCCCTCCCATCCCCTCCAGCAACCAACTCGCCTCCCCCTTCGAAACCCTCACCGTCCCCAACTTCGCCCGCATCCCCCGCCTCATCCACAACCCGGAACACCACCTCCCTCAACTCACAGCCCTATACGCCCAAATGCAGGCCGACTTCCCGAAACTGCGCGCCATCGCCGTCTCGTCGACCCTGCAGGCCTCTCCAACGGCGTCGTTAGAGGCGATTCGCTCGCAGATTAACTATCAGACGGCGTATGGGTTGTTTCTTGCTGTTGCGATTATGCTGAATCGGTTGTGTTGGGTGGCGGACGGTTCGAGGAGGTATTTGATCGGGGAGTTGGATTTGCTGGTTGAGGAGGTTGTAGAGCTAGGGAGACGCGGGTTGGTGCTTAGGCCGTTAGGGTCGCATTATATGCCGATGTCGCTGAGCGCGGCGTGGGCGGCTGTTGGCTTTGAGGAGGACGACGGGGCGGAGGTAAGGGGGAGGAAAATGGAGATTGAGGCGTTGGCCAGGGAGTATTGTTCCTCGGAAGGGTTGATGCAGGCGTGGAGGGCGAGGGGCGTGCAGACGAGGAGGCAGTTTGAGAGGTTTCGGAGGAAGATGGATGGGAAGGATGAAGTTGGTTTGGTTTTGAGGGGTGGTCCAGGGTTGGGGTTGGTTGCTGTTGATTGATTTTCAGTCTGATTTGGAGCGTGTTTTGGGTTGGTGTGATGGAGTTCGGTGGTTTGCTTTTTTGGGTATATATATTAACTATTACGGATGTCTTTACTTCATGAAGAAGTTTACGGAATGCATATAACTTGAATCTCATGTAATGAATGACATGGTTTATATAACCTTCAATTATGTGTCAAGGAGAAATACATGCTTTATTTCCGCATCCGGTCATAGAGGTATCTCTATCTTTGTATCTTCAGAATATAGAAACACCAATCGGTTTGGTTGATCATACACGAATTATGAACGAAAGGAAACAATCTATTCTCTATTTCCTTTTATATCGCTAATAATTATTTCCTGCGTCAATTAGAAAAGTTTTACCGGCAATCAAGCGAAACCCAAAATATATATTCAGGAAAATTAATATGATTCAGGTCGTACTCCAACACCACTCTACTTTGCAAACTCCCCATTACGAACCTTCCATTGACCTTTCGAGAAATTAACATCGAATTGAATCTTCTTGACCTTTGTCATTTCTAAAATTCAATTGTCAACGTTAACAACAGAAACGTGAAACGAATCCCTCCTTGAACATACAATCCATTCTCAACACTTCGCTCCGGAGACAGGAGATGGAAATATTCTTATCCGAGATATATAATCCACGTTCCTCTTGATTTACTAGATAATTTTGGAGATGCTATTTCTTATCTGATCTCCTACCTCTCTGTTATAATAACAAAAAATTATTCCCTATCGCTGATTTCTTGCATATCTAGATACCCATCTGCACCCGAACCGATCTCACGAACAAAACACGGAAGAGAGAGTGGACAAGATGGTCCGTGGCATGATTCAACCTCCACTACTCCGTACGCCGTTAGTTGTTAGTCGTTAGTGTTACACACATCAATTGATAATATCTTTATCTCAACATCGGGTCGCTAGCATTGGCATTGAATAAATTTTTCATTTTGGGTAGGTGTTGTTATTTGGTTGTTACGTGGGAATTTAACAATAAGGAAAGATTCTTCATCGCGCAACGTCTCACACTAAATAATCCATACAATCCGTGACTATCTGATTTGTTCGCTAGGAAGTATGAAACAGATGTGCCAATGTTTGTTTTGCAAGGCACCGTTTCAAAAATCTCAAATTCAAGTCAAACCCGAACTGACAGCAAGCTATCCGTAAGCAAATTAAATAATCACCTCAATCCACGGTTCCCATCGGGTGGAATTTTCTAGCGCAAACCTACCTCTCTCGTTTTATACAGACTTACTCTTTCAGGCTAAGTCCGCCATGCTAACTTGGGAGATTTTGACGATGTGGGTTTGATTCCGTTGGATTCTATCGGTCGGTCGTCCACTAAATCTGTGCGGACTCCGTAGATAATGCAAGGGTCCGAACCCACAACTTAATCCAAAAGTACCAAGCAAGAGAATAGATGAATATGCGCAGTCAATTGATCTATACAATGTCGCTGAATCTGACAAGCTCTATCTACAGGGGAAAAATCAAATCATCAGGTGGGCGGGAAAGTCTCAGACTCAAGGACCCGGAAATCCCACACATGTCGTAACCATTAAAATACAAACACCGTGAAATGCGATCATGCCATTAGGAGGGGTTTTGGCAGCTGAAAACGCCGCGGACAGTGCCGGCATTGTAGTTCATAATCTGGTGCGGTTAGCAGGTGGTCAATCCATGCGGGGGTGGTAATAAAAACTTACAATATCGTCGATACTGGCGTAGGTACCGCCGACCAGCGTGATGAGGCCAATGGCCAACGCGAGAAGGTTCATCGCGCCCAGAAGCAGGTTCTTGGGCGAAGTCCAGGAGCCCTCGCGGATGAGCTTGAACCACATGATGGCGGGGAAGTAGAAGGTGAAGCCGGAGACGAAGAGAGAGGAGCAGATAGAGAGCAAGTCGGAGAAGAAGGGGATGACTTCGGCGATGATGAACGCAACAATGGTGATGACGGTAATGGCAATCAGCCACGTCAGCCAGCCCATCTTGGTGTTGATGAATCGGATGGGCGAGTTCTCGTAGATCTTGCCGTGGATCATACGCGCGCAGACCACGGTGTTGATGGATCCGGAGATGAAGATAACGGGGAGGGCAAGACCGAAGGCAACCTTGCTCAGGGTGTGACCGGCGGACAAGAGAGCAGGGCTGCCGACGTCCTGACCGACAAAGGCGTAGATGAGAGATCCGGTCAGAGTGTAAATGACAATCTCGGTGGCACCGAGCGCCCAGATCGACTTAATGTAGTCCTTGGGCGTGTGCATCTCGTCCATGAACGAGAACTGGCAGAGGGCGAAGCTGTAGGCAAAGATGATGTTGGAGAGGGCGATGAAGGCGTCGGTAAAAGTGGTGCCTTCCCTGGGCCAGGCGGACCAGTTGACGGCTTGGAGACCACCGGGCTGGTTCGTGCTGTTGACGCCGGTGCCGATGATGGTGATACCGATCGCGATGATGATGGAGGCGAAATCGACGTAACCTAGGATGGCCATTTCCGTGAAACTAGGCGGGACGGCGAGCAACAGCAGGATGATGGCGGAGACGACGGCGAACACGACCGAGCAGACGCCGCTTTCCGTGATGGTGTTGAACGCAATGGTACCGGTGAGGGCGTGCGAACCAGTCAGGAAGGTCAGTTCGAGACCCAGCATGATGTACACGAGGATGTAACCAAAGCGGCCGAAGAGCAAGCGACCGGCGTCGGGGTAGTGGGCGACGTGCGGGAATTTTAGCTTGACCTGACCGATAACGTGACTGGTGTAGATGGCGATGAGGCCGAGACCGACGGTACAGATAATACCGGCGACCATACCCAGGGTAGCGAAGGAGGAGGGGATGGACAGACTGCCCAGCGCGATGGCCTCGACGATGAGAACAATCGTCAGGCGTTTCCAGCCGAGACGGTTGAACTTCTGGACACCATGCTCGTACACATTGCGCTCCTCATCGGTCATCTTCATCTCGCCCTCAGCGACACCCTCATACTGAGGAAGGCCGGCGAACTTCTCATTCTTCTCGCCATCCAAATCCATGGGCTTGGAGTTGTGGCCCGGATACTCGGCGATGTCGTTCATGTTGAAGAACGGTGGGAGGAGAGGGAGAGGGGGAGAAAAAAGAATATAGGTGTGGTGGGGTTGTAGACGAAAACGGAAGGGGAAGGAGGTCGGCTACTCCCCAGTCGAGTCGAGTCGGATTCCTGAGAGGAAGGAGGTCAAGGAGAGCGACAGTCGACAAGAAGAGCAGTGAAGAGAAGGAAGGAAAGGAGGTATCCGGGGAGGGCGAACAGCAGGTTACATATAAAAATGGGCAAGCGAAGTACCAAGGCACGGGAGAGTGGGCACTGGGCAGTAGAAGGCGAAGAAGGAAGAAGAAGGCAGTTAGCCCTAGTGGTAGCGTGCAGAACAGGCTAAGGGCAGTGGGCCTTGGCTGGGCACAGAAACTCATCTCTCGCCGTTCGCTCAGCGCTGACCGCCAGACAAATCAAGAGATTTTCCTTGACTAATAAGAAGGCGTGGCGTTATCTTGGACGATGAACCACATGGATCAAGACCCGGCCAAGCCCAGCCAATTCCAGCCAGGCACCCGGTGGGACCCGGCCTGCCGAATCGAGCCTAGTGCATGCTGGCGAATGCTTATCCGCCCTCGTCCAATCACCACGGGGCCATTGGTGGTACGACATTTTGCTCGCAGTGTGACGTGGGGCATCTGTTGGTCCCGGTTGGGGTGGCGAGTTCGGATTGTCCCCGTCTTCATCTGAGGAAATGAATTTGGAAAAAGAAAAAAAAAAGTCCCCGCAAAAATCGTGCGGGGTTCAGATTCAGAAATTCTGAAAATTGCCACCTTGTACGACAGTACGAGTCGGAGAGGCGGCAGTCCGGCACCACAGTCAGTTGCCTCCCTGTCTAAAATTTCGATTGCATGGAATTAATTCTAGGTGTAGATAAAGAGCTTGTCATCCGCCCCTTACATGATCAGGACGTGGCGCGGAGATGGCAGCCCGATCCTTGCCAGAGTTTTCGTCCTGCAGCGGGTACGGCGGAACCGAGAAGGGCAAGAGCAGGTGCGCACAACTCGCAACGTGCCACCTGCGTATCACGTCGGCTTGATATCATCCCCGTTACACTTACGGAGTACACATAAGGTCAAGGTTCTGTGATTACTGATTATCCCAATCTATCGGCGAAACGGGCAATTCCCGGGGCTATCACGATCCTTTACTATCGTGCTGCATGGCTCGTCTGGAGTATATCGTACGGAGTACACGAGGCTATGGAGTGTTCTCCAATCGATCTTGGAGATTTGAGTTATAGCCAAATGCAATTAGAATTCAACCATCCGAACCTTCCACCGTTGGCGGCACGATTGAATCATCCCTTGTTTCCCCGGACTCGACCGACTTGCACCGTGACTCGTGCCATCATCGTGGGCCATATCCTGGAGATGGATGGATTCAACCATTCCTATCCATACTTTACTGCCATTCCCATTACCAGATAGATTCACCTTATTTAGCGGGACTCGAGATAAGGAAGCAACAAATTGAGTAATGGGATTATATTTATAATTTTAACCACACACCGGGCTGTCCTTCCCTGCAGCAGCTCACCCGCCCGAGCATCTTGGCATTACCTAAAAGTATGTTTCCGACGATCCCATTGGTAGGTAAGCTGCACCAAGACCCGCCGAGCGAACCGGCCGCAGTCAAGCCCGAAGCCAAAAGCGGGATCGTCCTCCGCCAGAGACTGAGGAGGTTCGGTGGTCGGTCGCTGTCCGGTGAAACCGGAGCATTGTTCTCCAGCTTCTGCCTCGTTTTCTCCGTCATACCTCCGGAGCCCTCGGTTTCTCCGGTCGACTGCTCGGGCTCCAGATACCTGTTGGTTTCTCGAATTCTTCTATCTCTAGCTTCTGTGTGACTCTTAAATGCGATCGGAACATTCGATGCTCGGTCAGAGGTGGAACAAGAACCTGGAATTGAATACTACCTCAACCGGTATATCACGGACCGCCATCCGGGGAATGCAGCACGGGAGCGTCCAAATCCGGAGAATGAAGAATGCCCGCGTTTGGGAAGGAGGTCTAGACTAACCCCGAATCTAGAGTGTGTCTCGCCCACTTGTATGCGGTGTATGCATCCCCAAGACTTCTCATTTCCCAGTTGAGGCTGGTTGATTACCTGTTAGGTAATAGCATCTGGCCCGTCATCGTGACTTCTTCTCGGGTCTTCGGTGTACGGGGTGGCATCCCCCGTTGGTGAGGTATTTCAGCTCCTGCGGCAGGGATACGACATCACGGCAGACATGATGGGCTGACTCGAAACCGCGCACGAAATGCATCGCATTTTCCTTTCTCAGCCGATCATCCAACCCATCCGATTCTGTTTGGAGCACGAGTATGGGGATTTCTGGGGAAGGCCCGTTTACTCCGGAGTCTGTGACCTGCCCGAGTGGGTCTGGGGGCCTTGCCTGAGTTTCTATGAATAATAGGCTGTTTTAGGCCCGGGGTTTTTTGGAGATGCAACTTCGTCGTGCTGCCGCTTTGAACGCGCCATTTTGTGGAGGATTATGGGGTTGAGGTATCGGACCAGTCAATGCTTTGCGTGGTCGTGTTGATGGGTCGGGGATGCATCAAATACCCGAATTTTCGGTTATTATTGATGCAGTGATCAGGTTGGCGGCATGATGTTTCGTCGCCGAGTTTGTTTGGCAGGCAGGGTTTTGCAGCGTGCGTGTTCCGAGTGTAACCGACTTCGTGCCTGATCTTCGTTCTACGATTCCCAACGATCGGTTTGTTGGAATCACGCCGATTACCGCATTCGCCAGTCAACACGAATAGAGGCTTTTTGTGTCGGTTGGTTTGAATCCCTGAGATCAACCTCCAGTGTGGTCAGATTTGGCTGAGCCCGGGTACGAGCAGCCGGCGTCGCATCGCTGGACATGGGTAGCGACAGAAGGCTTTGCATGATAAAATGGGCTCACCCTGTTGGGTACTACGCCTGTCGCTGATAACGTAGGTTGATCCTGCAAGCGACCAACAGTATCATGCTGGGGGGATGTCTGTCACGCCATCTTCGCATACGTTACACCATTTGACATTCGGTCCAGTTCTGCTGATGTTCTGCCAGGAGCCCGTTCGTATATTCACGAGAAGGCCAGTCCTACGTGGGGCGTACCGGAATATCGAGCTGATGGAGCATTCAATAACTGGGAATCTTTTAGCGATGGTGGAAGCCTCCGTGAATCTTCGAGAGAGGGTAAATCTCTCAGTTAACTGTCTCTGCGTGAATACTCACCATCGTATTCCGTGAAAAAATGTTCTGCTTCACTATCTCGAATTTATATCCTGCAATCACTACCACGTAGACTAGACTCTTCTTCCTCCCTATCTACAGGGTAGAGCTTTCCCTTAAATCTCACAAATCATATGCATTAAACTTGAAGATCTATTTGTCACTACCAGAACTACAAGTGTTTAACAAGAACCAAATCCTCTTCACGACTCTGGCAAGCAGCAATTGTATACAGCCCCAGACGCCTAGCATTACCCCATTCAACCGAGCCCAGTGAACACCACGATCGTCCAATCTCTCCAGGACTTGTATTCCAGAGACGGACATCTCATAGAAAAGCCCTGTCCATACGCAGTGACACACCGCCCCAGTGTCTGCAACGTGGAACCGGTTGGTAGAGATGGCAAAAACACGTCTTGCAAATCAATAACCAGGACGAGATCACCTATGCGAATGTTCCGAATGATCGCCGCGTTGTGGACGCTGGGGTGTACGTTGCGAGGGACGGAAGAATAAGTGTCTCGTTCCTCCGCCCTTTTTGGCGAGGGAGCGAGATGCTGTTCTGAATGCCAGGCCGGGGGAGGACTTCAAAAAGGCCTGCAAGGACATGGGAGCGACGCTCGTCGGTTGAGGAGGAGACGCTCCGAATTGCCAAGTCGCAGAATCGAAACACGTTCCGTCTCGTCAATTTGGAACATGTGAAGATGGGCCTCGCGCCCTTACCGGAGGAGGAAATGGAGGTGCCGCCCCCAAACTCAGCAAACTCCGCTGTTGACTGTACAATACACCAACGTCATAATAACAAATTTCGCGTACAGAGACTACTACCATGACGCTGAGATAGGGTTAGTAAGCCACCGTACGGCGAAAGCGGTTGGTAGGAAAGCGCATTCTGTGAGCATCACGGCAAGGGGCTTCTTTATGGATCCAATGCCATTTTCAGAGCTATCGTTTGCGGACGAACGCCGAAGACCACCCGCGAATACGAGGCCCATGGTTGGTTATTATAGCCCGTCGGATTTCAAAAAATCACCAAACAATACCACTATCAATGGTATCACGTGGTTTGATTCTGTTCCAGGATGGGTATATCTCGCAAGTCTGAGATATTCGTTCCGTCCTGTCTGTATCTAGCTTAGTTTAGTTCGCGAGGACGCTCTTTTCAGAAGAAGCGGCAGATTGTTGCAATCCACCAAATGGACCCGCGTTCTCCTAATCCCAATTGACTAAACCAATCTTCCGGACGAACAACCATCTAATACAACTTCATTCTTCAACATAGTTCATCGCACACAGTACCAGAGCTTACATCTTCGTTCAACTGGACAAGACCGACATCTTCGTCATTGAATGAGAAAGCGAGACAACAAGTGCAATACTTCCATCAACAACATGATTAGGGTCTCGAGTATTCTCGACGTACGTTTCCAAACCAAAGCTAGCGGGATCAGAGGAGCAGAAGCGCCTCAGATTGAGAGACAGGTCAGAAAAGCGCGGACTTATATCAGACGACCAGATTGTGCATCGTATCCCATTCCACGCTGCGTTCAACAAGGCATCTTATAATCCGGTTTCGGATGGCGGGTTGCGTATGCTCTCGACTAAGAGTATCCTCGGCTTGATTGCGGTTAAAAAGAATTAGCGAAAGGTCAAGCGAAAAAACGATGCAGGACAAGGCATGCCTACGAGAAAGACTGGATTGGGATCCGAATGAACACGACTCTGTACACCCGAAGAGTCTTTTTGATCATACCGCCGACTAGCTTGGTCACATGAAGCGGCCAGCGCTAGGTGTGCTTGTGATTGTGACAAAGTTGAAAGAGCGGTCGATGCGCGTCACAATATCTTATCGGCTACTACCTTGACAGGGTGTCAAGCAGTAAACCTATGAATGGACACGATCACACGATCGAGTAAACTTTTAGATCGTGGTTCCATCGCGCGCTACCAAGCTTTGTTAAGTCTTGCAGAAATTCCAATACACCATAACACTCATTAGAATAGACGAATGGGATTGGAAAGCACTATGGAGATGATGCCCGTTACGAGGAATTTTCATATCGCCAAAGCTCCCGGTATATTCTACTCTCTGACAGGCCCGAGTCTACGAAAATAGCAAATCATTGAAAAAGCCCACCTTCTGAAACAGGAATAAAGTGTTTATTCATCTCACGGAGTCGCGACCTGTAATAGGTTTGACAGTCTTATTAACAGAATGACATTCCTGAAAGAAACCACGAGACGGTAATGCGCAAATATGGTGGCATACAGGTCCTCGAACGCAATTCTACCGGAAATACCCGCCTCAATGGACGAAGATGTGTCGGCTGCTTCGAATGGTGATCGAGGACTGTAAGGCGTTCACAACATACATGAGCCACATTCTATCAAGCTGGGGGTTATTGCCAATGACACTGACGAGGACAAACGCAGGCAGAGCGAACAGTTCGATGAGAATCTTGCCCAAATTACACAGTCGTACGCTTATACCTTTAGGTACTATGGTAGAGAGAGTGATAGATATACCGAATTCCGACCCCTAGGGCACGTCGACACACATTTTCAGACGCTGACGCATATTGGGCACGTTTCTTACGTTAACCGGACTTCGTGACCACTATAGTGGTTCCTGCCCGGCGTCACTACGGAGTCACGAGACATTCTTTAGCGAGTCATGTCCTAAGCGCATGTTGGACCAGTTTATTGCAGGGTGAACTACGCCCTCTCCAATAAATTTGGCTTGCTTGTGTGCTCCCGAGAAAAGATTCACAGAAGATGCAGCATGAAAAGGATTTAATTCTTCCTAGACGTATAGTACATTCAACGTTGGAACGATTGAGGCATGGAAAAAGGCAGACTGCGAATGTTCATACACTTTCTCGAACTGTCGACAATCTGATGTCCTCGAACACCCGATGTCCTTTGTTACCGAATCACTCACAGGTGTACATTTCCGTTATTGATATGATTATTTGTCATCACGCCGTGTGAAATGACCAGGAGAGGCATGAGTAGCATCGATGTTTATTGATTAATCAACAATTCAGGAAAGACGGAGCTCTGGGCGAGAAGACCTACTGAAACAACTAGTCAGGGACAAGGATCATTGGTTACTCGGTGGTCAGCTACGCGTGCACGCCGTAATGCTCATCAAATTCTACATGATAGAACGGAACAGTGGCTGGAAACCCACCATCGTGGTGGTGCCGTTGCTCCTCTTGGAGTAGGTTGTGGATCGTTCCCCTAGCATTGGAAGACCGCGTTGGATCTCTGCAACGTTTTGTTAGAAGCCCCCCACAACTGACAGGCTTTTTTTCTGCCAAGCAATCCTTCCCAATTCCCCGACCTGGTAACGCTGAAGTCGCGGATACGGACGCTGCCGTTGCTTGGTTTTGGTCGGACTTCTACCCTGGCGGCGTTTAAGCGTACAGATCGGACAACTGGACGTGGGAAATAGACATGCTTCGCGCCGAAGCGCCAGTCTATGGCTGGAGAAGGCCTTACGCCGGCAGTGTCCGCCCCCCGTCTTTCTCCTCCCTGGCCAACTCCATTTTCCCGCCTCCTGTCGCTTCTTTGTCTCATTATAAGCTGTCCGCCTTGATCTGTCTGTCGTCACCTCCGGACATCTGTGTAAGAACATGCTATTCAAATCCTAATTATATATGACTCAATTTTTGCTCTTCACGTACCGGGGCTCCGGTCTGCCCCCCTCAGTTTGCCTCCCTCGCCCACTGGAAATAATCTTTGAAAAGATTTTACCCCCGGTTCAATAGCTGACGGCTGCCAATCCCACGCTCCTGTTGGATGATCTGATAATCTTAAAAAGGCTCCGCGGCCTTGTTCAACGCAAAAGAGCAAGAGTAATACGGGAACTGGTGCTGGCGATGGCGAGGACGCGAATGCCACTGAGTCCGATGCGCCCACTGGGTGGGAGAACGGCCAGCTCTGCTTGAGTCGCGTCCATGGCGGCGTGTATGTTTACATCTTGTTCGATATGGGTCAAGTTGAAACTAATCGTGCCAGCTGCTGGATCCCTGTTGGTGCCAGCCGCATGTGCGGAATGGTTTTCGATGTGTCTACCTCGCTGTATAGACACATGCGCCAGGAACACCGCAGTATGTTTCCCCCAGTTCACAATTGAACGCACTTTATACTAAGTTTAATAAACCAACAGTCAGCCTCCGCCCGAACAGCCGCAGTAACATCTTGATCAGCGAGACAGTTGAGGGCGAGCAGGCATTGCTTCGCTATGCTCGTGCCCAGCACTGGCGCAATGCCAGTGACCCATTGGGATAGGGCTATTCGGCCACCCGCCGTCGTCCATGGTCCAAGTCACGTGCTAACAACACCAAAAACTTTGGAATGGTGAGAGTGGGGTTCGAACCCACGCAACTTTACGTTATTGGAACTTCTACGAGGTTGTTAGTACAGTCGAGAGAACAGCTGAGGTAAGGGTGACGAACAAGACCAACGCCTTAACCACTCGGCCATCTCACCCCTGCGCAGCCAGTGCTGGATTTGGCACTGTAGGACGCCTAATTCTCGCCAGAGTTTCTCCGAACGCAATGCTTCTATCATGACCTGGAGATGGGTTAGAGCTTAACAGGGTAATCATCCCTACAGAAAAGGCTTTCACGACCGAGAACAAGTACCTGGAGGCCCCAGCAAACAAAGTATATCTTTGTAATGACCTTATCCAGCTTTATGGCCAGCTCGAGCAGTACGGCCTGGCCGATTATCGGATAGAGATCTGGGAGGAAGAGATATTGTGTGATATGCAATTTCCCCTATAGAATGGAAGAAGGATCGGAGGGAGAATGATACACTAATCTAATACCTTAACCATTCGGCCATCTTACCGCAATGTGCTGGGCCATAGCGCCTTGCCATCCACAATCGGGACAAAACCACACGGGTCTAGATTCTATCAAGACACAACCTTTGGTTGACAAAGACACTCGTACACGGAGGACACAGTTGACTCGTTCCCTGGCTCTCATGGGACTTACTCCGGTTTAGGACATGGGATATCTAGAAAACGATGAGAAAGCATGGACAGGTTTCAAAGAAGCTTAGCGAGAGGATTGATAGTCGCTAGACAAGAAAACTCGAAGTCAAACATTCTAAAAATTAATAATTGCTGGATTTTGGTTCAAAATAGGCTTTCCTATTGTATGAAGTTCGAGAATAGAAAACTGTCAACAACGTAACTCGGATCCGACGGACTAGTTAACTCCGGTCCGATCTCCATAAAGGCCCTCTGACCGGCCCCGGAAAACGACCGAAATCCGCAACCAGCCCAACTGAACTAATTCAGCCTGGCATCGCGGATTGTCGATCACTTGTTTAGGAAGTGGCGATGCGGGCACGGGGAATGGCGCCAGCCTTGCGACGACGTGTTGGCGTTTCGAAACACGACACGAAACATGTCTCAAGGCTGCCTACTGTACTCCCTGGTGAAATGAGTCTCTCTCTGCAGAAGCCAGAATCTGTGGTCTTTGACCCTTGGTGGCTGTTTTCTTGTCTTGGCGGAAGGCCTGGTGCGAGGCTGTGTTGCTTACCTGCCCGCTACTGCGATTCGAGGGAAGAGGTGACAGCCCGATGGATACTAGGCAGACAGAATAGGTATTTATGGCTCCAGTCTAGCCGTATCGGACTTGGTGGGGCTTTCATATGCGACTAAACCATTATCGCCTAGTTAATATTGAAACTCAACAAGAGGCTGAGGCTCTTGGGGGCCGAAAAGATATTCTCGAATCCTTGGTTCTGCGGTCGCTTCTCCCCTGCAATATGCAGAACCAGAAGTAAGAAACAGCTCAGCATGGCGAGTAAATGGAAACGATCAAGTAAACTGAAGTCTAGGACAGGTTGTGCTACTTGCAAGTATGTTGTTTTCGAAACAGGATGCAAAGCGGAAGTCGAACCGAGGCTAGGATCCGACATGTCAAATGCGATGAGGAAAAACCAGAATGCACTCAGTGTTGCAAGACGGGGAGGAAGTGCGATGGATACGAGAAGCTACTACTTAAGAAACAAGATAACCGCGGCGCAACGCGACCGGCTCCCATGGTCCATTCGTCGGGCCATGTCGTTCTGCTGCCAGGGACGCTAGAGGAGTGGAATTACGTGCATTTCTTCTGCACACAAACCACGCGCGCCATGTCAGGGATTATTCCGATGCTATACTGGAGTTCGCTAAAGTGTCGCGACCCGTTGGTCCGGCGGAGAGCATTGGCCGTTTTATCCCGAGGCCCGCAGCAAGAAGGGTTGTGGAGAAAGAAACGATTTCTGAAGGTGACGGGGATGGTAATAGACCTAGAAGAGCAAGATATGCTGCCATGACCAATTGAGCAAAGAGTCCCGATTGGTCAACAACGGGTGTAGGAGTCGATTGGGGAGGGTTTGAAGGAGACCAGTCCATGTCAGATTACCATCTTAACGAAACCACAAGGATGGGACAAGGACTGGGCGTGTGAAACTAAATGGGTACACTGGGCCTGAGCTGGCAGGTACCCTGGACGAAATTGAGTTTTAAGCGTGGCTATCTATTTTCTGTCAACATGTCATATTGAATAACTGTCTTGATTAAGCTCAAAGGTTGCGACAAGGGCGTGGGACTATATAAGCTAAGCCCACCCGTGTTAGTACGAGATCTAGATAGAGGGCCTTTCTTTCTCTATCAAAAGCACATACTAGAACCACCTATATAAGGTTAAAAGGTTGCGACAAGAAGTGGGTGTTCAAACGTTAGTGGGTACTAGGTCTGTGCAGTAAGAGGCATAGAAAGGTAAGATGCTAAGAATATTAAACTTGGCTATTTGTTATTTTCTAGATGGTCATGTCAGATAATCTTAATCGGGCCAGATAGTTGCGACAAGGACTGGGCGTGTGAAACTGAAGTATACTAGACCTATGTCCGTAGGAAATTTACAAGGAATAATACTTAAACTAACGTATTAACTGTGGCTTGAAAGCCCTTGTTAGAACTATCTAGATAAAATTAAACCGCTGCGGCAAGAACTGGGCAGCCTAGAAGGAATAAAATACTAAACCTGGCTATTAATCACACTGTATTGAGTAGAGGGATACGTCAGATTGTTATCGTAATAAGGCTAAGAGGTTGCGGTGAGGACAGGGCGTCCGGAACTAAGTGGGTACACGGGCCTAAGCTAGCAGGAGGCCTAGAAGGAATAGGGCGGACGTTAAGCCTGGTCTTCTATTCTATTTCTCCGTTACCTAGTGCGGCCGCAAGGTTCACCGAATTAGGAAAACGCATGGACTCGGAGAGGAACCCGCCAAGGATTGACTCTGTCCACTCCGTAGACTACTGAGCATAATAGGGTGGACTACGAAATAGTGGCTGATGCATATTTCAGGCGGACCGTGATTGATCTTGTTACCGGGAGCCGTACATCATCGACCGAGAGAACCCAAGAACTGAGGATCCATGCGGTATGTGTTGTCAATTGTCCTTAAATTTCCGGAGTTGTCGAAGGATATCAGTATTCTTCTTCTAATTCATGACAGTAACTTGGTATGATGCGATATAATGAACGGTGTAACCCGTACGGAGCATGGAGTAGGCATCCAACATTTGCGCGAGGCGAGGCTGTCAAAAGGATTAGATATGCCTGACGATCCTTTCTGTTTTAGTTTCTAACGGACTGTTTTCTCAACGATGTGGCCAATCACGGCCGCGGCAATCAGCCCTAAATATAGAGGTTCAACGCAATTTGGGGGCGGACAGACCCAAACTAATCCTGCCCCAACATGCACAAGAGTCATGGGCTTAGCATTCAATCTGAGCGCCTAAGCTTATTTAGTGGAATAGGGTCAGATCAACCAAATTGAAAAGCAATACGAAGATGGCTGTGTTGTGTCTGATCTATGGCGTATGTGCTCTCTGACTGGTTCCCTCGTGAAGGAAGCACTTCCCCAGGCCTCGAGCTAAATTTTACTCAAATTAATTTAGTAGTTAGGCAGACAAGGAACATCATGGTGCGAAAGTATAAAGACGGTGTCGACATCCTGGGGTCGAGTCCAACTAACATCGAGCAAAACAACTCCTCTCTTCTTCATACCCAATTTCCTCTCCAGCCGCAAAAATGGGCACACCAACAACAAACATGACCCTGCTCCAGAACCCAGATCTTTGTACTTTGGACACATGTCCCATTGAATTGGCCAGTGTCGAATATGTTCCTAATTTGGCGGGTAACGTCTTCTTCGCCGCAGTCTTCGGTCTTATTATTGCCTTTCAGCTTTTCTTCGGCATCAAATACAAGACCTGGAGCTACATGATAGCCATGATATGTGGTCTAGCACTGGAAATTATTGGATATGTTGCTCGCATTTTGATGCACAACAATCCCTTCGTGTTTGACAATTTCCTCATGTATGGATACCTTCCATTTCACCTCGACCTTCGTGATACTAATAATATATTAGGTACCTCGTCTGTTTAACTATCGGACCCGCTTTCCTCTCCGCAGCCATCTATCTCTGCCTCTCCCGCATCGTGATCGCATACGGCGAAAAGATCCCTTATTTCCCAGCCCGCACGTACACCATGCTCTTCATCACGTGTGACCTGATTGCCCTAATCCTACAAGCCGCCGGCGGTGCCATCGCCTCCATTGCTGACGATCAAGATACCACGAAGGTCGGTACAAACATCATGGTTGCCGGTGTCTCGTGGCAGGTGTTCAGTCTCCTTCTCTTCGTGGCCCTCTGCACCGATTTCGCGCTCCGGGTCCGCCGTGCCCCTGCGAACCTATTCAACCCGGAGTTTGAGGGCCTGCGACAGACAACGGCTTTTAAGGGGTTCTTGCTGGGTCTGGGTGCTGCGACTTTGCTTATCATTATTCGGTCTGCTTTCCGATGCGCTGAACTCAGCGAGGGATTCGATGGGAAGTTGGCGAACGATGAGATCACTTTCATGGTGCTAGAGGGAGCGATGATTGCCGCGGCTGTTATTGCCTTGACGGCTTTCCACCCCGGCTGGGTGTGGAAGGGACAATGGGGAGATGCGGTATGGAGCGTGCGATCCAAGAAGGGAGAGAAAGGAAATTATAAGGGGCTTGTGATTGAGGGTGAGGATGAGAGCTATCGGATGGAGTCGAGAGAGCGGATCAACACCTCTTATGCTTAGGAGGTTGTTGGTTGGCAGTTTAATGGATTATGTTTTCGTTTCCTTGTCATTACGGATAGAATTATCGTTCCAGCATTTGTATCTTTTTAGCTAGTCAAGTTTCCCTTGAGGACACTGCTCCATAGTATCTAATATATCAGTTCGTGAGCTATCTCTGGCCTTTTACAACGATTTTAAATGAAAGGCTATGCTGCCTGAAAAGAAATTCGTTTGTTCCATGACGTATTTTGTAGTGCCGATCAACAATTCGTTAGTTGCTATACATCCCCCAAGCAGCAGGATAACAGTTAAAGCTCAAAGAAGAGATAGCGATATCCCAAATGGCTTTCCTTTCCTTCTAGACCTGTGACGAGAAGTACAATACAGACCGGCTCGCCATAGTACGGCATCAGAATGCCAGTTCTCCAGCAGAAAGGTCTTGGTAGCACGAAAGTGATTCCGATTGTAGCTAATGTGTTTCTTCATTTCATCTGGAAGCAAAGCCTCAGCTTGCCCAATACATTGGTGCCCACCAATTGATGATTGATGAATTTAGCTTATGAATTCACTTCCCCGACGCCGTATCTATCTACCCATGTCACTATGACCCCAGCAGTGAACCTTACCTAGTAGTCTAGTCAACGATCATCCGTGTAAACCTATCACCCATGTAGACCAAGTCCTTTACACCATCAGATGTGCATTTACCTATTTAATGCACCTCCCAAGGTTGGCTCCATACGAATCTACGGTCGAGTAAAGTATGGCTGCTCCATGGCTTGGCCGTTACTAGTTCGACTATGAAATGCTTTGGACGAACGGTCTGATCCAGAGTTGTTTTCAATCGAGACCAATCAACAAGGACAATATTGCACTTTTGTTCTACACAGTCAGGCGAATATTCCTAGTTTGAGAAACATGTAAAACGCCAAATCGGTGATGAAGAGCCTGGAACTCACTTGGTGTACCGTGAGCCAAGTGAGGATGGGGCATGTACGCTTGGGCAGCTTCGGAGGAGTTTAAACGAAGCACCAGGTAGGGTAAACCACCTTTTCTGATGAACTATACTTACTATGTAACCCAGGAAATCCTACAACGCGATGACCTCCACGGGGAACGGCCACGGTAAACAATACTCTCCTTTCATGCAATTACGGCCGATCCTTTCTACCTTCTATGCAAATAAGTATTTAGCTGCAACGCCTTCAACGAAAACTTAGAAAAACAACTATTTTATGATTGTTGAAAGACACCCTTTTCATCGAGCGTCGCTGGCGCCTCGCAGTATGATAGCATGTCAAAGTTTCGAATAGGAAATCATAGTCCTGATGATGTGTTTGGATATAAGAGTGACACCATGCGAATTGTTGCCCTTTGAACGCATGGGACTTGTCGCAGCATAATAAGTCTTGCATCATGGAGACGGCGATTACTGCTGATAGAGAGAACAAAGCAAAAAGAAAACGACAACTGGAGGTGGTGTGACACCCAAACAGGGAGCATGGGGTAAAGAAACCCCGGAATCAGCGGCCAATCGAGTGATAGGTAGCTTTATGTATTTGGATGTCTCAGTCGTCGTCACCAACATTCTCACAGCGCATAATACAGGGCATGCTAGTCTCATTCCTGGAATTGGCACAATATACCATGTTTCAAGACAGGAACTTGATTGGAGAATTCATTATTTCCTTCTGAGTTCCTCTATACTGTATGAACCTCTGTGCAAACATGAATTTTCCCATTACTTTTACATTAGTGTAAGTTTATATGTGTACATCAAAGTTATTTCTCAGCACAACGACAAGCATCCCCGCATAGGCTCTTCATAATCATATCTTCGGCCAATGCCCCCTACCATGGCCTGCCCCGAACCATGGTATAGCCTTATTTAAGTCCTTTTCTTGGCACTTCCATTCATCCCGACCGTCTTCGCCTTTTTGGCCTCCGCAAATGCTCCCCCGCAAGCCTTTATGCTGCTTGCGATAAGCACTAGACAATCCAAGTTAGTTGTCGCTCAACGATCCAGACAGAAGAAATGGCAAGGGCCACATACCAATAGGAATGACAATCCAGAACGAATTCAAGAACACAAAGTACCCATAGAAGTAATAGTTCTCGGGCCTCGAGTACTCAACTCCATGGACCAGAAAGTCAAACGCACAGATCCCATAGTACAGTATATTCCCGTAAAGCTGGCCAGTGGAGATGATGATTTGCAGGGGGTGGCGGAAGGGGTTATCGGTGACGATAAAACCGGCGACGAGGAAGGACAACGGCCCCCAGGCCCAGGCCGTCATCGACTCCATGATCATCATAAAGGCATCAGATGTGAGATAACGCGAATCCGACAAGGAGTATTCTTTCCAGAGTTGTGCGAGGAGGTGTTGGGAGCTCGGGAGCGTGGCCCAGTTAAGAGCATAGTAGCCTTCAAGGATGAGGTGGATGCCGCCGCCTGGTCGTTTGTGAGTGCTGCGTGTGTATAGAAACGGGGAAGGGAAGACAGACATAGTGCAAACCACAGAACCGTTAAGAGCTCGGAGGTCTTGATTCTAGGGTTCACGGTTGTCGCGATGATTTTGGCAGCTGAAAGAATGGATACGGAAGCGACGGTGAACGTCGCAAGGATTGCCGGGGTGCTCAATTCCCTAGGAACGTAGTTGGGGATCACTGCGTCCAAGGGATAGTAAGGGTGGGGAACTGGAACTGTCATGATGGAATTTCACGAAGGAGTGGAGTGATTAAGTGCCGAGTGGAGTGTTTGGAGGATGAGGCATAATTTCAGGGACTTCGGATCTTAAAGAATCTCGGGAGATTGCTCGCTAGCGCCGATGGCAGGAGGAATAGGGGAATGCCGAATAGGGGACTAAATTCTTACATATGCCCGGTCGTACGACTCGGATCCAACGCGCTCGGGTTCCGCGGCCTCCGCTCGAGGTAAACAAAGGCACGTGAGTTGTGACCTTGCTGGCACCCAACCAGTGTGTGCTCTGTGAATTATTACCTATTGAGTATATCTTGTACTTCGGCAGTTTCTACTGCATACCTTACTCCGTATGGCCACGGCTAGTTCCGATCTGTCGATCCCCTTTTTGCGGGGGAATCAGGTGACTTTCAAGGGGTTGACCGAAGTCTTGATGCCTGAGGCTTTACGCTTGTGTGGAAATTGCAAAGGCTTTGACGGTCTGAATCTATAATAATGTGTCACTTGGCCAGAGTATTTCTCTGGTTAAAATTAATTTGTCCATGGTTCGTATTTTGTTATAAATCCGCCAGACATAACTCAGGATATATATCGAACGTCTTACAGACACACATATGCGCAAGGACAGTTTGATTGCATAATCACTGAGCATATATTCTTACTAGAGCGGCCCCTGGTAGACTTCAATTACAAAGTAGTCTCTTACTGAACAAAAGATGAAAAAAAAAAAAAAAAAAAAAAAAAAAGGGAATCATGCCGGAAACACACCAACAGAAGCGATCGCCAGCCAGTCGTAAACCTCCGAGGGCACGGAAATGCGGCCTCTTAGCAGAGTGAGAGTTTCCTGGACGAGGCCTTCACGAAACAACTTGTGTTTCTCTGCAGTGACGCAGTCCGTGGGCCTAAACAGCAATATCAGCAAACTGTTGAAAGTTGTGTGAATCAGCGCATGAAGACGTACTCATAAACGTGCCCCCGAAAGAAATATCGGCCGTGGTACTCATCCGCAATCAGGGCCCTGACGTACGTCCATGCACCGGCTTCAGCCGATTGACAGAACAGACTCATAACTGTGCGCAAGATAGGCCCAGTTCCAAGGTCTCGACAAATCTGAGTTTGACTGGCTCCGGGCGTGAAGGAAGCGATTTCAACCCGGTGGACACTGCTGTCAATTGATGAAGCCAGTTCGTGCGTCCAAATCATACTAAGAAGCTTTGAAAGCCTGTAACGCTGATAGCACGTGAATGAGTTGGGGTCATTGAAGCTCTCGAGGATCTCGTTGGGTGTTTTGCCAGGAGGAATGTCCTCCAGTGCGTGGCCTTCGGATGTAACATTCAGTAGCCTTCCAGGGAGGGAATGCGGGGAGGACCGACCGCGTCCAAGCACAGTAACTAGAGAAAGCGAAAGTGCACAGGACGCAAGATAGTTCACCTGCAAGTGAGTCTCGAACGAATCTGTTGATCGTTCGAATCGGAGATGAAAGACGCCGGCGTTGAGGACCGCAATATCAAGTGACGGGAGTGAGAGCAATCGGTCGTTGAAATCTTGAATCGACTGGAAAGATCCCATCTCTAGGGGCCACAATTCGATCTCGAACTGTGGTTGGACTTCTTTCGGCAGGCTTGCGCGTATCTCTTCCAGGGCCCGCTGGCCACGCTGGGGATCGCGCGCCGTGATGATAAGACGGGAGCAATGTGCTGCGAGAATCTTCGCCAGCTGCAGCCCACATCCAGACGTGGCACCAGCTATAAGTGCTATGCGACCTGTGAGAGATTCAAATTCCGCTGGCTGAAGGGGACTGGAGCGAGTGGTAAGGTTGTTCCACATAAGCGGGAGCGGTCCGTCCCTTGCGAAGGCTAGCAATTTCGGATGCAGAACTTCGAGCCGCAGCATATGATACAGGGCGTGTACATCCATAATGGGCAATTAAATAAGGTCACTAAGAGGTTCAAAAACTGATAGCCTAAAGTGGTGAAAGCAAAGATTGGCTTTCTAGAAGCGGAGGGAGTCGAAGGTACAAGGTTATTAGAAGCGGGGATGATAAGCAACGTAAGACGGCGGAAGATGCGGCGCAACCTTCTTATATAACATGAAGGGAAGGTGGGCGATGTGTCGCCGCGTGTTGATTGAATGATTCTTGCGCTATGTACTATTCTACTTTTCTACCGGTGATGGATATAGTCCGACAATGGCCGGATGGCTTTAACCAACTGCTGTGTACCTTTACACCACGCTACGAACTTGAATTTGCGAGCTATTCCGCTCTAATAGGATAGCGTGTCATGCGGAATTTACAAAGGACGCAAAGAAAACTACATGAAAGATTGTTTGAAGCTAGGCTGCGGGCTTCCTCCCAACCATCAAGAACATCGGCGTAACAATTCCCCTCTCACCCGCCTTTAAAAGGGAACCCATTGCCTCCATTATCTGCACTGCCTCGTCTCGCGTCCCGAATGGCAGGATCCTGAGCTTCTCAAGAGCCCCAGTCAAATAGTACAGGATCCCCCGAGATCTGAACGAGCTCATAAGGAACGAATAGTAATTCTTGGCAAACGTATCTGACACCGACGCCATCATGCCATATGACCCATCAATAGGGGAATACCATGGCATACTTCCTGGTCGTTCCGCCAAATCTTCCGCAAGTTCCATCTCGAAGCCCGCCGCCTTCATTGCTTCAACTGCCGCCGATGCCTCCCGGAGTGGTGGCGCTGCAAATACTTGTTCATATTTACGTCGGATCTCGCGATGCTCCGGGTCATCATTGCGATACTTACTCGCCAAGACTGGCTCGTAGACAGCAAATCTTGCACCCGGTCGAAGGACTTTGAAGATCTGCGCGTATACAGCTTGGAGATCAGGTGCGTAAGCAGTTGCCTCGATAGAATAAGCACCGTCAAATGAGGCTTCGTCGAGCTTCATATCCATGAAGTCTGCTGCCTTGAACGAGACGCGATCTTCCAGTTTGGCTGCCGCTGTAAACCTCTTTGCATGCTGAATGTGATGCTCTTCCAAATCAACACCGACAACGTTCACGTCAAGAAATCGCGCGATTTCTCGTGTGGGCCCGCCGTTGCCGCAACCGACGTCTAGGACTTTTTGGTATTTGTTCACTTTCAACCATAGTGCTAGGTAGTGTTCATGTCGGGTGACTGCGTTGGCGAGAGTTTCACCAGGAGTCAAGCGAAATACGTGGATAAAGCTGCCGAAGATATGTTCGATAAGGCTTGTGCCGTGCTCGTAAAATCTTGCTCATCTTGATATTAATTTGGGATAGTGGTACAAGGGGGTTTGAGATTGCGTACTGTGAATTCTGTTCGACTTGTTTCTGGGTGTCTGTCTGTGGAGGATGAAAGGTTAATTCGCATGGACCACTGCATTGATGACGTTCATGAACATACCTTTTTCTTTTCGTCTACCATTTTTGGGTGTTGATGGGCGATGACTGAAATGTTGGCCGGTCAGAAAAAGATAATCCGTTACTGCAACAAGTGCCCAAAGTCAAGCTTAGCGTGGTAAAAGGAGGGGAGCTCTCCAGCAGTCTATGAGGGGCTCTTACTCAGGAAACGGAGTGCGGAGTCTTATTTTTGTCTATTATATACAAGCTGCAGGATGCAAAATTGCACCCCTCACACAGGGTGAATGCTAGTAAGACCGAGTGGACATGGATCCTGGACTCGCATAGGCAGGCCTCGAACCCAAAACTATCTCACCTCATCCCAAGGTGCAGATATAACGCCTCGTGGCATTGCATGATGCAACAGCGGCGCTATAGTCTGACGTTGCATGTATGGACAGCTTATCCCGTCCACTGATACAGCATCATCACCCCACCTGGCCGGAGTTCCAATATCGCACCACTTGCGTAGGGAGTGCTCTAGATTCCTGACAATATCCTTGAAATAAATTCGGAACTTGCAAAAATGCTATGATTACTGGAGTAAGTCTAAGAACTGTTATATTAACAAGGCTGGGGAGATGAAAAAGGTAATCTTATCGCGCATACAGCTCAGGCCACCGAGCCCACCCCACTCTCCGCGTTTGCCGAGACATCGAGACAGTTTGACCCTCTAGTCTCACATAAGCTGTTGATCCTTTATAGGAAGTGGTCTAATTTATTTGGACTGCAGCGAGCACTGAGTTTTGTCTAAAGTAAGATCCTAGTCTAGACGTATTATCAAGTACACGAAGAGTAAGTATGTCTGCTCGTCCAAAGGAACTTCACTCTGAAACTACCCACATGGGTATACTACCAATAGGTGGGATAAAAATGCCTCATTATGGTGTTCATCCTTGCCAAAATCAAGACCCTGGACAAACCGACGCGGGGAAACTAAGACTGGCTAAGCTTCTCCAACGTGTCACAGCATCTCTGGATGGCTTCCGAGATCCCGGGAATATTTTGAAAGGAAAACATTTCAAAATGATTTCCCTCCACTTCCAATGTCTCCGTAAAAAGACCGGGATCATAGCTGTCCCACCCAAGGTCTTGACGTTGGCGGTAAATGTCTAGTATATGCAATCGGCCCCCCTTGGTAGGTAGAGGATTGGCAGCTCGCAAAAGTGAAAACCGTGGTCGTTGTCCAGATTGATGACCTGTCCAAACAGGGGGGCTCCATTCCCGAATGACCCGTAGTGCTTCCTTCATGGCTCGTATCGAAAGAACCAAGTTCTTGTTTGGCTTGTCCATGACTAGGTGATCCAGTGTTTCGAGGTAGCCTCCACCGCTTGGCAGGTTGACAGGACACATACTCTCCATTATCAAAGCACCAATGACTTTCACGTCCCGATCGCCTGTCAGCACCTTTGCGATTTCGAGGCTGAGCAAGCCGCCCATGCTCCATCCACCAAGGAGGATATCCACTTTTCCGTCGGAGTTGCGTCTGCCAGCAAAATCTGATGCAACGCAGGTATTCCTGATCATCGCGGCATAAAGACGTCCCATTCCACGTACTCCACCTTCGAAACTCCCGCCACTGTGATAGCGCGGATTGAAAATGCCGTATGTTGGGCGTCGGAGAGAGTCTAGACAGTGGTACGCAAAGGTCGTACCACCGCCGTCGTGGATCAGGAAGAGAGGGACGCGTGGTCTCGTCCCAATGCCGTCCCAGCCTAAATCGAAATTCTGGATGAGTTCAGGGTTCTTTGCCATGATGTTATGAGGCTTTGCGTCTCGGACCTGATGTGAGCTCAAATAATAGAGGTCAACAATGTCAAGTCTGCACGTTTCACACCACTCGACAACAGCGGAGGGACGAATAAGGAAGACTCCGGCAGAGCTGGAGAGGGGAAGGTGATAGTGAGAGACCGCAGTAAAAATGCTCGCGCATCAAATAGTACGGACTATTGTGCTGACGCGTTTTCCCTGATTTTGGAGGTCATCGATAGTATGTTGATGGAGGGTGTAATGACAAATCGATTGGTTTCTCGGAAAGGTATGAACCAAGCTCCGCACGGCTTATTGTGACATGGTGTTTGGCAGAAATGAAGCAGGCCCTGTCGCCTGTCTACAGTATATCAGCATGATCATGTTAGAGCGGACTATGGTGCGGGGATGATGAGCTTAGTGAGATTATAGTCACCCCTGTACCTTGGCGTGTCTGCTTACCACTCCACTAACAGCTGACCACCCATGTGTTTGGAGCGTCAGAGATGCACCTCAGACCACAACCAGATGCCAAGCTGTCAGCCTGTTTAGAGCTAATCCGGCTCCCCTAAGCGTGAGAATTTTGTTGGGGTTTCAGCCGTTCGGGTGGTTCCAGATGTACTTGGTGATGTAAATGTTGGAGAGAGGATTAGTGTTGAGCTACATTTCGTATAGTATAAGAAGTCTAATGCTCTACTGCGCCATTTATAGCATTGAACCAAAACTCAAAATCTTAGAGTCGTGCATTGTTCGTTTCCCAAATACCAAATCACAACAATATCGGTGTTTTCCTAGAATTTGTCGATTGAAGATAGCAGCATGTATGAGCCATTGGCAATTGTTGGAACAGCATGTCGGTTGCCAGGTGGTGCGAGTTCGCCATCGAAACTATGGGATCTCTTGAAGGAGCCGAGAGACGTTCTCAAAGAATTTCCACCGGAGAGGCTAAACACGACGGGATTTTACAACAATAATGGCGACATGCGAGGTCGCTCAAATGTCCTTCACAAATCCTATTTGCTGGAGGAAGATGTCCGTCATTTCGACAACGCCTTCTTTAACATCAATCCAAAGGAAGCGGCTGATATGGATCCTCAACAGAGGATACTCCTGGAAACTGTCTACGAAGCCTTTGAATCAGCTGGATGGTCACTAGGCGATGTCGACGGCTCTCAGACCTCAGTTCATGTCGGCATAATGACGGATGATTATAATCTGATCCAGGGCAGAGACCCCGATACGTTAGGAGGACATGCCGCTACCGGGGTATCACGTTCCATTCTAGCCAATCGGCTATCCTACGTCTTCAACCTACAAGGGGCATCTTTGGCTCTTGATACAGCATGTTCCAGCTCTCTTGTCGCCCTACACATGGCAGTACAGGGCCTTCACCGAGGTGAGGCCACTCAAGCAGTTGTAGCGGGCACCAACCTGCTGATGGACTCCTCTTGGTACATTATGGGGTCTTCGATGCACATGATATCTCCAGAGTCTCGATGTCGCATGTGGGATAAGGATGCCAGTGGCTATGCTCGAGGTGAAGGTTGCGCTGCAGTGTTGGTGAAGACTCTCTCCCAGGCGATCCGCGATAATGACCATATCGAATGTATTATCCGAGGAACTGGTGTCAACTCAGACGGGCAGGGCAACAGCAACGGTATCACGATACCGTCACCTGCGGCACAAACTGCCCTGATCCAGCAGACATACCGTGATGCTGGCCTGGACCCCATAACGGACCGGTGCCAATACTTCGAGTGTCACGGCACTGGTACTCAGGCTGGTGATCCTGCGGAAGCCCAAGCAATTCAAGACGCATTCCGCGACGACAGCGAGCCTCTGGTCAACAGCACGTTGTACTGTGGGTCCATTAAAACGGTTATTGGTCATTTGGAAGGCTGTGCTGGACTGGCTGGATTGATTAAGGCCTCGCTGGCCATCCAGAACAAGGCCATTCCTCCCAATATGCATTTCAACAACTTGAACCCAAAGGTTGAGCCATTTTACGCAGGCTTGGAGGTACCCACAGCCCTTTTGCCCTGGCCAGAGACGGGCGATGGTCCTCGCAGAGCCAGTGTTAACAGCTTCGGTTTCGGTGGCACTAATGCTCACGCTATTCTCGAGAGTTATGGGCCCTCAATTACAGAGGTTTCCCCAAGATCAACTCCGTCAGATGTGGGAACCGGCAGAATCTATCAATATGATGGAGCTCCCGTGGCACCACTGGTGTTCTCGGCTCGGAGCCGATCTTCATTGCTTGACTGGCTCAGGGAGCTACTCAACTATCTGCGAGTGAACGAGTCCGTAGATCTTGACTCCTTGAGCAACACGCTAAATTCAAAGAGATCCGTGTTTCGGTATCGAATTGCGATCCCTACCGTGGTTGATCGCCAGGATCTCATGGAAAAGCTGGAAGACCAAATCAACATCATCAGCACCTCAATGGGCGGACCTCTTCAACCATCACCTGGACCCAGTAGTGGGGAAGGGGCATCTATTTTGGGGGTGTTCACCGGTCAGGTATGCTCGGTCTGAATTTCATCAAATAATGTGAGTTTTGACGCTGATAACCTTTCATTATTTAGGGAGCACAAGCAGCGCGAATGGGTTTTGCTTTGTTAGAAGGGTGCAAAAGCTTCAGGCAGTCTATTGAAGATTGTGAAGCGGCCTTAGCATCGATTCCAGATCCGCCGACATGGTCCTTGTGTGAAGAGTTGGCTGCGGACACCGCAAATTCACGCGTAGCAGAAGCTCAATTTTCGCAGCCGCTGTGTACGGCGGTTCAAATTGCCCTTGTCGATCTTCTACGCGTCTGTGGAGTTCGCTTTCATACTGTTGTTGGTCACTCTTCAGGGGAGATAGCTGCAGCGTACGCAGCTGAACTCTTGACTAAACGGGATGCCATGGGGGTCTCATACTATCGAGGATGTGTAACGAACCTTGCCCGAGGCGACTCCGGTCAACCAGGAGCTATGTTGGCTGCCTCTATCTCTTTTGCCACAGCCGTTGGATTTTGCTCTGAGCCGCAATTTAACGGTCGGGTTACTGTCGCAGCGAGCAATTCACCCTCTAGCGTGACTCTATCCGGCGACAAGGACGCAATCGCGGAGATGAAGGAGTACCTTGCTGCGAAGCAAATCCACGCGCGAGCTCTTCAGGTCGACACAGCCTACCACTCTCACCACATGCGTGCCTGTGCTGAGCCTTATTTGCGACGACTCAAGGAGCTCGGTGTGACTGTTCAAACTCCATCTGCTGATCAGAAATGTCGCTGGTATTCGGGGGTTAGAGAGAACACTGACATTCTTGAACAACCACTCGGATCGGAGCTGGAGGGACAATATTGGATTGATAACTTGACACAGCCAGTCCTTTTCTCCCAAGCTGTGAGTTCCGCTGTTGAGGGCAACGCCGCGGGATTTACTGCAGCTATCGAGGTTGGACCACACGGCACTCTGAGAGGACCGGTCAATCAGACTATGAAGCAATCAGCTTCCAGCAGTTCCTCGATGGCCTATATGGCCTGCTTAAGCCGGGGCAGCGACGCCGTGACGACCTTCTTAGAGACTGTAACCACCATCTGGACTCTTGCTCCAACATTCGTGAAACTCTCTGGATGGCGCTCAGCCCTCGGCAACAATACCCCTAAACCACCGATTAAGGGTCTGCCCCCCTACGCATGGGAGCACACTCAAGCTCATTGGCGTGAGTCCCGGATTGCTGGTAACTATCGTCTCAGTACATACCCTCCGCATGATATCCTTGGTCGCCTCTGGAACGATACCGGCTCTGAGCAAACGTGGCGAAATACGTTGGGGCTGATTGAGATGCCGTGGCTCAAAGAGCATGTGTTCCAGAGTCAAGTTCTTTTTCCTGCGACCGGGTATATCAGTCTGGCTCTCGATGCAGCTAAGGTATTTGTCAAGAATCAATCGATTAAGCTCGTCGAGGTGCGGGACATGAGCATCCCAACGGCATTGCCCGTCGGCGAGGGAGACGAGGTTGAGATTCTGTTTACAATCCGGAGACGGGTCTCGCCTAAGAGTGTAGGAGTTCAAAATGACTCGAAATCAATCATAGAGGCCGAGTTCACGTGTCACAGCTATCCTCATAATGAACAAGGAGCGGACAAGAACTGTGAAGGTCTACTGATGATTTATCTGGGTGATCCCGAGCCAACAGACGTGGCACCCACAGATATTTCTGATGTGGAACTGACCCCATGCAACGTGGATCGATTCTACCACGCAGCGTCGGAGATCGGCTTTCAATACGAGGGCGCATTCCGTGCGCTGGAATCGCTCAACAAATGTTGGGGCCACGCAAAGGCAGTTGCCTCTTGGTCTCCAGAGGACCCCAGCATGAATGTTGCTTGTACCGTACATCCGGCCATCCTGGATGTTGCTTTCCAGACAGGACTCTCAACCATTCTCTCTACAGCCGAGAGGTCGATGCATAGTCCGTATCTGCCGATTGGAGTGAAACGGGCCGTGATCGACCCCAATTGGGATTTTAAGACCAACGTTGCAATCGAAGCTTATATGACCAGTCCAACGGTCGGTCTGGGGCCACGGATCGAAACCGATATCAACGTACGAAGCTCAAACGGTCAAGCAGGCTTCTGTGAGATTCAGATGGAGGGGGTGACATTCAAGGCCATTTCGGAGCCACAGCCTTCGGAAGATCGAAATATTCTAGCCAAGACTGTCTGGGGCCATCATGCCGCACATGGACTGGTGTATGCACCTGAACTGACAGATAGTGACCAACTGGGTTCACAAGTCTATACGTCTGAGGAGTACGAACGTGTTGCATTATTTTACCTGCAACGTCTCAGCCAGTCAATCAGTGCGCAGGAGATGGACGTTTTGCCGCTACATCATCAAAGACTTGTCCGGTCTATCAACGTACTCGTGACGAGAACTCGCGAGAATACTGATCGAATGTTCTTGCAGCCCGAGTGGTTGAATGATAGTACTGAGATTATCACAGATCTTCTCAAACGAGACCCGAGTGACGTTAACATGGCGTTGCTGACATCCAGTGCAGACAGAGCCATGTCAGTTCTAAAGGGGACGTTCAGAGGAAATAGGAAAGAGAGTTTGTATACCTCGCTCTACCACCAGACCACCTGGGGTTCAACCTGCACCAAGGCTATTGCTCAGCTGATGTCTCAGATCAGCCACACGTTTCCTAGAACTAATATCCTACATCTATGTGGTAGTTCTGCCGAGACAGTCTCAAAGATATTAGATGTTGTTGACGATGCGTACGGGTCGTATACCTGTGCCAATGGGTCGCAGGAAATTATAGATGGCTTGAGAGACAAGATCGGCCTGGCATCCGCCAAAGAAAAGCGGCTCTCATTCGAAGTGCTTGACCCTGAGACCAGAACAAGCCAAGAGCTCTTCGATATTGTCATTGTAACAGACGTGTGTGGTGTGAGACAAGACCTTTCACAGAGTGTCCAGGGTTTGCGAAACCTCCTGCGTCCTGGTGGCTTTCTGATCGCAATGGAGCTTACAGGCATGTCTCTCCAGCCGATGGCAGTTCTGGGCTCCTTGGAAGACTGGTGGGCCAACGGCGGACTCGAAGTTGAAGCGCCCGGTATGAAGACAGGTGAATGGGACAATCTTTTATCGAACAATGGGTTCTCGGGCATTGACTGTATAACGCACGATCGAGCCGATGCCAGCATGCATGGTTATTCTGTGTTCTCCGCGCAAGCCATGGATGACCGCCTCGAAGTCCTCCGCAATCCACTGACTTCGTTGCCCATGATAACACCATCTCCGATCGTATTCATCGGTGGTGAAACAAACCGTGTATCAAAACTTATTCGACAGGGCAAGAGCCTTCTGCGTGGCCTGGCCTCCGAGGTTCAAGTATGGAGTCGCTTTGACCGGATTGACTCCTCCCGTATTCCTCCTGAATGCTCAGTCATCAACCTCCAGGATCTTGACAAGCCACTATTCTCATCCCCTCCTTCGGTGAATGAGCTCAAAAATCTCAAGGAATTACTGGCTAGTGCTCAGAATATTCTGTGGGTCACATCCGGTCGCCTAGTGGATGATCCGTATGCCAATATCATGGTTGGCATTGGGCGGTCGCTGAGACATGAACACATCCATCTCAATCTTCAATTTCTGGACTTTAACCAGGGGGAGCCATGGGATATTCAAACCGTCGTCACTCAACTCCTTCGTCTGGTATTCTCGAATTCGTCCCCAGACATTACGGACGGGATACTTTGGGTACAAGAGCCAGAAATTGTGATCAAAAACTCGCAGATGATAACTCCGCGGGTGCTCCTGGATCCTGAGTCCAACGAGGTCTACAATGCTGGTCGTCGTCCAGTGGTGAAGCCTCTTGGACCTTCAGATGGATTTGAGATTGTTAACGACAGAGTCGAAGCGTCATCGAAGTCCACCCTTGCCGTTGGTCATTCGTTCGAGAACCTGGAGGACCGCGTTGAAGTAGAAGTTGAGTTCTCAGTACCTCTACATGCAGATGATGAGACTCCTCGTTATCTGTCACTTGGCCGCGTGAAAGATGGTCGGCGACATGAGGCGGCAGGGCTAGCCCTGTCATACAGAGAGTCGTCTCTCGTCACTATTGATAGCAACTGCGACTTCAGCTCTCCAGTTCTTCGTGACTGCGACGCCTCGACACTCGTGAAGATATCGACTCTTCTGCTTGCGTTCAAATTAGTCTCCAGTCTGCCGAGATCTGGGACAACCCTGATATGTGATGCACCTGACGGGCTCCGCAGAGCAATTTCTGCGTTGGCAGCAGAGGATGCTCGAAAGGTAGTGTTTATTGCAATCACGCAAAAACCTCAGAAGGGCAGAAGTCCGCCATGTGTTTCTTTTCATCCGCAAAGTCCTATTCGTGCTATGAGAAAGAAGCTACCTGATGATGCGGTTGTTTTGTTCGACTTTTCGGGGACCAATGCGGCCTCTATTCTACCGGTTCTGTCCTCGGGTTACCGACCACAAACCCTTGATCTGAATTCACTCACACAGAAAGATGTCGAAGATACGTTGAACATTTACGATCGGTATCAAGGTGTTCTAGACCCAGTATCGGCTCCTAACGTCCTCCGTCTGTCGGAATTGTCCCAGAGAGGTTCTGGCAAGTTTGAACGTCTTTCCGTTGTCACAGACTGGACTCGAGAAAGACCAACCAGTGCGATTATCCACGGCCTGGATCCGCATGCTTTGATATCACCGAAGAAAACATACTTTCTGGTTGGTATGGCAAGCGAGCTGGGCCAGTCACTGGCCTACTTCCTAGTTCGCAGTGGCGCACGGTATATTGTGCTATCCAGCCGAAATCCGAAAGACAACCAGAACTGGCTTCGTGATCTTCGAGCAGACGGGATAGACATTCGCGTGCTCAAAATGGACGTCACCGACCGTGCCCAAGTGCACGGTACTGTCAACCACCTCCGTCAGACCATGCCCGAGATTGGTGGCGTGACCAACGCAGCCCTAGTTCTTGAGCCAGCCGTCTTCGCAAATCTCTCTGCTGCAAGTATCGCAAAACAAATGATGCCAAAGATTCACGGCACAGTACATCTGGACGAGGTGTTCAAGAACGATCGCTTGGATTTCTTCATGTGTTTTGGCTCTTTGGGCACCGTGTTCGGTAACCCCGGTCATGCAATTTACCACGCTGGCAATGCCTTCATGATGAGCTTGGTCGCGAACCGCAAACGGAGAGGGATGGTAGGCTCGATCCTAAACTTTGGAATGCTGGTCGACGTCGGGTATGTGGCCAGGGCAGATCGCTCTGCTGGATCCAACGTTGAGGAATGGCTCCGCACCGACGGATTGATCGCCTTATCCGAGGCGGACTTTCACCACGTCATTCTCCAAGGAATTATCGCAGGTCAACTGGACTCTCCTACCAACGAGGTCATCATGGGTGTTGAGACATATCATGACAAAGGACAAGTGCCGAGGCCAAGGTGGATCGAGACCCCAACGCTCTCACATATGGTGCGCCCCGCGTCCGAAGCCACCGAGGGCGACTCCCCCTCGTCTGGAAGCCCGCAATCAAAGTTGGAGAATGCAAACACCGTTGATGAGGCAGCTCCCTTCATCAATGACCTTCTATCTCAGAAGATCAAGTCCATGATCCACGTTTCATTAGACTCAATTCATCCAGATGAGCCATTCTCACGCCTCGGGATCGATTCGATCAACGCCATCGAGATCCGAAAGTGGCTTTGGGAACGTTTCAGAGTCGAAATTTCTATGGTGAAACTTCTTGGTCGAGACTCTTCGGCCGCAACAATTCGGACTATTGCCGCGCAGTATTTGGCCAAGAGGCCTGGAGCCCCACCCAACATTCCTAATGAGCCTGGCTCCGCTGGAAAAGAGGAAGCACGCGTAGTGGACACTCAAGTGATTGGCAAGTTGGGGGAAATAACAACCAGCACCACGCCCAGTGATGAGGACCGCTCGACTGAGATCTATCCTGCTCGGAGTTCTGGCGACAGTAAGACATCCCAGTCGTCTTCCGAGATTACACCTGACTCATCACCAATTTCTACTCCTACCCCGGAGCCTAGGCTAGAGATCATCCGGTCGGAGCGCCTGTCCATTGCACAGGCTGGTCTTTTCTACATCGACAAGTTCTCCGACACAAGAACGGCACTCAACCTCACGACAAGGTGGAGGATTGATGGCCCCTTGGATGTTGAGCGGCTCGCTCGAGCGTTTCAGCAGACTGTGGATCGTCATGAGGCATTGCGTACTTGTTTCTTCAAAATCTCGGGTCACTCTGAGGTCCAGCAGCACGTTACCAGTACCAGAGACTTTTTGCTTACCCGTGTGCAATCAACAGTGGAAACGGCCCTCGATGATGTGCAGGGGGTGTTCGACAGATTTAAGCAGTATGAGTATGACGTTGAAACAGGAGAGACCCTTCAAGCTACCCTAGTGTGCCATAACGCAGAATGGCATACCTTGGTTGTAGGATTTCACAACCTCGTCATTGATGTTGTCAGCATCTCGCTTATCTTGAGTGATATTGCTCACTTGTATCAATTTCCACCGTGGTCTCGGTATCCTACCTCTACCTCATACCTCGACTATACACATGAGCAAATGGAGGATGTGCAGACTGGACGTTTTGACGAGGATATTGAATACTGGGTCAAACATCTTGACCCATTGCCAGAGGCTCTCCCGTTGCTGCCGGTTGCAAAGGTCCAAACCAGACAGAGCAGTCGGGCATACAGACACCACTACAGTTCCAGAGAGCTGAGCAGCAGCTTCGTGCAAACCATTACAAAGATCGGTCAAGCTCACGGTGTCGCTCCAATGCAATTCTATCTTGCTGCCATGCAGGTCTTCCTCTCCCGCCTGTTGAACATCAATGACATGGTAATTGGCGTTCTACACACCGGCCGTGATCCTATAAGCAAATACAGGGAAACTGTCGGTCATCTGGCCTCAATCCTGCCAATTCGTTTCAAGGGACTACTGGACAAGACTTTCCCCGAGCTAATGACGGGCTCTCGAGAAAGCTTGCTCGATAGCCTCAGCCACGCAAGCATCCCGTTTGCTCTCATTGTGGAAAAGCTGAGACGTGGAGTAAGCGAAGGGAACATGCCGCTTATCCAGGTCGCCTACAATTACACAGTCGATGACAGTCTCCCGAGCGCTCTAGGTGAGTGTGCTATTGCCGTAGAGGAAGCGGATTTCACAACCGTGTACGACTTTGTCCTGGACGTGCGGCGATCGACTTCAGGCGGCCATGTCATTGGGATTACATGCACCGATGACTTTTACCCGGAGTCAGCCACCCAGTTTATCCTAGATACATTTATCGGTGTTCTTGACGGTTTGGTTCAGAAGCCCCTGACTGCTGTGAAGGACTGCAGACTATTCAGTGACACCCAGCTAGACCAGGCCAGAGCCATTGGGCACGCTCCTGCCATCGGGCGTTCTTGGCCGGGCACGTTGTCTGAAAGATTCGAACAGGTCGCTGCCGAGTTCTCAGATTCAGTTGCAATCAAGGATGGGGCCGAGGCGATAACATACGGCCAATTGAGAGAAAAGGTCGAGCTTTATGCCAGCATTTTGGTCGAGGCAAAGATCACAAGTCAAACTCGAGTGGCGGTGTTCTGCAAGCCCAGTATTGACCTGTACGCGACAATGCTGGCTATCTTCCGGATCAAGGCTGTCTTTGTTCCTCTGGATATCAGCGTCCCCGCCACCCGACGGAACGACATGATCAAGGCATGTAAGCCCCATGCATTGGTCTTTCATGCAGCCACTGCCCAAGCTGTAGCGGAGAACCACATAAATTCAGGCAGCGAGATCACGCCTCTCAATATAACTCAACTAGCCCGAGTCCACCAACGGGGTTCTATTGCTCTGTCCGAGCAGTCACCTTCCGATCCCGGATCTGATAGCCACATTCTCTTCACGAGTGGATCTACCGGCGTACCTAAAGGCATCAAGCTTCACCAGAGGGGTATCATGAACCTCGCTGCCATTCTGAGCGAACGAAATGGATTTAGGCCGATCAGAGTACTGCAACAAACTTCCATCGGATTCGATGTGTCGTTCTCGCAAATCTACAGCGCCTTCGCCAATGGGGGCACCCTTGTGGTCGCTCCGTTTGAGAGCCGCGGCGACCCAGATATGCTTTCCAGGCTCATACTTGACGAGGGGATTGAGTTTACAATGTGTACTCCGTCGGAATACAACCTCCTTCTTACCTATGCGCCAGATCGTCTACGACAATGTACTGATTGGCGCTTTGCGGGGGCAGGAGGGGAGGTGCTCACTGATCGGGTCGTCGAAGGCCTACGCGATTTGAACCTGCCAAATTTGAAGCTGAGTAACTGGTACGGACCTACTGAGGTTACTGTTGCTACAAGTCAAGATATCCCCTTCTATGATGACATTCATCAGGGCAAGAACAGGATAGGCTCCAACATTGGTCATGTCGCACCGAACAACTCGATTTACATCACCAGTGAGGATGACGGTAAATTGCTACCAATAGGCATCCCAGGGGAGATTTGCGTTGCAGGCATCATGGTAGCCAACGGGTACCTTGACTCGACCCTGAATAAGGGTTTCTTTGTCGACAACCCATTTGCTACTGCTCGGGAAGTACAACAGGGGGTTGCAAGAATATACAAAACCGGAGACAGAGGATATCTTCAAGAAGATGGATCTATCATTTTTCTCGGTCGAACTAAACGCGGCAGTACAGTTATCAAGCTTCGGGGTCTGCGAATCGACCTGAATGAGGTGACTGGTGCTGTTTTGAATGCAGCATCTGACTACTTAGCAGACGCTGCTGTCACGGTCCGCGGCGAGCCACAGTTTCTAGTGTGCCATGTGGCTTTCAAGTCTGGAAAGAACCTGGAGTATCCGCACCTCATAGAGCTTCTGCAAACGCTCCCACTTCCGAGGTACATGATCCCAGCCACTATTGTGGTGTTGGATCGTCTACCAATGGTGCCAAACGGAAAGCTAGATCTCGAGCTTTTGAAAAGTTTGCCTCTTCCTACAACTGAAGCTTCATCGGTGCACACGCAAACACAAGTCCTTGCTCCAAATAGGAAAGCCCTGACCCCCATGGAAGAAAGACTTCGCGCGCTTTGGGTTGATGTCATTGGAGTAGTCGCAGATGCGGCTGACATTGATGCGCACTCTTCCTTCCTAGCAGTAGGAGGAAACTCTTTTCTTTTGGTTCAGCTGCAGTATACTATTGGCCGCCTGTTTGGGGTGAAGATTTCTCTCTCGCAACTGGGCCAGGCAGCGGACCTGAGAGATATGGCGGCGTTGATTGAGAAGACGCGGTGAGCGTCAACACAGGGTTTGAGGGGTTGACGTTGCTTCCTAGTTCGACATCATGTTATTTCCATAGTGTGTAAACTGTTTAAATACAGCGCTTTTCATATCTTCTATTCCTATTTTCCTTTTTTATGCCTCGTAAATATCTCTCGGCTCATAAATTGGTCGAAAGGCGACTCGTCATCATTTCTCCCCTTGCCCCGATAGCTTCAAGCCTTTCAGGAATACGACAATCATTTAAACGCTGGCATTCATAGACTTCATACCGAGAGGCTTAATTTATTCCCTACGCGTTCTAGGTTTTTTTCACGTGAAATAGAACTTACATGTCCAATGGTCCAAAGCCAGCCCCCCTTTGTTTACGTTGTAGATATTCGAATGTCTGAGGCACTGAGCCAAGCATTGTAGACCTCTTTAAATCACTTCTCGACTTCTCATAGATTCTTCGTAATCATCCCATTCGTTTCATTGAGTGCTTAGATCTGAATATCTTCGTTAAGTACTCCAAGACTCTTCCCTCAGATTCCCTATTGGATGGACCGGCAAGCAAAAGACGCCTGCCATATCTTACTGGTTGCTGGAATCAGAGGTTGAATAATGAAATACTGATCAGAATGAATATACGCAGTTAAGTGACAACGCTCTAACGTTTGGTAAAAAGAAAACGCTTCGTCTAGCGGTAAAGGGGTCAAAAAACACAAATCCTCGTCAGATTGAGACATTCGGTGGTCAGCCTTGTAACGAAATAAGATATGACTTGGAAACATTAACAGATGGGAGAATATTAGCGATGCAATGAACTAGTTACTTTACTTCTTTGACATCTCCTGTCCTTGTATCCCACAGATCAAGGTTATTATATATTCCCGGGCAAGGAGGTTCCTCCCGCACGTTCAAAGACTTTCCTCTTGAAGGAGAATATATCCTGGACAATGTCATTACTCTAATTTTGCTTCATCGTTCCAAGCGTCAAGCTTCTCTTTGCCCTATTTTGCTAGAAGTAAAATCAGTGGAACTTGATAGCCAGTCTCTTGGCGTTCATTGATCCTTAGCACATTGATTGCCGCCCACCCCAAGCACACCCAAAAACTCAATCCTATAGGCTCTACACCCACGGCGCTTCCATGATGCACAGCTTGCACAATTTTTTATTTTTGTTTCGACCTCAAAGCCTTGCAACGCTTCTCTTCCCCGCTTGATATGCAAACCAGGCACCTAAGGTCCCGGCCGCAGTGTCTAACTATTGGGTTGGCGGCACGTTCCGCGGGTCGCTCGGCCGTGAAACGGGCAGAGCAGGCCAGACACCTGAGTTCACGCTAAATCAGTAAGTTGACTGCGGCATCGGTCGAAGGATTCCGGCCCTGGAGATTGCCAAGACGCTTAGGTATTTTTAATTTCAGTGGCGGTTAGCCGGTTCGAGAGGGGGTGTTACCTATCTTTGCTGATCCTTTCCTAGGTTGTTGTGTTAGTTTATGTGGAAGCAATAACAAAAGGATGCCCTGTTAAAGGGCTGCATTATGGTTGTTTTTTTCTTAGGCCTCAATCACCCTGATCAAAGCGGAAGGGAAGTTCAGATTCACGGGATAGGGCCTGATGATCAATGGTTCAAAGTTTGGTAGGAGGCATAACCTACTTGATCTTCGCGCTGCTTTGCTGCTCCTTGCATATCCGAACGAACTCCGCCGCCAAAAGCCATCCCCTGCACGTTGTAACGCCGCTAGGAATATAGGCGCCCTTATCGTATTTCAGCTACATGGATGGCAGTACCCATCCCATCAAGGGGGGAATCGGCTGCGCCCTGCGTCCGAAGTACATACACATTGGCGTAGTAGGCGGGAGCAATGCCCCAATAAAAGGCTCAGCCGGAATGATAGCCCAGTTTCTATGTCATTCACCTGACGGAAGACCCGGAGAAACACAAATGGGACCAATAACAAATTCAACAAGAATTAGAAATGCGCCAGAGCCAGTAACTGGGCCCCGCGCTGCCCTCCAAAGTACGGCGGTTACGATCCCTCTCCACGCCAATGGAAATCAGCCTGTAGTGGTCGATCCCTGTATCTCCTGTATGGCTTTCAGCAATCAATTATTGGGGAAGCGGCTTCCTTGTCCACCCCATCAGGAGCAATCTGCTCATATGTAGCCGTCCTCTTTCCACTTTTTTCAGTCCTGACATTCCCAAAATTCGTCTTGTTTCACGTCACAACATGTGGAAACAATCTAAACATCGCTCTTTTAACAGGTTCCTAGCACCATCCCTAGGGATTGTTTTTCTCTTCTCTATACATCTCCTATGGCTGAGCCCTGTTGCTCAAGCGCCACTTCCCGTCTCTCAGGATAATCTCTGGCGAAACCTGCACGCCTTGTTCGAGAAGCATGCACCGCAATGCTCGTCTCCCAATTTACTTGGCCGCAGCGCTGGAATACCTCGATTCGATGCAAATGATGAGTCCTCTCGGATAGACCTTATAGTCAACTCCGACGAGCTTCAACAGCCGCTGCAGGCTGCGCACGACGGGTTCGTGCGCGACATGGAGCCGCTCAAGGCCGTTCGTGCATACCATCCCCGAACCAAAGGAATTGTGTCCTCAGCGGGAGGAAAGTACCTGCCCACGTTCCTGGTGACACTGCGCATGCTACGCCGGACAGGATCGAAACTGCCCGTGGAACTTTTCGTCAAGGACTGGGAGGAGTACGAGCCGTATATTTGCGAGATTGTACTACCGCCACTGAATGCAAGATGTCTCGTCTTGTCAGAGATGTTGTCAACTATAGACGGTGGTGATGCCAGTTATTCAATCGAGGGGTACCAAATCAAGTCCTTCGCCATCCTGTTCTCCTCGTTCGAAAAACTCATCTGGATGGACGCCGATATCATCCCTCTCCATGACCCAGCTCAACTTCTCGAATGCGAACCTTTCTCTTCGTCCGGCCTTGTCACTTGGCCGGATTTCTGGAAGAACACCGCCTCCCCTCTCTACTTTAACATATCTCGACAACCCGAACCCCCTATCAACGCTCGCCAAGCGACAGAAGCAGGCGCAGTACTCGTCTCGAAAAAGACCCACTACATGACCCTCATCCTCGCCGCCTACTACAACTACCACGGTCCATCTTATTACTACCCTCTTCTCGACCAAGGCGCCCCGGGCGAAGGCGACAAAGACACATTCATCCATGCGGCCACAGCTCTCGGCCAAAAATACTACACCGTCAGTGAGCCGGTCGCAGATCTTGGTCACCCCGATCGCTGGAATCGGGGCACCATTGGCGCCGCTATGTTGCAGGCTGATCCAATGGAAGACTATGCGCTCACGCGTCATGGCAAATGGCGGGTGAGAGACCCGTCTGTGGCAAAGCCCGCCCGTGCCTTTTTTGTCCATTCATATGATCCCAAATTCAATGCTGCTACGTTGTTGGCAAGTGAGAAGACACGGACTAAGAAGGGGGATCCGAGTAGGTTGTGGACGAGCTCAAAGGAGGCGTTGGAACGCTTTGGGTACGATGCTGAGAGGAGGGTATGGCAGGAAGTGAAGACGGTAAGCTGTACCTTGGAGCATGCGTTTGATGCTTGGAAGACAAAGTCAGGGCTTTGTGAAGGCGTTCAGAAGCATTGGGACGCTGTGTTTGAGGACGCGTCGGCGGAGGTTCCCAAATTTACGATGGACTGATTTCTGCATGGGTTGTTCTATGTTGTACTGTACATAGTTGCGAAGGAGGGCTGGCTCCCATTCCTTTTCGATGACTAGTATCATTCTGTTGCGCTTTTGTCTTGACTGATCAACCAGTTATGTAGGTCTTAGCGACCCCGTTTGGCAAATATGACTTGGACAACTTTTACAATAACAAGCGAATTTAAGTCAATATTTAACTGAACTACATTATTACGTTTCTTTCTGTAAATCCTTTTTCACACACATATACGTTCAATCTCAAAATCACCATGTTGTTCACCTTGCTATCCCGGGCTGCTCTACGGAGTTGACTACTGGAGAGAGAAGGTTATATTCAAGAGAACACATCTGGAGGCCGGTTACCCATTATTAAGATATCACAATCACCAAGTATAGTGCCTGTACTCCAATAAATTAAAAGGAAAATCCAAGTAATCGGGATCATCAGGCTCGCAGCATTGGGCTGGTCGCTGAGCCGGAACTCCGCCGAACTACGCTACCGCCAAGGATCGCGTCCCTGTGTCCTGTCTTTGGTGTGCAATGTCATAGCACCAGTGGCTTGGGGGTTGATCGGCAATGTAGGGTGTTTTGGTCATATGAGGTCGCGCGACTCGGAAAGCCAAAGGCCCTTCCAATTTGGTTTATGCCTGCATGTTTCCTATTGTATGCGCCAGCTATATTTGGCCATGGCGATTACAATATATTCCAAACTCCAACGCTGACTATTTATGGACCCTACAGGGCTCTTCCAAGCCCGAACTCTTGCGACCTGGGCGGTTGGGTCTATCATTATCAGCCATACATAAGTCGGAGTGTGTAGCAGGGGTGATGGTGTAATATCCCCTCGTTAGCTTTGCGCCCAGTCATGGGACTAACAAAAGGGAAAAAGGAAAACTGTCAGCCTTTCGATTCCCAATCTATCAATTCTTTGATGTGAACAAGCACTGTGGATATTTCTCTTTGATTTATCTTCCATTTATATATATCCGTGGACGGGCAGATGGCAAACCTGGCGGAAAAGGTACATGTGAGTCTATGGAAGCAATGTCCAGGTTTTTACGGTGTACGTTTAGGAGCGAATTCTATGCCACACTGTGTGCGAATCATTCAAAATACAACTAAAAGCAGGGTCGATTCAAGGGGGGCGTTGCGTCAGCCTCGCTCATGGCCTGGCCATCCAACAGTAACCCCTCACGAACTGTCAACCCAGGTTTATTGCTCCTTATCCTAAAATTAAGAGTGGGGCCGTAAGATGGGCTCCATTAACCCACCTGTGATCATTGGTGACCCCAATGCACGCCCAGACACATCATGGCCCACCGCTGGCTGCGCCGCTGAGAGCCGGCGTCTATCCAAGATCACCTTAGCCTTGTATGGAGGAGAAAAGTCCCTTGCCGCGACTGATTTGCTGCCTTATGCAGCTGGCATCAACGTCGCCCGAGTTGGTGCCTGAGCACGTGACCCTGACACCTGATAGAAAAGCACTTCTGGACTCTGCACTCCGGCGTACTGACCATGTGACCGGCGGGATGAAAGATCGGGCGCCGTCACGTGTTTCAGGAGTTCTTTGATTGCGAAAAGTGATTTGAAACATCATGTTCTACTTTGTCTGAGAATATCAAAAGAACTCTCAAAATGTATCAATGACCATTCTTCCTTGTGAGGCCAACCTTTCTAGCGCTGCAGATATCTTCTGGCCGCGCTCAGTATGAAACGCAAAGCGGACGAAGAACCGTCAGGATCGGACTCGCATCCTGCAAAACAACAAGTTCCTGAGCGGGACACTGTCCCCCTTCCACTGATACAGGAAAATTTGTCTCTTTTAGAGCTAGAAACAAGGGGCCCGAAAATCAATCTGTTCTCGGGCCCCGAGGCAAGGTACCGGGGACAAGGTGCCCCGTGGAGTCCGTCCGCGGCTAGGAATGCGACAAGACTTCCGGGCAATGTGCCCAATATACCTTTATCAATATCGTCATTGTCGAGTACGAGGTCATCCTCGCCGTCCCTGCAGAAGCAACGGCCCTTCTCTAAACCAAATGACTCGACATATCGCACTAGCACGTTGTTTCGCGCCAGTATCTTCGTTGACACGGAGATGCCGAGAAGCGTCCGAGACTTAGTCAGTAACGTGTTAGATGTATCAGAGCCTTTGTCTATGGAGATAAAAGTCCTGGCATCGAAGATTCAGCGTGAGTCGGTAGAGTTGGCCGCTTTGCAAGCGGGCAAAGCCGAATGGACTGAGATCTTCCACGACGCGATCAAGGATCTAAAATCTACCGATCTTTTGTCGGTACGGAATAGAGGTGAGACATGCACTCGGCTTCCATTCGTTCGACATTGAAAACTAACTATCTGCCCAAAGACTGGCGTGATGATGTTACGCCCGAAGTCCACCAGCCTGCGGACACAGTTCTCCCTGTCTGGGGCGAATCCGCTCCTCCTTCATCTTCGGGACAGTATCTTGGGAACACATTCTCCTTGAGGACCCCTAGACCCGATGTGTCCGTCGGAATGACTGATGCATCTCTAGCGTCGGTACTACGACCTGCCAGAGGTGACAATGCTCGTTTCTTTCTCAATGATCTCCAAGACACCGAAGCTCTCATCAGCGATCCCGGTCTGACTCGGTTGCACTTATGCTTTCCCTTCTTTGTCATCGAAACCAAATCAGGCGCAGCGGGTGGCAATCTCTATCAAGCCCAAAATCAGTCCGCCGTGAGCGGTGCCTCGGCGATTAACATCCTGAAGGGCATTACCGAGCTCTATGAGCTGGAATATCCCAAGCGGCATGGCGGCAAGGAGGCACATTCTACCGTTGACCTTCCACTACTGGCTTTTTCCATGACCACGGAAGGTCCCGTTTGTGAAATCTGGGCCCATTTCTGGGACACATCTAAGAAGGGGTATTGCATGACGAACATGGGAATCTGGCGAACGACAAGCGAGGCTGGTGCTCTCGAGGTTGTGTCGAGAATGTCCCGCATTCTGAGGTGGGGCTCAGCTGGTCTCAGGAATGCTATTGCCGAACGACTCTCTAACTTATACAAGATCTGGTCGTGATCTCGCGGTGACAGTACCTGTCGGTTTGACTACAGGACGACATAGAGGCCTCTTATTTGCACGACATCCTTCAAGGGCTGATAGTCTGCTACATCGCAAGGAACTATACAGGCTCTCGAGGTGCCCCTCCGAAACTCTTGCTGGCAACGCTTTTGAGGCATCCATAGCTAGTTCCGCCTTCCTTCTTGATATACTCAATACCCTATGTGTTGTTGGATGTCATTGACTTTATGGGTAACTTGGTATCCCCGCTCCGAGGTTTTTTTTTTTGGCTATACCTGAAGTTATCTTGCTCTTTCGGTAACTCTACACGGCCTGTCGGCCGCCGAAGACCAGGCACTAGGTCATTATATCTTCCTTGGGAAAAGCACTACATTGAATGGATACAAATATAATTCTGCTGGTATGTATGTACATGAAATCTATCACCCACTAAGCCGCATTAAATAGCCATCAACGACTACAATTACATCATGAGACGACTGCACCCTGGCAAAAGCCACCTCTCAAGCACCACGTCATCGCGTTATGACTCATCCAACCTGGGATATCGATAAATTCGATCGTTGCTTGTAGGTGCTACGACCTTAGCAATATCAATGATCAGGCCCTGCTAGCTCGTAGGGTGGATGGCGAATAGCTAGTTCGTAGGGGCCGCGGCGTCCGTTTAGCTCGTACACTCCTTCAGCATGTTTGACACGGATTCCTGGATAGACGTGTGCCATTTGGCCTTGCTCCAACGCATTGCGCCGCCGTCGCCTCGTGATGAAGACCCATGCCAGTACACCCAGCAGCACGCCGGCTGCCGCGCAACCAACCGCAATCCCGACTACAGCCCCGGTGGAAATACCATTGTCGTTGCTATCGTCACTTTTCGACGATGGCGTTGGAACGGGGGTAGCAGAGCTCGAGGTTATGGGGATCGGAGTCCAGTAGTTAGCCCAGGTTTCTTCCCAGTTATTGGTTGTCCCAGGAATCGTCATATCCTTTTCCATAATATTCGTTAATTTGTTGGTCGTGAAGTAATTCGGGCCCGGTGCCTGTGCGAGGATCCAATTCCCAATGCGACCACCCCAACTCCAGTTCGCAGCCATGAAAGCAGCCTGAAGAAACGCGCGGCCTAGCGCCGGTGTGCCGTCAGTCCCCATACAGGGGAAATAAAGCGTTGGGTTTTTGACAAGCGGTGCTTCCAATGTCAGATTTAGGAGCGCGAATGGGACTTTGATTGTAATATTGGCACTGTTCAGGCTATTTTTGTTGAATTCGAAGCTCAGATAGGAGGGTGACTTGATTATTTGTTCGTAACGAGGGTCCGAGGTATTCCAGAGGTATAATCCAAGGTCCGAGTCGTATGTAGTTGGAAGCTCCGAGGTAATCGCATCGCAAGAGCTCTTAGGGAGATAGAGATAGGGATCCCCAGGACTAGCCATCACCGTAATTCCCTGATGTAAGGAAGAGTTGCCCTTCTCCAGAAGGCCTGTTTTATTGAAATAGTTCCATGGTGAGCCACCGCTGGCCACGCCAATTCCAACATCGAGGAGCTTGATAGGGAACTTGCCCCCGGAGTATGGCTGCGCGGACGTTTCCCCGACAATTCGATTGCCATCATAGCCTCCGAGCATCAATGAGCCCGGGATTCGCAATGGTGCAGAGCCAATATGCATGCCGAAAGAATACGACGAAGCCATCTTTGCGGTAAACACGTGACTGTTGATGAATGTTGCATTGATACTGACCCCATCGCCTCGGGTGAACGTTTGATTGAACTCCGGACAACCAAGCGACAGGACCCCGACTTCCAATGGGTAATTCTGCCCACCGGGATATGTCTGATATGCCTGCGACACCGCAAGGAGATCCACATCATAAACCGAGTCCCCGCCAAGGTCTATTGTATCCATTGCGCGCTCTACCCTGGCCTTCACTGGCACAGCATCTGCAGCCCCCAGTTCGAAGTCACTCCATGTGTCTGCCTTTGGCGGGATGTTGATGGAGGTATTGTCCCAGGTATTGGATTCTTCGGTGTTGAAAAGCCCGGCGTCGTCGGCGTAGCAGACAGACGAAAGGCTAGTGTTGGCGCAAAGGGACTTGACGAGGATTCGGCTCTCCCACGTTCCTCCTGGGTATAAGGCAATCTTTTGGCTGGCGCTGCCTATGCCAACGGAGACGGCCTGCCACGGTCCATCGGGGCCGTAGCTTTTGTCCGACCAAGTCATCACGTATGGCGCTGGCGGCCTGGCCGCAGCTACCAGCTCAAGGTAACGAAGGAATGGCGCGAGTGCCAACAAGCGAAGCAAAGGACACTGCATGGTAAGGAGTGATCGCATTGCAGGCACTGCGGAATGGGAAGGTCCGTTTGATGAGTAGCGAAAGAAAATTTGCAGATCTCATCTCACCGAGCAAGGTCGGGCGGGGACGCAGGAGTGTTTGAGGAACAGGAAACCCCTAGGCTAGATGGAGGCGAGCGGTGCTGCATTGGTAAGGGTTAAATCGTTGGCGAAGTTGGTCGCTAACAGGGATTATCGACAGTTTCAACCCAGCATGGGGCTAACAAATCATCGGCTGTGTATGTATGTCTCGGGCAGCTGCACGAATGAACACACGGCTATAACCGCGGAGGCTATTTTCCCCTAGCGTAGGTACACCGGTGCAGGTCCCTCACGACAAAAAAAAAGGGACAACTAATCTTACTATTTCTTACGCTAAAACACTAGCTTACTTTCATCAGCCGCCGGCCCCTCGGCTGCTTGACTCCTGTTCTCACGAAGAGTAGACCTCGATGAAGGAACATCCTACCTAATGTGCTTGGCCTGGCCTGCATGCGTTAGTTATTGATTAAGTGGCTGAAACCTGTTATACTCAAGTTAATAGCTGCTCTAGGTTTGCTGTGCAATTAATACGTTATGCTAAGGTCCGTACACTTCTTCTACCCTAATATTGATATCTTTTGATGGAAAGCCTTCGCCGATTTTGCTTGTCCTGGCCAAATGCTATAGCCTGAAAAAGACTAGTTCACGCTACAGATGAGTAACTTCCTGTCACTCTCCCTGTCTCTTACTGGGTTTTACAAGGCCAATATAGTTCTGTTTCCAGCAAAAGCTGCTGTTAAGGATGGTATAAAAGCCGAAGTGGTCGGTGGTAGGATACAGCTACTGAAAACATGTACATAAAGCGAGAAGAGTAACTGTGAAGAAGGGGCCGGGGGGGGTCACCCACTCCCACCGACCCTATGCAGTTTTCCTCCTCAAGATAGCGATATATACCAACCGACCATGACCGAAGTGGAGTAGTAATGTCATTGTTATATGTTATGACTGCACGCGTAATTACCAGTAGTCCAACCCCAGCCTATACCTCAAGCTCTGTATCACTGTCATATCCTCCAACTGTATTAAGATGTTAATTCTTTGTTAGAAAGTTGCTGGACTCCCGAAGTCTTCTTGATCTCTCTGCTGCATATAGTGTATCAGAATGACCAGAATGGGCTGAATTCATAGGAAAGATCAATAACCTCATGAAGTATATAAGAACGGCCAATAACCATGCTATAGTCCGATATATACCCCTGTAGCCTATGAATAGGACTGAGACATTATATTGATCTTCAATAATGGAACGTATATAATGAATACCCTAGTAAACTAAATCTAGTTTTAACCCTCCATTTTATCTAAACTACTTGACCTTAACATAAAACATCTTAAGACAAACGTACATCACCCATACTCCCTTGATACGTATTTATATAAAGGTTAATGTGTAGAGCTACCTGAAAGTTTTATAGACCTGTAGCTAGATAATTCTCGTCTCGGAGAATGGCCATCCTGTTAGTTTAACCTTTTTTCTACTATTCTATTTCAGACATGTCTTGCATAACGGAACAAAAGCCGCTCGCTCTACACTATCATGTTAATTGTTAGGTTCTTAACTTTTCCGGGTAGTTCTACGGTCTCACCGTATTGCTATTGCCTTACTCGATAAGTCTATTACGAAATACACTGGCCTTTATGCGTACAGGCGTTAGCAGATATCTCTTACGGCAGACATGAGCTAGGTGATTGGTTGAGCGTGCGACTCACGTTGCCTCGCTGAGCTTAAATTAATCCTCTCTATCACAACTGTCTCGGGATGTGATGTTCACTTCCAGCTCAAGCGATCCTAGAGGCGCAACCGGCCCTGAAATGATGAGACGACAAAGAAGTATCCAAGTGTCTAGGTTGTGGTTCTGGTTTGAGGGTTTTCCCTTTATTTCATTTGCATTTTTCTCTTCCCCCCTTTGTCTTTCCTTCGTGTTGCTACGGTTCATTCCACCTAGGCCCTCGCTACCTTGGTTGACCTCTTGGCATCTTCCTACCTCTCCTGTTTTCATTGTTTCCATCTGCAGCCAGAGAAACAATCTTTGTTGTGAGGAGCTTTTCGAAGCACATCGGCCGAACTAGGGGTGAGATCCATGCTCGTGGTCTTGGTCATTGGGATTGTCTAGGTCTCTAGGTACAACCAAGCATACGAACCTCTATAGGCCAAATGACATACTGCTAATAACGAACAATGAACTATCTATCTGGTGCTGATCGAGCGACCAAGCACCCCTTTGTTGCTGGTTCCCACGGTTCCTCCGCCAGTTGAATTCCCACAAAACGCCTGAACTCATTATAATTAGTCTGCCACTGGTAACCACAGTCATGCTCGCGGGCTTCCCCACGCTCTATTACTGTATTTAAGATATCATCCTGCCCGGTCCTTTCATCCAAATACACTCCTGAGCCCCGAACGCCCGCTCGGGAGGAGTGAGGGACCATGTCCCCACAATTGTTAGCCCCAAGAATTAAGAGGATGATATCTGTCGTTTCTGTCTCTCTCCTGATCGTGGTAATTTTTCTTTTTTTGCCCTTCAACTGTGTGTATCATCTTCGTGGTCAATCTTCACCCATAGTAAAGGGCGATTCCCAACCCATCGACTGGTCTCGTTTCGCCTACGTGCAATATGTCACCAACACGCCCTACTTGTGTAACTCAGTCATGCTCTTTGAAGCCTTGCATCGCCTAGGTAGCAAACCTGATCGTTTAATGATGTACCCTTCTAGATTTTTGGAGGATGCGCAGAACAGTTCAACCGAGAGCCGGCTGCTCCGAAAAGCACGAGACGAATATGAAGTGAAACTGATGCCAATAGAGGTGCAAAGTCGAGACAGTGGTGATGGTGAGTCTTGCATCGCGCATATTCTGCTCCCAAAGATGTGTAGCCTAGCTGCCGTGGCAACTTTTAGCCCGATGCTTAACTCCGACAACTAATAGCGAGTCCAGCTACCTGGGCTGAGAGCTATACTAAGCTTCTCGCTTTCAACCAAACACAATACGATCGAGTGCTGGGCTTAGACTCGGACGCCACCATCTTGCAAGTCAGTGGCTCCTTCAAAATCTCGTGACCATTTCCTATCGCTGATGCCGTACCCCAGACCATGGATGAGCTCTTCCTCTCTCCGCCGTCCCCCGTGGCGATGCCACGAGCCTACTGGCTGAATTTCAACGATCGGCTTCTCAGCTCGCAACTCATCCTCGTCCAGCCTTCGGACTTCGAATTCACCCGTATAATGAAGGCAATTTCGGAAGCAAGAAATACCGAGTATGACATGGAGATCCTAAACAATCTATACCGCGACAGTGCCCTCATCATTCCCCATCGACCGTATGATCTCTTGACGGGGGAATTCAGGTCCAGAAAGCATACAGATTATCTGGGAAATCCCCTTGAGCCGTGGGATCCGGTTAAGGTGTTTCAAGAAGCTAAGTTCCTCCACTTCTCGGACTGGCCCGTCCCCAAGGTAATATTCTTACTGCATATTCCTTCCCGTATCCTTTTTGGATTCACTATAGCGCTAACACTCTTTTCCCTAGCCTTGGACTGCTGCCAGTCCGGCCACTATTGAAGATAAACAACCTACATGTGACTTAAACCCCAAAACAGGAATAGAGGACGATTGTCGGGCTCGAGAAATTTGGCGAGAGGTGTACGCTGACTTTGTAGTGCGACGTAAGGTTTGTCAGCCCTTCTGAAGGACGTCCGCGTGGCCTAATGCAGAAACTCACTAACAGTGACCAGAATATATGCGACATGGAGGTTAAGAGGAAGAGAACTAATTTTCCCACTCGGCGGCCTCTGCCACCCGACCCTTACGAACCCATTCTATAACATCCCCCTTCTTCTTTCAATTCCAGTATCTGCTTTTGATCAAACGCGATGATGGTGTCAACGCTCATATATTAATGTGTACATGGGTATCTGCTATTCTCGTCGGATTGTATCTACAAGGTTCATAGACAGCGCACGCTCTTTTCTACTGCCGTCCTTCTAACTCTTGTTTCTTCACACAGAATGCCCTGTTTAGTTTTCTTAGGCAATGGTTCTGCGCCCTGATTCGCATCTTTTTTAGCCTATCAGGCGACAATCTGTGCTAACGCTTTCAACAACTAATAGACTATCTTTGACCATATACATGATGTATGCCTTGCCTTTTCTCAGTATCTATCTATGCCGTCTTAACATCTTTGGGCCTTTGGGAAAGTTATTCAACTCGAAGAACTTCTAATTTCAACTGATTTTCAATTATTATGCAAACATTCAACACAATTTTCGAAAATGATTCTCTTCATCGAGATCAGTTTCCTTATAGTTGGGTTAGAATGTAGAAGTCCAATCCCAGCTTTTCTTTCCTAAAGACGAGATAGGATTGAGATGTCAACTTCTAAATACTAAGAAATGCCACGTTTGTTCAGAAAGATACTGGCAAACATTGTCAACATAAGTGCAGGTAAGAATGAGATGCGTGAATGAGAAGGCTTTCATAAAACTTACCATCTACAACAGCATTTCAACGTCTTTACTATTGATATATTGATAAGTCTTTCATGAGAAGGCTCTACGTTTTACATTATTGCTGGGACACGTTGAAGAGTATACAGTGATCACGCGTGTAAGTGTGCGCCTGGCTGTCGAATACACAGACACAATCTGAATCCCTTTTTCCTGTTCTCGACGATACCTGGTGGCGATGAAGGACTCTTGCACTAATAAAACCCGACCTGTATTGTCATTTCGAATAATCACTCGCTTCAGCACACCCTTTGTTCCAAATGTTCCATAATGTCTTGTTCTGCTCTAACAAGTATCCGGACCGTCCCGTAAAAACAGGAATAGAGGATGAACTTTTTGTGAATCTTCCGCTTAAATATGAGGAAAGACAATTGCCCGGGGTAATTGCAATGTAGTATATAAAGACGCCAATCCCGCTCAATAATGGAGGGTCTAACCATTCATCCGCCTTAAACTCTTTCAAATGACCACCTTGAATCAATACATGTCTTCACGGCTGCTCAAGAGATCGACTCGAGGTTTCATAAAAAACACTTTGCCATTAGCTTCTAGTTCATTCAGACCTGGTGTCTTCGAAGGGAGTTTCAAGCAAAGCTGTGCCCAAACAACATGATCTCTATGCTGAGGGCCACTCAAGATGCCTCCGAGGAGGCAACCCGTCCAACCCACATCAACGTTACTGCCACAGCCTCATCAACCATTCTCCATAAGCACAACAGCGGGGCTCCTTTTACCATCACTCTCACGGCTGTCTTGCCCATCATTCCCAACCAAGTTAACAAGCCTTTTACAGTGTTCATCCACGACACCCTGCTCGACCCAAAAAGTATGGTATTCTTCCAGAATGGCCTTGAGCTGGTGAAATCCGAATCTGTTGATCATCCGAATCAGCCAAAGGCAAGACTGGGTCAGTCTAGTGTATATTCCTCCGAGGGCTCCTGCACCGTCGATCGTGAGAATGAGCAACATTTTGTGACACTTCAGCCAGGCGTACCTTACCGAGTGACTCATACCATGAAAGTTCGGCCAAAGTTCTCAATGAATAACGCACATGACAAGGTGCCGTGGGTGTCGCCGTTCGGACATACTCACGGGCTCAACGTTGGCGCGACTTATCAGGTCGAATTGGGTGATGGCATGAGCCATATTAAGTGGTTTCGACGCGGAAAAAAGGAAGAGGTACTCAGCGGGTATGAGGGTTTCTGGGACTATTTTTGGGATCTTACCTGCTTGAGGAGAAAGCCGAAAGAGCGGATAGGCGATTCGAATATGCGGCCTGTTCCGCTTGTGCTGCTGAACGAGGTTTCTGTTACGGTTGCATTTTAGGTAGCGACTGAGTGATGAATTCATGATTTTCATTCTCTAAGTATCCTTTAATACTACCTTGAATAGAATCAATTGTTTTTCCTATATATCTAACCTTCTTCAAGCTGGCCTTGGATACTTCTAATATACAATTTTTCTATTCTACCCAATCCCTTTACCATCCCGGTTATCTTCTATCTAATTCTTTCTTTCGTTCTATGTTTCAAAGAGGTATTGTCATCGTAATACTTGTATTTACCAACTGTAGTAAGACTCTTTAGTAGCTAATTACTTGCAGTACGTGATATCATAGGTATAGAATCACGATGTCGATTGGCTATCAACATCTTCATAGTTCCGCAAAAGCCAACGTATGGTCTCCAAAGATTTGTCTCATCTGAGAGTGGCATATTTTCCCTCTTGCAGACTTGGACTAATGCAAGCTGTCATTACATCTATCCTGTCGTACTGCTATTTTTTTCCCACCCAGTTTATCCGGGCAGCGGTGAGTAATATATATAGTAATCTCGGTCTGAAATTTGAATATTTATGAAGGAACCATGTCTCGCTAGTCAAACCTGTTGCAAACAACATTATGTTAACTAGGAGTCTATACGTAGAGTAAAACTGTTGAGCTTCGTTGCTTGCATAGTGACACACTGAGGGGTGAGGCACCAAGGCACCAAAGCACAAACATCATCTTCTTGGGCACAGAAGCCAGCGCCAATGGAAAGCGTTTAACTGCATCTTTCTGCCGCACAAAGGACCAGCAGATTAAATTTGATTGCTGGAGACTCCCTTCCGCCTCTCGGGCGCTAACCGCCAGCCGTGCCGTTATATCCGACTTCCCAGGCCAACAAAATTGCGTCTTTCAGGCCTCTCCGCATGCCATTTTTGGTTCCACTCGGCTGATAATAGAGAGCCTCCTTATCATCCAATCCTAGGCAAGAATGCGCGATGGGTTTTATTTTAGGCGGGTCTCTTCAAAATGGCACGAAACCGATGGGGAAGGCCCAAAAAAAATTGCTTCTCTTCGATTTTCTCCGCCCCCCCTGCCAACTGCGTTGGTTTATCGGAGAATAGCAGCCAGATGCACGTCGGTCTGGCTCTAACAGCAAAGACCCAGCTTTGAACTTAAGCTTCCATAAGGCTTTCTCTCCTAGGCGACCGTTCGACCGTGGTCGCCACTTTCTCGGCATAACGTTGTCGGGTACACGGGACTGTTGAAGCTCTTGCCGCCAAGGCGATAAGAGTCGAACAATAAAACGGCCATGAGCTGAAGTCCTGCGTTTAGAGAGAAAAAGTGTATTCCAGCGATGATGGAGAAAAACATAGAGAGCCAGACAAAGCTGCCTCAGGCAACAAGGACGCAATTGGAGCCATATACGGTGTTTACCAAATACCAAGTTTACTACATTGTGTTCACGGCATCATGGGCTGGTCTCTTTTCACCGATATCTGCGAATATTTATTTCCCCGCATTGAACACACTGGCCGAGGATTTGAATGTGTCAAGTTCACTTATCAATTTGACGGTGATGTCTTACATGGTACGTTGTTCAGCGTGGGTTCAATGGACAGCGTTAACAATTAGTAGATCTTTCAAGGTCTTGCGCCGATGTTCATCGGCGACTTTGCAGATGTCGTTGGCCGTCGGCCAGCTTACATGGCCTGTTTCGTCATCTACACCGCAGCGAACATCGGCCTGGCGTTGCAAAACAATTACGCTGCCTTGTTTGTTCTTCGCTGCATGCAGAGCTCAGGGAGTAGCGCCACCATCGCTTTATCGTCAGGCGTCGTTTCAGATATTGCGACGGCCGCCAAAAGAGGATCATACATTGGTCTGGTTACCGCAGGATCATTGCTTGGGCCTAGTCTGGGACCCGTCATTGGCGGTCTTCTGGCCCAGTACCTGGGATGGCGGGCTATTTTCTGGTTTCTTACTATCATGTCTGGTGTCTTCATGGTTCAGTTTGTTCTTTTCTTCCCGGAGACTAGTCGTCGGGTTGTTGGGAATGGATCTCTCATGCCACAGAAGTGGAATCTCTCAGTCATGGACTACATGAAGACCCGAAAACACGCAGAAACAACTAACACAGGCAGTCGACCTAAGTTCCGCGGCCCGAATCCGATTCAAGCTCTGCGAATCCTATTCGAGAAAGACACCTCCCTGCTCCTGTTCGTCAATGCGATCCTGTTTGCCGGATACTACGACATCACCGCCTCCCTACCCTCCCTTTTATCCGAGATCTACGGCTATAACGACCTCCAAGTCGGCCTTTGCTACATCTCCATCGGCACAGGCTGCTTTATCGCCGCCTACTCAAACGGCTATCTCCAAGACTGGAATTTCCGCCGCACAGCGCACAAACTGAACATTGAGCTTGTCGCGAACCGTCAAACAGATCTAACCTCTTTCCCGATCGAACGCGCCCGCGTGCAAGTCATGGTTCCACCGCTCGTTGTGGGCTGTGTTGCCGTCATCGCCTTCGGCTGGGCTGTGCATTACGAAACGCATATCGCCGCGCCGCTGGTGATTTTGTTCTTCTGTGGCTTGTGTCTGAGCATGGCATTCAACACTGTCAGCACGTTACTCATTGACTTTTATCCCGGGAAGGCAGCGACGGCGACCGCTGCGAATAATCTCTGTCGGTGTCTTTTGGGAGCGGGTGCTACGGCGCTGATTGTTCCAATGATCGATGGGATGGGGAGGCAGTGGTGTTTTACCTTCCTGGGGCTGGTTATGTTAGTTGGGTCTTTGCCCTTGGTGGTCATTGTGCGGTTAGGTCCGAAGTGGAGGGAGGAAAGGAGGTTGAGGGCCATGGGATGAGGCAGTGGTTTATACCAGGTGGTCATTAGAGGCGAGTGTTACATATTGCCCCGACCTGTCAAGACACCTAGACTTAGCATACTACCTCAAATAGAACATTCGAATCCCACCATTGTCCAAAGGAGCAAGAATTTACTCCGTAGAACAGATCGAAACGCGATGAGGTCACTGTGTTCTGGACCCGGCAGTCGCGCGAAACTGCCGGGCCCCTTGCATGCAGCCAGGAACGATCAATGATCGCATGACGTCATGGAGATCGACCAGATCTCGATCATAAAGACACCGTGAAAAGCCTGAACTTAATTGAAACTCCCCTCAGCCGCGTCAATTTCCCCCCAATTCCTACAAGATGAAGGGCAAAGCTGCCTCAAGTCCCGTAGTTCTCTACTGGCACCGCACCGACCTACGACTGCACGATTCGCCCGCCCTCCACGCAGCATTGAACCTCAAACCATCGATCTTCATCCCGGTCTGGACATGGGATCCGCACTACGTGTACCGGGCGCGCGTCGGGCCCAACCGGTGGAATTTTCTCATCCAATGCCAGAACGATTTGTCGAAGTCGTATACGAAACTGAACCCGAAACAGAAATTATGGGTTGTGCGTGAGGCGCCCCAGACTGTGCTCCCGAAGTTGTGGAAGCAGTGGGATGTAACGCATTTAGTGTTCGAGAAGGATACGGATGCGTATGCGCGGGATCGCGATGAGACGGTGATGCGGTTGGCTAAGGAGGCTGGCGTCGAGGTTGTTGTGAGGATGGGGAGGAATCTGTTTGATCCGGATGAAGTCGTGAAGAAAAATGGTGGGAAGCCGACGATGAGCATGAGTCAGATTGAGAAGGCTGTTGAAGGGATTAATAAGGGGAGGCCGGCTGAGGTGGTCGATACGCCGGAGAAAATTCCGGATGCGTGGGATGAGAAGAAGATGGATTTGAGTGGTCTGGAGCAGGATAGTGTTGATCCCGAACCGGATGTTAATCAGGAGTATCGAACCAAAAAGGATGAGCAGTATGTGAAGATCATGGGACCGAAAGATGACTTTGGAGTACCAACTTTGCATGAAATCGGGATCGATCCGTCACAGGTCACATCGCCCCATAAAGGAGGCGAGGCGGAGGCACTAAAGATTTTGGGCGACTACATCAGGGACGATGAGTACGTCGGGACATTTGAGAAACCGAAAACATCACCTGCCGCGTTCCAGCCACAATCAACTACTCTGCTTTCGCCCCACCTGCATTTCGGCAGTTTGTCTGTTCGCAAGTTCTGGTGGGATGTCCAATCCGTTCTGGAGGACCGATCAAAGCGAAAGAAGGCGAATGCGACGATACCGACAAACTTACCAGGACAGCTGCTATTTCGTGACATGTACTTCGCAGCACAAGCAGCTATTGGGCACGCCTTCTCGCGGACATACGGGAACAAGATTGTTAGATTCATTGACTGGCACCTTCAATCAACCGACATTGAGACATCTGGGAAAGAACAGCCAGCGAATAAGACCTACGCGGTAGATTCCGAGGAAGCAGAGATATGGTTCCACAGATGGAGAGAGGGCCGAACAGGCTTCCCGTGGATTGACGCCTTGATGCGCCAGCTCAAACAGGAGGGCTGGATACATCACCTAGGTAGACACAGTGTGGCCTGCTTTCTAACACGTGGAGGATGCTACGTGAGTTGGGAAAGGGGCGCAGAAGTGTTTCAGGAATGGTTGATTGATCGTAAGTGGAACTATCCTCTATTCGGACCAAGCATTTCTAACATACTCACAGATGAGGAAGCCTGCAATATCGGCAACTGGATGTGGCTTTCCTGCACCGCATTCTTCGCACAGTTCTACCGATGCTACTCGCCGGTCTCGTTTGGCAAGAAATGGGATCACGACGGGGAGCTGATTCGTCATTACGTGCCTGAGCTTTCAAAGTTCGATAAGAAGTATATCTATGAGCCATGGAAGGCTCCTATTGCTGACCAAAAGAAATGGGGATGCCGTGTTACAGGTGACGGGAGCGAGCCCGACAGTGATGGGATGAAGACATATCCCAAACCAATGTTTGATTTCGACGAGCAAAGACAGATATGCCTTGACAGTATGAAAAATGCATATAATATTGGACTGCACGGAGACGACACTCGTGTGAAGGACGGGTCGTGGAGAGAGGACTTCGAGGGGGGAGATGAGAAGGAGGATGGTACTGAGAATGACATACGGCAGGGCCGGGAAAAGAGACGGAAACTCTGAAAAAGTCGCGATTGTACTTAGACTCCAAGTGCTAATCCCCGTGACAAAAATGTTTTCTTTGGCGTCCTGACGAGGATAGATGTTGAAGAAGCGAGGTTGTGGATTGTCAATAATAGCATGGTAGTAACCGGATTGATGGGCCAGACACTAAGCGCAACCTGGGAATGGTTTACCAACGAGCTCACGCACTCGCAATAACATAGTGAACAAAGTGCCTTAGAAAGGTGGTACAAACCGAAGACCTCTGGCCAAACCTGCCTTGTCGAACGTTCGTCCGTAAGAGAAACCCCTTCTGTCGTGGAGCTGCGGAAAGTCATCGAGCTTCTCCCAAGTACGTAGGGGTCGAATGCATTTGTGGTCTTCGTTCAAGAGAAAGCCCAGCGTGAGAGATTGAAGATGTGGCATCCCAGTAGCAAGGAAATCGAATATCGGTGTCCAGTGCCCATCGAACACCAGGACGAAGGAAAGCTCAAGATGTATGATACTTGGGTTCATCACTAGGAACCATAGAAGGTCACGTTCGCGGTAAATTTGATCAAACAGATAGACGTGCTGCAGAGATGCAAATCCCATACATCGAACCATCTTTTCGAACACTTGTCGCGTTTGGTGGGGATTATACCCGTGAAATGTGCTCACCTTAAAGGAGCTAATTGTAGATAGATCAGGTTTGAATTTTGGGGTCGGGACATCAAGTATGTCTCCGCCGACAGTCAGGCTCGTTTCGAAATCTTGCCATCGATATTCATGATCCGGCGGCTCATCCACACCTACATGCGCTAACAGCTGGTATAAAGATGTCATCGAGGCGGGGGTTCCAAAGTCGAGAAAGGGTGCAACGACGAGTGTTGGAACAAGAGACGTATGCAGCGGGGAGTCTAGATAAACCTCGAACGAGTCCACAACAAGCCTGGCCTCAATAATTGCGGTTGCGGTGAGATAGTAAGTTCGGACTGTCTCTTCCCAGCGTCGTGAAAATTGAGATATGCCATGTTCATCAGTGCCGGAGCAGTCGGAGCAAGGGGTATTATTGCCTCCCCAGAAGGTGATCTTCCGGATGGATTTCAGCGCCTCGAATGTTTGAAGCAGGGAATTGAAAAAGCACCTGTTGAGATCGCTCTGCGCCCCTTCATCATCCCATGAATCATCTCCATTTGGATCAGCCTCTGCATCTTCTTGGCGGTTAGAATGGCGGGGTGGAAGTCTGGAGCTCCCCTCCAAGCTGCCATCAATATTGGAAGTTTCCCTCCCCCCACGACTAGGCATTACCCAAGTTCCACCGGTGGGCTCCCGCAAGTCGATTTTAGATGGTGATAACCAGCAATGGGCTTTTGTGGCCGGGTCAACATCCAGCGTCAAATTTTTAACCAATTTTCCCAGCCATGGGTGGGTTACCAACTTCTGAAGCTGCTGTATGCCATCGGTCGTCAGCTCTGCTCGGTAATGCTGAAAGCGTCTCTCGAAAGACCTACCGGAGCAAAGGTGGCTTACCGTTCTGTTGGCTAGCCTGAGCGCCTTATTTGTCTGACCATCAAGATAATGGACAATCATATCCCAGATCTCGAGAGGGAGAGACTCGCAGGACATTCTGACGAGAGGGTTTCACCGCTAGCAAGGAGCACTAGACCAAAGGCACTAGAGACAAATATGTATCATACACCCGGGCCATGAACCTTTTATAACACAGCATCCTCATAGACTCTATCAGCCTATCGTGCGGGAGGGGAACTGCCGACCTTGGGTAACGATCAATCAATCAATCGGAACATTCCCAATGGATATTTTATATCGGAAAATGCCCATTTTGATAGCACAGGCTCATTTGAGCTCAGTCCTATCTAGCTAAGATTGGAGAATGATATAGTGGTCTAACAATGCTAAGAAAGATAATGTATATGGATTTACTTTGCCCGGCTGCGGATCTAGCCACACATGAATCTAGGGAATTACAAACACATTGCTGCGAATGGTACTTATTCGAAGCTACATATAAGTTGTCTTACAAATCAACGACAAATAATGACCCTTTTCCATGTTACCCTTGCCGTAATCCCTATTACGTTCGATAAAGGTCTAGGGTCGTAATTTGGATCTCATGCAAGAAAATACTGTCTGTCCGATTGGTCCATGAAAGTCTCGTCTCAAATGAGGTACAAAGGCGAGAACTACATGTTACAGCTTTACCTCCATGCTTAAGCACTTTTGACCAACTCTTGACAACAACAATTCACCGTCCCCTGTTCCCACCCACTCCGGAATACCGATCGGGGCAAGATAAACACAATTGCAACGTTGCTATTCACCTTGTAAGGTACGATAGAGCACCCTAAGTTACTAGATAGCCCACAACGTAAGACCTCTACCAGACCTTCGTAAATGAAGGACCCAGCGCATGTCAACAAAACGCTGCCATTTTCTTCATAACATACCATTGAATCAGCTTACAGTTTGGCTAAATAGTATCCGACGTTGTCTAATTGTACACCAACTGGTCTAACGGATGATCGGAGCGTAGCGCAGCCAAGCCATGTGAAGATATGACACGTTCTGAAAGAGATCACAAATTCGGCAAATGCTTAGAATCTACCATTTTCTACCTATGAATTAACAAAGAGATTGGGCCCAGTGGTTGCCTTAGGCGGCAAGGTTATAGAGAGAAGTCCGTGTTGGGTTTAGCGTGAGAGTCGTCTCCTTTCATCGTGTCCTTCCAACCAACACTACATTGTCCCTACATTCTCTACATCATCCCTTCATTCTCGACACAATGCCAATTGATCGCCTTCCAATCGAGCTTTGGGAGCTCATCACTAGGACATTATGCTTGTCCGACCTCTTTGCCTTCCGTTTGACCAGCAAATACATTTCAGACAGATGTTCCGGTCCAAACTTCCGCTTCCACATAGCAGGTCAGGCCGTCGTGCTAACAAGGGAGAGCCTGGATTCACTTCATGCCTTGGCAATCCATCCAACTTTAAGCTCAGCCGTCAAGAGGGTCTACATCAGCGCGTGCCCTCTCAGAGCAAGACAATCAGCCCCCTGGGCAGCAGAAATTCCGGGTGATGTGTCTGAAAGCGGACTATCTGACCCGTTGGCACAATCGCCAGCTGCGGCATATGTATCCAACAAGATACATAGCTCTTTGGATTCCCAGAGAGAAAATTCAGATTTGTCAGATAGGTTCGTTTTTGACAAGCTAGAGGCGACATTTCGGGCCTTTCGCCGCCTGGAGGAAGTTCACATATCCATGGAGTCACGCGACTTTGACGACTCCGACGACAACGGAGAGTTTGGAGAGCCTCAAGAGCCCGAACTTTCTGCGTTGGCGAGCAATCTTCATCCAAAATTTTATTATGAGCAGTTTGCCCGGACGTACCTTTTGGGTATGTGCGCAGTTCTCAAAAGCAATATCGATGTGACATCCCTGCGGATTGAAACCAATATCGACGAAGTGTCTCTTGCACCACAGGTGCTTGAGGCACCATTTAAATCATTCTCTTCGGAGCCTTTGGCCGTGTCTCTGGAGGTGCTCGAGATTTATACGTCAATTGGAGGTGCTGTTCTTGGTCAGTTCACTATACTAGACCAGTTGGAATCTTGGTCCAAGTCAATAGATGGCCTAGTAAATTCTGAGACACCTACATTGTCAGGCTTGGCAGGTCACCTCTGTAACCTGAAGTACCTCTGTGTCCACATGAACTACCTAGAAGTGAACTTGAGCCCTTCAAATCCCTGCCCAGAATTCTTGGGCCTTCTTCATTCACCCAGATTGGAATCGTTGATCTTCAGTCACTTCAAGGCGACAGCGAGCTTTCTGCTGTCCTTTTTCCAGAAACATCTTCAGCTTGCATATATCGAGCTCTCGGACATCAAACTAGTAGATGGCGATTGGAAGGAGGCCTTCAGTCTTCTCCAAAGTGATATGCCAAGGCTCAAAGAATTGCGTGTTGGGGGCCTTGTAGGACAAGATGATAAGTATCTGCGAATAAGGCCTGTCCAGAAGACAGATGAACTTTTCAAAAGCCACCGGCACTGGGACCGAGATCTACTGGACCAATCGTTCATTAATAGATGCTGTACACTTGGCAGCGCGGATTTGCAGAAGGGCCTCGAGTTTTCATAGCTCGATCGAAGCCGACCTAAATGATTGTGCCTCATTAGTGTCTCAACCCTTTTTCGCCTATTCCTGCGCTCTTTCCACGCATGTTTCCCACATCCAATACTTCGAATACCAGCGATCCCGACTCTGCTGTTCAATAATCTTCTTCACGAATCTGTTGTTTTGCTTGTTGCCTCATTTTTATCACCCTATGCGCCGTATGACTGTTTGCCGAGGGTCGGGAGCAGTACACAAATGAATCGGCTCAGATTCGAGAGAGGAATGAGGAGTATCTCATTCGAGATAGCCATAGTTGTATAGATTCAATTTAAGACATAAATACCCTAAAATACAAAATTACAATGACCACAGATCCTGTGTGTTCTGGGATTTACTAAGGCAACAGACTATATTGGATACTGATGAAATATCTCCGGTTGGACTAGCTACCCGCAAGTATAATGTATCATTGACCCAGTCTGGCGGAGGTAGATTGTTGTGTAGTAACACAAGAGATCGTCTTCACTTTCAGTGAAATCATAACTCCGTTCTGGATACTTGTTTGGTACGGACTCGTGAATGATCTCAATAACTTTCACCTCATGCGCTTCCGGACCACATTGGCAGGGCCTTTCATCTTCCTCATAAGGTAGGTATGCATGCCAGTTTTCAACTCTATTTTTCGCATGTTCTCGCTCTCTCTGCTCATGTTGCCTTGTTTCATGCGGCATGAGATACCATAGTCGCCAGCTGAACGGATCTCGTGGTTCCGTTTCGCGGAGCTTCACATGTGCTGGACTGTCCGTCCGGGGTTTTTGCGTGTCATCCTGCGCTCCACTCGAATCTTGATATTATCAAGAACATCCTGCAGAAACTCGGTGTCTTTCGGGTGGTTTATACCCTTGTTACCATTGTCAGGAGATGCCGGCGGGAAAACATTCGAAAGGACAAGATGGTAGTTTGTCCAATCTAGACCTTCCCTATCATTTTACGCTTGCGGTATGCGCATCTCCGGGCAGTTATCGAGACGGAATAGTTGAAGTGCCAAGGCTTCATGTTCGTAACCATTTGTGCGTTTATGATGTCTCTGAGCCCGTAGCCAGACATCTTTAGCTTTCAAAAATACCAGAGTTATGCTCTTAACCGGTCGACAAACTGACAGGAAGAAGATGAATCGATTAAGTTTCTCCCAGAGCATTACCATCTGGCCCTTGTCCGGAACTTTCTTTGCAAGGAGGGTGATTGTTAAATGGACGTTGTGAAACGAAAATTCCCCGAAGCCTCGAGTAATGGCCTCGTCCACGCTCGCGACCTGCCATATGGCTCGTATTCTTCAAAACTCAAACCATATCCAGGGGTCCAAGGCGTTGTAAGAGGTTATATGGACCCGTAGTTGGAAATCTTCGTACAGGTAATGGGATATCTCGTCGTGGAGTGTCCGACTGGTACACATGACAGCCAGTCGTGTGCCCGGTCGTTTCGACTTTCCATCCCATTTATTTTCCTCTGAAAGACGAGAAAGGTTCAATGTAACCAGGTAGTCCCATATACAGAGGCGAACCTCCGGTGGAAGATACCCGAAGCGTCCGAGCGCTGATGGCGTTGCCATGGCTAAAACAGTATGTGATGATGGAGAAATGGTTTGCAATGAGGAGAAGGAGCGTTCTAGAAGGGCTGTAGCATAATGGTCTGAGGAGTGTGACTCATAAAAGAGAATAGTTAGGCTATGTCATTCATGCGAGGACGACATGGTTACTCATGGGTAGCGAGTAGCAACGGTAGAAAGTTAACACCAGGCATAGATCTTAAAAAATTGGGTACTCTGTGAACAAGGTCGGATATGGCCTTACGAAGATTAAACACCAGAATCGTCTTGGCCTCGCTCTGGTGAGCTATTAGGGTCTAATAACAAGATGAAAGGCAAGCTGTTCGCTTCGGGGATATAGATAACGGGAAATAATAGGAAAGGGGCGGACAAATAGTGACGCAAGCGTGCATAAGGCGACGGCCATGAATGACTCGGAAGGGGGCGACATTATATTAGCCGGACCGAAGCATGGCGATGTTCACGGTCTTCATTAATGCCGTGCGTACATACTGTCGTATATTCGAATAAAATCTGAGATTATCTGGGCAGCAGATATGATTCAGTTATTTTTGGGATTTCTTGTTCACACAGTTAGAACTATGGTTACGGCGAACGAAAAGCTGGCCTTATCTAGCCCGTCCGAAACGATCGGCGGCATTCTGCTCGGCCTCTTGGCTACTAGATGGATTAGCAAGAGATAGAAACGTTCGTGACCAGTGTTGCAGGTTGTACTTACTATGACTGGGTCTCGCCGACAGTTTGCAGCTTTGTACAGTCCTGCTTGATGGTGTTTCCCGCTTCCACAATTGACTGCAGAATATGACCGATAGCATCCTGTAGCGTCATTAGCCAAACACGGCACAAGATTGGCACATGGATGATTTTACCCGCGAAGCTCCCATCCAGGAATCGCCGTACTGCGCGTACAGGTTCAGGAGCTCATCGATGTTCTTCGAAGCCTCCCAGCAGTTGTCCAAGGAGGGCGGCTGTGTGGATATCTGGATGCTCGCCGATGCAGCAAGGGCGGCAAGGAGAGAAACGCAAGCAAGCTTGGTAAAATGCATGTTGTCGATTACAGCGATTGGTTGCAGACAATACAGGGATTTACTCGGTTGGGGACTAATGTCTCTCCATGAAGGAGACGGGGTTGCGGGAGGTAGTAATTTATATGGCCCCTTTCCCCATCTGTTATAGGAGTAAGGTTTTGGGTTCAGGGCGCGGCGCATGACAGAGCTGCAGCCCACAACCTAAACAGCTCAGCAGGAAATGAAATTGAATCCTGCAAACCTGGGCAGCTAGCGTCTTAACCTTTTAGGGGCCTGTTTATTCTTGGGGGTTCGTATTCAGTGAACAGGCCCCCACTTAGGGCCAATGACATCTCCGCTTTTTTTAGAGTCCCCAGATGAGACGCCCGAATGGTCCTGAATCATGTCTGTGTTTATTCTGCGGATCTTGGCAATTGGCTCGTCAGCCTTGTCGTTTAAGATGGACGTGGACTCGGGGGTGTTTTTATTTGGCAACCCCGCCAGCGGGTACAACAGCTCCGATTTGGCAGGATTGCAATTCTACAACTTCGAAGGGATGCTCTATAATGTCGACAATATGGCTTTGCTCTGTTCAAGTGCTCCGAAGTGGAAGGGTACGCGTACATCATCCACTAACAATCATTGCCTTTGCATCTACGTGACCACCCTGAAGAAGGTTTTCCATTTACCCTGTTCATCAGTAGTGGAACCTTTCTCCCACAATTTTCTCACTCAATCGCCACAGTTTCTCGGCCTCTATCTCGTCTCTGGCCCAGCACCGGATTTCTTCTGGAGGAACAACAGCCGAGTCTGACAGGAAGCTGCCGTTGTTCTCTATTGGAGTAGAAGTTAGCAATCTGAGAACAGCTATCATCTTGAAAACTAACCAGTAGGTGAAACCATATCATGGAACGCGGCAAAGACATGGGTTGCCACACCCTGAGACATGGACTTCCATTTGAACCCATTCCAGTAAGAACGATTTCCTTGCAGCTTGTCCCATTTTACTGTTTTTGTCAGTAGCAACCCTTTCACTTCCCTCTGAATTTGACTTTCAAGAGCCACTTACTTATTGCTTGAAGAGACGCGTCCACATCGTATCTCAATAGATTTGTGTCGATCACCCCGGGATGCAGGCTAACCGAGATGAGGCCAACCTTTCCCAACTTCAGAGCCAAAGAGATAGAAAAGAGCATATTAGCCGTCTTAGCCTGCGCATATCCCAGCCAGGGATCGTATGTGTTTCCATCCTTATATTTTCAATTATTAGTATATACTTCACAGTGGAATCTAGCAATTTGTCTTACATCAAAGTTCCAGTCTTCAAACCGGATGGGTCCCATTCGATGCCCATCGCTTGACACATTCACAACCCGCGCGCTTTTTCCAGGCGCGACCAGCTTGCCCATGATCAGATTCGTGAACAAGAAATGTCCGATGTGGTTAACGCCGAATTGGCTCTCCAGGCCATCTTCCGTGAGCCGAAACGGCGGAGCCATAACACCGGCATTGTTAACGAGGACGTCGATGTGCTCCTTGTACGAGAGCACTTCCTTCGCTGCTTTCCGGATCTGGGTTTGGGAGTTGAGGTCCAGCTCCAGAATTCGAGTCGTGACGAACGGAGCTGCAGACTTTATCTCTTGAGCTGTTTCTTCGGCTTTGGATATGTTTCTTGTAGCTAGTATGATTAGTGACGGTCTGTATGGGGCGATGACGGTTGCGAATCCAGCGCCCAGCCCGCCGGATGTGACGCCGGTGATTAAGACGGTTTTGTTTTCGATTGAGGAGCGGCAATCGGAGGCAACTTGCTCCCCTGTAGTGTAGCGGTTGTACTCTGACATGTTGTATCAAAGTTTGAGGCAACACAATATTGCTGAGCTATAGTTTTCGTTTCCGTCTCAGCAGCAGAGGGTGTGCTATATATATAGCAAAAGGGGCCGAACAGAGTACATGCTCCGTCCGAGAAATAATTATATCCAAAAGGCACGGACATAATGCGGAGATTGGGGAAAATGCAACAGTATCTCGCTTTTGATGTTTTTTGCCATCCCTGAGCAATCAGGATGTGGACAAGAAAAAGGCAGAACGTCGATGAGTTACCCGATTCGGACGAATTTATTATTGACTGGCAACCTAATCGGGCTAGATTAATGTCTCGGAGATAATGACGTATTCTCCGGACAGCCGACGCTAAACCCGATCTGTTCGAATTAATTCGTCCAGCAGTTACCCTTTCGGTCCGCCCACCAGCACATCTCACTCTTTCCCATCGCGACTCGACGTTTCCATTATGGGCAACAAATCTAGCGAGGTAGTTTTCGCGGTCTCATCATCGCCGACTGAGCCCGCTTGCGTGTTTCCCTATCTCGATGGCCTGATCAAAGCCCCAGGACCAAGGAGAAGAGGGAGGCCTGCAGGATGTAAGTATCCCGTTCTCTGGATGGGGTGGTGCTTATGCCGTGATAGCGAGAATTAGGTCCACTGCCCAGACGAGAAGAAAAAAGCACAAGGATGAGCCAGGGGCTAGATACGGCGATGATGACCAGTTCCATTTTATCAACTTCGATGCCCAAACGCGCAAGGTTGATCAAACAGCACGGAAGACAGTTAGACGGACGGCGATGTTGAGTCACACCCAGAAGGTTCTCAGAAAAAGACAGAAATTATCTGGTTCCGCGAGAGAAGAAATATCTTTTCTTGGAGCACCGTTCTTTCCCCAGCCCCTGCAATTATCGCTGGGCCGCGCGGATCCGTTTAACACGATGCCGATAAAATTTGAATCGTATATGCACGACCTCTTGGTTTATTGTATGCATTTGATCAGTCACCAAGCGATATTCAAAGCATTAATAATTGACCGCAGATAGCACGACTGGTTGGAAAATTCTTTACTCCATTGAAGAAAAGACAGGTTGCAACCCCATGGTGGACTACTGGCTACCACTGGCATTTAACGATGCAGCCCTCTTGAACGTCCTGATAGGATGTGCTGCTTCCTTCAGATTCAAGTCTCAATTTCTATCAGGATGCCCCATTCTTATCAGACATCTAAATGAGGCGATGAACATCGTGAACCACAAACTGACAACTACGTCCACGAGCGAGGATGTATCAGACGAGACATTGGCTGTTGTTGCCACATTAGCCATGATCCAGGTTTGTAAGCCTCAACTACCGACAGCCATCAGGGTATGCCTAATGAGAAAGCAGAAGACGATCGGGTCTAATTACGAGTGGAACATTCACATGAGAGGATTGAAAAGGCTCGTGGATCTGCGCGGCGGGATGGGTAGTTTGGACAACAAGCCCTTCATCAAAAGCAAAATCCTCCGGTATGCTATTGTCGTCGACCCTTGAACAGATTTCATGATTTTAATACTCGCTGATAGTGCGGATCTCTGCGGCTCCGTAGACATCACCCGCCAACCTTATTTCAACCCACACTACGAACGACTGCCCCTGGAAAATTTCGGCTATCTGTCCCTCCCACTAGGATTTAGGGATCTGGACGAAATATTGAATCTCGACGCAATTCTGAAAAATGTCATCCTGACCCTTCAAGCCTCTTTGAAAACCACATCAAGCCTTCCCTTGACCAAGAACCAAAGTCATGCAGCGCAGGTCAGATTTTCCTTGACATCTGCTCAATATGCCCTGTTATCTATGGATTGCGGAAATCTAAGCAGTCCTATTACCAGAGCACAGGAAACTTGTCGACTTGCGGTTCTATTGTTTACAGCGACCATGTTTAAGGAGCTACCCTCTGGTCTTTCCGGCATAGTTGGACGAATCATGGAGCTTCTCAGTGATAGAGAAACGTGCAATTGGCTGACCCCTGCCTTTCAAACCTGGGCCCTGTGTCTCGTCATGGCCTCTTCACCATCCGAAGCGCAGAAGTCATATCTCTCCCTGCTGTCATCTATTCTTTCTGACATGGGCGTTGATACAGAAGAGAAACTTGCTTTGTTACTGTCTACCTTTCATCCAAAAGATGCTTCGCACCAGGTATATGTGGGTGTGACAAAAGAGTTTTAGAAACAGCATGGTCGGGGTGAGATAACATAATTGTCCTAGGACTTCGGACTAGAGCCACTAAATCCCCGGCACCTGCCCACTCATCTTCGAATATTCCCTATTTTGATTTTAGTACAGAAGGCTTTCCATAGGTTTAGGTTGGAAGTGGCGTTGAATGTTCTCCATGGCCAACCTCTCAAACCCGATCTCAGTGTCAATCGTCCCCTCTGCGGTGTGCGAAGTCAACCTATCATATTTGATCAGTCAATTATTCTAAATGCTTTCGTGCCGAGGCGAGAGAAAGAGGTCTGGAACATACGTCACGTTGCGCATTACCGCTAGCTTCGGATGAACATAGGGTTCTTTGCCATGAACGTCCAACCCAGCAGCCGAAAGATGGCCACTTTCTAATGCGACCACGAGCGCATCTTCGTCTACCAGCGATCCATGCGCGATGTTGACCAGCCGGCTCCCCCTTTTGAATCGCCATAATGCTGCCTTGGTGATTAACGGCGTTGCCAGGGCCGGTGTGGCAATAACAACACAATCAACGAGCCCCAACATGTCTTCCAGCTTCTCGCAGAACTTGACGTTCAAGGCTTGTTCGTCCTTTAGCTTCTTGCGCTTTATGTCGTGGTAGTAGATCTTCATGTTGAAACAACCGAATGCTTTTCTCGCAATGGTGCTGCCAACCAATGTCATTCTGGGAATCGGAAACTATTTATTGGAAGAGTGGAAACCTACGATCCGACATGACCCAATCCGATGATCCCGAGCTTCTGCTCAGACGGATTGTATGCCGTGCGAGCCACATTTTGGTGCGCATCTCTCCATCGATTTGGGTCAATAGACAGCGCGCCTTCAATGGACCACTGCATATTCCGAAAGACCGAAATGATATGAAATATCGCCTAGACGTGTTTTGTCAGACCTAATCGCCCCAAGTATCTCTAAAGCTACCCACCATATCCGCTGTTGATTCGCTCGCAGCGGCGGCCCCATTGTAATATTTGACGCCTGGCTGATCGTCAACCCTTTCGATTCAAATCGTTGGAAAAGACTCAAACGCACCTTCCATTTCCATAACCTTCAAATCAACCCCGTCATACCCCGTGCCCGCACTAGCAAACGCTGTACAAGGCGGGGGCAAAAGGTGAATGATTGGTGTATTCCATTTTCCCATTTCCCAGCCACTATCGCAGGATGGACGGATGATGCCACGAAATTGGCCCCACCGGTTCTCCTTCAGCGCTTTCATGAACTCTTCACGTTCTCGCTCTTTTTTGGATGGCCGGATGACGATGAATTCCTTTTCGAACTTGGCATACAACTCCGTGTTGTAGCATACCGGGTCGCCCAGATATAGAATGATTTCCCTGTCGTCGTCCATTTTATCAACGAGACTGAATTCCGCGTCAGACGATGCTTCTAGAGTCCAAGATGCGTGTCGCGTGTTGTGGAAATGGCTTCTTCGTGCCTGTTCCAGCCCCTGATTCTCAGCCCCCAGGCGGCCCGACGGCGATAAGGCAGCAACGATCACAAGAACAAAGAACACCTTCCACCGCCCCATTGAAAGCTGAATAGCCAATTGGAACTACCTGTTGCGGCTATAGCCGCTTCCACCTCTAACGGATTAGCCGCAGGCAAGTCTAATGGTGACACGCAGTCGGGCGGTGATAGATCCAGCAGGATTCGACAAACGTTCGAAGTTGCCAAAATACGACCTTGATTCCGATTGGACTTTCTCGTTCTCTCGAGGAGGAATTGTTGATGTCTATCTGATCAATCAAACTCTTTTCCTATGCTGTCGTGCCCCACAACGCTGAATGGCGCCTATACAGCCTTGCGCTGCTTCTTAGACTCAAATCCTCACAGCCTTGTCCTACGATCACCTTATATTTAACCCAAACTTCCAGTATCGTGGATAAGATTAGTCGTCCAGCTCAAGTCGAATTTTTCATTCCACACATCATCACGAGAACATCATGACCACCTCGTCCCTCGACCAGTATCAGATCGGCTGGATATGTTCCGACCCGATCGTGGCTGCTGCTGCCCACCAAATGCTAGATGAGGAATATGGTCCACTAGACGAGCAAGATGAACTTGACACAAACAGCTACACACTCGGTCGCGTAGGCAAGCACTCTGTTGTTATTGTCTGTGTCGGTGGGCAAGGGCGCGGAACCACACCGGCGACGGCAACCGCTATACACATGATGCGAACGTTTCCAGCGCTACGTACCGCACTAGCCATCAGTATCGGAGGAGCAATTCCATCACCGGAGGATGATATGTGCCTTGGGGATGTGGTCGTGAGTTACCCCACGGATGAATGTGGTGGGATTCTGCAGTTCGATTTGGGACCCATCAGGAATGATACAACGGTCTGGCGTACCGTATACTTGAATCATCCACCAAAGGTTCTGCTTGCCGCGGTGGACCGAATGAGGGCAGCTACATTGCGAAATGACCCTCTGTACCCAGAATATATGGTAGAGGCAGCCAAACCGACAGCTCGTACGGAGCAAAATTTCAAGTCTCCTGGTAAGGAACATGACCGGCTGTTCAGGGTCGAGACAGAGCATAGCCCTGGCGGATGTCACTATGATGGATTTTCACCAGAATGTGAGATAGAGCGGGACGAACGGGAGGACGCGGAACCACGAATTTTCTACGGTGTGGTTGCCTCCGGGAACGCACTCGTCGAGCATGGATCAACGCGAGAGCGATTCGGGAAAGAAACAGGCGCTTTATGCTTTGAAACGCTCTCTGCCGGTGTCATCCAGGACCTGCCATGTCTGGCCATATGTGGTATCTCAAACTATGCGGAGTCGAGCAAGAATGGAGAATGGGAAGGATATGCCGCATTAGCAGCCGCTGCTTATGCCAAAGAGTTGCTTGCATACGTGCCTAGCCGACAGATCCGAAGGCCAAACATGTTGGCTGCCATTAGTGGTGAGTGAAATATAGCAGGGAACAGTGTTTGTATATTATCAATAGCTAACAATATGCGTTTCTAGCGAGGGTGATGAGAGAGGAAGATTCAAAGCAGGGTCCCGATACCCTTTCCCTTAGAACTCAAGGGGAATGGCTCGGGATCACAAATGCACCAACATTCGGCTCTGAGGACTACGTGGAGGCGGGAGCAGTGGCGCACTCCAAAGAGCGACTGCTTCATACTCTCTTCGACTGGGTGGAGTAGTGAAAGATGGAATATCCATCTTATTATGAATACCTGGTGAAAGATCGAATACCAATTTCGATCATAGGGTGAGAGAGCTTTGAAGCTATTATGGACGCGTTTGGACACTTCAGCACTTCATAGGTTTCAATTGATTTATCTTATCGATTATCCCGCCCGTTCCAGAAAGCATGACAATAGACCACAGTATAACCATGAGCGCCGTGAACACGAACTAATTGATCATGCACAAATCCCCTTATAGCAATCGGCAATAGACCGTGCTTGTTGGCTCATTTCTAAAAGATTATGATATCCTAGGATACTTGATCAGTAGGATATGAGCCTTAGGTTTGGCCAAAATACCTGCTGCCAATGGCCCTGCCGCAATAACAGTGTAGACCGCCGCCAAAGTAAACGTGTTGAGATAAAGATGTATGCACAAGAGACGAATGAGGGCAATAACTGGAACTGAAATCATGAAAGCAGAAGTGAACGAGACGATCGAATACATTCTGCGGTTGGATCTCGAAGGGCCCTTCCCCGGGATTTTCAATTTAGGCGAACTGTCGGCATGTGTTGGAAACAGTGACTCAGTTGCCTTTGCCATTGTCATTGTGGGCTATAGTTCGGTGGGCAGATAACAAGGGGATCGAAATGGTGCACTGAGGCCGGAAGAAATACTGTACAAGATCACAGATGTCGCGGCTGAACTACGAGAACTAGAAGCATGAAAATTTTCATCCCTGAAGTCGGTAAAGATGCTTTATCATTTCAAAGACAAACATCTACCGGAGATTGATCAAGGTCTTTTGACTCGCGAACCTGTTTCTGGGAACCAGGTGACGTAAGACCCCTTCGAATAATGAAAGTAAAATGGTTTAGAATGGAGGAACACCGAACACAAGTCAGCAAGGGGTCAAGCCTAAGATTGGTCCGTTTTATCTATTGCCGTTTTTGAAACTTGCGAAAGACCGCAGCACAATTGCTCTGATTCAGTGGTTTCTTTTCTGTGGGCAATTTGTGCAGGCAAGAAGTGATCACTCGGAGACCGGTGATCGTCAAATGGCTGCTATCCCGGGTATTAGGCCAGAGAACTCACACAAAATGTTGCTTGGCTGCCCAAGAAATATCGAATGATGTCTGGGCACACCATGGTAGCTTATCAGTAACAACTGCTAGGTCTTCATATCGTACCAATGTAAGTTAATCGACTGTACCAATCATTTTATCCAAGCCTTGCTCCTATAGTAGATAACCCCCTCTACATGGATAAAGTTGCGATGAAATAAAAGCTATCTTCTTACCTAATCACGGAGTCGTTAAGTAGGATTGAAAAATCGACTCTGTTGCTATTCTTCGGCTGTTCGGTGAAGACTCATAATTTATGTGCATGAAGTAGACCTTGTTTGATGCTATAGGTATCGCGAAAGGTATATCCATAGCGATGGTGTACTCAATGCTCTCTCCCAGAATTTGCCCGCGTCAAATGCGGCCAGGGGGCATTTGAGAAACTCCCAGAGACGATGGTATCCCGCCGTTCAAGATCTAACAGTTATGCAATGGTACAAAAAGGCAAATTGAACGAGGCTTTCTGGAATTGTGGCCATATCGCTTTGATGAAAGCCGCAAGCGGGATAGTAACTAGCATACTGAAGTTGATGCTTATATCATTTGTGCCCCGGGTTGCTTCTCGTCCTATTTCGCTTTTCCCGTTCTTCGCCGGGTGGAAACAATGTCCAGTTGTTCTAGCCATCGTCAAGGTGCCACAGACTTCGTAGGAGTGATGAGTGACAAGTTCAACATGGAAGGGGGGTTGCTTCTACTGCCTAGATAGTTACCTCATGTCAAGCCAATCGCCAGCAATGCCAATAGACCTAAACCGTCATTTGGCGGATATTTTGCCTCGTTAAGGTTCACAAAAGAGTAATTACCGGAACGCCATCCCTTGATTTACCCTGTTTTAACAAGAAGTTTATCTGATGTCTGACGACCAAACCTCTTTCCTCATCTGAATCCTATGAGCAAATTCCCTGGAGCTGGCCTGTGAATACGGCTGGTAGAGTCATATTCACAGTATACTGACGTCCTCTCTTTATCTTCTTCTCCTCTCCAAGCCCCTGCACTTGGATCCTCGTTCCATCTTCTCTACACATTCTTCTCTGGCCTTTCCGACGCCTTCCGTGATAGCCTGGCCGGTGCTGACAGTTCTAACACTCTATATCATGGATGATCCCGAAGAGGAGGGGCCCTTGTGTCTCGTACATGCTCCCCCCAGCTGAAAGACAGGAGGTACTGTGGACGCCAGGCTATACAATCACTCGCAACATTTGATGCGGGTTGAAATATCTTTCGTAACCCTCTGGCTCTACCGAGCCTTTCAGATGAAGTTGTCACCTGAACAGTACCCATTACGATCAATTTAACCCGACCATCAGCTGAAACAAGCCAGCGATCCGGCAAAAATGCTAGGTACCCTTTGTACCACACTCTTTTTTACCAGTCATTCGATATACAATGACACCAGCAAATGAAGGCGTTTCTAGAATGCCTCGTGGGTGTACTTCTTCACCAAAGGTATCAGGCTCCAAACATGGGTAGCTAGTAAATATGGTTCAGTATGTCAATTTTCTTTCTTTCGAAATAAAGTGAAACTAACAAAGTTGCTAGGTCCTGCTGCGCGACACTGTCATGTGCGATATGGCATTGAACTCATACACACCTTTTGGGGGGTTGGTACGAGACTTGCATTTGGGAGAATGAAGTTATCTCTACCATAGGAAACACTGGACATCCAATACCGCTCCCATCAGAGGCTGTATGAGCCGACGTCGACGGCTTTTTACGACGGCCGAGTGCAATCGGATCGAAGCGATTGTAATCTCAGCATCAACCGTTCCTTTGATGGAACGGCGTCACTTGACTTAACACTCGTGTGTAGATACTTCCTAGAGAGATCGGGTTCTTACACGGTGTTAGGCAGATGAGGCGTGATACCTCAACATCAACCTTCAATGACCAGGAAGCAGAGCTTGCCGTTCGCCTGGCCGCCCAAGTTATCCGAGACATCAGGAGCATCCTTGTCATCTCACCAAACCGGGCCCAAGTGGCACTTGCGGCAAAGAAATGGGAGGCTTCGAGGCCAGACGCTGAGACCAAGCCACGATTCAAGACTGTTGAAGGCGTTCAGGACGCTGAAGCAGATTTCATGATAGTTAAATCTTACGATCCAAGCACCCAACTTTCAGAGGCCGTCTGTGCTGGTGCCAGTCAGGATGCTGGTCGATTCAGCGACAGGGGGCTTTTTTTTTTATCTATTTTCGACACCTGCATAGAATAGTATTTTGGACATACTCGGCTACGGATTATTTCTGTGGACAGAAAACCAGGACCACGTTGACGACAGCAAGATGGTTACGGAGCTTAAGGCGCCACGGCAGGAATGATACAGTCATTGAACTGTCCTGCTTGTAGTATGCCAAACGGCGGATACTGTGCTCACGACCTTCTGCCGGTCATGCATAACTCCAGATGACACACGTTACAACTGGCATCAATTAGTCCAAGCTTCAAAGATCTAAACATTCTTTTCAGAACATGTCTCCAAAAGAATGGGGCCCAGGAAATCCCGACAGAATCCTACGGCCTGATCTTCCCAGGCTGGCCGTTTTGCCCAACGGGACTAACAACCCCGATCAAACGTCCAGCGCCAAAGGACTCGTCATTTACCAACTGCTAACCATATGAGCAGCTACGAGCAGGGCTCCGGGGCCAATTGCTGAAGAGAGAAAAATGTCGTCGACATCAATTCAAGACAGGATTACTCACAATTCCTCACTTGGAAACATAAATAACGTCTGCAACAACATGACATGTTGGGCCAATGGCATCGGAAAAAAGCTCGATGCATGATACCGTACCTGATCACCTGACGAACATCCCCACCTGACGAACGTCTTTTCCCATACAAAATAACTCGAAATGCTTATCTTTAAAGAGCTACAGTTCAACCAAAAAAAGAGATATTACATTTATATTTTATATTCAGATAAAGAGGAATATTTTATTTACTTTATATATTAAAACTTTAGTCTTTATAAGAAGTTTTATATATTTTTATTTAAGTTAAATATAGCTTTTTTAGAAATACATTAAAGGACTAAATTAATAATAATATATTAATAAAATTGATAATAATTATTGTTTAATATTACCTTATCCTTAAATTTAGATATTATCTTAAAAAAAATTCAGAAAGGTATTAAAAAGGTATTAAATTACGATAAAATTAAAAAAATAAATATAAAAAATTAAAAAATTAATAATTTATATAAATTTAAATCTATAATAGAAACTTAAATATTAACTAAAGTATTTATAATATAAATACTATAATTATAGTATAAAAATTATATTATATCTTCTTTATTAGTTATATATATCTAAAAAAGAATTAAATATTTTATAATACTTTTAATTAAATTAAATCAACAAATTAATAGATTTAAAAATAAAATAAAAATATAAAGAATTAAAACCTTATAATTCTTAATATCTTCTTTTTAAATAAACTTTAAAATAGTATTTATTTATTTTATTATTTTAAAAATACAATTTAAAATACCCACTAGTAATATATAGATAAAATTATAATTAATTAGTAATTTTTATTTTTTTAAGTTTAAATAAATATAATAGAAATAAAATTTATTCTTTATCATTTTTAAACTTTTAAAAATAATTATTATAAGACAGTATTTAAAACTTTAAAAATAAAGATAGCTTTTAAAAAAAAAGCATAAAAAAAGGTAAAAATATTATTAAATCTAAAAGATTTTTAATATTTTTTTGAATAGTATATAAAAGAAATATATAAGCCTTAAAGCTAGTATTTTATTTAATATTATTAATCATGAATTATAGTAGAATTCGGGTCCTTAAATATAATTATTGAAGTTTAATTGATTAAAAAAAACAGCCTTTAAATAGAGGATTAGAAAAAAATTTTTCTTTATCTAATATTATTTTCTATTTAGCTTTATAATAATATATTTTTTATATAAATATCTACTAATACTATAATATTATAATATAAAAATTATAAATTTTGATTATTTAAAAACGTTGCTTTTATATATGTACTTATAAAGCTATGTTTATATATTTTTTATTATAAATATATAGAACTATCCTTATAAATTCTCCCTATAAAATATATTTTAAATATTCCTTATTTTGGTTGAACTGTAGCTCTTTAAAGATGAGAATTTTGAGTTATTTTGTATGGGAAAATACGTTCGTCAGGTGGGGATGTTCGTCAGGTGATCAGGTACGGTAAAACATTCCAGCCTTAATACCGGAAAGATCCGACAAGTTAAGTAGCAGAGCGGCTGGGTATTAATCTCACGACTATTTGCAACCGATCTTTGTCTTTCACAAGATACAATGTATGTGACCTGTGGATACTGTGGCGGAGAAAACGTTGTTCAGGGCCGAGCGAGGGGTTTCCAACAAGGAAAGAGCGGCGGAGCGGTATGGGAGAACGTTGAACGCCCCTATTCCTAGGATCAACAACTACCATACCAATTAGCCATACTTGAATACCATCGCTTGAGTCATCAGTTTCATCAGTATCTTGCATTCCTAGGCTACAGGCCGTCAATACAAACGGCCACAGGTGTAACTTCCGCCGAAAAATGGGCTGGTGTTGTCTAGCAGTCGAGGAAATTTCGGCAGGACACGGTAGTTATTGCTCCTTGCCTACCAGGAGTCACGAATGAGACACGAAAGTTGAAGGCCGGAATAGAACCTGAATATTAGATCCATAGATCAATTACACTGTGCCAATCTGCAACCTGGACTATCCTCCGCAGCCGGCGGCCGAAACTTGGAACTGACTACAGAATAGCAGGCGGTGGCTAACAACGCGATTAAGATGGCCTCCTCAGTGACCAACACGCAGAAACCGCTAACACGAAGAGCACATACAGAGCAAAGGTTCTTCACTGCATAATCCTCGCAGCTTCGTGTCGGGAGAACTGAACCGTGGATTCCATCTTGTAAGGTATTTGTAGAGGAGAATTGGATAATATAGCTTGGAATCACTGGCCGCCTATCATTAGGAAGCTGGCTATATAGGAAACGGACAATATAATAAGAATAGTCTTCACCGTTCCGTCATTGAGATAGCTCGGGATGACACACATTGTTTGTTTGGCTGGGATCGATATGATATTTCTCAAATACGAACATCTGTGAGCGCACTGATGCAGGCAGAGCCGTAGGTCGATCGAACGGCTGAACCCAGGTATGTAAGCTGATGAAGAACATGGGTGTCGAGGGAGAGAGGATACTTGACGGTCGGAAACCTCAGGTAGTAAGGCTTCCGGGCCAGACTTCGTTCAAAAGGTTGAATCTCTCATTACATAGTGTCTATCGAATATTTACATCGTACATCTATACCTCAACTCCGTACCTCAGATATCGCACGAGTCTGGAGCTACCTAAACATCTCGATCCCCTTCATCAGCAAGTCCCTCGACTGGAACGCCGTCATCGTCAATAACAAGGCCACCTGCAATATCGTCATTGCTGTGGCTACCCACCCGATCGCGACGGAGCTCAATGCCGACGAGATCTTCGCCGTGGCCAAAACGAACCCGGTATTCGGAAAGACCATACTCCACCAGAGCAAACCAAAACTGCTCTCTCGTTTCCAGAGACCCTGCAACACGCTAATCAACGACACGCTAAAGAGGAAAAACGCTAACGTCCAGAGCAGAATGCCCGCGAAGACCGCCACGATGAGCAACACGTCGGCTGTGCGGACGGACGTCGCCTGGGAGATATAGTGCTCCGGGAACTTCTCGACGGCGGCGGTGGCCATGCCGATGAAGGCGATGATAGTGAAACTGGGCGGGCCGACGGTGATGAACATTTCCGGGCGGAAGTACGCCTCGGGAAGGCCTTCGTCGTTTAGCTCGATGAGACATTGCGCGAGGACCATGAGAAACATGAGGAAGCCCAGTCCCTGCATCGTCGTCCCGCCGATGAGCATGGGAATGGCGCGCGACGGCGGCTGACTGTTCGCCATGGTGGCCGCCAGGGTGCCGGAAAGCATGGGCGGGAAGAAGGGCATGATGCGAACTATGGCGAAATGTTTGTCGGTGCTGGTGCCCGAGGCGGGCAGGCGCCAGCCGAGGAGGATGGAAACGGCCAGCGCAATCCCGGTGTATACCCAAAAGAGAATGTTCATGAGGATGGGAAGCCATTCCCCGACATGCGGCGTCGCATAGCTGGTAGTGTTTATGAGAATGGTCGCGAACGCGAGCAGACAGGATGGCACGAGAAACAATTCCTGCGGCGCTTTGTAGCGAAAGAATTGTGCGGAGATTGCTGGCTCGGTCACTTTGGTTGATTGCTTGAGGGTCATCAGCGACTCGAACATCATACACATCGACACAATGGTGAAAACCGTCAAGGACACCATGAAAATAATGATTCCGATGACATCGAGGCCGGTAAACCTATTAGGAGTCTGCTTTAGGAGAGCAGCCACTCCTCCGAAACTGAGCGCGACTGTGTAGCAAGGCCATGTTATAGAGCTGGTGAACCTCCTGAACGGAGTCCGAGTGTCCTTTTCGTCGCCGTTCAAAGGGCTATCCATTGCTCTAGTTCTTCACTCGGCTTCAGATCTCTTGTCAATCAGGACTGGTGTGGCTGTGTCTATCGCACTGAAGACTTTGCCTGGGAGGGATGGGAAGAGTAGAGAGAGTATAGATTGAAGGTCTCAATGCCAAATTGAGTTCAGCCGTTAAAATCGTTCCATCCGACGTCGATCTCAGGTGAGAAATCCCACCGAGCAAAGGGAGCCAGCCCAATTTGAGTCCCTCTCCCGATCCCAGCCCAGGACCCAATCGTCAACTCCAACCGGATAATTTTGCTTGGCATTTGACCACGAATTGCAGGAACGTCACGGGCCCCAAAATTCAGCGACTCATGCCGATCGCGCATAAGACATAGGGCCGTGGTGATCAGATTCTGCGTGCAAGGGATCGGAGGCGGCAAGCCGGCGGTGGAATTGGTGGTGCTGGCGGTCCCACCCGGGCTCCACACGGCCGTTTATGAGGTCAGAATTGCGCAATATCCAAGGAACAGGAAAGTTGGCTCAGACATTTGCAGAAGACTTGGCAGACTTCAGTTCATCCTCATTCTGTCCTTGGCTACCAGCGCAAGCCACGCATGACGAACGGAGTTCGGCTGCCCTATGGCTTGTCCTTTTCGTTGAGCTGGTGGCCTCCGTAATTTTGTAAACCGATTGATTCATGGGGTGGCAAAAAGATCCGACAATTCCATAACTATGGTGGTAGAGGAAGAGGGGGTCATCCTAGGGGCTAGATACATACGGTGTATGAGGTCAATTGTTGGCAGATGGCCCAGGCGTCTTGGAGTCCCTAGTTTTTGATCGACTGAAGCAGCTGACTTTGCGACCCATTGAGCTTGTCGATATTAGTCAAAGACAACAAAAATAAAAGCTTCCCCAGTTGGAGCGGTGGACAGTCGGCTTTTTAGTGATTATTTGAACTATTGATCGCGATCAGCAGATATAAAGATAGATATATTGTATAGTAAATTGACGGGTGAATTTTGCACCCGCAGCAGGTGCTTGCCGGGGGTCCAGAACACTCGACGCTAGGAAGACATGCTGGAAGCTAGATATAAACTTTTCGACAAGAAATACTATATGCAAGATCATCCCGACGACCCGCATCGATGATGAGACGAAAAGAATGTGCAACAATTATCAACCCCCTCACTCCGGCCCACTCAACAGTCCATCGAACCTGAAAGCACCGCCTATTTGCTGGATCAAAGCCATCGCTTCACCCTGTTGCTTCTGGTCTAGACTGTACAACAGCACGGCTTTCACAGGCGCAATGGAGGCTCCGAAGCAGTATACGTCCCGCAGGTTCACGATGGCAGCCGTGGCACCAATGATGACTTCGCAATGGAGCTGGATGAGAGTGTAGTTGCGGTCCTTGGGTTCTTCAGAATGAGCAAGGGTCAGAACGCAGACCAGACTCCAGAGGGCCTTGACGAGGAAGATGTCCGATTCAGTGACGTCGTCAGAGACGGGGATCGCGTAGAGAATGTCATCTCCCGGGCAGGAAGGGGGATAGGTGAATTGGACCGACGGGAATTCCGAGAGAAGCGTGTGCGAAATATGGCTCAGGCGATGTCTGATTTGATTCACGTGGTCTCTTTCATACTCGGATTCAAAAGGGCTCATGCGGCGAGAAAGTAGGTCGGGGAGATCGGTGAAGAGCTCAACAAACTTGTCGTGCGTGCTCTTGTCATTCGCATACAAGTACGGAATACGGTAACGGGCGGAAGACCCGTCCATGAATTGATCGATGTTGTAGGTAAGCTGGAAAGCCCCGGGTTAGTATCAATACCGGCCAGATGAAAGGGTTGCCTACTTACCAATAGTCTTTGGACAACCTGAAACAGCTGTCGCAGATACCCAGACGCATAGACTTTGGGATCAAGCCGGCCCAGCAGGGTGGCCGCCGCGCTGAGATGCTGATAGCAGGCATTGGCGTTGGTGGACAGCATCATCTCGGCATACGCAAGAATGACAAAATTGGTGATCTCCTCCGGACGATCGTACTGCAGGGGTGCATGGTGCGAAGCCTGCAGCAGCTTGTTCCGCTGGTGCTGGATGCTCACACCGTACCACTTCCTGGCCTCGATCATGGCCGCCTGGTCTCTGTTGAACGTGCCAAAGAACGCCAAGGACACCGCACGGACGCTAGATTGCCAATCACAGCGGCCCTCGGGTTCGCCCATTCCACGACAGAGATAGATCCACAGACTCCGACGCGTTTTGTTGACGCCGGATTTCTCGAAGAATGACAGGAAGCGGTCGACCATGTGCACCTGCAGGGTAAGGGTGACATTGGGTTGGAGGGTTTGAGGCGTGCATAACGGCGGCGAGTTCTGCCGCGGCGGCGGCGTTCGTTTCACGGGGGCACGAATGGCGACGCTAGAAGAGGCGTTTCGATCCGTCACACCCTCACCGATGCGTACATACTTGCTAGACTTATCCGAGCTGGTCGCCTGTAGGAAGATTGGACCTGCGGTGGGCCCCGGACACTTATCACCGCGACGTATACACTGGGTGCATTCAGGCCGTTTCTCGTCACACTAAACGGGAATAAGCGGGGAGGATTTTCTCCAGATTCTAAGTGGGTAGGGAGGAACCAGAGAGGGAGATATTCTGGAACAAAGGAAGCACCGACCTTGACTTTCCGGTCACGACATGTCTTGCAGCCTTTGCTTAGCCCGGGATGGCGGGCCATATTGGCTGCGGGGGAGGGGGGGCATTGAAAGGCAAGAAGGAGATTTCAAGGGATGGGAAAGTGACAGCCACCGAAAGGGGGGGAATTCGTGTTGGCCCCGAATTTCCCAGTCGCGCCGCCAATCCCGCCGGCCTGAGGCGGCCAATCGTACGGCGCTGACTAAGCGTCACCTGACCCGCGCGTGATCCTCGCCGCAAAAGTTGCCGCATCGAGTTTAGCGGGGCAGCCTGGGGCAGCCTCGTCGGCCAGGTTCCTGTTTTATACCGGCGGGCATTAAGAACGTCGTCCAATGCCAGACAGACAAGCTCACCCTTGGCACTTCTTGGTGTCTGCTTGTCCGCAGTAGTTGTTCTAGTTCAGGTCCATGCTTCTGGCGACCATCTCTCGTCAGAACGTTATTACTACTCCGTAGGCATGTAGAAGGCGACCTCATGTCCATCTCCGGTGTCCGCGGAGAAAGCAACCAGGTGGTTATCGGTCGATCCTAAACTGCTGTCCCGGGAATATCTTCAGGTACAACAGTCGATATCAGTCCGGGTCGAGTCGGTCGACTGACACATCGGCCTTAAGCTCCGAGGAAAAACCCCACGGATCCACCGTGCAAAATGCTTGATCCGAGCACTCTCCCGTCCCGAGCGGGTCTCTTATCATGATCCGAGTGATAAGCGCACAATTGTTTTTATCTAATTTTTCCTGGGTTCGGTTGGGTGGTGACATTCGCAGTGGGTATATCAATCGGGCGGAAGCCAAGAATCCATCGGCGTGGCTTTGTCGACAGAACGACGACTGATCTAGAAATGGCGGCAGGAGATTATAGATCAGAGGTTGTTCCGCACGAAGAGCGCCCAGATCAAGAGCCCAAGGGCCAAGACACAGTGGTCGTGGACCATGAGCTGGAAAATGGTCGCAGACTCTACCGGCCAACGCGATGGCAGAGTAACTTGACCATCCTCAGCTGCGTGAGTCAATTCCCTCATCCCTTTATATGAAGCCAATCTAATGAGATCAGTATATTGCCAACTTCAGCGATGGTTTCCAGAACTCACTCGCGAATCCCACCAATGTCATTTTCAAGCAGTTACTCGGCCCTTCCGGTTACCCGTCTGAAATGCAGACTCGGATCAGCAATGCTCTTCTGATCGGTGCCATTCTCGGTGTGGTGGCTCTCGGATACATCTCCGACATGACCTCTCGTCGTGCAGGTCTCTTGTTCACCTCGGGCCTGGTCACCATCGCCACGTTAATGTCAGCCCTGGCGCTGCAGGTGCATCCGTCGCATAATATGCTGTGGTATTTTGTCATTGTGCGGGGGATCTGTGGGTTCGGCGTTGGCGGCGAGTATCCCCCAAGTGCGGCAGCCGGCATAGAGGAGTCAGACGATGTAAGATGTCCTCAAAGTATCTCTGCCCCTGTGCGCGCTAACAGATTCCAGTTCAAACGTCGCTACCGTGGGCCGATCTTCGTGTCCTTCACCACGCTGATGGCTACCTCTGCCGCACCGATCCAGATGATCGTTTACCTCGTGTGCCTGAAAGCCAGCAACAACAACCTCCCCGTCACTTTCCACGCCATCTACTCCATCGCCACCATTCTTCCGGCGATCATTCTGGTGCTTCGGTTCTTCATGACCGACTCGACCCTTTTCCACTATTCCAACTTCAAACGCCAAAAGAAGTCCCCTCGGTTCTACTGGCTTCTTGTGCGAAAATACTGGCCGCGCCTTTTCACCACGTCCCTCGCCTTCTTCCTCTACGACTTCATCAACTTCCCCAACAGCATTATGTCGAGCAGCATCATCTCCTCCCTTGTCAAGGACCACAACATCCAAACCACCGCAATCTGGCAAGTGATTCTCGCCGCCCTGCCCGTCCCCGGCGTCCTCGTCGGCGCGTGGCTCACCAACGCCATCGGGCGCCGATATACCGGTCTTGTCGGTTTCGCCGGCTACGTCGTCCTCGGCTTCATCATCGGCGGCACCTTCTCCAAACTATCCCAGCACATGGCGGCCTTTGTGGTGCTATACGGCCTCCTGCAGGCATTTGGCCACCTCGGCCCCGGTGCGACCATCGGGTTGATCTCCACCGAGTCGTTCCCCACCGCCATGCGCGGCATGGGGTACAGCGTGGCCACGGCGTTCGGTCGCACAGGAGCCGCAGTGGGAACACAGTGCTTCACGCCGTTGCAGGAGGCCGCCGGTAAGAGTGCGACGTTTTATCTTGCGGGCGGAGTGGCCGTGCTGGGCATGATCGTGTATTGGTTTTTGCCGGAGAGCGGTGACTTGAATTTGGAGGAAGATGATCGCGCGTTGGAGGAGTACCTGGCGCAGAATGGGTTTAGCATGGAGAGAAAGGCTTGAGTCTAGTGTCTGTGAACTCTGGGTAGGGCTCAGCTGTTCCTGTGCCGAGAGAGAGATATACTTCCATCGAGCGAGTCCAGACCGAATGCGGTCGGCCCCACCCGTCCACCGGAGCGCACACAAACAAGCATTTCCTCGGGACTTTTCCTTCTATATGTTCTTGTTCGTCTCTGTCGTAGGCCCACGGTATCTGAATCCCGGTGTAGACGACACTATGAGGCATATTTCCTCCCGCTAGCCTTCAAACTGGACAATTCCACGACCAGGAAATTACCCTTTGTCATGCGGGAAATACTGCGAAATGAAAATCCGGTACCTTGGTCAACCACTATCCGCATCGAGTACAGTGGCAGAGGCGGTGCCGTGAGGCATTTACGACTGCAAATGGCCATCCACGGTTGGAACAGGATCAAGCCGCAAGCGAGCTGACGGCCGCTCTGGGAACCTCTGGCTGTGATAATTCACGCACCCATCATCCACGCGACGCCATGTGTCCCTGTACGACGCATTGCGGCTGTCAGAAAACTATAAGAATGTGGATGCTAAACCTGGGAATGATAGGCGTTGCATCTTACTTCTCACTTTGCTTCTTTCTTTTGCCCTTCCCTCCGAAAGTCCTGTTCTCCTGAGCTGCGTGATGGCAGATGCTATAGAGGAAGCGGACCCCAAGGCCGATCGCGCCCGTCTTCGCTGGCACGCGGTCGATGAGGAGACCGGGAATGATTCGCCCAGGGCACACTCAAGACCTAGGAATCTGAACCGCAAAGGGTCGGTTGGGTCGATGGCATCGCAGTTTTCGATTCGCAGTATGAGTCGGCGGACAACAGTCGATCCTTCGATCACTCTTCCGATCCATTACCGAACTATGTAAGTACAGGAGGGGTGCTGTGAGCGAAGAACCTTGGAGATCTCTGACCTCTCTTCAAGTTCATTCGAGATCGATGAAGGCAAGGAACGTCAACGCGCTGAGGCTGCCGAAGCCAAAGATGTCATTGCTGACGGTATGGTCACCCACCATTCCGATACATGAGCGAATCTGACCATCTTCTAATAGATCTTTCGAGCCTCGAATGGCACACCCTCTCCTCGACCGAGCTCCAAAAGCGATGGCAAGTCGATATATCACAAGGCCTATCCCTCGAAGATGCCCAACATCGCCTGACCCAGCATGGCAAGAATACACTGTCCCATGTCGCACATCCTTGGTTCACCCAGATATTCGGATACTTCTTCAAAGGCTTTGGTGCTATCCTGCTTGTTGGATGTATCTTGGTGTTCGTCTCGTGGAAGCCTCTGGGCCAGCCACCCGCAATCGCAAATCTAGCGTTGGCTATTGTCTTGCTGGCTGTGTTCTTCATCCAGGCAGCCTTCAATGCGTGGCAAGACTGGTCGTCTTCTCGAGTGATGGCCTCCATTACTGCTATGCTTCCCGAGAGTTGTCTTGTCCTGAGAGACGGTTCCCAGACGATGGTGCCAGCTCCCGAGATTGTCCCTGGCGATGTGGTCTACATCAAGGCGGGCAACAAGCTTCCCGCAGACATTCGGTTTCTTGAAGCATCGAATGATGCGTCCTTGGATCGCTCAATCCTGACTGGTACGGAACTCCTGACGCGCTTTTGTTAGCTAAACTAATGTCCGTAGGCGAATCACTTCCGATCAACGCGACCGTCGACTCTACCGATAACAACTACCTGGAGACACACTGCATTGGGCTCCAAGGCACCCACTGCGTTTCTGGGAATATTCTTGGAATGGTCGTCTCCACGGGAGATTCAACAGTGTTTGGCAAAATTGCAAAACTTACCAACGAACCGAAGACCGGCCTGAGCACGCTAGAAAAGGAGATTCTGCGCTTCGTCCTCTTCATTGTCCTTATCATGTTGACCATGGTGATCATCGTGATTATCGTCTGGTATGAGCCCCCAAACTATCCGGCTAATCAATCATTGACAATCGACAGGGCCACCTGGTTACGAAAGGAACACCCCGACTGGATTAATGTGCCCACGTTGATTGTGGACTGCGTCAGCATTGCCATTGCATTCATTCCAGAGGGTCTTCCGATCGCCCTGACGGCCAGCTTGACCATTACAGCAGCACTGATGAGCAAGAACAAGATTCTGTGCAAGTCTCTTAAAACGGTTGAAACTCTGGGAGCCGTCTCCGTGATCTGTTCGGACAAGACGGGCACATTGACGCGGGTATGATCTCTTTTTACCACGAACAATCTCACGGAAAGCTAAAAGTGGCGATAGAACAAGATGTTTGTCACAGACAGTGCTGTCTCGACGGACCGGTTTGACCCGGAAACTGTCCGGGATATGCTCGGTGTGCAACACCTCCGGTCCGTCGCTGCTCTATGCAACGCGGCTGAATTTGATGCTTCCTCTACAAACCTTCCCATATCAGCAAGACACGTATATGGAGATGCAACCGACCAAGCCGTTCTCCGGTTTTCAGAATCTCTGGGTCCCGTGGATGAGATCCGACAATTGTGGAAAAAGACTTACGACTTGCCGTTCAATAGCAAGAACAAATTTATGATCCGCACGTTAACTGCGGTCGATCCCAACGGAGTGTCGCTAGCTTTGTCTCCGGATGAGGCATCGCAGTTTAAACGGGAAGACACGTAAGTCGCTTTTTTGGGGTCCCCATTCTGCTGCTAACATCTGCGCAGCCTGCTCACTATCAAGGGTGCCCCGGACATTCTAATCGAGCGTTGTACCAAGATGATTGTCATCGACGGAACCGTGAAAGCACTGGACTCATCGGCCATGACATCTGTCAAAGAACTCAAAGATCGTTGGTCTAGCGAGGGAAAGCGTGTGATCCTCCTAGCTCGCAAGACTCTCCCAGCAGCGGAGATTGGAATATCCCCATCTTCACGAGAGTTTGAATCAGAGGCCTTCCGCCAGGCCAGCACCGGGTTAACCCTAGTAGGCCTTCTTGGTATTGTTGATCCCCCTCGAGAGGAGATTCCCGATGTAGTGAGCACGTTACGAGGAGCAGGCATTCGGATCTTCATGGTTTGTCCCTCTTAGAGTCCTTGATGCGGTATTAGGCTAATCACACAATAGGTCACCGGAGACTTTGGCCTCACGGCGCTTTCGATTGCACGGCAATGTGGAATCGTCACAACAAGAGATGTTGATAACTTCGAAGCCCTGCAAAGAGTCCCTGGATCCAGTTTAACCGAGAAGGACGTAGCTGCATCGTCAGCTATCGTCATAACCGGAACGGAACTCATGAGTTTGAACGATCATCAATGGGATCAACTCTGTCAGTACAGGGAGATTGTCTTTTCACGGACCACTCCGGAACAGAAACTTCGCATTGTGCGTGAGTTCCGCGCCAGGGATGAAATCGTCGGTATGACCGGAGATGGTGTCAATGATGCCCCATCCCTCAAGGCGGCAGATATCGGCATTGCATTGGGAAGCGGCTCCGACATTGCCATTGAAGCATCCGATATGGTATTGCTGGATTCCTTCTCAGCCATTGTGGAGGCTGTGCAGTACGGTCGCGTCGTGTTTGACAATCTGAAAAAAACAATCATATACTTGCTTCCCGCTGGGTCTTTCTCGGAGTTCTGGCCGGTCATGACTAGCGTTGTGTTTGGATTGCCGCAGGTGTTGTCCTCCTTCCTAATGATCATCATCTGGTATTTGAAGACCCGTCTCCTAAGACTGATCCCAACGACATGCTAATCGAGACAGCTGCTTCACTGATTGTGCCGCCGCAACTGTGCTTGCATACGAAGCTCCCGAAGCGGATGTCCTCATGCGTCCTCCTCGCAAACCGAAGAAGGACCGTCTCGTCAACTGGAAGTTGATCTTTCACGCCTATGTCATTCTCGGGATGTTAGAAACTCTGACATCCTTCTCTATGGCTTACTGGTATCTTCAGCGCAACGGAATCCCCTTCTCAGCCTTGTGGTTTAAATTCGGGGAAGTCCCTGCAGATATCGATCCGGATTGGTATACGGCGCGTCTGAACGAGGCCAGTTCTGTATACTTCATCAACTTGGTGGTGATGTATGTTATCTCTTCTCATGACTTTACTATGAAATATTGACATGTCACAGGCAATGGTTCAATCTCATGGCCGTCCGCACACGCCGTCTGTCGATATTCCAGCATCCACCGGCGTTCAACAAACGCACACAGAATTTGCTACTTTTCCCAGCGATCATCTTTGCTCTCTGTATGGCGGTTCTCTGGTTATATATCCCGCCTTTGCAGGATGTTCTGAATACCACAAGCGTGCCAGTGGAGCATTATTTCCTTCCCGCCGCGTTTGGGCTGGGGATTTTGTCTCTTGACGAGCTGAGGAAGGCGGGGGTTAGAAAGTGGCCCGGAGGTTTTTTGGCGAAGTGCGCCTGGTAGAATCAATTCTTGATATTGTCTGGTCTAGTATTTTGGATAAGATCAAGTTGCGATTAATGGTAGTGGTCACAATGGAAATTGCACCCTGCTGGGGGTGCTCTTAGTGTTTTAAAAATATATATTGAAGCTTCGCCAGGTCCACGCAATGGGACTACACAGTGTATGTCACAAGCATAAACAGATGGCTAATTATATAAGAACCCCAAAAGCACAGTTAGGAATATCTCAAAGTCTAGACCGCACGGAGTCGGAAACTTGGGACGCGCAGGAGGATTGTCGTATCCAGACCAGTCCAGATCTTCTTCTTCCTGGACGGGCGGGTCGCGTTCTGCCAGCACCGCCTCACCGCCTTTATGGGCCCATCTTTCCCTCCCCGAGAATTTGCCTTTCCTCTTACCTTTTCGCCACGCGCTACAATATCGGTAGCATTTGAGCTCATAAACTTCTGCCTCAGATATCCTTCAAATCATCGATTCGATCACTCTCGCTATGGCCTGGTCATAATAGGATAGATCCCGAGCCTTGATGCAAAGGCAATGCCGACTTGTACGTATACCGTACACAGTGTACAACAATGAATACTATCTCCAGCGGAGACAATTATTAGATAATCCACTCTAGTCAGCCCGTCAGTGACTGCCTCAGGAGCCAATGATGTCCGCCGGAGCAAGATTTGAGCTGAGTGATTGGCGGAATGAATGCCGTCAAGACTTTGCCTTCAATTTGGGGAACCAAAGCCCGAGTATGGCCGCCCAAATGTGAAATGGACGTGGGACATTCCGTCACTGGGACACACGTGAGCTGCTTCAAATGTTGCAGATGCTGCCCATCACTGCTACAGGCATTTGTAGCCTGCCCACTCCAGCTCAGTGACAGCAGCTGCAATGTCATGTACGCCGCCATTGCAGTCCCCCAAGCGCCAGGTTAGCTTTGGCACCACGCGCGAGCGGGAATTCTGCAAGTGGGTCTCTCTATACCTACTGATGCTTACCGTTGTGGCGCTTTGGCCACTTTTGATGTGATACCCATGCTAATCTGGGCGACCGGTGATAGGTATCTGCCTCCGTATCATCAAAGTCTGCCTCTCAGTCACCATGTTTCCGCCGATTCCCCGTGCCCTCATGCCACCCGACCTTGCCCCGATACTGTTCTCACGGCTTTTGCCCAACTGGGTGCCCTGCGCTTGAACGCCGAACGAGTGCTCATCTCTCTCTTTGGGAAGGATAACCAGCACATCCTTGCGGAGGCATCACGGACACTGAGCTTGCAAGATGATAACGAGTTTGAAGAGGACGATGAGCTATGGATGGGCTGCTGCACCGTCGCCTATGAGCGCAGTTTTTGCAAAAATGTGCGCGAATTGTCTAGTTTTCCTCGGAGTTGGGATGAGAAAGCTTTTGTTGTTCCCGACCTTCAAAAGGACGATCGGTTTTCGGAGGCGATTGATGTGAAACACTTCCCGCATGTGCGATTTCTGGCCTGTGCGCCCATCGTCAGTCCGAAGGGGTTGACGATCGGCGCTTACACTGTCCTGGACACGAAGCCGCGTGCACCTTTGGATAAAAGGACGATCAAGTTCCTAACCGACATGTCGGTTACAGTGATGAGCCACCTTCAGACGAATCGGTCCAAGACTCGATACCTCCGCAGCGAGCGAATGATGGTCGGTTTGGGGAGCTTCCTGGAAGGAAAGGCTAGTATGCGCAGTTCTTGGCTGGAAAGCAGCGACTCTTCTCGGTTTGGGGAGCTCACCGAACCCTCAGAAGGACACGTCAACGCCAGGCAACAAGCGAAGCAAGTGATAGCTAAGTCTGAGCGGGCTCTGCGGGAACCAGGTTTTTCAAGGCGCTTGCCCCTGCGCACGCGAGAGTTACGACCTTCAGACGACCAGGCAATTCGACCATGTAGAAAGCACCCTGTGGACAGTATTACAACAGCAACGAGAGCAGCTAGGAGTCAGTCGGCGCCGAAATCTGCGGCAGTTAAACAACTACCGGAGCAAAGCACGCCGAAGGACCATCCGCAGCATGATACGTACAACACAGAAGTCAAGCACGCTTTCTCCCGTGCGGCCAATATTGTGCGTGAGTCCATCGCAGTGGAGGGCGCTGTGTTCTTTGACGCCAATTTCGGCTCCCATGCTGGCTTGATCAATAATGCAAAGTGCGAGATGGACTACAGCGACACAGACGGCGCTTTGACAAGCGACGATAGCGAGACAACAGGGGAACGGTTGGCAGCTCCAAGACTTGGCCATACTGCTGATCATAAGGATGAGTCCAACTCCTGCAATATTCTTGGGTTCTCCACGACATCGGCCTCCAGTATTGACCGACAGTCCATTGGTGACCAGCGGATGACCCTTTCCGAGTCATTCATACAAAGTCTATTACACCGATACCCCCGAGGTAAAATATTCAACTTCGCGGAAGATGGGACTGTTTCTTCTGAGGATACGAGCGATACCCTGTTCAAAAACTTCAAAGCCGATAATCCAGGTGCTATTGCGAGCGGCAAGCGTCGAATGATGGGGCGCAAATATAAAACGACGAGAAGGAGGATGATTCGTCAAGACGTCTCAACGCTGAGCGAATTTGCCCCTGGCTCCCGCAGCATCATCTTTGCTCCTCTGTGGGATTCGCACAAGGGAAGATGGTACTCTGGCTGTCTCGTCTGGACTAAAACCCCGCTTCGCGTTTTCACTTATGACGACGAACTAACATTCTTATTTGCCTTTGGACATAGTGTCATGGCAGAGGTTCATCGGCTTGGATCTGAACTCGCCGAGCGGGCTAAGTCAGATTTGCTCTCCAGTATCAGTCACGAGCTGCGGTCCCCGCTCCATGGGGTTTTTGGGACAGCAGAGCTGTTGGCCGAGACTAGTATGAATGCACTACAATTGGGAATGGTGCACACGATCGAATCGTGCGCTAGCACATTGTTCGACTCCATCAACCATCTTCTGGAGTATGCCAATATCAACAATATGCGAAAAGGTCGCTCTGTACGGGCATCGCGTTCGAATGGCGACTATTTCAACTTTCCGTCAGATAAGGGACAATTCCGGTATGTGCAAGACCAGGAAGATCCAGGAAATTTGGACTCCAATATCCAACTTGATGCTGCGCTGGAAGAGGTTGTGGAGAGTGTCTTTGCCGGCTACGCCTTTCTGAATGCGTCGCGGTCGCCGCTACGGAGAGCGTCAACACCTGGTGCGATCCTGTCAGTAATCCCGACGCTCGCGACACAGCCGTCGACAGGGGTGAGGCTAGTCTTGGACATCAGCTATGCCGCGAACTGGAAGTTCCCAACCCAAGCCGGTGCTTGGCGGCTTATCATGATGAATATTCTGGGAAATGCTCTGAAATTCACCCAAGAAGGACTGATATATGTGTCATTAGACGCATCCCTCATCGATGCCAAATCCTCAGCCGACGTCAAGTCACAAATCACCTTAACTGTGAGGGATACAGGCACTGGTATCGGTCAACAGTACCTCCAAGATGATATATTTAGTCCATTCTCAAAAGAGAATCCGCTTACGCCGGGGACTGGGCTCGGCTTGAACGTTACATACCGGACGATAGCTGCTCTGGGTGGCGATATTCAAGTCAAATCCCAGAATGGACTGGGAACTGAAGTTATTACCAAAATTGCTCTTCCGCAGTCGCTGGGGCTCGAATCGGATGGGGCTGTTGCAGATGCGCCGTCCCCCATTATCGAGACCAAAGAGCTCGTGCGAGGCACATCCATTGGCATCTTGGGATTGTGTGATTCGAAAGAGGATACAATGTTACGTTCTTCCATAACACAGATGTGCCGCGAGTGGCTTGATATGAATGTTATTGAAGTTGACCCTACACAGGGCGATTTCCGGTATTGCGATTTCTATATCACAACGCAGGAACATATGGACGTAGGGAACCTTCAGATCAAATCTATTGCTCGCGGCCCGACACAGCGATTCGCCTCTCCGGTCATCGCGATCTGCTCGTCGCCAGAAAATGCGCGCAATATGTTCATGGCCAGAAAGAGACGGGGTGATTTAGAAGTTGTCGAGTTCATCAGCCAGCCGTGCGGGCCAAGGAAATTGGCCAAGACGCTGAATATATGCTGTCAGCGCCAGGATGGTCGACGGGGCCTCTCCACAGCGGAGAGTGAACCGCGCGTTGCTTTGGGGCGAGGCCAGAAGTTTGCCGTCCCGCCAATTCCGGAGGCAGAGGACGAGCCGACATTCACGCTTAAGGGGCTAGATATGAAGGTACCCGAGGTTATTCCGTCGAGAGAATTGTCGAAGTCTCCGCCTGATCGTCGCTCTTTGGTCGACTCCAGTCAGGATGGTTCTACTGCCACAGTAAACCAGCCGTTTGTTTCATCGTTCCCGGAAAAGAGTTTGTCTATCAGTCCGTCCCCGAAAAACACGCTGAAAATCCTAATCGTTGACGACAATGAAATCAACATTAAACTCCTGGAAGCATTCATGCGGAAGCTAGGCTGCGAATATTGTATCGCACGCAACGGTTTAGAAGCACTCGAGGCGTTCAAGGCAGAGCCGAAGAGTTTCGGCGTGATCCTCATGGGTAAGTTAGCATACCCGATCCCATGGCCTCATGATTGATCTGTTTTAGATATTTCTATGCCGATTATGGACGGCCTCGAGTCTACGCGAAGTATCCGCGAGTTTGAAAAACAACTGAGTCAGAAGACATCAGTGAGCATCGTTGCCTTGACCGGACTCGCTCAGGCGGAGGTTCACCGAGACGCGATTGCCTCGGGAATGGACATTTTTCTCACAAAGCCCGTGCGGTTGAAGAGCTTGCAGCCCATCTTTGAGGAAAAGGGGGTACTGCCTTGCAGGTAATCTGATGGAGATCAATGAGTGATAATACGCACTAGGCTGCATTACCTTACGACAAAAGAAAAGCATGACCTGGGGTATGATGTATGTGACATAATCAACGTATACGCTTTGGTATGTTATTGAAGCAGTTCCCTTCGATGTATATAATTTGTCGCTATTATGATAGTAATCTCAAACTGAAATGTACATATAAGATTCGAAAAGATATCATTCGAAAAGGGACATGGGCATCGGCAGCTGTCGGTTGTACAGCTCTAGAGTAAATTGACACCGCAAGGCGGAAATATAGGTGTTCTCTGGTTCTCAATTCAAAATTCAACTGTATCCCAAATCAAAGTACTAAACATGATCGCAATTTGCGACATTCTCTGCCAGATACATACGCAATTCCCATAATAATGGCCAGCCATGTTCATCAAAATTACAGAGATTACGAGTCAATTTACCACAGCCTTGACCAATCCTACTTAGCCAAACCCATCAACCCCGTCCCCTCCAAACACCCAATATACTCGCATTCCATCTCTCCATTCTTCACCACGCTTGTCTCCACCCATAGCCCCATCTGCCCTACTCCAAACATCTCGCCACCCGGCGCGTACGCACCCAGGAACGTACTCCGAAGCTTCACATGTCCCAGGTTCCGTCGCCCGATGCGCTCCAGGGTGCCGAGGTCGCGGAAGTAGAAAAGCTGGATCTTCGTGTTATAGTTCAGAGATGGCATGTTGGTATCGTTTCGGAATTTCCCGCTTGACGGGTCGTAGCAGAGACGTGTGTTCACGGGTCCTTTGTCGGAGGAGAGGTTTGCCGTGTTGCTGTTTGTTGATAAGAGGAGATCCTTGATCCATTGCGTTGCGAGCGGATCGTAGCGTTTGAACCACAGGTCTCGTTCTGAGGGGACCATCGTCGCGTGGTCTTGGCCTTCGACTACGAAGCACAGATTATCGGGGATGTCGGAGACGAGGACACGGCCGGGGTGGATTTTCGCTGGTGTGTTTTCATCGGGGGTCCTGATTTCATCCAGATGGTCGTAGTCATCGGCCTTTTCAGTGCTGCTACCGTTCCTGGCGCTGGTACTCGCCCCGTTAGAACCTGAATACGGGCAGCGACCGGCTTGCTCTTGACCTGGCTCCTGATTCTGATGCTGAGGTTGAACCAAAGGCACATTCGAATCCAACGGATCCTTCTCGACCGTCGTCGCCGTAAGTCTCTGTCGATAACACCCCCAATATCCAGCCTTATCAACGACCGAGTTGCGCGGCCCCAGATGCCCCAAACCCGCGACCTCAGGACAAGTCGTTCCATGTTGCGTGCGACTCGCAGGGAGCGTCATCACTTCACGCCAAATCCCAGCGTCGTCGGGTAGATTGGACCAGAATTGCTGGACAGCGGGACTGGTCCACCATGTTTGATAGGAGTCGGATGTGCTCCAGTAGGTGAGCCAGATGCGGGTTTTCTCTTTTCTTTGCGGTCCTTGCGGTCCATCATCCGAGGTGGGGAGGGAGGGGGTGTTGTCTTGGACAATGTGGTCTGTGTGCGCGGGGTGGGTGGATAAGAGGTCGTTGAATCGGGTGATCAGGGTTGTTTTTTCCGGCGTGGTGGTGACATCGTCATTGTCATCGTCAGGGAGCTGGATGCCGAAGAGGGCGTAAACGAAGGGAGAGGAGGTGGAAAGTTGAACGCCGTGCATATTGACAAAATCCGGGATTTTGAGAGAGTGATTGAAAGAAGAGATTAAGTTGGAAGGACCGTGGGAAATTGGCCTTTAAACAGCAGAATGGCCCCCCCCCCCCCCTCTCATTTTCTTTGTCTGCAGAGATCGGCAACTGGCATGCATTCTCGGGCTATAAGCACACATCTGGTTGGGTGGACCGAATAAGCTGACAACTTGGTGGGGTCCGGAATTCTTGCAGAACAGAATCCAGAACTAACTATTCAAGAGTCGGATTAGAAATCGAGGTTGAATAGTAATACGCTCGAAGACTGGCCCGTAAGCTGCCAAGCACCATGATCCACTCTGCCATGTGGTGACGCTAAACATAGTGCTGAGTGAGCAGGGGTATACTCTGAAGATACTTGGCAGAGAGGGTGAAGGTAGATGGAAGTATTTCTCCGGGAAAAGTGGTCGGCCATCACCTCCGAACTCAGCGACGCGTGACTTCCCTTTCGGAGTCCGAAGTGCGAGCCTCAGGACGACAGGGTGCCTGGGGCATCTTTCCTCTCTTCCTCTAGGCCTTGGCCCTATCCCATCTTTAGTCTTGAATTCCATTCTTCACGCGCCCCCCAAACCTGCAAACCGCCCCAAGTCAAGCCAAATAAAACTCAAATTCAAACAAAATGCCCCTCCTCGTCCTCACCAACGCCACCAGCCATCAACCCCGCTCCACCACCGCCATCCAATCCGACCCGTCCCTCAATAGCCAATACACCATCCGCGGCCTGAGTCGCGACCCTGCAAACCCACGAGCCCAGACCCTCGCCACCAGCACAGGAGTCGAGCTAGTCTACGCCGACGTCTCGGACCCGATCTCTCTCCGCACGGCCTTCCAAGACGCAGACATCGTCTTTGTCACAACTATCACCATCTACGATGGACATACTTACGACCATGAAGTCGAACACGGCAAGGCCATAGCCGACGCGGCGGTCGCGATGGCCGTGCCGTATCTGATCTATTCCACCTTGCCCAGTATTAAGCGTTTGTCGGGTGGTGTGTTATCTAGAGCGGGTCAGTGGGATGGCAAGTGCGTGATTGAGAAGTACATTCGCACATTACCGATCAAGGCAGCGTTTATCAGTCCGGGGTCATTTATGGAGAACTTTCATGCGTCGTTGACGCCGAGACGGGTTGTCCATCGTCAAGGTGATCGGGCTGATGATGGCGTGAAGGAAGAGGAGTATGCGTTAACATGCTTTGTATCACCGACGACCACGCTCCCTCTGATAGCAGTGGAGTCTGACTTCGGGAAGTGGGTGGCTGCGATGATCGCTGATTTCGAGCGCTTCGAGGACCGCGTGATTTGTGCGGCCACGAGGATGTATTCGCTCGACGAGATTGTGAGCATCATGAGTTCGGTGTCGGGAAAGAGGGTGGTGTATAATCAGGTAGGGAAGGAGGCCTGGGGTGAGCTTTTGCCCCGGGAGAGGAGGCCGTATATGCTGGATATGATGCAGTGGTTTCAGGATCATGGCTATTTCGGGAAGGGCACGGAGGAGAAGGTGAGAGCTGGCAGGGAGGAGGCGAGGGGCGAGGTTATTGAGTTGGAGGAGTATTTGAGAAGGAATCCGTTGGTGCTGCGTTAAACATATTGTATGATTCGTGGGGTTGAGGGAAGGAGAGTTGACAGATTGACACCGGAGCGACCATATGCTTATTGCACTTCATAGTTTCAAACAAGAATGAATATCCCATTGTTATACTGTCATCGGAACTGAAACTGACCTCAGATCAACTCATAGCCTCCTCCAGAAACTTACCGAAACGCACCATATGCTGCCCTCTCTCCATCGAGAAATGTTTCACCCCTTCTAGCACAGTGACATGTAAATTCTTCCTCTCCACTAAACTCGCCCACCCATCACCACTGAAATCCGTCCGATCCGTCAACAGCCATATCATCTCTCTCGGGTCATCATCCCGAAGCTCCATCTTCGGTACCTCCTCGCCATGACATACGCCATCCGTCGCATAGATCAGATATGTCGACACCGAAAACCCTAGTTTTGAAACCCAATATGCGTCTAGCAAGCGGATGAACGCGTCGAAATGCGGCCGGAGCCAATCCGGCGCGGTGCCCCGACCAAAGAGCCCGATCTGCTCGAAGAAATCGTACATTTTGGCCGGCGGATTCTGAAGGCCGATTGGGTTTGGTGCATCGATTAGAATGATTCGACTTGTTTTTTGTCCCGCGGCATGTAATTGACGCGCAGCTTCGTAAGCGCAGATTCCACCTGCAGACCAGCCGGCGAGATGGTATGGGCCGGTGGGTTGACGGTGTCGGATCTCGACGAGGTATTTTGCGGTTAAAGATTCGAGGCTGCGAGTCATTTGATGGGGCGTTTTCATGTACGGGCAGTTGAGCGCGTAAGCGGCTGTATTTGGGACCTTGGGGATATGTGCGTAGGATGTTGCTGATCCAGAGCCGTCGGGGAAGAAGAAAACCGTTTTTTGGCTGGTTTTTGGATTGCCCCAAAGAAGGATGGAGGTGGACTGGGGACCTGAGCTGGGGTCGCAGGAAGGTACAGCAGTTCTGGGTGGTGGTGAGGGTAGGTCGGATGGTGGCGTAATGAGGCCGAGGCTTTTGTTCAGTTCGGAGAGATTGTGGCAGTCCGTTAGGGCTGTTGATGGGATTTCGATTTCAAGCGTCTCGGCAAGTGTGCTGGCGATTGTAAGGGCAAGTAGTGAGTCCACGCCGAGCTCGCTGAACGGCGTGGTGGGCGTGACGTCGCTGATAGACGCGCCGGTTTCTGACGCGATGGTCGAGCGAAGTAAGTCGATGAGGGAAGTAGATTCGTTAGCACTTGGCTCAGTAATTCCAGTCAAGTACCCGGACATGGTCTCGCTGGAGGAAGGGGTGTTGACAGTCGGTGAACTGCTCAAGGAGGCAAGGTGGGTCATTAAGTCTTTTGGGGTGGGGTATTCTGTAAATAGAGAGGACGAGACCTCGATGCCCACTTCTTCTTGGATTCGACCGCATATAGTCAGCGAAAGAAGAGAGTCGATGCCGTGATTTGTGAACTCATCCGTTGGTGACAGGTCAGCAAGGGCAACCCCTGATTCGGCTGCAATGATACCCATGACACGAGCCGCGGCGTCTGGTTTTGTTGATTCGTGTGCCGGCGAGTGTTGTCTGTGCGTGACTGGAGGAGGTACACGACGCTCAGAAGCACCGCCTGAAAGCACCCTTTCCAGCACACGTCGAGGAATGCCTTGGAACTATGCCCGTTAGACCACAATCATGCCTCGGACTGTCGGACTTACTCTCACGCCCTCATACAGTCCAATAACAGTTCCCCCATCCAAGATATACGTATCACCCACATATGTCATGCCACTCTCAACCTGCATTTTGTTATACACCCGGTATGTCTTACCCATGGACACTGGCACAGGACAGCGCATCCGCTCCCATCCTTGGTTGATGAAAACCTGTGTCTTGCCCGGTGAAACATCGCTATTCAGAACAAAGCCCGCGACGTGGCCAAGACTATCAATCCAACATGGATTGAATATGAAACCATTGTCGCCGGTTTGGAAGGACACTAATACAGTAGCTTCATGTTCCTCGGCATCGAAGATCACATCTTGCATGCCATGGTAGTCGGGCCCGTATTCGACCGTTTGTGCAAAAACCTGGTATGCGAGTTTGCGTTTGACGTGATGGGCTTCGCCTTGATGGGCACTCTCTTGCAAAGCATCGATTCGGCTCTGGATGAGATATGCGTTGCGCCTCCAATCCTCTAACCAGCGGTGAGACTCGCTTATCCGTACGCAGAATGTAGCATGCTCCGTTTCCTTGTCCTTTGGGCCGCTGAAAAGACGGCATGACACTATCTGGGCTCGCCAATCCGCCTTTGCAGCTACATAGTAAAGCTGAGATGGTACGTCCTGAGAAATGAGCGGATTTTGTATCTTCATTTCCGCTACGTCTAAGCCGACTGTATCAGGAGACAGTTTGACAGCTTGCATCATGTATCTCACTATTGTGAGAGCAATATCCGCATATAGAGACTGCTCTGTCAGCAAGTGGTAGACAGTATCACTGGATAGAATTTACCGAAGGACATAGCACTGTGCCATGGACAACGTGGCCGGTAAGGATAGGCGCCAGTCTTGCATCGTGTATGTCAGACGCCGCCAGCAGAGTAGATGTATCATCTCCGTGGGATTCCTCCAGAACCTGCTGGACTGAAGGACTCAAGTAAAGCGGCTCGGCCTTCTCAGCAGAAACCCCGTCTCCTTTCGTCAGACAGAAGTTGTTCCGATAAGGGATCCAGTAGTTCTTCAAATCCCAGGCATACCGCGGCAAGGCCAGGACCTCCTGTTGATGTTCCCACGGCCGATGGTACTCAGACCAGTTGATCTCAACTCCGCTATTATACAAGACCTCTAGGCCTCCTGTAATGACGGTCCAAGTATCAGTGTCTGTCCGGAGGGACGGTACAGTTACTATATTCCGGCCCAAGGTGCCCTTTATCATGCCCGAGCAGGTCGGATGCGACCCTAATTCCAGCCATATGGTCTTTTCACTGACAAGATCTGCCCTTGCAGCTTGGATGGCACCTTGGAAGTTGACGGGCTGTCGACATGCCTGGGTCAAGTATTTCCCGAGCAAAGTACCGGTATCCCCAGCTGAGATAACGGATGCAAGTAACGGTGAAATGTATGCAACACGTGGTGGACGATACCGAATGCGGCTGGCAGCTAGCTCGAATTCCTTCAAAACAGGATCAACATGAGCCGAGTGAAAGGCGTAAGGGACGTCCATCATGGTACATGCAACCCGGCAGCCATCCAGCCTCTGCTTTAGGCCGGAAAGCTGCTCTAAAGAGCCACTCACAACATTGCTTTCGGGTTGGTTGAAGCAAGCGATTTCGCAGGTATCTAACTCCGGCTGCATCCCCTGGGCTGACTGCTTGACTACTAACATGCCATGTGTCCGTGGACGCGTCTTCTCGACAAACAGCATAGCCCGCGTGCCAACCAGGTATATAACATCACTAGCGGTGATCACACCTGCAGCGTAAAGAGCAGCATACTCGCCCAGACTGTGCCCTATAGTGGCCACCGGCAAAACCCCAAGGGATGACCAAAAGTTGTATAGGGCCATTTGGAGGCAAACCAGGCTCAGTTGGTCTGCCACTGGAGAGGAGTCTTCTGTTGTCCCCTGGATTATAGGCAAGAATGGCGGGAAGCCCTGGCTTTGAGCGATAGAATTCAAACGCAAGATGCAATCACGGAACGAAGGAACCATGTCAAAGAGTTGCTGCCCCATGCCGGCGTACAGTGCGCCTTGTCCAGGGAAAACCATGATAACCCTGCTCTTCGGAGAAACGGTATGCGTGATCGAAACAGTCGCTTGCAATCGTTCAAGAATGGATACGGTGTCCCCGCCGGATACCAGTACCCGGAAGCTGTGATGCATTCGCCTAGCTGTGCTTGTGTATGACAGACTCGACAGCGAAACCTCTGGATGGTCAGCCAGATAGTGTATCATATTCTCCAAATTACCCTGTAGTGACATGGCCGTCTTTGCCGTTACAGCCACAACATGCCTGGCCCGCTTATCCTCTCCCGGTCGACTTCTCTCCGGTGCATCTTCTACCAAAGCTGCCGTGTTTCCCCCGGCCGCACTGAAATTATTCAAAAAGACAAGCCTCTTCTCTCCTTTCCCCCTGTTCCACTCTGCGGCTCTCATGGGAATGTGCACGTTCCTCTCGTCCCAATCAGTGGGATAAGTGTGATTGATCTTGGTCTTGATGCCACAGTGCGGTGGAATCGTACTGAACCTCAGCATCAACAACACTTTGATCAACGACGCTACGCCACTTGCGGATCCGGCGTGACCCATATTCGCTTTCGCTGCCCCAAGGTACAAGCACCTTTTTCTCGGCTTCTCAGGTGCAAACACCTTCAGGACGGACCTCATCTCAGTGGCATCGCCGGCCTGGGTACCGGTCCCGTGCATCTCCACGTATCCAACCTCCTTTGGATCGGTGCCAGTATATCGGAGTATGCGATTGAAGACTGCAATTTGATCGCCTTCAAATGGCCGTGTGATGGAGTCCGTGTGGCCACAATGGTTTGTGTACGTGCCGCGAATCACACCAAAGATGGGATCATTTTCAGACAGGGCGTCGTCGAGTCGTTTCAGCAGAACACTGCCGACACAGTCGGATCGACAGTACCCGCCTGCACCGTCGTCAAACGCGTTGCAGTTTCCTTGCTCCGTTAACACGGGATGATGAAATAATTAGGAGGTAGATGTACCCTTGGTCGTAAGAAAGTGACCTCTATCGAGGCCCGCAAAATTATCCGGGTTCGTCATGACATTGCAACCTCCAGCAAGAGCTGTGTCGCATTCTCCGCGCCAGAGGTATGCGCATGCTGCTTGAATGGCAGCGAAGCTCGACGAGCACGCCGTGTCAATGCTCAGGCTTGGTCCACAAAATCGAAAGAAGTAGCTGTGCAAATTAGGTTATTAGTGACACAAACGGATTTCAAGAGCACGGTCGGCACCTGATCCTCCCAGAAAGAAATGCCCTGTTCCCACCGGGGATGAAATAGGTATCCACGTTTTGGCCACTATTCACCTCCCTGTAGTCATCGCTCGTCATACCGTAGAACACACCAATCCGATCCTGCTGGGTGCTAGGGGTTGAGTTCGGAACCAGCCCAGCCATTTCGATTGCTTCGAACGCTGTTGTGAGACCCAATCGCTGGCACGGATCCGTGTTCTCCGCTTCCCGCGCGGACATGTTGAAGAATCGCGCGTCGAAGACACCAGGTTCCTTGATGAAGCAGCCATATTTGATTCGGCTCGTATTTTTCTTCTTGCCCGTTGCATCGTAATGCTCTTCCCAGTCAAATCTGTCTTCGGGGATTGTGCGATGCGCATCGCGACCTGCCAGCAGGAGAGACCAGAACTCCTCGTTGGATGCAGAGTCAGGGAAACGACCGGAATAGCCTATAATTGCTACTTTCGAGTCGGAGAACCTTCCTGTGGGCTCGTTTTCCGGTGGGGGTGGCAGGTTGCCTTCATTGATGGAGGTCGTAGTAACAGTCAAGGATGGAAGTTGCTGGGCTAGACTGCTAGCAAGAAAGGAACCTCGATCTTGGACACAATAGAGTGTGCAGTCTGTAAAGTCATGCACAGACAGCTCTCTAGAGAGGCTCGACACGACGCGGTTCCACTGAATGGGGTGTGTCAGTGTCTCCGTCACCGCTCCGTGGAGAAGATCCTCGAATCTCTGAGACTCTAGGATAACTCCAGACGCAGCCGACACTATTGGAAGCCGCTGCGCATACCCTTGCAGGGAGGGGTGGTGGAACCCGAACCCCCCTGCATCACCACCGCTAAATAAATGCGGTGCGTGATAGGGTATTTCAATCGGTAGCACAGAATGCTTTAATGCTGATGCCAACAGAAACTGGGGCAATAAACCCGGCGGGCCGCTTATAGTCACACAGTTGCTGAAAGAGCTAACGTACAGTTGCATGACACGAGGGAGAGTCTACACCATCAGCATCCTATCAGTCTGGTGGAAGTTGTTCTTACCTTCTCCGCATTGAATCTCTGGACCAACTTCTCGGCCACAGACTCATCAACCGCGACGACAGCAGACCATGCTCTGTGCTCTTCATCGAGACTGGTGAGGTCATCTCGCAGGGTCAATGCACGTACAGCCGTCTGCAAGGCGACGAGAACGGCCTCGACCGCTGCAGGAACCAACTCTGTCAAGGTGCGCGAGGTGCTGATGGCTGCAGCGGCAAAGCACCCGGTACAAGCGCCGATGACATAGGCGTTGTCGGTCGGATAAGGGCTAGCGCCATCTCCAAAATGCCTAGAATGTCAGATCCCATCGCTGAGCCATTTGGGACTCAAGATCCTCACTTGATAAACAAGCCAATTTGAGTGGTGACAACAAAAGCGAACTTCAGTGCCGGACACGCATGAGACTGGTCATGCTGGGCAAAGAGGTCCACCAAAGTAGTGAAACACGGGAACCAGTCTTGCTGATAGACCGGAAGGCTGGCAACATAGCGCCGAAGATAATAGCCAGCTTTCTCGAGAAAATCGATGAGAATGGGATTATTCTTGACCTGGAGGAGGTCGTGAAGAGTTGACTCGAAGGGAACGGTTTGGTCCCCGAAGACGAAGACGTTGGCCTGCATGTTTGCGATGTTTGTTCTGTTTGCGCTCGATGTTTGGTCCGTGCGTTAATGCCTGAGGTTTCGACGATGCATACACCTTGAGTAAGTCGATGGGGTTGGAAGTGACACGTTTGATCTGAAGGAGGCGTGCATTTGCTCTCTTTCTGGAGAGCAAATATTTCGGAGCCCGGGGATTGTCTATATCAAAATACATAAAGCATTAGGAAGCCGTTTCGGAAGGCAAAGCCCGTCAGCATGCGACGTCGCAATCCAGTGTTGGACAAATGCCTAAGTTGACATGTGAGTACGCATGAGCTTGGGCTATATGGCATAACGTACTCCTGGGCGTAGATCCTGCATATCCCCTATTCAGTGCTAGCATTAGTTTTCAATGTTGGGTACTGCCTAGGAGTCATAAGAACGACGGATGCTATTGACGTGTGTTGTGTAGAGAACTGGTAGATCTTTTGTCTTACGTCCTTGGGTGTCCTGGCTTGTGAATACAGTACTTACGGCACAGTTATTGAAGGGTGGATTTGAGGCAAGTAGCCTGTGGTTCATACTTGCACATGCATAAAATGCTCGACCCTAGTGGGCTGCATCAAATGTAACTCGTTTTGGAGCAGATAGAATGAAAAGTCACACACGGCTGTTTTTTCAAAATTGACTTTGATACCGATATCATATTCAGTCAATCGATGCAACTTAAAACATCTAAACGACAACCCCATCTTCAATCAACTTCTCCACCCAACCAGTCAAAAAGACCGTCCGCTCAGTGTCCGCAAAGTGCTCATGATCAGGACCAATCACCTCCTTGAAAAACGGATCGTCCCTGGCCTTCAAATAATCCTGGATGTCACGAAACTTGACCTGAACCACGCAGTCATAATCAGCGATTTTCTTCTCGGCCTGAGGTACAGGCCCGAGCAGTTGTGTAGCCATGGCTTTGGTCTCGGACGTGTTATGAGTCTTAATCAAGTGGATGTTAGACATGTTTCTTGAACCTGTTCCAGCGAGGACATGGGTAAGATGCATACCATTGTATAACTGACAATTCCAAATTTGGCTATGTGGTTCTTGACCACGGTTGCATGGTGGGTGCTGAGGTACTCATGGTAGGCCTCTTCAGACATGCCTTTCTTGCGGTAGGCAAGAATTGTCCAGGCGTATAGAGGGGCCATTTTAGAGTTAGGCTTGAATGCTGCTCTTGTTCCTTACACGCTTATGGTCTTACGGCATGTTTTATGGTTCTTCAAGGCTTCGGAGCTCGGAATCCGAGAATATGGGAAATCTTTTAGCGCAGACTCTCTAGTAGCTGTGGTTATTCTTCCAGCGTTATCTAATGAGTTCTAATTTCTATACAGTTGAACGGCACTAAGACACAATCCAAGGAAACGAATAATATTCCACCTTGATGTCCAAGAAGCATGGGAAACCACATATATCCCTAAGCTACATTATATCTATGCGCCAGTATCATCCCTTGGCTGCATCCCCTCAAGTCTCTCTGAATCATGTCCATCCATAGGTTTGAACCCTTTCGTAAACACTGCGCTCTCTCGCACCTTCTCCCAATCATGTAGCATGTATCCATTCTCAACTGAGCAAGTCACCTCCTCCCTACCTCGAGGAATCATTTCCGCCTCATAAGCGGTGATCACATCGCTGAGGACTGACCTGCCATCAACTACATTCCGTATACCTTGCAAAAGATTCGACACGTCACATATACAGTGATTCAAGCCCTGTCCGCGGTCTATACTGTCAGTATATTACGCCTGTTCAATGGGGAGACTTACAAGGAGGCATTGAATGCGCAGCATCTCCAACCAGTGTGATCCTGCCTTCTCGGTTATCCCACGGCTGGCTGACCCAGAAACTGATATCCGCTTTATTGGCTCGTGTATCATCCGGAAGCCAGGTGAATGCAGATCGTGCAGGCTCAGCTAAGGTCTGGGCTCTCTGACGGATCAAATGTAATCTTTCCTCGTAGGAGGATGGTTCGTCTACATCAGTGAACCAGGCCATGGCGAGATGGAAGATCCATGAGGCAGGGTTATCCGGCCCATCGGGCATGCTCGAGACTACTTGCATTAGATAGATTTCAAGACTTCTGGCGGGACATACTAGACTGAAAAGCGTGAAACGACCGGTCGCTCAACGCTAGATAGCTCGTCGGAAACCGCTTCCGTAAGAACAGTGCTTTATCGGCGTCAAAGGATGCCGTCATATTGGTATGGAAGATCGGAAATCGGCTCACGGCCGCTTTCTCGACGCTTTTCATAGCAAACTCGCGCACCGTCGACCGCGGTCCATCCGCGCCGATGAGTATCGTTCCGGATACCATGCTGCCATCTTCAAAAAGGGCTATTACGCCGCCTCTCTCGGCAAACGCAACGTCGATCAATTTCTTTCCGTATTGTACAGGTATGCCCTCTGCGCATAGTGCACGCATTCCGCTGCGCGGGACTCTCAGCCCTTTCTCGTAGGGAACAGCGGCCAGAATATTTCCGGTCTCCCCGTGAATGACTGGGTATCGTCCGCCTGCATCGATGGGAATGGCAGGGTTGCAGGAGACGTCATTCATCGCTCGATACCGCTCCTCGGGGAGTAAGGCCTGCAGACGATCCAGAGCCCAGTGGATCGCCATGGTCCACTCATTGCTGCGGTAATTCAGGGCAACTTCTTTCTCGAAGATGGAGTAGCGGATTCCGGCCTATTGCTGTTAGCATGGCTCGTGTGGTCAGAGAATCCTACTTTTTTGAGTGACTGTGCCAGAATTAAGCCAGTGATCCCGGCGCCTATGATGAGTACGTGGACTTCTGTGTTTGTGGCCATGTTTAATCGCAGCGATGATTAGAGTACTCAAGATCTGTATGTCTCAATTCTACCCCTGCATGCCATCTTTCGCGGTCGTCTGATTTTACTCGGGGCTCGGATTCCGAGCACGCGGCGCTCTAAACCCTACATCCTTCTTTGCCGGTATCTTTCCATTTGCCACCGGTGATTTACCATCTGCTCAATATGCAGATCACACTGATGGACTTCAGTGCGTGGAGTTTAGCGCTTCTTGTCTTGCCTGCCACATTATGTGCTTTCCCCTTCATCCAGCATAGCTACATCTACCTTCATCCGCTGCGAAGGTATCCCAGTCCGCCCGTCTGGGCAGCTACTTGCCTAGGTCCCTTGGTGCTGGTATCAATTTCACGGCACCCTAAATCAAAGGCTTCTTCACCTGTACCGGAATATGGCCAGACGATTCGAGTCGCCCCAAATGAATTATCATGCAAGGCCGCTGCTGCCTGGGAGGCTATCTACGGTCCACAATCAGATAAGATGCCAAAAGATTCAGTGTTCTCTCTACTTACACCTACCGGTATGCCGAGTGAGCTTTATTCTCTTTTGCGTTCAGTAATACGGGCCTGGTCTAATTATCTACAGCTATCCTGACAGCTGATCGAGCGACCCACAGCAGACAGAGACGTCTCCTCTCTCACACATTCTCCGAAAAAGCTCTCCGCGAGCAGGGCGACATCATCGAAGGCTATGTGAATCGACTGATGCCGCAATTTTCATCTCTCGCAGATGGAGGATCCATCAATGTTTCCGCATGGTTCAACTATTTTGGTACGTCCACTCCACGCCTTCCCAAGCCCGGACCAACTAAAAAGACAGCCAGCATACGACGTAATCCAGGACCTCTCCTTCGTCGAACCCTGCAGTTGCACGGAAACTGGCATTCCAGACGTATTCGTCTCCTCGCCTCCCGCCATATCCAAATAGCTCATCCTATTCCAAATGCTGACCTCACCTGGCCAAGTCGTTTCTTCATGCTGCGATCCGCCTCCGGTGTGCGCGCCCGAAACATCAACCGAGTAGTAGACACCGTCACCAGACGCATCGAGCTCGTCACCGACCGCAAGGACTTCCTCCATTATATCCTCGCAGCTATGGAGAGCGATAAAGGCATGACTCGCGACGAAATCAACATGAATGCGTTCTCGTTCAGCATTTCCGGATCAGAGGATACGGCTACCGCGCTCGCCGCGTTCGTGTTTTAAATTTGTACTCATCGCCGCGTGTATCGGATTGTTGTGGCGGAGATTCGCAGCAGGTTTGGGGATGAGGGAGAAATTGGAATGAGCACTGCTAATGACCTGGCATATATAAATGCCGTTCTCGCTGAAGTCCTCCGCATGCATCCCCTCGTTGCGATTCACCTTTCCTCGTGTGGTTCCTCGTGCGGGCGTCTTCATTGACGGCGGCTTCGTTCCGCCAGGTACTTCCGAGAGCTTGGTCTCTCGACGAACAATCGATACTCGTAAAGTTAGGCATTTCCTTTGCACTAGAACCTCCCCAGATCCAATAGTGCTGGTGTCCCACTAAGAGTTTATGGATCTCCCGGGGACACTTGATGATTAAGCTCATAATTACTATCCCCAGTGAAGTTGAACTTCTTCACCAGCACAGAATAGAGAAGAGAGCGAAAATAAACGATGCACAGAAGGAAAATACATCAAACCTAAAACACACAAATTCGCAACATAGTCAGAGATATAGGAAGGCATAGGCGAAGGCGAGTTATTTCAATGCTCAACTAGATCACTCGCTCAGGTCATATACATCTTTTCTCAGTGGCTTTCGCCTCCCTGTGTAGCCTTCGCCTGACGGGCATACCAGCCCGTAAGATCTTTAACTACATAACCTACAAAATTGACTAAGTGAACGATCCCACAAAACCAGTAAAACGAAATATTCCAGCATTTCTGATGCAGAGATAGGTAGCTGCATAAATAGTAGTAGGAAATGCTCAGGGCGAGAGTAGACAGCACAAATCTAGTCGTCGGCAATTAGTACAAGTAGCTTTTGGGACTCTGTATCGATCAAATTACTTAATTGGATGCACAAAAATGGTCCAACGCTCAATGAATTTGAAAATGCTAGTGCAAAGCTGTCGAATTGGGTTTTGTTCTGGACGGCCAGGGCTTGAGCGAGATTCGGACAAGAACATAGAACCATGTGGGTTGGGGTTGGGGTCCTGTTTCAATTCTTCCATTGTAGCTTTCATACAGAAACGATTGGAAATTGGCAGGGCAGAAAGAACGGGGCAAGAGTCGAGCGTAATGGAGGCGGCAGCTTTACTTTTATGGTCCAAATGAGTCGCAGGGATCTTGGATAGGGAAAGGTTTTGTGGGACCGATAGGGCAGGGACCGCAGTGTCTGTACTAAACTGTGTCGCGAATCGCTTCTGGAGTCGGAGGTCTAAAAGTCGCATGTAGACCCACATGAAACAACAGGAGAAAAGATTGTATTCCAAAATCTCTCAAGGTATAGAAAATTGATTTCAATTGGAAGAAGCAATAAGCTTCCCAGGGGAAGACCTCAATAGCGGGACCTTACTCGCATACCTCGACTAATTGGAGAATATATGTCCTTCTGAAAGTCACTCTGTTAGGTTGACATTATAAAGCTATTCATGACTTTCTCAATGCTCCATAGTGGCACTAAAGTAGGTTCCTACTAGCACAGCTCAAGGGCCTTGCTGAGGTCTGCCCCCTAACTTCAAGTGGAAACACCCCCGAAGAGCTTTATAAATGTGAGACATTTGAGTAGAACATGTTAAGTTAAACAAACTAACAAGCACTTTCATGTGAGAATTCTGCGTAGTCGCTTTACAAGACTACCCGAGATGAGCATTAGAATTATTTTTGAAGTAATGGTATTGTATACTTGGTTTATACAGCACTGGGCCAACCAGGTTGCTATTGGCATTGGCGATGAATGTATAGGACTGGTTAATGCAGGGTAAACGGCGAACTTCTATTACCAATTGTTCCCTAAATTGAACAGTTCTCGATGGAACTATATGAATGTTGAAATTTGTGGGATAGCCGATTTTCGGTAGACTTTACAGGACATTTTGTTTAAGTAAAAAACCGTTCTTCTCCCAGCATTTATCTTTTAAGCACATGAATTTTTTCAAGTTACTATGTATCAATGTCGTGTACTAAACACAGCTATAGTGGTGAAAACACCACGCTTCCGGAGACCAACCACTCATTTTTACCGCGATCAGATGAACGGAAAGGGCAGTGAGAAACCTGGGAGGCTGCCAATCGTGGAGTAAGAGAAAATGTTCTGCAGTATGAGATTCTGACCCGAAGAATGAAGGCTGTTTTTGGCTTTGTGTTTCTTGTTGTTCTTGAGTTCGATAAATCCGTGGCTAAGGACAAGAATATATATCTGATCAATAAGATGAATGGAGCCCGTTTAAAAAAAGGATTGTTTTACTCAGCAAAACTTATGGATTCTAACAACATTACAATAGTTTGAAAAGAGTGAATAGAAATATTTGTTACAGTAGTGGCTGATGCAGTTCCGTGTCGCCCACTGGGAAGCCAGGCGATCATGATGTCGTGTTTGCCCGGGTGTGCAGTTGTCATAATATGAGGAACTTGACCAGACTGTCTCCATTAAATGCGAGCTTGAGCCAAGCTAAACTGTCAAGTAGAAAGAACCGAGCATGCCTCAATATACCTAACAGTATTGCATCTCAATCTCTCTTCTAACATCCCATAGCTCCCAGCCGCGTTACACCCGCCTCCCATAGCACAACGAGCTATCCGCAACCAAACAAACTTCCGGATTTAAGATGAAACCATAAACCCCGAATTAGATGTTAAACCCACCCTGCAGCACGACACCACCTGCATTTCTAGAATGACTTCATCATAAAATCATCTCTGACCAGCGGAAGTCCCCAAAGATTGGCGATGCCTGATGCGCGGGGTTCCCGTAGTGTCTCTTGGCATCTGCCGGCTTTTCTCTCTTTTCCTTCTTCATTCTTCAACCCACCAGCCAGGGCAAACCGGCTCATGATCGGTATATATAAATAGCATAACTACGGTACCTCCGATAGATGAAAAGACCCTTCCTGCGCAGGGTCTACTCCAGGCACCCATTTTCTTCGTGCCTGTCGAGTCAGGCTGTTAGGCAGGTTGTCCCCGGAGACTGGATCGACGCAGGACATGCCTAGTCAGTAGTAGTGGTCACCTATCGATCGATGCCACGGGAGACTAGCACTGTCGGACGGGATAATGTCGTTTGTGGGCCAATGAGCAGTGATGGTCGTGGCATATTTCTTGGTCAGGGTATTAGTTACTCTGGGGTTTTGTTGTTGCCTTTCGCAGCTATATATAGACTTGTATGTGCCAAGCGAGGTTGTATGTTCCTGGTCCATGATATTCTCTGGCATGGGGAGATTCATGATTCATGTTGAATAGTATGCCTGAGTGTTCAACACCAACAGCCAATGCACGGATCAGAGACAGCAGAGTAGCTGAACAGTCATGGACGACATCGGAGGATATCCCGCCCATCCTGTTTCGCTTGGCGATCTTGGCAAGAGGAGAGACTTTATTGAACTTCTTGATTCATCAGAGCTCAGCCCTGGAACACTCTAGGAAATCAGATGAGAAATGATAACGGCCCTGTGGAGTCTACGTCCGCCCTAACTTCAGGCCCATAATCATATAGTTATCATGACAAAAACCTCCGAATCATTCATGACTTCACTCCGTTCAGTCCTGCTTGGCTCAAGAGACCCCTCAGCCAACCGCAGTAATGCATCTGTCGATCCGTCATCTCATCCCGGACGCCAATTCACTAATCGTCCAGGGTCCCTTTTCTGTATGTGCTCCGCCACAAAGTCGAGACTAGGGACTTGTTTACCGGGGTTAGGGCATTTCCTAGTCTGTCTGTACTAGCTGTGATGGGTCATTGACTGATTCTGATTCGGGTGAACAGACCAGACGAAATTGCAATTGCCTAGGTGTCTGGGTGCATTACATATCTAGCATGCTGGATCCGCTTTGTTCAGCTTACCTTGGCTTTCTGCTTTCTCTTTCTGTTACGATTTAGAATCTGACCTCGAGTTCAGTTCAATATTCTTGCGGTGTGTCGATTTGAAATAGACTCGTCCACCTCCTGACTGCATTGTTTGCCAATTACTTCTAGCACTCCTACAAGACAATTGTAATGTGATGCCACCCGAATGATCCCCTTCCTGTGGTTCGGTATCGCTCTGGCTACCCTGCACTTGCATCCAGGCGTAGCCAGAGCTGACGATAGTTCGAGTTCGAGCTGTACGTTCTCTCTTCACTTCCTGTCATATCGCATACACTTCCATAACCCTAACAAACCAACATCTCACTACCCACCCATCTATACATTACATCTAACCACCCACCCCACGGGGAATACAAGGCACCGGCGAAATCAAAATATCCAAGCAATCCGACGCCGACGCGCTCTCCTCCTGCGACACCATCTCCGGGACCCTCGTCATCGCCCCCTCCGCCAGCGGCACCATTTCCATCCCCAACGTCGAAGAAATCAAAGGTCCGCTGACCATCAAGGACGCCGACGACCTGAACGCCGTGCGCGCTGAGGATCTGGAAACCGTGACGGGGCCGGTCACGATCGAGAATAATAAGCGGCTGACGAGTCTTAAGTTCGAGGAGTTGGGGAGTGTTGGGGGGGAGGTGAAGATTAAGGGGAATGACGTCCTGAAGGAAATTGGGTTCGATGATTTGGAAAGTGTTAATGGGGGGTTGGAGGTTGTGGGGGGGTTTGTTGGGTATGTTTCTTTCTGATTTCTCTTTTCTTGGGGACTGGGTTGGGGATGAATGTGATCTGTCGACTATCCTACTTACCGACTTGGGTGGTTGTGTGCCTATTTGCTATCTATGCATGCGCATGGTATCCTCAACGATGCCACACCACGTCTACACACCATTCACCCATCTCCAACACAGATACACACAGATTACCCAAGACCAAACATACTAACAGACGAAATAAAAAGACTCTCCCTCTCCAACCTCGAAAAAGTCCGCGGCGTGACATCCATCGTCTCCACCGCGAAAGAATTCACCTGTTCGGCTCTCGACTCTCTCCATTCCGACGGCGTATTTGGCAGCGACTTTACCTGCAAAAATGATGCCTCTTCTTCATCCTCCTCGGACAGCGATAACGACAAGAACGATGGCAATAGCGACAGCGATAAGGAGAATGCAGGCGGAGGAGGCCTCAGCCCCGGTGCGAAAGCCGGAATCGCAGTTGGTGTGATCATCGGCGTCTTGATCATCCTCCTCGGGATCTGGTTCTGTATAAGACGACAGAGGAGGCAGAGGATGGCGCAGAAGGAGGCGATGGCGGGGCTTGCTGCCGGTGGTGCTGCTGCTGCCATAGCCGGGAGTAAAGGTCCTAGCGGAGGAGGTGGAGGTGGTGGTGGCGGAATCAGCGATGAAGAAAAAGGCACGAGTGATAACACCACGACCACGACTTCTTCTGTTAGTCCCGTCTCGCCAGATGACATGACCGCCAATGCGCTCGCTATACCTCGGAAACCGCTCTCTCCGGCTCCCCAAGAGACGGGGATTGTGTCGATAGCAGGGACGGATTCCGCCTTAGGCACGAACTCGAATTCGGCGATAGGGTCAGGAACGAGGTCAACGTCATTACCCTCAGCCTTGGTCGCAGGGGAATCAGATCCTCGATTCTCGACAGTCTCGGCGCTAGGGTCGAGCGATCAATCAGAGTCGTTGTTCTTAAGGCCCATGCCGAGACGTATACCCTCGGAGTCGGATGTGCCGATGCTGGATAGTGGTGATGTTCATGAGGCGCCGGCGCAGTCGGCCAGGGAGCTGGATCCGCCGTTTGAGTTGGATGCGGGACCGGTGAGGGGGACGCATCAGCAGGCGATTAATCATGAATAGATTTTGTGACGGTGACGGTGACGGTGACGGTGCTGATGCGCTGGACGAAAGATGATGTGTGATGATTTTTTGATACCATACATACCCTACCATGCTTATACCTACCTGATTATAAAGATATACCCAATGCATCAAGCATGATGCAAGGCAGAAGAATGAAGAATGAAATCAAACTAAGTCAAGTAAGTCATATACCAACGATTATGATAGGTAAAACAGTTTGCTACTCGTAACCACTTTATATGCCCATCCTGATCCCATGCCCATTGCCATGATATGATATTATACATCAACAAACATTAAAAGAAGTGAAGAAGGAAAAACCCATCTATGAAGACGTGCTGACGGCGTTATACCGTCAGTCCTGATTTGTGCTTGCCGGATTGAGCTCGCACTGCCTGCAGTGTCTCGCCCGATGCCAGCGGTCCACACCATCCGTACGTATCGCACCGGCATTGTTCGAAGCGGGGGCAGCTATTTCAGTTAGTATTTGCCAAATTTTCAAGAATGACCCAGAATCTTCAGCGAGAAGAAAAGAGTCCTGAGACCACAGGGAGGGAACGTACTAGATATCCTCCATTCCAAAAACAACATGCCACACCTTTTCAAACACCCACCCAACGCCAAAACTATCCGTCAACTCCGTCTCCGCCGCCCATTTCAACATGCGCTCGTAATCGTGTCGCGGCCGCTGCAGGATACGCTGCCGACTCACGGCGAACTGCCCGCAGCAGACATTCCCGATATGGTCGGGGACCTTCTCCTTGCCGACGTTGAACAGCGTCTGGTACACCTGCGGGAAGTACGCGCGGATATCGTTCTTGTCGATGTCGATCTGCGTCGGAGACCACGGGTGCACGTTCGTCGGGCAGCCTGGGTCGTGCTCGCAGCGCAGGTTGACGTAGCCTTGCGCGTCGACGGCCTCGAGACGGAGATGGCGGAGGGCCGAGCTGGTGCGCGACCCGAACAGGTCGTTGTGCCACTGGTCGCGGTTCGAGTGGATGAAGATCGTGTAGTCCGGGAGGTGGTCGTAGTAGTCGACGACGAAGGATAGGTAGGCGGCGGCTTCGCGGCCGCGCGTGGTTCGAGGGACGATGAGGTGTGGTTCGGGCGTGGCGTCGGTGGTGTAGACGAAGGGGGTTGTTCCGCTAGAGGAAAAATGCGACGTCAGTATTTTCAATCCAATGACGGGAAAGAAAGGAATGGGAAGAAAGAAAGGCAAGAAAAGGAAAAACGATCCAACATACTAGTCCCTGCAGTAGTTCAGCAACCAATTCAGATCCTCCGTCTGCGTGGCGGCCAGGACGAGACCGACGCCCGTGGCATTGCTGTAGTTGTTGGTGATTTCGGAAAGTTGTCGCATGACCTCCCCATACACCGGACCCGTGTCTGTAATGGTAATCAATCCCTATCAGCAGTCGGCCAGAAGCGCGAGGACGAGGCGAACGTACCGGGCTCGGGCTCAAACGATCGATTCGTGTACATCATGAGCGACAGAATCGAGGTGAAGATCAAGGCGACACATCCTAGCCCAGCAGTCCGGCGGGCAGGCCAACGGAACACCCGCCGTTTCGACATGGTAACGACAGAAAGCGACCCTCAGTGGAGGGGGTGGAGGGAGGAGCGGCACGAAAGAGAAAGGGAGGGAGGGAGAAAAGGGGGGAGAGGAGGAGGAAAGGAGGCGAAGGAAAGGCCGACGGGACAGGTGTTATGATAAGGATGGGACTGGTAATTGATGCATGGGAGGGCAGAAGAGAGGAGAAGAAGGGAAGAAAACGAAGTCAAGTTGAAGTCAGCCCGCGTTATCGGCCATTTTGCCCAGCGAGCACGAATGAATAATATTAAGGGAATATTCATCAGCCTCATTGGGAATGGGCGGGCCAGGAAATTGACAATTTCTTGAATAAAAAAAAAAGGTCAAGCCATGGCCTCGCGTAAGGGGCAAATGGCGGCACGACTTGCTGGTCTGGATTCGTCGATGATGCCGCTTCCGCTCCACTGATCGCCCGAATCCGGCTTAGTCGCCAGTCCGGCCTCCGTTCATTCGCCGGGAATTAACGCTATCCCACGCTAATTCCAGCCCCCCTCCGGACTAGGCCGCTCGGGGTTTAGCGGCAGATAAATGGCCTTGAAAGATCTGGAGTTGTTCGATGCGTAAGATTAAAACGGGGGAAACTTGCCCTGCGGTGCTGCCTCGAATGCGCACGACGTCTGCCGGCCTACGTAATCCTCCGTCCTAGGGAGCGTCAACTTATCGAATGTCCTGTAAAAGGGGCAACACGAGCAGCTTGTTGGATACCATCTGCAGGGCCAAGAAACCAACTGGCCCGCTAGCCTGTCAACAAAGCCATCGGTCGGTTGCCGATTGCATGCTGTACTCGCACGCATCACGCAGGAGTAAGGGATGACCATGCACATATATCATACACTGTTTGTGTAGATCGAAACTGGCATCCGCAGACACTACAGTACGGAGTAGAGTCCTGAATATCTGACTGTCAGACGAATTCTCTGTCGGCGGGAGACTGCCAGGGTATGGTAGAGATCGTCCCGGATAAAGTTTGCAACCCTATCTATATATAGCACACCCATGCACGATCAGAGAAGGTTCTGACCGTCATACCTGAGAATTATACGAAAGGAACAATATCTTAAACCCAGGGCATGTCTTATTTCCTTCGAGCAATTACTCTGGATGCCATGTTGCATAAGATCAAAGAGTATAGCTGACGTAACCACTGTGTTCAGTCTGGTCATGTGATCATTTGGTGAATCCTTGGGGAACATTGACGCTGTACTTCCCAGTCTTCCAGTCGTGTTTAAGTAGCTTTGTTTAAGTTCAGCTTGTACTATCCCCGATCGGCATCGATTGAAGTCAGATTAATGTTGTCTCGAGCACATCCAAAGACGCGTGCTCAAAATATATATTTGTGGTGAGACACGGATTACCGCTGGGATTCAGATACGTCAAAGGATCTACAATGATTGATGTAGACAAGCGATAGGTAGTGATATTGTATAGGATAATTAAACGAATGAAATTAACTCGTCAATATGATCCTGTTGATAAATTTTCGAAGAAGGTGTCTTCCTAGATGCGGATATATGGAATAGTTATGATCAGGCAGGCGGACTGCGAACGTTTAGTAGCTTACACCTCTGGCATTCCAGTACATGCACACTCAGAATATCAGTCTCTAAGGCGCTGCCGATTGGGATGAAAGCGCTGATCCGTCGCTGAGGTTCTGATCATCGTTCCAAGGTCAGGCTCGTGAATGCAGTATGCATTCAGATCGTCTGTCGTAGACCATGGAGACAATATGAATGTCTAGTTCGAGTAAGGTATTGTTCGAGCGTGAAGAGCCTATTGAATAGTCGATGGTTTCCGACCGTAGGCTGGATGAGCATGACAAGACCGATCGATGAGACGTTAAGAAGCGGAGCGGGTCGGATCATGGCCCTCCTCGCCAGTCATTGGTTGGCATCCCAAGACTTTCCGCTCGTAGCGACTCGATCCGGCATCGTTGTGCGATCAGCTGCGTTGAGAGTGGGTTGGGGTTGAAGTATGTTGTCGTATATTGACCCCATCATCAATGCGTGAGGACGCATCTCACGCCCCCCGAACAAAGTCACTGGAGCTGTCCTTCACATAAGCGCCGTTCCCGTCTGTAACTTCCATGTGAATATCGGTCTTCAGCGTGATGCCGCCGTGATCCTGCTCGTTCAGCACGATCGCATCCTGGCTGCCTAGCCCCGTGGTGTCTTCTAAGCGTCGATGCCGATTGACTTTGGGCCGATGATGCGCGAGGCTGTGTCCGGGAGTGGGTGTGCTGCTGGCGTAATTCTGTGCCTTGGAGGTACCGAAGACGCGTGGTGCATAGGTTTTAATGAGGACGGAGAGGGAGGGTGCCGAGCCGCAGAAGATTGCTGTAATTGTCAGAACGGTCGGACAGCGGAGAGCATGGGACATACCGACGTAGACCTCGATGGTGCACCAGTTGAGTGAATCGGCAAGATGATAGAATTGATCCTCATTGCCCTCCAGCTTGAGCACGAAATCATAGCGAACGCAAGCAGCTACACATTCATTAGTATCAATCCGGAGGTACGGCAGTATTGACGAGAGTTACCTGCAAGAGCAAGGATACCAATGGAGAACACCCCAAAAATAGCAGCTTTCTTGCGCTAAAAATAATGAGCCTCTCATATACCTCTATTGAGGATAGGTGAACATACCAAAGTGATGTGAAGTCGCCACAGCATCGGTATAGGTAAGAGCCAAATGAGAATATCCGTCACAATGTTTAGAATGCCATTGACCTCGTAAAAGTCCTGTTGTGGCCCGGGCGACATGCAATGCCCCGGCTTTTCACCCGTGACATCCCAAAATTTCGACGGCGGAGTGCAGGAGACGATGGACCCGATAGCGCTTGCGAAGGATAGTCCCACCACGATGAACATCACGAAGAACACTGACCATCTCATCCATCGGCGCTGATCAAGGCGAAGGAAGAACCATAGTAGAGACATTTTCACGAATCCCATGCCAACAGTATAAAGAAGACGAGTGGCCCAAATCGACTGTTGTCGGTCAGCAGAGACTAGTAGAGGCGAGTGATCGACTTGCCTTGAACATTGACTCGTAGTCCTCCAGATTGATGTCGACCACTAGATGCATGTCAGCTGCAGAGCTATAATTGAGGTTTCGAAGAGCGTACGATGTTTTCCGATGCCGTACTGCGTTCCTATGGTTTGTTAGCAAGAGAAGAGGCTAAACTTAAAGGGTGGAAATACCAATCATGGTGGCAATTGTTAAACCAAATGTTAGGATCTGAGCGTGTTAGCAGACCGATAGAAGACCTAGCCACGACCGGGAGCTCACAGTTCCCACCACCATCAAGACTGTAACATTACACAATCAGCATGGTACGCCTACTTGCGCCGTTATGCTAGACTTACCATCGTCTGTCCCTAGTGCGCGCAACATAAAGATGCGGACCCATAATCGCAAAAGCACCACGATCGAAGTAAAGGCCATGAAACCGATGCCAACACCGTACACGGCAGCCTTCCGAGTGGGAAGCTGGTCACCTCGGGGAACCAAAAGGTGAGACTGCATGATGACATACACCGTACGGGCTGGCGAACGGAAATGGACGGGGAGAGGAGGAGAGAACGGAGCGATTAAAGTGGGAAGCTCTCCTCTAAGTACGCTTCATGTCTCGTGGTCAAGAAATTGCGATGGATTTGGAATAAGCATGCAGAGCGGCTCATCTCGCCTGCGCATCCTTGTCGAGTCCGCCGCCGGATTCAGATCTTCCCCTGGCAATGGCGTCCATCACCTTTAGCCGAATTGGAATTGTGCATTTAGCCCGGATATGTGTTAATTACCACCAATGGCATGATGTCTCGCACGTTGGGGGCTAAGGAACTAGATGCAGCGCCCTAGCTAGAGCACGTTGGAGACGAACGAGGCACTTCTCCAGCCCACTTTGCTCGCTCAATACTTGCCCCCGATCAGCGGGATCAGCAAAGCACCGCATCAGGCTCGTGCTCGATGCACTATCGTGTCTGGCATCAGTAGTGGTGAGTGTTGACCTCGATCGGCGGGTTGATCTACTTGAGTCCACGGAAAGGCAGAAGCAGCCCGTTGTTTGGCCGCCGTGCCGCTAGGCCGCTTCGGGATGGCTGGGCGAGTCAGGCGCCGCTAACCTGATTGAGCCCCCCTATGAATGCCTTTGTATCCGACCGTTTCTTCTTCTTCAGCTTCTCTCCGTCACCGTTCAGACATGTACCTTCAACTATTTCTGCCAATCCGCTTTGACGCCACAATGAAACTGCCTTCTAGGCCAAGGCAAGCCATCTGCAGCCCGTGAGGGGATTCTTGTCTAACTTTCATAGTGGAAAAATCATTGGGGGCCGAATCAATCCCTACCATTTAGTGGAGGACTCGACCCCACGGCCCCGATAGATCGTGATTAGCGTCATATTCCCTGAACGCTGAGACGCCCGGCTCATCGGGTCAGTTCCCATTCCTCCACCATGACAGGGATTAAACGGACGACATGCCTACTTGGGATTGGTCGCGACGACTGACTCCCTTGCTCGCTTTCTGCAGACTCGTCGCAACCGTGAATGATTCAGTAGGATGGCTAGCCTGGCCTAACCGGGGGAGATAGGCGAACCGGTACGAAGCACGGGCACTGAAACTGTGCGCATGCTCTTCCGCGGTCCGACACTGACCAATTGCGCGACTGAGGGGCTACGAACGAGGGGTCCGATACCTGTCAAGAATGTGTATATAAATATGGCCCCGCCGCTGTGTGGGTGTTCAAGGTTTCCCCAAGCCTCGGCTGGAGCGTTTTGCATACCGTCGCAATCACAGCGAAATACTCACCATGTCGGATTCCAAAAATGTCGCCCTCGTGTTCGGTGCCAGCGGTATCTCCGGCTGGGCCGTGGCCAAGAACGTCCTCTCCTATCCCACGCCTAGCACATTCTCGCGCGTGATCGGATTGACGAATCGCCCCAAGACTGTCGAGGAGAGCGGTCTTCCCCAGGACCCTCGCTTGGAGTTGCACTCTGGGGTCAACCTGCAGGCAGATCTGCAGAGTGTGATGATGCAACTGCAGGAGAAGGTGCCTAACTTGGACGAAGTTACTCATGTCTACTATTTGGGTGAGCTCACCAGGCAATGGAAGAATAAGATGATCTGGCGATACTGACCTTGCAGCCTATTCCAATGCCACGGCATACAGTGAGAATGTGATGGAAATCAGGAACATCAACGTTGCTATGACTTATAATGCCGTGCATGCCGTGGACCGCCTCTGCAAGAACATGAAATTTTTCGTTCTGCAGACCGGTACAAACGTAGGTTTCTTGCGCTTTCTTGAAGACCACGGGTCAATGCCTAACCCTTCCCAGAACTATGGCGTTGCCGTCTTCCGCTTCCAGGACAAAATCGAGATCAACCCGCCCCTGAAGGAGGACAACCCTCGCATCCCGTCGCCGTGGGGTGATGAGATCTTTTACTACTCGCAGGTGGATCTGATCAAGGAGGCCAACGAGGGAAAATCCTGGAAGTGGTGTGAAGTCCGGCCGGACCAGATTGTTGGTAAGCATGAATAAAACCGAGTGTATTCTCTTAGTTGGAATTCGGCTAATCAGAAATTCTTACCTAGGACACGTTCCTAGTCCCACTAGCATGACATACGTGGAGCCCATGGCCCTCTTCCTGTCGCTGTACCGATACGTCAACGGCCCGGGCGCCACCGTTACATTTTTCGGAACGGAAAAGAACTTCCGCCACACCTACACAGCCTCTTCGCAGGATATCATCGCGCGATCGGAAATTTACCTCTCGGTCGAAAAGCCCGACGAGGCACACGGGGAAGCCTTCAACACGGCCGATAATGCCACCCCGGGCCCCTGGAGCTACAAGTGGCCCAAGATCTGCGAATACTTCGGACTGCAGGGCGGTGGTCCGGGCGACAAGCCTTGGAACGATGCCGATAAGTTCTGGAACGAGCACCAGGATGACTATGAGAAGATGTGCAAGGAATACGGCCTGCGGAAGCGAGATATCCCCGAGGCTACCTGGATCTTCATGAGAGCTGGGTTCACCATGCTGGAGCGGAATCGTGAGCTGAGCCTGGATAAGATCCGCAGCTTGGGTTTCACGGAGGAGTACCCGGTCGGACACGGGTATTTCCGCGTTTTTGACCATCTGGTCAGCGAGAACATTGTGCCGCCTAAGGAGAAGTTGCAATAACGTCTAGAAAAGACGTACATATGCTGAGATTCAACTGCAACCATATAATACTATTTTTGAATATTTACCGCGATGAGAACCTCGGTAGTCTGGCCACGGAAGAGCCACGGAAGACCCATCACATCAACCCAATAGCTTAATTCAGACCGCGATGTCAATCCTACATACGACCTATCCGCTGTCAAATCCACCGTAATACATGCATAGGGCTACGCATATTGCTAGGTATACAATATACATTGTACTAGCCTCAGCCACCCCTTGCTTCTTTTCGGCATCGGCATCACCCCCAGCCCAGCCCCTGTGCCCTGCATCAATAACTAACGCAGCCAAGACCACGCACTTACGAATCCCCAGCCACCAATCCCTGCTGGCGCATCCACTCAGTCAGGATCTCGTTCACCTCCGCCGGCTTCTGCCACGGCACCCAGTGTCCTGCCTCGACTTCTTTCATGGTCAAATTTGGCACTGTCTTTTCCATCAGGCCGACCATTTGGTCCGAGACTACTGCGTCGGTTGAGGCGCGGACGAAGAGGGTGGGGCATTTCAGCACGATGCCGGATGGGTTTGAGGCGAAGATTTGCTCGTCGGTGAAGTTGGCTTCGCGCGTGCGGTAGTAGTTGCCTGTGTTTTTGGGTTAGTATTTACCTTTGGGGATGTGTTGTGGTTTGGGATTGATCATCATCATCGTCATCGTCTTCACGATCACCAAGAGGGATGACAACAATGGATACTGCAACGAACAGAGGGAAAGAAAAGGCGACATACAAGGACCCCTCAAGCCATTCCTCGAATAAACATCCACATAATAATCCAACTCCTCCTCGGCCAACAACGGCGTATGACCCAACGTCTTCGCCACCTCCAAATCAACCCCCTTCGTGACATCAATCGCATACTTCCCGTCCGCCGTCCTACCACCGTACAAGGTATTCAAGAACGCGCGAATCCCGTCCTTATCCTTAGCGAAGGACTCGATGATGCCGTCGTCGCTGCCGAACTGCAGCTGGTAGCCGAGCGACGGGAACATCTTCAGCATGTCTTCGGTCTCGATCCATTTCGGGGACGGCGGGATGTAGGGGATCGCGAAGGTAAAGAGGTGCGTGATGAAGGTGGGGTGCCAGAGTGCGACGCGGTAGGCGATCACGGCGCCCCTGTTTGGTTTTTGTGTTACTTCGTTAGGACTTCCTGGAGTTGTACACGCGATGGGGGGGGGGGGGGTTTAGGAGAGGGACAAACCAGTCATGACCACCGACGATGAGGTTCTCGCTGCCGAGCTGCTTGGCTAGCTCGACGAAGTCGTCGGCTTGGGATTTGTAGGTGTATGCGGCGAGAGAGTCGGGGGCGTCCTATCGTCTGATTAGCTTTTGGTCTCTGAAGACTGGCATGGAGCAGACACGTGGAGTATATCCATACCGATCTTCCATATCCCATACAGTCGGGGCAGATGACTCGGAAGCCGAATTTCAGTAGGAGAGGAATGACGCTTTTCCAGGTGACAGCCAGGTCGGGGAATCCGTGGATCTGGAATTGTTAACTGCTGCGCAACTGTTGCTTAGAGAGAGATAGAGGTTAACAAACCAAAAGAACAGTGCGAGTGAATCCCCCCTCCGGTTCAGCGAGAAGGTATCCTGAAGTCCCATTAAAATCAACCACCTGGCTCTCCAGCAATGCAAAAGTAACGTCATACCATAAGTCTTCCCATTAATCGTTGCCGAACGGCGCTGAACACGCTCATCCTCAACAATATTAATCTTCTCCACAGCCTGGGCGCGAGTAGTCGTGAACATGATGAATCTGCTCAAGGATCACAATATCACAAAGACAAAAGACAACCCTCAAGACCGACAAAACAACTGTCAAAAATATTCAAACCAGCCGGTGACGACGGCGGGGTCCTCAAGATAATCAGTCCGTTCTTGTCTTTGTTTTCGGTGGGTCGTCCAGAGACAATACAGAAGAATAGTGGAACCCACTAATGAGAATGGAGCAAAGTGGACGAAGATGCCTAGGTCCGAACAGAGGGTGGAATTATTATTTATAATCATTTTCAGGTCGATTCCGCGCGGAAATAAAAGTGTTGCACAATTGTGACTGATGTTGTTATGTTGGTCCTCATGGATGCATTGTTTGTTCGTACAGAACAATATTCTATGCAGTGGTGCCTGAGGCAGGAATTAGCGGTCTGCCTCGGCACGTCCTGCAAGGAGTTGTACGTACCACTTATCTTGGCTGAGGGATATGATTGAAGACGCCTAAGCGGATTCTCCGTGTTCAGTGCAAGAGAGATGACATCATAATACAAAAAGACAAAAGCGAAAGCTACATCTTCAAAGCTGGAGCCCAGCCCGACAGTCTATTCTACCCTCAGATCACCTAGCATGCTTGACACGACACAAAAAGCAATGAAGTAGTACACAGCTCAACCCAGTCTCAAATACGATCTAACCGATCAAGAGCCCCCTGGCCCGTATCACCGACAGCGTCAGCAAGATACCATCGCGCGAGAGTTTTGAAAGTCCCCATATCGCCATCCGCAAAGTCATAGGGCCTGGTTCTGCGCACAACAAGCCTCTCGCCATCAAAATACGCTTCCAGAACTCGAGCGCGAGACCCGTTCAGCGAGATTACAAGGATCTGGTCAGGGAAGACGTTAACCATTGGCTTCGGTGGTCTGGCGCGGTGCGGAGCGGGAAATGTTGAGCAAAGAACACGAAACGATGAAGGGGAACCATCAACTAACTACCTACCGGGCATATCATCCGCGATTGGAACCTCCGCCGTGGTAGGTAAGAGCAAATGACTCGACAAATGTAACTCAGCTCGCTGCATGCGAGCGCGTCGTCATTGCTCTCTTGTTTGCTCCAGTGGATGAATTTCAAGTGTGGCTTGGAAGAATTCGTCTGGCTAGAGACCCAAAGATGTTCGCATGGGTAGACGTCGAATTCAGGTTCGATTCCACATGCGGAGTTCCTATAATGGCGGTTAGCAATCGAAGATAAAACTCAGGAAGGCTGGGTGATGAATGGATCGTACATATCGAGTTCCCACGGGTTCTGGTCGTTTGGAAGATCAAGATAGATGAATCTGAGATATCTCGTAAGATAATTGATGACAGGCTGTGGCCACTCAGCGGCATGTACTAGATGACCAGTGACGAACTCGCGTCCCACGTAATCTGCCGTTGGATCTGGTAGCTCCGGGGCGTAGGGCGCGAAGAACCTGGGCCTGCTGGGCACATCGCCGTGTGGGTCTAAAAGGAGAACGAGGATGCGGTGTCTGTGGAGGTCTTTGTCATCGATTTGGCCTGCTCTCACCCACTGGACGAAGCGTTCGATATAGGCCATTGTGGTCTGTAGCTGAACTTGGTCTGCTGACTCTCCGGTGGAAGCCATCGTGTTGCGGATCGGAGAAATATTTTGTACTTGAGGGACACAACGGTGGTTCCGAATGTTGCGCGAATATTGAGGAGAATGTTGCTTGTGGTAGATGATGGAAGCTGTCAAATGCGTAGGGTAAGAGACGCAGAGAAGCAGAGAAGAGGTGCAGAGAAGAGGTGCAGAGAAGAGGTGCAGAGAAGAGGTGCAGAGAAGAGGTGCAGAGAAGAGGTGCAGAGAAGAGGTGCAGAGAAGAGGTGCAGAGAGAGATGCAGAGAGGGATGCAGGATAGAAGCTGCCTCTTGACAGGTGATCAGCAAGTAAGCGATGCCTGTAGAAGATTCCAGTGCCTGAGGTGCAAACGACAAAGGAATCAGTCGTTTGCTCACTTCCAGGTATGCAACAGCTAAGAGGTGTCCAATCATGAAGTAGTACCTCAGTTGACACAATTATTTCCCATGGTGTTTGACAGCATCTGTTTGTCCAATACCCTTAGCGCTCTAATAAGTAATCTATCCAGTCCAAGATGCCCGTAAACTCCCACCTAGACAGTTTACTCTATGTGAGATCCCATGAACAACTATGCCTTCTATCTTCCCTCTTGTCCCATGTATCTAAATTTCGCAGCTCGCCCCATTGTTTCTCCAAGTCGCGAACAACCCATGCTGTCCGCCACCCGACCACCTTCTCTGCCCGGGTTAGGAAATCAACCGATCCCCGCTGCTCGACAGGATTACGAAGGCAATATCCATCTGACTGGGTAAGTAACATGACACTAAATAGGAGGCGGATGCGTACATCGAACAAGTAGATGACAGGCCATGAAGTATGCGTTCTCGACCGTCTCGTTGGACATGGATAGTCCGATGACTTGGATGATGTGAGAGGCGATCGTGCTCTGGTATCGTCAGTCATGTTGGACCGGAGTAAACACTCAAGGTTTGTAAGAACAAGGGTAGAAAAATTACCTCTTCGATCCGTCGTTGTCGTGCAATGCCAAAATTGCTCACTGTTCCCCAGTGACGATCGGCAGAGGCGAGGAGGATGCAACACGTGTGGTAATATTGCAGCCCGACCACTGCTGTCGTTAGCTGAGATCTACTGTCTAGTGGAGGCGCACAAACCAGCCGAAGGTGCCATCATCCACAGCTCAGGGAACGGTCGATTCTCCGCTGTATTCGCATCCTTGTATTGCAACGGTTGCCAACTAATGGGCCTCGTACGATGCCACTCTTCAACGCTCTCAGACAAACGATGCCACTCACCCTCATCGACCAGACTTCCTGGGCCACGGGAGTACAGTTGGATGATGCGCGCACAGAGGAAGATAATCACGTTAGCATAAGCTGCATCATCGCGGCGCTGGAAAACGGCAGAGCGTTCGTAATTGCCCAAGTCCAACTGGATGGGCTGGTACTGAACAATCGATGCATATATCGCTTGGCGCAGAAATTGCCAACTTACGGCCTCGGCAAGTCCTCCGGACGATGCCGACTTGGTCATTGTATTTAGCAGTCGGTTAGATCCAAGGAAGTGGCAGTTCTCGTCATTTTCACGCTCGAGCTCCTCGTATATGCGCAGGATAACAACTGTGATGAGTAGGTTGTCATCGTAGGTCTCTTCTGGCTGAGCCAGGGCATCGATCAGGAGCTCCAGGCATTGGCCGTGGTACTCGGATGCTTCCCAGTCACTGGTGTCGGACATGATCGCATCGAGACGCGCCGAGAGTGCCAAGACGGCTTTGAGTACCATGGGAAACTGGAGTGCCCGGCGCGGCACTTCGGTGGTGAAATGCGATCGGAGATCGCATATATCGGCCTATCGCTGTTAGCATGCCACGAGACCGTTGGGTCTAACCAACATACCCACGGGGCGATCTTATGTATGAACAAACGAAGCAGAAAAGCTTCTCGAGAGTTCATGGATACCGAGCTAGTTGAACGAGGAGTGGACGGGCTCGTTGGCGATGTTGCACTTGTCCATGCACTTGTTGACGGCAGAGGCGAGATTATACTGGCCATTCCGTGGGGCGAAATGGCGGACGGGGTCGCATGGTGCTCTTCCGGCAAGGAGGCCGTCGAAGCCACTGGATGATCGACCACTCCATTTTCGACAGGGGAATTCATTGTTGCCGGAGGCGGAAGAGCTGGCGGTGCCGAGAATACAACAGACGGAGGGTCTGGAGCATTCTCAAGATGAGGATGTTCGTCATCCTGGGATTCAGGAGCATCGCTCGCTCCATCTGCCGATTCCTCCGCGGATTCGTGGACAAAGGTCACTGCGATCGTCAGTGAAATAAAAGTGCCAGAAAGAACTGGCTATCCTACAAGAGCGAGGGACCGTAACCCAAGGTTGCGCCGAATCCCAGTCCAGCTCGAATCTCGACGCAGTGCCCTGGCTTTTGTGATAAACATGACGGACGGTCTTGAACCGAAACGGCGGATCAAGTCGGCAGATCCGACCTAACCGAGTGCATCCATTACACGAAGAAGCTCCAGCGCGGATAGTACAACGAATATGACGAAGGCGACAACGCTCACATCCCCGTCCGATTCTCATGGCAGTTTGCGAGGCAAATGACGCAGAGCGCTTTGCGTGGCGGAAGAAGTGTCAATGGCACGCAACGGCATGGGTGTTGAGGTCAGCTGGATGGTACGGTCCTGACAGAGGATAAGATGGAAACTGAAGGCGATAGATAAGAGGGAATGGGCGAGAGGAGAGAGTCAGGGAGGAAGAAGAAGGAAGAAGAAAGTATGGGGAAAATTGGAGACTTCCCCGCAGTAACTTATGGGGGCTGAGTCAGCGGTCCCGCTGCTGCTGTACTTTCTGTACTACGGAAGATGTACAACTTGCTTCTCATCGTCTCAACTTGTCTGGGCGAGATCAATACAGTTGGTCCAGCTGACAAGAAGAGGATCGGCAGTACTTTACAGGCCAAGTATTTCCTTCTAGCGCGTGGCTCGGTGTGGTTTGTGAATACCTTCATCTGAAGCATACCCGCGGCTATCGCGGCGGCGATTGAACGTCAATTGCCGATGAAGATCGGCGTGGCCTGGGCTCGATTCTGCGGAGGTGCTCAGCCACGCTAGACGGGCTCGTCTGCAATGAAGTCATGCGGGGTGAACTGTTATCCTACATTACTGATTTTCCAGTAGATTTGAGCACGCCATGAGCACGTCTTAAAATGGTCCAAACGAAAAAATTAGGATAGAAGACCTTAATGGTCTATATCCACCAGTCATCCCTCTTACCTATCTGTTTATTACTACTCTACCCGCTAAGGCACATACAGAAAAGGTATCCGGGTTCTGTCAACGCTTTCTAGAAAGTGGCCTGAAAGACAAGGCTCCCCTGGATACATTCCATCGGTTAGGATCCCCGTTCTCGAAAAGACCAACCGAAGATAACGAGACGTGTAAGAAGAGCTTCCAGGACGCCAGTCGGACCATGACTTCTCAGACCTGACATTGGACATACTCGTGCCTCTTTTTGGACTGCGTAGACCCCGATACGGACCACAGTAGCTCTGAGAAAGTCCGTGACTCTCTTTTTGCGATCGACAAGGTACGTACTCGCTGGTTCACTGTAGCTGAAAGCTCACCATGATTAGTACGATAGGTATACTGGAAATCTAGCATCTTAAATGACACCATTGCTCTGGTATTCACGCAGGCATGCATGGATGGATTGCTCGAGACAACACGCATATTCAACTGATCCACCACTAGAATGAGAGTACTACACCCAGACACGAGGCCATCTAACACATACGAATTATTGGGGCGAGCTGACATGCTTCAGACCGCCCCTTCCGGAATGCAGCCCTAACTCGATGGACGTCAACAGCCCCTCTACTAATCTTCGCGATAGTGTCTCCACTCCCCAATTCTTGTTCTTAAAAATTAAGTTAGCATTGTAGGGCGACTTGAGAGCTCTTGTTTTAGGGCTTTTGCCAGCTGAACACGATCGACAACCGAGTCAGCTGCCCGCTGAGGAGATTGGTCACACGGCGCACACCGACCCATGTCGCTCCTGTAGTTCGGGCTCAGCTCGCGCCACAAATCATCAGACCTGGTGATAAACGTGCAGGGTGTAGCTGCAAGGTTTCAGCTGATCTACATAGCTTCATTTACACGCGCAGCTTTGGCTTATAGACATGATGTAGCGCATTCGCCCTTGTCCGAATTCTTTTGTTTCGTTCCTTGCGTTTCCTTTCCTTTCCGCGGATACTATTGAGAGCTTTGCACTGGACTTTAGGTCTTTGCACTGCCGATATTGCTTCGGACGTTTCCAATCATATATACTCCCACGAGCGAAGGGTTTATCTTCTATACTGTCTCCCTCTTCCTGGACTATGTGGCGCATCGCCGAGTGGGAAAGTAAACATCGTCTCTGGTTCAGCGATGGCGAGCCGATCGACGCTGTCCGACCCATCGATAACTTTGAAACCCGCGCAGGCCTCTCCTCCAGATTAATCGTGGATAAGCTGGGGTTTCTTGATTTGACAGAGATACCATCTGCCCCAACGGTGGCGCTTGATGCGAATGGATCGGTGGTAGAATCCGCCCTAATCGGCAGCCGGGATACAAACCAGCCCATGGATCTATCTATCCAGATCAACAAAGATACGAGAACAGTGACAATAAGCATCATCCTTCCTGAAGAACCATGCTCTGGTGACGGTGCGTCTTCATCCAACCTTACGAGTCCGAACTATACTATATCTACCTACCTACTGACTATGAATTGAATACTCAAGACAACGAATATCTGTACATCCACCCACGAACCCCCAGCACCACCATCCTCCTAAAACCACTCCTGAACCTCTCTTCAGCGGACATCAAATTCATCAAATCCATGATCCGCAAATCCTACATCCCCTACCAAAACGTCCCCCCGTCGGCCGGCGGCAAAGACAAGAACACCATCATCCGTCTCGGGAAACGCTTCTTCCCCTTCACGACCCACGGCTTCGAGCTGGCCATCTGCATCTACGACTGGACGACCGCGTCGTTCGTACGAAACGTCCTGTTCAAGATCTTTGAATATACCCCTCCACTGGAAGATCTGTCATCCACACCGCCATCGCTAAACCCACTCGATCTAGAAAGTATAGCCCAGCAAATCTACAACAGTAACTGGGAAACCTATACACCAGACAACAAAGCCTACATGAACTCCTTCATGATGACACCCGCGTCCTCGCTGTCCGAAGTCACGATCCAGCTAAATAAGATCGCACCAGAGGTCCATCGGCTCAGCGACATCCAGAACCGAATCATGAGTTTAGCCGTCTCTTCTCTCCCGCGGATGTCCGTGTATAAACGGCCAGTCGTGTACAGCGGACAACCTGATATGCGACAACTATCGCTGGATCAGTTTGGAATCGGGTTCCGAGAGACTGCTGTGAATAGCGAACGGGGACCGTTGCGGATTGATCTGGACCTGTTTCTGAGAGAGTATATGGTTAGAGGGAAGACGTTGACGACGAAAGCGTTTTTAAGTTTCACCGATGAGAAGAGTACGGCGATGGGGTATAGTAATGGGTTATTGTTGATTGCGTATCCTCCTAGGGGGAGTGCGGTGTGGGAGGGCATGAGTCTGGTTACGCCGTTGGCGGTGGATGGGCAGATTGAGTATACGTTTTTGCCTGGGACGAGGTTTCTGGTTGAGGGGGTACACAGGGAGATGGTTGGGGGGAGGGAGATTGTTGTTGTTGAGTTGAGGGTTGTGGTGAGAGTGGAGGGTTGAGTGGGTTGAACATTAGAACCATATAACCTTAGAACCATATGCAGAGGACTTCCAGACCTTGTCGGGCCCTTTGTACGACTGTCAGACGGCGCCGATTGCCAGATATTCAAATGTGAATACCAGTCTCAAGGTTGGAAAGTTCAATTCATTTTAGTCCCATTCGGGATGTTCTAGTGTCATCATTATCTTCATTCAAAATATGCTTTTATCTAAACGCTAATGGTCTTGAAGATACTGTAGCAAAAGTTAGCATGGCTCATTAATACCAAAACGAAGAGAGGACCTACCCAAATCCAGACCCGCCAGTTGCCATCACGGTACCAGGCATCTGCGCTTGCCAGTGCACCTCCTTGACCGACTCCGTGTAGTGCACGAAGAGCAGCTGAGGCGGCACCTCCGACATACCGGCCTCGCGGCTCTCTTCCTCATCCAACTCGACGGCCAAATCCCATAGAGTGACCGTGTTGTCAGCGGATCCCACGGCGACAACACTGTCGTCAGTTGGGTGCCACTCGATACTCGTGACGGGCTCACGGTGGAAGTCGAACGCGGCGACGGGGGACGCCTTGCTCTGGGTCGACGGGGCGGACGGCTTCCAGTGTCGCAAATCCCACACGGCCCACTGTCCGTCGTCGGCACCGGTAGCCAGCAGATGGAATGTCTGGTTAGACCAGGTCATCACGTTGACATCGGTGTTCGACACCTGAACATCAACTGCAGGCTTGCGAGACTTGGATCGCACATCCCACACCTTGACGCTGCCGTCACTGCTGGCGGACGCGAAGACGTTTCGTTCGTTCGGCGACCACTGCAGCTCCTCGATGGAGGACGTGTGGCCGGTGAATGGCCGAGTGTCCGTCACCCAGCCGCCACCTTCGGTGCGCGTCGTCGCGTAGATCAATCCGTCGTTATCACCCGTCAACAATTTGCCAAGAGGCTGCAGCGGCGACCAGTCCAGCGCGTATCCCTCCGACTTGTGCATGCGAAGGGTCGAGAGCGGCTTGGACGCGGAGGGGGGTATCACGGTGCCAGGGACGTCGAAGCTGGCAAGATGTTGGGTGACGTCGTGGATCACGACCTGTGAGTTCTCCAACATGGTGGCGGTGAGGGTCTGAGGCGGCTTGTTGTAGTCGCCCGACTGCGACGGAGTCTGGTGCGCCCGGATGCGGTTCGTCGTGGAGCCCAGCGGGATACTCTTGGACTCGAGGATGGGTTCGCCCATGTCGTCGTCATCATCGTCGCTCTCGGAGTCTGTTTCATTCTCCTTCTCCATCTTGCTCAGTCCGCTCATCTTCAGCACCATCAACTCGTTCTCCTTCGACCGACCGCCGTCAGCCTGGGTGCCGGCGACCGCGTAGACCGTGGCTGGGTAGGTCTTTCGGTTGTCGCCGAGGGAATCGCGCACGATGTCGAACGACAGACAGGGCCAGGGGGTACTGAGGGTGTGAAGCATATCGTATGTCGAGGGATCGGGCGAGAGGACCTCTCCGGGGGCCAGTTTCGTTCTGCCGGGGATAAATGTCTGCTGGTCTACCTCCATGGCCTCTGAACCGGTCGCATCGGCATTAGCAACTGAAAATAAGCGGGACAAGCCTCAGTACATACCCTTCTGTTCCTCCTCTAGCTCGGCATCGGGGCGTCCATCGACACCGGCCTCCAGGATCTCATCTTCGCTCTCGAACTCATCCTCAAACTCATCCTCGAACTCCCCCACTTCGTCCGGAGGGGCCTGGGTGACGGGGCGGTCGCCAGCCTTCAGGGCGGCGGATTGCTCGTCGGAAACGTCGGCGGATCGTTTAGACATGATAAATGAGTATATGAAAGGGGAAGAGGAGGGATTCCGGGGCTGTCGACGAGCCAGTCGTGCGGCAGAAAGACGGGGGAAGGAAGAAGTTGCCCGACTTTCTTTAGGGTTGCCGCTTTTTTTTTTTTTTTTTTTTTTTTTTCATTCATTTTTCCGAGGGACGGGCAGGTCGACGCTAAACCCATTCTGGAATCGGGGCGATCGGGATTTTGACCTCAGGCACTCAGGCACTCAGGCACCCGTCCAGGGGCTGTGCTCTTCCGTTGATTCTGCGGTTTTCCCTTTCCCTTCCTGCTTCCCTGAAAGACTGGACTATTTTGCCCGTCTTGTCTTGACTCTTGACTTTTCTTTCTGAGTGGCTTTTTGCCCCTCCGTCCAAATCTCCCGTGGCGCTGCTGGCGTCACATGTCACATCCTTTTTCCTGCAGAGGTGCATACAAACAATCTTCCTTCCTACAACTCCGACTCGGCGGCTAAGGCGACTGTGGATGTTTCCGTCCGGGTTTTTTTCCTGCAGACCACGCTAACTCCCATATGTCTAGTTTCTAACATTCCCCGACTTTCCTTAATCGTGAATTGTTCTTCACCTGTTGATGAGCTCTGGTGAGCCGTCGCTGTGAAATCCAATTACTGAATCTCGGTTGGTTCGGCCTTCCCCCCCGCTCCACCGTACCGCCGGGAGCTGACCATGTTTACATTCTCCCTTATTAGGCTCCGATCGAACATTCTTTCTTTACCCTGACTTTGAATATATCACTCGACAGCCGCAAACATGGATCCGACGCATATCCCTCCTGTCGGCCCTTCGGACGGTGCGGAGCTGCCCCACGAGAATCAGCAAGCCTTCGAAATGCCCACCCACGCCGCCGACCTGGTCGCTCCGGACGAAATGGTCAGCACGTCGGCCTATAACAACAACGGATACAGCAGCGACTCGCGAGCCAATTATTCCTCCCATACCTACGAGTTCAACTCGCCCAGCCGGGATGCCCAGTCGGTGGATGGCGACCGAGCTCGTCCGACCCTGTCGCCCACATTGACCCATCAGCCGCTCCCCCCGTCGTCGTCGCGACCGAGCTCCGGACTGTCCCAGAACCATGACCGACCCGCCAACTCGCAACTCACCCAGGAGGTGGGCCAGAAGCAGTCGCAGCAATCGAAAAACAGCGTGGTGATCAAGGTCGGCATGGTGGGCGATGCGCAGATCGGCAAGACGAGTCTGATGGTTAAATACGTGGAGGGGAGCTGGGATGAGGATTACATTCAAACGCTGGGTACGTCGGATATTTGATTCAGGGCGGATGGCAAGAATGCTGACCGGTCAGGCGTCAACTTCATGGAGAAGACGATTTCCATCCGCAATACGGAGATCACCTTTTCGATCTGGGATCTTGGTGGTCAGCGCGAATTTGTCAACATGCTTCCGCTGGTGTGCAACGATGCCGTGGCCATCCTGTTCATGTTCGACCTCACCCGCAAGAGCACGCTGAACTCGATCAAAGAGTGGTACCGTCAGGGCCGAGGATTCAACAAGACTGCCATTCCTTTCCTGATCGGCACGAAGTACGATCATTTCGTCAACTTCCCGCGCGAGGACCAGGAGGAGATTTCCATTCAGGTATGTGGGTCAAGACCGATCCTGGGCGCCGCTAACCAGTGCAGGCGAGGCGATTTGCCCGGGCCATGAAGGCTAGCTTGATTTTCAGCAGTACCAGCCACTCGATCAACGTGCAAAAGGTTTGTCTTGTCTTTACTTTCAAAGGGCTGTACTGACCTGTGTAGATCTTCAAAATTGTCTTGGCGAAAGCCTTCGACTTGAAGTGCACGATCCCCGAAATCGAGAACGTCGGCGAGCCGCTACTACTGTACAAGAATGTCTAATCACGACGACAACGGAGAAGTGGATAACGATTATGTACATTGGGACGAAGTCATGTTGACGATCGATCGAACTTCTCTTTCCCTGAACCGAGTTGGAGACGGTGACCTGCGTATGGGTCACTGTTGGGGTGTTTCCGTGCATTCTCTCTTTTCTCTTTCTTTCCTTCCTTTCGTTAGCATTGGGATGCGTCCAGGGTTCTTCTTTTTCTTTCTTGTTCTTTTTCTATCTTTCATCTTCACCTTCACCTTCTTCCATTCTTTCTGTTCAATTCCCCACCTGTTTTTTTTAATCTCTTGCCCTCACCCAATCATGCCGATCTGTTGTCTGACTGTGGACGGGAGACACAAGGATGGCATGCTCTGCTAGAAAGCCTGTCTAATAACGTTTCCTCTGTGAAAATTAGTAACGTTGTCATAAGCAATGTGGAATATTCATTTGTCTTTGGAGATATATTTGGAGTGTTTACACAAGAACTTCGCTGTTATCCAATATATCCTCGATTTATGCAAACAGTTTTCTGGTCAACGCCAAGCCTCGGAAGTATATCTTCTGAACCGCGTCATGAATTTGCACTTCCGGAACACGCGGGAATGTCTGACTCACGGCTGGTTCCTTGGTTTATCTCTGTCATAGAATCGGTTGGAAAGCATTGGTATACGTCATTGCTAAATCCCACTGCTTCTCCTATATCGGACTCTCAAAATAGCATCAAATCTGTTTCTTATCAATCAGTCGTGCCATAAGGTACTTGAGTCACCATGTCGTTAGATACCCCGCACGCGGCCCATGCCCATCGATCAATTAGGCAGTAGATACATCGTAGCTCGTAGCAGTCGGAAACGTATAACTTGCCTTGCATTCCCCGCCACTTCTTTTCCCAGGACACGCTATTTTCGTATCATCACAAACACCCATATCCTAATCGTCTGATATATATCCACAGGCGTGAAATACTCTACTTTCCATATATCTGTAAGCATATCACAACTGTACCTAACCCCCTACCCTCCCTTCAATTAACAAAGCACGATACAAGATAGAATAAGATAATTAACTATCCCCAAGAAAATGTCCCCCAAACACATCGTCTTCGACATCGTCGGCACCCTAATCACCTACGACAATCTCATCTCCACCGTGAACTCGCGTCTCGGTCCCAAGCTCCTCTCCAAAAACATAACGCCCACCCACCTCGTCGCGACTTGGTTCGAAGTGGCAGAGCGCGAATACGCATACCTTAGTATTGCAAACGCGTACGTTCCCTTCGATATCTGCTTCGAGAACTTGTTCTACAGGACTCTTTATATTGCTGGGATTCAGGAACCGAGGGAGTTCGCGTCTCCTGAGGATCTAGAGGTCTTGATGGATGCGTATAGGGGGTTAGATAGCCGAGACGGCGCGAGGGAATGCGTAAGTCTGCTAACAGAGGCTGGATTCACCGTTTGGGGGTTTACGGCTGGCGGGCTGGATCGCGTGCGCGGCTACTTGGATGATGGCGGAATTAGGATTCCGGAGGGGAGGTTGCTGAGTTGTGATGAGGCGGGTGTTGGAAAGCCTGATTTAAGGGCTTATGGGCCGTTGTGGGAGAGGTTGAGGAAGGATGCTGGAGCGGACGGGGAGGTGTGGTTTGCGGCGGCGCATGCGTGGGATGTTTCGGCTGCGAGGAGGGTTGGGTAAGTTTTCAGATCTGGTTACCTTGAATCAGGATGATGCTAATGCTACGATAGGTTCAAGGCGGCGTATTGTACGGCGCTGGAGGGTGAGGTGATCCCTCAGCTCTTTGGCGAGATGGATGTCGTTGGGGAGTCGTTGGTCAAGATGGCGGAGGGGGTTATTGCGGCCAGTCGTGGATGATGAGAGGTACTGTTCCTGGCTATTCAGGGCGTTCTTCTTAGTCCAGGGGATCAGGCTGGTGATTGCACCTTGATCGAATCCAGGGTTTGAATAGGGTCGAAAAGCTTAAACAGGCATGTGAACAGATATAACTGCCGAATGTGACCTCATTATTGCACACATACGGCTTGAAAAGTCTGACTATGAATCTTTGTTTGGCCGATGAGCTGCTGACCTGCGGGATTGACAGCTCTTCGTCTTCGTCTTCTTCTCGCTCTTCATTTTCGTCTTCTTCGCTTGTCTATCGAGATATCTACAACTCCTACTCATATCACTGTATTCGCTAGTTTCAGAACAAGCTATCGAAACTTTGATATCACTATGACAAGCTACACCGCTTATCTTCAACATAGCTACTACGAGGACTTCTATCCCGGTATAAGTTTGTGGTATCCCGGCGAGATGGGCGACGACGACCCTATCCCCGACAAATACAGGAGTCTTGTACGTCCCCGTCTGCCTGCCTCCTTCTACGCCGTCACCTCACCGATCCTCTACCCCGGACCTATCGACGAGACCTCCATGGATGGGAATGGTTATGACCTGTCCCCGGAGGACGATTCCGCCCCTTTTCAGAACACCTACAACGAGGCTCCGGAGAACAGTTCTACTTTATATCAAAACACCTACAACGCAAGTCTGGAGATTGGGTCCACTTCACATCAGAATGCCTACAACGGGACCCCTGGCAGCAGTTTTACTTCATATCAGAATACCCATACCGAGTCTCCCGAGGACGTGTCCAATCCGTATGAGAACACCTACAACGAGGCCCCGGACACCAGTTCTACTTTATATCAAAACACCTACAACGCAAGTCTGGAGTATGGATCTACTTCACATCAGAATGCCTACAACGGGACCCCCGGCAGCAGTTTTACTTCATATCAGAATACCCATACCGAGTCTCCCGAGGACGTGTCTAATCCGTATGAGAACACCTACAACGAAGACACAGACAACTGGTCCACTTCAAACCTTATTAGTAGAGAGTCTCATGGGTACTTGTCCAATCCATATGAGTATGTCGACAACGAGGCCATCGAGAGCGGGCACATCCAGTATGGGAACCTACAAAACCAGGGCTTGGAGAACAGGTCCATCCCGAATATACACCTCTACCAGCCCCCCGACAACGCATACTCTCAGTATCAGGGCCTCCACAACCAGCCATCCCACAACCTGTACACCACGATTGGGACTTCCTACAACGAGTCTGTCTCATATGAGCAAGCCTACAGCGGCGGCGTCGTCTCTCACCCTGATAGCAACAATAGTGGTCCAACCTTCAACGAAGTCCGTGAAACAATCAAGCAGGACATCTACAACACCGATCACAGCGAAGCCGACACCATGATAAACGGACCTATGTACCCGGATGTGGGATACGATATGGCACGTAACATAGCGAACGACATCAAACCGGAGAGCATCAAGGCTCACGTGCATTTCAACTCGTGGACCGCGAAGTTCGAAATCAGGAAGGTGACGAACATATCCGAGTCCATTGGAGTCTGGTTCAGACAATATATGGACAGGGCTTGCCTCCGTCAGTTGTTCACGCAGTCTGAGTTTACGCAGTTGGAGATCCTTGAAGGAGAATGTAAGTTCTACTCTCCCTTCAATCTCTTTCTTCATCTCTATGAATTTGTAAGAAAATTGCAAAGAATGATATCTAACAATCCCAGTGACCAAGGGCTTCGCCCAGCCCTATTACCATCGATCCGTCAAACAACCATTCCTCCAAGTCCGTACGCGCGGCCAGGAAATGCCGCGGATTGTCATCGAAATCGGCTGGAACGAGAGCATCCAACGAATGAGCGAAGACGTGTTTCTCTGGGGTGACGGGAGCTATTCAACTGTGCGAGTCGTCATCCTCGTTCATTTCACGCGTCATCCCGACAAGCGAGTTCAGTGCTCCCTAGAGGTTTGGAGGCCACAGATTATCGAAGTGCCTGATAATGGGGCTGTTGAGTATCATAGGGATGGCATGCAGTTGGTGCAGGTGGAGGTATGTACATTTCTTCCTTTCCCCTTCTTTTCTTCCCCTCTTGGTTTAAGGACATATATTTCCATGAACAAAAAGAGCTAATTATCGAACCCAATAGTCAATATTCCCGATACCGCCATCAAGACAACGAGATACGGCAATTCGTTTGACCCGTGGAGAGCTTTTCGGGAGTGCCATGGCGCCGGGTCGGGATTCGAAAGATGTGTTTGAGTTCTATATGAACGAGTTGCAGGACCTCGTAGAAACGGAGGTCAGAGCGAAAGGACTCGTGCCGTTGGAAAATGGGCAGACGAATCCTGGTGATGGGGAGAATTAAGAACATACGTCGTTTGATCTGAATTGGGCATTGTGGGGAAGTCATGTATTTGTTGCAGATTTTGGTTTTGTTTCTTGTTTGGATTGATATTTGGAGGCATTTTCAGGGGGGGATCAAATTGACCAGATTGCTTGGAATGATTATTGTGGGGAGTTACGAATTTGCTACAAAGCTTGGTCTGGTTGTTGTTCGGAAGTCATGTGCTTGCTGGCTGACTTTGCTGTATCTGATGCGAGAAGTCATGTATCTGCTGGAAGCTTTGTTCTGGATATGTGATCATGGGGTTAATTTGGATTGAATTAGGGAGAATTTGAACTGACTGTTTGGCTTGGGATTCACTACATACTACAGTAACTTCACAGTAATCTTCCCTGCTAACCTTCTACCTCGAAAAACTCGGAGTCCCCTGTCTGTAGATCGACTCACGGTCTAATATACTCTGGTCGTAGCGGATTGATGGACGTGTTCAGATAGCCCTAACCCTGAACCTTCAAAAGTACTACGTATTGTGACTGACCGGTTCAGCGCAAGCTAAAGGTGCTTTGTTAAAAGGCCCAGGGTATAAACATGGGCCACCTCTCTGAACTACTGATCTACAGAGGACATTCAATATGCATCAACGTATACTGTGAGAATAATTTGGCATACAAATGCGCAAGCTTTGATAAATCTGGCATAACTGCATAACAATCTCAGTATGAGACACGACTCATTTCCCAGCCCAGGATGACTCGATCACCTCGGAGGCGGTTGTCAGCTTGAGCTCCGGAAACTGATCGTTCAGAGGATCATCACTCTTTACCAAAGCCACATTCATCCCGGCCAGGTAATGGATTTTAGAGAGTATAGATTCCCATTGTTCGTTCGAGAGGCCGTAGTCTGCTTCTGGGAACTCAGGGAATGCAATCTTGCCCTTTGCAAGATTATCCAGGTTCTCGAAGATAACACGGAATTTCTCGCCTGTTTACTTGTCAAAGACGATCATCTTCTGATAGAATAACAGCAGTCACTCACCTCGCACCCTCTCCGCTATCGCTGTAATCTGCAAAAATGTAAGCTCCTCCCCAACGATTGACGTGAGCGGATTCCAATTTGGTAGATCCGTCATTCGAGCTACAAATTTTGCCATATCCTGCGAAGTGATGAAAGTTCCCTTGGATGTTCCGTCACCGGGAATGACGGCCCATTTGCCCGCCACGGAGACCGAGTTGGTCCACGGTTTGAGATGGGTTGGCCAGTGGGGCATGCCGTAGTAGTCCAGGAAGAAGCCGTTAACGACGCGAGTATATTCGAGATTTGTTTTCTCCAGGGCATTGAGGGCGTCAAATTGCCATTTTGCGGCGGGGACAGTTGCAATGTGTCTGATGTTGTTAGTCTTGTGGTGCTCTATGTTTGACGGAAACAATGAAAGACATACTCTTCCTTGAAGTAGATGTCAAATGAGCTGACCACGAAGCGCCGCGTAGCCTTTGATCTGGCCGATGCGTCTATTAATCTGTGTTGTGTTTGGCTGGACTCCTCCGACAGCATGCTGATTGCGCAGATGACCGTGTCAATGTTCGCGGACTCCAGGGCGGCAGCGGTGGCTTCGACATCTTGGTAGTTCACTTCGAGGTAGATGACATCTTTGGTACTGGATCTCGGCTGCACAACATCAACATTGGTTATGCCCAACGGCAACCGGGATACCGGGCCCAGGACATACAGTGCGTGTGAGGACAATCACATTGTGTTTAGCCGTAGCAGTCAACGCCTCGACGATTGTTCGCCCCACACTTCCCGTGCCTCCTGCAACAGCGATGATACCCATTTTGAGGACTTAACAGAGGTAGATGAGCATGACTGAGATAATATAGTGAAGTGGAAAGTTGTTCTCCTGGAATGGAGGCGCTGCGTGACTTGCCCAAACAGGCAACCCTCTCAGCGGTACCCCACCTTTCTTCCCCAGCCAATAGGAGGTGCAGATCTCAGCAGATGTGGACACCTTAGGGAGGTATCCCACCTGCCGAAACGGGAAATTGTCAACTCTCTTGCTTCTTCCAGAGATATCAATTTCTGCCTTTCACGATGACCACTTTTACCCGACAATACCCCGGCAAGCGCCTAGCTGCGACTATGAAAGTGGGACTGACACTCTAGTCTACCTCTGCGGACCATTAGAAACTTCAGTTTCTGACGATGTGGGCAATGGCCAGTACAACTAGCAGTGCTGTCTTATATCAAGCTCAGCCCACCTTCATGCCAAGGCAATTCAAAAAAGCGGCTAGGGCTGCGGTGTGCATTATTGACAGTCTATGTTTGTACTAGTAACATGGCCGCCCTCGGTCAGCTATTCAAGGCTTGTTTACTTGCACCAATATGGAACCACAAGCCCGTGGCCCCGAAATTGTCATGGACGCCAGACTCAGGGGAAGACCCCTGGCAAAAATCCTTTATCATGTGGCCATTAAAATTGTGTTATTCCTATTTTCCTCCATGAAAGCTACTCATTCTCGACAAAGTGACTATTATCTAAAAGTCTAACCCTACCAGCGCTTCCACATCATGGATGCAGAAAGAGTACCCGTTGGAAAGCGAAAGCCAGGGATGACGGCTAATTTTGACATCGTGGAACCGCCAATTGATGACGAATCAAAGGATATTTCTCGCTCTCGACTGTTTATTGCACGCTCGACGTGGTCAGTCGCGCCGCACAATGCCAACGGCGGCCACCAAAATTGGAACAAGCCGCGATCGAACATATGGAAGACGCTGGCAACTTTCTGGAGCTTTTTCATAATGGGGGCTAATGACTCGGCATCTGGTGTGAGTGCTCGCTGTCATATTTCGGACCCTAGTATGTGAATGTTAACAACAATAGCCATTGATTCCCTATGTAGGTCTGCTGCTTTGTCTGGAGTTGCTGTCCTAACAGTCTACAGCTTCAAAGCTACTATAAACTCTCCTACACCGTCGTCTCGGTTATCTTCCTGTCCCCGTTGGTTGGTTATGCCATTGCCGGAGTGATCGATGGCAAGTTCTACACGGCAATGGGCCGCCGAGGGGTGGCGTTGATCTGCCCACTATGCCATCTTCTCGCCTACATTATTAATTCCTTTCATCCGCCATACCATGCACTCGTCGTCGCCTTAACATTTGCCGGTGTGGCTAATGGCTTATCGGACTCGGCCTGGAATGCATGGGTTGGCAGCATGGATAATGCCAGTCAGCTTCTGGGCATCCTGCACGCCTTTTTTGGTTTAGGAGCTGTCTTTGGCCCTCTTATTATAAGTTCGCTTGTTGCGCAGGCTGGTCATCCATGGTACTTTTTCTATTATGTGATGGTATGATACACCTAATCTCCACACCCAACATTGGGTTCTAATTGAGTCATCCTAGAGTGCTTTCTCGTTCGTCGAGCTTATCACCTCCCTCGCCGCTTTCTGGGACATGAAAGGCGAACTCTCGCAATACCAGGCACCTGGACAGCCAGGGAAGGCTGGTAGTAGTGGCGGTACGAGAAAGGCAATATTTCACAGTCCCTTCGCTCGCGTGACCTGGCTTTGCTCCATGTTCTTCCTCGTCTACGTAGGTATCGAGGTCGCCATAGGAGGATGGGTCGTGACCTTCATGAAGGAAGTTCGAAATGCCGCGGAGTATGCAAGCAGCATGACAGCCACTGGGTTCTGGCTAGGGCTATCAGTTGGGAGGCTCGTCCTTGGATTCATAACGCCCCTGATCGGCGAGAGGGTCGCAATCCTTGTATGCACATTTTTCGTTGGTTGCTTTTTCGCGTGTAGTGTTGTCGTTGCATGACAGCTGTATGCTAACAACGTCCAAGATCTACATCACCCTCCAGATCGTCTTTTGTCTCGTCGTCTATCTCATCCCTAACTTCTACGTTGCTGCGGTCGGTGTGGCAATGCAGGGGTTCTTTCTCGGACCTTTGTTTCCTGCTGTGGTTTATGCATGCGTGAAGTTGCTTCCCGAAGACCTACAGGTCACGGTCATTGGAGTCACGACGGGTTTTAGCAGTATAGGATCGTCGCTTTTGCCGTTCTTGGTCGGTGCCATTGCGGATACTGAAGGGATCAGGTTTCTTCAGCCGTTTATACTGGGATTGTCGGGTGCCATTATGATTCTGTGGGGTTGCCTGCCGAAGATTCCGAGGACATTGAAGAACTCGAGGAGGAAGACGGTTCGTTTTGAGGGGTACTGATTGACGAAACAGGTGGAATTATATGTGCAACATTCTAGTTTCGATATACATTGCATTCGTCTATTAGAGGATTATATTTAGAGCATCAATAGAAAGTTGAGTTCTGAACCACCACTAACACTTGAAGATCCACCACGCAGACCCATGAATCGAACAATCGATTGCTCTTACCGGAACTATGAACAGTCCGTGATAACCCATTCCCTCAGCCATAATCCTCGAGGATGAAATTTTCTTGTCCATTCTATCATGCGATTACCAACGCCGCGCTGACAGTTGACTCATACAATCCCTGCCATCTGTCGCGCTAACAATCCTTCGGCCAGCTTCGGCCTACGGAATACGCAAATACGCCATCACGACATCAGGAGCCGTTAGCCCCAATTGATTCAAAGCTCTACCATATAAACCGCTGTTATCCCGCTCATGGCGTGTCAATGATAGACTAAACAATAAGACACGCTACCTACGACCACACTGAAATAATCTTAACGCCATACCTAAACCAAACACCATAAGCACACTCGGTATCTATTTCCCACATAAACATCCACAATGTCGACTCCATCCGTAGCATCTCAATGTCGCCTCGAACCCATCAACCTCAACGACCCCGACCATTTCAACGAAGTGCGCCGCCACCGTCTCGTCTGCGGCTGGGACCACGAACCCTCAACGCTCGAGAAATGGAAACTCAAACAGAACGAAGGTCTGAAAAACTTTTTCTGGATCACCATGCCCAACTCCAGTTGCAATCTTCACCGTAACTCCGACTCCGACTCCGACTCCAGCCAAAACACCCCCACAATCCGCATCGGGCACATCTCCCTCGACGCCTACAGCGACCCCCCAGATCCGGAGCTCTCGCGCGCCGATAAATCCATCCTCGCTATTCAGACCTTCTTCGTGCTCCCTGAATACCGGTCCTTGAGGGTCGGTGCGCGCGCGCTGGCTCTGGCCGAGGAATTAGCGCGGCGCGAACCGAACTGTCGAGTGATTGCGTTGACGGCGCTGAGTAAACGGTATATGTATGACGAGGGCTTAGACGGAAAGGGTCTCTGGGAGAGGATCGATGAGGAGATGCCGCCTGGGAGTATTCAGGAGTGGTATGAGAAGAAGGGTTATGTGGGGTGGAAGGAGGAGCCGAGGTATGAGACGGAGTTGAAGGGTGGGGGGACGTATTGGTTGAGGGAGGTGTTTATGAGGAAGGTTTTGAGGGAGGGGTGATGGGTCTGGATGCTTTGGATGTGCGGGAGGCTATAGATGATTGCAATGAATCAATTGAATTCAATTGATAGAGATGGTCGTGAGATAGAGAAGTTCTATACCGTTGGAGACTTGAATGCCTCAGGCAACCTGCCAAGCATTCGTCTTTTGCTTACCCTTTCATGGCCGTTTTATGTAGGCAATCCTACAGTGGACGCTTCTGTCTTATCAAAAATCTTATTGTTTCTTTTTAATGGCATTGTCCATTATCATGTTGATATCCTGTAGCTTAGTTCACCCGTGTGTTCACACCCCATACATATAGCGTCCATATCGGGGAGAAAAATTGACTAACTGGGAGAAGAATATATAATTGGCAATTCCTGTTCGATCAAGAAACAGTCCATGTATAAGGCTCAAATACCGCAGTATTAGTAAACTTAAACTTAAATAAAGCTATTAGGATAATTTGAGGAGAAAATGAATTGTTCACGGATGAAATGTCTAAGACTGGACTTGGATCAGAGCGCGACCCGTGATGTACGGGCTTGTTGCCTTAATGCCTTATCGCCTTATCGGCTGAACTTTCTGGGCCGAACTTCCAAGGTTCTTTGCCTTCCCTTCATTCTTTTCCAGTGGCCAAACTGTCGGTTCGACTCCGCTGTGGACCTCCATCAATGCCGTTCCTGGCAGTGAAATGGGGCGGAGAACAGTCAATTGATTGTTTCGCAGATCATTTTTGGTTGAATGCTCGGAATCAAGCAAATCCTTTTTCTTGACTATTTACTTGGGCAATGAAATGCTCCTCTGGATTTGTTATGATGCCCTCAACTTCCGTCTTAACCGATCTTACCACTCTGCCCCCAAGCCGAACCCAAATTCACAATGAATGAAATCGCTAGTCTCGCCCGCTAAACATGGTCCGGTCCCAGTCCGACCAGCCAGGAACCAGAATCGGTCCTGTCGATAGGAAACTCAATTTCCAACCCATCCAAATTCACTGGCCTAAGCTCACATTCATTCAACTAGCCCATGCCCTAGTCCATTCACGGCACCGGACCAAACCCTGGCGATCCGGCGGGTGCCTGGCTTGTCGGCCTAGTTTAGGCAAACAGACCAGGCCGGCGCGAGGATAAAATCAACTCTGTCGCAGGTTTTTTCCGGCGCATCTTGTGAACGGACATTTTGCGATCGCCAGAATGAGTCGATACTCGCATATTGATGCTGCAAGGACCAGGCAGGGGAGTGTGGTCACAGACGCGCATTGGAAGGACCAGGATTTAGAAATCGGTATGAAATCGCATTCAATCGCATTCACACGTGTGGGAACCAACAGCGCTGATCATTGTCAACTAAAGTCGATCGACTCCTCGAACCACAAACCGTCGCGCATTTTCTCGAATTCTGTCTCTGGGGAACACTCCCGACCGGCAAACAGACTTCCCTTCCGAAACTCATCCCCGAAGATGTCCCGTTCATTCATGGTCCGCCGCCGCCAGGCGAAAATACAGGCGACAACGATAATTCAATGCCTATTATCGATCGCGTCGCGCAGAGAATCGGCTCCTTCGCGGACTCGTCCCGTTTGTGCCTCGTCGGAAAGAATATCCACTCGCTGAAGTCGCGACTCTGGGAGGGTATTATCCCGATGTCGGAGCAGCGATGGCACGAAAAGGGCCTTCACAGGGAAGACAACTTTGACGTCGCGGCGCAGCATGTCTCCGCTGTCGTGGCTGTTTTCGAGTATCTGAATCAACAGCGCGTAGCGACGAACCTGCGCGACACGTTCAATCTGATCTGGGACCACTGGGCGGAGGCGGATGTCTTGGTGAACCGGAACAGAGAGACAATGGGAAAAGAAAAAGTCAGTATTACGAAGCTCTGGACGGAATACATGAGCGCCAAGTACGAGGTCATGACGGGAAGAGCGCATCGCTGGGTCATACTACACGTTGAAGCCCTGCGCACGCCATTACTTCGGACGCTGCGGTTACATCAGCCGATGAACGAAGAGGTCGTCGATCAGATTCAGTGGAAAACCACGGATCGAATGCACATACTGAATGAAATAGCTGCGGTGGCCGACTATACGATCTGCATGCCAATGCAGGGGTATAAGGGGTGGAGTGGAAATTTGCCGACATGTGCGCAGGGAACGTTGGGGGAACGGAGTAAGTGGTATTCGCCGCAGTTGAAGCTTATGACGCGAGAGGTGCTCTTCGAGAGGATGTCGAATGGGACCCGGGCCCCGGGGGGTCTGGCTTCACCCGTGTCGTTACATCAGACGGCGATGGACCAGATCGAGTGTCAGAATCGACTGAGGCGGGAGATTCGTGGGGAGGCTGTCATAATGCCAAAAGAGCCGTGGATCACAAGCGCGTTGCAGAAGCTAGAGAAAAAGCCGGAGCCACTGCATGAAAGTGATGGGCTGGTGATTTATCGGATCACGTATGGACAGACGGACGAGGAGTGGAGCGGGTTTCTGCAGAAGTTCGAGGCCCATGTGGATGATTGGGGACGAGGACATACGGGGAGTAGCTTCATGAAACCGTATTTGAAGTTGCATTGGTTTGATGGGGAGCTATTGGGTATTCCAGAGGGTGATGTGATGGCGGCGAGAAAGTAAGTTTTATCATCTAGAATGTGATGAAAATGTGGCTAAAGGATGAAGGCATTTCAATGAGCATGCAGTCTCCTCATTCAAAGACAAGGTTCGAGTTAACAAACACGTGTTTCTCGCTGTGGACGATATCAGCTTCGGGTCTTACACAACAAAAGACTACGAAGTCGCCACACCCTTGCCTCTGCGCGGCGATTTTACAGGCTTTGTGTTATCTGTTGACGCAGACTATGACCCCGAGGAACCCCGCGATCGCGCCAACGAATCACCAGGTTACCACGGTCAAATGCGAATCCTAGGCAGTCTGGTCTGGGGCGACCTATTCTCTGTGCTCTCGTCACAATCAGCCCTGCTAGAGGATCTTTGGCCCCTAGCCCTTGACCATCCCAATCAAGTCTACGCGGGCCCAACAGTCCCACTGACAATCAGCGACTGGCGAATCCAGAACGGAATCCGAAATCTTCTACTCCGACAGACAGTTGACTACGTCAAAGCGAAGATGAACGGGACTGCCCCGGAACTACCCTCCCAGCCACGACGGGAGCCTCGATCTACCAGGACAGGACAGGAGGACCCACTACGGCAACATATGATGACAAGCTTTATCAACTGGCTACGGGACAATAATCACACGCGGGAGGGGATCATGGCCGAGGAAGTGATGCGAGCGGGGCCAGACCGGGATGCCGATTTGGAGCGAGTCCAGCAGCGCATCGATGCGTTGGAAAATGGGGACGAGGAGGAGGTAAATCCGCGGAGGCTTGAGGATCCGGACGATCCATGTGCCATGCAGTGAGAGGTTCTGCTGAAGCACAGTCGTGTGGAATGCAGATCATGCCAGGAGGACTGACGATATACCCAAAGGGATGTTTGTTTCTTTTTTTGTCCATAAATAGATTCAATGAAAAAGGAAAACAGTTCTCATGAATGGAAAGCGCCGCGACTCTACACGTGACAGTATCCTACCTATTTGACAAGCCTCGGAACGGGAGCGGTCTTCCCTTCTTACAGCGTTCTCGTCCCATCCATTCATCGGAACTTTTCAATATACACCCAGTCATAGTCATCAGATTACTACTTGGAGCCCTATTGTTGCACGAGACCTCCCCGGCAAAAAGCTCCGGCGATGCTAGGATTGCCGATAGGGGATAGCAGTGAGGCGCGACAGAAGGAACGAGAGTTAAGGCACGGATGGTGGCACAAAACTCCATTGCGCGATGTGAGACAGCCATGAGGGCTTATTCACACATAGACAGGTTTGGTTATCGTGGATGCCTAATCGCAGTGGATGTATAGGGTTGATTGTCGATACAGAATGGGCTGCAGGATACTCGGGCGGAATGCGCATGCCAAAGTGTCAATTAGTTCGACTTTGCTGACCTTACTGACGCGGCTTCCCAACCTGCACTCGAGTAATCTCTCAGAACTCCACGGCTCGGCCCTGCGAATATCTATTGATTCATTGTTTAGCTGCTAGTGGCAACACCACAGTCGCGGATTAGTCTGAACAGGCCAAGAGTGATGCCACAATGGGGACTGATAAACAGGTATATGTACGAGCGTCCTTGGGTTTCCTGACATGCCTAACTCCCTACAGATCTCCGATATGTCTGACCTCGCATGTACCCGCTGTCGTGAGCGCAAAATACGCTGTGGGCGGGAACGGCCTCATTGTCGCAGCTGCGAGCGGGAGGAAGGCGTGGTATGCGTATACCAGAATCCCGTGAAAAGGGTGAACCACTTGAAACTACTGTGAGTCTATGGCGTAGAACTCAAAGGACTGCTTCTTATCCATACAGGTGTGACAGTGTTGAGCTCTTGCAGCAGCGGTTGACGTCGATCGAGTCACATTTGAGCCGCCTCCATGCGCGGGCGGAGTCCGCTGATCCCGAGTCTTCCGGTCTCCGCTCCACCGCGGAGGCGGAAGACAGCTCCACTCCGAGACCCGCGCTTCACGGAAGAGAGGCCCGCTGCAGCAGCTGTGTGACCGGTCAAACCAAGTAGACCCTTTTCCCCCGTACGCCGACGTGACAGCTCCGCTGCTTCCAAAGGCACACGTGGCCACAGCCATCGAGCACTTTCTACAACATGTTGATTGCCAGACGGACGTCTTCGACCCACAGAATCTTCGTCACCAACTGGATCGGGTTTATGAGGAGCATGACGACGTATGGGCAATCTGCTTCAAGACTATCACGTTGATCGTGCTAGGTCTGGAGATAACTCACGCAGGCACTCTGATCGGCGACTTTGCGCGATCACTATTACCCAATCGGGCCGCGCTGGTTAGCTCACGCGTTCTAACCACGTCGAGACTCGTGAATGTTCAAACGCTTATCCTTCTCGTAAGCGCACTCAACCGGTTGGCCGACATGTACTCCACTAACGGGTACAGAGTGTTGCCGCGCAGCAATTCGACCCTCCTGGATGGGCAGAGCTCATATTCGCAAATGCTTGTCTGATCGCTAGAACGATGGGTCTTCATAGTTTGCCTATCACCGCGAACGAGAGCATGTGCGAGCAAGCCAAGGTATTCCAGGCGCTGTACATCCGAGACCGACGGCTGTGTATTAGCCGAGGCGCCCCGTCATGGCTGCCTTCTATGGAGTACAAACTGACGGTGGAGCTGACTGATATTGCTAGTAATTTGGCCTATCGGGACCAATTCCGGCTGGCGATAATTCAAGATGGGATACACGCTCAAGCTCACACGGCTGCGGGAGTTGATGCGCAGAGTCTGGAGAAACAGCTGGACCATTTCATAAATCGGACGCGACTGTTACAAGGTCCGATGTCATCTGTTGTTTCTCGATCAGCGCAAGCCTTGGAATTTCTCGCTACGCGAATCCTTGCGTTCGAGCATGGTCCAGAAACCTACGCTGCGCAGGCGCGGTCAGACGCACGCGCTAGCTGCTTGCTTGTGTTAATGGCATACGGGGACAGAGGACAAGACCTGCAAGATGAATTTCAAGAATTGGTCCGAGGGGTAGAAAATGAAGTTGGACTGGGCGGCTCACCAGACACATTCTTCACCGCACTTGACGCTTTCTCACTGCCTGGGGTTTTCATCCTACTGAATGGACTCGTGCAAAGACACCATGTGGAGTCAGAGTCTACTTCAATCACTAATCTTGACCTTCTCCATCGACTGTCGGCGTGCTATGCGGAACAGACAGCATGGATGCCATCCACACATTACCATCGCAGGGTATCGTGGATCTTAGATCAGCTATTGCTGGTGATTGACATGATCCAGAACCCGCAAGATGCATCCACATGTGTCCAGGGGGCAATTACCCACCTGTCCTCTGATCGCCCCGAGGGTATGCGACACGGTAGTGATACCGATATAGTAGGCCCCTGGCCTCCAGGAGATTCATCAGCCACCTCTTTGACGTGGGACACGTGGCTATCGTCGACCTCGCCGCTCGGCCCGTCGTCTCTTGGACCCCCTACGCCGATAGATCCCACGCGGGTGGTATCGCCTGATTTATTGACACAAATGCTGGCTGTGTCACAGGGCCTGGATGGAGTGGAGAACCTACCGTGGACGACTGTACCAGAGACATCGGGACGGAAGCGCCGACGAACGGACGATCCTTTCATACCAGGAAGCGGGATATTCGAATAAGGTATAGGACCTGGCGGAAGGTTTCATTTGGTGGATGAACGACGTAAAACCGGAGAAAGCTTGTTTAATATCTCATTGTATTATATCACGAGCGCCGGGATCCACGCCTGCTAAGCTTCGGCCTTCGGAGCCCGAACCCTGTCTATCTTAATCCTCCGCGGGACCCGAACTCCACCATTAGATGGATTCCTGACGAGAGCAATCCGATGGATTGCTGAGCCGTTCGGGAACATTTAACATGACATTAAACATCCGGGAAGAGCGTACTGGTACCGTGTCGATCCCACCAGGTCATTGGAGGCCAGGTCCCCTCCCAAACGATATCTACTACGGCAGCGGCTGCGTGGCCGAGAACCTTCTCTCTTGTCTACCACCATCGTGCAGAGTCTTTATCATCACCAACGAATTCATTGAGCAAATCACCCTTCATCCCACGACTTGAAAGTCTCGTAGGAAGCCATCACGCAGGCACAATTTCTTCGATTAAGCAACATGCTCTAATAGAGGACATCGAAGAAGCCCTGTCAATCATTCTCTCTACCGCGCATTCCCTCCCCGATTTCCACTATCTTGATCTCTCTAGGCGGCGGCTCTCCTATCGATGTAGCCAAAATAACCTCATACAAACACCGCTCCGCCACCGAACCTTTCCTCCCGCCCATCGCCATCCCGACAACCCTCAGCGGGGCAGAATGTACTCCGGGTGGCGGATACGTGCTGACAACGGCTGAGCCATCCCCAAACAAAGCACAGGGAAACGTTAAAGTCAAAACCAAAACGGCTATCAAGATCCAAAACTAGCCATATCAACTATCTTCTACGACCCTAAGGAGCTTGGCTCTTGAGCTACGTGGTCTTACCTTAGCATCGTTAAATGCTGGATTAAATGGTGAATCGGTATTATAAGGATCCACTTAAAGTTAAACCGTGCTAGACTTTATAGGTACACCACAAGCATCACAAAGCAAATGGGACCGGTGGGGACATTCGTAGGAAAGCACATATTATTCACCACCTCAATTCAAAGTGCAAGTGTAGGAGGCAAGCTAGCCATTTCCTACAAACGCAATTATCACCCTCTCAAATGGTTCATAGAATAAGAGGTAGACCCACATAACTTCTGCTACACATGGTCACTTCCCAGTCCTATGTTGTAGGACTCTGCGTGAACAACCTGCAATTTTACTTTCTCGCCTCGCGCTGTATGATCATGCTGGGTAGCACCATCACAACACAGAACAGAGGGACCACTAATGATTGTAAGCTGGGGGGCAACAACGTGGGCCCATCACTTATAACTTACTCAAGCCCACACTGAATGCCAATTGATAGCAGTCTTTGACAACAGTTTGGATCCTAGTTGGCAAACCAACCACAACCTCCGAGCTCTGAATTATCCTATGTATAAAGCTCTGGACCGCTCTGGTTAGAGAGTGGGCGTAATAGAAAGTATGTGGTACAGACCTCTTGTTTGCTTTCCGGCAACAGCTCCCGTACAGACGAGTACAGCCGGCGACGGAATACGACCTTCGTTGACAAAGCCACGACAGTCGTCCCCACAATGGTTCCAACCTGCTGACAGAGAAAGTAAAGGCCAGTAGCTGTAGCACGTTGATCTGCCGGCGCATACTGCACTAGTGCTGTGAATTGACCAGCAAAAAAGAGTCCGGCGGCAAACCCCATGATGAAAGTGTCACCCAGCTCGATTCCATTAATACCATCTGCCCATTGCACTATCATAAGAGAATGTGCGGCTATCGAGATCAGAATGGCAATAATTGATATCGTTCGATGTTTTGGGTTCCTATATATACCTGTCAATATGTCATGTCTAGCTTTATTCTCGAGACACGGTATCGGCTAACTTGCTGATTATGTGGCTGGATACTATCGCCCCTGATGCAGAGCCCAGTGCCTGTGGTAAGATTCTTAGTGCAATAGCCGTAGCTGGAAGGTTTTGGACTCGTGTATAGTAGGGCGCCAAGCTTGACATAATCTAGATGGAGGGTTTGTTCATCAGCATGCTCTATTGCAGCGTGTTCTATGCTCTGTCAATACTCACACCAAGAACAGCGCACGTAAATAACAACTGCCCCATATATACGATGCGCAGCCCAGGCTGCATCAAGAGATGGAGTGGGATTATCTGTCCCTCCTTGCGTTTCCACTCATTCACCAAAAAGGCTATTCCAGAGAGACAGCCTGAAATAATCAACCACAACACTAGTGGATGGCCCCATGGAAGGCTTTGTCCCCCCAAGTCAATTGTAACAAGTGCGGAACCTACAAAGGTCGCAAACAGGATAATGCCGGGGACATTCAATGCTCTTAGTAGTGAGAGGGTCGTATGTATTTCAGGCGGGGCTTTTGAACTTTTACGGCTCGAAGGTAACAGCCACCAAGCACAATACATACAACCAAAAGCTACTAGCACCTGGCCTAGCAGAGACCTGTCTATTGTCAGTCTATAGGCCTGGGGTGCTAGGGAGTAATTAATAACAACAAACCATCGCCAGCCAACAAGGTCTGTTATGAGTCCTCCAGCCGGTCCCCCGCAGCTTTTCCCAAGGACGCCAGTTGTGAGAACGTATCCCCGTAGCTTTGCAACGGAAGACGCACCGTATAGCTCTGAGGTACTCGTCTATCAGCAATCATAGGCGTTGATACATCATTTGGCCGCCTACCGCAGACTAGGACCATAAACAGATCCAACATCCCCGCTGCTCCAACCCCAGTGATAAGTCGACCGAGAAGAAATAGTGGGAAGGAATGTGCCAGGCCCCTGGGCAATAATGTCAACTCATGAACGGTAGCTACATTGTGGGACTTACGACAATGTGCATCCGATACCAAACAGGATATATGCGTAAAGAAGAACGATTTTGCTTCCATATCTATCACAAAGCGGCCCATACTGTTCACATCGGTATGAGTCAAGGTGTATGCACTTACAAGGCAAGTAGCGGGATGAACTTACAATTGGTAAAGAAATACAATGCCCCAGGCTGAAGGAGGTCAAAACCAACGGTGCATACGTCATGCTGTGGAAGTCGCTTGCAATTCTGTCTTGGATAACCCACAGCAACGATGAATCACCGCTAGCAACAAACGCCCCTAGGGTGTGTATATCTGGTCAGTGATTTTGCCCACCTCACAACCCACGACAGGGAGGTGCTACCGATAAATACTGATACCAATCTGTATATGGGTGGCTCCCCATCTTCGTCATAGTCTGTTCTGTGAGCCTCCTCGTATCCAAATGACTCTCTTTGCTGTGGAGGACCTTCCTCATAATCTGATCGCGTGGACTGATCCATCTCGATGGAATTGATTACCCAAGGCGTGATGCTGTTCTTCTTATGGATAGTATACTTTCGTAGACATTGATCACGATGACCTTTTAAGAGATGTTACTGTGGCGTGGGTAGACCATCCCTGGGAATCACGGGGTTCTGTTTATTTTCTGCCGCTGCAAGGGATACAAGCATATTTTCTGACTACGCAAGCGACTTCTAACAAGCATTATCTGTTGCACTAACTTCGGACAAATTAGACGTAACACAATAATTCCCAGTACTATCGTCTGTCTCTCTTTGGATGACCACTCTCATCTCCCCCCTTTGCCTCTTATACAGTGCTTCTGTATCATGCAATGTGGCGTGTCGACCTTCTAAAACATAGATAATAGTTCGGGATTGACCAATTGGTTTTGCATCCGCTATGACTGCATGTTGGCGTTATTTCTACATCAGTCCTCAGACCACCTCGTTGATGAGATCATCGTATAGTATTGAAGGCAAGGCGAGGCAGGGTATTTATGACGGGGAGTGCTATAGACACACCCCCACGAAATCTTGGAAACATTTCTTTACTTTATTTCCAATATATTGCTGGCTTCTGTGTTATATTAAAGTCACGCAGTATATATAAAACTTAATCTCTATTTCCTTCAATTTTTTAAAAAACGTAATTATATAGATTTTCAATATATTCTTTTTCCTATCCTATTTTGAGATGAAAGAAATCTACGGAGTAACATTACTTGAAATACCAGGAGACGATGTATGTGAATCTTTCTTTCTGGACGACATAGGAAGATAATAATTATCTCTTTGATAAATAAAAGCTAGTCATATAACCCATATATAAGACGTCTGCTCTCGGTACCCTGCTAAAGAGTGCTTACCTATGAGATGGATTCAATCATAGTCTGCAATCCATAGATGCGCCGCCTTCATCAGTGGGAAAACTACCCTCGTTGCAGGATCTCTATCTCCAAGCTTTTTAGTTCCAGAGGGACGGACCAAGCCAGCAGGAGCGACCACTCTCATTTTCTCCTCTCCGGTTAACTCAGCAGTCCCCATATAGAACTCATCAGCAAGAGTCTCAAGCTCACGGTCACCCTTATATTGATTCCCCTGGTCAGAATACAAAGCCTTTGCCTGGCCATCCTTCATGTGGCGAAACCAATAGGATTCACGAAACTTATACCTTCGCTGATAAACGTACAGGCTTGCTCGAGCTGGGACCTCATAATTTTTAGTGACCGTAACTTTCTTTGAAACCACAACTGTATTGAATCTTCTCTCGGAAATGATCCGGATATATATTCGGCCTTGAGACCTTGAGACCGTAGGAATTTCCTTCAGTAAGAGTGGACTATCTTCAACCTCCCCTCAAAGTCGAATTACGATCGCGCAAAACCACGAATGACAGTTAGGGTTCGTGACATTTGAAGTCACTTTAAATTTCATGAACGATGAGATTCCGTCCGATTCTCTGCTTTCAAGGAGTGAAATTGGGGTACATTTAAGCTGCTTAGTGGGCGAGGAACAGAGTAAATCCGCCAGTGAGAAGAGCTCGCTTATCTTTAACCAGGTGCTGTAAGTACCCACAACACATTCCAATCATATCGTCCCTGTGTGCGATGTCCCTTTGCTCTTCGCGCGTTGTGTAGTGCTCTATGTTAAAGGCGTTCAAATGGTAGGTTCCTGTTGTACGCAGCGAAATGCCTACATGGACGCATTGCTTGATCAATAGTCTACGCCACCTGCACCGAATGTTCTTTCATTACTCGACTGCTTCGTTCTCAATCTACCACAGGCTTCACCCAGATTCCTTTCACCCGATCCTTCAACCATTCCCCAGCGGTAATAGCCTCGTCGTTCTCATTGTCATCCCGCTTGAAGCCCTCCCGTCGAAGCACTGGACTATCCACGGTTGCTAAATGGAGGTTGTCTGGTGGGCGAACAAAGTACATGAGGCCTAATCTATCAATGTGTGCCTGGTCTGGAGGCGGCGCAACCACCCGGTGAACGCTGCTTGGCAAGAATCCGTTCGTCCATCGCTCCAGGGTATCGGCGATATTCACAGTTATACTTCCCGGGTATGGCTTGACATATTTCCATTGCCCGTCCGGGGTCTGCACCTGCAATGCAGCCACGGGCTGACGGAAAAGTAGTGTCAGCGTACCAAAGTCGGTATGACTGTGGGAGTATAAGTTTTGAAATTTGGCGTTTTCCTCGGGGCTGCGAGCCCTGTAATTCATGTATCGTAGGTGGCAACCGCTGTGCTCCTCGTACTTGTGTGCGTCCACGAAGTAGTTCTCTGGAAGCTCGAGCATAACCGCTACTAGGAGTAGGAGCTTGTGAACAATGTTTTCGTGGACGTAGCGGGAGAAGTTCTCGATCTCGTGGGAGTAACGTTCAATGACATCGGGATGAACGCGTTTGAAGTCAGGGAGGAATTTGAAGACGCTGTATGATTCGACATTGTCTAGCATTCCAGGAAAAGTCTCAATTGCACCGAGAGGACGGTACCCGCTGTAGTTTCCTGATTCCAGCCCGGCACGATACTGAAGCTTTTCCGATTCTGGACGGCTGAACAGCTCCTGCCCAATCGCATATTGCCTATTAACTTGATTCTCAGTAAGGCCAAAATTGGTGACGTAGAATAAACCTAAAGAGCTGTTACTAGGTTTGCGGATTCTTCATAATGCTTGTTCAATCACACTACCTGTATGATGCACTGCATGTTTTAATTTCATAGCGAGGTGTTCTTTGCCTCCAGGATCATGAAATTGCGAAAGGTCGATGATACCCAGGTCGGCCCAGTCAACTACCATAATTAGCATAGGTAGCAAGTAAGACCGGTTCATACGTACGATCATGTTTAGTCTCTGGTGTATCTCCATATCTCGTTTTCAATGGAGTGGCAACTCCTCGGTCGCTCGACAGCTCCGTCAGGGTAGTAACTTGAGCCATTGCGTGTATCAATTCCCGATCGGACAGGGCCACGGTATCGCGTAGAGCACACCTGTATATGTAGCTGATGCATTTTCCTGGGATGGGCACGCCAGCCTGACGCATGACCAGCTGCAGAGGCGGGATTTTGCCTAGCCAATGCGACGATATGGAAACGCTAACCAGTTGAGTGGTCGATTATGAGCGGGAAACTTTCCGTGGGTGTCGCGTCTGGGGACTTTGATGATCCCTTCCCCAGTAATCACTTCGTTCCATCACTATTGGGGAAGCACGGTGCGGGGTTTTTGATAGGCCAGGTCGCATAGCTCGCCGTGAGTTCTCGGGGCAGTATATTATGCATTGTGCAGGACTGATCCCCGCCCCACCAGCTAGAAGCAGATCTAGAGACACTGGAGGTGTACTAGAAGGTCTAAAGTCTCGACCGTGAAGTGGGGGAGAATTCCCATCATTGAGCGCTACGCATGCATGTGAAGTGCACGTACTATAGCATAGAGGTTCAGATGACTTCGAGAAGCGGTTGGCTGATATTGGCCGGTGCTAGTCATGCAGATCCATGTCGCCTATGGCGGGTCTGGGCATCGGGTACTCCGGAAATGACTACAGGCGAATTTGATTTGCTTCAGCCGAAAGGAAGAGAGATGTCCGTCGGTACGCGATGTGTAGATCAGCGTTACATTTTACGTGCTCCTCAGAAGTATGCATCTTTCGCACTTACTCACCCGCTACCGAATCGCTCAGATCGCTCTCAAGCATATCTTTGTTGAACTAACGGACCAGGGATCCTACAGCTAGCCAGTCGCAAAAATGCCTCGAACTTGAGTTATTGATGGCTCTTCGTCGCCAGTTCTTGTCGTGCAGTACCGATCAAGGACACGTGTATCTGCCTTGTTAGCCGAACAAGCATGGCTCTTACAAATCAAGGAACTTTGCTAATGGTTGGTGCTAACATCCCGTGCACTGGATCACTGTGTGGAGTCAGAGAAGACCTACAGAGCAAGTATGCATATAGTGGTCTCATTCGCATACAAAGGTGCGATATGTTTGGCATCTAAGTGGGTTGTTGCACAGGTGTGGAGAATGAACACTGATTTCCCATGTCCGATAATGGCGCGTACCGCGGTTGGGAGTATTTTCATGCTCTTACAGCGTATCAGGGAAGGGTGGCTTGTTTCTTTCGTCCTGTCCCTAGTCGTGCTGATATGTAGACTCCCTTCGAGAGGGGTGGGTGCTACATATCCATCCGTAGTACCTAAACAGAGGGCCACGGCTGCCTCATATTTAGTCTCCCAGGACACACTATCCATCTGCTTCAAAGACTACCACCTCTTGGGACTACTCATTATGTTAGCCTTGCAAATATGTGTTATCCCCTTGGCCTTCGTCGTTCTTGCTACTCTTTTCAGCCGGCATTATTCCAAGCAACCAGGCAAATTTCCTCCTGGTCCACCGGGTTCTGATCACACACGACTACTCGATGGCCATCGTTGGAACGCTTTCAAATCATGGAACGACGAATATGGTTCAGGCTCCCTGCTCTAAAACCTTGGTGGCTTCTGTCCCGTTCTCTAACGACATCCCATCCAGGACCTGTTGCAAGCTTTTTTATTGGATCACAGCGTAATATTGGTAGGCATTATGTGACAGTTTTAGCATAATTTCACTTTTCTAACTTTCGTATTATGCAGTACTCGGTACTATGGAGGCGGCTGTCGACCTACTTGAGAAGTCTGGAGAGATTTACTCCAACCGCCCCCATCTTGTCATGGGGTAGGTGCTTTTCCTTATACCTGTTCAGATATAGTTCATGCTCACTCAATATAGAGAGTTTCTTTTTGCACGACTGCGCGGGTTCTCAATGACCTATGGGGCTAAATGGCGGAAGTGGCGGACAGTTTGTTCTCCCTGATCTTCCGAGTTGTTGGCGGTTTCTCTGACGAACCTGCCCGTTTTCCCCTGTAGCTCCAAGGCTCGATGTTTGGTGCCAAATTGGCACCCAATGTGAAGCCCATGCAGGTCAATGAATCAGCGGTGCTCATGCATGATTACCTGACGAACAGCGATCCCTCGAGACACCACAAAATTCTGCGAAGGTATGTTTCAGCCATACGCATCGTGTATAGAAGACTGTCTGATATAGTGTCTTGTCCAGGTACACTGCATCGTTGATGTTCTATCTTGGATACGGACGACGCGTCAAGTCTCTCGAGGATCCCCTCTGTGTAGAGCATGACAAGGTGGAAGAATGTAAGCTTTCACCACCCCTCCGCCGCTCAGAGCTGTACTTACCTCTTTGGCAGATATTGAGAGGTACGTGAAAGTCCAGGCACTAACATTCTAACATAACATCCACTGAAGTGTGCTCATTTCCAGTACGAAGTAAGTATGCCATCCTGTCCGAAGGCTACGAGTTAATCACTGTGTCAGAATACCCGGACGATATTTCATAGAAAGTGTACGTATTCACCATACCTTAGGCTGACGCTCAAACTGATGGCTCTCTTGTACAGTGGCCGATTTTGCTTTGGCTCCCAGTAAGTCAAAATACACTCGCAGATTAAAGCTCGCCTAACGCATCCAAAGCGACCATTGCAATGGTTCCGCAAGGAACCAGAGAAGCATCGAGACATCAACACAAACCTCTACCTGACTGCCATGAACGACGTGAGAAGAAAGATGCGAAATGGAAACGCCGTCCCATGCACGGCTACGTATGGCCTGAGTAAACAAGAAGACCTGGGTTTCAGCGATATCGAGCTGGCCTATGCACTCTCCGCCCCGTGGGCAGCAGGAATTGGAACTGTAAGTGCAATGCACACGTCCCAACTGGGATTCTAAGCTAACAATATAACATACAACAACTGCTTTTGAGATAGCCATTTGTCTGTTTCCCTAATCCATTCTATTTTGGTATTTCTACTGATTTGCTGCTTCTACAGTGGCCATGTTGCATTATCCAATGTGTGTTCGTAAGGTGCAGGAGGAGCTTGATGCAGTCGTCGGTCAAGACCGCATGCCCAACTTTGAGGACCAACAGTCCCTACCTTATTTGGATGGTTTTATTAAGGAGACACTGAGGTGTGTGTTTATTCGAACTTGATATCGACAAGTGGTTACTAAGATACGCTCTACAGATGGAGAACGGTCACTCCCACCGGAATCGCACACTCATCGACCGAAGACTATACATATCGGGGGATGATGATTCCCAAAGAGTCTACCGTATATGCTAACGCTGCGTATGTCCCCTTTTCAGCTGACCCCAGCAACATAATTACTCATGTGTTCTTCGATCATAGTGCGATTATGCTTGATCCCAAAGTTTTCCCCGAGGGCGAGAAGTTCATCCCGGAGCGGTTTATAGAAACCACTGACCCAAGGCTGATCAACCACAAATTTGGCTGTTTTGGCTTTGGGAGAAGAATCTGCCCGGGTATGTATGTGGCACTTCAATCGCTCTACATTGTGATTGCTAGGTAAGTGCATATTCTCCTTTTACACTTCCCTTCATCAATCTGAAATTGAAATTTGAATCAGAATGCTCTGGGCGTTCGATATACTTCCGACTGTCGTCGATGGAAAGCCCTTCATTCCGGATAAGGACGATTTCACCACGGGATTGGTCAGTTATCCGGCCAATCTACGGTATCGACTTATTCCTCGCAGTGAGAAGCACAAGGAGCATGTTATCAAAGAGGCTCAGCGTGCTAATGCTGATATGGCTTCTCTGGATGGTTAGGGGGTTGGTATATATAATTATGTGGTCGCGGGGGTTAACTAACCCGCCTTTCATCGCCTCGCTGAAGCCAAACAGTTCATCAGGCAATTATTCAACATAAATGCGCCTTATGATGGAATAAATCGTCATTTTCGTTGCATACTGACATTGCTATGGGAGCTCTAAAGGTTGCATAAATACGTGCTGAATCCTGTGTTAGAATAATAAAAAGACCTTCATTCATACTGAATATGTAGATATCAAGTAGCTATTTCAGAACTTTAGTGATTTCCTGTCAAGCCCTCCAAACTGCCATGATATAGCGTATGAGTAAACTGCGACACAGAAGCATAATAGAGGACCGGATTATTACATTGAGCGAGCTAGCTAGATAATGCCTGGTCTCTGGTCATTCTAGTAGACCGCTGGGTGGGGCATCAAGATGCGGGCATCATTGTTATGCGCTGAAACAAAGAAATAGAATGAAAGGGATGTTTACCCCCCGCGAGCCTCCTGCAAAAAACTACAAAAGAGTGCTGGCCTTGCCCTGAAACAGGGATCGAAGTGGAGGGGCTTACTATCCTGCGCGAGCTGCCCGCGCTCTTTCTGGTTTCCTTTACTGCCCAACCCTACCGATAATGGTCCGTCTTTATTGCCAGGTTTTGCTCATGTTTGTACTATTTCTTCGGTTCGGAATTATTGAGCCATCTTTTATTCTCTTTTTTTATTTCCTTTCTACTTGGCAGTATCGATATGTAACAGAATATATTGTGTTGTCTTACAATCTACATGAGGAAGTATAGGATAGAAATAAATTCATTTATTAATATCCATGCGTGGGATAGAGCAATCCCTTGCATGTTTTATGACAATCTGTAAAACAAACAAAAAACTGCAAGAATCGACTGAGTTTAAGAACAGCCACACCTGTCAATAAAGTAAACAACAGGAACATCTGAAAAAGAAGAGCCGTTTCTCATAATGGACACACTTTTCAGCCAGTGCCCATGGCGACCAGGCGTATTGCGAGGACCTCTAGGCGCGTTCGGTGGTGGAGTGTTATAGATGGTTCTGCGAGGCTGAACAAAGCCATGAGGTTGAGGGACCGGAGCAGCTCTGGGATCAACAACCATAGGGGGCTGGTTGTAAGCCCTAGGATCACCGTATGGGACGGGATTGTACTGAGGGCCATAACTGCCACCTGGGTACGGAGGACAAGGGAAGTAGACCGGTCCATGAGTGGGCATGCTGGGGTATGGATGGGGAGGAACACTCGCCATAGGGTGAGCATGCATAGGAGCCGCGGTGAAAGCAGGGATAGGCCCTGCTACAGGGTGCACCGGAACAGGGCTGCGATGGCAGCCGGAGCATAGTAGGTCTGGCTAGCGGGAGCGGGAGCGGGCACCATAGCAGGAGCTGGAGGTGGAACGCTAGTAGAAGGCTCGGCAGGAGCACTCGTGGGATTGGCAACCGGCACGGTCTTTGAGGGACGCCGTGGAGCGGTGGAAGAGGGTGTCTGAGTACCAGTGCTTTGGGGGGTATCCTTAGTGACGTCTTTGGGGCTCGAGGAATCAACCTTCTCACGATCACCTCCGGGTCCCTTACAAACAGTGTTTGGATTCACGATGGGAATGGCCTTAGACGGCCTACTGGGACGCCGAAGAGCCTGCTGAGAAGACCGCTGAGGGACCTTCTGAGGAGCTTGATGAGAAGTTTGCTGTGGAGGACTGGGCTTTCTGTCAGCTGGAGTTGCATTGCCCGAGTTGTTAGGACTGGTAGAACGGGCCTTGTTGGCCGCGTCATATGCCTCCGGATTGATACGACGTTTCTCGTCCTCAGGGAAGCGGTTCTCTTTCAGGACCGTCTTGATCTCTTTTCGAACCTGCTTCATGACACCAAGAGGTCCGTCCCATTCCTCCTCGACGACGTCAGTGATCCAATAAATTCCCGAGTTGAAATCGGGGTTCTTGTCCATCCTCGCGTTCATGACATAGCACTCATCTGTATCCATCATAATAAGCATCATGTTGAGGAGCTCTTTGGCATAGTACTCGCCTTCGGGCAGCGGGCACCAAAAGTACCATGCGTCCCAATCGGCGTCTAGGTTACTCGGTACAAGACCATTGTATTGCTCAGAGTAGCAGCCTGGGACTATCTTGAACACCCGGGCAACTGTGTCATCTTTGGGGATCTTTGCTTGTTCCATTGCGGCCTTTCCTTTTTCCATTGTGATGGCTTTCATTCTGCTCTTTTGGAGAAAGGGTTTTGGTGTGAGGCTTGTCCTGAAGGGGTTCTTGCTAAATTGATAGACTTGGTGAGTTTTTCAAGTCTCGATGGTAGAAGTACTTCGCACTTGATGTTTGAGAGTGGTTGCACAGACTATGGAAACGGCTAGATTAACTGTATTTATATTTTTCAGGGCAGGTGTCCGTGGCATAAGTGTAGGTAATTCCCGCTTCCTACTGAGAGGAGTCATAACGAAACATGGAAATGATTTGGAGGTTCGGGAATTCCCTGTAGATTGCGATAGAACAATGGACTTGTTTCTTTGTTCAGGTAATACCATGAGATAATGTCTTTTGAGTTTTGCTCAGCTTTGCTCTTCGAGGATCCGGGACTCCAAACACAAAGAGGTTATCCAAGACAAACGACATGACTGCATAGTAACAATTCCAGGGAGCTTAATGCGAATAAATCTCTTTAAGGACATTTCCAGTTGCTACAACCCTGGATTATTCTCTCTGTTAACGTAGACTCTCATAGTACGACTCATGGTGCTTGAAGTTTGCCTTGGTAGGCATGGCTGAGACAATGCTCATTAGAATACAACCCAAAATGTCTTCCTCGGACTAAAATGTATGCAGCTAGTACTGTGGCATAGATGCATTGCGGCCTTTTCAGGGGATCAAATAAAAGCCCGAGGTATACCCTCACTCAATAGAACATTACACAGATCAGGATCCATGAAATCAACATTGGACGACGACGCATCCGCAATAGGTGATTCATGGTCAGGCCCGGAGCCATCGGCTCCAACTCCCAAGACAGGTGCGATCCCTTGATTTGTGAGTGAGATGTACTGAGAGCCGAGGTGCCCCTGTGTGGCCTTGACAGGTGAACCCAATGATTCTGACACACTTGTAACAGAGTCTTGACCAGCCCCGTGCTTTTCCACTCCATTCCTATCACCCGCCACCCTGTTCTGTCGACGGCTCTGCCACTGCCGCTGCAGCGTACTCAAGAAAGTACTCGTTCGTCGAGCGTTCTCAAAACAACAACCCATCTCATCGAGCGCACGGAAACACGTGCTTAGGTGGGTTACGAGCTGTTGGTTGCGAGGTCGAGATTTAGTAGGGACAGTAGTGAAGATGAGAATGAGTGCCGCGGAAAAGATGAATGAGATGATTTGGACGTTCGCGTTGTGAAAACTGTAGGCTCGCTCATAGATGTTTAGTACTTCGACAATCGATACCGCGGACTCGATGCACGTTCTTCGTGCGTGATTGGGGCCGGGGCCTTGTGGCGGTTGAGGTTGTATGTAATGTCTTGAGATATAAGGGCGATGGCAGTGGATCATGAATTGGTGGTATTGCATGCTGAATAAATGTTATTTTTTGGGTGGTGTTGAGCTGGCAGTCGACTTACTGAAGAGTTAGGGTATGTGGTAGAGGCTGTTGCACGGCCTGTGGGTGGTTCTCATCGATCCTCAGCTCCACAGGCAGAGCTTTCTTCCATTCCTTTAACCTCTCAACAGTGTCGAATGTCAGCTCTTGCAGCGCATGCTTCGAGATTTCGATACAACCATATCTACATCACTCGTTAGTTCCAAGGATGCTCATGTATAACCTAGTAATAACCACTCACAGCACGTCTGTCAAATGAAGCATGGTTTCATAGAGTGAGACCCATCCCTTGCACAACATGTTCGCAGGAACAGGCATATTGTTCTTCTTGATATCGGGATATGGTTTCCATTTCGTCGTGGGCAACGTGTTTTGTGTTGGGGGTCTCCGGACCGTGACAATATCCATGCGACTCTGCGCCGAACGCCCTAGATAGAATCCCCAGAATCTTATCTGTCACCACTAGCTCAATAGGTTACTAGGGTCACGGGACTGACTGCTCATTCAAATAAACCCCCCAGAATACCCTACGTCGTAGCTCGGCGTCTTCATACGGGATTATCCCTCGTTCCACATAGGGACCCATGTCAAGATGCAATCCCAGGTCAAGGGTCAGTCGCATTGCCATTCCTTCTCATGTCAGCCCGATGTCCACAAAGTCCTTCCGTCCTGTAAGTGCCTACCGCTATACAACCAGCCCCTCGTGTCTCTCGTACACAGTGCTTCATGATTGCTCAAAATCACCAGTCCTTGGATCGTTGCAATAGATGGGCTTTCCAGCTCTAATTCCAGCAAAATCTTGGCCCGATCGCCAAAGAATTCGGCTAATGACCTAGGAAACGTCACGAACTCTGGGTGGTATCTCGGCTCGTACGCAGCACCGAGTGCACACATTGCACATGACAATATGGGCGAGTAGTAAGGCGTTGCTATGCCTTCGTATTTGCTCTGTGCGCGTGAACGCCAGAAGGTGTCCGCGTCGACGACGTGAAGGCATGGATCCTGCCATGCAAAGAAGAGCTCGAGAAGGTGTTTCTCAAATACCTCGTCGACTTCGTTGTCGAGGCCTGCATTTTCTAGAAGCTCGGTGGCATCTTTCTGTACGGCGATCAGGGGTGTGACGTCCACCAAGGCATCTAATAATGTTAAGTTCGAAGTTGATCCAAAGTACCGCAGTTGACCGTCGTGGGTAAATTGGAGCCGTCCTAGCCGGCAGGATAGCTGGTCGGTAACTTCGTCGTCGCTTTCTTCATCCAAGTCATCGTCTTGGCTGGGAACGCCGGAGCCCTCGCGAGCTACCCTTGGGGCTGGCTGTTTGCCAAACGCTCCTTTACCCTCACCCTGTTGCAGGTAGGCGTCCTGCCTGTTGTCCCTTTTCTTCGGTGGCCGTAGAGCATGACTCTCTCCAGTTACCGGGGTCTCCCAATTTATCGTCTCTCGACGGTCCCTACTCGATGCTAGGGAAGGCGCGTTCACCCTTTCATCTCCATCAACCCCATCATCAACCTCCATCGCGACCTCGCTCCTGCGCTCCGGATTCGCATCCAAATCATCACATACCACCTCAAGGGCTTCAATGATACTCTTCAAAGCCAGGTAATCATGTTCCTCGATCTTCGGAACAGGAAGCCCCGAGTCCATGATATACTGTGCTAAAGTGTCGACTCGTCGAGCGAGCAACCCAACTGCCATCCTCACCTGCACTTTGCGCTTATCGTTGCTTTGCTTGTAGCGACATAGTCGGCCTCTACTAGAGCAGTTGCGACAGCTTGGTGTTGCGCCGTCGCACTGAGTTTGTTACTCAGTTTAATCAGTGCATAGTGGGGATGGGTGACAATGGCTTTACCTTAACTTTTCCGTCTCGACATGGGATGCATGCCGTTGTGACGTGTTTGCGGATGGTTCCCGGGGGTTTGCGTCGACTGGGCATTGTCAATTTAGGTTCCGAAGAGGTAAGAAGTAAGAAAGGAAGGAAGGTATCAATGCTGGTTTCTGCATGTGGAAAATATTGGATGTGATGATGTTGCGGAAAAAGGATGGACGGCTCCGCAGCGTCCGGGAAATAAATCCCGAGGAGCCAGAAGGGTTCGCTGGACGTGGTTGGAGCCCTAACTACATCTCGTATTTATTTGAAAAGGTTTTCGACTCAAGACCATCGTTCTATATTCACAGCACGACGGTCTTGAAGATCCTCTTTTACATGGAACCGTCCCTTCTATGTTATAGATTCCATGTTATCCCATTCCAGTGGGTTGAGCCATGACTGAACATCAAGTACATATTGTCTTTTGTATGATAATGCATTTTTTAGTTCTACCAAGCTATTTCAAAGGCGGGATTAAATTGTAGCTTCTTCCACCTGTCAAATGTCCTTATCTCCTCTTCGCTGAAATTAGAGAGTACACGTACATATACCCGGAAGAGCATGTATTTGCTGTAAATGTTTTTGACAGGAAATCGACACAATATCGAACAGGAACGGGGTGAAAAGTCATCAATTCTATTCTTCAGCGCCAAGAGTAAGACAACCCACCTGAGACCGATTTACAATACCCATGGACGACAAGAGATAAACCTCCCCCATCAGCGTCATTGCGGGGTGATTCTTCATCTGCCGGGAACTGAATCCCGAGAGGGGACAATTTCTTACGTCTGAAAAATAACCACTCTATGGTATCGCTTTACGACTACTATTCAAACAACTTATCTCGCCATGGCTTCCTCTCAAAAACTCAATATTGGCGTCGTCGGCCTCGGCCGTATGGGCCAACGTCATGCTCTTAACGTTCTGCATCGGATTCCGCGCGTCCGCCTACGTAGCGTATGCTCTGTCGCTGCGCATGGGATTCAGTGGGCGAATGAGCGTTTGGCTATCGAAGGAGTCAAAGTATTCGATCAATTTGAAGAGATGATAGCGGCGCCAGGACTGGACGCAGTTATCATTTTCTCCCCAACGGCGCTGCATATCCAGCATACGCTTGCTGCTGTTGATAACAAGATCCATGTGTTGTGTGAGAAGCCGGTCACTACGGACCTTGCTCAGGCAATTCTTGCAGTTGTTTGCCATCTTTCTATGATTTGCAATATGTTCAGTTAAAGAGTTTGATGAGAATGGAAATCGAAAGACATAGTGATCGAATCCCATTTGGAAGATCAGGTGCAGACATCTCGAGTCTGTTGACGAAGCTATGTGACAAAAACACGCAATAAACCAGCTTCAATAGTTGACCCTGGCTTTGACAGATAAAGATGCCCTAATTTTAACCATAGCGAGTGCATAACAAATATTTTGTAGTTCTCTGTCTGCCCGCGTAGCTCCTTGACTGCCGACGCGTCCTATTGATTTCCTACGTAAGGTAGTGTAGTCTATACTCTAAGAGATGTAGGTTGTAGTCATAGGCCACATTTATATTATCTCTATCTAAGTCAACCTGTTTCAAGTTGTAAGAGGTGTGCCTTAATTTTATCCTGATCATATCCATCTGAATGATGGGGGGGCTAACGCGGGATTCACCTTCAGCATCAGTTCAGAAATCTGACGCTTTACCGATTGGGCCAGCCGGGCCTTGCTTATCGTTGTTCCCAAACTTCTGATCTATATGCTTGGTAACATGCCAGAGGCACCAGCGAGCGTCCAAAATTGAGTCACATGACCGTCGACCAGTCGCGAAACATGCGACCCTGAGACTGTGCAGGAACGGGCTAGACTGCTGCCCGACGCAGAAGCGATTCAAAACGCCCAAAAGAATTATGGCCTATGCTCCGCAGCACAGCAACTTTCTGGATCAGTTTTCGTGTTTGAGTTCCATAATCGGAAGGCGTGAGAGTTCTGCACAAATTGATAGTCGCGGTGGTTGACCCTCGTTGCCCGGAATCGGAGAGAGAGAGACCCGGGCACTCCCCAGGCGGAAAACAAAACCACGGGTATCACATGACCCTCTCTGGGCATCATGCCAAGACATATACCCCCAACTCCTACATTGGGACGGCTTGAGTATTCAAACTCCCTCGACTTTTGAAAGACTATTTGTGTCAATAATGCAGAGACCAATCCATTGATAGGATGTACATTATCTTTCGCTCTTCTCCAAAGATTGCTACGAACTAGCACTGCAATAGGCTACCTAGAGGGAATGCTGGTATATATATCGGAGGTGTCTGGTTTGAGGTACAACACTAAACATGACAGAACATACCTAATGTTTTGAGCTAAGATAGTTGGAGCCAATGACGCCGACAGGATAGAACAAGCTGGTTTAAATCAACCCTCAATACGGCAATCATACATAGAATCTCGGCCACATGCCCAGTCCAGACACGCGACATTTATATTGCGGCCTCGGGGTATACCCTGCGAAGTACGTTGAACCCTGCGCAACTCGGGACACATTACCCCGAGCAATACACGAAAGGGATGTTCGAGTAAGCTTAACGGCTGCAGTTGTTCCCTGCTCGGGTTCTTATCAGGCGGCTGTTTATCTGATTGACGGCTGGGTCGGTAATCTGTATAAAATGAGATTAAGCTCACGGTAGTTGGTCGTTAGACTATTAGGTATTGAAATTGATACTTTTGAGGTACCTGGGCTGTCTATGAAGAATTCACGGTGATCTTATTCCCCTTCTAGAACCCAGGCGCTACGCATCCATGCTCGAGGAACTCCAAGATCTTATAGAGCCTATGCACATTGTTCGATGCATCTGATAAATGAGTATAGCATGGAGCGATTGCTACGGGTACTACTGTCAGCGTAATCGGCTCTGGTGCATACAGTGGTGGTGACCCCCATGGGCCATGACTAATGCCATACAAAACGCGGCTCTCGAACGTTCGATTTGTCCCAAACAGGACCCCGACGGTGCACGGGCCGCCAAATGAGAGATGTTTCTCGCAGGGTACATTTCCACGGATAAGTGCTAAGATGTAACTAGATATGCAAGCGCCCCAAAAGGTCAGCTTGCAAGATTTCCTAGTTTTATTTCGAACCCATCTTGTGTTATAACAAAGCTATTATTGATTTAATTTTTCGAGTCCTACATCGGTGACCGTGGAACCGAGCGATGCCCTGGATTCCACTCTATGCAAGCGAACCGAACCCCAGATTGCGGAATTAGCCGGGGTCGGAGGAACACCGACAGAGAAATTATCCGTGCGGGTAAATGCGTCGGCCGAGATGGTGATTGGTGGAGAGCTGACATAAGCGAGAGGGTGGGGCGGGACGGGCTCCGGAGGAATGTTGGCCGACGTGACGTCATCTCATTTCCACCAGTCAGAGGGCGCCATTTGGAGGTTGTAGTTGTCTACATGTGCAGTGTAGGTAGGCACTTGCATGACCGCTGCACCATGTATGAAAGGAAGTGGTAGGTGCAAGTGTAGATGTGTTTAGGGGGTATAGAGTAAACCGTACAAAATTTGTGGACAATGACACCTGTCCAGACTACTACTACAAATGGAAAATGTAAACTCAGGAATTGGGAATCTGGAACCCTGGAAACGGAGTCCAAACGGGCAATCCCACGCACTGCCCCGCCGAGGGGTTCCTGGCGGGGTAAAAGAAAAACATCGCGATGGAATGGAGGGGTCACGTAGGGAAGGTCCAAGGAAAGTATTGGCACGCCTTGCATTGCGTCTTTTTAGACCCCGCCGGAGAAATTGCCCTCCAGACTGCTAGGTATTTTATTGCTGCTCTTTCCCTCTTGCTCGACTTTTCTTTCTTTTCTCTTTTCTCCTCATCTCTATCTTCCTCTTTTCTACGTTCATTCTCCATCTCTTCATCCATTCCACCGTCACCATGTCCCTCGGCAAGACCTTCACTCTTAACACCGGTGCTAAGATCCCGTATGTTTTCCCTTCGACTTCAATTGACCCGATTCCGAGACTAACTTGACCAGCACTCTGGGATTCGGCACCTGGCAGTCTGCCCCCGGTGAGGTCGGCGAGGCCGTCTACCACGCCCTGAAGGCTGGTTACCGTCACCTGGTAAGTGGATCAGCGATCACGTCAACTCGGACAAAACCCGCTAACAAACCTAGGATCTGGCTACTATGTAGGTTACGTTATTCGATTTCTGTCGCACTCAATACTGACTCACCGAAGCTACGAGAACCAGCGTGAAGTCGCCGACGGTATCAAGCGTGCCTACCAGGACGTTCCCGGCCTCAAGCGTGAGGACATCTTCATCGTACGCACCACCATGACAGACCGATCAATCAACCACGACGCCTGCTAACTCAGTCAATCCAGACCTCCAAGCTGTGGAACAGCCAGCACCACCCCGACGATGTCGAGAAGGCCCTTGACGAGTGTCTTGCCGAGCTGGAGCTCGAGTACCTTGACGTATGTATTCTCCGGCTTCCTTCTGTCAGCCAGTACTAATCTGTGCAGCTCTACCTCGTCCACTGGCCCGTGTCCTTCAAGCGCGGCGACAAGTACTTCCCCCTGATTGCCAACAGCTCCGTCGAGGGCGGTGACGTCGACATCGAGGACAGCATCTCCATCGTCGACACCTGGAAGGCCATGACTAAGCTGCCCAAGTCCAAGGCCCGTGCCGTCGGTGTTTCTAACCACAAGAAGGAGCACGTACGTATCCCACTTCTTTTCCCTTCTCCCCCTTTCAGTCGCCGATGTCAATGCTGACTTGATCATCGTAGATCGAGGCCCTTATCCAGGCCACCGGTGTTACTCCCGCCGCCAACCAGATCGAGCGTCACCCCGTTCTCCAGAGCAATGACCTGATCCAGTACTGCAAGGAGAAGGGCATCCACGTCACTGCCTACTCCGTAAGCCCCTCTCTCCCCTCGTCCATATTCTCCCTTAACCAATGCTAACTGTGTCTCAAGGCCTTCGGAAACAACGGCTTCGGAGTCCCCCTCCTCATCAACCGCCCCGAGATCAAGGAAGTCGCCGAATCCGTCGCCAAGCGTGTCGGCCACCCCGTCAGCGGCGCCCACGTCATCCTTGCCTGGTCCCAGGTCGGTGGCATCAGTGTCATCCCCAAGTCCGTCACTCCTTCGCGTATCGCCGATAACTTCAAGGAGATCGAGCTCACCGACGAGGAGATCGCCAAGGTCTCTGAGCTGGGCAAGGAGCGTCGTCGCTACAACACCCCTTACGTCGCTAACAAGCCCCGCTGGGATGTTGATATCTTTGGTGAGGATGAGGAGAAGCCTGCTACTCACAAGGTTATTGTTTAAATGACCTTGATTGGGGACCTGGTTGGTTAGTGCTGGTCACTAGAGGATAGCATTGGTGATGTGTTATGATATATAGCGGGTATCGGGTGAATAAAAGATGGTTTTTCTTTTAAATACATGATCCAATGTGATGATTTATAATGATCCTTTTGTGTTGGTTGTTGGGTATGGGGAATTAGATCTCGGCATTCGGGGCTTGGTAGATCTGGGCGGAGTACCAACATGAAACCCAGAATCATACGAGTCGGAAGTACAGCCAAAATGCAACGCAAGCCAGTGCATGAAATGCAACACTTCTGACAAATCTACGCTCTCCCCGCGTTCGATTTATAATGAAGGATCACATCCCCGAGAGCCGAACTTTCCATATAAGATATCCATTCCCGAGTCCCGAGATAAACATATAACGTGCATATTTCCAGGCCACAGTATCTATCTATCTTCACGCGCCTCCTTCTAGCCATCTCAAACAGAAAAAGAACAATCCATCAACGGAAAAAGGAAAAAGAACAGTCCATCAACCAAAATGCCCCCAATCCCACGAACCACCAAACAATGGACCCTCTCCCACAAACCACACTCCCATCTCCCCATCCTCCCTAACACTCCTGAATCCCTTTCCTCCGAAACACCCCCAACATTCACCCTCACCACCACCACTCTCCCCTCCCCGGGGCCCTCCCAAGCCCTCCTCAAAACAATCTACCTCTCCAATGACCCCGCCCAACGCGGTTGGATCTCCGCCACCGCCGATCCAGCCCGTCTCTACGTCCCGCCCATCAACGTCGGCGAAGTCATGGGCTCGACCGGTATCGCGGAGGTCGTTGTCTCCGGGGACGAGTCCCGCTTAAAGCCAGGGAGCAGGGTGTTTGCGCGCACCGGGTGGAGCGAGTACACCATTGCTTCTATTGAAGAATGTACGGTTATCGAGAGTTTGGAGGGCCTCAGAGATACGGTCTTTCTGGGCTCGTTTGGTTTGCCAGGATTGACGGCTTATTATGGTCTTGTGGAAGTTGTTAAGCTTGGTAAGGAGGATACGGTTGTGGTTAGTGGGGCTGCTGGGGCCGTTGGGAGTATGGTTGTGCAGATTGCGAGGAGAGTTGTGGGGTGTAAGAGGGTTAGTTGTCTTTTTTTTTCTTTCTTCCCTTTCTTGGTGTTTTTCGTTTTGATGGTTTATGGTTGTCGGAGAGAAAGGGACTGTTGTGATGGATGAAACTACGCTAACGGGTGAGGATAGATTATCGGCATCGCCGGCACAGATGAGAAATGTCGCTGGGTTGAGAAGCTCGGCGCAGACGTGTGTATCAACTACAAGAAGGATACTTTTGAAGAGGATCTCTTCCGTGAGACGGAGGGATTCGTGGAGGTGTTCTTCGGTGAGTTAGGGTTATCCATCTCCTATCCCTTCCTATCCTTTCCAACATGATATCAACTAACTGAAAAATCCAGATAACGTTGGCGGCAAGATCCTCGATCTCATGCTTCTCAGAGTGAAGCGATATGGACGCATTGCTGCTTGGTATGTTCTTCCTCTTGTGCTCTGGTTTGTGTTCAGAAAGATTCGATACTGACTGATTGATTAGCGGCACCATTGCAAACTACAACCGAGACGGAGATCCGGTGGGATTGAAGAACTTCTATGTACGTTCCTTCTACCTTTCTTCTTCCAGCCTACTCCCACTAGCAGCTATAAGATACTCCCCGGGAGAAGATACTGACCAGTCACAGGAAGTGATCTCCAACCGCATCACAATCCACGGCTTCCTCATCTTCGATTACTTCCCGAAGATCGCCGAGGCCACTCAGGTTCTGGTGCAGGCATGGAAAGACGGGAAGATTGAGGTCGACGACGCGACGGAGACGGTCGTACAGGCGAAATTTGAGGATATTCCGGCTGTGTGGGTGAAATTGTTCGAGGGCGCGAATACAGGGAAGTTGACTACGGAGCTTGTTTAGTTTGTTCGTTGTAATGGAGAGGTCGGTGGTAGCGAGTGATAAAGATGTGGTGTTGACTTGTCCTGGCGATGTTCGAGACTTCTTATGTGATAGGTGGCAGATGTTGGCACCCTACAACTGAGGATCGTGGTACACATAATAGTCAGAAATATCGTGCATTTTCGCAATTTCAGGATAGTCGAAGGGACATTAGTCGCATCGGTACAGTAAAGGCCTGCGGCGCGCGCTGACAGTAAGCCTGCAAATGTCGACGAAACGACAGGAAAGAAATCCTCCAACAATAATTTCAAAAGCGTGACTTTGGACATCGAAGCAGGCACCAGACGACACGGAGAGAGGTAAGACTTCGAGTAAGTTTGATTGATGCGCGCATAGACTCCACACTGACTGCAAAGAGTTGTAGGAAAGATGGAGTCCTGCCAACGGTCGTGTACCAAAAAGGTCATCCTACGGCAACCATCTTGTGGACCTCACATTCACTCCACAGATACCTCGAATAGTGTTAGAAGAGGAACCATAAGTAAAAATGCCTTAGTCGAATTGTCTTCTCGATACTTGCGATGACCGCTATCTTCACCCCAGCCACAAAGCAGAAATCACCGAATAGTATACCCCCCATCGACACGAATATCCGCCCCATTGATCATCCCACTCGAATTCTATATCAAACATCAGAACAAATCCCTACCAGCAAGGGTACGCTCAACTCACCTGACACAAGAAAACCGCCGCATCCGCAACCTCCTCAGGCAAAGCGAACTTCCCCGTCGGTATATTCTTCAGAAACGCCTCCCGGACCGAGTCCTCGCCCCAGGCTTTCTTCCCTAATGCCGTCCACGCCACCGTAGGCGAGACACTGTTCGCCGTGATGCCACGACCTCCCCACTCGGAGGCCATGCTGCGAGTCAAACCCAACAGTGCCGCTTTCGACGCACAGTACGCGCCGTGTCGGTGCAATGCGATATGCGCCGCCTGGGATGCGATGTTCACGATGCGCCCCGGAGCCGGCGGGCTAGTCGAGGACTTTGCGGCTTTGGAGGCGCCGAAATACAATCGCGCGAAAGCCTGAGAGCACAACATCGGCCCCAGTACGTTGGTAGTAAGATGCTTCATGGTCTCTTCAGGCGGCGTAGTCTCCATGTCGCTGAGAGAGACATATCCCGCTGTGTTGACCAGGATGCTCGGGAAGACGCGATCCGACACAGAGGATGAAGAAGGAGAGACCATTTCCGTCTCTAGCGTGCCGAACGCCGACTGCACGGACTCCGACGACGTGATGTCGCATTCATACGTGCGGATTTCATCTTTGCTGTGCGTGGCCCCGTAGCCTTCCTCGAGCAGCTGGTCTCGACGAGAAGCTTCGAATGGCGCGTAGAGAATTGCCAGTCGGGCTCCTTGTTCGCGGAGACGCTTGCCGATGCTGGAGCCGAGGCCGCCTGTAGGACGGGTTAGTGGAGCGATTGGGACCTGTGTAGGGGTCAAATCTACCTAGACCTCCAGGGAGAATGGCTAATCTGCGAGCAAAGGCCATCTTCAGCAAATCTGGGGACGAAATGTGACAAGGAAAGATGGAGAAATGGCGAAGACGGGGTAGCTAGCTGCGTTGGCATCCCATCCCCTCGTTCACTGCGGATGACGTCAGACGCCCAGCCCTCGGCAAGGCCGCCCTCAGGCACCACACTCTATAGATGAGGCTACCTACTGGACAACGTGAGAGATTTATACCAATGAATTTTGCACGACTTCTTTCCCTTAGCCATGCCAATCATAGTTAACACCGATTATCAAATTCAATCCCGCCAGGGATGATCAAATATCAGATTTCCATTCATCATTTCCATTCATCAGGAATTCCATCCGCACAATAACAAGAGCTCAATGAAATGTTGTGATCACCAGATTGTGCATTCGAGCAGTGGTGCTCAAATTGCCAACGATTGTCAATGTTCACCATCGACTCATTCTCTCGATCCCACATAGCGGACATGCCTAGGACATTTTTCTGCGCGTCCAAGCCTACAGCACGGATATACCGCGCCGAGGTGCGCACAAGAATTGCCGTTTCGTACCCAGCGCGTGGAACCGCATCGACGACAGTTGCTCGCCTAAGAGGATTGACTGAAGCTGAGGCCAGCTGAAATCAAGGCAGAAAATTGATATCAACATCAGTTTCGACAAGAGATAGTGCCGCAGAACTTACCAATACCCAGCACTTCACCTCCGTTGCCCCGTTCCAGCTCACATAGAGAATCTCTGGCGAAGAGGCATTCTGGCGTTGCACAACGATACTTGGATCCGAGGTCGGATACCCTTCCCAGTTCCTTTTGTAGACACGGTACGATCCAAGCGCGCGCCCTAACACACCGAACTGAAGGTCCAAAACCACCTGCCCGTCTGCCCTATGCTCTGTCAATGCGGGATTAAATCCCCAACAAACAAGAGTATTCCCCCCATCCAAAGACTCGACATTTCCCATGACCATAGACTGTAGGCCCTTTGGATGCGAAAGTTGACGAACGCTAGACATTGACATTGTCGCGTAGTCGACCGTAAAGAACCGAGCTGTGGAACAGTTGGAAGTACAACCAAAAGAGGTATTATAAACGTGGTTGTCGAACATTGTGAGGTGCTTCAAGGCCTTGTCGTGGAAGGTTACATGGTGTTGGAAGGCGAAGTCGGGCGCTCGCCCGGTGGCGCTGTCGGTGAATTGGTTTCTCTTTCCACCCATGATCCAGATGGGGATGCCGCTGGTGCCGTTGATATGCACGACCATGCTGCAGAGGCTGAAGGACACCACGTAATCCCCATCGACGGTCTAAATTGTGTTATTGTGTTTTACAGCAGTATTGACCGATGGCTATTTACCTTTTGTATGCTGTTGATATGACACCAGTCCCAGCCGTCAGGCCCTTTGTAGTATGAAACCAAGGAATCTGCGATACTGAAATGATCGCTGGCGTGCCAGGTAAAGAGTGCCTTGCCAGTTATCACATCCACTTCCTGGAAGACACTATCCAACAGTATGTCTTTTTTCCATCCTCCCACCTTTCTCAGGTTATACGGGATGGGGTTATACGCCATAATCAAAGCCATCCCTTCATCTGTGAGGCGAAATTCGTGAAAGTCAGCGCCGACCGGGAGTCCCGTAGTCGTAACGTTATGGACAATGTCGTAAGAAGAGTTTAGCATCAGCCAGTTTCCACTTCCGTGGCCCCCTGTTTGTTTTCCAAGCCAATACACCAGGTAGTCAGTGCCGTGGAACCTTTGTATTCCTACATTGTTTACCTTCTGCTCTGAAGTTTCCTTTTGGAACCACACGAGACTGAGGTCGTTCGCTGAAAAAAGCATTCCAACACCCGTCTCGGGGCTATTCCCATAGTTTAGAAAGATGTGCGAGGCGTTGTCCACCGCTGCTTTGTCCCAGGTATTGACTAAGAAGATCGGAGACGTTACGTTGGACGTGTAGTAGGTCTGGTTCGGTCTGAGCCCAAATTGGCCACTTTGGTAAGCGACAAAGTCGGTAATTGGTGCAACATCGGCGGCCACGAAGGAAGTGAGTGCGAGCAGTAGGTAGAGAAATATATGGCAAGGCATTTCTGCGAAGGTTGACATCGTAAGGTCGGCGTGTTGATTATCATCGAGCGCGAGAGAGAGATTGTGTGACGTATCAGTGTGCAACGTTGGGCATCTTGACCAGAGTGAATGAGGAAACTACGGCGGCCACCGAAGGCAAGCCGAACAGGGCCAATGTAGTTCGACTTGTGTTTCAAAAGAAGGTTCATCGGGGCTGGTATTTAATGAACAGATGAAACAAACAAATTGTAATAGCTTTGGGACTCTTCATGATATAACGACCACATGTGAAGTGGGTAGTTCGCAGGGACTAGGTTTATTGATATTTTGGATAAGGAGTCTTTGTAGAGGGTGAGAAAAGCTTAATCGGATTTTCCAAAGTTATTTGCAAATATAAATGCCCAACTGTAGATAAGGTAGCCCCACAGTGAATTTCTCTGTTTATGCAATTTCCCCTTATTCTACTTGCTTGAACCAGCCTTTATAGCTATACTTTTTAAGAAAGGATATCTCACATCAACACGAACAGAACAAGCCGACCTCTTCGTACTCGTATTCCTCATTCCACGGTAATAAACGCACACAAAGCCAAATTCCACTAGCAGCCATGGCAAAGTGCAACCCTCGGCCACGTACTATACTGCCCGTCTCATGAACTCAACCCGTCCTATCGGGCTCAACCCGACCATCGGAGCATGCATCCAGGCCCGTGCCTTCGTCAAGTAGAGACCCGAAAGAAAACACGAATTTCCGATCCACGAGTTTCGGGCGTACTGGGAAGCTTTTATTCATTGGATTGAACGGGGGCTCGGGGGCTCTAGCGTACGCCACTCGGAAAAAAAAGGGCGGCAAGTGAAGGGATGCGGGGAAAGCTCTGGGGTCGGTCTGGAGTCTGGGGTTTCCCGGAAGACGCGGAGGGTGGTAAGAATGTCACAGCCACGGTGGAGTTGGCACAGCATGTTGATAATACGAGGGATGATTAACAGATAAAATTCCTTTGAGAAACTTATTCTGCTCTATATCTGGTGGGTATTTGGTATTTCGGTAACATTGGTTGCAATTTCCATGATTAATTGATGAATCTTCTTGAGAGAACCCTAAGGGACGACGGTTTAGGGGAGTGCAAGGCAAGTTCATGCTCGTCTTAACCATTCAACTGGGTGTAGATCTCGTATCTCTTCGTCCATTCATTCCTAAATTCTATCTAAACATCAAATTTAGCCATGATCACGTGATGTACAGTACTATATAGTACAAACAACTTCATCACTCCTCCATAATTTTGAATCCCCAAGAAGGGGGATGACGTTCTCAAGCGCAATTCATATCAACCCTCTAAGGAAGGCGAGACTTGCCGGCCTTGCGGCTCGCTTCAAGGGCGCCGGCCAAGCCGAACTGGCTGGCAATGCCGTTGACACGGTGGGTGGAGTTCAGGTTCTTGACGACAACCATCTGGTAGCAGGTGGCGGAACCTTGGCGAGAGGCAATGACGGACCAGGCGAGGAAGAGCTCCCAGATCTATTGCGGATTAGATTTTGTTATATTATCGATGACGGGGTGATGGGAACTCACTCTGTACCATCTAGGTCCGTACTTGGCCTTGATGGCTTCAACGTTGCCAACCCAGTTGCGGTACCATCTCCAGAGGGTACCGGAGTAGTGGACACCGACAGTGTCAATTCTACTTGTCATCAGCGCTTGCTCATCGCTATTTGATTAAGAAGACTCACCCCTTCACTTCAAAGCCAGCCTGTTCCAAGCACTTGATGTAATACCAGAGAGGAGTAGAGGCGTCGGCACCACGGAAGATGTACTTGTTCAGATAAAGACCCCAGATGAAATCCTCGTACTGCCACGCCTGTCTCAAGCCGGAAAGCTGAACATACATGGCACCGTCGTCGTTGAGCATGTCATAGCACTGGCGGAAGAATCCGGTGAGCTTGCGGATACCGACGTGCTCACCCATCTCCAGCTGAGTGATCTTGTCATAGCGCTCGCGGACAATATCACGGTAGTCCATGCACAGAATCTTGCTCTGGTCTTCGGGAATACCAGCCTGACGGAGAGCGTCGTTGCCCCAGGCGGTCTGGTTCTCAGCAATAGTAACTCCGGTCACCTTGGCGCCATAATTCAAACTGGCGAATTTGGCCAGGGTTCCCCAGCCGCAACCAATGTCCAGCATCTTCTCGCCGTCCTTCAGGCCAATCTTCTCGCAAACGACCGCCATCTTGTTATCCTGCATTTCCTCCAGGGTCTCTTCCTGTTCCGTGTCCGAGATAATACCGGAGGTGTAGATCATGCGGGGGCCGAGGAACCAAGCGTAGTGGTCGTTGCCGCTGTCGTAGTTGGGGCGGATCTGCTCCTCATCCTGGGCCTTGGTGTGGAACAGGACGTCAACGAAGAAAGTGCCAACGATGAACTTGAACAGGTCCCAGGTGAAAGCGAAGCTTGCCCAGTCGTGACGGTACTCCAGAACGTCGAGGATGTCGCCGTTGAAGTCCACCAGGCCGTCCAGGTACATCTCAGAGAAAGTCTGCATGGGGATCTTGTTCTTTCCGCGCCATTTGGCCTTGTCCTCCTCACGCTTGAAGGTCACATAGTGCTCAACAGGGCGGCCGGGCAATTTAACTTTGTTGTTGGTGCGAGGGCTGCAGCTGGACGTCCAGGTCCAGAAAGCCACCAGAACGGGGAGGACGGAAACGAGGGCAAAGAAGATGAAGGTTTTGAACCCGCCGCCCACCAGGAAGGTGAGCAGGCCGGGGACACCGGTGATGGCGCCCGCTAACAAGAGGTTGGAGAAGCTCTCATTTCCAGGACCATCAGCAGCCAATGGGGGATTGTTGATCGCTGGAGACTATTCGGGGGTTAGCAAAGCTATAGCGAGGTAAATAAGATGCCAATGGCTTGGAAAAACTGACATTGGTCGTAGCAATCCCGCAGTCCTCGCCGGTTGCGAATTCCGAGGGCTTCGCAGCGGGAGTCTTGATGAAGTCGATGTCGCTCGAGAGCTCAGGTTTCTTGGCTCCCGGGGCACTCATTGTCAATTGATACCTCGTCGGGTCGTCGAGGCTCCTTCCGTTGCTGGATCAGAGACGAAGAGGAACGACGAAGGGAGGAGGAAGACTTCCGGATGGGAATGTTTGTGGACGGGCCAGGCACGTGCCGCGGCGGTCCCAGAACAGCCGGTGATCTGGTAACGCAGGCGTAAGCGGACCCGACCTCATATTGCCACGTATCCCTCCCCACCTCTTGTCTCGCAGGAGCGGGAAGGGTGGTCCCGGGAGGACAACTACAACCAGTACAGAGTATGCAGTGTGCATGACAGGCATTATGTTGAAGATTTCATGCATTTTTTATGTCACTGCGGACCGAGATCCAAGTCGCTGTACTGTACCTGGTACCATACCTATGCATCTCTGTGGACGTGTGTCTACATGTATTGTCGTGGCAGCATGTTGGTGGGTGTAAAGTCCGGTATTCTGCCAAGGCCGGACGCAACTCGGTCCGCGCCGATCGTCTCTCTGCCCTGCCCGTCCGTCCGCGGGCCCCGAGAGAGCGGTGAGAAGCCTGGCCTTCAACATGGTGCATAACCATAACAATTCCACCAACAATGGTGACAATTGCGGCATAGACCAATTGTGATTCACATCTACGGGCGTTTCTATGGGTATTCTTTCAAGTGGACAATGTTCAGTTCCATCTTCTTCTGAACTTACGAAAACATATATCGTCATGTTGAGGCCCGACCTGCATGTCTGAAAATATATAACCATGGTTTCAAGGACAAGATAGGTAGTCGAACGTGCTAGATGCAGACATAAATCATTCAAGACCAATTGAGTACCGTCAGAAATGACTTGTATGAAAATGTAATGCGCATACATTGAATGAATGAGAATATGCACCCCAGGCATCCCAAACATCCCCAATAGTACTTCGTACTATAGTACCTTGCACTCTTCTTATGTCCGCCTATTAAGATCTTGCAGTTCTGAATATGACCTGTCACAGTCTTGAATAGGGCCAAGTTAGCCACGTGATACATGCTCCCGGACCGAGGAAGGGTTCTCTCTTTCTGCAGTATCCCTCAAAAGAACTGATCCAGAAATTTCGATCATATGGAACTTGACCGCTGAACATCGCGCCCCTAATAGGTAGTACAAGACCGTGCCACAACGGGAATTCAACTCGACCGACCCACATCTTTAAGTCTATGAATTCGGCCCCCAAGGGAACCCTGTTGGAGACCACGGCCTGCTACGCCACATTCTGCCAGTCAAATCGTGTGTGCACAGCCTCCAGCTTGGGTCATTAACACGTCCATTGCCTTTCAGGTGCTATCCAGACAATATAGATCTACGACGCCTGAGATTCTCCTGTAATTTAACAAGCCGTGTCCACAAGCGGAATCATGCATGGATGTTATCTCGCGACAGGGCCATCGCAGCCCGCGCCTCCTTGATAACAACCCTAGAATCTTCCGATGATTTTAAAGTCCTCGACAACCTGGTCTACTCCCCGAGGCCCGCGTAGAAGACTCCGTCAACCAAATCATCGAACAATGTCGCATCTATGGCTATTAACGACCAAAAGCCCGAAGAGGGTGCCACCAGAGTCGATATAAACCTGTGCTGGGCACTCTGAAAATTCGTATAGCGTCTTACCCCGTCGAATCACGCGAAGTTAGTCCAGATGCTGACTGAGCTGCAGACACGCACGGTGATGCATCCGGTCACGGACAAGCCGCTGGCTTTTCAATATGATGTCTTCTTCACGGATATCCCCGCGTCAGGGTGAAGTGAGAGGGAAGCTCTTGATGAAAATGGCGGGGACTAGCATGGTCAGTGGTGTTCCCTGTCTTATTTGATGAGTGTTTTCATATTATATCCTAGGTGGTCAGCTGCGCGTTCTCATAGCGGACGTCACTGATCCGGACATGGATCCGGATTCCCAGGATCGCCGGGGAAATCTGAATGCGTTCGTCGCCAAATGACCCAAGCGGCTGAGATTCGAGAGCCGTTCAATGACTCGGAGAAAATCCACCGAATGGATCGATCTCTACGCGCGATCTGGGTCATGAGGGAGGCACTGGAGAACGATACCCGGCATCTGGAAGCGTTGGTACAGTCACCTGCTGTGCGAGCGGCGTGTACGTGATTCATCTATGCGGCTGATCGGCTACTTTAGAAGGCCGATTTTCAGGTTCGATATCCTGATCTTTGCGGAGCCCCGGGGAGTAATTATGCCGACAAATATTGGAAGGGACATGAGCTGGAAAGATGGATGGTGTGGATGGAAGCACTAGGCAAATCGAAGGCTGCAGGTGTGAATTACGAAACGGAGGGCTTGATTGACGCTGCGCAGGCGACCGCTTCCAAAGTCATGGCAGCGAGTTCACCGTGTTATTTCGATATAGTTATGAAGGATAACCGTGTCACGATAGTTATCCGGCGACCGCGGTCTGGATGCCTTGATGGAAAAGCTCACGAAGATTGGAACAGCGTTTCTGATAGTCATGATGATGGGTGGTATCGCCCCGTGGGTTTGGGGGCCGAAATGACTCTGTTCCTACACCAGCGCCGAGTATGTACATACGTATGAGAGTTGTTAAGTCCTCACAGCCTACAGTGCGAAGGATGCTAGCGCCGTGAGCCCGGCAAATCCAAGCTTCTCCCGTGTCTCCTTGCAGGAGTATACTCCGCGGCGAACACTGTCAGAATTTTAAACACAGAATCGATTCATGGAATATATGCCTCAACCACAGCCCAGCGGGTCCGGGTCGAAGAAAGAGTGGAACCACCACGAGCTTTTCGGCGAATGACTTGGCGAAAAGAAGCTCACTAGCGCAGAGTGATCGTCGAAGCTACTCCAGAACAGGAAAGCAATTCGGTGCTGGGGCTGTATACCATGGGGCGAAGCAGCTTTTCCTCTTCTTTTCCACATTGGGTGTTCCTTGTTGATGATGTGCGGTCGCAGCCTTGTAGATATACATGATTATTTAAAGGGCATGGATCTCTTTCATTCCCTAGGAATAATCCTATTTCGACCCAACCCTGAATTTCTACACCTCTACAACATACCATCAACATGACCGACGGCCTCTCTGCTGCCACTCTGGCAATTTACGTCGTCCTCATCATCCCCAGCGTTTTCCTCCTTGTCAAACATGGCCGTCAAGGCCTCCTCGGCTGGCTGTTCCTTACTATCTTCTGCACCATCCGAATCGTCGGCAGCGGACTCTCTCTCTCCAACTCTTCCGCCACAAGCATCATCTCGAACATTGGTCTATCGCCGCTGTTGTTCGCGACATGTGGAATTCTCAAAGAAGCGCAAGCTATCCCTTTCATTCAACACCCAAGAATACCCAGTGTTGACACGAACATTTTATCAAGAAAAACCTACCGTCTCAAATCCCTCGACCGCCGACTTGAGGCCGTCTTCGATTTCTTCTTCCACATGCTTGTCGCCGCGGGCGTTGTTCTCACGGCGATCGCGTCGTCGAAGCTACAGCGTCACGAGCAGCCGATCGAGAAGGCAGAGAGAAAGGTGAAGGCGGGAATGGCCATTTTAACGATCTCGTGGGTCGTTCTGGTTGGGTGGACTGGGCTGGCGTTTTTGGGACCGAGAAGGACGAGTCCGGTGGTTAGGCAGGGGACCTTGGTAAGTCAGATCTTTACCGTTCGGGCTCTATATTCCGGACAGCTTCGAGAGGTGAAGGAGAGATTACTAATTTTGGGATATAGTTGCTTTCGACTGTGTGCCTTTCGTTGTCTTTCATTGGTGTTCGAGTGATCTATAGTCTTGTTGCTATGAGTACGCAGAGGGCGGATCTGAATCCTACGACAGGGTCGCTGGCGATTCGCGTTGTGTTGAGCTTCCTGCCTGAGTTGATCGCCGCGATTGCGTACATTGCAGCAGGAATGAAGACTCGGAATGCTCCGAAGCAAGACCAAGAGAAGCAGGCCGAAGAGTGGTCAATGGCAAAACAGACAGCTTCTCCGGTAGATGTATAACACACAAAGCGGAAACTCTAGTCAGTGAGCAAACGATTGATTATTCATTAATGAATGTTAAGGTATAGATTAATTATATGACATCAAAGTCATGCGAAACGATTGAGATAAGCAAGTTCATATGCGCAAGGTGCGTTAAGCTTTTTTATGCCACCCATACGAGGAGTAGACATGTCCGACAGCCATTATATAGTGGGACAAGTGAGCGTAAATAGTAGGGGAATGTTTTCGTAGGTCCTGTCGACTGGTTGAGAAACAGAAACTGGGCCTTAGTGAGTAGTCAGAGCCTAATGAATGTCACGGCCCTACTGCTTGTGGAGTCCGCAATCCGAATTTCGGATAGTAATGGAGGGTGTCAAAGTCAACACTCAAATTCCAGAATCATCCTGGAAGCGGTCTTGCTGATCATAATGGTTACCGTAGTTATCTTGCCAGATCTTCCAATCCCTGCATGTTTGTTCCATCTGGTCCTTCTGCCATTGGGGTGTTCTGTTAGCAAGCTGTTTTTTGAAATCCTCCTTCCGTTCCAAGGCTTGGAAGGCCAAGCCGGCCGATGCATGCCAAGCTATGTGACAGTGGAGAACCCATGGGCCAGGATTGTCTGTCTTGAATGCAATCACGACGAATCCGTTCTTCGGAAGAAGTACGACATCACGGCGAGGTGGGTTGTTGTAATTCAGTTTCAGAGACGAATAGTTTGTAAACGGCTTACTGGACTGCTGGAGAAGCGCGAAGTCGTGACCGTGAAGGTGGATCTGTACAAGAGCAGGGTTAGCCAAGCACCACTCAGTCAGTTAGATTTTGAAGCACCACTTACGGGATGTGCCGCTGGAATAAGGTTGCCTCCCTTTGCATCGGTAGGTTTGTTTTGGTTAGCACCGATGATCACCATGTAGTGCCAACCTGGGTGACGTATGTTGGGCTCCACAGGGTAAACAACGGCATTGTTTGGGTATGGAGGGTCGATATGTTTACCATAAACAGTAGGTGTCCTATAATCGACCCAGGCTGTATAATTCATTGCCTTCCAGTGAGCGACCCAACTATCAGTTTCTTCCTTACGCTGCTTAGGGAGAAACCAGTGGTTGAGCTTGATGGTAGAGTTGGGCATGTTGAACTCCTTCAATTCTGCTTTTCCGAGAGGGGGAATTTGCCATTCTAATTTTGGTGTCCAGCCTTGCTCGTCCCGACAAGCTGCACTGTATTTATGTGCATTTGTAGTGGGAATGGGCGCCTTTTTCTCATCTCCGTACCAAAGAATTCCCTGTCTCGCGTCCGGGATAGTCTCGAAGTTATGACATCCGTCAGCGGGTTGGGTTCGAATCCAGTACGCTTGGTTATCCCAGAGCTGGTTCTTGTCTTTCGTTTTCAAGATGGCATGATAGCGTTGGCCTAAGATTGTCAGCTGAAGAATCTCAATCCATACAATCAGTTGAGGAGTACCATTGCCAATAGTTATGTTCTTTGTCGTATACGGCTCGATGGGGACCAAATCAGCACCGATAACCTCAAATTCGTGATCGTCTATACTGAATATGTAGGTTGAATCCGTTGAAGTGTTTATCAGTCGCAGTAGCCTTCTTTCATTCTATTCAAACATTTAGGCCTTTTCTTCGAACTCAACCGGATGGGAAACTTACAGGTTTAACATGTTTAGTATATCTTCGTTCTGGATAAGAACCGGCATAGTTACCTGCAATGCGTTAGTCCATAATTGGTAATTCCTGACACTGGATACTCACCCTTGCCATTAATAATAATGCTCGACATCTTCGGAGGTGGACGGTTTTTCTTCGAGTTCGAAAACTGCTCCTGGTAGTAATCTTGAAATGCACTGCGATGATTATGGTCTCCCATTATAAAAGGATCAATCGCGCTATCGTAATTGCCAGAAGCAGGGCCGTGAATGGTCAGTGGTCCAAGCACACCGTCCGTGTACTGCAGACTGTAGTGGCTATGATACCAGGTGGTTCCGTATTGGGTTGCGGTAAAGTTGTATGTGAAGCTTTTGCCTGGAGGAATGGGGCACTGAGTTACACCGGGAACACCATCATTGAGATTACTGTCCAGCATCCGAATTCCATGCATATGGATTGCAGTGCCGTTATAAGCCAGATTGTTCCGGACCGTGATTTCTGCACACCTCTGTTAGTCATTGTCGAATGTGAATGATACGTAGATACTGACGGACTTCATCGCCCCAACATGCCTCTGTACCATCAGTGTATTAGCGCAACACTTTCTCGTCATTGACTCGCATAGAGCCTAGGACTTACGGATCCATGGCCCGGGCCACTGTTTGTTGAAAACCTTGGCATTGGGGAACTTCACGCCATCGAGGGTCACCTCTGCCTCATCAACGGTCACATGATACTACTTCTTGTTATTCTTGCTCCCAATAACAAGAGAACAGGAACGTACCTGGCGCACTACTCCCTTGGGCCACCTAGTTTCGTAATCGGTATTGATATCATAGTCTTCCAGTTCAACGTCTTGACTCTCCAACCATTTGCCGCGACTGTTTGGACCCGAGACAAACTTGTATCCCTTCATATCAGGGTACTCGCATTTCAATATTTCAGTTTCAGACTCGCTGACGCCAGGAGGAATGAAAGTCAAGGTATCGGCGTCATGATGCACGGCTACATTGGGACCCAGCACTTCCTGCTGTGGTCCGAGGGATGGCGGGAAGCCAAAGAAATTGATGATAGCGGTGAAATAGCGCCCTAAAATCATCTTGATCTGAGCTCTTCCCTGCAGGGAAGAAGAGGCAAATCAGATTAGGCAGGCACAACTGGATGCCAGGACTTGCGGGCCTCGTAGCCGACAGGCAACGCTTTAGTATTCCCTTCCTTATGCCATCATGGCTAATGCAGTTTACCGAAATTCAATGTCTACGTCAACGACATCCCTAAGCGATGTTAATTGTTGCAACGTCATTGAGGACGAAGTGTCATGGAAATTAGAACCGCAACGTCTAATTGGAGTGTGCATTGTCATAGGATGAGCCGAATTATGGGATGACGGATGCGGCTGGCTGCGGGCCGCTGCCCTAACTCCATGACATCTTCAACGTTGCATTCGGCGACTCTTGATAAGAGTGTTCGCTACCCGAATTCAACTTAAAATATGTCCACCTCCGGATTGCAACCCGCACCTGTATGTCTTTATTACACACTATGTAACTAACTAATCAAATGGCATGCTACCTCTCTACTAGACCAGGAAATGTGCAATCGTAGACATACAAGCTGCAACATAAGGGCCTTATAGGGAATGGCACAGTAAAGGAAATTTCATTAGTCTGTAATGCAGATAATGCTATACTTTCTCATTCGCTAAATATGGCTACTAATATTGACGAAAACAGCCATTAATGCCCCACCATAGCCTGCTGAGCGGGAGCATATCGGTTACCGTGAGGCTTGGCGGCGTCGATGATCCTCCGCATTTCCTTCTTCTCTTCCTCCGTCAACTCCACATTCCTTGATGCCCAGTTCTGTTCGAGACGGGCGGCCTTGGTAGTACCCGGTATAGCAATGAAGCCCTGGGCAGCAACCCAAGCCAGTGCAATCTGGGTGATCGAGCAGCCCTTCCGATCGGCAAGCTTCTTGATTTCATCCACGATGGCGCGGTTCTTGTAGAAGTTCTCGCCTTGGAATTTAGGAACTAGTACGTTGCAATTAGTACGGAGAGCGATTTGAATCGGGGTTTATGGAAAGACTCACTCTTTCGACGGAAGTCATCCGGCGCAAAGTCGTCAGGAGATTTGTACTGGAAGTCATCGACCAACCAGCCGTGACCGAGGGGACTGTAGGCGACATAGGCGATTCCCAACTCCTTGGCCGTATCGATCAAGCCGTCAGTCTCATGCAACGTCTCGAAAGCGGAGTACTCGGCTTGAACGGCATCGATCGGGGCAACTGCGATAGCTGTCAATGACTGTATTTTCAGTGCGTGCAAGTGATATAGACTTACTAGAGTTGGCCTTTCGCAAGGTAGCAGCCGAACATTCCGAGAGACCAATGTACTTGGTCTTTCCTGCCTTGCGGATCTCATCCAGAGCGGGGATGGACTCCTCAAGAGGGGTGTCTGTCAAAGTCAGTATAAGGTCTCACTTGATTAACAGATAACATACTAGGATCAATGCGATGCAAGTAGTATAGGTCAGGAGCGAAACCCAATCGCTCAATGGTGCCCTCAATGTACTCCTTGATATGCGAGGCGGAGTTGGTGACAGCACCCTGTCCGGAGAAGACATCGAAGCCACACTTCGAGGCAACTGCTCAACTGTTAGTATTTCTATTTATTGCAATAGTAGTCATTCATCGCACACATACTGAAGATCTTGTCACGAACGTTGTGTTTCCGGATAAAGTCTCCAAGGAGCTTCTCGTTCACACCGGCTTGGTAGACGACCTTTCAAATTGTTAGCTCAACTGGAACCAAGGACAGACAAGCCACTCAACATACAGCAGTATCCCAAAACGTACACCCCAGTTCAATTGCCTTTAACAAGACCGGCTCGGCCTCATCAAGGCTCAAGTTGCTGCCAAGACCGAAGCTAAGGCCCATCGCACCGAAACCGGGCGAGGGGACCTGAATGTCGCGGAAGGGGAGCGTGTTAACCATTTTCAGAGCTGTGAATGACTTAGGAACTGTGAGGAAGACAAGTTTCTCTTTGATGAGCTGCGGACCTTGTATTTATGGTATATTGGCATTGTCCTAGTGCCACTTCAAGAACCCCCCACGCTGTTGCGTCAGCCTGCGTGATGGCCGTGTGGGGCAGAAGACCCACTCTTTCCTGCAGTGCTGACGGCTTCTTCTCCGTTATCTCCGCTGCATGTCCGCCTTCTCAAGGCATATAGAAGTATCTGGATCTATGTGTTCTTGTGCGTTAAACTATATTCGGTAATGGGCTCATGGGTGGTATTATTTATAGACTATATTTGGATTCTTGTCTCTGGGATTTCATTTTTCACTCTCATTTATCCTCTTCCATTGGCTGGTTGATGTGTTCATTTGACTGGATTCACTCTACGCGAATTTATGGATGTGTGGGACATGTACGATTAGTTTACCATAGGTATGTATATGGGACGTAAATCTCAATCTCAAATCATATAAACTCCAGTATAACAATAATACAAACTGTTGCAAGTTCAATCAAGCGCTTTCATGCAAGTGCATGCTTGGTTGTCTTTTCTACCCGGGGCTTCGGAATCAGTCGCTTGGCCTGTGGGTTTATTTGCTGTTGTCATTGAGGCTAAGGGCTTCGAGGGCCTCCGTGTTGGCGTCAGGACTGGGACGAACCAGACGAGCAATATCCTCCATGTGACCTGCAAGATGGTCATACAGATCCGCCAATGAATGTTCCGTAAGGCAGATAAGACAGGTATCTTTCTTGTTCTCATATATTGTGCCAGGATAGAAGCTCAGCTTCAAAGCGTCATTTTCCTCGCCGAACTCACAGTCATGCTGCTCCCGGAGATGTGTGGACATCTTGACCGAATTAGCGGTTGTGAACTCTGAGCATTTACAGCAAATGTACCGGAAGCGATGCTTATTCATTTCGTGGTGCCTCCACTCACGGGTTCCTTCGTATAAATCGCAAGGCGTAGAGCAGTTTTGGGAAGTGCAGATGTACGGAGCAATCAATGATGTGTCCATGTCCAATGAAATGCAGTTCTGACGCGACTTATTCAGACGATGTAAAATATCGTTAGGGTCCTGAATAACTTCTCTCCTTGTCGCGTTAGCTAAGGCAAGTCGTTCGCAAAACCACATGATATCATCCATAGAGTTGCTCGCCGTAGCCTCTTCATTCAAGTTGATATTCTGGCCAACGTTGGCCAAGGCGCGCCATTGACGCACCATCTCCAAAATCTTGTCCAGTTCGGGTTCCCAATCCCGTTGTTTCTTTGCTATCTGTTCTTCATGGTGACCAGTATAGTTATAGAGCAGCTTGGTAAACCCATCAAAAAGACCAACCTGGGTTTTCGATACGCCTGCCGCCACTCGTACTTTCACCACAGTTCCAACATCCCATGTAGTATCCTCGGATTCAGGATTCTCGGATTCAGTATCCCCGGGGCTGTCTTCTGAGTCACTCACTTCTTCCAGATCGCATAAGTCGGGCGACAGATGGCCCAGTTCTTTGAGGTCCTTTGCAATTCTAGCAAAATAGGCGTTCGACTCAACGGCAGTAGGATCGTACTTCCGTTGGCCCAAGAGTACGAGTGTATCAAGACTTGAATTGAGCCGCCCGAGGTTTTCTTCGATCAATTCTCTGTATTCTTCCATTACATCGTACCGAAGCCTGTGCTCTAGTGAGCCCGGAGATTGTACAGGGAGGTTGGCCTTGTGCTCTCTTCTCCAGTTCAAAAACGTTGTCTGAGCATCCAGTATTTTTGACGGTTTAATGAACCCGAACCGGGTTATGAAACAGTCTTTAGATTTCAGAGAATTCGTGAATTTCTCGAAGGACTGTTCGCATTTGCAATACAGCTCAGAGATAGTTGGCTTTTTGTTTTCAGAAAGGTCTGCCATGATGATGGTGCGGAATTGCAGTGTTCGCCAATAGTGGAATGATTCCCAAATGTCGGAAACGAAGAGAGAGTTTTCGATGAGGGTGGTAGATGTCTCAGTTTAGCTTTCTGTCATGGACCATGGACAGCCTTTTATAGGCATAGCCATGTGACTTGCAAGTTGGGCAAGAAAGCCTCTGGCTGGAGCCTTACGGCGGGCCGAATCCGCTTCTTTATGCCCACCCGCCGCTGTGGTTATTCATTGGTCTTTATCTATTAGTTCCTATTTTATGATTTAGATAAAATCAATATTTGACTACTTTGTCACCTTACTTTCCTTTTGTTCTTAGAGCAAAGAGCTCGTAAGCACAAAATAGCGATATGGTAATACTACCTCTATGGCCCCGTATCTCTGGTATCTTAGCGGAAACCTCTCTAGTTGTTTGTTGAAGAAGCGTCAAAGAAACAGAAATTTTCACGAGAATCCCTCATCATCTGTTTTCTACCTGCTGGACAATGAATGCTCCAAGCCGTGGATTCGAACAGCTCCGTTTTTTCCTTGTGTCTTTTTCTTTGTATTTTTTAAACAAAAGATTTACACGGCCGTGATATCCACGAATTATTAAGATATGCGAAGCTTCAGTGATCTATACTGTTACATCAGGGCTGCACCTATTCAAGCCCCATATCTGGTAGCTAATAAACTTTCGTCCGTCCATCAAAGTCGGTCACCATAGCCCTGTAGAATACATATAGGCAAGAAGTTTGCATTATCAGGGAGATTATCTTCCAACCAAATGTCTAACCAATGTCTTCTAGCAAAGACACGTAATCTATCCATACAAAAGATGTAGACTTAATATTAAGAGCGAGACTAGGAGACCAGAAATTGGGTTCAAACTATAAACTAACACCTACATGATAAACAGTAGAGAAAGATAGGCTACAATTCTATATATGTCGTGGGGTCTTTGTGCTAACTTAGAAGTGCCTGAAATCTATCTAGCATTCCGAATAAGTCCTTTTAAGTTCTCGCGCCAACATCAAACTTGTCATTGCACGGGTAATGCTGCTATCGTTGCGAGAAATTCCTGCGTCTCATGTCCAGGGTTGTGTACAAAGAGATCTAGATGGCTTGAAACTTTGTGAGACCTGTGCCTTGGATTCCTAGATCTGAGTTCACTCAAAATCGAACCTGTCATCTAGTAAGCCCGGATTTACTATTCTAATTCCGGATATAATGACTTGACACTGTCCACGTATCATCTCGCCAAGAAATGGCCACATTAGGTGCGGAAGAACCCTTAACCTTATCGGTTCCAGTGGGTCCGTCATCACAGACGGAGTTAATGTCGAAATTCCGATGCAGCAGACCCAGAGTTACATTCCAAACAACCCCGCGGCACTTGTTTTTGGAGGTGATATGGTCATGCATTTGGCGTTGCGGGGGTGTCAGTCCATGATCAGAAATATAACATCAAGGGCGGCCTTTCCCTATTGAAATCCAGTACCACCAGTTATGTGTACACCCAGTTGCAGCTCAAAAATGGTATTCTCGGGAATACCTGCTCTCAGGATGCTGGATGTGGTTGTTTATAAGCCGATATTCATATCAACTAGCACACTACCTGGTCCATAGAAAGTTCAATCATTGGAGTCAAACATATCTCCGAGGTTTGTGAACCTAGTTGTGCGATTAGTCGAGATCCTTCTCAAGATTGGAATTCTACACTCACACGCAAGGCTCATGTAACCATTTACATGCACATGAGTGGTGCACAGAGAGAAAACATAAGGCTTTGAGGTCACTGTCGACGGCCGGCATGCAATATATATACTGCTTACAAGGTTCTCCAGAGACGGCTCTGCCGGATTATTGGAACACGCGTTACCTTGAGCATTTCTCAACCAAACCAAGACCGCATCAAGAAAATCAAAGGCGTTCTTCACCAGTTGTCGTGAAAACACTCAGACCATGTCGTATACTTCGTCAAGTGGGTGGATTACAAATGCGTGCAGGCACCAAAGTGGGCCCGGTGGTCTTGGCCAAATGCCGCAGCCTTCACATCTGCCTGCATGGACCAACATGATCCCTGTTCGGCATTGTTTGCACTTGTTTCCAAGCGCGTTGATCTCGTATTTCGTCGGGATGGGGGATCTGGAGGGTCTGGAGGGAGCTGTGAGTCACCAACGCGCCCTTCCATGACGCGATCTGTCAAGTGGGGCAGGTCATGTGACTGGCAGCACGTTTTTTATATTCTTCTTTCGCCCGTCGCTGGAAGATTCCGCCGACCTTCAACCACGGCACTCTTGCAGCCAGCAATGGACAGAACAATAGATTTCAGCCATGCTATTTTGGCTTCCATCCAGCTATGGAACAATCATAATCTCAATACATCATATGTACCCTCTTTCACAACCGGCGATAAACTCGAAGGCATCATCTCTCTTGTTCCGCAGGGTGATATTCGTTTTGATAATATCCAGATATCGTTCATAGGTTAGTCGCGTCGATTTGAATACCATAGGTTCCACTCGATTATTTGATATTTCTCCTTCTTCTCTCCTTGCTATCGACTGAAGAATCGCAACAGGAGAGGAAAGCACAAACGTGCGAGGCGCCAACTCCACTAAAGCTTATCATCGATTCCAAAATATTACCCACAGGGTCCAAGACTCTGCCCTCCCAGACCCACTTGTCCTCAAGAAGGGTCAAAAGTTCGACTTCTCATTCTGTTTCGACGTCTGTGATTATCTCCCGCCATCATCATGTCAACACCATACTACCAGCCAGCTGGTCAAAGCAGCTCATCTGCAACTTCCCCCAAGCTTTGGTGACGCCACAGTGTCTGGATTGGGCGGTAAATTGAAGGATGATTTTGCGCCGATCGGGTGCAAGATAATCTATTTCGTCCAGATCAAAATCAACCGGATGAGCTTGGTTTGCGATAAGCAGGAGACAATCTTCGTTCGGAGATTCAAGGTGCGAGTCAAACCGGCGCTCGAAGAACAGCCCCCCCTCAACTTGGACAAATTTGGCGACGAATTCTGCCTTCACCGAGAAAAACCTGTTCGTGATGGTAGTTCCAAAACCCCTCAAGGCACGCTGGCTGTGACCCTCGAGCAACCCAAACCTTTTTGGCTCCCACTCCGGGACCCTTATAGTACTGTCAGTCGGGCAATCCGGTTGTTTCTCCGATACACACCGACGGACAGTAACGATACGACGCTTCCCAAGCTCAAGTCCTTGCGTGGGCAGCTTACTGGCACGACTCTCTTTACAACTAGCTTTCACGACGACATACCCACCAAAAGGAAAGACCTTCTCGGACGGCCGCTGAACTTTGAAGACACCGTATTCCCATCGTTCACGCTTAATATTCCCACACCGCAATGGTCACAAGATGAAACGGGCTGCTACACCACGACGCTGCTTGTCCCTCTCTGGCTGCCCCCGGAGAACTTCATCATCACCTTCCACTCATGCTTGATGTCTCGCATGTACACAATCCACTTCCGTCTTGCAGTCAGCAATACTGCGACATTCTCTTTAAAAGCTCCAGTGGATATCATCGCTCAGCGTGACTCGTCTGTACTGCCATCATACAACGCATCTGTTGGGCTTGTTGACGATATCTGAGCTGGCCGACGCTAGGCAAGACATAACATAAACTTCAATCCCGCTTTAAGTGAGCGTGCTCGCCTAGATCAACTCTGGCTGATTTAGCATCCCCTGATCTTTCATCCCGGGAAACGTCACCGAGTACTCACTCATCGGCCTCTGCGCAGCAGGTACACTAACACTCAACGTTTCCGGTCTTGAACAACTCACCCGCATCGCAGGAACTATTCAAGGACGGGGAAAAATCTCATCTTCAACACATCACAAACTTCATGTTGTCTCAAGTGATGGCCAGCCATTCTCAAAACATAGTAAGTACGCACTAACCGGTCTAGCTGGACTTACGACACTCAACTGTTATCTTGCATTCACAAGCGCCAGCGAATTTCTTGTTTTTTCTACTCTAATCCTAGGTCTTGGACCTTACGATGGAATGCCTTGTTTGGATTGTATATAGCTCACACCAGCGTCTTCTTTCAACATTTGATGCCCCTGGTTTTTATATATCTTTAATGACATGTCTCATATCTCTACTATCATCCTTCCCACCAAAATGTACGTGAGCCAATTCCATAGCGAGATCCCAAAGTCAAAGCAGTCGAACAGTTCAGGATATGTTGTGGTTGGAGTGGAGATTCTGCGGTTGTAAGGTTCTCACTACATTTATGCCCCAGAAAGGGATTGGAATGGATTCTCGAAAGTCATAAAATCGACTGATTCTTGATGAATCATATTATTGACATTTTCGATTTCTACATGAAAACGAATGAAACAATTCAGAAGCGGAAATTTAAGGACATTCGCACTATCGCAAAAGCCCACGCAAAGAAAGCCCGTCACCTCAAAACAACTTCCTGCCATCTTCTCTTCAAAAGCACCTTCGCATCCAGGTCCGCACTCAGCGCCGCGCCGACTTTCATAACCTTGGGCTTCGACGCGGGTGGCAACTGGATCTCATATCTGAGCAGAATATGACACAGAATGATCTTGATCTCCGTGGCGGCGAAGAAGCGACCGGGACAAACATGACGACCTAGCCCGAAGCCGAGATGCTCGGGTGACGGCGACACGAATTTCGATGCAAAGTCATAGCTCATGGTTCCGGGCTTCTTGTAGAACCTATATGGGTCGAATTTCTCTGGGTTCTTGTAGATGGCGGGATCCCACATCCAATGGTTTGAGACGCAGATCATGGTGCCTTTGGGGATCAGCGTCCCGTTTGAGAGCTTGATGTTGTAGTTTGCTCGACGACGGATTGAGACTAGGATACGGCATATTTGTCAGTGCTGATCCTAGACGTGGCGTGGACAGGGAGATAAACATACCTATATTAACCGGCTTCATGCGCTGACTCTCCTTCAGCACGCTGTCCATCAGTTTCAACTGCTGCAGGCTCCCTCTGGTCAAGTCGACCCAGTCATTGCCGAAGACGTGAACGATTTCTTCGCGCAGAGCGGAAATGAGCTCTGGCCTTTCCGCCAGATCAAATAGAACCTGAGTCAACATATCCGACGTAGTATGAATCGCCACAACAGAGAGCGAGAGCTGCGCGATAACCGGATCGTACACACGCCCGTTCGCGCATTGTTCCAGCCAGCTAAACCCATCCTCAACTGCAGCGTTGGGAGGCAGATCGAGGGGTACATTTCGTTTCTCTCTGGATTCCACAACGGGATCGATGATCCGACGTGCTTCGTCAAGCTCGTTGCGCAGTTTTCGACACTGAGGAATAAACCTAGATGCAAAGGGGCGCATGAACTTCGGGAAAAGGCGCAGGATGTAGGCGGCGACGAATGCGTCGACCGTGTAGTTGACCATGATGTTACGCCAGGCGGGATTGCGACCGATCTCACTACCCAGCAGCGTTTTGGATGTAAGACGGGCAACGAGTTCGAGAATGTTCTTTCGAAGCGGAAACGGAGACCAGTCCCAGTTTGCTAGTTCATAATATGAGATATAGACGTGACAACAAGGGGTTTTGATGGAGCGCGCACCTTGGAAACCAACCGACCATTCCTCCAGGGCTATCAATGTCTCTTCGGATAGGGGTTTAACGATATGTTCTATAGCTGATTAGGGGATGTAAAACTCATCAGGCAAGGGGTATTAACCGAGCTTCTTAGTAAGTTTCGTTTTGATGACATCGTGAATCAACTTCTCCGACGTGAACGGATCGAAGCCTGGGATTTGCGCGTGGAAGTCTTCCGCTAGAGACTCGCTGAAGCTTAGTCCCTCGATGGTGCGAATCTCATTGGCGAATTTAGGATGCAGAACCATGATGACTCCATTGTCCATTACCATTCGGAAGACATCGCCCTGTTTTGATTGTGCGGTTAGTTGAAGCTGGATGATATCGGGGTAGGGAATGCTCATACCTTCTCAAATCCACTTTTGATCAAAGCTGCACCATTTGCTAGGAATCGGCTTTTTGCTTTGAAGTAGCCAATCTCGTACCATTTCCGGTTGTTGACGAATGGAAGATGGCAAACAAGGGCCTCATAGCTAGGATTGAGTAGCCAGTGTGAAAAAAGCGTGACCGCAATGGTTAAGATAATGTCTGCGAAAGGCAAGTTCTTCAAAAAGTGGAGAAAGTCGTGGGCGTGCAGCACAAGGAAGGACGGAGATGCCATGTTGTTGTTTTGTTCTTGTTAGGAAAACTGCCTTGACTGGCGTGCCAGAAGATGAGAAGAAGAAAGAAGAGAGAAGAAGGAAAAGATTCTGTTTGTTGTTTTGCATGGGGCACGATTATGTCGGCAAGGTCACCCTGTCACTTGCATGATGCGATTGTCCGGAAGCTTCCATAATGATAATAACAGAAAATGCACACCAGGCGACAACCCAAAATAGGGTGTCGTGGGACTGCGGGTTCTTGTTATTTGTTTTTTGTTGTTATGAATGTTGAGTACTGAGGGTTCTACTGATCTTGAATGTTTCTGGTGTCTCTACAATATTAATTCTGTTAAAATGTATGCGCAAGCCGTACAGCATCATCATAATTATATTATTAATACTCTCACAAGCAAGATGAACACTGAAATAAAACTGGCCCACAGGACATAATCCCAAAATCGTACTCACTTTCTGAGGACACACTGTTAGGTAACCATGGATGTCTTTCATACATCGTACCAAAATCCCATAAACTAACACCCATAAAAAGAGGGCTTCCATGGTGTTTGTAGTTAACTACGCCCAGGGAAGGGGGGAGGGGGTTAGTTAACAGCGAACGCTTCATCTGGTATGTCTACATACGCTATCAAGAAAGAGCTCCATTTCCTGAACAAAAATTTTCATTATCGACCATATCATATTGGACATTGGCCCTTGGTTCAAGGCATCATCTTAGAGATAAGCACCTGCTAGAAAGTGTATCCAGCTAGGAGTACATTGGCTAACTCGGTAACCGGTTGAAGCTTTGAGCAACACATCTATAAATTGCTCAAAACCCATTCAATTAATGCTTTAAGGGGTCTCTCTTTGGTAGCCTAAATCACCGGTTGCCCTTCAAGGCGCTCTCTAGCCATCATCACATCTAACGCCGCAATGCTTGAAAAATCCCGAAACGGGAATGTCCGGAAGAAAGGAAGACAAATTGAAGAGTTGCATGTCATGTTGGACCACTCATATTTCGCTTATGGCCTTGCACCTGCCTATTGTAGTTAGTCTGCATGTCAGCTGACCCACAGTGGATCGGCCGTAGTTAGGAGGCCTCGCTGCACCGCGAGCTTCATACAATTCAAGCATCTCCACAACTGCAGTTCCGTCATGTCATAATCTGGATAATGATCTGAGACTAGAGTATGCCCGATTTCTCACCTCTCTCCCTTTAAAGTCTCTAAGAAATCCAAGCATTATCTCCCAAGAGACACCATAATCCCACACAAGGTCATTGTCATAGTCTGGCTCTGAACTGCTGCATGGCTCATATCTCTCTCGCAGGGATTGCTCGGAGTCGACCGCTGTCCATCTGCCATGTTCCCGAAGGAATCTTGCTATCGCTGAATGTGCGTTCCATTCAGCTAGCTTGACTGCTCTTACATACTGCCTTCGGCCTTTCCCATCAATCAAAGCTCCATGACCAAGAAGAAGATGAAGTACATCAAGCCTGCCATGCTCTGCAGCTCCTTCTAGAGCAGTACGGCCATTTTCAGGCGCTCTTCCTGCATTGACATCGGCTCCCACTTCAAGTAGCATGCGTACGACTCCGATATAGCCGTACATTGCAGCAAACTGAAGTGCTGTGGCCCCGCAGAAAGGCTTAGGTGCGCTGTTGACATCTGCCCCCACATCTAACAATCTTTCAACAATCTCCATGTTTCCGTGTCTGACCCCTTCCTGTAATGCCGTTCCCCTCATTCCATCATAGCCACACTTTCCATCGATATCTGCCCCGGCATCGAGAAGTAGGTCAAGGACCTCCATGTTGCCAATTCGGGCTGCGATTTGCAGAGGCGTCTGGATATCCCGGAAGCCCGAGGAGCCACTGAGATCACAGCCGTAACCAAGAAGTTTCCTGACCAAAGAGATATCTCCATGCTCAACCGCAACCGTGAGAGGTGTCCAAAAGCCACAAGACGTCTGTAGCTGATTCGTATCCGCACCAAGAGCATGAAGATCATCTAGTGCCCTGCTCCTGATTAGTTCACCCTGGCTATAGGAAACAATCTTGGCGAAACAACGCCCTAGCGCCGGTTTGGGCCACTCTGCTGATGCTAGAACCATCTGGAATAGCTCGTAATCCTCTTTGACTATACATCTTTTGAGCACAGACACTGAGAGCCGGTGGGGATGATTTCTCCTTGGATCAAGACCAAGGTTGAGTAGGGTCTTAACCAAGAACTTATTTCCACGTTCGACGGCCAAGAGCATAGTCCCGGGGGCATTGATAGTTAACGGCGAGCGCATATCCACAACATGGCTGAGGGGCACATGATCATTGTGGTCCAACACTCTTTCCACAGCCGCCAGGAGATCCTCATCAGTAATTGGAATACTGCTGGCCAGAAGAGCATCGAGAAGGTCCAATCTGCCACTAGTAATAGCGGCTTTAATGGGAGGAGGCACGTGCCTTTTGGACGTACTTCGAGCAATTTGTTCAATGCTTGTGTCAAGGAGATATTTCGCCAAACTTTGATCATCTGAATTGATTGCGGCGGTCAAGATATCCTTTCCACATGATCCCATTATTCCGTGGAGCAAACCAATAAGATCCAGATAAATAGCCATCTTTATTCCTGGAATCTTGTATATCCTCTTTCCTGGGTCCGTTCCTCCGTAAGTCATGATGGTCTCGATAATTGACTGGTTGCCAAGTTCTATAGCTTCCCCGAGTACTGTTTGACCATGTTCATAATGATTCAAATCGATGTGCTGAAGTGGCAACTGTAAAATTGAATTGACATCATTTGCACGAACGAATGACAAGATCCTGAGGAAGTAAAATCTCTGAAGGGCATCTCGTTCAGCGACGGCCCCTGCAGACAGCAAGAACTCGCAAAGTTCCAAGCGTTGTCGGTTCAGTGCCCTATCAAAGAGTGTCGGCCTTCGTACGTAGCAATGATTCGAGGCGTTCACGTCACCACCACAAGTAGTCAAGAACACAATAGAATCAAAGTTTCCCCGACTTACTGCAAGAGTGAGAGGATCGATCATATCAATATTTCCGGCTCTTGCTGGATTGACCGTGGCACCTGCCAGATAGAGTGCTTGGATAACGTCCATAGAATTCTCCTGAGCCGCTAAGCCCAGAGCTGTGGTGATGGAGTGTTTCGATTCGAACCATATCCTGTGCAGTGAATTGGGGTCGGCGCCATGCGAAAGAAGCAGCTTCACCCACCCCACGTTCCCTAGCTTGATAGATAGTGGCATCATCACACTCAAGGCAAGATCTCGGATTCTGATATTTGAGATGGAACCGAAAACAAGGAACCGTTCCATTAGAGCAAGGTGCTGACTCTCGAGCATATCCACATCAGAATAGGATATGAATTCTTCCAATCCTTCACGAATATCCGCTCCGTGAGAGATGAGAAGGTCGGTCAAATGTTGATTCGCATGATATATCACGTAACAAAGAGCAGGGCGAATTTGATATTTGTTCACATCGGCATTGTGTGATAATAACAGTTTCACCATGTCAACGGCTTCAGCAGATACAGAAGGGTAACACAGGTATTCCAATGGAGTATGTGCAATTTCCTCATCATTCTCCTCCCAAACCAAAGTTTGTGGATCCATCCCGGCATCAAGCATGGCAACCATGGTTTCTTGGTCGCATGACCTTACCGCACTTGCAAATAGCTTTTCTGCAATAACTCTCGATGTTAATCCTGGCATTCTCAAAAGATAAGCAAAGTTCTTTTTGGTATTCAGTTTGGAGCTGCGGGCGATTTTGAGGATGAATTCGTCGTCTTGCTTTGTGCCCGGTTCTTGTCCATGAATTGCGAAGTTATTGGACAATAGATAGAAGAGAATTTTGAAACGCTCTTGTAATCCCACGTCGGATCTAGCGTTGAATAGCACTTCCGTCGTATTTCGATGCTCTTCTTCGCGCTCTTCGGGCATGACCACTGCCAGACACCTCGTCAGACGGCCCACATTGTCAAGGTTTTGATGGCTGTATGAGTCCGGTTCTTGCAGCCAACCAGACAGGATCTGTGTCACGTTGTATGTGGCAAGGGGGAGTTTATGGTGATTCATGGAGAGAATGGCTGATGACAGAGACGTCGGAGAAATTTGGCATTCTTCTTTGATTAGAAAGGCTACCAATATTGAAATCATGCACAAGGCTTCGTACCTTTTTGATTCATCTGTCGAAGGCAGTGGAGCCAGGGTAGACTGCGGGGCGATTGAAAAGTTGGCACTGATACAGGGGAGCATATAGCAATGCCCTCCGGCATTTCCGGCGATGGAACTGAACACAGTTATCTCTTTTCCAAGTTCTCGCTTGCGCTTCTGGATTTTTCTGTTGACTACTTTCCATTTTTCCGGGTTAAACTTGTTTTTTCGGAAACCCCATTTTTTAAAAGCAGTTTCGTATTGTTTTTTTCTAGTCAGGTTTAGTTGATGCATTCCGTCATAGGGGGAAAGATGGAATAGTACGTTTTAACAAAGCTTCGGCGCTTGCGGAGTATGTCCATCACCTCTTTCAAGGGCTTATCCTGCCGGATATAAAGACATTCAATCTCATCTTTGTGTTCTTCGAATATATGATCCTCCATTGCTAGTTGAGGGTTGATATCGATAATGGTGACTGATGCTTTAGCGGACGGACGGTTCTCAGGCGGAAGGGGAACAAAAGTGCAACGATGGAAATGGGCGACTATTTGTGTTGGCTGACGGGTGCCAACCAGGCAACACTCTTTACGTGATCCCTGTCTGTACGGGAACCGGGCGCGTACATAATTTATACCCAATATCATTCGACAATGATGCTCAGTCACCGTGCTGGAGGTCATTCATTGGTTGACAGCCAAAATCTCCTAGCCATGAAGAGCGTCCGGTACTGAAAGAGCCTACCTTACGACAGTCAGGTTTATGCTTGTTGATTGGTTCTCTTCCAAAATCTCCTGGACCGGGGTGTTGAAAAGTAAGGATGTACATACCTAAGGAACATGGCAAATGTGGGTCTGTCTAATCAACACTTCGATATAGATCTGGCTATTTAAGCTCACCACAAACTCCAACTCCTGGTAGCTTCTCGATGCAAATGCCACGCCTATATATCTGACCTTGTTCCGCTCTCTGGTGTTTTTTTATCTTTGTCGTCTCGCACCTTTCTCTCGATGAACCATCGGTCCGCAGGCGAATCTGCAATGGCAAACCCTGGGATCTTGCAAGTAGAAGATGGTGTTTTGTGGGACCCTTTCACCTTGCCTTTTGATTTTTCACCTGCTCTCTCAACCCCCCACGCGCCATTTAATGATATCGCCTATTTGGAACAATATCATCTCAACGGGACGGAGTCTGGACACTTTCTGGTACCCAACCGGCCGGACGCCCCACATACCTTGAATGTCGCCCGGGTCGGGAGCGCACCGGCAAATCATCCGTCTCAGGGAAATGCCGGTGCACCAAATGGCATCAACCCGGAGCAAAACAGCCGGCCCGGGCCAAAAGCTTCCGGACCAAATCAACAGTACGTGCGTTGCTCCCTCCTAGATTACCAGTTGCTGATTTCGAACGCTTCAAGTGTCAACGACACAGCCTGGAGATGCTGCTGGAAGGACTGCGGCTACAGGGGATCTTTTGGGCGCAAAGCAGAGCTGATGCGACACATCGAGACCCAGCATGTCAATCCTCGTGCACATCAGTGTGTCCTCTGTGGAAAAATGTATAATCGGAAGGACAACCTCGCCGAGCATTTTCAGCGAGTCCATGCGTGAAAGGGATGCCATTATATAGAGCATTTGGTCTGATATATTTTTCAGGAACTGGGTTCTTTGCATGGCAAACTATACGATTCTTTCAGACATTTGATGGCCTGAATACTTTATGATGCTTTGCGTTAGTATTAGACCCATGATCTCTGATATGAATAGTACATTATCCGTGGCTTCATAATCTTGGTGTTCAAGGTATTCATATTGATTTGTGGCGTGCTTCCTTCTTCGTCACCCAAGGCACTGTTTCTGTTTTGTTGCCTTGTTAGTGCGTTTGCGTTGTTTGGTCACGACCTTTCATTCACTTCTGTAGGAATTTTAGGTGCCAGGGGTAGGCTACCGAAGTGGAAGAAAAAATAAATAATTGCTTGACTTGTTGAAACTTTAACTAAAGGATAGAAAGGCCCTTTTGTCTTCAATATCATGTAATCTTTATGATCGATTTCATGACGAATATCGCTTATTTTCATAAAACCTTTCGTTTCATATAAAGACTTTCGGAACTTGTCTTGAGCGAAAATTTGACAGATTGTTCAAAACATTTAATTCTTTCACACACTGCTCCAATCCGACAAACACGAAACCATACAAAAACAATAAAATATAAAAAAATTTGTTAAAAATCTTTTTCATACAAAACACGAGACAACTCACTTCACTAAACAATTCACTCAGCATACAAAACAATAATCAATTCGATCATATAAAATTGTTTCAACACCTCACTGGGCCACGCAGGGAATTTTTTTGCGTGTAAAATATTTAAACGGAAAATTTTGATTGATCGATTCAAATGATTTAACAATTCAATATAACGATTCAAATAAATTTGATGACAGTCTGTCTATTTAACTGTGACATGAAAAAACTTGATCGATTTAGATAATTTATCAGTTTAATATAATGATTCAAATGAATTTGATGACGATCTGTTTATTTGACTACGGCATGGAGAAACGGCAATAAAAAAAAAGTTCGCTTTAATTTAACAACTTAAAGACACGGACAAAAAGCTCGAATAGTTTCAAATCTGTTTAAAAAAAAAATCGATAGCCATAATTAAAGCTTTGAATTCATAATCTATAAGAATTTTAAATGTCAAAAATAGGCTATCAAAATAAAAAAAAAATGAATAATTGCTTGACTTGTTAAAACTTTAAGTAAAGGATAAAAAGGCCTTTTTATTTTCAATATAATATGGTTTTTATAGCTGATTTCATGACAAATACCACTTATTTTCATAGAATCTTTCGTTTCATATAAAGACTTTCGGAACTTGCCTTTAGTGAAGGTTTGGCGGATTGCTCGAAGCATCTGATTCTTCCACAACTTCACTGTCAACCCATACTAGTCCTTGTCACACCTTTCAGCACACATTTCAATTTTCTTCTTCATCTTCTTTCCTTGAGATTATTTCAAGCACATCATTCCATCTCCTTCTTTACGGTCATCATTATTCACGATTTCATGGCTTCATTTACATATTGTCTCTTCTCTGAATGAGCTATTCACATGAGTGACGATTGTCTCTCTTCACTGAAAGGATTTCGAACTGAAGAGATTCTGTGTATTGTGCAATGTGAGCTCGGCTTTCCCATATTTCCACGCCCACGTTCTCCAAATGTCTCTACCTTAGGGTTGTGGAAAGCTAAACCTTCTACATCTACAGTATTATTTCTGTTGCGTCAAGTCTTCAAGAGCGACAGGACCTTTTCATAGACAGGCCAGAAGAGAAAATCCAGTCTCAGCAGAATAATTCCTTTTCCCGCTTCCTCACTTTGTTCGAAATTGATTTTACTGGTCGATCTTCAAGCGATTCACGTCAACCGGAACCTCCAGTAGGGAGACAGCCGATCAACTTGCTGCTGGACTTAACTCGGCATCACGAGTTGCTCCTAAACCTACCGCATCGGCTCGAAGAACGAATGAAGAACAAAGCCACAGCGAAGCGACCGCAACAGCCCTTCTCGCCCTTTGAAACTGCCGAGTGGGCCGAAACACTGAAAACATCGATGGCTACATGTAGCAAGACACGCAAGCTACACAACACAAGGTCAGAGGTTGTCCAGACGCTTGGGCTACAGTATGACAAGAAGGATTGTGAAAACTGGCCCTATGCCGGCACTCAGGCGGACCCTAAGGACAAGGCGCAACCTCCAGCGTATACCAAATTGTCCGACTATTGGGCCGCCAAGCTGGTCGCCAATGATCCCCGAACTACCTATTCTGAAAGGGGTACCCTGTGGCGGTGGGACTTTACCTTGAATGGTGAACAAAAGCGTACCCGTCACTCTCGCGGAGATCCAGTCATCGTCAAAAAGGGAGACGCCTTATACATACCGGTGGTGAGGCACTACTATTTACTATGCGGCGAGCAGTTGGCAGCACGCTTTCCCTGGCTCATCAATATTTGTCCTTCGAGCGGAGCGAGGTTGTGGACTGGCTTATTTGCATTACCGAGATCGAGCACCAGCGAGTCGGATTTCATCGCCCTGAACATTAAACCCATTTTCCCTATGAAGTTGACATATGTTTACGAGGGCAAGGCTCGCATTGAATTCCAGCCTAGCAATGAGATTATTTGTGTTCAAAGCGACGTTCCTCCTGTACACCCACGTGAGAGAACAGGTTCAATTGCGTCCGTTATCGAGATTTCTATCAAGAAAGATTCTTCTGACGAGTCCGGCTCTCCTGAAGCTGAATCCCGGCTAAATCCGTTAGCAATCATTCTCAATCGGCAGCCCCCGATAGACATCTAGCATCTCCCCTTTTTGGCCAGGGCGAGGGAGCTGCTTCTACCCTGCCTATTGCCTATAAAAATGCCAGCCCCCCTCGTCATTCTGCGATTACAACACCAGTTCCTACTCGGGTCCACCCTTCCACGTCTTCTGGTCAAGTTCAATCGCTCTACTATTCTCAACCATCTGATATCACCATGAATGCCGGAACGGGTAATAACGCGCCCAATCCCCAAAATTCTATCTTCCGTTCCGACGATCCCAGTCAAGAGATCATCGATGCTCGGACTTCCATGACCAACGCTCTTGCAAAGCTTGATACAATTCAGAACAAACTAAGCATTTACAAGTTCCGTTTGCATGTTATGGAGCGCAATTATGCGAAGGAACAAAAGAACAATGCCGAACTGCGCGCTCAACTCGCCACAGCCATGAACACCATTGACCATCTTATGGGGTCTCATCATGACAACACCGCGGTCCGTCCGCCTCTGGGTTATCAGTCTTATCGCCCTGATCCGAGACCTTGCCAGAATCAATTACGACGACGTCGTGAGTCCGCAAATAGCCCACCTCGCGGGCCTCGCGATGAGCCCCGTCGATCTCGGGAGGAGCCTTGGTCTTATCAGCGCTCTCCATCCCCTCGCCGCACTGGTTCCCTGTTTGATGACAGACGGAATCGTGACTCGCGGGAAAGAGATTAGCTCACGTCTTGAGGCGAGGTTAGGTGTGCACGTGACACATACGCCAAAGACATCATTATTACTCGTTACCTACATCGTTCCAAGTCTCGCCCCACGTAAGTTGACTTACTCCGTACTCCGAACCATGACTGCCCCATGACTGCCCTATGTGTGACGACTGACCATAACCCGCTATATAGAGCGATGCGCGTACCAAGTCTGTTGACTTGGTACAAGTCTGTTGACTTGGTATTCTGGTCTTTTGGTGGCGCAGTGGATAACCGTCCCAGCCCTGCCAAAGCGGAAGGTGGTAGAAGCGCACCTGCCACCGACCGTGACACTATGACTATTCCATGACTTTCTTGACTATTCCTTGACAACTATTTTGACGACTTATGAAACGCTTCCTACGCGCGGATCAATCCACTTCATCCATGATACAACTAGTTGTTTTGAACGAGACTCACCAAGACCAACTTCAAGATGACAACAGCGAAAATGCACTTTGACTGCGCAAAGTTACCCGCCTACGCTCGATTTGTCGAGCACGTCAAGCGTACAATTGCCGAATCCAAGCCAGGGACGTTGATTATTTACGAGAACATAACCGAGCAGTGGTCGACTGGGATTTGGGATACTCTAGAAGAAGATCCAGAGCATCAGCACATCAGGTAGTACAAACTGTCATTTCCTACAGATGATACTCACTATCTGGATCAGGAAAACGCTCGACACGGTCACGAGTACGTTCGCGCTAGTTGTGCCGACCGACATTCACGACTGCCATCACAAGTGGTTTAATCTGAGTCAATTCGAATGGATGCAAAGTGGAACAGTTAGCCGTGAGGACATTGAACTGTCCTCTCCCGGCGTCGCAACCAGTAAGACTCCGATAAATCACCCGGGGAATCTTGACTGATCGGTTTCCTAGCGCTTAATATGACTTCAGGCCCTTATAGCGGCTCACGCAAAGAACCTGATTTGTTCTTCAGAGTCGATGGCCATGCACTCCCCACGCTTGCGATTGAAAGTGGTTGGTCAGAAACTACTACCAAGCTGTATGACGACATGAACCTCCTATTCGTCGGCGGCAACGGTGCGATTCGAACTGTGTTTATTATCAAATGGACGAAGCATGCCGATAATGTGCATGTGAGCGGGCGGATAGAAGTGTATGGCCTGGATCGCAACGGTATGCCTGTTCAGCGCGGACCAGCTCAAGTAGGGATTGTCGATCAGTATCATATTATCTTCAAAGTTAATCTTCTATAGGACATTTTTCCAGAGCCACCCAATGGACAAAGCCAAGTAATCAGAGTATGACGCCGGAATTTGTTTTGGGGCTCGCCACTCGCAAATCGAGAACCAAACACCATTCTGCCCTGGAGACTTGACGATCTGAGGAGAAGTGCCCGTAATAGCTTGAGTCTCATGGGGCTCCTCCCCGCCGAATGAGGTATGGAAAAGAAATATTTCTACCGAGGCCCGATTTCATTACCTACAGGCGCATGCATCTTTAAACCTATCTGTCTTCCATTCAAGCTCGTGAAATGCCAGACACGCCTTTGATTCCAATCAGACTAGGTCTTAACCCCACAATGAAATCACTCGTGCTTATTATCCTCCTCAGTAAACACCGAGAATCTATCTACAGCCCCATCCTCGCAAGTTTCTCCTGCCCTTTATCCGTAAACATATTCGCACACATCCTCAATTCTTTCTATCGCGTGAGTAATAGCTTCGTCGCGTCTTGTTTGTAATAAATACTCTGAGGCGTTTCTAGGCAGGGAGGATTTCCATGCTCACAGAACTATACGACTCCAACATAGTTGACGACTATCAGGGAATGAAGGGTGTTGTTCCACAGAAGAGATATTTTTCGTGGATGTTTGTATAGTGCATAGCCTGGGTGGATTGTGCCTTAGGCATCCAGCGTTATCCTAACCACTTATAGGTCATACGCTCCGATAGTCCATGGATATAGTGAGAAACCCTCTTTAAAACTATCCCAATGAGAAGGAAGAGACCTTCCATGCTTTGTAAGGTATGTTGTAGTAGGTAGTGTTTGGCCATAGAGGAAGGATTGGCTCATGTCATCGCACCTCAGATATCTAGGATGACTGGCTAGCGAGCGTTGAAACGAGAGGTTGTTGCCAAAGAAGAGATGTTCATATTATGTAAAGCTTGCCATTTCGACTTATTACAATCATCCACAGAGCCACCCAGTCAGTCAATCAATCGTCCAAACCGAAGTCATGTCATGCGACATCATTTCGTCTCATCTCATCTCGTCTCGTAATAATAAGATTATGTCACACGTGTGATCAAGTTTCCCGACCCACGGAGTATGTACTATGTATTCCATATCCACAACCACAACATCATCCTTCTCATTGCGTCGCATTCATTCAAACCTTCTCAGCAGTCTCGGCATGCACGGCCACGCTACCGGCACGCTTCTCATCATCACCAACCTGCTCGATGACAGCGCCGCGCGAGAACTCGTTCCTGGTCTTCCACGCGGGCTTACCGATGTAAGGAATGCCGGTGGGATCGGTGAAGATAGCCTCGACATCTTCAAGGGTCTTACCAGAGGTTTCAGGGAACATGAAGAAGACGTGAAGGGTCATAGCGGTACAGAAGACACCGAAGAGAACGTAGACCTTCCACTGGATGTTGACGAATGCAGGCGGCACGAAGTAGCTGAGAGCAAAGTTGAAGGCCCAGTTGGAGGAAGTGCAGAGCGAGTTGGCCTTGGAACGGACGCGCAGGGGGAACAGCTCAGGCGGGTAGGCCCACGAGGCGGGACCCCAGGAGATGGCGTAACTGGCGACGAACAGGTAGGTACAAGCAATGACGGCCTTACTGGGGGCGCCACGGATAATCCACGACTGGGCTTCGATACCGTCGAGACCACCAGGGGGAGCGGCGTGGCCATACGAGGCCATGAGACCGGCGTTTGCGTACATCCAGATCAACATGAAGGTGGATCCGAGCATGAAGGTGTTGCGGCGACCCCAGCGGTCACCCCAGATGAGGGCGGGAACGGTCATGACAACGTTGATGACGTACTGAATACTGGAGGAGACGAGGAGGTTATTGCCCTCGAGGCCGGCCATGGCGAAGACGTACGTGATGTAGTACATCATGACGTTCATACCGGTCATCTGGGACCAGATCTGCGTGAAGATACCGACGTGGGTACGGTTAATCATTGTGGGTTTGAAAAGCTCCAGGTAGCTGACGTCGGCGTTGCGGCGCTCGAACTCGCACATGCTCTTGATCTCCTCGTACTCGAGTTGTACGAAGGAGGCGTTGGGGTCGCCCTTGCCGTGGACAAGGGTCAGGACGGCGTGGCACTCTTCCCAGCGGTCCTTGCGGGCCAACCAACGGGGCGACTCGGGCAGAACAATCATTCCGAGGAAAAGCAGAATGGCAGGGATCATCTGAAGACCCCAGGGAATTCGGAAAGAGGCAGTTCCTTTGATGTAGGTGCATCCGTACGAGATACTGCACGGTCGATGTTAGAATCGGCAAGCCTATATGCGACCAGCTTACTTACTAGAACATAATCATGATACCCCAGGTAATAGCCCATCTAATCACCACCGTTAGTAATTGAAAATTGTGAGGTTGATTGTTGAGTATATTCGCGAAAGATCGGAGGTAGGGGAACGAGACGGGAACGGGTTGTCAGGTGCACTCACTGTTGCATACCGACCAGACGACCACGCTTGGTAGGAGGGGCCTGAAGAATTGGTAGTTAGCGACTGCTCAAAAACATGGAGACAGGTGCCCTCATAGTTCGAGTACTTGGACAGCATCAGGGCAGAAGGGTTCAAGGCATACCAGTTCAGTAATGTAGACAGGAACCTGAGCCGAGCAGATACCAACAGAGAAACCGTTGATGATACGACCGACAATCAACATGGGAATATTCTGAGCGGCACAGACAAGGATAGAACCGATACACCTGTTCATGGATTAGACCTGTCTGGAAACCTCGGGTAGAAAGAAAGACGAAAGTCATACCAAATCACCGCGCCGACCATAATAGCACGCTTTCGACCAAAGATATCGGAGACAAAACCTGACACCAGAGCACCCAGCCAGGAACCGGCGGCCATGGAGGCAGTGATACCACCCTGGACATCGGCACTGGGACCCTTCCACTTGGGGCTACCATCGTCATTGTATTCCAATGGCCCTTGGTGGAAGTAACGGAGGTAGGACTCGCTGGTGATGATGGCGGACATCGACGAGATATCGAAACCGAACAGGCCACCACCGATAACGGCGATGGCCGCAATAGCGTAAAGGTTACCAATAATCATGGTGACAGAGGGATGCCGACTCCACTTCCAGCAGTAAAAGTAGAGGCTTTCCTGGGCAAAGTGGACAACGAAACCAGGAGAACGGGGAAGCACGAGGGGAGGGAAGAGATTTTAAAACATTTGGACGATGCGGCCCCGGTGTTAATATACCCGACAGACGGGGGGGCAAATTTTCCTTTAATTAGTACATACGGAGTACGGAGGAAGTCAGGACAATGACTACGGGGTACAGCGTCACCATCGGTGCTAGAAACATTTTGGCGCGACGACTTGATCCGGTCCAAAACGGGGGGGAGGTGGGAGTAAAAACCTAAACGGAGGCTGCTACGGCGTGTACCGAACCGAATCATAACGGAGATTGGGAATGGGGCCCCATGACAGACGAGATTAGTTTCACCAGGTAGACTTGACTGGAGCGCATAGGGTTAGACAATAAGGATTGGGGTCCAATCATGGCATGCAAACACTCCAAAGATGATCCACTCATGCAGACGTTGGTAACATGCCATGAGAGATTTTTCGCCTTTCTTTTTTACTTTTTTTTTCTTTGGCCTCTCCTTTCCGGTCCCCATTTTCCCGGCTGCCCGAATCAGAAGCCGGCCTGGAGTGGGTTATGGGGAAACCCGCGGGGGAGAAACAACACATGGTTTGGACACCACGAGACCTTGGAATCTCAGATTGGAGGTGGATCAGGCCAGAGAGAAGTTGACTCGCTGTGAGTCGCGCGAGACCAGTCAGGGATTGGAAACGGGACCGGAATGACAGGGTGATACCCCATGCCGGGATGGCCGAAAGCGACGTAGGAGGACGGCCAATTCAAGGAGGATAGCCGGGACAAGAACGGGAGCCGTGGAGGGATCCGGGGAAACCAGAGCATGCGGGCGACACTAGCGCCCCGAGACTTGTCCCAGACCGGAGAGACCAGGCCGAACCAAGACGGATCGGCAGAGGATTCTGGCGGCGGTGTCAGCGGCTCAGCGCAGTGTAACCTAGATGTAGACCGGGGATTTGATGACGTTTACCATGCAGTAAGAATTTGAATTAACTGATGATGGCATGGTGGTTTTGTTGGCCAGCAATCGACCTGCTGTCCGATGCCCGGGGTGTGCGGGGGAGGAAAGAGGGGAGAGAAGGAAGAGGAATGGAATCCAAGGAGCTGCAGACCCCGACCGAAGACAAACCAGGCAAACAGACTTTGGCCCGTTTCGGTGGTTCCATCGGGAACGCCAGGAACGGCCTAGCGCCTGGAGGGTCCTCGGCCCAGGTCCCGTGCCCAAACAGAAAATCTACATTTGGAAATGTCATGGAGTAGTTATTGGGAAAACTATACTCAGTAAACAGAGAGAGATCCTACGAATCCAGTGGCACACATCTACACAATACCACAAACAAAAAGTGAAAACCTCTGTATACCAAGTTCCCCCTTCCCTTCCACCGAGGCTGGCGCATATGATCCATGGATATCCCCCCTTATTCTCACGCTAACGTGCGAGAATGCTCGAATCAAATTGCGGGGAGACCTAAGTTAAAGCAACCAGCCCGGCTGGCCTGCCTGAACAGTCAACCCGATCCCTCCAATCTCACTAAATCTACTAAAGATTGAATAATATTTAACCGAGTCTTCCTTCCCAACGCCGACGCCAAGCCCTCCCTAGTCGTCTTCCTCCCTCTTTTTCCCTCTTGGATTCAGCCACAAGGCTTAAGGCACCGTGCTGCGGCTTCTCATTCCTCTTTTTGCTCTTGTCGCCGAGCTTGAGTTCGCCGGCTCATCTCGTCTAGGTCTTGTCCTGCGTCACTAGGTAGTATTCAACGTTCTTAATGAATTAATGCATTAATATCCAGCGGCGCAGCCTCGGGACAGATTTCCATCACACCGGGAAGAAACCGCCCCGATTTTGCCGGGGTAAGGCAGGGAAAATGGCTCGACTCCGGACTTCACCCGCATGGCCCCCCCGAGTCCGTCTGGGTGGAGTCTGGAGGCCTGGAGTCCTTCTTCGTGACTCGTGAGATCTTAGACCCGGAAATTTATTTAATAAAGAAAACACAAAAGGGGAAAGTCCACGGAAAAATAAGCACACACAGAGCTGGAAGGGAAAAATTCTGTCACACGTGGACGAGATCCAACAATCGTGCCACTCAGGCCACCTGAACGACAGGATTTTTAGTATGGCATTGTCCAGATATCCACAAGGTGATCACAAAAAATCAGTCATCATTATCATTAGTATAAGTCGCCTATGTCGAAATCGTATGCTGATGCGTTTACGGTGGGAATGCGATCATTATGTGCTGGGAGGAATCCCGGTGGAGAGGGGGATGAAAAAAAAAAATAAACCGAAAAAAACAGAGAAAAAAAAGGAAGGGAAAAGAAAACGCCACCGACAGAGGCCAAGCCCGCCGTCGCCAGCTTTTGCAAGGTTTTCCTTTCACACCAGCTGCCACTCCGCAATGTAAGCCCAGGACATGCCCACTCGGCCAACTTGTCGCCGATATTCTTCCGCTGTTACCCCCCGAGCGTCCTTCTGGTCGCCGAATGTAGTAAGGACGGCAATTTGCAGCTTCTGTCCCGGTGCTCCCAAGACTCTGGCGTCCAGCACATCCACGTACCAAACATCCCCGCCCCCATTCGGTCCGGGGCCCCGTGCATGAGTAAAAGGCAATCTGTCGTCCTTCCGACCGTCCACACCGTGAACCATGAGGAGGAAAAGCCCAGGCTTGGCTCGGCTGTGGTTTGCCAATGTCCAGTGCTCACAAATGAGCCCGAACTGGAAGCGTATCGGCCCTGGCTGCTGTACCGAGATTTGCTTGGCATCCGGTCGGAAGGAACGCTCTCCTATGCTGTGCTTCTTTGCGTCCGTGAATATCATCGGCTGCTCGGCGCCAAGCGGGGAGTTTGGATTGCCCAGAAGGTATTCTTCCCAGCTGATATCGGGTCGCCCGTCATCCCGATAGAATCGGCCTCGGTCTGAGGGGTAATGGCGAAGTCCAAACTCGTCGTTAGAATCGGTGAACATGGCCGAATTGAAAAGCTTCTTATACGGCTGCCCGGCCCCTTGAACAACCCCGGCGCCCCAACAGGCGTCGAGAAGTTTCCACTGTCCGTTGTCGATTCTAACCACGTTCCATGCGTGGCTCGCCTTGAATGGCGGTAAGCTAGAGCCCGGGGCCGGGGCATTGTAGCCAAATCCTTTGCCGTGGCCGGGTATAACCATCGCTTCCATTCCCGCGTGAGTGGCAAGTGCAGCAAATAAACCGGCATAGCCTTCGCACACAGCCAGTCCCGAGGCAAGCGTCCCGCCGGGTGTGGACGGTTTTACACAATTATTAAAGAATGAATGGACATCGTACTCTATGTTATGGTGGAACCAGGTGAAAAGTGCTCTGGCTTTGTCGGTATGCGAGGGGAATGGTGCGGTTAATTCTCTGGCCAGCCAAGCCATATCGTGGGTGGGAAGGGATTGGCGTGGGTATTGTGCTGCGTGTGCGTCCGGGGCCGAGAAGTCGCGGCACTTCAAGCAGGCCACGCTCGGTGTTGCAGCCGGCAAGCCATTGCCTTGCATACGAGGTTTGGTCGCCATGATTTTGGAGAGGTCTGGACGAGACGCCAAGGGAACAGGCGGTGGCACCCCGTTCGACGGATGTTCTTGAGCAGGTTCACCAGAACTTCTCTCGGGCACCTCTGGAATCTTGGTGATCCCTCCGAACCCGGAATTCTGGAGCCTGCCTAAAAGACCATTTGAACTTGGAGGTCTGCTGACAGGTGGCGGGGCGCTGTCTGGAGCCTCCGAATTCTTGTTTATTCCTCCCAGTCCGGACTTCTGGATTTTCTCGAGCACATTGTTTGAGGGTGGCGGCGGAGGGAGCTTCCTGGGTGGTGGTCTGGCGGCGGGTTCCGCATTGACACCAGGCGATTTGTCCCTATTACCCCGAGAGGGTAATGGTGGCGGCGGCTGGCTCACACTGGAGCCACCATCGGTCGACGTGCTATTCGTCGATTCCCGGCGGGCAGGGAGGGATGGTCGGGACTGTGAGCGACTTCTGCTGGAGTTCGCGGTCGACGGCCGCGATCGTGATGTCTGTTCCTGTCTCTTGGGAGGCAGAGGAGGAAGCTCCGCCTCACCCCACGCGGGGGCGCGTACCCCACGAACAGAACCCGAGTCGATCGAGGTCGCCGAGGTTCCCGGAGTCCTCCCCGCACTTGTAGAAGTCGAGCGCGAGGCATCAGAGGCCACCGATTCCAACGACGTCTTTCGGGAGATCTCTGAGGGTCTGCGCGGCGGGAGTGCCGGTGCCGATTGCGTGGAGCACTTTCGGGAGGGCAAAGGTGGGGGCACCTTGGGTTTCTGGCCGATCGGGGGTGCTGGAGGCGGCGGTCGAACAGCCGGTTTCCGTTGAACTTCTTCGTATGGGGGAGGCGGGGCGTCGGCTGGCGGATTATTGATGGTTTGATTGCGCGAAGGGGCTGGACGCGACGGCAGGGAAGTTGGTTGCGATCCCAGGAACGGCGGAGTTGCGGCCTCGGGACTGTGTCCAGTCTGTGCCTGTTTCAGGGCGGCGATGCGCTGTTGAATGGACATCGCCTGAGGCTCGTCGGCCATTTTCGCAAACCCAATCTCGGAACGTATTTGGGATTTAAAGGGAAGTCTATCGACAGGGAAGAGTGAATTTAGGTGGTCAATTTGGATGAAGCTGACTTAAGATGGCCAGATCGGGGCAGCTTGGCAACGCCGCATTTAGCAGATTTGGCAGGATTATTTGACAAAATGACGGGGAATAGCGATGTCTCGGCGAGGACTCGGGGACATAAATGAATGACAAGAGTTGGAGGGGGCGATTTGGGTTATAAGAGGATGCAAGTAAGAGAAGGAAGGGAGGGGGGAGAGACAGAGGCAGGAAAGGCTCTGGAGCCTCGCAGGGCTGACTTCTGCCTCAGGTCTATAATACAGGTCGGGAGGGTGTATGGTAATGATGTGACGATAATACTGTACCGTTACCCCGCACCGAGGTGCTAAAATAAGAAATGATACAAGTATTACAACATACCAGACCAACCCCGTACAGCGGCTCCCCCGTTTGTTTCAGAGAAGTGGACGTTCCACTGTACTCCCCGCTTTTCTGACGTTATATATATATCTTGTCTATGTCACATGTTGTTATACACTCTCTATATTCTAATTAACTAATTAATTCACCGCTTACATGTTTGACGGTATGTGGAATGGGGCACATGGCATAGAATGATTGGCCCTGAATACATACGAATTTCTAGTAGCTAATACTGGCTGATAGTGTGATTCGACATAAATACCTTAACACTAAGGCTCCAACCCACCGATGCAGATGGATGTCGAATGAGATACCCTTGAGAATGACATCCAATCGGAGTCTGTATGCTTGTTTGCTGTGCGATCTGTGACGTGGCAGACTAGTGCCCTACCATCTATGAGCTACGGTCTTTTAAGTAGAACCTTAGTTCGACAATCACCACTAGCCAGTCAGTCAATCCTAGCTACCTCCTCAGAAATTGCAGGCAATTTGAGTCAACCGAGATCATCAGAAATCCACTTGATTCTTGACTATAACTACAAACGTAAATTCCCTTGTCCCTCATACATCCGACATCGACACCAACTCACTCGCCTGCTTGCCCAATCCCATCTCCCATTTCATTTGCGTAAATCCTCCTGTCTGAGGGACTGTCTGGGGCACGTTGAGCTTCTCATGGTCTTTCATTCTCGATATCTCCGGCTTGTTGAACCGGAACGATGCTGTTAGCAGCAACTTGACCACACATGCTCCCCGCCTCCTTTGCTGATGTTTCGTCAAGTGAATAAACCAGCGAAGCAATGACTGTGCCTCATCAGATGTTCGATCACTGGAGAGATAGGCGGCGAAGTTGTCGATGATGCAAAATACAACCGCCTCACGAGGGAGTAATCTGAGTACAGCCATAAAGCGCATGCAAAGGGCTTTGAGATCATGACTTCTTAAATGACCCAGTTGGATCACCTCCATCAAGTCTATGTCTCTGAACCATGCCAGAAGCTGTCCAAGAAGACTATCCATGATGCTGACTGCGCTGTTGAGTGGATCCGCGCGATCAAAATGCTCGCCACAGAAGAAGTGCAGGGCAGCAATGGGGACTTCGTCCGGTGAACCCATCTGGCTCACCTTCTCTAATGTGTGTGCTAGCCTTGAGGTTACGAAGCTAAGCGCGGACCGACGTTGTGCCTTGGCTTGATTTCCATTGACGATCAGAATCCCGGATAATGGGCTTTTGAGCCACTCGGCTAATTTGGTGGACTTCATCAACCACACGCAGAGGTCTTGTTCGGGAATAGGTAACCTAACCGCCAGCCCATAGTTCTGCATCAGATCGGCTGCCACTTGATCCGGGTGGTATTTGAGTCCATTGAGAACCTTCTCCCGGAGATCGTCTTGTGAATATTGCTTTCCAGCTTTCGGGAGGGGGGCGAACAAGCAGATCGATGCATTGAACTTTTGTTCTGGACTTGGTCAGTACACGAACTCCCAATGACAGGCTGAAGAACATGCGTTTGGCTACTGATTGGGCGTATGCCTCGGGACTGGCTAGGAATAAATCACGAACATTTCTCAACCTTTCGGTAATATCCCGTCTGAACCCGTCGATCTCACTTCGAAGCCCGGAAAGATTCCTGTTCATATTCTCCGTAGCATCCTTCATAGCGGTGGTTGTCTCATACATTAGCACAACCTGCTTCTGAATGAACTCTTGGACCCTCTCCTGCTCGGCCTGCCCTTTTACCATGCGATCTTGCAGCTCTCTGATTTCGGTTGACTTTTCGTTGCCCTGGCGCACCATAGCTTGCATCTCTCCAGCCATTTCGACCCCGCAAAGCCTTGCTTCTTCATTGAACTCGTCCCTACGGTTGCGGACATCCTCTAAGCTCTCGGTCAGGACTTTCTCAAAGCTAGCTCCTTTCAGCGTTGCCTCCAATGTTTTTGGTAAGATCCTTCGACAGATGTATCGCAGACTATGTCCCAGGTTGGTCAACACTGCAACATACAGCTCATCGCTGTGCGCTTGCAGCTTCTCCGATTGTCTGTAAACTCCGAGGACTCTCTGCGTGCCATTGAGCAGCACTGGAATATCGTGGAGCCCTTTTAAAAGGCCTTCCCGGATATCCCTCAGTTTCACGGCAGCCTGCTTTGAGTTAGCATCCCTGCTTTCTGTTTCAAAAGGGGAGGGGTTATACACGAAGGATAAACTTGATACCCCCGCACACAGTGGATAGATAGTCGGACTCTGAGGGCACCAGTCCCAACCACTCCTCGATGGCCTTCCCATGTTGTCCCAACCTCCGGAACGCCCTTCGCACTTTCCCCCAAGTACCTGCCTTGTGGCCCTCTCCTTTCTCGTACTTTTCCATCGCCGCGTCCAACTCCGTCCACACCTCCTCCATTGTATGTTTGCCCTCTAGATTGAGGTGTGTTTTATGTTTGTCGTCCGCTTTCAACTCGTACTCGCGCATAGCCTGGAGAAACTTTTGTTCCTCACCCTGGACTATCAACTTCCGGGACCTGTACCAGTCAGAGTTAACGGCGCTGTCTCGGGCGTTTCGTGCACATACCGAACTTCCTCATCTTCCCCTACTGGCCGAGCGGGTTCCAGATCACGACGGGTAAAGGTGGCTGATAAACCCGGCACATGCTCGGTATATGTCATATATTTGTCGACAATATCTTGCCGTGAGTCGTGAATCCGTTGGTTTTCATTTAAAAGGGACTGAATTTCCTGACTGCCGTGGGAGGAGGACATCCTGCTTCTTCTCATTGTAGGAGGACTTGAGATTGTGCTGGCCATCCAAGCTTCTGCTAGTTACTTCAATTCGGATTTATTCAGCTTCCATGGCGGTGTAACTAGTTAAACCTCTACTATAACTACTATAAGTCATCACAATTATAAAAAGCACACCTGCACCCGGGCTAGCCGCTATTGAATGCTAAGGCATGATCTGTCACAAGAGTGATTGATCAACTACGATGTGTCTCTTCGTTCGTCTGCAGCGTTTCCTAATAAGAAATTCTCTTCAGCTCCGCCACCCATTTCATAGCGTAAGCAAACTTCCTATATGTGGTCGCTTCTGCTGTCATCATTTAGATCGCAGTGGTGATTTCTCGCCCTACCGATTATTTGCATCATGACTCGTGATGGGTCATTTAACCCATTCGTGATGCAAATCGAGTTGATCTGTCTAATTGACAAAGCACTGTTTGCCCGATGCTCCCACCTTCGGATGTTTCGCAAAACTCTGCGTCTAATCCTCAGACCTAACGAGCTTGGTATAATAAGTTCAAATCCCAACTTTTCTAAGTGTGAAGAGTTTTGACATTCTTCACTACCAGTGGATTCTTGCTTACTTTATGATATCAACAAAAGAAGACTCGCCAATACCAGTCATGTCTCCCTTCATTGAAGAACCCCAATTCCAGGCAGACGCTCCACCGTATCACCTTCAAAGTAAAATGGTGGAACATGCAGTCGTTGATGTGGGTGGGTCAGAGATCTCTCCCGGTCTATCCTGCTTGCCAAATGGAGACTCTGAAAACCCTGTTTTGTCGGTCGATCCAAATGAAGGTCCTCATCAGGATCAAGAGATTCGCTCAGCTGGCTCAGCAGAGACTTCTGGAAGAAGCGAGAGTGAGCCAGGAGAAAATGAGCAGACAGACGCTGCCGAGGAACTCAGACGTTTGGATAGACTCTCCAGGAGATTGGCCCGCAGGGAGAGAAGTCCCGATGAAGACAGAATCAAGGACTTGCGAACGTACCAAGAGTTCTCCAAGCAGTGCTCACGAGCTGATGGCATCGTTTATGTACCCAGCAACGTCTGGGAGCGATTTTACCCGTACAGCCACGACTGCCATTGTTATGTCGGGACTTCGACGCCCCTGACTCCGCCTCTTCATGGCGATGGGCAAGCGGATGAAGCCATCCACGTGGGCCCCGAGCTGAAAGCCCCGACCACCAGCATCGAAAAGCCACTGCCCGATAGGGTGGGCATCGTCAATGAGCTTCTGATGAGCGCAATGAGGAGTGTGCTGGGTACCACGTACACGCAACATGATCATGTGCCCCCCTTTCGCGCCCTTGTTCCCTACGAACAGCAATTTCGGGCCATGTTGCAAGAAAAGGAAGCGCAATTGGCCGAGCAAGCCGCTCAAAATCCTCAGCATCCTGCTGTGACGCGCACCAGACCTTGGCTTCCTAAGCAATATTCCTATTTGAAGTCAATCGGGACTAATCGCGACGGAGCAATCCTCTGGGATGAAGAGGCCGAGGACCTTACAATTGACCTATTGGACGAGACAAGGATCCTGGTCGACGGCCTCCGGACGCTTGTCCATTTCTTGGACCATGACCTTAGCAGTCTGGTACAGACCTATCGTCAAGCCCAGGCAGGGTCCCTGGACAGAATCTCTTTCTCCCATCTCTTTTACCTGTTCTGGCCGGGCCAGGAGATTGTGACGAAGCAACCCAACTACCAGATTTATCGGGTGGTCCAGGTTTCCAGGGGTCGCAAGTCCCTGGCTCCGCGCAAGGACAAATACTCCTTCCGAAACACCGTGTCCCCACTGGCGATCGATTGCTTCTCCCTCGATTACGATGGACATCATGTGCGGCCTGTAGCCACGACCCTCTTCATTCGACCCTATGATGGCATAGTCGCGATCACTTCCTTGAAAGCATATCCGCTGCAGTACGATGACGCGCATCAGCGCGATGCAATTATAACTCGGGGACGCAAATTCGTCGAGCTGGTGCAGGTCACCCACCGGCGCTACCATGGACTTAATTTGACCGAGGGCACATTCGATAGCAATGTAGAGGTTTGTCTCAAATTTCCCTATAACAATACCACAAAATGAGGGACATGCCTTGATTTATTCTCTTTCCTAGATTGACAGTGACGTGATCATTGACTTCGAACTTGCGATCCGAAACAGGGAAGTTACGCCTCCGCAATACAATGGAGGTGTCATTGTTTCTCCAACCGAGGAAGACGAAGAAGAGACCCATTCGTCGAATTGGAATTTTGACTACCCAGAGCTCCAAACCAGGCGCTGGTCCCAGTTTGTGAAAACCACTCCTCTACTCGAAGACCGATCGCTGGACCAGCTAGGCCCAGATCACCTCGTTCTCCTTCCGTATCGGGTTTATGGATATGTGTTACTGAGTAGGAAGTGGTGTGAGTATCCCTTGCCCATTCGCCTTTTTCCTCTGGCAGAAAAGCAACATCGGTCCTTTTTTTTTTTTTTTTTTGACGCACTGACTGAAGATTGGGAATTTCTTTTAGATCCGCTGGATATTGATAAAATCACCGAGCTAAGGCGTCCGAACTCCGGCGAGAGAGATGCCTTCGATGACCTTGTTCTGCCTCTACGACACCGGAAGATTGTCCGTGCTCTGGTCAAGACGCATGCCTGGAAAACGCCCGAGACCAACAGCAGCAGCAGCAGCAGCAGCTCCCGGCTCCCAGAAATGCCGGTCCAGCGAGAGTTCGACGTCGTCAAGGGGAAAGGCAAGGGTCTGGTTATCCTGCTGCACGGGGCACCGGGGGTGGGAAAGACGTCCACGGCGGAATGTGTGGCCGCTCACACGGGTCGGCCCTTATTCCCCATCACCTGTGGAGACCTGGGGGGTAATAATGCCCAGGAGGTGGAAACGAATCTTGAGCGATTCTTCGATCTCGCCCGCAAATGGGGATGCGTGCTGTTACTGGATGAGGCGGACGTTTTCCTTGGAGAACGGGTTGCTGGGAATCTCCAGCAGAACAGTTTGGTGTCTGGTAAGCTTTTTCTTATTCACCAACTCGAACACATAATTCTTTTTGGTTTAGAAGCGCCTTCACTAACGGGCCGATGAAAGTCTTCCTTCGCGTCCTCGAATACTACTCGGGTATTCTCATCCTCACCACCAATCGGGTGGGCCAGTTCGACGAGGCGGCCATTTCGCGCATCGACTGCGCCCTGTACTACGAGAACTTCGACAAGAAACGAACGCTAGAGGTGTGGAAGAAAAACATCGACCGACTCGAGCGGCAGAACAATAACAACAACCTAAATTCACCCCTCCTCCAAGACGGGACTTCTCAAAAAGCTCCTGGTGTGAGTGTCGATTTCAACCGCGACAAGATTCTCCGATTCGCCAAGCGCCAGTGGAATCAGGGCATCCGCTGGAACGGGCGCCAGATTAAGAATGCTTTCAAGACCGCGGTCGCCCTGGCGGATTGGGAAAGTCTGGAAAAAAAAGGCAGACTTTCCGCCCCCTCCTAAGCTGACGAGCAAGCATTTCGAAGAGGTCACCAAGGCCAGCGTCCATTTCGAGTCGTATCTGACCGCGACTCGGGAGTCTGATGGCGAACGCGCCAAGGCACAGCAGCTGCGCCAAGATGATTGGACCCAGAAAATTCCGCGGGAATACCGGCCGGGTTGGCAAGGTTCGAGCGTTGGTGCAGGAGCGAGGGATAATAATGGGGAGGAGTTGTGGAGTTCGAGTGAGGAGTCGGAATGGGACTCTGAGGATGATGATGAGGAGGAAGAGAGGAGCAATGAGAGCGCGAGTGAGAGTCAGACTGATGAAAGTGAGTCTGAGGTGGAGACGACAAAGAAGCGAGGGAATAAGCAGAAGAAGTCGTCCAAATCTAGTCAAGGGAAAGAGAAAGAGAAGGAGAAGGACAAGAGAAAGGTCAAGGCGAAGAAAAAGGCAAAGGGGAAGCGGGGCAGCAGCACAAAGAAGAGTAAGAAGCATTTGGTGGATACTGAGTCCGCGGAGAGTGAGAGCGAGGAATGAGTGAGGATTAAGAATTCTTTATATCCGGAGTTTTTTTTCTTCTCGATGGGTGCCTGGTGTGGATGGAGTGGCATTGAGTACTGCGGGTGACCCATCAGTGAATCCCGTTTTACCATATATTCTTTGAACCTATTTTTAGTGCATGGCAAATGGCAGGTAAGAGTCTTATTCAGCCTATTGCATCTGTTGACTCTTTGCGGTGTATTCAGTTTATCTATGGCTGATGTGAGCTGTGACCGGTATACCAAACTTTTCCAGGGACTGTAGTGAGTTCTGCATTTTAGTTTGCATAATTTGGTTGCCGCGCAACCTAACCATGGTTCACCCCTCCAGACGAAAATATATATACTTTATAAATGAACTAGCTACTTTAACTGATAAACTATTAGTAGTCAATATAACATTCGTTGAAGAAATTATAGAAAGTTGTTCTTCTCATTATTTTGAAGTCTCTCTTTCAAAGTCTCAATATTCTTATCTGGAAAAGGAGCTGTGTCTTTTTACTTTTCTGATACAGAAAGTTAATATTTATTAATACTGTTTCTTTTTTCCGTGAGAAAGACAATATATATCACTTTTATTTTAAAACTGGAGACTACTTTCACTTCAAGTGAGAAATTTAAAAAAAGAAATTTTTAAAAGTATCTGCATTTTACCAAGATAATATCCATTATCTAGTTTATTTTCAAAATCTCGAGTCTTAAAAAGATAGCAATATTTAAATAGATTTCAAATATCAATCTTATAGTTTTAAATCATGTTTAAAATAACTTTTAATGCTCAATATACATCTAACATAATATTATTCTGTTGCTAGTCAATGCCCAGTCAAGCTTTGCCAAAATTATAGAGCACGGATGTTTTGAACGATATAAATAACAGCTATAAAGGATAAATAGTATAGTTTTTAAGAGTTTTTTGTGATATAGATATTTCAAATTTTGCTTATTCAAATTTAAATAAAATTGAGTTGTCCTTAGACTTGTTTCTTCTCGAAACGTTCATAGAAATTTCTTCATATTATTGTATCGGTAAGTGGACAATGCTGATAATCCAAAAGATGCGCACATCGAGATGTTAATCCCGATTTTACAGCTCTGATGGCTGCTATCCGCTTCACAGTACCCCTCTCCACCGTCGAAAATGCCATAAAAACTATCCAGAGAGACGACCTCGACCAGGCAGATGTTTCATGCGCCTATCAAAACCTTGACAGGAAACTAGTGGGTCGGTTGCAAAACCAGATCAACAATATGGGGATCCTCTATAAAGCTATGTATGAGACGCACCGAGACCGACTGAAGATAAACGGGGTAGACGAGGAGTATTCGTCCTTTGGCCTCGATCGCTATGCGAACCATTCCTTCGCCCGTTTTCGGAGTGAATACAGGGCCGTTTCAGATGACTGGCCTCAGGACTGGCGACTTCTGGCAGGAGCTGAGAAAGATCCGCAAGTCGGCTGGCTCTCAAGTTATATCCGCAACTCGGACGCCCATAATAGCACGTTTGTACAATATCGGAACGGGCGCCTGGGGGTCACTCTATCAAACTCCAAGCAACGGACAATATTCAATTTTGAATGCTGGATAACGTAATCAACCACCGAGCGGCGGATACCATCGAGCGGCGGATTTTCACTCCAACCACCTCAAGCATCATTTAACGCGTCATTTCTTCGCATCAATCATATAAAATGCCACTTTCTCAAGAAGCTCGCCTTCAGATGGCTATACAGGCCTATAAAGGTCGAAAAATCAAATCAATTTCAAAGGCTGCTGAAGTCTACGCGGTGCCTGAAAAGACCTTACACGCGCGTCTTAAAGGAAGGAAACCACGCGCAGAAACACGCGCAAATGGTCATAAACTGACTGAATTTGAAGAGGAATTGCTTTTAAAGCAATTATTAGACGCAGATACGCGAGGATTTCCAATTCGACCTGAATTCCTACGTGGAATGGCTCAAACATTGCTTTGCAATCGATTACGAGATTCAACGGCAGCTCTCGGAATCAACTGGCCTTATAAGTTCGTTAAACGCCATCCTGAACTATGTACGCGATATACAAGACGGATTACCTATCAGCGCGCAAAGCAGGAAGATCCAAAGGTTATAAAACCATGGTTTGAGACTGTACAAGCGACTATTCAGGAACACGGCATACACGAAGACGATATCTGGAATTTCGACGAAACTGGCTTTGCAATGGGACTCTGCTCTACTTCAAAAGTGATTACTGCAGTTGAACGAAGTGAGCGACCGCGTAGAGTCATTCAGGGCAATCGCGAATGGGTCACAGTCATCGAGACAATCGGGTCAAAAGGCGTACATCTACCGCCAGTCATTATATTAAAAGCAAGCGTCCAACAGGCTGTCTGGTTCCAAGAACCTAAGCTTCCTCGCGACTGGTGGATTTCTACTAGTCAGAATGGCTGGACGACTGATGAAATAGGCCTTCTCTGGCTGAAAAATATCTTTGAACCGCTTTCTAAGCGTTATATGACTGGTGCTAAGCGATTACTTATTCTTGACGGCCATAGCAGTTATCTTACTGCTGAATTCGATGATTTCTGCAAACAGCATGCAATAATCTGTCTCTGCATGCCTGCCCATGCTTCGCATCTTCTTCAACCGCTTGATGTGGGTGTCTTTAGCCCGCTTAAGAGGGCGTACGGAAAGCTTCTTGAATATTGTATGAAAGTCGGCAATAATCATATCGATAAAGAAGACTTTTTATCGCTATATCCGGATGCACATAAGGAAGTCTTTACTTCATCTAATATTTACAGCGGTTTTAGAGGAACAGGACTTAAGCCGCTTAATCCAGAGCATGTTCTCTCTACGCTTACCTTTCAACTACGTACGCCTACGCCATCATTAGTTGAAGGCTCAATTTCCTCTGCTTTTCAAATCCCGCAGAATACTCGCCAGCTAGATCGAAAGGTTAGAAGCCTGCAGAACAGCCTTAATAAAAAACGGCAGCTTTCTAGCAGTCCTATTGCTCATATTCAACATCTTGAGAAAGCGGCGCAAATGGCAATGCAAACCCAGCTGCTCTTAGAGCAAGAAATCAGGGCTATACGCGCTGAAAATGGGCGACAACGTCAAAGAAAGGCAAGAAAGCGTGCTGAACTAGGAAATGACCGCCTTCTTAATGTACAAGAAGGCGAAAATCGGGTTCAGCAGCTTAATATGCAGTTTAATGAGCAACCTGAGGAATCTACTCCGATGCCTCGCCGACGAGCTCCGCAACGCTGCAGTGGCTGTGGAACAGTAGGACATACAATTCGAAATTGCTCTAGTAAATAGCTATCATTTCATATATTTATCTAGTTAATTTAAATGGCGTTGGTGGTGGTAAAGCTTCGAATAGTAATGATTGCGGTGAAAATCCGCCGCTCGATGGTATCCGCCGCTCGGTGGTTGATTACGTTATGTCAGATTGCTTGCACCTTCTTCCAAAGACCACCTTGACCAGTGCAAAATATGCCGTGACTTTATCGAACGTCGAATGGATGCCGGGGAGAAACTCAAGATTTTCTTGCAGTTTTTGGTCGGAGGAAGAAACTCGGCAAAGGCTCAAGCGAGAAATATTAAGCATTTGGCGTAGAATTTAAACAAACCTGCGTGGTCGAGGTGTTTGAACCAAAACGGCTGAATTTTGGTTAAGGACCCTGCCAGGTGCGCCCAGGCGTGCTCTGTTAGTACCTATTTACCTTCTCTACCATCCGGACAATAACATTCAGGCTCTGGTTCTCGTGTGTTTTTGCCACTTTGGGTGTGTTTCAGATGGGAAGCCCTGTTCTCTGCACCGTGTGGTCGTATGAACAATGTGACCAGAGCCAACCCAACCAACATTAACGGGATAGCATTTACATGAATGCAGGCTTACTGAGATACCTTAGAGATTATATTGCAAATTATGAAAGTAGAGCCGTGAGAGGCTACTCTAGTTGACAGCAATATGTAGCAGAAAGCATGTACTGGGATGGACCACGGCCAAAGATTGTTAAACGCCCACGCATTTGTTGCTATCTGCTCTATTGTCCTATCCAATCTCCGAGACTCTAGTTGACGAACGAGGCCTAGTGGACTCCTATCTTCATCTGAGCCCAAGCCACACGACATTGGAATATCTGATCATTGCAAACACGCCTCAGCTAGTCGTCACCATCACCTACTTCTGGTTCAATAACGTAATGACCAGTATGCTCGCATCCACCGAGTACAGCTCCTACAGGGTCTCCAAGAGACCTCCGCGTCACATGGCCAGCAAAAGCCAAAGGCAACCAGCAGAAATCCACATACTGGCTCAGTGTTCCATACCAATACGGAATTCCACTCTTGGCAATTTCTACCATTCTCCAATGGCTCATCTCGCAGAGCATTTTCTACCTGGATCTCAACACCTACAGCTGGAGAGGCCAATTGACAAGCCAAACCCGAGAGGTTCTATATAACCCTTTAGCTACGCTGTGGGCGCCCATCGTGGGCTGTCTCATGGTATCCCTACTATTCGGTCTCTCGTTCCGCCCGTTCAAGACAAATATGCCGATGGCTGGGACGTCGAGCGTTGCTATCAGCACTGCTTGCCACCCGCCTAGAGAGGAGGATCTTAGCAGTGCGGCTTACAGGGAGGTGATATGGGGAGAGGCCGGGGCTTCGGTCTCAAGGGTTCAGTTGGATGCGATAGACGAGGATATTGTAGTACATGAATTTACCTGGTTGTATATGCCTTAATCAGAGTCTCAGCAATAGCCGATCGCTTACATTCATGTCTTCCTTTCTGTCGCGCCAGCCGCCCTCCAGCATCTAACCATGTGCTATGTTTAAGTAACCCCGAATCCCGACTCAGCCCGACTCATCGTCCAAGAGCTGCTTGCTTTCAGCTTTATTCATCCATATCCTGCATTCTGACAGTTCATAGACGCTTGCCTCATGCTCGCACAAAGGAGCAGGTCTATCGATCGCCAAACGCATTGCATCATAGGTAATATCACGTAGAAGATTAGCAATTTTCGTCCGCTCCACTTCATTGTTCCAGTCCAAGGTCACTTCGAAGCACTGAGCAAGAACACATGTTAGTATCATTCCCCATTCATACCAAAAACAGAGACATCTCACCCGACTATCATTATCAATCCTTAAGAAGCGCCATTTATAGCTGTTGGTGATGATCCCGTAAATCTCCGAGGGTCTTGCTGAAATCCTTCTGCCGTGGTGAAGCATGACTATGTAAAGAGTTAGCATTCGACGCAGGAATACAGTTAGAAGATAAGGAAGATCAAAGACATACGCATGACCGGAGGTAGTCTCGCTCCCTGCCCGTCGACCTCTCCATCTGTTTTCTGAATGACAAGATTCGCCTCTAGCTCCCGTTCACTGCCACACCATAGAATACCGTCTGCAATACCCCTGAGATAATGGATGTCGCCACTGACGGGTGTCGGAATAGTCACGGCCTGGTTGAACGACACACATAAGTCTTTTACCAGCCGCCGGAGGTCTTCTGATGATAGGGATTTTAAGTTATGGTAGTGCTTTTCCCGACGGCGATAATCGTCAAAAGAATAGCCTTGACTCGTGAGGTGATCAGGACGGGGTCCATGGGTGCTGCGTCAAGGACAAGCATATAGTCGTCTAGTTGGCCGTCTAGGAAACAAGAGTTAGGGAATATAGGCGAACGGGCATGTCTTCTAATCTTACCGAGGTAGCTTGGTATGCGAAGGTCCTGTCCGCGATGCATATAGCCAGCAATGTCCTCGTTGTCCGTTGCAGGTGCTCTGGCGGGCTCCACGAGGTCTAAAAAGCTTCTACCGACTTTGTCCATATTATTTATGCTTATATCATGTATGATCACCATCCTGCCTTTGAGTGCTTAGTTGGGAGTTATATAGAGCGGGTGGTATCATTCCTGTGGAAAACGAGAGAGGTTGGATGGGGTTCGGGAGGAAGTGACGATGTCAACATGACATGACAAGATTATGACTCAAACTCTACGAGGATCTTAGCAAACCGCACACCTCGCTTATCATAATGCACTGGGGCACCTCGTCTACAAAGTAAAGCAGGTCGATTCGGATAAGTACGAGTGTCAACTAGGGTCGCAAAACCCTATGCACATTTTACTAGAGTGCTCGCTGCACACCACCTATTGCGGCAGATTGATGGAACGACTCGACGCATTTGAGGACACAGGACTAAGACATAGTCATTACACGCGCGCAGACTATCCGCTACATCGTCTAATCTAATGCGTCAAACAGACCTCCTCCAACAGCACAGATTGGCTAGCCTTAGCGAGCGCGATGACGAGGACGAAGCTCCAGAATCTAGCACCCTCCTGAAAGGGCTCGATGGAAGTGCGCTACCATTTCACAACATTCTAGCGAATATGTCAAGGAGCCGATAAAATGCAGATGTATTCTTGAGTAGGATGAACACTCCTCTGTATTGTCTATATGAACGATGCACGAAAGGGAAGACGGGGGTACCGATACCTTGCTTTTACTCATTCATTCTAATCTATCAAGTTGATCTCATTCCAGCCGATGATCAACCACCATCAATCATCTCAAGGCCCAGCCTGAGCAATCACATTATCCCGTTCTGCCTTTTCCACGATCTTCGCCAGAGCGTCCGCAACGCCGTAAGAAAATGCATATCCGCCTCCTCCAAAGCCATAAGCCGACAAGATAAGTCGATCACCAATCTGTTCCGAGTCCAGTCGGAACCCTCCCTCCCGGGACGGCCGAATACCAATAATATGGCTGACGTCTTCATCGTCGGGGTTCTCAGGGACGATATCAGGAGCAAGGCGATGGGCGCGTGCGATCTCGTCTCGGGCGATGTCCATGTCTACTTCTGGAGAACTATGCTCAATTAGTCATAGGAAGATCGAGACTGGCCACCAATACTCACACAGTGTCTCTCTGTTTGCTGCCTCCAAGGACAACACCCTTGGACAAAGGCCGGGGGATAACATAGGTATACTCTTTGCCGTTCCGGAAGTACATTCGTTGGCAGTTTGTCGTCCGATAGAACACGTTCTGGCCACGCTCGGGGAAGCATTTGTCATCTTGAACGTCAACAAGAGTCTTACTCCCAAGTCCGCTGGCATTGATAAAAACGCTCGACTCGGGGAACATGTTGTATAGCTCCTGCAGCGATTCGACTCGTTTCCGGATAAAGTGGCCACCCAGCGAGGTAATCTTCTTGCCGAGATAGGGCATGTGCCGCGTTGGATCGGTAACGAGAGAGTCATAGGCCCATCCGCAGCTGAAGTTTGCAGGGTATTCGTCGGGACTCAAGTCGCGGAACTGGCATTAAGATCAGTCCTCTACTCCACATTTGCTTGTCGGATGCTATTTGCCACCCTACCTTGGACACCACGGTCTTTCCCCACAGAGATGAGTTCGGAGTAGGCGGCTGTTCGAGGTACTCGCGGGAGTCGACAATGCAGATGCCTGATTCCGGCTCTTCCTGAGCCATCATGAGTAAGTGGCGATGGGTGACAGCCTGGAAGTATTGATTTTCGGGGCTGATGCCGCCAGCGGCATGCCATGCTGCACCGGCCCAAGCGGAAGCATAGAAGATGTTCTGATCGCCGGGCAGATACTCGGCCACTAAGATCACACGGAATCCATTGAGAAGTAACTGTCGAGCCGTGGCACAACCGATGATGCCGGCACCCAAGATGATGATGGGACGTTGTGAGAATGGCAAGTCGCCTCCCATTGTGGCCTCAGGTGTCCACTTTGCAGTATCCGCGAATTCCGGTTCGAAGGGGATGATCCTCACTCTGACAGAAGACAGGGTGGGTATCAAGTTTTATATAAACTAAGAAAGAGGCACAGAAGAATATTCGGGAAATCGAGGGGGGGATACAAGAGGGGGAATTCCGAAGGCAATTCTGAGGATTAAATTTCAAGTATATAAGCAAAGACCACCCATTGCTTCGCTTTCGGGCGAGTAAGAAACTACCTACCTAATCGGCACTTATGCATGCCAAACAGCGTCGTTCGACAAGCCCATGCGACCGATCATTCGTCCCAATTGCCCAACCAAGAATGGAGATCGACCCTCGCCTTTGCTACGGATGGTTTGTGGGTGCCAATCAGTCAGTATTGGGAGTCGGGTCGAAGCGCCCAGATCCGACGGTCGGCTCGACCCGCTCTGGTGCAACTCCCACACAACTCGCCAACGCGAAAAGAAGAAAGGATACTCCTATGATGAGGCGAGGAAGGTGCATCCAGTTGTTGGACAGACCGCCACGATCTGCCTCTCGAATCATTCCACAGGATTGGGAAGGAGATGTGATGGCGTGACAGAATTGGCGGCAGACTCCGACCGCAGACATGGTCGAAGCAAACGATTCTCTGCCTCGCTGGGATAGTTCTGGACCAGCTATCTCTGCAAGGCGGGGTTTTCAGTAGCCGACAATTATCGGAGACGATGGCTGTGGATGATGCTTTGAGTCTCTGACCCTGCTTAGTTCATAAAACCATGAGATCATTCTTCCCACCTTTGTCCTCTTCGTAAATTCGTATCCAAGGAAGGGTTTCCGAGACAGTAGGAAGATAAAAGGATCAGTGGTGGGGAAGGAGTGGAATTCCATGATTCCAGCTCCATAATCCCAACGTGGTAGCAGACTAGCAGTCCCTTAGTGGTGTGGATAGTTTCCTGCCCTACTGTTATCTATCGACCCTTGATCCTCATGCTAGCTATTTAGTTTGTCCACTAGACAATCTGAAGAGAAAAATGTCGGAGCGCACGCCGATGGTCGGAGCAGGGCAAAAAGATATGGAAATTCTTCGAGGCGTCCCTGAAATTTCGAACTCCACGCACGTAACTCTATTTCGATCAAAGTGAGACCGAATGCGTGCCCCTGGTTTCATTGGAATGTACGGAGCAGATGTAGTGCAAGGGATAAACCTTCGGATGTCGGTGCTCGTTGCACGACTCCTATGCAGACTCAGTCTTCCTGGCGACGTCAGAGGTAGCCGCCAATGTAACAGTTGCGACATGTTTGTACGAAGCCACTCTTCTTTTCTCCAGCCTTGTTGATAATTCCAAGGCCATATGGATGACCAATTGGAGAGTTGGTATCAAGAATGAACCAAGTCCCAATGGCAGGGACACTGTGTATATATTTTCGAGTCCGACCAACATCCAGGAGAAGCAGAGCTGGACCACGCTACCTATCAGTGACGCCTATTGGATTGTGTGCTCAAAACCATCTTGTTCATGTCGTCGCAAATATTCACAAGTATCCGAGTGGGTCTAGAGCCCAATATAACCTTGGGTCGCTAAAAAATCCATATTCCATAGTCGCTACTCCGTACTAAAATATCACTAAGACTGAACGTTTAGTGCGGCCGCAAATGCAAGTCGCTGACATGGAGCGCCGACCTTTCTCTCCTCTCGCTTGCAATTCATGGCCAGATTCGGACCTCACCACGGCGGTTTCCACCCGCGATCGACTGTTGAGCGTGAATTCGTCGTCTTGGCAGATGTCGGTACCAGACCACGCCCTCCCGATAATACACCGCATGGCAGTCGCCAGCCTCAAGCAATCATAGGACAAATGCCAAATGGATGAAAAATGATAGGATCCACGCTGACCGCCAAGTTGCCAACACGAGGGAGAAAAGGGTTTCAGTCCGCAGCGTGGACAAAGTGGGGGGGAAATGAGTTCCGACTGGGAATTCCAGAAAGCAGCAAGTGGCAGCGGATGAAGCCGACAGATCGCGTGACTTGGCGTCACGAGGCCAGCGCACTAAACCCGAAGCGGGACTCCTGGGAATCCCGCGAGGTGCCGATTTCTCCCACTCTGGAAGTCTGGAGAGTCATGCTAATCCCGATCCTCTAACGCTGCATGCAATGCACCATGTCTGGGAAGCTCAAACCCCCCGAGGATGAGAAATCCCTGCGGGACGACTCGATTCAGGTGGGTGTGACCCAGTTTTTTTTTTTCGTCCTTGCAACTGCAACCTTACCCCATCCCCATCCTTGCCTCAGGTTTTCATTTGATCATCCTCTGGCGTGGTCCCCTTGGCCTATCGCCTTGACCTCCAGGCCCCCCCAAGGCCCCCCTTTGGAAGCTCCAGATCTACTCCCCTTCCACGTGGTTGGTGGTTCCCTTCCACCGATCTGGCCAATTTTTGATTTGTGTTCTCGTGGAATTGGACCCAACTGTCAATGTCAGAATGCGAAGATCGTCTAACGTCCGATGGCCTCTCATTAGGTTCCGCCGCTAGACACCCAAAATGAGCATGACTTCACCGTCCTGAGTGACCGTGATGCAGCCAAGATCCTCCCCTACGAAGCCGATGATTCTCCCTTCCCAGAAGTGCGGGCGGCCGTGCGGCCCAAGGATGATGTACACTTGCCAATCAATACCGTTCGCATGTGGGTGATCGGAATTTTGTTCACAATTGTAGGTTTTACCGGTGGCACGGGAGGCGCCGACGTAAGACGACATGAATGGATAAGGCTGACGCCGTTGTAGGTGGGAAGTGGCCTGAACCAATTTTTCAGCTTGCGACAGCCCAGTGTCACGATCAGTGCGCTGGTGGCACAGCTGGCAGCCTATCCCATCGGATGTGCTTGGGCACGATGGATCCCATTGGGTCGGTTCAATCCGGATCGCCATTTCAACATCAAGGAGCATGCGCTCATCACAATCATGGCCAATGTCTCGTTTGGATCGGCGGCGGCCACGCAGGTCATCGAAGCGATGGTCAAATTCTACGGCATGCCCTCGAAAGGCGGTTTCGAGATCCTCTTTACCATCACTACGCAGATGTTCGGGTTCGGTCTGGCTGGAATGGCGTCGCGCTGGCTCGTGGGGCCGGCGACGATGATCTGGCCCCAGGTGTTGTCTAATGCTGCGCTACTGTCGACGTTGCATTCCCGCAGCAATAGCTTGGCCGATGGCTGGATCATCACGCGCCTGCGCTTTTTCCTGCTGGTTTTTATTGGCGGAGCGGTCTGGTACTTCCTTCCGGGGTATTTGTTCACCGCACTCAGCACCTTCAGCTTCATCTGCTGGATAGCACCGCACAATGTAGTCCTGAATCAGCTCTTTGGCCAGCGGACGGGACTGGGAATGTCGGTTTTGACCTTTGACTGGGCGCAGGTCGTCTTTGCCAACGGAAGTCCGCTGCTCGTTCCCTTCTGGGCCGGATGTAATGTGATGGGATCGTTTGCCTTGTTTTTCTGGCTCATCTGTCCCCTCTTGTACTACACCAACACATGGTACTCAGCCTATCTGCCCTTGCTGAATCCGAACACCTTCGATAATCAGGGTCGGCCCTACATGGTCGGGCGCGTTTTGAACCCGGATGGCTCGGTGAATCCGGAGGCATATAAGAATTACTCGCCGATGTTCCTGCCGGCGGGCTATGCGGTCACATACGGCGTGGCGTTCGCCAACTTGACCGGCATTTTCGTGCATGTGGCGCTGTACCACGGAAAGGACCTGTGGGAGCAGTGGAAGGGGCGCAACCAGAAAGATGTACATTCCCGTGTGATGGAGGCCTACGCCGACGTGCCGTGGTGGTGGTTCGGTGCGGTGACCATCGTGATGTTCGTGCTGAGTATCGTGACCAACGAGGTGTGGCACACGGATCTTCCGGCGTGGGCCGTTCTCCTTGCCTATCTGTTGCCGGCCGTGTACTTTATCCCGATCGGGATCATCAAAGCAGTGACCAACATCTCCAGCAATCAGCTCAACTTGATCACTGAGTTCATCGGGGGATATGCCTTTCTCGGGCGACCGGTTGCCAACATGGCGTTCAAGTTCTACGGATATGTGGCAGTGTCACAGGGTCTCGAGTAAGTCGCTGTAGCTGTGGGTCTCAGGCAACACGATACTGACCGGTTAGGTTCGTGGCCGATATGAAACTAGCACATTATCTGCACATTGCTCCCCGAACGCTCTTCATGGCCCAGGGACTTGCCACCCTGATCGGAGCCATCGTGCAATGCGGCGTGACGGTGTTCATGATAACGCGATTCGAGGGGATCTGTAAACCGGATTCCCCGGGCGGATTTAGCTGTCCACACGGACATGTGACATATTCTTCTTCCTTGATCTGGGGTGGGTCTTTCTTTCCTCTCGGCAATAGTTCGGACTGACTCTGTAGGCGCTCTCGGCCCCGGTCGGAACTTCTCCTCGGGCCAAATCTATGGCAATCTCCTTTGGTTCTTCCTGGTAGGCCCGGTTGTTGTGATCATCACGTATCTTCTAGGCCGCCGATGGAAGCAATTCAACTACATTTCCTGGCCGGTCGCGTTTGGCGCCATGAGCCAGGTCCCACCGGCGACGGGGATCAGCTTTTCGTCCTGGTGGATTGTAAACATCATTTTCAACGGGCTGATCAAGCGGCGCAAGCCGGCGTGGTGGGCGAAATACAGTAAGTTCATCTATCTTCTGTTTGCCGGCTCGACTAACATGACAGACTACGTGCTGTCCGCCGCACTAGACTCGGGCGTCGCCGTCTCCACGGTGATCATCTTCTTCTGCATCATCCTGCCGGCCGGCCTGCTGCACTGGTGGGGAAACGACGTGCAACGTCGGACAGCGGATGACATGGGAACGCCGTGGAAGAAACTGCCAGAGGCGGGATACTTCGGACCGGCCATAGGGACGTGGCGATGACATAAAACCTCGACGAGGGTCTACACATGTCGATTTCGGGATATTTCACTGATACTTCAACGCGATAATACAACAACTAATATATGGCAACATACTTTATCATGCTCTATCCTTTGACTCTCCTTCCCTTGACCCAAACACCCGTAATATTGCGATCATCCCCAGTCATAATGAACTTCTCGAACACACTCCTGATATCCTCATCCTCGTCAACATCTGCCATGACCCCATCAACGCTCACATCCACCAAACAAGCATCCAACTCCTTCCCTGGCTGAAAGTTCCCAACCTTCCCATCCAACCCAGCAACCCTGGCCCCTCCCAACGTCGCCATATAGAAACCCTCCTCGGTACTCAACGCCGTCCTCCCTCCATCACCCCCCTGACCCAGGAACGTCTTCCCAGCAACACTAACCAGATAAGCCTGCCTCATAACCTCCAACATGCTATTCGTAAACCCACCGCCACAATCCGTCCCTAATCCCACCTTGACCCCCCTCTCCAAATACTCCCGCACAGGAGCCACCATAAACCGATCCATACAAGTATTCGACACGGGACAATGCGCGATTCCACAGTCCAGCTCTTTCAGTCGTTCCATCTCCCCGTCCTTCAGGTAGATCGCATGAGCCAGGATACTTCGTTCGTTGAGCAGGTTGAACGATTCGTATAGTTCCGTTTCTGAGTTGAAGCGGGGGAATAACTGGGCTGTGAACTCCACTTCCTCGGGACTCTCGTTGAAATGCGTCTGTACTGGCAGGTTCGGATACCGCTTTACCAGCTCCCCAAGTCCCCGGAGCAATTCATCCGTGCAGGAGATGGCAAACCGAGGGGTAATAACCGGCGTAACAAGCCCCTTCCTAATCCCATCCTTATTCGCATCCCCATCACTCACACCATGATCAGGATCCTGCTCCAGAGCAAGAACCTCCTCCAAAAACTCCTCCGTAGCCCTCAAACTCCCCTCCACCCCATTAGACTCAACATACCAATCCGGCGCATTCCGATCCATATTACACCTCCCGATCAACGCGCGCTGTCCCTCCCGAATACACGTTCTCGCAAGAACCACCGACGCGTCTTGATGCAATGACGCGTAATAACAAGCCGTCGTGATACCCTGCTTCAGACCCGCTCGGACACATGAGGTGTATAGGGAAGAAGCGTAGACGGGGTCCGCGCATTTCGCCTCGTTCGGGAACGTGAGTGTCTCGAGCCATGTGAGTAGGGGGAGGCCGCGGCCGAGACCGCGTTGGGAGTGTTGAGGGGCGTGGGTGTGGGTGTCGATGAATCCTGGGAGGAGGAATTGGGTTGGCGAGAGGGTGAGGGTGGGACAGGTTGAGGGCGTTAGGTTGTGGGGGGTGAGCAGGGAGGGGATGGATGATGGGGGTGTCGAGGGGTGAATTGAGAGGATCAGGCCCGTGGGGGAGATGATGAGGAGGGTGGAGGGGAGGATTTGAAGGGTCGTTGGGGTGAGGGAGTGGATGAGGGTGCCGTGGATGGAGTGGGCCATTTTATTAGAGGTGGTAGACAAGAGAAGATATGAGAAGATGAGGGAAATTAGGAAGAAGAAGAAGAAAAGGAAGAATAAAATAAAGCGGGGAAGAGAGAGAAGTGTTTATGTGGGGAAGCTCTCCGATAAGACCGACATGCTTATCTATGCGCTACTTACAAGTTCGCTATACTATATCATCATCTTTATATACATAATTCAATCATAGGGTATAGAAGGTCGCCATCTCCTCTTGGAACCAATCATAGGAATACAGCAATTGTTGCGCCAGGTGAGGGTCCATCACAGGAATATTGCCCGAGTCATTGACCAGCAACACGTCGTCCAGCACCGGCGCCAGAGGCACGGGCGGCGCCACCAGGACATGCGGCTGCTGCGACACCGGCGGCGGTGGCGGCGGTTGCGGAGGGTTCTGCTGACCCAATTGCTCCTGTTGGTATGCTAGGTGGCTGAAGATCATTGTGCTCTGCTGTCGGAACGTCTCCGCCAGTCGTTCGACACCCGGTCGTCGCTTGCCAAACTCTTCCAACAGCACCACCACCGCCTGGATGGCGCGGCGCATGGTCTGGTCGTCTGGCTGCCACGCGGGCGGGAGACCGTCGCGTACCGCGAGAAAATCGTGGTTTAGACACCAGAGGATAGTGATTCCCGCGAAGTACGTCTGGCTCAGCGTCAACCAGATCCATTTCAACTTGCCCACCGAGTAGCTGTCCCAGTATGATCGAATGACCTGGATACTGGCGTCGCCGCAACTAACGATGCTCGTTGCATCAGGAGTCGGATTCCGTGGACTGGGTCGGTACATGAGCAGGAGGGTTGTGGCATAGAGGTAGTCATAGTAGCTCGTAGAATACAGAAGAGCTGGCGGATAGACCGGCGCATTCCGACGCCAGTCATCCAGCTCTTGGCGGAAATGGCTGAGCGTCACAACCACTTCGTTCGTCGGGGGAGGGGGTTGATTGTTATATACTGCGAGCGTTAGTCGTGCATCTGCAATGGAAGGTAAATTAATGCTTACGGTAACGGTAAATGCGTGAAAAGATCCGACGCAGGCGAACGACCTGCACCGGGATGGTCATCACGCTGGTTCCCGGCGCCTCTGTCCAATCGTCGTTGAACTCCCGCGGGAGGCTGACGCTGATGTCCTCGTCCACGATGCCCAGCGGCCGACACAGCGTGCTGGCAATCAGCCGATCCAGGTTGTACAGGCTCCAGAACGCCCGTTTGGTCATCTCCTCTTCGATCACGCTCGCTGCAGGCCGAGCCTTGTGTAGACCTAGACTGGTTGCCAGCCGCAAAGCAGTGCCCAGCACATGCCACACGCTGGGGCCAGTGGTCGCGAAAAGGGTGTACAGCGCCATGCTGAGCAGCGCTTTCACCGCCGCCAGGTCCTCATTCTGCAGAGCCAGCGGTAGCGTCTCCTGGCTCACACGGTAGAACTCCATCGCTTGCGTGCCATCGGACGACCCGATCAACAGAGCGATCGCGATGGTAATGTGGTAGGTATAGTGAAACTCCGTCGTCGGAGTCTCGCCCGCGTAGATGCGACGCAGCGGTGGAAAGAAGTCGGAGCGGTGCAGGAACGGATACTGGTACCCCATACTGTCAAAGTACCGCGAGGCCACCTGCTCGGCTTCTTCCAGCGAGGCGAGTCGGAGGACGCGGGGGGCGGTCTTGGTCGAGGTGATCGTGGGCCGGGCCACCGAGGGCCGGCGATGTTCGAGATGGTCGCGAAAGATCTCACCCACGTTGGGCAGGTCGGTGCCGACCCCAGACGCGCTGGCCGGACTATTTGACGCCGGCGTTCCGCCCAACGGGCGCATCGAGTTACTCCGGCTCATCAGCATGCTCGGCATCTGATACCACCAGTCCGGATCTCCCTCGCCATCAAGAGGACTCCCCGTGGGCCGGTCGGCCACGGGAATGCCCGTCTTCTTCCGCACGACCTCCTCCAGCCATCGCACACGGTTTTGTAGGTTTTCGAGCTGATCTCGCGGGACAGAAGCGCTGGCGACCTGGGGCCCGGGCGGCGGGATGGTACAACGCACGCCGGCACGCGTGCAGGCGGAGCAATTGGGGTAGCGGAAGTCACATTTCTTCTTGCGCTTGCGACAGAAATCACATGCGGTGGAGACGCGTTTGCTGCGATGCGACGGGGAGGAGACGTGGGAAGGGAGGTGCGTTGGCGGGGGTAGGGAGTTGTTGAGCAGGGGCGATTGGGCGGAGGTATGCGGCGCAAGGGAGGAGTCGAGACGGAACTTGCCCAGCTGATGGCGAAATTCGGGGTCCCTGTTAGTCATGGTGGGCACCCAAGAATGAGGCAGCAGATGCAGACGAAGTAACAGGCCAAGGATTCAGGCGGCTCGAACCGCAAGCCATTCCGAGTGGAGTTGGTCCGATGTGATGGATTGATGGACTGTGATTGATTAATGGGTGGAGGGATTCGAGGGAGGGCGAATGATTGACGGAGCGATCGACCTGACCGGCATCAGAAGGAGGAGTGGAGCGCAGCGCACGACACTGCCGACTGCAAAGAAGAGGCGGGCGATGACTCGCGTTGGCGATGATTTCCACGAAGGTTGAGGTTGGGCACGTGGAGATCTTGGCATCCGCTGTCTAACAATAGTTATCCTTCGTGAGACACTCTTCAATATCACCATGAGTGTCTCACCAGAGGCCACATCCCTGTGCGCTGACTATTTAAGCTTATTATTGTGCACCCTATCTGGTGCTCACTTTCTTTCTTTTTTTTTTTATGCTCACATCTACTGAATATGCCTTCTATCAGATAAATATACTGAAATCTACATAATCGGAGTGCAGTGTGGCCATGAAAATGTAAAAGAAGGTAGATACTTGGAATGACCTCTCTTCTCGGCCGACTATGTCCTCCTGGCCCGGATAGATCGAACGGCAGTTGTCAATAGGGAGCCTCGTTCATAGCCAGCTTCTTGTCTCCGCAATCGGCAAAGTAACAAAGATAAGGGAGCCGATATCAGGTATGCAGAGTGTGGACAGCTAATAGATCGTCTTCTGTCGTGAATAAAAGGACAACAAAGTGATAGTGTCATAGGTGAGAGGATATCGATATATCAAGCTGGAGTGCATTGTATACTTACCGCTGTCCCTTTCTCTGTTCACTATTGTTATCTTCCGATGACAAGAGTATGTACGTTTATGTATACGATTGGGTAGTGTCACTCTCCAAGCACTGTCTACAGTTATGAATATAGCAATTAAATATTATAGTTGCGTGTAATTCAATATCATACGGCTTCTTATTTCCTCTTCTTCTTCATTCCTTTCTCGAATACGCCAGTCACTCAGCCCACAGCAGTGCTACAGAATCCTCGGACTTCGCCTATTAGAAAAGAACAAGAAAGATATCTCAAAGAAGAGCGGTTACTCCCTTGAAGCCCTGCCCGCCAATTCTTCGGAGTCAAAGCAACCCGAGAGCAGCCTTAGATTACCTGAACTATTGTAACCCTAAGAGACACTAGAAAATACCCCGATTCACAGCTTGAGGCCGTGTCTGCCCGGCCCCGCAGCCAGGTACTCTCCATATTTAACCGCCTCGTTTCGATCCATCCACTGCTGCCAGATCTCCTTGTTCTGAACTGGCGGAATCATACCATTCACGCGCCAATTGTCCGGGGGATGTTCGTAAATATTATACTCCCACTTGACGCCCTTCGGACCCAGAATCGGCTCCACAATAGCATTGACACTATCGATGAAGGCCAGACGGACTGTCTCGTTGGGAAACGAGCGAGCAGCGTGATCAAGGACGAAGAAAACCGTATTGGGGGGTGTTTTACCGCCGCTGTAGAAAGTGCCAATGCGGTTTTCGTGAAAGAAGACGTTCACGAGGAATGCGGGGATGCCATGTTTGACGTAGTTCTCGGTGATGGCTTGCGCTAGGGTGTCTTTTTCAGTCTTGGATAGGGTATCGGGCGTGAGTTCAAAGGTCCAGCGAGGCATTTTGAGTGATTAGATGATGTTCTTGGGAGAGAGAATGGTATGAAAGCTAGTGCTCAGCAGTTGGGGGGTAGACCACCTTCATTTGTAAATATGTGCGTATATAATTTCTCGCAAAAGCGGGTGACGGATATGACTTGTTTACGAGGAACCGAGGGCTTCCACCATGTAAACACTGATACCTCCAGATATTGGTTGATCTCAAATGATAATTGGTGTTGTTCAATCACCCCCGTTGATTAGTGATATTACCCCATGTTCACTAATCTAAATTATCATCGCACCGCTCATCTGTTAAGTTAACCCGTCTTTCCATACAATGGTTATTCATGCTAGATTCCCACCAAAATCCTGTCTCCTATTCTACTAAATCTGCAATCAACATGCCATCCATCCTTCAAGCCGATGTCTACGTCTCTTCGCGCCTCCCACTCGCAATCAAGCGGCTCGGCGAAACAAGCACCTTCTCACCAATCTCCTGCACCCTAATCCACGGGGAATCCGAAGCCGTTCTCGTTGACACACCTATTTCAATCTCCCAGACCGAAGACCTCGCATTCTGGATCAAGTCCACCGCCCCAGGCAAAGACCTTCGCTATGTCTACATCACCCACGGCCACGGCGACCACTGGTTCGGCATAACCGTGCTTCGAAAGCACTGGCCCAACCTCCGCGCCCTCGCTACCCCAGGCACAGTCGAGCATATGAAGGAGCAAATCAAGCCCGCCATCTTCGAGGGAACATGGCTGAGTCTCTTTCCCGGGGGCCAAATTCCCCAGTCCCCCGAGCTCGCGGAGGCCATGAAGTCTCCGGTGTTCGAGATCGAAGGCCATGAATTCCGCGCCGTCGAGGTCGGCCATACAGACACATACAACACGACCGTGCTCCACGTGCCTAGTATCCACCTGGTAGTCGCCGGGGATGCAGTATACGGCGATGTACACCAGTACTTCGGAGAAGCCAATACTCCCGAGAAACGACAGGAATGGCTCCGAGCGCTGGATGCGATCGAAGCACTAAACCCACACACCGTGGTTGCAGGGCACAAGCGAGCCGGAACGGTGGACGGACTGTTCAACGTGCAGAAGACTCGTCAGTATATATTGGATTTTGAGGACGCTGTTATCTTGGCGTCGAATTGGAAGGAATTGGCAGAGGACATGCAGAGACGCTATCCTCGACGCATTAACCCGCATGCAATTCTCAGGGGAGCGGTGGCTGCATTCTCCGAGCCATCTAGCTCGCGCGGTGGTAGGATTTAGTGCGGCGGTGTCAGACTTGATTGGTTTATGGCCCTTTCCCGGTGTCAGGATGCGATGAGATAATTTTTGATACTGAATGAATCAAGGTTATTACTGTCCGATGCGACAGTTTAGCATCGGACACTATCTCGACCGTCACCTCCATTTCCCGGCCGGAAGGCTCTGACTCTCTCTGTAGTTGTTAAGGTGAATGAATCGACTGAGACAGGGGGATTCATAAATAAGATGGGATAGCATAAAAAGAGATATATCTATCGCTGCAGGGTTTGCTGCAATCACAGAAGAACACGATTGCCAGGCGTGCACCTTATCCACTCGACCAACCTGCTTGGTTGATGTTTACCACCACGTACTTAAACCTACATTTTTTAAGCAAATATATCGATATTCTCGACGTATCATAGAGAAAAGCCTGAGGTTCAAGATTTTACTGATACAAGACTTCTGTTTCCCCCGCTATGTGGTTGTCGAACCGAAAATATCATCATTTACTACCCTGTACGGTTTCTAGATTTCAGATGTCTTTCTTCTGTAGGTCTCTATACTCCGATGACAGTGACCATTGCTTTATAGAATAGACTATTTTTAAAGGGAGTGTACTGGATGCTGTGTTGGTTGCTGGACTGATCAGTAATCATCTATGTTAATGCGGGAGGTGAATATTGATTAGAAGAAAGCCTCGGCTGTACTTCCTAGAATGGATGCGTGAAGTATGAGCAACGAGCGCCATTGACGAATATATAAACCAAGGCCAAACATACTATTCAACCACTACTCCAATCCAAATAAAACAGCAATCAACATCACCAACAATGGCCCCCAACCACGCCTACCAGCCCATCATAGTCTCGAGCGACGACCTCCCAACCGCCCGCAAACGACGCACCATCTACCTGCGTCCCTTCCTCCTCTTCTGGCTAAACTCCCTCTTCGTCGAAATCGTCTTCCTTGCCGTCGGCGTCTTCATTATGACCGGAACGCGCGATCTCTTCTACAAAGTCATGTGGACGCTCGTTTTCTGTCCGCTGGGCATGGGCGGCGCAATGGGCGGCCTGATCAACACCTTCATCGTGGACCACTACTACGGCAGGAAGGCAGCCCACTTTACCGGGATCTTGTCATTGCTGATCCTCAGCGCTTGCAACTATCTTTGCTACAACCTGGATAGGCATTTTGGGTGGTTTGGGGCTAATGACCATCCGATGTGGTTTCATTGGCGGTATCCGATGATTTGGGGGGTTGGGTATGTAAATGGAATGCTTATGTTTACGGACCAGGGGCAGGAGAGACTTGCGAGGGTGGGGTTGTAGATCTATCTATTCTTGGAGTTTACTGAAGAGGATAAGAAGCACGGATGAATTCATGATGGGGTCAAGGTTTAGTCCGATGATTGAAGATTTGAGGGGATCTGGCATGTCATATGCGACAGGTTTAGAAGCTCAAAGGAAGGACAGATGGTTTTACCAAAGGACACGCTTGTGTGTAAGGAATTGTGCCTCGGCAAAAAGCATAGATACTAATCATAATGTAAACCGATCCGCGGTAAAGCTTTGATTGCGGAAACTACTTATGTCCATCGAAATATGGCCAAACAGCCCCTTCTCCGGGAAATGAAACATCGGCACAATGAATCACACCCTGAGCGTTTGGGGAAAGATAGATGCCTTTCTAGGCTGGTTCTCAGTTGGTAAGTAGACTATGCTCTGGTCTTCTAAATATTATGTTACTAAACACAGTTCCGCAGGAGCGGGAGTCGTCTATGCTGCGATATTCGGGTGGTTTAGAGGTCCATCTGGGGCTGACAGCTACCACCACCATATTGTACAGGCGGCAACGAAAAAGGTACCTGGGACTAAAAGGTTCGATTGTGATCAAAAGTAGATGTGCTTACAGGATCCACTAGATCACCAGACGGTTCACCCCGCTTCAAATCCAGTAAGTAATGCCGCTTCTTGTTTACAGAAGCCTGTGATTCCTGACCGTGCTGGATAGGTATCTTTTCCCGTCGTATGACCAGCTATACTTGGATTATTGCAAGAGCGCTGGGGTTGAGCCAAACTTTGTATCGAACGACCGTGGCTTGAAGGGATTCTGGATCGGTTCTCCGACGGCCAAATACGTGGTGATCAACTTCCATGGTAAGTTATTCCACCCACCAAGATCCCGACACACCGGGCTAAAAGACCTACTCAAGGCGGAGGGTTTGCTATGGATGCCACAGGTCCTTACCTCGACTTTTGGCCGAATGTAGCAAAAGAACTATCCGACAACGATATCACTACCGGCTGGTTCAATGTTGCCTATACGCTGACGCCGCACGCAACATATCCCACGCAGTTTCGCGAGGCAGTGGAAGCTCTGCGATACGTTCTCGAGGACCTCGGACGCTCACCCTCAGAGGTTATCCTTGTTGGCGATTCCGCTGGTGCCAATTTATGCCTGGCTATTTTATCCCACTTGTCACACCCATCTCAAGACGCACCAGAACTGACAAACACCGAGCCACTCAAAGCTATCGTACTCATGTCACCTTGGATCTCTTTTCGCCATGATTGGCCGAGTATGAAGACCAACGGACACAAAGACATCGACGCAAGGGAAGTCACGGAGAGGTGGTCAAGAGACTACTTGAACGGGGTATCCACGAACTACTACGCCGAAGCACTTGAAGCGCCTGAAGCGTGGTGGGAAGATGCTCTGGTAAAGCAGACTCTTGTCCTGGCTGGGGCCGATGAAGTGTTACTGGATTCGATCACGGCTTGGGCTCAAAAGTTCTCCGTATGCCATGTTTCCCGAATAGCTGCATGATAATCCGCGCTGACTGATTATATGCAGAAATCGAATCCTGATACCACCCTGATGATTGGTCAAAAAGAGTGTCATATCGCGCCTCTCATTTGGCCCCTTTTTCACGACAACCACGAGACCCAGCAGGGACTCGCTCTGAAGGGTTGGCTGTGCGAGCGACTGCGTACATAGTATGTGCGGATTCCTCCATAAGCCAAGATGGGAAATTCGCTCAACCTCCCTTAGACGAAGGTCATGCGCCATTTAGGCAGATTGGTCGTGAGGTAGAGATGGTGGAAGACGTTTCTGAGTAACTCCCTAGAAGACAATTCCGAGTATTGGTCCTCCTGTTGTGAGATAGTTCAACCCTCCACAACAACTATGGCATGGTTGCATAAAGCTTTCATAGGATGTGTTTCATAGCTAGTGGAGCTTGGCTCTGCTGGGTCCATCGTGATGTTCCCACATACATCTATCAGCCTAACGTTTGGCGACTTTATATATCTTTTTCCCGATTAGGATAGATCGCACCTTGGCTGATAACTCACCTCGTGGGATCTGTCGATCGCATAACGTGCCTGGCCAACGCCTAGTCAACTGGGAACCAACGATTTCCCTTGCTATCGCTCTCATCCTTGGCTGTTCGCGGTTCGTAAGAATTAGCCTGGCATAGTTAGGGCTAGACGAGTAGGTTCGTCCTCCGTAGAACCGAAAGCCACGGTGGGGTCTATAGGCTAGGTACTCCGTACTCCGTACGGCCCCCAGGTCAACGATGGGAGCTATCAAATTAAAAACAACGCCGAGAGTATATCTGATGGATATGCCAATACGAAATGATATCATTTTGGTTTAACGAGCTAGTCTGGTTGGATGGCGCGGGAAGGACAACTTGGCGAGGTCCACTACATACACTATGTTATTTACAACTGCCACTTTGGTCTTTTGTACAATATCTTGGCCTAGGCTACAATAAACATTGAGTTTCGGTCTGAGATATCTGTGGAGAAGGGCGATTTGAAGGTCCTTGCTCGATCTACTAACCAGATCATGCGAATACACTTCTTGGCACATACAGGGAGGAAGGTCAAACGAGGAAGAGAGTGAGATATTTACCCATAGACTGAGTGTTACTACACGGTAGGAATGTGAAAGTTAGGCTTCTACCACCTCATGTTGCAAGTATGCCGAGTTAAAGACTCGGCCATGGATTGAAGTATTAGCAGAAGCTAGAGGTCAAAGAGTTATAAAAGCCCACGAAGGGACGCACATTTTCAGCATCCCAAACACCATCTTCACTTTACCAACTTCCCCTCCCCTAGGCAAGTACAATCTCCACCGAAGACACAAAAGACAGGACTAACCTTCTCAAACAGATCGTCTGTCTTTCTAGCAAAATGCGCCTCTCTACCGTCTTCACCGTGGCTGCCACCGCCCAATCCGCTATGGGCTGTACCTTCGTATTCTGGTTGACGCAAGAAGCATCTTGGGGTGGCACCAACGGCGTTAGCCATCTAGCCCGGATCTGGGAGAGCGACGACCCCGACTTTAAGGGCACAGCCGACGCGTCCGTGGACATTGGGTTCCAGGGAGGCTGCAACAACGTTGGGTACAAGGGACAGACATATGAATTCTGCTTCGAGAGAGCCGCGAATCACGACCTTCACGGACCCGCGACGGTCCGACGGACCAACAATGGTGGTGGAACAAAACGCAACATCCACCCCGATGGACAGGAGTATAGAGATGTCTGGAGTGTCGGTCTGGGTAGTGTGGATATCCATGCTTACTATGTGACGGGTATTGAATGTCCCTCTTCGTAATGCACTAGTTGCTTGGGGGGGGCTTTCGTTTAGGAGGTTTGAGTTGTAGGATCGGTTGTGTTGATATAATCTCACTTTAGATGGAAATCGTGGCCGGAACATGTATTCAAAGCGAAGGATCTGCGAATATAATGATGCATCTGGCCCTTTCTGGCCGAGGCTAAAGATGTAAAAAAGCGAAGCAATAGGCAGTGAGCTCCCACCTGCGGCTCCTACCAGTTTAGCCTCTGCCTGTACAGATGATTAGACTAAATGAAGGACCGACCATCGGGTACTGTCAAGCTGTGTCCCAAGGAGTAAGTAACAGAAAATAACCGTGACAATGACAATTAATGATAAGAGCCGGAGTCAAATGACAGTAACACGACATAATGTGCATTAAACATACGTTATCCTCATTCACGACCCATGTTTCTAATTCCGAATCGTAGGTATCGAAGCAGCCCCGTTCTTTGGCAATCTGGTTTATCGATAGGTGCTGCAGGCCTGTATTCTGTGCCAAGTTCTGACAATGTACTGTTTTCCCTACGCCAAAGATGCCTGTAATGATCACATTCGGAGTTGTTCGCATCTTGGCCTCAACAGTAGTGCTGAGCAGCCAAAACCTGCAGTGTTTGCCATCGAAAAATGATGACGATTGAGGGGTAAGATTCCCAGTCAATCCAATCCATTTTTTTGGCCCTAAAAGAGCCCCGTATCGCATGAACTCTCTTCGCTCCCCAAGTCTCTGCATCAGAGAAGCGCCTTGGTGCCACGGAAGGTCTTTTGTAAATCGAGTTCTCCATGTCGAACCGCTGGCCTGTCGAGCCGCTTGACTTACAAGCATGAAATCGGTCATGGAGCCGTGAGGGAGATATTAAATGGAAGGGGACAAAGGGCTAAAGAAAATTATGAGAGGACTTTGAGTCTTGGTAAGTGTTTTGAAAACAAACGACTCAGGTATTTTTCAGATGCAAGAAATGTGCTGGAATTAAGTTTGAGCATTGAGAAGCTTGTGCAATAGTGGATGGTGTGAACTCAGTAGATGATGCAAGGCAGATGATAGATTGATCAATCAATGAGAGGTGAGGAGTGAGAAGAGAAATGGGAGAAGCGAAAGAAGGGTGGGAGGACTTAATGACTGGCACTAGTGGGTGTTGCTGGGAGCCTGGATGCCTTGGACGCACGTTGTCCTCGAACTCACTTGAACGTAGATCAAGCTTTGAAGCTTACATGCCAGCTCACATATGTGTGGAAGAGTGTAGTCCGTGATTGCACAATGAATTCTAACGAGGGCTCAAGGTTAGAGTATAGTTCAGACTTCTGCAATGTAGCGATTTCTTGATCATCTATTTACTATCTTCTCGAATTACCTCTTTTGTGATCTCCGTCTTCGGTACCAACTACGACTGATTTGCCGCCAAGTAGATCGATCTATTAGCACCATGGTCTCTATTATGACACCTAATTAAGCTTATATATACTTCATATCTCATAAGTCACCAACATCAACTTCACCACACCCCTTTAGGTCATTAAGTCTAGAACTAGAATTTCGTTTTCAGACCCCACCCACCCGCAACACCTCTCGCCACCACAAAGGCAATAAACGACGCCATGTACAATGCACCCGCAAAGATAATCAACCCCCAGTAATCGCCTCCGTTTCGTTCCTGGATAGCACCGGCAATCGGAATGCCAGTCAGCGTCGCGAAGCTCACCAACGTGAAGGTCGTCCCATTTCTCTTGCCGTAATCCTCCGTGCGACAGACCTGGGAGATGCACACGGGCGTCAGACTGATCGCCGCGCCACTCCAGAAGCCGAACAAGACGGAGTAGGCGATGATAGCGGCTTGGTTTTGGCCGGCTTTATACCACAGCGCCAGGGTCAACACGCCGCAGATGACGGTCGTCATGGCCATGACGTTGAAACGACCCAATCGGTCGGCCAGAAGGCCAGGGAACGCACGGCCGGGAATCGCTCCGACGTTGAGGAAGATTGAGAGCTTGTAGGCTAGGGACTCTCCGAGTCCGGCGTAGAGACCGTAGGATGCGATATAGGTGTATGGAATGAAGACGGCGAATTCCACGAGCCAGACGGCCAGGGTGGTGAGGGCGTAGTTTGGCTCCCGGAGCGCCTTGACGTCGATGGCCATGCCGGCGGCATGGTTGGGCGGGAGGCGGGTGCGCATGAGCAGACAGGCTAGGGCGCACAGAAAGAAGCTGATGATGGCCACGATGCGCATCGCCCAAGGGAATCCTAGCGTCGGGGCGACGTAGAGGATAATGATAGGGAAAATAACGCCACCGAGACCGCCGGCCGTGCAGGCGATGCCTGTTGCATAGGCACGGCGCACGTTAAACCAGTGCCCTACGACGGCGATGGCGGGAGTGAAGAGACAACAAGAAGAAAGACCGCCCAGGACGCTGAACGAGAGGAAAATTTGATAGTATTCTACCAGGATTTAGCGAGTTGAAACGTTTTCTTCTAGACGGACATGGACTTACCTGTGCTAGCGCTGAAGAAGAAGATTGCCAGGACCAAGCCAACAGACCCTGGAGCTATCACCGGAAGCAATCCTCGACTGTCAAAGATGGGGCCTATCTGCGCACTCCCGAAGTTGAGAAAGAAACTGAAAGCGCCAAAGATCCAACCGATGCTGGAATCCGAGTAGCCGGCCAACTGATGGGTCGATGTCCAAGCGTGCAATGCGCCGATAGTGTTCAACAGGCCCATCGCGGGCATCATGGCGCAGAACGAGCCCAGCACGACGAGCCACGCCCTCGTGCCTCCCTCGGGGAACTTTCCGTGGGGATCGGCCAACTCGGTTGCTTCCGAGACTGGGCGCTGCTCGGTCGACGGGGTCTTCTCGGCGATGACTTCGCTTTGCATTTCCTGTCGTGCCTCTGGTGGCTGCGAGACATTGAGCTCGAGATCCGCCATGGTTTATTATATAGGCTCCGTAGGCCGGATGGGGAGAAAGAATTGGGTATCGACAAGTGTGGGGACGGAAGAAGAAGAAAAAAAAAAAAAAAAAAGGGAAAAAAAAGGGTCGACTCCGCAATCCGCATGCCACCCAACAGTCAACACTACTCTCGATCGGGGAAGTCTATCGAGATTGACGATTGTCCCGATAGTCTGATAATGATATCGCGACTATCGAAGATTTTGACGGTTAGGGCTATCGCCAGTCTCGTTATCTTGCCGGGAAACGCCACTGATAACCTTAATGCAAGACTTCTTTTACCGTGTATTAACCCCCACTGCAGGGAACTATCCACGGCTGTAAGAATGCGAGGCTTCTCTGATGCTCAGTTTGATTGGAAAATAGGGATAATTCCGTAAGGGACGCCGCTATTTCCTCAAATGCAACTATGATCTACTCATAGTGCTCAGACTGAGTTCCTACCAGATTTTCATGTCTGAAGCGGTTAGCATATCCGACCGAGCAGATGAATCCTTTCTCTGGCTTTTTTGCGAAGACTCAAGGCCAACATACTCCGTAGGAATAAGCACTAAATTCGGATCCCTTTGGCGGCTTAACCGGATCGGGTTCCCGTCATAGAAGTTGTATATAATCAACGGGGTTCCCAGATTGCGCAATCCCTCTCTCTTGCTATCATTCCTTCCCTCTAACCCTCTCACCCTCGAATCCACGTCTCTATTCCAATCTGTCCAGTCTCCAGTCACAATGATCGCCAAATCAACCCCACCGCTCATCCTCATCCCGGTCAACCTCGCCGACGGCAAAGAATATACCGAGTTCCAACGCCAACGCACAATCTGCGGCTGGAGCTTCTCCGACGAAACGCTCGCCTTCTATCGCGAAAAGCAAGAACAGAAATTGAAATCCCTGTTTTGGATCACGATCCCCGATCCCGACGCTCCTTCGATGGTCGTCACCACCTCAGCGTGTGGAACTACAGAGTCGGAGCCCACAGAAACAGAAGCATATTCCACCCTCCGGGCAGGGCACATCTCACTAGACGCCTATAACGACCCCCCGCATGACCTGGATCTAGCCGCAGCGGATAAATCCACCCTCGCGATTCAGAATTTCTTTCTTCTGCCCGAGTACCGCAAGCTTGGGCTGGGCCATGCGGCGATGGATCGGCTTGAGAGTCTAGCGCGAACAGAGCCGTATGGGAGTCCGAATTGCCAGTTCCTGGCGCTGAGTACCCTCTCCAAGAGGTATATATATCAGGAGGGTCCGGAGTGGAGGGATCTGTGGGCGAAGTTTGGGATGGAGGTTCCGGAGTTCAGTGCGCATGCGTGGTATGAGACGAGAGGGTATGAGTTGTTCAAGGAGGAGCCGAGGTATCCGATTACGAGTGAAGATGGGAAAATTGAGGTGAAGTTGGTGTTGGCGTTTTTGAGGAAGAGGGTTGTTTGATGGAGATGTTTGGATGGAGTCAAAGGTTTGGCTGGAAGGGCATGTATATGTGTCGTGTCAAGGTACTGTACATATAGTTAACTTATGTTCATGCATCAGCCACCACTTTAAGATCTCGTGCTTTTGTAAAGCAGGCTACAAAAGGCATTATTCTTCTATTGCTCTCTTCTGGCATGAAGATTCTGGTGTTTGACGAATCCCAGGATTTGTTCAATGCAATGCGATGGTGTAAGATATGAAGCACGTGTGCGGCATGTTTCAGCTTTCTTTATAGTTTGCAGGGGAGAAGTTTCGGGTCGCTCAGTTTTGAGTCTATTTACTTGAATCAAGGGATGAAGCAGATATATCTAATTGTTTACAAATCCAGGTGTCAGGAAAGTGGTGTATATCAAATTAGAGTTGCTAATCATCGCATTGATAACCAATTCAGGCACTTCCATAGGAACCATTCAAATCCGGGGCGACGGTAAAGACAGATGGCCACAGGCAGTTTCATCATTTCGTGGGACTTGGCGGTTTTACGGTTGAGCTAACGAGTCACTAGTCCCTTAGTTTGTGTCGCCAGCCAATGGAAAACATATCGAAAAAGCCCTGCTTGGAATGGCTTCATCTCGTGCCTCGTGAGCATCTTGGCAATTGAGAGTGTTGGCCTCGAGAGAATTGTTATTGATTATTCGCACTGAAAGCAGAAGACCTCGGGGTGGGCCAAGGAGATGCCGATCCAAGACGATAACTGGCAGTTGGCGCTGTGACGGTGGAGTCGCCAGAGAAAAATAATTGGAACGAAGAGGGAAAAAAAGAAAAGAAAAAAAAAAGCCCCTGACATCAAGTGGAAGTCCGATTCAACCTCCGTCCGTCTCGTCTCTTCCTTCATCCTCAACTCTACTCCGGTCTGAACATTTTCTTCACACTCCCCACTCCCTAGGGTCGAAGCTCTTCTTCTCTTCTTTAATTCTCCTGTTGTAATTATACCTTGTATTTATTCTTATTCTTCGACCCTGTCCCTTCCTTTTCTCGTATTCATCTACTTCTCCCCCCTTTTTCGGCTGCGCCGCCGTTCGGAAGAATTAGCGGCCACGATTACGCCTGTCGCAGCTGAACAGGTCATAGCGGTCGCTCTCTACGTGCTGGGACGGACTGCGAGAAGGCAAAGCGTCTTTCCTTGTGCAAGTAATTAAAACCACTTGTGTACATCACATCCCCGACTCTCCGTTCGCCATGCCTCGATCGAGAAAGTCAAGCAACCTGGGTGCGGACATCCGCGGTGACACCAGCGCCCCGGCCATTGCTACGATGAATGAAGTCAGTCCGATCGAGACTGAAGCCCCCAAGTGGGATCAGGTATGCAAGCACCGATTTTCCAAGACAATGATCCCATGCGATTCAGTAATTGCCATCCGATTAAGTTCCCCCGCTCACTCCGTCCGGCCCTCCAGTCTCGCACCGAAAAGCCTCAAAAGTCGCAATCGAAACGTCGCAAGACCCGGTCCTTCCTCCGTCGCTTCAAAGATGCCTGCTTGAAACACACCTGGCTTCTTCCGCTCCTGATGCTGGCCGTCCTACTGGGCGCGTATGCCGTCAATCCGACTCCGTCGAACCCCATGCATAGCGCCATCTTCCTGTCCTATCCCCAACCTCCGACGACCCCCGACGGTCCGGTCATGTACGGAAAGGGCCCCAAGGATATCGCGTTCGTCTCGTTCTACATGGTTGTCTTGTCGTTTACTCGGGAGTTCATGATGCAGCGCGTGATTCGCCCCATGGCGATCTACTTCGGAATCCGCAGCAAGGGCAAGACCGCGCGTTTCATGGAGCAGGTCTACACGGCTATGTACTTCAGCATCTTCGGTCCCTTCGGTCTGTACGTGATGAGCAAGTCCAACATCTGGTACTTCAACACCACCGCCATGTTCGAGGGGTTCCCGCATCGCGAGCACACGGCGCTGTTCAAGTCGTACTATCTGCTGCAGGCTAGTTACTGGGCGCAGCAGGCGATTGTTCTCCTGCTGCAATTGGAAAAGCCTCGGAAGGACTATATGGAGCTGGTCGGGCACCACATTATCACGCTGGCTCTGATCGCCCTGAGCTACCGCTTCCACTTCACCTACATGGGAATCGCCGTCTATATCACCCACGACGTCTCGGACTTCTTCCTCGCGGTAAGAATAGCGTAAAACTCACTCCCAGCATTGCATTGAACTAATTGACGACAGACTTCCAAAACCCTCAACTACCTCGATCACTTTATCACCGTTCCCTACTTCGGACTCTTCGTCGTTATGTGGATCTATCTCCGACACTACCTCAACCTGAAGATTCTCTGGGCCGTGTTGACTGAATTCCGAACCGTCGGACCCTTCGAACTGAACTGGGAAACGCAGCAGTACAAGTGCTGGATCAGTCAGTACATCACCTTCGCCTTGCTGGCCTGTCTGCAGGCGGTCAACCTCTTCTGGCTGTTCTTGATTCTCCGCATCCTGAAGAACTACATCTTCAACAACGTCACCAAGGACGAGCGAAGCGACGATGAGGACGAGGAGCTCCAGGAGGAGGCCGCGGCCGTCACCACCGGTGCCGACGTCCCCAAGATCACTGCCCGCCACCCCAACAAAGAAACCCAGGCCCCGCAAGTTCTGGTCAACGGCGAGCCCGTCCAGAAGGATCTCTGAATTTCCTAAATAGGAGGCTACTGTGTCTTTTGACCCTGTCCTTGATTTCTTCAGTCCATGTCTCATGGCTAAGCAGATTTGCTCAACTACAAAAGTTGTCGATTATGCTGCATTTTGAACATCTTGTTTCTTTGGTGGACAGGACAGCAACTACTCCACCCGAGTAGTCGCGCCCGGTGCTCATGGTGTATGACCTTCACTTCATTGCACAATCTTTGTCTCTTATATATTCGGTCGTCTGGTGTTCTGCGTGATGCAGCTGAGTGGATATAGTGATGATTCCATGAATGAGCGCTTTTTTGTCTTTGTTGTTGTAATCCGAGTTCGGAGGGCATGGAGATGGTGCGCCATTCTTATCTATAATCATAATAATAGAATTGCACTGGCACGGATGTGTTGGTGTTTCATGTTCAATTTCTCTCTTATTAGTAGGTTGGATGATGATGCTTATGTGGTTACAGTTTTCGATATCTCTGCTGCTCGACCAGATTACCTTGACAGGTTCAATTCTTCCGATTAACATTTATATTACATGTCAAGATCTTCAAAGCTCGCTGTACTCGGTCGCAACACATGATAATCTAGGCCTGAGGCCGTTCGGGAGCAACAGTGCCCTTGACCTTAGCCGTCTCCGTCTCACCCTCGCCCTTGACACTCTTCCCCGGCTCGTTCACGTAGGGGTTGTCCGTGGTGGTGTTAGAAACGCCCTCCTGCTTACCCGACGTGCTGGTAAAGTCGCCAGCCTCTTTACGAGTATCAGGCTATCGAAGCATTAGCAGCCATCCATCAAGTCATTCCATCAACCTTTCCCCAAGCGAATGCCACTGTTCTTACCTGGTCCACATTCGAAGGCGGCTCGCCCTGCGATCCACCCTTTGGCTTGTCGTCGCCAGATCCCTCGTCGCTCTTCGACTCAGACGCCTGCTCGGTCTTCTGCTCGGCGTCTCGGTCGGGTTGCGCCTCTGCCTCCTTGGCAGACGTCTCGGCTTCCTTCTTCTCGGCGTCTTCGGACCCGCCCGTGTGTGCTTCGCCGTGGTGGTCGTGCGATTGCTTCTGCGGCCTGCTTTGGATCAAGTAGAAGGCTGCGGGACCGCCGAGGCCGACGGATCCGAGGAGCCTACGGGATGATTGGGGTGGTTAGTCGGAGATTGTGATTGCGATTTGTGATGCGATTGCATCATCGACTAGACACTCCATCGAGGCAATCATGCGTAGCAGGATGGATACTGGCAACTGGAGAGAGGAATTGATGCTGCGAGCTAGATGAGATGGACCTACCATGGCAAGTCACTCGATTTCTTCGCCTCGTGCGACCCTCCCGAAGCGTACGTTCGACGAGCGAGCTGCTGCGCCGGTCGACGGGCTGTGGAGCCGGCGGCTCGAATAGATGCGCGGAGGAGATTGGCACGTGCGAAGAGCATTTTGATGAGACCGTAGGCAGGAATTGGTTTTCGATGAACAGAAAAATGATGTGAAGCTGTAAAGAGAATGCGGGAATGGAATGACAGGGAATGGATTTGAGGGGGGAAGGAGGCTGGGATGAGATGGATGTTGCTTGCCCTTTTGCCCTCTCGGAGCGGCTGCTGCCGGCGTGGTCAGTGTGATGTAATCCCTCCATGGCGGGTCACCCTTTCCCTCCCTGCTTCTGTGGGTTTGGTAGCTTTGATGGGTTGGGTTTTGCAGGCCTGGTCGAGGTAGTGTTTCTTGGTCATTATGACATTCAATCGGCTTTGATTGGGTTTGGGTGGTTCTTTGAGCTCCTATAGGAAGTAGTTTGAAGTATGCTGGACATGCTGAACAGAAGGATGGCGTGATCTGCATACTCCTACAGTAGGAGTACTTAGGCTTCATGTTTCATACTGAAAACATGAATCCTCTATAAGCATATATATGCAAAAAGAATTGGCAAATTCATCTAACTCAAGATCAAATACTTCAATACTCCATATAATCCCTTAACGCAGCTTCGAGCTATCTTTTTCAAACTATACGAAACGAAGCATGATATATATCCTCCCAAGTGTAACTCACGAAAACCGTCTCACTATGCCATTGAAGCTTTCATCCACGAGTATGAACCTAATTTAATCAATCCCAGTTCAATTTCCCTCGAGAAGATCAATTCCATCCAACGTGACTGCCATCTGCGCAAAAGGTCTCTATGCTTCCCGAAGGAGCTCCCCCCGCCTGACGCCTCAGGCAGCCTCGACCCTCTCAGATCACGTCGGATTGACGGCACGACGGAGTTCATCTCCTTCTCAATCACTCACTCAACTCACTTTCCTTCCTTCCTTCTCCTTCAACTCTTCATTTAATCTCCTCCTGTCATACGTGTCTCTCAACCTGCTTGGCAGTACCCTCATAGCCTGCTTTCCCTCCTCCCTCAGAGCTTCCGTCTGCCTGCGGGGTCTTCACAGCCATGGCGGACCGACAAGCAGTTCAGCAAACGCTCAACAGCCAGCTCTCCAAGCTGGATGATCCCGATCCAGACATGCGATACATGTCCTTGAATGACCTGCTAGGAGTTCTCAATAGTCCCAGTTCATCATACTTGGCACATGACCAAAGCTCCTCCACACGTCTCGCCGACGGCCTCCTGAAAGCTTTGGACGATCAACATGGTGACGTCCAAAACCAGGCGCTGAAATGGTTTGTTCGATGTTTGTCTGCTTTCGAGATGCGCTCAGCTAACCTTGACCCCCTAGCCTCGGCCCCCTCGTCGTTCGCCTACCTACCGAGAGCCTTTCCTCGATCCTTGAGAAACTGTCCCATTTGACAGCCTCGCAGACCATCGATACCTCCGTCCCAAACACCGCATTGAGAACCATCGTCACGGCCCTTCCCCGCCCCCAGTCCGGTCAAATGCCAAGTCAGGAGGCTTCCATGGCCTACGCGGCGGTTTCGAAGGTGCTCATCCCTCGGTTGACCGGTCCGACGCAGTCTCGCACGAGTCGACGAGGATCGGTTGTCAAGGGTATGCTGGAGAAGGATCCGTCCAAGGGATTCAGCAGCGATGCGATCGACGTCCTCATTCAAGTGGTTACCTGCTTTGGGCCGCTGCTGAAGGAGGCTGAATTGACGGAGCTGCAGAGGTCAGTGATGGCAGTCATCGATAATGACACGGCCGGCACCGTGGTCACGAAAAGGGCGCTGGCAGCCATTTCCGTCCTGGTCTTGCATTTCTCCGACCACCAGTTTGGCGCTTTTGTTGAAGAGCTGGTCGCGCGCTTCAATGTCCCGCAACTGAGCATCGTCCACCGTCGTCACTTGATCGCCACGGTGGGAAGTATCGCAAGGAGCGCCCCGGTGAAGTTTGGTCCTCATCTGCCGACGTTGGCTCCGTATGTCTTCTCGGCGGTTGGGGAGGATGATTTGGAATAGGTAGGTTGTTACATCTGCTCAAATGACGCTCCTTGCTAGTTACTAATGTCTGACTGGAACAGTAGCCGATTGACCCTCTCAACGTTCATTCTGTGCATTCGGTGGCTTAGACGATGGATGTGTCAGGTGGTAAGCATCCATCAGGGAAGCGCTTCACTTGGACGCTAAAAAAGCAGTTCATGGACCTGATAGACTAAGTCCTCCAAAATTCCTATGGTTGTCTACATGATTCACGAAAATAATGAAATGGATTCATTCGAATACCCCAGCTGCCAGTTTGATCAGTGAACTTCTAACCCACAAATTCTTGCGAACTGATTGCTTGCTCGGCATGTCAGCCTGGGCTGGATAGAGCTGAGGATCTATCGAAGCATTGCTACTTTTTAATCATTGTACGCGCTTGAACTAGGCGGTCACATTCATGTCACCGACAGCTTGTTCGTACAATTCGAGCATGGGAGAAACGAGTCACATCACCAACAGCATTCAAACATGTTACATCATTGTCTTCTTTTTTTACTTTTATTAGACGAGTCTCGCCCAGAATTGATACAAATGATGCTTGATTGCAGTCCTTCCTCGCTCCTGCCGATAGTATCTACTTTCCACGCCAGACCGTCCAGCCGTTGCTTGTTGACTTCCCAGAATTGCACCTTCCCTAGCAAAGCCCAAACCATATCCATAACATTCACAGCTCTGCCCCTACCAAACTCACTCTGCAACATCAATCTCCATTCTTTTACTTCTCCTGTCCATTCTTGCTGAAGCCCTCGTCTATATACAACCCCATATTACCCTGCATCTTATAAATTCTCTTATCAAAGCGGTGGGCTTCTCAAAAATGTATTTGCTTTCCGCCCTGGTCGTATCCAGTCCCATCCTGGTGGCATTTACCACTGCACGTAACATTCTCCCCTCGCCTGTCGACAACCCTATTTCCTACATTCTCGGTCAGCAGGAGGACGACGCTCTTTCGGGTCTGGTGAATCGAGCAGTCGGAGCTCGGTGCGGTCCCGATTTTGGAAAGTGTCCTAATGGTCACTGCTGTTCAACTGCTGGTACGTTATCGCCCTATGTGTGGACATGACATGCTTCTAACTATCACCACAACAGGATACTGTGGCAACACAAAGAATCACTGTCGCTCCCCCGATTGTCAGATTAATTACGGTCATTGTGACGCTCATAAGACCCCCGGAGGAGCCCCGACAGAGTCCATCCCCCGCCCCCAGCTCGGCCATGTGGCGTATGGTCCGCATGCTGTTCGTTCCTGCTCTGTCCCGGGAACGGTTGCCTTGACGTACGACGACGGTCCAGGCCCATACACCAAAGACCTCCTGGATTTGCTTGACAAATATGATGCGAAGGCAACTTTCTTTATCACCGGTAACAACAACGGGAAAGGGGAGATCGACGCACCGGGAAAGCCATGGATCGAGCTGATCCAGCGTATGCGTCACAAAGGACACCAGATCGCAAGCCATACTTGGTCTCATCAGGATCTTAGCAAGATTTCCAGAGACCAGCGTCGCGTTCAGCTGCTGTGGAATGAGGTAGCCCTCCGCAATATCTTGGGTGCCTTCCCAACTTATATGCGTCCCCCGTACTCCAGTTGCACTCCTGAGTCTGGCTGTCTGAAAGACATGGGGTCACTGGGCTATCATGTTGTCCTGTACGACATCGATACGGAGGATTATCGCTACGATAGCCCTACTATGATTCAGCATTCGAAAGATATCTTCGATAGAGACCTCGCTCGCGGAAAGCCCTCCGACACGTCCTGGTTGGTTATCGCCCACGATGTCCATGAACAGACCGTCCATAACCTCACCGAGCACATGCTGAAGAAGCTTCGATCCGATGGGTATCGCCCAGTGACCGTTGGCGAGTGTCTCGGCGACACTGCTGACTTCTGGTATCGTAAAGATACCACATTCGACAAAGATCTACTCCTGCGAATGCCCTCCGGGGTAAGAAAGGGCAAAATAGTCTCACGAGACGGCGTGTGCGGCAATGGTATCACCTGCGCTGGGTCTGCCTTTGGCCCTTGCTGTAGTAAGACCAACCGCTGTGGCAATTATTCCTCGAATTGCGGAGAAGGCTGTCAGCCTGATTTTGGCAAGTGCAGCGGTATCCGCGAGTCTGACAAGCATCATCACAAACACCCCCACCATGAACTTTCTGACATGGGACGAAATGCTTTGAAATCCGAAGCATCGTCATGGTATGGGGGCGGCCCTGTTTTTGTAGGGTTGAATCTGGTATTGGTGGTGCTTGTGTTGTTGATATGATTCCTTGTTTCCATGCTCTTTGTGTAATCCCTCCCATCCTTCTGTTTTCTTCGCTCCTAGTGGAGATTGTCCGAACCGTTATCAACTATATATGACTTGTTTTCCGTTCGTTTGTGCGCTAATGGTGTTGGTTGTGGGATTCGCGATCTATTACTTATTAATTATTCTAGTGGAATGAATGGCTTTACAACTCCTGTCGGATAGAAAATATCATTGCTCGGAGTATTACGTGACTGACCATCGTAGGTTTGTAGGATAAGAGTAAGATAGACCTGTCGATATTTGGAATCCGAGTCTCGTTCCTCCGAAATCAATAGATAATAAACCTGCTATGATCATTGCGCATTTCAATTCTATTGCTCGGTATGTAGAGCATCTCTCGAATGAATAAATATACAGTGTCAGAGAACCATCAATCCAGGCCGAGCGTGCGTAACTAGACGACACAACAGAGCAAGATCCATCGGATGAACAAAGATGATTAAAAAAGAATGCTCCCATAAAACTCTTACTCCATTCCTCACCCATCCAACGCCATCAATTTCGAAGACAAGATGATCTGCTATGATCTGTTATGTGATGGGATGCGATGAGATGGTACAATCACCGCTTCACGATCTTCAACAAAGGTGCGATCCTCGCCCTTCGGCTCAGTCCCACCCGGTAGGGTACTTTGCTTGTCGATGAGATCGGACTGTGTTTGTCTGGTCCTTTTGTGGAGTTCTTGTTGGAGGTGGAAGCGTTGTTGGGTGTTGCAGGGTCGGGCTTTTGGGGTGTTGTTGGGGGGTTTAGGGGAGGTGATGATGCGTTGGTTTTGGTAGGGGATTGATGGCCGAGAGGTGGGTTTGGATTTGGAGATGATTCTTTGGAGGGTTGTTGGGTTTCGGTTGGGAGTTCTTCGGGTTGGTAAGGGGGATTGGTATCATTGGGGTTGGAGTCTGGGGTTTGAGCGGTGGTGTCTGCTGCTGGTGCTTGTTCCGACGTCTTCTTTCTCTTCCGGCCTCGTTTCTTCGGCGCTTGGTCTGTTTGGTCGGGTAGTGTATCGGGTTGTATCTGCTCGGCGGGTTGTTGAGGTGTCGGTGTTTCGATGTTGATTGAGAACGGCGCGGAATTGGCATCCTGAGGTGCTGTTGTGTTCGAAGGTCGTGATTCAACCCAGATCACATCATCCTCGACGTCGGATTCATATGTCTTCTGAAGTGTGGCGGAGGTTGTTTTGCCGCGTTTGAGCTTCTTCTTTGCAGGCTCTTTGGCGGCTTTCTCTTTCTTTGTCTTTGGGGCATCGGCGGGCTCGCTCTCTTGGTTGGGGGCATGGAAGGTGTCGGATACTACCGTGGTTGTTTCATTGGCAGATCCTTTAGATTCGAATCCGTTGGGGATAGACTGGGCATCGTCGGGTTGGTTCTCTGGGTTGGCAGTAACTCCATTTGCCTCAGTGTTCTTTGCGTTCTTCGACGGTCGACCTGGCTTGCGCTTTTCGGGAACAGGCGGCTGTTCGATAGCCTCGGGCCCAACCGACTGTGCCAATTCATCATCCCCGTCCACGTCCGGGAGACTCTGCTTCTTCGGCCGGCCTCGCTTCTTCGCCACGGCGGGAGGTTCAGCTTGAACCGGGAGAGAAAGCTCGTCCACACTTGTCGGAGGCTGCTGGGGCCCATTCGGACTGAGATTGTTATCGCTGATCGATCTGCTTGACTTTGCGGCAAGAATAGACGAGTTCGGCTCCGTGTCGTGCGGCGAGGATATCGTGCCTTGCGTAGAGTTCCACCGCCGTGGACTTCTCTGGATGGCCTCGGTGGGTATCGTTTGGTGGGATTTGAGGGTAGTGTTGTTTTCGGAGTATGTGCTTTCTGATGGCCGGAGGGATGATTCGAAGATATTGTAGGATGTTGCGGATTGCGTGTGGTCGTAGCTTGGGAGGCTAATGTTGTGGTTTACTGTGGGCGCATAGTGCTGGTAATTGTCTGAGTTGTCCAAGTAGTCATGGCTTGGTCCATCCTCGGCTGGGAGAGAGACGTATGAGCCGGGTGGTGTGGTCATTTGAATATGAATCTCTGGCTGTTGAGGGGCAATATATTGATCGTTGTTTTCGTTCAAGCCGTACGCCTCTGATGGACCGAGTCGCGCTGATCCGTGCTGAGCTTCCTCGTCGTCGAATAATCGCTGCTGCGCAAGTCCAATTTCAGTCATCATAGTCCCTAGAACATGTCAGAATATATCAGTTGCCGGTTCCAGACAAATCAATCAGCTAGGACATGCAGCGCATCTCACCAATTGACCCACCCCCCGCATTGGTAGGAATCCATCGTTCTTCTCGCTGCTGCTGTGAAGATGCTGTCCCCACTTGTTCGCCTTCCTGGGATGCCAGGAACTGGTCAAAATTGACTGCAATCTGGCGACTGCTATCCTCGTTCAGCGGGTCGTTCGACGTGTCTCGGTAGCTGGCTCGATGGTCGCTTTGGTGGACGACGGGTGGGGTGTGCGCGCGGGGCGGCCGCTCCTCCAACAAGGGATCATCCTCGTCATCGGAATCTTGGATTACACGATCGAAGGACATTAGGAGGATGCGATTGCGACAATTGACGGGAGTGGTTTGTAGGTCTAAGCTGCGACGGGAATGAGGAGTCGGAAGAATTGCTTATCTCCCTCTCGGCACGCGTCGTGGGCCACCATGACGCGCAGACACGTGATGATAAGGCTTCCGTTCTTGCTACTAACGAGGTGACTTTGGATGCCTTGCTCAAAGCTTCTATAGACAGTATGGTATTATTGTAAGTGAATACATGACATAAATCATTCCATGGTGCTCTGCGGCCGCATCACTCCTCTGGCGAAGAATTCGCTGACAACCCCGAATCGATCTTTCGACCGTTGAAGCTCCCCCTTGAACAGATCATGCTGGTCTGCCGATTCTACCTGGCGTTTTCGAATTGCCTTGATGGTCGAGTTCTGCGGTGCACACGTTGGACACTCCGCATCATCGTCCACCCTGTTCAAACAACGTTGGTGGAAAGAATGTTTGCAGAGGAAGTGAACCGTCGGAAGGTCGAGGGATCCCCCACAGGACATGCACCGACGAGCCTGGAAGACAACCGGCTTAGTGCCCAGTTGCTCGAGTTCCTTTCGTTTGTTCTCAGTTTCCGTGCTGTAACTGGATATGAGTCGGCGATTCTATAGAACTTGTTAGCTCTGAGTAATGAACCTGAAAATAAAGGGAGACCGACGCTCGATATGTCTTTGCGCTCGCGCTCGATGTTGTCACTCAGGTACTTCTTCACCCGGCCCATTGTGACAACTGCATTGTTGCTGAGGGTTTGAATCACTTGGAGCGGCGACATTAGGCCATCATCGTCGATTCTCTTGAGGACAACGTCTAGCTCATCCCCAGCCTCTTCCAGAATTTTGGGGCTCGACGCGAAGTAGGTCAGGGCGTCGACATAGAGATGGGGTTCCTCCGGTCCGTATTTCTTCAAGGCCTTGATGGCACCATGTGTGTCTTTGGCGGAAGTGAACGATCTGAAAATATCCGAGCGAAGGCCTTCTTGCTCCCGCACCAGGGTTGACCCTTCTCGGAAGCCGGAAAGGTCGGATAACAGTAGAACATTGGAGGTGGAGATGGGAATCTAAAGAGTATCAGCAACCATGAAACAAAAAGAAAGGCTATGGAGCTTACATCCTTGCCCTCAATCAACTGTTTAGCCTTGGTCTCCCATTTTTCCTTCTCCCCGGCGCCCTTCTTCCGATTGGCAGTGTCCAAATACATTTCGAAGAGCGTCGTGTATAAATCCACCTTGTCGTCCTTCTTCACATCATCCTGACTGATGAGCGCTTCTAGGAAAGCGATGAATTCTTGTGGGTGTCCAACAAAGGCAGAGAATGCTGTTCGAGGTTTGGGGACCTGATACTCCGGCGTTTGCTCAGCTGTCTCCTCCGGGGCTGTCGGTGCCGTTTCAACTGCATCTGCTCGTGTGCCCTTGGTGCTCATCAGAGAGAGAGGAAGAAAGGCCGCCAGGTTCTGTAAGGTACTGCCTGACTGTGCCTGCGGCTCCGCTGGGAGTTCGACTTCTGTTCGTGGCTTGAATTGCCCCTTGTAGTACTCGATAAAAAGATCGGTGGTTCTCTGCGGGCAGTTCGATAGTAAGACGCGCGCATATTTCATGAGGTAAGGATGTGCCTTCAATGTATCAGCCGTAGCTCTTGCAAAAGTTCATTTGAACGTACCAGCTCAGGATCGAGTCGCCAGATGTACTCCACTGCCTCTGCGTACTTCTTGGAGTCCTCGACCAGTATATCAACAACCATCTCATTTTCACCATACTTGGTAGCCAGGTAAGCAGCTTGTTCGTAGTAGCCTCCTTGTCGGCACATCGCAATGGCAGTTTCCAGGTCGAACTTCAGCTCGCCTGGGGCTTTGATAAAAGCATCTAATTTGCTGGTATCTTTCAGCTTGGCGTAGCAATTTAAGAGCAGAGTCGTGTGATCCACGGTAGCTCGATCATGGTCGTGTAGCTCTTCGAGGTATTCGATCAAGTTGTGAATGCGCTGAGTGTCGAGATACTGGGGCCAAAATTAGCGCATGTCAGAAACATGGGATATGACAGCTCCGTACCTTTCGAATGACTTGTGATGGCTCCGTATTATCAATAGCCCTGAGGTACTGCTGCATTGCTGTGTCATAATCACCCCTCTGGTAGAGAAAGTCACCATATTTGCGGTAAATGGTGTTCTGCTGTAGATTATCAACGCCGGTCTTCTGGGCCAAGTTAATCGCTAGAATATAAAGATTGCGCTGGTAGAGAATTTCAAGCTTTTGCTGAAGGGTCTTTTCGCGGTAGCGAAAGATCTGGATAGCGTTAGTGGAGCTAAAGACCATTATACCCGGCCTACATACCTTTCCATCCGTAGTGAGGAGAAACAAATCTCCCCATTCGATGAAAACCTGCTTCACCGAAGACACGAGGGACTCGGAATGGGCAATGAATTTGAGATCCGTATCGAGCAGCGTGAACGTTGTGGTCGAGAAGATATCTTCGGACTGATTCACCCCAAAGTTTCGCAGAGAGTCTGACTTCGAACCTCCAACCTTCGGAGGGCAAACCAAGGCAAGATAATCCTTGAAGATGTTTAGCGAGCTTTTAAAGCTCTCAAATGCATAGCTGGGACCACGCCCGTGCGGCCCGTATGTGTATATTGCATCCTCCCTTGCAACAAGAATATATCCCGACTCCTTCTCCAAGGACATGCACCCAAGGGCGCAACCCGTATCCTCTAGGACGCGCGCTGGCTGGCCCTGTCCTCGCCCAGCGATGATCAAGGCCAAAATCCGGCTTGTCGTAGAGATATAGAGGGTTGCGATTTGTCCGTGCTGCACCTCCAGACCGGTTACCGGCTCCTCCGACTCGAAAACAATGCGTTGTCGCGCGCCACGATCGTGGATCAAATCGCCGCGAATGATCGCGACGGAACCGTTGGCGAATCCGACCGCGACCTGCGAAAGGTCACTGAGCGCTGCAAATGCCGATATCTGTCCAGGTATATTTAGAAGTAATTTCTACACTCATCTCCGACAGTCACACATACGGGAAAGAGTCTCCTTGCATTCTGGATGGACGTTGTCGACAAGCATCGTGGCGCCCCCGTCTTCTTCTCCGATTTATCAAGCGCCCAGACTTTAAGAATGGGTTCATTCAACAAGTCCTCCGCGATAGTAACCAGAAGCGAAGAGCCCTCGATTTGTCTGATATGAGTGATGGATCCGGCGTCTGATGCCTTGAATGATCGGACGGTTTTGAAGCCCGACGAAACGATGTGAACATGGCCGTCAGCGGATCCGAGGAAGAGGTTGGCGGAGCCGGTGCAAAGAGATGATATATCAGTCTAGCGTAAGAGAATTACCCCAGGTCAGCACATTGAGTAAAACCAGAGGGCGACAGAGCAGCGCGTACATTGAACACCGACGCACTCTCCTCCGGCAGCTTGACGGGAGAGACGTCGAAGAAGTTGAAAGCTTTCCACTGCAGCGAGACGAGTCAGTAAGCACAAATGGGCGGTAGAGGCAGTGTGAGTAGCCCATACTGATGTCAGAGCCATTTGGTCGTGGCCCACGCCATAGACCGATCACAGCAAGATGGATGAATCGATACCGACGGGAGTTGCGGCCTCCAAATGTCCAGGTGTGGCCGTTGCGGAGCTCCGCCGCACTAAGGCCCGGAACGGCTGCCAACGTCATTCGCGATCCCGCCAAGACTGAGTACCTGAGGCCTTCTATTTGGGTCTACTACAACTGAGTAGCGAATGACGGAAGTACTTAGAACAGTACGATAGTTTGATACATGTTCGTCGTAGAATGATATTCTATCTCCAATATATGCACAAGGAATGTGTCGCTTCTAAGTACAGCAAGGCCAATCAACAGAGTGCGATTCTCCCGCTGTAATGCAAAATATGTCGAGTATTGATCGATCCCAAAAAAAAAACAATAGTAGGGAATAAACGAGAAAATGAAATAAACCGAAATAAGACCCCAAGACCGGAAGACCAGCTTCTCCATGACAGCTTCACCCACTAAAAAAAAGTTTCTCCAGGTTTAGCCAGTGTCACTCATGCCATATAAACATCGTTGAATGGCTAGCTTATCCCGCCAACACCTAGCCCGGCTTGTCGCTCCCTGGATGGTGATGGCCCGGGCTTTGTAGTTCGGCATTGACTAATTTCTTTGTTGATTTCGAAGCTCTGCTGTAGCCAACTTCCAGCTTCGGCGATGGCCTGGCTAAGATTAAAGGTCTCTGCAGCCGGGAACCCATCCTGTGCATCCTGAGCTGTGGGTGGGGTAGTGCCCGTCAAGGTCATAGGTAAGGCGCTGTGTTGGGTATCGACACGATGGCTTTGAACGGAATTCGGGACTTTCTCAATGCGAGAATCGAAAAGGAATTCGTTGTGCCTGGGCGACGTAGGCGACGTGTCGGCAAAACTGCACGTTTTTGCCTTCTTGCTGCCTGGCGCACTGGCGGGCGTCAAGATGCGCCGATACTTCTCCTTTTTGTCGGTGCTGAACGTAAAAGGCGTCACGGCGTCGATCATGCCTTGCGTGCTGATCATGTGCGCACCAGCCATACCATCCCCCCCGTATCGCCGAGACTCTCCAGTATGGTAGTCGGGCGTGCTTAGTCGGTAAAAGGGCGTGATGTTATTTGGAGGGGGTGAGATGGATCGAGAAAGATCCGAACCTCGTCGTTTTAGGGCCGGCGTTTCTGAATCGTGATGTTGGCTTTCAAGGTCATTTTGAAAGGACTGCTGGGCGAGGAGAAGCGCAGCTTGCGTTGAGAACTGGTGATCGGGAACAGTGTCCCCGCCATCCTCTGTGCCACCCTTTGGAACTGCCGTGGAATGTAATGATGTCATGTAGCCAGAAATCGCTGGATTTTGTTGAATGATCTGGGCGGAGGGCAATCTTTCGCTTGTATCTTTCGATTGATTGTTGGTTGATGGAGCCGGGTCTGGATGTGAGACGGGTACGCCTTCAAACGTCTTGGAACCGAAAGTCAGCGTATTGGACTCTTGCGGATTTGTCTCGTCTTCTGTTTGGTTCTGCCTGCTAGATTGTGCCGACGGTTCCTCTTGTGGTACCCGATCCGACTGATCTGAGGATTTTGCTGGTTCGACAACAGGAGGGATGCCTGCATGTTCCCGATCCCCGATGCTTGCAGTGGCTTTAGTGTTACCATTCACTTTAGGAGTCGCAGACCGGCGCTTCTTCCGACGGAACTCAAATTGAGGTAGATGGGAGGACGAGGAAAGAACACTGAACGATGTCTCCTGATCTGCACGCCTGGAATTATTTGGAGGCACATTAGAATGAGAAGTGCGCTCTCTGCTACCGGAAGGTATAGACTTTTTGGCCGAACCCAGACGGTGGGCCGAATGGGACACAGTATCAGGCGTTGCGATAAGTGACCTGCCGTTCGGACGAGGCGTCGTTGTCCTGTGACTTTCGGGCCCGGGAGATTGGAGGTGGCTTGGAGAAGAGACAACTTTAACTGCACGCCTCTTGGATCCATGGTGACGGGATGAGATTTTCGATGTAGGGGATGTAGGTGGGTCGAAATTGTGAAACTTAATCAGGCGGTCCCGATCCTTTTTCAGCCAGCTTTTATCGGTGCCTCGAATTGGAGTTGAGTTGTCTGAATTCAGTATCGTTCCGATTGTCTTTGCCTTGGCTTTGGGGATAGAAGCGGGCGTGGCCAACTGTTCACGACGTAGATCCTGTACGGGCCTAGGGCATGACGAGCTGCCATTCACCTCGGACACGACTTTCTCGCGTCTGAGAAGGGAGCCACTGGAATTTGAAGGCGCCGTAGAAGCTTGAGATTGGCGAATCTCTTGCGAATCGGGGGGTTGTCGCCGTTTCCGCGGGTTTGTTTCTTGTATCACCGGGCTGTCGGTCCCCTCTACCCCTTTACGAGTCTTTCGGTTATTATCCTCCGCATGCCCAGATTGCCTCCGGGTTTTCCTCCACGGATTCTTCCATTGTTGGTCATCAAACGGCCCGCGCAGAGAAGCCGAGAGGATGAATAAAGGTTGGCCCTGAAGATAGGCCCCTGCCAGCTTCTCGATCCTGCGGCGTTGCGCGGCACGGGCCTCGCTGTCTAGCTCATCGTCAGAGCCAACGATTCCGTCACTATCAAGGTCGGCGGACGAGGGGGGGCACGTTTCCAAGGCGAGCGGGGAGGTGGACCGACGAGGTGGCATCTGGAATGGGAATAAGCGGTGCGGTGAGGATTTAACGGATGGGACAGGTTTCAGCGCAGCAGCAGCGAGATGACGGCGGCTGCATCTGAGCTACTGAGGGACGGGCAGCACGCAGAGGACGCAGGAACTGGATGGAAGTCATCTGGAAAGGAAGATTGGTGACCTATCCAGCGCCCGAGTTCACGCGAAAGCGAAAAACCACTTAACGCGTCTCCCCGCGACGATTGCCGGGCAACGTGGGCTTATGTAAGTTACATTATTCATATCCTTATTCAGCTGTGCACTGTCTTTGATTTATACTGTTCATAAATAGTGGCCTTGGCTTCCAGGCAGCATTCATCCATGGATCAACCTCTAATCCGTGGTTCTTTCATGTCACTACCTTCATATACTCCGCAGATAACTATGTACTCCGTATATGAGCTGTTTCTCGTGGGCCTCCCAGTCCTTCTAGTGAACTCTGGTTCCTGGCGCCCCTCGCGTCCGGGAAACACGACAAGTGAAACCGCATGGGTGTCGAGGGAGGTACCGGGTACTAGCAACGTGCTGAGCCCAAGGGCTGCAAAATAAGTACCCGATACTTGGTGCTTGGGCCGAGAAGTGCCAACTCATCCTTGCGCGATGCGGTGTAGGGAGGATGGAGTCAGGATGCAAGGATGAAAGGCACCCAAGGGATGCCAAACAACAGGAACATGCTGCAAACAAATCTCCATGCACATGGCAAGGGTTGAATTATCCAAGTACTCGAACAGTTGGATTAACGATCGAGTACGGAGTAGTCCTACTCTCTATACTCCGGTACTCCTGGACGGGGTTGCCCCGAGCACCCGCCGGTGATCGATCGAGCCCCGTTCCACTTTAATTAATAACAAGATCAAACAACCTCGTTCATTATACTCCGTTCTCCCCTCTTCCATTATTCCTGCACCCGAATGTCCCCTACAATTTCCCTCTCATCAATTGTCTTACATATTGTTGCAGCTGCATGGTGTATCCATTCAATGATTTGCGTATATTCTTTTCTATTCTTAGTTTCTTCTATGTTTGTGTTCACACGGGGGCTTTGTGATCGCGAACACGCGCCGAGCTCATCTTAGGCCCTGCAGTCGCAAATCTATTTATTTAGAAAATCGCAAAGATGGGGAATTCGCCATGGCTCGACAGTCTCTCCGACGACTGGGTGCCAGTGCCTGCGACGCCCACCAGCCCGGCGCCTTCTCGCTCCATCGGCCACTCTCGTCGCTCCAGCCTCCAGAGTCTCCAGAGTTTCCAGGGCTCTCCTAGTCGCATTCCGGTCCCCGCGCGTCGCTCCGTCGAACCCTCCCCAATCAACGACCCTAAGAAAAAAGTGTCTCGCCCTTGCCATTTCGTGAAACGCGAACCGCCGACGCCCAAAACCCCGCGCACCCCCAAGACCCCCTCCAAGTTGCGATCCCCCGTCCCCGACAAGACGAAGAAGAGCCCCAAACCGAACCTGCCCTCGGGGCGTAAACAACCGCCCGCCAAACAGCCGCCCGCCATGGACACCAGGTCCCCCCTACGATCGGTCTCGAACGTGTCCAACGTCTCCGGCCAATCCGTCCAACACGACACCGTGCAAGTACGACCCAATAAAGGGAAAGGCAAGGAGGGCACCCCGGAGTGGCGACGGAGGTTGGTCCAGGGTGAGCTACAGGCCGGTGAACAGCGCGACTTATTCGCTCCCATCGGACTAGAGAGCGTCTTCAAGCCTCCAACGCCGCGCGTTGAGAAGGCGGAGCATGAGATGATTCCGAACATGACGCAGCCGGACAATGTGTGGGATTTCAGCGACGCGCCCGATAAGAGCTACGATGAACAAGGAAGGCACTCATTGTCCGATACGCACAATGGGCATGGTCTGGACAATGGTGATTCCTTTGTTGAGGAACCGAAACCATTGCCGAGGAGACCGGAATCGCGCGACAGAGCTAACTCCCAAGGAAGCCCGCAGTCGTCGCGCACGGGCACGTTGGACATTAAAAAGAGCGCGCACTTGCTCGATGCCGATCAACACGACGCTTCGCAGAACGATACCCAGATGAGGACGGCCAGTGGTCTCGAGGATCTTCGCAACGAGGGGATTACGCCTATCACGTTTTCGCGAACCAACACCGTCGATGGAAACGGGACGTCGGAAGTCATCAAGTCCGCCCTGAAGCAAGTCACGAACAAACTCGAACGACTATCTATGGCGCCGGGAGAGCGCCCGGACTCAAGGGCAAGCGACAGCATACTCTTTAACACGAAGGTGCTCAATGCCATGGAAACTTTGCCCGACGACGACCTGCTCGACGTTACCAGCAATTCGCTCCCTCAGGACCTCTCCATGGGCACCTTGGACTATCGAGGTCGCGGAGCTTTTGCGAATCTGGGCCGCGATCAGTACGCGAGCGACGCTTCCTTCCACAAACGTCGATTTTCCCCGCCGTCCTTTCCTTCGCAGCGCCTGTCGCCGTTCATCCCGCCATACTCCAGAATCCGAAGCTCCCCACCGTTCTTTCAGAAAGCCCACCCCGTGGCTGATCCTCCGACCCTTCCTCGACCTTCGTCGGCGCATGTCAAGACTTCTACGTTTGATCAATTTGAGGCGGACAGGAGCGAAGTCATGCCGTCCTCGGGGAGTCCGCTGAAGCTGTTTGGAAACCATGACACGTTCACGAATAATAGGCTCCTGCGTCGTATGAGCCAGTTCGAGGAAACATTTGGCGAGGTCTCCGAAGAAGACGAACCGGTTTCCCCTTCGGAAGAAGCTCGTCGCAAAGGAGAAAACAGAAGCTTCTTGAACGTCAAGCAGGACACATGGGGTGACCAGTCTGTTCGAAAGAGCGAGCGGCCCAGATCGCGCAACGCGGCCAAGCTTCGTGTTAGTCGATTTGGTGATGGTGAACTGGATAATTTTGATTTCTCCGATACAAGCCCTTATGAGCCGAAAATGCTGAATCACGATGCTCCGGATCCCGATTCGCAAGCTTCTTCACGTCGGCGGAGATACCTTCGTCGCAACTCATCCAAGACACATACCTACGACTACGACAGCGACAATTCGAGATCAGCCGGGAAGGTGGATTCACTCGCAAGGTCAACCCCACCCCCCGATGTGGACCATACCCAAAAACAACGAGCTTTCTCAAATGCAACCGAGGAAGCGTCCGAGGTGCAATGGGCCCCTAATACACCCGCAAAGGACCCAACGCCGAAGAGGCGCAGGACATTCCTGAGATCCCATAGTTCGAGGAAGCAGGACGATCTCGGCGCGGACGATAGACAGAGCCAACAAGCGGACACCCTTTCGTTACTACAGCGGAGTCTGATGCAACATGGGGTGAGGGATGAAGTCGATGGCTCTCTGCTTCGACCGCAGTCATCGCAACGACCGAGGACACCGACCCCGAGTCAGAGGTCTTCCACGAGAAAGAGGTCCTTGCCGAGTCGGGATCTACCACCCGGTGGGCAGGATGAATTTGAGCCCGAAGGATCTCCGGCGGATGGGGCTGTCCCCGTAGTTAAGGTGACCGGCGTCAAGGAGGAGGTTCGGAAAGGGTCAATCACAACTCAGGATTTTCTGAATGAGGCCACGAAAATCATGGACATCATTCGATCCAAGGGCAGAACCGCGCCGGGAGGACTGTCTAGTGTGGAAGAATCCGACAATGAGGATAATAACCAAAATGAAAGCTACGAAGATGAATCGACCCGGGAAGAATTCTCTCGTCCTCCAAGCCGGGAGGGTGCGGATATACGCAAATTGAGGGAACCCCAGGAACCGAACCCACGCATTTTGAGTCATTTGAAAAAGTTCCAGGAACAGGATGAGCTGGACTTTGACGTCAACGCCTCTGTCATGTCGTTACATCTTGATGATGACGAAGACTCAAGCCCTCCCCTGCACGGGAATCAGACCGACGATAATCTCGGTAATCTGCCGACCCAAGGAACCGACCAACACGAGCGTAAGCTTTCCGACCCTACAACGGTTGAAGAGGATGATAGCCTCCCCGAATTGATGACCCTCAACACGCAAGTGTCTGGCAAGAGTTTGAGCGCCCGTTCTGTCCCCACTGGATCCTCACAGAGCTCACATGCCAAAGGCGTCCTATCCTCCGACTTGGTATCTCACCTGATTCCTGAGCAAGTCAACGGATTAACCTACGACCGTTACAAGCACTTGTGGGTCAAGGAGAAACCGCCACCGTCGCCTGAGAAGCCGAAGGGAGACGAAAGCGAGGACGACCCGTTCAGGGATATCCCCGACCTTAGTGTTGACGAGCTGCAGGAGATGATGATGTCTCCGGAGCGGACCAAAACCCCCAACGCTTTCGAAGATAGCGCCGCTGCTCAAAGCCCACTCGGCGCTAAAGCTACCTCCCCCAAGACGGCGGCACGACCGCAGTCCAAGGATGGAGAACCGTCCGTAAACGCCAGCTCCGCGCAGTCGAAAGTCTCCCGGGACTCGTCTAGCTTGCGAAATTCTGGGACTCGAGCCACATCTTGGATCTCGGATCGCCCGAAGAGCAGAGACATCTCTAGTGAGGTTGAACACGAAATTCAGCTTCACGAAGGTCGGTTATCAAAGCCTCCTCGGCGCCAAATTAGTGGCAACAACCAAGCACGAGTTGTCACTATTAGCTTTTCGTCCCCTCTAGTTTCGCAGATCGCTTACAGCGATAACGAGAGCCCTACGAAGCTTCGACGAGAGATGATCACCGATGGTGCGCACAAATCGATCGGATCTGAGAATGCATATGATTGCCAAGAGCACGATCAGTCCGACCAACCCTTCCCCAAACGTTCTATCTCACGTATAGACGAGACAGGGGAAGAACCCGCCGATGATTTGAGTCTGGTACGGAGGGACTTTGGATACCCGATATCGACTCCAGTCAAACAGTCCGGTGATCACTCTTTGGTTCATTTCAGGAATAACGATCATGATACAAGCTACAGCTTTCATCTAAGCCCTCTTCCCGATTTCACACTGGATCAAATCGATCAATCCCTACAGCTGGAGATGAGCTACGTGGCCCAGCGCACGCACCCTACGTCCCTGCGCCAGGTTCATGGCACATTCGCTTTAGCGACTGAGAAACTGGTCAAACATATCACCGAGGTCCAACCTTTTGAGCCCTACTGGGAGCATGTCCGTCGATTGATCCTTCGTCATAAAGGGTTGATTACACTTCACAAACTCTGTGATTTCTGTCCTCGTTTAGAGGATCTGGATGTGTCCAGTAACAATATCGGGCAACTGAGCGGAATACCCTCAACCTTGAGAACGCTAAAGATTCAGTACAATTGTCTCTCCAATTTGACTGCGTGGGGACACCTTGTCAATCTTCAGTATCTGGACGTTTCGGGCAATGACCTAGAGAGCCTGGATGGATTTAGCAGCTTGATTCATCTCAGAGAGCTTAACGCGAACGACAACAGGATTCGAAACATTAGTGGCGTGTTCGAGCTTAACGGACTCTTGAGTCTGAAACTGAGAAACAATGACCTGACGGTGGTTGATTTTGAAGGATCCGAATTGTGAGTCTCTATGGCCAGTCAGTACCCTTCTGCGTGATTAAAACTGACAGTTCCCGAACAGAACCCGTCTACAAGAATTAGATCTCTCTCATAACCACATAACGTCTGTTCGTGAGATCGATACTCTTACCTCCCTTTCCACGCTTGACCTCAGCGCCAACCAAGTAAGCGAGCTCGGCTTGTCGGAGTCTCTCCCTGCCCTGCGATCGCTGAAGCTCTCGAACAATAAGCTGCACAACCTGGATGCCAGCTTCTTCCCATCGTTGTCTCTTCTCTACGTCGATCAAAATTCCCTTACCACGGTGTCCGAGCTTGGCCAATGCCACAGCTTAGATGTCTTTTCTGCGCGGGAGCAAATGCTATCGAATGATCACAATGCCGGGTTTTTTGACGTGGACCTTGGAGTGGTCAAAGATATCCGCAAAGTATTCTTGTCTTCGAACAAACTCTCTCTGCAAACGCTTTCCCCATCAGTGCCTCTCCTGAGTTTACAACTGCTCGATGCTGCAGCGTGTAGCATCCAGACTCTTCCCGTGGATTTTGCATTGAATTTCCCCAATGTTAAGGTCCTAAACCTGAACTTCAACTCCCTGTCAAGCATAAATGAGCTGGTTGGTGTCAACTGTCTCTCTCGCTTGGCGCTTGCTGGCAATTGCCTGTCAAGGTTGAGAAGACTCTGTCAGGTCCTGAGCCGGCTCGGCCGAACCAACAAGGCAAAGGTCTCCACCCTCCAGAAGTTAGACATCAGAGGAAACCCATTGACTCTCCGGTTTTATCCTCACCCTGTTAGGGGCAACGGAAGACCTGAGAGTCCAAGGAAACTGGAAGCGACGGAGACTCAGCCAGCCCGATCGGACCACGTCGGCTTGGATCTCTTCTCTGTGCTGGCCGATTTTGGGCGCCGTGAAGAGATGATCCAGTCCGCCATTGGCGAAGACGACGACGATATCCCGAAAAAAGACGTCGAGATCGATGATCCATATACCCTTCCACCGGCTGATCCCCAAGCAGATCAGAAATACCTGGCCCATCTGGACGAGCCGACTCGACTTCGTCGGAGAGTTCTGGAGCTAATGCTTTTTGTGGGAACTGGGGGTTCCGTCAAGCTCTTGGACGGCTTGGAGCTGCGGCCAGCTCTAGAGGAAGGGTCCGACATGGATCTTGCCTGGACTAAACTGGAGAAACTGGGCGTGCTCAAGAAGAAGGCAATCACTGCATAGTTGGGTTAATCTAAGGGCATCGTCGGTGAAACCTTTTCTTGTGAAGATTCAAGGGTGACATTTTGCGTTTCAGGCGTTGCTTAAGGGCATACTTGTCCTCATTTGAAAGCTATGGAGAAAATTGCGGGCGTTGGTCTTTTATTCTGTGATGGATGGATGGATTGGTGGATTGTTTGATTAAACTTGCATACCCGGCGTTTGTTGTCTTCTGGGCATTATTCATGGCACATTGAGCGAGGTCACATTTGGATTATACATGAGCGACCTGTTTTTGTTCTTTTTAGTATACCTTTATTGTTGTGAAAATCGAGTTTTCTTTACTTTTCTACTTCCTTGACCTTGGGCACATAGGTATTCATGCATTGCATGTCACTGCTAGTAATCAAAAGACATAAAATTCATCTCCGTTCATTTTTCGCTATCGTAAAACTAGTCATTGACGGGTTCTTCATTCCCTCATTGAAGGCCACGGCCACCATTCGCATCTTTCCATTGATGACCCCTCCACGATTTAAAAGTCCGTATCCAAGCTCTTCAACTGAGTCGCAAACGTCTTCCGGACCCATTCCATATAAGCCTTCCATTTATGGTTATCCGCGGAGGTCTCAGCGTTCGGGAACGCCTTGCTCAGTTCGCGAGTGATCTTGAGGACGCCGTTCGATGCTTCCTGCGCCTTCTCGATGTCCTGCTTCACCGCGTTGTCTTTGAGTTTGAAGGATAGGACGACACTGTAGCGTTCTGAGAGGGCGTCGAGGTATCGTTGTGTTTCTTCGGGGGCTAGCGTGATGAGCTTGGAGGTCATGAAATTGCTTATGGTGCGGATGTCTTGCTCGTCGTCGATTCCGGCGAGGATGCGGTCGAAGAACTCCGAGACGTGGGAAAGTGAGAAGGCGGTGTCTAGCGAGGCGTAGAGGGTTTCGTAGGCGCTCTGGAGGTTGGTGTTAGTTTGGGATGTTCGGGCAATGCTGGGTCGGGGAATGGAATAGGTTTACCTTGCGCAGTTCAAGGCCGTCGTCGACCTTGTGCTTGAATGGACCCATCTGGACTTCACGGATGAGTTCGGGTTTGATCTGCGTGTCGCCAAAGACTGCCGGGAGGAGCTCGTTGAGATGAGGAAGGATGATGTCCATCTTGTTGTGGAGAGCAGAGTTCAATGTGGTCAGAGCAAGACGGTGGTTGCCGAGGTCACGATCGCTGAGCATATTGACCAGCAAGGGTACAATCAGCGGTCGGAGCACATCGTTATAGGTATCCCTCGAGTCGGACAAGGTGTAGCGGAACGCAGAGATGACGACGCCGCGAATACCGGCATCTGAGCTGGACAAGTATTCCTGTATTTGAAAAAGGAACCATCAGTCGTAAGTCGAAAGATAAAAGGAGACTGTGCGTCTTACCTGGAAATGGGGAATATAGGCAACAGGGTCAATCAGCGCCAAGCGGCCAACGCATTCCGCACCGACAGCACGGTTGTCCTCCTCTTCTGAGACAAGGAGGAGAGCCTGCCAGAGTTTGAGAGCCGAAGGAGCCACGTCGGGGCGAACAATTTCGGGATGCTGAAGCAACTCCTTCACCGAATGCAGGAGCAGGTAGCTTTGGGGGTTCGACTTGTCCAGGCCATTCAGGATCGTGGGCAGGTAGGCATTCACGTTACCAGCAGCAGCATTTCCAAGAGACGCGGCCGAGGCCAGACGGACCTTGTCGGATTTGGAGTTGAAATGGTCGATGAACAGGTCTGGTGTTAACGAGCACTTGGATCCCATCCGAAGGCCGACTTCTCCTAAGATGGCAAGGGCAAGACATTTGCGTTGAGCATCCTGTGCGGTCTGTAGCTCTTTCAAGAAATCCTCCATCTTTACACCCAACTTCGGTCCACCATGGACAACAAGAGTACCTATGGCCCGCCCGACAACGGAGGTGTCGCCGTTGATACCAACGTCGCGTAGCAACCGTCTCATTAGATCGGCCCCGGCCTCTTCCTCCCCGATCACTTTGACGAGCAGCAAGAGCGCCTTCAGGACGGTACCAACTAGCGACGAAACAACAATCGAGCATAAAGCGGAAACCAACCCCTCGTTGACCAGAAGCTGTGCGTTTCCAGGCACAAGCTTCGCTAGGATGATGAGGGCAGGTGCAAGGAAATGGAAATCCTCGGCAGTAATCAGAGGCAGCAGCGAATCTTCTAAGTCCTTCATGGTCTTGTTATCGTAGTGGGCTCGAGTCTTGGGGTTCATAGCTAGACTACGGAGAGCTTCCAAGCTGGCACCCCGGAGCACGCGATCTGACTTCCGCAGCTGGGCAGCGAGTTCCGCAGTAACTTCGCTGACCCATGTGGCCGGAACGTCAGCCTCGCGGCTGCACAGGACAGCGATATCGTCCACGGCACGCACCGCCGAAAGTCGGGTGGTCTCATTCCTCAGGCGATCAACCAAGACAAGGAGACCCTTTGAGCGGCGGTCCAGGGAGAGGAAAGACGGTCCGTTGTCCCCAGAGGTTCGGGCTATAAGGACACCGAATACGTGAATGGCCCGCTGACGGACCTCCAGATCGGCGCTCGTATCGGCGATGCGATCGTGGACCACATCGTATAGCTTCTCCAACTGGGACTGCAGATCCTGAGAGGTTGTCGATACCCGGGGCGGGGTCAGAGCCTTGACGATCTGTTCAACGGCGCCAAGGGCCTCGCTGCTGACTTTGTAGTTCCTGTCTTTGACGGATCCGATGACGCCAGGGATCAAGGCGATCAGGAAGGGCAGGAGAGCATCCGACGTGTGTGTTTCGGCAATCGCGGCAATAAGACTCAAGGTCTCGACCTGGAGGGTTCCCGCGCTGACGGCAGCTCCCGCTGGGGCGGACGAACCACCCGACAAGGACGCCGATTTCAAGACGTCCGCGATCGGATCTTCGATCTGCTGGAGATGATCTGCCAGCCCTCCGTAACGAACAAGAGCCAGACTCTTCAGAAGAACGATGATAGCTTGTTTCAAAGGAACAGACGCTTGCTTCCACATCTTAACAATGCTTTGTACGATAATGGGCACCGAACGGGCCAAGTCGGCCTGGGGACCCGACTCGGGCGACGAAGGAGCAGCAACGGGGGTGCCGACCGCGGATGAGGTACCGATACTGGGTTCGAAGTCAATCATATTGGCATCGCTGTCCTGTCGTCTTCTCTTCCTCGAGTTTTTCGATCCGCCGACGGACTCCAAGAAGCCACTCGACGTGATAATCATAGCACCGTCGCCAGTCTTGCGAACCAGAGCTGTCATTGTAGAGACCACCTCCAGCTTCACGCTCTCTTCTCTTTCCTTACTAAACCGGGCAATGAGGGCGGGAGCGATTTGCTGGTACAAGGACGGATTGGTCGACGTGCGGCCGCGCTCGTATGTCGAGATAACGGAGTAGAGCAGCTTTGCAGCGCAGCGACGAACCTTCCAGCTCATGTCGTCAACATCACTATATCCTCCCTCCTCCTCGAAGTCTTCGAACTCGTCATCATCCAGGTCGGGCTCCTCGGTGCCATCGTCCTCCGAACCATCGTCCTGGGTGCCACCCATCTCCTCGTCTTCTTCGAAATCGGCGACATTGGGGTCGTACTTAAGAAATCTGAGAGCTGATTTCACGGTGTTGAGCAGGTAAGGTTGCATCTGTTGGCTGCACGAGCTGATCAAGGCTTCCAGCGTGACGAGAGCGGTTTCGCGGAGCTCGTCCGCCTGGGGGTCGTGCTCGTCATCCGAGTAAGACGACATTGCGTCGAAGAGCAGGGTGATGTCGCAAGCAAGGCAAGTATGCCAATGTGGTCAGGACGGAGGAGATGAAGTCAGAGGAGCTTCAACCAGGGCAAGCTAGCTTGAAAGATCGAGCGAGAATCAACGGGGAAAGAGCTGGAGTGACGGAGAGCTTCCAGCTGAACCCCGCGCTAATCCCAATTGGACTCGGCCCCACGTATCCCCGAGTCTCCGGTCTTGGCATAAAAAATATCAGAAGAACCGAAGTGAAGGGGAGAAAGAAAGAAAGAAAGAGAAAAAGTCCATCGCATTCACTGCTGTAGAAAGTCAAACAGATCCAGTGACGAGGAACTGGACTGTGCCTTTTGTTTGGAAGCCAACAGAGCTTGCAATCCGCCCTGCTTTCGTGCTTTGGCCCGTTTCCTACTGCTTGCATTGTCTGCCGGCTTAACGGGCTGGTTGACTTCTGCAGCATCGGTGACCTGCTTGTCAGGGGATCCTCCTAGAGATGCAGGTTGTGGGGTCTCTAGCTTAGGTTTCGTTGCAACCTTTGGCCGTGCTGCTTCCATTCGAGAGGGTTTGACCGTACGTCGACGACACCGAAGACATTTGTAGACCGTTGCTCCATGAGCAGCAATTCCTTTCGCCGCAGAGGCTCGTTGCAGGCTCTTGTTCTTCTTAACATGAATGGTCTTGGTGGTTTTGGGATTTCTGGCGCTCCCACAAGCACCACAAGAAGTCTCTTGCTGGCGCTGGTTCAACGGCCTGCATTCATCCAGAAAAATGTGATTATGCGCTGTCATTAAATGAGCTGCGGTGGAAGGGCTAATGGCTTTCAAGTGACTAGCAGCGTCCTTGAGAAAGTTGAGCCGAGGATTATGATCACTGAAAGGCATGATAGCAATTGAGGAGTGAACAATGGCACCAAATATTCAATAATGTCTAGCCGTGAGGGAAGGGAGATGTTGATGTTCCTTAGGTATAGATCTGGGCCGAGCAGGTGATAACTGGACCCAAAAAGACCGGCGACCCGCAACGGATCTTCTTCCTCTCTCTTCCTCTTCTTCTTCTTCCCTTTGCATTCACCACCTCCCTCCCTCCCTCTTCCCTCTACCATTATTCACTCTAGGTGTTTCACTTTTCTTGTTTTCGTCGATTTCTTGTAGCTTTTCATTCTTTTCTTCTCGGTTGCACTACTTTCTAGTTTTGCCTCCTCTCCTACACATCTTCAATTCCGGTCTCTTTTTACGGCCAAGCTTAATTTAGCTGTTTACTTATCTCCTTCTCCACACTCGACCGACTAGGCGATCTAACACCTTTGCCTACCGGAATGGAGGCCCCTCCTTCGAACTCTGCTTCCATTCGGGTGGCCCTTGAAGGCTGTGTGAGTTTCTTTCATCTGTTCTCTGTCTTTGCAACAACTTTCCTGGTCCTCGTGACTCGCTGCTAATGCAATATGCACCTCAGGGTCATGGCTGCCTTCATGACATTTACGCATCAGTTGAAAAGTCTGCCGCGCTGAAAGGATGGGATGGCGTGGATTTGCTGATCATTGGGGGAGACTTCCAGGTATGTGCAACCCTGCCGCTGTTATTGTCCGAGCTCTAATGTCTGGCTAGGCAGTTCGCAACTCGAATGATATGGCCTGTATGTCTGTGCCGCAGAAGTACAAAGAGTTAGGTGATTTTCACGAATACTACAGTGGACAACGCACCGCACCTTACCTGACCATCTTCATTGGTGGCAACCATGAGGCTGGTAACCATTTGTTCGAATTGCATTATGGCGGTTGGGTTGCACCGAATATCTACTACTTGGGTGCGGCGAATGTCATCCGCTGTGGCCCTCTTCGCATCGCCGGTATGTCCGGAATCTGGAAGGGTTATGATTACAGAAGGCCCCACCATGAACGTCTCCCCTACAATCGCGACGACATCCAGAGCATTTATCATGTCAGAGAACTTGACGTTCGCAAGCTGCTCCAAATCCGGACTCAGGTTGATCTCGGTCTCTCCCATGACTGGCCAAAGCAAGTCGAGCTTTCCGGCGACTATGAAACCTTGTTTCGAATCAAGAACGGATTTCGTCAAGACTCACAAGAAGGAAAGCTGGGAAACCAGGCGGCAAAATACGTTCTTGATCGCTTGCGACCCGCATACTGGTTCTCTGCGCACCTGCATGTGCGGTTTGTTGCGTCCGTCCAGCATGGTGAATATCTGATCCCGGGAAATCCTGTCAAACGGCAGGCAACCAGCCCTCTTCATACCACCCCGCGAGCTCCAACTGTTCCTTATCCATTCGGACTGGATGGCGCCTTCAACTCCCTTCTGACAGTTGAGGCAGGGGAAGTTCCCCGCCCGCGTCCACGGCCCACGAGAATCGTCCCGGCCGAACCTGAGTTACCTTCTATTCGGGCCAACCAGGAGGAACCGATGGAAACGACTCCCTCCAAGTCCCACTCCGAGCCTACTGAGATTCCGAAAGAGGCCGAATCTCTGAAAGAGACTGAAACTCTGAAAGAGGCTGAAACTCCGGCTGAGCTGCGGGAAGTAGTCAGAACTGAGGACCAAAATGCTGAGAATATCCAGAATCGCACAGCGGCATGGAATGATTTTCACACCGTTGCTGCCAAAAGCGAAGCTGCCGAAAATGCTCGCTACTTACAGGAGCTAGGTCATAATCAAGGACTCGATGCTTCCAATTCGACATACAACCAGACCTGGCGCAAAGTCGTTTCTGACCAGGACGGAACTGGCAGGACTTTGGATAGAATCGAACGGGACAGCAACACCACTATTTCTGGAAGCAAGAAGCAAAAGCTCGAACATGAAGCGGTGAAGAATGTAGACGAAATCGATCTAGATTTGGACAGCGACTCGGAGAAAGAGACTTCCAGCAAAGCTGATGCTAAAAGTGAGCCTCAAGCCGCGCCCAAATCCCCCAAGCTGGATTCTTCTGATCGGGCCGATGAGAACGTTTCCTCCATCCAACCTCAAACTCCTCAAGCTACTGAGTCGGGTGTTTCTGAGGAATTACGCAGCCAATTGCCTGCCAGCTTTGCCCGTCCTGCCCCCCAACCCGAATTCTCCCAGCTCAACGAACCTCTGCCGGATGCCATCTCTAACAAGACAACCTACTTTCTCGCACTGGACAAGTGTCTTCCACAACGTGATTTCCTCCAGTTAGTGGAATTCAACACGATTTCAGACCTGGAGGGCGCGCAGTGTGAGCGCCCTTATCGCTTGCAGTATGATAAGGAGTGGCTTGCTATCACGCGTGTGTTTGACGACCATCTCATTCTCGGAGACCCGCAGGCAAAGGTACCCTCAGACAAGGGTGACGCTTTCTACAAACAGCAGATCGTAGAAGCCGAACAATGGATTGAGGAGCATGTTGTGAAGCCCGGCAAGATGACTATCCCGGAGAACTTCGAGCCTACCGCACCTGTCTATGATCCTAGCGTTCCTATCACCACCGGGGAGATGCCAATTGAATACACCAATCCTCAAACCGCCCAATTCTGCGAGTTGATTGGCATTGAGAACAAATTCCACATGAGCGACGAGGAGCGCCAGGCGCGTATGGCTGCCGGTCCCCGCCCTGAACGTCCCCGTCCTGAACAACACCGTTTTCACCGTCGCGGCGGCGGCGGTTTCGGGCCTGGACGTGGTCGAGGCAGTTATGGACGCGGTCGTGGAGGTGGACGTGGCGGTCGCCGCTAATGCCTTGCGACTTGTCTAGATCCGCGATCGCAATGAGCTCACGATCATTTTTCTTCTATTTCGTGCGCTGTGGGTTTTTGCAGAGGAAACAAAGGCAACTCACTACTCTCGTTAATTCTGTTTTAAAGATGGTTTACTGTCGACCCAAGGCACGGGCTGATCTGAGATCCTGAACTGCTTGCATTTATGGGACGGATGGAATTGATCTTTGAGGGCCGCGAAAATATTCCATCTGCTTTTGTGGACCTACGTTTCTCGCCTCTATTTTCGAATCATGTTTTATTAAAAGTACAAGTGCCTAGAGGGCTAAAGCTAATCTCATCAATGATGTCTCCACCGTCCGGTTGCGATTAAATGCCGTAGATTCATCAATTGGTGTATGCGAAGGATTCCTAAGCGGGGGCAGTCATATAAACATAAACAATTTTGTCGTCAACAGTCGACAAGTCCTATCTTTACTCAATTTCTTCAATCCTCGGACGCCCGCCAGCACCCCTCCCTGCCAACGGATCAACCTGCAGACCAGCGATCCGATCACCTAGTTCGAATCGCGGTTCATCAGCATCATCCCCTTCATGCACCCCGATCCCCCACAGCAGCGCCTTCTCCAACCAAGCCTCCAAGCTCTCATTCAACACGCGAACATGCCCCCGCACAATCGTATCCGTCTCGCGGCTTTCAACGGACGCCAGACTGCGTAGCATGTGCGGTATGTTCCCGACTGTCGTGGGATTTTCGGCGTTCCAGGAATTCCCTGTCCCGTCGTCTGAAAGCGAGAAGCCAAAGCCGATGGCGTTCTTGCCACCCCGCTCGCGAGACGCTTCCATGGCCTTGAGGATGTCCAGGAGGAGAATGGCGCTGGCGCGTCGGAGAATCGCAGACTCCGGGTCTGGTTCTAAGGTCAGGGTTGAGAGCGCCATGTCGACGGCGGACGCGACGACAGAGGGCCCGAGGCCGACGATGTTGGTCTGCACGGCTGTTGCGAGGACGGAGAGTGCCGAGGCTCGAGCTCGCAGGTCGTCTGGTTCTTCGTCCGAAGAAGCTCCCGCGGCCCAGGCTGAGATGATATTTGCCGAGTAGGCGGCTTGTTCGGGGGTCTCGGTATCGGAGTCCTCGTCGTGGAGTGCGGCCTTGGCCTCCTCTTTTTCTTTAGGAGTTAGAGACGTGGTGGAGAATGTCCAGCCTTCCGGCACGGGCGGTTCTCTGTTTTTACGCTCTTCGCGCTCTTTCTGCCGTCTTTCTTTCTCGAGTTGTTCTTTTCGAGACTTGTGGGCTTCCGGCTTGTGTGCTCGTCTTCCGGCAACGGCGATCATGCCGTCGCCGAGAACCTTCGCGGTGTCTCCGGTTAGGGCTTCGCCGAGATCCTGGACGGTGCGCATGAGTGATTCGCCGATTTTCAGTCTTTGGTCGAGCGTGGCGGTCTCGGTTCTGTCGGCGTAACGTTCAACGAGCGTTTTAATAACGGTGCGCGGATGACGCGAAGCGAGCGTGCCAACGAGTTTGATGGCGTTGAGATAAATGAACTCGTCATTGGAGGAAGTTTCAGATGGGTCTGTGATGATGGAAAGAAGTAGAGTGAGTGTGGATTGGATGTCAAGAACGGGCGAGGCTTTCTTGATTAGGTCAGACAACAAAGAAAATCCTTCGGCCTGTACAGGAGGAAGATCGGAGTTCAGATTCGTGAGGGCTCGGCGATGAGTATCGAAATCAGAGATTTCGGAAGACGACTTCTGCTGGCCTCCTTCCGCAGGCGATGCTATGTGGATCTCTAACAGCATAGAGGAGGTTGTTCCTTGTTTTGCGAGTGATGCGGGGAGGTATGTGATGAGATCGTCCAGTCTTCCTTTGATGGTTTCCAGGACTGGAACAGTCTCTTGCGATGCGGAAAATTCAGGTGAGGCGAGGACAGTGGATAGCAGACTGAATACAGCTGGTAATGATTCAGCTGAATTTGCCTCGCCTCTCGACTCTTCGCGTCCACTGTCCTCAGTATCAACGATATTGGCCAGGGAAGAAAGAGACATTTTGGCAGAACTCTGCGCCTTGGCTTTCTTCTTCAAGACATTGGCACTGTTAAGTTCACCGTCTATGATCTGCTTGACTAGCTCAAGGACTCTGAGAGGACGACGAGAAAGAACGTCTTTGAAGTTTTCCAAAAGCGATTCTGCAAGCTTCGCGCTAATTAGTTTCCGCATGATGTCGGCAGAACCATCGTTGTCTTGGGATAGTTGCATTTTATCGGGCATTTGCCCATTAGTCGAAGGCCTCGCCAGCCAATTTTCGCTCACGTAGAGGAAGATATCACCAGTGCGCTCTTCGCTGCTGGGGTCTGCTCCTAACAAACCCACGAAGAGCTTGGTGCGAGACTGTAAAGTATCCATCAGTCTAACAACATTAAACTGATTCTGTTCTTCGGTTTTTCGCTTCGTCAGTGACAGTCCATATCTTTGCTCGATACTGTAGGTCCACGACGAGCCTCCGTCCCACAGCAAATGGTCTACCAGCTTCTTGAGTGGCTGCATCCCCACAGAAATGCCAAAGTATGTCCGTAATATCGTCATAATATTCTCATGTAGTATTGTGTGTTGATGTTCCAGAGCAAAGCAAGCTAGACCCCAAAGAGGCACGAGAATTGGGTAGATAACTCTCTTGACAAGCGCTGGGTTTGGAGGCTGAAGGACCAGGCTTCCTAGCCTGTCGACCGCCCGGCACAACATAGATTCGCGAACAAGAACATGTTGTGCTAGAGCCTCGTCGGTGTCGTTCGTTTGTCTCATCCAAGTCATGGAGGGACCGTCTAAACCTGCCGTGAGCGTCTTGAATAAGGGTTCCAAGAATATCAAGTGGCCGATCGTTCCGGGGGCGCCATATTGGCGCTTTCCAAGGATTCCGTTGCCGACTGTATAGGCAGCGGTTTTCCTCAAGTCGGGGTCATCACCATCAATCAAGGCCAACAACTGTGGAGCAATCGTAGAAAAGTATTCGACAGGGTCCATTCCTTGGGGTACCGAAGACAACAAGCGAGAAGTCTGCATGATCGCTTGTACGGTGAAATGAGGACCATTAGAGGCCGCGGCCTGGGCTTCTTGTCCTAGAGAGGGACTGAATTGTGTTGCCAGGAACAATATTGTCTGAACCAACCCATCTTTACGCAAGGGGACTCGGGAAAGTTGGCTAGAAATTGTATCTTTGAACCATGGAGCCGGGTTGGCTTGCAGAAAATTCGACAGAGTCGACAACAGAACTGAGCTCGGGGTGCTGTGTCTACTTAGCGCACGCTCTCATAAATCAGATAGCGGAACCTACTCCTTAATGACATCCGTAAACACGTTCCGATACCATTCTTTCCTCTCAACTTCCAGGGATTGTGAATTGAAAGCTAATTCTGCAACTCCGCTGATGATATCGCTTAAGATTCGACCACGGACCACGGGTTGTATGCTGGGTCGTGCATCAAGAACTATATCGGACAGCGTCGATATTATACGATCTAGAAGTGGTTCATTCTCAGACGAGTTCTTTGCGGTCTTTGGATCTTGGGCAATAACCCCAGCGGGCAATATAGATATCACTCGCTGCTGCAGGGGAATTCCCACACCCGATGAGAGCGACGGGTACACGCCCTCGATTGCAATCAAGTCCAGGAGGGCATGGAGCAGTCGGCGCCGCTTTGCGTCTTCGCGAGCAGCATCCTCCGCGCTCTGGACGGGCTCCTCGGTATCATTTACAGGCGCGACAAAGGCGCTATGGATACGAGCAAGTATATTCAATGCTCTGTCAATAACGTTGGCTCGCTTAGAGGCATCATCCAATGAAGTGTCAGAAACAGCCTTGGCAAGAATGTCCAAAAGAGAGCTTCCTCGAGACTTTTGGAGTTCCTCTTGAGTCGAGTCAGCGTTGAATTCGTACTGGTTAGATTTGAGATTCACATGCCTCGTTGAAGTACAGGAATCAAAAATTCATCTGCGGAGTCGAAGGCTTCGCGAGCCGCCTGAAGATCACCCATATTCTTCCCGTTTAGTCCTTTACTTCGATTTGATAATCTTCATCATGCGTCTGCAAGTTTTACCTGAACAGCGCTGGAAGAAGTGGATCATCGCAATGGAATGAATTACAAAGCGATGCGGCCAACATCCTGCACGTGACTGAATAGGCTAATCCTCTTCGGGCGTATAGTTGTTGATGCCTTAGGCATTATACCTGGATACAACTGTATTGAGTAGATGAGAAAGGTGAAACAAGATAACTTGTGTTTAGTTTGGAAACCCTTTCTTATCGTTTCCTGTCGGGCATGAATCTCGATTAGAGTATCATAGCAGTATTCTCCTTCTCGTCTGTGCCCTATAAGACACTCATGTGGAAAAATATTTCCGTCTATACTCCGTAGGTCGTGTGAACATTGTTTCCCAGAGAAAGAAAAGGATTGAATTTGAAAACATGTCAAATATGTCAATCAAAAGTATAAATAATGATTATCTCTATATACGATATATATGATATTAATTAAAGGCACTCATCCTCTTGCTAGCATATTTGAACCGGTATCGTGAGCGAAACCTTCGACTTAGTCCACTGGCCCTCGACGCGAACATGTAACAGGAGCTTTAGAGCATATGCCCGAGAGATAAGGCATGAGTAGAAGCTTGGTGGAAGACAAACATGCTTCGGAAGTGTTATCGGCAATTCTAAAATTGCTGTATAGGTCAAGTTGACGCTGGTATTTGTGTCGTACGGGAGATCTTCACCAACAGACTGCTTTCGCCATTCTAATTGACCCTCGAGTGAGTTGTGGAGAGAAATGGTATCGGAGTAGTAGTCCTGGCTTGAAATCCACGAAGATGGGTCGGTCAGGTCTGGAAAGTCTGGCCAGGTTTCCGCTCCATAGGCCGTAACGGCCTTGAGTTTAAAATCCAGACCTGTGATTTCCGGCAGTGATACTTGTCCAGCAAATGTGTACTGCAATTTGATTCTAACCGAGCTGGTTGCATTTGTCTGAGCTCGTACAGCTGATGGTTGTTCTGCCCATGCAGACAGAAGCCCTACCGGGCGTCGACGGAGTCCCTTGGCAATCTGTTTGTCCTGGCGTATACGGTAGAATCTGCTGTCATCAGAAACCAAGATTGGAGGCCTTTCTTTCCGCTGAGGTATGATATGTACTGGATATGGCCACTCTCCAACAATCGTCGGACCTCCATTCTGTTGCGTCTTGCCGGAATAAATCCTGACGTGTATCCGGTAGGTAATGGACAATATCGCAGGAGTCATCTCATTGGATGTTTCTTTTCCATGACCTAAATCAAAGGGAGTACCGATGCTTGGGGGAAGCTGGGTGTGCTCCCAGTAAATCTGCTCATGGTGGCGATGGTGGTGACAGATATGATGAGGCAACTCGGCAGGTACCACGAACTCGAACGGTATTTGATATTCCGTTTCGGCCTCAAAGACCTTATGTTTTCCAGATGAATTATTTTCTAGCGGCTGCTTCATTTGAAGAAATGTGCTTGTCACGACGGTTGGTGGGAGCGGAATGTTATTCCCATTTTTGTCGACTTCTATCTCGGTTCTACCTAGAAAGCAGTATCAGACTCAAGATTTTCAAAGTTTTACTATATAAGGGCGTTCATACCTTCAAATGATACATTCAGTTGCTCGGGTAAGATTCTTTCTTGGGGTTTCAGGAGCACTTCGCCTTGTATTGTGTCTCCAATGCCGTAGCTTTGATGGTTGGTTGCTAGGCAGATTTGAACTTGTGGTGGTCGCTGGAAAGTCATGGTTTTGTATATATACAGGAAGCTCCTTTCATAACATTTAGTTCCACTAAGGTCGGTCCTGGACTCTTTAAAAGTCTTTTTCATCTTTGTCAAATTTGTTGTCTACGAATTGTCCGTTTTTTACTTCGGCATTCGGTACATTTGCCGAGCCGCGATAATCTACTCGGTATGTGCGTGGTGCTTAAATGTTCGAGTTCTGATCGGTTCCTTCCAATGTATTTGGGCAAATAGAAATATTACCAATGGAAGATGATACATATATAATATAGCACTTTGGAAGTAATCGAACATTTCTTTTGTAAATGGCATACCAATGTCTCGGCAACGTTCCATCTTCCCGATCGATGAATCATCCGCCACCCTTTTCTTCTCGCCTCTCGGTCAAATGTAGTCGCGCCGGCTGCTTCAGACATTCCTTTCCAGTCTAACCCACTGGCCAGGCGGTAGCACAAGACTATTAAAAAAGAATCTGCATTAAATCATTCCATCCATGCCGGTCCTCAAGCATCAGACCAAGCGACAGAAGAAGAAACCCGTCGCGTACGTCATTGGACTTGTCTCCCCATCCAATGCTCCGATCTACTCTGACCTCCTTCAAGCTGTCATCGCTGCCACTCACATAAAGTCAAATGCTCTGGTGAACAGCCGTGCGCTAGGTGTCGCCAGGCGGGATGTGAAAACGAGTGTCAATACACTCTGCGCGACCGCAAGTTGAAAGTCAATGAGAGGTACTAGTAGCCTCTTGCATCGCTTGAACCACGCCTTGTGGTGGCTCGGAATGCTTACAGCCAACTAGCTATCTGGATCAAATCCTTTCAGAGAATACACAATTAAAGGAGCAATTACGCTCTTCCCATACTCCCCAGTCATCTCCCGCTCATCCATCAGATACGGTTCCGCCGCAGGACTCTTATCCTGCCGTGCAGAATCCCCTCATAGGCGAGCGTGCATGGTTCTATCCATATGATCCATCCGCGCCTCCAATCTACATGGGAGACGCCGCCTGCACGGCCTTTGCAACAAGGCTGCGGCAATGTATTACAGATAACCCAAATACATCGCACGTTGCTCGGACCCAGTATACCCCCGAGTCATTGCTGCTAGAGGGTGAAACGCAATGGCCGGGGCTCGCCCAAGCCCGTCTATTAGTCCGCGTTGCGTTCAATCAACTCAGTCGTGTCTACCACCTATTCTTGAGGAAGAGTACCCTAGAGCAGCTGGAAAGTATTTATCGCACGCCGTCGTTGCGAGATGATCCCGCCTTGACCTGCAAGTTTTTCGCTCTCTTCGCTCTGGGGGAAGTCTACTCTGCGCGCACCGCGTCGTCTTCGGGAGGCCGAGTGCCAGGCACGAGATACTATGTGCGCGCCATGAACCTGATCCCAATAATGCCAGAAAGACCTGGGATGATTCATGTAGAAAGCCTGTTGCTACTAGTACGATGCTATGTTTATCTGCAGGGTGGTGCCCCTTCACGCTAACTCTTGTCTAGTCCTTGTTCTCGTACTTCTTGAATCGACGTCATTCGGCATACATGCTGATCGGAAGTGCCATGCGTTTGGGTTTGGTCTTGGGGTTGAATCATAACATACCCGCCCGTCAATGTACTGACCCCGTCGAACGCGAGCATCGAGTACGACTTTGGTGGGCTATTTACATTTTCGACCGCATGTATACGTCAAAGATTGGTTTTCCTCTTCAGATCCGCGACGATGATATATATGTTGATATGCCTGCGGATGTCGATTCGCCTGTGTCTGGGGAGCAGTTCTCAGACACCGCTTACCTGGTTTCTAGCATTCGACTGGCACGCATAATTGGTCAAACGATAGATAAGATCTATAGCCGCAAACACCACCAAGAACCATTCCTTCAACGGGAGCAGCAGCTTTTGATTGCACTACAGGAATGGCTGCAATCGCTCCCAGCCCACATCAAGCTAAGACCGGAAGAGTCTCCACCTAAACACATTGTTTCCCTTCATCTTCAGTTCAACCAGGTTGGTCTCTGCACATCATCCCACATACTTCCGCATATTAATCGTGATATAGTGTGTGATCCTGGCAACACGCCCAATCATTCTCCATGCTCTCTTCCAACGACGCGGTCAACTTGAAAGCCCCGAAGATCTTCCACAACCAGTCATCACTTTAAGTGAAGCTTGCATTCATGCTGCAAGGCATTCACATGCACTGGTCACCGACGAATGGGTCAATGGATCCCTGCCAATGTATGGCTATTTCTATGCTCAGTATCTCTTCTCCGCTGTCATTGTGTTGGTTATCTCGAGTCTACTACCATCCATCGGAAATCCGACCGATCTAGAGTCTCTTGACACGGCCGTCGAAATCCTCCATAGAATGAGTGATCATGGGAATCTTGCAGCCGCGGAGTTTTACGAGAATCTCAGGCGAGTTCAACAAGCTCTACCAACAGACAAAAATGCTAGTGCGGATCACGATGGCCAAACCCAAATGTCAGGACAGTCTCTCTATAGTCCTATCAACCCAACCACCGGATCACACGCTCTAGAGCCCAATGCTGCTACCTTTGCCGGTTTCACTACGGAGATGGCGTTTTTGGAACCCACTATGCAAGATTTCCTAGGTAGATCGGACAACGAGATGGATCTAATTGATCCGGATCTACTCACGATCGAGGGGGCAACAGGGCTGAACGCTTGGCCAACGCCTTTTTGGTCTTAACAATAACCTACTACTAAGATTAGAGTTTCATCACTTATTGTGGAAAGAATTATATGCTTATACCCTGCTACATACGTTACTATTCTCGGAAAACATTGAATAATTCAACGACCAAGTTAACTAGTTCTATCACTTCGCCAAAATATATTTGTCGATTGAGGACTAATATAACATGGTTGTGATTCTATGGGTTATGTAAATCGGCTCGACTGAAGTGAATCGCTCAAGGCTGTCCTAGCTCGGGCACAATCAATCGCAGCAATTGCTTTTCTTGACTTGATATTATTGGGGTAGGTAGGAACTGCATGCATTCCCAAGCATGGCGATGGAGAACGCCGATAAGCAAGTCACCTAATCGGGTTAGTCTCGCAATGGATCATTCTCAGATCACGTGACCACGTGTCGCGTCCGGCTCTCCCTTCTTAGCCTGCTCCGCCAGCTTATTTACCCTTTTCTCTGATCCCTCACCACAGCAGCAGCAACCCAATTCGCTCTCAAACGGTCTTCTGCAGGACCAGTCGCATTCTCTCTTGTTTTGGACTCTCAGTCAATTCGATCCTTGATACCTCAAAGTTTTTATTGGCCTCGACCTCTTCGAAAACCCGTCGGCGCGTTATCTCCATGGCTTTCATCGTCGCTAGACCTGGCCCCTTTGCCTACCACGGCACCTTGTACAGACTACCCCTTTAGCTTCTTAACTTTTGTCCTTTGCATCTGATGCCTCTTTTATAATACTAGATTCCTATGAAAGCCCATGTCTTCATAGGGTCTAGCTTATAAGAGTGTGGTGAAAGTTGGGAGTTTAACCCTAATGTAACCCAGTCGGTCGATAGTTTCACGGTTTTGCGTGGCGGAAATACCGAACAGTCGAGACGATTCTATCCAGATTCGAGCAGATGAAAGGGTTCCGATGTCCAGAGCCTGTCCCAGGCAACAAAAGACGGTTTACCATGCGTCTTGAAGTTTCTTTTGAAACGCGCGTCGGTTCACCTATGCTGGATCCACACGCTGATCACAACGGATGGATTTCCCTAGGCCTGAAGACCCGGAGCATTGGGAGCGAGAATAGGTGGAACATGTCAGGCACCCAGATGGTACCAATGGAGACACAGTTGCTGGTATGATCCATTGCACATTACAATTTGATCAATTCGAAGTCAATAATATCGTCCTCGGGCGATTGCCTACACGCGGCCATAAAGCCAGCATGTGCAATGCATCCACTCGTCGGATCATCTTCTTCATACTCAATGCCCAGGCATTGTTTAAATTAAGAGATGTAGCGAGATGCATTGACATGTTGTGCGGAATGGTCTTTGGCCAGTGATTGCTGCCTATGCAATATCACCAAAACCTTTCGGCTTATTGTCACCTTCCGGGCATTGATCAATAAATAATGTGCAATTACTTACCTGTTACGCGGCTGTTGTTATCCATCTCCCATCTACAGAGCTCTAACGTCTCGTACATGTTCCCAACCTCGAGTTTCCTGGGCAACTCGTACCTATTCTCTAACTCCTGATCTGCGGTTTATTCGTTCCAGTTGGAGGCTAGGGGTCCCGCAAACACGGCACCAGCCATCGATTTGTGCTCCGATTGGAGATCCTGATCGTCCGTGTCAACCATCTCTTTGCGATGTAGATTGCGAATAGATCGATGGGCGCCGATCACGGCGGCATTTTGTCGTCCCTCTCATAGAGAAAGAAGCGGTTTTTATGGATGTTATTTGTCCGCTTCAACCATGCCCTCCAAAGCCTCCTGGTGCGGAGAGGAAACAAAATCTTGTCCCTGGGGGTACTGTACTACACACAAGGGGTTCGGGTCATGCGATTGTGATACGCTATTTTGATGATTCGGACGGCGTGTTGATGGAAGGTTGGGAGATGGAAATTTTGCTTCAAGTCATCCGACCGAGTCTGTTTCGGAACAATGAGATCCTGTCCTGCAAAGAAACGTGAGACCCCGATTGCTGATGCTAAGTTCTTGGGTCGTTATCTTGATCCTGGCCGTTCGACTTTTGATTCTCGGTGGTTTACGACGACCTATTCTCCTTGCCCCCTCATGGATCTATCGGGAACCAGCCTCGGAGAACCAACGTTGTTGCGATTCGGCTGTTCAAGGTTGCTCTCCTCACCGTGTGAAGATCGATGCCTGTCCTTTGATGATAAGCATGTCCCTGCTATGACCCGTGTTCGGCGGTATAGGCAGCAGTGAGCTTTGTGGGACCTCTCCAGAGTGATCAAAGCTTAGGCTTGTCTGCGATGTTTTCTGCTGCCTTATAGCTATCGGTAGTGGGATCCACATATCTGCGTGCATTCATGGACCGGTCGAATGGATCACGAAGAGAGTATACATCAGCTCCAATCTTCAGGAGAGTGGTCGTTGTGGGCCTTGTGTTATCGGAGCCGGACGTCTGGACTGGTATCGACTCATCAACTGCCGTTTCCTTCTCGGAGGAAACGGCCCCTTTTTTTCTTATAAGTGTCCCCGATCTCGAATTCAAATGACATAGCTAACTACTCGGAAGGACAACTGATTCCGGTGCTGCGAAATTATTGGTCATCTTTGCAAACGGATTTTGGGTGGTAGTCTTTTCCCTGCGGCATTCTGGAGCTGTGTGGCTTTCTGTGGCTTTTAATAAATAAACAGCATTCGCAGTCATTAGAACTGGAACACATTGGAACACATGAACAAGATGAACAATTGTAGTGCCTGAGTACCTGCTCGGAGACATCTCATTCTAGGGCTGACTAATGCCGCGGCTGCCCCTCCAAAAAAAATTGCCCCGCCGCGGCGATAGTGGAAGGGCAAGGAACGTTCCGGCGATTACTGTCCATAATTTTTTTTCTGAGTTTCTTTTCATTTTATCTTGTCGCATCGCTTCACATTTCCCCGGTTCATTTCTAGCTGCAATAATTTTTTTCTCAACTCTTTTTGATCCCGTGACACTGTCCAATACTTCTTTTAAACAACACCCCCCAAACTTTTCACAATGTCGACAGAATCGAACGTCGAGTCGCAGTTCCAGAAGCCCGGTGACTTGGTGGAGCGCGATGAGGACACTGGTGTGATGCAGGTGGAGAGTCTTTGCATGAACTGCCATGAGAATGTAAGTCTTTGCTGTCTGTTGGTCTGCGATAAGTCAAGTGAAAAAGAAAAGAAAAGCTCACAGCTCGCGCAGGGAACTACCAGACTTTTACTCCTCCGCGTGCCCTTCTTCCGTGACATCATCCTGGAGTCTTTTGAGTGCGAACACTGCCATTTCAAGGACAACTCCGTCAAGTCTGCCGGTCAGATTCAAGAGCAGGGATCCAAGTACACCCTGGACGTGCAAAACGAGAACGATCTTCAGCGCCAGGTCATCCGAAGCGATGTGTCGATCTTCAAGGTTGAGTCGCTGGGCATTGAAATGCCCAAGGGCGAGAGTCAGTTGACGACGGTTGAGGGTGTCATTCAGCGCATTCACGAGTCCCTCTCCAGCGAGCAGCCGCTGCGGAAGACGCAGGCGCCTGAACTGCACGACGCTCTCCAGCCCATTATCGACAACCTGAAGAAGATCCTCGACAGAGAGGGATACCCCTTCACCGTGTCCCTGGACGACCCTACCGGTAACTCGTGGATTGCGCCTTCTCCCAACGACGGAACCAACTACCGCCGCCGCGACTACCCCCGTACCCACGAGCAGAACGAAGAGCTTGGAATCGCGGGTGACCCCAATGCCGTCAAGACCGAGGGCAAGACCCTGGAGAGCGCCGACAGCATCGACGACTCCGAGATTGTCGATGGACAGGTGTACAGCCTGCCCGCCGAATGTCCTGGCTGCAACAAGCCTTGCTTCGTCAACATGAAGAAGATCAACATCCCCTACTTCAAGGAGGTCTTCATCTGGGGTACTGTCTGCGACCACTGCGGATACCGTACTAGCGAGGTCAAGACTGGTGGTGAGGTTCCCGACAAGGGCAAGCGCATCACTCTCAAGGTCGAGGACGAGGTGGATCTTTCTCGTGATATCCTCAAGTCCGACACCTGCGCCCTGCACAGTGACGAACTTGAGGTCTCGGTGCAGCCCGGTACTCTGGGTGGTCGTTTCACTACCGTCGAGGGTCTCCTCACCGAGATCCGCGACCAGCTGCGCGGTCAGATCTTCGACATCGACGACACTGCCGGCAGCGGCGGTGACAGTATGGCCGCTTCCGACAAGGAGAAGTGGGAGCGCTTCTTCAACCGTCTCGATGCCGCCATCAAGGGAGACCTGAAGTTCGTCATGACCATGGAAGACCCAATGGCCAACAGCTACGTTCAGGACCTGTGCGCACCTGCCGTGGACCCCAAGATCACGATCGAGGAATACACCCGAACCGATGAGGAAGAGGAGGACCTGGGTCTCAAGGACATGAAGGTCGAGGGCTACGAGGCTGACACCGAGAAAAAGGACGAGCCTGCCGCTGAGAACGCCGAGCAGAAGTCGTGATTGATATAACTATACCCCGAGGTTTTATCTTTCCCTTTTTATGACGTGCATGATTAGTTTCTCTTTTATTTTGTTCATACTATAACGTCCTGTGCATACATGGTGGTTCTACCTACCGAATGTGTTTGAGTTGTTTTACGTTTCTAGATATCCGATGCAGATATGGTGTGTTTTAGAGGGTGAGGTCGGGGTTGAATGTATTCTGATTTGCATTTATTTCATGGGACGGTTGGAAAAAGTTTAAAGAAATGAACGGATTGTTTAAGACTGGTTTCTTTTTTGTGCTAACATGCTTAGAATCAAGAGGTTCGTTGTGAGATCAAGCATATTCTGTTCTTCTCAAATTATGGTCTGTCGTCCATTTCACGAATCTGAGTAGTTGGAAATAGCCTATCATTCATAATCTAATATGATCTTTACGCAGTTGCTGACATGGCTTGAAACCATGGAGGTTCTGGTTCATGAAAAGGTCATTATATTGGCAGGTAGTTCGGTCAAGACTCGTACATTCGGTCTGCCTTCCAAGTCATAGTAGCCCTCGATACTAAGCCAAAAAAGCCACCCCTTAAGATGGTATGGTGGCCTCTTGCAACAACGCAGCGGGAGATATGTCCCAGTGATGCTTTGGATGCCGCGTTGGTCCAACATGAAAGACTCAACTGTCGATGGTGCTTCGAGGATATGCATCACACGCAGATGCTCTCTCGTCTTCTCGCTGGACCGGTCGCGGTTGCAGCAATATCATCACGCTTCCGTGCTGCTGATTATTTCTATCCCACCGTAGGACCAATTCCAGGGCCACTCCCTCACCTAATAGCAATGCTACCAGATGAACAAATCGGCGTTCAACTCCACTCAACCCTCGTCTTCACTTCGCAAACGGATTCGCATGAATCGTCACCTTATTGATCCGAAGCGGCTCATACTCCGTCTCCCCCTCCTTCGGCTGCACCACCCTCCCCTTCTTATCCACCTTGACATTCGCCTTCTCCAGACTCGACAACACATCCCCGCCCTCATCCTGCGCCGTCAAATTCAACACCTTCCCGAACACCGTACTCGCGCCATCCAGATGCGGCGCCGCCGCAAACGTAATGAAGAACTGACTCCCGTTGATCGTCGCCCCCGTCGCGCCCTGCGATCCAGGCGCCGTGCGGTCCTTGACGGGCCGCGACGCCATCGAGAGGATCCCGCGCGTGTTGTGTCGCAGGGCCGGGAGGTGAATTTCTTGGTTCAGGGCGCCAGGGTGGTTGACTGACGTTCCGCCTTTCGGGATGTCGTCGAACGGAAGCATGGATTTTGTGTTGTTGGTGGAGGAGGAGGATCCTGCGGGTCCGAGAGATATGTCGCCGCCTTGGATCATGAAGCCGGGCATCATTCGGTGGAAGGGTGTGTCGTTGTATGCGCCGCTGGCGCAGAGGGCGATGAAGTTCTGCGGGGAGGGAGGTCAGTATTGTATCATTCGCTTGGGTTGCAGGTGGTATTTGTTATCTCGGCAGCAAGGCCGGAGTGAAGGGTTATGTAGAGAGAACTACGTACCTCTGTCGTTTTGGGTACGGCTTCGCAGAAAAGCTCGACTTTCACGTCGCCGTGTGTGGTGTGAAGCTGGACATTGCGGGGTACGATTAGCAAGGATTTCGCCGTGTGTGGCGATAACAGTAATGTAGGGAACTTCGGATACTCACAGTAACAGACATGATGAATTGTATTTCGTAGTGCTCGTGATAGCGAAGTAGAAAGGACGAAGAAAGACAGACATGAAGCTTCCCTCGACTGACGTCGCGGAAGCAAATCCGCCGGTCACATGACATGCGTCGATATAGCAACGAACGAGGATAGAATGAACCACAAACCAGCCATTCCTTCACGATCCACATCCGACCAGCCCAGCATGAATAACAGACCTGTCGAGCAGGCTCTGGGCATACTGGTGCCCACCCATGCAAATGATATTCCCCCGGAGTTGCTCAGCTTGGCTCTTTCGCTTGTTGCGCAATCGCGAAGCTTATCTAGTAGTCTCAAGCCGGAGGAAGAAATCGCACGGCCTTATGCCTGCGCTGAGATTGCGTGTAAAAGGTATATTCTCCAGCCGATCTACGAACTTCAAACCTCTACCGGTGACCAGGCATACTGACCAATTCTGTTTCCAAATGCAGGCTGAGCAGAGCCCTCAAACTACCTCCCTTACTCGGCCATCCACCATGTCCTCCACGCGCATATAGAAAGCTCTACTCCTTCCTCGATCGCTCCCTCACATCCAGCACCGCCGGAACCAAGCGTCCAGCAAGCGGCTCAGCCCCAGGAACTCCCTCGCGAGCGGGCTCTACCCCGTCCACGCCGACAAAAGAGTCCCGACCAACCCGAACACCATCGAAAGCAGCAGCCGCCACGCCGCGCGCCCTCCAAAATACCCCCAGCAAATCCACGCCCTTGAAGCGGTCAACAACCCGGCCGGAGAGCCCCTCCGCCTCGCGCACTCCTCGCACATTGGCCAATTTCCGCCCCAATGGTATCTCCGGCGCTTCAATTATCCCTGATGCGCCGGCTTGGGTGATGAATTCTATTCGCAACGTCTGTAAGACGCTTTCTACGCCCGCACCCCGAACGAGCACCTGGTCTCGACCACCGATATCGCGCACGCTCCCGCCACATGTCTTTGCGGGTGTTTCGTCCATTCTGTACTTCGTGTCCAAAGTCTCGGGCAACAATGAGGGCGAAGAAGACGGGGAGGAGCTCGATGAAGAAATGCTCGAGTTCGTGGAACCGGTCATCCTCGCGAAAGACAAAGACGAAGACGAAGATTTCAAAGAGCTCGTCCAGGCTCTGATCGTGGCCGTTTACTTCTTGGTCCTTGCCCGGCGACGAACCCCGGGCCCGACCGAGACCGCGTCCGGCGAGGAGACGCGCAAAATGGACAAGAAGACGTTCTCGGAGATGCGACAGGCTGCGCTGACGAGTCTCGGGCTGCCTACGTCGGAGAGGAGACATCGCGACGACGTGGATCAGTGGATTGCGCTGATCATGGAGCAGAGCTGGGCGAACGGGAAGGAGTGGTTCGAGAATATCCCGCAGGCTGGCGAGTTGGATGGTGACGAGGCGTATCTATCGGATGTCGGTGCCGATGAGGACGATGGGGCGTTGAGGGATGGGAAACGGCCGAAGATGATGGGGAAGAGCCGTACGTCGCTCTTTTCGAAGGATAATGGGAGGGGCGGATTGCTGCCTGGTCTGGGGACCATGATGCAGGATCGGGTGGATTATCTGAGTGAGGATCGCAGGGAGGATTATGTTGAGTGGAAGGCGGAGGTCATGGCGAGAATCAAGCAGATGGAGCGAACTGCTCAGCCTGTTGCTTGAGAGCTCTGCAAGGCATAGCCTAGAGTATTGGACCATGAATAGTGGAGTTGATGGAGGACCTCATCAGGAATTAATTGTGATACCCTTAGAACGCCAAAACGATTATAGAGTCCAAGATCTATCGTTGTATTTCTAAATACGTTTTGAGTCTAGCTGCCAGAGATAGAAAAAAGCGAAAACTCGATCTAAAGCGAGACTTCCATATCCAAGAAGGTTGTTGCTGCTACCAGCGCGCAGAAGCAAAAATAGGTATCACTGTCTATAAAACCTCCCAATGCAATAAGACGCAAGCGATTTATCCACAGATTCAAACAAGAAGCAATAAGGGTATAAGTGACCAAGAGAAAAGGAGGAAAGGATCTAGGGTCTAGCTTTTAGTACCAGATACTCCGGGTTCGGTGATGAGGAATCGACTCCTGTCCATCGCTTTCCAACTCTTTCATCGTGTCGTAAAGGAAGAAATCTATGAAAATGGCGTTGAGGCCCGGGCCCTTGATCTCGTGCACACTCTTCTGACGACGTTTCTGAGTACTGCATTTCTCTTGTTCGGCCCTCATATCAGGGGTCTCTAGATACTGAGAAGGACCATCTGACTTGCTGTCATGGACCGGGGCGGGGACCAGCAATTCTTTGGCCTCTGGATGACGCAGTTCGATCTCTCGTCGGATTAGCTCGACGCACCAGATGCTCGTTGCGCGCAATTCCACTTCCCATGTCGACCCACTGGGGATCATCTTTTGGCTGCGGATGTGGCTCTCGAGAGGAGGCGAGTATCTGAGACACCCCAGCTGGTGCAGCATTTGAGGGATCCGATAGTCTATAATTGTCAGTGGTGAAAACTATGGTGGGGAATTGGTTTGCACTTAGAGTAACATACCGGCAAACATGGTGATTTTATCGATATCGTGGAATTCACCGAATCCTTCGCCATTGAAGCAAGCCCACAAATCGGCGATGAGGATCTGCGCGCGCTTGTACAGACGGACCCTCCGCCCCTGGAAGCTGGTCTCGTCACGAAAGCAAGGAAAGTTCTCCGCCAGAAGGTTCACGAGAGCCGGGGCAGAGCGGCTGGAGCTGTATATACAGTTCAAGAAGCTTCCATCAAAGTCCTAAAGATTGTCAGGGTTGCATTCACATGATGATCGTAGCAGAAAGAGTCTGAACATACCTTGCACAAGATACGTCCGGCCTCCTGCAGACACTCGAGTCGCTCCTTGAGCAAAGGGATTTCCTCGTCGGTTGCAGACCTGAAGACATGCCTGAGCAATTCCTCGGTGCATTCATCCTCGTTGGCCCAAAATTCCGGGGTCGTAATTGGGATCCCTGCGAATCTTAATATCGACGTTCATCTGACACCATGGGGTTTGACAGCAAGATGCCTACCTTCCTCCAGGGCTCTCTGCAGAGCAGCAACTAAACTCCAGTAGCCGGTCCATTTCCGTCCGCGATACTCAATGGCGAAGCGTTTCTCACTCGGCAACTCAGACCAGAAACTGAAATTGAGCAGGTCCATGGTGAAGACGAAATCGACGGTGGCCTCGTCCTTGGTCTTGGGATGCAATTCATGTTCCGACCACGTTTGCGTGGAGTAACCTTTCTTCTGCATCTGGCGCCATATCATTTCGGCAGCGGCCTTGACGTTGGACGGGATCAGGGCGACGTCGATGGCATTGTCGAAAACATATTGCGCATTCTCTAGAACCTTAGTCTCGGCTGCCAGAGGGTTTGCCGGACCCCCATCCAAGCCGAGGGATTTGCGCAGGAGCGCGAGCAACTCGGGATCGGCTTCGTCGTCTGACATGTTGGGTGCGGGATTGATATCGGAAACTCAACACAAATTCAAAAAGCGCTGAATGACTGAGACTTAAGCGGGAGAAAGGTTGAAAACCGATGGAGAAATGCCCACTTAAGAAGAGGAAAAGGGAAAATGGAGCGAGCAAAGAATGGCTCAATTAGCGCATGGAGTTCTCCACGTCAGGCACCAGAGAGGAACGGTTTGTCGTTGACCCAAAGAACGATCGTCCAATTTCACCTACTCCGTACTAAGTACTAACCTACGGAGTGAGGGAAGGTAAAGAAGTGTCGGGGGTGCGTCTGCTGTCCAGCCTGTACAGTACTGTGGACGAGCCCAAAAGGAGGCACCAAGGGAAAGAACAATGAGGGCAACTAAAAAATGATGGATAAAAGTGTTATCGATAACTGGTGACTCCTTATCGTCTTAGTCATCCTGAATTTAATTTCTTTTTTTCTGTTAGTTTTTGCCTCTCTCCCCTTTTGGTCCAGTCCTTCAGTGCCTTAAAAAGGGTCCAACCAAAGAACAAGCACCGCTAGTTCTGCTCGGCTTGCCCGTCATTCGTGTGATTCTAGAGGATCCACGTGAAGAGAGACAGGGCCTGCCATTCTCGGGTTACTCTGCCCCGTAGAGACTCTCCAACATCCACCTTTTCTAGAAAGTTCCTGGGAGTAAACAGTGAAACACTGACCAGTGGCAGCCTGGATCCAGGCAGCAATGCAAACAGGTGCAAACATGCTGACCTCAGCCGGGTCTCTCCCACGTGACCCTGCAGCATCCGGACGGGGAGTTGCAGGACTGAAAGGTGTGAAGCTCTTCTATCCAGCATCTGATCTGTCCAGTCCCCTCCGTAGTTGCCGTAGGATCAAGAGGGGGAATTAGGATTGATGTCTTAGTGAGTGAATTCCGCCAGTAGAGACCGGGGTCTTAGTATGGATAGTTCCTAGTCCGGGATGAGAATAACAGAGGGCAAATGCGATTGCCTCTCGTGGGGACTCAGGGTGACAGAATGAACTTAATGAGAGTTACTGTCTAAGATGTGAGTTTGGCCATGTAAAACTTCATTGTGAAAACAACACGGGAAAGAGCAGTCGGGCCCGTCCGACGGAACAAAGGCCATTTTGCAAGCGGGCGATTGCTGTCGTCATTGCAGTCACTTCCGGCGGACCTTCTCATCGCCCTTCAGCTTGCCTGCCATTCACTTCCCTCCCCACACTCCTTCTTCGCTCCTGTCCCCTTCCCCCCTCCAATTCCTCCTCCACTCTCTGCGTCGCTCCCTTGGCGATGCCTTTCAATCCACTCTGACGCCTGGAATCTCTCATTTCATTCTCCGTGCACTGTCGCGCAACCATGGCGCGGGACACTTATTCGCAGCGCTCCCTCGGGACCTTGTCTAGGCGCATCAAAGAGGTACCTCACCTCCCATCCTGCTCCGCACCGCTCAAGCATCGGGCCTTTCGATGTCCCGTGGGTCATAACTATCTTCCTTCTTGTGCTGACTCCTGCGAAAATGATAGTCGCGCGTTCTTCTCGTTGGTGCCGGTGGCATCGGTTGCGAACTCTTGAAAAACCTACTGCTCTCCGGCTTCGGCGAAATTCACATTATCGACCTGGACACGATAGACCTGAGCAACTTGAACCGCCAATTCCTCTTTCGCTCCGAACACATTTCAAAGTCCAAGGCATTGGTATGTAACCTCCCGGCCCTCCGCCCTACACTACAACTTGTCTTCCCCTCCGGATAGCTCCAATATCGACACCCCATGTTGGTTCTACCTGGCAATGATCTGACATGACTGGATGCGATACAGGTTGCGAAGGATGTCGCACAGAAATTCAACCCAAAAGCGACGCTGGAAGCCTATCATGCGAACATAAAGGACAGCAGATTCAACGTCGACTGGTTCGGGCAGTTCAAGATCGTTTTCAACGCGCTAGATAACCTCGATGCTCGTCGTCATGTCAACCGAATGTGCCTGGCTGCGGATGTGCCGTTGATCGAGAGCGGGACGACGGGATTCAACGGGCAGGTGCAAGTGATCAAGAAGGTAGGATTGCCTAGTCGCGGACTGCGGATTTCTTCGGCTGCGGTGTTGGTGTTGATTGCTGATGATCTGACAGGGTGTGACCGAATGCTACGATTGCAATTCCAAAGAGGTACCCAAGTCGTTCCCCGTTTGCACTATCCGCAGCACCCCGAGCCAACCCATCCATTGCATTGTCTGGGCTAAAAGTTACCTCTTCCCGTGAGCGCACCCCTCGTCATTTCCTACGTTCGGCGCATTATACTAATTGGCATCGCCTACAGTGAGCTTTTCGGTATCAGTGAAGACGAGACACCCGAGCTTGACAACACGGAAGATAACGATAATGGTGGGTTTGGTTTCTGCGGTTCTACTGAGCGAGGCTAACCCAGATCTAATTTAGCGGAGGAGATTGCGAATCTCCGGAGAGAAGCCCAAGCGCTCAACGAAATCCGCCAATCTATGGGATCCCCTGAGTTCGCCCAGAGGGTATTTGAGAAGGTGTTCACAAACGACATCGATCGGCTACGAGGAATGGAGGATATGTGGAGTACCCGCGAACCTCCCATGCCGCTCTACTTCGAGAAGCTGCAAGAAGAGTCCGCCGGTATCCAGCCCATTGTGTCAAATGACGATCAAAAAGTATGGTCGGTAGCGGAAGATCTTGTTGTGTTCAGAGACAGGTTCGGAGTGCCTTTCCCGTGCTTTCGATGAATTGACATTCAACTAACACTATACCAGCCTGGATCGGTTAAGTAGACGTTTAAGAGAGCTTCAAGGGTCATCGAATGGCGATACCCAGCCAGTTCTAGCCTTTGACAAGGATGACGTTGACACGCTTGATTTCGTCACAGCCACTGCTAACCTGCGCGCCACGATATTTGGGATTGACTCGAAATCCAAATTCGATACAAAACGTATGTGTACCCCTGCTACCGGTCTTTTGCTCGTGCTGATCGTATAAAGAAATGGCCGGGAACATCATTCCTGCGATAGCCACCACAAACGCGATGACCGCCGGTCTTTGTGTTCTACAGGCCATGAAAGTGTTGAACAATGACTATGAAAACGCGAAGATGGTGCGCTGTAACGACTCCACTGCCTCAAGCCTATATTAACTCTTCTCCTACCAGATCTTCCTCGAACGTTCGGGCGCGCGCGCGATCAACTCCGACTCACTGAAACCGCCAAATCCCAACTGCCCAGTATGCTCTGTCGCCCACGGCAGACTAATCTTTAACCCAGATAGTGCGACAGTCGGTAATCTAGTGAAAGACATCCTCGAAGCACAACTTGGCTACGGAGAGGAGGTATCGATCAGCACCGAGCAGGGAATCTTATACGATTTAGACTTGGAAGACAACCTTCCCAAGAAACTGTCTGAGATGGGAATTCACAATGAAACGTTCATCACGGTCATGGACGAAGAGGATCAGGAGCCTCGCGTGAATCTAGAACTAATCGCCTCTACCCAAAAGTAAGACAGCTCTTTTTGACCTCGGTCGGCGATTGCTAACCAACTCTTAGATCTAAGACTACCGATGAGGAGAAGACCGTCTCCCTCGTCAATGTCCCGGAGATCCCGCGCAAACCTAAGAAGTCCGCGCCTGCTCCTGAAGAGCAAACGAATGGCCATACTGGCGCCGGCCGCAAACGTGATGCTGAAACGGCAGGCCTCAGCAACGGCGAGGATGAACGCGTCAAACGAGTCGCCAATGTGTCTGTCGCCGATGGCGAACACAACGGCGAACAAAAAGGCGAACAAAACGGCGACGGAGCACATCCCATCGTTCTAGACGAGGAGCCAAATAGCGGAGCCATCTTGATCGACGACGACTGAATGATACCAAGATCTAGAGGAGTATTTGGACTAAAAGGGAGGTGTTATCATGATAAACTCTCTCGTCTTTAGGAATCTTCGGTGCCAGAATCCATGGGCTGGTCGGTCGGTTATGTTGGATGATTCCTTTTTTTTTGCTTCTCATCTTTTTGTTCTCAGTTCAATTTTCTTGTAACATACGTCATGAGCACGAAGTCTGATCCGAATAGAATTGCTATCTGAAATTCAATATTATACAAGTATATTCATCTCCAATGGCACAGCCAGCTATGTTATACGGCACTCAATCCCCCGTCCAGATTAAGCACGCAGTTATTAGCATACTCATTACGGGCCAGAAACACCGCCGCATCTGCGATCTCATGAGGCTGGCCAAATCGTCGCAACGGAATGCTCTCTTTCAACCGGTTTGTTTCGCTTCCGCTGAAATCTAGAACCTGTCAGAATAATCCCCTGCATACCAATACATCTCATGTCGAATCCAAGCAAAGACAACTTACCCGCAATCATCGGCGTTTCAATATACCCCGGTACAATCGCATTCGACCTTACCACCACATCCCTCAGGGAACTCGCAGCCTCGACGCTCAACGACCTCGTCAATCCCAACAGACCGGCCTTGGAAGCCGCGTACGGCACCGCGCCCGTCCCCCCTTTCACTGCCAGTAACGAGGAGATGTTAATAATGCATTTCGACGCGGGTCTCGCGCCGTCATCACCATCGCTATCATTCCTCCTCCGGAGACGACTGCGGATCGAGGCGCGGAGTAGTGCGCGCGATGTCAACATCGCGCCTTCGAGGTTCGTGCGCAGGGTTCTTGAGATGTCGGCTGGTTCCTGCTTTGGGAGGATGTTGGAGATGGAGATCCCGGCGGCGTTGACGAGGATGTCGACGTTTTGCTGTGTTGTGTTAGGTTCACCTTTTGGAAGTATGTCCGCACGGTTGAGGGTAGGAAGGATACGATAGGGAGGGTAGAAATACCATCGCCTTTTCTAGTTCGCGAACCCAACTACTCGCCTCTGATACATCGCCCACTAGTAGACTGATTCGATCCGACGCAGGGACCAACGAGCCCGGTGTCCGTTCTACCGCTTCTGCAGGGCTTTTCTGGTTCTGCTGCTCCTCCTCTAGAACTCTCGTAGTTCCAACTTCTCCATCCGGCAGCTTCAGACCCTCATCAACAGACGTGGCTCTCTGCAACCGCGTCGCGGCATGGATCAGTCGCTCATAAGACCGTCCCACGACAATAACCCGGTCTGCGCCTTCTTGGAGGAATCGTTCGGCAATGGCGTATCCGATCCCTGAGGAGCCGCCTGTTATCATGCATGTGCGGCCGGAAAGCTGGTTCGTGCTGCCTTTCGTGGTGGGGTAGTTGTCTTTTATTGGGGTGGATGAGATATGTCGGGTTAGAGGGAGAGATATTTTTGGGGAGAAGAGGAGGGATGGTTTTGTAAGAGGGCGGAGGGGGAGGAATTGTTTCATTCTGTAGGTAGGTGGTGGGGTTCAGCTCAGGGTAGGTTTAGTGCATGCAGGGTTTATTGTATGTTGCTGGGTGGATGTAGTAGAATCGGTTGATATCTGGACAGCTGGGATTGAATGACTGACTCAATCAAATGCAAAGTCAATTCCAATTAGATATGTGACACAAAAGGTATACCTCATCCAGACCGAAAGTGATGTTGAAGTATGATAAGAAGTAGAAGTAGAAGCCGAAGCAGCGGAATTCCGTCACCAGCTTAAGCACGGACCACCTGCGGGAAACCCACGCGATTCTCGCCGCCGCCGCCTCTTTGCTCTTCCACTGCCGCCTGGTCCGTGACGAAACCGACACGCTCATCTGCCAGAATGGCTTCTTCATCCTCTCAGCAGTCCGAGTACGTGACGCTCGTGTCAGGCGATGGATTCGAGTTTGTGATTCCCAGAAGCACGGCCTGCATTTCGGGGACGATACGTCGCATGTTGGAGCCGTCTAGTAAGCATCTCCCATCTCGATCCTTGTTCTCGTTTCTTCTGTGGTTCCTGGCACCCAGAGCTCCTCTTGGTTTCTGGCTCAAATTTGAAATGGACCCATGACTGACCATTGGTGGTTACGGTACAGGTCGATTCTCCGAAGCCATAACGGGTCGCTGCGTCCTCGAGAATATCAGCGGCATTGTCCTAGAGAAAGTCTGCGAATATTTCTGCTACAATGAGAAGAATAAAAACCAGACTAACGTGCCGGATATGGATATTCCGCCGGAACTGTGTCTGGAGATGTTGATGGCAGCGGATTATTTAGATACGTAACGTCTGAGGTGAGATTTCGCTGTGGACGGATCTGGATAGGCGCTGTGCTAATGTTTTTGGATTTAGGAGCTGAGGAACTTGATTAGATTTGATGTGCATGGATTATGATTACATTCGAATATGTCTCTATGGGCTGGAGTTACGGAATGGACTGGTTGTATTTATAAATTCTACAGGGTATAGAACTACCGATGGCGTTGGTTGTCCCGGGTCATCTTCTTCGGATGCCTCTTTCTTGGATATGATCTAAAGGATCCCGACGGAGAGTACGGTTATACTTCCCTTCGCAAAGCTTAGCCATCTGGCATCAAATATCCGACCTAGCTCCATGGACGGACGTTTCTAAAGATGATGGCAGATCAGTCCGACATCTCCCTTCAATTGAGTCCTGCCTCCACTCTTCCATGGTGGCAGGGTCTCCTTCACAGATACAGGAGAGACATGCTTCTCTTCATCTAGTCCCACTATACTGCAGGGTCTCAGATGGAATGTTATCGAAATTCTGTCGCAACGTACCAACCAAGCTCATCGTCCTTTGGGTTTGGGTCGAGAGAAACCGCCCTTTTTGTTCCCCTGAGGGGCCTCGAATGCATACAACTTCTCCTTGCCAAATGCTGCATCGGCAACTCGGAGATAGCTCACCACGCCTTGGTCCACTACCGCCAGAATGACGCTGCGGTACCCCTGTCGTAGACGCATGTAGAGGGCCCGGCTCATCTTCTCACCTTCGGGGGGTTCTAGCGGGGAATTATCAAGTAGGCTGCCTATCTGGGCCATTGTGGGCATGGTCGTCTGCTCCCGGGCGTCGACAACGGCGATGCGAAAATCCGGGGGAGGAGGAGCGGTTTTGCGGAAGGCCGTGGATGGCTTGTAGATGTGGAAAACGACGCGGAATGGCGCCGACGTACGCGGCGTTTCCGTCTTGGGAGCGACGGGGTCATACCATGGAATGATGGCGAGTTTGCGATAGACGTCCTCTGCAGAGTTTAGTACCAGTACCCTAAGTTTTCCACAGCACGGAGCGACTCACTATAGTTACGGTGGATTCCCAGACCGGCCACCGGCCCAAGGGCCGTGGTGTTGGGTTTATGAAACCAATCCAAAAACCTCTCGTAGATGCCGGCCAGTCCAGGTCCTTGTGGCTGAGGCGATTCAGCGGGAGCCGGCTCCTCCGCATCGTCGTACCATCCAGGCGCGCGAAAGACCGAATAACCCAAGCGTTTCAACCCGGTGTAGACGGAGAACCGCTCGACAGTCAACCCTCCACTTGCAACGAAGCATGCATAGGCGGCCTGTAGGCTCATTGGGATCGTCGGCTCCTCTGTATCACCACTCTCGTCGCATCCCACCGACGAGGCGGGCCATCGGATGTCCAAGCTGCCTCGTTCCAGGAGATACAGCGCTTCCTCCGGCAGCAGCCACACGCGATTCCAGCGATCCGCCCGGCCGGTTGTTTTGAAAAGATTGCCCTTGGGGTTCGGGACGCAGACACACGAGTCGGGGAACACATTTCCCAGCCCCGTGTCGGCTGCGTTCTTCGGTTGAGGTTTTGTCTCCGCGTTGTCCTGCGACGCGCTGGGTTCGGGCGCATCCTCTGCCGTCGTCTCCGCCGTCTTGGGAGTGGCTACTACTGAGGGAGGCGGCGTGGGTCCATCAGGCATGTAGTAACCCACGACTGTATTCTTGGGGTTATGAAGTCGAGGATGCGCAAGGGCATTGTGCATCGCCTCGCGCGAGGCGGCGAGAACATCGGCCTGGAGGAGGGTGGGGTTGGGTTCGAAATCCTTCTCACCGCGCTTCGGCAGCGTGGCATGGGACGAGTCTGTGAGACTACATGGATGTCAATTGGTGTCACAGGCTAGTGGGGCCTCGAGCAAAGCGTCGCAAACACAGGTTGATTGTAGAGACTAACAATGAGATGTTGTTCAACATGCGAAAGTCCTGGGTCTCGTCCGACAGGTCGGTTTCGAAGTGTGGCGCGGAGTCATTGGAGGGGAGATGAATGGCAGCCTCATCTGTGTCGGCCATTTTGAAAGGAATCCCCAAACGTGGGGGGCACGTCGATTTGCTGGATGAGTTGAGAAGGGAAAGAGAAAGATACAGAGAGAGGAGAGGAAGATGGACAAAAATCTCGGCGGTCGGAGCTTATCAGATCAACCAAATCAGTTCCGCCCGCATTTCGTCCACGTCACTTTCCCTCCTATTTTCTTCCTGTTGACTATTTACCTTTTGCTGGTTCGGGGCATTATATTTGACAGACTATGTCTGATTCAACGGGGAATATCCCCAACTACAACGAGATTCTCTCGCAGGTACGTGACACAAATGTTCTCCTTCATACATTGGCGACCCCTCACTAAATTGCAGATATTCAGATCTCGGTGAATCTCCACAATGCATTAAACACATTCGGTGCCTCTTCTCCCCAGTATCAGACAATCCTCGAGATCCTCAAAGATACCCTCCGGAAAATGAACCACGTGCAGGACCGCGATGCCCGGGCCGTGGATGCAGATACGCTGAGTTTGGCACTGGGGTTCTTGGAGATTGGAAACGCGGCATCTGGATGAGAACAAGGATTCCATATAGACTCGAATGACGCCGCGCTTCATAATCCTGGGTTCGCTTGGATGCTGGCTGCCTGCCACCACTGGAAAGGGACAACAATCGCACTCAACGTCCCGTTACTCGCCCTCAGGCGATCCGCTGCCTCCTCAAATGAGGGGAATGTTGAATACTAAACTGGTTTGCTCATGCTGTGGCACCTTTCTTCCCTCCATCTCTCGCGAGTTCACGGGATCTGAGTCGCCACGGATTGGGATGGTGGCTGGTTTCAAGATTTGAGCTGTCAATCTTACACATTTAACATGAGGATACACAGCTGGAGCCACACGGGCATGTATCGAGTGCACTTTGACCCCAAAAAACACTCCATCCTGGAGCTAAGCAAAGCCAACCCCAACACCCCCGGTTTTCCCTGGCCAGCTAAAGACATAAACAAGAAAATGACATAAAATAAAGATGGCTATCAGGAACACCATGCATCAACCAAAATAGAAATAGCTGAACTCCGGGGCCCATGCATTCGTAAAGACATGATTGTGCTATATCTGATAGCAGAGTGGAATCGGAAGTGATGATCGCGCACAGGGTCACCTCCATAGATGGGCAGTATATAGAATGAGTATTGCATATGTCCAAAAGCCAAGCTAGGACAGATCGGTAGATTAAGATCAGGGTATTAGAGCATTCGAGCTGAGTTTGAAGATGTTTTCAGTCGATTAGCGGCTTCTTCTGTTTGCCGACAATGGCCACGCCCAGATGCCGTAGAGCGTTGTGATCGCCAGGGCGGACTATCGAGGGCAGAGGCAGCATGGGGTTGTCAGGGTTCACATGGACGGCATCTCGAGCCGCCTGCTCAATGGCCTCCATTTCCTCCTTGCACCCGGCGTGGTCAAGAGGACAGACAACGATCGGATGGCGAATGATGATGTCTCGTGCGGAAGCGAGGTGCGCCTAAAGGCTCATAGTCAGTCATCGATGCAGGAAAGAGGTAGGCACGAAGCGACAAGACCAACCTTTACTATTAGATAGTATTCGATCTTATAGAGGCTGGCAGTAGTTGTAAACCCGCTGACAGCATAGGTTGGAAAGGGCGCTTTCCCTCTGGGTAGAATCCCCTCCGCATCTCGCATATCCTTGGCCGGAAACACCAGGCCCAGATTTGTTAAATACCCGGACGGCGGTAGCTTCATTCCTACGGGCTCGGTTCTCTTGGTCAACGTCCGCACTTTCCGTTGCGGTTCGTCGCCTTCGTGATTGTAGATAATCTCTTCATCAATTGCGATGGTGATCTTGCTGATGGTGACCTTCCGCGCCTTGCTAATCCAGTCCTGGTTGGGGGACAGCTTTACATACACACTCACCGGGTCCAATGGGCCGTAGGACCATCTCGGCAACGATATCCCCAGCGTAACCAAGTGGTCGCTCACCTTTTCTGCAGACTCTGGGCGGTTGTACATGCCAAACGTGGACAGCGTGTCATATCGCGTGATAGGTACGGGGAATGAGTATTTCCTCTGGTCCGAATGCCCTTGCTGCACCATCACCACGATCTCGTAGTAGGTCTCCGCCGTGCGACTGGGTAATTGCAAGCTCGCTGGGGGGACTCGTCTCGAAGCATCGGGTCCCCCACGCCCGAACGGAATGAATAGGACAAACGGTAGATCCATTGAGATCACCTCCTCGAATTCTCGCCCCGCCGGACAGCGGAACAGAAGCATCTCCTTGCCCACGGTATCCGTGATTTCCTTCCTGGGCGGCGCCAGGCGTTTCTTCGCCATCGAGTCTGCCGAAGGGTGTATTGTCTCGCGACGATGGAGGGAGATAGTGATCAGTGAAACGTGGACAGGGGCGGTGACGCCCACGCTGGGTCGAATCTCGACTTTCCCTTCAATACGTGGCTAGGTCGCCGGTCAGCAGGGGAGCTCGCTGGCAGCAGGGCCCCGTGAAACCCCAACGAAACAGACGAAACAAGATTGTACTCACCATCGTTGCAGATATACCGGGGTAGCCGATCAGAAAATTGCCATTCGGCGGCCCCGACACTCGCACGAAGGCGGCCATGCTGAGAGCGCTGGACCCGCACCACCATGGGCACGCGGCCGTTGAGAGCGAAGCACTCCGGGGGTACTCCGGGCAGGAAACAACCTCGACGAGCCCGATCCTTTTAGACAGTTCATAGAGAGCGGAGGAGACGAGCGATTGCCGCTTGATCGCGCTGCGCCGAGAGCCTTGCGCAGGTGCGGTAAGCGGCCGGCTGGGGGGGAGTTCCTCGGACTCGGACAAGGAACAGGCGGACGAGTTCGATTGACGCACAAGACAGTCGATCTGTTTGTGATAGAGTCTAGCGGGGTGGAGGGAGAAGAGATCGGAAGCTGGAGAAGGGCGGTAGGAGCAGGACTGGTGAAACGACGAGGCGTTCGAACGGGAGGGCAGAAGTCGCAATGAGGAAGTGTTTATTGCCGCCGATGTGGGGGAGGTGAAGGAGAGCAGAAGCAGGTCGAGTCGCAGCGGCTACGGAACTACGGCCAGCCTCGCCCTCTCTCCTTCTCTTTCTCTCTCCGTCGTCACCGATCGGCGTTCGTTTCATGCTAGAAAAGCACGCGATTCCTTCCATCCTTCGTATCTTCTGTCCTTCTACTTATTCCAACTAGAGGATTGACTCTGGACATATGACTAACTCCAGTAATCACCTCGTTGGCGCCGCCCATCGAGAGGCCATTTTCCCCACATCATGCATCTACTACGGTCGATTCCTCTAGTGCCGTTGTTGTCGCAGGTGTCAAGTTTCTACACTACGGAATACATTCTGCAGACTTTCTTCTCCAGTTGTCATCAGACTGGGAATATCCCTCCCCCTTGAGACACCTTGAGCCACGCCATGAGAAATTCCGATCGGTTGCTGTTCACTGCAGAATGCAAAGGATCCAATCACAACGGTCACATCCGGAGCTCAGTCGGCTAAGATACCCTGGAGATTAATGGAGATTGATACGGAGGGGAGGCAACGTGAACACTGATTGTCGCCAACTAATGCACGCCGGGGGAAGTGCCCAAATGGCGGGATTCTCGGAGCGTCTAGACCGTGCCAGTCCACCCTTACTCCGTACATACGTAGGCTGTCCTCTGTAGGTGAGTCCGTACAGGCAGGTCTGTCGCTGCGGTCGAAGCGAGGGAGAGACAGGGAGGCCGTCCTCAGGCACTCAGGCAGCCAGGCACCACGATCCGATCTCCAAATTATGTAATCCCCGACCATACTCGCCCTCGATTCTCTCTGGTCAGATGAAACTATCTCAGTAGATCCTCCTGATGCAGTCAGAGCCTCATCTATATCCAGTAGAGATCTCGATCCCAAGTAGATCTTCTGCACGACCTCCTCTCAGTCACCTTACTGTATATGAGCGGACCCCCCGTTGCCCGGTGCAACAAGCGATGACATCGTCATTCTCCACTGCCCACAGCTTGGCCAGAACCATACTTCGACCTGCTCCGACTTCTGCTGCGAAAGGAAAATCCACCCTTTACCCGCTCGCAGGCTGATATCTGCTCCGTCTCTCATCTTCATAAAGGTCTCTCGATTCACTACAACCGCGAACATGCCTCCTGCTCGTCGTCGCGGTGGCAATACCGCCGCTCAACGCTCCGGCCAGTCCACGCTATCATTCGGCTCCAAGTCCAGGGTCACCAAGCCCTCAGCCACCACCCCCTCCCAGAAATCAAAGGATCTCGATGCCCTCACTATTCTTCCTGGGAAGCCATCCCACGATGCGATCTCGGAGCCGGAAGAATCACCGGCCACCCCCTCAGAGCCCCATGTGGCGGAAATCGCCGTGAAGGATCAAGCCCAAACGGAAATTCAACAGCCTTTGACCGAAGAGGAGGAGAAGGCACTCAAAGTCACAGAGCAGGACCTACGACAGTATTGGAAGAAGGAAGAGGCCAAGAGACGGGCCCCTCGAGGTGGGTTTCAAGTGACCCCAGGCCACCGGGGTCGTAGCGGCTAACCATTCTCTCCTCCCTAGTGCATCAAGGGGAGCTGTCGTTGCACGAGAAGATCCTACGACTCTTTGACCTCTCCAGTCAGTTTGGGGTAAGTTCATCTTCTTTCATTGTCTCAGCCCCTTTCAATTTTTCTCTTCTTTTCTTTTGGTTTTCAAATCACAAAAAGAGCCTTGTCTAACCATCTGTGCAGCCATGCATCGGGATCGCTCGACTAAAGCGTTGGAGACGTGCCAATATGCTCGGCCTTAACCCGCCTATCGAGGTCCTTGCTGTGATGTTGAAGCAGAACGATGATACGAAGCAGAGAGCCTATGTCGATGAACTCATGTCTTGAGTGCTCTGGAAATCCCGGGAGCGATCGGGTCGATCCGTACATTTACCATGACTTATACGAAAAGGGCCCATGGGGTGCACAGGCGTTTATAATTAGGATGAAACAAGGCGTTAGGAATTCTGTACATACCCTTTCGAATCTGATCTCTGGTGTTGTTTGAGCTCATCCTTTCTACCACCAGGGGAGACGAGGTGCTGTATAATGAGTGGCTATAGCTGTAGGACGCAACAGGCTGGAGAGCAACAGGAAAAGGGGGACTCGCCTCTTTGAGCTAAGCAGGCGTCAGCTCGCTACATGTGACGGTTACAATCATCTCCCCCTTGTCGCACGGTTGATATGAACTGTCCAACTGTCCCCAAATCGAACAAAGAACTCCTAACGGGCTAGAACAGGCCAATCCACGCCTCTGCGGTGTTACCATAACCACCATGTCTGCATTCCCATCCACCGAACTGCAGCCGCACAGAGACCCTCTTCCAGCAGGGACAACGTTCTGATTTCTGGGGTACCGCGCGCCACATGATGGTTCGGACCAGTTCCAGGCAGCGATGTTACCTTTGCTTTGCCTCGTCATCACATGGGATTTGCCCTATAGCAATCCCTTAACTTCTTACACAGCAGCACATGTTCCGCTGGGCGCTACGCTCGATGCTACATGTCTATGCCGATCCCATCGGCTTGGTGGCTATAATTACTTTTCACTGGTGTGGTATCACCGGTGGCTTACCATCTCGCCCGCTCGACGTGCGTTCTTTGTCTAGAGTCTAGAGGGGTACGCGTTGTGGTGACACCAGTACCACGTCAAGACGGAACTTCCTCGACCTCAATGGCGGGGAGGACTTCAACCTAGTCGGTTATGCTTTGCCGCAAAGGTTACATCGTGCGCTCGTCGATGCTTGATTGGGTGTGTTCGGAGCATGTTCAGAGACTGGCTCAAACGATGAGCGCACAAGTCTGTCAGTTAGACGTCAAGCTTCCTCCCAGTCTGTTGCATGTGACGCAGGATCCAAGGAAATAGGAGGTATAAAACCCCCCCTCTTCTTCTCTCGCTCTCTCCTGGTTGAAATCCCTTCTCGCCCACCAACTTCCACTCGTTACGTACTGGCCATTCCTCCTCCCAAATACTACATTCGTTTCTAACCCATCTGAAGTGTGTATTCTAGTGTCGACGTTTTAAGTTGCTTTATCGTTCCTAGACTGCCATAATGAAGTTCTCTGCTGTCTTTGCTACTTTGCTGGCTGCTGGCATCGCCAGTGCGCAGTTTGGCAACATTCCCCAGTGCTCGGTGAGATTTGTCCAACACGGGTCTTCCTACAACTTGTACTGACCTCTCTCGATAGGTGCAATGTCTCGTCGATGCGCTCACCAAGGATGGATGCGATCAGTTGACCGACTTTGCGTGTCACTGTCAAAAGCCCGGACTTGTTCAGACGGTCACGCCTTGCGTCCAGGAAGCCTGCGGTGCACCTGAGCAGGCTGGTGAGCAATCCACATTCTCTCAACCATGCTACAGAGTATCTGTCTGGTCTTTACTCACTATCCCGTATAGCCGTCTCCAGTGTCGTCGTCGATCAGTGTTCTAAAGCCGGTCACCCCATTTCTGTGCCGCCGGTGGGGGGAGGTGGAGGATCTGCTACATCTGCCCCTACCACCGGACCGGCATCCACGACCTCGGGGTCCATGACCCTTCCTACCGTGTCGTCTTCGGCTCATGGTTCATCGAGTCAAGCCGGGTCTTCTTCTCGTCCGGCTTCCTCGTCGCCAGGGGGCTCGGCTAGCCGTACACCGTCCGGCTCTGGCTCTCTCACCTCTCACGCACCCACGGCCACCTCGTCCACTCTCCTCGCGACCGGCGCAGCTTCCCACCACAAGGATAACATTGTCGGTGTGGTTGCTGCTGCTGCGGCCGCCGTTTACATGTTCTAGGTCGGAGATGTTTCTGCGCCTGTTGCGTTTTTACGAAGTTGAGGGCAGATTGGCTTCGATGATGTGATGAGATGGACTGTCCTTGTTGCTTTGTGATTTGAGAGACTGTATGTCCCTATACAGTAACTGCCTTTCCCCGTCTCGCTTCGTATGCTCTATTCCGTTCCATTACTCTCCTCTTCTTCTTTTTCTCACTGCTTGTCTACGCTGTTCCTTGCCGAGATCGTGCCCTATGCTCGAGATCCAGGGCACCAGATGAAAGGAAGGTATAGAGAGCAAGGTCACCCGCACTGATTTTGCTTGTTGCAAGCTTTGTCTGTGTGTTTCGGGTGCATTGTCTTTTCCCGATATTTAATGTAACTTCTTGCTGTTGCTATATTGATACTTGTTGCTGGGTCTTTTCGGTTTGTTCTAGAGTGATTCCCTTCCTGTAGAGTGTCTGTAGGTTCTGGTTCAAACATGTAGAACACTTCGTCCATAGGGTGACTGTCCTATTTTTAGGCTTCTTGAGTCTTTACTTGCCAGTTTCGCCCAATTAAATGGGCTGGACAAGTCGTTATGCAATGGCAAACGATCATCCCACGTCTAGGCCTCATCGAGCTTGCAATCCATTGCAGGTCTAAAGTTGCTGAAACGATTACCTCCATCGCCAAACAGCTAAGCGAATGCAGGAGACGTCATCGGCAAACGCACCCTCTTGGCCCAACTGCAAACAGATGAATCAGCGCGACATACCTTCCTGAAGATAAATGAAGGTAGAGTTCGCCTGACCCTCTGTCGTTTTTTCCATCTTGCAACCCCCTTCCCTTCTCTCCTTCTCTTGTGTCCTTCTCTTTTCTCCTTGTTTCTTCTCCTTCTCTTCTCTACGTCTTTTTATCCCCATCTCTTATCTAGCTCTTCTCTTTCCTTCTTCTCTCCCCCTTCTTTGCTATACCTGCCCAAACTCAGCGACAGCATGACCCTCACGATGATCTCCGCGTAGTAGCCACCTTTCCTTGAATGAAGAAAGTCAAGACTGAGTCTGTGTTAAATTGGCTACCTGGACGTATCAATGGAGTGACCAATAACATGAAAACCTTCTTTGAGCAACATTGCTTCTCAGTGACCCCCCACCGACAGAAGCCCAGATCAAAACGAGAACCCCAGAAGGTAAGTCGATAAATATGCGTGGTATTTGGCTCACTGGCTGACTTGGGAAATTTCCATACAAGTTGGAACTCGTCCATTCAACCCCTCAGAACCGGTTCCCTGTGCTCATCGTCGGCCTTGACCCTTCTATCTCCGTCACCTTCTCGATGCTCCCCACATTGCAAGAGCTATACAGACACGTTTGCCGGATTTTCCAGGGCCATTGCCTCTGCGAGTCAGTCCTGGAGTTGAAACTGCCTAGCTCGCTAGGTACGCAGATGAAAAAGGTGGAGGGCTCTCGGAGTCTCGGACATCCTTCACACCCAGTTCTTCAACGCAAGCACCAAGAGAACGTCAGAATCTTAAGCATCTCCCTGGACGACTTTGACCCAGAGATCAGATGCCTCAAATCAGAAACAGTCCGCATCTTCTCCCATTGCTGGCTGGCTGTCTGCGCTGGTGACGAGGCCTATATCAAAGGCTGCATTGATCTACTAAGTGTGTTTTTTCTCTCATCCCCTTCCTCATGTTGCTATAGTAATTTACTAAGATTTTAATTGCAGGTTCGTTTTGCCCTCTCGGGGACAGGGATGGCAACACGCCGCTGAGCAATGCACTGGCGGCGCGGAATATCCAACATCGCGCGTCTACATTCGAAGACACTCAGGAACTGCTGGACCCATGTCGTGTCGGGGATTCAACCCGAAGTGGTACGACACTCGGAAGGGCCAGGTCCTACGTTCTGCGTGAGTCACGTCCATAAGGATCCAGATTAGTACATTCAATACTAACAGTGGTGCCGCGCGCTACAGGACATTGCAGGAAATCCCTTCAAGGGGTGAAGATATGTGACCGAATGGACCCAGATTATTAGAGAAAATACCAACTTTTTTTGATCTCTCGTAGGGGTGGATGAGGGTGCCGACAGTAGGATCGACATGGGGTGTACAGTGGTTCGATTGCCTAGATGACGAAATGGGAGTCGGCAAGGTGAGTTTCTAACTAGAAACCTATGCCGTGGCATGACACTGACCCGAAATGATCATACATAGGCCCCTACCATACTCGCTTTATTGGTCATTGTGAGCGATGCAAGATCTCCAACCATGGGCTTCGCTCCAGTGCTCCTGCAAGTTCAGTAGCTTCTCTGCTCAACTAAAGGAGCTATCGCGAGGGCAACACTGATTATCGCACCGACAACGGTACTTCTATTTCTTCCACCTTGAATGGAGCAGCAAAAATAGAAGATCACAATTCCTCATCATGAGACGCTACAAATAGAATGATCGACTTACCGATTTGTCACAACCCGACCACAACCTCTTCCATCACGCCTCTGATTGCCCACCACGGGATTGTGTATGCACAGAGCGAGTCCCTGCACAAGTTTCGAGTCAAGAGTCGCCCACAGCCTATCCCCAAAGGTAAACCTCCCACGGCATTGCTCAGGTACGAATGGCATAACGAAGATTCATATCTCAACGCTTCTCAGGAATTCCAGCAGTGGGCGGTATAAGGAATCGATCGACTTGTTCTGGACGCTTCTTTCCGATCGTGGAGTTTCAAACATAGCCTGCATGTACCCACGCCGAGCTGCTGCTCCTACCATAGCTGCCCGCGTCCTACAAATGATCGAGGTCCTCCTTCATCGTTGTGTGTGAAGACCAGAATCTCAAGGTTGGCTGGGGTTTAATCACCACCACCGAAGACGAAAAATCACCGATGTGCCACCAAACCCTCTCCACATATCAACTGTTTTGTGCCTTACACTATACACCCGATCTAAGATAGGCCCATACTGGTCGCAGCGTGCCAAGGCACTGGATTCATTTGCCGAAAGACCTGGACTTCTACAGTGTCGACATGTCCGATCTGGCAAAGCACAGAATCCATGAACCCCATCCTGGCGGGGAAAGATGCCTTCCCAAGTTAAGAATACCGGAAAAGCTACTACCGTCTCGTGTCCGGCACCGGTGAGGGTGAGCAGCCCTTCCACTCGGCAGATTCCCTCGATGGAAATGGTGACGGTATCAAGCATATTCAATGTGCCTATGTGTGCTCGAGAATGGTCTCTCTGCCTACTACGTGGGTGAATATCACGCCGTATTCTTCGTCGTCGTTATTACGATTAGCTCCAGAAGAAGAACGCAAGATCATGGTCTTTCGACACTAGCCTGTTACTATCTTGCTATGGTCAGAAGGCGATAGCTCTATGGCTGTCAACAGCATGGCGCTCAGACTAAATGGTTGGCTCCTATAGCCCCGGCCTTATTCGACGCAAAATAAGGGGAAACACAGACGTCGGTGGATTCCGGCTTTGTCGCCTGAGTCAATAAAATTGGGGTTCTCGTCATGCTGGCTACCACGCAGTGTTCTTTGCGTCGTTCGAAAGCAACGCAACATTCACATTCATTCAGTCCCATATTACAACAAAGCTAATATCATTCTCTACGCCCATTCGCGATACACTGCAGGTGTGATGTTTCGTGGACCGGCCCTCCAGCATGAGTTCCCGAAGCCAACCGAGCCAACATGGACAGCAATAGAGATCTTAGGGTATGTCTAACGTCATGTTGAAGAGGCAACGCTACAATAAACATGAAGAAATCTATTCAGCATTGTGCCTGTTATTCAGGGAAGGCTGACCTTTGCCCCCTTTGCGAATAAGAGGCTGCAGCACGCAACTTTGAGCCCCCGGTTGCATACTTCGGAAGAAAACGGCGCGGCATACACTTGAGATTCTGTCTGGTGGGCAGCTGGTCCGGTTGGAAAGAGATCGAGAAAAACGAATGGAAATGATTGCCCTGTTGGATTGAATCTTTTTGAGCGTTACGTGAATCGATATAGAAATGGCTTGGTGGTCATATTCATTCAAGAAGACGGGGAGACGGAATGAGGACGTGTGTACGTGCAATATGTATAGGCCTATACTTGGATGAGCCTTCGGGAGGAATATGTATACTGATTTGAATATACTCTGGTCGCAGGGTTGCGAATGGACTACAAAAGGGTGAAATAGTTAGCGAAAGAATATACTCATAGCATGTTTTCGTTTATCCAGGACTGAACACTATATTTGAGAAAGGATCAGATGTGCTAAGGTGGGCAATGAAATGTAGTAGTAGATAATCCATGAAGCCAAATGTAAAGTCTACCTGATCTCTTCCTTGTGTTTGACTAGCCGATTGTTTTCTGTCTGACTGAATACCTATTCATATTGATCTCGTAGATCATAAATCAAAAAGTTGAAGAATCTGTTGTTGTTATATACAAACAGTTGTTCAGAAGTAGACAAAGTAGTACAGAAAACCAGTCTACCATACCAGCAACCTCCGAGTCTGACACTCCTTTATTGATGTCGGTCCATCCCACTTGTCCATCGGCATCCCGCCCAATGAAGATGACAAACTTCGTATGTCTCGTCGCCACCAATGTTGGTCAGCCTGATATATAAGTTGACTTGTTCAGCGCATGACGTGGTGGTTCATTGCAAAGCCATTGCAGCACCCTTCTACCTGCATACGTTTTCACGATGCCGTGGAGTTCTTCATCTCCCAGCTTCCCCAAGCGCTCTAGCTGACCCTCATGTTCAGGCAATCCGCCGATTCCGACGACATCTCTTACTTCAACCTCAGCTCTCACCATCGGCTAGTGACCACTGGTTCGAAAGACGCTCAAGTGTGGTTCGAACGCGGATTGATATGGTCCTTCTCTTTCAACCATGAAGCAGTGCGATGCTTTGAGAGAGCGGCGGAATACGACCCCTGTTGCGCCATGGCTTTCTGGGGCTTTGCGTATGCCGCGGGACCAAATTACAATAAGGCGTGGAAATTCTTTGACCCTAAGAACCTTCGGATTGCGATCGAACGAGCAAAGGATGCAATGGTCCATGCTGCTAAGTTGGCGGTCCAGGCCAGCGGTTGAGCGAGCGTTGATCGAGGCAATTACCGCTTGTATTCCACCTGCGGACGAGGATCCCGATGATCTGGGTCCCTTAGATCATGCTTATGTGAATGCAATGCGCCCTGCGTATCAAAGGTTTGGGCATGACCCAGATGTAGCGGCGTTATTTGCCGAACCCCTCATGTGCATCACCTCTCGAGGGCTGTGGGATTTGGCTACAGGGACGCCTACCGGTAATCACACTATCGAAAAACATATCGCCATGGCCTCCGCCGACGTCCCCGTGACGGCTTCATGCTACTTGCCGCAGGAGTGCAGTGGGAGAAACCGCATGTTGTTCAAAGATGGGCTTAGTTGAAAGGACTGCGGGTACATAAGCATGTACGTACAATGCTCCATATGGTATCGCGGAAACCACTGATGTAATTACCTTGCGGACAATTAGTGGATTGGTAAGTACTCCGGTGTGGTGATAGAAAGAAATGATTATGCTATTGAGTGAAATCGCTGTCGAAAGTGGTGTGAAAAAACCCAAAGTACAGGGCAATGCCAAATGCATTACGCTCACCATGCCAACGCCAATGTAAACAAACACGGTATATAATGATAGCGGAGACTCGGAATCAATAATAAGACAGAGTAATAAAGCGCATCACAAAAGATCCGGGGAGTCTATGGCACCCATAGCCGCACAAATCCTCCGACTTCCTGCCGACAAGTCACGCAGCTTCCGTAATTGTTCATCGCCAGATTTACCCGACACTCCTCACACACGCAGAGACATCGGCATGGCCAGGTGATAATTGATCGTGAGTTCATCCGGCAAACCACGCACGGAGGCCCACTGGGTCCAAGCCCGGAGGCTCCGGATTCCCATGTTTGTCCATCAACGGGTGCTGCTTGAGAGCGACGCGAGAGGATGAGTCTTTCCAGGATATCGCTCTCTTCTTCCGGTGTGGGCCTTCGTTTCTCATTGCTCGACGTCTGAGCGTCCAGGTGAGACATCCTAGAGGAGATGAGGATCTGGGCTCGCTCGCGCTCCACCTGTTCTCGGAACCGACGGCGAGTCAAAACCCGACCCTCTTGCCCAGCAGAGAGATGCGCGGCGAGAATGCGCGCCTCTTGTCTGCTTTCCTGATCCCGCGGGTCGAGAAGGCGCGCAAAAGAACTGACGTCCATGAGCGATTCTTGAGCCGGCGTGCTCTCCCGAGAGAATCCGGGTGGGAAAGGCTCGGCCAGCGTGGGTGTCCGGCGGCCATCGGACTCGTCCTCCCATTCGGAATCGGTCGCTGTAGACATTGAGATGACGCTAGTCGTGTCATCCACATCTTCGACGGACGGGACAAAGTCCGCACTGTGATCCTGGTTTCCCCACGAACCCCCGGCTTTCCACCAGCTATAGAGCGTTTCGTCCAGTCGACCTTCATCTGCTGGTTTCCAGTCCACGGTATTCGAGCGCTCCCGCTTACGCATCTCTCGTTCGACATCGAACTCGTGGTCCCCGGGTAGCTCCAGTTCGCCGTCCTCCGTCAGGATCCAGAAGTCGTACGATTCGATTTTGTCGCCGGTTTCTCTCTCCTGAGCCCCCTTTCTGTGAGGTCCTATAAGCTTCGCTAGCCACTGTGGGCGTGCTGTGATGCCAAACTTGTTGAGCAACTTGTCTAAACCGCGAGCCAACCACCTTAAAAGGAGATAGAGGATTCCTCGAAAGAATGAGAATCCATGATACCATCGGATCGCTCCTCGCAATACACCGACGCCCCCTGAATCGGTCCTAGAACGCACTGATCGAGAGCCATTCCTAGGTTTCTCGATTTTCTTCTCCCGGCTATATCCACTCTCCCACTCAGGCGGGGGTGTCTGGAGCGAGTCGAAATTCATGGTGTCTACGCCTTCGAACGGTACACCTTGAGCGCCGGTAGCCCAGCTCTCGCGGGGCCGGTGTCTTCGTCGGGACGACTCAATCTCTGCTAGGCGATCCTCCTCCAGCCACGTCATCTCTCGAGCAACCACCCCTTGGCCTTCGTTCAAGAAGACTGCCTCGCTGGCAGCAAACATAGCGGTGTATCCGGTTCGAAGCAAAGCAGTGTAAAAGTCCTCATGACGATTGAAGCGAAGATTTTGGATCTGCGAGGCGCCTTGCATATTCTCATGTGCCACAGCAAACCGCTGTCGAAGCGACGGCCGCGGAGAATCGCCTACCGGCAGCGAAAAGGCAGTGATGGCGAGCGCGATGGAGTAGATGACCCCGCAAGCGATAGTACCGAGAAAGAGGGCTAAATGAGGTATAAAACCCACGATGCAAACCGTTGGGAACTTCACAACCACGCCGTCGGGTGCCGTAGTCAAGCTATTGAGTAAGCCCCAGGCCATAGTCGACATAAAGCAGAGACCCCAGAATGCGGAATTAAAGAAGCGATAACGGCTTTGCTTGCCAAGGATATCTAGGAGGTTCGATGTTAGGCTGTTGCAACACGATATTAGAGCGATAAGTAGTAATTCTGGCGTGACATTCATCCGCTCCAAGACTTGGGCTCTGCTCAGTATTTGGGCAGCAGGTTGGCTACCATCGCCGGAGTCTCCCTTGCTAGCACCCTGCTTTGGCAGGCCGAATAGTCCCAGGCCAAGGGATTGAGTGATCGTCGACTCAGCCTCGGCGAACGCGAGCGAATGCTCAAAGATCGACATCCCAGATTCCGTCACGACAGCCCTTCCTTGTAGTGCGCACGACAGGGTATCCACGAAATGATTAAGACAGAGGCGCAGGAAGACAGGCCACAGAAGGCCAAACGATCCACGCGAGAAGTCCGACGCGCTCGTAGGGCGACTCATGCGCACCGCACTGCACGATTGCTCGTCCGTCTCCCATGGTAGAAGGGTAGATCCCAGGGAGTGTAAGAAGCCTCCCCCTCCTCCAAAGTCAAACAGCAGTCGCTTCCCGGGTGAGCCGTAGCGAAGTAGCGAGTAATCTGGGGATGTCTGGCACCGTATAGCACGGAGTAGGGAATGAATCTGGGTTAGGAAAAGGAGAATGGGGATGATTCTCAATGCAAGTCGTCGAGTCCAGTCAAGATGGATAGGGCGTCTGGTGGATGCATAAATCGTGATCCTATTTACAATAAGGGCCTTGGGTTGGTCAGAATCATTCAACCGGGATGTATGTTCTCCGGCGAAGGGGATCTTACTACCGTGAAGCAGGCCAGTGACCACCGACTAGTCAGGTATGAAAAGAAGCCGCTGAACTTGATCAACGCTTGAAGTATGTCGGTAAAATGCGATCCGGTGTCAGCCTGGCCGACAGCCTCCGCCACTCCTTCTCGAGCAGCATTCGCAGCTTGGGCTGTTGCAACTGCCACGTCGCCTGCCGGCGCCACGCCGGCGCCGCCTCCCCCAAATAGTGTAGTCATTTGCTGTAATCCTACCAATCTTCCTAGACGTCTCGGCAAGGTGGAGAAGGCGAAATGTTCTGCTTGATAGAGCCCACGGAAGGGAAGGGCGAGGAGGTCACGCGGAGAGGAGAGTATAGTTGTGGTGATGCTTGTCGCGTTTTCAAGTGATTGGGCGGCGGTTGCGGTGGCAGCCTGGCTGTTCAATATGCTTTCAGGGCCTTGCAGGGCAGACATGGTGGAATAATTCCGAATCTCTATCCCTCCGAGGGATTCGCGGTGATAAGAGGATCATCCGCCTCGGAGGCGGGAAGGAAAGGGAAGGAAAGGAAAGAGGGAATGGCAGGATAGGGATCACCAGGACAAGGTCAGAAAAAGAAGGGAGTGTACAAAAAGAGTCCAAGGGGCTTCATAAACCCCCAGTCGGGCAGGACAGGTAAAAGTGGAAGGAAATGAAGGAAGAGAGTGAGATAGATCGATCTCATGGAACCAACTTGTCATCCGCGCTGGCGTTGGGGGGGGCGGAAGCGCTAAACCCGCTTGGGACGGAGGGACTCGCACGTGCCTCCGCGGTGGTTCTCCCTCTTTCCTCTTCCTGTTGACTTGTTCGCCCTACGGAGTTACTCAGGCCTCAAACATGCAGGGTCTCTCATAGATGGGCGTCTCTGTATCACAGGTATAGTACAAAGCTTATCTATGATCGGAATCCAACAAACATGTTGTGGTTATTGCCACCCAGATTTGAACCGAGGTTCTGTTTCAGGCATTCAGGCATTCAGTCGCCAGAAGGTGTACCTATACAGACCAGACCCTATTGATTTTCCTGCCTCCATGACACTGGCCTAAATACGTAGGTGAAAGAGCAAGGTGGTCAAATTCGTCAATTCATTTCATTTAGATTATTCTCGTGGCGGACCTAACAAAGCCCTCAACACTGAGTTCCCGGTTAACCCTGATCACAGCCTGTACATCTCACTGCGGCTCCGTGCCCCGTCGAAGATGCAGGTGTTATCCAAAGGTACGTACTGCCGGGTAAGCACCTTCAAAACCTCCTGGGCGACGAGCCCACCCGTCAAAGCGGAGATGTTGTGAAGCTCGCCGCCTTCGGTGCGTCGTAGCTCCTGGACGGCATCCAAAATTCGTTGGTAGGTGTCCTCGTCCACGGCCGATGGGTCATCGCGATTCAACGCCCCGACAATGCGCGTGACTTGAGCGTTCCATGTTGTTTCGTCTTCCAGGGATCCGGCGGCACCCTTTTCTTGGACTTCGGTCACGACGCCGTCTAGGGCCTGGAACGCGACATAAATCGGCATCAGGGACTCCTCGTTGCCCAGCTGGTTACGAATGGTTTTGAGAGTATGTGCGTCGCCGTCCACGCGCGGGATAGCACGGCCGTTGATGACCTTGATGTGAGCAGCGTTCTTGCAGAAGACCTCGATCTCCTTTTCTTGGACTTCAAGAAATCGGCCTCCCTCCAACTGGGCCTCCAGCTTCCGAACGATGTTCGTGACCTCTTCCACGTCCTTCTTGGCCTTTGCTTTGTAGATGTTCTGCAGCGAAACGTAATCGGCCGATTGGGCCTTCATATCGGGGAGCGAGCCCGGAAGAGGCAATACTTGATGTGTCTCGTAGAATTCCCGGACGGCCGCCGCGATGAACCAGAAATCCGTGGACTCCGGCTTTATGTTTTTGCATTCCTCCGCCTCGAAGATCTCGCGAAGCGAACTACGTAGACTGAATGGGTTCAACGCCTTCAGCACCGCGGCAACCGCTTCGTCGTAGTTCTCCTCGCCGCCTTCCGGGTTACCAGTTCGTGCGCCAGATCGCACCAGCTCCCTGAACTCGGTCTTCTCCTTATAATTGGAAGGGACTTTGCCGTCGTGCGTTTGCTTCCACTGCTCGAGATAATGTAGCAGCAATAGTAGGCACGGCACGTGTCCGTGCTGATGGTCGTCCATGCTATCAAGACTACTGACCCGTTCAGCAGCAGCCGACAGCTCGGGCCAAGGAGTGAGAAGACGAAGATCCTGCGTCGTCTCTGGATCCGGGTGCGTTTCTACAATGGGAAACAGTGCCGGCAGCTGTACAGAGAAACTGGAGTAGAACCCGACGGAGCGCAGATAGAGCACGGGGATGTTGTATTCCCTCGCAGCATCACAGACGGCATCCAGCGACGAACGCTTGATCGGCCCCGAGATCACTACCAGCTTGTGCAGCGGCAGAAACCCGGGATCGGGTAAGAGTTCCGTGACAGGCTGCGATAATCTTCATCAGCATACACGTCTCTCGCTTGCTCGGTTTAGGAAGAGTGTAGGCGCGATACCTTTGAGTGGAAGCTCCCATCCACATCCGGATTCAGCTCCTTCAACAACCGACAGGTCTCCTCGGCTCGAGATTTGCCCAGACTCTCGTGCTCGAGAAAGAAATTCACCCCCAGATCGGCTTCGGTGACAACGGCAGGATCGACAATCGTGAATCCCCCAATGCCCGGTAAGACGAGGTTCTTGAGGGTCTCCACCCCCGCTACGCCAGCCACGCCAGAGTCCTGGGCGGTCCAGGGCCCGTCGTTGTTGATCAACAGCACGCGGGAGTCTTCGAGAGCTTGCTGGCCACTCGCAGCCCACAGACGCAGCTGCCGGTCATATTTTCTTTCTTTGGAAGAAGGCCCGACCAGGGCACTGGGGAACTCATCCGTCATGAGGGGTAAAGATGACGGGACGAAGATGGAACGGAGAGGCGGAAATGGAACTGAAAGGAAGAGAAGGGACAAAAGACCGAGTAGATAGAGATAGGCCAAGTCGACAGATTCAATCAGTATGACCCACTCCGGTGAACCGGCGAAGACTGGCGATTGCCTGGAAGGTGATTGATTGTTGATGACCTCCCGATGCGCCGTGTAGAACCGCCCGCCCGTCACCTGACGCGAGATTATGGCCTGAGGCTGCCAAGACCTATGACGACACTTCTTCATATTCGCGCCTAATCGGGGAAAGCGTATTGATGTTGCTTGGCATCGAGGGGCGTGGTCTATAGATATCATTGCTTTTCTATGCTTTAACGCCGTGTCGACTTAGACTAACTTAATTTATTCTTGTTCTTCCACTATAGTGGGCCAGTATTATTTCTTATTATTTTTCAAGCCGCCCTTCAATTAATCTTTTCTTCTCTTAGCGAAATAGAAGAACGAAGTAGAATTTATATAATCGCGCATCGTAGGAGTTCACTGGGAGAGAAACCAGCATAATCCTACGAATTGGAGAAACATTATCAAAAAGGGAAGTTGACCAATTTTACACCATCGCCACATGTCGTGAATCTGAGACCTAGATGGTAAAAATAGATCGAGATTGTTGTTGGAAGGCATGGGGGTGCAGCCGTCCGTCAGGAAGAAACATGGGTCTTTCACGACATCCTCTCAAACTGACTTGGCCAATATGGCAGCTGCAAGTACTTTGGGAAGGTTGCAGGAGGCAAAGGAATTGGGTCCCAGTTGGTCCACCAAGGACTTCCAGTCCATCTGCATGCAGTATCCACTCAAGTGTTTTATGAATTCGTCCTTTACTTCGTTGGAGAGATAATCGAGGATATCTGGGCGATCAACACAGTATTCCCTCAACCAGCCGAAAATCTCGTGGTCGATAGTGGATGCAAGTGCTTTGTGGGTTTTTAGCTTCCCAATAGGCCGCCCTACTGTGCCCGTGAGATAGGCTGGAAGGTCCCGATAGTGGTTCTTGAAAGGACTGGGCGTGATGGAACTCTCAGGGAGCAATTTGGGCGACATCTTTTCATCGTTTTCACATGACGTCTTTTTGGACTCGCTTTCCTGTTCTCCATTGTCCTGGGACCGCATCAAAGTTAGACTTATGGAAATAAAAAAGAAGCCCGCTCCGAGGCTCTAGGATTGGAATGAACAGCTGCACGACGAGAAGATACCAGGTCAGTCTTATCGACGGGAGCCTCAGGGCCATCATCTTCCTGCTTGGCTTCTCCTAAAACCTGCTCCGCTGGGTTGTCAGAGGTGGACGGACGGTCTTCGGCCTGGCCTAACAGTAAGTACGGATATAAACTCGTCGCCTTCGAGTAGACAAAGGGGGTTGGTTAGTATTATACCCTGCGCATGTCTCCAACTGGGGAGCTGGGTGCAGACGTTGCTTTTCGTTTTGTCGTCATTTGTTTCTTCTTCCGTGTTTCGGAGGCATCTGGTATAGTACAGAGGGAAGACAGGTGAGAATGGGACCCAAAAACACAGAAAGTGTATAAGGCAAGAACTAAGAAAATTGAGTGGCAGATGTCAGAGTTCCAGTTAGAAGATGGGATATGCACTGTTAATGGAAAATGAAAGACAGAAAAAGATGAAGAATAAGGAAAAAGCAAACTAATATAGAGTGTTCTTGTCTTTGTTCTTTCTTCTACTAATCACCAGTGAGTATGCATCTTACAGATTTGAGAAAAAGACAAAAGAACCAAAGGAAAGAAAAGGAATCACAACATTAGAGATCAGGATCCGTGGATATTTGCCTTAGAATCATTCCCCATAACCAACTCTGTCCGGGTCAGAGATACTGTAGCAAGCGCAAAAGAACGCCAAAATGCTGGTTTTTAACTATCCAAACAAGCCCTGCAAAAACATTTGTCTAAGCAAAAGTACAAAAAGTTTCTTCTGGCCGAGGTCTCAACTACTTTGATGTTCTTTTGAGAGACAAATGTTATATAGACCTATTACCAGATCTCCCACCTTCAGCATCTTTCCTCTCTTCTCCAAAAGTCTTCTTGCCCTGACTATCTCTTTTCACTCCCGTCTTTCCAGATGGCATACAGCTGGGTCATGTTGGATGGTCTGCGTAACGTACAGACAGGACCTCCTCGCTGGCCCAGTACTGGTGACAGAAGCGAGCTACACACCGCGCGGGAGGGAACACCCTGAGGCATGTAAGAATACAAGTATAGGAGGGAGATTATCTGCCGCCGCTTGCCCTAATTGTACTACATGGTGCTACTTCTACAAGCAAGTCGTCTACGAGACTGGTCAGATGGAAATTGCATACAAATGAAACTATAGACACGGCATAGACTAATAGTTAGAGAAAGCCACGGCCATGGTGGTATACAGTCCTCACCCCCTCACACAATCTGGCTCTCTGGAGGCCCCAGGTAGCTCTCGCGGACACCACCCAAGTCGACGACCACCTTCTGGAAGACAACGCCCGGCTCGACGGCCCACAATTTCACCGTGTTCTTACTGCCCCCTCCAGATATCTCATGTCTCGTCGTGTTTGTCCACACGGCGTTGCTGACGGTCTGACCCCAGTTGGACGGGAGAGTGCCCAGCGGCGTAGAGGGAACAAACTGCACAATCTCAGGCTCGGCGTCATTGAAAGCGATCGCGTATTTCAGAGGTCGGGACGGGTTTGTGTTGAGGGACGGCCCGAGATAGACAGTAGCCTTTGCCGTTGTAACATTTGAGAAGATATACATATCGTATTCCAGTCGGGGAGACGAAGGCGGCTGTTGGGTCTCCGCCAGGGCCGGAAGCAATGTCACCCCTGAAAGCGTGCGCCCATATCCGGGGACCACAGCGTAGGATGTGTTTCCTGCAGAAGTATTTCGGGACGTGTGCTCTGCTTCGATGCTAACCGTACCGTCCGACTCAACAAACCCGCGGAATGAGGCAGGCGCCGACGTCTTGTTCACTGGAAGCTGGACGATAGGCATATCGAAATTGCCATAGTCATCAGAAGCCACCGTCACGTTGATAAGTGCCATGCTCGAGCCCGCAGGTGCTTTGTCCCAATCGACAGACAGTTGTACTCGAATGTCAGTGTTAGCCCCAGAAGGCGAGATCATACCCGAGGAGGGTGTCGCTTTGACCCAAGAATCATGAGGGCTGACTGTGAGCTGAAACCCCTCTGTACCGCGTGAATATACCTCAATCCATCTGTTCGGTCCGTAGGGATCAATTGGCGGCAAAGTCAGCGTGTTGCTGGACAAGGAATGCCACCGGTCATCTCCAGGCACCGATGCATTGCTACCTTCGACGGACACACCCATGTTTCCAGCAAGGCTCTCTTCAAGAAGTTGAGTGTATGCTAGAGGAGGGAGTGTGTTTCTCATTGGTTGTTGCCTGATGTGAATCGTTAGCACGCGCCTTCTTAACCATGGCATGCGGAGACAAACCAGTAGTCATATCCGAGATGAGTCTGGTCCATAATATGCATCCATTTCCCATCCAAGAGATTATGATACCGCTGGGTTAGCTCGTGATCCTCTTTGAAAAGTTTCAGGGCTTTCTGCGCGAGGGCATTGGCACTGGTCCGTCGCTGTCCCGCGTACAGATTGTTCTTGCCAGCAGTGATGTGGATGTCAGTCACGACATACCCGGCCATGCAGGGGTGCAACACCATTTCGAAGAACGCAGGACGTGCGACCGGCCGAAGACTGTCATAGACCTGCTGAGCGTCTTTCACAAGTTCCTCCCACTCCTGCAGAACATTGTCTGCCTCGTTGTAGTTGATCAGGCTGAACGTCTGTGGGCTGAGGAGCTCATACTTCCGTCGGGCGGCATACATGCCATATCGGTTCATGATGTCGCCCGTCTTCTTAGCTATTGGGCTGCCAAACTCGCGAGCGGCCCAAAGCGTAAGCCATTCAGACGTGCTGTCAGGGGAGGACCAGCGCGGCGTATCATACGCCAGGTCCATGAAATGGCTCAGGGGCAATTCCTGTGCTCATTAGCTTACAATTCCATCCAAACAGTTCAGGACTCTTACCAGTCCCTTGAGATCTCCCATGTTGACTATCCAAATCTGTCGCGCATCGCGCTTATATGCTAGATGCATCTGTTCCCACGTCTTCTGGAGGGAGATGGTGTTGATCCATTTGTAGTCACGGGGATCACCGACGTAGTCGAAATGGTAGTAGACACCGGCGCCAGCCTCTCGGCCTGTCTCGTTATCCACAGGCAATCGCTGGATATTGCCCCAGTTGTCGTCGGCCCAAAGGAGAGTGATATCGTCCGGGACACGCAGACCGTCCTGGAAATAGCCACCGACTTCCTTGTACAAACACCACATCTGAGGAATCGACGAAACGTCCGACACATTGAACACATCCGACAGGACTTGCTGCTGAGTGTTGACAATATCTCCGAGAGATTTGGCAGTGATCGTTGGAGAGGCGACATCCCCAAGCCCACGCATACCCAGCGTGTAGAGGCTCTCGAAATCCTTGGTTCGCTCAGCCCCTTCTTTGAAGAATGCAGTAACATTTTCCCGATTGGTATCCCAATTCCAGTCGCCATTCAACAAGAGATGCTGTTCCTTCGTCCAGCGCATCATCGGCTCGGTATGGCTAGTGCCCATAACAATACCATACTCATCTGCACTAGGCGAGTTTCGGGGATCGTCCAGGTGAAATATGTTATTCCACGACGCGGGCCAAAGGTAGTTGGCACGGAGACGAAGGAGGAGCTCGAAGACATGGGAATGGAAGTCAGCATTGAACCCCGGACCGTACTTTCCCTCGGGGTAGTTTGCATTGATCCAGTTCGTGATAGCCGGCTGTTCGTCGTTGATGAAGATACCACGGTACTTGACAGACGGAGAGCCCTGGGTCTTCTTCTTTTTCAACGCGTAAATTTGCGGGTGTTGCGCCGGGGCGGAATCAGCAAACCAGTACCACGGCGAGACACCAATCTGCTCGGAAATATCATAGAGACCGTAGATCGCACCACGCTTATCGCTTCCCGCGATGACCAGGGCGTTTGCAACGCCGTCGATGGGGTTCTTGACAAGTTCCGTCTGAAATGCCTCCCACTTTCCCTCTGTTGAATTGACGTCGATCTTGCCACTGTTGATGAGAGAATCGAGAAGCTCCGAGTGTCCAATTGTACCAGCGATAATGGCCGTTTTCGCACGATACGAGTTCGAAGTTGTGCCATTGAGCAGGTGCCGTGTCAAGTTCGTCCCAGTGACGCGACCGAAATCCGCAGCAAGATCACCAGCAGCTCTGATGACCCCAGGCCAGTCATCTCCGTCTAGCAGTATCACACCAGGAGTGCCTTTCCCACCAAGCCTGACCGAGTCCTTTCCGCTGTGGAAAGCGATAGTAGGTTCCTGCGCGAGAGCATTGACGGCTCGGGCGGCGCAAAGAGCCGTGAGCAGGGCCGAGACGAGCATTGTATTCCGGATACGACAAGTCGTGGTGGACTAACCCGCACACAAACAGAGGGGGTCGCCAGGGCCATGTCGATTATATATTCGTTCTGGATAATCCCGAATTTACCCCCAATGCCGCGAGGTCATTTCCACAGACGGCCAAGAGAGCAAGCCATCACCATTCCCGTAGACTAACGCCGAGCCTGGATATTTCCCTGTTGTCAAGTCATCCATCCTGGCATGAAGTGATAGCGAGACGTTTAGTTTAGGCTAAATGAGATGCAGAATCGCGGTCAATTGAGGGGACTGGGGTAAAACGAGCCAAGACGAGATTGATGTGGGGGCTCCGGAGAGAGTCCATGACTAGGGGCCAAGTAGAGGCCCTCAATATGGCCTCCCCCCTCATATAGGTAAAGTATTCAAAATTTTCAGAGTTAAGGCAGTTTGGCCGAGTGGTCTAAGGCGATAGACTCGAATTACGATATCTATTGGGTTCGCCCGCGCAGGTTCGAATCCTGCAGCTGTCGGTTTATTTCTTTTAGTTTTTATCAAATTGCTTATACCCTCGTGGCGGCATGATAGATATCTCTGGAGTAAATACCGCGCCCATATTCCCCTTTTCCCCACTAGGAGTGTGTGAAATCTCCAATGACAAGCATACACAGTAGACTGACGGTTTGTGGCCGAACTGCCCGCAGCCTACCCTGCCTGGAAGGTAGTAAGCCCTATACAGCCGAGTTCATTAGTCAGAAGTCAGACAGCTTGGCCGAGTGGTTTAAGGCGATAGATTTGAATGTACAATATCTATTGGGTTCGCCCGCGCAGGTTCGAACCCTGCAGCTGTCGGTTTAATTCTTGTGTTTTTCTTAACTAAATTACTTATACCCCCGGGACGGCATCTCTGGAAGGTATACCGCCCCTACTTTTTCTTTTTGTGAAAATTCTAAAAACAAGTATAGATTAGTAGACTGATGATGATTTATAGCCGAGCTGCCTACCCTGCCTGGAAGGTAGTAAGCCAATATAAAAGCGACTTTGTGTTCCATCCTTGGCCTTTCTCTTATATAACTAAATAAAGCGAAATAGTTCCTAAGGTAGACAGTTTGGCCGAGTGGTTAAGGCGACAGACTCGAACTGGCCAATCAGCGTCACGCAATCTGTTGGGTTCGCCCGCGCAGGTTCAAATCCTGCAGCTGTCGATTCTTTTTTTTTGTCTTTCATTGAATAACTTCACCACCTGTATGGTTCATGGTGTCTTAATACAATCAGATGGTAGACATTCGTGCATATATACAAGCAACGACTTAGGATAATTGATTAATCGAATCAATAGCCATCATCAACCAAAGCCATACCTGTATAAATCTATAAAATTACACTACTAAAGTCTTTTATATTCTTTTTTATTTATATAATATGGTTTAGTATGAGAAAACACGCTGACATTCATAACCATGGAACTACCTCTAATATAAACTGGGTATAGCGTATCTAGAATGTTTAAGGTAGTAATGCGCAGCGCGGAAAGATGTCTAAAGACCACACGCAATTCTGATCTTTCCACTGTTACCGACAATTACTCTGTATAACTCAAGAGTCCGACTACGAGAATAATCCGTCGAAGTATTTCTACTGAGCGGAGAGGAGAGCCCCGACCGCGATGGGCCCCGTTTCCCCGCCATGTGGTGCAGTTCCTGGGTAAGTTCGACTGGTATCTGCAGCCGCTAGCAATTGTGACTCCTACTTATTAACCCTCTGCTAGACTCCGGTTCTTGCGCCTCGCTACTCCTCTCTCCTCACATCTCCGTCCACTCCGTCCACCCTTCCTGCGCCCCTCCTTCTCATCCCCTCGTGCCCCGCTTCGTCCCGCCACCTGCCGTCCTCAACCCACGTCCACAATGGCCAACATCGTCGAAGAAGCCAAGCGCGCCGCCGGTAAAACCGCTGTCGAGAACCACTACCCCAAGGATGCCAAATACGTCGGCATTGGCAGCGGTTCCACCATCGTCTACGTCGTCAAGGCCATTAAGGAACTCGGCATCGACACCTCCAACACCAAATACATCCCCACCGGCTTCCAGTCCAAGCAACTCATCCTCTCGCACGGCTTGACTGCCATCGATTTCGACTCCATCCCCGAGGGAACCGTCTTCGATGTGGCCTTTGACGGCGCCGACGAGGTCGATGACGATCTCAACTTGATCAAGGGCGGCGGGGCCTGTCTGTTCCAGGAGAAGATTGTTGCTCTCCAGGCCAAGGAGTTCATTTGTGTCGCTGGTCAGTAGGGATGGGGAATGGCGTTGTGAAGGTCATGGGAAGGGACATGATAACTGACCCCGTTGATAGACTCCCGCAAACTCCAATCCCGTCTCCTGTCCGGCTGGAAGTACATCCCCATCGAGGTGGCCCCGTTCGCCGCCCATCGTGTTGTCTCCGCGCTCAAGGAACTCGGCAGCATTGACCCTGCCGTGCGCTTGAGCCCTGCTGCCCAACCCAACACTTCCATGGATGGTCCCCTCAAGACCGACCAGGGATTCTACATCGTCGACGCACCCTTCCAGACCCTGCTGACGAAGGCGGACGTGGCGGCCGGCCAGGACGGCAGCGGCAAGGGCGGGGTCTGGGAGGTCGAGGCGCTCTCCCAGGCCATCAAGCTGATCCCCGGCGTCCTGGACGTGGGTATCTTCTCCGGCCTGACGGGTCCGCAGGCTCAAGCGCAGGGTGGTATCGGAGGGCAGAAGCCCGTCGCCGCCTACTTTGGTATGCCCGACGGTTCCGTGTCGGTCAGAAAGGCCGCTTAGAAGGAGAGATATTTTTTTTACCGATTACATGAGATACGCTGGTGGATGAAGATACGAGGAAGATATTCAAAGATGATACCATGTAGATATTAGCATAAATTTGGATATTCTTTTTGCATGATCAAGATACGGTGGAGAGAAGTAAAGATAGAGGACTACAAGGAGGTCGTTCAGGTCCAAGACTTCATGGCTAATTATAAGCAATCACAACATTCATTATAGCGGCGACTTACTTGCGATTATTTATTTAGCGCCCTTCCCCTTCGCCTCCGTCTCTCCCAGCTCTCGCACGTAGATCGCAACCGTGCCCTCGGCCACGTCGTCCTTTCCATCTTCAAACCCGGGGCTGATGGCCACCGCCAGATACTTTCCGTTGCTGCTAAAGTCCACCGCGGCCACGCTCGACGGGTACTTCTGGTACTGTCGGATTCTCCTCTTCGCGATGCCATCCCACAGAGCGACCACTCCGTCCCCGCCGCCCGACGCAAAGGTGCCGTGAACCGGATGGAACGACAGCGAGTTCACCGGGAACACCACGTCCACATCATCCGCCGTCTGTCGATGACACTTGAACGCGTACTTCCGCGCCTGCGACTCGGCGGACGGGTCGAACCACTCCACCGCCACGCGCCCTTCGATGCTCGACGACGCATATCCCGCATCGTCCGGCATGCAGGCTACGCTGCGCGTCATGAACTTGAGACTGCTCTCCCGCCGCTGCCACGGCTCCACCTCGACCTTGTTCGGGACCGCCCCCTCCGCCTGCGCCGTGAGCAGCGCCAGGGCTTTCAGATCGTAGATATTCAGCGCGCGCGAGGCCATGGCGACGACCAGTTTCGTGGCGGTGAGGGACATGGAAAAGGGCTTGGAGGGGAGGGGGATGATCGCGGGTATGGAGTCGGTGCCGTCAGTGCGGTGCACATGTAATGTCGAATCCCAGGAGGCCGAGATCACCAGGCTGTGTTCCTTGCTGTAGACAACGCTTCGGACGCCGGCGTCGTGGCTGCTCAGTACTGTTTGGGTCGACGAGGCGATGTCGATTCTGTATGCTGTTAGCATCCCATGTCCAACAGTGTTGTCCGATCGGGCGGCACTCACTTCTTGACGTCCCAGTCCAATCCAGCCGTGTAGATCTCATCCTCGTTTGCGCCAAAGCACACGTCCAGCACCGGGGCGCGATGCTCGAATGTTTGTAACAGCTTGCCCTCCCCGACATTTCCGTTCTCGTCGCGCAGCTCGTACAGGTAGACGTTCTTATCCCATGACGATACCACGAATCGCGTCGAATTGGGATCGGGGGAGAACTTCAGCGCCGAGATGGCGTCGGACGGCGGTGAAGCGACGGTGAATTGATCTGAAAGATGATGAGGATTTCCGGTCTCCTTTGGGTATAAGCAGGGGACTTACTTGATGCCATAATTTGGGACCAAGGCGTAGAATTGGCGCGCTGCGTCTAACGGACGTGGATCGCCCGGCGTCATCGAAGCTTCGTTCTTTCAGGCCGTTTTCTGCCAGTAACCACCGCCTTTGGAGATTCTCCCCGCCATTATCGGCCAGCTTCGAGATCCTCCCTCCACTTTTGCAGTCGATTATCCGAGCCCCTCCTTCTTCTTCGGTGCTTCAACATGCCCTTTGCACAGCTGGTCATCGGACCCCCCGGTGCGGGCAAGTCCACGTACTGCAATGGAATGCATCAGTTCCTCGGGGCGATTGGCCGCAAATGTTCGATCGTGAATCTGGACCCCGCAAATGATAAGACGTCGTATCCGTGTGCGCTGGACGTCCGCGATCTCGTTACGCTGGAGGAGGTCATGAGCGAGGACCATCTGGGTCCGAATGGAGGCATTCTGTATGCCATGGAGGAGGTGGAGGAAAACTACGAGTGGCTGGAGGAGGGGTTGAAAGAGCTCGGAGGTAGGCGCATTCTTGCGATGCCATATCGATATTGCTCCATCTACTGACGAACTATGTTGGCGGGTATAGAGGATTATGTTCTATTTGACTGTCCTGGACAAGTTGAGATCTTCACGCATCATTCGTCGTTACGCAATATCTTTTTCAGGTTGCAGAAGCTGGGATATCGAGTGCGTATACTCTTTCCCTTTATCTCATGGTATTTAGAGACACCCCGCTAACAGGAAACAACAGTTGGTCGTCATCCACCTAATCGACTCCTACAACCTCACCCTCCCTTCGATGTACATCTCCGCCCTCCTCCTCTCCCTCCGCGCCATGCTCCAAATGGACCTCCCCCATCTCAACGTCCTGACCAAGATCGATAACCTCTCGAACTACTCGCCCCTCCCGTTCAATCTAGACTTCTACACCGAAGTGCAAGACCTCTCCTATCTTCTCCCGCATCTCGAATCCGAGTCCTCCCGCCTGTCGCACGAGAAATTCGGACCGCTGAACAACGCCATCGTTGAACTCGTGGAGGAATTCGGGCTGGTCGCCTTCGAGACGCTGGCGGTGGAAGATAAGAAGAGCATGATGAGTCTCCTGCGCGTGATCGACCGCGCCAGCGGGTATGTGTTTGGGCCGGCGGAGGGCGCCAACGATAGTATCTGGCAGGTCGCTGTGCGGGAAGGACTCGGCACGATGGATGTGCGCGACGTCCAGGAACGGTGGATCGATGCGAAAGACGAGTACGACGCGAAGGAGCTCGAGGAGCTGGAAGCCGAGGCGAAGGCGAAAGAGGAGGCTGCGCGAGCTGCCGGGGCGACTGCGCCGGCCGATGACTTTGGAGATGATTACGATGACGATTTCGGGCGAGGGCCGATCCCCGACGGGGGTGTGAAGGTGGTGCGCAAATCATGACATGACATCTTGCTCGTTTCTATACTATACATGTGTGTATCATAGGGTATCTTCTAATGACTTCCAAAAAACCTCGCCCAATCATGACTAATGCTTCGTTCTTGACCGTCCTCTCTTGCGTTGAGTAATCAATCATCATCACTCTCCATGTCCATGTCCTCATCCTCCCCATCATCCACAACCACCGCACCAGAACCCGGATCCTCCCCCAACCCCCCAACCAAATCCCCCAAAACCCCCACCTCCTCGGCCTCGCGCAACCGCACAATCTCCCTCCTCGCGCGCCGAATCGCCTCCTCCTCCGCCTTCCGCATCGTCCCGGAGACCCGGATCACGCGAAACACGCACGGTCTCGTCAGCGCCGGCCCCGCGCCTTTCGAGCGACTCGGGTTGCCGTATTCAGGTACGTGCGACATGTATGTGAGGGCTGTCCAGACGAGGCGGAAGGAGGCGCGGGGGCAGCGGATTATTGCGGTGGATGTTGCGGGGGAGAGGTATTTCACTATATCATAATCAAATGCACGTTAGTTAAATGGGTTTAGGATATTATAGATCAGGGAATAGATGATGAAGATGAATAGAAAAAAAAAGAGGAGGAGGAAACGTACCACTCACACCACCAGCCCCAACACCACCGAGTCGACCGATGCCCCAATCGCCAAAGGTTTCTGCGACTTCTTCGCGCACCATCTTGGCCAGGAGACCGGGCGTTAGCGCGTCGGATGTCGGCGCGTGGATCTGGATCTGGGATTGTGATTTCGAAGAGACATTTTTGTGCTGCGTTGTTGTTGAGGGCCACGTTGATGGGTCGGGGTAGAGGATGTCGAGGAGGAGGTAGCGGTGTTTTAGGCGGACCATTGTTCGGTTTCTGAAGGGTTGGGTGGTGGTGGTGGTTGGAGCTTTATGATTTGATTTGTAATGGGTCAGTAGGTTAGGAGGTTAAGGTAGTCGCGGGGATTCGAAAGTCGAAGAGTTTGTTTGAAGGGAGAATTGAAGGTTGGTTTGATGGAGTATGAAGTCCGACAGGTCAGGCTTTTCGCCAAATCCGAAGTGGGGAAAGCGGCAGATCTTCGTTCCCTTCCAGAAGGACGCCAGAAGAACAGTCCGCCGAGGGACTAAGAATATTGACAAGATATGCTACACTAGGATTACAACTACCGGACTCACTTAGAAACATTGAATTGAACGGTCAACTGCCGTCTTGTGATTCGTCTAAAACCAGATGCTTACTGCACCATGCTCAGTTGCGTAGAATTCATCAACCTTATCAGCTGGTCATGCCACATGTGCACACTATATTGTATGTTGGAAAAGGAAAAGAGAAAAAGGAAATCAAATGCAAAACGCAAGCCATCATAACTCCAACGTCAGATAACATGACGGATTTTGACGAAATTACCAGCATCCCACACTGGCCACTTCCACCGCATAAGAAAAAGAAAAAGGAAAATCAAAGTATTAATAATTCGGTATAGGTAATTAGAGGTTGACCTCGACACGGCCTTCCGAGCCACCCTTCTGGAGGGCGGGGAGGAGGTAGGTGATGTCGTCCCAGGGGTGACGGTACAGACCGGTACGCAGACGCTTCTGGTCGAGGTAGTGGGCAATCAGACCCATGCTACGGCCGAGAACGAAGAGACCGTTCAGGACACCCATGCGCATGTAGTCCTCAACCTCCTCGGGGGAGAAAGCACCGCAGTGGCGCATGAGGTCGACGAAGCAGACAGCGACACAGCCGTCAACGTTCAGGATCAGGTTGTCCTTCTTGGAGGTAGTGACGGTCTCGACAGCAATGGCGTAGTCGAGCAGCTTGGTGCTGGGGAAGTGCTTCTTGGCGTACTCCTTGACCAGCTCGACACGCAGATCGGGGTTGTTACGAGACTTGATACGGTGACCAATACCGGGGACTATAAGTAGGTTAGCTAAAGCACTCGCGGAGATAGAGTTTGAAGATCAAGGGACAACGTACTCAGCTTGTTCTCCTTGCGCATGCCGTCGACGAAGTCACGGGGGCTGAGACCCTTGTCAAAGGCCTTGGTGAACTCCTCGGCGGCACCGTCAAGGGCACCACCGAAGCGGGAACCGATGGTCAGCAGACCGGAGACCAGGGCACTGATCAGGTCCTTGCCGGCACGGGTGGTGATGATGGTGTTCATGGCACCGGACACGGCGGGACCGTGGTCGGCAGTGAGCATGAGAACCATCTCCAGGAACTTGCTGGCGAAGCGGGGCAGGCGGCGACGGAACCACAGAAGAGACATGACACCACCGATACCAATGTCCTCCTTGAAGACATCGGAGATGGGCATACCGGCGTACAGGAGCTCCTGGCCACGGTCGTCGGAGATGGTGGAGATGAAAGCAGCGGGCTTACGGACGAGACCCAGCTCCTGGGCCCACGAGTAGTCAATGGGGATCTTGGGAACAGCGGGCTCGGGCTGGGGCTTGATGACACCCTTCTGGACCTCGGCGTCGTAGACCTCCTTCAGGATCTGGGGCAGGTCCTCGAAGGTCTCGGGGACGTGGATACCAGCCTCACGCATGGCCTGGTTCTTGTTCACAGCGGTCTCCAGCTGGGAGTTGGCAGAGGCACCGGCGTGACCGAACTGAACCTCCGTCTTGAACATGCTGGCGCAGGTACCGATGGCCCAGGCGACGATGGGCTTGGTGATGGTACCGTTCTTGACGGCCTCGATGACACGGTACTCCTCAACACCACCGACCTCACCAAGCAAGAGCAGGATCTTGCACTCGGGCTCGGCCTGGTAACGGAGCAGGTGGTCGATGAAGGTGGTACCGGGGTAACGGTCACCACCGATGGCGACACCCTCGTAGACACCGTCGGTGTTCTGGGAGATGATGTTGTTCAACTCGTTGGACATACCACCGGACTTGGAGACGTAACCAACGGAACCCTTGCGGTAGAGCTTGGAGGCAACGATGTTGTCCATCATACCACCGGTGTTACCGATCTTGAAAGCACCGGGCTTGATACCTCCGACGGTAGCGGGACCAATGATGGTGATGCCCTTCTCCTTGGCGGTAACCAGGATCTCACGAGCACGCTGTACATTCGATTAGCTGGGGGTTCTCAATGCGAGAGCTTTGAGTATCACATACACGCTCGGGGACACCCTCGGCAATGATGGCGATCGACTTGATCTGGGGGCACTGCATCAACTCCATGGTGGAGCTGTAGACGGAACGGGAAGAGGCGAAGTTGACAACGGTGTCAACGTCGGGGTGCTTGGCCATGGCCTTGGAGACATCCTGGTAGACGGGCAGGAGGGTCTCGCTGGTTCCCCAGTACCTGTATACGGGGTCAGTATTCCAGGCCAAGGACAATGCGGGGGGTATTCCATACATCTTGCTCACGAACTGACCACCGAAGGTGTAGATGATACCGGCGACGGAGGGCGTGCTACGCTTGCAGATGAAGTCGAAGTCGAGCATACCCTGGACAGCACGGGGCTGCATACCGCTGCGATGACCGTCAGCTCCCGTCCTTCGCCGATGACCTCGAGTATCCGGGCACTTACTAGACGAAACATCTTGTCTTGTTGTGGAAGAGGGTATGGCTGTGAGGGGAGAGCACTCGGCTGGGGGGTTCGAAGCGGGTGATGTTGTCGTTGGCGTTAGAGCCGCCGGCGCTGACCAGAGGAGCAGAAGCAGGCATGATGATCGAATACTCTGTCAATTCGGGGAGAGTCAGCATCTGGTTGTACATAACAATGACGGTGGATGTCCGCCAGCAACAGATTGATTGGAAATGACTCTTCACATACCTGTCAACAGAGCTCTAAACACAAATCGTTAAAAGAGAATTAAAAGTATTATTAGATAGAGAGGAAGAGAGGAAGAGGAGAAGTAGGTTGAGGAGTAAGTTGCAATAATGACAGCAACCTAGGAAGAAGGAGGGGGAAGTATGGGAGAGAGGAAAGGAGGGAAATGACAAGAAACCCAAGAGATGGAGGATTTGATGGGAAAGAAATGGAGAAAGTCGAATGGATGGGAGTAATAATAGTTCGAGGGCAATACAGCTGTAATTTTGAAAGAAAAATAAAATAGTAAAATAATAAAATAATAAAATCAATTAAAAATAAAATAAAATAAAATAAAAAAACTCTCCGACTAAAAAAAAAAAAAAAAAAAAACAATGGAGGGGCAACGATATCGGGATTGCGATGGGGTCAGGCATGCTCGGCCTGTACGGTATCGTACCTGAGAAACCTCCAGTTGAAACTAGCGAGAAGATAATAATAAACTGATGGGGCGATCCGACGGTGGCCAGGCACCCGTATAGGAAGTATACAAACTACCGAGTACATCCAGTCCTAGGGGCGGATCTCAACAAAGTCTGCATGCTCGCTCGGGCTCGACACCGCTGCAGATGAGCTTCGGGCGGCCCCGTACTCCGGAATACGGCGAATATCTCGTCCCTGCCCACCTGGAGGCGTTCCGGTTGGGACCAGCGCAGTGGGGATCGCCTGGAAACTGGAGACGCCACCAAACTACTGTGTACTCCGTAGGTAGCTGTCCTTCGAGGCGATGCTCACCGACTCTACTCGATCAGGCGGTCTCGTCTTAGCCGGGCACTGGCCATGACGCCTCAGGCATCATTTTGCCGGATCGGTTAGGAGCTGAGGCCCTTTCCAGTAAGAGAGGCGATTTTTCTAGAAGGGACAACAAGTGCCCAGATTTCCCATATGGCGACTGAAGAGTGACATCACTGGGGAAAAGTATACAGCGACCTCATACTCCGTACGCACACCGTGGGAACTACAATATCAGACCATTTTGGCCGTGGCGTCGGACGGCCTCGTCAACAGAGCCGAAGCCGAACCCAACAAAAAAGGCGCATGGCCTCCGGAGCAGGCCGTGAGGACGCAAAAAGGCCCGTCAAAGGGGGTTCAGTATTGAGGCTACAGCGTAGGGCAGATACTGAGGCCTAAATACCCGCGGCGAGCAAAGTCCCCAACGAACTTCCAGTTGAGTCCTCTTAACTCCGGCCCGCTTTTCCCCCACCTCAACGCCGCTAAGCCTGCTTAGGGAGGGAGAGAGACCCGCTCTCTGCCCGAGCTCGGCCCTGTACAGGCGGTGTATCTGCTCGTATCGAGTATCAACAGACAACAATCCCGTCAATTCTCGGTCAGTATTTTTTTTCTTTTCTTTTCTTTTCTTTTTTTTTTTTTCCCAGAATTCTTCCCCTATCCGTAAATTTCTCTCTTCTTTCGGTGACTTATCCTTTATTACCGCCAAGCCTGGGATTAAAACAAGCCCATTTTTTGTTTTCCTCTTCTCTTTCCTTCCCCTCCAATTTCCCTCCTGTCCTATACTCCTACCTTTGACCTACTCTTAATCTGGGGTTGACTTTCCCATATCTCTTTCTCTCACTCTGACAATCATCTCTCTAGACCTCTCTCCTTCTCCCTTCCGCTTCTCTCCTCTGATCCTCTCCTCCCTCATCCCTCCATACTTCTCATCTATTCATCATGTCCGCCAAGTCGATCCTCGAAGCTGATGGCAAGGCCATCCTCAACTACCACCTCACTCGTGCCCCCGTCATCAAGCCGACTCCTCTCCCTCCCTCCACCACCCACAACCCTCCCTCTCGTCTTGCCTCCATCTACTTCCCCGAAGATGCCGCCGTCAAGGACGTCCTCGACCAGGCTGAGGTCTCCTACCCGTGGTTGTTGGCTGCCGGTTCCAAGTTCGTCGCTAAGCCCGATCAATTGATCAAGCGACGAGGCAAGAGCGGTCTGCTCGCTCTGAACAAGACCTGGGCTGAGGCCAGAGAGTGGATTGAGGCCCGCGCCGCCAAGGACGTCCAGGTTGAGACCGTCACCGGTGTCCTCCGTCAGTTCCTGGTCGAGCCTTTCGTCCCCCACCCTCAGGAGACTGAGTACTACATCAACATCAACTCCGTGCGTGAGGTAAGTTCATACACCGTGGTCCTGCAGTTTTGGAAAGATGGTTCATGAAACATGAACTAACGGTCTTTGCTAGGGTGACTGGATCCTCTTCACTCACGAGGGTGGTGTCGACGTTGGTGATGTCGATGCTAAGGCCGAGAAGCTCCTCATCCCCGTCAACCTCAAGAACTACCCCTCCAACGAGGAGATTGCCGCTGCTCTGCTGAGCAAGGTGCCCAAGGGTGTCCACAACGTCCTGGTGGACTTCATCTCCCGCCTGTACGCCGTCTACGTCGACTGCCAGTTCACCTACCTGGAGATCAACCCTCTGGTGGTCATTCCCAACGCGGACGCCACCTCCGCCGAGGTCCACTTCCTGGATCTGGCTGCTAAGCTCGACCAGACCGCTGAGTTCGAGTGCGGCACCAAGTGGGCTATTGCCCGCAGCCCCGCCAACCTGGGTCTGGCTGCTCCCTCCCTGGACGACAAGGTCAACGTTGACGCCGGTCCTCCCATGGAGTTCCCCGCTCCTTTCGGTCGTGAGCTGAGCAAGGAGGAGAAGTTCATCTCCGACATGGACGCCAAGACCGGTGCTTCCCTCAAGCTCACCGTCCTCAACGCCAACGGCCGTGTCTGGACCCTGGTTGCCGGTGGTGGTGCTTCCGTCGTGTACGCCGATGCCATTGCCTCGGCTGGCTTCGTCAGCGAGCTCGCCAACTACGGTGAGTACTCCGGTGCTCCCACCGAGACGCAGACCTTCAACTACGCCCGCACGGTCCTTGACCTGATGCTGCGCGCCCCCACCCACCCCGACGGCAAGGTCCTCTTCATCGGTGGTGGTATTGCCAACTTCACCAACGTCGCCTCCACCTTCAAGGGTGTCATCCGCGCTCTGCGTGAGGTTGCCCCCGTCCTGAACGAGCACAAGGTCCAGATCTGGGTCCGTCGTGCCGGTCCCAACTACCAGGAGGGTCTGAAGAACATCAAGGCCGTCGGTGAGGAGCTGGGTCTCAACATGCATGTGTACGGACCCGAGATGCACGTCAGTGGTATCGTCCCCCTTGCGCTGCTCGGCAAGAAGTCCGACGTCAAGGAGTTCGGTGCTTAGAAAAAGAAAAGACTTCTTTTTTCTTTCGCCCTTGCTTTTTATTTAATTTAATCTTATGTGTGTCTCCTTTTGTTATATTCCTGAACGCATGGCATGATATGGTTACTCTTTTTTTCATATATTCACTTTTTTTTTTTACTTGTGGGTAAAGTCCAAATGGAAGACGGGAAGATACAGTCCTCGGTCGATAGAGCGATTGGAGGAGGGGGATATCCATTGTACTGGAGTTGGTGTTCTAGACTTGGTTCCAGCAGAGTCTATGAAGTTAGTCGTTTAATACAAGACACGATTACGTCCACATTCAGATTGAGTAATACTCGTAGCTCTGCGTTTTTGTGTGCGATGCATACTCTGCCAGAATCACTGTTCTAGCAGCATAGACCTGCACGTTCTAAGCGAGATTTTATAGATTCATTGGCCCCGATCATATTCAAAAATACTTTCAATATATCATGCCGAGCCCATAATTATAAACTATGTCCTGTGTAAAAGAGAAGCAAATAGCAGGTAAGAATGATCAATAGTGAGAGTGTGAATGCCAAGAAATGCCCTCCCTATACAAGAAGTGCAAGGCAGGTAGGTAGACGAGGAAGTAAAAAATACAAGACGTCCAAATAAGCACCAGGAAAAAATTACCACTAACCCAGGGTCCACCAGAGCTACGAGCTTAAGTTTATTTTATTTTTGTATTTTTTTTTGCCCCTGCATCAGATCTAAGATTAGATTTAGCATCGAGATCAAGATCAAGGTGGGTTGTGGATTCCTTTTTTTCCCTTGGCTGGTGGTTGTGGTGGTTGGACTTCCGCACGTCCGAGGCGGGAGGCTTCGGGCGTGTGGATGTGGATGGTCTTGGAGTGGGTGGACGGGACGGGCCTTTGCAGTCGAGGCTTGCAGGGTTTCCGTTAGTCGATCGAGGGGCGTGCGATCTAAGAGGGAGGGGGATGGGGAATTAGTTCGTAGGTTAATCAAGTCTATTGTTGGGTTTATCAATGATGTAGTTACCGGTACACACGGCGTAGAGATATCTACTAGCTGGGTTGACTGTTGTGTTCGGATTAACTAGTCTTGATTTAGTCGATATGGTAGTATCTTCGGAGAATTGAGTACATAGTCAGATGGAGAAATTCTCCGGTCATACATACCCATTTCGCGATTCCATAATTCTGCCCAAGGTCTATCATGTTCAGTTGTTGTCGAGCAGCGCAGCGGAGGCGGAAGATTCCTGCCGGACGAATGGAAGCCGCGATAATCAGCACGCGGCAAAGTGACATCATAACCCTAGATTTTAAATAGAACTATAGACTCCATGGTCATGTTTTATTTTTATTGTACAGCGTTATGCGTGTACTCTGTACTCTGCCTTTTTCAACTAGGTGATAATTTTCTTGTTCGGAAATATAAAAACGACACTTTATCGGCCGGACTATTTATATATATCCCGTCGTAGCTCCAGTGATCATTTATCGTGGGATGTATTACTAAACTTCTATATATTATATACTGATTGAATTTGCAAGGCATGCTGAAAGAGGAGAAGAAGGAGAAGAAGGAGAAGAACAAGAAGAATAATAAAAAAAAAAAAAAGGGCTGGACGGAGAAGAAATGGATGGGAGAAAGTATGCAGCTTTCCCACTTCCGCGTCCAGATGCTACTAACCTCAAACCCAACTCTCTTTAAAAACTATCTCATTGCACTGTCAAAGAAAGTCCTCATCCCAGGTGGCCCTGTTTGGTGGAAAGATTGTCCCCGTGCCTCGTTCCTGTCCGGTATCACATGACTATCTGGGGCCGACTTCTTCGCATTGGGGTCAGCCCGAAAGCGCTCAAATAGGACCCTTTCCTGCAAATGTGACGTTGAGGTCGACGGACGCGACGGGCCCGTTAAGCGCGTCCGGTGCTGTGGAGTAGCAGTTGGCATTTCACCTGCTTTGCGGTTCAGTAAACCTCAACAACGACGATAGATAGGAACCTACGAATTCTTGTAATGCCTAGAGGTCTCCCAGGCGGCGGCATTGCGGCCACAGCGCTCCCCGTCTTCTTTGAGCTCCCAGTACCACTGCGCTGGTGTCGGTGTAGCTGTTCCACACCCTCTTGGTTGATGGGAAAGGTATTCTGCGGAAACGCAGGGGTCTGGGGAGGAACGGACGTAGCTTGCAGAGTTGTGGGTGCCGTTACTGGGGGACCATTCCGTGATCTTCCCATGGTGTTGAGCGCGGAGGATACAGTATCGGATGCAGCAGTCTGCATCTGCGATCTCATGGCTCGGGATTTCAACAAGTTGTAGAGGTTCGTAATCTGGGTGAACTTCTTGCATTTGTCGCGATACAAGTCGACAAGCTCCTGGTTTTTCTTCTGAAGCTGTTCCTGGGCAGTTTGCATGTCTGATTCTTGATCAACCGATGCCTATCATCAGGAAGATTGCGACCTACCAGAGAGTCGCGCCTGTAGGCTTGATATCTCCGTGTTCGCATTATGGATCACTTTGTCCATCTGAGTGTTGATCGTCGCGTATTTCTCCGTCAGCGTCTTTGCGAGAAATTCCTGGTAAAAGCTTCTTGTCATCAGCATGACGATGAATTGGGCCGGAAGAATCATCAAACGTACATCTCCTGCGTGGTCTGATAAGTCCAGAAGAGCAAGGCTCGCCCCGCACATTCCATGATGGTGTTTGGATCGAGACCACTGAGCACACTCGTTTTGTAATCCTCCGTGGGGTTCAAGACGGTTGCGACGGCGTCATCTGGGTTGACAAGGAGGGATTGACACGCTGGACAGTGACGTTCACCGGCGGTCGGGCGCGAGAGGCCGAGGGTGTCTGCACATTTGAGGCAAAATATATGCCTGAGAAGTCAATACTATTTGGACCCGGTGGGTCAATGTGAAACAGTCTTACGAGCAGGTAGTGACCACAGCTCTCTCCTTCAACTGGACGCGACATTTCAAGGAATTGCAACGCAAGTACAGATCCATAGCGAGTGGCGTTTGGTTGATACCCCGAGAGTGGTTGATGGGAGAGAGGAAGAGCGGCATCTTGGGGGAAATGGAGTCAGCCGACCCGTCGAGTTATCAGGAGATCGACCAGCGTAAAGAAAACAGCCAAAGTGATTGTTCCCACGGCCTGCCTGGAACTGTCAAATTTATCATGGTATTAATGTACACATATCATGCTTCTTCATGAGTCTTGTCTTTTCGTATTCTTATATGATCAAAAGAAGAACGTATTTCCAGACGCATCACGCTTTGTCGTACGCATCTTTTCCTCGAATTCCGGACCAGGTTCATATTCCCTCCATAGACTGGCCGGGAAGATGTGCTTGTTTCGCTCATACCACCGTCTGTCTACCACCCTGGTTGTCGAGGGATCTTTGTCGGCTCCTTCAAGTTCTTCGCCATTCGGGTTCGACAACGGATTATCGCTGGCTGGAGGAGGCTTGTTGGAATAATCGAACAGCAGCCCACCGGCTTGAGTGAAGTTGGGTACACGGTTGGCGATGAAATAGTATAATTCGTAATGCTGGGCGAGAGTTGATTAGTATGAAGACAGTCAACGAGCCTGATAGATTGCAACACTCACATGCGGGACAATGATTTCTCCTTTGACGAGCATCAAATCGTCGACACTGACTCGGGCCCATTCACGACGGTTATCTCTGCGTCCCTTGGTGGCTCCGCTGTTACCACCCACTCCCAGCTCTGCTCCCACCTTACGGCATCGGTCGAGGAACAACCAGACGGGGTCCCCCTTCTTCACCTTGACGCTCCCTGCGGGTATATTCGTTCCGTCATAGAAGATAAATGGGATCAATATCTCGGTGTTCTTGACGGCTTCCTGCATCGCCAGGAACTCCTTGCGCAGAGCATCTCGTGCCTCTGCCTCTGCCTTCATCGTCGCCTTGGTCATTGCTTTCGGCGGGGGAGGTGCGTTGGGATTCGGCGTAATCCGACGAGACGACGGTAGGGAACCATCGTCAACGGGCGTCTTTGAAGCTGATCGAGCGATCCTCGACTCGCCCGGCGTAGCAGCGGTATCTGTCCCAGTATTCTCTTCCTCCTCCTCATCTCCGAACGAAAGCTTGCTCTTGGCTAGCGGCTTCTTCTTTTTCTTCTTCTTAGGAGGGCCTTCGCTCTGTGGCGTCGAATTCCTGTGGCGTGTGGTTAGTCGAGCAACAAGGACTGGAAAACTGCGCCTTGACTCACCCGTCAGTCGCATCGCTTGCCGACGGTGTTGCGCCTCTCGAGTCACTGGATGCAAACCTCCCCAGCGATTTATCGTGTGCCTCTCTTTCCTTCTGCTCCAGCACCTCGGCGCGACGTTTGCGAAAATCGGAAAGATGGACCAGACCAACAGTCTGCGACTTCAGCATTTCCTCGGCCGAGGCCGTCTGGCCGGTAAAAGACCGCGGCGTCGAGCTATGGCTGTCATTCTCCGATGGTGCCATTGTGTATGGAATCCACTCTTGTTCAACGAGGAGTCGCGGAAATCGAGCGCATTTCTGATGGAAAAGCGACTGACGTACGGACAAAGCACGTGACCTGAACAGCCTACGGAAGAACAACCCATTTACGGGGCCGGATGAATTATTAAAAAATCAGGAAAAATATGTGATAGCAAGTATTTGATATTTGGATTTAGAATCTACTGTGTAAGCATTTATTGAAACTGTCTAGGCGTTGTAAGTGCAGCTGTCGCAGCTTTCTTTGCCTGCAGACCAGTGCAAACAGAGCAAACATTGGCCCTCAATGCGCTCTCCGCAGGAATCGATAAACAACCTTCCTTTGTCTTTCTCTTTCAATTGCACACCTGAACCCCGCGATATCATGGAGGAAGAAGACGACGATTTCTATGACCCTGCTGATGCAGTGCCGGTCACCAACACTCAGAATGCGCCTCACAATCAGTCCTCGAATGCCACACCCCAGCATTCGAATGATGACGAAGAGATTGAGGTAGAAGAGGACGATGATGTACGTCTGGCAGCCCTTGCGCTTTGGAACGTTGACTGAATGACCATGTTTAGGATGAATTCAACATCATCACGGAGGCTCCTCCAGATGCTCCAGCTCCCGAAGTGTGAGTTCAAACCGTGGACAATGAAAGTCGACATTGCTCTAATGCTAGTGCTTGGATAGTTCCCATCCCCGTCATGCGATGCTTCGAACCGAGTCTCAGCGAACGCCATCCACCGACCTTTACACGGGATCGAAATCTGCCACCCCTGGGTTGACGCCCAAGGTAGAATCAGCTACGCCCGTCCCCGCCAACGCAAGACCGGCTGTTCCCCAGAGGCCGGGATCCGAATACCCCCCCGTCCACGCGTCCAACATTGATGTGCATGCGAACCCGACGCACCCTTCTACCGGAAAGCCTATCTTGTCAACGGATATGGATATGGATTTCCCGGAGGATGACAAGCCGTGGAGACGCCCGGGTTCGGATATCTCTGACTACTTCAACTACGGATTTGACGAATTCACTTGGGCTAGCTACGTCTTGAAACAGCAAGAGCTTCGGAGGGAAGTCGGGGACCAGAAGAAACAACTGGACGAGATGCAGGCGTTCTTGAACGGTGGAATGCCACCGCCAATGCCCGGAGGCCCGCAGCCAGGACCTGCAGCCGGTCCCGCCGCCGGGCCTCCGCCGATGCCGGGCATGCCTGGTATGCCTGATATGTCTCCGGAGATAATGCAGGGCATCTTGACCACCATGATGTCCCGAGGTATGGACCCTACGACCATGGATCCTATGACCTTTATGCAGCATGCTCAAGCATTTATGGGCGGACAATCCGGCGCAGGCGGCGGACAACCAGCCCAAGCAGGGTTTGCTGGCCAAGGAGGACAACCTCAGATGGGAGGATATGGAGGTGGCTTCAATGCCGGACGAGGGCGAGGGCGAAGGTGGTAAGGGGAGATGGATCCATGTTTTTTATTTTGTCGGTCACGATTATATTCTTGATAATGCGCCGAATCGCATTCTAGGACGGTTATGTACTGCGGAGTTCGTTGTTTACTATGAGAAAAAATCGGAAGTCTTTGTCAATTGCTGGCTTCGTTGTTTGGGTTGGGTAGTAGTTTCGGGGCAAAGGAGGCGTGTTATTGATCTTCTTGAGATAATGCAACAAAGTGCTTAGTACCGCTATTGAAGCGACTATGCCAATGGCCATGAAGTAAATATAATCCTCCACAAAACCATGAGGCAAATATGTCTTGCGCATAGAGGAGTCAGAACGGTGTCAGGAAAGAGGTCGAGAATACCCTCGGCAGTGGTGGAAGCTGTCGGCAAGTCTTGGCATTCTGGAAATTTCTCGCGGGCCGACGAGTCCAGATCTTCTTCCTTCCCCGTCCTTTTCTTCCCTTCGCTCTCCAGACCTCCAACTTTCTTCCTTTGCCATCTCCGCTTGATCCTTTGCGTCGTTCCTCACGTCCAACACACCCGTCACAATGGTATGTCATGCATCTCAATGCCTTCCTTGGAGCTATAGCTCCCCCGTCGAAGTTTTTTCCCCTTCCTTTTTGCTCCTTGCAAGATTGGACGTCTCGTCGGCAGCTGGAGCGATTTCTACCTCCAGTCGATCTTCGCACGAGCTTATAAATCATTACTAACACGTTCCTGTCTCCTAGTCTTTCCTCCGCAACATCAAGAACCTTACCCCCCTCATGGACCGCGTCCTGGTCCAGCGCGTCAAGCCCGAGACCAAGACCGCCTCCGGTATCTTCCTTCCCGAGAGCAGCGTCAAGGAGCAGAACGAGGCTCAGGTCCTTGCCGTTGGCCCCGGTGCTCTTGACCGCAACGGCCAGAGACTCCCCATGGGTGTCGCTACCGGTGACCGTGTCTTGATCCCCCAGGTACGTTAGCTGCCGGTTCACGATGTCTGGTTAAGATAAGGAATGAGGACTAACGGACTTCTCGTTACAGTTCGGTGGTAGCCCCATCAAGGTTGGCGAGGACGAGTACCATCTCTTCCGTGATTCTGAGTATGTTTCCCCTCCTTGCTCGCGAGTTGCATTGTGGATTGAAATCTAATGTCTACAACAGGATCCTTGCCAAGATCAAGGAGAACTAAATGCATATACGCCTTTGTCTTTCCTTCTCCGACCCTAGAATCATTCGATTCTAGCCGAAGACCTGTATTATACCATGCAAATGAGCTTTATCATGCGCGTCGTCCTGAAACCACCACATCGACCCAACCCAGTCCAATCTGGATTAATCGAAAAATAAAAACCCCATTGGTACACTAGGATGGATTTCTGTTTCCGTTCTTGGTATCTTGGGCTATAATGTGTCCCCTTGCATCTATCCTCTAAAGCGTGAAATGACTATTTACCTTGTTGCATATTCTGTGATGTATCTTAAGTCTCTACCTACCAATCGCCATCTTCATACGCAGCCTGCGCGATGAAATGAGTAATCAGATATGGTAATCTCCCCTCTGATCGTCTTTTCATTTTCTCGATAAAGTTTCAGTAAATTTCAAGTTTAGCAGATTCATTGAAATTCAGCGCCCAGTCGCATTGCCAGTCCTTGTCTATCACTAGACTGACCCGACTGATCAACTTCTCTCCTATCAATTCCCCGAACAGCTCTTGTCGACGCTCAGAAGACATGGCCATGAATATGGAAAGAGATCCGAATTTCCCCTGCTTTTGGCTGGATCCATCGCCCTCAGCCTTCATGATTCTCTCTTCTCTGTTTAGTATAGAAAGCACAGCCTGGGCAGCATACGGGTTCAGCCCCGCTCGTCTCAGGAAATGCTCCCAATTCGTCTCCTCAATACTGCCATGTTCTGCTCTGGGAACCTGGGACTGTGGCTTCGGATTCACCGGCGTGAACCCAGTTTGCTGTGGAGTTGGGACATTTACCAAAGGCAGCTCAACAGCATGCTTATCAGATATTGAAAGAATCCATTTTGCCAGTGCCTCCGGCGATGAGGGCACCCAAAGCGGGACGATCGTTGCACAGTCACTTGTAGAAGTGCAGAAAGCCAGCAAGGAAGCGAAAGAGGCCAATGTCCGTTTATCCGCTGTCCACGTCAGACCTATATTTCCTTCCTGTGAGCCTTTTCTTGAAACAGCTCCGTGAGAAACGAATAGATAGAGGTACTCGTATCGCCGTGCAAGGAGGAAGATCTGCTCGCGGAGTGGTGAGTCTATCCATTTGAGATCGGTTGTTTTGGGATTTTTGGACTTGTGTCCTGGGAGGTATAACTGGGTGATTGCTTGAGATGTTGTGAGAATGACTCCAGTTGTTGGTGAGACTATGATATCTGCTTCGTTTGGAAGGGTGTGTCTTGTATCTGGCTGAAGGGCTATATTTCTGGGGTTGCATATGGATGGGAATTCTCCCACTGTGGTGCCGTAGTCTCTGTATACAATGGTAAGGGCGCTTTGTGTCTTTTCAATGCACCGTATGATATTGAGGTGTGTTTTAAGGAGCGCAGTTGAGACGTAAAGGTACGATGGTTGGGAGACCTTGCGTTGGATCCGCGGGGCTCTGTCTGCGAATGTGGCTGGTATAACCATGATGCTGTCGGTAATTCCAGTAGAATCACGCTGTCCAACCTTGTCGATCGGCTGGGATGCAGGAAAGTATTGGCTTATGGCCACAATCGGACGTCCACTTTTGATTCGGCCTCTGATTTCCATGAATGATGACAGTGAGCCCAGCGAGGCTGACAGTGGCAAGTGGGCTTTTAGGCCTGGTGTTTTCTCTTCCTGAGACTTCTTTCTTTGAGAAATTTGTTTGTTCTTTAGCTGGAAACTTTCCCGACTTGTGCTTCGTTCCCTTTTCAAAGGAAGAAGCGATGCATGATTCGGAAAGCCTTTATACTTCGATTGAAGACTCATTCCCTGAGACGCTGACTTCTGCTCCCCGTTGCTCAAAGATGGTTCATCGGCGTTTGTTTCAATCTCCTGTAATTCGTGACTCGGTCGAAGTGGTGATATTGCATGTACGGCATCCGAGACGATGATCGGTTCATCTATAGGGCAAGAGAAGTAACCGGTACTGGAGGGGGAGATCTTATTCTCGCCTGTCTGTTCGGGAAACAAATACTCGGGGGATTTTGAACCGCCTTTCCCATCCATTGTCGATTTGTCGTTCGTAGCCGAGGCAATGGCAGTGCATCCAGTGGAAATGATGGCATCTATATGGGTTTCGCTGACATTCTCTTCGGGAGAACTGTCTGCTCTGGATTGACGACTGAATGATGCACACGACCGCACATCGATGTCAAGTGCGCTTCCGTTAACTGGCGGCACAAGAATGCCGGCATGGGTGGAAAAGTCAGGGACAGTCTGCGTGTTGATAGCTAAATTCTGGTCAAAGCCCGGCGAAGTCTGACCAGACGAACTAGTTCCACGGAGATTGTTGCAACCCAAGGATTCATTTAGGTCATCTTCTAGCTCAACACAGCCTGAAATATCCTTGTCATTGTCACTGGAGAGATATGACAGCATATTGTTTCGTGGGTCCTGGCTGCGGTCACACTCTCTATCCTTCAGAGTTCCTGATTGACCTCTTTGTGTGCTATGATCGGGGAGGCAATGCGGCGAAGTGAGACTTGGTAGCATCTGCAACTCTGCAACTGGCGAAGGGCTTCTATGATATGCATCGTCGGCATCGGAGAGGATAAGTGGAGATGGTCGCGAGAAGACAAGACCATTCTGTAAGCAGGCAAAGAGCCATCAGCGCCCTTGTCCGCAAGGTCTTGTAGGAGCTCACCTGACACGGCGTCAACTCATCCATAAGTAGACCCTCTACAGCCTTTTTGGAAGGATCAGTACAGATCTTGGCATGCTGTATCAATTTGAAAGCATCCTTGCTGCAGCTGAGTTTCTCTGTTTTGATATGGTCCATGGCGTCATCTATAAGGTCTGAAAAGTGGCTTGGAAGGATTGCAGCTGACAGAGGCTCCTCGAGCGGTTCTAATTGGATATCTCCGTCGTAGCGTGAGCTCCTCTGAGAAAGCATCGTGTTTGTGTCATGCTCTGCAGGGAAAATGGGCGTTTCCACCTGAAGTCTTTCAATCCGATCGAATGCCGGCAAAACGTCGGTCCAATTGATGTCCTCTGTCCGAACACTTGCATCTCGTATCACGGTTGACAGGAGACGAGCGCCTTCTTTCTTGATGTCCAGCTTCTCTTTGAGCAAGGCTTGTGTGATGGCTTGTTGGGCGTTTTGTAATTGTTCGATGACAGGGCTGGGCTGTGGCTCGGGCGTGGGGATTTTGCAAGTATCGTCGATGTAGGTGTGGGGATCGATCGCTGTGAAGTCGCTAGCGATGCCGTAAAATCGAGCGTATTCTAGAATAGAAGATTTCGATGAGCTTCCCATTCTGAGGCCGTTGATATGTTTTTGCCGCAAGGAAAGATGGGAGGAGAAAAGAGGAGGTAGTTGGGATGGTGGCGCTACGAGATTCTGGGAAAATCGACACCTGAATTGCTCGGCCAGGCAGCGTGCTACATGTGCCTTTCTGATATACGTGAATGCGCAAGGCCAAGTTGTAGAATGACGAACAAGTAATGTATTTCGCTAATCAAAGGCTAAGTAAATCATTTCAAAGTGCTCTGCTAATTTTGAATGCAATGAGTGTCAATGTCCCAGGTATGCGCCAACGCCAGCGTTGTGTGATATTAAAAGCATCAGTATGTCCGAGATTAGTCGTTATAGTTGGACTGACGTGAGCCGTCCTTGTTCACAGCCGGGAGATTGTACAGAGCAATGTGCTCCTCTTCCTGTGACTTTCCTGCCGGGTCAAAGAAAGGGCGCTCGGCATGGCAGGCGACTCGGACTGCGTGGCGTCGGTGGGGAGCAAATCCGTAGGAGGCAGTGTGGTTCTGTCGAAAACGTTAGTATTATTGAATCGCTCGTTTCCCGGTCTGGAATTGAGAATCATTGCTTACCGTTGTTCGGTTGTCCCAGATTGCAACGTCATTCTTGCCCCATTGGAACCGCGCATGAGTCTCCTGTGTAGTGGCAATCACCTCGGTGAGGTATCGGAGAATAGCGTCACTCTCAACCTTGGGAACGCCTATGATTTTCGTCACGAATCCAGGGTTGAAGAACAGACTGTTCCATCCGGTAACGGGGTTGGTCCGGATCAAAGGGTGTACCGTCGTGACCGGCTCTCGGCGGACAGTTCTGCCAGCAGCCCGCGTGTCGGATGCCTGCATATCTGCAGAGTGAAGGGCCGTCAAGCCTTTGAGATAGTTCTGCATGTGAGAAGAGAGGGCGTCGTATGCCGCATACTGAGAAGTCCAGAGGGTGTCACCGCCACCCCCACGAGGAGGACCGGTCAGAAGTTTCAAGAGGGTGTAAGATGGTGGTTGCACTTCATAGGTTACCTAATATCGGGTCAGTTTGAAGTATAATAAGAGATGAAGCGGGTAAGCATACATCTGAATGCCAAAGGAAGCTAGGCGTAAACACAGCGCGTTGGTCGGCGGCGTTGTCACCGGTGTAAACGACATGAACATCCTCCAAGCCACCTTTCTTGGGAACAGCTGTTGTAGCATGCTACAGCAAGTCAGACACATGAAAGATTCTGTAGAGTGCCCGAGAGACCGATCTTTACCTTGTGCAGCTTGCCAAAATATTTCCCGAACTCTCTTTGCGCCTCAATGTCAAAGTCCTCCTGGTTCCTGAAGATGACTACTCCACGGATAGCGACCAAGCGGGCTAGGTCATCCTTCTGAGCATCGGTGAGAGTGGCAAGGTTGGCGCCGTGGATTTCGGTGCCAATCTTGGGGTTGTAATCGAAGATATCGGTTGCATCTTGCAGGAGGTTGCGGAACTTGGCGTCACCATAGAGACCCCTATCGTCGTATGGGGTCTCTTCGATGGGGTCCCAATGGATGTCAGGAAACGATGGTTTGAGATCTTCGTAAGGATAGTCGTCGTGGGTTTCAATGACAGTTCGTCCGGGCTGATAATTGAATTTGTTGTTACCGTCAATGGCGGTGGTGATGCCCTTCTTGGGCAAAGGAAGCTCGCCCAAGGATTGGCGCAGGACAGGGTCTTCCAGCGAAGGGGCCATGGTGGTAATTGGAAGTGATCAAGCCAAGAACTTCGAGACGTCTAGGTTCCTTTGTGAATGTCTTCTGAAAAACTGGTACTCCGTAGTAGTCTTGAAGAATGAAGTCTAGAGGGCGATCCCTTTCCTATATGTATGGCTTGTAGGATGCTCGGAAGGCCGGGGCCAAACTCACACATCTCCCCCAGAAACGGAGGAAACGGCGATGGCACCATCGCTGACGAAAATCACCCAAGCTGTAGATATGTGGCGCGATGAGGAATCCTCATACTCCGTCAGGAAGTGATCCATGGTTTGTAAGCTTCTATGGAACGCTTCCCGAAGCGGTGGGCGATCACGTCATGTTCTCGCTTGATGTTGGAATGCGATGTGGGTCGGCCATCGCGATGAGAACAGAACCCATGGGGAAAGATGAGTCAATTACTCTGATGAAACATCATGTAGCCTCCTGGTCCACCTAATATGACCGTCGGTCTCCTGCGGACGGTGGGCGTGGCTGTTGGTCACCCGGGCCAACAGCAAGATACGGTGAGAGTCTTGAGGTCGCAACTGACCACTATGGTTTCATTGGAAGTATTCGGCTAGGTAATATGAGCGCTCACTGGTGTGTAGGCCAGTGAGATCCTGACTACTACAGAAAGTCATTCTTAGTATGGACTGGCAAGGTCATCAAAGGGGGACGGTTTCATGCTACTCCAAGGCCATGCGGTCTTTATCTCCCATGTGCTTTGCAGCAGACATCAGATAGCGGTCGAGCGATCATCCGAATTATCAATCAGGTGTTAAACTTAGAACCGCAGCAGCCGAAATTTTCGGAAGAGGCGCTACCCAGGAAGATGGAGTAATTGTGGGGAGAAGATCACCGAGGAATTGGGTGCGATCACGCAAGACGGCGAGCCTCTTGCGTGTGAGCTGACTAAGTCGATCTGATGGCCTTGGAGTATACTGCGCCCTGTTGAAGCATCAAGTGCAGGGAAACAAGTAATAAAATAGGAAAGAGACAACCGCAAGTGAATTCTGGCTAATCTAAAACGCAGAACGCCCGACCTCAAATCATGCTTAACCACATAAAACGTCCATTCCCCTTTTACCATGTGTGTATCTGAAGGAAAGAGAATAGTCATAATGTACAGAAAAATTCCAAATCACAGCCCAAGTCTCCCATCAACAGAGGGTGGACCGAGGACGACCTCTTGCGCTTGCTCAGTCACTTGTCCAAGACGACTGGCCACACCCAGAATACCAGCTTCCACGTCGCCCAGAACGGCCGTCAAGTCGCTGAGGACTGTTTTAGACGCCCCGGAAGATGTACCATCGCGGCTCCGAGAAGTCAAGAATTCGTGAATCTGTCGTTCAAGAGTTGACTCCACACCATGAAGATGGTCTTCGATGTCTTTCAGGTTCTGGGTGTATTGGTCGAGGACGCCTCCCATGTCGTCCGATCGCTGAGAGAAGTAGTCCACAAGGTTGACAGGAACGCCGTTGATGGCGGTAGCAGTAGACGGATCGGCTTCGACATCGTCGGGAAGTGCCAAGGTATTCTTCCGGCTTGACCGCAGCGACTGTCGGTCGGACATTTTCTGATCTTGAACGGACCACCATCCTGGACCCCCGGCGGACTGGAACTGCAGCGGCAATTTCAGCGTGTCAATCGCACGGAAAGCAACCTGTGCTTCCGCCGCATCCCGCGCCACGAGGCCCCGCAACTGATCGATGTCGCCCGCATCGTTCTCGAGAGCGTGCTGCATAGTCTCTAATTTCCCCTGGACGAACTCCACGTCGTTGGGAATGGTCTCGCCCTGCGCCGCAATGCTGGGGATCATGTTGGCAATCTCATTGCACATCTGGATTTGCGCAAGGACGGCGTTGTCGAAGCGTTCCAGCTCGGCCTTGATTTCGCTGGCGCAGCTTTCAAACTTCGTAGTCGGTAAAAGATTACTGATATCCACGATAACCCCGGGAACCACGGTGTTTGACAGCGTCGATGGGGGTGGCGCTTGTTGAGCCGCAGGTTGGTTCTGGTTTCCAAAGAGCGATAGTGTAGGTTTCTGGGGCTGTTGCTGTTGCTGTTGCTGCTGCGTTTGCGTGTTATTCAAAGCGGAGCTGCCCCTACAACCAGGCCAGTATCAGTAAAACGCGCGTCTATATCAAATCCCAAATCCATGGTGTTACTCACAAGAGCCCACCGCCAGTGGTTGTAGAGCCCCCGAGACCGAAAGCGGGCTTAGGCTGGGCCGACATGGTATTATTCGCACCCGCAGTACCTCCGAAAAGACCGTTGGTTTGCGGTTGAGAGGCAGCCGGCGTAGTGTTTCCAAAAACACCTCCGCAAGTCTTGTTGTTCTGCTGTTGCTGTTGCTGCCCGCCCAGGCCTCCGAACAAGCTCGATCCAGACTGCGTTTGCTGCGTGTTTCCACCGCCCAGAGTGTTCCCAAATAGACCGCCGGCAGGTTTTGATTGCGGAGTCGAGCCCCCTAGATTCCCAAATAGACCGGAGGTAGTTGTCGACCCTGGCGTTGCTGTGGACGAGGAAGTTTGGGCATTATTGGCACCACCACTGATGAAAGACAATACCGGGTTAGCTTGGTCTCACACCACTTTAAACTTTCCCGACAAGCTGACGGAAACAAAGGATGAGGAATGCAGCCAGGACAGGCGAGCAAGCAAAAAGTCATCCAACAATACAAGAGGCAAGGGGTGTGCGCATTGCACTCTTGCAAGACGTGACCAGCACCAAGGCATACAGAAACCATCCACTGCGAGGGCATCAAGCCGGATGATCCACGCACATCCCACAAATATCGAATACAAAGAAGGAAGGAGTCCTTACAAGAGCGAATTGGCGGAATTGGTGTTTATGGACAAGCCGCCGGCAGGTTTTGCGGAAAACATTGTGAGTGGTGGTGGAATGCGGCGTACGGTACGAATCTAGGGGGGGAGGATGAAAACAAAGAAGAGCGGACAGTCGCAAGGATTGGATGAACCTTTCCACACCAAGGCAATTTGACTGGCCGAAGCTACCGTGGCAGCTTGGATGCTCGTTGGAAGCGAATCTTGACTTTTGACGTTGGAGAAAACAAAGAGAATCCGAGGGCCGCAGTCCTTGGCCCGCTTGGGTTTAGCGCCGGTCTAGCGTGGTTCGGGGAAAGATTGACCGGCTCCGGGCTGTAGATTCAGCTTCCGTCATCGTTCATCGTTCATCCTCCTCCTTCCTTCTTCCATCTATAGGATTCTTGTTGCTTGGTTGAGCTCGATCGGCTGGCAGGCCGAATCAATTGCTACTGTATCTGCCTCTTCAGATAGTTGCGTGAAACTTGACGTATGCACGGCTGAATCTATCTAACATCCAGCAGCAAGAGAAGGTCCATTGTAGTCGAAAGATATTCTACTTGCCTGTATGCTCTGTACTATTTCTTCCTCATAGTCCAGAGGGCAATGAAGACTTACAACTTGACGCCCATATGTGTGGCCTCAACGCGGGATGAAAATGAGCCGAAGGTGCCTAGAAAGCACCACGAGCGATATTCTGATTATAATCATGCTAAAAGTATAGAATGGTATGTGGAACATGGCTTGTATCTTCTTCTGTCATTCACAGTTCAGATACTTACGATGTCTATATAGGTCTCCGGACGGCACCACAGTCTTGACTGACTCGGCCGATCACCATATTAGAACCTTCATACTGTGAGTTCCACGTGGATGCTCAGTGAGCTTCTTTCAACTGACATTCAGTTCAAAAGGCCTCCCGATCTTTTGGAAGAGAGGCAATCCCCTCACCATCTCACCCCGTACTCTGTTCTGCCTTCAACGGAGCCAACCTATGCCACTGCCGTTTACCCGTTCTATTCCCTTCAGGACCCGTCCACCACTCTTTTCCTCTCGTCAGTCCGAGATCATCCGATCAGGCTTGCATCTGCGCTGGTGCCAACCTCAGTGGCGACTTATTCCCTGGTCAATCCCACTACGGAAGCCTTCATAACCCCCCATTCCTTGATTTATCCCTCCTCACTGGGTGGTACTCATTTCCTCGCGGGCTCGGATAGTCTCATTTGCCTATTCGATGTATCCCGTCCCGGGAAAGATGGACCGGTGACGTGGATGCCAACGATACCAAGTAAACGTAAGCAGGCAGTGGGTGGAGGCGTCGGAATGAAAGGAATTATCTCGGCAATGGCCGTTAGTCCGACCGGCGACGGCGTGCTGGCTGCTGGCACCTTCTCAAGGCACATTGGACTCTACGACTCCAACGGATCCGGACAGTCCCTCGGTACCTTTAGCGTTGCAAGGACGGAAGCCAACCGTCACATTGGGGGTCGGGGAGTCACCCAGCTTCTCTGGAGCCCTTGCGGACGCTACCTTTACATTGCAGAAAGGAACAGCGATGGGGTCTTGATATATGACATTCGAGCCACTGGACAACTTCTAGGCTGGCTTGCAGGTCGAAAGGCTCTCACCAATCAGCGAATGAAAATCGACATTGTACCAACTAACCAGGGCGAATCTCATGAGATCTGGGCCGGAGGAACAGACGGTTGTATGAGAGTGTGGCGGGACCCAGCTCTCACAGCAGGGTCGCAGAGTCCACTTTGGGAGTGGAAGGTCCATGATGGTAAGCTCAAACTAGATTATAGTCTTGCAAGACGACCTAGTAGACATACTTATGGTCTACAGATTCCGTCAATAGTACTGTGCTGCATCCCTTGGGTAACATCGCTGCCACCGCCTCTGGGCAGAGACATTACTTCGATGATACCGTGGGAGAGAAACGCGATCCACTCACAGCTGATAGCACTTTGAAGATCTGGTCTATGCCATTTTTGGAGGGGGAACTGGATGGGTAGCATCAAAAGGACGCGTGGAGAGGCAGACCCCAGAACCTGACTACCGTGCCAAAAGGAGCCTCAAACCCTGGGGACCACTAAGAACCCGAAATTCATACGGCTGGTCCATGAGCTTGTATGGCCGAGGACCAGGATAGCCCGGTTGTCGCTCTTTCTCGGCCTTTCCTCGGTTGCGATAGCCATAAACAACCCCGGCCTTCGGAAATTGTTCCATCCCGAAACTTCCTCTTTCTCTCTAGAGGGTGGCTGGTCAACAATGTGATTATTTCCCTCTTTGGGACTATTGACCTCTACCGAATATTGGACCACCTGCAGCTCCATTGCGTGAAGCAAGCCTCCTGATTGGTGCAGAAGAGTGAAGTACCAACAGCAGCCTCCGGGCCCTTGACATGCTGCGAGTGGTTCCATTGGCACCATTCCATCACGACGCCTTAACAGGAGACCGCAACATACACCATGCAGCGCAACCGTACACCTTGGCTTGTGCACACCCGGCCTCCTTTTGCCCAGCCGTTTTCACTCATCCATGGCTTTCTCTCCCGGGTGTGAATGTCTCCTGGGGTTGTTAATGGAGAATGTCGCAATTCACAATTCTGCCTATTGAGCTCGTTTGGACAATATGATTCATCTTCCCTTTATTCCCTGAATTCCCTATCCCAATCACTACAAATCTGACCCCTCTTTCCTTCTCTCTCTGTAAATTGCCTAGCAACCTCTTTCCCTCAATCTCCTATACAGTTTCTGTGTGGAAATCTACTTCAGCCGCTTCCTTGAGCTTCATTTCTAACTGTGAACTGTCCCTTTCTATGAGTTCCTCCATCTGTTGGCTATCTGCACCGAATCCGTTCTAAACGCTTCCCCGAGTGATCAATATGTCTGGTTCCGAGAATTGGAACTCCTATGAATGGACCCTGCCACAGATGACACAGGACACCGCTACAATTCCTATCCCTAACGCCGAGGTCGGTCAGAATTTTCTCTTGAACAGCGAGTCGTGAGTATGCCGATTGTCATCGTATGAGAATTTCAGTCCTCACGAATAACATCTTCAGTAACTGGGCCTCCAACGGTGGTCATTCTCATGGAACTGGAGTGGATGAAACCATGCAACCTCAGAATGCTCTCGTGAATTTTTCCCCAAGCCATGGCTTGGCTTTCGGGTCAAGCCCAGTCAGGTATGTTCTGCTCTGTCCAGCAGTGACTTCCCCATCCCACCTGAGCATAGGCACTGATGATCGGATATGAATAGCTTGACCGTCTCTGGCGCAGGTGTCAATATAGGAGCGGGTTCTCCTTATTTTGCCCATGACTCCTCCAGCAACGACGACATGTTTGAAACCTCGCATGCTGCCTTCTCGGCGTATGCCAAGGGAATGTCCGCTCCTGACATGGTCTCCCTGTCTCCAAGCAGCCTCGTTGGTGACAAGACCGATGACACTGAAGATGAACCTGCTACTCCGTCCGACAATCATGCCCCCACACTCACATCGGTCATGGATCCCAACGACTCTAATCGTTTGGTCCCAAACTTGGTCAAGCTGATGAAGGTTGCAGAGAATGACCCTTCTGATCGTCCCACACTCTTCAAGTCTCATGAACACGCTCGTTCCTCTTACCAGACCTCTGGGCCGCTTCCCGATGATCCTACTATTCCTCAGACTCCGAGTCAGAAGCGGGCAATTGTGAAAGAGATGTGCAAAGCTATGCTCAGTCTGGAACACGCGACCGACAATGAGGGGATGATCAAGCCGTTCAGGAATAAAAAGTATTCCGAAGAGAGAATCGAAATTTGCTGCTGGCAGACGCTGGTAAGGAACCGCAGATGAAAGATGTGGATCCTCTGCTAATACTTTCTAGGACACTGTGATCATGCGTCAGAAGAGCGGACCCCTCCTGGCAGCCTACGAACTCACGACCAAGAACGAGAATGAGACGCTCAACTTTGCTCAACGGATGACTCGCATCATCGAGTGTTTTTATAGACACAAGACCGTATGCAAGCACATTTTGGATCCTCTGTATGTGTACAATCTGGTCGACAACCCCACGGCGGCCGAGAAGCGCGTCGAGAGCAACAAACTGCTGAATCGGCGCAAGGGCCACATTATGACGGCTGGAAAAGAGGCTCTTCGTATTGGACAACGTCGCCAGCCTGCCACTACTCCCACCGCCTCCTCCCAAAAGGCTCGCAGAACAATCGCCCAGAAGGCTTCCAGAACTGCTGCCGCTGCTCGCAAAACGGTCACCCGCAAGGCGCCTAGGGCTAAAGTCGAAAACAAAGAAAAGAAACTTGCAGCCATCCCTGCTTATTCTGACACTTCTGAGAGCTCCAATGTGCATGAGAGGATATTTACTCCATCGAGCACTCCTGAACCCACCGCAAGTGAGGCTGACGCGAGCCCTCAGAGTCTGGTTGCCTCAATGCCGTGCAGCTCATCCATGCCCGTTCCTCAAGCAATGGCTTACTACCCCCAGCATGTGGTGAATGGGGAGCCTACCTACCAGCTCAACAACAATCTGCCCTATCCGGCTCGCAACAAGGGGTACCAGTCGGCGTTCTGGTCCAATGTGCATTCCCATCGCATGGCCGCGCCCGCATCCTATTCCTTGCCGGCTCTGGATTTCACGCCTAACCATGCTGCATCATACTATCCGACCGGTTCCATGGCTGATTTGCATGTCAACTCCAGCCCCATTTCTGGAGGCACAGTTTGCCACAATGCAATGGCAACTCCAGTCCGTTCTGCGAAAGCCAGCCGCAATAGGCCCAGTATCACAATCACCGACAACTTAGGACAGCCTTCCTCCGTCGAGAAGAAAAGGCGCTAAGAAGCTTCGCTGGCGATTCCGTGAATGGCCCGATCAAGTTTTCAATTTCTTTCTTTCCGTCGTTCTATTTTAATATGCTTCCCGTTCATCGTTTGCTTGGTAGTTCCTTGGATCAGCTCGCAAGAAGTTTCTTTCATTCATGCTCGTCTCTGTTACTCTGCTTTCTTTTCTTATTTAGCTTGAATATTTATTTATCTCGGGATCTCATGTCTCCTGTCGCATCAGACTGGTTAGCAGGCAGGCCCTCAGTCTCCATAGTGGAAGACATCAGTGGCTCGATTCAACGGCCCTACGAGATATGCATGGAGTTACTAGGATTCCTCTTCTATCTGTACATGTCGTTCTGTTGTTCATCTTGAACATTGCAGATAGACAAAGAGATCTTCCGATCTAGCAGGGTCTTCAACTTTGCGATGACATCGCCTGGACGATTCAACGGTTGTACGCTGAAGCTTTGCTCTTCACGTGGGATTTGGTCTCTTGTTCTACATGGGTATCATGTCTCTGTCTCTTTTGTCTCTTTCATCATGTACATTGGCAGACCATACCGCGGAGTACCCGGTTCCTGTTTCTTTGCAATAGAATCGAGGTAGATCCATCTTAGGCAGGTCGAATACCATATCTCTCGTACGGGAAGTTCTCCAGCGTAGGAATCAAATCTCCCCACCCATCGTGTAGCTCTCCCGGTTTACCGGATGACCGTAGCCTGTTGACAGTCAATGCGTCCGCGTCCTTCTCTGACGCCGACTTCTCCTCCTCCTTGTGCTCCCCGGTCAATCCCGCCAGCACCTCGGCCTCCCGACCCTGGTAGGCCTCCAGCAGTCCCGGATGAGGGGCCCAGACGACCCGCATGCCTGCTCGTCGACCGGCCTCCACGCCGGGCACCGCATCCTCGAAAACCAGACACTCCTCCGGCTTAATCTCCGTCTCTCCCCGCTGACGCAGGTTGGTATTGATGGTCTCCAGCGCCAGCAGGTAGATATCTGGCAAGGGCTTGCCCCGTCCCTTGCCGATGCGGGGGTCGTCACCCAGCACGCGCTGCGACTCGGGGAACACGCTAAACAGATCCTGCAGGTGGTCGGTCTTCAGTCGGTAGTTGCGCTCGTGGGACGAGGTGGCTAGCGCGATGTGCACGGGGTGATCGGTCGACTGCGTCGAAAGCAGCTTGTCCAGGAGGATGCGCACGCCGGGAAGCGGTTGCGAGTCACCGAACTTCTCGAGCTGCAGGGCGGCTTGTCGCGCGGCGTATTCTTCCGCCGAGATGGGGAGTTGGGCCCATTGGTGGAAGATCTTGCTGGCCTAGACAGAAAGAAATCAAAGTTAGCATGGTTCCTGTTTGTTTTGCGGATCTGGGGTAACGCCGATAGGGCTGACGGAGGGGGTGGTACAGTACCTCGGTCTGCGGTCGGCCCTGAAGCTGGGCCTTGATGGACCAGGGGAGCAACGGCTTGCCGTGTTCCTGCAGGATCTGGTTCGTGATCGCCGTGTAGATGTCCTCCGAGTCGATTAGGAGGCCGTCCATGTCAAACAGACAGGCCCGCACGCGGGGGAGTCTGCAGAAGCACAGGTTAGCAATGGACGGAATAGCATGCTTTCAATGAAGGAGGAGAGCGTACTCCGAGGTAGCGGCTGCCATTTCTATAAAAATCTAGATGTCTTGTGACCAAAGCAGAATTGAAGCCAAAGACGAGCGATGCGGGCGAACCGAATTGACGCGGCGGGGGAGATGCTGCCTCAGGCGAAGAGGGGTTCTCTCAGGCCGCCAAGATCGGCGATCGGTCGCCTTTCCTCTCCGACTTCCCTCCGTATACCCTCGTTCAACATTCATTGCATTCAACCCTCACTATACTCATCGCTTGTCTATTGCGATTCGCGTATAGTTGAATACATCACATGAATGTTGCGAATAACCGGAATGTGGAATAGGTACTACCAATTCACGGCGTCCATCCCCAGAGAGACAGTGCTTTGTGCAGTGAACATGGCCGCGGAAAGGAAATATAGGCGCCACTCCACTCGCTCAGCCATTCCTTTTGATTCCGCTTTGCAGTCCTGATGCTTGTTGACTCTTGACTCTTGATATCCGAGTGGGCGGATGGTGAATCGATCGTTGCGGGACCCGCGGACCCCGAACGTGGATCAGCGCGAGGATTCTTCGTGTCTGGCCTCCTTCTAGTCCCTGATTTGTTATTTATATACGGTCGCGGACTGCTCGGAGCCATCTTGACTCCTGTCAAATCCGCCTTGGCGTCTCAGATTTTTCTTCATCTTAGAAACCAAATTAATCGGGTTGTGCAAGACGTGGAAATCGTCTCCTCGTGACATCATTCTTCACTACGGATTGTTGCATGGCGCCGCCACAGAGCCATAGTACTGCCACACGTCTATCCTAGGAGGCTAGTTATGGGCATCGGGAAATTATGGCCTGGTCGCGGGGAGCATACCGAGCCTCCAATCTTCCTCGAGTGGAGATCTTCCAGTGCTTTTATCATCTTCGTCGTTGTCTTTGCAGTTTTTACGGTATGCCGTCGAAGTTTCTGCCTTAGGGCCTTGTTGCCTCACCGAATCATGACACTGATAGTCGAGATGATAGGATATTCTGCTCTATGGATTGGTAGGCAGTCACTCTTCTCACCAATACACGCCGTTATTAGTTTACTGACCTGGCGGGCAGATTGTTCCTGTGACGCCGACCGCTCTGCACGAACGAGTCGGTCTATCAGAGGGTGAAGGTGTGTTTCTGGTAGGAGCACGGATCTGTTGGCGTCCTGGCTGATCATTGCACAGAACAACGATGGACGTCTATCTTACTGGCTCTCTACGGAGCCGCGCTGTTGGCATTCTCGCGTACGTAAATATCCTCCTCCCCAAAGGCCTTGCTCTGACTGAACGAACGCCATGATAGCTATCGCAGGCTACATCGCCGATAAAATCCAATCCCGGTGGTGGCCTCTGATGATCGGCTTGGTTGCCCTGGGCGCTGCCACTGCTCTCCTCTGTGTCGGAAATCATATGGGTCTCTGGGTCGCGGGTCGTCTGTTTCAGGGAGCGTCCGCGGCCGTCGTGTGGACGGTGGGATGTGCTCTGCTCGTTGACACGGTAAGTAGGGACGAGTTAGGCCAAGCCATGGGGTATATCGGCATGGGGATGACACTGGGAATCATGGGAGGCCCTCTTCTGGGAGGTGTCATCTACGAGCACGGGGGATACTATGCGGTCTTCGGGTTGGCGTTTGGGCTGGTCGGGCTGGATATCGTGTTCCGACTTGTTATGATCGAGAAGAAGCATGCCGTGCGATGGCTTCCACGCGATCCGGTTCAGGAGGAAGCAGAAGACAAGAAGATCATTCCCCCTACCGCGGAGACGAACAATCAGAATTCGCTCGACAAACCACAACCTCCGTCCGAACAATTACCGAGTACACCCGAACCCGCTACCGAGTCCGATGCAACTCCTGATAAATCGGCGTCTCCGCGACCCCGAAAAGGGGCTCTAGGAGCTCTCCAGCATCTACTGGCATCCGAGCGCATGCTGGCATCCCTATGGGCCTATTTCATCGTCTCGGTCGTTCTCACCTGCTTCGACAGCGTCCTTCCCCTCTACGTCGAGGAGACTTTCGGCTGGGCGCAAACCGGACAAGGACTTATATTCATTCCCCTGTCGGTTCCCCATATCCTCGATCCCTTGGTCGGGTATGTCATCGACACGTACGGCGAATCCCGACGCTACCTGGCAGCCGGGGCACTCATCGCCAGCGTTCCGATCCTGGTCCTTTTACGATTTGTCACCCACAATTCTATGGGACAGAAGGTGCTCCTCTGCGCGCTGTTGGTACTGACGGGAGTCTGCCTATCCGTACTCCTGCCGTCCGTCATGGTCGAGGCATCATACGTGGTGCAAGACAAGGAGGAGCAGACCCCGGATATTTTCGGCAAAGGCGGCGCGATGGCGCTCTCCTATGGACTTTTAAACTCGGCTTTTGCGGCGGGGACCATCATCGGGCCCTTCTTTGCCGGCTTCATTCGTGAGAGTGCCGGTTGGGGGACGATGACTTGGGCGATGGCCATCTTGACGGGGGTGTCGGTTGTTCCGTCGTTGCTGTGTCTGGGAGGGTTTCGACTGACGCGGAGGAAGAGCGTCGGCAATTAACGTGTCCCATATCATTTGACAGAGTACATACTGCATAGTATATAGCCATGCATAATCATTAATTCCATCGAACGAGAACGGTGGATCATCCCCCGCAGGCCCCACTCTCAGTCAGCCATGACCGATGCGCCACTTGACGCAGATCGTCTTCTCCATCTTATTTTTCGGGAATCGTTGACGGTTGCAGGAGCCGATGGTGAGGAGACGAACAAGGAAGAGACAATGTCCGAGGTATAGTCCCCCATGGCGTGGCATGACTGGGGGGTATTTCTTGTTCCCCATTCTCTCTCGCTCCCCACAACTCTCACGGCATCAACAACTTCATACTCTAGAATCAATCATGACGGTCCCACAGCCCCAGGTGCATCACCCAGGCCTTGATGCCACATTCCAAGGGGTTCAGAAAATGTCAGATGGTATATCTGTGAATCAATATCGAGGAATCAAGTATGCTCGAATTCCGGGACGGTTTGAGCGCGCGATTCCGGTGGATGGTTTCGATGCGAAAGTAGTAGACGCAACAAAATTTGGGTGAGTTCTACTTTCTGCCTCCCATAGTGTACGAGAGAAGAAGATATTATCGTCAAGGGAATGCCCACGACGTTAACATTAACTCCTGGATAGCCCGAGATGTCCGCAAGTAGACGTGGATGTGCGCCACTTACTGCGCATTCCCGAAGACGTCGAAATCCCCAAGGAGCCAGAGGATGAGTTTGAATGTCTAAACCTGGAAATCACCTGTCCGCCTGCCGGGTTGACGAGCCATTCGCTTCCTGTCATGCTTTGGATTCACGGTACCACCCCTTCTCGCTGGTATTCACGCACGAAACAATCCCTAACAATTCTTCTTAGGTGGTTCACAAGTAGTGACATATTGCTCTGCTGCTTCCGGGATCTGCGGTTAGTTTGTGTCCCATTATCTTCCCTGGACTTCTCTTCCTCGTGGGCGATACTGATTCCAAGCCGTCGACAGACCCAACCAAACTCGTCGCAGACTCCATAAAGGCAGGAAATCCCTTCGTCTTCGTCTCTATCAACTATAGAGTCAACATCTTCAGCTTCGGCGACGGCAAGGAGAAGAACCTCGCACTGAAAGATCAGCGGCTGGGAATTGACTGGGTGCGCAAACATGTCGCGGCGTTTGGAGGTGACCCAGTAAGTGCATCACCAAGGCTGGAAGCCACGCATCAGGAATCCTGACAGGCAATTAGAGCAACATCACACTAGCAGGCGAAAGTGCCGGAGCTGTCTACGTACACGCGCATCTAATTACCGGTGTCTCTGTGAAAAGAGCCGTTCTTGCCTCCGGGTCCTTGTACCTGTCCTCGCCGTTACCGGTTGAGCGAGGAGATGCAATGATTAGGACTTTAGAAGAGACTGTGAAAGGCCTGGGAGAGACATCCCTGAGGGAAGCCTCCGTTTCAAACATTATACAGGCCTTACAAAAGTGCAATGTCAATACGATGTGGATCCAGGAAGATCGTGAACTCGAAGATTGGCCGAACAAACCGGAGCAGGTCGAGGAGGTCATGATCGGGGATACAGAATATGAGGTGAGCACCTCTGTCCAAAAGGTTGCTAAACATGAACTAACGGAGTAATCTAATCTAGTCCGTGATCTGGAGAAACGGCATCGAGACGCTCGACGGGCCAACTATCGCTACGGCGTTCGAGCAGGACCCTAAATGGGGCCCGCAGCTGCGCAAATTGTACAACGTCGTTGCAGATCGCCCGACAGCTTGTAAGCTGGGTGCCTTGGATTTAGTAAACGATGTGCGATACGCACTCCCAGTGGAAGTGGTCTCGGAGAAGCTGCAAGCCGCTGGCAAACGCGTCTACAAATACGTGATCGATCAGCCGAATCCGTGGCAGGCATCCAGCCGCTCTCATCATGCGGTCGATCTTCTTTTCTTGTTCGCAGGGGTGGATCTATCGTTCAACCCTGCCGCGGAGAATGTTGGTCAAGAAATGAGAAATCGTTGGATATCGTTTGTGAATGGAAGCGCTCCGTGGTCCCTGCAGCGTAGATATTCGTTTGGACCTTTCGGGGAGTGTCAAGAAATCGACGAGAGGCAAGTGGCCAACAGGAGACGACTGGAGCATGTCCGGGTACTGAAAGAAGCTGGAATGGGAGTATACATACCCATCATATTCGCCTTGACGACAGGGAAGATCAGCTTATTAAATTAGGATCTGATTTGACTGTTTGCAAATAAAGATATCATTGTACCTCCAACCCAATCTAGTGTTCGTAGTGATATCTGATTGAAACCTTCTTCTAAGCCCTACTACAGTCAACCTAGGCAGGAATATATCCAACATTGTGGAAGGCATTTCTCGCAGCCTCGCGGAGACGATCCACCGAGAAATTTATCTTTTCCTCCGCATCGCAATGCGGGGACTTCGCCTTGTCGAAGAGCTCATCCCTCGTGAGTCGAATCACCTGGGGAGCGACTCTCGGGCTAGGTTCGGGGAAGATCGACTATCATGGCATTAACACGATGTTGAGCCGCGAGGAATGAATGCACGAGTAGACCAAAAAGATAGGCAGGCAGGGTACCTCCACTTGCACCAGTCCGCTTTGTCTCCTGTATACTTCCAACCGGCCTCGGATACGGTTTCTCGGAGACCTGGACCACTCGATGACCACGACGACGTTGACATGCGGCGAGCCGCCGATCAACCAGAGGTCCTTGTCTCGGATTAAGCTGGGATAAGACACTTCCCAGCCGCTCTCCACGACTAGAGTCGGAAGGACATGGTGCCGCGGCTTCAGGTAGTACTCGGGCTGTCTCCACGAGGCCTGGTACGGGGCCACAAAGGCGTTGAAACCTGGAAGGGAGGGACCGGATCAGTAGCTGTCGAGTGGGGTACGTGGCTCTCACTTTTTGCCGTCGTGGAGTCGATGGCGTTCCACTCTTTGACGAGGAAGAAGCCAGATAGCAAGCCTCTGCCGAGTTCGCGTTTGATCCAGGTCTGGTGCAGGGTATGCACTGGCTCGCAGGCCGTGACGGCCAGTTCTTTGGACGCGGAGTTGTAATTGACACGGCAGGCGAGCGCACTGATGACCGCGTCCTCGGCAAGGTTCACGGCAGTAGGGACTTCGACCTCTGGGGAGATGCCTTCGTAGACGAGGACGTTGGATTTATTCAGGAGAGGGATGTTGGATTTGATTCTGTGGAAGAGGTATGGTTTTCTATAGCCCATGATTGATGGTGCTCGGCGATTATTGATCAAAGAAGCATATAGAATCTAAGATGACGGACCACCGTCTTGACCTCATCGTTCTCCTATTCTGGAGAGAGGCTGACTTGACTTTGACGGAATGACGGAAATGAGGGCCGAGAATAGGACGAGTGGGTGACACCGCCTGCCATCGTGAGACTGATGCATCTCCCTCGCTTGCCTGGCGGTAAGGGATTGTGCAGTCATTTCTTAGATAGGATGGTGTAGAAGTAGTAGTGAAGCACTGTTGATGATGCAATCTGGTCGAGGAAGCCGACCGCAAGTCACGCGACGGCGGCACAAACGACACAAACAACCCGTGACGTCCTACACTGTCCTTCATCATAACTTCATCGATATAGAAATGAGGAAGAGTCGGCAATTCTCGTCCATCGCTTCCCGACCACGCCATGTTCTCCAAGTTCCCCCAGTCCCCCCAAGTCCTCCCCCACCGTGAATCAGCCCTGACTCATGTGGGGAATCGCACGCGGCTCCACTTGGGATCGCAGCGACTCGGCAAAGCGATGGCGCTGCGACATGCCGATTAGTATGGGAAACCGTTACGACCGCCTCCCAGACGCCCCTGCACGCGGTTGCCGCCGGCTGCCTTGGCCTCTCCCGAACCCCTGCCTCAAACTCTCAATAATATGGCATGGCGATGTTGGTGCGCAAGGGAGGATGGTGCCCCCACAGTGGCTCAAGGGGCCGGGGTATATGAGTTCGCCATTTCCCTGACCGAGCAACCGATTTGAGTGTATGTAATTGATTCTGTCTGTGGTCGGAGATCTATACAATCAATCCTATACAACATGTCATCCTCTACAAGTACCCTGTCGGACCCCCAGGAATATCAAAAGATCTTCCACTGGGCGGAAACCCAGAAGGATGGTGCCATTCCTTCCTTTAGCACACGGCGAAACGATCCATATGAGGTATGTGGATGTCCTATCAATCCCAGTGTTCAAGTCAATTGTTAATATCTCCTAGTATCAATCCGGCTTCGGAAACTCGTACGCATCTCTGCACACTCTTTGCAACCAAGCCACCAGCTGATGGAAACCAAAACAGGTTTATGTCCGAGGCGGTGCCAGGAACTATTCCCCACGGCCAGAATAGCCCTCGCAACGTTCGCTTCGGGCTGTATGCAGAACAGATCACCGCTACGGCCTTTGTAGCACCGCGACATGCCAACAAAAAGGCTTGGCTATACCGTGCTCGTCCTGCCGTGGCTCACCAAGGATTTGTACGCAGTACCTAAATTTTTGGCAATTTTGCACCAAGAAAGTGAACTGACTGGTGCCCACTATCTAGACGGATCTCCCCGACAACAAAGACACCGAGTCGAACTTCTTGCCACTCAACCCCCGAGTTCATGTATCACCCACTCAGTTGGCCTGGCACCCCTTTGAGATCCCCAGCGGGGAGGAGGTGGATTTTGTCTCTGGCCTAAAGACGGTCGCTGGCTCGGGAGACCCGACTCTCCGGGAGGGTTTAGCCACCCATGTATACGCTGCGAATACCAGCATGACTAAAAAGGCCTTTGTAAACTCGGACGGTGAATTCCTAATCCTTCCCCAGCAAGGCGCGCTGGATATCCAGACAGAATTCGGCCCGCTGTTTGTCCAGCCGGGAGAGCTTGTTGTCATTCAAAGGGGGCTGCGTTTCCGCGTCGAATTGCCGGACGGGCCTTCGCGAGGCTATATCCTTGAAGTCTGGGGCACGCACTACGAGCTGCCCGAACTGGGACCGCTCGGGGCTAACGGACTCGCCAATCCTCGAGATTTCCTGTCGCCCGTTGCTCGATACGAGATTGCTCAGGAGCCGTGGGAAATTATCTACAAGCTGGGAGGAAAGTTTTTCAGCAGCAGGCAAAACCATAGTCCGTTTGACGTCGTTGCCTGGCATGGCAACTATGTAAGTGTCCCTGTGGATTTCTACATGATCATCGTGAAACTAACCGATTAGGTCCCTTACAAATATGACCTGACCAAGTTTGTCAACGTCGGCTCCATCTCAGTCGATCACATCGATCCCTCCATTTTCTGCGTGCTTACCGCCAAATCCCGGGATCTGACGGCGCCTCTGGCCGATTTGCTCATCTTCTCTCCTAGATGGGATGTTGCATCGCGTATGTCTTGCCAAGAAACCCCATGTACTCTTTTCTGTTGACTGACATTTCACTCCAGACACCTACCGGCCGCCTTACTACCACCGGAACGTAGCATCCGAACTGATGGGTCTCATCTACGGAGAATATGGCGGCCGATCGGACGCCTTCAAGCCAGGAAGTATCTCTTTCGAATGTGGTAGTGAGTTCGGCCTTTCCACCCCCCCCCACCCCTATTAGTGAACCAGTACACTGACATCAGCAAAGTGGTGCCCCATGGCGTCGCCTATGAGGAGTTCAAAGTTGCGTCGGAGAACCCGCCGCCGGTCGCGCGCATCTCCGAGGCTTCGATCGCCTTCATGTTCGAGTCGAGTCGCCCGTTCACTATCACCGATTATGCATGGAACAGCAACAAGCGACATGAGCACGAGCCGAAGATGTGGGACAGCCTGGTGGATAACTTCTCCAAGTATAAGGACGAGGTCGAGGAAATTCTGGCGCGCAAGGCCAAGGGGCTGAGGATTTGAGTCACCGAGTTGGATATATTAGAACGCTGTATATAAGATTATGGATATCATGAATTGATGTTGTCTTTTCTCAAGTCTCAAGACCTGTACAACGTGAATCCGACACCTCATTGACCGGGTTCCAGACGCCTATCTATTATTAGCCACCCCCTGCCTTGAGGGATCCTGTGTAACGCTGGCAGGCTCTAAGAGAACGCGCAAAGCACAGCGAGTTAATCCCATTCATACTTCCATAAGGTCTACCAGGTCCCGCCTCCCCGTCAGCCGGGCTGAGCCAAGCGCATAAGCCCAAGTCAGCCGCCCAACGCGGAGAGACATGATACGAGCCGGACTGTTGCTTATTTACCCTTCCAGGAACATGATCGACGGAGAGTTCGTTCTATGTCTTGGACCTGTCTTGCTGTTTTCAAGCCTCCTTTGTTACTCAGCAGCTGTTGATGTATACTTTCGTGGCTGATTGGGTGGGTCGAGTTGGGTTCGGTGACTCTGTATCATGACATGTCTCATCTTCCTTTCATTGACGGAGGTTATTTACGGAACACATACAGCGAAAAGTGGCGGATGGAGAGATGCTGGAGATGCTGGAGATGCTGGAGATGCTGGAGAGGTATAAAGATGAGGATGGTGCCGGTCAATTGAGGATCCGTTCAATCCAGCAATCCAGTTCTTCAGCGAAAAGCATCGCGTTCATCTCAAAACCGACGACACTTTCATTCCCTCAAACTTCTTGACAAATTCAAATCATTCAATATCAATCATCATGCAATTCTCCGCCCTCGCCGCCCTCTTGGCCGCCGGATCTGCCGTCGCAGCCCCGAGCACCGTCGCCAAACGCAGCAGCGCGCTGCAAATCACCGACTTCTGGGCCAATGCCTCCAGGGCTAGCCAGACCTCGAATCTGCACTTTGTTTTGACCGATCCCAACTATCCCGACGACACCCCCGTGGACTGCAATGTGATCTGGTCAGTGGTGCTTCGTAGTACATACTTACTCAAGATTAACCCATGGTACTGACTTGAGGATGTCAACCGGCAGGAACTTCAACGGAAGCCCCGACGAGAACGCCCGCTGTCTCGGGAGCCAGTATTATATTCGCTTTCCTAACGGAGGCAAGGACATCAGCCAGCTCACGGTGGAGCTGGAGCGCGTCGAGGGGCCCATCCCCGTGAAGGGCCAGGCGGTGTTGAACGACGAGACGGAGGGATCGAAGTGGAAGTGCGGACCGACTGACAACCCCGGCGTGACGGAGCGATGCACCTATGACGGCATGCTGGAGATCCCTGTCTAAGGACTAGTTGTAGTGGTGTTGTGATTGCTTCACATGGTTTTGTGTGCTGTATTCCGGTGTGTAGGTTGAAGAGGACGTTGATTTGCTTGTTCCGTTGGTATGATAGTTGAAATCATTGATCCGATTCTGTCAGCGCGGGTCTTACAATGGCCAAATTCTTCCCGTCTTCTGATGTAGTGGGTTGAAGGGATACTCAGAGTCTCATTCAGAGACATCGACTGTACCCTGCACCTGTCACGTGCACCATGCCTGAGGATCGCCGTTTCGAGGAACTTGGTGCGTGCTCCCTCTCCAGCAGGCGGGGGGTTCTCCAGATTACGATTCATTCCTCGCACTGTCAACTCTAGGCTAAAGACCTTCGGGCATCCAGACACGCCATGATGGCCCAATGTGGCGGGGCTGCAGCAAATCCCTGGAAAAAGGAGATGGGCATCGATGAGGTCATACGGACTACTTGGCCATCGCCATAGCATGACAACTCATCCAGATGGCACAATCCAGGGCACATGAAAAAAAAAAAAAAAAAAAAAGAGAGAAAAAGAAAAAAAAAACCAGAATAGTGAGAAGAATGAGAATAAAGATAAAATCTTGCGAACGTCTTTTTATTTTCATGGATGGTATCAACACGGCCAGAATTACGGACATACAATTATTCGGGCACTTCGCCTGCCTGTATGCGAATGGTTCCATATCCCAGGTGCCCTTTCGAAGGGTCGGGGCCTCATCTTGCCGGAGGTGAGTGAAAATCGGCGCGGGAAACATAACAAGTCTATCACGATCGGATTAAAGGAAATAGTCGGGCGTGCGCCTCGATACCATCGGTTCTCCTGCGCGCGGGCAGGGATCAAACTGTAGGCTAGAGGGAGAAAAATCCCGTGTCAGTACCAAATGCAAAGAACAGACGAAGAAGGGTGGATCCGGGCCAAACATACAACGTATACTTCAGATGCTCATCAATTTCCATAATGGCGGCCTGGTTACCGCACCGGTAGCAGTAGTTCGGAGCTAGGCGGGACGTGAGCACGCGAATTCAATAAGGGACAAGGGAAGTCGGGCAGAAGAAAGCATACCCGAGAAAATAGTCACGACATTCCGGTCCTGCGACCAATTGTATCCCTCCATTACCAGTTGATGCGCTCGTGCCACCAGAGTCAAGCCGTTGTTGTGATTAAATGCCTCCGAGATATCCTGCCCGAATGTGTATCCAGCACCACGGGGGGAGATACCCCAGCCGCATCGGTCGTCGGGATCACTCCACAGCAAGTCACACATCGGCCCCTCGTGGGGAACTTCCTGGATTCGGTCCAGCGACCGGATGTTGTCGAGCGTGTCGATCGACGGGCTCAGACCGCCGTGAAGACAGAAGATCTGGTTCTCAATGAGTGCGGTGAGGGGGAGGTAGTCGAAAAGGTCGGTGAAGTATTTCCACACGTTGGCGTTGCCATATTTGCGCAGGCACTCGTCGTAGAAACCGTACACTTGCGTGATCTGGCGGGACTCGTGGTTTCCTCGGAGAATCGTGATCCGCTGGGGGTAACGGATCTTGAGGCTGACGAGAAGGGTCACGGTTTCGACGGAGTAGTAACCCCGATCGACGTAGTCACCTGCAACCAAGGAACGAGCGGCGGTGAGCGGCGGATCCCAACGAGTCGAAGCAAACAATAAGAGAGACAGAGGGAATCTCACCCATGAACAGGTAGTTGGTGTCTGGATTCGGTCCGCCAATACGGAAAAGCTCCATCAAGTCATGGAATTGACCGTGTATATCACCGCACACAGTGACCGGGCATTTCTACCACGGTGAGGTCAGCCCCGGGCATCGGTCGCAACGGCCTGGGAAAATGTCGTCGGGGTCCCATGACGAACACGACCCGACCGAGTGGAAAAAACTTACAACGGGCTGCACGTTTGACTCCTCCTGCAACACTTCCCTTGCCTGTCCGATTCCAAGCGAAAAAAGTCCACTGTCAGAATGATATGCCGCCATCGTGATTTTTCAAATCTACGATTCAGAGGTAGAGGTAACGCACTCGGTCACACAGTCTTCGTACATCTTCCTCCGCCAGTTGCTTGCAGCTCATCAAGTTCTCGATCCATCCGTCCAGCGTCGGTATCGACCCAGGGTCGGTGGTGGGCGACAGATGGTGGGGTTCGGGCGACCGCGCCGCATCGATCTCCATGTTGTTATCCATTGCAAGGGACCACGAGCAATGATTCAGGGGGTGAAAGGAGATGCTAAATTAGCAACCGAGGAGGGGCGGAAAAGCTGAAATGGGATGGTCTCGTGAGGCAGGGCTTGGGTCTGTTTTTTCGGTGCTGAGAACAATGATCCACACACACCAGCTACGCGCGCAGAATGGAACAAGCAGAATCAAAAGAAGAAACCAGACAATCGGGTCACGCGGAGACAACAACCCGAGGACTGGAGTTGGGGGGAAAAGGATGGGGGGGTGTGGTGGATAAGAGCGATGGGGGGGAAAAGGCAAGAGAGGGAGAGAGAGAGAGAGGGAAGAGACGAACGGGAGAGGGAGAGTTGTGTTGGGAGGAGTGACCGAGTAGCTTTGGCCGCCTTTGGGCTGCCGTGCGCCACACCGGCCAACGCCACAACTTGTCCTTAAGTTCTGCTCTCCCCACGATTCCTTGACACTCCCCCGCCAATCCGTTCGACAATTCTTTTAAAATCGAACTGGAGACTCGACCAGACGAATTCTCTCGTCACTAGAAATTATAGATATTCCGGGTCATAATTCATACAACTTAAGTGCTATTAACATGATCCATTCGTAAAACTGTGCCCCTGTGCTTTTTCTTGCTCCGGCGAACAAATTTCCTAACCGCGCGCCTAACTAAATGATGTCACCGCCAAATCCGCCAAATCCTCCGCCGGCGCCGCTTCCACCAAAAGGTCCGCGCCCTCGTCCAAACGGTGATCCTCCCGGACCGACCGGATCGTATCGAGCTCCGGGAGGTGCTTGCGGGTCATATCCTCGGCTTCGTCCACCACCGCCAAACAAAGGGTCGTCGAATGTAGGGTGCATGCCACCTCCACCGCCTCCCAAGCCCGGACCAACGCCACCCCGCAAGGGGTCATGCGGACCGAGTCCAGGGGGGTATAAATCCCGATCGCCAATACTCAACGGATTTCTCCCGCCGAATCCGGGGTGATAGCCTCGGGGAGGCCGCTGGATCTCGAACTCGTCCTCGAAGCCGGGAGGGGCGAAGTCACCAGGGGGAACCGGCCGACGCGGAGCGGCCGCCAAGGGATCATCGAAAGGATAAGGACGAGCAGGTTGAGGGAGCGGGTCATCTGCTAAGGGATTTCGCGGCGGCGGCCGTTCTCCCCGCGGTTCCTGCGAGGCCTGGCTGTTTGAAGGCTCATACCCTTCCTTGTATACCCCGGGGGCGAGTTTCTGGATAACGTTGATCTTGAACAGAGCGATAAGATCGGTCAGACGTGAGGACGAGATAAAGACATCGCTTAGACGGTCGGAGGTGAGATCGGCCGATGTGATCGGGAGGGAGGACGGGGAGATGAAATCCTTGGCGGCAACGTCGAACGACGTAGTTCTGTCATCCCCAAGCGCCAGCGCCAGGATAACGGCATTATTCCCCAGTCGATTCACTTTAAGTAGGTATTGCATGGAGGATTGCGGGTGAGAGTATCGAAAGGCTAAGGTATCGTTCACGTTCCATTCCGATGGCAAAGAGGGGCTATCTGAGGAGCTGGCTGTTACCACGAAGATGGATTAGCAAAAGTCAAGACGATAACGGGGAGAAAGATGGTTTCTACAGAGTCTGTGTTCTTCTCCTAGTCCTACCAGCTTAAAACCGACAGCGACCATGGAGGCATGGCCGATGAGAGCAACGGCCTCGGTCGCCGATTTCAGACTCGATTCTGCAGTGCCGTCTCCCTGCAGAGCGCTTCCTGCAAGTGACAGCACGTGGTCGGGGCGAAGAGCATCAGAATTTGTAGCCATCCTGGAGGGATGTTGAATGTGATGACTGAGTGCGAAATGGTGTTTTGCGATGAGTCCACGCTATGAGAGCGAGAGAGGTGAAGGACTCTTGACAGGCAGCGACCCGAATGCGCAAGCCATCATGTCATCCGCTTATCGGGCCTGCGCTTATCGGCTTAGTCATTGCAGATCATCTGTCTCTCGGGCTATGCCTTTTCGGGAAGGCGATACAAGCTGTCGCGTCGCCTCCTGAGAATTGGACGGTAGACACTCTGCTCTGTCGTCATTCCAGCAGTTTGACAATCCAGTGGCCTGGACGGCTAAGATACTGGTTCTTCGATCTCCGGGGATCATCATTATCCGGAGACTTTGTCAGTAGTCATGATTCAGCTCGAAATGCATTATTAATCTTCACCCCTGCTAGTGGGGGCACAATCCCGTATATATATCTGCAGAACAGCCCAACACCACGATTCATGATTGTGATGTCTTACTCTTGATCATATTGGTAGAACCCACAATCCATACGCATTGCACAGCTTGCGATTATTTTCGATAAAATTTCCAAGCCACCTCTACTCCGTACAAGCGAACCCCAACCATGGCCTCCATGCAGATCGTCTTCTTTGACCTGACATCCAAGGACCCACGCGGAACCTGGACACCTAATCCTTGGAAGAGTATGTCAACATCTTCATATTCATGTTAATTGCCATATTTCTGCTACCTCCGTTCTAAGTTAACTTGGCGTAGCTCGTCTTGTCCTGAACTTCAAAGGTCTGGATTATCGGACTGAATGGGTGAGTTAAGTTCCAGGACGTTTGTGTCGCGAGACCCGAACACCCGACTAACGTATGCCGGCAGGTGGAGTATCCTGATGTCAAACCGACCCTCGAGGGACAGTCAGTTATCTCTATTCACGTGGAGACACGGTCTAACTCTTGCGCAGCGTCTCCCCGGATGATGATGGCGCCTACACCATTCCCACCGTTGCACTCCCAGATGGAAAGTACATAATGGACTCGCGGAAGATCACAGAGCATCTGGAGGAAGCCCATCCGCAGCCAAGCCTACGTCTCGACTCACCCTATCTTTCCAAGGCCGAAGACCTCTGGAAACGTTACATAACCGCTCTTCGTCCCGTCTTCATTCCCCAGATCCCGAAGCGTTTGCTTAACGATGCTAGTATCGACTATTGGTGCACCACCAGGGAAAGGATATTCAATATGCCTGTTGACCAACTAGAGAAAGAGCTCGGAGGGGAACGGGGATGGAATGAGACTACCGCGGTGATCCAGGAAGCCACGGCTTTATTGAGCGAAAACAAAGGTCCCTTTTTTGAAGGAGAGGTTGTTGGCTATGCAGACTTTGTGTGGGCGAGTGTCCTGCTCTTCTGTGTGCGAATGGGACCGGACTTTCTCGAGGAGGCGCTCAAGAGGAGCGGCAATCCTCAGGTGCACCTTGACCTTCTAGAGGCGGTGAAGCCGTGGTCGGACAATAATCATCAGTGAGCCTGTAACTGCATGGGCGGTGTTTGGGGATATAGATGATACTAGTCGTAGTATAAAAAGAAAACGAGGTTGAATCGTTGAATGTTGTACGAAATCCAGAGAAAGTACACCGTAAGCGCGGCGGGGAGAGTCAGGTGAGCATCCGTCCCTGTTGGGCCTAACGTGACCCCGTGCCAGCAGCTGCCCGATGCGGTAAAATCGCCCACTGCGTTCCTCCTTCTCTCGCCTCCAAGACTTGTCTCGCCACGTTATTCTTGTGGTGTCGCACGGAAGTATGCCACGACTGGGTATGTAACCAGCTGGGGACTGGAGTGAACTCTGATTAGTCTGTCACCTACCTGACCTCGATGTAGGCCCCGCGTGCCTGACGTGCAGAGAAAAATGCCGGAAATGCGACCGCGCTCGTCCGGCCTGTAATCGTTGCATCACCAAAGGCCTGGACTGCGGGGGATATCCGGAACAGTTCCGGTTCTGTGGTATCGCCAGTCGCGGGAAATGGAAAGGAGCCCAGGCTCCAGTAGGCGATCGAAATGCAAGAGTACGCTCCGGACGAGTTACTCGACAGCAGACCCGGGAGTCGTCGACTGCGGAGCCGGTGTCGGGAGACACTTCGAAGTCTTCGGAGCAAACACAAACATCTTCAACCTTGGTGAGGCCAATCGAGAGCCCGCAGAATCCGTCGGATGAAATCGTGCGGATCCTCGGTCTGGCCGAGACCGAGACTCTTCTCTCACACTGTAGGCGCGTCCATATCCCTTGGAGCGTGTCAGAATGAAAGAATAACGTGGCCGCGCAGATGATAGCTTCATTTGTCCGCATCAAATCTCAGGGGTTGGGGATGACGTAGATAATCCTTACCGATCCTATATCCTCCCGCTGGCCCGGCAGCAAATAGGGTTACTCTATGCCGTGCTGGGCCTGTCTGCAGCTCATCTTGGCAAGTTGACTGACAATTCTGCGCTTCATGACACCACGGCCGTCGAATATCGCCTCAGAGCGATTCGTGCGTTGAGTAAGGAGATTCGACGAAGCCAGAGCGAGACTTTGCTTGCGGATGAGCAGGATGCTGTGCTGGCTATCATTCAGATTCTGCTGCTTCACGACGTAAGTATGGTGTTTGCTATGAGTTGCCGACAGCCTGGCTCACCTTCTATAGATCGCGGAAACTGGGGTCTCAAGTCACGGAATTCACATTACAGGGGCCATGTCTGTGTGCAAGAGACTGTTAATTGCCGAGGGGCTAAGTGGACATCGCCAGCGGGCAGTGTTTTTCCTAGGGAACCTGGCCTGGTCCGTCCTCACGATATCTTTGATGCGCCAAATCGGCTGACAGTACGCAGGCTTGATATCATACGAGGGTTTGCCGGCGCCGAGCGATTATGCTTCTCCCAAGACGTTCGAGAAATGGTGGCATTTGCTAGCGACTTCAAATTCGAGTTGGTGAATGGGTGCCCAAGGGACGTCTTTCTGATCATCGGAGGCGTCCTGGATAAAGCCAAAGAGCACACGTTAGGGTGGCTAACGTGGGACGAGTTTCAAATTGCTTTGCTTTTGGCAAAACATAAATTATATTCTTGGGACCAAAAGAGCTTTACATTTCCCAATGCTGACCCCCGCTGGCCGGCAGCAGCGGAAGCGTTTCGGTATGCATGTATACTGCGCATCCTTCGGCTTCTAGATCCAGTTCAACCCGCCAACACTCCCGAGATACAGGATTGCGTGACAAAGATTCTGGATGCTACTGCCGAGATTCCCCCTGATTGCTCGATCGTAGAGCTTTTGATCTTGCCCCTTTTCATGGCCGGTGTCGATTCTCTAGCGCCTCACTCGCGATATTACGTGGTCTGTCGGCTAAACGAAATCGAAAGGAGATCTGAGATTCGAAATCCAATACCAAAAGAATTGCTCCAGAAGGTGTGGGATGCTAGGGCGGCCCAATCTCCTGATGATGATAAGAATGTATCATGGACGGAATTTGTTAGTTCTCTTATCTTATGACTCGGCACCATTTCAACTCGCAACCGCTGATGTGGTACAGACTCATTCGCCTGAATTGGCGCGACAGCATGACTATCTCATCATATGAAACAAGCTTTCCAAGAGATCGATTAACCTCGCATATGGGAACAACATACCCTGCTTTCGAATCGTCCGGTCGGATGATTCCATGATGTGTCATGCAAAGCAAGCTGCCTGCATTCCACACGAGACACATGTATCAAGAATGCTGATCGTCGGAGTGTATACATTGCCTTGAAGGATACATGAATACCGTCCAAGGAGCAAACTATGGTATTGAAATTCGAGATGGCCAGCCTGTCAGAGCGAAATATGGGTTATTGTATCCAAGAGCGAAAGAGAGACGATGCATTGTACGGAGTAGTAAACGCTGGCGGCGGGACCATCCCAATCGGGCAGGTCAGCCAGCACCTCAGCCTTCCAGGTGGATCATTCTCAATCTTGTTTCCTTTCCCTCCCCCACGTCGCCTCATCAACCCATCTATATAAAGAGTGAAAGCTGATGCCCATGGCTTCCAATTTAAATCGCTAGTCCATCCCGTTTGATCCCCACGCACCATGACATCGTCCAAGGAATGGCAGAAAATGCTGAACGGCGAGCTCTACTGGCCTTGGGATGACGACCTTCAAGCCAACCGCGATCGATGCCGAGAGGCATGCAAACGCTTCAACGAGGCAGGGCCGGTGACCCGGCGCCGGAGGGTCGAACTATGGCGGGAGTAAGTGCGATGACTTCTCTCTCGGTCGATACACTGTTCCTGTGTCTCCCGTATTGACAGTGAGATCGGCACAGCATTGTCGGTGACACGCGCCCTCTGCCACCAATTCACTCCGACCCGAAAGAAGATGCGAAACTTTTTGACGCAACGGACCCTGCCGTGGATCCTCCGATCTCCGTGGACCACGGCCTGAACTTCAAGGTCGGCAAGGGCACCTTTTTGAATTCCAACATGTTGGTCCTGGATACCTGCCTGATTACCATCGGGGAGAGGTCGTTGTTTGGCCCGAATGTGTCTCTTTACGGTGCAACGCACCCTCTGGATCCGGCGGTGCGCCAAGGTCTCGAGGGTCCGGAAGCAGGCAAGGAGATTCATATTGGTGATGACGTGTGGATTGGCGGGAGTGTGATTATCCTCGCTGGCGTGACGATCGGGCGAGGATGTACTATCGGCGCTGGATCAGTTGTCACCAGGGTATGTCGAGAACGTCTTCTCCAACCGACAAAAGACTGGGTGTTTATGTGCTGATGCCAATTATAGAGTGTTCCTCCATTCCATTTCGCTGCCGGGAACCCTGCGCGCGTTATTCGGCGCATCGAGACGACCATGGACCCGGACCAAGCTGTCAAGAATGAAGGAAAATCGGGGTAAGATCGAAATGGGATTCAGATAGAGCAGATGGACTATCTTCGGATTAAGGAAAGACGTCTGCTCTGAAAGCAAGACCTCCAGCACGATGTAACGAATAGCTGCAACGCTCGGTAGATGTTCCCAGTAATTCTTCCGCGGATGAAATACTGCTGGCCGGGTCATAACCCACGATAAAGATATGGATTGAGATGCATGATCGATGGAAACACCATGAGTCGATTTCTAGTTTTGGTATCCTATTTGTACGGGGAAAAATCGAGAAAGCCCTAAATCAGAATAGTTTTACAACATGGCCTTGGGGAACTTCTTCATTGCCTGCCGCACTCCCAAGTCGGCCAGAATCTCCTCCGTTCCACCCAGAATGGCGTCAAATTTGTAAGTGCGGTGGAACATCTCGATGACCTTGCCCATGCCACTCTGGGTGATTCCACGACCGCCGAAGATGTTGGTGGCCATATCAGCGATCTCCTGCGCCGACCGAGTGGCGTGCGACTTGAGCAGAGCAATCGGCCCACCCAAGTTCGCGGCCTGCTGGGTATACGTCATGTTGCACATCTGGAAAGCAATGGATTCCAACCAAGCCTGATTAGACTCACAGAGAGAGATCATCCGGGCGAGCCTGCAATGGCGGCTTGGTCAGTACTCGTTTCAACATGCCGAAGGGGGAGGAGTTCATACTTTTGTCGCATGACCGGTTGCTCGATCAATTTCTTGTTAAAGACCAAGCGCTGGTTGCACCATTTCAGGCACTCTTCGACCACGGTCATCGACATGCGAATCACACCACTGGCCATCATGAACCGCTCGTGGTTGAAGTTGCTCATGATGACAATGAAACCCTTGTGCTCCTCACCCAGCAGATTCTCCACGGGGACCTTGACATTCTCAAACTGAACGAACGCCGTACCTGCGGTGGTCGAGTAGGAAGTCTTGATTTGCTTGGTCTCCACGTTCTCATCGCGCGGAATGAGAAGTACCGAGAATCCCTTCTCCGTGCGACAGCCCGTGACGAAGTAGTCGGCAAACATGCCGTTAGTGATCCATTTCCTATTACAACATGTCAGAGAGCAGTTCAATGGGATTCAACGGGATGACGGGTCCGTACTTGGTGCCGTTTACAATATAATGTTTGCCATCGGGAGTCTTTTCGGCCGTGGTACGAAGACCAGCCACGTCACTGCCCGCAAATGCCTCGGTGATGGCCAAACACATCTTCTTCTTGCCCGACAAGACCTCCGCCGTGATTTTCTCGCGAAGAGGAGCGTTGGGGAGCCACTGCTGGACAGCCGTCAAACTAATAGCCATGCCGGCCATATTTCCATCCGAGAAGCCTGCAGACAGCCGTTAGATCTCAAAGTGGCTCAACAGGGAGACAGCGGGGACCTGGCGACAAACCTCGCGCATTGGCTCTGACTAGCTCCTGAGACACGATCATGTCATGCAGGTAGTCGAACTCCTCCCCGTCCACGACGCCTCCAAGCAATTTCCGACCGTGCAAGTGCTTCCCCGGACCCAGGCGCATAGCCAGGATGTTCGTCTCCGCCATGCGATCAATCAACCCTTGGCTGATGTATGTACCGTCCTTCTCCTTCTCCTGCGCCTCGGGGGTAACGTAGCGATCGGTGAACTCGCGCACGGCACGCTGCAGGCGACGATGACTATCCTTGTAATAGGGGCTCTTGAACTGCGGGCGCAACCACAGGGGTTCGGCATAAGGAACGGCGCTGAGACTGCCGGGTTCGGGGCTTGTGACCTCGGGGGACTCGCCGGCGACGGTGCCGACGCAGAGCTCGTCGCGGTATTTATCTAGCACCTCCTGGCGGTGGAGGTTATAGAAGGCGGCCGTGGCGTCCTTGCCCGCCACTTGGGCCAGCACCACACTGCCGCCAGGGTGTGCATCGAGGAAATCGGTCAGATCATAGACGCGGTGATCGATGATGCACCAGGTCGAGTCTTCGGAGGTGTGCTTGGCCACCTCGTCGCGGGAGAAAACTTTGGCCATGATGGAAGAAGGTTAGCGATGCGGAGAGGCAAGCATGGGGAAAAGGCAGCGGGAGGATTTGCGGGGAAGGATATCAGGATGCAATAAATACCTGAGCCATTGACGGGTTGATTCATCTCGATACTCTCCGACCCTCCGCAGCCCCAATTTTGGGTTGCTGCAGACACGTGCCGGGCCAATCACGGGGCTGCGATTACGGACGTTGCCGGGAGCCGAGGTTGTTGCCTCTTCAGGCAGCCAGGCAGTCAGGCAGTCAGGCCGGCCCCCGGTTAGTGACCTTTGATGACTCCTGATGGCAGATGGACTATGACCAGGACCATGTCGCCAGGATGCCTTAGACGGTCCGTTGAGAAAGATCGGGCTCTCTTGATCCAGGCAGTTCACTACACCTCTACCTACCCCTTCTCTCGAAATCATATACCTCGGTTCGTTGATGTCATCAAATTGAACAAAGTATCCCCTCTGAGTGAGCGGAGGATCGATCACTAATCAAATGCATCTCGTTATAATCTATGCGATACGAATTCTGTCGGCCCTATGCCCTGTCTAGTCCATCACCGCCGAGCCACCATGACCACCTACGACAGCTCCAATCTCAACGCATCATACTGCACGTACACCGTGCCAGGCAGGACCGCCGTTTCCACGTCCGTGGCGTTATAGGGCAGATGCAGTCTCAACGAGTTGTCTCCCACCTGCAGCCAGTCCGTGGGAAATTCCATGCGGGACGCCACCTGGTAGCAACTGATGGCCGATCGCACGATGCAGCTGCTGGACTGGTTGAAGCCCACCAGCAACGTGAGCGGTTCCTCCTGCTCGTTGATGTAACTCTCCAGCGCCAGATTACTGTACGGCTCATCCGGCTTGTACTCGTCGGTGTTGCCGGATGCCGTCTTGGCCCCTGCAAGCTGGATGGTCAGCGTGGCGGTCTTCCGGCGCCGAAGCTGCTGCTTGGTCAAGGCGAAGTTGATTCTCCAGTCATGCGTCGTGTTGTATTCCACGTCGGAGTTGTCCGGCGTAGGTCCGAACACCGACCAATGCACCGTGTTGAAATCCGTGGCCGGGTCGCTGCTGCCGATCGTGTAGTTGACACCGCTCGGGAAGTCCTCTTGCCAGTCGTATGCGCCCCAGTAGATCAGATACTCTGGGGGCTGGAGTGGGTAGGTCTCATCGCGCGCGACGCCGTGTAGGAATTCTCCCGACGACTTGTCCGGCGTTCCGAGACGCCAGACCTCCACACCCGCCGATTCCTCCTTCCACGTTTCGTCGATCTTCAGCGCTTTTCCAGCGCGTACATTCAAGCCGTCCTTCACGAAGTCGCCGAAGATGCTGTCGGCGTAGACAGTGAGTCGGTACTTGCCTTCGGCGACGTGATCGATCTTGAATCGCCCGTTCTGGTCAATCTCCGCCCAGTATTGGTGCGAGGATGCATCCACGGAGTTGTCCTGGAAGTATTGCCCGGTGACGGTGAGGATAGCGATCGGTCGCTTGGCCCCACGAGGTAGCTTCACCCGACCTTGGATACTGCCACGGTGGCTGGAGGGCACGTATCCGATGACATGTTTGGCGATCGAGTCGTAGAATTCGACATTCCAATCTGGGTCTGCCAGGGCGCTGGCTTCCGATCGCAGCTCCTCAATCGAGGCCGAGCCTTTCCCACCGTTGAAGAAATAATACTGCGGGCCAAAAGTGCGGTCGAAGCCATTCGTAATGTTGGGCGTTCCCTCGCCATGATGGTTCGAGACCATGTAGTTGTAAACAATGCCGTCCACTGTGAGGTCCGAGTGTAGTGGTCCCTATACCTGTGTCAGTACTCGGTTCGGACGAGAGGAATGATCTAACGAACCCCGTAGTAGGTGTCCTGGCGAAAGCGAGTTAGCAACCGAACGTATTGATTTACCCCTAGGTAACATACCTTGGTATTCATCACAAGCCATGCGCCATACGTCGTTCCGTCCGACGTAGATCCATCAGCGTATAAACCGTGGACATCGTTGTCTCGCCATTCTATATCTCCGTTAACATTTGACAGTCGAGGGAAAGGGAGGTAGGCTCGTACTGTTCGAAAACGTGTACTTTGTGAAGTACTCCGAGAACTGTGAATAGTACTCATCGTCAGGAGTATTATTAAACCTCCAGGTTGCATCCTGCACAACGATCTGCTTGTCAATCGCCTCGTGACTTGGAAGCGGAGCTGTCTGGACCTCACTCGAGGTCAGATGTGTCCAGAGATCCGTATTCGGCCTTAGCAGCGTCCTGAACTCCTGCAGATTGCGCAGGAACGGCGTCGTCTCGTTATAGTATGCCAATCGACTGAACATGTGCAAACCCGTCTCACCATCGCGAAGAAACCAGTATTGTTGGAACTGCTGGCCCGTGGGAGTGTACGTGTCGTTGAGAACCACCCCGGCGTACTTAGTGCCCGTGGAGTCGGTGCCCTTGACGATCTCGAGCACTGGGTTGGTAGATCCGGCAGTGTAGAAGCCCGACGGCGTGCAGTAGCAGTCCAAGTAGGGCCCGACACCGCTAGACCCGGACTGGGGACCGAGGAGGTCTTGACCGTCAAGAAAGAGGTCCTCGACCCGTCCTTTGGCTTTGGTGAAGATCGCCGTGAGACGGTCGTTGGCGAGGGTGATTTTGCTGTCGGTCTCAGAGACGTTGAGGGCTGCAGACGCGAGGGTCGCCCAGATGGGCAGAGTGGACAGGGAGAGCCCTAGATGCATCTTGAGAAATGGCAGGCAGGGTGAATACCTCCTGTTACCAATTCAGTGCCTTACGACGGATGTGGATATGGGCGCGAAGGTCCATGCATGACGAAGAACATTTCCCCTCTTATAATCCCACGATGGGTTCATCATGCCGGTAGGTTTTACCCCGAAACTGCGACTAAGCTTTTCTGAGATGACGGATAGGATCATACTACCTGCGGGTAAGCAGACATGGCTGTGATATCACCGCGTGGTATTCACGAATCCCCTGCCAAGAAGCTGTGGAATGTGGAGCCCCGGATTTGGGGAGAAAACGCTGGGGAAAAACAGACTCGGGGCTTATATGGACGGAATAATTCTTCGGCCAGCATTCGCCCGACAAAATGAAATTAAATCCTGCACAATGCTGCGGGGAAGATGGTCATTAAAAATTGAAAGTCGTCCTCTTCGGCCTGTCGCCGCTGCTGGCCTCGTGGGTGGATTTCTGGCGTCTGCGATTGCCACCGTGAATGTTGGTATCGTTTACAGCCTGTCGCAAAGTTGCAATTCAGATCTAAAAGGCTATAGGGAGCTCGAGCTGGCGATTCTCTTGAAATCAAGAAGAACAAAAGAACCACAAGCCGCACGAAGGTAAGCCGAGCCCCCTGTTGCACAGCGGCATAATTTCAATTCGAAGTCCTAACCGAGAACGCTGAGAGGTCAAAAGATAGCCCATGACTGATAATCTCGGTTTCAGAATCGCAGATAAAGTCATATAACATTGCTAAAAGATTCGTCATTGCTGTATGCTTCCCTCGATGGCAAAACGATCCCGGCGAAACCCATGGTTCTTCAGCGGTGGCGAAGGCGAACTTTATTCAGACACATCGAAGCAATGAAATGCCAAATAATTTGGTTCGGAACCAGCGATAAGCAGCTCAACCATCGGCAAGGCCCTAATCAATTATTTTCTCGCGTGTCCGGACTGACTTCCGACGGATTTCGGGACACTTTTCGGAATTTCTTCCGGAGGCTTCGTTGTACACCCATAACCTCGGGTATAAAACAAGCACACCTGGACTGCTCGGAAATGACTTCCCTCAAATATTAGTGCCAAGAGCGTTTATCACTCGGGCTAACCCAATGATATTATGTTTCAATTAGCGATCATTGTGGTATGGGGTTTACCAAGGGCCCAGTACGACCCCGGAGACCCGTAGTCCCCACGGGGAACCAGTTCCACTCGAGGACGGAATCAAGATATGATGTTTGAATTTCGGAAGGCGAGGCTGCCAATGCTAGAGGTACGATATTCCATCTGAGCAGACCTCTCCAAGACGTAGATAAAATGTCAACGTGGCGCCCCTTGTCTCGTTCGCTGGCTGTCCATCGCACTCCATCTTCTAGTCCCACATTAAACATTTTAAAACATGGAAAAGATAAATTTAGGGGTCTTACCGGAGTCTGGCTCTGATGATATGAAGACCAACAACTCTGACAAGTCCATCCATCTGGAGGACGTGCCTCGGTCTGCCCTGCAGGAGTCATGGCACAGTGAATCTCCGAACAATCCTCGCAATTGGGCACAATGGAAGAAGGACACGCAGATCCTCATGGTGGCTTTCCACTCTATGGTCGCGACCTTCATGGCCGCTGGTATCATCCCAGCCTATGATACAATGGCAGAAGAATACAATGTGACTGTGCCGGAAGCAAGCTATCTCACCTCAATTCAGGTATGATCTCTGCGTAACCAGACAGTTTGGGTCTCTTGTAGGTGGACTGCGCTTACGCTTGCCGTGATAGATTCTGCTCCTGGGACTCTGTCCATTCATATGGAAACCAATCACCTCGATCTATGGCCGATACCACGTCTTTCTATTTTCCGTGCTGGGAAGCATGGTATGCAACATCGGGGGCGCAAGATGCACAACATACGGAGCACAGATGGCGACAAGGATCCTCACTTCGATACTGATCTCGCCCCCGATTGGCATCGGCAGTGGTGTGATCACGGAGCTTTGCGAGCCTGAGAAACGCGCGCAGAAGTTGGGATGGTGGACGGTGATGATCACGCTTGGCACACCAAGCGGTCCATTCATAATGGGATTCGTCGCGAAACACATAGGCATTGAATGGATATTTTGGATCTTTGCCATCATAAACCTTATCCAATTTATTGCATACCTGGTTCTCGGGGTGGAAACAATGTACCTCTCCGAGTGTGAATCTTCGCTGGGGGCGGGAAACGCTAAGAAATCCGTGTTCAACAAGCTCATTCCACGACGACTTGACTCGCGCCCTCTCAGGGCGCGCGAGTTCATCGAACCCATCTTTCTCTGCCGCTATTATGCAGTCCTGATCCCTGCGGTCGCCCACTCTGTTGTATTCTGCTATGGCAACATCGCGCTAATCGTGGAGATGCCGATTGCATTCGGAGAAAAGTTCGACTTCGATGCCCAGCAGATAGGGCTGCAGTTTATTGCTATCATTATTGGATGTCTCCTCGGCGAACAACTGAGTGGACCCCTTTCTGACTTGTTCTTGAGGAGTCTGAGTAAAAAGAGAGGTTACACTCTACCAGCAGATCGTCTGTGGCTCTCCTATATTGGCTTCGGCACTGTGTTCGCTGGACTCCTGACCTGGGGGTTTCAGTTAAACAAAGCCGTGTCCTGGAATGTCACACCCTGCATTGGTGCGGCCATCGCGAGTTTTGGCAACCAAATCATCACGACGATTCTGATCTCATTTGCTGTCGACAGCTACAAGGAGAAGTCAACTAATGTTGGAGTCTGCATCAACCTGTTCCGCCACATTTATGGCTTTGTAAGGTCTTTCCTTTCCACTGCCCCTGAGACCCTCGCTGACAGAGCTAGATTGGTCCATTCTATTTCCCTCCCATGTTTGAAAGTCTGCAGTTCGCCGGCGCAGCAGGCGTGATGTGTGCTATCATCGGTGCTTGCGCGTTAATTCCTATCATAGCGGTTCAGTTTGTTGCTAGCCGTCAAACCCAACAAGTCTGAGGGCTAGCGACTAGGAAGTTATACTGGGAATAATTTGGGTTTAGAGACAAATTTCTCACGGGAGAATGGGCGGAGAATGAGCATAGGATGATAAGGGCACATGCTCGGGAAGACACGGCATCGTGCGAATAGACTGGGACCTTTGGAGTACAGAATAGACCAGCAGGAATTTCCTCGCTCAATTTTCGTGGCTAGTAAAGGCTGCTAGGCACACTGTTTAGCCACGACATATCCTGGAAATCTGTTAAATCAAAACCGTCAATAAGAATAGCATTCACCCCCTCTCCGAGTGACATATCATTTGTCGCGTTCAACGTGGTGCCGGGCGCTTGGTGATGTGGCGGTAGATCATGGGATGGAGGCGCTTCTGATGCAACACTTTGATATAGAATTTCGAGAGCGGCGACACATCGCCGTGCAGAAGTACTATAGCTTTGGTATTTCCGCAGAATCCCAAGTGCATAGTTCCAAGATCGCGATATTGCTGCGTCGGTTATCTCCTCCACAACGGACGGGCAAAGACGGCCTGCAATCAACACGGTGGCTGCCGTGTAGACATCTGCAACATATGAGCATTGGCACGAAAATTTAGTTTATTTGACCTCACAGAGAATATTGTACCACCATGCTGGTAGTGGACCTGAACTTCCATCGGTCGGAATATTGTCACGAATTAGATCAATGACTTCTTGAGCGACTTTGACACATATCACAGAGCACTGCAGAGCAACGCGATGAGGGAAGGAGTCAACCAAAGAAATCAGTGGATCAGTCACGGCAATGTCACGCGCCGTGCAGTACTTGGAAAGAACAGGCCTAAACAAGAGCATGCGGACGTGCAGAAACCTGAATGAATCAGCAAATTGAGCACTGTGCTTGCATCGTGGTTTCTTATATGGAAGACAAACCTAGCTCGTAGGACGACACCTTGTCGGCGAAAGATCATGTTGTCGGATTGAAGAGATGAAGGGTCGCGCAAATGCAGCGGAAGAGTTCGTGTCCATTTGGACAGAGCCCGGTCAAGATCAAAGATTGTCCGCTCGCCTTGGTTTATCTCCTTATCGAAATAGAAGTCATAGATGTCCTCGGGGCTTTCGTCGGGTACAGGCTTGTTATACAAACTCAATAAAATGTCATTGAGGATCTCATACAACTCGAGGGATTTAGCGTAGAAAGCCATGATGGACGGACGATCGGTCGGTTGCTTGGCTTGAGCACCTGAATCCGTTGGAATATGCTCTTCGTCAACCACGACTGGAAGCGGAACTGAACTACTTGACGCTTTGGATATCATAGCTGGACGACCAAAGGTCATTGATATTACTCTGTGAAGCATCAGAGAAATGTCGAGATGAATGATAGTTTGTGTGTGTACGTACCGATCCATCAGCACGCAACCGTGCCAGATCTTGCGCGCCAATTGCTGTTCTTGTGGATTTCGAAGGCGACAAACAGTCTGTGGAAGGTGTAAACCAAGGCTCTGCGCATTGCGAACGGCCAAGCCAGTGACTATCCAACATTGATGCGCGGAGTCCGTGCTTTGCAGGTATTGTGCCATGAGAAGCAAGCATTGAATCAAACCAGCAGATCCAGTATTCCAAAGGTTGAACTGAAAGAGGTCCTTTGCACGCGAGAAAAATGTATCTGCCGACGACTCCCGTTCGTCTGGAGGAATAAAATCTGCCAGCTGCGAAGCTAGAGCAAAGATGACGTTGAACGTGCACATCAGCATATTCTCGTCCGATTCCAGCGCCTCGCCCGTCCAGATCCTCGCATATTCTGCTCGCAGATGAAGGCCATCGACGAGTGGATACAGCGGAAAGACATAGCACCAGTAAACCTCCATGAGGCTGTCGGCCGTCTTTCTTGGGGGAAGAACGTAACTAGGCACAGTGGGCGGCATTGTCTTCGTCGCGACGAGACTGGGAGATGGCGCCACTCCAAGGACCGAATCCGACGCCGGTCGACATGGTGACGAGACGCGTTTGTCTACAGCCTGCTTTATCTGACGCATGAAGCTGGCCGCACTGGAGCTGCCGAAGAAGCCTTGGGTTGGCTGGCCTTCTTCTACTGCACCCATCATCGCATTCACGCCATCTGTACATTTTTCTGATCGAAGCGGCTGATCTGGCAAATTTCTTGATGGGGAGAACGATGGTTCCTGGGCACCGGCGAGACTGGACCCGGGCGAGACATTATGTGTGGAAGAAGGCTGGCCTCCAGCGGAGGTGCTAGGGATGTTTCTTCTATGTCGCTGCAGGTTGTAAGACAAAGGTGATTCCGAGTTCTGATCTCCAAGATTGGATTCTACTGTTGTCGGTAAACATTCTGGACTTTCTAGATGCCTGATACGATTTTCTAGAGTCGCAATGTAACTGAATTGGGGACACCATTAGTAATTGAACCCAGCCAATGACGGCCACCATCAAACAGCTTACTTTCGCACTGCACGTTTCTTCTCCGGCTCCCCCGTATAGACACACTGTACGCCCTGATCGGACCTCTTCACGCACGGCCCACATACTAGCACAACGCGAAAATCAGTTGGAACGGATTCAATTCCGGGCAGACTGGACATACCCGGTTGGATGCCGTCGCATCGGACCTTGCGGGTCCGGCATTCATCACAGGCGACAGCAATCTTACGGCGTTTGGTTGGTCTGTCCGGAGCTTTACCCCGACGGTCTTTGGAGGCCGGGCCCGGAACGTCCATGAACAAGGATGGATGAGCGACGGAAGTACAAAAGGAGGAAAGGGAAGATTCGGGAGTTGCGCGAAGGAGGGAGAGAAAGAGAGAAGAGGGCGGGAGGCTTGGCACACCGGTGGCTGCCTCGGGTGTCGTTCCGAAGGGCTGCCTGAGGCAGTCTCTGGGTGGCATCCCGTGACGGATTTGCCCTGACTACTTCCGCGTGGTGCTACTCCGCAGTATAGGAAACATAAGTTTCGCTACGCTCACTGGAATTGAGGCTGTTCTACGGAGAACTGCGGTAGGAATCTTTCATGTGAGTAGCGCAACTACTCACATGCATGGACTGTGGCACCGTCAACAAGCCTAGTTCTTACATACTACGAATACAGTACAGCACTGGTTCAATTCAAAAGCTCAAGCATCATCGGAGGTTCAACTGCTTTTGGTGTTGATATGCACATGCACACCGACTAGACGACCGATGCGCGTACAGTAGCTATAAAGAAAGACAAAAAGCAAATGCAACTGGCGTCCCTTGCATGTTCATTGCACAAAGCTAGACTGATATCCGAGCATATCACCCCAGCCACAGCTCAAGAGCACGACTGTACAAGTCACAATATTTATCACTCCCATTTGGCCTAGTGTTCCAGCGTAGCAATAGGAAGACGGCCTCGGTCGGATGATTTCCGCTTAAACTCCAACGGGAACGGCGATGCAAGGAACGACGACGTTGATGCCGTTGTTGACGCTGTTGTTGTCGCAGCAAGCAATGCTACCCTGGCACTGACCGGGGATGAGGTCGATAACTAAATCAAGGGCCCGTTAGTAAGATCACGGATGATTTCCGGATCGGAGGGACTTACGGTCGCTGCAGCCGCTGTACTCTCCAGAGTTCAGACCGGGAATGAGAGGGCCGTCAAGAAGACCCAACAGGTTTGTGTGCTGCTCCGTGCTGAGCTTAGCGCTGGTAGGGTCCGAGTTGCAGCAAGAGCGCTTGCCGTTGGAGCACTTTCCGTAGAGCTCCTGGGCGGCATTGCCAATCTTGGGGCCGGTCTCGGGGAGGGCCAGAGCAGTGGCGGCGAAGAGGGCGGCGACAGCGAAGAACTTCATTGTGACGGTTGGTTTGATAAGGCGGTTGGGCAGTCTTTGGAAAGATGAGAAAACTGAGGTTGGCAAGGCAGTGTAGAGAAAGCTGGTTTGAACTGATGTGATGATAGATGTTGATGGTGGAATCTGGACAGCTTTTATACCTTCGAAGGCCGGTTGTCGAAGACTGCTGAGGGGCTTGTTGACCGAGATACTGCCCAACGTACAGGCCGGATATGCCTCCAACCTGACCCTGGCAGATATCCCTTGCCTGGTGAATCGATGAAGCTCACGGCTGCTTGCCGCCAGGAGAATGTCGTTCGCTAGCCTGGGATTTCGATCTGCCATACGATGAAGAGTATGCATTATCGCCACCGCTTCGACTCGATCAGGTAAACAAAGGGGATGTGATATATCATAACTCGCAATTCCCCTGCAGAAAAAACCGATCGCCTCTCCATCGGCCACGTAAGGACTGACTCACATATGCCTCAGGAACAGGTTTCACGGATGAAAGAAGACGCTTTCCGGGTACAATGCAAAGATCTTCACACACTATACGCGATCTATTGAGCATCTAGAGAGCCTTATTTGATGAGAAACTTTCGCAAGAGACCTCACGTCGTCTGAGTCTGGCTGACCTCCATGGGCCAGCCAATATTCGGAAATCAATGGAGAGGTTGAAGTTCTCTTACGCGGTAGGAACGTCTAGAGCGATCACTGTTTTACGTATCTCGTACTGGGGTGATCGATCCAGGAACTGGCGGAGAGGGAGGCTGCAGGGTGGCGTAGAAACGGAGATGGACGAGCAGATCTTAGCTGCGCCTCTCGTCGCTCATCCCGAATTGTGGCCGGAAAGAGCCCGATACTAGGGGCAAGTGCAGAGCTCACTGGCCTCATTGCTCCGAAGCTTACGCTGCATATCCCCAGCTTGTTGCTGATTAGGGGCGCGCTGAGTATTGAATAAAGCCCTGCGTGGCTCTGAACCTTCTTTCCCAAGATTTCACTCAGTCAGGCTACCTGCTAAAATCATTCGCACTTGCCAGGCAGCGCCTCCTGGCCTCGATCGCGATGCCGATGTCGATTGGGGTGACTGACTCCGGAGTTCGCGCCTGTTAGGGGAGCCAGAAATGTCTGCTCACTCTGGCACACCCACAAAAGGCGATAGGTTCGAGGAGGATGAAAGAGAAATTTAAGAATCAATAGTTCCACCCAGATGCATTAAGTCGCCACTAGTGCTGTTTCCGCTGCAGCAAGGAGTTGATGGGTCACATCCATTACGTCCGAATAGGAACCAGGCTGATTGCTTGCTGCAAGGACAAGTAAAATAAACGTCGAAGAGGGCGTTTGTTTCGTTTCAGTAGTAGTAACTGTAAGTACGGAGTAGCTTCTCATATTTCGGTAGGTATCTAATGGAATTGCCTCTTGAATCGCTGTAACATGGAGTTTCTATTTGGAAATGCTCTAGATGTTTAATGCGCAACAAAAATACAGACGGAGAAAGTCTAAAGCCAGAATAAAAGCATGCATGCGAGAGGAATGCCCATCTTCACAAGTAGTAATCCTCTGCTCACCAGGCGAAAGATTCTTCGACGTAGCGAATACCTTGGTAGCCCTGACGCATCGCACGGTACACCGCATCTCGAGCCTGATCGGCCATGGTGGATGGCCCGCATACCAAGACTAGCGATGAACAGCCACGAAGTTGAGCGTCGTGTGCATGGGATATGATGCGGGATTGAAGATCAGGCCGTCCTATATTAACCTCAAGATCTTTATCGAGTACTTCATCGTGTACGGAAGAATGGAGTCTCTCATCATTGTAGCACTCCCCGGGCGATGTTACGTAGAAAGAAGCATCAAAATCGCTGCGAGCGAGAGCCGGACTCAGTTCACCGGTTGCAAGCTGCCGAATAAAGGCTGCTTGCCGCGTCGTCCAGATAAGGTGCATATCTTGAACTTGCGTTGCACCGCCATCTGCGGTGGCAGATCGGGCAATGTGGTCTTGGATGTACGGAACAACTGCTGCAATGCCCGTTCCTCCAGCCACGAACAGGATTGACTCGTATTTCCACGCTGGGAACTCGTCACCGTAGGGGCCCTCCATGAGAATAGTTGTGTTCAGCTTCCGATCTGGACATCCCTTACATTGTTGGCGAAGAGAGCGTGTCCAACCATCAAAAGGTCGGATCCAGAATACGAGCTTTAGCTGATTGCTTCCTTGAGAGACCTCGTCTGAATAACTGTATCCAGTACGAGAAGAATCGCTAAGTAGGGGAATGTGAGAGATGTCTACTGTCTGATCGTGTTTCGCAGCTTCCGACGGTAGCAATGAAGATGTTCGAGGCCCCGTGTCAAACGACCAGGAACCCAGGGTAAAAGGGTGGCTTTCCCACCCTGTTAGTCGAAAGGGCTGATATAGATAATAGTACTGTCCAGCGGTCGGGCGCAGTAGCCAAGACCCGGGCATCACCTCTAAGCGAATCACGTCGGAACTCTCATCGTAGGTTGCCAGACTGCGGGTATATTGAAGACTTTTCCCAGCGTGAGCTCGGACATAAATATTGCAATATGCTAGGCGGACCAAGCGCATCGATCGATCAAGGGCCCATACTCCAACGACGGGCCAGAGATAGAGCCAATATTCATGGCCCTCAAAGATGACCGTATGGCTAGTGGGGCGGTTAGTAGATGTCAGGAAATATACAACAGGGAACATACTAGAAACAACCGATGACCGTTGCCACCGAGAAAGCAATATGAAGCAGGAGAAATGTCTCGTAATTTCGACGTCTAAACCAATCCACGGCCGATGGAAGGACCAGTATCATGGCCGCCATTGCCTATGATGTTGTCCCTACAGGTTAGAAAGCAACGATATAAACTGAACTGAGCCAGTACTCACCACAGTACCCCAGAAGAGATATGGCTTTTGCATCTTTTTCCAGGCGTTTCCATCTTCGTAGGTCAGTTAGAGAAGGATTTATTACAGTCCGGGGAGACGTACTTTGAAAAAATAGAATGAAATATAGAACGGTATGAATGAACGCCTGAATAGTGGCTATCCAAGCTACATGTCGGTGAAATATATTGAATGTCGCGAAGCTCCAGCCGGTTGCCCAGAGAAATATGTTGTTCCGGCCAGCGAATATCCACAGCAATGGCAGATTTGCAAACGAGAGAATGCCTGTACGATCCGCCGCGTAACGCAAGAGCTGGGCAGAAATATCGGGCCAACTGCAAGATAGATTAGGAGAAAGATAAGCGGGAATAGACTGAGAAGTACTAACTAGATGTTGCCCAAAAAAGTCCTATAACCGACCAGGCATAAGACAGTACTGATGGCCCAAAATGCAAAGGTGACTAGGGCCTCAATGCGCGTGGGGAATGTCCACCAGAGAATGTGTCGACCATGGGATCGCAAAGGGCTAGCGACGACGAGATGGGTGTCGATCCAATTGTACAGTTCTAGAAATGTGTAGCCTAGGCTGCGGACCAGGGGATGTCGTTGATGACCTGTAGAAGCGCGCCGCGAGACGAGGAATTGTTGAACACAACGACGAGCAATCCCAACCGCTAGAACGCCGGCCCAGAAACCGTAGCCAGCGAGGCTATCTTGTCAGATATCATTCATCAGATGAAAGAAGTTGAGTAATTTCCGACCTACCCGTACGTATAATGCGTCCATGTTTCGAATTGCCAAGCATCCTAGACGCAACAAGAATGAGTACATCGTAGATAGGTGAGAGTGGATAAAAGCCCACAATAGTTTGGAAAGTGCGACTGTAGTACGAGGAAGAGAGTATAACAGGAGCGTCGATCCGTTGATGTCTAGGGAGCTCCTGATAATCCACAACCCTCATTCGTTGGATCCGATCACTCGTCAGATTGGTGGCCAGTTTGTCGCGAGAAATCAAGTCTAAATGTGCAACCTGGCGACATAGGGTAGCTAACTGTGATAGGCCCGCAGCCTGTTCTGATGAGGAGCAGTGCAACTCTGTGGAAGCATATATCGACGTGACTTTTAGAGGATTCAAGCACCGCGTGCCCCAAAATCCAGCCGGCGGGCTTCCGGCAAAGGAAATATAGTCATACGCGTTATAAATGGCGGTGACGCAGCGTTCGTCAGGCGGAATGATGTTGGAAGCAACAAGACCGGTACCAAAAATCAAAACCAGCCAGTCTATTCGACGCATGATTGAGAGTAGAGTGTATGGCCAGCAGCAAGATCGATCACGGAGTGGGCGCAGGGAAGGCAGTAATCCGGCGGGGCATCACGGGAGAATTGAAGGGTTCTAGCCACGGGGTCCGTCAAGGGGCGAATAGCGTGCCCGGGGTATCACGATGGCAAATGAACTCGGAGTAGGAGGGAGAGATGTCGTCCGCTGCGACTATATATACAGATTGACCCGGAGGTCGAGTTGACAGCGCGGTTTGCCGGAAGGAGAGAGTGAGGGCAGAAGGAGGAATCAGCCGGGGGTTATCAGATCGGGTGATATCTAATCTGATCATCGGGGCGGCTGAGTCAGTCCCGCACTCCCGCTACTGTCGCCTGAGGCAACCAGGCAGCACGACACGTGACACCAACGGCGGCTGCGGCCCACCCGGAGCCGGCATTTCTTCCGCCGCTCCTTCTTTCCATCTCTGCTCTATTGCGTTTGCTCCGCTTCACCTCACCCATGCGCCCATTTGCAATCATTCTAATTAGTTTTATGGCCATAATCATGGCTGCTGGTAACCAATCCCATGGATCCATGGGCGCTGGCTTTCTCTCTTGAGCGCAGCCTTGCTGGTGTGATTACTACGACAACCTCGTGGGCTCGGACTGTGGTGAAAATGCCATAACCAGCACCGATAAGTCTGACCTTGTCTGTGTCTATACCAAAGCTTCTTTGGCCATGACAAACACAACGACCGAGACGCATCTCGGAAACTGTGCCACACAGAAATGTGACGATGGATCAGATATTGAGAAACAAGTCGATCGCGTATTCGATGATTACGAGGATTGCATCGAGAATGCTGGCACTGGTGAGGTTTATAATCTGAGCAATTCGAAGCGGAAGGGAGGAACTGGTGGCGGCAATTGTATACGAGCGTACACCTAACCCAGATGTTGTTCAATCAATATCTAGAAACTCGCGACGATCCTCCCTTGTCTCGTGACCTCCCTTGGGAATGCCAACCTCCCAACATTGTTTACCTTCTCACTCCCCCTTGAATGAGCCAGCTGTGTATCGCCTACCACATAAATCACGCAGGATGCTTCATGTTGAAACACTTTGCATGCTGCTCCACTTTATTGGCCTGGCATTAGTGTCCCAGCTAAGTTTGCCGACTATAAAAGAAACCGCCCTTTACCTATTCATCGGCAGAGGCAGTAACCGCATCCATGTGTGCGATGATGGCGCTAGCGAGACAGAACCAAAGACCACTTGGTCTCCAATAACAGCAGCAAGAGCGCCCATGCGCCCATGGCTCCTCGTATCTATGGTTGTTGGTGGGTGTACAGTCGCCTTCGTCCGTGCAACGAACAGCCAGAATGGCCAGTTCCCAACGGAAAGATGGACGCAATGCATCGTCTGGGTGAGTGAGAACCCTTTCCGCCTTGTCGTCATAGAGGCTGATGGTCTATGAAGGGGTTGATGCTGCTTCAATACGTTACTTTGGCCACGGAGCCCTTGGAGACCCCTCGGTATGTGATGAGTCTGAAAGGAGGCTTTAGCTGCGGTGTCACCATTGTCATCACATCCGTGGAGCTTTGTACAGGTCCCTATGCAAAACCCACAGAGAACGACATCCCGATTCTGCTATATTCTCAAGTAGCTCTCGCCATCATGACAATGCTGACTAGCTTTTCCATCCCACGCCGCCATCAGACCTCCCGTCGGGGTAGGCTGATCGATGGTGAAAGCTCATCCTCAATTCTTGGACATCTTTCTTTCAGCTGGGCAACCCCCCTTGTCGCCAAGCTCGGAAGCAATATAGACATTAGCCTTGAATGTCTCCCGGAACTATATGAAAAGGTTCGAGCAAGAACGCTACAAGACGCATTTGACCAGGCGAAAGGACATATGAAGCCATCAAACAGAAGTCTGTGGCGGGTTCTGCTGTTCCTGTACCGACGTCACATCATTCATCAAATTGTTTTCACTTTGCCGTTAGCACTGCTGGCGTTCGCACCGCATGTAGCCTTGGGGCAGATGTTACGATTGCTTGAATCGCGCACTGAAAGACAGACACACGATAGATTGCTTGTGGGATGGGCAGTGTTGCTTGGATTTGGGATATGGACGTCATCGTGGCTTGAGAACTGGTTGCTATGGATCGCTCACAGTCGAGTCTCGATCCCAATGACGCAACAACTATCTATGGTCCTCTTCGACAAAGCTACCAGACTCACGTTGTCGAGCGATGTGAATGAAAAAACAGGAGGGTGTCCCGAGGCTCAAAATGTTATCAACCTGGCAGCCATCGATGTACCGCGTATAGCCACAATCGCTGGATTCTTGTACAGTTGTATACTGCAACCTCTCAAGGTCATCGTTGCTTGTATGTTACTTAGTCAACTGTTAGGATGGAAAAGCCTATCGGTGGGGCTTATGTGCCTGGTTCTGATCTCTCCAATGCACTCGGCTTGTCTCAAAAGGACGTCGACGGCAGAGGGGATTCTTGCGAGTCGGCGGGACGCTAAGATGAGCCTCGTGGCCGAGGTGCTTCACGGCATTCGATACATCAAATTTGCTGCGCTTGAGAGCAAATGGGAAGCCAAAATTAACGCACTGCGGGATGATGAGCTGCAAGCGCAAAGCACACTCTTTCATCGGCAGATCGCGAGTTTGATCTTACACCTTCTAGGCCCAGTGCTCGTCTCGGCGGTCTCCCTTGGAATGTATGTCAGGCTATACGGACGTTTGACACCATCTACTGCATTTCCTGCGTTGTCTATATTTGGATACCTTCAATTCATCCTCGGTATCGTTCCCGAGCTGCTATCAGGTGTTGTAGCCGCATCCTTGAGTTTGAAGCGAATGGTTGAGTTTCTGAGACTGCGTGAGCCGGAACAGCATGTCTCACACTCTAGTGACATCGGAATATACGCCGACGTCATGCATTACGATTCTACTGCCTCGCTGAAGCAGGAAGGGATACTGCGCGAAGTTAGTCTAAGCTTTTCACACCAAGGTTTAAGCTTGATATGTGGTCCGACCGGTGTTGGAAAAAGCTTGCTGTTCGCGGCTATTCTGGGAGAATGCAAGATTGGCTCAGGAACGGTGAGACGACCAAGGCCCCCTTTCTTCCAAGATATATACACCCCCTTCGCCCCTGGGACACCCTGGATTGCCGATAGCATGATTGCATACGTTGCCCAGACCCCGTGGATAGAGGCCGGAACAGTGCGTTCGAACATTCTTTTCGGGTTACCCCTCAATTCTAGGAGATACCAAAAGGTACTGAATGCCTGTGCCCTGGTCCACGATTTGGACGAATTCGAAGGTCACGACCTCGCCGATATTGGTCCCAGTGGTGTTAACCTCAGCGGTGGGCAAAAGGCGCGAATTAGCCTGGCGCGGGCATTGTACTCACGGGCTGGAGTACTTCTTCTAGATGACGTATTAAGTGCTGTGGATGTGCACACCGCAAAACATTTGCTGGCTCACGCCTTGACCGGGGAACTGGCCCAAGGTAGAACTAGGATTCTGATCACCCACAATATTGATATTTCCCTTGGGAAAGCGGATTATTTAGTACAGCTGGAATCTGGAAGGGTCCGGTATGCTGGTAATATCCAGGACTTGCAAACAAGTGGCTATCTGGCACCCTTCCAAAGGAACGAGGACGAGTCTTTATCGTTCAATAGTGAGGAACACATTATGCGAGATGGATCCGTACCGCCACCATCGAAGGAGGAGATCGTGTCAGATGTGACAAATGATGAGCAGTATAATAGCCCGATTATGACTGAAACTCAGAACAGTTTTATTCGGGATGAGAGCCAAGGACAGGGAGCCATCCAGTGGCCACTCTTTCGTCGATACATCGAATATAGCGGTGGTTGGCCTAGGTGGTTCACTTTAGTGGGTTGTTATGTTGCATACAATGTATTAATTCTTGCCCAGGTAGGTACAGCCAGCTGCATCTCACTGCCCGTACATATAAAGATGGCTGACAGAGGGTAGTATTGGTGGATGAATATATGGACTCAAGGAAGAGGACCCGAGAACAATGCTGGAACGTGGTACTATTTTCGGAATTATCTCGTCCTTGCAGTGTTTGTTTGCCTGTTTGGAGCACTTCGTTGCTACCTTGCTATTACTGTTTCGCTTCGCGCCTCAACCGTCCTGTTCCGCAGGCTCTTGCATGCTGTCCTCCGGACAAGAATGCAATGGGTCGATACGGTTCCAGTTGGTCGAATTATAAACAGGTTCACGGCAGACCTCTACATCATAGACTCTCGTTTGGGACTTGACCTGACAACTCTGCTTAATTCGGGAATGGACTGCATCGGTGTAATCATGGGTGCGGTTTTAGTCCAGCCCAGGTTGTTGTTTCTGGGCGTTTTGTTGCTATACGGAGCTTTCTGGTATACTCGAAGATACCTCATGGCAGCTAGAGAGGTCAAGCGCCTCGAATGCCTTGCTAGAAGCCCAATTTACCAACACTTCGGCTCCTCCATGGCGGGCATTGTTACGATTCGAGCCTTCCAGCGCACTCACCATTATATCACTCAAATGCAGGAAATTATCGATAAACATGCCCAGGCTGTATGGCATTTGGGCCTCTTCAACCAGTGGTTCACGTTTAGGATCAATTCATTGGGGGCTTTGTTCTCTCTTGTGACTGCATTGACAGTAATATCGCGAAAGGACGTCACCGGCTCAGTGGCTGGGTTTGCTCTGGTATTTACCAACCATCTATGCTTTGCATTGGTCTCGCTCAGCCGCGCATACGCTACACTTGAGATGGATTTGAACAGCGTCGATCGCATACTAGAGTACTCAGACCTCCCAACAGAAGGTGGGACCGGCCAGAACCCGCCACCGGCATGGCCCAGAGGAGGCCAACTTATTGTGAACAATCTCACAGTTAAGTATAACTCGGGTCATCTACCTGTGCTTCAAAATGTGACCTTTGAAGCCGAACCTGGAGAACGTATAGCAATTGTTGGTCGCACTGGGGCAGGAAAGTCCTCGCTAGCTTTGTCCCTTTTTCGATTCCTAGAAGCTTCTGAAGGAGAAATCTGGATAGACGGCGTGGAAATATCGACTATTGGGCTCACTCATTTGCGACGACGTTTGGCGATCATTCCACAAAACCCCGTCCTATTTTCTGGCACCGTGCGATCAAACCTTGACCCATTTGGAGAACACTCAAATGACACATTGCTTCAAGCTTTGGATCAAGTGCACTGGAGTAGGATAACCGGGGCGATGCCCACGGACCGTTTAAATGCTTCGGTATCTAAAGAAGGGTCTAACTTTTCTCACGGGCAACGTCAGCTACTTTGTCTTGCTCGTGCATTGCTCACGAGACCAGCAATCTTGATTCTTGATGAAGCGACCTCAGCCGTGGACAGAGGCACAGACGATCTTGTCCAAGAGTCTATTCGGGCAAATTGCCGAGAGACGACTCTACTGGTCATTGCACATCGCATTCGAACGATAGCTGATTTCGACCGGGTACTAGTGCTGGAGAATGGGGAGGCAGTGGAATTTGGATCTCCGGCGACTTTACTGGCAAGAGATGGGCTTTTTAAGCAAATGGTCATGACGGATCCGAATCACGAAGAGTTGGAAAGAATAATCGGGAAGTGATGCCCAAAGAATACAGGTTAAACCCCGGTCCCTGGGGAACCCCCTCGTGGTGCAAAATAAGGGGCGTTGAACTTCAAATCATGTGAGTAGATTAAACCAAGAAAAGACTACATTCGAGTTTATAATATAGGAAAAGGCCTGAAAGCATATCCCTGTAGTGTTGAGATATGCTAGCAGGGTCCCAACGACAATGATCCAACAGATGCACTTTCAGTCGTGTAAAAGCCTACTTCATCTGCACGGTGAAACCTTTAAATGCCGGCAAAACCGGGCGTATCTCCGCATGATAAGCTGGAATCCCGGCTATCCAGTTCAGCTGCTCGAAAGGTTTCCCGGGGAATGTTCCGCCCATGTACGTTGACCTTGTGGTTGGGAATAGCGTCGCGTTCGACAAAGTTTCGATGCGATGCTTCCACGCATGCGCAGCAGCTTTGGTTGCATTGATTGACTTGATGCCACGACGCTCCATCTGCTTGATCGCGTCGATGACCCACCGTCCCTGTACTTCGATGCATGTAGGTCCATTACTCACAGCTGTCGGGGCATGGGGCCCGTATGTCGTAAAGAGGTTCGGGTAGCCACTAATGGTCATGCCAAGGTACGTGTGGACTGATGCAGCCCATTCGTCTTTGAGCGCTGTCCCTTCGATACTGCGGAGACCCATGTTCACCAGAGCGCCGGTAGATACGTCGAAACCAGTGGCAATACAGATTGCGTCAAGTTCATAGTGCGTGCCGTCAGCAAGTTGAAGACCGGTCTCGGTGATACGCTCTATAGCGTTGTTTCGGATGTCAACAAGCTCGACCGTGGGTCGATTGAACTGCTCAAAGTAATCAACCTCCAGACTGGGTCGTTTCACGCCCCATGGATGTAGAGGCGCGAGAGGCGCGAGGAGATCTCGGGTAACGGGGTCATCAATCCGCTGGCGTACTTTCTTGGCCCAGAAGTCATAGACTACACGATTAGCTTTGGGATCATGTAGACTATCTTTGTAATTGGCAACCCATAGTCGGAAGCCACCAAGTTCCCATAGCCGCTCAAGAAATGCTTCTTGCTCTTTCTCGTTGTCTTCAAATGTACCTCGCTCGCTGAATGTGTATAGGAACCCCCCGAAAGCCTTTTCGCGTAATGAGAACAGCTCCGGGTAGACGGGCTTTAGTTGCTCCTGTTCCTCGGCAGTCAAGTCCCTTCGTCGCATAGGAACAGCCAGATTTGGAGTTCGCTGGAAGACCTTGAGCGAGCCAACAACGGGCCCGAGAGTCTGGGTAAGCTGAACGCCAGATGCACCTGTTCCAATCACGCCAACACGCTTGCCCTTCAAGTCCACACCTTCTTCTGGCCAGAAAGATGAATGATGTATAACTCCTCGGAAAGACTCAATTCCCGGCCAGTCAGGAATATGTCGCTTGGCAGCGAACCCGGTGCTGACAATCAGGTACCTTGCTGAGGCCCTTCGACCGTCAGTGGTAGTGATCTGCCATCGTCCCGAAGGCGTGTCAAAGTTTGCCCCATTGACAAACGTGCCAAAAGAACAGTCCTTTTTTATGTCAAGCACGCGCTCTACGTGATCAAAGTAGGCACGAATCTCATCGTACGCCGGATAGTTCGTGGACCAGGTCCATTCTTTCCAAGTTTCGGGGATCGAGAACTGGTATTCGGGGATTTCCGAGTCAACCCTCGCACCAGGGTAGCAGTTCCAACGCCAAGTGCCGCCGATATCATGGCCGGCCTCATAGATGACAGCTTTGAGGCCTAGCTTGCGAAGCTCGTGCAGATAGTAGATGCCGCTAAACCCGGCACCCACAATCAATGCATCCAGTTCGAGATCGTCGGCGTTGGGGCCACTCGCGCCCTGTCGGTCTGCAAACTCACGAATATCGGTTTTCATGGTGGGGAGTGGGCTGGTCAGTAGCTACAGTCCGGATGAGAAACGAGGAAACTGTCCACTGGGTATTTGTAGGCGTGGGTGAAGATCATCCCCTCTCGACAGTGACACGCGAGTGACGCCACTATGCACTCCAAGACCGACCCCTCAGCCAGCTGCGACAAGTATTGGCTAACAATTCCAGAAAAAGTACTGGATTGAATTAGATAGGCAGGGGCCCCCTGCATACCCCGCCTGATTGGAAATGCGATGGAGATAACAAATAGCGCGCGGAAAGTGCAACTGTAGCCGAGGAACAGGCTGCATCGGCCATTGGAGGGATAGTATCGAGTATATGAGTTCTCCAAATATAATGATATTTATGTCAAGACCAAAAGCTCAATCCTTTCCGTCGGAATCCGCTCTCCAGTGTTACCTAAATAGTAAACTGTGTTTGAAGAGGGAGATCTCGACTGGATCGGCCAACAAACACATCGTACGTGCCAGTCTGCAATCGCCACTGCTGAGCCTGAACATCCCAAGTGCTCAGATCTCGGCGAGTGAGCGAGAAATCAACCTTGGCCGTAGAACCCGCTGAGACATGCACCTTCTCAAATCCTCGCAGCTGGCGAACGGGACCGTTCGGAATGCCTACGTACAGCTGGGCCACTTCATCGCCGTCCCGCTTGCCAGTATTTTTAACTTCTGCAGACACAGCAACCACCTCATTCCAGAGGTGGGGATTCCCGCCTTCTTGAATGGTAGCCAAGGGTGGATAGGGACTGATGTCGGTTGTGGTTGTGTCAACGCTCAAACCCGAGTATTCATAGCTTGTGTAGGATAAACCAAAGCCAAACTCAAACTGCGGGTCAATCCCCTGCCGATCAAATGCGCGATAGTCGATGTATACCCCTTCCACAAATTCATCTTGCGGAAAGAGCCCATAGGGCTCGCTTGCTTGCGTTGGGTGGAGTAATTTGCCATAGTCCTCGGCATTCTTTGCCACGGTGTAGGGTAATTTACCTGAAGGATTAGCTCGACCATAGAGAAGATCGACCACTGACCGTCCAGAATCCTGTCCAGGTAAGTGGGCGAAGAGTACAGCAGTGACATTCGGATGATCAATCCACGCGTTCACCAAGCGGATCCCGGCGTTGTGGATAATGACTACCGTGTTGTCACACTTATTGGCAACATTTGTGACCAGTGCGTCGCTTGGCTCGTGGACTAACCCCGGGCGGTCATAGCCTTCAGTCGCGTAACTGTTGATAAAAACAAGACAAGCCTCAGTGGTGGGATTAACATCAGGATCTTGTGATGCAGTATCCCAAAGAATGGAAGTGCCGTCTTGGTACGCCTGTTCCTGAAGAGCGTCCAAGGGCGCGCTAATGTATGCTGGGGCATTGTATCCTGACCCCCCACCGACATACAAGGTGTGGTTCTCCTGGATCGCAGGACTAAAGCTCTTGAATCCTAAGTCCAACTGTAGTGTGTCAGGTGCCTTTGCGTCATAACCAAAGACCGAAATCAGCTTGGGGGACCGCAGTGGGAGGGCGTTGTTGGTATTTTTGACTAATACATGACCCTCGACTGCGCTCTGCAGGAGGACATTCTTGGAGTCGGCTGACTTCCCAATAACTGCTTGATGGGCTTCGTTGAGATCCTTGGGCATACCAACGCCCGAGCCCGGGAAATCAGTATCCTGGTTCAGTTGGTACCATGTCGCAAGAATTCTATCTCTGTTAGCGTGACAACGTCGCGGTCAAGAAAGGACACTCTGCTTACCGAGTTGCCATGTCGTCTAGTCGAGAAGCCTTCATGGTTCCGTTAGCAATCGCTTTGGTGAGATTCGATCCCCACATCTGTGTCTGCGGCATGACCATATCGAGACCGGCATTGGCGGCAGCAATACCAGCGTGCTGAGCGCCCCAGTCAGTAATGACATACCCTTGCACCTTGTTAGCCAGAGACACACCGCTTAGCGAAAAGAGAGTGCCAACCTTGAAATCCAAGCTCCGTCTTCAAGAGGCCGTTGAGAGTTTTACTGTTCTGACACCCATACGAGTTGTTGATGCGTTGGTACGAGCACATGATGGATGCTGTTCCTGCACGGACAGCGTCTGCAAATGGCCACAAGTAAAGCTCATGCATAGTCTTGTCATCAACATTCGATGAAAGGGCAGCGACATTGCGACCATCGAGTTTCTGGGGGTTGCGGTAGGTCTCTTGCTCATTGAGTATGTAGTGCTATGCGAATCAGCATTCAAAGCATCACGCTCATCCTCGAAGTAGGCATTCTAACCTTTGTGGAAGCAGCAACACCGGCTGACTGCATTCCACGGACGGTCTCATAGACCAAAGCACCACTGAGGTAAGGATCTATCGAGTATCCTTCCCAGTTGCGGCCGCCTTCAACGACTCTGCCAATTGGACCAACCACTGGGCCCAAAAATAGGTGGACCCCTTTCTTATGGAACTCGGTACCCATATGAAAGGCCCTCTGGCGGGACAGGTTTTTGTTCCAACTGACCGAGTTAATTATCCGACGCGAAACATAGAGTCTATTTCGTTGGCAACCAACCTTGCACCATCATGTATACCGCTAGACCACGCGTTTACGTAGTCTGTGCCGCGCTGTGGGCCCGGGGTTAGTTGACCTGTGTGTTTGAAGACATTGTCCAGTACATACCAGGCCATTTCCCGCATCGGAGACGCAGAAGCCAGGAAAGTTCAAGCGAGGAATAGGCGCGATATTTCCGGAACAGCCATTGTTTGCGCTCACGCCGGCGGTCAAGTTGACTTTCTCTTCGGGGGTGAGTTGCGCGACAAGCTTTTTCGCCTTCTTGTAGGCCGAAGCCCACGATCCAGTCCCAGAGCTTTCGGCTGCACGCATCGGTTAGTTAGCAAAGCAAATGATGATGTAATTACTCACGAGAGGGGTACACGGGAGGAGACTGCCCATAGAAATAGGCGTCACTGGTGATGTTTGACTGCGCTGGGGCAGCACTGGAGAGGGATGCTACCCCAAGAAAGACTACGAAACCAGTTATACTGTGCATCTTTTCGTAAAGACCGTGAACTAACTTATTCTCCGTCCTTGACCTTCGTCGGCTATTTATGTCTGAACCGGCGCGTTTGGATTAGCGGCGAGCATGACGATGCTGTCCAACTGCGTCATGAGTCGAGTGTAACATTTCACACCGGTAAAACATCGGCACATCAAGCTGAGATGACGGAGCAAGAGTCTGGAGTTGTGAGGGGAAGTATTGAATGCCCAGCATCAAGTTCCCTGAGGAATCTCCACATTTGGCTCTGCCCCCACCTTCTCATCACCGGCACTCCGCAAAACCCCACACACACCAGTCCGGGGAAAGGGGAGATGTCGGCAAACACCATCTGAGAAGTACTCCGGAGTCTGCGCAGTAAATGGCTCCATGTAGCTCAAGAACCCCGCTTCAAGCCTTGGTAAGATCGCCGGTGAAGCAATTCCAGATGTATCAGTCACCGCTTGACTCGTCTCGAATCATGCTGCTCACACAAAGCAGGTGACACTCGCATTCTTGAATAGCGTATAATGCCATGGGCTTGGCCCACACGCTGCTTGTACAAGATGGGCTTGTCAATCAATCAAGATGCCAGAAGCTCAACAGGGGAGACAAGAAATGTTTCTCCACCTCAGCCCCCTTCGGACTTCCCGGTCGAACATCCATGAGTCAGTTTGCAACCGGACAGAGAACTCGGCAGTTCTAAAGAGGGGTTGTCCTGAAGACAGCCCGTCCGAGCATAGTGATCGACAAGCGAAGGAAGACTGACAAATCAATCGATTTGGCGGCGGAAAAACTCGAACAGTGCAGACATGGTCATTGTGATGATTGTATTGGCTGTCAGAACTGTGAGAGAGGATAGATAGTTCCAAGACAGGGAGGTGGTGCCTACTGTAGCACGGCGCCCTCTGTTCTAGGATCCTCTGTTCTAGGATGTTTCTATGCTAGTCACAGACCTGAACGTAATCTCCAATCACACTCCAGGTCGACTTGCCGGATGTGAGCATGTCATTGTCTGTCGGATCATGTAACACCTCTCTCGCTATCCTACAATGCAGGTCACGCTCGGCCCCGTACATGTTGTCGCCAAAGAGCTCAGCCACTTGCTCCAGTGACTGATTGGGAGAAGGATATACGAAAATACAGCTGTTCCAAGGCAGAACATCTCAAAAAAGGGATAGGTGCCCCAGCCAGGTTTGATGAGCATCTCGGGGACGACAACCCCGATTATGAAGTTGGGCAGCCAAATCATTGCCGTCGCAGCTCCGACCTCCTTCGCACGCTTTGAGCTCGGGAAAACCTCGGCTGGCAGGACCCAAGCAAGCGGCCCATAAGACATGGAATAAGATAGGACATACCAGTCTGGCATTTTGTCAGCGAGCCGTGGTAGTGAATTTCTTTCACAGGGTGCATACAGATTAATCCCACACAAAACCAACCGACAGTCTGATGGGACGACCAGTCATCACTGAACCTGCCCATCAGTCCTGCCATCACAAGATGTGGAATGGCCATAATCACCCCTCCCAGGACTGCCAGCCTTCTTCGGCCAATGCAGTCCAGAAACATGAGAATTGGAATTTCCCCGATCAGTTGACAAACATTTACTATGCCCGACAAGATGAGTGACATGCCGCTACTCTGACCCAAGTCTTCGAAGAATGTGGGTGCTGGGTGCATAGTAAACAAATGCATTCATCCCTGAAAACCTGCGGTAAAGTCAATCGGTAGTAGGGGTTTGTTTTTTTTTTTTCTTTTTAGAGAGTCAACATACCTGCTGGGAAAAGGGAATGGCTAACGCTATCAGGGTACGGCGGAAGTATTTCGGTCGAAAGAGCCCGATTCACTGTCGGATAGCGGCGATTAATGGCCTAGATGTAAAGTCTGGACACTCCAGCAGGAGTACCTCCTTCTGAAATCGCACCTCTGACAGGATGCCCTTCCATTCACGTTGGTCCTGTTCATCAAGAGCAGGACGCTGGCGCAGCCGAGCCAGTGACATAAGACTGTCCTTCTTGGTGTCCTTCGTAGCCAGCCATCGCGGCTAAAACGGAAAGAAGTGGATTGCGCAGCCTACGACCAGGGCTGGGAGGATCTGTAGCAGGAATGGCAGTGGAAAAGCCCAGTCGGAAGGGATTGATCTAAAAATAGTTAGGTAAGTATTATAGAGCCCGGATTTCATATGCTATAAGTGAGTATGTACCGGGTTCCATAGGTTATCCAATATGCCACAACGGCCCCCGCTACAATACTGATAGACTCCAGGACAAGAAGGGATCCTCGCCAAGCTGGAGGTGCAATTTCTGAGATGTACAGAGGAGCTCCCATGGCAAGAGTACCCACGCCGATTCCTCTAATAAACCGTCCCGCAACCAGGGCATCATAATTCAGTGCCGCTGTCTGGATGATCGCACCCACCACGAAGAATACGGTGGCGACCGTCAGGCCCCGTTTCCGGGATATGCGATCCGCGACAGACGGGAAGAAACGGCAGCGGACGAAAGCCCCCAGCTCGAGCATTGCGGTCATAAAACCAACGTGAAAGCCGTACCCTGGACTATCTGGATGAGTCTGGGGGTAGTATTCCCGGAATTGGGTTATAACCAGAATGATCGATATGACGCCTTGATCTAGGTGATGAGAAAGCCGGCAGGTTAACAAATCACTCACGGCACCGGGACGTGTCGTACACACCATAACCAAATGAGAAGTCTCCAAACGAAGCCAGCAGAGCCGCTCCAAACACGTACGGTGACTTGGTAATATCGCGTAGCTGCCTAGCGTCATATCGCACCGGAGCTGTCAAAACAAACAGCCAGCGCATGGTCGCCGGCATACTGTTCATGGGCCGCAAAAGCCTGATCATTGGGTTGCCCGATACCAGTTGAGCGCGTCATCGGTTGGTTCTATCTTGCCAGGAAGTTGAAGAAGCCAATTGCGTTCCAAACAATTCATACTTATAAGGTCCTTGAATGGGTGCCTGAGTTTCAACATCAGCATCGGTATTCCCCGCATTTCGATCACTAGCCGTCGACAGCTTCTGGACCGGCATAGATTGGCAGGTGTCGTAGATCTGGCATTGGAAAGTTGAAGAAGGACGATGGAAGATTGGAGACTGATTGAACGTGAAAATGGGAAGTGGAAGGAGAAGGCAGGCCACGCGTCACATGATTGGCTCGCCGACCGGAGCGTTTTGTCCTGTTTGGGTAATGCCAGATGGGGCAACTTGCCCCATCTGGCCGGTCGCTAAGCATGCATAATGACTCATCACTTTATGCAGGTTTTGCTTGTTATGCTGCTCTTTCGACATACCTTAGGCACATCACCTCATTAGGCATGAGACAGGCAGGAACGGTGGCAATCACATTACTACACTGATACTCTCGATATTTCCAATCACTCGTCGCTCCTTGCATTTCTACTCCGTCCAAATCAATGCGGGTGCAGTGTAGAGAGTGCAAATATATATCGACATCCTACGGCAAACAGTTCTACAGAAGTACTTTGGAGCCAATATGGGAACATGATCCAGGACAAAGAAGTCAGATAGTTATTGTTGGTATGATTAAGACGCGATAAACCCAAGATTCACCAGCCTGTTTTTCAGGTAGCCCCCATCTGGCGCCGCCAAATCGTAACCGGCATTTCCCCAACAATCAAATTGAAAGCCTCGTGGCGAGCTAGTTCCCACTCCGGAGAAGGAAGCGCAAACTCATACCGATGGACTAACGAAGCCAGCACCATTGCCTGTTCTAGATAGGAAATATTGCGCCCAATGCACCCGCGAGCACCCGCTGAGAAGGGAATGAAATAGGGCTCCATGCGCTTCCGAGCCTCGACATTGAGCCATCGCTCGGGTCGATAGTTCTCGGGATCAGGGAAGATCTTGGGCTCGCGGTGGGTTGCGTAGGTAGTCGTGGAAACACTCGTATCCCCAGGAATCCATTCATCCATGATCTGAGCGCCTTCGGGGGGCGTACGTCGCGGTAGGCCAGCCGACGTGGGCGGCAGGATCCGAAGAGCTTCGTCGAGGCAGGCTCGGAGGAAGGGAAGGTTTTTGACTGTCATGCGCTGCGACAACTTCGTCCCCATCGAGAACAGCGTCGACCTCCTCTTGTAGCGTCTGAAGATGTTGTGGGTTTTGTAGCAGCAGCTCCAGTACTTGCGTGAGGGCGATCGCAGTTGTATCGGCTCCGGCATTGATGATGGCGCTAACCTCGGCCACGTTTTTGCCCCATTCCAAGTTGCTGGGCTTCTTTTGCTTGTCTTCCATGAGGCTCGAGTAGAAATCTTCCAGTTCCTCCCCGTTGAGATATCGCTGGAAGCGAGTGGCCGCCTGATGGTAAATGACGTCATCCCAAGGCCGCGCCTTGAGCCAGACCCTGCGCCATTTGGGACTCAGCTTGGACAGTTTGACCAGCCACGGGTAGTGCTGATAGTCCCACACAAATTTAGCTTGGCCCAATGCCGATTGATTCTGGGGCTGGCGGTATCGGGCTTTGCAAATCGTGCCGTCTAGGCGCTGCGCCGTGACCTCGTCCGTTCCTTTATTAAGTAGATCCATGTTGGCCGAAAGAGCGATGCTGTCGATCGCCTCGATCGTAAACAAGTTAATCCATTTCCCAAAACCTAACATCAATCTTCAGGGTTGGCGATCGCCTGGCCAGCGGGGAGAGGGTCGGCGCAATGATTGTTAAGCGCATGCAAGAGTCGACCGGCAGTGTGAGCAACTTCAAACTCCCATCGCTCGAGATTTTTGATGGCGAATGCAGCGGACAGGGTTTTGTGTTTGAGAGAATGCTCGCTCCGACCCACCAGGTCAAAGAGGTGGGTGTGAGTCCCGCCTAAGACGACGTACTTCAGGTTTTTGATGCATTTGGTTCCGTTTCCGTAGATGTCCCCGACAGTTCCTGCCGTCGGCCATGCATGGTCATACTCGAGCTCATTCAATAACCGGACAATTGCTTGCTGCTCCTGGAGGTCTGTAAAATATTCCCCACAGATGGAGATTCCTACCATTGCCGTGACAGAAGCCGCCGGACACTTCCCGTTAGATACGGCTAAACCACATAGCCGCCGCGTAATCGAGCGAAGTTCCGCTGCTGGACCATAGGCCCTGGAGACGGCGCTGATCCCGAAGGCGGAGGACTGTCGCGGGTCTGACGTAGCCAGCAAGATGCGCCCTAGCTCCACATGCTGCGCACCAGCTACCTGGCATGCATTCATGTGCCAGGTGTCCGGGAACTGCTTTCCGCTGGAAGCATCGCGGTCACAGTAGAAGATTGGCTTGAAGGCGGGTGGCTTGGACATGTCCCATCTCTGTTCAACGGACTTCAGGATAGTCCACCGCTCCATGCGTTCTTCAAAGCCCATCAAGGGATACTTGCCAAAGCAGAAGATTAGAAGGTCGGCAACCCAAACCATAACTCGATTGGTCCAGATGAAGTCATTGGCCAGATCAGCGATTTCATAGTCATTCGAAACCGGGGAACGGAATGGACGGCGATTGAGAAACGCGTTCCAGATTTCTTGCCGAAGGATACTCAGACAGGCCGAGTGGCGTAGGGATGTGGACGGCATAGCACGACCATCGGGGTCTCGGAGAGATCCCTGAATCGTTGATAGGCGTAGAAGGATTCGTTCTGCTGAGCGTTTACAAAGTGTTTACAATAAACTGGATAGCATTCAGGTATGTGTCGGAGTTACCGATCATGGGGTCTTTCAGCTCTGCATTACCATGGACGTCCTCTTCACAGGAAAGAGATTGCAAGCCTACCATCTATTTGTTCGTACAAGCGAAGTATCGTAGCAGCGGTCAATACGTCTTCGTTGTACTCTTCCGCCGGGTCCTTGGATATTTCAATCCAATGTGAGATGCAAATAACGTGGTACCGAATCGCGGCGTCTGGCGTCAGAGCTGGCATTAGGATCCCATTGAAGCTAATCTTCCCGGTAGCTTGTCCTCTACAGCACGCAAGTCGAGTCAAATGACCTGCCGAGGCTGTAAACACGGCAAATCGCAGAACGGGACAATGCATGGCCCGCTCGGGAACGAAGAGAGCAAAATGACGGTCTCTGTCACTTGTATCAAACTCATTGTATCAGCCCAATCCGAACGGTGTAGTTTATGGCGGCAATACCCAAGGCGGGAGATTCTCAGCAAAGTGGCGGAGACAGGCTTCCTCCAGGGAGAGATACGAATCTTCAGAGTTACCCGCCGACACGCCATATAATGGAGTCTTTGACATCCGATCGCGAGGAAATGACAGTGCTCCAGAAGGCATGGTGTCGGGGGGCTGCCTGTTTCTCGGCGTCGGATTTCCATCTCGTGATTTATTCCTCGCGTGGTCTGGTTCTTGGCGGACCCCAGTTTGGGCTTCGGCGCTTTGACACGACATGGAATCGAAGATCTCATTCCTGGTTTCGTGTCCTGGGCCATCTCTAGACAAGGAGGACCAGCTCTGACAGTCAATTTGTGGGCCATCGCGCTTCTGTTTCTGCGTCTGCTTCTGTTGCAGCCCAGGCGTCATGTCAACGTACGCAAGACGGCCTTCTATGGTCACCACTAGCCTTTATTACAACTAGTAAGCCACAGGCACTTACCAGAAGCTTTCGAGTTGACCCATTGCTGACCCGGCGAAAACTCGTACGTTCGCTTATGGCGAGGCGCTGGTCGAAATCGAAACGTCGATGTAGTCGGCTCACACCTCGCTTTTACTTTGCAGCGTATCACAGGGGCTTGCACCGTCACCTTTTGAGTCAATTCAGAATGGTTGGATATCGCATTTGCCGTTGAGCCGTTGCTCTCACATCAAAGGTGGTGGTCTAGGTAGTTGTCGTCAATTAGGGCTCATTTATGGGACTTTCCAGCAGACATACCTCGGCATCGAAGACAGGATTTTGGCGGGCGGCACGGAGAAAAGTTCATGGTAGGAGGACCTCTACGCCGTTAAGCAATCAAAGATTGAGGGAGATGGGGAACTCGTATCGAGGTTGAAGTCACGGTCGGCGTTGCTCTTCGCGGGAGACGCGTGGGGCTGCTGCCTGCCTGCCTGAGGCACCATATTTTTGCACGTGACTATGTAATCGTCGCGTGGCCTGCAAGATCAGGCATCATTTCTGTACTGCTGACACGTTTCCATTCCAGCTTCATGGGTTATAGCTTGACACGGATCACGTCTAATGGTCTGTACATGAGCTCCATAGGTATGAGAAAGAGAGAAAAGCCAAGATAAGCGAGTGCTTCCATTGAATATCCTACTGCGTGGAATTCTATGACCATTCGCCTGACCCCAGCCACTTGTGCTCATTTGATCATCGATACCAATGTCTGCCAACGGTGCATGTCCTCAGTTTATTATCAGCCTCAAGATGCCTATTGATTGTCTATCTGGCCAACAAATGGGTACAGAAACCAGCACTCGAGCTTAATCATCAAGCCTCGATAGTCTTGGTCGCTTTCAAGATTCTCGTTGCGTTTCTAAGGCGCAGTAACCAGTCCTCGATAGACCAGACTGCTCACATTCCGCGCTTCAAAACCTGCAGTATGAATAACACTGGTGTTTCTGTGGTCGCGAATTTTGACAAGCTCTATAAGAGCTAGTTGTTAGCCAACAAGTCTAAGTGCACGGGCATAAGTCCCTGTATTACGGATCCAGCACCCAGGGTTATTGGGGCAGCATGGCACAGACCTTTACTGCTGTTTAGAGGCATCGCAGAGCCACCGATCAGCAAAAGAGCTGTCAGAGCAATAATATCTCGGAAATACATCGTGATAGAGCTCGGAATTTTCTTGAACTAACGTTGGAGGAGGACTTGACAACTGAGGTAGGACTGAGTGTGTGGGGATTGCTTCAAGAGATATCAGCAGTGTTGACCGAAAACGAGATATAAATACATAAGCCTTCAGAGATCACGCCATCACTGAGATGTAGAGCAGGATATGTACTTGTAACTCTCTGGCCTAGAATTATACGACGACTACGCATGCACCTGAAAAAGGCTGGGTAATACCATGGCACACGCGGATGATCTATGTCTAGGTGAGTAAACAGTCTCTCATCTCGTAAAGAGCCTGATCTAGCGAGCCATGGAATTTGCCAACGGAAAGTTTTTTGGGTTTTGTACTTTGGACCGCGTGACGACATGATGCCTTTTAGCGCGGGTCTTTTTCTCATACTGCGGTCATCACGACCCGAGTTCTCATAGCACCAAAACAAGAAGCGCCGAGGTTCAGAAAAGTAGGGCTCTGTTATAGGAATTGTTGCGTTGACGATGGAAAAAAACCGATCGGACTCGTTGATATCCATTTCGACATAGAGGCAAGATGAGCTCGAAGGAGGTCCCCAGATATTCTCGCCTGGACCAGGATGACGAAGCGAATTCGAGCTCTGTTTCTTGTGGTATCGAGTGGCACGCAGGCTCTGGGTTCACATATCAAAGGCAGTCTCTTTAACGCAACGGGAGAGCGCTGTGAATACATTCATCTTTGGTGTTCTTCAACTTAGCGGCGGCAATCTTTCTGTTCTCGCCTAGCAGCAGCTGATGCTCACATTGCTGATCCCGAATGACCACATCGCCCGGGAGGCTACGGTTCTGGACGATATTGATAGCGTAGCATTGGGGGCACCATCACCAGAGACAGATGCAGCGTGGGAGGAAATAATCCAATGAAAGTCCTTCATCACCCCTATCTCGATGAGAGAAAGGCCTCAGCTAGAATAGATCAATAATAGGCGAAGATGATGGTGACGGATACCCGTTGAAAGCATTGAAGTACAGTATCCACATGCAATGGAGTCACGAGTAAGCCCAGGGAGCTGCTGGCGCAACTGACGGGGGCTGACGAGGGAGAAAGGCAGGCAATACCCTCCGGACTGGATTGAAACCGAAACCAGTATCTCAGTTGAGCCATTCTGACCGGGGCTAATTGTATATTCTACTCCTGCTAAATGCATGTCTGAATGGCATGGGAAGAGAAACCGTCGTACAAACAGCAACTACTATGCAGGATGGGCGGATGCAGATGGCGTTGAGAGCGCTACCAAAGTTTGCAGGAGGTAATTGAGTGGATTACCATGAGGACTGGGAGAATGGAGAGATGATGATATGTTCACTTTGATGTTCCCAGGAGCGAGAAAGACATAATGGACAAGTTGGGGAAAAGGATTCCTCCACTGTGTTTGTATATGCAACGAGATTGTCCACGCAACGAGTGACTCGCGTAACGCCAGCAGCCACAGTCATTCACTCTCAGCACCAGCAATTTCCTTCCTTCTTTCCACCTCTTTTACCTTTCACTTGCCTATCGCCTGTCCTCGCCTCTCCCAGTGTTCCATCACCCAAAGCTCATAACTGATCACTATCAACTCAAAACCTCATCTGACATTGACAACAAACCTATCAACTGTCTCTCAGAATGCCTATAAACTGGAATTCTGAAACTGATGCAAAGGTCCATTCTCTCATCTACTTCCATTCTAGAGCTTTAACTGATTTAGAATCCGATACAATACAGCTCTTTCTTGGAGTCTTGGCTCAGCTCAAGGGTCTCAAGATGAAACTTGATTACGAGGCTTTGGCCGCCTACATGGGCCCTGGTATGTACTACTCTTCCTGTCGCTGGAATATCGAAACGGCTAATCTAGACAGACTGCACTCCGTGCGCAATCGGAAACCGCATCGTTCGCCTTCGTCACAAAGCTGAATCCGTCGATCTATCCACCACCCCAAAGACCACTCCGAGCTCGACTCCTCGCAAGCGCAAGGCTGCCTCAACCCCTAAGACCCCTACCAAGAAGAATACGGACAAGGGCAAAGACAAGGCGGTTGAGGAATATGATAGCGAGACTGAGATGGAGGAAAAGCCCTTGAAGATCTAAATCAAAGATGAGGCTGAGGAGGTTTGATTTTATCTCACGCGCTTTTGCAGTTTAGTTTTTGGGACCTTGTTTCCTCTGTTTTCCCAATCTTGTCGTTGCATTTACTTTGGAGGCAACCCAGGGACTCGTGGAAGCGTGGTACTTCCCAAACCGAATGGCAGATCGGTGCTGAGTAACATTCGATGCCGGAGATCTTGATGCAGGTGAAAAAGACATGAACTTGGCCTTAAAGATCATGGGATCGTAGTATGTAGTTGTTCAGGTTATGCAGCTCACCGGTTGGCATAGGAACCACTAGAGTGCAAGTGCTGACATCTATGTACGGAGTAACTAGTGTATCTACAGACGGACATTTCTTTCCAGCATGGACCGGTGATCCTGACATCCGGGATCTGCTTCGATCGGGGTTCTCGACAACGCAATGCATTGTTCCCATCGCGCAATCGCAAATCATGTGGGCTGCTTGTTCCTTCGAGTGGGGGCTCCCAAGCATTGGCTTCACGTCGGCACGGCGTAGCGCTAACTATAAGAACGAGGCAAAGATGGCACCGACTGCAGGGTCGGTACCTACTTGCCGAATGCTCCCTCGTGCTATCGTGATGACTGGTCCTGGTGAAGTCAAGAAAATTGCCATTGTCGGCACCGGTCCTGCGGGCGCAATTGTGGTAGATGTCTTTGCCCAAGAGAGGGCCTTTGATGTCATTCGCGTGTTTGAGCGCAGAGAAAAACCTCGTGGCTGTTGGTAAGAGTGCGATCCGTCTTCTCCCCAGCAATATGAACTGACGACGAGTGAACCTATGATCTACGACGATGAAAAACCTCCTCCTTTGACCGACTTTGATTCCCGGGCAGCCCGCACAGCAGGCCGGCCTCTGGATGTCCCAGATGCGCTCCCCCGATCAGTTCCTCAATCCTCCCAGCATCGGTTCACCGAGACTCCACTTTATCCAATCCTCAAAGCCAACATCGATGCCTGAATTATGTCCTTCTCGTAGGAGCCCATTCCTACCGTTCGCAGCGATGCATCGATCAAATTGCATGGGCCCGACGCGCCTTTCCGACACCATACCGTGATTCAAAAGTATATCGCAGCTCTTCTGGATCGCAACGGATATCAACAATGGGTGGAGTATAATACAACTGTGGAACGCGCTGAGAAGCGGGATAGAGGCTGGATAATAACATTGAGAAGGAGTGCTCAAGAGACAAGCGAAGATTACTGGCGATAAGAGGAATTCGACGCCCTGGTAGTGGCATCAGGTCACTACAGTGTTCCATATGTCCCGGATATCCCTGGGTTAAAAGTGTTTGCGACGCGGTACCCTGGCAGCGTGGAGCATACAAAGGGATATCAACACCCCGAGAAGTACCGCGACAAGGTTGGATGCTGTCACCTTTGGTATAAATGGCGGGCTGACCATTCCAGAGAGTCATAACGATAGGAGCCTCGGTATCCGCGGCGGATGCAGCTTTCAGCCTGGCCGGTATTGCGCAAACGCCGGTCCACGCCGTCGTGCGCGGTAAGTATAACGGCTATTTTGGAGACGAAGCATCCAAGCACCCGAGAATTCAACGCCATTCCCCTATTGAGAAGGTATTTAGTGAAGATGGCCAGCGGACCGTTCTCTTCGCAGATGGAACGTCCGTTCCTAATGTCGACCATATCATATTGGGCATAGGGTACTCGTGGCCCCTATCGTTCCTACCGCAAATTCCCCTGAGGAACAACCGCGTCCCGGATCTATATCTCCACATTTTTCATCAGCAGCATCCCACATTGGTGTTCGTCGGAGCGGTATGGCTAACCTTTTGAATTGAGCTTTCTAGGGGAAAGTTAATTGATTGTGCAGGTTGCAGCTGGCTTCACATTCAAGGTCTTTGAATGGCAGTCCGTGCTGGCCGCTCGAGTATTAGCCGGTCGGGCTGCGCTGCCCGGGTTAGAAGAGCAGCATAAATGGGAAAAGGATCGGATTCGGAAGACGGTCGACGGCGTGCCATTCACACTAGTTAGCCCAGACTTCGAGGAAGACTTCGAAACGCTTCGGAGGATGGCAGGAACGCCAGCTTCAGGCCAGCCCGGGAGACGGCTCCCACTGTTTGATCGTAGATGGGTCGAAACGTTTGCCGCCAGTCATCAGCGTAGAATTGACATGTGAAAGAGGGTAAGCGAGGTGGCTCAAGAAGAACTCGGTCGTGCAAAGAAGGACAATATGCAAGCGAAGCTATAGCTTTCATTGGCGCTCGCGTGGCATCTGAAGGCTTGATGGATCCCGCGCGCAATTGATATGAAAGAATGACTGCTTACCCTAGTATTGGGTACACTGTATAGGCTTCTATCACGCCATCTAGCCATGGTGTTGTGAAATCCTTGCGAGAATTCTTTCAAATCCCGGGCTCATTCCTGGGTATAGTTAGCTGGCGTACTTTTATCCAGCTGGAAACCTGATTTCACCAGTGACTTTCAATTTGGGAGTTCTACATTCTTTCTCTTTCATGCAACAGATTAGTGTTATATTCAGAGCCGAGTGCTGTTTTGTCTGTTGAAATGTCGACAATTGAATCAAAAAGCGATCTGGAATATCGGGATGGCTCAAGGTCTCCCACCAACACATGGACTAATACGGATGTGCGTCATGCTCGACGCAAGTAAGTTCCCCTTCTGACATAGCTTTCTGGATTCCCTTGGCTCTGACACGCTTAGAATTGATCTCTCTGTCCTGCCATTGCTTTTCTTAGGCATGACCGTATTCCAGCTGGATCGCATGAACGTTGCTAGCGCCCTAACTGGAGGATTTGGCGAGGATATCAAGGTGAACCAGAACACCATCAATCTCGGAAATCAGTTAATGTTCCTGGGCATCATTGTGCTGGAGATTCCCTCCAATGTCCTACTGCAGCGAGTAAGCCCAGCCCACACTCTCACGTTCAAGGGCGACGATGGACTCGGAACCAATTAACATGATCTAGATTGGCCCTGAGAAATGGATGCCCGTTCAGGTGCTGGCATTTGGGATCATCGCCATCTTTCAGGTATTTCTCAAGAACAAAACTGGTTTCTTGGTCATTCGTGCCCTTCTCGGTCTCGCGGAAGCTGGCTATATCCCTGGATCGGTCTACACTCTCTCGACCTGGTACATCGGTCCGGAATTGGCGAAGAGAGTGGCCATTCTATTCTTTGGGATGTTTGGTGGGAATGCGATCTCCCCATTATTGGGAGCCGGCATTCTTAGACTCGATGGAAGGCATGGTCTGAAGGGCTGGCAATGGATCTTTTTAGGTACACTCTGTAAATTTCACTATTGAGAGACACACTAACCATTCGACAGTTGAGGGCTTGATGACTATTGGATCCGCAATTCTCTTGATCGTATTCCTCCCACGCAGTCCCGATAGACCAAAGCCTGTCTTCATCAGACGCGGTCTCATCGCCTTCTCGGAGCAGGACAAGGAGGTTCTCACAGCGAGGATGCCCAAGAATGCAGGGACTCGGCGAAAAACCCTCCCCCCGTCTCTCATCCTCAAGACGCTACTCAACTACCGGCGCTGGCCACACTTTATATCCACTGCTTGCGTCTTCTCAACATGGAGCCCACTCACAACCTATACTCCGTCGATCATGATGTATTCTTTCCCAGTCCTTTTCGCCAGATTATCCAGACTATCCAAACTAACATTGGATGCCAACAAGGGCTCTAGGCTTCAGCCGTATCCAAGCGAATGCTCTCAGTGCCGTCGGCGCATTCATGACGCTGCCTCTTGTCTTCTTCTTCGCTTGGCTCAGCGACAAGACCGCCAGACGGGGGATCGTTGTCATCACGGCGATATCGTGCTATCTGATCGTATTGATTGTCGCACGATCTGCTCTCCCCTCTGTCGGCAAATGGAATCAATTTGGCTTATGGACGGTGATTAATGCATTTGCGGTAGGGTACCACCCTATTCATAATACCTGGGTGCAGGTCAATTGTCCGGATGCTGGGGAGAGGAGTGTGTCGATCGCGTGAGTTACGTCTGGCCCCCTTGACAAAAGAATGCTTGTTGACAGTATGCTAACATGGTTTCTGTTAGCATGTGTGAGTCATTCCTGTCCAGGTAAATTGTGTTAATCAGGGCAATGGCTAATATTGAAAGGTAGGGGTGATGAGCGCTATTGCCGGGCTTATGGCTGGAACGCAGATCTTTCGTGCTGATGATGCCCCAAAGTGAGGATCGTCTGTCTCTCTCTTGAAATGCTGGTAGCTAACAAGAACGATCGCGATATAGCTATGTCCGAGGTCTTAGTATTATGATCGCGCTTGTTGCATCGGGACTCTTGCTGGCTTTAGCGCAGGAAGTGACCTATCTATTCCTCAACAGTCGCGCAAGAAAACAGGGTAAAGAGGTGATTTACAAGCCTTGAAGTTGAATCATGCTAGAGAAACTTGCTTCTCCAGTTTCACCAGAATTCACATATAAAAGATCTTCCTTGCGAAGAAATCAAAGAAGAGAAAAGGCACAGGAACGGCGGAGATGGAATATGAAGAAGGATAATGGGCAAGATGATCGGAAAATCGGAAAAAGAGGCATGTGAATCAGGCGCGACGGTCGAGAAGATGACGCCGAAGACAAACGAAGACGATCACCGTCGGTTCTTCCACGGGCCTCGAGTCGTGATGGTCGGCCCCAGAAGCGCATCGAAGAGCCGAATTTGGGCCCCGGCTGCCACAAAATAGCTCAGTAACACTGATTGCGCATCAGATACCAAGTCGGCACGGGGAGGAATACGAGGACTGGAATGAAACGACGCGCTTGGACTAGGGCAATTCTTGCCATTCTCTCAGGATTGAATGTAGATATTCCCCTTCCACGAGGAGCTCCAGTTGGTCGTATAGTCTAATCAAGGGGACAGCTTGGGCAAATAACCATGTCATTGCAAACACTCCTCTGCGTCCTACTACTTCTACTGCTACTCAGCACCAGCACAAGTGGCAGACGGGGCGGAAGTGATGACATACGACGGCTCCTATCTCTACGGCGAGGCTACGATGAGCCTCGTGTTTCGCGGAAACTCACAATGTCATATCGACAAAGCGGTGCGCCTTCTGGGCTACGCCTGGTTAGTGCAGAGACACCCTACCCCGAAGGCCCGACAAACCCGTTCATAGTTGCGCGCAACGCATGGGAATCCAACGAGCCAATCGAGAGGATCGGTCGGTCCAACGTGAAGATCGACATGGGCGACGGGTTATGTCCCGCTTCTCCCGAATTGGTGAAGCTTTCCACGACTACAGGCTGGACAGATTGGGATGCATGCAAGCGTCGCGTTGCGGACATCATGGTGATGCATGTATCGGCGGACGAAGCTCGGGGGCAGGTGAGCTTCAATGCAAGTGCAACCAACGACTACGGTGACCTGTCGAGCTTTTCTCCGAGAGGGATTCGATTGCCTGGAAATAGCTGCGATTCCCATGGGACTTGTCGATCGGGTGGCCTCAATCGCTGGTGAAGAACGGCTCAGTGAACAACGATAGCCCAAAGTTGACAATCGAGGGCGCCAGCTGGGGGTATACAAACTATTTCAACTACGTCAGTCAGGGCACGTTCAACGTAACGCTCAACGTGACTTTTAACGGAACCTTCGACGGCGTCAATTCAACCAGGGCCCTCCAGATCCAGCCGAGGAACGCGACTCTCGCCCGGGCCTCGAACTGAGGATTCGATGTTCGGACATTCAACCGGAGCTGGGGAGTATTTTGGGCTGGCCTCTCCATTTTAATGATCTTATCTTGATTATAGAGCCTTTCGCTGCAGATCTACCGTTACCTTTTTTCCCTGCACGGCACTCCGCCGACATAGTTCAATCAGATGCATCACCAAAGCTGCATCCCTGGGCTGCACGGCGAGCTCGGCGCCACGTGTAATGGCTTCATGCACATTCTGATAGAAATGATGATATCCCCCCTTTTCTGTCTCCCACTCCGAAGTACTCACACCCGCGGGCTGGACTACTTGCAGCAGACCTGTACCACGTTAGCAATGTCGAGCTATGCCGAGGGAACATCAGACTCCTCCCCGGATGGAATATGTTCTTACCACGGTTCTCCGGTCTCTCGACGCCGTAGTCCTCATTCCCCGGGAGAATCCCTGCTTGCAGCTGTTCTTCCTGATAGTCGAGCCCATATTTGATCCAGCGACCCTGTGTTCCGAGAATCTCAAAACGTTTCTGTCGATCACTAACCGAGTATTGGGTAGCGTGCAACTCAACTGATGCAAGATAAGCCTCTGGAATCACGGATGTGTCAGGAAGACGGCTCACCGGTCAATCCTGCTTTGTATTGAAGAATGATCATGAAGGCATCGTCCATGAAAGCTTCCTCCTGAACACCTTTGCCACTCGCCTCGTCCAGCAACACGGCCGTCACACTCGCCGGAATCCCAAAGAGCGTCACTGCCTGATCGATTAAGTGGCTTCCCAGATCAAACAACATGCCAGCCCCTGGGACACCGGGCGTCAGTCTCCATCCCTTGGCCTCGGTCGCTGTGCGGGAGTTTGGAGAACAATCAAAATGGGATCGGAAGCGCACGATGCGCCCCAGCGGCCGCTGGGCGCTGTTAAGGAGGCTACGCGCAGTCAGAAAGTCGGAGTCCCATCGTCTATCTATGCGAGGTGTTAGTGTTGATGCCGAGGAATCTGAAGGAAACAGGATCAATCACTGTGGTAGACGGCAAGCTGTTTGTTCTTCTTCGCCGCAAGGTCGACCAGCTCTATGGCTTCTGCATAACTAACCGTGAACGGCTTTTCCACGATCACTATATTCTATTAGTCCCACGTGGTTGCACTCTTGGGCGAGAGGGAATTTGCACCGTGTTTTCCCCTCTCCAAAGCGTCACGGCTCAAGGGGAAATGGGTGTCGTTGGTGGATGTGATCACCAGGACATCGACCACTTCATCCTGAATCGCATCGTAGGCATCTCGGTACGCCCGAATGCCAGGGAAGTCCTTCTCCGGATTATCGTCGCTTCGAGGGGTCCGTTGTACGATGGCATGGAGGCGAAAGCCTGGGTTGTGGCGGATGAAGGGAAGATGAAAGGTTTTAGCAGAGAACCCGTATCCTACGACGGCAACGTTCAAAAGAGGCATGATTTTTGAGTTGCACCGGTGATTCCTGTGTCATCGATCTTGGGGTTCTGTTTAAGTCTCATATCTATGGCGACTCGGAACCCGGTTCCCGGCAGATCGGCTATAGGTAAAGCATGGCGCTTTCATGACATTTGCTGGGCTCAACAGTAAAACGTCCCTTGCGAGTGTGACACTACATGAATTATGTATGTACTATTCTACCTCTGTGCACTGACCCCGGCTATAAGCAGAATTCCCTAAAAGCAACCCAGTGACAATACCAACTCCGTCGCCTCCCTAGCCAATCTAGACTTATAAGATTATCATACAGTTCCATCATGCCACGCAATACCCTGAGATGCTTATATTCGATCGTCGACCGTCCACCTGGGTCCCATTCGGCTGGGCATATCGGCTTCCTCACTCTGCACGGTCACCTCCGTCGTCTGCATAATGTGCGGCGGAAACGACGGTCCACTGGCTTTTGTCAGATTTTCCTCGCTCGATCCTGATGCTCGGTCGGCCACCGATGCAATCTGGACAGCATATTTCTGGTCCTCTCGGTCCGGTCGGCTGCGTGACATTGAGTGCATCGCGTAGCCTGAGGCCTGGTTGCGATATCCGTAGCCGTGGGTAGTGCGTTTTCCGGTGCGGTGGCCGCTGGTCAGGCTCATGGTGCTACCGATGAAGGATTTCACGAGAGGCTTTATTGTAGGGAAGGAGGCGGCGATGATCCCGACGGCGAGCTCGACACTTGGGTTTATGTTAGAGACACGGAATATGAGGGTAGGTAACCGAAGAGGAGACATACAAGTTCCAAATGAGATACTGACTCTCACTGCGATACCAAGATTTAGTGAGATCCCTCAAGTTGAATGTGAGAGTCAATTAGACGTACCGGTAGGATTCAGCGTCACCGAACACTCGACTTTGAAGGACTGTTTTGACAATTCCCGCGGCACAGGCGCTGGAGGATTGTTAGTCAAGGGAGGGGTCATAACAGGAGCATCGCATACAAATATCCCAGACTCAAAATACCCATAAGCGACAGCTTTGTTCGTTTGTTGACTTGAATCTGCGCGAACATGAACACCGGCAGTGTGGCGAATATAAAGTCGGTGATGATGTTGATGGCTGAACAGTCAGTCTCTGGAAGAAGCATACAATAGAAACGGAGCATACCGCTGTTGAACTGTCCAATGCGCAGGTACGTATCGATCGAGTAACACTTTCCCGTCTTCTTCAGCTCGACGTCCCATGCGGCCTCAACGGGCCAGCATTGGAAGATCAGTGCCAGAATACAGGCAATGGTGAACAAAGCCAAGAAGACTATCAGGTCAGTTGGGAGAAGAGCAAGCGCGAAGGAGATCACTTACTCAAAGTGCCGATGATGAACCACTTCAGGATTTTGTTCTGCGAAGTGAACCGCAGCAAGAAGAACCCGATCGAGATCTTCACTAAACTGATGCCCAGCACGATCACGATGGCGTGGTAGAACATGTACTCGTCCAGCTTCTCCGAATCAGCCGCACTGATATCCTCGGACCAGCTACCGACGCCATGATGAGACTCCCCAATGAAACAGCCCAGTAGACCGAATGCGCAGGCCTTTTTCGTGGAATTAGGGATTGTACACATCGACCAGATTGCGAGCAGGGATACGTATGAACTCACCAAGGATGCAATCATGAACCCATCCTCCAGGTGGAATTTGCGCAGGATGAACAGGCGCACGTAGCAACGCAGGAAGACCAACAATGCCGACAGGCCGGTCAGCGCACCCACAATGGCCAGGATATGGGGGGCTCGACTGCCCTTGGTGGGCGTCTCGCGCGCCGCAAGGGCAATCGTCGCCATCGTGCAAGAAATCAATCGCTCACGGCTGGATCCTGCTTGGGAGGTCGGGTTTATTGTGATATATCATGCCACCTTTCTGCAGAAGAAAATAAAAGGTTCCATGAAGGAAGCGACAGAGGAAACTAACTACGCCATGGCTCAACAATAATATTGTGTTTAGCATGAACTCAATACGAGGGAGGTCTAAGGGGGGGAGGGCAACTCCGTAAACACTGCTGCGACTGACTACTCAGGCGAAATAAACACGGAGTTCTCCCAGGTTCCTTACTCCGGTGGGCGTGCGATATCCGGAAAAAGATTTGAATTACTCGTGGGCGCATCCATGGTGCCGTCTCGGCGAACAAGGATTGGATCTGGCCCGCAGGATTCTTAGCAGCGAGGCATGGAAGGTTATTGGGAATGAGCAGTGATCCAGAAAGGTCCGCCACGAGACCTAACACGGCCGAAATGCCGTCACGATAATATTAGAGGCTACTGCGTACAGGGATGCTTGCGTGCTATCCACGTCTGAAACCCAGCCTAGCAGGGGTCAGATCCCATTCTTATTGTCGGCTTTGCCTGTGCCGGCAGGTAAGCACTTACATTGTGTACTCCGTACTCGGGTGTACGGATTCCTCGGCAGGACAAGGAAATGAAGGCTGGTCTCTTAATCTAGGCCTGCATCCGTAGCAGGCGCCATTGCAAGAGCCAAGAGCGGGACCGATGGCTTTGATATTGCAAAATCATTCACTAATCTCGGTGGGCAATCAAGGCCAATCACCCGGCTCGCTGAACAGGCCACCGACTGTCCCCGACCTCGTCCAGCGGGGGCAAGTCCAGACTCGCAGTCTGGGTCTGGAGCCTGACATGACCACGAGAATCACGGCGGGCTATCGGACATCACCGTGCGACTCCGTACAAACAACCTTTGCTGGAAGGTTGCGGCCCAGGGTGGACTCGGAAGGCGAAGGCGGCCCTGGTACGGAGTAGGAGTCTGTAGGAGGTCCCACCCCCTGTTCCGCGGCCAATAATGCGCTATCCGCCGCTGGAGGCAGCCACTGGCGACGGGGAAGACGTGTTATAGTGGGAAATAAACATTTAGCCCCGGGCAAGCCCAACCCTAGTGGCAACAGTGGGCCCGGTCCGCGAATTGTTATTGTTGGCCGGCCAGCCCTTGGGGCCATCGGATCCGCAGACGATCCAGGGTCGAACATTAGCGTCGGTGGTGCGGTGCCCATCCGAGATTGCTTGGTGCTAAGAGGCTGGAATGGGCCGAATGGCCTAAGAGTGGAGGGCAATCCGCCCAAACTACTGGTGGGTGTTTCGGAGGAATGTTGGCAATGTAACCCTCGAGGCTGGGCATCTTTTCCCCAATCGTGCACGCGGGTGACTCTCGTGCATTTCGATATTGCGATTAATATAATATTTTTATCCAATTGATCTGGCAGCGTCGACTCCACCGGCCGAGTCATGGCTGCGTGGTTTTTCCCTCCGGCCGTGGATATCATTACTGCATCATACTCCGTAGACTGATCCATCATGTCCGTGACCAACAGGGCCCCAATTCCCGCGCTGATCGTCGGGAAGAGAAGACAGATCGTCCCCTTCCTTTGGGGAGGAAGTTCAGATCATCAGATATAAGGGGGGCTCTCCATCCTCCACCAGTTCATGTCGATTCAGATCAGGATCGCACCGCGATCCGACGGAGCGTTTTCTATAACTAGACGCATGGACACGCCGGAAGAGTCAGGCGATAGTTGCATCGCCGAGGCCCGGGGTTCTGGCACTCTCTGCTCGCCTGTCTGGGTCTATTAGGCTGCATAGTGTCGCTTGCGATAAACTAACCACCGCCGGCGTGCCACAGGATCCGAACAATCCAGAATTAGGGCTTCGCATGGAGATATTGCCGAATTCCGACCCTCGCAGTGGACGCTAGAGTGCTAGACGTCCGTAGCCCTGGCCTTCGCCTGCCGGCCTTAACGGTGCTCTCTGTCGGTTGCACCAACTCCGTAATGCTACACACCTGCAGTCCGTTTATTAACTTGGTATCTCTTAGACTCTAAATCTCCCGTTCCTCCGCCATTGGGTGGGGACTTTCGCCTCGTGCTAGCTAGAGTAGTCAGTCAGTAGTATTAGGGACTAGTTAATGTCGTTTGCTCAACGGCCAGGCCGGATCGATGGCCATTATTTTTGTAGTCGGGCCCGGAGTAGCTCTGCTCTCATAAAAGCTGACTCGAACCACTTGTTTCCATTCCCTCCCCCTTCCTCCTTTTCTTGTCTGGCGATCAGTTCCTTTTCCCGTCCCTCCCCTTGCTTTCCCTTTTTCGTCTTCCTTCCTGCAGTTGCGTTTCATCCTCGTGGAGGATCCGACCCAGTATGCGTTTCAGCGCCCTCGTCGCCTCTACGCTGGTGGCTCTCTCGCCAGCGACTGCCTCGCTCATCGACAAGTGGGACTTTCTGGCCGGCAAGGCCCTGGTTAACCAGGTGTCGTACCACTTCTCCAACCCAGAGGCCAGTCTTAGCTGCACGCCTCTGACCGCCACCGTGCGCAAGGAATGGTGAGAACTTTCCGGAAATTTCGTCTCTTCGCTCCCCCTGGCCCCGGGATTTTATGAGCCGGAGCTAATGCAGCCCTTTCTGCAGGGGTTCGTTGAGCAAGCACGAGCGTCGCAAGTACATTGAAGCGGTGCAGTGCCTCATCTCTAAGCCATCGCAGTCCGATCCTGAGTTTGCTCCGGGGGCTCGCACGCGGTTCGATGACTTCGTCGCCGTGCACATCAACCAGACCATGTACATTCACATGACGGTGGGCTCTCTTCCCCTCTCGTCGGTGTCCGGTCCCCTTGGCTAATATGGATCAGGGTAACTTCCTCACCTGGCACCGGTACTTTACCTGGGCCTACGAGCAAGCCTTGCGGGATGAATGTGGCTACAAGGGCTCGCAACCCTACTGGGCCTGGAACAAATACGCCACCGACCCGCTGAACTCGCCCATTTTCGATGGCTCCGACACCAGCATGTCGGGTGACGGCGCCTACGTGCCTCACAACGGCCCCCAGGTGCTCCAGGGTCTGACTCTGCCTCCCGCCAACGGTGGCGGCTGCGTGAAAGAGGGTCCGTTCAAAAAGTATGTCTTCCTGTCTTCGTTCGGCAATGCTCATGGACCGACGACGCTGACAATACCAGCTTCACGGTCAACCTGGGCCCCGTTCTCCCCAGTCTGAACGTCACGAAGGGCCAGAACGGAACCGGTCTAGACTACAACCCGCGCTGTCTGCGTCGCGACATCTCCAAGTACTCGGCCAACTGGACCACGACGGAGATCATCAGCGACCTGATCCTAGACCACGACAACATCTGGACCTTCCAGAACCGCCTGCAGGGCGACGCTGCTACCGGCTACGTTGGCATCCACAGTGGCGGTCACTACACCATTGGTGGTGACCCGGGTGGTGTACGTTTTTCCCTCGCCCTCGTTTCTTGCCTCCGAAATGACGAAGAAAACTGACCATCGCACAGGATCTCTACACCTCTCCCGGTGACCCTGCCTTCTACCTGCACCACTCTGCTATTGACCGTGTCTTCTGGACCTGGCAGAATTTGGACCCTCGCAACCGCACGTACGTGGTCAAGGGTCCCTCGATCCTGCCGGGCTTCGGCGACCCAACGGGCAACGACACCACGCTGGACACCGTTGTTGACATGCCCACGCTGGCGCCACCCCGGACTATTCGGGAGCTCCTGGACACGACCGGTGGACCTTTCTGCTATGTATACTTGTAGATTAGAGGGGGTTGGTTAATGTCTGGTTTAATATGTATAGTTGTATGCTCGAGGGAGCGGAGTTGTAGATAGACATTCAATATTCAACGATAATACTACACACTGTTTGTTATTATACTCGCCGAGCGGTTTAGGTCCCCAGGATTTCCACTTCTTCAATCCCGATCGAGAGAGTAACTTTCGCAAGTGGTATTACCTACGCCTCACAACCGTCCGATCAAATGATATATATTCTTGCAGGATTGATACCCAGCATCTTCCACATGTGTGAAAGTATTCAACAAAAAGTCTCACCGGCACTGAAGACATAAGATTCTTAAGCCTAATGGGTTGGTCTTTGTTGGACATGCTTCCAAGTTATCGATTATGTTACTATTTTCGTGGACTGTTGTCGCGCGCGATGGCCACCTGAACACTTGTAAGTTCAGGCACCAAACACAGGCCGCACAAGACGCTAACCCGATCGGGAGGCCCGCATAGTGCTGAGTCAGCAGTGCCAATGTGCACTGCACAAGCACTCCTTCTGTTCCTTTCTTCTGTTCATAGAAGAAAAGTACTTCTCCTCTCCGACTGACAAGGTCGCCATGTCGGAGCTGGACCGAACTGTACCATTCTACTGTGGCTCGAGTCATGTCCGGATTGGGTTGACTACGATGCAATACTCTGGTATATTGTACATGCCTGTTGCACATCACATCGCATCTTGACACCGTATCCATGCGAAAAGTTGCAGGACGCAGCCAGTGAGGAAAACCCTGTTCATCTGCCCCCGGTATTGCTACGGCCCCTGGGAAGTACCAGGCCCACGAATCGCAATTCATTCCTAGACCGGCAACTGGACGCGTCCGAGAAGTCGCGATTGCCGCCAAAACTCCACGCCGGCTCGAAATGATAGTAAACCGTGGGTACACCTGCAGTTCAGTTCGGTCAGTCTTGACGGACGCGTGGCGGACGATCCGCGGCGGTAACGAGAGCAAGGCATACACGGCGGCCATGAACAACACGCCCATGACAAAAGTCAGGAAGCTCATGTAGATGAGACCCATGAAAAACATCACGGGGATGTCGAAGACCAGAAAGATGGCAGAGAGGAAGTCGCAGATGACTCGAATCAGGGGGTGGATGCTTTTCTCTCGGACCAGAGCAGTGCCGTCAACGACGGACCAGATGACGGGGAGCAGGTACTGCGTGTCGACGCATCAGCATTTCTTCTCCAGCGTGCAGTGAGTCCCAGGGAGTTCTGCCTACCGGGAGCGTGTAAGGAGTGGCATGGTGCACGACCAGAAATATGAGGCCCAGAAAGCCCGAGGCCAGGGCGGCCAGTCGAAGCAACTGAGTCTGGCGGCGATACTCCTCCCCAAAGTCCTCGGGAAATAACCACGCCATGATATGAAGGTTGGTCTTGCCGAAACGGTGGGCATCGAATAGGAAAGGACGAGGATTAAAAGACGCCAGGCGACCGTCACTAATAATAAGTGATTGGAATGAAAACGCCTTGCGAACCGAGCGCGAGGCTGGCCCCCACCTAAAGCTTCGCCCTTGGCATTTGGCCGCAGTCAAGAGTGGCCGGGCCTTTCTTGTCTCGATGAGTCGTCCCCTGTTTCATAGCTCGCCATAGAGTTACAGGAGTCTGAGGATCTACTTCTTGGCTATCGTGGTCAACTACTTCAAAGTCCATGCCCTTTTTGCCGGTGAACGCGCCGCATCTCCAGCTCAGCCCGCACATGGCGTCGTCATCCGCGGTCGGTTGGGGATTCTTCTTGCATCTGGGATTGTCGTTCGTGTGCATCATGCGGTAGCGGATGGGGGCTATGACTCCGCTGCAGTTGGCATCGTCCTTGGGCTGGAAGGTAGTCTTGTCACCGCTCATCCTCTAGAAGGGGCCAGGACTACAATAGAATGAGACCTGTCCAGCCGCTACTAAACTGGCGAGAAGAGATCGAATCTTAACCTGCAGGACCGTCAAGATGCTAGATAGACCCTACCACTTTTGTGAATCTATTTTTTGAATTCGTTGACATGTCTCTTCAATGGACTTTTTTTCTTGTGATGTGTCCATCCCTCTGTCATGCCTTTCAAGACATCACCTCGAGCTCCAGACTCCCGACGCCGACGTCAGAGCAACCTCCATGACCGGGCCCTGGTAGACCTTTCTTGCTCGCAGAACGTAGTAGAGGACAGCCAGAATGACCACACCGACGGTTCCGACCACACTAAAGTTCATGTTCTCCTTGTTGACAGGAATCTCGGTCGGCCAGAAACTAAAGAAGACAACGATGATCATATATATGACTGCGAAAGCGTTGATCAGCACGCCCAGAATCCCCGGCACATGGAAGGGGCCCCAGACGAGCTTGGCTCCGGGCACATTCACGGTCTCATCGGCCGAGTCGTTGATTCTGGCGATGGCGTTTGTACAGCGACGGTAGAGCAGAAGAGATCCTACGGTAAGGTAGGAAAGGTAGAGGCCTGATACAGCCATGGAGAGAACGCCGTTGAGCGCGACTGCAGAGCCGATGTTGATCAGACCTAGTAGTGAGCAGACTGTCATAGTCAAGAGAATCGAGTAGGTGGGAAGGCACGTTTTGGTCGATACCTAACATATCCATGTCAGTAGGCCATTTATAGGGGTCATCAGAGTCACCAAGCACGTACCCGACTCCAAATGCGCCACCCAGGAATGCCACGATCCCGGGCGAAGGACCAGAACTGCCGCGAAGTGGCCGCCAGCATACCGATTACCGAACAGACGGCGATAATCAAGAGAATTGACGACATGCCAACGGCCCCCGAGACCGAATCCGTGGCCTGGTAGAAGATTTCCATGAACGGGAAGCCCGTGGCCGACTGTAGTGCACTCTCTACGTCCCCCATGCAGAACAACATGGCCAGCAGCATGCTGAAGCCTAGCGTGCCGTTAATGAGCACGCTTAGGAGAATGGCCCTGGGAATGACTATCGACGCGTTGCTGACTTCCTCAGCCATCTGCCATCTGTTAGTACAGTCGACATCGATGTCAGCCTAGAATACCTACATGCACAGCGGCATCACCACCGGCAAAGGAGAAAACACAGCCTGTCATGCCCACAAAGAATGATATGCCATCTGCTGGAAGGTTCCCTCCGTTGGAGAACTCTTTGAAGACTTCTCTTGCCGAATTGTGGTCGGCCATGTACGTCAAAGGGATCAGCACCCCGAAGAACCCCAGTATGTGGACGACGAGTACTAAGGTCTCCAGTCGGGGCAGAAGCTTTCCCCCGGCGAGATTGATGCCCAGAGCCAATGTCACAGCAGCCCAAAGAATCAATGTACCGTGCCATGCCTCTGGATTATATTTTCTATATGCCATGATGGCCACCCCTTGGATCTCGGTGCCGCAAAGATACGATGCTGAGGCAAAGGCTGCCTGCCAGCCGATAACAGTAAGCCATCCTAGAGCGTAGGTCCGTCAGATCTGGTGTGGGATTATGAGCATTATCAAAGCTCACCAGTCATGTAACTCAGGAATTTCATCATGTGTGCTGGGGCCAACATTGCACACCAGTGGTATTGACCACCTGACGTAGGAGCCCTAGGATGTCGTCAGCATTGGTCCAAGAAAGACATATCAAACACCCACATCGACGCCATCTCTGCAATAATCACGAAACAGCATGCTGTTCCAACCCAAACGAGAATGTAAGAGTACACTGCCCCAGCCGATCCGCCACTGTGCCGAGTTAGTGGCTGACACGATCGAATGAATTGGAAAGAACCGACTTCTGGAGAGGAATTGTGAAGGTCCTGCTCGTGTATGTTAGTCCCGTCGCTTTTGTCAATTCAGTGTGAGTTCCTACCCTAGAAGACCCTCCCATGTGGCAAGGATGGTGCAGCTGAAGCCGAGGATGGACAGAATCCCAAATGTTCGCTATCGATCATCACGCAGCCTTATCAGCAAATCACTCCGCGATGGCAGATAGGATGTCAATAATGTCACACACCTTTAATACGGGCTTCTTCCCCAGGCGAACCAGGTCGTGGTGGTCGCGATCCTTAGAGCCGAACGCCGGCACCTCGCGACTCATGGGCGGCCCTTTCAATCCATACGAGGCCATGGCAGCGACTGCGAGGAGAAACGACGTTGATCGATGGTCGCACAGAGCAGACAGTTGGATGAGCAAGGAGGTTGATCAACCCGACCGCAGAAATTCTGCGACATGGACTTAATACTTAGTGGCAGTCACGCCGTTTCGGAGAATTTTCTGTCCCAGCAACGACCGGCCGAGGGTAGCCATGCGACTAGGGAGGGCACCCTTGCAGCTCTGTCCAGATGGTTACATTTGACGCGAGAGTCCCCAGGGGAAGTCGGCACGGTGGAGAATTCCCGGCTGTTTAATCGGCGCTCTGTCTTGCAGGCCACCTGGCCTTCCTCGCCACGCTACGGAGTAGTTACCGGGAATTCCTTCGGCGTTGCCTGATCAAGCACCAAATGAGAGGCTTGGTGAGCTGGGCCCCCATGCCAAGGGCAAGGGCGAGAGGTGTCATTGGCACCTGGCTCACGAGCGAGAGTGTTATCACGTTCGTGTTGACGATCCCTCGACGCCGGCGCGCATGGGCCGGCTCACGAACCAGGATCTTCCCGTCCGCCGTCGCACTAAAAGGGGTCCGTCGTGTCTAGCGGGTGCAGGGTGAAGGACTCGATGCCCTGTCAGATCCTTGTTTCCCTCAGCGAATGCGAAGGGTGCTGGCCGGGGGGGGAGTAGGGTCTTAGGGGGCGGACATTGGGCGGCGCAGCTCTCCCGCGCCGCCATTCGAGGAGAGAGGCAAACGAAAGCCAACCAACAGACCAGAACATTCAGTCGGACACCCGCATCGCTCCCCTGTTGCTTGGCGCATGGCGTAATCAAAGAAGAAGCGCGAGAATCCTCGAAAGAGGGGGCGTGAGAGCGAGAAAGTACGCCCGAGGCTGACGGTCAATATGTATAGTCAGGGGAATCTGGGCAGCTCTGCAGACGGCAACATGTCTCCGGATGCTGCTGCAGCGACTCAAAGTTGCCCTTCATGGGACGATTTGCAGATGGAAGCAGAAATCCGACGGTGAGCGCCTCGACGTGGGCGCTTCTGACGGCGGCGATTCTCAGCGTCTTGTCGCGGCTGATCAGCAAATATCGGACCGTCCATCGGTTCACCACCGATGACTACCTGATAATCGTCTCGGTGGTATGGGTCTCTCTGCTTGATTCCTAAAAATCCTCCCGAAGTTCCATTAATGACCGGTTCAGATCTTCTGCTCCGCCCAGTCAGTCGCGGTCTCCATGGCCGTGGCGAATGGATATGGAGACCGCTTCAATCAGATCTCCGAGGAGCGATTTGATGCCGTTATGAAGGTTTGTCGCTTTTTGTGTCTTTCAATCACTCTTCAGGTCGAGACTGACTCTCATGGACGACCGTAAATCCATAGGCTCAATACTCGGCGACGATTCTCTACATCGCTGGTCTATACACATCAAAGCTATCACTCTGTCTTTTCATCCGAAATCTTTCGCCAAAGCCGCGCGATCACCTGTTTTCGAATACCGTTCAGATATCAACAGCGGCGTGGGCGCTCACTGCGCTATTTGCGACGGCCTTTCAATGTCAGCCTCGTCGGACATGGGATTACCGACAGGGGAATTGCATCAACATGGTAGGTTGCTGTGAAGAGGACGAGAGCATATACTGATAACTGCGCTATTCGGCCAGGTCGCATGGCACTATTTCTTCTGCGGTTCAAATTTAGTCACCGATTTGTCTATCATCCTCCAGGCTTTGTTTCTGGTAGTGCGACTCCACGCGCCCGTTAAAAAGCGGTTTTTGTTCGCCAGTATCTTCCTGACTCGCGTACTGTATGGTGTCGTCCGTCGCTTGAAGACTATTAGACAGACCTCGTTCTGACGACGAAAATTGCTTCTAGGGTGATCGGTGCCATCATCGCTGAGTTGGTTCTCATTCAAGACCTCACAGCGCTACCTGACCCGACTTACGATTACTGCTTCAACACCGTCGCTATGGAGGTTGTTCAATGCATGAGCATTATGACTGCCTGTTGGGGACAGTTGAAACCCTTCCTCAACCAGATGAAATCTAACGGCATGCGCATTCCCGGTGCCGAATATCAACCCGCCTACGGCAAATACTCGAATTCACGCTCGCAACGGACCGAACACACGACAGGATCTGGCGACGCTCACGATCTGGTTCCCATTCCTCCCGGACAGGGGAATCAGACGACCATTTCTACCTCGCCCGCATGGGACGCGGCCAGTCAGTCAAGTCAGGTTGGAATGATTCGAGAAACAAGAACCTGGGTGGTGACCGATTCGCGACGGAGTGATAGCTTATGAGCTCTAGGAGCGCATACTGTGATGCTGATACTAGTGGGACTCTTGATTCTTAGGGGATGTAACCCTGGAATTCACACTGTCATCGATCCAAGTAAATCGTTCGATTCTGCAGACTATATACGGCAGGGAATGGGCCGTGGGCTAGATAAGTGCTTGACTGCCAGTTACCATGTGAATGCTAGGTCGGCTTCACCCAGATTCCGGCAAAGCGAGGCTCATTTCCATCATTGTAGGCAGTGAAGGTCCGCAGGACGTAGCCCTGGTTCTTGTACTTGTCGAACTCTGATTGGAAGGTCGGTGAATCCAGTGCGTGGCGAGCTACCCACGGACCCGAGGCATACTTGTCGAAAATGGCCGAGTAATATACTTCTCCATCGACCTGATAGCCAGAGATATGAACCAGCCTGTACCCATTCTGCACGTACTCGTCCCAGGTAGACTGATATTCCGACGCTGTCAGGTTTCCCCTCGACACCCACTCTGTCTTGCCGCCTCCCTGCTCCCATACCGCAGCATATCGAGCCTCGTGCTCTGCCTCGTATCCGCTCACATGCGTCATTCTATATCCTGCTTCGACGTACTCATCGAAGTATGCTTGCATCCACTCGGTAGACATGCCATGTCTCGAGGCCCAGGGTCCAACGGGAGACTTGTCCCAGATTGCAGCGTAGTAATCTTTCCCCTTCACGTTATACCCATTGACCTGAACGACATGGTACCCCTGATCGAGGTAATTCGTGAACTTTTGGTGGTATTGCTCAGAGGTCATGCCTGAATGCGACCTCCAGGCGGTGGTGGGTCTTTTCTCAAAAATCACGGCAAAGGCAGGCTCGTTGTTCTTTTCATATCCGTCGATAGAGTTGAGTCGGTAACCTTGATCGACCATTTCGTCGAACTTTGCCTGGTAGGCCTCGGTAGATAGACCGTAGTAGGCGCGCCATGAGCTGGCGTGAACGCACACGGCGGACGCCAAGGTGAGAGCCCACCATAAATTCATGATGATTTTGCGGTCGAGGGGGAGAATATCACAACTTAGAGAGGTAAGGATCGTTGCAGGTTTACATACGGACCTCAGCTCGGCGAGGTGGTATTTATTCTGGGCGCGCTGCATAGATCGTGTCTGACCGAAATGGCGGTATCCCGCGAACACGAGAGGCTATTTTTATTTCTCGTATACCCCAAAAAGGCCAACCCTCTCAGTGGTCATGCAAGAATCATGATCGACAAGCGGCTCGTATTGCGAAATGTAGGGGCGAAAACCTACTCATTGCACTTGTATGCCGAATGCAAATCAAGATCAGATCTTGGCTTCAGGAACACTCGATCCGCCAAGGAATGAACGGCGGCTCGTGAATTAATGCCGAATTTGGTGATCACTAGGATTCAAGTGGACCCGGGCTAAAAATAACCACCTTCATAGTTGTTACTATACACTTCTGTCTTGGTTGGCTCGGTGGATGGCATTGATGCCTCGGGCGGTCGTAGGCGAGAAAGAAGAATAGATACCCGACGGTCCCAGAGACCAAGGGGACATGTATCACGCCGTGAGATGCATTTTCCATTCCCTGGATAGATGTCTGACAGAATCCATCGCCGGCAATATCACCGGTTATTATCACACGTATAATGCCAAACTCGCACTCCCGGAAAGCGTTTTCCAGGCGGGGCTGGAAATCCACTTGAACCCCTCCAATTGGTGTTTAAAAAGTCGCAATACGAGTGAACCGAAAGGATTTTCACATCGCGGAAGAGGCTGAGTGAGCCGGGAGTGCCGATCCCATGTCTGAACAGAAACCAAGCGGTGGCTGCATTGTGACTTCCCCAGGATGATCGACGGCCATAATACGAACCCTGATATTCTATTCCGAGTGATGACTCTACGTTTCGACGTCCAACTCGGTATACTTCACGGTGATCTGTCTACCAAAATACGATGATTACTTGTTTAGGAATTGATTCACGACGCCAGAGGCTTCTGCTCGAGCGTTCAGGTGAGTCCGAGAATAGCAGGTCTTCGATATACATAGAAATGGGAATGTAACAATCCGAGAATGCTTAGACATTGGAAACGCCAGTAAAAACATAAATAGTGACCTCAATTCCCTCTCAGGGTCTTCATCCAACATCCATCACCGCAACTCTTTATCACTCTCACAACAATATCTCCCAGCCTGTTACCAGATTCCACCAGTATCCAGAATGAAGCTCTCTGCTATCCTCGCCACCACCATCTTTGCTCTCTCGGCCTATGGTGCGGCTGTAGATTCCGAGCATCAGACACACACTCTGCAGGCCCGTGCCTGCAACATTGACGATGTCTGCCTTGGCACTGGTGGAGGAGACCTGTGCAATGACCGTGTAAGCTACCAAAGAACCTGGTACTAAGGCACTGCTAATCTGTCTATAGTGCAAGAAGTGCAAGGGCGACAGCGGCTACTATAAGAAGGGTGAATGTGGCGGATTGGGCTGGCAGTAAGTCCCGGTTTGCGGTTTGCACATGAAGAGTGCCTGCTGACACTTTCTCTAGACGCTGCTACTGCTACTACTCCTAGGAAAGACGTCAGAACGGTCACTTTCGACATATGAAGATTGGTTGAGGGTTTGCTGCTGTTGGGAACGACACTCTTTTGTTATTCGATTTCTTCTTTGCTCGAAACTATCTGATGGTAAAATTCGCTCGTTAGATTTCAATGCAAGATATATTTTCATCAAACAAGAGAGCGAGTTATTCAATATGGTGTGACTAAGCTTGGGCATCATTAGTGTTAGAGAGAAACAAGGCACGACAGTGGCCCTTAAACACCCTTCCAGTTCCTAATTTGTATACCAATAATCGAAGGGCAGTAGAAATATACCAGCCGCTTTTCCAACCGGCGCTCACTCAATGACCACGCTTTGTTTCATGGACTTTAGGATCTCTACGCATCTTTCATCATGTCGCGCTCGTCGACTAACATTGGTTCTTAGTATAGATGGTTCCATCCCAACGTAACCATTTACACTTTTGCTCCGTAGATCTCCAGCGGAAGATATTGGAGGTGGCTCTCGTCTGCATTCCGTGATAGCCAATAATAAGTCAGGTATATGACCCGAAAATTGGCCCGAGCGACTCCGTGCACCAAGGCGATGCCGCCAGATTTGCTCTAACGTGGGAATACGAAACACACCCTCTAGAGAATTCACCTGTCTTGAAGGTAGTGTTGGTACCACGGAACGAACACCAGATAACTGATAGCTTTACAATACTCAAACCACCCTAACAAGACGATCTGGAGTATCCGGTAAGCCGGGGTTCATTCTTGTTCCTAAAACCATTGGATGCTATGTGCCAGGTTTGACAGACAAGCCACTCAATGTGGATTCCTGGATTTTTGCGACTGTTAGTCGCAGTTGGGAATCCCCTAAAACGTAGTAAAAGTCTTGACCATGGTGGGCGTATCTGGTCTTGGTCATGGGAAGCCCTCGGGGAAATAGCAGCGTATGCGACGATGATTCCGTTTGTCAAGCAGAGGCGAGGCGGACAAGTGTGCTAGTCGTCAACTGTTTTTATATTTCACTGAATAATCAAAGGTTTAGACAACGCCTTTGGTTTCGCTTCCGGTCCCGTTATAAGACGTTTAATTATAACACTAGGCATTGCTACGCAGAAGGGATCCACTGTAACCCCGGAATCTGGTCGGGACCAAGTATTCTCATCGATTCATCCCTTCTTTCTGCGATTGAACTTTGGCTCGACCGCTTGGATGCGTCAGTCACAAGACACGCCTCGTGGTTATGACTTTTCAATTTTATATTCTGCATCAAGTATCACTTATAGACGGCATACAACCCCGACCCCAACATGTTTGATTGTGATCAACATCTTGAGTACGGAGTACGGAGAAATGGGAAGAAGTTAATGATAGAGTCAGGAGTTAGTGCGTTCCTTCCCTGTGTGCTAATGCAACTAGTTGGCTGGGTAGGTAGCGGCGGGCCGCGGAATAGAAAGCAATTAATCTAGCACACCAATTTATTTAGCGTATTTGATCAATGCTCCGTAAATATGCGGATGACCGGAGCCCTCCAACAGCTGGGCCAGTTTGTCCTTGACAGCGACTAGTTGCGTCCAGGGAACTTCATTCATTGTTGGCATCAACTTTGCTACATCGTAGCCGGCATGAGTGCTAGAACGCGCTAAACGTCTGGCTAACACACATCGGAAGTTTCAGCAGGCAGGCAATTCCTGATCTTCACAATTTACGGGACAGATGTGATAATTTAATTTGTAAGTTGCCGGATACCTAAGTCCGGCACAATTTCCCATTCTCCGTTGGTAAGCCATCCGCCGTCTTGATCGTCCACCGGTCACTACCCACGGCCGTAGCAGCCCAGAACACATCATAGGGATCCACCCTTCGCTTCAACTGCAATAGGCGATCATAACGGTCCCCGTAAAAGGACTGCTGGAAATTTGGTTCCATGCGATCGCTCTCGCCCAGGTACGACCCTGCTCCCGGGCTCACATCGCGCCACCGCTGCATATACTTGTGCGTAAAGCTGTGACGGACCTGTTTGATCTCGGATACCGGCGAGTCGTCGCTCCAGTTGACGCTGGACAACGCGTGCATGACAGCCTCGCGCCAGGCAGGGTTGACGGCGTTGTCTGGGTTACCGCCGCGGGCGAGAGTCGGGGCCATGTTAAAGGAGATGAAGGTGAGACCGGCCTCTGAGGAAGCGCGTATGGCGGAAAAGGTTTCGTTCAGCTTAGACTCATCTTCCCAATTGGCACGGGGGAACAGACGGGATCCTGTCGCGACATGGGTCTTTTCAACCACCTCCAGCGGGAAGGAAGCGTTCCAGGCCTCGTAGAACGTGTTAAAATACCGGGTCTTTGGGGTGAACTGGATACCTAGTTCATGAAGTCGCTTGAACCAGGGTGAGAGGAGAACCTCAGTCTCAGCCACGGTCTTGTTGGGTGCGAAGAATGGCTGCATCAAAAAGGTAAACTCCCCGTCGGATGGGAGAATAAAGAAGTATGAGTAGATTCCGGCGTCGGAATGTTCGATAAACAGGTCTAGATAGGCGCGGAATCCAGCCCAAAAGGTTTCGTGGGTAAGGTTAGCGCCGGTGGTCCAAGTGAAGGTCGACGAGGTGACTGGAGTGGTAGGGAAAGCCTTGACGGTGACAGAAGTGACGACGCCAAAAGTGCTGCCGCCGCCACCACGGAGAGCCCAGAAGAGCTCTGTGTTTTCAGCGAAGGACGCCGTCACGAATTGTCCGTCAGGCATGACCACTTGCATAGACAGCACCTGGTCTGCTGCAAGTCCATGGATGGAACTAAGGGGGGAATGACCTCCCCCCAGCACGTAGCCACCTGCTTGCCCGTTAGCAGAAATTTTTCTCCGATACCAGTAACCTTAAAAAAATTACCAGCTACTCCTACAGTCTATTCACATGATTAGCAGTTTTGTTAGATATTTCGGTATCACGCAGAAGCTTACCTGTCCTTCGCCACCCACAACCATCAGCTTGTGCTCATCGGCCGTCTTGTACAGCTCGTAGGCCTGTACACCGGCTCCCACACGAAAGGCCGCCCCAGTCCAACTTGTCCCCGGAGCGCTATACCTGGGGATATGTTCAACCCCCTTGAGGTGGTGTGTCCAGATGCTCAGCGCGCCGGCACCGCCAGACTTCCCCGAAAAATCATGGCCGGTATTCTTGACAACCAGGCGCACTCCTGTGTGGCGGGCAAAGTTAATGGCCAGCTGGATGTCCGCCACGCTGGACACGTTGACCGCGTAGGCTGGATATCCGCCCAGCGTGCAGTTGTCTGTAGGGTCCGTGGTCGGCTGACAGGTTAGACCCTGATAAACGGGCGAGAGCATCTCAATGGGGTCATTGTTGCTAGAAGTGTGGGTCAGAGATAACTTTGTTCCCTGCTGGGAGAAATTCTTACTGGAAATACGAGTCGGTCCATTGGTCTGTTAAAGACTTGCAGTCAGTCGCATCGTATCTTGGCCCATTATAACAGGATGAGGCCCGCGGCACAGAGGCAATGAGACCCCCGTCCGTCAGTTGGTCCAACAAATCCCAAGCTCGCGTTCCTGGCCAATTGTGATCGCCAGGAAAGACCTTGCAACTTGATATTCCGGTCGCGTTCTGATCCGGACGAAAGATGGCCGCCTCCGCCTCCCTCAGATGCTGCAGATCGCCTGCCTGCAGTGGGTGACTCTCGAAGTCAAAGGATGAAGCCGCAATCGCATCGACCATGAGGGCGGCCGTGATTGCCAGAGTAGGGGTCTTCATGACGGACAGGATTCCACTACTCCGTATCAGTCGGGGATCGCCGGCAAGGAACAATTGTCCTTGTTTTACCCCTCGACCAGGGTGTTGACGGGGAAGACGGGGCTTTTTAGACCAACCATCGTGGCCGGGGAGAGGCGCCGCTCACTATCAGACCATGACCGCCAGGCATTCCGTTGACCCAGGTTGGTGGAGACCGCAATCTCGAGAGTGGGAACGTGTAGGTTCGCATGGAACCAACCGGAATGCCGCTGGATCTGCCTGTAGGACGGCGGATTTGGTGGATTCACGCCATCGTGGGCCCCAAGGATTGACCCACCACGACCAGGATGCCCATCCCTGTGGCGCGGAGGTTCCAAATTCAATATGCATGGAATCAGGGAGTATGGGCGTTCAGGCTTTGCAGAAGGAAAGGGATTCTGATCACCCTTCAACCGAAGGGTTGGACGAAGACGTTGCTTCTGCTTTGCTCTCACCGTAACCATCCCTTCCCCCTTCATGAGGACACAATGTATGGCTGTGAGTTGCAATGCCTGAGACTATTCAAGACGCGGCGTATGCTATCATCCTCGTCTTCCCCATTATGAGCACGTTGGTGGTCGGCTTGCGATGCTGGGCCCGAGCCTTGACCCGGCAGTTTGGCTGGGGTAAGTTGGCCATGTTATGTTGCGGCACACCCTATGGACGAGTGCTCACGAAGCCCTAGATGACAGTCTGATTGTCGTGGCCTGGTTATTAGCTGTCGGGCAGACAGTGACAATCTGGATCTGTATGAGTCACAGCCCATCTGTTCGCTTTGTCCCTACTGACCAAAGTCAGACACCAGGCTGACCTACCAAGGATACCACATCTACGACATCCCTCCCCAGTCCATCGAGCAGAAGGTCACCGGCCAGAAATACAATCTTGCCAACCAGCTATTGTACAATCCTATCTTGGCCATTGTCAAAGCCTCGATTATCATATTCCTCTTTCGTCTGCAAGATCATCGTCCTGTCGTGCGGTGGAATCTATGGGCCTTGACCGCTGTCAACCTGGCACTGCTCATTGCAATTTTTCTGGCCGATCTATTTCAATGCACTCCGTTGCGATACGTCTTTGAAGCTCCTGCTATGGACCTAGCAGCGCAGAACGCTGCAGGAGCGGACAAGCATGGGATAAAGGACGGGCTAGCAATCACAGGAGGTAAATGCTTCAACCAAATTGCCTTCTTCCTGGGGTCAGCGGGCTTAACAATAGTCACCGATGTCTGGCTGCTCTTGATACCATGCATCATTGTTTGGCGGCTGCAAATGAGCCGGCGGAAGAAAGTGGCCATTTTGTGTGTTCTCTGCTTAGGAGTGATGTAAGTGACACTAGGAAAAATTGGTTAAGATAATATTCACTCACCATGAATAGTGTAACCGCCCTCAGTATCGCTCGCCTGGCTATCTACGCGCAGAGATTCCGGCCTGGCAACCCGGACCCAACGTATAACATCGGACATACGGTGTCTGGCGTAGAGGTCAATCTAGCGATCGTGACGGCGTCGGCGACGGCGTTGAATTCATTGTTAACGCGCTTTGCGCCGGGTGTCTGGGGATATAGCGCCCAGTATGCCGGCGCATCAAACCTAGCGAGCGAATGGCGCGGAAGATCGACAACGACGGCGAGCGGCGTGCGTCCTAGTCGACCGCGAGACATGTATCCGCTAAAGGATGGATTCCGACGGCAGAAGCAGGCGAGTGACAGTCAAGAAGAAATAATGGTGTATGATGGGCGCTCCAATATCTCTCACGTTAGCGCCACTTCATCTGGGCCACGGGCTGTTGTACAGAGCTGAGGAAAAGAAAAGAGAATGACAGAGCGCACGAGGGAAGAAGGAAGTGCACAAATAAGAACCAGAAACGCAGTGAATCCGGTGGGTATTATAACCATAATCATCCTTAGGCTTTGCATCGTGTAGGTGGTAAACGGTCCGACCCAGCCTTCATCAAGTCGACACATACAGCGAGCTCAATTGAAGGGAAAGCCACCCTCCGACTTTCCATTCATTCCACCAAGCCAGTATATCAGCCTTAGAATCTATCAGTCTAACCCGGGCTCGTATCACCACTCGTACATGTCCATTAGTTATCGATGCTGAAAATCAGGCTTGACCTGTCCCCCCCGTGTCCATTAATTCCTGTGCCGGTAGTCCCGTGTTGGCGAGTTCAGCCAGTGGACTTCCTTGGTGATCATAGCCGCCGTGGTCATGGAATCGGAGCATAATTGCGATCAGGAATATTACGTGCCAGCGACTGTCGGGCTCGTCGTTCCCACAGAGCCCAAGCAACGGCAGTCAAGGCCAGTACGCCCAGCGGCACACCCACTCCCACACCAATGGCGACGTCGTGATTCGAACTCGCTGGCTCCGGCTCCTTTGTCCTACTGTTCCAACTGGACCCATTTGCGCTGTTTCCATGCTCTGCCAAAGCGGCGACTCCGGCGATGGCGCGTCCGAAGGGCAGTTGGAACGAATCACCACCATGAAGACATCCCGCCTTACCATCCCACGTCACGGCACCGCAGCAATATTCCGAATTGTTACCGTTGAATCCGACGTTGATTATAGGAATTCCGGTGTTCCGATTATCGTTGGCTACAGATTAAGACTAGGTCAACCTTGACATCAGTGTATATCTACCGAAACGATCACGTACAGCATGGGGAATAGCATTTTGCCCCCCAGCTGCGGTCGGTGCAGCTTCCACGGGAAAGCCCCAATCCTCGTTTCCCTTGCAAATAGCAGAGGCCGTTGGACATGCAGACATCATTTGTGTTGCAGCAGTTCGAGGTCTCGCCGTCCGGGCAAGGGACATCGGCCTTGGCCTGGGTGCCGTCCAGGTTATAACAGGGCTGGGTGGCTAGCACAGAAAGGGTCAGGCTCACCCAACATAGGAGGGCCGAAACAGAAACCATGAGAAGGACTGGATGGAAGGAGAGGAGCAGGACACACGGGAAACGACATTATGCGTGGGATTTTCCCGGTCGTCTTATATTTCGCAGGGAATCATCCTGTCGAGAAACCTGCTGATCATCACATCACCACGAGGCTAAGGGTCTTCACCATACACCGTACTGCAGACCTTCCGACACTTTGGGCTCCCTGACCCCCACCCACCGACCCGCTGGCGACCGCTGTATGGCTAGCCTCTCGCAGTCTCTCGTGCGACTGATCGGCACCGTTATTCTCTCCTCTGAGACGCCAAGAGCCACCGGGCTGGCACTAACACTCATCGCTCGTATTCCGGGCCTGATTCCACTTGAACAGTGCAAGACTCGAAGACTCGAAGGCTGAAGCACGGCTTAGCAGGTTCGGATCAATCCGTTCCCTTGTGGCATCGCTGTGAAACCTCCTGTCTGTCATCACCATGGCCAGAGCCTGACAACATTTGAATCCTTAGGCGAAAAGCCCCTTGAAAATAGCACAATGGCCGTGTCTGCAATTGCCGCCCGGGCGCTATCTATGAGATGGTGGTTGAGATGGTCGTGAATTGGAACAATTCGTCTAGCAGACTCTAATCGCTAGAGACCTACGCCGGAAAAAGCTGGTCTCGCAGCCAAACTCGGTATCAGCAATAGAACTTGCGCGGATGTGATCTGAGCGGGGAGTTGTTGCAGTCCACAAAATACCAAATGTTAAGTACTCCCGAATCGTGGCTCCGGGGGCGGATATGAGCCAGGTTGAGCAAGATGCACCCCAGGAGCAGGAATCGCTAGCAGCAGATTTGTAAAGAAAACGCCACGCCACGGTTGAACACCTTGCGCACCGCTTGGAGGACTGACTTTGGTGGTCGTCGTATTCGTTGGGCCAGGTTCCAGGGTGCCAAACGCTTCGCAAGTCCCCGAGGCTCGAACGTCATAGTTTGGAAACTGCAAGCAATCTTTGTGGGTGACTCCAGTGAGTCCAGTCAAGCACACTCCGTAGAAGAACCAGGGCCCAGATCCACGGTGCCAGCGTCGGCAGCAGTAGGCCCCGAACGAAATCCGTCGATCTTCACGATGGGTCGACCTGCTATTTGCAGTCTAGTGCCACGCTGGCCGTCTCCAACTCTGCGTCAATTCCACCAACAGCAGACTTGCTCGACAGAGGGATTTCTTCAATCGTTCTTTTCCCCTCGTTGATAATCGGATTCTCGTCTGTCGCTCGGATATGGCGCCGGTATTTGGAGCACTGAGCCCTGCCGAGGTAGGTCATCACACTGCCATCGTCACCGAGTATATATTGTGCGGGGAATATCGTGAGATCCAAGGCTTTTATCGCTAGCATCATCGGCTTGAGTGGCGAGTTTGACCTTGTCGGACTCTTCTACAGTATGTATCGCTATTTATTGCAGCTAGTGTTGCTTTTCTCGCTCGCCACCTCCAAGGCATTCTCTGCAGTCAACTTCCCCGGGAATTGCGACGCAGATTGTCAGACCAGCTTCAAGACTGCCCTGGCGGGCGAGCAAGCCCAATGGGTCAGACGCAACGTCTCCGCGGACCCCTTCTATGACAGTCCCAAAAACTTGTCGGCCTATGCGGCAGGCGATGTTGTCCGGTGGGAGGAACTTCCGCCGGCAATCGTGTCCAAAGAATGGTCACTCCCTCCAGGCACGACGCTTTCGCGGTTCCTGTACATGAGCGAAGATCTAAACGGCCGGCCCATCCCCGTCAGCGGATTCGTCTTGCTACCGTACGCCAATCCCGCCGGCGACGACGGGCCGTTGCAAACGGTTGCGTGGGCCCACGGCACGGCGGGAGGGACCCGCCAATGTGCGCCCTCGAACCACCGCGCACTGTATTACTCCTGGGAAGGCCCCTTCACGCTGGTGCAACAGGGATATGCGGTGATAGCGCCGGACTATGCCGGACAAGGCAGCGATATCCCCCAGGGGTTCATGTACGAGGCTGGCGCCCTGCACGCGGCCGACATCAGCTTTGCTATTGTCGCTGCGCGCAAGGTGCTGCGCCGGCGCATTAGCCACGAGTGGGTGGTGGTTGGACACAGCGAAGGCGGCCTGACGGCATGGCGCACGAATGAACGCCAGGCGCGATCCGGAACGGCGGTGGGCGGGTTCCTAGGCGCGGTGTCCGGAGCGCCTGCCCTGCGTCCGTTGTCGCTGATTCCGCGGTCGTTCCGCCTGGCGGGCGACGGGCCGGTGGGCGACGTGGTTTCCATCTACGTGCTGCAATCGATCGCGCGACTCCTCCCCTCCATTCGCGTAGGTGACTATGTGAGCGACATCGTCGCCAGTCGCCTTCCCTTGGCCGACCAAGGCTGCCTGCAGACGGGGTCGGCGCTGTACGGGAACCTGACCGTGGCCGAATTGTACAAGAATACCAGCTGGCTGCATCACCCCGACGTCGTGGACTGGCAAACTCGATACAATGGGGCCGGCCCCCACCGCCTCGCCGCGCCCATGCTCGTCGTGCAGGGACTGAATGACACTCTGACGTATGCCGACCTCGCCGAGCAGGATTTCGATCAGACGTGCCGCGCGTTCCCCGACACCGCGGCCCAGTACCTCCGGTATCCGGGACTGGACCACGATCCGGCGTTCATCGCGGCCCAGGCGCAGTACCTGCCCTGGATCCGAGATCGATTCAGCCACATGGCTATAAGCTCGTGCAGGAAATCCACGATCTACACGTTGACTAGTTCCCCGACCTAGGCCCAGCCAGGGATGCGGTGGTCGACGGGCAGCTGACGGGGTTCCCCCCCCCTGCTTGCCTGTTAGCAGCGGTTAGTCTCAAGACGGCTCGTGGAACAGGGGAAGTTGGAATCCAAGTTACCAGCGCGGTTGTCCAATCATGCATTATGGGTATCTAGAGGAACATTCTTGTACATAACAGTGTCATCGACGAAGTGCGTGCACTGCCGGAGTCCAAAAACACGGCCCAGCCAGTATGAATGCCATCCGCCGGATTTCTTCACGAGCGTAGGATTTCGACAGCTAGGTCATAGGCTTCACGCTTGGCGTCGCCTTGCGGCGTGCCCTCCTTGGCCTTCTTATCCCAACCGTGCGGGCAGCGTTCCATGCGTTGACAGATGACCCGGCGTCCCTCGACCTTGCGAAGCTTCTCGACCAGTTCCTCACCCTCGGCGGCAAACGGGTCCTGGGCCGCCGTGACAATGAGGACCTTGGACGGAAAGTTGTTCGGATCGGCGAAGATGGGTGAGAATCGGGGGTCGGTCGTATCCAGTTCCTGCGGGTTGAGGCATTTGTGGCAGAAGTGCGAGATGTGCGGGAAGATCTTGCGCATGATGAGGTTGCGGTCGTCGATCTGCGGCTTCTCCGGCGTGGGCTGCGACAGGTTCATGGGGGCGTAGAAGGCGAGTACGGAGTGGAACCCGTCGCTGGCGTTCGGGTCGTGGGCGGCCGTGAACAGCGGCGAAGACGAGACGACGGCCAGGGCCAGATTGCCGCCAGCGCTGAAACCGGACAGCGAGAGGCAAGCGCGGTCGAAGCGGTCGGGCTGCGATCGCACCCAGCTGACGACGTCCTCGGCATCGTCGAAGGCGGCCTTGAACGGATTTTCGGGCGCCAGACGATATTTGACGTCCATCACCGTACGTCCCGTTCGACGCGAGATGTAATGGCAGTAGTCGTCGTCGGTGCCGAAATAACGCAGGGTGAATCCGCTGCCGCAAAAGTTGACGACGGCAGGGGCCGGCTCGGCGGTGTCGGCGGCGCGGTACAGGTGGATTTTGATGGTGCGGTCGGGGTCGCGCGAGGGAACGGCCAGGACTTCATCGGGGTGAGGATCAACTGGAGTGTGCATGCGCACCAGTAGACGCAAGAAACTGGCAATGGACTTCTTCTCGAAGTATTCGGGCCCCATAATCAGTGTCGATATGGGGCAGGGGGGCGTTCCGTTGGCTTGCGTGTTTTCTTTTCCCTATTTCCCATCCCGTACACGGAGTAAAGCGGAGGCGGAAGTTTTGTACAGAGCATGCGAGGAACGATGATATCATGGGCGCCCAACTGACGTGGAGCGAGGGCACGATTGGCGGGGCCACTTGCCTTTCGTAGCCCGCGTCCTCGGTCTTGTCCTGCATTTTTCCGGAGATTTGGTTCGTTCACGGCGCTGGCTCTGTCTGGGGATCGAAGCTTTAGCCTGCTTTACCCACGTCAATGTCAGCAACGAATCCATGGTAGCCTGGCATGTACACCGTAGTTCCCCGCGCCAGATCCATGATGTCATAGATGTCGGTGCACAGGTTCATGAACTTATTGCCGGACCAGGGGGCAGGAGAACAAATGCCAAGGTAGAGGATGGTGAAAGGATGGTGAAAGGAGAAGAAGAAGAAGAAGAAGAAGAAGAGAGAAGACAGAAGAGAGAAGAGAAGGTGGTGGGCGGCATTTCTCCATGCGGCTGGCGGTGTGGACTGTCCATAACTTAACGTATTTCACAAGCGAGTGGGCCACACAAGCGAGCGGGCCACCTTGTAATCCATATAAAATGCTACTTTTTTAAACTTCAATATCTCGACAAATAAAAGCCCAAATAATCTATAACTTAATTTATAAGATATGAGTATGTATTTAAATAATATATTCGAGTTTGAAAGAATTCTTTCTACTATATATGTAGGTAAAATAAATTACGCCTGTATTTTTAGTATTCTGGAATAATCTGATACTACAAGGTAAATTATAGTAGTCAAACTATAATAAGCTACATATATAATAGCTATGATATAGCTAATATCATTCTTTTTAAAGCATATAGTTTTCTCTCTTTGTTGTTGAGATATTAAACTATAAAAAAGTAGCATTTTATATGGAATACAAGGTGGCCCGCTCGCTTGTGAAATAACGTATTTCACTACCGAGCGGCCACCCCCTACCGAGCGGCCACCTCTGTATTCCCATAGAAAATGGCTATTTTATAGACCTGAATAACACAACCACAATATATTATTCAAGGTTTAGGAATTAGTATTATATATTATAATACTTCGTATAATGTATAAATTTTATCGTTAAGTCTTTATAAAGCCTAATAATTTAGGTAATATAAATTACAGTCGTAATTTTGTATTTTATAACAAAGGTAACTATATAGGCTTTGAAAAAATATTTAAAATTCTTAAAAAAACTCTTTTTATCCCAAGGATACCTACCTATATACTATACTATTTATATAGATTCTAGGATTATATTGTGGTTGTGTTATTCAGGTCTATAAAATAGCCATTTTCTATGGGAATACAGAGGTGGCCGCTCGGTAGGGGGTGGCCGCTCGGTAGTGAAATACGTTACGTTACTGGGGCTGACTCATCCGTTGCTGCAACATAACTAATCGATTCATCGACATAGACAGCCATCGTTATCCGTACGATCAGGATTGGCTTCATCGGCTTCAATTTATCCTCCATGTCAATAATGTTATCGATTGATTGATTAATTCCAGGGTGTTGCCTACCTGAAAGGTGCAAACGACGGAACACTTGACATCTTGCCCCAGTCTTGCTCTGGCCACACTACTAGCCAGGGCCGTCCCTGCTTCTATTCTACTGATTCTTCTTCTTAACGAGCATGTTCATTCCCACAATGCCTGCCTGCTCAGAACCAGTTTTATTCCAGCGGAGCGATTGACGAGGAATGCTGTCATCGACGAGCCGTACCTGCAGCATTTCCAGGCCTTGTGCCGCGTGTCCTCGATCGGTGGTAGGTCGGCCCTCCAAATACAGCCTTCAATTGGAACCAAGCGGTTGCCGGAGAGCAGCGCGACAGTTTTGAAGTTGGGTGTCGCCTAAATGTTGATCGATCAGTATCTGTATCTTTATGGGCCTTCTCGATGAATCGGGCACGATATGTCACTTCAACCGGCGGCATATTTTTCAAAACCAGGGGGGATCTTCCTTGAAAGCAAAAGAAGCAATAGAAAAGAATCGACAAATCCGATGAGGCCATGTGAGGAAGCCTCAATTTTGAGATTCGGACAGAGAACCACGGTTATTCAGTTCCTTTAACCAAGGTTGACAGACAATTATTCCAAACCTTGACTAGAGAACGGGTAAGCTGTCGCCTCCAGGGCTACAAAGACAAAATGTAATTGATTCTCTAAAGAAGCCCATGGTACTATTTTACAACGGCACTTGTGAGAATTCTTGCTTCTCCATGTCGGCGCCCGGCAGGCACACGCATCCCCACACCATATTACAAATAAACGTAGCAGAATGGACCTGCGGTGGTGCTCATCAAATCACGCATAGCGATGGGCCCGCCGTTGGCATGGCCGATGTCGATGACGGTGTCCAGCGTGGTGTTGGGCGAAGGAGGATTGTTCATAAAGGTGCCGGTGCCGGAGATATCGTCGCGACGCCGCGGCAGGTCCAGATTCTGCCAGATCCACCACACACGATCGATCATGCCGTGGTGGTGCCAGAAGGCGACGTCGCCGGGACTCACGTAGACGTCACGCCCGGGATCGCCGCCCATGGAATAGTGGCCTCCGCCGTGCACGCCAATGGAGCCGCTCCCGGGAATGCCCTGCATCGTCATCTGGAAGTCCCAGACGGCGTCGTTACCCAAGATCAGGTCCACGATCTTCGGGTAGGTGTTGTAGCGCTGCAGGATCTCGGTCGTCAGCGAGCGCTTCAGGCAGCGCGGGTTGTAGGCGAGCGGGTCTGCCACGGCCGAGGTGTTTCCGCCGGGCAGCGACAGAGCGGCCGGACCCAGGTGAAGCTGGTAGTCCTTGAAGGGACCGCTGGTGATGCACCCTCCGCCGCTGCCGGGGGGGAGGTCGATGGCCGGGTTGTCGCCCAGATACAGCTTCACGTCCGGCTGGTTAGGGATGGGTGCCCCGTTCCCCGACATGGACGTCTCGCTGCCATCAAAGACGGGCGACTGCTCCATGCCGTTGACGTCGGCGCCCCAGTCCCAGTAGCTGGTTCGTAGGAATGAAAGAAGACGTTAGTTGACCGTTCCCTTTGCGGCCTTGCATCGAGGGGACACTTACGGGTAGTCACCGGTATATCCGCACTCGTCGCGCAGGGCTTGCTCGAATTCGTAGATAAAGTAGCGATGCCACGCGAGGAAAGTCCCCTAAGTTGCCGTCAGTTCCAACACCGCCCCTATCACGGTCAATTGCAGCTGCCGTACCGTGTAATGAATTTCCATGGTTTGGTTAATGTGCGTCGCGACGAAGTCATCGTATCGCGTCCGGGCACCGGGGGCCACATCAGACGGCGTGCGAGCCGGCAAATTCTGCAAGCACAGCACGGAGTTGATGTACTCCTTCCTCTGCGCCGTCGAGAAGGCCCTCCAGTTACGTCGGACGCGCAGGTTCTGCAACGAACACCCTCCACGCTTACTCTCTGCGCCTCCACCAACGTTGTCCGTCGTAACATTGTAGGCGAAGTCGGCCAGCTGGTCCAGCTGGGAGGCGGCCTCCACGGTCGACGTCGAGGCACTACCGGGGAGCGTCGCCGTGGCGGAGGACTGGGATGCGGCGGGCATTGCCCAGGCCTGCGACGCCAACAACCCCAAACTGAGCACTGGCAGGGCCACCATGACGGTCAAAAGGTTGGGTAGGATGCGCAAGCAAGAGCTGGAAAGGGTAGACTTGCACGGGATCGATGGACAGCTCGAACCTAGAGAGGATCACAGGGAGAGAAGCAGATCGGCTCGGGGAAAGACCGTCTATTTTAAAGCGTCACCCACGCAGTTTCCCAATAATGGCGAAGGGGCACAGATCACGATGGGATCAATCTAGCTAAGCATGTAATTAAAGAATAGACACAGGCTCGGCCGGCCTCCTGACTGGCTGGACAGAGGCCGGGAGGGTCAACGCCGCCGCCGCTGATCGGCTGAGTGGCCGAAAGCCCTGATTTCCTGTCGGGGCGAAGCGACTGGCGTTATTCTGGGTCGGGAGAAAGAAAACCGACTTGCTATCAAATCGCCGGAGGGGCGGCGGTCCAGACGTGATAGCCTCGGCCTGGACGACCGTTCAGGGTTGCATTTGGCAATCTGCCAAGGGGGGAGGTGGACCTCGCAGGCTGCTTAGGGTTTGCGCCGGTCCCGTGCGATCTGGGTCCAGGGCCGGATCTTTGCACGCAGACCCATCGATGGTGGAAAAAGGGGATTGACATCCCTGGGGATCAGTCCATCCTCCGCGATCGGAATGGATCAGCATCCAAGGTACACGTACGGATACTCCAGATTGCTATCGTATCGCTCGGCGGAGTGGGTGAGTGCACTCTGCATTGATTTTTACAAATGCCAGATACTCACTTGAAGCCCATAGAGCACACTTACCCTCTGAGTCCTGTGCGTGGAAGCCGTTCTCGTCCGTCGCCTGGATGGCAAATGCCTCGGCTCAAAATTAGTCGTGAACCCTGCCATCGCGCGATTGAGTTCTCGTTTTCATGAAACCCTGTCTGGCATGATGTCCTATTGGCCAGGTTTGGGCACAGACTTTGGCTAAAAGAAGCCGCTTGTCTACCGCCATGGAGAACGTGGCTGCTATCACTATCGGTTATCCCACATCACAGGGGTCTGAAACCGCCGGACCCTTTCCCAGCAATATCCAGCTGCGGCATAATCTCGGAAGCAAATCAGAGGCCAAAAGTAGCGTACCATTGAACCCGACTGGCCAATCTAGGCGAGATGACCGCAATTTCAGTTCAGCAAAGCGAGTTGGCCTGAACGCAGACGGTCTCCGAAGGGTCACTCCGTGGACCATTAACTTTGCAGGAAGCAGCAAGTTTGGTTGAGATGCGCCACGCCGTAGGGCCAGGAGCCAGGACCCAGGCAAAAGGACCTTGGGCATGAGGGATCGAACTGTTCCTGAATTTTCGTGCTTTTGAATTCGTGGGCCTCACTTTTGGGTCTCTTGCTTTAACATGCACTGGCACTCCGGCAGCAAAACGTTGCAACGAATACTCCCTTGGTGTCGCCCACCAGCCGCGCAGTCTATAATTAAAGGCGATCGCTTCCAGCTCCGAGTGAAAGATTCTCTTTTACCCCGAAGACCCTCCCAATGATTGATCTGCGATAGACCTCCTTCGACGATCCGCCGCTGTCATGTCTGACATTGCCCACCCAGCAGGCGCGGGCCTGCCCGATGAGAATCAAGGGCCGCGAATTCTCGCCGCGACCACCATAGCCACCGGATGTGCCTTCATCACGGTCCTGGCTCGTGTCTACGTTCGTCTGTTCATCATTCGTAATGTTGGACTTGACGTGAGAAACACCGACCCGATGACCACTGGCGCGACACCCACGGCTGACCGGCATCCAGGATTACACAATGATCATAACTATGGCACTGGTAAGATGATCCTTTGGGCTAGCAGGGTATATCCTAATCAACTCATTTTCCATGTGCTCGCAGTCTCTCGCCGGATGGGCCATCATAATCCCCGAAGTCCAGTACGGCGCCGGCCGGCATACGGCCTACGTCTTGGACACGGCCACCACGGCCACGCATTTGAATTTCGCCACGCAGGCCATCTACATGTGGGCTATCGGTCTGGTTAAGATCTCCATCGGGCTTTTCCTCCTGCGTTTTGCGCCGCGCAAAGGATACAAAATCTTCATATGGGTAGTGATCGGTGAGTCCGGCGAACGCGACTTGTCGTATGCGCTGCTAATTCGGGCCAGTCCTGATGTTCCTATACACGGCCATCTGCTTTTTTGTATGTGAAACCCAATGCCTCAAGATGGATACAGAGTGAGCAAGCTAACAGAGTCTAGACTCTTATCTTTCAGTGCAAAGACATTCGGACGATTTGGGACCAGTCAGTCAAATCCGAATGTCTCCAGCCTCCTCAACTGCTGGCATTGAGCTACACCAACACCGGTAAGACGCATAAGCAATGGAAGCAATCTTGGCGTGACTCTAATCCCCTCCAGCACTCAACATCCTTACCGATCTTATCTTTGCTATCCTGCCGGTCTTTATGCTTAGGTATGCATTGAGTCTTCCCTTTCATCCGATCCCTCGCTGACATAAGTGCTCCTAACAGGCACTTGCAAGTGAATCGCAGAGTTAAAGCGTCCTTGATGTGTATTCTGGGGCTTGGAATCTTGTAGGTTATCACAAGTTTCAATTGATATGCGCGTCCATACTAACGAGGAGTCACGCCAGCGCCTGCGCCGCCGCCTGCGTCAAAGTCTCCGTTCTCCCGAACTACGGCCGCACTGGAGATTTCCTGTGGGACTATTCAGATCTCACGATATGGGTTGTGTAAGACACCTGTCTGCTCTGTTCAGAACGTGATCTTCTTCTAACCTTGAAACTGTGTACATACAGCGTGGAGTCCAACATGGGCATCATGGCCGGTAGCCTGCCGACACTCAAGCCGCTCTTCAAACAGGCCTTGGGCAGCTACGGCTCGCGATCCAAGTCTCGACCGTACACCTACGGAAGCAAGCCTTATCGGCTGCATTCGCTGTCCCAGTCCGCTCACCAGCCCTCCCAGACTTTGCGCAGCGGTAACCAGAGTGGCTGGGAAGCCGATGCGGGTCAGAAACGACCGCACCAGGCCTCTCAAGAAATCGTGCCGACGGTGACGACGATGACGGCATATCCTCATGGGGACAATCGCAACCTCAGTGAGGAATATATATTGTCATCTCGCGACCCGGACAGCATCACGCTCACGACAGAGATCATGGTGTCACGCACGCCGGATGCTTGGCCGGCCGGCAAACAGTCCGGGGCTCCTTCATCAGGCGGCGGCTTTGGGCACGATGGTATGGTTTAGTATTTACCTTGCTATAGTCAATGAACGTCTATTGAATTTCTTATAGACCTGACGTTTCTGCGCTGCGATGCCGACCATTCATCCTATCGCACGGCATAAATCACGTCCGAGTTCTAGCTGGCAAGATTCTTTTACCACAGTTCTTATGTTGGAATATATGGTCCGTGTTTCATGCCGATCGTGCCATCTAGTCCGGGTTTTCTGTGAACTCGCGGTGCAGCAGGACGGGCTCCTCATCGGCGACGATGGAGGTGGTGCGTTTGGTAAAGATCGCGAGCCGGCTTGGCTGATCCTCTTGTCGGAGGCATCTAAACCGGAGGAGTTGAGCTCCTCGGCATGTTCGGAGGACTTTTCCTTGACAGCCAGGATGTTGCGATCCTAGATGGGAGGCAGCAGTCGGACCCGAGAGAGCGAGAGGCCCTCCTCCGGCGCGGGGATGAGCTAGATAGAGATCGGACAGAACGGTATTCTGTTCGATCACGGTATAATCACACTAGACCGGTATAGCGATTAATAGTGGATTGTTATACTAAGTAATTCTGTATACTCCGTACCGAGAGATATATATATTCAACCATCAGGAACCGAACCGGTCAATCAAGTGGATCTTCCGTCTTGGCTGCCATCTGGGGACTAGTCTTGACTATTGATTCTCGGGTTTCCTACGTACTTCGTACGTCGGTGTATGGAGTACTCCCTTGGAAACTAGGTGGACTCCGTGAAAGATTTTGAAAACAAGCCATCTTGAGGCCTCAGGCCGGAGAAATCATTTCCCGGTGTAATGAGTAAAAACTAAAAAACCGAAAACCGAAAACTAAAAAGCTCGTCAAGAATAATGGCGACGGATGGCTACCGCTGACGGCATGGCTTTTTTAGCCCCCGCGACTACCGGCGGTGGTCCCATGCAGGCATCAGATAGCCCTAGCCCTAGGTGTCCCCAACGCCAAGGGTCCGCCCTCTTCCCTCCTCCGCTCTCCCGTCACGGGGCTGTCCGCTGTTAAGAGTCAAGACTCAAAAGTCAAGACACACGATGATTATAAAATGTGACAAGCAGAACACATCAAGCCTCGTGGGCAAGTTGAGAGGCAAACACGGGCAGCAACAGGAGGGAACTCGGTTGGAGGTCCTCTCCGAGATCCAGTTTTTCTATGGTTTACATCGTATTGTGGAGTGGAGCCTCCACCGCCAGCGAAAAAACTTGACTGGTTCAACGCTACCAACAAAATTGAAAACAGTAATTTACGGAGGAGTAACAGAGACTACACCAGCAGGTGAAATTGCACGGGCATGAGCACTCCTGTGGGCCATTCCATAGGTGTCGCTAATTCGTTGTTCGCCATTCGCGAAAGACGCCGATCCACAGCGCACGCCCGAGATAGGAGCGACGGTGGTTTTGACTGTGCCTTCTGACCCCTCCTCCGCGATGAACTCAACCTCTGGGTGAGAAAAGAAGAAGAAAGGACAAAGGCGACATTGGATATGAGCGTAGCATACCGTCGCCTGCTTACGCTCTCGAATCTTAACCGCTCAGCCAAGTCTAGGGTGTAGTTTCCCGCCGGCTGATAGCTCCGTGCGCCATGCGAAGCACGGGTTTTCTGCTACTTGCTTGATCATCTCGGCAGTACACCGTATTGCCCGCTACTGATATAGAGTTCCTTGTCCCGGAACCTATCCAAGATATATCATACATATATACCGAGAGCAGCCCACGCCGCCAAACTATTCAATAGCAGCATGGTACCTGCCAAAGGCGAGGTAACTAGTACACCGTCATTAGGGATGAGGACTCAGGGCTGAGGGAATAAAAAAAATTCGCGCGGGTTTTCCCAGGTAGGCCAAGAGTAGTTGCGCCGCGCTGGTTAGATCGTACACACGACGCATCCCGAGAAATGAACCTTTTGTCATTGCTCTTGCATAATAAGAAGAGACTGACTCGGAGGCATGATGAATAGTTTAGTAACGCCATCTGGGCTGACGGGGGCCCACCGCGTGCTCGGCGTCCAGATTGGCTCGTGCTGGCTCTCGTGGTCTCAACTGCCTGTTCGGGTATAAACCAGCTCCACCGACGCTCATCCGGTTTTGCAGTGGAGGCGCGACGAAAGCATGGGATGGCGGAAATGGGGGCATAAATAGATGGGCCGTCGTTCCTCGACCCCCCCTCGCCGTTGCGAACCTCTCACCGGCAGCGTCCCTCTCTCGTCTTCTTTTCTCCCGCTCACCCACGGGATATACGACATACGAAGTATACGTGCCTCCAGCCCTGTCGCCCCTGTGTCTTGTCTCGAGTCTAGAACGCAGTGTCAGCAGTTGAATCGATCGAAAAAATCGTTTCTCTCTTATTGTCTATCTTGCCTTGTTAGGAAGCATTTCGTTGTTTGGCTGCGTATTCCAGCATCTCTAGTTCCGACATAGAGCAACCCATCCCCCATTCGCGACGCTTCTTTTTGTCTCCGGTATACGGGACCGACGTGTAATCACCCACCTCCCTCTCCATAATCACGGGCCCCGTTAAGGATCAGGTCATGCGGGGAACAATATTTTCTAAACGAACATAGCAGGCTTTACCATTTGCAACCCCTCGCGCCCCGACTGAAAACCTATCGCGCCAGTTCAATCTTATCCCGACAGCGATTTTGTCTACCAGTGGCATATTCGGACCGCCATACCATTGCGCCCACGAACCGACTCAAACGACTTCCCCCTCGGTTTCTGACCCATCCAGTGCAACTTTAGCTCTGCAGCCTAGCGCCTCACTTGACTCCCCCAGCAGCGACGATTTGGACCCAAGCAGCATTGATCCACCCCTGCCGCAAATTCGCGAATAGTTCCGATTGCGACCACTCTCACCATTGCGCCTGTCACAACCGGACCTCGAGCCTTGCTTCCCCTTTGCGACTTGAAGCCCCCTTGCGACATCATGGATAAACTCAGCTTTCTGTGGAAAGACCGGCAAAGCTTTCCCGACGTTGTCGTGCCCCTCGCGGATGCCCCTGCGCCTGCCTACTCGGACCCCAACGCGGAAACCAAATCCAACCCCGACGCGAAAGCTAATTTGAACCGGCTGGACAGTGCCTCCTCGCAGGAGAAGGGCGCAAGCCCCGTTCCTGCGTCCGGCGTGCTAACCCTTGAAGGCTTACGGGCGGAGGTCGAGTCGGCCGTCGCAGCGTCGGGTGTGGACAGTGTCTATGACCGTAGGTGCAACTGACATCGGGGCCGCCATTGTTCGAGCCTGCGTGCCTTTTCTGTTCTTCCCCGGTGGAAAGCCCATAGGTGATGAGAAGAAGCAAGCGAAGGTTCTAACCATGTTCCACTATAGGCAAGGCAAAGATTATCAACCGAGCTATCCAAGACATTGGCATGGGCCGCTACCAGTGGGAATTGTATGTTCTCTGCGGATTCGGCTGGATTGCAGACAAGTATGTAAATCAATTGACCTCTGCTTGTTAGTTAGCACATTAGCTAACCATCCTACAGTCTCTGGTTGCAGGTGAGAGAGGCGTGGATTTGCCCGCATATGTTTAGAACCAGGCCATCCATTGTAGGTTCACTAACCACATCTAGGGAGTTGCACTTACATTAAATCCCTTGGCCATGGAATTCGGCATTTCAGAGTCTCATGTTCGTTTCACGACCGTTGCCTTGTTTGTCGGTCTCATTGTCGGTGCCACATTCTGGGGCATTGCGTCCGATGCCATCGGACGTCGACCGGCGTTCAACCTAACACTATTTCTCTGCGGTGCCTTTGGTCTGGCTTCTGGTGGTGGCCCTTCCTGGGTTGGGTAAGTATCTGGCGGTAAGCGTCATCGATGATTGTTTACTGGCTAATTAAGGATCAGAACGTGTGCTTTGTATGCCTGCCTGGGTTTGGGAGTTGGTGGCAACTTGCCCGTGGATGCAGCGATCTTCCTTGAATTCCTACCCTTCGATTCGGGAAGTATTCTGAGCTCGCTGGCCGTGTTCTGGTCCGTGGGTAATCTAATTGCCAGGTTTGTTGCACCCGAAAGATTGTCACGTATATGTCAGTACGCTCATCCTTTGCGTCAGTTTATTGGCCTGGGCTTTCATCCCCAACTTCTCGTGCGACGATGCCGCGTCTTGTACGAAGGAAGATAACATGGGCTGGAGATACCTGGTTTTGTCACTGGGAGCCATCACATTTGCCATGTTTCTGTGTCGATTCCTGCTGTTCACACTTTACGAATCCCCGAAGTTTCTCGTGTCCCGGGGACGCCAGGATGAGGCCGTCGCTGCGGTTCAGGGTATTGCCTACCGCAATAAAACCAAGACCTGGCTGACAGCCGACGTGCTCAACGAGATCGGAGGCCATCCAGAAACGCGCTCTGATGAGAAGCTCTCGTATGTGGAGATTATTCGCAGATCCTTTTCTCGCTTCTCCTACCAGCAGGTGGCTCCTCTTTTTGCCAACAAAAGACTGGGAATTACAAGTACGTTCATTACGCCCCTGCGATTTATCATGGCCGAAGCTGACTATTTGAACAGCCATTCTCATTTGGTTCTGTTGGACTACCATTGGAATGGGATACACCCTTTTCAACGCCTTCCTCCCCCAGTACCTGAGCACCTCAGCGTCTGTTTATGAAACGTACCGCAACTACGCCATCACGGCGGTCGTGGGTCTTCCGGGGCCCATTCTAGCTCATTACACTGTCGACCTCAAGTACGTTGGTCGGAAAGGAACGATGGCCATCTCCACGTTGATCACAGGAGTCCTGCTATTCTGCTTTACGGCCGCAAAAGACTCTGATACGCAACTGGTCTGTTCCGCTCTCGAATCCTTTTTCCAGATGATGATGTATGGTGTACTGTACGCATACACGCCCGAGGTTTTCCCTGCTCCGAATCGTGGCACCGGAACAGGTGTTGCTAGCTGCCTGAATCGAATTGCCGGTCTTTGTGCACCCATCATCGCCATATACAGCGGGGATGCTGACCCGAGTGCCCCGATCTATGCCGCTGGAGCGCTGATGATCGTTTCCTTTGTTGCCATGGCTCTGCTGCCAATTGAGACGAGGGGGAAACAGCCTCTTTAGGCGTACTGTTATTGCTTCACGGGAAGGCTTTCATATATTTTGGACTACTTTCCATTGTCAGTGGTCATATCACCCGAGAAAATGCCTCGGATGATAGCCCCGCTCTTACGATCCTAATTTTTCACCCGGACTAATACCTTTGGACGTCCATGGTGATACTCAGACATGCTTTTGCTTGCCCAAAATGTCCTTCTAGAATATTAGAATTGTGCGCTGCCAAAGGCGTGCTATTGTTGTTATGACCTTATACTTGGATTAAACTTGTATTTTTCTGGTCTCGACCATGAACAGTTCATTCATAGAACATGATACCCTGGGGCAGGGACAGACCAGAATTGTCGTAATGCTTGCCCGCAGTTGAAGATACGGGTTAGGGAGTCTGCCACCAGGTCGTATAGTCGTGAAGCTTCCCCTGTTCACAATTCACAGCTCGATCGTAGTTCATAATCGATTGGTATGGCCTTTGAAGTTACAATCTGCTATTACTTGAGTTGGTTGATGTAGTATATACAACCATGGAGCATAGGCAGAGTAGGTGGGACGTTGCGGGCTGGTGCTGTAGGTATTGTTAACAAATATGGAAACTTTCAACATCAATGGCAAGATGGCCGAGCGGTCCAAGGCGGTAGGTTAAGGTATACCTTAATTCACAACTCAGCTGAGTTTCCTACTCATCTCACGATGGCGTGGGTTCGAATCCCACTCTTGTCACATATTTTTTGGCGTTTATAACCCTACACCAGGGTGGTAGCATCTCTTTCTCTTATCGACTTTGTCTTTAGTAGTCCCCCCACGTTTTCCTTGCTGTCAACGACTCTTCCTCAAGGGGCTGCGATTGACTTTTGCAATCGTTGCGTCGCAAACCTTACTTGACTGTACGGCCTACCTAATCTATCTTGTACATTACTAGTAAGAGCGTATGGGCCTGAAGATAAGTATCGCATCTATTGGAGACGTAGTACATGTCTCGGAGACTTCGCGTCAGTACAAAGGTGAACTGTTATCTTGGCACGCTCTGAACCGCCTGTTATACAGAATCATCGCTATTAGCAGCCCGATTGCTATTTTTACGTCTGGTGTGCGATATTGAATATAATACTGTTTTTAAAGCAAAAACTTTATAAAGTTTGCTGCGGGAACTGATTAACAGTCTGTCGATCCGATGATCCTATCTAACTGTGTTACCCTTTAAGAGCTGTCCAGATAGTCGTCAGTTGCGATAACAGCGGGGCTGGAGTGATCTCGTCGAATCGAAGTATCTGATTGAATGGTAAAATCAGATATTACGTATATACGCACCATTCTGTATCACTGTCTATAAACTGACCTGAATTTGACCTTGATGAAAGGGTCTAGGCACTATACTTATAGTGATAGTGGTTGTGGGTCGACCGTTTCTAGCTCACTGAGCCTTTGAAGTTTTATCATGCCTCCGCATGTGGGGAACAGGCATGCAAACCGAAGTTCACTTTGCGGCCTCTTGATGACAGATGCGAGACATTGTCCAGCTTTTATATCTCCCCTTTAAGCTCGAATATTCTTCCTTTTCCCGAGGTCAAATTTTTCTTTATATGGCTTCTCTACCTTTGGTAACCCATTTTGTATTTAATACCCTCTATCCCGCCTGCTCTACACCTCCACCTATGTTGGATTCTATATTATGTCTTCCAGTGGGACATGTGCTACTCCTCACCTTCTTGTTTGCTTGTTGGGCTGGAGGGGCGATTTCATACCCGTACTTACTGTGTTATGTAGATTGATAGTTAGGCTTTTGTTCTGTTCACTCCATGTTCCAATACCAGGTAGGGCTTATTGCAAAGAGTTGACTGTATCGAATTGTGTGCCTCCTCGTCTTTCTAGCGCGGCTAGAGACAGAGATGAAATTCGTATTCCTTCAGTAATACTCTACACAATTCTTAAAAATGCGATAAAATACCCTCTTCTCCAGTTAGATCCTGAATCTCACTATCACGGCTTGTTTGAGAACATTTTCATTGAAAATTATTGTAACTAGGGCTACTGAATGCTCCGCACAACTCTACGGCGAAGACTTATTTTCCTCCAAGAAAGATTTAAAAGGCGGTGGGGTAGGTGAGTGGTCGGTCCGCCACTAATATCGCAAATAAGGAATCAAGCGGATTGAGAAAATCGGCGGCCATGCTGTGCATTCGTCACTAGTTTTCAGCCCGCTATCACTCGCCTCCAGCCCTACTATGGACTGATAGCCCTCCTTTCTCTGGGCAGCAGCATTGCACAGATTCTTCACATTACCTTTGTCTCCGAGCAGGCCATGGATGTTGGCTCTGGGTTTGTCATTGCCCTCTTCAATTCTATCTTCAACACCATGAATACTCTTCTGGCTCTGTGAGCAGTGGCCTTGCCGGTTGCATCGGGACTCGACTCCACAACTTGATCAACACACTTATGTCTTCTACTATTGCGGTCGGACTGGCTGCATACGGCATTGGGCTTTCGGTCGAAGGCATCTCGGAGTTTCAACGCAAGGCTTTCAAGCAGGAACCCAAGAATAAAGGAATGCCGTATGGGGGTGGTCTTTTCTCACTAGCCACTGATATCAACTACGGTGCTTACACTATCTGGCGAGCTGCATATGCTATGGCCTGTGGTGGGCTTTTCTGGGGCGCAATGACCTTTACTTTCTTTTTCCGTGTTTCTGCAACCCGTGGCGTGCCCGTGTTGGATGTGACGAACTGACTGACGACCACGAAGAACCCACTATATAGAGCGATGCGCGTACCAAGTCTGTTGACTTGATATTCTAGTCTTTTTATGGCGCAGTGGATAACCGTCCCAGCCCTGCCAAAAGGCAGAAGGTGGTAGAAGCGCACCTGCCACCGACCGTCACATTAGATGAGTACATGGTCCAGAGGGTAGGGTTTGCCTGATGCATGGCCGTTTTAGGAGGCTCTAGCGACTGGATTGGATAATAGTACGTCAATGCTTATCGAGAGATCAAAGCCCGTGTTCGATATGCGCTCATTCCTGGTGTCTACTAAGCTCGTTGCAGGTGCAAGGCGAAAAGAACCCCCCATTTGCAATCACCCAACCAAGTATAGCTTGATGGAACATTTCTTTGTATTCCCGTGAATGTTACCTAGCCTTTGACCGGTGACTTATAGAATCCCAGAACATCAGTTCATGACTTTGTAAATTGCCCACCTAGTCATTGACAATCAAGAAGCGTCACATAATAGAGCTACAATGTGAGCAAGAGCACAACCCTGTACCACGTAGGCCGTCCCGCACCCGACCTGCACTTCCCTTTCCCCCCTCCTGATTCGTCCTCTGTGCGTCGTCCCGTCTCCCAGGGTGTCTGCCCCCATCACTTCCTCGTCCGCCCAAACTAAAAGAGACAGGTCATATCTTGAAACTTGAAACCCCCTTACACGCATGTGTTTAACGTGTAGAGACGCGATGAGGCAAATCTATCAATAGCGATTATCTTTCCCCTCTTGTACGTCTTTCTCTTTCTTTTTATTCCTACCCACCAACTGGCCAGCCTCCTTATGAATCAATCTATCCATCGATCTATCTTTCATGGATCTCTTCACCTATTGTGATGTCTATCGGCTGTGGATCTGCATTCTCTGTGGATTTGCCGTGCTGCCAGCCCATGCCCCGGTTCATCTAGTCTCTCGTCATTCCAAGCATTTCTCTGCTGTCACCAGGGCCCTTCGTCAGAATATCGGTGCCCAGATGCTCAAGCGACCATTCTGGGATCCTGCTTCCGGCGAGCCCTGCCCTATTCCATCTCTCGACAGCGCGCCGATTTCAAAGCTCCTTGTCCATCAAGATTATTGCTGCCCTCATTGTTCTTACGTGGTCCAATCATAAAAGACATTCTTTAAGCATCAAAATAAGACGCATGATCTTCAACGACAGTTCTCGAGAAAAAAGCATTATACAATTTGAGATCTTCTTACTTCCTTTTTGCCGGTCAGCTGTCAACACTTCTTTTCTTCTCAAGCAAACAGCAGTTTTTTTACTATTACTTTACCCGCAGGGTCCCGTCAGGTTCCTTTACTCCGCGAGGCAGAATTCACCCACATCCAGGTGATATCTGACATCTAGATCCGTCGAACAATAGCACAGAATACATGTAACATTATCTCTACCCGTCAGAACACCACCGAGATTTGTCTCTGATTAGATCTGACCCAATAAACGCGTTATATCCAAAGACAGAGCTTCCCTGCAGTTATCCAGCTGGATGCTTTTCCAGATCCTATTACTAAGCCGTTGTTAGATTATCTTGCAAATAATATATTCTGTTTGATTCGCCAGACCTGCCAGTGCATCTGAAAAAGAAAAATCAATGAATTTGATCTAATGCAAATTAATAACATTCTTGCCTGCATCCGCGCCTGGAATCGCCCGCTATTAATGGACCTTCAGAACACCATCTACCAACGTTATACCCGGATCTGACAACGGCTGATCTGTTTCGCGTATCGGTTTATCACACCCGGCCAGTCTATTCGCCTGGCCCATTGCCTAACCCGGTTTTAGTCCGCATGATTCGATCGCATGGTGAGCCGCGCCCAGATCTTGCAGAGATTAGAGAAAGAGAAAGAAAAGGAGAAAGAAGAAAAGAAGAAAGATAGAAAGAAAGAAGATAAAAAAAACGAGATACAGGCTGGACTGGATCAGACATGCTTCCAGTTCTCTATCGCCTTCTTGGACCATCAGCTTACTGGAGATCTCTTTGACAGCATCTTAGTGAGATTCTTAACTGTTCTAGGGGTGAATGCAGAAAAACAGGTTTTTCAGGATGCTTGCTTCTACATCAGCTTCCTCTCTGCCTTGATTAAGATTGCCCAGCTACTGGTGATTCAACAGACAGTGCAGGCAACCACCCAGAGAGAAGTTCTCCACGCATTTAAGACCCTGGATGAGATGCGCGAGCGGTTTATGCTCTATAATATCCGCTCCCCCTTCGCTTGGATCACACGACTGCGCGCCTTTGGCAAAAAGGTGCGGAACATGACCATTAGCCTAGGTTAAGTCTACTGGAGTGATAACCAGCAGATCCTCTACTACCAAGGGCTGGAGTTGGACATGAGCGCTTTTCGCAATTTTGTCCAGTTTCAGGTCCGGCTGGCCAGGCAGGCCCTGGGCGCCCTTCTCCTGCTGGAGAAGAAGGAAAAGAGAAGGAGTCAGTTCTAAAAGACTGCAATGCCCCCCCTTCACCTGAACCAGCTTCGCGATAATATAACTGAGAGTCAGACAGGGTTTAACTTTCTCCAAGATTTATATAATCAGACACTGCTTGCCCCCGAAAAGCAATGGCTCTTTTGACAGATCACCTGTATTAATCAGTTTCGGTTCCGGTTTTTTTACATGCATCAGGTCCGGGACTAGGTGGAGTGAAAGTATTCTCCCGTGCATAAATATCTTTAATAAATAGAATTTTTTTTTTCAGCGTCTGCTTCTACTCTGCCATCTTACCTCCGGCCAGTCTAGCCAGAAAAGCGAACTTCTCAGCCTTCGACATAATAATAGTATTCATGGACGCCACCGCAGTATCTTTTTAGAACAGGGTCTGATCAGTCTCGTGACTATCTATCACAAGGAGTATCATATCCTGGGCTCGACCAAGATCATTCATTGCTATCTATCAGTGGCAGTCAGTCAGCTGATAATCTACTATCTCTGGCTTGTCCTCCCTTTCTGGCAAGATCTAGAACTGATAGTCCTAAGGCGGATTGCTAGCACTTTTTTTTTTTCTGGCCTAAGGACCAGGAGAGCTGGAATGTTAACCGTCTACGAGCAGTGCTGGAACAAGAGGCACGTGTTCATTTAAATACGCAAATGAATATTAAACTCTATTGGTATGCGGTTATTGCAATTTTTCGGGTCCATCTATCCTGCGATGAGTTCAAGCGGGACTACTGGATGGATAATCATCGCAGTGTAGATGAGCAAATCGATTATATTCTCTGATTGGCTGGGACAGTCTACGCACGGGGACTGCAGGAGATCTCTGGACATGTGAAGGCGCGGCGGATACAGTATCAGAAAGTCAGTCGTCAATGGCATGAGTTTCTAGGATTTGAGATCCCCGCAGGGCTATGTAAGAAGCGACATGAGGCTGATAATCAGAAAATGGAGACAGAGAATAGTAGAACTAAAAAGCAAAAACAGCCGCGAATATAAACTGCAACGATAGAGGAAAATTGAAGGTCTTTTTTATTTTTATATGATAACTCCAAACCACGTCGAGGCTCGACAACAGCAATATTAGGTTGTTAGTTGAGAGTGGCACAAATTTTTTGGATTCGAGATCTATCTCGGCCCGCAAAAGCGACATGTGAAAGACAATCTGAAGGATGCACGGCCGAAACAGGCATGCATTTTGATAGATATGGAAAGAGATGAAGAGGGGCTATAAAATCCGTAACAAGGGACGAGAATATATATATATAAAAAAGAGATTTTGGCCTGTGAGCGAAAATCTAGTAAACGATTAATATATATTACACTAAGGAAACAATACGCACGCAGACGGGCGAACTACCGTATCAATCGCTGCAGACGTATGTGGACAAGACAAACGTGCAGAAACATGTGTAACTGTGACAGCAGATCCTAGACTTCTTCGCACGGACCCAACACCCGCACGACTGGGCCAGCTCCCCCTATCAATTCACCGCGCGGCAGCGGGCCCGATGGGCGCGACTATGACAGCTGGTCGAACACCCCGAGCCGCAGCCGGAGCTACAGACGGTTGACGAAACGCTGCAGCCGTGGCTGCTCAAACGGCAGGAGCGGGCGTGTTTGAAGTTCTGCGTCGAACTGCTCAACCAGCGGCACCGCAGCCACGAGTACGAGAGCGCGCTGGTCTGCGCGATGGCGGTGCTCAGCCGCGGGGCAGAGGGCTGGCGGGATCCCGAGAGCTAACCCCCCGATCCTCTATCCCACAGGCCCTGGAGCAAGTCAGGTGGATTGGACCTAGGGTGCCGAGCACAACGTCCTGTGATTGGCCATCCACCTGTCTCAATTATATGAGTTGGGTTATCACTTTATCGTAGGTTGGATTTAGCTTCCCGTGCCTCGATTATGCTCAAACTTGGACCAGTTGTTCGATGTCCATTTATTTAAAGGTTGTCTTGATTTTAAGACGAGCCATCGTAGATTGCGACTGTAGTTTTCGATTAAAACTTGATGTTGTTTTTGTTGGGATAAGATGCCGAGATAGCGCAGCCATGCCGTTCCTGCTGTTATAGACTAGTACAGATCCAATAAATAATCTGATATATCTAGAAACTTATATATATTTTCATCTAGCTGAATTTCCGGACTTCTTCTCACTAAAAATCCTTATCCTCCAAACTTATTCCTTATATCCTTCTCCAATCCCATCTATACCAGACACTCAGCTACAAGAATATATTTTATTTTTACTCATTCTTCACCTCCATTTCATTATAGAATTGTTATTCTTCGTCTATCCCAGTTAACCCAGCTATTATGAAACATCAGATCTTTATTCAGATAGAAACATTACCCGTGATTATTTGCAAAATCTGTCGCTATGAGATGTGGTCCAATAAAATTCAACGTCATTTAAAGAACGGGGCCTATCCATCGGTAACGCACCAGGATATCATCCAGATCAGTGAGGCCATTTGTTAGTGGACGAACTTGATACACATTTTCACAAAGATTGACTGGCCCCAGCAACTAGAGTAACC